TATAAATATAAACTTCTTTTTCTCATAAAGATAATATAGAATATTCTTTTAATCCTAACTAATAGTATAGATATTAAATAATTATTTAATTATATTTATAATATCTACTACTATTATGATAGTTAATTAGTAAATACTATCTAAGGATTAATATTTTATTAATTTATCACTAACTTTGATATTAAATAGAAAAAGATAGAGATTATTAAGAAATATCTTTTTATCAGAGAAGCTATAATATTAGATTAAGCTTTAATACAAATATCTTATCTTAGCTAATTAATAATAATAATAAAAAAGATAAAGAGCTTAATATAGAGAATATATAATAGATAGAGAGCTATAATAATAATCAAAATAAATAACTATAATATAGATAATTAAGAAAATATTTATCTAAATCTCTTTATAATAATAATAATCACTAGGAATACTAATAGATAAAGATATATAGGGATAGTTAAGGTAAATTTCGACGTAATCTAGATTATCTAATAGATTTTAGATTCATTTAAGATAGTTAATATTATATAGAGATAATAAAATTATATTTATTAGATTAAAATCTTCAAAATTTATAATTATACTGTAACTATATAAAAAATATATAGGAAACTATATAAATTATATATACTTAAAAGAGTTATAAGGCTAGATATATTTAGCCTATTTAATATCTACTAGATATCCTTAAATATATAGAGGATATTAGGTAGTATACTATTTCTATAATTTATAGAGAGGATATATAGATATCTATAGATATTATTACTATAGTCTAGTTTTATATATAAAAATATATCTCTTAGTAGTAAAAGTATATATATTATTTTATGGTATTTAATAGCTAGAATACTAAAGATATAGTATATTTTTTATTTATTATATATAATAGGTATCTCTACTCTAATAGGCCCAATAGGCTTAGATAGGCCGACCAAAGCCCACGCGGGCCGGCCTAATAGGCTATCTAATAGGCCTATCCAATAGGCTTGCTAAAGTCTAGTACCAATACACCCATTAGATCTTGCCAAAGACGGATTACGGATTATAGCCGGGGTAAAGCGTCTTACAAGACGAAACTGGTTGGTAGGCTGTGCCGTAACCCGCAGAAACCCGCACCCGAACCCGCCCCATCCTCCCTATGGGTCGGGTTTATGGGTTACCCAATGGGTCGTCAAACAGGACAAACATAGAAATTTATGTATAAAACTGTACATAAAAGTGGTTTATTACATAAAAAATTGGATTTATCCATCCTTTTTAGGTATAGTGTTAAAAAATTATGCAAAGATGGGCTAGCGTGGGTAACCCGCACCCGAACCCGCAACCCGCATGGGGCGGGTTGCGGGTTGACTTGACCAACCCATGGGTTTTGCGGGTTCGGGTTGCGGGTTGACTTTACCTACCCATTTGCGGGTTATGGCACAGACTACTGGTTGGGTTCGGGTTCTTCTGGAGATAGGGCAAAAAAGCATGCGTCAGAGAGACAAAGCTGGAAAAGTTGATCTTTACTTCCTCGTGGAACAACGTCAGATTAAGCTTATCCAGATCCACCAGATCGTAAGGGGTTTGCACCCCCGCATTAAGCACGATGGAATCAATGCCTGGTGATTCCTTCATCACCCTGTTACAAACCCCGTCAGTATGTAGAAGGCCCCTCGTGAGAGCACATACCTTGTGACGAAGTCCGGGATCTGGGCCAGCTCTGCAATGTCGAACCGCTCGCCTTTCGCGCGTGTAGCCCCGACATTCTGCACGGACTGATCCAGACGATCCTGCCGCCGATCCACAACGGTGACTTTAGCCCCCTATTCCACCAAATAGGCCGCGAGGGCCCTGCCGATTCCAGCTGTCGCGCCAATGATCAGGAAGTGTTTGTATGGGAATGTCATTCTCTAAGAAAGCCCGAGACTTAGCTTCACATACCAATGTCCACCAGAGGGCATAAATCCCTATCAAGGTGTGGACTTCGGTCTTATTTCGGTCTTATACTTCGTAGTCCGAGGAAATGGAACTTATCTCTATATGCATGTAGTCGCTGCCTCCACAACATTGCAAAAGTCACTGACAGGTATATGTGAGTCTTCCACTCTGAATAGTCCAATAAAATGGATGACCTTTGCATGCTACCGCCCATTGATACTATTTTAGCTTTTATGAATATCATTAGATTCAGGACAAAACCCGATGCCCGAGTGAATTGGTCGTGTCACCGAGTATTTAAAGTACCCCAGTCAGGCTCTGTGTCAAGATTGAGTAGCGCGAGAGGACGACTGTTATTGTGATTCCGAATCTATCTGCCATCGGGTACGATCATTGATGAACCTGCATATGTCAGACGGGTTTCAGGAGCTTTTAGAATTCCGTCCTGAGAGATAAATGTTCGGGTGCAGGGAAGGACAACAGTCCTATGTGAACAAAGCGAACGTTGCTTTTGGCCACGGGTTTTGAGAATGGATGGTTTGACACCTGGCAATGCAGCAGCCATTTGCCACGGTAAGCGCTGTTGCGGAGAGTGGGATGCTGAAAGGAGTGACGAGCTGACCCGAGAGGATCGAGCCGGTTGAATGATTTAACATCAACTTATTAAAGTGCACAAAAGGCGCTCATGGCTATAAGTTCTCACGCAGGACTCTCTGGCGATTAAGTTCATTACTGACCCACTATGTTTCCTATGTTAGCAGAGAAATGTCCTAAAGTAACGTTTATTTTATCAAGATTCCGATATGAAATTCAGGTCTAGAAGTTGTATAAATGTCCTATCCTGAAGAATGAATACTAATAAAAATCAATAAGAGCCTCAGCTTGAATTTAGCCCTATAGGAGGGCTATATAGCGGGGGTCCAGAGTTATCTATATCCCATAATAGTGATTAGTTCCCACTATTAGTGGGTCATACGATGATGGATACATATACGATACATAGAACGTGAAAGTCCATGGCAAGGTAGTTAAGTCCCGCTGGGGGAGGGTATCAGGCCGCTGATTTATGCGTTTCACTAGCTACAGGGTAAAATCCGAGGCTCCACACCAGTGATGTATATTTGCCATACATGTCATGAACTTTTTTGTTATCCTATTGATCGGGAGACAATAATTGCCATGGTTGACCAGTATTTGACATCACTTCAAAATGAAAACCCCTTAAACAGTCTGAAGGACAGTCTCCTTGAACTCCCGCTCCACCTTCTGGCCCTTGTCGTCAGTCGCGGACTCGCCGTGGAGAGCCAAGAGGGCACCCAGGTCGAACTTGGGGGACTTGAGCAGCTTGACCTTGCGGATGTGGACCTAGAGAAAGTCAGAAAAAAAAATCAATTGATGGAGGGAGAAAACATACATTCTGCAGAGGGTAGATGCCCTGGGTGGACTTCTCGATCTCACGTCCAATAACCTCAGGAATGAGCTTGTGGGTGAGCTGAGACAGAGTGCAGCTGGAAGCCTCACGCTGCATGATCTCAGTCATCTTCTTGCGGATGGCACGGATTTGAGACGAGCGGGCGTAAGTGGTCTTCTTGATCTGGTTGGGGCGTCTCTTGGTGAAGGCGATGGCGAACAAGCGGATAAGGTAGTCGTCAGTGGTCTTCACGGTGATGTTGGCCTCAATCAGAGACTGCCACTTGCGGACCAGGGAGCGCAGCTTGTCGGTGGTGAAGTCCAGACCGTGGAAGTTGGTCAGGCAATTCTTGCCCTGGATCTCATCCACACGGAGCTTGACCTTGCGGAAAGCGTGGTCCTCATCGTTCTGCAGGTCAGCGAGGGAGACCTCGAAGATACGGCCCTTCAGGGAGTCGTTGGCGTTCTTCAGACCGCTGGTGCGGTTGACAAGAGTCTTGCCAACACTTTTGATTCCGTTAGCACACGATTTTCAGGCTAAGTTACCAATGAAGGATTGGAAAGGGTGAAAAAAGTGGGAGAGGGGGTGGGTAATCCTACTCGCGGGTCTGGAAGGTAGAGGGGGCCTGGCAACGAGAGAGATAGTCAGTTAACGTAGTCCTCGCAAGATACACATGTTGATGTCCAGTAAGCTCACCTTCACGGAGTACTCATCCTTGCGGGTGAAGGGGTCGACGGTGCGCTTCTTGATACCCTTCTTACCCTTTGAAAGGCGCTTGTTCCTGGTGACGAGGTGAGTTAGTGGATAGGTTTCCCGAGACAAGATGTCCAATGAAGCGATAGAGAGGAAGCGGTGATAGCAAGACTTACTTGCCAACAGCCATGATTGCGAGTCGGGTCTATCTGTGTGTTGTTGGAAGACAGACAAAGGTATCGCACCACGGCGCTCAGAAAGTTTCGAGAGTCTCGCTGCAACGGGTCTGAGGGTTGAAATCGAAAACCCACAAAAAACTCGGCTAAGCGAGCTTACCGGGCCCTACCTGTGGCTGACTCAGCCACTCAATCAGTCTCATGTGACACACAGACAAATTTATTTTCTCTGCAGAATTATGATTGGTTGGATTCGCTGCTTACGTACTTCCATGTAGATTTCTTAATGATATCATGAAGGCCAGTTTTACTGCATCGGGTGTATAGCCATGGGGGTTTGACTATATATGACTGGAGTCACTCATGTAATTCATATGCATTCACTTCACATGATCCTGATGTTGATCAGTTCAGTCACTCAGAGTTAGACATACCTAGAGAGGTCAGAGGTAGATTAAGAAGCAGGGGTAAACCGTGAAAATTAACATATTATTAGACTTAAAGAACGAGGGATGGTTAGTAGATAAATAGTTAATGTCGTTCAGAAGCACTTATATGTACTATCCTATGTATATGCAGGACTTTTGTTAGTATGAATGGTTAGTTTAGTGTTGATCACATAATATTCTTTTTTTGTCTTTTTTGCAGCCCAAGAAGTGCCCGCTCCACTGCTACTTTGCGACTCTCCTTCTCCGCACGAGCTAACCCGTCATTAACATTGATTTCTTGAACATCAAGCTTCTGTCTCCCCTCCCCCCTCCCCTCCCCCCGGTTCTTGAAACTCATCGTGGAGCATGGTAATTTAATCTCTGTCGCGACTTTGGAGTCTTACCAGAATACTAATCGACTTCTACTAGGGCAAGCGCAAGTCCTCCTCCAAACCCCAAGGGCCCAAGAAGGTAAGGAGAGATTGAAAGTAAGACCAAATTGAGTCTAAATCTTCTCTATAGCGGGAACCCCTTTCAACCACTTTCGCCTGTCTGTTTTGCAATCATGAGAATTCGGTCATCGTTAAGCTAGATAAGAAACTTGGCCTCGGCGACCTGTCCTGCAAAGTTTGTGGCCAGAAGTTCCAAACTGGTATCAATTGTCTGTCTTTTCCCGGTCGCATAGCCCGAGACTCCTTTCTTACACTCTTACAGACCTCTCCGCCGCCGTTGATGTCTATTCGGACTGGGTAGACGCGTGTGACGCGGTTGCCAAGGACACCGCGAACCAATATGACGGGGCAGTCAGCTCGCAGGTAGCTACTCGCAAACAGGGCCCTCCAGCCGGCGTGGCACCAGGAGACGGCTTCGAGGAAGAGGACTATTGATTCTGCTGTTATGGGGCGAATTGGCGCATGGGAAACGGTATTGATTTTGATGACCTCATCTGTACACATTTAGGCGCATCCTTGTGATAAATTCATCTTTGCTTCACTCTTCGAATATGATCTCCCTTCTCTGACCAAATAGAGACAAGATCAGATACTGAGCTAGAGTTGGCCGGGGTCTTGAACCGCCGAGAATCCTTTATCGTCGGGGTATGATGTATTCTAATACATCCTTTTGACGACTATGTACTCTACTATAAGGATAACATGATGGACCAAGAATAGCTTCAAACCATAGGCTACTACCTTATGTCGTGATTGGCGAAGATGGCAACTACAGTGTATAGTACCGGTCACCGAAATCTCCCAATCCAGGAATGATGTACCTGCGAACAAATTAGTATGACCTCAGAGTCCGAAAATGACTGGAGCTTCGTACTTTTTATCATCCAGTCCTTGATCGATAAAGGCTGTGACAACCCGAAGTTTGGGGAATCTCTCAGCAAACTCCGCTACACCGGAAGGGCTTGCGATCAAGTTGAGGAACAAGATTCGGTGCTCAGGGACACCTTTCTGCTTCAGGACCTCTACCGCCAATGTCGCGGATCCTCCTGTAGGGTATCAGTATGGCTGTGAAAGCCTCCAGGTTGTCAAGAGGGAATTGCCACTTACCAGTTGCAAACATAGGATCCAGGAGTAGGACCCATCGATCTGCAATATCGGCTGGCAACTTATCATAGAAGAGCTTCGGCATGCATGTTTCTTCATCTCTCTGGATTAAAATCTTGCCGATACGAACAGAGCGGCAACAATCCCGTAACCCTTGCTCCATGGCCTCTCCAGCTCTCATGATCGACACGCCGCATATCTTCCCCTCGAACTTCACCCCCAGGTAGGCCCGTCCGACTGGAGTGGTTACTGATTGCTCCACTACGGGCAAGTGGTTCAGACCTTCTTCAACCAGCAGCCGAATGATGCGGTTGGAGTAGAAAATGAAATCTGCCCGGCTAGTCCGTTTATCCCGAATCATCCTACGAATTTGTTAGATATTCCTACACGTGAAAGAAGCTCCCAGCAGAGGAGAGGGATGTCTCACGTCAGTAGAGCGATCAATTGGGGTGTTTGGGACAGCACATGAACATTCTCATACGAGACTTCTTTAGAGACGGTTGCTGTGGGCTTCTCACCGTCTGGTCGATAGAGAGGGCCAACGCCTTGAGCGGGCGACGGAATAGGTTCCTTGCTAGCCATGAGGGAAGAACGGACCTGTAAAGATTGCTCTGTCAGGGATACTCGGGGGTGGACACACGACCTTCTCAAGGAGCTAAATAGTAAAAAAGCGGGGAGAGGGGATTTTCTCTTATCGTAGGCTATCGGACAAAAATGACCCGCACCTGTCTTTATCAGTGCCGCTGAATAAGCCCCGGTACTTGACATACAGGACTTCAGGAATCGAGAATTCAGCTGAGCTATACATGCGTCTTCCGCGGTCTAGCCGATCCCATCATTTACATTGGGAGATTCTCCGATCCAAGATCAGTCTTTCCATCATCGTATTTTACCCCACCTTTGTGTAACTACTCTCCGCTCTTTGATACTCCTAACTCGGCCGCCTGCGGCATACCTTGTTCTTGTTCACCCGCAGACGCCCTCTAGCTCCATTGAAACTACCCGAAGGGCCTTCAAACTTACATCTACGGGTCCATTTATTTTCTTACACGCTACTTGATGGGAATGCTGGCCATTCTAGGCTTCTTCGTCTAGCGAGAATGGAATCGCGACACCGAAGTCGACGGCTGGTGACCCATGGCTCTGCTGTTCATAATAAATCGCAGTCGAAGACCGTGCTTCCCCATACGTCTACCATCAAAAATACTCAAACCAGAACCTACCACCAACATCACTCAAATCATCACCTGTCACATGGCGAAAAGAAAGAAGAGCAATCCAGAGGGCTGGGGCTGGACGGGGATTCGGAGGACAAGATCTACGACATACCATCTTCAGACGAAGAAAAACAGCAATACAAGCCAAGGCGAAAAAGACTTCGATATGACTCGAATAGACAGTCTGTCACCTTGCAGCAGGATATTGTGAGCTCACGACAACCCACGGTGGTTAAGACGGACGTCAAACCTGACGGCATTTCTGCCAAAAAACAGAACCCGACAGCCCCCCTGATTAATACTGCTTCGCTGCACAGAAGGAAAGGCACACTTGGTGGTCAAGGGCGCCCCGAAAAATCAGGCAATGCCGGGCCAGGGAAGCCAAAACCCCGGGCAGCTACTCCTACCGAACGCCTGGGTATGACCCGAAGGCTTGATAGTACCTCCGCACGCGAAAACAAGCTACCAGATAATGCCGAGGTGCAAAAAGTTATCTGTTCAAATGAGCAGCCGGGTCTCAAGTCTCCCAGTTTTCCAAGATGTACCTTGTCAGGGGTGGGAAATCGTACTCCTGGCCGTCGGAGACTAATTGATTCACTTGGCACCAGGGAACGCTCCGTCGAGGGATCGCCGTCAGACATACCGACTGATAGCATGTCTTCGTTCTTGGCTCCTCTCACCCCAACTCGACAATCAGAACTTGCACCGTCAAGAACGCCAGTCAAGAGCCAATGTGATAGCCATGGCCAGGACAATACTGCTGCACCATCGCCCCACCTACGTGGCTCTAAAGTCACATATGCCCGCCAGCGTTCATTCTTGGATGACCTGATGTTGGAGAACGGACCCTCGGGTGTGGACCTTGTAGCTAGTGTGGATCAAAACGACCGCCTGAACTCAAATAATGGGCCACGAGCTCGTCTTTTCACCATTGAGGAACCTGACAATGATGACGGCACTGTCCGAAGCATCCATGAACTTCGTCAAGCTGGCGGAAATGCTCGTTACCGGGGTGCAATCGAGTCCATCTTCGAAGACATTGAAGATGCCCACATCTCCTCATCGGGTCGGTGCAATGCACTCGTGCAACTCTGCAGCAAGTTGCTCGACTCAAAGCTTGCACGCCAATTTCTGGAGTGCAGTTTTGATAAGAGACTGGTGAATCTGTTCTCCATGGATCTCGATTTGACTTCTTCTTCACTTGCCCTCTGTGCCTACAGCCTCTGTGCCATCGGCAGACCTCTCCCGTATACCCTCGCCACTACAGCTTGGCCTAAGCTTTTGGATATATCACTTCCTATGTTGGATGTTCAAGATGATCTGTTCACAATGATACGTGCCCCACGCCGGAATATATCCAAGGGAACTCAATTATCCATTCAACAGATCATTCCTCAGCTTCAGTCGACATTGCTTCCAGATACTCATATGACCAAGCTATCTCCCTGTTTCCTAGCACTGCAATGTCTAAAGACAACCATTGCAGCCGTCCAAGAGAAAGGCGAAAATTCAATTGGTCTTTCTGTGCCATTTTTGCAGCGATTGCTAAGTCTCATGCTATCCACCCATTCTCACCATGGAGAATTTGCAACTACTGTCGGGTCACAAGCTTCTCAGAATCTGATCTCAGGATTGTCCATATTGGAGGCACACACCACCTCTGTTGGCTCTCTTGGGGACGATCATCGTCGTGTTTTGAGTTCCATTGCCAGTCTATATGGATTAATTTCCCCAAGAGGCAACAGTTCAATGAACCCAGCCAATCACACCATTCAAAGTCTCTACATCCGAGTTATTTTGAACGTTACCAACAGCCACCCCGGTCTTTGCGATGACTTTGCAACACCCGAGATGATAGGTGAACTGGCTGCGATTGCAATCACGAACTTTTCCAATTTGCCCAAAGATCCTCTTGTTCAGAATAACAACAATTCTTTAGATACGGTAATTCTGGCTCTAGGGGCCCTGATTAATCTAACCGAACAAAGCGAAATCTCGCGTATCATGTTCCTCAACACCGGAAGTACAGGCCCATCTCTTCTCGACCAATTGTTAGAGCTCTTCTTAGCTCATGTCGATTCCACTTCTGAGGTAAGGATCTACCGCAGTATTCTCACTTTGATCGGCCGCTGAACTATTGACCTCTAGGCACATTCTGTCCCGGCAGTCCATCACAACGTTGCGGTGGGGTATCTGGCGGTCCTCCTTTTGGTCCTCTGTCTCAATCCCAATGCTTGTGTACAGGTAAAGAATTCATTGCACACCAAGGGGCTATCGGTGATCATGTCAACTGTCGAGGAATTCTTGCAATACCACCGCAAGATTGAGCAGGAAATGCAACCCCTGCCAGTACAAGGTGATTCAAGTGGGTTTTATGTTCGATTACATGAACTTATGGGTCGGATCCAACAAACCGTCGAATGATGATGGCAGTGATGATTTCGTTTTTCTTTCCCCTGCCTTGCATCATTTAGCGTGCAGGCAGAATGATCTTAGCGGACTTAATGATTGATACCCTTCTTCTCCCGGTCTTGTAAGTTCCCAGTTTCTAATAATATGTATAAAATTGGGTTCCTGAGTATGCTACTTGTATACTTGTGTCGGTTCACGTGATACCCCAGATCGGGTATCTAATCACCTGTTTGCAGCGTTTGCACCCGGTCGAGCTCCCCCGATTGCTTCAACCCGCGCATTTGCCACTCTAGCCACGAGCTCTCGTCGGTGATCAAATCGTTCCGAGACTTCTTTCTTGACCTCCACATATCCCCCACTCTATCCAATTCTTCCTTTTTGCTTCTCACCCCTCTTTTGACACGATGCCTGCGGCTCCGAAGCAGAGAAAGATTGCTATTGTTGGCAGTCGTTCCGTTGGTATGAGCCTTGATCGGCATTGCAACTCAAGGGGAATTTTTTCGGCGTACTGACCTTGCTTGTCACAGGAAAATCCTCCCTGACGGTCCGCTTTGTTGAGCATCACTTCGTGGAAAGTTACTACCCCACAATTGAAAATACCTTCAGTCGAATCATCAAATACAACGGTCAGGACTATGCCACCGAAATCGTAGATACGGCTGGACAGGTATGCCTCTTCTCTCCCGGATAAAAACCCTTTTTAGAGCTAACCTCTCTTGGATAGGATGAATACAGCATTTTAAATTCCAAGCACTTCATCGGTATCCATGGATATATCATTGCGTACTCTGTGACATCGCGGCAGTCCTTTGAGATGGTAAAGACCATTCGTGACAAGATCTTGAATCACTTGGTAAGAAGCGCCATTTTTGCTTATTCTTTTCTAAGATGAATGTCTGACCGCTGGCGTTTGGAGCAATAGGGAGCAGACGAAGTGCCTCTGGTCGTGGTGGGCAATAAGAGTGACCTGAAGCCAGAGCAACGACAAGTCACACTGGATGAGGGCCGCAAATTGGCCGAGGAGATCAACTGTGCATTTACCGAAGCCAGCGCCTTCTTGGACTTCAATGTCGACAATGCATTCGAGTTGATGATTGGGGAGATCGAGAAGTCTCAGAATCCCTCACAGCCCACCGGAGGCAATAAGTGTGCTTTGATGTGAACTGAATATGATTCATGTTACGGCATAATTCCCCCTGGTATGTTGCTTCATTGCTGCAGTGTCTGATGAACAAGTTCTCAATCTGTTCACCCTTTCCCCTCATGACCGTATGCCCACCCTTAACGCCATGAGGCCGCCTTCAAGCTAACATTGAGATCTTCTAGAGCTCTGCGGAGACATACAATGACGTTTTGATATTGGCTTCCCCTCTTGCCCTCCGTATGCTCTTGTTGTTCTTTTTCCCCTTTTTTTCTGTCCTTGTTATTTTCATTCTGGATTGGTGGACTCTTGGGGATTTTGGTTGTATTGAATTATGGGGTTTTATTTATTGCGTTCAAAGGCTAGGGACAAACGTGTTTGATATCTGCATAGAGTAATGAAATGTTGGGCCCCATCGGCCCTTTGGTACGTGGACTAAGTTCAGTATATCTTTCTCAACTCAGGTAGAGGGAGCTATAATTGATTAAGTGTCAACTAGATAGATCCCTGAGGTTGTGCGTTGATCACAGCTAGTGTATGTATATCTCTGCAATATGGACTTTGATGTGACGGATTTCTCATGTTTGGATTAAGTAATCCCCCCGCCGTCGGCGCACTTTTTTCCCACCTTTACCCCTCCACCAAAGCCAGTGACTCAAGTTTTCGATTGTACCCCTTCTTTACCATGTTGGACCTCAATGATTTTGTCACAGAGCGCGGTGGTGACCCCAATAAGATCAAGGAGAGTCAGCGCAGACGCCACGCCCCTGAGGAGGTTGTGGACGAAGTGATCGCGCTGTACGAAGAGGCCCGCAAAGGTATGCCTGGGCTGATCGACTTGGAAAACAGCCTTTAACTCATTATTAGCACGATATGCGGTTACTCAAATTGGCTCCGAATTGAATGGCCTTATGAAGCAGATCGGCATGAAGAAGAAGGTATTCGTCACCCCCACACCTTTTCTCCTACTCTAGGACGAATAGCTCATATGTTGGATCGGATAGAACAAGGAAGATGCGAGTGACCTGCTCGCTCAGAAGGCAGACGTCGACAAGAGAAAAAAGGAGGCCGAGGATGCCGCTTTCGCAAAGGAAATGGAACGGGACCGGAAGATTCGATCGATTGGAAACTACGTTCACGACTCGGTCCCCGTGAGCAACAATGAGGCAAGATCGCATTCCGGGTAAAATTAACACATGTGAGGCAAAAGTCAGCTAACGGTACTGGTGGACTACAGGATGACAACCAGATTATCAAGACCTGGACCCCCGCCAATGCTGTTATGCAACGGCCCGATTGTCTCTCCCACCACGAGGTCCTTACTCGCCTGGACGGGTATGATCCTGAGCGTGGTGTAAAGATTGTCGGCCACCGTGGATATTGTCTGACGGGCTACGGTCTCTTCCTGAACCTGGCCCTCGTTAACTATGGCTTGGAGTTTCTCTTCAACAAGGGTTACAAGCCCAACCAGCCTCCGCAATTCATGCTCAAGGAGCTCATGGCTAAGACCGCACAACTGGAGCAGTTCGACGAAGAATTGTACAAGGTGACTGAGAGCGAGGATAAGTCCACCGACAAGTATCTCATTGCTACCTCTGAACAACCTCTGTCGGCACTTCATAGCAGCGAGTGGCTGCAGGAGAGCGACCTGCCCATCAAGTAAGAGAGCCACCCTTACTGCGCTGTCAACAAACGAGGTCCTTCTTCGCGAGTTCTGACATCAATCTCTTCTAGGTACGCCGGCTACAGTACCTGCTACCGCAAAGAAGCTGGTGCCCACGGTAAAGATGCTTGGGGCATTTTCCGTGTTCACCAGTTTGAGAAGGTGAGGTGAACCATCTAGCTATACCCCTGTCTGGAGGCTCATATGTTCTATAGATCGAACAATTCGTGTTGACCAAGCCGGAGGACTCATGGCAAGCATTTGAGGACATGATCGCCACTTCTGAGGAGTTCTATCAGTCCCTCGGTCTCCCATACCAAGTCATGGCTATTGTCTCAGGCGCATTAAACAACGCAGCAGCCAAGAAGTACGACTTGGAGGCCTGGTTCCCCTTCCAGCAGGAGTACAAGGAACTTGTCTCATGCTCCAACTGCCTTGACTACCAGTCCCGTGATCTGGAAATCCGCTTTGGTGTCAAGAAGGCCACCGACCTGAAGAAGACCTACGTTCACGCGCTGAATGCTACTCTGTGTGCTACTGAGCGAACACTCTGCTGCGTTCTCGAGAACTACCAGCGGGAAGATGTACGTCCGCCGTCTCCTTTCTCCCTCCTGTGCTTGAAGCTTGATCTTTTTGCTAACTCGTTCCATTATAGGGTATTGAGGTTCCCGAAGTTTTGCGGAAGTACATTCCTGGTAACCCCGAATTCCTTCCGTATACCAAGGAACTTCCCAAGGACACAACCTCCCAGAAGCTCAAGGCTAAGCAGGCCAAGGGAACTGAAGAGGCGGCTAAGAAGATGCAGGATCTCAAAGTCTAGATATTAAACTATTGAAGATTGAGTCGTTTTGGATTTTGATTTTGATTCTTATAAATTTCATATGTATTTCGTTCGTAGTTCCACTGGTTTTACGTGTATTTTAACCTAATTGGACCCACAAAAGAGCTTCTTTGATTGGACATAAGGAGGAAAAAGGAAAAAAAAGCCCCGCGGCCGGCGATGCCCCTCCACCCAGAAATCACGCCTTCATGAGTCTAATGAGTCATGAATATAAAGGATTTTTCTCCTATAAAGATCATAAATGTTTTATATAATATGTATAATATTGTAGAATGAGTCAAACCCTGGTCTTCTAACCCTAGTAAAATCCTTTCTTTCTTCTCTTTTTTTCCACTTTATTCAATTAATCTTTTATCGTCATCCGATTCCGGAGACTTGAGCTTATATAAGGTGACCTAATTGCCTCATTACTTTGGACTTCAAACCCTTTTTCTTTTTTCCTCTCATACCTTTTTTCCCTTCCGATATCCTTCTCCCTTTCCAATTCCACCATGGCATCTGCCAGAGATATTCGTCCTCGCCAGGATGACTTGGCCGCTCAGGCTCAATACTTCTCCACTTCGCCCTCCGCTTCCTTCCACTCTCCCTCTAGCCATAGCTCAGCGCTCACCCGGACCATCCCAGTGCTCAATGCGAAGCATCTGAAGCCTTTTGCGACCCAGGATATCAAGGTTTTGCTGCTTGAGAACGTGAACGTGGCCGGCCGTGAGATCCTGCAACAGCAAGGCTACCAGGTGGAATTCCTCAAGTCTTCTCTTCCGGAAGACCAACTCATTGAGAAGATTCGGTGTGTTGCCTCGATGTTGTCCCAGAAAATACGCTACTTGCAGATGAGCTGACTAGGATTGAAATAGGGATGTACACGTCATTGGTATTCGCTCAAAGACAAAGCTTACCGAGCGCGTCCTGAAGGAGGCCAAGAACCTGATTGTGATCGGCTGCTTCTGTATCGGAACCAACCAGGTCGACCTACAGTATGCCGCTGAGCATGGTATCGCCGTATTCAATTCGCCGTTCAGCAACTCCCGCAGTGTCGCCGAGCTGGTAATTGGTGAGATCATTGCCCTTGCGCGACAGCTGGGCGACCGCTCCAACGAGATGCACAACGGGACTTGGAACAAAGTCAGCAACAAGTGCTGGGAGATTCGTGGCAAGACATTGGGTAAGTCTTTGATCTCTCAGAGTGCGCAGGAATCAATAACTCACGAAATCTCCATAGGTATCATTGGTTATGGTCACATCGGTGCCCAATTGTCTGTCTTGGCCGAGGCCATGGGCATGTCGGTCATCTTCTACGACGTGCTTAACCTGATGTCCTTGGGTACGGCTCGCCAGGTCGATACTCTGGACCAACTGATGGCCGAGGCCGATTTCATTACTTGCCATGTGCCCGAACTTCCCGAGACCAAGGGCATGATTGGTCAGAAGCAATTTGAGAAGATGAAGACTGGCAGCTATTTGATCAATGCCAGCCGTGGAACCGTTGTTGACATCCCCGCCCTCATCGATGCCATGCGCAGCGGCCGAGTGGCCGGTGCCGCGCTGGATGTGTACCCCAATGAGCCTGCCGGAAATGGCGACTACTTCAACAATGACTTGAATGAGTGGGGAACTGATCTGCGTTCCCTGAAAAACCTGATTCTGACCCCTCACATTGGAGGAAGCACCGAGGAGGCCCAGAGTGCTATCGGTGTGGAAGTGGCTCTGGCCTTGAGCCGATACGTCAACGAGGGCACCACCCTCGGTGCTGTTAACTTGCCTGAAGTGACTCTCCGTTCTCTGACTATGGATGAGCCAAACCACGCTCGGGTTAGTTCAATCAATTTTGATGAACTCGGGAAGACTAAACTGACATTGCCTTCTTTAGGTCATCTATATTCACAAGAACATTCCTGGTGTGTTGCGCAAAGGTATGGAACTATAACCGATCTTGGAATCACCCCCTCACAGCAGCAATGTTTCTCTAACGTCTTATTTTTAATTAGTTAACGAAGTCATTGGTGATCACAACGTCGACAAGCAAATGACCGACAGCAGAGGCGATGTGGGTTTTCGATTGATGGGCTATTCAGTGAATATGACGAGCTAACCATAAGTAGGTTGCCTATCTGATGGCTGATATCAGCGATGTGAGCGCTGCTGTGATCAAGGACTTGTACGAGAGACTTGAATCTCTTAACTGTAAGGCCAAGCCCCCTTAATTTCTCTTCTCTTTACATGAAAACTGACATAAAACCCCCTCAAGCCCGAATTATGACACGAATTCTGTACTAAAAAGGAGATTTCGATTACTCCACCCCTGATTTTTCTTAATCAACTTAAACATTGTTTGAACCGATTCGAGTTCGTTTCATTTCACGAACTTCACTTGGACCTCTCAACGAGGCCTTAGCGGTGCAATGGAGAGTCTTGCATCTGTTGACTTGGAAGACCATGTCTTTACAGACAAATTTCCGAACAGAACCCAAAGTCACTAGTCTAGTATTGGTAGATAACGGCAAAAGCATAAAAGCAAATTTACGGTTTACGCATACCATTTATATATCCTTTCCACATGCTGGCTGTGTGTTTACATGTAAATGTCATTTTCATCTCAATTAAACTCTTCACAACCAAGAAAGTTCCATTTCAAGGCCGGTTCATGGAGAATGATACATCTTTGCGAGTATTACGCAACCTAGATTAATATGGAGAGGTTAATAATGCAGACTCCCCCTCTAGCCGGATCCTCGAGAATTGGGACTCCGACTTCTTCTTCGAGCTGGCTCACGACGATAGTCTCGCCGGTTCCCTCCACGCCAATCTGCGTTTGTTGGTGGATTATCGGAAGCATGTCCATAATTTGGAACATACGAATCAATGCTACTGGAGAACCTACCCCCTGGACGCCCTTGGGGGAATCGATCCCGTCGTGAGTCGTCTGACCATCCAGCTTGCGCACCATCCCATTGTTGGTGAGAAGACACCGGGGGCCGTGGCGGAAGCCCGCTGTCTCGCTGTGAGTGAGGAAATGGGCCACGTCGATGAGAATTTCCGGACGTGACAGTTGGTCCGTTGGCCCGACCCCCTCGAGCACCCCCTGGGATTCTACTTCGAGAGTCCGGTCGAGGGCCCGGCCCGGACCAGGCTCCGTTGGAAGAAGCATCACCGGGATTACCTCCTGGAGCTGGAGGAACGGGTGCTCGCTGGCCACGGAACTTCTTTCGATCCAATTCATGAGAATCCTGGAAGTAAGGAATTTCCCCGGGCCGTGCGGGAAGTGGTGCGGTGGTGAAATAAGGATGTTTCAATGCATCGATTGCATTGATACGTTTCCGCCAATCAAGCTTCAGAAGCTCAGTGAGTAGTGAGATAGCAGCGGGGTTTTGACTATTGCATTGTTAGTACATGCGATATAAGTAATAGCCGTATTCCAAATCCCAATGCCTCACGGGTGAGGGAAGGGTCTCCCTACTCTTTAAACACATCGACAAGGTTTCCAGACTTGAAACCAAAATTCTTGACTCCCTCACATCCAGGCAAAGAACTCCATCCGGGCATGTTCTCGTCATTGGGAGTTCCGACAAGATTAAAGATAAGTTGTGCTTGGTTCAAATCGCTGCTGCCTGAAAGAATAGGCTTTCCTTTGAACATCTCACCAAAAACACACCTATAGAGTGTATCAGGATCTGTCCAATAAGAACTGCGGGCTCAAACTTACCCAACACCCCACATGTCAACCGCGGTCGTGTACTTCCGCAGCGAGAGCAGTAACTCAGGTGGGCGATACCATCGGGTTACGACCAGGGCTGTGTATTCTCGTTTTGCTTCTCCTCCGCCCTTTCCAGGTTGCGGGGGAGGTTCATCGAATGGTCGTGCAAGCCCAAAGTCAGCAATCTGGAGGATTCCGGCATTACTGATAAGTAGATTGGCAGCTATCCCATTGGTAAGTTTGATTGAAGCAGAGCCAGGTGTTGACCAATTGAACCATACCCTTCATATCACGGTGCAAGATACGACTCTGCTATATGCGTCAGATAGGAAGCTCCTTTAACCGGTTTAGAACAAGCCATACCGCATGCAGGTAACGAAGACCTTCAAGAAGCTGCATCAAATAACATTTGATCTGAGGTTCAGTGAACTGGACCGATGGGTTCTCCAGGAGCCCGGAAAGATCGTGCTCCATATATGGGGTGACCATGTACATGCTGGGCTTCTTTCGTCCTTCGCCTGAAGTAGGTGTCAGTCAAGGTGCAATCCACGGTAAATAGTCAAATCTATACAGAGAAAACCTCTTACCCTTACTCCGTTCCACGGCCATCTCTTTGAGCTGCAAGACATTGGGATGAGAAAGCACTTTGAGAATCTTGATCTCTCGAATTGCAGTGATTGGGAACTTTCCAGAGCAGGTTAGCTGTGGCGTACAACGGGGACATGTATCAAGTCAAACATACGCCTTCTTTCTCATGGTGCATAAGAATCTTCTTCAAGGCCAGAACCGTGTTGTCTTTCTTGGACCTTGCTTTATACACCTCACTGTCCCAATGATTAGCCACCGAACGCTCACTTGGGCAGAAAACACCCACCCAAAAGTTCCTTCTCCAAGCTTGCCGATGAATTCAAAATCTCGAATGTTAGAGCAACCAGGAAACCGGGACTGGCCACTGCTATCCTTTTCCAGGGACGACATGGACGCGAGTTCGTTTGAAAATAAAAATAAAAATAAAACCCTCTTGGTCGAATAGAGAATGATGATTCGACTGAGGAATCGTGGACTCCGAAGACTTGGGTTTCGGTACTCGTGAGATCTAAATCGGGTATCGTAGGTTTATTCGACTTGGAACGATGACCGAATTCAGTTGGATTTTGTTGGGGGATTCCGAGTCAAGACGCAAGGAGAGTTTTGGAAGGTAGGTGGAATCATAGTAGCATTCGCTGATCAGATAAAAGTGACCAGTAGTGAAGTGAGCTTTAACATTGCCAGGGCCTTTCAAGGACCTCTCGAGCAGAATGAAGGTCCGAGCTGAAGTCAGGGCACCAAAAAAAAATCGTCGATCAGATCCTCAAGGGCCCAAGTATTGCAGACAAGTAAGAAGATCAGATCAAGACCAAGTTCTTTCAAGGTGAGTAAACAGAAGAAACCTGGGGACGTTTAAGAAGAAAGAGCGTCACTGATCACGTGACCGTGACTTCCACTTTCTCGAGTTCCCGCTTCCGCCGAAACGTCCGTCCTCTGCAAAGCCAAGCCCATCGTCCTGCGTACACAAAGTATGTGACTTATTCAACCCATCAAAATTGCTTTCACTGACTCAATTGCTCTGTAGCAATGGCAGGAAAATCCCACCACCCGGTCCACATTCACGCGGCCCGGCCGTTATACCGCTTTACTGCCACTGCCTTAGGTGCCAGCATGTGGTTCTTCGTATGCCTTCCTTCCCCGGTATCCCTGGATTGAGGCCAATCATGCTAACTGGGTTTTTTGTAGCTTATGTACCGTGCGAAGCAGGACGGTCCAGCTCTGCTGGGCTGGAAGCACCCTTGGGATCACTGAATGGACGGGCTCAGTCGGCCTCATACCCACGAACCATGCACAATTGAACCCAGAGGCTTATTACACGCCGCTTGATACCTTGACTTTGTTTTTATTGTTCTTTGTCTAAGAGAGATGGAAGCTTCCAGGGACTTGGAGTGCTTGATATGTACCATACCGTTTCTATTAGGTGACAATGCGACAGTGCACCACGCGATCCAATATCTACCGCGCCTCTCTCTCTCTTCTCTCTTCTCTTTTTCTCTCTCTTTCTCTCTCTCTCTCTCTCTCTCTCTCTCTCTCTGTTCGTCTCTAACTCTCTCTAAGTAAATACTGTCATCATTACCCTCCAATGTATTCACAAGCCCATCCCTTCCAGAAGAACCTTGTACTGGCGACGTTTCTTGCGATAGTTCGGCTGTAGCCGAGTCCGTGTGTGGCCAATGATGCGTGCCAACCGGGGGAACACTGTGACCTCTGCTGACCAGGACAATGCAAACATCCCAAGTGCAAGCGCCAAAATCCAGCCTCGGTAGGAGTCAGACATGATGGTCAACTCGAGCACGCTCGTGACCCATTCGGATGGTCGGAAGAGCATGTAGACTCCGATCAACAAATCGACAATGATCGTGCATAGATATGGAACTACAGTACAAATAGAATTTAGCAGCAGCTCTCTCGTAGAATTTCTCTTGGGGAAATATAAATTGTTGCTTACCATTTAATGTCATCGGTTGTCTAAAGGGTGGTCCGACACTCAAAACAATACTGGTCAGTATATATTGGAAGCAGGAGAACAGGAAAAGCGCCGTGTTTTCCGAGTTTACAATGTTGCTCTTCTCCAAATCCAGCTGGGGAGGGAGAAACCTGGTTTAAAGAGTCAGCATTTTCTTCGATTCGCATTTTCAAAGAAAAGGACATACCAGGGCTGGGTCTGGACAGTCTGGAAGATCGTCAGCTGGGCGAGAACCACCATAATGATCTGGCCCAATAGAGGAGTCAGAACCTTCCGCGAGACAAGGTCGGCTGTCGGTCGCTTGCGAGAAAGTGTGGGATAAGGACCCGTCCAACCCACTGATTGTCTGTTAGTCAATTCTCGAGGTAAGGTAAAGCAGTACTCACTAAAGATAGCAATCGGCATGATCAAGGCTAGATCAATGAACAGAAACTAGATATTCAGTCAGCTTATTTCTCTGTCGCTGCAAGCGTAGGGTCCGAGAAGTTATTTACTCACCTGGAAGTCACCGAGATTGGAACCGGATGTGTAAAGGAAGCTCACGGAGGAGAACTGAATGGCCGAGTAAAGACTCATGAATTTAAAGCAGCAGAAACTCGTCACCAAAGCAGCACGGCCCTCACTATCAAAGTTTTGTCAGGTAATGCCCTAGCGTTGAGGTTGCAAAGTTAAACACTCTTACCGAATCAAAGTGGGCACGCATGATATCTCGAAAAGCCTGCTGGTGAAGGGAGCGGCAACAGATGCCTCGGCATCAGACAAAGAGATGCCCACATCAGCAGCCTTCAAAGCGCCACAATCATTTGCCCCGTCTCCACAGAAGCCACAACAATAATCGATTGATTGAAGCTTCTCCACCAGTTCATGCTTCTCATCCGGTGACATTCGAGCAAATACTTTCCCAATGACCAGAATCTGAACAGAACGGTTAGAAAAAGGAATCAATTTGTAGTATTCAAAAGCAGCTCTTACCCGGTTCAACACATCTTCGTTCCCATAATCAACCATCCACCGGAACACATCACCTGTGACCGCAAGACAGTATTTCCGAGCCTGAAGTATATTTCCTGGGATGGATAGATCCTCTTCCGTAGAGATTTGGACGAACTTTAGAATTGGTCAGTCTCTATAATCATGGCATGTAGATCCGGGTTTCCATACTAAAAGTGTTCTCGGGTCTAATCTGAGATCAGGGTTGTCCACACTTTCCCATATAAGAGATGTCTTGGTGATAAGACCAGGTTCTAGATCGGTCAGCTCATGTCAAATTTCTCAAATGGACATCGTGTCCTACAAACCTTCAATAAAATGTGGGATGAAACAATGCTCATCTGGGTCAATCATCTTACATTCCTTGGCAACACTCACTGCCGTTAAGATATTGTCACCCGTACACATAACGTTTCGAATCCCAGCTTGTTTCAGCTCCAAAATCACTTGGGAGGTGCTAGGCTTCAACTTATTTTCAAAAATAATGAAGCCCAAAAACTCAAGATTACTCTCGGCCTCGACCCGACTAAGTTTCTGGGCCTTCATCCAGCTCAACTTTCGTTCGTATTTGGTTGCACAAGCAATGACACGGTACCCTTTGTGGGTGTAATAGTTCAACAGCTCGTCATAGTCGGATGGGACTACCAATAAGGTGAGTAAATCTGCCAGAGAATATCTTGCAGAGAAGACAACTCACGACTTTCAGGCACACATATTTCCTTGATACTTTCCGGGGCACCTTTCACAAAGAAACTGGCCCCATTATCCCCAAACTGCCGGACGACAACACTTGCGCGGCGGAGTTGAGAGACGAATTCAAAGTTTCGTAAGATACCAAGTTCGACGGGAAGCTGTAGTTAGTAATGATGGTAAGCGACTATTTGAACAAGATGGTTTCACGACTTACATTGGGTCCATTTCGCTGGCTTTTGCCAGTGTGAGTCTCCGGTGGCCTTGCAACAGATGGGGTGATGGTATCAAACTTAGAGCTTGTCGGCTCAGAGGCATGACCACCACCCTCTTCATAGGACCAACTCGTGAACTGAAACATCTTGATATCGAGAGGATCTCCTAGTAGCTCGCCATCAACAACCCTTAAAGAGTGGCATGTTGCCATGGTGTATATTATCTTTCGCTGCTTCTCCATGTCATATGCCGAGTTCGCCACTGACGATGGCAGTAGTAGACCACAAGAAGTTTCAGATAATAGTTCGGAGAACCTTATATCCATCAGATCAGTTCCAGTCGATGTCTTCCTTGTGTTTGAATTTTGATTGAGTACCAACCTTTGATTGTTGCTAACCGCTCGTGCGCCGAGAACATCCAATCCGTCCTCAGTAAGGGTTCCCGTTTTATCAAAACAGACAACATCCAGCTTTCCTCCAACGTTGACTCTGGAAATTCCAAAGGCATCAGCGGAATATTCGCTTGTCATTTAAAGGTTGACTCACTTTTGTGGGCTAATGCAGAAAATACTTTGCTTTTTGAGGCGGGAAAGTGCAAAGTTTGTGCCAATGCTAAGGGTTGCCGGAAGGGCCGGAGGGACGACGATTGTAATCAAATCAAGGGCACGGACAATGATGAGATGCCAGGAAAGCTATTGTTTATTAGCAATAGCACGCGCATACACTCGGGGTTGACCTACACCCAGTCTCATGAAATTGATGAACGAAGCCACAAAGCCACAAAGCGCAACTATTGCCATAACGGCAATGTAACGAAAGGAGTCTCGGTAGAATTTGAAGCCAGAGGGTTTCGGAAATAGCATTGATCGGACCAGGGCGCCCTTGGTCGTCGAAAATCCAGTTCTGGCGACAATAGCCAAAGCCACAGCTTCGTCGTCATCAACATTCTGAGGTCGCCTGGCCCGAATGACTTTGGTCCCACTAAAGAGAAAATGCTTGGCAACATTAGGATGAATCGATGGGGCACTGAGATCAAGGTGCTTGAGAGCATCATCAATGAGAGGAGTCTTGGAGACAGGTACAGATTCGCCTATTGCATGTCAGAATGTCTAACGGAGAGTCAAGTACGCAATTCTTGAGGACAAACCGGTAAGCATGCTCTCATTGACAATGCAATCACCCGATAAAAGGATAGAATCACAAGGTACCTGGTTCAATGACGGATCAGAAAACTCGAACACGTCCCCAGGTACTAAGTCTTGTGAGGAGACCGATCGCCCTGGCAGTCAAAAGGGTCAGCAGCGTTTTACTCAGACTAGAGGAAGCATTAGATGGCGTGGCTTACAGAATCCATTCCTGAGAACGCGCACGTCACAGTCGAACATGGATATTTCTCTCAGTCGACTCATTGACTATCTGAACATCAGTATCCCCGCAGTTTGAATGCTACTCGGCATTAAGAGCCTACCGATTTGGTTTCGACCACAGTAGTGGCAATGCTGAAAGCAGAGATGAGAAAGATGCAAACCGCATAGTAATAGTATTCATCCATAGACCAGAGGATGAGACTCGCAACTTGGAACATGTAGAAAGGATGGAAAGCCTATTGCCAGTAAGAGATAGACGCAGAAGTAGATCTTGTAAAAGGGAAAACACACCTCATCGAGCAGCAATTGCGGCACGGTTTTTTGCTGGATGTCGATAACATTTTGTCCGAAAATCTGTTCCCTGCTATCACGCTCATCGGCATCCAACCCCCCGCGCATGGCCTTTGCATTGGTCCATGCGGGATCTCTCCAGCCAGTGATCAAGGAGAACTTATCTTCGACGGGATGGTAGAAGAATCTCAGGTACCTGTAATCAAGAAACCGTAGGGATTCAATGGATGGATCGCGGTCCTCATCGTAGGCTTGACCAGAAGAGTCAACAAAGACAGTGGACAGTGGACGCCCATAGGACTGACTGCCAACCATGTGGATGGTAAATTGATTCCATTGGTCCTATAATTGCAAGTTAGTAGACTTAATAGGAGCCAGTGATGGGGTTACCCTTGGTATTCCTACCTCAATTGCAATCCACTGGCATTTTCCCAATGGAGCTGCTTTCCCAATCAATCTCACGCGCCACCGTGGGAGCCAGCGAAAGAAAAGATATGCCAATCCGCCGGTCAGGATGCATAGAGCGACATAGAGAGCAAAGCCACCGGGACTAGTGGAAAACCCCGCAAATACCGCCGTCAGGTCTTCTGATGCAATATACACCTTCTGATTGAGTCTGCTCCCGGACCTTCTATCACGTCCATACGAGCTCGCGGATAGGTATCGCGAAAGCAGAGGCTGCTCCACCGAGTCCCGCGATTGCGAAAGTCTCTTGGAGACGAAAGACCCTCTGTGAGACTCGACATCAGCCTCCGGGAGTCCATCTGCTGATTCCCCTTCGAATCCAGAGCTCAGATCCTCCAGATCGTCCTCCACCGCATCCTCATTCGACCACTCTGCAAAGTCTTCGCCGTCTTGGTAATACGTGAAACTGACTGTCGATCCCGCTCGATTCCGACGATGCGAGAATGAGACGACGCTCGATGGAATACTTTCTGAGATGGGTCCATCGAAAACCTATCTTATGGTCAGCAAAGAATCGGGCGAGGAAATTGCTTCAACATACCTCATGCCGAGCCATCTCTACGTCTGAGACCACGCTCACGCTATATCTATCAGTTAGCGATGAATTCATAGGCGTAGGGGGAGGCGCGTTCCGTTACCTGCTCCTGAGAGAGTCCCGTCGAAGACTCGGCCGAGGTATGGAGAGGTCCATGGGGCCAGTCCCCGACGGAGATGGTGGTCTGCTACCCATTGCGATTCGCGCTATGATGGACGGTTTTCTCAGGTAGGTCAGCGTTCAATAATTGAAAGCTCATCCGTGCAAGTGAACACTATTATGCCACTGGTTGAAGTAGGTGCATCACTTCACAGCAGCGGGCACTCGAAAATTATCAAGACGCCTGATAAGAGGGACCGCTGGGAGCTCTTTTGCCAGTAAATCGGGCGGTGTCTCCGAATGTCGTTACTCTGTTATCACCATGTGACCTTGATAAGCCCATTGATGGCCTCGGGTGTGATGTAAGCAAGCCATCCCTGTTTAGGCAGGAGGGGCAAGAGATGGGAGTTTGGTAGACTTGGTCTTCATGGTTGAAATAATATGAAGTATACGCTAGGGCCGAGTAAGATGTTAGTATTGAAATATTTGACATTCATTCAATTCAATTTTATGAGGCGAACAGATTTCAATATGGAGGTATATATCCATGGGTGTACTTGAAAAGAAAATGATCTGCAGTGCAATAGGACCAAAAGAGAGGTATATATATATAGTTAAGATTGGAGTTAGGCATGCATGTATATAATATGTAGTTTGAGATGATTATCTTGTAAAATAACTCCAAACCATATCCCAAAGGTTCTCTCATGAACAATAACTTTTTCACCTACATCTTATATTCTGTTTCTGAATTTAACATTCAGAATGGCGAAATGGGTCGCGGCCACCAGTCGGACTTGGTTCCAAAAGCGAACGTCAAATGGTTTAGCAAAAGATCTACAGAGTACTTCTATAACTTATATTTGGAAATATTTGCTGTGGCCATTTTAATATAAAACTTTTGATGATTACTACTAACTTGAGCTTTTGTTTTATCTCCCATGTCGAGAGAAATAGGAATATTACCATAGAGGCTACGATATCCCAATTTTTGATTTGACTTGATTAAATTATTTTATAATAAAATATATTGCAGATTTAAAACAACTTAGAGAGACTACAAAGATTCTAAATTAGCTCCAAATAGAGAGAGAGAAAAACTCTCAAGTTCAGTAGAGAAGCGAGAGGGGAAGTTGTTGGGAGCAGTTTTTTCAACCAGAACCGCATCCCGCCAAGCCCCTCCGGCCACCGGCGCTAAGGATCCCACCATCCAGACTCTCCTCTCCCCCAAAACTCACGACCCATATCAATTTTCTTCCCTCCTTTTCTGATCTTCACATCTCTCCACCCCCCCCCTTTTCAGACATCCCTCTTGTTTACCCCCTTCACTATGTCTGAACCCATCAGAAATAAGAAGGCTGATTTCCCGGTCGCTCCGTAAGCATTTTCCCCTGGGATTCCCTGACCGCTTATCGTTGAGCAAAAACACTGACACTGTGAAAAAAATGTACAGGACCCCGCAAAACACCCCAGCCAACAATGCCCCTATCTCCTCGCACGCCCAACAGCCCGGTGTCTCCAGCATCAGTGAAGGTAACCATTTCTCTCTTTCGTAAGTGTCGTCTAGTTGCGGTTCTAATCTAGTTTGCGTTCCCAGAAACCATGGACAATGCGGCAGCAGCCTCTCTCTTTGCTCGCAACCCCGCTCTGATGTCGATGATCCAAGGCAAGCTAGGCCAACTCGTTGGTCGCTCATCAGGCTACATTGAGTCTCTTCCCCCAGTCGTCCGCCGTCGCGTCGCTGGCTTGAAGGGTGTCCAGAAAGAGCACTCTAAGCTGGAGGCCGAGTTCCAGGAAGAGGTCCTAGAGCTTGAGAAGAAATTTTTCGCCAAGTTCACCCCGCTGTACGAGCGCCGGGCAAAAATCATTAACGGAGGCGTCGAGCCCACCGAGGAGGAGGTTGAGGCTGGCAAGGAGGACGAAGAGGAAGATGAAGATGAGGAGAACGACGATGCTGAGAAGAAGGAGCAGCAGGAGGAGGGCGAGCTTACTGCCGGTATCCCCGAGTTCTGGCTATCCGCTATGAAGAACCAGATCTCACTCGCTGAGATGATCACTGATCGCGATGAGGAGGCCCTCAAGAAACTCACCGATATTCGCATGGAGTACCTGGATCAGCCAGGGTTCCGTTTGATCTTCGAGTTCGCCGAGAACGAGTTCTTCACCAACAAGACCATCTCCAAGACCTACTACTACAAGAATGAGAGTGGATACGGTGGTGACTTCATTTACGACCACGCCGAGGGTTCCAAGATCGAGTGGAAAGCCGAGAATGATCTCACTCTGCGTCTCGAGAGCAAGAAGCAGCGTAACAAGAGTAAGAGCTTCCATCCCCCTCCATCAGTATCAAGCATCGGAGCTAAAAATATATCTCAGACACCAAGCAGACCCGTGTTGTCAAGATCAGCGTGCCCACCGAGTCCTTTTTCAACTTCTTCTCCCCCCGCAACCTCCGACTGACAACGACGATTCCGAGTCCGTTGCCAGTGACATTGAGGAGCGCCTTGAGCTGGATTACCAACTGGGTGAGGATATTAAGGAGAAGTTGATCCCCCGTGCGATCGACTGGTTCACCGGTGAGGCGCTTCAGTTCGAGGAGTTGGGCGATGAGATGGATGGCGATGAGTTCGAGGATGAGGATGACGAGGATGATGAGGATGAGGACGAGGACGACGAGGATGAGCGGGGATCGGACCGTGATGTGGAGGACGACTCGGACGAAGAGGTATCTATCTATATTCTTGAGTTTCACCCCTCCATATCCTCACACTGCTAACACACCTTTTCTTTCTCTCCAGGATGGTACTTCTAAGCCCAAGAAGGAGGCCGCCGAGTGCAAGCAAAACTAGAAAGCGAAAAACACAGAAACTCAAAAGTGTGGTTCAGCACACGGCTTACTCGAGATGCTTCATGGAATTCTTCGTTGCTTTTCTTGCTATGTTTTCCTTTTCCATTATCTTTCCCCTCATCTCTCATCACTGATATCTTTGTCTCCCTCTGCACTGCGTGAATTTTTTGTCTCTACCTAATATCTTCCAATCAATCGACATAAATCAGTGTGTAATATTACTACTCGCCCTTCCACTGGGAAAAGTGGAAGTGAAGGCGTGTATTGTGCTGGGGGTGTTGGGCGATATGGCCTTCATAGATAGATTCCCGATACTAGAATGGCGTCGTTTTTATTTTATTTTGGTTTTCCTATGTAGATGATAGAATATTATGCTATATATGGAATCATGACCCAAAGGATGGCGGTGACAGTTATGTGGGGGCTGTGGCGCCAACCCCCAACTTAGTCCCGAAGCTCGCGCTCCTTCAGGGGTTCTCTCTCTCGCTAAAACCCAAAGTGTTACCAAAACAATAACTCCCTACCTTTCCATTCCCCCCCTTCAGATCTAACTACTATCTCTTTCTTTCTTTCGGACTATGAGTCGATGAGGGGCCACCGTGAGACCCCTTGTCTTTGGACTACTCGTGATTGATCTACCCTTCCTTTTTTTTCCGTTCTGCCCTCCCCGAAACATAGCCGGTATCTTTAGGCGCTTCGCATCTCCTTCGACCCTTTTCGCCTTAACGAGTCAATTGAATTTCTGGAACGTGAGAGAGGCGCCATGGCACACATCTACGAAGTTGGCACAAGGGCCTGGCAACCCGACCCGACAGAGGGATGGGTTGCATCTGAGGTCAAGGAGAAGCTGGTGGATGGAGAGAAAGTCCAGCTCGTGTTTGAGCTAGAAAATGGAGAGGTAAGTGCAGGATTCGCAGGAGAAAGGTCTTGATGGCTTGCACAATATGGAATACCTGACGGGAGAGGGATGATAGACCAAAACCGTCGAGACTACGGAGTCCGAACTCCAGGTTGACAACAACTCGAATCTGCCGCCGTTGATGAACCCGGCCATGCTGGAAGCAAGCGAAGACTTGACCAATTTGTCTCACTTGAATGAGCCCGCTGGTTCGTCTTGCTGGAAAATGAAGACCTTGTTCCCTCGACTGACGGCCTTCAAGTCCTGCAGGCTATAAAGCTCCGTTACGCGCAGAAAGAGATATATACCTACAGTGGAATTGTCCTGATTGCCACCAATCCTTTTGCTCGAGTGGACTCTCTCTACGTCCCGCAGATGGTCCAAGTGTATGCCGGGAAACAGCGAGCCTCGCAGGCACCCCACTTGTTCGCCATTGCGGAGGAGGCTTTCGCGTAAGAGTTTATGCATCTTCTGGAGTTTCGGATAATCATCTGACCAAAATTTGCTTATAGTGACATGCTCCGAGACGGGAAGAACCAGACGATTGTGGTGTCTGGTGAATCTGGTGCTGGCAAGACGGTGAGCGCCAAATATATCATGCGGTACTTTGCGACCCGTGAGTCTTCAGATCAGCCTGGAAAGTACACCACAAGCCGAGCAGATGCAATTAGCGAGACGGAAGAACAAATTTTGGCAACCAACCCAGTGATGGAGGCATTCGGTAACGCTAAAACCACTCGCAATGACAACTCTTCCCGGTTCGGTAAATACATCGAAATCATGTTCGATGACCGAACGAACATTATCGGTGCCAAGATTCGTACCTACCTGCTGGAGAGATCGAGGCTTGTATTCCAACCCCTAAAGGAACGGAATTACCACATCTTCTATCAGCTTGTGGCCGGTGCTACCGATGAGGAAAGACAAGAACTCGGTATCTTACCAGTGGAAGAATTTGAGTACCTCAACCAGGGCGGTACACCGATCATCGATGGTGTCGATGACAAAGCCGAATTCGACGCGACCAGAAAGTCACTGGCTACAATCGGTGTGTCGACACAGTTCCAGACCGAAATCTTCCGTATTCTCGCAGCTCTGCTGCACCTCGGTAATGTGAAAATCACCGCAACTCGCACTGATTCTTCTCTGTCGTCGTCTGAACCATCCCTGGTGCGCGCTTGTGAGATGCTAGGAATCGATGTCAATGAATTTGCCAAATGGATTGTCAAAAAACAGCTTATTACGAGAGGAGAGAAGATCACCTCCAACCTAACCCAGCAACAAGCCCTCGTGGTTCGGGACTCGGTGGCCAAGTTCATATATTCCAGCCTTTTTGATTGGCTCGTGGATAAGATCAACAGGGGCCTAGCAACCGACGAGGTTATTGAACGAGTGCAAACTTTCATCGGTGTGCTGGATATCTATGGCTTTGAACACTTTGCAAAGAACTCCTTTGAGCAGTTCTGTATCAATTACGCGAATGAGAAACTGCAGCAGGAGTTCAACCAGCACGTTTTCAAGCTTGAGCAGGAGGAATACGTCCGGGAAGAGATTGACTGGACTTTCATTGACTTCTCCGACAACCAGCCTTGTATCGACTTGATTGAGGCAAAGCTTGGAATCTTATCTCTACTGGATGAGGAGTCTCGACTTCCCATGGGATCCGATGAACAGTTCGTGACGAAGCTTCACCATAACTTTGCCGCCGATAAGCAGAAATTCTACAAAAAGCCCCGCTTTGGAAAGTCCGCCTTCACCGTCTGTCACTATGCTATCGACGTCACCTACGAGTCCGATGGATTCATCGAAAAGAACCGTGATACCGTTCCAGACGAGCATTTGGAGGTGCTGCGCAATTCGTCAAATGACTTTATCAAAGAGATCTTGGATACTGCAGCTACAGTTCGTGAGAAAGACTCCGCAGCTCTAACATCCAAACCGGTCGCAGCGGCTCCAGGGCGCCGGATCGGCGTGGCTGTGAATCGCAAACCAACACTCGGGGGGATTTTCAAATCGTCTTTGATTGAGCTTATGCACACTATCAATTCCACCGACGTGCACTACATTCGTTGCATCAAACCGAACGAAGCCAAGGAAGCCTGGAAGTTCGAGGGTCCTATGGTTCTCAGTCAGCTGAGAGCCTGTGGTGTGTTGGAAACCGTTAGAATCAGTACGGCTGGATATCCGACTCGTTGGACTTACGAGGAGTTCGCCATTCGATATTACATGCTTTGCCACTCCTCTCAGTGGACATCCGAGATCCGGGATATGTGTCATGCCATTTTGCGCAAGGCCCTTGGTGATGCGAAGCAAGACAAGTATCAGCTGGGATTGACCAAGATTTTCTTCCGAGCGGGTATGCTTGCCTTCCTCGAGAATCTACGCACGTCCCGATTAAACGAGTGTGCAATTATGATACAGAAGAACTTGCGATGCAAGTACTACCGCCGCCGTTACCTCGAGGCCCGGGAGTCCATTCTTACCACACAAGCGTTCATTCGGGGTTTCCTGGCGCGACAGCTTGCTCAGGAGATCCGCCGGACCAAGGCTGCAACCACGATTCAGAGAGTCTGGCGCGGCCAGAAGGAGAGAAAACACTACAACGAGATTCGGAGCAACTTTGTCTTGTTCCAGTCCGTCACTAAGGGATTTCTCTGTCGTCGCAACATCATGGACTCCATTCACGGTAATGCCGCTAAGGTCATCCAACGAGCCTTTCGCTCTTGGCGTCAACTGCGAGGTTGGCGGCAGTTTCGCCATAAGGTGGTCATTATTCAAAACCTTTGGCGAGGTAAGGAGGCCAGAAAGATTTACAAGTCTTTGCGTGAGGAATCCAGGGATCTTAAACAGATCTCCTACAAGCTGGAGAATAAGGTGGTTGAGTTGACTCAGTATCTGGAGTCGTTGAAACGCGAAAATAAGGCTCTTGTCTCCCAGTTGGAGAACTATGAGACCCAATTGAAGTCATGGCGAAGCAGACACAACACTTTGGAGGCTCGTGCAAAGCAGCTTCAGGTCGAGGCTAACCAGGCAGGTATCACTGCGGCCGCTCTGGAAGTCGTGGAAAAAGAAATGAACACGCTTCAGAAAAACCACACCGAAGCTCAAGTTACCATTAAACGTCTCCAGGAAGAGGAGAGAGTATCTCGCGAAGCCCTTCGCGCAACCAATGAGGAGTTAGAGCATATCAAGCTGCTCAATGGCGATCACGAGAAGGAGAAAACAGTTCTCCGCCAGCGCGTTTCAGAGCTAGAGGAGCAGTTGGAAGTCGCCAAGCGAACTGTACCTGCCAACGGCATGAACGGCGAGGTGTCAAATGGCGCAGCTGCCCCAACTCCTGCTAGCGGTTTGATCAACCTAGTCTCCTCCAAGAAGCCCAAGCCCCAGCGACGCAGTGCCGGTGCGGAGAAGGTTGGAACTGATCGCTTCAGCGGTGCCTTCAACCCACGGCCCGTCTCTATGGCAATTTCAGGTCTTGGTGCTGCTCGCTCGAACGCCGCGACGTCACCAGGACTGGATTCGGTGGAGGCGGAGCTCGAGCAGCTACTTTCCGAAGAGGAAGATTTGAACGATGAGGTCGCCATGGGCTTGATTCGCAACCTTAAGATTCCTCTTCCAAGCTCAACTCCTCCACCCACCGAAAAAGAAGTCCTCTTCCCTGCCTACTTGATCAATCTTGTCACCTCAGAGATGTGGAACAACGGCTTTGTCAAGGAATCCGAGCGTTTCTTGGCCAATGTTATGCAGTCCATTCAGCAGGAAGTCATGCAGCACGACGGGGATGATGCCATCAACCCGGGTGCGTTCTGGTTGTCAAACGTGCATGAAATGCTCTCATTTGTATTCCTGGCCGAGGACTGGTATGAAGCACAGAAGAGTGACAACTACGAGTACGATCGTTTGCTGGAGATTGTGAAGCACGACCTGGAGAGTCTAGAGTTCAACATCTATCACACTTGGATGAAGGTATTGAAAAAGCGGCTGTACAAAATGATCGTCCCAGCCATCATTGAATCTCAGTCTCTCCCGGGTTTCGTTACCAGCGAAACCAATCGATTCCTCGGCAAGTTGTTGCCCTCGAATAACAACCCAGCTTACAGCATGGACAACCTCCTGAGCCTTCTTAATGGTGCCTACAAGGCCATGAAGGCGTTCTACTTGGAAGATACCATCATCTTGCAGACCGTCACGGAACTTCTGCGCCTTGTAGGAGTGACTGCATTTAACGACTTACTTATGCGGCGCAATTTCCTGTCGTGGAAGCGTGGGCTCCAGATCAACTACAACATCACCCGCATCGAAGAATGGTGCAAGAGTCATGATATGCCAGAGGGAACACTGCAGCTGGAACACTTGATGGTATGTCCCTATGATTCCTATGGTGGATTGTCGGTTTAGCTAACCCGACGACTGTAGCAAGCGACCAAGCTTCTTCAGCTTAAGAAGGCGACTTTGAATGATATCGAGATCATCCAAGACATTTGCTGGATGTAAGAGACCTGGGGTGCTGTTTGGCCGGTGACAAATGCTAATCTCATCGCCTAGGCTATCCCCGAATCAAATTCAGAAGCTTCTGAACCAGTACCTCGTTGCCGACTACGAGCAGCCTATCAATGGCGAAATCATGAAAGCCGTTGCCTCACGTGTCACCGAGAAGAGCGATGTGCTCTTACTGACTCCGGTCGATATGGAGGACAGTGGTCCCTACGAAATTGCTGAGCCACGAGTCATCACGGCCCTGGAGACTTATACTCCATCCTGTATGTGAACGACCATTCTTTCTCACTTTTGCATCATCTGACCACTATATATACAGGGCTTCAAACACCGCGACTGAAGCGACTGGCCGAGATTGTGTCAGCGCAGGCGGTAGCGCAACAGGAAAGACTCGATGGAGACAACGGGGCGCTAGAGGAGTAGATCTGTATATTAGACGTGTTTCTTCATCTACTTGTGGATTTATCTGTGAGCTACGGATTACGACTAGTGACATCTCACCACGAATTTATACCTGGGATGGTGCCAGGTTCGATACATTGATGCATGAATCTGTTTTGCAATCGACACTTTCGTAGATTTCTCATTTTTTCCATAGATCATCGGTCCACAGGTTAGTAGAAGCGGTGTACTTTCCGTTCAGTGGACCCGCGCCCTTCATTTCCCTTCTGGTGACTCATCTCCCTTCTGGTCACAATATTCCACTCTTCCAGTGTACAGATCGCCCATAATGACTTTAACAAAGCTGAACTTCATCACGGGAAACAAGAATAAGCTTTCCGAAGTGCGGGCCATTCTCGGAAATGTCGTCGAGGTCGACAGCCAAGAGGTAGACGTCCCGGAGATTCAAGGGTCGATTGAGGACATCGCCAAGGAGAAGGCTCGTCGCGCCTCAGAAGCTGTAGGTTTGAGTCCTTTGATTTTGCAATATTTGCAGAGGCTTATTCGAGTCATATAGATCAATGGCCCGGCCTTGACTGAAGATACAGCGTTGGAGTTCCACGCCCTCAAGGGCCTACCTGGACCGTACATGTGAGAGGAAATCACCTGAAGCAACGAGTGGACTGTACGCTAATTATGTAGTAAATCATTCCTGGAGTCTGTGGGTAATGAAGGCTTAAACAAGATGCTTGATGGGTTCGAGGACCGAACTGCTGAGGCCGTGTGCACCTTTGCCTTCTGTCGGGCCCCAGGAACGGAACCTCTTATCTTCCAAGGGCGGACTCAGGTGAGTTGTCCATGGCATATATTTTACGAATTGCATCCTCATGGGTGTATATAGGGCACTATTGTGCGGCCTCGAGGCCCAACCAATTTTGGTAAGTTATAACCCAAGGATAGGTCGAACTAGTCTAATTGAGCTGTAGGCTGGGATCCCATTTTCGAGTACGAAGGCAAGACATACGCCGAGATGGATAAAGAGGCCAAGGTAAGAGATCACAAGCCCACTTGTACCCCCATGGCCTTCCATGTCTCAATTCTAATACACTTCGACCAGAACGTGATTTCTCACCGATACAAGGCGCTGGTGAAGCTCCAGCAATGGCTGGCGGAGGGCCAACAGTGAGAACGAAGGACCATGGGGTATATGCAGATGATCTAGAAGGAAGGTCGTAGATGAGAACAAGACAAGCATTATTTCCACCCTGGATGCACCTCAATTCACTCGGCGCCATGCTGTTTCTTCCAGTTATCGACCCACTGGGCCACTCTGGCGCAGTTGTTGTCGACGTCACCATCCTCTTCGCTATTCAATTCCACCACAATTTCCTCGTCAAATGCCTCGCGGGCCTCTTCAAGAAGGACACCAAAGATCTCCGCGTCCAAGTTTTCCTGCAGCTTTTCTTCGTGATAACCCCTAGAACAGAGCCTTTAGAATTGATTATTCATGCAGTTCTCAGATTGAAGCATACCGGGAGGCAAGACGGTCGTAGTGAACGGCGGTCGAGGGACAGCGGAGGACCACAACGAGATCAATCCACGACTTGGGGAAGAGATCACAGGCGTGCCAGTCAATCAAGTACCCGCCCTGCAAGACTTCATCTTCAATTGCATCCAATAACTAGAATAAGAAGTTTATGAGTATTCATCTCGCGCAACAATGATTGATTCAGCCCCGCATCGCAGAACCCCGCGACGAGAGAAAAGCCGTTGAGGTTAAGCGAAAGAAGTGAAATTGCAATCGCAGAGCAATGGTTCACTATTCAGGACGACAAAAAGGTACATACCTTATCCTCATCAACAACCCAGCTCTTCCGCTCCTCATCGTATGTTTCGTAGCAGTCGCGGTCCTTGGCAACCTGATTCACGGACAGATGCTTCAAGCCGATCTCCTGCGCCAGCTGCTCGCAGTGCACGGTCTTGCCCACCCCAGGGGTGCCGGTGACGATCACATTCGGAGAGGTTCTCATCCTTTATGGCATTGACTGGAAGTAATGGAGGGGAATGAGAGAGAATATGATTTGCGATGGAAATAAATTCGGATCAACCGTGACCCCGCTTATCTTATCGTGAATCTACGGGGCTAAATATTCAATGTATAGTACTCAAGTTCAATGAGCCGAGGATATTTGTTACAGATGGATCATAAATTTATCACTAACCCGATAATGCAGATGGTATGAGAAACTATGGATTGGTATTTGAAGCCGCGTCGGTGGGACATAACCTATGGTATGTCAGTTGATAAGCCAGCCGAGAAAAATTCAAAGAAAGACTGACTTGAGCAATTCAAACATTTTATACTTCTGGAGATAAGATGCGCCTCTTCGGTACGCTTTGAGTAACCGACCAGGGTTTTTGGATTGGGCAGACGTTCCAATGAGGCGAAGCATGGCGGGTGAGGTCTTGAACATAGGGTCAAATACCAGTAGATTGGCACTGCCGTTGTCACGAATTTCAAATCCAATGATCGTCATGGAATGTCCTGTTAATGTCAGACGACGCAAATCATTGGAAGAGAAACAGACCCACCATGATGTTGAAAATAAATGGGAGGCAAATCTGTTTTATACACTCTCTTTTCATCTTCTAGAGTACAGGCTGACCGAAAGTAGGCGGCGACATCCATGTACAAAGAGTCATAGGCTCGCAAATTGCTATTCTCACTCAAGCTGCTGGCATCGCATCTTTATTTGTCATATCAGTGGCTTTCCCAATGTGGTGGAATTTGGACCTAAACTTACGGGATTCCAAGACTCATGAATAATGCTTGTGCCTGATTGTACTGTTAGTAAATCTTGACTCAAATTAATTCCATATCTTACCTCTGGTGTCCCGATGAATTTTCGTGTGCCTCGAATGCCTCCAGTCTCCGTTCTTCCTGTACTGTTGAATCCCTTGTCCCAGGCGAGCTCGATTTTGTCTTGTAGCTCCAGAATGGTGGGAATACCATGCATAAAGTTCTCATGACCTGGGCTTTGAGATTTCCTGAGATAAGACACCAACATCTGAATGTTCCGGTACCCACAGAACCCGCCCTCACGAGGCATTTTGCAGACATGGCGGACCTTGGGAGAACACAGAAAAGCCCGCTGAACGGAGCTATCCTGCTCACAAAGTTTTGCAATAGTGGGAATCAGATGATCTGTCTCATTTTCCACTGTTGTATACCGACTTAGCCTGCCGTCCGCTGTGATCTGGGTCTGTTTCGAGGTGCGACCACCCTTCTCTAGCATCTTCTTCAGCCATGAGGGCATCTTCTTCTCATGGGCATGAGGGCCTAGTTCTGAGTGCTAATTGTGCAAGTTAGTTTACATTTTCACGAGGGGAAATATACGTCTTCATCGATGAGAGCATACCCCCAATCGCCTTGCACCGTCTGGGCCCACTGTTCTTGAGGAACTACGCGCATGATCTGTCTTGGAGGAACTGGGTTGTGCAAAGTCCCAATCCGGGCCTCGTTTCCCCCCTTTCCTCGCGGTCATTCGACCGAAGGAGTCTTCTGGGTCGGAGGAGATATCATGGTCACTCAAGCCTGATTCTGCATCCAACGGTGACTGGGCTGATCCACACTCATCCAGCGCAATACCTTCTGCAACGTGAAGATCTAGATGAGTGGACAGCTCGGTGGTGGTGACTATTTCCCCACATCCATGAGGACAGTCTACATACTTGTCTGATTCTTCAGAGTTCGGTTGTGGAGATGGACTTGGTCCACTGAGAGAGTGCGGGACTGGCTCCTGGGTTCCATTTTCTGGATGGCAATATTCAATATGCTCTGCCACAAAGTTTGCATCGCAATCAGAGAAGGGGCAGAAAGGACAGCACGGGTGAGAAGGATCCATGACCCGGTTCACTCAGCCGATTTGGGTGGATTGGGTAGGAATTGGTAAATGACCTTTCAACAAAACTCTGACATTGAAGTCTGGAGAAAATAGTAGAGGAATGAGTAGACTTGGACCATTTATTTCAGGAATAGCGCTATCCACAACATGTAGAGTTCAGATTCATGCCTGACAATTTACAACTGTGGCTGAGGGTGGCGTGACCCACTTTCTCTTCCGTACAGAAAAGTGCAGATTTTGACATCCTGAATGTATCATGAGTGCTCAATTATGACTTATTAAAAATGAATTATGAACCATGGATACTATCATTAAGACCAACTATAAGGCAATTCCACAGTAAAATAGGGAACTAGAATAATCAACTCTGCATAGGTAAGATCGAAGTGACAGGTAGTAATCACCTTAAAAATTCATTCCTGTAAAGCTTGAGAGATCCATGACCCCTTTCTTACCCAAATATATCAAAGTGATCATATCAATATAGAAGTGTTCTTGTTGTGAAATATTAACCATGGAGTATGTGAGCCTAATCTGAGATTTTAGCGGGGCATAGATCTATTAGATAAGCATGAGTGAGTCATCAATTCCTCGAATGCTGTAATGCGGTAATGCTAAGTCTTAAAAGTCCGCATGGGGTGGATCTATGAAAACAATTACCTTGTATACTTGACCTAAATAACCAAATCCATGAACTACTTTCGAACAACGTCATTGCCCTGGATGGCGTGATTTACATAAAAACCTACTTTGATTGGCTCTTCCGCCTCCGACATCGTTCTGGCTGAAAGTAGAAGGCGGAAGAAAGCCCAATTGAACCTTTTGAGTCATTGCTTTCGGGGCAAAAAAGGAGAAAAAAAAAGTTAATGCCGCATGTGGCCCACTTCCCTCCGCTTTCGCTTTCCCTCTTTCCCCTCCATCCTTTCTATGTTGACCTCGCTTTCTTTGGGTTGATTCCGCTATGGCTTCCCTCAATTCAGACCTTCCGGCTGTATCGGCTTTGCACAGCAACTGGGTTGTGCAAAAGTTTGGTGGTACCAGTGTTGGCAAATTTGCGCTAAATATTATTGAGCAGGTCATTCAGTATGCTCCTCCGATCGACTATCGGTACACACGATACCACTGCAAAAGGACACAATGCTAACAAGAGTCATAGACCTAGTCTGCTAGAAAATCGAGTCGCGGTCGTCTGCTCAGCGAGGAGCAGCTCGACCAAAGCCGAGGGCACCACGAACCGGTGAGTCACCATTGATTGACTGAAAAGCGAGGAGGACCGAGGCCCTCCCATAACAAGCAGTGAATAGAGTCAAAGGACTAATCCTTTACTTGGTTAGGCTTTTACGGGCCGCCCGAGACGCCGAGAAATCACAGTCCCGGCAATATGAATCCCTCGTCGAGGCTGTCCGCTTGGAGCACGTGCAAGTGGCCCAAGAGCAATTGAAGTCAGTGGAGCTCAAAGAGCAAGTTATAGCAGACATGAATGGAGAATGTGAGCGGGTCCTCAAGGTCCTCGAGGCTGCACAAACGCTGGGCGAGATCAGTGCTCGCTGCGTGGACAAGGTCATGAGCACTGGTGAGAAACTCAGCTGTCGGTTGATGGCTGCATTTCTGCAGGATCGCGGTATTGACTCACAGTATGTGGATCTGGCCGATGTGATTGATTTCCCTATTGGCAGCCAGGGTTTGGACCAGGACTTTTATAACAGCCTAGCCGCGAACCTGGGCAAGAAGATCGAAGCCTGTGGACATCGAGTTCCTGTGCTGACCGGGTACTTTGGTACCATCCCCGGAGGCCTGCTGGATCAGGTGGGCCGTGGTTACACGGACTTGTGCGCTGCTCTCGTGGCTGTTGGAACCCATGCGAAGGAACTCCAGGTTTGGAAGGAAGTGGATGGCATCTTCACAGCGGACCCTCGAAAGGTGCCCACAGCGCGCCTCCTTCCAGCCATCACCCCGGCGGAAGCAGCAGAATTGACCTTCTATGGATCTGAGGTCATCCACCCCTTCACCATGGAGCAAGTCATCCGGGCCAAGATCCCCATCCGCATTAAGAACGTGATGAATCCCAAGAACCGTGGCACCGTCATCTACCCAGACTCCGCCGCGGAACTCGACCGACACACACCGGGCCATGACCCGCGTTTGTTCCGGACCCGGAGTGCCAGCTTGATGCAGAAGCCGAAGCGACCGACCGCGGTGACCATCAAGCACAAGATCCTGGTAATCAATGTGCATTCGAACAAGCGGTCTCTGTCGCATGGCTTCTTTGCAGGCATTTTTTCCGTGTTGGACAAGTGGCGTCTGTCAATTGACCTAATCTCCACCAGCGAGGTCCACGTGTCCATGGCACTCCATTCCGAGATGCCCCTGTTGAATGGAAACGGACGGGATGATTACCAGGTCATTGACGATGACCTGAAGGGAGCCCTGAATGATCTGAGCAAGTATGGCATGGTGGACATCATCCCCGAGATGGCTATTCTCAGTCTAGTCGGCAAACAGATGAAGAATATGATCGGAGTGGCCGGCCGTATGTTCACTACGTTGGGCGAGAACAACGTGAATATTGAAATGATCTCGCAAGGTGAGTCAATGATCGATGCCCCTCACATTGTGTGACCCTTGAAACTAACACGCTTCCTCCCCCCCTGCAGGTGCAAGTGAAATCAACATCTCGTGCGTCATCGAGGAACGCGACGCCGACCGCGCCCTCAACATTATCCACACCAGCATGTTCACCTTCCTGGAATAAACCTTTTCACGATCACAGAGTGCGTTGTCATTTGAGATATCCCCATTCCGGTTTTTTCCTCTTTGTTTGCGTGGTTTCTTTGATATAGAAAAAAGTTGTCATACATCCCCTTTTGTCTGATCTAACTCCTATCTACATGGATATGGAGATGGAAAATGATATGGGCTTGAGCATATTTCTTTTTCCCTCATGAATGTTTTGGATTATATTTGCAGCATGGGCTTGGCGTTCTTATAGAGGTGTTTCATGATCGAGGAATAGATTGATCTCATTTTGTGGTGCAGGGCTTTGTACATAAAAATCTGTTTGATGCCTGCAAGGGCAGATCAACCGTTCCTGAATGCCGATATAATTATTTAAGTTGTTTCTTTCATGCATCAATTATCAGTCCCTCAAGCCTTATTGGATTTTAGCCAATTGCGCACGGGGGGTTTTAGGACGAATGGCTGGCTAACAAGGGATAACCCGACGTGGCCACCGTCTCAGACGTTACATTTGATCATTCCAGACAATGCCAGATACTTGTTTCTAAATGTGAAAAGCAAATATTCATATGAGATGAGTACATGAACATAAAAAAAGTAACGTATTTACACAGATTCACACGGATATGATTGCAACGTAGAAATTATAGAATTCATAATACTACATCCCTCCAGTGGATCTTATAGTATTTTAGGGCAGGAAAAGAAAGAAAATCCGATCGTCGATCATGAATGCGAGCAAGGGGATCTCCCTGTATTCAGTACAAGTTAGGAACAGTTGTATTGTCATAAAGTTACATGGTATATTACAACAAAACATATTGAAAAACGCGTGACGCGTCGATATATTTTCAATACAGATACAGTATTATAGATAGGCAGTACCAACCTTTCCATCTACATCATCCTTTCCCTCCCCACCTCTTGAGGGTCTTTGGTCTTTGCTTTAAGCCTTGAAACTCTTAGTTAAAACTCCCAGACAAAAGGGTCGTGATTGCCCATATCCTGGATTCATCGGTTTTCCTCTTCCCCCTCTCCCCCACCCCATATTCTATCTACCCATATCACAGTCTACTCTCCATATACTGGGAGTACATCTGAAAAAAAGAAACTCCCCCCCCCCCCCCATTCGATCAAACTGGCTTGTTAGATCAACTTGGATGTTCGTGTCACTTCTGTAACTCTTTCTTCTTCATTCTATCTCCACCCAAGCAGCCCAAGTCTGTTTTGAGGCTCGTGGGGAATTTCCACTTGCCAACTGCCTTTACTGAGCCGTGTTAGCGCTTGGTACTTGGTGGCCCAACATTTACGATCAAGACTAGTCGGGCTGCATTACGGCCTGAGGCTGGCTGATCATACGCTTATTTCGGTCTCCGATTGGCTTAACCCGAAAGTCTCTGCAACCAGTCTCATCACCCGGCGCGTCCGACCCCGTCGGCTCCGCTGTCCCCGGTCTCTATCCTCTGGACCAACGGAAATTCATTGTTTGGGGATTGTTTTCGACGCGTCATAAGGTCCCGATTGGTGACTGGTGACGTTCTGCACCTCTTCTGTCTATCTAGACTATGCGATCGACGCGTCCGGCGCCCATCGCGCACAATTCCTCGGCCCTTGGCCCATCTGCGCACACGTCCGTCAAATCGCAGCCCTGTCTTCAACCTTCACCGCTACCATTACAGCCCATTGAAAACTCATTTCATCGGCTGTCCCGCCCGCACAGGCCATCACCGACCAAAGGCCTGCCCACACAGGGCTCACATCCTGGGCGAAAACTCGGTTTCGTTCCCATCTCTGCTCCGGCCCCTCCCATGTTTACTACCGACTCCCCTACAAAGAAACCACCTTTCTCCTTACACTCGCAACCCTCGATGCCCCAGTCGGCACTCTTCACCACCTTCTCCAGTGTTAATACCGAGTCCAAGGGGAATCATCTTCCCGAGGACCCGTCCAATGGCAGCTTTGCCGACTTCCCAGAACCCTCATATGAATCCAGGCTTCCTATGAAGCGCAGCCTCATGGACGCCGCCCCATTGAAAGAGCGCTCTGTCAAGAAGCAGAAGCGCGAAGACGTGCCACTCCACCATCTGCCCGAGCCACACGACATGCCACCCATCGAGGACGACGGTACGAAGCCACCATATAGCTATGCGACATTGATTGGCATGTCGATTCTGCGCGCTCCCAACCGTCGCCTAACTCTGGCCCAGATCTACAAGTGGATTTCCGACACTTTCTCGTACTACAAAAACAGTGAGCCTGGCTGGCAGAACAGCATCCGTCATAACCTCAGCTTAAACAAGGCCTTCATCAAGCAAGAGCGTCCGAAGGATGACCCGGGCAAGGGCAACTATTGGGCGATTGAGCTGGGGATGGAGTTGCAGTTCTTGAAAGATAAGCAAGTTCGCCGCGCGACAATGTCCAGCATCCCTCTCCCTGCAATCCCACCACGGGATTTGATCCCTCAGTCGCAAAGCGCAAGCACGACTACCTGGATGGTTCCTCCACCACCCATGCAGCAACCGCTTGCACCGAAGGTCTCTTCGCGGAACGAAGACCTGTCATCGGATGCCACTTTGCCTGCCTCTGATCCTGCCTTGCAAGACGACACAGACGAGGGCGTTCACACAAATGCGCACCCAGCTGGTCGCCTGCGCTCATCGCCCCCTGCCATTCGATCATCTCCCCCTATTGCTCCTCCTCGTTTCGCGCGCCAAGGCACCCCGCCAACTCCTACCCACGCTGGTCCCACCCCAGCTTCTCGTCCACGAAAGCGCAAGTCGATCACCATGAATGACAGTGGTTATTTCTCCTCTTTGGAGTCATCCGCCATGAGGCCAAACAAGGCTGGTCACATGCTGACATCTGATTTGGATATTGAGCCACCGCGCATTAAGCGCGGTCGTGCTGAAGAGGAGATTGCGCGAATTCGTAGCTCCTCCCATGACATCAGTCCGGGGCAACCGGCCACGCGCAAGGACCCTAGCACGCTTGTTGGCTCGTCGCCGCTGCGTGGAGGATATGTGAGCATGCTGCCACCGCCGTTGACGCCTGTCATCAAATTCAAAAAACCAGCGAAACCCCCGCCATCAGTCTCCCCCAATACCAATCTTCGAAACCACCGTCGCAAGATCCAACAGATGGTCAACTCACCCATCAAGCATTTGGGCTTGACAGATGAGGACCTGCCATGGAGTCCAGCTTTCAATCTTCACGATGAAAGTTATACCCCACACGACCATTTCCATACAACATTCGATGTCTTCGCCGATTCGGGCCATGAGCTTGTCTCATCGGCCACATTTGGATCCCCTGAGAAGCGTTCGGTCAAGCGTCAGCGGACTGACCATGGCAACGTTGCGCTAACCGACATCACCTCTACTAGCGCGAACAGTCGGATTATTCCACCACTACCTCGCTCAAAGTCAGCTATCTTCCCAGAGTCTCCATCTAAGCTGCCGGAAATCGGCAGACTTGGCGATACCAGCCAGGATGATTTTTTCTCCTTCCATCTCTTTGATGAGAGCAACGATAGCTCCGGGGAGGTTGACGGTGTTGATCTCTTACAGGGATTCCAAAAGATTGGAGGATCCACGAAAGATGATGCACTTAAGCCAAGAGCAATCCACCCACGTCCCCAGATGAGCCACCGCAGCAACACCACTCTATTTTGATGAACATTTTGCATGTTTTGAATATTCGAATTTCCCCTTTGGCTTTGGGTGTAATTAACCCTGTTAGATCCATCCTCCCCTCCACTTCTACTTCTTCTACTTTGGGATCTGGCTTCACCTCTCACCCTCGTGCATTATTGCGTGATGTATTGTTCTGGGCTTTATTTTATTTACCTGCCTGGATTCTCGTTTGTTTGCTTTCTTTTCTCAACCTCTTGAATTTTGCGTTCTGGACCAAGGAGTTGATGCTTTCTGGATATTACCAGGTTTGGGTTGGGTGTTTTCGTATGGGAGTTATTGGGCTGCGTCACGGCGGCTCTGACTGTTCCTTTCACCAGCCCGGGAATGGCCTGGGTACGACCTTAATGACGATGCTAAGATGTACATGAGCAAGCGATGGTTTCACGATTCGGGATTATCGGCGGGATTTGATTATTTTTATGGGATTAGGGAAAATAGGCCTGGAGCTACGGATTAGTTTAGCAAATTTGAAATCTTGATTACTTGTCTACCAAGCTGTCATTGGTATTAGAGGGTATCTGATTGAGTAGATCAACATAAATAAACAAATGCAAGACCCTAAACGCCCACAGACTAGAAAGAATGGATTTCCCCAAAGCCCTCACATAAATGTGACCCGGCGATTATGATGGTTTTAGTCACTGCTTGAGCAGCCCCGACAGCCACAGCCAACACACTGGATTGTCTGTTCCTCTTTAAGCTGAGCTTTGGGCACACGGCAGATGCAGGTTGAATTGAAATTGGTCTCTTTCGTCTGGACACAGCGAAGACAACATAACTATACACAAGTTAGTATTCCGCCAAAGTAAGAATAGTAATAGGCAGGTTATGCAGTCCCATGTATCAGCATGATGTATTAACATACCTTCTCATAACCCTGCTTCTTCCATTTGGCAATCAAGTTCGCATCGGCGTAGTTGTTTTTCAGCAACCAGTCGTAAAGCTGCTTGGATATTGCTTCCTTTTCATAGTAAAGATCGTAAATGTATCGTGAGCCTATCAAAGAAAGGGGGGTATATGTCAGTATTGACTCGCATGTGAGATGGCGCTTGCTTCGTCGGCGGGGGACCCGGAGGGGGAGGGGCAAAAAGGAAGGTCTTGGAGTTTCCACGTACGTTGGTGACTGATCTGGAAGATGGGCCACAAGATCTCGTACTTCTTCTTTCCTTCACTAGGAGCATTCTCAGCATCCTTCATCTTATTGCTGAACTCCAGCAGAGTGTCCTCTATGTCGTCAAAGCCGGCCGGCGGCGGTTTGCGATTGCGAGCAGTACGAATTGGGGGCATGGTGGGGATGTGGAGAGTGATATGGACAAAAAAAGACAAGAAAACGAAGTTCGAGGTACACAGCTCAAGTGTTCAACCCTGACGGAAAGAGAAGAGAAAGAGACAGAGAAAGACGAGAATAAAAGCGAATTTATTAGTCCTTCTCAAACGCCGCAACGGATCGTCGTTTTTGTGCCGTGACACACCGCCTTCGATTTTGCGCGGAGCACTTCAGCTTTGTGAACTTGAACTATCTAATTTCCCCCCCAGCTTCTTCGAATTACCATCTACCATATCTTACGTCTCCACAATCTGCCGAAATGGACCAGCAAATCGACATCTCCAAGCTCAATGAGGCTGATAAGAAGGAGCTAAACCAGATCCTGGTCAACGAGCAGCAGAAGTCCAACATCCAGCAGAGTAAGTGACTCCGAAAGGGTAGCAGATGCCCGGATGGAAAGAGGCTGGATCGCATATCTTAGCTTGACTAACTCTTTAATCTATAGTGGTTCACCAGCTTAACGACGTGTGCTGGAAGAAGTGCATCACTGGCAAGATCTCCTCCAACACCCTCAACAAGACCGAGGAGGCATGTGCACAGAACTGTGTTGACCGGTGGATGGATACCCAGGTCGGTATCCTGAAGCACCTGGAGGCTATGCGCCATTAAAATCGTTTCTTATATTCCTCCGCTTCAATCTCCCTTCCTGGTGCTGTGGTTTCAATCCACCAAGATCATCACCACCTCCATCTCCACCTCCACGATAATTACAACTCAATTGTTCTTGAGTTGATACTTATTTTCCGTGGCTATAACCCTATGGTTGCGATTCTACTTGCCGGTGTATACTCAAAGGGCTCTTTGAGGATTGAGGTACACGGTATGAGACGCCTGTATACTAGAGTCAAAATGAACGAAATCCTGTATATCATTCCTACACACCTGTATTTCTGGCGTAGACTATGTCATTGTTGAAGGTCATCGATACTGCTGCTCGAGTTTAGCATCTAGAGTCGTTTGGAACAGTATATGAGACTTGAAACATGCTTCCAAATAGTCAAACAAGAATAACTATGGGGCATTATGGAGTACACAGTCAATTAAAGAGCATGTACATGGGGAAATTTGCAACTCATCCCAAAGCAGTGGAAGGGAGTACATGAGCACTGGAGTATTTTAGGTATTTAATTATGGGGCGTCATATATTGATTGCTCTATTGCAGTTCCCACCAACCCCAGGCCTGACCCAAAACGCCATCTACTCAGTATGTACCGAGGCAACAAAACTACGTCTAAGCCATCGCAACTACAAAGAATCCATACAAGTCACAGATGATCGTGTCAGAAAGTTCTTTTTTAATCATTCAGCCCTCGTTGCTGTACACACAGCCAAGGAAACTGGCTGGTATAGAGAATCACCGCGGTGGAAAACAAAGTTCGCCCAAACCCAAAGAAATCCCATTCTCGCCCTTAGACGATAGCCAGCTTGGTGGCGGCGATGTCAAGAGCATCGACGTCAGCAGTCAAACGGGCGAAAGCCTTCTTGGAGCCGTCGGGACTGTAGAGAATGAATTAGTAAAGTTCCTCCCCAGCCAAATGATTTCTGATATATGACTTACCGGACCAGGGTATTGACCTTGAGGGTGTCAACATCGTACAGCTTCTTAAGAGCAGCCTTGATCTGGCGCTTGTTGGCCTTGACATCGACGATGAAGACGAGGGTGTTGTTCTCCTCGATCTTCTTCATGGCGCTCTCGGTGTTAAGAGGGTAGAGGATGATCTTGTGGGCGTCGAGGACGGGCTGGTGGGGGATCGACACACGGGGGTACTTGGGAGACCGCGAGAGCTGGAGAGTCTTGGGGCGGTGGAAGGTGGTCGAAGTGCGAACCTTACGGGACTTGTGAAGCTATATTCCCTCGGGATTAGTAAATTGCTTTGATCGAAATCGTAATCGATCTCTCTAGATCGCGGATTTCAAGGACGTACGGAGTTTCCCTTCACGACTGCCTTGGCGGCAGCATTGGCCTTGCCGGCGGTGCCTGTAAAATGCTAGTCAGTTTCTTGGTCTTCATCGTAGTGTGTGCGGTATCGAAAATTTGCGGGAAATCGGTGCGGTCGGAGATTGTGTGGCTCCAGAGCAAAGAGGCGAGAACGACCAGGATTTCTGTCGGAAAGATCGAGTTGTCGATGATTGTTGATATTGCTCGCAATGTTATTCCCTTCATTCCCAGCTCTTGTTGCGCAGCCTCTTGTCTCTCGAGGGAATTTCCGTGCAATATTGAAATATTGAAATTCCTCCCACACAATCTCCAACACACAATCTCGTCGCAAATTCGCAATTGGGGGTTGTTCAAATAAGATGCCACTGGTATCAGAACGTACCTTGCTTGGTAGTAGGGGCCATGGCTGTCGTCCGCTGTCGTGTTGATTGTCGCAGTGTCAAGAGTCGAACAATTCAAAGTGGCTTCGCTAAGCGAAAACCCTACCACACTGTGGGTCAGGTGATTGCTGACTCACTCCCCGACCCGGCATGCTTAGTCATTCTCCGCATTTGAATTTTTTTTATTTTTTATTTTATTTTATTTTTTTTTTTATCGAAATCTTGATACGGAAAAGGATATTGTTAGATGCTTCTTGAAGTCTATTCTGGAGATAATTTGAACTCACTTTCTTTTTTCTCCACTGAATCATGCCTCCCAAGCGTCGCTCTCAGCGTCCGGGTTTACTCTCCAGTACCCGCCCGCCGACAGTCAAATCCAAGCATGCAGCGTTATCAGCCAAGGCCACCCGAACTCTCATCCGCTCCCATCATCAACTTCTGAAAGCAAAAGCTCAGGCAGAAGCGGCGGGTGATGAGGTCCGGGCAAGTAACATTAATGCCCAAATCGAAGCTGCTGGTGGGTTGAAAAGCTACCAGATTGCCAGCAAGCTAGGTCAGTCCGGGGATCGAGGTGGTGACTCCAGTAAGATCCTGGTAGACTGGATCAAGCCGCAACTCAATCAATGGAACAACAGTCTCCCCAAATTACGCGTCCTTGAAGTCGGGGCGTTAAGTACGAAAAATGTCTGTTCCAGGACCTCCGCCTTAGAGGTGACCCGCATCGACCTGAATTCTCAGGAACCGGGTATCTTGAAGCAAGATTTCATGGAACGACCATTGCCGTCTACGGAAATGGAGAGATTCCATATCATTAGTCTTTCATTGGTGCTCAACTATGTACCAGACCCTGTGGGTCGAGGCGATATGCTTAAACGCCTTGTGCACTTCTTCACATCCGAATGTCCCATCTCCTTTCCCCCGACTCTATTCTTCGTTCTTCCGGTGGCATGTGTCGATAACTCACGTTATCTCACTGAGAAAAGACTTCTCGCCATTCTAGAGAGTCTGGGCTTTCAACTCGTACAAAGCAGGCGGACTTCCAAGCTCATCTACCAATTATGGACTCATACCGGTGCCGCCTCACCCCAGTCTTTTAAGAAGGAGATGGTTAACCCAGGCCATAAAAGGAACAATTTCGCTGTTGTTGTGCGCGAAAGCTGATCGCGACAAAAAGAAATGCTCCAAGATCATATACTCCAAACGAATTGACATGCAATTATGCCCCAGAGATCAGTTCGTGGGGCAAAAATACCCAAATAGTTCCCACGACTGCCAAAACTGTCGACGTGATCAGCAGAAACCAGTCCAGGATTCGCTCGCGCCGGCTAATTTCCTTCCCAAAAATCTTCAAATAAAAGGCCAGAGGAAAGATGATGCAGATGGAAAAGCACAGGAAGGACCCAAGGAAGGCCATAATTCTGTCAAAGGCCGGGAATATAACGGAAAGGACGACAATGAGAGCCACGGTGAAGACACGAACTAAAGCTCGAATGATCTCTTGAGCTCCCTCTCTGCGTGTGGATGCGGCTCCCACGCCAACTCCACAGATGACTTCAAATGTTGCCACCAGAGGTCGGGCGCTATGTTTTGTCAGTTCTGTGTTGGACATTTGGACCAGGAACCCAACTCACTTCAGTGGCACCTTGCTTAGGGGGATGATTGACACAAAAATAATAATACAAACGGACAAGGCTTGGGGGTAGGCATCCTCGCTGAGGATGTTCGCAGTGACTTCATCGCGAACAATGTCACCAAACATAAGCCAGCCGATGATGGCCATGGAACAGTCCAGCGAACCCTGTCAATATTGTCAGCATCTTTCTAGTATTTCGCTCTACATCAGGACTCCCTACTGTGAATAGATATGTGGCCCAGAGACTCTTCCCATATTTCTTGGGATGTCTCATGTCTCGATAAATATTAGGAAAGACACCATGTCCGCCCCAGGGTGCTATGATTTTGTCAGCTATTTTTTTTCTCTTTCTGTTTGTGCACAGATCCGCTCTTACACATAATAAGGCCAAAACTCAAGGGCAGAGTGGCCCAATTCTCGGGGAAGAGAAACGTGCTTGCAGGTTGTTGTAGAGAGCCAGGGGCATCTGGCTTGATTAAGCCATCCACAAAGATCAGAATCACGACTGAAGAAGGTCAGTTCTGGATTTTGATCGATCTTGACTTTCTGTTGCTCGAGACTCACTTGAGGTGCATGATATGATTCCCAGGATGCTAGTCACGCTAAGGAATCGCAAAGGTAAAAAGTTCAGTGGAACCAACACCATCCCGCACACCATCTTCCATTGGAGAATACTGAGGCCTGGAACCAGAGCATATAAGCTATCAGCAAACAGCACAACCAGGGCCACGCATGCTCCCAGCAACTCCAGGCAGAAGAGGAAACTAGTAATGAGACGAGCGTTCTGTCCAAAGCTAATGTAAGCAAGATCGGCATACGTAACGAGAGACCGATCCACGTCCAGACACTTGGCCAAGATCTTGGCCGTATAGGAAGTGGTTCCAGCCGAGTAAACAAGAAACAGTAGACCAAGCAGCCACCCCGCGTATTTCATGGCGAGCGGGAGACTCAACAATCCAATGCCGATCAGCACATTGACCGAGTTGAAGACAGTCTGTGGCACGGTCGATTGGCCAATGACAATTTCTTCATGTATACCGTTTTCATGCTCCACGTGCTTTAGAAGCAGAGGTTCTCGGCCAGGGTCTTCCGAGCCATCTCCATGGGCCAGGTACTCACGATGAAACTGAATAGCATTTTGTCTGGCCGACTCACTTACTCGCGACGAGATAGTGCCATAGGAGGTAGCAATGCTTCGATCAAAAGACGATGCAAGAAGACCGGTGGTTGGAAGGCCCCTTCTGGGACTTGCATGCGCCATCGAACCATGCTCCTCCTGTGCGTCGTCATCCGCCTCGTCCTCTGAGAGAAGAGGGCGCTCTATTTCCGACCTGGAACCATAGTTTCCCCCGGTCGCAATGTCGAACTCATCGTCGGAATCTACCGATACAAATGAAGCGCGTCGCGGGAGCACCTGTGGGAAGCAAGCTGCTCTTTGCCATGAGCGAGCGAAGTTGTCGATACTATTCGGGCCACCCGCTTGTCGAAGGCGAGAAAATGAAGATGACCTATAGGGTGAATTAATACGTAGAAACTCTCTTTGCCTTGAATATCAGGGGATGATACCTTTGTCGACCCCAGGTCTCTTCATCGATCGGGTTTCCTCCACCCAGGTGACCGTAGTCGTATGAGCTCGCCGGGAATCTCAAGGATCCCTGATTCTCAGACGCGTCTGCATTCCTGGAAGACATTTGGTTTCCAAACAACGATATTGGGGGAGAGGGAGATCCTGAAGGGGGGGGAGGGATATTTTCTACCCGATTCCCTCTATATATGAGAGAACAAAGCTCCGGGTGAAATTAAATTCCAGTTTTCCTCCCAAAGCGCAAAGATAAGAGCAAAAGGCCAAACAAGACTCGGAGCTAAACGCTGTGGGGTTTAAACGATAAGCTGATAAACACTAAAACTAAGCTAAACCACGTGCAGTGTTAGCGTGCCAGGAAATTAGGGAAACAAAAACGATTGTTAATAATGACGAGTCATGAAAATCCATCCGATATCAACAATTCATACCAACAATCTAGACTTTTATATATACAGTACATAACTTAACATAAGTACCTAGGTACCATGTCGAACCCCAAGCCTCGATCGGGTCTTCGAACCATTCGTCTTACTCAGTATATCTTCGGTATCCAAGCCATCCCCCTGTTAGCCAGTGGTGTCTACACCCTGATCTGGCCAGATGCGGCTGCCAGCATGCCAGATTCACCTTTTCTAGGTGTTAGTAGTGGAACAATCCAGGCAATGAGGTACGCGATAGAATATCAGATATCTTATCAGTACTCTGAGAATTACTTATTCATATATATGGTAGTCTCACGTCTTTAGCTCTGGGAACGTGTCAAGTGGTGGCTACCTGCCAGAACAATATTCCCATCATGATTGCTGCCGTGCCGGGGCGAATGTTAGCTGCCATTGTATTTCACCGCTGTGGTGGACCGTGACGCAAAATGGCACCTTTCGAGGGTTATATGGGGCTGCTCATCGCTTTTGGAGTGTATTGGACGTGGTAGATGACAGGAGGTATCTAACATTAAGGTACATGAGGATACTCTAGATCAACCAAATCTCGTCTAACGTCAGTGATATCAGTTATTAGTTACTTTTCAGCTATATATTATTCAACCCCACGTGACTTGGACTTGGACTCGGGCAATGTACATGTACAAATAACAGAATATTTACTGCGTTGAATGGCTTTTAATTATTGTAATGGTCATACAACTTAGTACGTAATTCATTCTTATACAAAGATCAGTAGGTTTATTTTTGTGAAAACCAATTTTCAAAAACCAAACCGTCAACTGATAATCACTGGACTGTAGCCTTGGAGGTTCCCTCCCGAGAATCCAGTAAATCAGATGATTCTTCAAGAATTTACCTAAGTAACATTAGATGGCAAATTTACATGGGTAAACACCTTGGGTATCTCTCGATATATAAGTAATTTTGTACTAAATACCGGCTCCACCTGCAAATCAAGTACTAATTACTCCGTACTCCGTACCCGGTACAACGTCAGTGCCCTGGGCCTAAAGTGGCTTACCTCAGCCCACCGAACCCCTCGAAACCCCACGGTGCCTGAGGAAATTTGCTGCCGGACTCTACGTCAACCAGCAAGGTTTGTTCCTCCTTTGCCACTTTCTCGTTGACTTCAATTTGTTTGAATCAGCCCCTAATTATCGCCTTGTCTATAGGTGATCACCAGGAACAGGAACTTTTCCTTTGTTCCTTCGGCCCATTTTGAGCCCGGTTAGGCGTCGACAGGCTAAAAGGCCGATACTTTTCCCCCGGTGGTAGTCCACCTTCGCGCCCAAAATGAGTTCCCAACAGCAAGAGAACGATGTGGAGAAGAATATTGAGATCTGGAAGGTGAAGAAGTTGATCAAGCGTTTGGAATCCGCCCGCGGAAATGGAACTTCCATGATTTCGCTCATTATCCGTACGCTACACCCCCCACCCCCCGCGGCGATCCTGTTGAATTTTTGAAAATTTTACAAAGCGCCATGGCCTGACACTCGATATAGCGCCCAAGGATCAGATTTCTCGCGCGGCAAAGATGTTGGCTGAAGAATATGTATGTCGCTATCTTGACCTACCCCGGAAAGCCCACAGTTGTCTAAAGCATGATCCCAGGGTACTGCCTCTAACATCAAGTCCCGAGTCAACCGTCTCTCCGTCTTGTCTGCCATTACATCTACCCAACAGCGTCTAAAGCTGTACAACAAGGTCCCCCCCAATGGACTCGTTGTCTACTGTGGTGAAATTATCACCTCGGAAGGAAAGGAGCGCAAGATCAACATCGACTTCGAGCCCTTCAAGCCTATCAACACCTCCCTCTACCTCTGTGACAACAAGTTCCACACTGAGGCTCTGAGTGAGCTGCTGGAGTCGGACTCCAAGTTCGGTTTCATCATCATGGACGGTAACGGTGCCCTCTTCGGTACCTTGAGCGGTAACACTCGCGAAATTCTTCAGCGTTTGTCCGTCGACTTGCCCAAGAAGCACGTAAGTTTTGGCTCCTGATCATTTAAATTCATCTTCATTCCCGCTGACTGCTCTCCAGGGACGTGGTGGTCAATCCGCGCTGCGTTTCGCTCGTCTGCGTGAGGAAAAGCGCCATAACTACGTGCGCAAGATCGCCGAGTTGGCTGTCCAGAACTACATCACCAACGACAAAGTCAATGTTGCTGGTATCGTTCTGGCCGGTTCCGCCGATTTCAAGAACGATCTCAATCAGTCCGACCTGTTCGACCAACGTCTCCAGGCCAAGGTCATCAAAGTGGTTGACGTGTCTTACGGAGGTGAGAACGGTTTCAACCAGGCGATCGAGCTTTCCGGGGAGACCCTTAGCAACGTCAAGTTCATCCAAGAGAAGAAGTTGATTTCCAAGTACTTCGAGGAGATCAGCCAAGACACGGGCAAGATCTGTTACGGTGTCGAGGATACTCTCAAGGCTATGGAACTTGGCGCAGCCGAGACTCTCATTGTCTTTGAGAACTTGGATGTCACCCGATACACGCTGAAGACTTCTGCTGGTGATGAAGTGATTGTTAACGCTACTAAGGCCCAGGAGGCCAACAACCGGGAGCTCTTCCAGGACAAGGAGACTGGCGCCGAGATGGAAGTTATCGAGTCCACCACCTTCATTGAATGGCTTGCCGAGTCCTACAAGGACTTTGGTGCCACCCTGGAGTTTGTCTCGGACCGTTCTGGTGAAGGAAACCAGTTCGTCAAGGGCTTTGGTGGTATTGGAGCCCTTCTCCGATACAACGTGAACTTTGAACAACTTGCCGATTACAGCGATGATGATGAGTTTTACGATGGTATGTGTTCATGAGCCCAAAAATTTCGTTTAGTAACTAATATTTCTCAGATTGACGGTTGAGCGCCCTCGCAGAGAGCGAGGATGAACGGCCAGAAGCTCCCTCGGCGAGTGTTCTGACGGCTCGCCCCGTGGATCATGAAGGCGGCTCCGTGACTGAAAGCCAGGCACCCGCAAAGGATCTCTTCGAGACGCCTGCTCCAAGCCTCATGAAGCTGCTTAGAGGTTCGGGACACTCTAGACTTTGAAGCTATTCTCGCACTAATAATACTCATGCAGGTTCATCCAAGCTCCGTGACATGTTCACACGGATTATCTCAGTAACAGAGATGAACTAAGGTGTAAATTGCAATTTAAAAGTTGGACGCGATTCTCTGAAATATTCAGTACCCTATTGCCGCCTGCCACTGTGTAGGCGAGGCGGGGCATTGTTTCTTTGCGACTCTGTTCGTCAAGTGGCTTGCTCTGCTTCGCTCTTTTATGTTCCTCGCACTCGCTACAGTCTGAAAATACATTGGAGAGGTTCGCTATCCTGCTTTTTTTGGATATATATCTTCCTCTCTCGCCTGAAGTAACCTAAATACCCTAAATATCTATGACTACAACCCTTTATATCGTCACCGGGATCATTGCCCCCGCAGATGATCCCAAAATCAATATATGAATACAGTCATATCTTAGGCAGTCTGTGCACTCAGCTGATCTTTCCACGTCCCTAGATCCCGACATGACTCAGTAACTTTTTGTAGATCTTGCAATGCCTTCACAACCGCATCCTTGTTTTCCTCTGTTGGCGTTTGTCCACACTCCACAAAGAAAATATATTGCCAAGCCTGTTTCAAACTGGGCCTGGTATTTATAGTGGTGAGGTTCAGCCCATGGTTCTTGAAAATCAGAAGCGCATTTGCCAATGCACCCGGCGAGGAATGATCAATGGAGAACGAGATCAACGTCTTGTGCGTGTTCTCATGAACCGGTCGTTCCACCGAAGTAGGCGCCTTAGGCTGCTCTAAATCAAACTCAGCCGTCCGTTGAGAAAGAATGTTCCTCAAGATGAGGAAACGAGTTGTGTTATCAGCTCGATCTTCAATATTCTCCTTCAATACATCGACACCGTGGAACTCCGCCGCGAATCGGCTGGCAATGGCTGCGGTCTTCTCCGTCGGCTCCTTGGAGACAATCTCCGCCCCCTTGGAGGTTGAAGAGACATCCTGTCGTTCCACACCCTTGAAATATTGAGAGAGGAATTTCTCGCATTGACCCCAGGCCTGGGGGTGTGTGTATAGTTTGGTGATTGACCCGTCATATGCCGGCCAACCGGAGGGATGTGAGCCCTTGTGAACCAATAAGCAGTGGTGGACGGTCAAATAGTACTCGCCGCATACTTTCACGTCTTTATATTGATCATTGCGGTCGGCGAGAAGGTCGAGAGTCTGAACAACGGAGCCATTGGTTGAGTTTTCGCAAGGGATCACTGCGTAGTCGGCTTCTTGATTTTGAACGGCGGCAAAGGCTTCAGCGAAGGATAGGTAGGGAAGCAATGAAGCCGAGAGTTTACCGAAGGCTTCGGATGTTGCCTTGACACAGGAATTAGCTTGTGTGAAATTATTTGCGAAATAATCCCACTTATGCGGGGTAGGCATACCTGGTGAGAGAAAGAGGCTAGCGGGCCGAGAAAAGCCACCCTTAAGCGAGCCATTGAGATTGATGTTTCTGGGGAAGTTGCGATGGATTTTCTCTTTAAAAGACACTACAGCATCCCTAGTTGAAGGTGATGGTGCGGTGCTCGGAAGGGGGGCAGGCAACTGTGGGTATGGACGCGGTGTGGATCTCGGAGGGTGATTTTGGTAGGGGACGCTTCCTGGATATTGGAAGTATGCTGATATATGCTAATATTTTGAACTGAAGGGACTGAGATTCAAAAGTTGTTGGAAGATGGCGAACTGCGCAGATCTCCCCAAAAGGCGGTCTAGATTAAGTGTATTCAGACTTTATTACGAAGTTAATAGACGCTTTTAATCTTGATATGCCTTGATTATCTGGCAAATTTACTAAATAGGATTAGCTCGAATCAATTTCTAATTGCTTTCCTTTTGGTCTCAAGTGCTACATATCTAGGTTGTACTAGCGAAAATAGGGAGAGAGAACAGAGACGAGAGAGATGATAGAATTAGCGAGGATTAATATGTAGGGAGCAAATCTAAAGTTCTGAGCATTTGTAATTAATACGTATTATATATACACACCAAGGTACACACCAACATTGCCCTTGTGACCTAGTCAAATTTCTTCTTCCTCTCCAAGCTTGAGGCCTTTACAACCAAATATTCGCAGTCAGAATACAAGATCAAAGAAAAGAGCAGATAATCAATTTGATATCTACCTGGACTATCAAGTAATAGCAATTCGTCAATAAGTCGAGCGGTGTGGACCACCCGCAAAACAAACAAGGCAAACCGAGACTTCACAGTGATCAATGTTATCATGACCTTGCCTGTCAATGTGAAAGCCCGCGTGTCCATGAATTGGAGTTCTATGCAGTGCTTGCTCTCTCGAGCAGTACCGGGGCGAGCGTACTCCTCGCTCTCAGAACGCCTGCACCATGACCTGACCACGAGAAAGCTCCCATTGACATTCGACTATCTACACCCTCAGCAATCTTACCTGTTGACACTCTCACTTCAAGGCCTCCTCCCACAGCCCCGCTGTCGCAATGCATCACCAAACCTCCCTTCCATCAAAAACCCATCCCCGCTGCCAGTCGGTCATCACTTGGTCTACTTTCCACCGCAAGTGACACTGTCGCAGTTGGTCCCGGACGGCTGTGATGTCCTTCACACACCAGGCGATCCTTTCAACCGTCGCATGTGGGCAGGTGGTAAGGCACGATTTCCGACTCCTGGACCGCTGCTGGATGGCAGCCGGGCTGTCTGTATCGAATCCATCCGCAACGTGACCGTCAAAGGACGCGAAGGAGACGAGAAAGTAATCGTCACGATTGAGCGACGGGTTGGTACCGCCCCAGAAGGAGAATCAGAAGAAAGCACCTGGAGTCGGATATGGATGGAGAATGAAGCAGACCTGGGGGACTCGTCGCTGATTGAGAATCGAGATCTCATCTTCATGCGGCCCAAGACCGCTGAGCAAATTGCCTTGGACCGGGAGCAGTTTGTGAAACCGAGTCGCTTTGTTAAGTGTTAGTTTTATATCTGCACCGGGTAATTCGTGCAAACATGAGAGACGAAAAGCTTACAATTAGTGAACAGCTCCTTCCGATGCCGTATTCCGCCATTCGATATTACCCACCAAAGCGTTACTCTTCCGCTTTTCGGCACTCACATTTAATGCACACTCAATACACTTGGACAAAGACTACACACAGAACCAGGAAGGGTTCCGAAACCTACTGGTCCATGGTCCCTTGACCTTAACATTGCTTGTGAGTGTGCTACAAAGCCAACTTCACAATCTGAAGTCTCGGATTGAACATATTGAATATAAGAATCTCGCACCTTTGTATGTGGAGGAGGAACTGACGGTCTGTGGCAAACCCAAAAATGATGGTGCTTGGGATGTCTGGATTGAGGGTCCTGGAGGTAATCTGGCTGTTCGAGGTACTGCCAGGACTTGCCAAATTTAGCATCCTTTATTTGTATATGCAATGGAGCCGTGGGGCTTGTGAATAAGTTCCGCTTATATTGCATCCCTCACTATACCGAACCCATATATAATGCCAAGATTTCGGATACCGGATAAACAGACCTGCCGGACTTTTGCACACGTCTTTTAAAAGCTTGCACCCGTGTCTTCTTTCCTTCTCTTTTTTCTTCATCCTTTCTTTTCCCATTCAATGGCATAGTTGGGTTTTTGACAGCTTAGCTTTTCCTTTATGTTTATTGGCTCGCCATGGATCAATTTCAGGCAGCCTTCTGGGCAGCACCTCCGGTGACTCGGTATGCTGCATTGTCATTCCACCTCGGTGGACCTGTTGACTGACTTGTCTAAAGCACAATCACAGCGTTGACTCTGGTTCAGTCCGTCCTCGTCCATAGCGGCTTGGTCAGTTGGTATTATGCTATCTTCTGGCCAGGCAGAATTTTCAAGCTGCTTCCGGAGATCTGGCGTCTTGCCACTCCATTTTTACTAACTGGTGGAGGGCTCAGCTTTATCTTTGACCTCTATTTCAGTATGATGCCTCGGTATTGCATTGGCCTTGGGCCCTGCTAACCTTGCTGCAGTGTACCACTATGGCAGCGAGCTGGAGGCCAACTCGCCTCGGTTCAGCCAGCCTGGAGATTTCTTCATCTACTTGGTCTTTGTAGCATCCACTATCATGGTAAGTGGCTCGCTTGAATCAGAGTCATGTTTCATTTTTCATTTCATCACCTCCCAATCTGCCCGCCCAGTCAAACAAATGGCTGTATCGGTTCCTGAACGTGAGGAAGATTACCCCTGCATCCCGTGCAGCACCGCAAAGAATTCGCAAAATAACTTGGTGCTGCATGGGGTGTGGGATTGGTGGGATTGCCTAAGATAGCCGTCGTGATTCTATAAGTTCATGCCGGCGGTTCGGGTGCCCTACATTCTACATACATCAGTTATCATTCATTCCCAAATATCATTATCATTTGTCCAACTCCGTTCTCGTGGTAGCCCAAATATGTTCCAAAATTGCTAACCTTGCCCAAGCTTACTGCAGGCTACTTGCTAAGCGCGAGGATTTTTACTTCTGGTGAGCTTTCTGCCTGCATATGAGACAAGGCAAAGACTAAGATTTGTGTAGCGTTGATCATGGCTTTCATTTACACCTATGCCCAGGAAAATCGAGGCAAGAGGACCAAGCTGTGGTTTGTTCAGATTCCCATGGAATACCTTCCGTGGGCGATACTATTGATCGGCTTGGTCATAGGTGGATGGCCTTCAGCCTTGCATGATCTTACCGGCATTGTGGCTGCTCATCTTTATGACTTCCTCACCCGCATCTACCCAACATTTGGTGGTGGCCGAAACTACCTCGTCACACCTGAAGCAGTGCAGCGCTTTTTCGCCAGGCACACTTCAAATCTTGGTTACCGTGCATATGGCACTGCTTTCAGACCATCAGCATCCTCCCAGCCATCCCAGTCAGCATCTCGGGGCTGGACCTCCTCCATCCAGAACCCATGGAGTGGCCGAGGCGCGGGCCGAAGACTTGGTGGTGATTGACCGCATATTACGATCAACTTTAAATGCTCAGAATATCCACGGGGTTAAAGGGGGATAGTCTTGCATCATTCCCGGCGTTTCAATATGGCTAGTAATGAATTTGACTGAGAAGTTCATTCCTTGTGACGTTTAAATTGATTTAGCATCTATTCAATACTATCATGCATTCAAAGAATATATTAGCAGACCATGAACTTCCAGAAGGATAATCCAAAGTAGACAACAAGCCCTAAACCCCTTAAAGACCCCAAGCCACTTATTTAATCAGTTTCTCTGCTTCTAACTATGGGAATGAGAATTTCATCCGAAGGCCAGTCACGTGATCCACCACGGGCGCTAAACTAAAACGGGATATGGAGCTGCCGCACTCGCAAAATTTCCTCGAGCAAATTTTTGGTCTGTAACAGCAACACCACCGACACCACCGACACCATGGCGAACCAGGAGATGGACTACGCCATTAAGCCCGAGGCGGTTAGCCCCTCAATTACCGCTGAGGAATGGCCTCTTTTGCTCAAGAACTACGATAAGTGTATGTTTCACGAGGGAGAAGAAAAAAAACTTCATCTGCGATCCTTGAACCATTGGCTAACCATGTCAATTTATAGTGCTTGTTCGCACCGGACACTTCACTCCTATCCCTGCTGGTGCCTCTCCCCTTAAGCGTGATCTTAAGTCCTACATCAGCTCCGGTGTTATCAACCTCGACAAGCCGTCGAACCCTTCTAGTCACGAGGTCGTGGCTTGGATGAAGCGGATTCTCAGGTCAGTCCTCCTCACCACCTTGCCCCTCAATCCTTCACATGAATTTCCAATAAAAGGAAGGAGAACATATTCTAAACGAATTGATTATTTAGATCCGAGAAGACTGGTCACAGTGGTACTCTTGACCCCAAGGTCACTGGTTGCTTGATTGTCTGCATTGACCGTGCTACCCGTCTGGTCAAGTCCCAGCAGGGTGCCGGCAAGGAGTATGTCTGTGTCATCCGTTTGCACGAGAAGATCCCCGGTGGTGAGGCGCAGTTCCGCCGCGCTCTTGAGACCCTCACCGGTGCTCTGTTCCAGCGCCCCCCTCTCATTTCGGCCGTCAAGCGTCAGCTCCGTGTCCGTACCATCTACGAGAGCAAGATGTACGAGTTCGACAACGAGCGTCACCTTGGTGTCTTCTGGGTCAGCTGTGAGGCTGGTACCTACATCCGTACCCTTTGCGTTCACTTGGGTCTGCTGTTGGGTGTTGGTGCCCATATGCAGGAGCTGCGTCGTGTCCGCTCTGGAGCTATGAACGAGGAGAGTGGCATGGTTACCCTGCACGATGTCATGGATGCCCAGTGGGTGTACGACAACCAGCGTGACGAGTCCTACCTGCGCAAGGTCATCCGTCCCCTGGAGAGCCTGCTTACCGGCTACAAGCGTATTGTGGTCAAGGATAGCGCTGTCAACGCTGTCTGCTACGGTGCCAAGCTTATGATTCCCGGTCTTCTGCGTTTCGGTTCGTGCCCTTTTGTCTGAACTTGTTCTAAACTGATGCTGATCCATTTATTTGCAGAGTCTGGTATTGAGGTCGACGAGGAGGTTGTCATCATGACCACCAAGGGTGAGGCCATTGCCATTGGTATTGCCCAGATGTCCACCGTGGAGCTTTCAACCTGCGACCACGGTGTTGTCGCCAAGGTCAAGCGTTGCATTATGGAGCGCGACCTGTACCCCCGCCGCTGGGGATTGGGCCCTATCGCCCTCGAGAAGAAGAAGCTCAAGTCTGCTGGCAAGCTCGACGTAAGTCATGTTTTTACATCTATGATGGGTCATAACTAACTTGATACTAGAAATACGGTCGTACCAACGAGGCTACCCCCGCTTCCTGGAAGAAGGAATACAAGGACTACGATGCCGTCGAGGACGTGACTGAGGAGACTTCTGCCAAGGTCGAGGAGCCTGTCAAGACTGAGGAGCCTATCAAGGCCGAGCCCGAGGCCGATGACGACAAGAAGAAGCGCAAGCACGACGGTGAGACCGCCGAGGAGAAGGCTGAGCGCAAGCGCAAGAAGAAGGAGAAGAAGGAAAAGAAGGAGCGTCGGAAGTCCAAGCAGGCAGAGGACAGCGATGACAGCGACTAGATGTCCAGGAAGACACCCTGCTAGTTCGTGGTCTACTTCCTGTACCATATTATTAGGTCTTTTCATTATTTGCTTCCGGAGTCTTTGGGTCAAAAGGGAATGTCGGTTTGAAGATTTATGCGTTCATAGTTGTTGTTACTCCAACCTGTGATGTCCTTGTAAGACTTTTCTTATGAATATTCGTATACACGTTAGCTTCGAGTCAAGTGTCTACTTATACGTTGATACCTTTTTAGATACGTACCTTACAGCTGCACACATGAAAGTATGAAGTTATAACTTTACTAGTATAAGGAGCACATGACGAGATCATTCCACTTTCGGTGTGGAGCTCGTGACCGCCCACTCTCCGCATTTCCCCTCTTAGGACTTTGGAGCTTCAGATCTATTCACACCTATTTCATCAGCAGAATATTTGAGCTTTTGACATTCTGGACATTTACCTGTTCTTCAGAAATGGCTGCTGAGCTCACCTCCACGAAGCTCAACCCTGAGAGCCATCTGATCTTGGTAATGAAGCCTCCAACGTCATTGGGAAGCACCGAACTGATCACAGGATTTGTACAGGACCAACCACTCCTTCGACTGCCTCAAGAACTCGCCCGAAGGAATTTCAAGACTGTACAACGAGCCGTCGAACGAGAAAAGGAATATGTTCTTCCTGCTCTCAAAGAGGCGGCGAATGCTTCCTTATCTAACGCCAATACCCCCGACCAGACACTTGCGGCCCTCGATGCCATGATCACCCGAATGCAAGGCTTGAAGCGAAAAATGGAAAGTCTACAGGAAGAAGAGCGACGGATTCAGACCCAATCCCGAAAACGCATCCAGCACCTTGAGGCCATGCACAAGATACCGAGCTTGGCCGATGTGAAGTACGATCAATGGTCTCGCGTGCGGCTAGATCGATTGTTGGTCGATCATATGCTGCGGTCGGGGTACTCGGAGAGTGCGAAGCAGCTCGCAGAAGAACGTGATATCGAAGGCCTTGTAGATCTGAGTGTGTTCACACAGTGTCAACGGGTTGTCGAGAGTCTCCGCCGAGGAGACACCAAAGAGGCGCTACAATGGTGTGGGGAGAATAAAGCGGCTTTAAAAAAGAGCAACGTTCGTTTAACTTCTTTCCTCCTTTGAACAAGACTAACCGGTTGGTTCTAGCATAACCTCGAATTTGAGCTTAGGTTACAGCAGTACATCGAGATGGTTCGCACACAGGACCGATCGAAGAAGTTGGAGGCTATCTTGCATGCCAGAAAATACTTGACACTTAACCACGCGTCCCAGAATAGTGAAGTCATGCGAGCAGCAGGACTGCTTGTCTTTAACCAGGACACTCGGGCTGAGCCATATAAGGTAAGGCCCGATTTATGAAGTGGGAGAATGCTCACTGACCAGGATACAGACGTTATTTTCCCAAAACAGATGGAAGTTCCTTGCCGACCTCTTCGTGGAGACTCATCATGAGCTTCTTTCACTTCCCTCGCAACCCCTCCTGCACATTGCCCTTTCTGCCGGGTTATCGGCGCTCAAGACGCCCTTGTGCCACTCCGCTTACACGTCATCCAGTTCGAACTCACAGTCTACCATTACATCTGTATGTCCGATCTGTTCTACAGAACTGAATGATCTTGCCCGTAAAATGCCATATGCACACCATTCCAAGAGCTACGTGGAAGGCGATGCAATTGTGCTACCCAACGGTCGAGTCTATGGAAAGGCTCGACTGTTAGGGATTAGCAAGAACCTTGGAGTTGTCGAGACAGGCAAGGTCAAAGACCCAACAACGGGCGAGGTCTTTGACGAAAGTGAGATGAAGAAAGTGTATATTTTGTAATATGTTGTTCCCTGACATATGCAATCTGTTCAGAGCGCTTGCGAAACTCTATATACTTTACTGATGTTTTAGTTCAATATGTATTAATCCAATGATTAAACTTGTAGTCTATTCGCTATCCGAATCATCCTTGGCTCTAGATCTCTTCTTGTCCGACTTGACAGGCTCCTTTTTCACCTCAAAAACATACATACGAGCCTCCCGGTCTTCTCCACGCCATCCACCCCGCCCACCATTCTTTCCTTCAACTTCTCCAAGTGTCCTTGCATGCGAGTATCCCTCATAAGAAGTCCAGGGAAACCGGAAACTAGTAACGACGTGCAATCCCGCATGACGAGCAAGATCTTTGATATTCCACAAAGTATAAGGCTCAGCCTCAAAAAGTGAAACCAATATCTGGCCCGGACCAGTCCTCACCTGCTTCCCAGAACTTTGATCTTCCTCTTCTTCTTCTTCGTCCTCCTCCTCTTCCTCCTCTTCCTCCCCCTCCTCCCACTCATCATCATCCGGATCCACAACATCCGGCGCTAAAGAAAGAAGAGGAACACAAGCCTTGAAGAAACCCACAAGAAGCTCCTGATTCGCTCTAACCTGCCGATTAACATCCGTAGAAAGCCCACCCACATGGGGAAAATTGAAGCAAATCACATCCCAAACTCCAGTATGCACAGGCTTAACTTCCAGCGTGGGTCTAAGCAACTGTCGCACATTCTGTTGTGCTTTCTGGATTTCGTGTAGCTCTTGCTGGATCTTCCAGGCTGGTCGTTTGCGTTCTTTTCGCGGATATCCGGCTTTGAGTTCCTTGCCTCCTCCTCCTGAAGAGCCTAGTTTGCGGGCATCTACAGAGTAGAGGATCTTAGGGCCAGTGGATGACGATTTCTTGGGGGTTCCTTGTTTTTCATCTGTGGATTTGAAGGCTGTTTCTTGCTCCTCTGGCTCTAGCCCCGTCTCTGACTTTGAATCTGGCTCTGAAGTAGATTTGGGCTTCGATTTGGATGTGGGTGCTTGTAGGATATCTTGGATATTCTGCTCCGCTTGTGGGTATTTCCCCAAGAGTGTTTCTCGTGAGTCGTAGCATGTGGCGTATAGCTTGTGACATTTGTATTGTGTTGCCAGGGAACGGGCAAATGAGAAATCACCTGAGATGGTTAGTTTGGAAGTAAATATTGCTTGATAAGACATGATAAGAGACAGCAAATAACAATGTATGACTGAGAGGCAATTGGAATCCAGTATGTAAGAGACGGAACTCACCCTCTCCAACTAATAAAATCCGATCTCCTCTCAAGAAAGGCACAATAGGTCTCTGGTTGGCTTGAAGCGGTCCCTTCTTCTGAGGTGCATCGGTCCCAGCTCCCTTGGTCTTGGGCTTAGATTGTGAAGTAGTCTGTGGTTTAGACGGACCGCGGGCACGAACCGGACCCTTTTGCTTCTTTCGGGGCATTTTATGTATTCGAATGTGCTTTTGCTGAAGAGGGTATATACTCCACAAGTGATGGGTTCGGAGTTAAGAAATTTCGAGTGGGAGTTCAGCCAATCAAAGGCGGTGGTGGGCAGTAATTTACCCACCAGCACCCATGAAATGATATACTATACCAGTAACTACTCGTAGGTATGCTTGATATTAAGTAATTAGTGGTAGTAGTGATTATGTAGAACTGTATAGAAAAACCTTGGAATCTTATTTCAACCACACTCTATTCCAACGACACAGCTATTTACATTGAAGACCAGAAACAAAAAAAAAACAAAACAAAACAGGCTATGCCCTTGCTAAAAGGCAGAAAAGAAAAATTAAAAGTCATACTGCCCAAGTGGCAATCCCTTTTCCCTAGATGACGAAAAAAAAGCCAACACCAAGATCGGACCACAAGAGCACCAAGAGGCTACAATGAAACGTGAATCATAATGTCACATGCAAGAGGGTCCCAATGCCCCCCAATCAGACCAAGGGACTAAAGGGGTTGATGCGGTCCTAGGACTCCGTATCTAGAAAACAATCGTTCATTCTTCTTTATTTTTAAGAGCGCAGTGAGTCACGCATGCTCTGGCTGCTGGCACTGACGAGCGGATTGGAGGTAGGCAGGACGCCGGTCTTGGGCTTGGCGCTCTGCTTGATCTTGGCCACGGCGTAGACAATGCCGGAAAAGAACCCAACGACGATAGCAGACACACTGGGGAATGTGACGGGGGCGTCGAAGAAGATCAGGCCGGACAGGGCGATGGGCAGCTTGTTCAGAGCACCGACCATGGAGTAGGTGGTGGATGAGGTAACACGCACACACCAGGCGGAGGTGTAGGAGATGAAGACAGACGACATGCCGGACAGAATCATGGCGATCCAGATACCGTTGCGGTTGGCCTCGGGGAAGTTGCGGGCGAGGTTAGCGGAAGACCAGTCCTCCGCCAGCAGAGTGAAAACGATCAGGACAGGGATTGACAGCAGATTGTTGTAAAACATGGCTAAATAAAGTTAGAATGAGGGTTGATCAAGCGTAGGGTAAGCAAACATACTGTCAAAGTCCTTGAAGTTGGTCAGCTTGATGCGCTTGCGCATGCCCAGGACGTAGGACGAAGTGCAAAGGCAGTTGATCATCATCCAGACGTAACCGGCGTTCAGGGTCGACACCTTGCTCGAGGTGTCACCGCTGCTCTCCACAGCGTGCTTGATGTCGGCCCAGGCAGCAACAATGGAGCTGAGAACCATCAAACCGAAAGAGAACAGGGTCATGTTAGTGACGGAGCCACCGAACCACAGGACCTCACCGTAGGCGATGAGAATGATGGTCAGGTTCTTGAAAATGGTGTACACGGGGATCGAGAGGAACTGAAGGGCCTTGGAGCCGGTATAGATCATGCCAATCAGCAGCAGAGTAATCGGAAACCCTGTCAGAGAACCAGTCAGTATCTAATTCTTCGTGTGACAACGGAAATAATTGGGGACTAGGGTGGCATCTTACACTTCTTTGCCTCGTCGGTGCTGAAGTCACGGTAGGTAATCAGACCCATAGACTTGCAAGTCTGAATGGCCGCGATACAGACAACAGACTATAGTAAACTCAATCAGCGATTCCAATTCAATATATTGTGTCAGTGGGAGCGATACGTACCTGAACCATAAGGAGCAGAAAGTTGAGGTTAAAGTCCAACCCTGATAGAACATACTTGTTCATAACAGTCATCAGGATGGACGAACCGCAGTAGCACAGAACAGGCAAGATAGGGCTATTGGTCATAGTGCTAGGAGGAGACGGCCGAGGCTGTGGTGGGGGCGCAGCCTCAAATTCCTTATTGCCCTGATCCAGCTTATTCATGTCGACAGTATAGTCGTCGGTCTTCTTGTCTTCGACCATAGCGGGCGGTTTGTGAGGGTCGGAAACCCGGAAAAATAGAAACGAGAGAAATTAGACGGTGATGAGATAGGTATTGAAGAGAGGCAAGTCAAAGAGTGAGGAATCACGGAGCGTATACTACGCGCAAAGGAGGCAACAAGTGACAGAAACAGAACTTTTGGGGTTTTGGCCGGAAGCGGCGCAGGCTTAAGTCAGCAGGGGCTCTCAGGGGAGTCACATGACATTAAATCTTAGTTGATAAGACTCAATTAGGTTTAGCGTGGCTGGTTAGTCAGATTCAATGCAAATAGTCCTTCCTCCGTAGTTCTTAGGGGGAAATTACATTCAATTAATTAAATTACATAAATTTCATAAAGATATCGAAGGATTCGATCAATCCAAAGTTAACACGAATCAAACTTTGCTCTTACATATGCTGATCCCCATATACAATTCTATGCTTTATCAATCCTCCGTCCTCCGTATAGCCAAGATATACCCCAGTGGAGCTGGACGCGAAGATCCTCTAAACCTCCACTTCTCCCTTTTCAGATAATTCAAATCACCCATTCAGGGGACCAACAGTCAACAAACCATCCAATTGACCAATATAAAGGGGAAAAACGAGAGAACCAAAAGACAATCAACCTCGCGAACCTTCTATCTCCACCCCCTCACCCCTCCAAAAAAAATCCACACAATGCCTGTCGATCACCACGATTCAGACGACGAGGCCCTATTCGCATCCCTCGAGAACGAAGACGAAAAAGATGCAACCTACCGCACCCAACGAATTCAACAACTAAACGCCGAACTCGCCGCACAAAAAGACAACCGATCCGCCAATTCGAACGGTGCCACATACACACAAGACGGAAGATACCCCACCCTCAGCAACGATCAAGGCGTACTAGACTTTACGACCTCGACTACACGATGTATTGTTCATTTCGCACATGATGAATTTACGCGGTGCGCGATAATGGACGCACGGCTGGAAGAGCTAGCGGGGAGACATTACGAGGTGAAATTTGCACGGGTGGATGTACGGAACACGCCTTTCCTGGCAGAGAAGTTGAACATCCGTGTCTTGCCTTGTGTGATTGGGTTTAAGGATGGTGTCGGTGTTGAGAGGGTGGTTGGGTTTGAGGGATTAGGTCCAAGAGGGACAGATGGGACAGAGGCAGGGTTTAGTGTGACTGTATTGGAGAAACGATTACTGTACAAGGGGGTTCTGATGCAAGCCAAGTTTTCAGCAGATGATGAGGATGAGGATGAGCACCAGAGTGAGGATGATGGATATGATGTTAGGAAAGGAAGTCGTCTTCGGAAGAAGGCAATCCAAAGTGGGAAGGTTGGACAACGAGGACGATATGATGATGATGACGATGAATGGGATTGAACATATTTGGTCACTGTTTAGCTAGAAAGAAACCAACTGCATTCATCATAGAAGTACAGATACAGACAAAAAAAATATCAACCATAACAAACGCAAAGACCAAACCAAAATTGCTCAAGCTCCCTAAAGTTACAAAATGGAAATATGCCGCGAAGCCGGAAAACCGGAGAGAAAGAAAGCATGGGGAATTCTATACAGCAGAGTTTGTCAACTCAGAAACGTCAAATCAGACGAGAATGAGAATTGGAAACAGGCAAAAAAAAAAGACAAAGAAGACAGAAGCTTTAGATAGCCACGTTCTTCATCTCTCCAAGGACCTCGGAGTCAAGGGTGGATGATTCGGCGGTTTCATCATTCTTCTCAGACTTGTCCTCAGACGGCTTGGACTCAGGGAACCCTTCATTCTCCTTGTTGGAGATTTGTGGGGTGGCCACTTCGAGTAAGTCTTCTGTAGGCTCTTCCTTGCTCTCTTGGGGATCTTCAGAGATCGTAGGTCCCGTCGAACCAGAAGGACCTTCCTCAGTCACTCGGGCAAGAGGACTGGACATACCGAATGGGGTCTTGGGGCTCTGAGCGGGGCCGCGGTTGGGGAAGCGGTTGGGAGATCGGCCTCGTTCCTCAGCGCGAGTTGGGCTGCCGTAGGGGGAGTCCCGGCTGGATCCTTTACCAGTTGCATTTGCACCTCCGTTGGGGCCACGTCGGCGCGGTGGGCGACGGCCGTACTTCTGGTCAACGCGCCACCGGAGAACCTCCATGTATGGCGGCTCGACATTCTGCGATTTGAACTCCTTAAGTTTCATTTCATTGGTCTCCTCGTCCACGATGGTGCGGCCGCTGCAGAGGTCATCGGCGAAGGTGGCCAGGAAAGCTGCCCAAGACCGCGCCACGACGTATTTACAATCATAGTCGCGACCGAAAATGATCACTTGGCCCCATTTACCAGCGGGACCGGGAGCCAGATCGATCGCCAGAAGGTTGCCGCCCCAGTCGCGGGCCAGGGGGATCCAGGCAGGGTGAGCGTAGGCCTTTTGCACGGCACCGGGTGGCTGGGAGTCCTGGCGATCAAGCAGCTCGTTTCGCCATGTCGAGCTGGGCTGAGGGGGAGCGGCGGACGAGCTGGCAGCGGAGCTAGACACAGGAGTCGACATCATGGCGGTACTGAGGAACTCTTCGTTGACGATCTTCCAGTTTTGACGCTCCTGGACAATCTCCTCGCAGTCCAGCAGCATGGAACTGAAGATGATACCAGTAGGCAGACCTCCGCGCTCCTGACCATCATGAATCATCAAAGACTCCCGCAACTCGAGCGGCAGACTGCAATCCAACTCATGTTCCAACTCGTTAATGTCGTTCTGTGTGCATCCCTCGCCCAGGTTATCCAATAATTCCTCGTAGTTGTTTTCCAACCACCGCTCGATCTTCCGCCAGGAGTGAGCGACGGGTGGAGGCGGCGGCGCACCATCGTGGAAACTTTGCATCTGAATCTCTCCACCTTCCTGATCATTAGATCTCCGTTTCGATGCCGAGGATCTCATGCCAGGCGAGTATGGACGGTTGGGGGAACTGGGGTCGGTCGGGGAACCGTTGAATTCGGTGGATTGTGCGGTGGCCAGGCCCTTGGAGGATTCATCATCGTATGGGTTAGTGAGATCTGGGCGAGATTCGATGGCACTGGTAGCAATGGATGTGAGAGGTTCATGTCGGCTTTGGTTGAGAGGGACGTGTCGACCAGTACGGTAGGGAGAATCATGGGAGGCATGCCGGTCATAGGAGGTCATGGTATGCCAGAAGGAACGCCATGTTGAGCCAAATCTGCAGATGCATTAGATTCCAAATTAAGGAGCATTTGATCTGCGGCGGGGGGGTTTAACTAACACATTCGCCATGGTGGGAGGGTTGATGAAGAAGAAGAGAGGGGGAGGGTTTTTTTTCAGGGAAAAGGAAGTTCAAGTCTAATCATGGAGAGAAAGACCCGCAAATCAGTACAAATGATTCTTTCTATTTCTTCCCTATAAATGAAAAGAAAATAATGAGGAGAAAAGTAAAAAAAGGGAAGTTCAATTTCGCTTGATAAAGGTCATAACTTCCCCCCCCCCTGGCCGCATCCAGGTTCCTCAGGCATGCAGATCATGATGTCGATAACTGTTCGCAGAATGTAAAATCTACATTAAACTGAAGACAGTAACTTTCTTTTGCTCATTTCGCTTCATATCGATCTTTCATATTTGATGTTCTATTATGACCTATACTCATCACCCATAGACATCGAACCTCCTCTTCTATTTACTCCGTACTCTGTAACACTCAAGTTCAGCCACCGTGGCGTCTAGACTCCCTAATTAAGCTTCATTACAACTGAGACAAGATCGACGGGGAAAAGTGAACCCCAGGAATATGGAGTATCAGCAGAGGTATGGAGTATACTGTAAAAGGATGACTTCGTAGCCTGTAAATATAGAGCCAAAGTCAATCTCTGTCACCAAAGTATGTAACCAAAAACTTGCAGCAAAACCAGATAAAATTAGAATCCCATCCAATCCAAAGCCAAAAGTGGAGTTTAATAAGTGGCGTTGACCCAGATTAAAGGGGAATATTGCGACGCATAACATTAGACCACGTCAGCCATGGGGTTTTGCACTTGTTTTCAGGTACTATGAAAACATAACCTTGGAAAGCAAAGAACAAAAAGAATCCGCACAATTTGGCTTGGACCCTTATCAAGCAATTCTGGGCTACTGTAGCTTATTAGGATCGGCGGACTAAACCACTTGTTTTCCCAGTGGCTAGAGAGACGGACATTGACCGGTGATTCGACGCTCCGAAACGTGGCTTGGTTGGTCCACTTTTGCCACTTTTGAGGTCATCGTTTCCTGCATGCAGTTCTACAGAGCATAACGTACTCTGCTTCTATACATTGCTCACGAATGCTATTCGCTGGAGCTATAATAATTAAGATTTTAAGAATAAAGTTCAGTAGCAAGCGGAGTTTCACTTAGGAACACTGAAGAGTAGGCAGTATGGAGGCAGTATGGTCGAAAGGTGTATCTACTCTGTACTATACCATGTCTACTAAATTATTGGAACCCAACAAGGAGTGGACGGCATGGAATTCACACCAACGTAGTCACGAAGACCAGAACGAAGGGAAATACTACATAACAGAAAGTGCCAGCCAAGACCTGTCTAAGCAAAGACATAACAAGAGAAGGAAAAAGTAAAAGGAGTGACCATCTGGAGAGATCAATAAAATAATCAAGCAGAGAACGTATTTCAAATCATAGCCATCCTCGGCTGACTATCGCGAAAAACCAACCAGCCACACACCGCACTTGGAAAGATCCTGACTCCGAACGATGCAAATAAAGGCCTCTCTCTCTCTCTCGTTCGACAAGAAAGAAAATTGCCAAGTCACTGTACCGAGAAGCAAGACCCGTGTATCTCAGAAACACCTCAAAACCAAGCACCAATCGCGAGCGAAAGGATTCGGAATACCAAAACGAAGCCACCGAGGGGACCTTGAACCAGTCCAGGTTACCCCTATGAATCAAAGGCAAGAAACGGGCAGAGAAGAATCACAGGTACAAAAATGTCAAAAGGAAAAATAGGCGAGACGTCAAGAAATAATAGTGCAATGAGGGAAAACAACGGAATCAAATGGTATGGACGTCGAGTAATTAAATCCCAAGTAAATTAGGCAAAAGAACTTTGAATTCCTGGTGCAGCATCCAGATTCAAGATGCGCCTGAGATCATCCTCCATCTTCTTGGTATCAACGGGCCTGGAGGGTGACCCGGAGTGGGTGGACATCTGGAAGGCAGCAGTGGCGTATTCAGGCTGGGGAGATATGTAGTTGGTCGGGGGCATAGCAGCCGGCGCTGGTGTATGTCCCATGTGATGATTGCCATATGCACCAGGCGACGGGGCATGGTACTGATTAGGAGGGAGTTCCCGTCTCAGCGGTGACTCCGTGTTGCGAACTGGCGGGCCACTTGCGTAGGGATACGGATACCCGTGGTGGGGCATCTGCATCTGCGGGGAGTATCCCCGGTTGACAGGAGCCGGAGGACCAGAGTTGACTCGAGTGGGGGTTGCATAGGGAGGGATATTGGCGTTAACGTGAGGAGAGGCCCCATAGTGGGCAGGGGATTCGGGAGCCGCAGAGCCCGACGATTTTTGGGGGCGCGGATTAAGGAGAAGATGCTTCAACTCCGCAGTCTTCAGACGTCTCTGCTCGTCACTCTCTGCCGACTGGATAGACGGCGAGCTGGAGGAGCGGAAAGCGGTCATACGATCCTGGTAAGAAGGAGCAAAGGAAGGCCCGATCTTAGAAGCGCGGCCATTCTCTGGGCCCATTTCAAATGCGAACATGCCTCCGGGCGGGTTGGATTGAGCCAATTTCGGTTCGGTTTGCGGGGAGCGCACGCGACTGCTAGCCTCCGGACTGCTCATGGGGTTGGACTGGCGCGCCTGCACAGCAGCCTTGAACAGGAAATCAAGAGGAGTGGGCTTGGGCTCATCAGCCGCAGGCTGCGGGGGACGAGCTCGGGGCTTGGAAGGGGTTGTTTCCACGTCGCCTTCTGTGTCGCCAGTGTCGCTATCAGTCTCAAGGGTCGTAGCTAGGTCCGATTCAGGCAAGGATTTAGAAAAGAAGCTTGGCATTGGCAATGCTGACGGCGCCGGTGATGCATGGAAGGTCGGCCCAGCGTATGCGCTATCCTTGGCATGAGGGGTAACATTTGAGCGAGAAGAGGTGTGTCGATGTCCATTAGATCCATTTCCATTAGATCCATTGGGAGTAGGCTCGCCTCGATTCATGTCCCTGGGTTTCTTCCCAGAGCGAGGAGGTTTCTTCTTGGAATGCACATTATTAAGATTGGAGGAATCTGTGGCCACAACAGCTGGACTCATATGACGAGGTGGAGATGATGGAGGGGTGTTTAGTAGAGCCATCTTCTGTGTGTGAGGGGTAGTGCTCTTCTTGGGTAATGGGCGGCGATTGTTGTTATTGCGAGGGCCTTTGGGTGTGGGAGGTTGAGGTTGAGTCGACATGACGACAGTTTGGCTTGAAAAATAGGCAGCCTGATTCGAAGGTGTAAATAAGGGAAAAGAAAACACAGCGCAGACGCTAAGAAAAGCAGGTAAGGATATCGAGAAGAAAGCCGGTCCTGTCACTGCTCAGCAGCTGTCGATAATACTAGGTTATTTCCAACGCCTGAGAAGCAGAGAAAATAGGCGGAAGCGAATGTAGAAGTAAGGGAAACCAGAATCTAGGTCGCAGAGAACAACATAAATAAAGCGCGGGAAGGCATGTCTCTCTAAGATGTGTGAAGCAGAAGATGAGTCGTAGGAAAGTGACGGAAGAGTTCCAAGGCGGGGAGAGACCACATGACTAAGGGTTTTGCCGCCTCCAGAAACAGTGGGGTTTTATGTTTCGGAACGGACAAGCTAGGTCCTCAATTTCGGTTTGATTCTGATTCAACAATACTCTATTGCCAGTGTTTCAAGTATCCACGGACTTGAAGACCTGAAGACCTTCTAAGAGAACTCACTGTTCTTACGTCAGTGACCTATTCAGCACCCTCCCGAGGTCCTCCCAGCTTCCCTACTCTATCGACCATCCCACCCCGACATCTTCCCCCCGACATCACAAGCTACAATAATGGCCGACGTGGAAATGAAAGATTCAAGCGCAGCCTCCTCCAAGGGCAAAGCTGTCGCAAAGACCTCCGATAGTGCTGATGCTAAGAAGAAGTTCGAAGTGAAGAAGGTAGACAACCTTGGGGGCCGCTGGTAATCATGAAGATGTGAAACTGACTCTTTTTGTAGTGGAACGCAGTTGCTCTTTGGGCTTGGGATATTGTCGTGGATAACTGTGCTATCTGTCGAAATCACATTATGGACCTCTGTATGTTGGTATGAAAGCTTGGTTCGAGCTACAGCTAACCTACGGGCAAACAGGCATCGAGTGTCAAGCAAACCAAGGGTCTTCAACAACAGAAGAGTGCACTGTTGCCTGGGGTATTTGCAACGTGAGTATTCTATGATCCGATCTGCTGAACAAGTTCTGACACTGTCTAGCACGCCTTCCACTTCCACTGCATCTCTAGATGGTTGAAGACCCGCCAGGTCTGTCCGCTGGACAACCGTGACTGGGAGTTCCAGAAGTACGGTCGGTAAAGCTTCATGGAAGCATTCAACAGACCAGAGACAAATGCGCGGAGCCCGGCTGCTGCTACGCATACATGTTCGATGGCTATGATCGGAGGGAGAGCGCTTTTTTGAAAGATAAAAAGATTTTTATGATTTCCTTGCCCGGCGTTTAGGTAGTTATTAGCCTGGGTATTTATCGAAACTGATGGATCCTCCCTTCTTATCCTGTAGACTTATATGCTTCGGCTCCTTTTATGCCACCTTGACCCCGTCGACCAGCACCTGTGGACCTCCCGAACTCCCATCCTTATTCAACCACCTTTGCGGTTTCTGATTGTAAATGGGCCAGGGTGGGATCACGACAAGCGCAGTAAACAGTGAACCACCCAGTCCGACCCAAAGTGTAAGGTGGATATCATTGTAGATGTATCCGACGAGAAAGCTAACAACCTAAAGAACGATAGTCAGCAAATTTGACCTTGTGTTCGATGGCGTTAGGTACTTGCTCCGGAAATAACTAGCAAAACAGTGTTTAGCAGATCTGCCAGGTGTTGGCCGTGGAAGTCCTGTCGCTCCATGTTAGTGTTCTGCCCATGATTGACCGCAGGAAATCGAGGATACGTACAATCTGGCCTTCCAGAACATCCTGGATTGGTGCAAGTAGCTCGTCCATGATTAGAGTAAATGGGTGACGAAAGGTCACGTAAACCTGGGGCGGCTTATCGCAAGGGTGTCATCTGCCCACCGCCTCCGCCCCAGCTTCCATAACAGATAAATTGTCAACTCGAGATATCAATTTTTGGTTGGTAATTTGTAGTTCATTAGCAGGGCTCAATTGCAGAGAAACAATGGAAAGGAAAATATTTTTCCATAATTCATCTACGTCTATTTCCAGAACCTAGCGCCATGCACCATTCCTACATGGATCATATAGAGCTCGTAGTGGCGATTCGATATGAAGCAAGTTTTCTTCATGCAACATATGCTCTTTTTGCCCAAAAGAATTTCCCCCGTTTCCCGTTTCCCTTTCCCATGTCTCGGATTACCTGCATAGTGCGTAAAGCACAAGGCAGCGGTGAAACTTGTGGCAACACATGGCGGAAGCATTGGCAAAGAAAACAAGATCTCGGTGCCAATTACCAGACCATTGTTGATTCAAAAAATAAAGTAAAAGGGCTCGTAATTGGTACCGATTGTAGCACTTCCATTTCCGTGCACACGCAAGGGAATTCGGCATTAGGGAAGATCGCCGATGACGCAGTGGGATTTTGTTATCAAGTTAGATTTAAATATAGGTCACAGTGGTACCCGCCTGAGCGGGCTCCAGCAACTTCCATTGGCAGGTAATGTTGTTGGAGGCGAACTGTGCGATAATGCGGTCTGCAATTTCATCAAAACGATCGGTCGCCAGGGCCAGGATGGTTGGTCCGGCACCGGACAGACAGATACCTAAAAGACCAGGCTGCGTTGCCGGAGTCATGAACTGGAGGATCTCGGTCAGACCAGGGATAAGAGTCTTGCGGTACGGTTGGTGCACTCTGTCCTGCATGGCGAGGAAGATCATATCGGGGTCCGGCGGAGAGGTACCCAGGGCGGCGGGCAAAAGTGCCGCACGTTGCAGATTGAAAACCTAGAAAAGTTGATGAATATGATTTCGACCAGATTAGGTCAGATGTCCTAACATACCACATCGGCGCGGCTGTACGTTTGAGGAAGGACGTTGCGAGCATTGGCGGTGGGGACAACAAAGTCCGGGATGATGGCAATGGCCTTGATCTCCGGGGCCCAGTCAAACTTTCGGTAGTGACCAATGCCCAGCGGGGGCTCTGGGGGCTGGACTCCAGTATCGACACCGCCAGCAGGGGCTGGCAGGACCTCACTCAACGGGATTTCTTTCCGCGCGACGTCTTCCGGCTTGAGTTCATTCAGATAGGTTCCCACAAATCCTCCGAATAGCGACGCAGCAACGTTGTCCGGGTGTCGTTCTACAGGATTGTTAGCGTTATTCAAGCAAGATGGTGGGGTGAGTTTGGGTTTGAATTTGTGTTATGGGCCCGAGTTCCAAGTAGCAGGGAAGTACTTACCAATCATCAAACAGTAATCGAGTAATCGCTCCTTGCTCAAGCCTAGGTTGCCAACTGCATTACCCAGCATCACTCCAGCCACAACTGCGGTACCCGACGATCCCAAACCCCGACCTAGTGGGATGGGGTTGGAGATGTGTACCTTGGTCTCCACGGGAAAAGCGCGCTGATTGTGGCATCGTAGGACATAGAGGGCCACCCGGGTAATCAGGTTGACCTCAGGGTCCAAACTGATCTGCTCGGTGCTCTTGCTTAGGTCCTCATAGGTGATTTGGCAATTCAAGGGGAGCTCGGACGAGGATTTGGAGTCATCGACGGTGACATGGATTTCGAGGTGGAGGGACAATGCCAGGCCGATTACATCGAATCCGGGGCCAATGTTGGCCGAGGAGCAAGGGGTCCTAATCACAAATGAGGGCATTTTTATTCACAAAGAGGTGTAAAGTGCTCTATAGGTCAAGTCCCTGAGGTATGACTCGATGCGGGACAGTCTTGGCACAAAAAAATCCGGTCCGACGTCGGGGGATCATAAGTGGATCTTGGATCATTGTGGTTCAGATTGTTCATGATTGGATGATTGAATGATTGGATGATTTGATGACAATCTCTGGTTAAGAGGACTCTTTTTTTCTCCGTGACTTAGATTGTGTATTCCCACATAAGGCGATCCCGCCTGGCCTCCTCCACTTCTGAGGGACTTTAACTGTAGCCTAAATGAGTGGCTGTAATCCATTCAAATGTTGACTTTACCCGTCTAGGTAGGTGTTTAAGCGATAGCTTCCACATATCTAGCTACCTAGGTAACTAATAATGACAGAAATCCTGGTTATTACATTAGGTACTTGGTGATCCTTGGCGATTGGCCAGTTCAAAGATCTGATCCTAGTCTAACGTGAGTCATTTATAATATCCAACCTTATAGTTTAACCACCGATAAGCAGTCAAGTGACGTACGCCATGGAGAGAGAGAAATAATATATAAAAATATCCTCCGTATAATGACGGAGATATAAAACAAATGCCTCATGTCCAATGAAAATATGTTCATAGGCTAAGACTTAATCGGGGGACGCCGTCGGCAGACCCGCATACAAAGGAAATTTTCACAGGGTCGTAACATGTCCGTGGATATCCAAGACGATATATTTTTTAATATTTCTCTGTCGCAAATCCTGAAAACGTTTAATTAGGCAGCGTATTCATAATTTATTCCTAGTTTCTAAAATCCACATATTCCTGATATTCCAAGGATTTTTCCCCCTGATGAAATGAAAAATTGGAAGAAGAACTCGTGTAAAACCCGCAAGCAGGAGCCAAAAAGTGGTCCCCGCGGTCTAGTTTCCCACGCCACAACTAGCGGATTTCTTCTCTCTCTTCTTCGCCCCCCCACCCCCTACCTTCCTCCTTCACACATAAATTTCACCCATGAGAATTTCAAGTGGGAGGACTTCTATTATTCATTCCTGTACAGTGATCACCCCCAATTGAGGAATTTGCACCTTCATCGTCACTCGTTGAAGATTCTGCAACTTCCAGCCTGCGACCCGTTCGCTCTTTCGTGTCTCTTTTGCAACCCTGGAGCAGTCGCGCTCCTTTTCCTGGGACTCCTTCAAGTTGGCGGGACTTCGCTACTCCAAGGCCTCTCTCCTCCACCCTCTTGCAGGCCCCAAGTTCCGGGTCTTCTGCGGGGGCGACACCAGACCCCCCTAACTCGACTTACCCCCAAACCTTTAACTGTGGCAGCCAGACGTGTGTCGGTAACTCCAGACCCCTGCACAGGGTCTGGTTTCTGGAATGGAGGGCGCTCGACCATAATCGACCCTTTTTACCGACTTGCGTCTGCAGCTGTTTAAGCTGCCAAGAGCATATTCATATTAACCAAACGATACGAACACCAAAAAGCACAACTCCTTTGGAAACCCAAAAACAACAAACAGTCAAACTGGCGTACTGAACGATTTAAAAACTGCACCATGACGGACTCGCCTCGGTCTGAGAAGGAGCTGTGCCTCACCCGATACAGCACCCCGGTGCCGGAATTGGATGATCACCGCTTCCAAATGGACCCTCCTCGCCTTGAAGCCAGTATGGAGGACTCGAGAAACCAGCGCAGCATCGACCTGGTGGGACCGATGGGGGAGAGACTGGAACGCCCGGACCTGCTACACGCCCAGGATGCGCTTCATCCAGGCCCGTTGTTCCGAGACTTTGAGCAAGCCATTGTGGATGACTCGGATAATGAAGGACATCCAATGGATCGGCGCTTCTCGGTCGATCCCGCAGCCCAATTTCACTCGCCGCGTCGCATTAGCGTGGGCCAGCAAGATATGACCAATGTCTCGCGACCTTCATCTGTGTCTGCTCGATCTTCGTCACCCCCTAACTCAGTGGAAGCGTTTGCCGACCCCCGTCGCCGAGAACGAGCCAACACGCTTGACAGCCATGGTCCCCCAGATTTGGAGGCCATGCTGCAACGGACAGTCTCCGGGGGTACCCACCGCCGGCGTCCGACCTTCAGCAATGCCAGCATTATTCGGCCCCAACCCGGCGATGTGCCCGATGCGCAAGAGGAATGTGTGCACACGTACGACGAACCTGGTCGGATTCCCGTCATCGACTATGAGGAGCTTGAGGAATTTGTCGCGCTGAACCAACAGGCGAAGGCGATTGCCAACGCCAACCGCCGCAAGCAGAGTCTGGCCTCCCAGAAAAATAGCCCTCGTATCTTTTACGATCTGCGCCCCGGTGAGAAAGTTCTCGATGTTGATGAGATCAACAAGTCGGATTCGGCCGACTCCTCTGAATCGTACGGAGGCCCCGAGTCGGAGAAGTTTCCCGAGATCGAAGATGAGAAGCGGTCGGTGGACAAGCTCCAGAACATCAACGAGCCTACTCGCTTCGGTTTCTTCTCGTCCGAGTCGCAGACGACGGTTCACGCGGCCGATCTGGGAGATCTGGTGCTCCCTGGTGACAGCTTTCGTGATCTCTTCCAGCTGGGTCCCGAGGGTGGTGTGTGGTGGCTGGACGTGGTCAATCCTACCGAGGAGGAACTGGGTGCCATCTCCCGAGCTTTCTCTATTCACCCTCTCACCACAGAGGATATTTTGATGCAGGAAGCCCGTGAAAAGGTTGAGCTTTTCAAGCAGTACTACTTTGTCTGTTTCCGGACGTTCTACCAGATGGACAAGACTAGTGAGGAGTTCTTGGACCCTGTGAATTTCTACATGGTGGTTTTCCGTGATGGAGTCTTGACCTTCTCCTTCGATGAGAACCCCCATGCTTCTAATGTTCGAAAGCGTATTGGAAAACTGCGTGACTACGTCTCACTCAGTAGTGACTGGATCTGTTATGCCATGATTGACGACATCGTTGATAGCTTTGGTCCTGTGATTCGAGATGTGGAACTCGAATCCGAGGCGATTGAAGATCATGTCTTCATCGCTCGTGTCGACGATTTTGAGTCCTTCTTACCCCGAATTGGCGGTTTACGTAAGAAGGTCATGAGTTTAATGCGCCTGCTGGGCGGCAAGGCGGATGTCATCCGTGGGTTCTCCAAGCGTTGTAATGAGCAGTACGCCATGACCCCTCGTGGTGATATTGGTCTGTATCTGGGTGATATTCAGGATCACGTCGTGACCATGATGTCTAACTTGGCTCACTTTGAGAAGATGCTGAGCCGGTCACACACCAACTATCTGGCTCAGCTGAACGTCACCAACTTGGTGCTGGGTAACCACGTCAACAAGGTTCTGAGCAAGGTGACTCTCATTGCCACGATGTTGGTCCCCATGAACCTCATCTGTGGTCTCTTCGGCATGAACGTCCACGTTCCTGGAGAGGGCGTTGAGGGATTGGGGTGGTTCTTTGGTATATTGGGTGTGATGGGGGCTATCGTTGTTGTTAGCATAGCCTTAGCACGGTGGCAGAAGCTGGTCTAGTTTCTTTTCTGTTACTTGTTTTTGTTTTCGTTTCTGTTTCGGTTTTCATTCGATGTTTCTGCTATGTTTTTGTTGTCTATATCTTCAATTCTGCTGGCATAAAGCTCTGTGAGCGAGATGTCTCTTATGGATATCCCTAGACCTCTAATTATATACGCCTTCTGTCCCTCTCCTATGGCTGATTCAAGTACCTCATAACAATATGTTGCATGCCTACTCCTAGGTATAGCATATGTAGGGCGTCCAGTACACTCCATAATTATGGTGCTTGACTCGTCGTTTGACCTAACCCATCAGGACGACTCCGTAGTTGATTTCGGAACATTGGGCTTGATCTTGTAGATGACTAGCTTAGCTAGCACTTGAGCCAAATAGTTAATTAACCGACTTAACATTTGAATGATCTTTTCTTACATAAGACAACAATGCCAGTTCCCGAGACCATACCTAAACTGGTATATAGATCGGCCTACTGATAGGCTGGCAGATCAGGCGTGCACGGATCTTCACTCGGGTGTTATTTTAGGGCTTACCATGTATACCTTGAACACGTATTTAATTCTCAGATCCCGATTGACCAATAATCGTTGTTACCAATGAGAATGGGATATAGCGAAGGATGAGGCTGCATCTGCATAGCCTCAGCTAATTTCTAGGCATCAGATCACAGTCTCTAGGCAAAAAGATTAAATCTTGGCTATGGAAAGATCTTACATATAAAATGAATACCGTCAAGGCCAGGAATCAACCGTTATTCAATTCTATGACTAAAAATGTCCAACTTTGACGATTGTACCTTATCGACTTGCCCGCTTAGCGCGGCCTACTTGGACTACCTGCCCAACCTGCCTGCAAATGCATTCTTTGTAGCTCTGTTCGGTCTCATCGCTGGAATTCAGCTCCTCCTGGGAACCAAATACCGAGTATGGGCTTACATGATTCCAATGCTGTTCGGCCTTATTCTCGAAGTGTTGGGATATATTGGACGGATAATGATACACTCTAACCCCTTCAATTTCAGTAGTTTTCTTCTGTAAGTACCTTCCTGCGTGATCAAACCACCTGGGCATCACTCACCACATACTTCATGTATGTAGGTACCTAGTCTGCTTGACCATCGCTCCAGCCTTTTTCAGTGCCGCCATTTATATCTGTCTGGGAAAGATCATCATCATCTACGGGGGAATGGCCCGGTTCAGCCCACGAACCTATACAATCTTTTTCGTAACCTGTGATGTGATTTCCCTAGTTCTCCAAGCAGCCGGTGGTGCAATCGCGTCCATTGCCACGGAGAGCCAGGTAAGTCTTCAACAAACCGGAGTCAATGTCATGATTGCTGGATTGGCCTTTCAGGTCTTTTCGCTTTTTCTATTCATTGTTCTGGCCTCCGACTTTGCTCTTCGAGTGCGCAAGAGCCCCAAGTCGGAAGTCGATGAATTTGTTGGTCTTCGACAGAGCTGGAAGTGGAAGATATTCATTTACTGTATGCCTTGCCTTGTCAATTTCCGGAGCAGAGACTAATACTGTGTATAGGTCTTGCCCTTGCCACGTTGACAATTTTCATTCGATCAATTTTCCGAGTTGCTGAGTTGAAGGGCGGATTCTCCAGCGCTCTAGCTAATAATGAGGTGGATCTGATGGTGTTGGAAAGTACTATGATATCTATTGCTTGTATTTGTTTGACAGTTGCTCATCCCGCGGTTGCTATTGGTAGAGTTTGGAGTACTCTATAGAAGGGTTGAAGTTTGAAGTGTCAGCAATCAAATAGTTAACGTTAGTTAAGTTAGTGTTTAGTGAACCGCACGGTTGTTATAGTTGATGACATAATCATAAACTCTGATGACCCGATAAGCTGATTGTCACGATAACATCCATGGATCAAACTGATGATGCAGGGAGATCTCGCTCATACTCCCTGATTTGCGCCATTCCTCTATGCGTATCTCCCGCAACCCGGCCCTTCAACTTCCATGCGATTATTATCCTTGCAGTGCCAACTGACTGCAATAGTCATTGCCACTTCCCTAGCCGCGACCGCCCATGCCACGGATTGGAGCCATGGGGGTAACCACATCGAAAACATCGGCAATGGGGCCGGATTGCCGTTTGCGCTGGATTCGTTCAATGGACTAGAGTTTCAAGACGATGAGGACTCCATTGGGCTGGACCTGGTGCGAAGATCCGTTGCCATTACGTCTCTCGCGAACAATAATTTCGTTAATCCCACCATCAAGATTGGGGATATCCAGTACTGGTACATTCCGGATGATGTGGTGAATGGTGCGCATGGAACGGTGGGCAAAGGACTTCCTGAATATATCGACACCAATGGCGATGTCGTATCACATGCGGCCGCAGATGAGCTTCGAAAACGCGGATTTACCAAGCGCGACTCGACGAAGGTTTATTTGTCGTTGTCCACCTGCAGTCCGCCTGACACCAACACCACCGGCGCGGAAGGCTTGTTCCCGCAGCTGAAGGTGTATTACTCGACGTCAAAGGATCTGAAATATCCGGGCCCGGGCAAGGACGACTCGCTGCAAAACGTCACGACAGCCAGCAACGGCTATATTGGCATTGAATTTGACGCGGAGAGTGATGTCTACATCAGTGTGGTGGCGGAAAATACAACCTCCTATTCGGGTTCATATGTCTACGAACTTGCCATCTCGATCGACGATTATTTCTTCAAAGTGGTTCCCGACGACCCGTTCCTGTACTTTGTCGATTCCGACCAATCCGCCGCGCTGCTGGTGACCAACAACCTGACCCAGTCTAATTCCAGCTCGCAGAACTTTCAACAGTGGATGAACATGACCCCTCCGTATACCCTGTTTGCCCACAATCTCAACGACACATCATTGAAAGGCTTGTCGTCCTCCTTTTGTGCGGTGCAGACTCATTCGCAGGTGACCAGCAACCCGAGCAACACCGACATGACCAGTCGAGGACTGGGGAACAGGCCTAAGGAGCAGTTCTATATTCTCGGACTCAACCGTAGTTCGACGTATGTAGGAATCTTGGGGATGATAGGCAACTCTACCAACTCAGGGAATAATATTATTGGCGGAGGTGGAATAGTATGGCAGCCCATGAACTTCACCACCAAAACAGGTCCGCTCCCGTGTTCCCCATGTCCCACCTCCAGTGTCTTCGTAACCCAACTAACACCATGCAGAGGATAACTGTGCCGTTTTGTTCAACCTCACATTCTGCTCCGAGGTCGCCTACGCAGTCCCAGCCAACCCCAACAGAACAGTCGAAGACCTTCGACAGATCTACGACAACTACACATCGAAATACTACCAATACTTTGACTACTCCCTCCAACAAATCCAATGCAACGCCTCCGCAGACTCCATGTTCTCTCTAACCGTCAACTGCACCGACTGCGCCTCGCAATACAAGCAATGGCTCTGCAGCGTCAGCATCCCCCGCTGCGCAGACTTCACATCCAACGAAACATACCTCAGAGTCCGCAACGCCGGACAGGATTTCATCAACGGCTCCTCATTACCAGAAGACGATCCCCTTCGCTGGTCCGTTATAACGAACCAATCACGCAATCCAATCATCGACACCGATATCAGACCCGGTCCGTACAAGGAGATCCTTCCTTGTAAAGATATCTGTCACGATATGGTGAAGAGTTGTCCCGCGGCACTGGGATTCGGGTGTCCGACTGGATCCTGGTTAAACGCCTCATATGGATATAGGGATCCGAACGGCGATATCACCTGTAGTTACCTCGGCGCAGCGTATTATCTCAATCTCGGCTCAAGACTGGGTATATGGGGAATAATGTACATGTTAATTGGGATTGGGATCTGGGGATTCTGGTTAATATAGATAAGATCCTAATGCAATTTGTATTCACTACCACTCCAATTCCTTCTTTCTCCCATTCTCATCCACATTCTCCACCTTCCTATCTCCCCACCGTTCTCTCCACACATCTCTCTCTTCACGCCACAACGTATTTACACATGGATCACATGAACTTCCACAACAACTTCCCAATTCAGGCGGTGGTGGCGGATCATTATAGGCACGACCAGCCGCACGAAGAAGTTGTTTCGTCCGCGTACCTGATAACCTTTTCTTCTGAAGTTTCTTAAACATCGGTACTTCACTCGGCGCGTAATACGCTTCTGGCTCTTTAACCTCAATCTTCGCCTCTTGTTTGCGTTCGTTATTCGATTCTGGCGTACCCTTGCTTTGGGATCCGGATAAAAGTGCACTGAATGGCGAGCATAGAGTTGAAAGAATGGATGCTGAAGATAGTTTAGATTGACTTTTCTCTTGCTCTTCTTGTGACTTGGCTATATCGCCTGAGGTATCAGCCACAGGTTCGTGGGCTGTTGAGCCAAGACTTGAATCTATACTCATTGTGATGGAGCAAGTTTGAATATGAAGAAATCAAATCGGTTAGAATTTGATATACCGGATAAATGTTCAGCCCTGTATATCATCAGTACATCACCTCGGACAGTAGCATTTGAGGGATTTTTCTTTTACGTACCAGGATTGCACGGATATTTAGGAGTGCAATAGTTTCAGAGTTAAGGTAAAGAAGGTAAAAGATCAAAGTCCATTGATGGCCGAGGTCGGGCCGGATAAGATCGGGTTGTTCGTTCCGATTCTCGTCCTATGGTGAAGTATATCGAAATAGACACCAAGAACGGTTCTTGACTGTAAATGAACATTTTGGTGTTCTGCCATTCTCTATATACATATAAACCTTAACCTCGCTAATCCGAGGTCTATTAAAAAAAGCCTCTAACATGGTATCATATCATAAACCGTAAAATCTACTTGCGCCGCGGTGTCGGAGTCCACATATTCTTTAAACCAGAAGATCCTCCACGAGGTGTACTTCCAACTCTCGACAACAAATTTTGTCCCGCCGAAGTCAACATCTTCCCAGATCTTGGGGTGGGAGTCAGTCCATCAAGACGCGGACTGCTAGCAAAGCGAGGCGTAATATTCACAGGCGTCTTGGTTACCCGTGCAGCCTTTTCATTGCGCTTGTTACGTGCAACACGATCTACCATGCGGTGGTGAAGAGCTTCACGTTTACCGGTTTCGCGGAGTTGGAATGGGTTTGGAGTTGCATCGCTTGCACCGAGAAGACGCCAGTCAGCTTCGAGGTATCCGGTCTGTTGTTCGTATTCTGGCTCGTCTTCGTCGACAAAGGCGTAGCCGTTCACTCGTGGGGTTTCTCCTCCTGGAACAGCAGATGCTTCGGACTCGCCGAGGCGTGGGCGGCCCGCGATGGCATCTTGGATAGCTGAGATGGAAGGCGACGCTGGAACTTTATTTGCGGCATCGGCGGCTGCAGCAGCGTCGGCGTCAAGAAGTCTTGTATTTTGATATAGGGTCCTTTTGGGTCCTGCGCGGGATGCAGCTTCGGCCTTTTGTTGGAGTGTTTCGTGTGTATCCTCGACTGACGAGGGAAGGAACATCAATGTGTTATCTGGACGGGTCTTCCAATGATCTGGTCGGGCTGGGCGAGCATTGAGATCTGTTTTGATGGCAGGATGATCATCCATCTTGATCAGGCTGGTTTCGGGGTTCCCACCCTGGGCTGTAATGCGCTTCACTTCGCGCTGGTGGTGAGCGATCTGTCGCGCCGATGGGATTTTATTATCATTCCATAGCCAGCTGTTTTTCTCTCGTCGCTTCACATTCTGTTTGTCGAGAACCTTGTTGAACGACTCGTTATCCTCGCTGGTGTATTTCGCCTGAAAAGCAAGAAGCCCCATATTTGAAGCATCGGCAAGATTCTGCTCCTTGACTGTTGCGGTGGTGGCTGTGGTCGAAGTCGAAACCACCGACATTGGTGTATCACCTCTCCATCCGTGAGGGGTATCATCTGATCGACCGGGGTGTTGCGGAGTGCCCGCCACGGATGCGTCGGTCTTTCTTCGTGAGTTGAAGCCTGGTGTCGGGGTGCGCATGACATCTGCAAGTTTCTTCTTGGAACTTTTGATCCATTCTCCATCTTTTGATTCCAGCGCATCCAGATATTCTTGTTTGGAGCGGGTCTCGAGCAGACCGGGGAAGAAGTCGCGGGCAATAATGTGGGAGAGGGCGCTGGTATAGACATCTTCGTCCAGAACGGTCGCGGGGCGTTTGATGCGAGTTGGAGGGGGTGGCGGTGGCATAAGCTGACCATCTGGCCTCTTGGCCAAGGCCTTTGACTGCGATGGAGAGGCCATGGTCGCGTGGAGAGGAGAAGTGTAAGATCAAAATGAGGTTTGGACCGATAAGAGATAGCAAGTCAGATGATCCACCCTTACACTCCACCTCTATCCTCTACTCGTCAGACCTATCTCTTCCTATTCTACTAATTCTTCAAGCTCAAAGATCTACGTTGAATCACTCAAAATCAAAGGTACCATGGATTGCCTGTGGCTCTATAATCACATAAATAAAAGATAAAGCGAATGTTCCAAATCCTCCATCCCTTCCGATGTCCTCTTTTCCATGGTTTTTACCCAATCCAGACACCAACCAATATCGCTGAGAAATGCATTCAGACCAAACGACCGAACAGATTGAACACGGCTAACAGCCCTCCCAACATACAAAAAAAATTGAAACAGGTCATAACTCATAGAGATCTATCACAGGGGGGGGTAGAGCGGAAAAAGCAGAAAGCAGAACATATGCGATACATTTTGCTCTCCCCCAAAACAAAGAAAAAGCGCTCAGTGGGCGCCAGTGGGGAAAAGAGAGTAAGAGGGGTTGCGGCTCTTCTTGCGGCTTGGATGCTTGGATGGAACCGCAGGGAGGGACTCTTTGACAGGCCGGATATCCTCCTTGTCATGAACGATAGTGGACGGTAGATCACCAACATTGCCCTGGAGCAGTAGGTAGGATTCGGCCGGACTCTTGGTCTGGCGGTGGGTAGAAGGTGGACGGCTGATGCTTGATCCGGCGGCCAAGGTCTCGCCGGCGGTCAGACGGTCAGTGGGCATCAGCTCGCGACTGCTAGACAGACTGTGGATCAACTCTGGCACGCTGGTCGTTGAGACAGAGGAACGGTGCTTGCGGGCGATAGAGGCCGCGCGAGAGAGCATCAAGCTCTCTTGAGAATTGCACTTGCTAATGGGGGAGAAGCTACTCCGAGGAGAGACGGGGTTATCTATCCCCTGAGAGAAAGAAAAGTGCCGATCTGATTCTGCATCAGTGCTGAGGTAGTCTTCGTACAGGGTATCCGGGGGGATCTGCTTCAACCCCGACAAGGAGCTGACAGGCTGGAAGTAGTCACCCGTGTTCCGAACAATGAAATCACCCTCATACTCAGCTGTCGATGGGGTATGAGCCAAGTGCAGTGGTGTCGACCGGGCTGGGCTGGAATCCAGATCCGGAGTGGGGAATGCGGAGGTGCTCAAAGGGCTTGGCTGGAGTTGCCGAACCTTTGGGGCCACGAGCCAGGCCTCATTCGGAGAGGGCACCCCGATCTTAGGACGCTGAGTGTCCTCCAGAGAAGTGCGTGACCAATCAAAGTTGCAGGTAGACTCTGCCGCGTGCTCATAGCAGTAGTCAATATCTGCATCCCACGAGTCATACAACTCGTCCTCATACGAGAACTGGTTCACACCCGAAGTTGGCGGTGTGATCTCGCTTTTGGGTAGAGTTTTAGGCAGACTGTCGGGGAGGTTCTGTGGTAGAGTCGGTGAGCCCAGGGCCTCGGAGAATTGCCTTGAAAGTTGCTCGGCCACGAAGATTGATAGTGGCGCCTTGGATGCCTTGACAGTGGATGAGTGATAGGCTTCGGTGGGCTGACTCTGTTGCGAGGTTGAACGAGAATGGGCGTAGCCAATGCTAGCCTCAGGACTGTCCCACATGCGAGTTGCCTCTTCCTCTTCCGGAACGTCTGCAAGGTCATAGTGGCTACTGATGGAAGATGTGCGAGCCGACAGATCATCTGCTGAATCCCGACGGATAGAGGGTGCGGTGTGGATATTTTCTGGGTAGGTGGTTGCCGTGGTCAATCCTAGGATCTCGTCAATGGCACGCGGAGCCGGCTCTGCGTCAGGAATCTCCGGAGTAACGGAAGGTGGAGTTGTGGGACAAGCTCGAGGGAATCTGGGAACAGGCCGCGAGAAGTTCTCACCGACACGAGACTCCCGTCGAATATGGCCAGGGCTGATGGAACCGGGTGGGGAGGCTGGTGGACTGCAAGATGGCTCATCCACAGTGGTGGCCGTGCCATATGCGGCGAGGTCATCAGTCGAGAAGTTGCGGAAGTGGATATCGGTGGCTCGGATCCCCTTGAGACCGGTCTCGGGCCGCTGAGACGCGCGAATCACGGAGAATTCGGTGCATAGATCGTTCTCCCGGGTCTGATCCAATGACTGAAACTGTGCCGGACTCGTATGGGTAAGGTGATGAAAGTCAAATGGATCGGAAATGAGGCTCTTCAGCCGATCTTCTGCACGTGCGTCAGTTTTTCAATTCCCGGCACTGCTATGGTTGGCACTTACGTTGTTCGACATGTCGAGATCGGCGACCAAACATATCCTTCTCACGGGGCTTATCACGATCATTCTCATCTTCCTCGTCCAGCGTGGCGACGATGTTGACCTTGCTACCTTGGCGGCGGAGAATCCGACTTCCTCGAGCGAGAAGAGAGCGGGAGGACCTGTCAGGCCTATCCGCACGCATCCCCAATGACGACGTGGTGCGTTCGTCCTGAGACGAGAACGAGCCATCCATTGATGAGGTCAAGGAGGAACCTGGAGATCTGTGCGATGAAGTGGAATTGGTGGTGTTACTCCTTGATCGACCACTGAAGACCGACCTTCTCTTAGGACTATGAGCATTGGGATGGGCGGTAGACCTGGAACGAATGTGGGCAGAATGCTCTGGAGGATCATTTGAGGAACGAGTAGATGGGGGATCACTGTTCCCATCTTCTTCCCAACGAGAATACATTGAGGAATTGAATAGGGTGAATTCCCCCTAGTTTAAGCAGACGAAGTTATGTATCATGGTAGGAAGCGTTCAAAGAACTTCCCGTCAGTTTTTTCCCAGGAGATTGGGTCGGGGCGGAGTTACATATGTATGGGTTTAAATACAGAAGTGGAACCTTGACTTTTGGCTTTCAGGGGGGGGGGATCTCGACATGTTATGATGACGTTTTAACCGTTACAAACATTTTCTTTGTTTAAATTTAAATATTTGTATAGCTGAAAGCTCATTTTCTTTCAGATCAACCCTAGTTTTCCTCATAATTCAGCTCCTGCCAAGTTGGATTCTCTCATATTTCTCTTCCTCTTCCTCTAACTCTATTCCAGTACCTGTACCTGTATCAGTGATACGCATCCGAAACCGAAGGATTATAGTGTCCTGCAACTCAGGGGGACTGAACGTGCTTGGTAACTGTGGGGGGCCGCTTATCCACGTATAGTAAGTATCGACATGAAATACGTTTCAAACTAAAAAAAAATACGTGTATGTATCATACGTCTTTTGTTACCTCTCGTTCCTACTAAGCACTTGAATGCTTCTTTCCCCTCACAATGGCAAGAATCTCATATATGAATATGAGAAAATTGAAAATCTTCTTTTCTAATTTATTTAATTTTCCCAGAATTCGCCATAGAAGGGCCTGAGAGTCTAATCATTTTCCCCGCGTCACTAGCGCAAGCCTCGGTCTAACGGTTTTGTTCTCGACAAAGTGCGTTCGGGCCCAGAAAGTCCCCGGTGGGATTGCAAAGTGGAATTTAGTGGAAAAGTGGAATAGATAGGGCTTGAGATGCACAGATCCAAGTGGAGAGGATCGCGTAATGTACAAATGCGCCTCGGCATCAACAGATCGGAGGCGGCCGAGTTCAATCTTTGATGTTTTTCATCTTGATCCTTGCACTTTTTCATTTCTACTCATGTCGGAACTCACCGGTGATGCAGGAAATACTTTTGTCTCAGTCAATATAACGGGATGTGTTTCCATGGTTGAAGCCTGGAGTAGTTCCGTTATAATCAATCTCCGGTGGGGGTCTCCTTCCAAACCCCTCAGAACCTCCCCAAAACAGAAAACCCCCAAGCCCTACGGCTACGGGAAAGAACCGATATCGTCATCTGCAGAGTGGAGACTGGTGCGAAACAAGGGAGAAAGTCAGAAATTGACGAAACGCCTCGAACTGAGACGGGAGGAAAAAGTCAATTGTCTTAGCGATTCAACAGTCCTCCTGACGATCCGTCTAGAACCATCGATGTACTAACCGACTATAGAAGACTCCTTTGGTGATCGGTTCGTTATAAGTGGATCTTAGAGCCGGAGCACCATTTGAACAGGATTGTTACCATTACTCCAAGAATTGCTGCTCTATGATATTTACCTTGAGAAGCTCGTTCTCAATGATTCTGATTCATTCATTGAAAAGAAATAGCCAAAAGAAAACCTAAAAAAAAAAAAAAAAAAAAAAGAAGCAAAATCCAAAGTCAGTCCCTATCGTAACGTAAAGTGAACATTGAAAGATACGGAGTACGGCCCGTTCGAATCCTAATGCCAAGAACTCGACGCGGGTGGGATCACACTAGATACATTTAGGGGAAATGGAAGGCTGTCCTAGAGGTTTATAGATTTCTAGTTTTCTAATTTTCTAGTTTTGACTAGTCCAGATCATCCCCCTATTATTCCCTGTCCAGAATTCACTTCACTTACAGCCTCAGGGGCCACGCTAGTATCAACTTTTTTTTTTTGATTCTTTCGTCAGCATTTTCGCCCCCCGGAGACCAACGGCTAACCGAACCTAAGCTTTTTCCGCAACAACTGGATTTATTCATCTAATTACGGAGTACGGAAAACATGAACATCTATTTATACTATATGGTCTCCGTTCGGCTCCACGTGTGGACTGAACGAATCGAAGGAAAATGTTTCCCAACCCGAGGCGATTGGCGTCATTGGAGTCCATAGTCCCGACTAGCCGGTAAGATACAGAAGACGATCGGGCCCATCAGGGGCTGATAACACTTTACACTTCCAATGATAGGGGATATTTACTATTAATAAATATCACATTGAACTAACTTAGAATTTAAAATTATTACCTAGTACCTCTATACCGTATATTCCCAGCGCCCCTTTTGGTCTCGTGATCCTGATGCAACGTCAACAGAGCGGAATGTTGAAAAACATCACATACCATTCCCGTAGATAGCCCGATGTTTACCCTTTAAAGACTGATTGCTCCAATAGTGATCGGCGCCATCGAGAGATCTTCATCACGCTTGGCGTTCTCGATAACATGGATAGGAGTCCCCGCCTCAACCCCGCCAATTGAAACATCTTCAGCGCGCTTAGCATTCGTCACACCAGTACTGTCATCACTCCCAACATTGGTGCCAACGTTAAGATCACTAATGAGACCCTCATCTGAACGCTTCATGGCGTTGGCAATGTCATCGGCCAGCTGGACATAGTCCGTAATCAACCCATCTTCAGCGCGCTTGCTGTTCTTCACGCCGGTGCCTCCATCACTCGCGACCCCCGCGTCCGAGCGCTTCATGGCATTGGCAATATCACTAGCCAGCTGGGCGTAGTCCGCGATGAAGCCATTTTCCTCACGCTTGGCGTTCTTCGCACCAGTGCTTTCGTCGCTCAGGAGATTGGTGCCAATATTAACATCTTCGGTGTGTGGCTTTCATCCGAGCGGGCGAGGATACCATCGCCATTCTTGATGGGGGCAGCGATAGCAGCTACGGCGAAGAGAGCTACAAGGTGGTACTGCATTGTTGATATGCGGTATGAGAAGCCGGATTAAATTCAGTCAGTTTGGTCGACTAGAAAACGCCATCTTTCTAAGGAACCGCTCACCAGAGAAGAGAGGTATCGGTGTTGATGAACCACACAATCGGATAAAGAAGAAAGAAGAAAGAAGAAGAAGAAAGAGAGAAGAAAAGAAGTAGGAAAGTTTCCGATGCAGTACAGCTCTTAAGTATCAGAGCTGAAATCACACCCCCATAAAGAGTAATATAGTTGACGTGGTCCACTTGGGTAAGTTATAGAAAGTGCATATCTAGCTAGGAAGGTGTCATCGACATCGTCGATGACACCGGGAGACTTGAGACTTCTGATCATTGTCACAGGACAAGCAAAGCTAAACTTGTTCAAGAGAAAGCTAAGCTTTTTCTCTTGCTAGGGGAGCTCTACCAATTAGGAACGTTTAAAGCCGCAGATAACCCGAATTTAGAGACAGACCATGGTGCTTGATATCATGTGGAGAGTCCTCCTGGCCGAATGAATGGAACATGTTGGGTTGCAGAGGTTCAAACTTGACCACATGCCATACATGTGTGAAGCTGTCAATGGTGACAGTTGGTGACGATCCTTAACTAATTGGGGTTGAGACCCAGAGGAAACGGTTCTCGTTTCGGGTTGCCGAGCCGGGTACTCCGTACTTTCAATTTGACTAGACATTCTAATATGCATTTATAAGTACTTGAATATAATTGAAAAGGATGTATGTTTTGATGTTTTGATGTCATATATCAATCCATATATTCATATACGCCACATGAAATGTAAATTCAAGCTTCCAACCTTAGTGTGGATAAAGTTGCTGCTACCAAGAATGCTCCGTCCTCTACCCATACAATTACACTCTACTTAGATAAGTACCATGGGTGAGAAGAGAGGTGTCCGTGTTTTCCGAGGTCATTCTTATTCTCTAGTGCTGAGACATTTCAAGATGACGAAGTTGATTTTCTAATCAAACATGATCTCTCTCAAATGCTCGGACTTTGTCTACATGGGTAGCTGATGGTGATCTGTACAATAGCCTGGACTAGACTGAAGAACAAGAACACTCGGAGTTCCTGTCACATTCTTTTACCTTACTTATCTTTGACTCTACCTTGCATACCCCTGTCTAACAAACATTGAAGTCAGGCCTGTACCTACGCAGTACTAGGTATCCCAAAACACGTTACAAGTTATACATAGTCCCACAATAGGTATCGCGAAGTGAGACCTCACTTCACAAGTATCAATTACCAAAGCCAGGAATCAATTCATGTAAGAGATACAAAAGTACCATCCTTGGTACAAAGTACAGTATATAAGCTCCTCACAGCCCATGCAACCAAAAGCTTAAGCAAAAGTCCGCTTGCGTCTCATGCACACATAATATAGCAAGGGTTAACTCGCAGGCAAGACAAAGTAGAAGTAACATTGAATATTGACGAATGAACTACGAATAAAATCCAACAAACCAACAAAACACCAACAATACCGGAATATGCACGATCGGGACGCTCTGCGCCTCCATGCATCCTGCAATGCAGCCTGCAGCCCCAACCCGCTGTGCCTCGGATCGGGGATCCAATCCCTGCCTGTGTACTTAGTACCATACATATTGCATATACCTGTATCTGTATCTGTACCTGTAATCGTATCCGTATGTATCTGTAACCCGACTCATACACACCTCACTCAACATCGCACGATCCGAAACATGTTACGAGAATGCACTAGGATCGGAAATTAGTAGCGTCAGCTTGATCGGATCTCGGTGCTAATTTCTTTCTTGTGTCATGTGAAACTGTGTATCTGGGTGCCAATGTTTATTTTTAATACACCCTAGGACCCGCGTATGAATGAATGCTTTGTGGGATACTATAGATCGGTTGGTTCTTGTGCTTTTGATGGGTGGGGAATAATGGGCAAGCGAGGGATTGCGTAAGTGTTAGTGGATTCATATAGTAGAGAGTACGTAGAGGGCTGAATTAGTGGGTATTGAGAGTTGGAGTCACAGTACATCAAGGTATTCAGATAAACACAACTATAAGGCTAATTTACATCGAAGATTTGTTTGGCAAACTGTCTCTGGCAGTAATTGGAAACAGTTTCTGCGATAGGAAAGAAAAGAAAAGAAGAAGTCAAGACAGGCGCAGCTCAGTCCTCCATCTCCTCGTCTTCGGCCGGCTTAGAGGGCTCATCTCCAAACAGCTCCTCGTTATCATCGTCTATAGGCTTCTCCACTTCCGCCTCCTCCTCGTCATCGTCATCGGCGATGCGGCGAGAGACCCTGTCGCGGCGACGAGGTGCTGCGACCTTCTCATCTTGCATGGGCTCGTCATCATCACCGAAGAGATCTTCTTGTTCTTCAGGACTAGCCGGTGCATCTCCTTGTTCCTCATCATCCGAGTCTTCCACCCTCTCATTGCTCTTGAACTTGCTTTGGGCCTTGCTACTCTGGGCCTTAGCACCGGAGCGACGTTCCAATCGGCGGCGCTTCTTAGGGGCTGCATTCTCGCCCTCACTCTCGCCCTCCGCACCGCTGCGCTCAGCATCATTCTCATCATCAGCGATGAAGTCATCACCACCCTTCTTCTTGCGCTTCGCAGCGGGCTTCTTCTTGCGCTTGACCTTCTCGCCAGTCGCCGAATCGTCTGTGAGCTCGGCCTCCTCACGGGCACGTTCTGCTTCAGCGCGTAGAATTGCCTGTCGTTCAACCTCTTCAACCATCCCCTGGCGCTCTTCGGCGATCCTGCGCTTACGCTCAGCCTCAATCTCCTGGGCTTTCTTGAGTTGCGCCTCGCGCTCCTTGGCTGCGGCTTCACGGGCCTCGCGAGCCTGCTGAAGCTTCGCCGCATTCTTCTCCTCGTACTCCTTCTGGCTTTGCATGGCACGGTCGAGCTGCTTGCTGATAGTGCCACCCATGGCTGCACGTTGCTCCAAAGCGACGCTGGGATAAGGCGGGTTCTTCTCCTTGGAGAGACGCTCAAAGGTCTCGATAGCCTCCCTAAGGCCATCGGCTGCCTCCTGTACATCCTGCAGGGTCTTTTGAGTGGCCTGGAGGCTGTAAGCCAATGAGGCAATTTGGTTCTGCACAAACGCCACGTTAAACTGTAAATGAAGCTGGTCGGGGGAGACGCTTTGTGCCCGTTGGGCGTATTCAAGAGCAGTCTTCATAGACGCAAGGTTCATCTCCTGTTTGCCCTTCAACCACCAAACTCTACCAAGACAGGCGAGAATCTGCACGTCACGAGAGCGGTCCTTGGAAAGAGCGGTTTCGTAATGCTCAATTGAGCGTGAGTACTGTCGGAGCTCGGCGTAGACATGTCCCAGGTTGAGATAGACGCTGGGGTCCTTTATGGTCTCTCGAATCTTTGAAAGAATCTGCACCGCAGTGCTGTAATCCTTCTTGTCATCGACAAGAGCAATGGCAATACCTTGAGCGGCATACGCGTTCTTCGGATCTAGTTGAAGAGCCTTATCGAAGAACTCCACAGCACGCTGGTACACCTTCCGCCGTTTCTCCTTCTCCTGCTCAGTGTCGCGACGCATGTCGCGAGCGGAAAGAAGATGTACATTACCCATGCCAGTTAAAGCGTATCGGTCATGCTTATCGTGGTACTGCAGAGTGTGCTTGTAGTGGCGTTGCTCGTGATCCTCGGCAAGATTGGCAACCCGCTTCTTGGATTTGCTGAGATACCACCCGAAGAGCGCGCGAACCTCCAGGTTCGAAGATTCAACTTCGTACAGCTTAGCCATCTTCTTGGGACCTTCATCCGTGGGACTCTGGCGCAAGCTGATGTAAGTCAGTCGAGCACTAGCTTCTGTGTAATCGCTGTGTCGCTCCAAAAGACCCTCGTAGACCTTCTTCGCTTCATCCCACATGTCGGCCGCCTCGTAAGTCCGACCCAAGTTGTAGCTGATAGTAGTAACAAGCGCATCGTTGTCGGCCTTGTCTTCTCTCTCTTGTGATTGGACGCAGGCGTTGAGCGCTGACTGGAACATACCCCGGGCCAATGCAATCTTCTCGTTCTGATACAAAAAGGCACCCATGTTATTGAGAAGCTGGGGAGGGAGATAGTTGCGGAGAGCATTCTTCATATCTTCCTCATTATCAATTCCCTCCGGACGAGCACTCTCGGGAATACTGGCAAGCTGAAGTTGCTCTAGCTGAACAAGACATTGCATGCTCTTTTCGGGGGCAATACCCTCATAAAGTCGAGAAAGATAGACCAGAACCGATTCGTCTGGGGTCAAGTTTTGTTTCTCGTCCTTCCACATTGATCGCACAGACTCCAAAAGAGTGATTGCCCGCTTGGCCTCGGTCGATTTGTCCTCCTTGCTGCCTGACTTTTGAGCTGAAAACACCTCTTCCGCATGTATCGCTGCAAGAAGTGTCATAGCCTCTGCATTCTTCGATTGTTGAACAATCTTCTCCAAGCGGAATTTGGCACCATCAAAGTCCTTGTTGGTGACTTGCATCTGCACCGCACCGAACTTGGCCGGCAGGTAGCCCTTATCACCACCTCCACGGGCCTGATCGGAGCGGTTGTAGTACTCGGTGGCTCGTGTGTTGTCGTTCTCGTAGTGAGATTTGCGTCCAAGGAGATACCAGCCGTCACTGGCAATGGACATGACATCCGTCTGCTCGATAGCCTTGCGAGCAAGAGTTTCCACAGTCGGGTATTGTTTGCGCAGAAGGAAGTAGCCGCCAAACAAAGCGCAGGTCATTGGGTATTCTTTGTCAAGCTTGAAAGCTTTTTGGGTGTACTGGGTCATGGCGACCTTGTACAAGGAACCGAACATCGGGTCAGTGGTGGATCGGCGAGAGCTGTCGTGGAGATAATAAACTGCAAGCAGGATATTTGCGACCTTAGATTCGGGGTTCTGCATATGAAATTAGTTGTCAGGCCTACCAAAAGTATAGGATGAACCTACCAGAGCCAATGCTCTTTCCCACGCTAACTTAGCTTGATCTTTGAATCCTAGCTGCCATAAACAACATCCCAAACCGATGCGAGGATCTGGATCTGTGAGATTTGGAACCTTCATGAGGACTTTCTGGTATCCATCCAGGGCTTCAGCGTATCTTCCTAGCATGTAGTGTGCCCGAGCACGTCCTAAAATCGCCATAATATTGCGACCGCCAAAGGCCTTGGATGATTCGTCGAAGCATTTCAGCGCCTGACGGAGGGTTTCTACTCTCTCGGAGGTGTCAATTGCACCGGGGCGGACAGCACGAGGGGGGTACAAGGATGCACGGAGAAGACAGAGGACACCGCGAGCGAGGAACAAAGGTGGGTATGCTGGATTCAAACGGGAGGCCTCGTTCAGCGTTGATGTCGCCAACTGCAGGTAATGGTCTTTCGTTTTGGCTTGTGAGTAAAGTTCTCCCTCCGGAGCCACACGAGGTGCTTGTCGGCTTTTAAGCATCAGCAGCCAGCAGACCCAGCCCAGGAGCCCGAGCTTTTCCTTGGTCCCTCCGTGGGCTACGGAAGCCAAGCCTTTGTTGAGAATATCGAGGGCATGATCAAGTTGCTTTCGCTTCGCATAGGCAAGCGCAATGATTACCCAGAAGTTCTTTGCAGCTCGTTCGTTTTCCAGCAGTGTGCATAGCTCAGTAGGGTCTTCCGGAAGATCAAGGAGGCTGACTTCGACTTCGCTGTCGAAGCTAGAGGCGGGGATATCGATGGCATCGGGGATATCGGCGAAGCGCAGGTTATCCATGGAGCTTGGAGGAGGCATTGTTTCGGTGTTCGAGCCATTCGAGTGGCCGTTTTCGAGGGGGGCCATGATTGCGACGGCGCGCTGACGAGGAAAGGTGGTGTGTCCCGAATAAAATGCGTAGATGTAGAGAATGAGCAAAGTCTTCAGCTCATGATCAAACAAGATTGCCCATCTGAAATCTGAAGGATGCGGGCCAATTCACTGGAAGACAATGAAACGCGCCAGTGAATATCGGAGAGGCTCAGACCGCGGTGATCTCAATTGAGAATTGGATTGGCTTGGCGTGGCTGGATTACACCGCCACATCTACACACCGCCACAGTTTCTCATCCAGTCCAAGTGATTGTAAAGATGAAAATATTTATAAGTATTGGATATATAACATCTAGGTGATAGTCATGACATGTCTGGCCAAAAACCAATAGTAAAGTATGAAAAGTTACCCAATCAGTGGAACCAACTGCCCACAAGCTTGTACAAGAACACTAAACCAACCAGTACAATGAATATTTGACCAAGCTCTATCCAATGATGCAATCGAACGTAAGACTCGACATAACCAGCATCGACAGCTACCTTCTGTTCAGGGGTGGCGTTTGTAGCTTTGATTGAGCCAGCCAGGTCGGACGGGAACCGGCCAGTCTCCCAATATTGGTCCAATAGCCGATCTTTCTCTACCCATCGGGCTCGCAGCCACTCTTCAAATGCTGTTTGGTCATCCAGAGGAATGTCTGCAACAGCGAACCGCCGCCAATGCATATTAACTGAGGTCGGAGGGCGTCCTTGGAGATATGTGGAGCGAAGGGTGAAGTACTTGTCGGGATAGACTCCATTCCTAAGAATAATTAGTATCATTCAAAGAAAAGAATGGGGGGAAAGGGGGTGTTTTTATAAGAAAGAAAACATACGGTGGACCCTCATAGGCAATAGTGCTATCATAAACCCACTCTACTGTTCCTCGTAGCTGCTGAAGACAGAAAAACAGACCTGTTGACCGGGGGAGAATTTGGTGATTGAATGAAGGCAGTCCTTGTTTCTCTCCAAATGCATCACTCCGCCGCTTAGTGTTGATAGACAGATTGGTTCCTTCGGGAAAGATCAGCAGCCACATGGGGTCATATTGGGGCCCATTCGACTCTGCTCCAATGTACTTCGTCTTCAATTTTTGGAGCCGATAATGAATTCGGGCCTTGTCTGAAAGCCACTTCCGTGCCAGGAAGATAAATCCGTAGAACATCATGCCCTGGCCAACTATGGGAATCCATTTGAGGGAGTCCTTAAGGATGATGAAAATCCGGCCATGCATCACATTGGTATAGGAAATCCACCACAGGTATACCCAGTCGGTATAGATCTGGTGGTTGGCGATCATCACCAAGCGCTCTGGGAAATCGGTCTGCAACATGCCATCTTCGGACAAATGAATTTGACCTTGCACGCTGGCATCTCCACTAACTCGAAACAGTGTAGGGCTGCCCCATTCGGTGAGTGCGGTGATCACCAGTCCAAAGTTTTGTTTCGTGTACGCCATATACGAGTAATACCAGCTTTTGTTGATCAGGTACAGCGGGCTACCAACAAGCTGGGTTATGAAAATGACCACGATGCAGCAATCGAACCATGTTGCCAGCAAGAAAGATCGGAGCAGTTGCATCAGAATTCCATGTTTCAAACGGGGCTCTGTGGGCGGCTTGGTGGAGTGTTTTTGAAGCTCGGTCGCTTCCATGGTGTGAGGTTTGCGTTGGTGAGCCTCGGTTGAACCCATGGCGTAATAGGAGGCCCTGAATGGGCTGATAGAAGAGGGTATTCACAAACTGGGAGGCTATCAGAAGCTGTGGACCCTCAAGAGGAGTTTTTGTACAACAGTTCGCTTGGGGGGGGTGAGGGGAAGTATTTCTTTGTGGTCAGCGGGAGCTGGCGGGATGTGATCGGGGAGATCGACAAAGAGCTGGGGTTGAGGCTGAAGATTTGTCTTCTCCACTAACAATATGATGAGAAGCTTCAAAATGAAGTGGAATTAATTTAGGAAAATAAAGGAAACGAACTAAAACTGAATAATGAAGAAAATAATGAGAGTAAAAGTTGCTGGTCTCGTGTACTCCGTACAAAAAGCATAACGTCAGAGCCCGAGGCGGTGGGGCCCGATTATTTACTCTTTTAAACTCTCCGCTTTTCTTTCCAAATGTCACAACTCCAAAACCACAATATTTTGAGTACACTGGAGCCATCCGGATATGACCTTTAAACATTTTGCTACATGACCGAGGTCGCTGTTATTCAACCATGCAGTGTGGCCGCAAAAACCCTGGTCTATTCTTACGGCGCTGTTTCTCCTCATCTGCGCCGCGTCACGAGATCCGCGATGTTCGCGCCTTATCGCAACGGCTGATCCCCAAATACCAAGGTGTGGCTGAGCGTGATCATGTTTGGATGACGAGAGGTTAACTCTCTTTCAGAATCCCAAGGCGAACTTCTTTCTCTCCAGTGGCCAGCGCCGCCGCGAAACATCTTGCTGGTGCGCAAGCATTGCGCTCCAACTGTGACCGAATCCCTCATTGAATTTGCCAAGTATGCCAGCCTAAATTAAATGCCTGTTATATAACTCGTTTACCTAACGCTATTTTCTCCAGTCACATCACCTCCACCTATCCATCCACCGCTGTCGTCCTCGAATCCAAGACTGCTGCCGAGGTTCATTCGTCCCTGCCGTTTCCTGTGTACTCTGCCTCCTTGGACGATGATCCCACCGCATTTCATAACAAGGTGGATCTTACGGTGACACTGGGTGGAGATGGCACCATTCTCCATGCCTCTTCACTCTTCGCTACCTGCTCCAACGTCCCCCCAGTCCTATCGTTCAGCATGGGTACTTTAGGGTTCCTCAGCGAATGGAAATTCTCCGAATTTAAACGGGCGTTTCGAGAAGTTTACATGTCCGGGGCCGGGGTTGGAGACCGCACGCCTATGCTGGAAGACAAATTACCAACAGCAGAGAGTGGAGAGTCCACGCTTGAATCAATGGGACCGACAGGCTGGTCCTCGGTCCGGGGTAAGTCCATGGGATGTACCCGTGGAGCCCCCATTTTGATGCGCAATCGACTCAAGGTTGGACTATTTACGGTCGATGGTCATGAAACGACCCCCATCCGCGGCAAAAGTGACCAAGGGGATGGAGTCTACGTCATGAACGAAATCCTTATTCACCGTGGAAAGGAACCGCACCTTGCTGTGGTGGATATCTCCGTCGGGGGCCGCTTTCTGACCGAGGCCGTAGTCGACGGTATCATTATCTCCACCCCGACGGGCAGTACAGCATATAGTCTAAGCAGTGGTGGCAGTATCGTACATCCGTTGGTGCCTTCCATCCTGCTGACGCCCATCTGCCCGCGTAGCCTCAGTTTCAGGCCCCTCGTGTTGCCGTTGAGCACGCCGATCACCATGCGGCTCAGTGATAAGAACCGTGGTCGAGAACTGGAGGTCAGTCTGGACGGGGTCAATCTTGGCCAAGGGATGGCGACTGGCATGGAGGTCCGAGTGTGGAATGAGGAGATGCGACAAGGTATGAATGAATGGCAGGGCGGCGTCCCCAGTGTTATGCGGAGAAGTATGGGGGATGAAGCGCATGAAGGGTGGGTTGGTGGCTTAAATGGATTACTCAAGTTCAACCATCCATTTGGTGAATAAGACGTGTCACTAACAAGTAGTATGCTCATGTATTATATTCAATAGATAGTTAACAGGTAATTTAAATAAGATCATGGATAGTTCCAAGGTTATATGGGTTTATATTAACGGATTGAGCCGCCCGGACGGTAAAATTGGTTAAGGAGACGCGGGCCCAGATTCCCCTCGTGGATACCCAACCAAGCTAGATTTACTTCAAATCTTTATGATTGGTAGAGCTTTGTTTTCTGTAGATTAGCTCCATCAACTCCATACGTTCCAAGTTAGTCTGAGTTTACCCAAAGAAAATCTACCTGGTTCAGGGGAGATCAACTTGCCCCATTCCCGTCCCAAACCCAACTTCTCCCCCCTTTAATCTTCCTTTCTTCTTCTTTACCCCCCACCAATCATCCCACTTTTTGTTTTCTTCTGTCCACTTTGGAAGTCTTGTCTTGTTCGCTCCGAGCCATCCTCGCAGTGCGAGGACCGCTCTTCATCTATCACCAAAAGGTAAGCGAAGAAACCCCAATTGGGCTATCCCCGAGACACCCCCCCCCCCCCCTGGAACGTGGGAAACCAATTATGCTTCTTTCCCTCTTCTTTAAGAACCCCTCGAGCGCCCCTAGAATTTGATCGTGCGACAACAAGGGTATTGTGCTAATCTTTCTTCCTTCTTTCAAAGCCACTCGCTTGGAGCGGGCCTCAGGAGGTCTCGTCGCGCGTTCGCTTCTCCTAGCCCCGCAAACGCTGATCCCGACGTGGCTCCCATCTCGGGAACATAAACAATCATGGGTTCTTATGGAAAGTGAGTGGACTCGTGGAGAACAATGAAATTGTCAACACTCTGGACTCACAACAATCAAAGCAGTACCGCGTACTCGCCGGATCAGTTCATGAATCCGGGGCCGGCTCCCCGCCCCCCAACCGATCGACCCAAGTTGACACTTCCTACCAACAATGCCAACTCAGCGGCCAACTCGTTCAGTCAAATGTCCTTGAATTCACCGAGCACCCCAGGTCACGCCGGTAATTTATCACTGTTCCCCAACACCAGCACCCCGTCCCTGGCCCGGAGCCAAACCGGCGGAAGCGGTGTCACCATTGTGAAAGAGGGCCCTGTGCGTTGCAAGGAAGACAAGTTTCTGGCAACATGGAACCAGCGTCAGTTGATCCTGCGCGAATACAAAGTCGAATTTTTGAAGATCGAGTCCGGAAAAGTTGTTCTTTCATTCCCCCTATCGACCGTCACCGCTGTTTCTCGTTCGGAGGATTCCAAGATGGCCTTTGAGATCACACGACTGGCCAACCCTAAAGATGCGACCTCGAAGACTGCTCTGATCACTCGCGACGTGCCCACCAAGACTATCACTTGCGAGGTTAAGTCTGATGATGAAATTTATGAGTGGATCGACAAAATCTATGAGCGCTGCCCTGGTATGGGCGGCGTCAGCAATCCCACTAACTTCAGTCACCGCGTTCACGTCGGCTTTGATCCGCAGTCCGGTGCCTTTGTCGGCTTGCCCCCAGAGTGGGAGAAGCTGCTGACCGCCTCTGCCATTACCAAGGAAGACTACAAGAAGAACCCTCAGGCGGTAATTGAGGTCTTGGAGTTTTACTCTGATATCAAAATGAGAGAACAAAATCCACAATACTACGGTGGAATGAACGGCTCTTCCGGTACCCCGAACAAGATGCCTACAAGCGCTTCGGTGGGCAGCGGCATCGCCCCTCCCCGGCCTGCCCCACCAGGCCCCATGCAACGCCTGGACAATGGGCAGTCAGGCTCAATGCGTTCCGTATCTTCGCCGACATCGGATCGAACTGCCGAGCAGCAACAACAACTGGAGCGCATGAAGGAAGCGGCGGACCAGGAACGTCGCCGCTTGGAAGAAGCCCGTCGCAAGGAGGATCAAGAATATAATGCATCTATTCCCAAGGGACGTACTCCAATGGCCAAGCAGGAGCTTGGTGGGTACGGTGGTTCAGACACCCGCTACCAGCCGAGTCGCCCTGCCCCACAAGCGCCTGGCTCTGCAGCTCGCAATCCAGCCTCCGACCCCCGTCAGCTAACCGCACAACGACCAGCTCCTGCCCCGCCCTCGCAGAGTCCTTATGGACAGTCTCCTTCCCGCACTCCTGGTAACCAAGGGGAGAACCAGGCATCGCCCTCGCGCTATGCAGCAAATGACCCTCGTGCCCAGGCCTCGTCTAGTCGAGCTCCACAGGCCCAGGGACCGCCACCGACTCGACTGCCAGCTCCTGTGCAGCAAGTGAAGCCCCTGAACGTTGCCAACAAGCAACCGGCCAGCAAGGCCGTTCCTGATAGTGTTCGCCAGGCGGAGGCCGCTTTGACCAAGAAGTCCGAGCCGCGGCAGAAGGAGGTGCGCATGTCGGCAATGTCCGAGGGTGAGGTGATGGACCGACTACGCGCCGTGGTGTCCAAAGACAACCCGAACGAATCCTACAGCAAGCAGCGTAAGATCGGACAAGGTGCCTCTGGATCCGTGTACGTGGCACGGGTCAAGGAACATGCGACATCAGCTGTGGCTCACGAGCTGTACCGACAGTATGGACCGCGATGCCAGGTCGCCATTAAGCAGATGGATCTGCGCAGTCAGCCCCGTAAGGAGTTGATTGTTAACGAGATCATTGTCATGAAGGATAGTCAGCATGCCAATATTGTCAACTTCCTGGATTCGTTCTTGCAGGAGTCGAGCAACGAGCTCTGGGTTGTCATGGAATTTATGGAGGGTGGTGCTTTGACCGATGTGATCGACAACAACCCATTGATCCAAGAGAATCAGATTGCGACTATTTGTTCCGAGGTAAGTTTATTACTTACTTCTTTTATTCGAACTTTCGACTAACAGATAATTTGTAGACTTGCAAGGGGCTGGCCCACCTGCATAGCCAGAACATCATTCACCGTGATATCAAGAGTGACAACGTTCTACTTGACCGCGTCGGCCACGTGAAAATTACTGACTTTGGCTTCTGTGCCAAGCTCACCGAATCCAAGAGTAAGCGTGCCACCATGGTGGGTACTCCTTATTGGATGGCCCCAGAGGTTGTCAAGCAGAAGGAGTATGGTCCCAAGGTTGATTGCTGGTCTCTGGGTATTATGGCCATCGAGATGATCGAGTCCGAGCCTCCTTACCTGAATGAGGAACCCCTGAAGGCGCTCTACCTCATTGCCACCAACGGTACTCCTCGTCTGAAGAAACCCGAGAAGCTCAGCAAGGAGCTGAAGGCCTTCTTGAGTGTCTGTCTATGCGTGGACGTCCGTAGCCGTGCTACCGCGGACGAGCTCCTCGCTCACGAGTTCCTGCAGAATGGCTGTAGCCTTGCCAGCCTAGCAGAATTGCTGCGTTGGAAGAAAGCCAACGGCCAGTGAGGGCAGATTGATCAATCTCATTCTCGTCCACTCAATCAAAACTCAACTTCTGCATACCTCATTCAAGTTGAGAAATTTGTCCTGCGCACATATGTTCGATTTAACGCGCCACCCCCCGGTTAGATTATTCTTTTTTTTCTTCTTGTGTGAATTTTTGCCTTACGAACGAACCGAATACTGCATGGACATCCCATATTCCCCTGCCTTGAGCTTGTCCTTGAGACAGTTTTTTTTGCTGCACACATACAGAACACTGGGCGTGGGTAATTTGGCGTTGATGAACCTTGATTGCTTTCTACTCTGTCTCTAATGTCCATCATGCAGAGATTTCATTCCCATTCCCCATACCATTCTCCTTTTCATGTCTCTGTGCTTTCTTCGACGACGTTGACGATTCTGCACTGTATTTTGTGTCTCTGCACTAAAAAGCGACAACCTACTAGTTTCAGTCTGAATTGAGGGCTTTTTTTTATTCTTGTTTCCAGATCCAATGTTAAATTAATATATCCTTCACGGATCTAACTGAGATGGCGATCTCTGAGTATGCTTATTATAAGGTTGACTTTCAATATTCCCACGACATGAGTTGACGAAATAAAAAGATTTGACCCTGCTTACATTTACCTTGCAGATAACCTCTCCAACGATATTTGTCTCTCAAATTGATTTTCTTTAAGGACTGATGTAATCTGGATTAGAGTCATTCCCTACTCTTTCATCTCTTTTTCATGCCTTCCAGTTTTCATCTTTTAACCAATTTTTCGGAAGATCAGTGTGTAGCCCACTCAGCCTCTAGTATACCAAAGTATACCCCACTGCCTACCCGTCTAGCTACAGTGGACTATATTCCCTACTAACTTAGGGCTTCAAGTGGAACATCTTGGAGTAGCTTGCGGAATGACACTCTTGCATGTTATGTCGTCTATTTCATCCAAATCAGCTATATAAGTAAACATCATACAAATAATACATCACCAAACTGTGACCCAGCTAGACAGTACCCAAGCAGATATTGTGTTCAGACCGAGAACATGGGAAGATCAGGTAGAAAAGTCCAGAATAAGTACTCAACCAATTCATGATCAAACGAAACTAAGGCAGACCATTCGCGACAAACTGTCTCAACTGACCACAAGCCTCGCTGAACAGCACACCTTTCAACACGGTTTCACCCTCGCTAGCGGTCCAGCGTCCAGCATCAGTTAGTCGCTGTTTCCACACGGCCTGATCCGAAACACTCATATCCTCGTAGGAGCGCAAGCGCTCACTCTCAGAAAGCTGATGGTGATGCGCAGAGTTGGATGTCTCAATAAGAACGCTCTCCTCAGCATTCCCATGAGAATTACAGCGCACAATAACCGATAAAGACTGGGGAGCCTGAGTCTCCAGATCAGCGGGAGCAGCGCCGGCCTTGTGGACGCGGTCAAGGATCTCCTTTAGGCTTTCCAGCACGTCTTTCTCGATGGTGATATCTGCGTGAGGATTTGGAAGGAAATGTGTTTTGTCGAGAGGGTTCTCGCCCTTGCGGGATGGAGAGAGAATGTAGTCCAAGTAGGATCCTTTGCCCTGCTCTGGAGCGATATATTCGACAGCCCAGGATTCGCGGATCCCGTTGGATAGCCAGTCGGTGGCACCGAAGTAGGGAGGGGTTGCACCGCGGATTTCCATGTAGATGAGAATGGCAAAGATGATTGCGCTGAATGATAGGATACAGACGCTGATGTAGGTGAGGAGTTCCCATGTTTCCGAGGGACCGGGGAGGGATAAGGTGTAGCGAGGGTAGCGCGAAGAAGGTGGGAATGGGGAGAGTGGGAGGGTGTGGACGACGACTGTGTTACCCATGCTGACAGAAGCTAGTTTTACCCTCTGCGGGAGCACGTCTGGGGTAATAGGGTGGGCGGGGGCGATAAAGGTTGAGAAGCACAGTTTTGTCATGGAAAAGGGATGCACATCTTGAAGTGTTGTGTATAACTTGATCTTTTCGTAGCCTCGGTTGGGACCGTATTCAACTGTCCACAACGTGATAGAGTTATCGCTGCCGCTGGCGGCAATGATGGTCTGTTGTTGACCGACTGGGTTAGTGCCAAGAGCACAAACGTCGAGGCCGAGGCCGATCTTCACACTTCGGGGAAGCCTGCGGCGACGCAAAATCTTGGCCTGTACATCTTTGGTCTTTGGCAGCTGTAGGAGAACCAGCTCACTTCCGCTGCGGTTCGGGGAATTTTGCAACAGGAGAATGGCAGTGGGAGAAAGGAAGCGGAGAGCCCGGAACTTAGGGCGAGCAGCACGGCCACTGCTAGGAAGAGGGATGGTATAGACGCAGCGAACATCCGGGGCAGCATTGGAACGAGTAGAAGACGAGATCTCGCCAACCATAACATCCACCCCGTTTGTATACGCGACACGGAACTGGCCACGGGCATCGGTAGTCTGATCGGGGTCGAACTCAAGACTAGCAAAATCCACATCCTCTGCTTCCTCATTGCTGCTCAGACGTATACGACCAATGACATCCGACTGTGTAGGAGAATCCGTTGCGCTGAAGAAGACGATCTCGCCTGATGGTGCGAGTCCAGTCGTAATCGCACCCACCCTGGGTTCGCTCTTGTCGGCTTTAGTTTTCTTCCAGGGTGACAGCCTCAACACGCGTTGATAGCTATCACCGGCATCAGTCCCGCTCTTAAAGCGAAACAGCGATGCGCGAGATAGTGTTTCTGTCTTTCCAGGAATGACATTCTCCTCTGGCTCTTTATTCTCCTCCCCCTCCTGTTCCCCCACTTCAGTTGTTGAACGAACTTTCCGCGGCGCGTCGAATCTGAATGAGCGCATATGCTGGTTATTATTCTTCTTCTGTTCCGCAACCGAGCTATTAATTCCAGCGAGGACAACAAGTGAATGTTCGTCATCGCCAGTCTGCGGCGCCGCAGCCAACGACGTCACCGAGTCCTCGTCGCGCGACAAGCTCAGCTCAACAGCCTCCGTGATTTCGTTTCGACGTGACGTATCTAACAGAGACTGAAATAGACGAGTTAGACTTCTGTGAAAAGCAGCAGCTGTGTAACTCACGATCTTGTTTCCAACTCCGCTGCGGCCCTCGCCGCCTCCGCCGCCCACGAGCAACCGACCATTATTCCGTGGGTCGAATTCGGCTGCGAAGAGCGGACAGGAGAGTGTGATCTTTGCAGAGTGGACTGTAGGTGCCATCTTTTTAGTGTTCTGTTCTGAAGAAGGAAGAGGACAGATCTGGGATGATCGGAGGTTTCGATTCCCCGGATTCTTGGCGCGGATGACCATATTGGGCGATGCCGGGAGTCTAGCTTAAGCTCACTTATTGACTTAATACATGGACAGAATTATAAGAGCAATTTAAGAACAAAATGCAAAAGGTGTATATTTTTTGAACGTGTCTAATCTACTCCACTTCCTGAGCAGTGAACTCGGGCAGACGCTTGGCAACATCCTCCCAGGTCTCGTCACCATCGGTGAGAGACTTGATAGCCGCCAGGATCTCCTCCTCGGAGGCACGCACCTGCTTGGTGGAGTCACGGTCACGCAGGGTGAGGGTGTTGTCCTTGACGGACTGGAAGTCGACAGTGATACCGAAGGGGGTACCCAGCTCGTCGTTACGAGCGTAACGCTTACCGATACTGGCGGATGAGTCGTCCACACGGTTGGAAACACCCAGTCGGCGCAGCTTAGTAGTAAGGCTCTTGACGAGAGGCTTGAAAGCAGGGTTGGTGGACAGAGGGACCAGCAGCACCTTGGTAGGGGCGATGGACGGGGGGAATGAGAGGACCTAGAAGAGTCAGTATGGAATGGAATAAGAATAACAGGGAAACATACACCACGGTTCTCATCACCAGCACGCGACCAGTAGACATGCTCGATCATGCTGTACATAATACGACCGATACCAAAGGAAGGCTCAATGACGTTGGGAGTGTACTCGCGAACATTGTCAACACGGGTGCGCTTCTCAATCGTGATAAGGTCCTTCTCCAGCTCAACCTTGCCAGAACCGACACCAGCAACGTCAATCTCAATCTTGCCGTTCTTCTCCAGATCTAGGGACAGCTTCTCACGCAACTCCTGGGAAAGAGCATCAATGGCAGACTCGACGGCCTTGGCGTCCTTCTTGAAGCGGGGACCGAACTTCTTCTTTTCGAGATCGATCTGGTACTCCTCGATGCGCAAAGGCTCAGCGCGGGTCTCGCGAACCACAAGCGGGGCACCAGTCTTGTTCTTGTGCACGGTCAAATCATAGGCACTGCGGTCGGCACAGCCAACACACTCGATCCAGCCGTAGCTGGTCTGGAGCTCTGCGTCCCAGCAGTCAGCGGCGTAGTGAGCCATCTCGTTGGCCATGTGCTGACGGAAACGCAGCTTGTTGAAGTCAATACCCAGCTTGAGGAGGAAGAGCTGGATACGACCCAGGAAGTAACCCAGGGTTTCGTTGTCTACCAGACCAGTCTCCACGGCGTGGCCAATGGTCATCTTGGTGGTCTTGGTGCTACCAGACAGCTGCACGTTACGGTCGAGCAGGGACATCTCGATGTCCTTGACCTCGTTGAAGCGGGGGTGCTTCTTGCCGCCCTCTGGGTCGACGTAGTGCTCAATCTCAGCCATCAGGAACTCACGCACACGCAACAGACCGGCACGCGGGGAGATCTCGTTGCGGAACGACTTGCCAATGGAGGCCGAGGCGAACGGCATGGACTGCTGATTGAACTCGAGCAGCTTAGCAAAGTTCAGGAATTGACCCTGCGCAGTCTCGGGACGAAGGTAACCAGGCATGTTGCTGCTGGGACCGATAGAGGTCTGGAACATGAGGTTGAAGGCGACGGGGGGGAGCACGGGGCCATCGGTGGAGGGGTTGCGGATATCGTACTTGACGATAATCTTCTCGAGCTCGGGGCCGTCGAAGTTATCAATCTGTGCAAGAGTCTCCTCGTACTCCTTGACGAGAGCATCGTCCAACTTGACAACCTTCTTCTCGCCCTTGGACTTCTTCTTCTTCTTGGCCTCCTTCTCCTCGTCAACCACAACCGTTTGGCCGCGCGCTTCCTTGTCGCCCTTAAGACGGGCCTCGAGGACCTCCTCGACAAGGTGGTCCGCACGGAAAATCTCGCCAGTCTTGGGGTCCTTGCACATCCAGTCGGCGAACTTGTCCACGTGCCCGCTGGTCTTCAGGATCTCGTGGGGGGTGAGCATAGTAGTGTCGACCTCCAGCATGTCCTCCTCCAGAACGAAGTGCTTGCGCCACAGGTCGGTCATGTTGGCGACAAGGGCGGTTCCAGGTGGGCCATAGTCGTAAAGACCCGACACACCACCGTAGATCTCGAAGGCGGGGGTGTAGAACATGCGACGGCGGAGCATTGACTCCAGGATGTTGCGGTCAACATTCTGGCCGGTCTTGGTGGCGATGGTAGCCATCTTGGGGTTTCGTTTGGAGGGCTTCGGGGGCGCGGTCGAAGAGGTGAAAGTCCTGAGGAAGGACGGAGGGGAAAAAGCAGAGGAGCGGGGGAAAAGTCGCGGCAGCAATTGAGTCATCCAATCACCCCAGGCACACCTTTGCCTGGCTTAAACAACCAAACAATCAAAGCAAAGAAGGTGAACTGGTGAAGAAGGATAAGTATGACGCGGCAATTTCAGATTTGTCCTTTTTTCCTTTTTTATATAACTTAATATCCTCCAATTGAAAAGGGATCAACAACTTTCAGTGGCCGGAGCGCCCATGCCCGGGGAAAAGATATTCCGTGATAATCTATTTTCTTGCAAAAAAAAAGTTATCGGCCGGTCAAGTTCAACCACCCGGAAACTTTACAACTCAGCAAAATGGGCATGAAAGGCAGGGGTAGACCCCCTCCCAATGCGGGGCTCGAAGAGTCGAAGCCTGCCAACAAGATGCGCCGTCAAATGATGCACATCAAGCGCAAGAGAGAGAAAGACTCAACGCGCCGAGCGGAGCGATATGCCTTCAAGAAGGAAGAGGCTAAGAACCCCAAACTGAAAGAGGCTCGTCTGAGGGAAAATGTCCCATTGACTCTCGACCGTAAGCGAGTCTGGGATGAGGCTGATAATGACGCCGAGGAGACTGGGCTGGGTTTGAGTGTCGACGTTGAGCGCATCAAGCGTGCCAAGCAAGAGGAGGAGGATGAATTGAACCGACCCTTGGAGGAAGGAGAGGATGACAGCGACGCTCCTGATTCCGACAATGAGTCCATCGACAGTATGATTGCGAGCGACAGTGAAGACGAGGATGAGGATAAGGAAGGCGAAGAAGATGCCAGCCGCGGTCGAAGCAAATCGAAACTGCGCACTGCCACCGAACGTGCTACCAGCCCGACACAATCAACAAAAAGTACGAACCTGAACCTCGCACCTGAAGCTCTCGCCGCCAAGTTCCCAACCCTCTTTTCCTCGGACCCTCCCCCTACGCCTAAAGTTCTTATTACAACATCCCTCAATTCGACGCTCCACAAGGAAGCCGAAGACCTCACCAACTTCTTCCCCAACAGTGTGTACATCCGTCGTACCGCACACCGTTACTCGCACAAGTTCTCCATCCGCGAGATCTCCAAGTTCGCCGCAAACCGAAACTTTACCACTGTGCTTGTGCTAAACGAGGACCAAAAGAGACCTAGCGGTATGACAATGGTTCACCTTCCCGAAGGCCCGACATTCCACTTCTCAATTAGCAACTGGATCGAGGGTAAGCGGTTGCCAGGACACGGTAAAGCCACGGACCACTGGCCCGAGCTGATTCTGAATAACTTCCGCACCCCGCTCGGTCTCTTGACTGCGCATGTGTTCCGCACCCTGTTCCCTTCCATGCCCGAGTTCCAGGGCCGACAGGTTGTGACATTGCATAACCAGCGTGATTACATTTTCGTGCGTCGTCACCGTTATGTCTTCCGGGAGAAGCGGGAGACTGAGAAGGCCGTTGTTGGAGCCGATGGCAAGGAGATTGCCGGTGTAGAGGGAATCCGAACTGGCTTGCAGGAACTGGGCCCGCGGTTTACTCTGAAGTTGCGCCGTGTGGACAAGGGTATCCAGCGAGCCAGTGGACAGGAGTGGGAATGGAAGGGTGGAATGGAGAAGGTGCGGACAAAGTTCCAACTGTGATTTCCATTTGCTTTTTTTTGCATGGGGTTCGGGGAGTATTTAAAGTCTTTATGGGTTGGGCATCTACATATTTGAATTGAATGAACATAATGTCAACTATTACCATTATGTACCAGCTCCAACGTGGATCAACTAGAGGATTTCCGCTGCGCATTTCGGCGCCTAGAACAACGAATGTTTCTACTATACCTATACCATTTACTTACAGTCTCCCACTCAGTATTCTACCATATCTACCGCGGTGTAATCGAGTAATACAGTCATGTGGTTGATGATAGACATGTTGATTGTCAAAGTGTTGATAACCCTTGATATTGATCAATGCAATGTTAAATTCTTTGCTATAACTTGAGACAGACAGGTCATCGTCATCGTCCTACTTGTATGCATATAATAAACCCTAACTCCGTACACCATATATCATCCCTTACTCAGATCTCTAACTCTAGCCATAGCCCTAGCCAGCACATCATCTCTGCGCTGCTCAAACGAAATCGGCTTCTTCGCCGTAGCAATCCGCACCCTCCCCGTAATCTTCCCAGTAGCAAGAATCTCCTCCTGGACCTTCCCACACAGTTCTCTCGCAGCATCAAATGTGAACCCAGCGAACTTCGTAAGCGGTCTCAACGCATGCGCTTCCAATCCCTCCAACAACGCAATAAGTGCCATTTTCCCAAGGGTCTTCTCATACGGATCATCCGAGAGACCTATAGGAAAACACTGTTCAAGGACATTGATATCACTGAATCCTGCTGCTAGGAGTGTTTCTCTCCGGAGGTGGTGAAGATTTCGTGGATATCCCGATATTTCACCGGTAGTACGGAGAGCAGAGGCGTAGATCTGCAAGTTTGGTGTATTCCCCTCCGTAGTAACTGTATCTCCTGCAGGATCTGTATCTGCGATTTCAATATACCCGCCTGGTTTCAGGTGGGTGAATGCTTGTTGATAGATACCACGCCAATCCTTGAACGCACCTGATAGACCGCGGATATGAATTAGATCAAAAGGTTCTTGGTATGTCCATGAAGATTGAGCGTCTGCAAGTTGAAAGTCGACGTTTGGGATGGAGACGTGTGCGATTCCCGAGTCAAAGATGCCGAGGTCGGAGGCGATGATGGTGGCATTTGGGTATTCGGCGCTCATTTCGATTGCCCAGTCGCCTGGACCGGTGCCGATATCCAGGATGCGGGGTGAGTCGGTGGTGAATGGTGTTAAAGTGAGACGACCTTCTAGGAGGATGAGATAGATTTGGTGAACGATGTTGAGGCGAGTTAGTTCTGTTTCGTCGTTTGGCATGAAGTAGGTTGTGTCGCAGTATCGGCGGTTATTTTCCTCGATGTTGGGGAGGTTTTGGTATGTACACGAGTGGGTTGATTTTCTATCAGGATTAGTATGACTGGAAGTACTTTCCGTTCATGGTGCTCACATTGATTCCTCTCCATCTAAGCCTGAGAATGAATTCAAGTCCGAGTCCGAGTCTGACTCTGGTTCTGGGCTCCCCGCTTCGATCTCTAGTGATGTTCGAGTATAGGAAGGGCCTGGGTCCTCCTCTGGCTGAACGGGCATGTCCATAACATGACGAGTTGGTCTGGCCGAGCTAGTACAAGGGATTATGCCAGCTAACTTAGTTCCAGCTTCAAGCTGAAATATTTAAGTGTCATATATACACAAAAGATGTCGCAGATCTTCGGCTCCCTGAAATGTGGGTAACAAAGTTGAGCGAAGGAGGGGCTCAACCGTTCCGACGTGTAGCAGAATACGGGAATGACAGGAATGACAGGGTATCAAAGAAACAAGAAAAATCGATAGAGAAGATGCCGAACCCGACAGACTGGCACCAGGAGGGAAGGGAATAAGAGGCATCTGGACCCGAGCACATGGACCGAAAGCCGGGAAATTAGAGATCCTTTTTTGTACCCCATAATAAAAGTCAAATTCTATGTGCTGTACATATACATATAAGTGGATAAGGGGGGCAGGGAGGGAATGAACCAGTGAGGATGAGTTATATACGGGACACTTTGGATAACTCATGTATCATTCGGTAGAATCCTGTTCTGAATAGTTGGCGAATCATTGCACTGCCCAGTATGACCCGACATTATGGTACTAACTTGAATATCGTACCATAATAGCTTGGACTAAACCTTCTATACATAATCTCGGTTTCAAGCCCCCGAGTAACTTGAGTAGCACAGACAATTTCCCTGCATGTACAGAACTCTGTCAATGTATCAGTGTATACGGTAGTTACTTGTACTAGTAGACACCCCTATACTTTAACCTACTCACGCATGTATAATATGACAGGTAGCTGTCTTTTAGACCCACAGACTGGAACCATTCCCTCGGGAAGACAGATAATACTTAAGTACTATATAATATACCAAGAGTAAAAGTAAAAACAAAAACCTTTTTCTCCACTCAACTACTCCTTTAACCACTTCTTAACCACACCATGACCCGACAGTTTGGTTCGAATCCCGCCAAGATTACTTCATCCAGTAAAGACCAGCGGCACCTCCGAGACCAGTCACGAGACGATCTCCCGTCCCTGATCCAAACAACTGGGTTTCATTCCAAGAAATTAAAAAAAAAAAAAAAATTCCCCCATATCCCTACTACAAACAACCAACACGGCTCAAAGTCAAAAGCCAAAATGCATCCACCACTGACAGGATCACCTCGTCGTCTCCTCTTTATAGCCTCAATAGGCAATCAAGGCCCATACCGACGAACAAGACATAGCGCAGGTCATATTCTTCTCGATGAACTTCTTCCCCGACTCCGTTCAAGTTGGTCATCAAGCGATGCGGCAACGCAAACACCTCCAATCGGCGCATACTATACAACATGGTATAGTCCTTCTTTTATGAATGAGTCAGGGCCGAAATTGGTGCGACAGATGGTGAAGTCTTTTCAGCGACAAGAGGAGGTTCTTAAGGGCTCTTCTTTGTCTCCTTGGTTAGAGGGCTTGGTACCTTCTGGATCTGGATCTGGATCCGGGTCTAGATTCGGGTCTGGACAGAGTATTCCTGCTACATTGGTTATTTTACACGACGAACTTGAGGCGCCGTTGGGTAGAGTCCGGGTGAAACGAGGTGGACCGGAGATTGCTAGTTTACGCGGCCATCGGGGGTTGATTAGTGTTTGTGAGAGTTTGCGGGGGAAGGGGTTATATCCTCCGAAACAGGGAAAAGGGAAGAAGGAAGAACAACTGCGGGATTTGTCTATTCTGCGGGTTGGGGTTGGGATTGGGCGACCGGATAGTCGGGCGAAGAATGCTGTTGCGGACTATGTGTTGGCGGAGATGGATGCGGCGGAATTGGCAGCTGTACAGAAAGCTGTTGATCCTGTGTTGGATATTCTGGAGGAGGAATTATATCGTGGGGTAAAACTGTGATACCCCCTACATATACTGGAGTTGGATAGATTGATACCCATAAGCGATGCACCTGAATTGAACTCCTTTCGTCCGTACAGCGGTACAAAAAACAAAGGAAAGAAAATTAACCGATATGTCCGGTTGATGTACATGGCTGGAAAAACAAATCAAACAGAAAGAAAAGGTCTCAAATGGTCATCTGAACCCCATGGAACCCCCAATTATGCTAAACGTATCATCTTAAACAGTACCAGCAATACTTAAATCACGGATCTCCTGGAGCACCTCTTCTACCCGATTATCAAGGTCACCGCGGGCATACTGTTCTCTTGTCTCGGCATCCAGATACTGCTGCACCTGTGCCATGCGAGAGTACGCCTCCGCACAGAAGCGCAGCTGGATCTTGACAAGAGCCTCGAAGCTTGGATCCAGATAAGGGACACGGAGATCGATCAGCTGAGGCAGCTCACTGAAAAGCTGCTCGTTCAACTGCTCGTAGGCCTGCTTGGCAATTTCGGCCTCGCGCTCAGTACGAGGCAACTTGGTAGCGTCCTTGTCGGGCTTCTCGACGAGCTTCTTGACCTTAGCGCGCATAGCATCGTAGTCAAGCAGCTTGTGGTTGCGCTTCTTGATACATTCGTTGACGTCGGGGAAATAGGCACAGAAGCGAGAGATAGGATCGAGGACGGTGGTGCTACACTTGTTAGTCGTTGTGATAGAAAAGGTTGCATCGGTCATACCGGTATGGTCCATCCAGCGCCTTAATAGTCTCGGCATCCAGATCCTCCACAGCTTGCTTATAGCTCCGGCTCACACCATCCTTTGTCCCGGCATCACCGTAAAAAGCATCGATTGTCTCCGCGATGCGCATCTGCGACGCAGTCATCGCTGTATATAACACACTCCGTTAGCCTCTACATTCATGAACATTCAAGCCGAATGCAACACTCACCTCGCAAAGAATCTAAATATCCCTTTGCCTCCTTCTGCAGTCGGTTAGCGGCCGCCTCCATGGTCCGGTAGCGCCTGCAACTCGTCAGTTTCTCACCCAGCTCAAGGGCAATCCCCGACATACCGTTCTTCGATCTCATAATCCCGGTCATTTGTCCGCTCCACATGACCTAATCATTGAAGTCTCAGATTAGTATCGTGCATAGCTGTGGTGATTGTCGCATCGGGCAGCGATTGCGGGGTAGCATTCCGCGGACTAACCGGTCTTCATCATAACCTGCGTAGTCGCACGGTTGACATTTTTCTTGAAGCCTGCACAATAGCTAAATGTCAGCATGATTCTCGAAAGCCGACCCATGTTCGATCAAGACAGAGCGTGGGGGTTTTGAAGGTGTTCCCAGCGTACCTGCCCAAGACATGGTTTCGAAGGATAATGGGTGATGTGGGTCGAAGATTGGTAGTATTAGGATCAGAACAGATACAATGAAGCCCCAATATTAAAAAATCCCAGGAGAGAAGGCCGTTGTCTGCGTCTCGGTAGATCCTATGAGGAACAAGTCAACCCGGACTCCGAAGTCTGCCTTACCCGTGTAGCGGTGCGGCAGTATTACGTAATGTGACCAAATGCGGCTACGTCACCACCAAGTATAAAGATTTTTGCACAGAATTTGCACTACAGAGTAGTAGTATAGCACTAGATAATTGATGAATCTTACAATACACATGAACCAAAGACTAGTTATAAGGCTGAAGGATTACAGTTGCATATCCACCGCCGAAACGAGAATGCAGATGCCTAAAGACTTGGTGAAATGTGCCAAGACCAATAGTCGAAACAAACATTTAGTGGAATTTTCAAGTTTGCAATTATACGTACGGAGTACTCCGTACGTGAAAAAAAAAGCCAACTCAGAGACTAGGAGCTAAGGACGCCGCATTGCATCAGTTCTGATAAGGCTGTCGATCACCTAGAATAGATTGGGGTCGGGGCTAGAATTGAGGGCTGAAAGATGAACACCACATACGGTGAAGAAAGACCGGGAAAACAGGCGTATAGTTCATACGGCCCCGACAACCGGATGTCAACTGTTCCGTAAGTTCAGGTGGCTGTGGACATATTAGCCACGTTGGTTACCTGATGTCATCAAATAAGACAAGCCCACTCCAGGCCACCTTGATTTCGAAAATGTACAAAGAACCTAATTTGATTGGAAATCATTCATACGCCCAGCAGAAGCTAATTTGTCATCAACTTAATAACTAACTACACCAACTGACTAACTAGCTAGCTAGCTAGCTATACAATCGGCTTACATAGTGCAATATCAGGGTGATTTTTTAGGTAGTAAGGAGTTTGCAGTATGTCATTTCCATGAGATTGCTATGTACAGGCATTGGTATATACGTTGACAACAAACAGATCCGGGAATCTTCCAGTAGAGCTGGTCATCATAAAAGTACAAGTCCAAAAAAGAGAACGCGTGAGAGAAAAAGAAAGAACCAACGCCATCGCCTCGTCTGCTCCAGGCTGAGGGAAAGGGGGGGGGGGAAGTCATGACTCTTCGTTGCATTTGACGTGAAACATGACGTCCATAAATGAAATAAACAAAAGCTAACGGGCTGAAAGGATATAGAAATGCGCCGGATCGAATGACCGAAAAGAATAGGGCCTCCTGTCTATGAGGAGCATTCAAAAGGACAAGACCTCCTTTTCCTTGAACGGGTCTAAAACAAAAGAAAGAACCACCCTGAAGTATAAAGGAAGGGTACATAAATAATAAAGCCCCTTCCCCCTCAAATCCGCAAAACCAGGCTTAGAACCCTTCTTCGCCTGCCTTGCACAGTTTGATCTGCCGAACCCACTCGGATTTGAGAACCTGAGAGGCATTGATACGGCGAGAAGGATTCGGGTCCAAAATGGAGTAGATCACGTTGCGACAACGGGCCTGCAGAGAGCATGTTAGGAGAATAATCCAAATCCAAAGAATCCATTTTTATTGCTCACCCGATGAAGCGTCTCAATAGGCGCGTAACCATCTTCGTGCTTCCGTCCTTCCAAGTACCGCTGGTAGAACTCGTCTTCGTCCTTGCGAGCTACTCGCCAGAGATGACGTCCAGTGCGCATGGCCATGTAGATAACTCCGGTGGCCCACAAATCGACGGCGCGAGGATCAAACTCCTTTTCGATGTATTCTTCGGGCGCGATATAAGGGGCAGATCCACAGAGACCAGCAGTCATATGGGCTTCCTTTTCCCAGGCCATGCGGAAACATTCGCCGTTACCAAAGTCAGTGATCTTAAGTGCACCGTGTGTTGTCAATAGCAGGTTTTCGGGTTTGAGGTCACGGTGGGCCACGCCCATCTCGTGCATGTACTCGACTCCGCGCATCAGCTGCTTGAAGAAGCAGTCGGCTTCGGCCACCTCCAGTTTTCCGGCCGACAGGACCAGTGTGTAAAGGTCACCACCGGCGCAGAATTCCATAACCTCACAGTAATCGCCCTTGGCGTCTTGTAAAAGGTCGAGGGTGTGGATGACATTGGGGTGACGCAGGGATGAAGAGATACAAAATTCCGATGTAAGTCTCTTCTGATATTTTTTGGCGGTCTCCTGGGGTCGGCGGCGGAATTCCTTCACCGCATAAAGTTGCTCACATTTCGAGTCCTGCGGATCAACCTTGTGCGAAATGCGGACAATACCGAAAGCGCCGCGGCCGACAATTTCCTGACATTTTCCGTACTTGTCTACCAGGGATGCGGTGGCATTGGGCCCGCCCTTTTTATCGAGGGCCAGCTTGTCCCGTTCGGTTTTGAACTGGTCGATCCAAGTCGACATGAGTGAGAGCTGCTGCTCGTCGACCTGGTGATCTTCTCCACCCTTCTTCCGGCCACCACCCAGCATGTCACGGAGTAGATCGGTCAGTTTTTCCTGACGTCTTGCACTGCGAAGGTGATGGGAGTGATTGCCGAGAGCTTCGGCGAGAATCTCGAAACGCTTATGCGGAGGAACGCCATCTTTTTGTTCCTTGCCGGTCGGCTTCCTCTTCTTGTCCTCGATGGGTTCATTTTTGAGGGAAGGTTGACGGGAAGGCGTACGAGAGGGAGGTCTTGAGTTGGCTGGGGTTGTCGGTTTTGATGTTGGCTTTTCTTTGGTACTGGGGGGTGGTTGGACGCTGTCCAAGCTGCTGTCGGATAGATCACGGTGTGCGTCGTGTTTCTCGTGAAAGGTGGGCGTGTTTTTTCCAGTGGTGGAAAACATGCGAGAGAGACGAGCAGCCATCTTTGGCTTCTGGGGCTTCGTGGCGGGGGATGCCGGTGGAGGGAGAGCATCCCCGTTCGCCGCGGACAGATGCATGCCCGCTAGAGGGCGTGTTACCGGCGGTTCTCCATCCCTAGTATCATGTGAATGTTGAGAGTTTGCTGTGGAAGAGACTGCAGAAGGAACAGGTGATGGAGGAACTGGAGTCATGTGCGGTGGATTTTTAAAGGCGTAGAGAATAGGTGTAGATCTCGAGGATTAAAGAATCACGTCGTCCCCGGAAGAGGATGTGGAGACGAGCCGAGCTCGCACGCGGCTAAGCTGCGCAAAAAATGCAAGCTCTGATTGAATCTGTAAATTTGTCCTGTGAGGAGGTAGAGAAGAAACAAGAGCGAGATGAGCGTCGGCGGGCGGCGGGAGAAAAAGCGGTGGATGGCCTGAATTTATGGCCTGAGGCAACCAAAGAAGTAACCACTTGATTGGAAATGGTAGATCATATAATAGTAGATAGAAAATGAGAATGACAATGACAATGAATCCAGAACCAAACCGGCCCTAAGGGTAGCTTATCACATATAAAATAAATAGAAATCCAAAGGAAGAAAAAAAAAGAAAGGGAAAAAAAAGTGGCAGAGACGAGGGTTAAAGTTGGCGATGCTACGGGGGAAGCACATTGAAATACCACGGGAAACGGTTTTCTACGTATTGTGAGTATCATTTGCTTTACGGGGGAATTTCCATTTTTTGGTTTTTTTTTTGGTATTTTTCTTTTTTTTTTTCCTCTTTGGATTAGTAAGAGCTGATTCTAGCAAATTCACGGAAAGTTGGTGGACACTTTGCAACCGTGGTAATTTACCTTCGTAATTTATACCAAAGTCATATTCTCGACTAAGCCCCAACAATTATAATTAAGTCCTTTCTACTTACAAAGAATAAAGAATAGAAGCGAAAGCAAGGGACCAAGAAAGAATTGAAATATACTCTACTCTTTACATATCAAATCCTCTATCTAGGAGATTCTTTATTCGAATGGTGTGGTAGCATCATGCAATACCCAAGTACATTCCTGGTACCGAGTACCATAAGTGGCGCATGCTCTCCTGCCCTAGTGGTGTGGATTCAAGTTATCCTAAAGTACTTCGTACTCCATGAGAGATTTTTATTACCCTACAGGGGACCGGCAGATCCTTGGATCCGACACTGGATCCGACACTGGATCTTTCCTCTTCCGCGTTCGCTAAGAAATATTAAGCAATTCAATCATACAGGCCGATCCGTTCCGATGACGTCCCCCCCCCCCCCCCCCTGATCCATTCAACCAAACGCGTAACCCACCGGTTTTATCACTCAGTGACGTCGAAGTATATCGGGGAAAGTTGTATCTAGTCGGCTATCCCAGGCTATCCAGTGGCTTTATCGTGAATTTAAGTCGAGTGAGGCTGTGCATATCTGCATAGTGAGCATCTTCGATGATGATTCGATGGCCCCGCATGTAATAAGAGCCGATGCGCTGTATTGTGGCGCTAGCATGACTTGTTACCTTTGGGTTTGAGGGGTACAGGTCCGATGGCGAAGTTCTTGTCGTTGTCGTGAAAAGTCATTCCTTTACCCCGAGATAATGTACTGTCTAAGCGCCTTCTCCGTTATCCCGGTACATGCGACTTGATATGTATTTAATTCACGCAATATCACATGTTCCATGTTCTAAGGTTGAAGACTCGGAGGTATAGGATTCAGAGTGTTATCTAGTAGAAGGCCAAAAATGTTTGAATGTTGTTACAATTTCCACTGATCATCTATGATCTCCGATGGCTTTTCCGACTTCTTCAGGCCTCCGCGAATCATCCAAATTCTCTATGAACACAGCAAGCCCACTTTCCATATACTGCCGGAGGATCGCTTTGTGACGGGGTCAAAACCATGCACATCTCCGCATCGGGTTGCTCACAGGAAAGTCTGCGTGAGGTCCCTGCGATGGAGTCACCGTCAACGAAGTGTAAGCTAGCTGATGCGCCCCCTCATCCGGGTTGGATGACGGCATTTGATGTACAGCATACAATTCTGTCCAACGACAAGCAAAAGACAGCAGATATAGGAGCAAGGACCATGTGAGTGATAAATTAGAGCCTATCAAGACAGCACGAGTGTGTGATCAAGCTCGATTCGTTGGATGCTTCACCGTCTATTTACCTATAGCAGTCAAAGAGCAGAACAGTATTGAGTGGGGTTATCTGCGGGTAAACCAGACTACTGTAAGCCCATTCTACTGTAATTGAAACATTCCGTGTGAAGCCTCTCGTGTTTGATGTTTATGCTTTACGCTTTACGGGGTAGACGGGATTTTCAATAGGCTTACAACATAACCAAACCTCGGTCCTATATAACCGAGCACATGCGTGAGCCTCTACTCTCCCGCACACTACGAGGCATTTTCTTTCACCAATCAGAATACTCGATCTTAAGGAGGGGCTCTGTATTTCTCTTGGTAAAGACCTATCCACTACTACCCATGTACTTATATTGGATGCCAACAAACATTTGAACATTTGAACAACATGAAATCAATTACATGTTATACTACCACTAAACATATCCATTTCCATGCCAGTCATGATCCTAAAGATCTTTAAAGGCTTAAACCCCATCAATTCCGATCGGAACAAACTTCGCACACGACAGCCCCTCATAACCCCACCATCAAGCGCGGGTGACACGCCGTAGCTTCGGATTAAAGCCAAAAGCTTTTTCCACTAGACGAACAATGCTGACCGCCAGTTTAGGACGATAAGGAAAACACTTCAAAAAAATTAAATTAAAGATGGAGAAGGGAGGGTTAGCCGAACCTAGTCAAACTGTTTGGTACTCGATGGAATTACCTAAATTTTGAACTAGTAGGTAAATAACGCATGACTGGGACTGTGGGAAAACAAGCTAAGATTAAATGGTAATCAATTTATGAATACTGCCTGTAGGTAGGTCAATGCAGGTCGGCATTCCCCGTGAGCTGGAGAGCAAGCTTGAGATAACTTGAGCTGAGCTCGACATGCATGCATGCAGCTCCGAATCGTGCTTGTTTTTTCTTGCTTTTTCCTTTTTCATTTCCTTGTACTGCCTAGATACAGTGTCTTACGGTGCATGTTCATTGGAAGGTTTAATGGCGCGACGCCTGCAACGGTGCATGCACGTGTATCACACCTTGACAGTAACACCGTTATGTATATCTCCTCAATACTATGGCTGGGGCCACTTATACTAATGACAAGACTAATATTTGCCAAGACCGGTTTTCTGCTTCATCAAATTGGGCATTGAGATACTTTTCTTTGTTTCACATATGCGACTGCAAAAGGATTCTGATAGCCCTCAGTCCGTGCATGGACTATGGGCCAGATGCCAAAGAGCCTGCTTAATCTTTCCTTGGCGTTATATGCAATTGGACTGTTTGACCGCCTTAGTTGGCTTGCGGCTTTCTACATGTGCAGCTAGACTTTACTACTCGGGAGCGGGAGCGAGAAAAGGTTCAGGCTAGGTAACCCCACTTGACATTTACCGGTTCGAGGTATTTATAGACGATATATCATTGAGTATTCTAATGCATTGCCATTGACAAGGATAATGGTCAATCGAACCGACTGGACTTCCGATTTGTCCCGGTCCGTCTGTAATTGTCTTCTGTCCTCCCTGGTTCATAAAACGCAGACTTTAGCCATTCGTAGGCATGTGCGTGAATCGATTGTCCAGCGAGCTTTGACGCGTGCGCGCCACGTGGGAAGCCGGACGCAATAAGTGGTAGCTGAGATGGCGGGAAAAGGCGGTATGGGGGCTTTTATCGGGTGTGCCGTCCGTGCAGGTACTCGTGCCACAATGTGATAGGATTGCGGTGTGCGTTGTCTGCTATCGGGTTCCGGGTCCTTCAGGAGGGAGGGAGGAATGGCGGTCGTCCGTATATAGGAGGCTGGCTCAACTTGGTACCCGTGTGCAACATTAGTCCTTAAAAGGTTGGACATGGAATTGCCTGGATTGAGTGCTTGATCAGGCCAAAACCCGAGTCTGCTAGCAAATCAGAAAACTAGTCAACAACACAAAGGCGAGATGGAGTTGATAACAAGATGCCTCATACCACGAATTGTTCTAATGATTCCTCAAACAGCTCATTGTTCACACCCACGCCACCAGGGTGCTCGACCGGAGACAACGGATTCTTGACCACTAATTTCAGAGATTTGAGTCAGCAAGGTTGTACGAAGGGGTTCGGGGCCACCGGCTCACGAACCATATTCCACAAACAGATTGATATAGATCTGCTGCAGTGCGATGCGCATGCTTGGGCTCTTGAGGTCCGTCACCATGACAAACTTGATATTGGTTGGGGTTTCGTAGTAGTGTAGCTTGTACTGGCTAGTGGTGTAGGATATGAAGCTATTCCATACTATTAGTGCTCGCTCGGGAGCCCGCAATGTTGGAACTGACTTACTTGTCCTCATCGCCTCCTAGTTTGCGCACCATGTTTCTGAGCGAAAAAACAGTACCAAAAACTAACTTTGCATCATCATCGCTTGCTCGTACTGTCTGACCATGTCCTACTGATCCACCTTGGGTCTGGCTCTTGCCTGCAACAGATGTCGGGCGCGGAAGCCAGCGACGCTTGTAGATACATTCCGCTATAGCATATTAGGTCAGTCACATAACCTATACTTCATTCTTGAAAGGACATACCATGGCGATCAAAAATGTAGAAGGAATAGACTGTCATGATGAGTTTGTGAATTGGAGATCGTAGGCAAGATGATCACTGATTGTTGATGTTCAGGGGACGGGCGGTGAACATTGGCAAATACTATCGATAAAGAGTTAACGAAGGTGCCTAGTTAGATCAGGAAAGGTGCTTAATGATGGAAATCTTTTTCAGTTTAGTGTCACCTAAATTAGGGCTTTGTTCACTATTCTAGGTAGCTCTTTCCTCGATAATCCTTGTTCAAATAAAGCTTTCTTCGTAAGGCTGACTCCTGCATCACGCGTTATCTCAACCCCCGCTCTCTCCCCTCTTCTACCCCACACATATTTTGTCCAAAGTTTACTCTCCTTCCCATTTTGGCATACATTCTGCAATGGACGGTTGTCCTGAGACTCCCTATGAGATCTCTGCGGAGCCCATGGTGGAATCGCCAGTTGGGCCGGAAGACCCACCGCCACCCCCAACCCGAGTCGAGTAAGCTTCAAGGCAGATGAAAAGCCATTGTTCGTCATAAAGGATGAATAATTGACGCATGGGTCATTTAATACAGTTCAGCCGCATCCTACGAAAGCCTTGATCGGCATCGGCGAAGAAATCCTCGAACAAGACGTCCGGTGAAGGTTGGTTATGTTCCTGGTGTATGACGAACTCGACGAGACTGATTATGCGGCTAGGAAACGCTGGATGCTCGCTCCCAATACACGACAAGCCAAGACGATGGCACCGCGGAACACCACATCAATCAATACCTCATCAAGCAAGAGATTGGACGAGGATCCTTTGGCGCGGTCCATCTGGCGGCTGATCAATATGGGAATGAATATGTACGACTGCACCCTGACTGACCTGGTTGAGGATCTGGACGGGGAAGAATGTTATAGTAAGTGCTGACAATGCGCAAAGGCAGTGAAAGAGTTTTCCAAGTCTCGACTGAGGAAACGCGCGCAATCGCATATGTTGCGACGACCACGAGGACCTCGACGACATGGTACCGGTCTCAACCTCCCCAATTCGCCAATGCATCGGCATCCATCCGAAGATGACAATGAGAATGCAACAAACTCACTCTATTTGATCAAGGAGGAGATTGCGATCATGAAGAAGTTGAACCACAACAACTTGGTATCACTGATCGAAGTATTGGACGATCCGACCGAAGACTCCCTCTATATGGTCATGGAAATGTGCAAGAAGGGCGTGGTGATGAAAGTCGGATTAGAGGAACGATGTGATCCTTATGATGACGAGCTCTGTCGATGCTGGTTCCGTGATTTGATCTTGGGTATTGAATACTTGCACGCGCAGGGTATCGTCCATCGCGATATCAAACCAGACAATTGTCTCGTGACTAGTGATGATGTGCTCAAAGTGGTTGATTTTGGTGTTTCGGAGATGTTTGCAAAGGACTCGGACATGTATACGGCCAAGTCCGCTGGCTCTCCTGCGTTTCTGCCCCCTGAGCTATGCGTTGTGAAGCACGGCGATGTCTCTGGAAAGGCAACAGATATTTGGTCCATGGGCGTGACTCTTTATTGTCTCCGATACGGAAAGTTGCCATTCGAGAAGGCCAGCATTTTTGAGTTATACGAGAGCATCAGAAATGACCCGGTGGTATGCGAAGATGAGCAGGACGAGCGTTTCACGGATTTGATGGACCGTCTTTTGGAGAAAGACCCTGCAAAGCGAATCGATATGCAGAGTTTGCGAGTGAGTGACATGATCTGGCTTTGGGATTAATTCTTACGGTTCTGTAGGCACACCCGTGGGTGACAATGAATGGAGCCGATCCTCTTCTCTCCGAAGAGGAGAATACTGCCCATAACGTCGAACCGCCAACCGAGGAAGAGATGAACGCTGCCATTACCAAAAAAATGGGCCACGTTATGACACTGGTATGCTCGAATCCAAACCGTGACTGTCTATCAAATAAGCCTATATTAATCGAACCTGTAGATGAAAGCCGTCAAGAACTTCAAGCGTCTCGTGGATCCAAACAAGTCGAATCCAGTCATGCAAAGCATCCTTGGTGGAGATCACGAAGCGCACTTTGTCGAGCCACCCATGGAAATGGATCCCGACGAGGAGTTCCCAGCCATTGGACTGGATGAAAATGCTTTGACTGCCCACTCAGGTCTCCGGAAGACATTAGGGCGATACCCTGTGCTCGCTGGAGATCGACGAGACAACTCGTGGACAAGCGACTCGGCCAGTTTTTCGTCTCGACCAGGCCAAAGCCCTGTTGGTAGCAAACGACCCAGTGGTGTCTTTGAGCCAGAACGGAAAGACTCTGGGTCACGCAGTGGTCGGTCCCCAGCAGATTTCACGCACGAGGCAAGGCAATCGCAGTCGGGATCCCCACTGCCACCTTCCCGAGCCAGCTCAGCAACCACCAAACGGAGTGTTGAAGGAACTCGGGGTCATGCACGGGATCCATTGGAGGAAGAATTCCCATATCTTCACATCGGGCCATCCACATACACGGGCTCCTCACAGGAACCCACGGATCTCAATATTGGAAGCGATCCTGCCCCTCTTGTTGCTGAGCCAGATAGCATGAACGACCTGGATCCAGACTCGGTCGGACCGGTGCATATTGTTAGCGAATCACCGGGAGCAGCCGAGTTTGACATTTATGACACGGCCTATCGGCAGGAACTCGAGCGGATCAACAACTCCAATAATGGCGTCGGTCCGAGGGTGTACCTGACACGGCGCATTGAGAACAAAGACGAGGTGATGAACTTTGCCAAGGAAAAGGCGATCGACTTGCAGACTGGGACCAAGAAGCTTCTCTCTTCCCCAGCTAGAGGCCCGTCCTCGGCGATTAGTGCAGCCGTGAATCTGCTTCGGAATCAGATAGAACAGAAAAAAGAAGCAGATACCAAAGAGACACAACAGGGACAAGAGCAGGAAAAGGAACGTCCGATAACCACCGAACGGCGGGGGTCCAACCCACCTGTATCATCGATCCTGTCGCAATCCATCCCAACCCCCGAAGCTTCGTCTTTCGAGGCAACAGGGGTATCCGTCCCGGAGGCTTCAACTAGCGAAGACTCCAAGGCTCAGTTGCGACGATTTCTTGGCCGTGTTCGTGAGAAGATTGGGGAAGAATGAACCCGCTGATGGAGGTTTGAACGTATACAACCTTATCTTGTGATCATATTTGTATTGCCCCTCCTTCGCTTCGGTTCCCTGTGTTTCTTCATTCCTGTATACTGGTGCATTTGCATATTTGCCCTCGATCGGGTCTAGCGCTTAGCCATATTCCAATGAGCATTCAAAATGAGTTTCCATGGAATCAAGTAGTTGCATTTGAGAGAAAGTAAATGACAAAACCTGGAAGTCCCAAAAATTTGGTCTTATTCTCATTGGTTCGGTTGTAGCACTAGGACCTGTCATTTGCAGTGGTGCGTTATGCTCTCGAGTGCTTATTGGATACTGTGTGCAGATGGTGTTACACGGTCTTGACTTTTTTATTTTTCCTTCCTAGATTCCAATTGCAATTATATCTTTCAATTATTCAAACAATTCCATGTGTTCACAACCTATTTTGTTGCGTGATAGTTACATACCGTGATAGGTTAACCTCGGCACGTGAAGCATTTGCCAAGCGATGTAACTTAGTAAAGAGGATTCGATCTAACTTAAAGCTCATACATGTGTTTAACGTGATACGAGATAATAGATATATACATTCTTGGATCAATCTTACATGTATAATAAGTACTGTAACATTGAACCAGATCGAGAACATGTGAAAATAATCTTGGTATAAATATTGGAATCAGTCATAATCCCATCATAGGCCCAGAAATCAAAGGGACCAGCAGTAACAGTAGTGCCGATCATGGTCAGCGAGAAATGAATGAAAAAAACATTAGATAATACAGGACTCATCAGATCCGTAGAATAGAATGCAAGTCCGCCAATAGAGAGAATAAAAAAGAAAGAATAAAAAGTCTCAAGGCTAGAAACCGCCGTCACCATGCAAGACATTCGTTAGTTGGGGTGCATGTCACATTACGCTAGACTGGGCAGGACAGAATAGAATCAAATCAAATCAAATCAAAGCCAGAAGCAGAGAAGCAAAAGCAAAAGTGGAAGCCAAAAGAGTGAAAGGAAGGCGAAAAGAAAGCTTCAGACTCAGAAACGCAAATGCTAAGCAAAGCAAAAGCAAAAGCAAGCTGCAGCATCACGCATGACATAACACTTCGTTTCGTTTTTGTAATGCAAGCATGAAGAAAGCCGTAATCTTCGAGCAGAACGTGGATCATGGACACATCATGGGGAAGATTGGATTGAAATCAGGATCAGTGAAGGAGTGTCGTGGGAGTCTCGCTGAAGAGCAGGCATAAGCAAACGTAACGCAACGCTAACGCAAGCAGACACAAAACGGAAACGGAAAACAATAGCGCTATGAAAATACTGTCTATTGTTCGTCATTGGATTCATGGAATCGTTGCGGGAAGAGCAAGGGCAAGGACAATTGTCAAGCAATGAAACGAGGGTATGTTTAAGTTTGTCGACGCGCAGGATCGTGAACATCGCGTCAGAGTCAAGTCAAGTTTCAGCGTAACTTCAGGCCAGCAGAGTAGAGTAGATCTGGGTTATCAATTCTCGCCAGGGGTAGTACTTGCGCGTCCATCATAAGGGACCCCCTGTCCCTTTGGTGGATCTCCCCGACTAGTCACCGAGTCCCGACGACCACTATCAGGCGAGAAGCGATCCGGGATAGCATAATCCCGCTCACCAGGATTACTATTGAAGCGAGGAATGGGATCCGGTGGACCGAGTTGTAAGGCATGTGGAGAGGGAAGAGGATGACCCATTTCTTGGGGGCGGGGCAACTCTCGCATCGGACCCATGGTGCGCGTCGGAACGTCCCGACGTTCCTCTGGACCCGGGAGACCTGACGTCGGAGCCGGAGCTGGAGCAATTGGACGAATTGAAGAATCATACGGGACACCTGGATTTGGGCCTAGTGGCTGAGAGATCGGGTTTGTGTATAGAGGGACACCTGGACTGCTAGGGGGAGGTTTGAGTCTTCCTGAGTTGGAACGTCTTGGTGGCGGGTAAGTCTCCCCGCGAGCCTCAGCGGCTGCTTTACGGCGTTCTGTCTCGAGTTTGCTGGGACGGCCTCTTTTGCGCGGGGGCTCGCCGGGAGGACCGGGACCTTCTAGTCGTGGGGAGAGCTGGGCTGATGTTCCACTTTCACTGCTGTACGAGGCGACGCTAGGGGGTGGTCTTGGTTGAATAGCGCGCGGTTTGTCGTACAAAGGTCGTTTGCGCAGGTTTGGATCTATGGGCGGCGCTGATGCCCTGGCTACTTCTGGTCGAGGCATGGCTGGGACGGGTACTGCCGGTATCGCAGGTGGATATGTGTGGTATTGGGATTGCATGGAATCAAAGGCCAATCTGCACGAGTTCATAGTGCGACCTGCAATGGATTGGAGCATTAGAATTGCTAGGAAATTGCGATTGAGTGCCGAGAGGCATGGTAGGATATACCTGGCGGAAGAGGGATATGATCCCAATTTGGTTGAATGCGATTCTCATTGATCATGCGAACCAGATAGTTGGATGGGATACCGGCCTTTTTGAGGATCTCAGTGAGTAGAAAGTACTATTGAGGTCAGTTTTTTTGTGATTCTGTCTTGTAATCATATGAACATACCTTCTCCTCCTCGGTCCATGGCCTATCGGATGGATTCGACATATCCAGACCATGGAAGCGAACTCTGACTTCCGACTTTATACAGTATTCACAATGATATATCTAAACACAAAAAAAAGATCACCCCCCAGACCAAAGATTTCAATCGGAGCGAATGGCGGGTCCAGTAGAGGGGGGGAAAAAATCCAAAAAAAAACGCGGTGGAACTGGGAAACCACTCTAGAAGAAATAAAGAAAAGCAGGGTAAATTCTTATATGTCCATCCTCCCAAAAAAAAAAAAGATCAAGGAGTGAAAAAGAATTGAAGGCTTTTCAGCCAGTGAAAAAGAGAAAGTCGAAGCAAAACAAAACGCGGTCCATTCAATTCCCGGCTCGAATTGGTCAACACGGACTTGGGAGCCGGGATCGCGCAGGAACAACGCGTTGGAACCGGGAAAGCTGCAGGCACTGGAGGGATTAACGTTAGAGTCGAGGAAGAGGAAAGGAATCAAAAACCAAGAAAATTAAGAAAATTAAGAAAATTAAAAGGAACAAGCAGTTTCATGTCTTCCAGAAGTTCGAAAATTACCACTAAAGTCAAGTCCAAGATTGTGGTAGGTTCGGGAATAAAGAGGGGCCAGATACCGCCCCCTTTTACATGCATGTTTCAGATCTGCATGTAAAGTACAAAGTATACATACAGTATGAGAAATGAAGTAAAGAGTAGAAGAGTATGTAGTAAAGTATGAACGGTTATGACGGTATACTACTCCATAGTAACTTGAAAGTATAACCTATTACCAGAACCAAGGATTCAACTTCCTTAACCCATCAATCCCGGTGATTTGGGTCATAATGGATTGTGTTTGAAGCTAAGACCAATTTAAGTATAGACTCGATCCACAATAGATTACTGTAAATTCCCCCCTGACAAACCCCCAATGGTTCGGATCTATAGTTCGCATATACCAACCAGTATCAGTACAATACTTATACACTGTCAAAGTCAGCACAGACACCGTTTGCTCAACGGTTCATCTCATCCAATCATTTCCCGCCCAAACTTCAATGCTTCTTCATCTATCATCCCTATCCACTCATTGTACAGCAGTTATCCGTGGACGTGGCCATGCTTATGCCTTGCAGCTGAAACTTGTGATGGTCACAGACAACTTTTGAATTAAAATGATTTGTTATTGCTTTTCAATTTACTTTGATCTATTCATTATCCTTTGGTTCAGGAACAGGAACAATCATGACAATCTCAACTGACGTGATATCCAATGAAAATTCAGCATCCAGAAATTCAGAAATTCTCAAAATTCTCACAATCCAGAGAGCTAGGAGATGGAGAATCCTCATCTGTCAGTATATCAACTCCAACATGATATATACACTGACTTCCTCCCGGTGAGGCTGTCGTTGTCCAGTCCAACGCGTAGTGGTAGGGCGGTGAGCGCGCGTCGGGAATGGCGCCTGAGGCTTCTAGCATATCACCAGTCAATTGAACTTCATCTTGAACTTGAACTTTTTCTCGTAACCAATCCTACTCTTTACATTCTCTCTCTCCTCACCTTTTTCTCAATCTAGTCCGGGTCTGTCATGCTTGCCCATGGCACGGACTCCCATGACTTGAAGACAGCTATGGATTCTCCCGACCTGAAAAATGGCCTCTTCTCGCCCTCCCGGACGTCTGGACCTCGCCAGTCCCCGACTTCGGACTCTCTTCCTACCAAATACGAACCCGAAGTGAAAGAGGAATCTGTTATCATGGAGGAAAAGATTGGCGACATCGTCAAGGACGAGATCGGCCAGCCGCCGAAGCTGTCGCGGAGTTCATCCAAGATCGCCCCGAGGCCACCGCAGCTTTTCTCGCATCTGCCCGACAGCACCGATGATGCGTTGGCCACATTCTCGCAGATCGAAGAGTGTTGGTATGCGAACAAAAATATGGGCTATACTGAACATGCTATGGAGTGTGAATGTGCTGAGGAGTGGGGTAAGTCTTCACTTGCTATCCCTATGAAATGAGCTTGGAGAGAGAAAGGGGCTCGTGGAATTGCAGGTCCATTTTCAAGGTTCAATCACTCACCTCTGAACAGACGCCGAAAGTGGCAAAAACCTGGCCTGTGGAGATGATTCCGACTGCATCAATCGATGGACCAAGATTGAGTGTCTTGGAGACTGTGGTTGTGGCGCCGACTGCCAGAACCAACGCTTTCAAAAAAAACAATATGCGCCGGTGTCGGTCATCAAAACCGAGAAAAAGGGATTTGGACTACGAGCCGAAGTCAACCTCGAGCCGAATCAGTTGATCTACGAATATGTGGGCGAGGTGGTGGGTGAGGCCCAATTTCGGAAACGGATGCGCGATTATGATGACCAGGGTATCAAGCACTTTTACTTCATGTCTCTGAACAAGGGCGAGTTTGTCGATGCGACCAAACGGGGTAATCTGGGCCGATTCTGCAATCATTCTTGCAATCCCAATTGCTATGTCGATAAGTGGGTGGTTGGAGAGAAATTGCGCATGGGCATTTTCGCCGAGCGCGCGGTACAGGCGGGTGAGGAACTGGTCTTCAACTATAACGTGGACCGATATGGTGCCGATCCGCAACCATGTTACTGTGCCGAGCCGAACTGCACTGGGTTTATTGGTGGTCGGACACAGACAGAGCGCGCAACGAAACTGTCGAATGCCACGATCGAAGCCCTGGGTATAGACGAGTCCGAGGGCTGGGATACCGTGGTGGCCCGGCGTCCGAAGAAGAAGAAGACCGAGGAGGACGATGAGGAGTATGTGGACAGCGTGCAGCCGAAGTCATTGGATGAGGATGGTGTGACCAAGGTCATGGCGGCGTTGATGCAGTGCCAGGAGAAATGGATTGCCGTCAAGCTCCTGGGGCGGATCCAACGCTGCGAGGATGAGCGGGTGCGGAATCGCGTCGTGAAGATGCACGGTTATCAAATCCTCAGCTCGCAGTTAGCCATGTGGAAGGGAGATCACAATGTGCTGCAGCAGATCTTGGATATCTTGGACACTTTCCCTCGCCTTACCCGCAATAAGATCATCGACTCCAAGATCGAGGACAACATCCGGCCAATTACGGAGTGCGATGACGAGCGAGTGGCCCAGAAGGCGACCGCGCTATTAGCTAGCTGGGCCAACCTGGCAGTTGGTTACCGCATTCCGCGGATGAAACGGGGCGAACAGGCAAAGCAAGCTGTGAACCAATTTGAACGACGCGAATCTGGCCGCGAGCAGCGCGCGCGATCTGCCACACGTTCTCCATCACCCGAGCACAAACAAAATCAACCGAAGAACCGACGCGAGCCTCACAATCGGCCACCACGACCTAATCGGCGCATTCGTCAGCAGCAGCAGCCCTTGCCCGATGGTTGGTATACTGCCAAGGACGAAGCAGGTCGCACGTATTACTATTCCGCATCGAAAGATGTGACATGGGACCGGCCGACTGCTCCCGCTCCTGGTCACCCTGCAGTGAACAAGACCAATTCGCTGTTGCAGAATATTATCGATGGGATCATGAACACGCAGGAAAAAACCCCTTCCGAACGAAAGAGTGAAACGCCCGGTACCCCCCAGACATTCGAACGACCAGAGAAGAAAAAGCGGGAAGCGGACTGGTGGAAGAAGCTCGATATCCAGAAGCAAAAGAAGCTCTATGAGAATACAGTATGTCATCATGGCTAAATGGCTACATGCGATGCTAATCTATCCAGCTTCATCCCCATATCAAGGCCGTGGTCGATCAATACAAACACAAGATTCCGAAAGAGCATCTGAAGCGGTTCGCCAAAGAGGTATGTCTATCCACAGTGTGTGCCAAGAGCTTGATCCATGCTAACAACAATAGACGGCCAAAAAACTTGTCGAAAGTGACTACAAGAGGAACAAGGTGTCCGACCCGACCAAGATCAGCGATAAGCACCAACAGACCGTCAAATCATTTTGCACCACCTTCTTCGACAAAGCCGCACAAAAGCACAAGGAGCGCGAGAGGCGCAAGTCCGGAAACCCCGTAGACGAGGACACGAAGATGTCCGATGACGAGGCTGAGCCTTCAGGAACCGGCGCGGCTACATCGCCAATGGACGACGATGCATCATCACTGAAGCGCAAGTTCTATGATCGCATGGATCAAGACCCAGACCACCTCACTCCCGTCGAAGATGGAAGTACCTCTTCCAAACGACAAAAATCCACTCCTCCTCCGCCTTCTTCGAGAGATTCTGTCGAGTCAAAGGATGATCCATCGCCTCCACCACCGCCTCCTCCCCCTAAGTTCCCGGAGAATGGACATGGACATGGGTATGAGGATGTGGAGATGAATGAGGTAGCTCCTTCGCAGATTGAAGTATAATTTATTCTAATACATTCAATGAGGAACGAGGGAGTGATTTAAAAGCAAATTCTTCTTGATTGTGTTTTTCCCATTTTATGCTCGACTTTGATCGAGTTTTTGTGTACTTTTTGTCAAATACCCCGATCACAGTTCAATCAAGGAGTTCTGCTGCTATAGCATCTAGAGCATAGAATGCCCCTCTCGGCGTCCTTATACCACTTCTACTTGTAAACTATGTCTACCTCTACATTACTCATAATGGTCATCAATCATCATTGTCAGTCATCACAGTAAACTGCCTCAAACAACAGGACCAACAACACAAGGAACAGAATAGTAACAAACAGTAATAAGTAACTTCATTTCTCCCAACAAAGAAGAATCTAGTAGAAACTCTCGACAATAGACTCCTTATTGGGACCCTGTCCAGTACCACCCGGTGCCATCTCACCCAATCTGAACACAGACTCAATAACACTCAGCTCAGTGGCAGTGGTATCCAAACCAGTCACAGCGAGCCAGTCATTAACCACCATACCGGCACCAACAACGGGAGAGCCACGGTTCACGGAACCTGCAACAAGAGGAACTTGCAAGAGGGAGGAGAGCTCGTCCTGGTCCCGAACGGAGGTCTTGGGGTGAACGATTCCACCCTGGTTGGAGAGGGACATGTATGAGCCAGTCAGGACATTGTCGGCGACTGTTTGACGGAAGACTTCTACACCGAGGACGTCGGCGATGCTGTACAAATGAATGATTAGCTTCAGTTCAGATCCTGAATGGGGGTGGGGACATACATCTCCTCTGTCTCACGCTCCAGATCGGGATGAACAATTGCAACGTGATCATTGCAGCAGATGACATTGCCCAGTGCGGACAATCGCTCTTCTATGCGCTGGATCTTCACCTCATCTGGGAGGGTATTACGCAGGTGCTGCAGTTCCTGGTCTGTGGTGGTGGTAGGAACGAGGAGACCTTTGCGGTTACTATTTTCGTTCTTCGTTAGTAACAACCCTAGAACAAGATCCGAGCTCATGAAAACATACCCAACTGTTAACCGACCGACAATGCGGGTTCCGGCGATGGTGGCGTGGCAGATGGGAATAACATCCTGGAGCTCAGACTCGAAGACACTGGATTATGTTAGTATGGAAATGGAAATTTCCATCGGCTTATCCACTACACACCTGTAGAAGTTCTCGGAAGCACCGACGGCGACGATACAGTAGGAATTGGTAAGACGAGCGAAGACACCGACTCTGTTAATATGTTAGAAATTGATTTTTTGTGTTTTTTTTTCTCTTCCATTTCGAAATGAAATCAAATCGAAATCTGCGACTGCTTGGACTGGGATCGTGCGGCTCTGAATTCGATTCACTTGAAACAAGAACAGGATCACAGCGCAGCGCATCACACCACATCCCATCGTATCGCAGTATCACGCATCGCTGTGTATAGGTACTCACTCGTTCGAGTTCTCGAATTGCGCGCGAACAGCCATAATGAAGGTTGTCTAGGGTATCACGGGACTTGGTTGGAGTGGAATCGGAGGAAGAAACCTAGGTAATAGGTCCTAGATATTGATGTGATTAATGTGTGTCGTAAACAAAACCCGAGATAGAAGTGAAGTGGTGAAGTCTAGCAGAGAAGCAGATCTTAAATGGTTGAAGTGGGATGAAGATAAAAAAGAGCAAAAGCTTGGGCCAATCAGATTGCTGCGTTGATTTCGCCCCGCTGGTGGAGTCGCGGATTCATGATAAGTCACTAGTACTTTGGTTTACTAGTATTCTGTTATTACAACTATGTATCCGGTACTTTGTAGATTGACTCATCTTGGCTCATAGTGAGGGGGCAACTAACTAGTGCCGTATTGTATGACTCTTGGTCTAGGCATACATTCTTGTATCTACGATTGCATTTACGCTTGTATTTACGCTGGTATCTACACATGTATCCACGCTTGTATTCATTAGGCTGACGAAAAATGTAGGATGAATTCTTAACTGAATCCTGCTGACAAACAAAAGCCGGAGCCCAGGGTAATAGACGCCAGAGGAAAGATAACACCGACGCTGAAAAGCAGGTAAAAAGCAGTAGAGTACATCCAGGGAAATCATAGAAACAAAACAGTAGAAATGACTCGAGATTATGATGAGAACCGTGTCATATGGATTGAAATGTACTCAGGGGGGTTGGCATGAGTATTTATCGGCTCAGATCATTGGACTCGTGTCGAATGATTCGGAGGTGGCGGGCCACTGATGATGGTACAGGTCGTATTGTGTATTGTGATTAGCCGTAGTCTTAATATCGGCGAGGTGGTGGCCCATGTCCATGAGGAGGAGGCCCATGGCCATGAGGTGATGAAAAATACATTGATGGTGGGCCAGGCGGACCAGGGGGTCCTGGAGGACCGGGAGGAGGACCATGAGAGTGAGGACCTTGAGGAAGCCCGTGAGAATGGGGACCGGGGGGTGACAAGTAGTTCGGAAGAGGTAGACGTGCAAAGTTGGAACCAGGTGGTGGCGGGAGTTGAGGAGGTCCATTCATGGAAAAGGGATCAGGAAGACCCAGTTGACCCCGTGCGGGGAGTAGGCGACGGGGTTGTTGGGTGGGAGTAGGACGAGGCAAGATGAATGACCGAGGGTCGGTCGGGCCATGGCTCATGCTTGGGGGTGCCTGCGATGGCTGAGACAAGATAGGTCGATGTGACATGTTAGGCTCAGTGCGCATCTGAGGCAGGTGGGTTGGCATCGGCTCGGCGAGAGCGATATCAGCCAGGGCACATAGAGCTCGAGGGGCGAGCTCTGCATCGGAATTGGCTCGGCTGGTGACTTGCTCGGCAACAGTCTTGGTGGCCTCTAAGAGAATTTGCATGGCCTGGTCAACTGTGGCTTGAATCTCGGCATCATTTCCAGAGCTCAGTGCTCGCATCTGCGGGTTGACATCGACGCCCATACGGACTTGATTGATAAAGTCTTCCCAACTCTCCATACCGCGGTAGTAGGCAGCGGCACCATCTGGTACCCGTGCATGCTCAGAGAAGAAACCACGCTGAACTTCCTTGGCGCCAGCCTTGCCGATCCGGAACAAGTATTGCGGCTCTTCGGCATCAGGGTCGGACCCGTCAGTTTCAGTGTGCTCGTCATCTTCGGCGGCACGTTGGCCTGTGACCAACTCGATAAACTTTCCCCTGGCGACATAGTACAGCTCATCTTGCATATTCATAATTTGTTGCTGGTGATGTTAGCGCCATTTGAGACAAATAAGGAAGGAAAAGAATTTACCTTAGCTCGAGTGTGAATAACGTTAATCTCACCCTGATAGACTCTCTCTGTGGCCTCCACGTTGTATTTGTAGTCGGCCTTCAGACGGCCGAGTGCCTTGCGCTCAAACTCTGCAAGTTCAAGCTGCACCTGAAGCCATTCAGGGCAGTCTTTGTGGGCGTTCTTATCCCTGGCAATCTTCTGCATGGAATGATCGGCCAATACAGCCAGCGCCACCTGCTGCACCTGTCCAACCTTTTTGAACATGGCAGACAACTCTTCCTGACGATCCTTGATAGGCCGAGTGAGGGCAATTGGTGAAGGGGATCGTCGTCTGGTCTCAATTTCCCAAATTTCATCAACAAGCTTCTTGCCTTGCCGGTTCAGTGAAGCTGCAGCTGCAGCTGCACGAGCACGAGCACGTCCTCGACCTCGACCTCCACGAGCACGGGTTGCTGTCGAACGAATGGGTCCCATGGCACCGCCACGGCTACCACGACCTCGGCCTCGACCACGGCCACGTCCTCGAAAGCCCCCACGACCGCGACCACCCCGTTTTGCGGGGGCAGCCCCATCTTCATTGTCGAGGTCCGTCATGACTGCGTCTGGGGTGGTTTCCACAGATGCCTCGATCCCATTCTGAAGAGTGCTGTCAGGGGTGGGTTCAGCCTCTTCCAGCTTGGGCTTTTTCGGAATGGGATCCGGAGACTGTGTCTCATCTTTGAATTCAATTGACTTGCGCTTGCGAGACAAACGAGGCGAAGTTGACAGTTTCGTGTCGGGAATCTCGGGAGTGACCAACTCAGGAGTCGTTTTCGTTGATGCAGATTCTGAGGGCTCATCTTCCGTCTGATGGGGATCATTTATCTCTTCATGATTGGATGCATCAAGGATTTCAGGCGATTGGGAAGATTTAGTGATCTCGTACTCGCCGTTTTGAAGATCCTCATGTTCAATTACATCCCCTTCTTTGCTAGGAGATGGCTGTTCGGCCTCTCCAGCACCCTTCAGTGTAGTTGACTGACGGGTCGTTAGACGAGCGGAGCGAGTCTCTCTGGATGATTCCGGGACTGCCATAGCCCGCTTAGAGCGTCGGCGCGGAGTCGTCGGGTTTTTACCCGTGCTCATAAACATTGACTCTTCTTCTGGAACAAGGCCAGTGATGTCAGCGAGCCTGTCACCAGGCACGCTGAATTTGAGGATAAGTGATTGGGGCACAGGAGATTCATCCCTCGCCACTACAGGACTTTGAAGATTACCGCGAACATAGCGATTAGCCCAGCGACCTCTACCGCGTCCACTCCCGCGCCCGCGGGGAGTAGGAGTTGAGACAGAGACTGGGGGGGAGGATTAGAAAGGAAACACATGGATTGGATATCCGGATGGATGACCTACCTGATGCACGGCGCGTAGATGTGGATCGCGTAGCCAGGCTGGAACTATGTGTCGGAACACCTCTTTTTCCTCTTCTGCCCACCATCCTGTCTTTTGGGGGGGTTAGCTTTGGCTACGGAACCAAGGAAGATAGCTTCACGCAGGTAGAACCAGTCCAACTGCGATCAGCAAAAAATAGTGGAGAAAAAGAAAAAAACGGAAGGGGAAAGGGAAGTGGGTAAGAGATGGAAAGGGAAGAAAATGGATGGAAATGGGGAAAAGGGAAAAAGTAAAAAACGAGGTTTTATTAAACCACCAACAATGAATGGGCAAGGGAAGAAGGAAGTTTTATCCGGGGAGAGATTCATTCACTGTAGAACATTCACAGGGGAAATAACCACGCGACTCTTGATAGTGTAGAGTAGCTTGGTTTAGCTTTTAGACAGGGGGGGAATTGGAGGAGGGAAAAACAAGATTACGTAGAATGTGTAGGTAGAACTTGAGATGGAGAAAGGAAAAGAAAAAAGAACACATTTAGGGGAATCAGGGTACAAATCAGATATACGCAATTTCCGAAGGGAATGAACTTACCAAAGTGTAAGGAAGATGGAGGAAAAAGGTTAAAGGATCTACTCGGAGCAGGATTTGACGGGGCCAGGTGGCGCGCGAATGGGGGAAGCAAGGGTGGAAAGAGTATCAACGAGTAGAACCCTCGATGTTATTACTCGGTTTCAGTATCATGGGAGAGATCAATAGATCGAGGTTGTTTAAGGTAAAAGTAGGAAAGAAGAAGAAAAAAAGCAGAACCAGAAATCAGTCGAACCAAAACCAAAAGATACAGGAAATTACGAGATTCGGTGGTTTTTCCCGCGCGTCTAGAAGCAGACTTTACATGGGTTAAACCACAAAGATATAGATTACTTTTTATCTCAATTGTTTTTCTGTAGTCTATTATATTACCGTACTCTTATGATCGTGAAAATTTAACGGCTTTGAGCTCCCTTTACTTGTGACCCACTTGAGGTTTTGGTGACGGACGAACGCGGCCGTGGACGAATCCAGTACCAAGCGGTACACCGCTATACTCAGGATTCAGGAAAGCTCGGATCAACATGTGTAGAATAGAAAATAGTATCTTAAACTATGACTATCTTAAAAACAGATCAAATTCAATCAATAGCATATCAACTCCATCATTATCATAGGAAATCCTTTGTACAAAGTCGGTATCAACATGTTACCTCCAAATTCATATAAACGACGCAGGGGGAGGGGAAAATAACAGAATAAGATAACAAAATAATGAAAAAAGTAAATCAGTTCTCGTCGGGGGATTCGTTCAGGTCATATTTCTTCTCATATTGCGTAATACTGCGCCGGACATGTCCGGCATCAATAAAGGACAACCCGGACTCGGGGTCCTTACGCGCATGCGCCAATTCTTCAGCACTTAAAAATGGTGATGGAATTTGTCGCTCCCGGAGTGATCGGGCGGATCTCATACGAGTCAGGGTCTGGTGGGTGATCGTCTGGCCAGCAGATGGGGATGCCTTGACCCGGGTCCCCGGGGTTGGCGTGGGGGAGGGACAAGGACTAGTGGATCGAAAAAGAGGGTGAATGTTGTGTTCTTGGATAGTGAGTGTTTCCATAGATCCTGTTGGTGAGTCTATATGAAAGGTGGAGGCTGTTGGGGATGGTTGGACTAGCGTGTCCAGCGAGAGCTGTCGGGGATCTTGGCGAAGACTCGGCATACTGCGGATGCTTCCATTGCGTAAAGTGCGGTGAGTATGGAATGACTGTTCGGTTGGGGATAGTGTGGACGTGGTAGAGGTGGTATCGAAGGAACCATGCTTGACTGATTCCAAACAAAGTCCCGAGTCTCGGTTGGAACGCCGGGGAAACTTTCGAAGAGAACTTCTTCGGGTATCAAATTGTTTCATCTCGGGATATGGGTCACAGAGGGCCTGGACGGGAGGTGTAACCGAGGTTGGGGTATCAGGGAGGGCCTTCAACTCCTGTGAGAGATGATAGGAGCGAGGCCATGAATCGGATTTTTGATGAAAGCAGATCACCAGAAGATATCCACAGTATGAGCCTTGAGCAAAGACCGAGATCCCCCAGAAGACTGATTGAACAATGAAAAGCGAGAGTTGGCTATGATTCGTGGCCATGGTTCCGGCGGTAGATCCGGCCGCAATCAAGAAGTATGCAACAGTGAGTAAAAACACGCCAACCTTCCAGCGAGGCCATTGATGGTTGTGTCGAATATCTTTATGCACGAGAAAACTGAGCATGATCAATGCCACGCAGCTCACGACGCTTAGACTGATAGGGACCAGCTCCGTGGTTCGTCTGGATGAGGAGAAGGATTGGGCAGCCCCGTAAGCAAGGGCATTTATAATGGTAACAATAAAGACAGAAAGGATCGAGGCTCCTCCTAGGAGGTATAGCATATTGGACATGATGAGACAAAAAGAGGGACAGGGCAAAATGGCAAAGGGACAAAGAATGGACCCAGATGCACTTCAATGTAGCCGGAAGCTTTTGAACCACGAGAGAATTCATGCAGGGGGAAGCGCATATTTATGAACATGGGAGTTCGCGTGGACTGGACCGGGACGGGGCGAAGTACGTCGTGGCCAAAGTATATCGAGCATAAGATATGCAGGTTCGGTTGAACATGTCAAATTTGAATTTATAGATCGATCTGACCCATCAACCCGGCAAGGCGGTTAAAGTCCGGGGACGGGATAAGCAATTAAGTTTCTAGCCTTTTCATCAATACATTTGCCTTGTCAAAAAGGATCTTACTCAATGATATTGTACAATTGATCTGTCGAGTGGAGTCTGGTGCATAATCTTGCGTAAAGAACCATTCTAGGTATCTCGTACTCGGTTCAAATATCCACAGATGCAGACCCATGCATGCTTTCTGCATTGAAGTTTATATCGGCAGTTCATCCCATCTACCACTATCGTCCACAGCCTTAAAGGTGCACTGCATCCAAATACCATGGCTAATTGCTACTTGCTACTTGCTACTTGTTTTCATCTATACCCAATTCCGGGGTACAATCGCGGAATCTGTCCAATCCAGCGAACTTCCCCTAGTGCTGTCAATATATCCGCTAGCTGAGAAACTATCTATATGATTCATCCAGTGGCATAACCGAAACTCAAAGTAGCGGATCGCGTTGTCCGATCTCCGGGTTAAAATGTGATATATCCAACGGCTTTGGGAAAATCTTCCGCTTTCCTCTGAACCTTCTCTTCTGGTTGGATCATCCTATTCGAAGTAACTCGATTCCGAAGAAGCGGTGATCGATAGAGTTGGCCGGGTTCCTGGGACATATAGCTCCATATGTCCATTATGTAGCTCCATAATTACATATGGATATGTTCGCCAATCGGAATCCCCCTTTTCCCTTGCGTGGCTAGAAAAGATCAACATTTGTAATTTGTCAGCCCAATCGGGATGCTGGTCTGATCACTTGTGGTTGCTGTCTGGGTTGATTCCTCATAAGTTGATCTTCGGCATTGGTGACTGATTCATGTCATCGGATGCAAGCAATTGACATATACTCCGTACCTGGGCAAGGATCGGTGATTTTTGGTCTAAAGCGCTGTAGGCGAGCAATTATGCCTAGATCATGTGGATTGTGATTACTGGCCATTAAGGTCCTTGCTTACAGATGCTCCGTACATGGGAGATTCCAATTTCCACCTTGGGTTGAATCACACACTTTACACCGTGGAACTGGAAATGTTGGATTGATGAAATTGAAATATTTCATTGCCAATTAATTCCTATATCAATGTGGGATCAAAATAGATCAACATGGATTGGTGCCACGGGTCGTAACTGAATTTCATTCTGGACTGACGTTTTGTGTGGTTCCAAGTGTATCTAAGAAAATCCCCGAGGGTTGTCCGAGTGGGGCGGTGAGCCTGGGGCTTCTTTTGCTTGCCATCATCGTTAATCTACTCTGAACCCGACTCCCTTCACCTTCATTGGGACCACATCTTCTTTACTTTTATACGCCATTCTTGACTCTGCGGATTCTCATCCTTCATCCTCCCCCTCTTCTCTCCGTTCGATCCTCCCCCAGTGGTGCCAAAATGAAGCTTACTTTCAAGGTTCGTCAAAAACACCACCCAACATCTCTCTCTAACCTACTCAACTCTAACGATGTATTTTTCACGTGTAGGATCTGAAGCAGGAGAAGTTCGTCATCGACGCCGAACCCTCTGAGACTGTATGTGTTGCTCTTAACTCTACCAGCTACCCAACGCCACCCAGTGCGGGGCTGACGCTGTACTGCAGATTCGCCAAGTCAAGGAGAAGATCGCTTTAGAAAAGAGTGGCTACGATGCGGAACGCACAAAGGTCATCTATTCTGGTATGGGATTTCTTGCCGGAGCTATCGAGTTGATGGATCTGGCCCGCAGCTCTAACGATATTCATCTTTACAGGAAAGATTCTGCAAGATGACAAGACAGTGGAGTTTTACAACATCCAAGAAAAGGACTTCCTAGTCTGCTTGCCGTCCAAGGTAAGACGAATATACCGCACTCGCAAAACTCATCGCTGACATCCTCAAGCAACCCAAGGCCGCGTCCTCTGCCTCTGCGGCCCCTTCCACGCCGGCTCCCCGAGCTCCCGCTGCCACCCCTGCTGCCCCTCCTGCTCCTGCCCCGGCCGCTGCCTCAACTCCCGCTGTCCCTGTGACTCCATCCCCTGCTGAGCGTGCCGCTCAAGCAGAGGACCGAGACGCTGCCTTCAATGACCCTTCCGCGTTGGCGATGGGTACCGCCGCTGAAAGTGCGGTGAGCCAGATGGAGGCTATGGGATTCGCAAGAAGTGATATCGACCGTGCGATGCGCGCTGCATTCTTCAACCCAGACCGTGCGATTGAATACCTCTTGACTGTAAGTTGAATGGGATGAAGAAATGAATTTAAGGTCTAATCATTTCCAGGGCATTCCCGCAGATGTGCAACAGGAACAACAACAGCGGCAGCAACAGCAGCAGCAGGACAGATCCTCCCCTGACGCTCCTACCGCTACTCTTGGCACTGGCGGTGAAGAGGTAAACTTGTTCGAGGCCGCTGCCCAGGCTGGTGATGGTGGTGCCCGTGGTGCCCGTACTGGCGGTGCTCACGTCCCTGGTGGCGATGCCTTTGCCAACTTGGAGTTCCTCCGCAACAACCCCCACTTCCAGCAGCTGCGTCAGCTTGTCCAGCAGCAGCCTCACATGCTTGAGCCCATCCTGCAGCAGGTTGCGGCCGGCAACCCCCAGATTGCCCAGATCATCGGACAGAACTCTGAGCAGTTCCTGCAGTTGTTGAGTGAGGACCTGGACGAAGATGAGGCTCTGCCGCCAGGCACACAAGCCGTATCCGTCACACCGGAGGAGCGGGATGCCATTGAGCGCGTACGTTCCAATTTCACCTCCATCTTTGTTAAATACTGACATTCCTTAGCTGTGCCGTTTGGGCTTCCCTCGGGATTCCGTCATCCAGGCCTACTTCGCGTGCGACAAGAACGAGGAGCTTGCCGCCAACTTCCTCTTCGATCAGCCCGATGATGAGGAGGAGTAAACGATCTCTTACGTCTTTCCTTGCTGCTTTTTTACGTTCTGATGAATACCAAGCATACTGCTTTTTGATTCCATATGACAGAGAATTGCCTCTGCTTTCCCCCTACACATCCATACCTAAATCCGAATCAAGTTGACCACGGCAACCTCATTTGTTGTGGTTCACCTGTATATCGCTTCCCCCTCTTTTACCCCTTTGATACGACATTTTATGTATTTAACCTAATGGGCAAAATGGGACGTTTCGCTAGTATTCAGCTGTACGTAGTGGTCTGTGCGTAACCTGTAGTCAGATCATGCGAACTACGACAAATGACCCTAATCCACAGAACCTGTTCTGTAGCTTGCGCATAGATAATCGTGTGAACCTTCTATAATCTTCAAGGTTATTTCATGGGGGAAAATATTCGAGAGATATGAATATTGAAGCACCTAAGATACATCATTGAATGTCTGGTTACGAATTTCGACCCGTGAACCCACTTGGAATATATAACCATCTATACGATACTCCGTACACTTACTGCCACCTTAGTGTCACCTTATCGTATGCACAATGTTCATATATTATTTTGAATTGTCTTCTGACTAGCTGGTCCTTCCTTCATATGCAACCTTGGATTTTATTTAGATAAAGTGGAAGGATGCTCTCAGACAAGGATACCAAATTCCACATGCAGCACTCGTGGACTTGAGATATGCAGTGGCGTGTATAATTACATAGTCAGGAGGACAGCAGTCCACGAATCAAATATTCAAACCCAATCAATGGATTAATGATCACAAGAACCCAGAGATAATACAAGAAGCTAATTATATATACGACATGGAAGGTTTGAAATTCTGAACATTGGAATGAACGGGAGAACCTTGAAAGCTCAGTGCCTGTAATTCGCGCTATGCTGTATGCAAATCTAGTACATATATAGAAAGCTCAATGCTGAGTACTCTAGACATGTGCTCCAAGGCACCAGAGACAGATAGGAGTGACCAAAATTAATGAAGTAAAATATCCCAAAGAAAAGTGACATGAAGTTTAGTGGTCATTCTCCAATTATTTGCATGCTCGACGGACGGACCAAACGCCCAGACCACGACGGCCGATGACTCTGTTCAAGGTATTGAGGACGCCATCATCGCCAAAGTCGAGATCGTCTAGGTTTAGATGTTTGCTGTATGACCACAGGCGGTAGAGTTGGAGGTTGGGGATATGCGGGGAGAACAGTGTAGAAGGAGAGGAGTATTCGTCGAGAAAGGTAGCGGAGGTGGGAGCGACCAGGTACACTGGGGAGGAATGAGGGCAGCTAGGCACAGATGTTTCCAACTGCTGGATCATCTCCAGACCTGGGATACCCATGAGATCGATGGTGTCGATCTGACCGGTGTGGTTTCCCTGCTGACGACCGAGGAGCCAGTGTGGTGGGGAGTAGGTCTTCCACCAGAAGACAGTAGCGTCTGGGTGGGATTTGATGCCCTGGGCTGCGGTGTTGGTTTCGACGATGGACCGCATGGCAAGTTGGACTGGGACGATGCCGCCCTGGTGGTAGACGCCCATTAAGAAGCCCATAATTGCATTGAAGATGATCCATGTTGCGAGGAATATCCGTGAGCGGTGCATGCGGACACAGCTGAGAAGGAGAGGTACGCAGGGGATCAGGAAGCGGGGCTCCTGGTGAGGAAAGATGGAGAGCAGGACTGTTGCTGAAAGGGCTGAGAGAGCGCGCGTATTCCGCATCCATGGTGGCACGATCGGCCAGCTGAATAGAGACAGTATCATGGCGATGTATGCGGGTCCTAGCAGCTGGAAGAGGTTGGCGAAGAAGTGTTGGTGGTGCGGGTGGAGGCCATGTAGTGCCAGGTTCGAAGAGTCGGAGTTGTAAAGAATATTATTAAGAGGAGTGATAATTGGATGGCGCACAATTTCCAAGAGCGAGGCCGTTGGTCGGTAGAAGGATGTATCGATGAAGATACCTATCGAGGTGAAGAGAAGTCCAAAGCCAATAATGACCACCAAGGAGATTGGCCTGTTGATATTAGTACATAATGCGATACGTGAAAAAGTGATAGGCAACTCACTTGCGCTGGAAGTAGGGCAGTAATTGTAGGCCCGGGAACAGAAGGAAAGCAGGGAACGTGATGCGGTTAAAAACACCAACCACGGCGATGAACGAGAGGACAGCGTATGAGAAGAAAGATGTGTGCTACACCAAGTCAGCCCAAGCCTTCGCTGGCGTAATGCGGAACGAACCTTGTTCTCAACAATGCGACGAATCAAAACCAGCCCCCAGGTCACTAACAGGGTCTCTAGAGAGTTGGAGAAAGTGTGCGTCTGATACGTCCAGGTGACATAGGACGAGGCCACCAGGACAACTGCTGCGCGCCGGTGCCGCGGGGAGGGCACCAACTCATAGATAGCCCAATCCTCCAGCACAAAGCTCAGTAGGAACATGGCACCCCGCAGCGCATAGTAAACCAGTTGTGGTGGAGGGTTGCCCGATCCGATCTCCATGTAAAACCATTTCAGCAGGCTCATGGGTACATCGTAGATTGGCCATAGTGGGAAGACGCTCCGAATAGGGAGATCGGTGGTAAATTCCCAAGGGAGATTTGAAGGGTATCCAAAGATGCGACCTAAAGTAGTGGGGTGATTAGTCCACTGTTTTCAAAAGGAGGGTATCGTGGGACGGCCGGAATGGCAGGAACGAGGAATTCTTGACACCGGCTAGACCTGTGGGCTGTACTAATCGGCAGAGATGTATGGATATGATGGAGATTCAAATGACAGATGAAACCTACCAGCAAAGACCTCAGGGCCCTGGAAATGCTCATCAGGATGTAAATAGCTGGGGGACAGCGCGAAGTAAACACGGATCAGCAGTAACAATAGGTAGGTTCGTCTCCACATTATGAGGGGGCCAGGAACATGCTGGCAGAGAGAGATTTTAATACATGAAAACAGAAACAAAGGAGTGGAAGGACAAAATGTGTGAGAAGAAAAAGAAAAAGAGATAGAACGCGCGCGAAATGTTTGACTTGCGATGATATCACTTGCGACCGATAACGCGGCAGAATCTTGTGTACGGCGTACGGTGTGTTCCTCCCACTATTAATTGATAGTTTAGATTCGAATGAATTTTAATTTTAATTTTACAGAGAACTAACGAATAAAAGGGGTAAAGATTACGGGAGTGAAATAGCCCTGGAGTAAGTATGACTGGACTAGTCAGTTATTTAGATGGTTTTAGGTCGTCAAAAAACGTTGACTGTCTCCAGTGCTAACGGTTGCGGATATATATATATGGATACATATGTCTTAGACATATATATGTATTCATTCGCTTTGACTTAAGCTATACTTTCATAAAATTTAAAAATGAAATACTTCATAAAAACTGTAGAACGATGAAACAATGACCCTGAATAACTACCCAGATGGTCCCTTTACTCAATGTGGGGGCGGAAGTGCTAATCTTGGCTTAGAAAGGTCTTTGCCGTATGCAGAGCCTCTCGCCTGACTAACCTGGGAACCACGCAAACATCATAGCATAGTCACTTCTCCATCTACCGCCGACCACTTCAACTTTGGAACACTTAAAAGTCAGCATCTCCTTTCCCTGAAATCCCGACTTTGATTTCCTCCATTTCCTGGATTTTCCTACTTAGCCTCTCCCACGCAAACTCACAACCTCTTAGACATTGCCACTTCACCGTCTTCATAACCAACATGGCTACCATTACTCTCACCAGCTCTGATGACGTGAACGTCACAGTCGGTACGTATAATCTGGGATAATGCGCAATCTCCGAGATGGTGTGGACAGGACAGGAAGCTAACCCCGCTATCCAGAGCGCTCCGTTGCTGAGCGGTCCGTTTTGATCAAGAACATGCTTGAGGATCTCGGTGATTCAGGAGAGGCGATCCCCATTCCCAACGTAAGGGTTCTATGTCCCTCGGCCTTAACGGACTTAGCTCAAATTTATCTAGGTCAACGAAACCGTCCTTAAGAAAGTCATTGAGTGGTGTGACCACCACAAGAACGACCCCCCCACTGCCGGCGACGACGACGATAACCGCCGCAAGACCACTGATATTGATGAGTGGGATCAGAAATTCATGCAGGTCGACCAGGAGATGCTCTTTGAGGTTATTTTGGTAGAAAATCACAGTCGGGACGCTTCGAGCTTGGTGGACAAACGCTGACCACTACGCAGGCTGCCAACTATCTCGACATCAAGGCTCTGCTGGATGTCGGCTGCAAGACTGTTGCCAATATGATCAAGGGCAAATCCCCCGAGGAGATTCGCAAGACCTTCAACATTCAGAACGATTTTACTCCTGAAGAAGAAGACCAGATTCGCCGTGAGAATGAGTGGGCTGAGGAGTGAGTCTTCCATTTCCTTGTCTTTGAACCGCCTTTACTAACATCTTCCAGTCGCTAAACAACAATGCTAATATGGGTAACATTTTAATTCATACCCACCCATACCTCGAAGCTTGCAATGTGGTCACTTAATGACCTTTCCTTGCATCCTGGTATCGCTTGAGTTAAGGGCTGAGATAGACTTGCTCATGACGGCGTTCGGCTCAGTGGAATTGCTTTCCCCCTTCTCACGACTCCCCCTCCTGGCTACACCCTTGTTCCCTAGTACATGCCGTAGTCATCCAGACTGGCTTTATGACTCTAAACAAGTTTTGTTTATTAATGTATCTTCTGATTCTCAACGCTACCTGTGTTTTGACAGGGATCTATTGCAATAGGAAGACCAGCTCCAGCCCGAACATTAAAATGAGTGCTTCCATAGCCAACATAGACAAACCGGAATTAATCCCGGCAAGTATCATATGGATAAGAGTTGATGTTTCGAGGCTACCAAATTGTTTGAACTCAATAGTTCATGTTGATTTGATGTGTAAAGTAGTCGGGACTCCCTAAAGACGATTAACTTCAGATACTCGGGCCATCTAGACGACAAACCCTTACACATCCATCCCCCCCCCCATCTTGTTCCACTCCCTGGGCGACCAGCTAAAATGTAGACTTGATCTTGACCATAGTCAAAACATATCAAGTTTGATGGGCTTGTCTTGAGGGGACTCAATTCCTAGCTCATGGAATCCGTTCCTCAGTTTAGGATTTCCGGTGTCTCGTAGTATCCCCCAAGTGTCCCGAGTTCACAGTCTGATAAGTTTCATGAGGTCATTCGTAAGACCATCGCCCCGTCAAAATCCAAGCCCTACAATGCTACGAAGCAGCACAAGATTATGCAAGACAAAAGGGACGTCAATTCGATTCCATTCAAAATTTTTGTAAAAAGGAAAAAACCGCCCCGCCTTCAAGTCCATTCCTCCATAAAGACGAGCTCTATCTCAAATCCATTCCCATAAATCGTAAAAGATGGGAAACGTCGGGCCAGGCCGGGGTCGATATTCGTCATCGGAAGCAATCGAATATCGCATCAAGGTCGGAGATCACCGGCATCGATCATATGGCACCTGGTTTCGCACAACGATCCCGCATCGGACTTGAGTAGTTCCCCATCAAACTAGCGCGACCAAGTAGGGTTGAAATGGAAGATTCATATCGAGGTAGGCGTCCCGGGATATCGACACACATCGCACAACATATTGGAAGTGTTGGAAAAATGGATCTTGAGACGTAGGTCGGGAACTGTCTGGTCGAATTTAGATGCCCAGACGGGTCTTGCGCCAGTGTCGCCGCTTAGCGTTGTAGCTGTGGGAGAGATCCTGTCAGTTTTGATTCTTGTCTTTTTCGAGGTCGGATCGATATATTTTCTCGAATGGTAATCGGGATTGGAAGGGTATTTGTTGTCTGTAGTCAGGGCGAATTACCGGATGGTGTTGCCAGTGCGCAGGCGAATCCACTGAGGGATAGGGCGGTTCTGGCGCTGAGCCTTAGCAAGCTTTTGCTTGGTGCGGAAGGTCTTGTGGCTCTGTGGAAATATTTGGGTTAGCAACTGGGGGAAAAGGTCGTAAAAGATAACTTCATTATGATATGAGTCTGGATATGAGTATTAGACGTACCGGCATCTTGATGGCTTGATCGCGACGGCAAGCTGTTTGGATGGGGGAAAGATGTCGACCTTCGGGAATGTGTGTGGTTTGTGTGCGGACAGGGCTTGGCGATTCGCTTGAACGGTCATGTGACATCGGTCGAGGTAATTTAATGCCTGAGGCAGAAATGTGGATCAACGTTAACCTTCGTGATTAGATCAGCAGGGCTAAAGTGGATCTTCAACCAAGTAAGTAAAAGCACATCTACAGAAGCTGAATTCATTTACCAAGTCTGCTTTTTGATGCTTGATACATAAAGATATGATTCACATGTTTTTTACGTCAAACCTTTGACCAAGGGAGCATGAGAATTGCACAGTGTTCTCATCCATCGAGGAAATACCTTGATAGGGTCTCAAGGGATACACAAGAAAGGTCCAACATGAGATCCATGGCTCGTATAGGTGCTAGCCCAGGTCAGTACAGAGTATGCAAATCATGTAGTAGTGCCTTTGGATCTAGGGGCAAGAGTGGTCGGAGAGAAACACTATTGGTTCTCAGGTTCCCCTGCATACCCTTGCGTCAGGAATGCGGCAGCTCGAGGCTTCGCAAGCCGCCACTCTCCCAAAAACAATACTTGGAACTCCGAATCTCATGATACACTCAATTTGCACGGATGAACTTTGCCTTTTTCAAAACCTGTGATTCGCCTGTCCAGGATAATCCCTCCAAATACCATCCGACAATCGGACTCCCCCGAAGCTTGGGATACTTCTCCACGTTGCCTCTCCCTTATAACGATGACATGAGCCAGCTGATATAGTCTCCACGGCCGTTACTTAACACATCAAGGTCACGGATATTATCACCAAACCACTATCAATGCTGCTCGTCGCCCGGCTCCAAGTCTCTCCCTCTATCAGACTATCCCTATCGACGATTTACGATCGTAATACGCCCAGGCCTGGCAACAACTCAGGATTTGCGACCTCCTTTGAGGAGCCAATCCACTCATTATAATAAGACTACGCAGTGCCCGTCCACGATTGAACGATTGAACAGTAGTCGATATTTATCATGACCCGTCCTGACTGGACGCAAAAGCAGAATGTCTCGGCGCTGGCCGTCGAGATGGTAGAGGTTTCTGCTATGAAGGACCCGGTTGATCTTAACAAGGAGCTCCCTAACCATCCTGAGCTGCCTGATGCTGCTTACCACCTTCTACCTGACGACAAAGATGGAACGAGTCCACTCTCCGAAGAGGATGCCGCCTATGCACACCTGCCTCACGATGAAAAGCACATACTGAAGAGTCAGCTGGACCAACCAAATCCCAAGGTCTCTTTATTTGGGCTTTACAAGTTTGCATCTCGTCGCGATCTGATCATTGTGACTATCAGTGCATTATGTGCAATCACTGCTGGCATTGCGCAACCTCTGTTCGCACTTATTTTCGGTTCGATGAGCTCCAACCTTTCCAAAGCTTCTGGTGGTGCCATGGATAAAGAGGCTTTTATGCGCGAGCTCAATCACAATGTTCTATACTACGTTTTTTTGGGATTTGGCGAGTTTATCACTGTGTACATCAGCATGGTTGGTTTTATGCATACGGGTGAGCACATCACCCAGCAAATCCGGGAGAAGTACCTTGAAGCTATTCTGCGCCAGAATATTGGCTACTTTGATAAGCAAGGCACCGGTGAGATCACAACTCGCATTACTGGAGATACAAACCTGATCCAGGAGGGTATCTCAGAGAAGGTTGGCCTGACCTTGACGGCTATCTCCACCTTTATTACTGCCTTTATTGTCGCCTACTGCAAGTACGCCAAGCTGGCCGGTATTTGTACCTCGACAGTGGTAGCCATGGTACTGCTGGGGTCAATCGGATCACGCTTCATTGTCAAATATAGCGAGCTTTCTCTGCAGAGCTACAGTGCTGGTGGCACTGTTGCCGAAGAAGTGATCAGCTCAATACGCAACGCCACCGCGTTCGGCACTCAGGACAAGCTTGCGCGACAGTATGAGGGTCATTTAAAGATGGCTGAGCGGTGGGGGATACGGATGCAGACAGCCGTGGGGCTCTTGGTTGCTGTCATGTTCTCTATCATGTTTCTGAACTATGGCCTGGGCTTCTGGATGGGATCTCAATTCCTAGTCAAGGGTGAAATCGACGTCGGAGCCGTTCTCACTATTGTGATGGCCATTCTCACGGGCTCCTTTAGTCTAGGTAACATCAGCCCTAACGCTCAAGCCTTCACCAATGCCGTGGCCGCTGCCACTAAAATATTCGGTACGATCGAGCGCAATTCCCCGCTCGACCCGACTTCTGATGAGGGTCTTTGCCTGCCCTCCATCAATGGGGATATCCGCTTCAACAACGTCAAACATATCTACCCCTCCCGTCCTGATGTGACGGTTATCAAGGAAATGAATTTAACATGTCCCGCGGGCACCGTCACTGCTCTAGTTGGGCCTTCAGGTTCTGGCAAGTCCACCGCAGTGGGACTGATTGAGCGATTTTACTTACCTGTCAGCGGAACTGTATCCCTCGACGGCCATGATCTCCGAGATCTTAACCTAAGATGGTTGCGCCAACAGATCTCTTTAGTGAGCCAGGAGCCTGTTCTCTTTAGATCCAGCATAAGCCAAAATATTCGCTACGGTCTGATTGGTACCCGTCACGAATATAAGCCCGAATGGAGGATCCGGGAGCTGATTGAGAACGCTGCTAAGATGGCTAACGCCCATGATTTCATCACCGCTCTTCCCGAGGGATACGAAACAAATGTTGGCCAGAGTGGCTTTCTGTTATCTGGTGGACAAAAGCAGCGTATCGCAATTGCCCGAGCTGTTGTGTCGAATCCCAAAATTCTTCTGCTGGATGAGGCGACCTCTGCCCTGGATACAAAGTCTGAGGGCGTAGTGCAAGCTGCCCTTGATAAGGCTGCCGAGGGGCGCACTACGATCGTCATTGCCCACCGACTATCTACCATTAAGAACGCCAACAATATTGTCGTGTTCGTCAAGGGCGAGATCCAAGAGCAAGGCACCCACGAAGAGCTGCTTAGAAAGAGGGGTCATTACCATACTTTGGTCGCGGCCCAGCACATTGCCGAAAAAAAGGATGAGCAATCGGACCCTGACATGTTTATCGAGCAGTCCCAGCCTCGATACAAGTCTATATGGCGTGCGTCGATGGCAGATCCTTCTTCTATGTTCCGTCGCGGATCAGTAGCTCGCCGTGGTTCTATTTTGCGCCAGGGGTCTATTGTTCGCCATGGATCCGTGATGCGCAAAGGCTCCGTTATTCTTCATGACACTCTTAGTCGCCACGGCTCTGTGGCCAGAAATGGCCCCATAGCTCATCCTTGCCCGGCATTACGCCCTCAGTCGATGTTTAACCCTGGCATACGTGGGTCATGGAATCGTGGCTCGTTGATACGTCCACCTACCTTCTATCCTGATAATAATCAACGTGCTACTATGTTGCTTCGCCCTGAAGATCGTGCTGCCCTCGGTCTGTTCTCGCAAGATATCTCGAAAACTATGGATTCGATCCGGCCTGTCAACCCAACTGAATACCTGCGCCACAGCTTCATCAGCATGCAAGCAGCTGATGATGACTCCAATTCCAGCTTCATTCTTGCGGAAGAAGAAGTCGAGGAATCCCAGCAATACTCCCTATTCTCCCTGATTCAATTTACCTTTGGATTCAACGCGGATCAGTGGAAGGTCCTGACGGTTGGATTTATCGCTGCAATGCTCGCTGGCTGTGGTCAGCCTATTCAAGCTTTCTTGTACTCGCACGCAATCGAGGCTATCTCCCTCCCTCCGAATAAGTACACCGAGCTTCGCTCTGATGTCAACTTCTGGTCCTTAATGTTCTTGGTAACTGGAATCGCTCAGTTATTTACACATGGAACCATGGGTGTCTGCTTTGCGTACTGCTCTGAGCGCTTGATTTACAACGCCCGTAGCAAGGCTTTTCGCGCCATACTCCGCCAAGACATGAACTTTTTCGATCGCGAGGAGAACAGCGTCGGTGCTCTGACATCTTTCCTTTCGACGCAAACCAAATCGCTCGCTGGTATTAGCGGTCAGACCTTGGGGACCATTCTATCATGCAGCACCACTTTGGTCGTCAGCATAACAATTGGTCTTGCTTTCAGCTGGAAACTAGCTCTGGTTGTCATGTGTGGTGTCCCTGTTCTCCTGGCATGTGGCTACTACCGGTTTGAGATGCTTGCCAAATTCCAGAGCCGCTCTAAGGAAGTGTATGCGCAGTCTGCTGCTTATGCCTGTGAAGCTACTTCCTCCATTCGTACCGTCGCTGCGCTTACCCGTGAGGATGATGTGGCAAGGCACTTCCATGAGCAACTGGAGGCTCAAACCCGTAGGAGTCTTATTGCTGTTGCCAAATCTTCGACTCTCTATGCTGCTTCTATGGCCATGGTTTTCTTCTGTGTTGCTCTCGGTTTTTGGTGGGGTGGTACTCTTGTATCTCGTGGTGACCTTGACCTTCTAGGATTCTTCGTCTGCTTCACCGAGATCTTATTTGGTGCTCAATCGGCTGGTATGGTGTTCTCCTTCTCCCCTGACATGGGAAAAGCCAAGAACGCCGCCATCCAGACCCGTATTCTCCTAGAGCGCGAGCCGCCCATCGACACCTGGTCCGAAGAGGGCGAGCGTGTCTGGAAGATGCAGGGTGAGGTTGAATTCCGTGATGTTCATTTTTGCTACCCCACTCGTCCGGAGCAGCCTGTTCTGCGCGGTCTGGATCTGACTGTCAAACCTGGTCAATATGTCGCGCTAGTCGGACCCTCTGGATGTGGAAAAAGCACCACTATCTCTCTATTGGAGCGCTTTTATGACTGCTTGGATGGCGGTGTGTACGTTGATGGCCGCAATATTGCCGACCTAAACGTCAAGTCCTATAGAGAGCACCTTGCCTTGGTTAGCCAAGAGCCTACTCTCTACCAAGGTACTATAAAGGATAATATCATGATGGGTGTTGGGCGACGCCACGCGACTGATGCGGACGTCGAGCAGGCTTGCCGTGATGCTAACATCTACGACTTCATCACGTCCCTCCCGTAAGCTAATCCTTCTTTCCGAGAGGCTCTGACCTATCAAATACTGACTTCACACAGTGAGGGTTTCAACACCGTCGTTGGCAACAAAGTGTTATCTGGTGGTCAAAAGCAGCGCATAGCCATTGCTCGAGCTCTTTTGCGCCGCCCCAAGATCTTATTGCTGGATGAAGCTACGTCGGCTCTTGATTCTGAATCCGAGAAGATTGTGCAGAGTGCCTTAGACGCTGCTGCTAAGGGTCGCACCACCATCGCCGTTGCACACCGTCTGAGCACGATCCAGAATGCCGACATCATCTACGTGTTTGAAGATGGCAAGATTGCAGAGGCCGGAAACCACATCGAGCTGATGAGGAAGAGGGGCCGTTACTTTGAGCTTGTCAACCTTCAGAGCCTGGAAAAGGCAGAATAGTCCCGGCGAAAATAATGTCGTGCCCCCGGTAATTTCTATGCTTTCGCTACAACCTTCTTGTTACATAAAGTTCTTCCTTATTCCTGAATATTCTGTTCGCTGCATTTGCCATGCGTTGACCTCATGGTTCCGGGTCTACGTGGGGGTGAATATCTCCATGTGTGTCAGTATAGCTGTCCTTTGGGAAGTTATCTTACTATGTTCAAGGTCAATGACCAGTGTACTATTGATGATAGGCTCTTTGTTTGCACTGGAGCATATCCTCACTACGTCTCTCACTCCAGAGGCTTTTCTCTCACACATATCTCTGCACATGCACTCGATCGATCTCCACCTCTACATCGTGTTCCTCGAGCACTCTTCTCTTGGGATCATGCTCAACACAATGTATCTAAAATTTAATGTAAGCGCTTCTTGGTCTCCAACATATTTTAGCCCTCTACTCAAGCCCTCTATTACTTGAGTACTTACTTAGAGACCTATGCGGGGTATTTGTGTACGCAAAATTTCCATGAACATAAACCCTATCCTCAGATATCTTATTCCGAGGGTCCCAAATTAGATTGCAGCATATTGAACCTCATCATGACCATTGGTACTTCATCCTGAATTCTTCTTTCCCTTTTATTTCTTCATCCACCAGCATTATCTAGAATCACTTTCTCAACGACAGAGATGGCCGAACTGCATACTGTTGAACAAGGCTCCGGCGGTTTTGTCCGGGCTGAATTTGAGAAGGGTCCCATGTATTAAAAAAAGGACGGAGGAACGGGTCGGCCATGAGATACGGTTCCGACGTGCACAATCGAACATTCAAAGTCCTTGAAATTAAACCACACCCATCAGTATTCTCATCACAACCACATCAAAATTCCGACACCGTACGAATTTGTCCAAGCAAACTATCAAAAATGGTGGTCAGTCAATCAAAAAATGTTTCCGAATATGCGTCAAGCTCTCGGCAATCACTCAATGTGGGTATCAAACTTTGATATGTGCAGAAAGGTTACCGTTGATGCTAGAGGAGTGGAGCAAGCTGTGTCTATATTCTGGAGAAATGACCGTTACTACCTTCGACCTGGTATAGATCCTCAATTATGGACTGCGGTTTGAGAGCACTATATCCAGTCCAGGAATACCCGTGCAGAGACTTTTGTCCAAAAGAAGGAGAGAAGAGGGGCAGTCTGACACGTCACCTCAATGACCTGCTAGAACAAGGTCACGTTGTTACTGATGGAATTTCGATTTTTCCCTGTGTTCTTCTATACTCTCAATTTTGGTAAACCGATTATTCAAGTAAGTCTCCAGATAGGTACTCTAGTAGGTGCCGAAGTAGGTGATCTGAAGAAGCTTATGAATTGTAGAAGCGCTGACCATAGTGGACGGTTCCTCATTGGCAAATAATGTATCTTCCCAAAGACCAACAGATTGGAAATAACAAACTGCATTATCGAAAAACAAAGATCGATCAATCCTTCTCGTCGACTCCAAACTCCTGGTGAATTTCCGCCACTCTGACTCCTTTAGCATCGGCGATCAACCCCATCAGACCCTGCGCGGCATCCTTAATCTCGTTATATTCATGCAGCAGACGAACATGGCGTTGAACTGTGGTGGCCGGATCGTTTCTAACTCGCATTAGTGTCTTAGTTCCAACGTGCGTGGCAGGATCCACTCATACATACCGCAGCTTGGCCTTGTCATCCGCAACCTCCTTCTCTAGCTCACATAGTTGCGATTGGAGTTGGGCGACTGAATCCCGAAGCAGAACCTAACTCGTCAGTACTACAGTAAGAACTCTTAACTCCGAGTCACTCACTAAGCGTTGTTCCCGTTCCGCCATGTGGGGAATTGACAAGGATAAGAAAGAACCAATCAACAGACGCGCTGAATAATCCGTGGATGGTTGCGGTGATGAGGAGTAGGATCAGGGGAAGGAGATGGAGATGAAGATGGAAACCAAGAAGAAAGAACAATAGAGACACAAAAAATGAAATATTGATTCATTTGAATCAATTCGATCGTCGTTGTTGATGATACAAAGTAAATCGGATGCTCCGGATTGGCGTTAGATCGACATTGCCTGATCTGGCCGCTTCCCTTTTTCCCTTTTAACTTCTTCAAACCACTTATTCTCACAACTCCATCATGGATTTCTTGAAGCAAAGGTCCCTATGGGCCCTGTTTCTTGTTATTGGGCTTGTCACAGCCCACGGTGGCCATGAAAATGTCCCCGAGGGCGAAACCATCTCTGAAGATCCGATTGTTTGTCGCCCCCCTCTCTTACGTGTCAACCTATACTAACAGTCTCAGGACTCGACTCTATGGGTCCATATGATTCTCATGGGATTCGCATTCGGTATCATCTTCCCACTGGGCATGGTCCTAGGTGTACGTATTTCTTTCTCCTCCACGCGCCTCAACCTAACGAAAATAGATCGTCCGGTCTCGCTGGCACGTCCCCGTCCAAGTAGTTGGAACCATCATCGCCGTCGTCGCCTACTTCCTCGGCCACGCGCACAAGGGCCGCCAATTCGCTCCGAACGCCCACCACTCCTTCGCAAATTGGTTGATGCTCATGCTAGTCGTGCAAGTCGGACTGGGTTTCTATCTGAAACTACACTTGGAGAAGGCCGGGCAGGCTCGTATCCGGTGGATCTTTGTGCTTGCGCATGGCGTCCTTGGAAAGGTCATGCCGGTTGTCAGCTGGGCGCAGATGCTGTTCGGTGGGATTGCCATGATGGGCTTCTGTCAGGCTGACCACATGGGACAGTGTCTTGCGCACTTCATCATGGGCTCCGCATTTATCGGATACGGTATCTGCTTGACTATCCTTCTCTTGGTGGGACAGTACTGGTTGCGCCGGACAGGTCGGAGCCAGGAGTTCTTTGACTCTTTGATCATTGCGGCCTGGGGCTGTGTGAATACCTTCACCGAACACCGGTGGGGCCAGCCGTGGGCGCACAATGATCTGCAGCACACTACTATGGGTGTTGTTTGGTGGTGTGCTGGTCTTTTGGGAATGTGGCTGAGTCGCAGCCGTGATGGTCGTCCTAAGCGCAATCTAATTCCCGCAATCGTGATCATGATGACTGGATATGCCATGTCAGCTCATGCGCAGCATCTAATGATCAGTACTATGATCCATACCGTCTTCGGCTACACCTTGATGGCTGCTGGGTTGACTCGGATCATTGAGATTTCGTTTGTGCTGCGCGATCAGGCTGCCGTCAGCATGAGTGGCGTGGACCCGAACAGCTTCCAACACCTGACTCCATTTGTACGTTTCTCCCTGCATGGAAAGTGGTCTTTGCTAATGAGTGTAGTTGCTGTATGCCTCTGGATTCTTGTTCATGGGCGCTACGGAGGAGCAGATGCAGCTTCTCAACGATGCGGGTATCACCCACGTGTCATACGTGCTAATCCTCTATAGCGTTGCCTTCATCATGTACCTTTGTAAGTCAACATGGGAATTTTTTTCGGCCTTTATTAACTTTTCTAGTCGTCAACGTGCTGCTGCACATTTACGCTGTCCATGCCTGGCCCAACGGTAACGAGGAAGAGGCTCCTAAGTACACCAACGCCAACGGCACCTATATGAATGGCAATGGACGTGCTCGCTCCAACTCCGAAGCCCAGCGCATCCAGGATGCTGAGGGCTTCGAGTTGCAGGGCCTGATTAGTGAAGATGAAGATGAAGAGGGTACTTCCATGGGCCCTAGAAAGACGACCGATGAAGAGATGGGCGCGAAAGAGACGACTTCCTCTTGAATCTATTGAAATTCCCCATCATCTTTTGATGGCTATTTAATTTGCACTTGCACTTGTGGCGTTCAGGTTGGGGGTGTATCACCAGAGAACATTGTCTAGCACACTTAATTTTGCACATAGATAGAGTCATTCTGCTGGAACTGTGACTTGGTGACTGAAATAAAAAATCATACATTTTACTCGCCATCGTATACATGAATCGTGAAGAAGTTGGGAAGATTTCAAGTTATCATTATTATCGTAGATTCTCCAGACCGAACCTTGAATGTCAAACCGCCTCAACCAAGCAGCCCATTATGCATTGGTAGTAGGCATACCATCCATACGTAACGGAATCGTAGACTGCTGTGGCTGCCCCAATGGAATGGGATTGGCAATCGGTGGGACAGCTCCCAAAGACTCCACACCCATCTCGGCGGGGAAGAACGGATGCAGAGGATAGATAGGACCAACGTTCTTGTCACCATCAAAGAGAAGCATGTTCTGCAATGGTTGTTCTCGTGCCGAAAGAACATTAATCACATCCTGAGCCAATGCGCCACCGAGGAAAGCGGCGATAGGACTCAACTCGCTGCCTAGGTTCTGGAGGAACGTGCGCAGGAAGACGGAGTCCAATGAAGCCATATCCAATTGCAATTCTTGGTGGCTTTCACGTGCGATCTTGGTGAAGAGTTCCAGATCAGCGTGGTTGAATGTGGGGCGGCGGCCGCCGGACATCTTTTCAAATTCCCATAGTGCGCGCAGACAGCTAAGAAGGGGCGTGACTTGTTTGCGGCGGCGAGGAAGACGAGTAAACTCTTCTGGAAGGGGTGAAGTATTTGCCAGGATGAGCGGGGAGTAGGTTTCGCGCTTGGTGACTAGTTCGATTTTCTTGTCTGTCTTTTGGTCTTTTGTTTTGGTGGTCACGTTGACGATGCTGCGGGTGGGGGTTTCCTGGGTCACTGGGGAGACGTTGGACTTTTCGCGCTCGATCACAAAGTCGTGAGAGATCAAATCAGCGAAGACGTAGCCGTAGAAGCCATGAAGACCGGCGGCGTAGAAAGGGCGGTTTGCAAGGCGACAGGCTGCGTTGATAGTTGCGTTGGTGTTGAAATCCAGTTCCGTCGCAATTGTAATATCGAATTGAGCGAAGAAGTCTGGTTGCTTGGTTCGGACGTCGTCGGTGTCAATGGTGAGCTTGACTCGTGGGTTCATGCGCTTGATTTGAGGACCGGCAACTTCGGCACGCTGGAGCTGTTAGCCAGAGCTAGACAAACAAACGAATAGACCAGAGTGTGGCATACGTTTTTCCCTTCTTTGACAAGTTCTTCGTCCCGGTATGCCTCCTCCAAAAAAAATTGTCCCTCCAGGTCGTTCTCTGTCACCGGTTCGTGGTCGATGATGGTTAAGGATCCGATACCTGCTAGGACCAAGTTCTTGGCGACTTCATTTGCAAGAGCTTTGACAGTAATTAAGAGAATGTTGGCCGAGCGAATTCTGGGCAACATTAATATTCGTTCGCGACGCGCTCAACGGGTCTCATTACTTCTCTTGGGCTTGTATGCCCCATAGTCGGATTTGACGATCATATAGAGCGATCTCATCTTAACGGTATGAGCACTCTTTTTTTGGGGTAATTGGATATGAATTTGACTTACCGGCACTAATCTGGCCGTTCTGCTGATTTTGAGACTCAGTCATATCGGTGGTGGAGTGTAGAAGGGAAGAAGCTCTAAGATAAAGAGCTCTCCACAATGACCTAATCCCCATCACGTGCGAAGCTACAGGGAAGCGCCGGAGTAAACTGGCATGAAAGACATCTCCTTCATGGAGTTTTGTTTTATCATAGTTCCTGAATTGCGAGGTGTCGGATATTCAAGTCTATCTGTTCCAGGTAACCATTCACTCTGGATGTTATCTGACTCACCCCACTAACCACACAGCATGGTATGTTTCAGGTCCCTGACTTCACTCCCCCGGACTAACAGCCCCCCAAGTCAGATAACTACGATCATCCCCCTGCTTCCTCCCGCCGGCCATCTGTTCCAAGTGACCGAAGCTCCCCTCTCGTTCCCGATAGAGGAACATTTCAACAGCGACTTTGGGATCCTACGAGGATCAACGCTGACGAACGCGTTCTTCGAGATCTACGTGATCTAGAGGCTCGTAGGAATGATTTAATGGCTCGTATGCCCGAAAACTCTCGCCATTCAGAGCGACAACCCTCGGACGAATACGAGTCAGACCTGGATACGATTTTATCTGATGTTCAATTTGCAAACCCTGCCGCACGCCTCTTAGATCGGTTATTGATCGATCAGGCATCACGGACCCCGCGCGAGAACCAACCTTCAGACAGGCCAAGAGAACGCTTGATTTATCTCCGGAACTTGATCCACCAAGAAAGCAACCACATAAATGCCGAAGATACCCTTCGGGCCTTAGAGACACTGAACCAAGAAATTGAAGATCACTACCGTGATCAAGCTCGGAGTGGACAAATAACAAATCAACAAGCCCAACATTCTCGAAGAGCCTTGCTGGAACAGATCCCTCAACTACAGGCGGCTGTCGTAGCCTCTGCGAATTTGGAGCCTCGTCCCGCGAGCAACAGAGGCAACCGACGTCGTTCATCCCGATCGGACTTACGAGATTCACTTCCTACTCCGTCACTCATGCCCCAGTCCCAGAGCAACCGCGATCGCGACCGCGACCGCCGGCAAAAGCGGCGCAAACTGGACGCGGATGATAACCGTGAGGGCTCTCGTGGGTTCAACTACGGGCATCAAGGCCAGGTGGTTCCTGGAGCCTTGAAAATGGAAATTGCGAGCTGTGATGGAGGCGTATTCGATCCAGATCCAGACAGCTTTTTCCCGGGAAATGTTCTGCGGAATGATTTGTCTGTGTACAGCACCAAGTCTAATCGCTGGAATTTGATTCTTCGTCACAGAGACGAGGCCCCGTTCTGCTTGAAGAAGCTTGTCATCAAGGCCCCCCGTTCTGGCTTCGATTCCCCGTATGTGATCCCCAATTGGGTCTCAAACTTGACTAAACTCAGTAGAATCCAAGAAGGCATGGTGTTTGTGTCCATGACGTCGGATGAATTGCTTGCTCGGACCGCAAAATATAAGATCGAGTATTCCAATCCACGACGCCGTCGTGGTCATCGCCGAATGATCCAACCATCTCAAGAATATCTATCTGGCTTCCGCACTCCCCTTCAAACCCTTGAGCGCACCGTGCTCATGGACCCTGACTCCGGTCCAAACTCCGTTCACCCCGCTGGTCGGGATGCACACGATCCCCAGGCCGAGTTCCGTGTCACTACCGAGTATAACGAGACCACCGAAGACAATGTGTTTGTGGGACGAGAAAATGATGACTCCACCTCTTCCACCGAATTGGAAAGAGCCAACGAACTTGACGATCTGCTCTGCTCCGATACCGATGATGACTCTCCTAGTGACGACGATGACGAGGATCACCCAATGACTCGCCGTCGCCTCGAAATCCAACGCCGAATTGGCTCCATGCGCCGACAGAATTCCGATCCATCTCAACGACGCCGCCAACCCCCAAGCTTGATTGATCCAATTCCTTTACCTCCCGTACCTGGCCCAGCAATGCCTACACCCAATTCCGAGGTCCTCAAGCCGCACGCTCGTTTCTTCATTGAGAGGGAGAAGAGTGTGGTCAGCATCAAGTTTGACCCTCCTCCGTACGTTTCTTTGTCCTGTCCTCAGGTTCACTGCTAATTTCCCCAGATCGGGCCGTTTCATTCTTATCAAGCTCTGGAGTCCCCGCAGTGAAGGCAATATTGATATCCAAAGCATCATTGCTCACGGATACGCGGGTCCCAGATTCTTTCCGTCCGGCGGGTTCCGATGATTATAATGCATCTTATACTACTTGCCCATTATTTTAAGCAGCTATTCGGCTTTTGACGACGACACGACAATGGAATGACACTATGACTTAGAATTGGGTATCCCAGAGATGTTCTTCGTAAATGAAGTAGAATTTAGTCTCGATCTATTCGATAGCTATAGTTCCCAAAGGAATAGAGACAAAACAGAACCAAGTCTAATTGTTAGTCTCCTATAGCTCTAGTGCAGCTACATTATCCAGCCCTCAGGCATAAAAGTATGAAGTCACTGCCAATCGGCTGTTTTTGCTTCGTACAGAAATAGCAAAGTTAACCTTCAAATGTTCATCGGGAGAAATTGCCTTTCCATTTCCTCACTTATACTGACATCTGATATGATCCCCGCAAATACGAGTCAGCATAATGAATGTCGCATCAGCTATCAAACATGCTATATCTTCAAGCCCCGTTTCCGAGTCCTTGTATTCAGTCCTAAAAGTTGAACTGACCACCCTCTGATCAATTAAAATGGAGATACACACCTGTCGCAACAACACAATCCCTTCCGATACAAACCCATGCCATATCTGCACAGAATCACTCGCAAAATTCGACGACGAGCCAAACTCAGCAGAGTCAAAGCGTCGCATGAGACTCCTCTTCCATGGAACATGCTCCAACGAGGATGACAGTGAGCAGCAGTCACTATGCGCGTTCTGTCACCACCTACGTCTTGAGCATTTACTGGGCTGTCTTGAAGATGGCAAATAAAATTGCAGAATATGATTTTGCGCGTTCGAAAACATTGAAAAGCGTCAATCGTGCCCTTTTTGTCATCTGTTCATCCGGAGCACCATGCCATACTCGTTTTTCTCCGGGATGACTCCACCCTACCTGTTCGAATGTGGATATGTAGAAATGATTGTTGAGGCTGGTTGCTCGATATTCATGAATTTCCAGTATCCGGGCGGCCCGTGGATAATTGCGAGATGGATATATTATGATTCAGGTCTCAAAGCCAAGTGTACGGGGTATCAAGTATTGTATCTGTATCCCAGTCCTCTGTGCTGTAGACCTGACCCCTCCTAGGATGGATGAACAGTTGATTAATAAAGAAGTGGTAAAGCGACGAAGGGAATTTGGGACTAAGGAGTTTGAGACTAAACGCGAACCAATCACGTTTCAAACTATCAAAAGGATTGGGGAGTTCGTCGATTGGGACATTATATCAGACTGGCTGTCGTCCTGCTCCGAGGAGCATCCAAAATGTGGACCAAGAGATCTAGGAGTGAAGCCTGCTCATTTTCGACTGATTGATGTGCGACGACGGCGCATTGTCTCCGCGCCTTATGACTGTCGCTATGTTGCTCTCAGCTATGTGTGGGGACTTAACACCGATAGGAGTAAAATGTCTACTCGAGCTACATTGGAATCGCTACGGAAGGATGGCGGATTGCTTGTTTCAAATGTTGTGAAGACCATCAACGACGCGATTACCATTTGCTCTCACTATGGGTGGATCAGTACTGTATCATTGAAGATGATATAGATGACCAAGCAGAGCAGATTGCGTCCATGTCTGCAATATATTCGTCCGCTGCGTTGGTGATTATCTCTACGGATGGAGATATGAACGACGGGATTCACGGGGTGAGCAGTGATAGAGCCCAGAAGCAGATCCAATGTGAGCTTGCTGGGATGAAATTCATCAATGAGCTCCCCAGCTGGCGAGAGATAATTAATTGCTCATCTATATGGTCGACACGGTGCTGGACATACCAAGAAGGAATCCTAGGGAGAAGGAAGATTTATTTCAGCTCTTCGCAGTCATTCTTCGAATGTGACAAGAGCATTCTCGACGAAGACGGCATGAAACAAGACGCCATGTACTCGCCAAACGGACTAAATCCACAACGATGGCACTCAGTCATCGACGCGTTCTATGGCCATATGGCGAAGTATTCGAGGCGCCACCTGGGAAGTGAATTCGATATCTACAATGCTGTTGAGGGTATTGACAGTGCCTTGTACGCAAGCAAACATCCTCTATGGTTTGGGCTTCCACGCGTCGATTTTGATAAAGCGTTACTGTGGTGTCATGATTCTCCATCAAATGGAGAATTTAAGGGTGCAGTGAAGAGTCCTCCAGAGGGTTTGATCCCTAGCTGGTCCTGGTCTTCGACTACGCAGAGTGTTTTGCTCTTGGATGATTGCAACCGACGGTCAATTCGATATTGCGGACCCCTGGTGATGTGGACTTCGTGTCAGAAGACAGAGACCGGCTGCAAGGTCGAGGAAATTGTACCTAGCTCCGCAGTGGACTTTCAATGCCCCCATTGTGAGAGTGATGTGACCGGAAACGATCGCGATAGAAGATACACCGACGAGCACTGTTACATATAGCCGTTGCGTGGAGTCAAGGATGCACAGAATGCGAATATTCATTCAAAAGGCTATCTAAGACGTCGATCTCAAGTCTGAAACAGTCTATCTCTTCCCGCTGGTCATGCCTGCATCGAAACTCGCATTTCCAAGGCCTCAACAGAGCGTCTACTAGTGCATTTCTATTCATGCCCAAACTCGAACCAACAGTCATCTTCACACGTGCACAATCGGCATTCTTCAGACTCAATCTTCTTACGGACCAATCTGATTTTTCACGCGATTACCCCATCATCAACGATAGCGGGACTGTGGGTGTCCTCATCGGTCAAGATCCAGATATATAGAAAAATCTACTTTCACAGGTAGAAGCAGGCGAATGCCTCGAGTTCATTGGTCTATCTATCAGTAGACTGGACGGTATCATTCTTCCAGACGCGACAACCGAGTACGGGAATTTCCTGTACGGAGATCCCCGGGAGAAACTTCGTCAAAATGAGTCCTTGAGGGAGCTGACCTACTTGGATAAGAAGTGAACACCTCTTCTTCCGATTCCAGTGGTCAATGTCATGCTCATTCGACGCACTGAATGGACAGCTCATCGAGTGAGTGTTGGGTGGATTTATCCGAAAAAATGGGTCTAAGCGAAGCCGAACTTCGGTGATATTGTTCTGGAGTAGCTCCGACGAGACATTGAACTCTTCAAATTACTTGCCATAGCTCTATGCCGGGCACTCCACATACATCCGTGAAAAATACAGGTTGTCGACCCCTTAACCGGCCCGTTGTAGCCTTGTGCCTAATGCCCCACATAAAACCTTGTCCCACCACAGGGTCCAGTCGGTCCAGCTTTAAAGCTCACAGCGGCTTTGGAAGAAAGTTGCAGACAAGATGACTTCAATTCCTATTTGGCAGCTCCCCGAGCTTCGAAACGAAGACGTTCCCACCCCAACATGGATGGTAGTCTTCCTATGTCCGATGGAGGAGGAAGAGCGGGATGAAATCATGCAAAAACTCATTACCGTTGATAAGAACTGGCCTGATCGTCCCACTGGTGAACCGAGGCGGTTGTTACAAGTTCCTTGGCTGCTTGATACACCCGCGCACCCGTCAGTTCTATCTTCTATCGTGAAGCGAACCGAGAAACCCGACTCGTTGATTTTCGTGGATGAGCAGTCGCTGAAAGATGACATGGTCATTCTGGTGAACTATGACGAATCGGGAAAGAATTTTGAGAGCTTACGAGCTCCAATACATCGAGCCAATGTTCTCTTGAGCGCTGCGGCGGAAGGGACTGCACTTGAGGGAATGCCTCTTCCTGATGATTCCGAGGCAATAACGGTTAGTACTTTGGAGTCTGACCGGTACATGAGCTAATCTAACTGGCTAATAGCAACAAGGGACCAAGTCATATGGTGAAACCCCGGTCTTCATTCTGGAGGAAATGACAGAAGAAGAGCTCCAGAGAATCAAGGACTTGTTTCAAGAAAACTACCACTATGACCTGGACTGGATAGATGTCTCCAGCCAACTCGAGATCCCCGATATAGAGTCCCTCCTTGAGTATTTCGAATCCGAAGAACACGAGATGCAAAGCCCACCATGTTATTTCCTAGCAGTGGATCGCACCACTCTGGAATTCGCCAGAGAACAAGAAGGAAAAAAGTCAGAAATCGTGATTTTGGCATCGCAAGAGGCTGGCGAACTACAGTTCTGCGATGAGTTAGGAGATGAGCATAGCAAAGTCTGCATGGGATATGGTCTAGTGTCACAGAGTGTGGGAGACGCTATGGATGCCGTGGTGAATCTTTCCTTGGCCAATATGGACTTTTGTGAAATAGCCCCCGCGCCTGAGTGTGTGTATTGGAAAGGATATCAGGCTTGGGTGGATGTGAATATGGATGATTATGAGGGCGGGGATAAGTCGTTTGCGAGTGTTTGGATCCCTGGAGAAGGACGAGTTGATATTGAAAGATATTAAGTATTGTCACTCTGGGGTTTATTTTTTTAATATCTTTTCCATTTGTTTTATTGTTATACTACGCGTGATGCTATACATAGCGGGGCTGTAATTGAGTGGCTATATTCTTTTTCCCTGCAGGTGCGGGATAGGGCTATCGCGGTTCACCATGAAATGACTGGTCAGTTTGGTCCACAAAATTATATGCACCAACAAGTAGACTTAATGGCCAGAAGCGCTTTACCCCGCAGCTATGCTGCCCAACTCATCACGACCGCTTACTACGAAGGCAGATTAGTCCCCCTTCACTTCTTCGAGTTTATCGCACATTTCGCACCCTTTATCTGACTTCTATCCCGAGCCTTGAGCCATAAAACCATACCAGTTGGTTTTGATTATACATCCCACCCAAAAGAGAAGATGGTTGCTCCTCCGCTTGGAGAATTCAAAGTGGGCTGGATATGTGCCACATCTGTTGGTGCAGCTGTCGCGAGAATAATGCTGGATGAGATTTTTGGGTTCCTCGACGAACAAGACTCGACCGACATAAACCAGTATGTGTTAGGCCGTATTGACAAACACTACGTCGTGATCGCCTCAGTCCCCGATAGAAATGAACCGACATCAGCCTCTATCGTTGTGGCAAACATGTTGCGTACATTTTCGAGCTCTCTGAGAATTGGACTGATCGTAGGAGTTGGAGGTGGCATCCCATCTGAAAAAAGTGATATCCGACTTGGTGATATTGTGGTCGGCAGCCCCCAAGAGAACTCAAGCGGCGTCGTTCAATATCAAATGAAAGAAGTCGACGAGCGTCGCGAACTTGCTCAAACAGGATCCTTGTATAGTACCCCAAGACCGCTATTGAATGCAATAACCAACATGAGAACTACCTGGATCACCGACTTCGAGGAATACCCAGAATACCTCAAGGCTGCAACTGAAAGGAATGGCAGAACACGAAAGCGTTTCGGTCGGCCGGACTCCAGTGATCGGCTATTTAAAACAGAGTATCAACACTCTCTTACTGAAAAGACGTGTGACAGATGTCTCCCAGAATGGGAGGTGATCCGGGATGAGCGCGAGGACACGGTTCCAAAGATACACTTTGGGGTCATAGCATCCGGGAATCCAGCAATGAAAGATGATGCAACCAGGGATGTACTCCAGAAAGAGACAGATGCCTTGTGCTTTGAAACGGAGGCTGCTGGTCTACTGGAGGGCTTTCCTTGCATTGTCATTCGCGGAATCTGCGACTACTGCGACTCCCACAAGAATGAGGAATGGCAAGATTACGCTGCATTGGCTGCAGCATCTTATGCCAAAGAGGTTCTTAAATATGTGTCTCAAGTCCAAATCTCAAAGGAGAAATTGGTTGTAGATATTATTCCAACCCAATTTTAGGGGTATAAAAGGAGCTCCGATGTTGGTCACTATCTAAACAAGTGGGCGTATAAATTAGGGTCTAGTTTAGAGCATCATCTAGTCAAAAGAAGACTGAAGGATTGAATGCAGGGCTAATTTGCAGGAAGCGCCTGTAACAGATTTCGTAGATACATTGTGTTCAGCATGACCCCAAGAGATGAACCCATCATCAACACACTGGCCGCTGACCTTGAACAAAGTAAGATAATCTTTTCATTTTCAGACGAGCGGATTGACTCATGGTGAAATGTTCAGTCTCCACGGCGACCACAGACCCATGGCCAGTGGCATCATAATAGCGTTAAAAACGTAGGCCCAGATAAGGTTTGCATTGATCGTATTTGTCGTGTACTTCGCGATATGAATTGCGTTCACAATATCCAACAGGGAAGATTTGAGAAGAACAACATCTGATGATGCCAGAGCAACAGATGTACCGCTTTGAGGACAGATGCCAAGGTTGGCGGTGCTTAATGCTGCTGCGTCATTGATTCCATCCCCAACCTGGATGATTACTTAGTGACGAATGGAGATTTTGATGGGTAAATGTACCATTGCAACAACTTTCTTCGATTCTCGGAGTTGAGAAATGTGATGAGCTTTGTCTACTGGACTTAGCTCGTGCCAAATGTTTTGAATGCCAACTCTTTCTGCAATATCAAGAGCAATCGCCTCTCTATCACCAGTCATCTAGAAACTACGAATTAGCTTGTCTTGGTCCAATTTACCACGCTTATAGAAAGCTGGCTTACTAAATAGCATTCAACGCCCAATGACTGGAGGCCCTGGACTGCACGACGTAATTCGGGCCGCATAGGATTTTGAGCAGTCATATAACCAGCATAGCGGCCGTCTATCGCAACAAAAACACACATATCCGAGGGACAAAGTTGAGCTAGATCTTCGAGCATGCCGTCTCTACCCTGCACACCGGCATTGTCCAGCATCGTAGCATTTCCAACACAAACCTTCAAAAAGCCTACCTTGGCTTGGACCCCCTGTCCTAGGGTTTCGGTCAAAATTTCCACTCCCAGATCGCCTGGTCGAAGGTCTGGAAAATTGGTCGCCACATGCTCCATCACTAATGTTCTTACCCAGTGGGATGATGCTTTTTTCTCCGCGGCGGCGACAAGAGTCCACCACTTATCTGCAGAGAAAGAGCCACGGATTTGATTTCCACTAATTACCATCTCATTTGAGGTGAGAGTGCCAGTCTTGTCGAAAACGACGGTTGTCAACGCCGCCATGGTTTGTATGGCCGACGCGCCCCCCTTGAAGACTACACCCTTTGTAACGCTGTAACCTGAAGCAGAGTTAGCTTTGAGAAATCTCTAATTGGAAACGAATGTATTCGTGACTCACCACTGGCGACCATCACGGCGGCCGGTACACCTAAGCCCGTAGCACAAGGACAAGCCACAGCCAACGAAGCGGTCATAAAGCCCAAGGCTTTCTCCAGTCCATCAGAGAGCCAGTAGAAGAAGGCGACAGCGGAAAGAATGATCGCAGCAGGAGTGATAGCCTGTCCAAGTCGTTCGGTAGAGGCCTGGAATTGGGAACTTCTTCGCTGGGCATGGAGGATTGCATCAACAATTTCACCGATGCGGCTGCGCCCTGCGCCGGGTAAGACTTCAAGGAGCACAGTCTCATGACTTTCATTAGTTGTGCCAGCGATGCAGATATCTCCCAACCGCTTCTCAATGCGATGTGACTCTCCGGTATGGAGGCTTTCGTCTACTAGCAGTGGAACACTGCAGGGACATACCGGGTGGGCTATCAGAGTGCCATCACAGGGAAATCGCTCTCCTGGCTTTACTAAAACTCGGTCGCCGGATTTAAGCATCCGTGCCAGTACCTGTCTTCCCAGGGTGAAAGAGTGCGCGTGGGTAGGCAGAAGCTGGGCAACAGCAACCAGAGCTGCGGTAGCCGAGCGACGAAAGCGTGATTCCAAATGCCTATTAAGAGACATGACAGAGATAAGCATAGCAGCCGTGGTGGCGTGATTGGCTGGTAGTCCACGGCTATAAAAGAAGAGGTCGGTCAAGTAAGAGACGGTGGTAGAATAGACGATAAGAGAATCCATAGATTGACGCCAACCATTGCGCAACGAAAAAATGCACTGGCGGTAAAATGGCCATCCAAAAACCGTCTGCACGATACCAGCCAGAATGATTCTATACAGATGCCGAGTCCTCGCATCGATCAGGAAATCAAGATTGAAATGCAAGAGGCAAATCGGCAAAATCAGAAACAAGCTCCATGTAAACGCCAGACCCCATTTCCACCTAGCTTGAGCTGTTGAGTTGCTAGTGCGACAGGGAAATCCTAGTTTTTGAACAGTATTGGTGATAGATATTGGTTGGATGATCTGGGAATTGTAGACGACGACTGCTCGGCCACTCAGGGGCTCTAGGCGGGCGATTCGAACACCATCAATGCTAAGAATCTTTTTTTCAATTTTATCTGTGCAGTTAATGCATGAGATCCCCTCGACTGCTAATGAAAGGGTTCTGTCGTTCCCGATTTCCTCCTTGGGGACAATGTTCAGGAGGGAGTCAATGGAGGCGTCGGATGTGATTTGGTTGCATTTTTGTAGGAAAATGCTCACAATGAAGGCACCAAAGAGACAACAAGCTGCCATCTGGATTTTAGGGATGCATCTAGGTAGTATTGTAAATAGTATTTGATCTCTTCTATCTACATCAGTCAGATTTTGCTTTGTATTTCCCCGCTTCTGCGTGTCAGAAATTTCCTACGAACCTGCGCAGGTACCGACTAGACGTTGCTCGGAATTGAGGAGAATACATCTACTACTGATGTACTGATAGGAAATGGAGGTATAGTAGAAAGAGTTCAATTCATAATGCGACTCCCTCGTAGGTACAGACTCTGCCATATACTGAATGATCAATTTATCTGTGGAACCAACTGAATCTCCGTCCGACCATCTACAAAGATATTCAGTTCAGCATTGCCAGTGGCGTCTGCTACAAGCTCAATACCACTATTAGTATATCGACCATTTGGCTGCAGGCGCGTTATCCCAAGCTTAAACAATCCACTCTCAGCCGAGGGATAGAGCACGAAGTGCAAATCCCGCAAGGTGATAGACCGTGCTTTAGCCACAAGCACACCAGGATACGGAACTTGGTCCAAGATTGGTCCCTGCAAAGTAGTCTTGGTCGGCCCCTCATTTACCAATCGTTTCCAGTCCCCCTGTCTAAGCATTGTGGCTTTAATCGCCGCAGTTTGCGTGCTGAAGGACACCCGTTCCGGAAATAAAACCACCGAGCCAGTTGCATTAACGGTCCAACCAAACTCTTTGTCCAAATTCTGCAAGGCTTTTTCTCGAATCCATTCGTCGCCGAATTCCCCAGCCACATGTGCCACAAACGGGAGCATAGCCAAGGGATTGGCCTTGTAGTTTCCTGGATCCATCATATCCGCACCGACAAGGCCCACCATCTTGAAATTTCCTTCCTTTGTTCCTTCATCACTAATGTGGAGATTTTCATGGCGAAAAGTAGCCCAAAGACGTCGAGCGATATGATCCAGATTTCCACGACACATCATGGAATTAACTAGATCACCTATGGCTCCACATAGTCCTGGGATGGTAAAACCTGTGATCTCTGAGCGGATTGGAATTATAGAGCCGCTGGGCTCCATGAACTCAGACGTCAGCGATGCTTCAAAGCCGAGAATCAAGCATTTGGCGTGCGTTGTTCCGAAAATCCGATCATAGATAACTTGACCCACCATGCCTTGCAGGTTGCAGGGCGAGTATATCCAGTTTGGCTCGCAGGGGAATAACGTATAGGGATTTGCTTTCCACTGCTGGACTAACGCCTTTGAGATGTGGTGGAGATCGTGCTTATATATGTGCTTTGGTGTGACTTTACAGACCAGAGATCCTGGCTTGGTATACCGCATATCACCTGTATTGGCGGTATACAAGGTGACTACTTGAAGTAAGAAGCCAGAAACCATAATATTGTCTTTGGTAATAGGGTCCAAGTCGGTACTGAACTTTCCCCACAAGGTCTCCCATTTCCAGAAGCCCAAGACCTTAGTAGTAAGGAATTTTTCAATAGTCGCCCGGGAGGCCTCGGAGCAGTACCCGTGGAAGTTTGGTGTGTAAATGCCTTGGTACATACTCAGGCAAAAAATCAGTTCGTAAAGCTGATATCTGAGAGCGGAGGTCTGAAACGAGAAATTGGACCAGTCGTCGATGGATTGCAAACCCACGTCGAACAATCTTTGGACTCGGCGTAGCTCCCACAAGGTAAGTTCTCGATCTTCATCCGGTGATACACTCACTGCGCTGGTTTGTACACGCTCTAGTGCTAGTGGAAGTTGTAGGTTCCGATCCTTTCGTTTGGTGATGGCACTGGCGCGAGCCTGGCTCGAGGAGCGGTTGAGATAAAGAATAGGTGCGGCCTGTAGTATGACGGCCACCACCCAGGCTTTCTCGTAGAGGGCATCAGATGCGGCAAAATATGCACCGGGGATAGAAAAGGCCCAGAGCAATAGGGGAAATGCAAGACCACAAGCGCCAAACCAGGCAAAAAGAGTGATGGGAAGTAGAAGAAGGGTGACGACGACGAGAAAAAGGCCCAGGGCGTTGGCGCAAGCAATGTATCCCGCTCCAGGAAAGAGGAGAGATAGAATAGCGGCACGGGTTTGTGGAGACCACCCACTTGTGTTAAATTGGATGAGAGCCAAAGTGGATATGGCCATCCAATAGGTCAAGGTGCGTCGTTGGACTTGCTTTCGATGTCTTCCTTCCCCGGCACAAGATGGTATATACTCGGGGAAGGACTGGATGGTATCCGTTGAAGCACCCATTGTATTGTTTGATCTATTCAATTCTTTTCCATAGAAAGACTTCAATAAAAAAATGGTTCCACCTCATTATAGAGGGAAAGACCTGTCTGTGCGGGGAATCTGGAGATGTCAGAAAGGTCTGACATTGTTGATGCAGTGGCGGAATAGTCACACGCCAAGATCAGAAAAGAATTGCGAGAGTGAAATTTCCTACTTAACCCCGGATCTTACCCAAAAGACCAATCCAATATTTTCTCCATCTGTTCTCAATCATTTCTTCCAAATACAGTTCAGCATTGGTGACATCTTGTTGGTCATTGACCAAACGGTGCTGAATCCATTTGCATCCGGCCTAATCCTTCTAGGCCTTACATTCAACAAGAATGCATTTCCTGGTGCACTGTGCCATTGCCTTAAATTATTTGGTTTGGGATCAATCATTCGGATTAACCGATATCTAAGTCAGCGAGCGTTGAACAACGGAGTGCAGACGCAATTCCATTGGAAGAAGGAAATCATTCTGGTGACTGGAGGCTCAGGAGGAATTGGAGCTGCAGCAGTCCAAAGACTAGCGACTCGAGGCTCAAAGATTGTGGTTATTGATGTCATTCCTCTGACCTTCCCCAAGCGTAAGTGAAAGAAATTCATTCAAAGCTGCAGGACTAAACAGATCCAGGGGATAACATAACCTATTACAAGTGTGATCTGACCGACTTCGAGGCCCTCAAGGCTACTGCGGCTATCATTGAAAGGTAAGATCAAGCATTTATCTCTCAAATGTTAGAGCTAGAAGCTGAAGAGCCTGAATCCAGTGAAATCGGTCGTCCAACTTGTGTCGTTGCCAACGCCGGGATCTGTAGAGGAAAGTCTCTTTTTGATGCCACGCAAAGGGATATCGAACTGTAATATACCCCCATTTAAGATTCAAGATAACCAACTAACAGGGAAGGTAGAACATTCGGTGTGAACAATCTCGGTCTTATCTGGACAGCAAAGACCTTTATCCCGGCAATGGTCAAGGAAAACCGAGGTCACTTCCTCATCATTGCTTCTCAAACCGGGCTCCTCGCCACTGCAAACATCGCGGACTACGCAGCCACAAAATCCGCCGCTCTCGCCATCTACGAAGGTCTACACACGGAAATAAAACATCTGCATCAGGCCCCGAATGTGCGGATTTCTTGCATTTCCCCGTCCGCGGTCCGCACGAAGATGTTTGATGGAATTAAAGGCCAGTCGAATTTCTTCTTGCCACGCCTTTCGGCGGAGGATCTGGGCGGCCTCATTTCGGACGTATTGTGGAAGGGTGAGAGTCAGAATATTATGACACCTGATTTTGCTTATATTTCCTTGTTCTCGAAGGTTTTGCCGGAGTGGATGCGTGTGGGCATGCAGGATGCGGGAGCCGATATTATGACTGACTTGAATCCACACCATCCCCTCAAATAGAAACCTGGAAGAAGGCGAGGCTGGTTTCAGATTTAAATGTAGTAAATAGAATCATACACTCTGGAAACCGGGAAATAGTTGACAAAACACATGTGAAGCTCAGAAAAGCTAAACACCTTCGTACTCTTAAGCCAATAGACTGCAGGCTGTAACTGTTGGGAAAGTTGCGAAAAATCCTATGGTGGTCAGTGATGGAAGAGAAAAAGATAGCACCACGTACTTTGTTCTTGCGAAAGAGGGTAGATGCTGGTGAAATTGCCACTCAAACGCCAATCCGGCCAACGATCCACTTCGAGGTTCCTGACAAGAAGTGCACGCCGCTGCTGATTTACGTCATTGGAATTCGTAACGACGTCTGGATCGACAGAAGCCATTCTATGGACAATATCTAACCACAAACGGTAAAAGAAAGCTTGGTCTCCAACACTGCATTTCGACTCCCTACCTTGCAACTTGCCACGAAGTTCCGACTCCGAGATGACAGGGGTATCTGGGGCTCGTACGATGGCATTGCAGACCATATCAAACACGTTGAGAGACATCTGCAACTGAGGCAGGTCAATCACTATGTTCAGAACTGTATCCCAAATGGCAGTGTCCAGGTTTTTTGAATCCAGGGTAAGGAAGTATTCGCGCAATTCGGGCCATGGCACCATGTCGATTACGGCTGAATGGGTGCAGTTCTCCTGCATAGGTGTTGGTCGGAAGAGCTTTTGTATTGCAGCAAGGTTCTTCGAAGTTGGCGCGAATCGCCAGCGCATTATGGACTCCATTAGTTCGTGGGTACCCTGTGCCATCAGTCAATAATCAACTCACGGTCAGAATCCGAATTATCTGGGACTTACAGTGCTGTTCACGTACTTAGTCAATCCAGTCCATGAAGTCATAGCTTGAATGGCAACCTTGGATGTTCGATCTATCAACTCTTGGCTGACCCAGTCCTTGTACTGGTCTTTAAGGGGCTTGAGGGATGCGGGGCTGGTGATCTGAGAGACGATCGGGAGGTGGAGCTCTTCGCATTTGTAAACCACGCAGGCGATTTCGATGCAATCAGTGATGCACATAGACGACATTCTCCCTTCATGGTCAAAAAGGCGATCCGAAAGTTCGGATCCGATCACCGAGGGGAGAGCTAGTGGGTTGCAGGAACCACTGATCGAATTTCCAGCCCCAAGAGAGCAAGACAAGGGCCCCGGGAGGTTTATTAGATCCCAAATCGACACATCTTCGCAGGAGATTGGAAATTCAAATGACTGGATTGGGTTTTGCTCCATTTGAGACATTCCAAGAGATGCTGTTAGATTATGATCACTCTGCAGTAGATTAGAATCGAGCTCTCGCGCCTGGAATTCGGGACTGGCTTTCTCTTTTTTCTGGCGATTTAATATGCTCTCGAATATGGGATCATCTAGAGAAACAGATCAGTCCTAGCACGAGCTAACATCGCTTGACGATTGGAGATAACCAACCTGCAACACTGGCAGAATTGTTACTGATGCTGAGCAACTTCTTTCGCATTGTAAGCAAGGCCTCGCTGAGACGTTCGTTCTCTTGCAAGAGCTCTACATAAGCATTGAAAATAACTGTGTTGGATCCCTGCGTGTCTCTTGCACTGTTTTTGACCAAATCGCGGAACTCCGCCATATGAAGCCGTTGGGCGGCCTTCTTCTCACGTGCGCATCGCTGGGAGATCCGATTCTGAACGCGCTTTCGCTCTATTCTTTCATTTATCTGTGGGTCGACGGAGGCTTTCAAGCCTCTTTGTGCTCGTGATGTTGGCATGATGTCGCAACGCTGAACTGTGTTCGTGGGTGCCCAGGTGGATCCAGGTGAAGTGGATTGGATTACCAAGTTCCGGGCCCAACTTCCGGGCTCAACTTCCCCACAATTCCGAAATGCGGGGTTGAGCTATTGTATTCCGGTGGCGTAGGTACTATAATCTTCTCTGGGAGGGCCTGTATTAGGAAGATAAATTGAAGTAAATGATAATCTCGCTCGGCAGGTAACAACACCGTGACTACATCTCAAGGGGCCCCACTGAACACTGCAGTGGTTGCGGGTGGCCTCAGGCAAAGATTTCTTTGCGACAGATGTCTTTGGATGTCTGGGAATTCGGGTATCAAAATAAATAATGGGTATGGGAATGAAAACTAGTTAGCGTATAGAATTGACACTCTATAGGTCTATACATTCGTTTATGCCCTAATATAAAAGCTTGAAGGCGGCCCAAGATAACTATCCTTGACACCGCCAAGATCCAGAACGATCTTCTCAAGGAGTAGGTTCGGATGAAACAATCGCACTCTAATTATATGAGCACCTGCTTCCAGAGAGCCAAGCTGGTGAGTTTTCTTCCAGACAGAATCCATAACAGCATCTGGCCAGCCTTCTGCGGGAATTTTAGCCCCTGTGGACTCTCGAACCAGAAAGTGAGAGGTAGCGGGCTGATTGTCGATCCCAAAATCATAAGACATTTTGTGATGTGGATCTAGCTCCAGGGTCATATTAAAATAGAGTGTAACAGTTGAAGTCCGTTGCGAGAATGTGTAGATAGGATACTCCAAGAATGGCAAGCTCCTGGTGCTGAGCGCAGAATTGTCAATGGCAACCGAGCCTTCGCTTTCTCGTCCTAGTTCAGGATGGTGTTCGTACGGTGCTTTGATTCCGTCAGCAGCAGGAATAGAGACACAGCCGTCTGCTTCAACAAAGCCATAGAATGAGATCGGGACTTTGTGGCCATAAATAGGCAGATGCAGGTGTTCGAAATCGCCCTCCATTGATTTCACGGTAATCAGAACATCCTCAAAATCCGTGTCAACCTTTTCCCAATCAACAGAGATCTGGATTCGTACATCATCCCCATCAGGATGCAAAGTCCCTTTGGTCGATGAAAGGGTAATCCACGAATAAGGTGCCGAAGCACTCCACCGAATCGTCTGCGTCCCTCGAGTGAAAACATCGAACCATCGCCCCGGCCCATACCGACTCATACCTCCCAATGTCAGCCCTGGTATCAGGTCCCGTCGACTAGGATGAGTACGCTCACTCTCTTCGTTGATCCGACCTGCTCGCACACCTTCATGACCCTCAACTGCGACACCCATCTGGCCAACAATCAAGTTACTATCCTGGCCCCGCTGTACATATGCAAGTCCAAAGATCGCATCCCGCGATGGCGCATGCCAAGTATCGCCGTACCCGAGGTGGCTCTGGCACATAATATGATTCCATTTGCCACCCAAGAGAGAGTGGAATTCCTGCGAGAGTTTGAAATCGGCGTCGAAGAGATCGAGCACTTCTCTTAGGAGTTTGTTGGCTGTATTGCGTCGTTGGCGTGCGTGGAGTTGGTTTCGGGCTTGAGTTACTCGGAGTTGGGTGAAGATTGCGCTGGCCTTTACCGGGTGTACGACAAGCTGCCAAAGCGCCGCTTTTTGTTCCTCGGTGGCATTACTTTCGCTAATATGGGCATATACGGTCTCTGCGGCGGATGAGAGATCCTTCCACCGCTTGACAATGTTGTCGGCTTCGTTGTAGTTTAGGAGTGAGAAAGTCTCTGGATCGATATGTTCGTGTCTGCGTAGCCGAACAAGACGATCATATTCGTGCCAGACACTCACAATGCCTGGGCTCACCTCTGCACCAAAATATTGAGTAGAGATATCGGCCAAGAACTGAGGAATAGTACTCTCTTGCACAGAGTCAATATTCCATGCCATTTCCATGGCGAAGGTAAGGGGTACCTCGATGGGCTTGATGTCGCCGACATTGAACACCCATATTTTGCGTGCATTCCGACGATACGCTTCACGGAGCTGATGATAGGTTTTGCCCTGTTCGTGTTTAGCTATGTCCATACAAGGCGATGTTGACGAACCAATGAATTTGAGTTAATCCACTTGTAGCTTCGAGGAGCCCCGACGTATTCAAAGTGGTAGTATATACCAGCACCCCCTGACCGAGTCAACTCAGGCCCAGTTGGCAATCGCCGAAGAGAGCCAAAGTTGTCATCTGCGAATAAAAGAGTTACGTTGTCTGGAACGGTGAATTCGCCTGCTTGATACAAATTCTGGATTTCCTTGTATAATGCCAGGACCTGAGGAACAGCATCTTCACGCCCATAGAACTCCTTGAAGAGAGCGCGTTGTTGCAAGAGAACATCCCGAATAACAGCGCCAGGGTCATCCGTTACCATCCCTTTGTCATATTCGCCTCGAATGCCCATGGTGAAATAAGATTCGAAGCCCCTGGCCCGCTTAACACCCTCGCGGAAGAAGTCAATGATCTCTTCTCGGCTTTTCATCCAATCCCAGGTCCCATCTGCCCGCTTCTCAAACCACTCGGTTGTAGCACGCTGCATCGGCTCATGATGTGAAGTCGATACACAGATCCCGTACTCGTCTGCGATGCGCTGGTTGTCCAGATCATCTGTAAAGAAGACAGCCCCGGGATTGGGGTACCCGGGCCACATGGCAGGCCACATAAAGTTTGCTTTCAAGCGAAGAAGCAATTCGTAGACTTTTTTGTAGAATTCACTGTTGTAGGAGCCGAATTTCTCCAATACCCATCCGGTCAATGCTGGTGCTTCGTCGTTGATGAAGATTCCTCGGTATTGAATGCTTGGCTCGCCATGGATCGTCGATGTAGGAAGGGCATAAATATCTGGGTGGGATTGGGCTGGGACATCGGCCCACCAGTACCATCTGTACATTTAGTATTCCAAGGGAGATTTACCATGTTGAGGATTTTGAACATACGGAGATACACCAATTTGGTAGGATAAGGTGTATGCGCCAAAGATCGCAGCTCGCTTGTCACTTCCCGCAATCACCAAAGCCTTGGAGCATCCTGCGATTGGTTCATCCACAATCAAAGTCATGAATGATTCCCATTTCCCTTTAATAACGCTAGTGTTGATTCTCTTATCATTCTCAAGCTTATTCAGCATCCAACATGACTCGATACAGCCAATGATAATTGCCGTGTCTGCTGTTGACGGGCTTCCCTCATCTAGGAGTTGAAATGGACTCGCGTTGCCCCGCGTCACCCGACCGAAGTCCTTGGCCAAGTCTCGACCCGCATGCTGAATCCCAATAAAGTCAGCCGGGTCAATTATTATAGCAGATCCAACGAGACTGAAGTCGGACTTCTCGAAAGTGACGAGCTGTTCAGACATAGTGCTCAGCAGTGGAATGTTAACTTCTCAGCCATCACAAATGACATTAGTACGGAGTTCCCCGTGTTCTCACCAGTACCTGGTTAGCTGATGAGATAACTGATCGGCATCAAATCATGGCCTTGGCATTTACGAGTCTGTAGCCATACAACCCCACGCTCGGGTTGTTGTGACCCGAGCGTCTCCCAGTGGATCCAGACTAAGGCTTATGCGGTCACCTCCGTTACCGACCAAGCAATCACACATGTCGCTCGGTGGTCTCATGCCGAAGCAATGGCTTGAAGCGTCACTAGCTTCCTTGCTTTCGCGTCGAAACCCCTACACATATCTCGTGCTGGCGTGGGGGACGTTCCCCACGGGGATGGATCCACCCCGCTTCCCCGGATAAATCATCTCAACTGTTCTTTCTTCCCCTGCAAATTATTTACACTTTGCAGTTAAGGTTGACGCAGGCGTTATATCTTGGCTTCATAAGTATCCTAAATTCTTGGATTCGGGTTCAAGCTGAATATTTTAACTTCACTTCTTTCATTTCGCTACAATGGCCACAAAGACGGAAAACCACGAGGTTGAGGATGTGGCTCACATGAACGTTGACGAGCCGCAGAAGAATCATACTGATTACACCCGGGTTGACAAAGAGATTGCCAAGTACGCCACCGATGGCGCTATCGAGATTGACGAAGCCACCAATAAACGATTGAAGAAGATGATCGATAAACGAGTACTGGTTGTGATGATGTTCACCTACCTCCTTCAGACATTGGACAAAGGTGCGCTATCCTTTGCTTCGATTATGGGAATTAAGAACGATGCGCATCTGCATGGTCAGCAGGTAATAAAACTTCACGCTTTGGTGTTCATTACTGACAATTTTTAGTATTCGTGGTTGACTACTGTCGTTTACATCGCCATTCTCATCGTTGAATATCCGGTGCGTATAAATATCCATAATGAGAGATGTTAGCTGATTTTTTGTAGGAAAACTGGATCATTCAACGAGTTCCGATTGGAAAATGGCTGTCCATCAATATTCTCCTATGGGGAATTTGCATCTCCTTGATTGCTGCCATGAACACGTTCGAGGGGCTAGTTGTGCTACGCGCGCTAATGGGTGTCTTCGAGGCTGCCTGCCAGCCGACATTTGTCGTGCTATCAGCAACATGGTACCGAAGGGAAGAGCAGGCCAGCACTATCAACTTTTGGTAAGCTCCAATAGTGGCCAACTGTCAACGTCGCTGACCACATAGGTTCATGATGAATGGTCTCCAGAATATTGTCGGCGGCCTTCTGGCCTTTGGCTTCTCTTTCGTCCCCTCTACTTCGCCGATCAAGTCATGGCAGGCGCTGTTCATGAGTTACGGTATTATCACCGTCTTCTGGGCTATCTTTGTCTTCTTCTGGTTACCGGACTCAATTATGCGAGCAAAATGCTGGAGCGAAGAAGACAAGCAATTGATGGTCGAGCGAGTGCGACAAAATCAGACTGGTCTACAGAATCGGATCTTTAAATGGGAACAAGTTACGGAGGCCTTTACCGATCCACAGCGTATGTCTCCACCACCAAGCTACCTGTACCTGCTAACGATATGTAGTTTACGCTTTTGCCCTCATTCAAATGTTGACTACCATCCCATCCGGTGGTATTGGTGCATTCGCCAACATCATCGTCAGCTCATTCGGATTCAGCACCTGGGCGAGTCAGCTTCTGTTAATGGTCACCGGTGCAGTAACAGCCATCACGATGATATCCTCCGCATACCTCGACCGACACTTCAAGCAAACCATCATTATTATGATCCTCTCACTCATCCCTTGCATCATCGGCACATCGATCTTAGTCGGGATCCCGTTCTCCTCGAGCAGAAAAATCGGCATGCTGATCGCATACTTCATATTCTACTCTTTCTTCGCCGTCCAATCGCTCGGACTGAGTCTCATGTCTCGAAATGTGGCTGGCCAAACTAAGAAGTCGATCGTCATCGCGTGCAACTTTGTTTTCTGGGCTGGCGGAAATGCGATCGGACCTCAGATCTTTCGGGATAAAGATGCGCCGCGATACTACCTTGCCTTTGCGATTATTCTGGGCTGCTTTGGACTATGCTTTATTATTCTGATTGCCTTGCGTACATGGTATAGCATTCAGAATAGGAGACGGGATGCGAGGATTGCGTCTGGGGAGGTTATCCCCGACGTTAACTTCACCCATGCCTTTGAGGATATTACCGATCGCGAGAATCCTCACTTTAGATATAGCTACTGATTGTCCTTTACTAAGAATCATAACGTCATTCAAGAAGACATTGAGAATTTCATGATATTAACAACTTCAGAATCTGACTCGACATAGTCAACATTCAACATCGGACTTCCGATCAATAGTAACCTCAATCTCATGCTTGACTCGGATATAATTCAATCCAAGATACTCCTCCAACGGGTCCAAGTTCCAATAAATAGGCTCAGGACTAGCTTCCACCCGGGTTGCGTGAGCAAACAACCTCACTGCATCATTTTCCTTCGTTCCTCCAAATGAATCAACGGGTGTGATACTGCGTCCCGTACTTTCCACATCTGCACCGAAGATCCCGCGGAGAGAATCTCTCGCTCTACATGGCATGTGTTTCCGGATATGGTAGTTGTGTTCCAACTGCAGGGCCCACTGCACGATTGGCTGCATCGCCGGAAGACAGGATCCGATCACGGAGATGCAGGGCTCAATGGTGGACCAGAGACAGACGGGAGCGATAGTCCACGTGATATCGACCAGACCTTCACCTTTGAGTTTCGTGAGGTAGTGGATTCTGATAATACTCGCTGCGAAGACACTAATCCATACCGTGTTAGCCTCGAATGGTACTGGTACTGAGATCGGGTGAGACATACAAGCAACCCAAGAACAAAACAATGGAAACCATAATCTTCTGCGCAACGCGCATCTTCAGCCTCCAAATGATGGGGAGTGGAACCATCATAACAAGGAAATCACAGACGACATTGGTAGCCGCATTGGCGATGTAATACTGATAGAAGCTGTATCGATAGTGTCCACCCGATTCATCATCGACTTGTGTCCAGAAATATGATATCGGGGTAGGAGCGAGACAGAGTGCGACAGTACACCCGATGACCCAGCCGATGGAGAAGAAACAAGCCAGCCAGTTTAGCGGATTCATACCGAAGACGCGACGGTAGAACAGTAGGATCGATACTTTGATCATGCAGAGCTCAAAATTATAGATTACTAAGGAGACGAAGAGCAACTGCTTCGATTAGTCAAGACCCAGGTCCTCGAGCTGTGTGCGTACCTTTTTCATTGTGATCATGTTCCCGACTGTACAGAGCCAAACATGTTTTCCCAGTCCGTAGTGATCGGCTGATGAAGTTAGATTAGACGAGGTATATTCAATGGAGGTACTTACCGACAAAATTGCTCGCGAAGAGTGCACCAAGAGGAGCCTTAAATGTTAGTAAAAGTTATGAAGCAATGGCTTGAGATAGACTTACAACGGCAATGATCATGATCCAGTCATCAAGTCGGAGCTTCTTATTGGTACGGATTCGCACCACGACGCGTATAGGAAGGATAATCGCGGCTAAAGCAAACACGATAATGATGGCGATATTATTGGGAAGGTTCTGATTCTGTGAGAGATCTACCCCCGCCGGCGGGGGTGAAAGTTCTGCAATTGTCGTGGATAGATTCATTAGTCTGCCAGCAGACGAAGCTAATTAGTCTTCTCTTCTCGCCTCGTCACTGGTATTGAACAATATCCTTTGCAGATGCGAGTGTTCGAGGGCCAGCACGGGTCGAATTAATCATGCTGGCGGAGCCATCAACTTAAGGCAAAGCAGAGCCAGAAATAGCTACATCACCATGTGGCAATTGCCCCGCGAGCTATGCATATACCCAATAGAAAGATATGAAAATATGGGCATTGGGGCCGCTCCTGGGATTCTGGGGGCCGTTCATGGTTGTATATGGTAAGTAAGTTTTGACCCCCAAATGTAGATTGAAGTCATTTCTATCGCTTAGAGATATGGGGGCGGAAGTATACTTTCAGTCACTCTGATTGGCTGGATGACATCCTTCAGGATTATGACTACATAAGGATTATAACCCCGTCTGCAGAAGCACGTAAGACTTGATTAGGAAGAGAGGAACTTGGAATGGCGAGAATTATCGAGAACAAAAATTCGATTTAAACTTGTGGAGTGACGCTGGGGCCATATGCTGAGTTGCTGCAAGAGAACCCGAAATCTGAGATGCAGTTTCTACCATCTTTACACCTTTTAGACAATCACAAGGGTGAACTTTCTCGAAGGCAAAAGTTATTTTGAAACTCTGTAACGGTTCTAGTGGTCGTTTCGTAATTTTCTTCTTGTATCCACCCATTACAGCGCTGAAGGAATCTTTGGACCTAGTTATAAATGTCTAGTGCCTTCAGATCGTGATCTGCCAATTTCAAGTACGTAATAGGACACACCAAAAATAAGGACTACCAGGTTGGGATGGGTCACAGCTTGACCACTCGGAAGGAAACCATCCCTCATCCGGCAAGAGCCAATAGTATAGAGGATTAATGATACAAGGATGTGCCAAGTCTTCAAACCCAGCTCCGCAGCGGATAAAGTATCACAGCTTCCACTCATCCTTGTATTGGCGTGGCCAAACACCCGACTTCCCAGGTGCCATAATACCATTTGGATCAATGGCATTCTTCAGAAGTTCGTTGAACTTCAAAAACGCCCCGTCGTTCCAGTTATAAGTGCCCATGATCTGATCCATAACAGCCAAGTGAGTGCGATACTCTCCCCAGCCCCTAGCTGCGCAATCATCGATGAGCGTTTTGATAAGCCAGTGTGCTTTCTTCTTTTGCTCGGCGTCTTTTTTGTTGAAAACGATGCACACGATGTGATCTGTCGGAGTAAGTATGTGGTCATTGTAGGGTAGAGAATGACTTACGCATCTCTCTCATGCCGATTGTGAATGTTCCAATAAAGTCCAAATCAGCCTCGAGACATCTTTTCCTCGTTAGTGCATATTGTTCCATCGCGTCCTTTCCTTGGACCGGAGCGATGGGTGAAAAGAATAGGTGCGCTCCGTTGGGAAGCCAGTCGATCCATTTGAGCTCATCATAGGTGGGGATACCTCGCATGGTTTTATCTCGGATGCGCAGTACAGAGTTCTCGGGGGTATCTTCTGGGAAGTAGAACTGCGCACCAGGAATAGCGGAGAATGCTTCTTTGACGGCACCCCACAGAGCATTCCGGATAGGTTCGGGGCCCTGTGAAGTTAGTACTAGCCGGGTCTATCCTGTATGAGGATAAGTATACTTACATAGAGCGCACCGTAGAAGTTCCATCGTCCGAGCTTGAGCTTTGCGGCGATTTCGTTCAAATCCTCTTCCCCAAGTGGCTCTGTTTTCGATGTATAGTCCTTCTTAGAACCCATCACTGCAGCATCTAGAAGGATATGTCGGATTGTAGGAACATTCTGAAGCGCCATGTTCAAACGAAGAGGCCGAATGATATCTACCGCTTGCTTCAGATCCTCTTCTCGTGGGATGGTCACCAGGTAAGACTGATATCCACCGGGGTTGGGCATAAGCCACATGCCAAGCTTGGTGACGATTCCAAAGTTCGACTGGGTGAAAATTCCATCGACATACGGACCGAAGCCGTAGTTGAATAGTTGAGCAGTCTTGTTCCAAGGCTGGTCCTCGGGTTTCAGGCCCGCTGTCTCTGGACGGCTAGGGTCTGGGAGCGCACCCATACCGGTTCTAAGAAGCTCTCCGTTGGGAAGGACAACTTCCATGCCACTATGCATCATCCAGTGGTCTCATCTGTTAGTGTGGATTGTAAAACTCGGGTGTGTACATACCTCCGTACGGCGTGTAGCCAACGCCACGTTCTATGGTATTTCCAAGAACTGAACCTCCACCAAGATCGGGAGTGTCGATCCAAAGCTTGTCTTGAAGGTTGTTGGCGACAAGGTAGTCATACAGCGCTTGGAATGTTACACCAGGTTCGAGCAGGCAGTAAGCGCCATCCACATTGACTTCTAGAATCTTGTTCATGTTCTTGCCCATGTTGAGTACTAAACTGCCCGAGACTCGAGGAGCGGCACCGCCATACCCGGAGTTCCGTCCGATGGAGATAGGCCACAGGGGAAAAGATAGGGTGTTAGCAAGTCGCACGATTGTTCTGTCTACGTTAGTCGGTTCCCACGTCTTCTGGGGCTACATACTGGACTTCGGACACATTCCGCGGCGCTACCACGGCAGATGCCAAGAAGTAGTCCTGCTCCATGACATGGTGAGGGTCATGTGTGTATGTCGGGTCCATGTAGGACTTGTCGTCGATTTGGTCCTTGGATGTTAGAACATCGACATTGTCGATACCAACGAGATCGGTTATCTCTTGGATGAATCTGTTGAAATCATCGAGGGTAACCTTGGGCGGCAAGGCCAATGGAGTGAATTTGGTGTTAGACATGTTGAGATGGGAGAGGGGAGAGGGGAATTGGAAAAAAATTGGGAAGTTTCAAATAGTCAATGGACACTGTTCAGCTGGCCCCGCAACTGACGAAGCTATCCACTCAGTTCTCCATATCACAAGCGAGATGCACCCGGTGACTAGTGTCAAACAGGAAATAAATTCCATTGATACTAGCGTGTCAAATGTTATCTCGTTGATTCATGTGGGGCCCAGTGACATCAGATAATCTTTTTCAAAGGCGAATCACCAGTTTTCCTTCCAATGCATCAATCCGATGTACATAATCCCCTATATCCGCCAGATCAACCACAGTAATCTTCGGTGTTACCAACCCTCTACGTACAAACTCCGCCGCCTCGGCAATATCAGTTCGATCCCCAGTAATACTCCCAACCATCCGAATCCCGTAATCAATCAAAGTAAGTGGATGGATCGACATCGTCAACTGTGGCGGGGGAATCCCAACTGCAACCAAAGTCCCAAAGTAGTCCAAACATCCAATCGCGGATTCATAAGCAGAAATAACCCCCGCACAAACGATAGCAGCCCCACAAAGCTTGCCAGTCTTCTTCAACAAAGCCTCCTTCACATCCCCCTTCTCATAATCAAGATAAACTTCCGCCCCGGCCTCCATACAAACCTTTCCCCGCTTCTCACCCCCGTCCACACCAACCACCCGATACCCCATAGCCTTTGCGTAAGAAACAACCAACGCCCCAACCCCACCCCCCGCACCAGAAACAAGAACCCACGAGCCAGGTAACAAAGTAGCAACCTTAAGTGCCTTATAAGCAGTAACACCCGCACACATCACAGGCGCAAGTAACTCAACAGGTACACCACCAGGTAATGGCGTAATATATCGTTCAGGAACAACGACGTAAGTAGTCAACGTCCCAGAGACATCACGACCACTAAATACCTGCGTCTCACATCTTGTCGTATCCCGTGCACAGTTCCGACACGAACCACACGCATCTCGGAGCCAGCCTACACCCACTTGTTGTCCTAGGACAGCGTGTGGGCTCGTGCATGCCGAGCCAACTTGAATGATGTGGCCGATTCCTTCATGGCCAAGGATTTGTTGCGTGGGACCTAAATGGCCATTTGCAAGGGCGAGATCAGTGCCGCAGAGACCTGTAACGGAGAGTTGGACGAGGACTTGTTGCGGGGTGATTGTGGGGACTTCAATTGAATTTATTGTGAAGGTGAAGTTTGGACCTGGCTTGGGTGGTGTTAGTATTAAAATTTTGGATAAAATTGAAAATTAAAACTTACATTTTGAAGTATCGCTGCCTTTTGAGTCTGAGGAATCATGGTGATGGTAAGTTCATACCCCGCTTGATGTGATGGCGTTCCAAGGTTATGGGGATATTATGGGTCCGGATTGAACACTCCGAATCTCCGAGATTCGACAAAGATAATGAATTTTCGAACTTGCATATACCAGAAACCAAACTGAGTTTACATCACAGCCCTGGAGCCTGGAGAGCTTGATCACGTACAGTTCTCACTTTCCTTACAATCTTGGAAAACACCGGCCGAATCAACTCCTGTAACCAAAGTGGAAAAGCCCGAATTGATCCAGCCAATCTAAAATGTCTAGGAAGAATAATCTGTCCACTTCTCCGCGCTACAATCTGTTCCACAATAACCTCCGAAATCAACTTGGGCGTTATAATCAGTTGTCCAAAAACGGACTGATAATCCGTGAATCCTTTAATCATAGGCGTACCAACCCACAGCGGATGAACAATACTATACAGATTCAAATGAGCGAAGACCACCACAAATAATGATGACACTAACCTTGTCCGCACATTCGGAGCATTATACCAAAACTTCAATTCCTGTCTCAGTCCCTCATGGAACGCAAGCGCACCCGCTTTAGAACAACAATAATCCACCATCTCGCCTACAGCGACAAAACTGGCAATACTCGCAACCGTGACGATATGTCCGCGATTTTCGCGGATCATAAATGGTAAGAACTGCTTGACCAGTAGGAAATGCGCAATCGTGTTAACTTCGAGTACTTCTCTGATCTTATTTTCCGGTTTCTCGAGAATAGTTCCATGTCCGAAAGCGCCGGCGTTGTTTATTAGGATCGTAGGGTCCCCATGTTCGGCTCGAATAACATCTGCTACCTCCGAGATCTCCGTGGATGATGTAATGTTTGTTTTGTAAAATGTGACATTCGGAGGTAATGTGTAGGAAGGCTTATAGATGTCGAGGACTATCATGCGGAAATTGGGTACGAGATAAATCTTCTGCGAGTTGTTTGCCTATTCCGCTTGTACCACCTGTGAGTAGAACGAGTTCTTTCTGCGGATTCCATTTTTCTGGAGCTTGGAAGTTGTTCAACACGCGTTCAGAGAGTTTTTTGTGGAGGTAGTAAGTAAACAGGGAGATTCCTAGTGCGCCTAGGAGGATAGTTGATGGTAGATTTAGGTTATTGGTGACTTGCGGGAGCCACTGTATCCAGATTTCATTTCCCATTGTGTGACCGGTCGTAAATCTTTAAAAGCACTTTCAGGAGCAGATGGAGACTCGCATATTTATGCCCAGCTGAGCTGGTCACCCATCACGAACTATATTTTGCTTTTTCTACCAATCTACGAACTCGTCCTAAAATGCCGAATCCAGAACCTATTATCGTGCTCGGATAATATTACCGCACTGTTGACTTGCATTCGCGCTGATGCAGCTGAATCACACACAGCCTCTGGTCGCACAAGACATTCAGCCTCAGCCTATCATTCCCCTGTCTTCGTACGTCAACCCAAATGAACTAGGTAGAGGTTCGACTTATGAGTGGATGGTGGCGGTATTCCAAATATGGTATCATGTGTCGCGTTCACTGTATCGATCGGATATAAGTCCGGCGATCGAGAGATTTTATTCGTTCTATGCCTGTCGTTGTGGTCCTGTGGATATAGATAAAGATGGTTCCGGGGCCAGTCGCCCCCGGCCCGTGTGGTCCTGTTAGTGCAAGGTTTTTTCCTGGCCCAATGAGAATTGTTTATACAGTTCACGTTACGTTCCGAGAATTTGTAGAAGAATCTGACGTATGACAATTTTCTGTTCTATACTACTTTAAAGGCAGGGGATTGAGTCGTATATGGTCCAGCAAGATCTGTAATCCGGATTCCGGAAAGTATGATAAAGGGAAACAGATAATAAGATGGACAGAGATAAATCAGGCAATGGAGCAAACGGAGGGGTACCTGACCCATAATCAACAATTTGGCTTCCTTGCCAAGTCATACGGGCCCTATCGATCTAGAGAAATAGAAATTGTCACTGCTCATGTCAGTAAGGCACCTCTTAATCTTCTTCATAATCAACAGCAGCAGCAGCAGAGATTGTCGACGTCACTGTCATCAGCCTAGCTTTAAGATAGTCGCCGAGTATCCTAGTAGCGGCATCACGGCTTCTCAGTGCTGCCCAATGAAGAGGAGTGTAGCCATCCTTATCTTGAGCTTCAGCTTTCGCGCCAAGCTCGAAGCCGCCAGATGAAGGGGAGTGCTGCCATAGTTATCTTGTGCTTCAAGGTTCGCCTTGAGTTTTATGAGTGCCTTAATAGTGGTAACATAGCCCGTGGTCACTGCCAAATGAAGAGGAGTACAGCCATTGCGATTTTGAGCTTCAAGATCTTCTCCAAGGTTGACGAGTATCGTGATAGCTAGAATTTGATTTTGCACCGCTGCGCGTTGAAGCAGAGTCCTTTGACGCTCACCCCGGACATGGAATACAGTTTCTTTCCCCTTGTCTGGCTTCGCAGTCTTTCCTTGACCACTGAAAACTGCAAGAGACAAAGCTGTTTCCTGGTTCTGGTTCTTGAGAGTATGATCGGCGTTTTTATTGGTGAGGGCGCGCACGACAGCTTCGTGGCCCCGATCAGAAGCCATATGTAGTGCAGTCTGTCATTTAGCATCGACTTCGTTTATTTCCCATTTATGTTGCAGGAGTTCATCCAAAATTGCGGCGACATTATTCATCGCTGCTAGGTGTAGAGCATTCAACCCATCATTATCTCGCTTCCAGTTAGGAGTGTAACTTTCAGTAGCATTCTCATCAGTTTTTCGTTGCCACGATCTGCTGCGAGGTGTAGTGGTTCCTTTGCGCGTTTAATCTTTTGTGGGAGATTCAAATTTTTGACCTTGAGAAGTAGGTCTACTACTTTTTGGTGGTTACTCCAAACGGCGTGGTGTAATGCGGTCCACCCGGATTCGTCAGCTCGGTTCGGATCAGAGATCGCTTTAGAAGAGATTCAACTTTTTCACCTCGCCATCGCTGGCAGCTTTGATGAACTCTTTCAGTAGCTTCTAATCGTTCATTGCATCAAGGTCAAATGGTTTATGACCAATTTGTCGTTTCCTGTATTGCGTATTGTGCGAACAGCTCTTCATGCTCTTCGTTTCCTCGACCATACTCTGGGCATTCTTTTTCTTCGTGGTACTTTGGTCACTTCTGCTGTGATTCATCTCATCGTATCCAACGTGAACGTGGAATGACAAAATTGGACCATCCTTTTCGATCTCTGATCCCATCAACGCTGGATGAGAATAAACTGGACCAATGTAATCACAATAACAATCGAGTCAGGTCTTATCACCCATGATCGAAGGCTTGACCAGAAGACCTCTGTTTACTCCAGTCCGTTGAGAAGTCAAACCAGGCTCAATGAGTATCATATGTTCATTTTTCTTTTCTCGAGCGAGAGAAACTTTTGCTTCTATCAACGGATGGGAATCACCTGAGATAAACCTTTCGTTTTCGATGAGATCAAGAGACACGATGTTCCACTTGCCAAACAAGTTCCCATTCTCCTCGATCTGGAGGGTGTCAACTATGTCATCTGTGTCATCTAGAAGTATAACATGCAGTTCATAGATGTTTGTTGGACACCAGTTGTATCCATTTGTCATGGTTGCTGACTTGGGGATCAAATGCGTGGAAAGTACGTTCCGTCAGGAACAATCGTCGGAACCTCGCTCTACACGCTTATGCGCAATCCACGATACTTTGATTATGCAGAAAGATTCATGCCAGAGTGATGGCTGTCATAAAGTCAATCGAATTTACTGGCATTAGAGGCATTCGAGCCTTTCGGGACAGGCCCACGATCCTGTATTGGCAGAAACCTGGCAGAGTTAGAATTGAAAATGACCATCGCACGAACGCTGTACAGATGGTGACGACTAACACTTTGTAAGAGAAAGAGATCGGACGAGAGTAATTTTTATTCTACTGTGACTCATATTTCAAGCTAGATCACTGATGGGTTAGAGGATCGCAGAGTATCCGACGAGGCGCAGTAAACCTCTGCCACGTATTCTGTTCTTTCCGATCTCCCTACAATGAAGTGGGCCTGTCAAGGGCACGTGCGGAAATATTCAATCAGGTGGATTCTCCGTCTGGTGTCCAGACGGTAAACAGCTTCTGCAAGCGTGCTTCGAGTGGGGCGCCTACTAAGAAATGAAGAAACCATACTTGATGTTGACTCATCGAAGATACAAAGTGACTACAAGGCCGGCGGAAGCATTTCCTGAGACAGACTAGATAGATGTGGGGCTTTTTGAGAAACAAGAGAGAGAGGAAGAAATAGAACTGATTTTAGATATCACTGTATAATTTAATAGTTGTAGAGAAGCGTTTTGCCACAGAGCGCATACCCAAAGATAGCTATGGTGTTGTTAACGTGTGGGACTCAATTTACTGTACTGAAGGGGATGGAAACAAACTCCGCTCGAATGACTTGAGGCACGTGATGTCAGTGGCTTTGGGAGAGTATATCAATTGAGAGGTATGGCCTGCCCGATGCCGAAAACTGTACTTACGGTAATTTTAGATCTACTAGAAGTACAACAAACAAAGATGGCGGGGACTTTCTGGCCGAATCCGGTTTAGCGCGATCTGAGTGGGGCGCTGGGGAAGAAATCGTGAGTAATCTGTTTTCGAATTCTACTGTATCAGTATCAAGCGGCTCATAGTAAGACTACTACCGGCGCTGAAAGTAGTCAGACTTGGGATGATAAGACTAGTGCCCAGTAAAGAAATGGAGAACCCAGATGACACCCTTCCTCATTCGAAAATCGCATGGGCCTTCCAAACAGTCGCTGGTGGCTATGATAGGTAGAGTCCTTCGTATCTGCGCGCACTAGTAAAGCTTCAGTCCTCCAGCCCTTACTACGGACCCGTACTGGGGATAGCCTCTGGCGGGGGTATAGTGGAGTTGTAGACCGGTGGTTGCAACAGGCTTTTTCCTTCCTAGACTCCTTAGCCTGTTGAGCTTGGAAGCATTCTATAGTATACCCATTACATTGCTATTAGAGGAATCTACACTTGAATCCAGCTGTCAAAAGCAGACGAGATCATCCCCACCTAGTGTTAACCGCGACTGTGGAGCTCGACACCCACTCAATGTAACCTTGGGTCCAAGAGCTCCACCCTGTCAACCGTTCTAACCGAGCGACCAGAGCGCCAGAAAAGGGGCACAGCTATATGTAATGTAATAATAAGGTAAGAACCTCGGAGGACTCTCATACAATGACTACCAAGCAACTTCCCTTATGTCTGGCTGTTAACCGGTCCGAACTTCGCATCTCGTTGAATCCACAAAATGGCTCTTGCCCCACCGGAAGGTTTCGCAATACGCAGAAATGGTACCTGCCTAGCCGAGGAGAGCGATTGCGGTACTACCCTGGCCCCGTTTCGTGCCTGTTGTCCCCAAGGCGCATCATGCTTCGGTTGGCACAATAAGGATTGCTGTGTCGGGTCCAACTGTACGCAGACATTACTCGAGTATCCGAGCTGTGCAAACTCATCGTGGAAAATGTATAAGTATGGCGGGTATTTTTGTTGTGCTCCTCAAGCAGACGGGATCGGGTATGATAATAGCAACTCTGATGGATGCGCGGAGCCTGGAAGCTCCCTAAAGGGTGTGAAGGTGTTGGGCGTCCTCTCACAAAGCCGACGTAAGCTATATCCCACAGAGTGGATGCTTGTCTATCTTACCAGCCCGCTACGGATTATTCTCTAATTTTGCTTTCTGTGTAGCTAGTTCTACATCCACTTTCGCCTCCACTTCCACATCCTCGACCGCTCCCACCGATTCTCCTTCAACGACAGCGACATCTACGACATCCAACAGAAGCTTAGGGGGCGGGGCAATAGCCGGAATAGTTACCGGCGTGGTCGTAGCCATCGGGCTTCTCGTACTGGCTTGTTATCTGCTCTTCTTTAGTAAGAGACGCAAAGCCAAGACGGGGCAGAATCCCCGAGCACATGAGCAGGATGTTATAGCTCTTAGAACAGCTCGAAGCGAATTGGAAGGTATGCCCACTAACGGCGCCGGTAAAACCGTCACTGCTGGACAAGAATTAGATAGCCGTGCTAAGTATGAACTCGGGGGTGGTCAGGACCACGCTCAACTGAGCCGCCCGATTGCGGAGTTGCCATGAGTTTGAGGTAAATGTACGGTAATCAATGCTTTTTACTGTACGATGCTGCTCGAGATAAGCTTGTACTAGTCTGCGGGCTATTTTATTGTTCAGGTATAAAGTCTGTAAAAGGTTTCAGCGTCATAATCGCGTGGCGTCTGCGAAAATGTATCGAGGAAGCTCCAGGGGTATGATAATGCTGTTGGAAATACGAAGGCGGTCGCCCAATCGTAGGCATTTCGAACTCTGGTATTATATGATCCCCGAATAACTAGTGACAGTCAGGTGTTGTTTTCATAATAGCCTTATATGGCTTAACGTCGTGATAGGCCCGCGAAACAAAGCGTATGTCTCAGACAGGGCGTTTCGACAAGTATGGTCTGCCCCGTGCCGGGACCTATAATTCCGGTAATTCTGGTGATCTACCAGAAATACATCAAGACAAGATAGTAGGGGACTTTGACGGGCCGAATTCAGTTTAGCGCGATTTGGGTAGGGCGCTAGAAAAGAAAGCTACTGTGTCCGAGTAGTCTGTGCCATAACCCGCAAATGGGTAGGTTAAGTCAACCCGTAACCCGAACCCGCAAACCTGATTGATAGGTCGAGTTAACCCGTAACTCACCCTATACGGGTTACGGGTTAGGTCGCGGTTACCCACGCTAGCCTATTTTTGTATAAAGTTCTAACACTATCCCTAAATAGGATGGATAAATCTAACTCACAGGGGTAATTCCACCGGACACCAGTGGAATGAGGGTGGGATTCTTTGGTATGGGAGAAAAAAAGTGGGGTGGGGTCCAGTGGATTTATATTTTCGGCCCGTACAAAGCTTAAATTTCGATATGTTTTTGGACGCCCTCCGTTTTGTAGGCAAACCAATTTTCAAATCATTTCAAATAAAAATAATAGGCAGTAGCAGGGGTCCAGAATCCACTGGTTGATACTTCTGAATACCTAATATGCTAGATTTATCTTTGGTTTATCTATCTGTGCTGGAGGAATTTTATATGATATATCTTCAACTAATTAATGGTTTTTTACATTTTCTCATTTATTTGATTGAATTTTTCGTTTTTTCAATATATCCATTAATAGACAAATTTCGTAAATAGCTAATATTAGCTGAAGTAGGTGCACCTACTTCTACACTTGGTGAAATAGCACTGTGGAAGAATGCTCAGCTTCATTAGCAGTTGCTTTTGTAACTGTAGCTGAGAGAAAAACGGGAAATATTGCTAAATCAACACTTGGTCCACTGCATGTGTGAGATTGTATTCCTGATAATGGTGGAGAAATATACTAATGTTAAACAAAATATTAATCCTATTAATATATATGAAGCGTAGGCCGGCCCCGATCCGACATCTATTTTCTCGACAAGAAAAGTCTTTACCAATTAAGTCAATATTTATATTAACAACAGCAACTGTTTTATTCATGCACGGATACCAAGGATTTGAGTATCTGGTAATGAATTTTCTAGCAGTAACAATAGTCGTAACTGGAAAGTTGATCGAAGATTTTCTTGATTTTATATAATTGCATCTGTCATATCTTGTTTGAGTTCTCACAAAGGGTAGTAGACTTCATATTACCGTTATTTCCTTTATTTATAACAATGTTTATATTTATCATATCAAAAACGTATTAAAAAACATAATATGTAGTATATAATATATTATGAGTTCAAAGAAAGATCTTATAATTAGACAAAGAGAATTGAAATATCTTAGTAACTTTATGCCTTTTCATAGAAGAGTTATATATATTTATTGTTGGAACCTCCATACCTGCCCCCACAAAAGTGCTGATGAAAAATCATTTGACTTTTCTTTTCAAGCTTGGGCAGTCGCAAGTGCATCTTAGGATCAAGTTGAGAGCAATTACCGCGTGATGATACCACAATGAAACTATTTCAATTGACAAATATTAAATGTGAGCCAAGGACAAATGTCTAGTTATACGCCCCAGGGCTCTCCCATACAGCTCTAGATGACGTCGTGCACATGTTCTGTAGTAAAGATCTTAAAGCGTGCTAGTCCCGCTCGGAAACGACAAAGTAGGGTGGATAACGGAGGTCCCAGGCACTCGACACTAGTAAGATAATAGTTGTTACAGGAACTACGCGTAAAGTAGGCTGTTCAGAGGAAGAAGACGGACATTGCACGTGTTTCTAGTAGGATGGTGGTTGCGTCGATCAATCTTACTAATGGGGCTAATGGGTAGCTTGGTGGGGCTAGGCGACAGCAACTCTTAGTGGCAGTGCTTCAGCCGTCAAGCCTTAAGGGAGGGATCGTTACGTATATGGTGTGGCTGGCAAATTACGTAGTCCGTATACGCGTTTTATAACCGATTGCGAAGTAAGAGAGTCCTTGGACGTATGAAAAGGGAGGATACGGACGAGAGTTGTGGGGTTGGGAAATTCTACTAGTACCCAAAATGGATAGCATTTCGGAGGCCGGCAAAAGGAACAAAATGGGGGCGGAAACGGAATAGCGGGGCAAGAGAGGCTGTCACGCAGAGCCCAAAAGATGACAGGGGAGCGCCACCAAGGAGATCTCTGGGGCGATGACCAGGCAGTCCAGTAGTAGACTAGCCGGCAGAGCGACAGGCAGAGGTATCCACACCATCACCCGTTCACTGCAGCCACATCTTGAATCCATTCCTAATGAGGTATGTTGATTGTAGTTGCTCCACATGGAGATGCTTGAAATCCTCAAGTTGTCATTGAATGCCTCGTTCGTCTTTGTGTTCAAGTGCACAGCCCGAATGCATTGCAATATTTTCATCTTACACCTGCTCTACCACGGGAGGCCGCTCTCTTATTTTACCCCTGGACGTTGCATTGATTACCCTCTTATCATTTTCTCGTCCAAGGCAAGAGTTGGTGTTCGAATGACTCCCAACCCTCGCCCTATCCCTCATACTTGTTTCAACAGATCATACCAGTTTTCTAGGGCCTTCAATCACTACCCTGACCTTGTAATATAGATTGCCCTTTAATCAGCCATCAGCAAGGCACCTGCCCGCCATATTCGCCGCTCCAGCCCCTCTCGATCCGAGATGACGTTTAGCTATCAAGATGGTATCGCGTTGTTGCAGCTCATCGCCTTTGTGCCCTGCCTCTTCCTCGCCATTCTTTTGTGTTACCAGCAAGGAATGAAGGCTGTGGCATCATGTTGGAGATTCCTCATTATCCTCGCTTGTCTCCGAATTGCCGGCGCTATATGCCAGCTCATCACCATCACTGACGACTCGATCGATGTTGTTACCACAAAAATCACATGCGACTTGTTGGGCATCGCTCCCCTAACACTGGCTGCCTTGGGTTTGCTGCAAAGAGTGTAAGTCGCAACCTGATATCCACCTACGCGTGACTCGGGACTGACGTAGGAATGTCTTCTTCAGAAACGCCTCGATCAACAAGCTCTCCAAATGGATCTTCATCTTTGTCAGCATCGTCAGCTTGGTCGGGCTGGCCCTTGGTATCGCCGGCGCTATCAAGGCCCTCGACAGCTACAACATTCCCCCCATGCTCCAAGCCGCATTGGGCATGTTCGTCGGCTGCTTGGGTCTCCTGCTGGCCATTCTGGGGTACCTGACCATCTACCGCAACGAGATGCCTCGCAACGAGAAGATCATCCTGTACTCAGTCTACGCCTGTGCGCCACTGCTCATCGTGCGCACCATCTACGGCTGCTTGGGTGACTACACGACCATCGCGCGGTTCAACCTGTTTGAGCCCAACCCCACCGTCAATCTCTGCATGGGCGTCCTCGAGGAGATTATTCTTATGATTATCTGCCTCACTGTTGGCTTTTACTGCCCCCCACCCAAGGAGCCTCAGCTTGGTAAGTCTTGTCGTCATTTTAATGTGATTGATTGTTTTGTGACGAACACATGCTGACAATTCTTAGATGCTGCCGACACGACGAATTTGGACGAGACCAATAATGTAGAGAAACGCTCGTCTTCCCCCAGCGATACCCGCTCTGACACCGTTGACACCATGAACAAGGAGAGAATTGCTGAGGAGGGACGCATGAGGACCTCGACCGCTGAGGCTTTGTAAGATCTGGCTGTCCCTTTACACGTCACAAAGCTCCTATAACCTTGCACTGCCTCGGGAGGCCTTTCGTTACAATGATGAACTTTGGGATTGGCCTCTGCTGCAAGTCTAGAAATCTGGCGAATCTCTTTTTTTCGTATATTTTTAGCGTTAAGCACCCGTCTATATGACACAAGCCTCGAGAACTAGAAAAGAATGCTAGCAATTGCTATATACCAAATACCCTTCTGGGAATGTTTCTGTCTCTCTTTTCGAATCTCTTGAAGTGACAATGACCCATGGCATAAAGTGGACAAAGCAGGGTGATCCTGAGTCTTGCGAAACAGTGCACTGAATACCGTTGAATCGCAAGTGCCACCCTTGGCGTAGATATCTCAGGTGGAGTTTCTCATGAATAGATATTAGAATCATATGCCCAGCATCTTTATTGTCAAGCTCACTGATTATTAGATCTCATTTCACTCGAGGATCAAGAATCAAAGCAGTGTAGTATGAGACTGATCTGAGTCTAGGGGCGAGCGGCCTGAGTAAGCTACATCAATAAAAGGCAACTTAGGTAGCCAGTTCTAGCCTCACCTTTGTTATTCGCAATCCTTTTCAATTGTTATATCCACTTGGGCTTGGGCCTGGGGCACTTCCACCCGAGGAATTTTCCATCCGAGCCTGGTATGCATTTGATTGGGCCTCCTCACTCTCGAATTTCGCCCATTTCTTGATGTCATCTCGTCGAAGCTTCCCAGGAAAGAATACACTTAGCATGCTCCGACCCAAACCCCCATATTTTTCTTCGATTTCAAATAGTGTATCCATCACTTCGGGCTTACCCAAAACCTTGACAAAGTCGAGGGGGATGCCAAAGCTTTCTGGGCGCCTATTCCAACCAGCGACGAATATATTCTGAACAATACCGATAGCACCAAGGGCAAGAAGAAACCAAGTATTCTTCTGTAATCCGGCCGCAGCAATAAGAAGAAGAACTCAGAGAGTCGAAAGCACGAGAAGTAAAGCTCGAATAGTCTGATTAGCTGAGGCATCAAGATTGCTCTGCCCCGATGCCAAATCCTCAAGGTTCAAGCCATGTTTATTCCCCAGAATAACGATGGCATGTTGGGCACCATTACCTCTGGTAAGGATATAGAACTGCTCGGAGTTCGTCCGACACGTTCACTTTTCCTTCTTCCATTGTGGGAGAAGGCCCGTCGCGATGGCAAGCGCGTTACCCGAGACTGTTATCAACAAAATACCCCAATCGCCAAAAAGTCCACATGGTATAGCTGCAACTCCTAGCTGGACTACCAAAACAAGTAGGCCGCTCCAGTAGATGACATCGCGCTCTCCGATACCAGAGGGTTTTGTCACACTTGGCTCATAGATAGTAACAACAAGGCCAGCTCTTGTTGGCATTTCCGCATCCAATCTTTTAGCTTTCAGCTTTTTCCACTTTTCGTCCAAGATTTCTTTGATCTTTTTCTTAGTCCTTTGATCACTCCATTCATCAAAGTCGCGCAAAATTGTGCCTATAATCTAGCTCGAATTCTCTCTGATATATCCACTCTTGCCGTTGATGACTATGCACTTGCAATCCGGGTCTTGTGGCATTAGCTTGTTTTCGCCAACGGCAGAGACGAGCGCAGAGACGGAACAAGCTACCCATCCTTTTAAGTGGCATCGAATTAGCATGCACATGAAGACAGAATAGTGTCTAGAGAGGTAATACCAAATGAGAATGTAATAGGTGTCAGAACACCACCTGCAAGTTGCGCCAGCGCGCGAGCGACGACATCACCGACTAGAATGAGCAGAACACTGAACACATCGTTTGGGTGAACCCATTGGTCCCTGAATTCGTTCGAGGTGACAACCGGGTCAAATCAAAAATTATGGGGTAGGGTATCAAGTGAGCAAGCAAGGGCGCCATAATGTCTAGCCCAGATAGGGCAAATTGTGCAAATGGAGCGGAGATGATGATGAAGATCCTCTTTTATGAGAGAAAATACGAATTACAGGTGTGGCAGGGGAAATCCGAGGAAATAGGCTTCTTTTCTGGGCTAACTCGATTAGCGATGAATTGAGTTAATTTCTGGGGGATTGCAGGTCTCAACCTACAATTTACATCTGACTTACGCTATTATGAGCTGTAAGGGGAGATCCATCCCGAATGACAAGCGCGCTTCACTGGAACATTTGACAAGCTTGTTGAGGCCAGTTGCGGCGCTATCGAAGGGGCAAAGCGGAGCTTGTTCACGTCAAACGCCTAGAGCAGTCCTCTTCTGTAGCTGTCTTGCGTGATACCATGAGTTAGTTATCCTATTCGAGCTTCCGTACTCTCCTCGAGACTTATTATTATGCGAACTATGCCTTCCTGATGTGGGAACTGGTGGCTCTGTCTGTGAGCTAGACCCTGGCATCCAAGTGCCTTGTCACGGAGAGTAAAATCGTAGTAATCGTTTAGCTAGTATGTGGTATCGTTATTGATTTATGGTGGGTCTTTAAGGAAATAAAGTACCTGCGTGATTTGGGGGGAGTGCTCGCTACCCTGAGTGCTGATACTATGTCACTTACGAAATCTAGAGGGGTATAGATTGGTAAGACGCATCTGTAATGAAAGCGTAGGCTATAATGTTGATAATGGTCTATCGTATAGTGGGGGTCGAGCATAGTTGCAAAATCAGCCTTGCGGAGATGGACGCCGCCACGTCTAAGCTATTCGCCCTAACGGAGATTGTGACGAAGCTAAAAAAGAACAACACACCGCCCCATTACTGGAGTACTGAGATCGAAAGTCTATTGAATCGATTGAAATGCCAGTCTTTTGAGGAGCTCTTACAGGTCAGTTTTGCTTTTCTATATCTGGTATTCACGACTGACCAAGCTACCGACCGCAAAAATCCCAATGCAGGAGTTATTTTCTCGTGTTGTACAGTTGACTTGATCCGAGTGTCGAGTTTCGATATTTATATTCATAACTATTCTAAGTATTCACCAGAATGATCATATTCCTTTCGGAACTCTGAAGCTTACACTTGAAAGAACCGGATTTCCCAGGCCCAAATATTCTGACCTTATTCTTCAATATTAAAAAGGTAAATATTTTCCCTTATGATAGCCAACTTCAAACTTGATAAGTAGTGATAGGTAAGCTATATTATAGGCCAGAATATGTCTTGATTCTTGGGGCCTTCACAAATGAAGTTTATGGCCCGCGACTACAAAAAGTAGCCCGAGCAGCTAATCATAAAACTAGGAGGACACTTACATCAACGAATATATATTACTAAGATTTCCTTCCGTTAGAAAAAGCTTAGTCTCATCTTAACAAGTATGACCTTAAGTATTATTGTGATAAAGCTAGTGCAGATCAGGAAAACAAATTCACATCGTCGGCGTGATTTCCCTAGATACCTACCACCAAGCCAAGTTGATGAAAATAAGATTTTCTCGTCATATATACTATATAGCCTCATTTGGTCTCTCTGAAAAGTAGAATGATTGATCTCCTTTAAACCTTAGAAATGATTAATTCGCATATTCGATTTTATCGCTAATACCGTGAATGTAAGCTATATCGACCCACATTCATCGTAGCAAATACGCAGATACGATAGAGTCCGCATATTTTTTACGGGTAGCAGGATAGTCAGTAAGTTAATCATACTAAAAGTAAACTAGGCGGAGATACCTAGAGCAATAAATACAGGCCACTATTCTATGCTCCTTTAACATATCAGTCATAGGTACCCGACGTTAGCCCCTCTCCCGCTCAGCCTCAAGCCGATTCTAATCGACCATTGACCCATAAACTAGTGCGCCCTAGTCACGAGAACGCCGAGCGACCACCTTATACGTTTGAGATCTTTCGGCTTTACACAGCCCTTTAGGATACTTTTAGGTATAATAAGAGAAATGCCAAATTGCGTCGGTTTAAGGAAGAAAATTGCATACTTCGTTCACCGAACCTTCAATTCTATTGGGCGAACCCCTTATCCAGGCCTAACCTAATAGGCCGACCCTTTGTCCACAGCCTATCATAGGGAATGAAAGTCTGAGAGTGTAGAAGTAAATTTGATTTCGAATACTACTGTACGGACCCTTAATCCAAACAAATCCGTGAAATCTGCGGGGGCTTAGATGTCAACGAAGGAGACCCTGCATAACCGGAGCCAAGGATGCAACTTCAGGGGCGAAAAGGGGGCTGATGCGCAAATAGAGTTGGAATCCGAGACACTGCAGGGCCTCAACGTAGTGACTATTTGGAATAATTCTTGAAGCTCTACGGAGTACATAGTAAGACAAGATACGTATTAGTTCATCTCTGTTTTTAAACAGCGAGTGATGATTGATCACGGGTAAAGCTATTTTTGTTTTCGAGTCCGCTTTCACTTTCCACGTTCTCCACTCGGAACTCGGCTCCCAACCCAATGGGAAATTGCAAATTCTGAGCCCTCCCTCTGATTTTCCAGCCTTAGGCAGGGAATCTGAGACGAAAAAATGTGTCCGGCTATAATGTATAATCTTGTGAATTGCCAAGTCATCGAAGTGAAAAAAACCTCCGAGTCTTGTCCATGATAGCCGGGCATGACCGGTAATTCGATCAGGGTCAGGACTGTGGGACCCACAATGTTCCAGGGCAAAAGCAAAGAAAAAGCCAAGAATTCAGGTTCGGAGCCGCAATCCTGGGTAGAAATTGTCAGCTATTGACTCTAGGCTACAGCAGACGCCACTAGAATATACTGCGCCAAAAGTATTTTACGACTTCGTAAGACTGCAAGTGAAGGTTCTGTATGGTACAGGGGCGTGTGGTGGCACATTTGATGGACCATTGAGGTTGATCCACCTGTGCATTCCCTCAATACTTTCCAAGGGGAGTCGCCATAGCCACGTTGGAAACCATGTGGAGTGACGGAACGGAAGCTGGATAAACCGAAGCCAATTCCCATTAGGTAACTTGGACCCTTATGGACCCTCAATTTCTCGTTTAGGAAAAACAGCGCATGACCTGAAAGGCTTGGATGAAACTTTGATGATCCACATGCAATTTTGTTCCCCATATTCTATTTATTCTATTTACTACTTTCCATCTCCCCGGAGCCTCCGGAATTTGCTTTGAATCCTTTGGGATGTTTCGTGAATACATTCAATGCTGTTTTTCTCCGTACTTCAATGCTTAATGATTTGAGCTTTTTCCTTCTTTGTTAAAGAGTCCACCTGAGTGTGACGCATCCATAAATATGATCGCACGGGCTTCGAACTGCCTCAGCTTCGTCTGTTGTGCACTCCCCGCTCGCGCTGTACAAGCTACCTTGAACTGGGAGATCGCGCGAAAGTTCTGGTTTACATTCCTTTTTATAACGGTGATCTGCGCCAAACTTCTCCACATATACGCGCATTGGGACTCTGTTCCACTCAATCAGTTGATCCTTTGGGGATCGACATTTTTCCTTCAAGACTTCTTCTTCCTGCTAGCAGGATATGCATTAACGCGAGACTTCCAATGGATCATTGCTCGTATTTTGGCGGGACTGGTAGTGGTTTTCACCAGGTAAGTGCATCGAGGTAGATTATGGACATTGCTAACCCTATTCTAGTCTCATCCTCTCCGTAATGGCGGCTGCGAATACCTCATTTTTCTTCCTGACCGGTGCGGAGATTCATTGGCGTCAAGCAGGTTCTTTCAATGCTGATCCAGCCGCTGTCAACACCTTGCTTACCGGTCTGACTGGTCTTGTTATTGTCGAGGCTTTGATTCTGGTTGCGGCGATCTTCGCCTCGCCATACCCTCACACTGGTATGGAGGCCATGGTGGGTATCTGGGGTCGTGTTGCTGGGGCAGTGTGGAGGCCTACTGCGCAGGCTGCTAAGCCAGCGGTAGATGCCCTGTTGGTTCGGTACCAGCCTGTGGTAGAGCGTGTTCTGAGTCGGACTACTCGGGGGAGGGTTTTCTTCGCCAAAATCAAGATCTACGAGCCAGTTCCACTGACTGAATATGATGAGGAGGATAAGATTGTGTCAAACTCGGCTCCGCTACTCGACGAACCGGCGGAGGTACAGCCAACGCAAAAGGAATACTGGGGACGCAGGCTGATTATCAAAACCGTGCTTGTCGTTACTGCAACTCTCTTTGTTCTTATCTTGCGATGCTTCCGTCCGGCTGATGATTCATACGGCTTCCTCTCCCAGACCATCGGCCTATCCCCGTTCAGCGGTGTCGACTCTCGGACCAAATTGGCGGGTATCACTGGGGATCGCGAATTGAAAGGCAAGCTGACTGCGCTGACTACGCCACCGCATTTCGACTGGTTTCCGGCGGGTAAGTGGCCTGGATTTAGAGACTGGGAGGTTTCAGACGGAAAATTCGAGCACAAACACTACAACTCGACTGAAGATCCTATTCACATTTCCAATCTGGATCTGGATGTCCTCGAGCCTCTCCGCGCAGTCCTCCAGAGTGAGGACTTCAAGATCAAGCACGTTCTCGTCTTCAAGATGGAGAGTACTCGGTTCGACGTATTCCCGCTTCGAAATGGCTCTTACTTCCACAATCGGATTCTCGACTCTTACGAGAATAAACAGGTCCCGGAGGATGTTCAGAAGCGCTTGAATAACCTGACTCACACCGCCGAGCGTCTCACGGGCACAGAATCTGGATTCCAGGAGAATGGAACGGTAAAGCCATATGGCGGTATCTATGCGACAAATTCATACACAGCCGGAACCTTCACGTTGAAGAGTATCGAAGCAACGACCTGCGGTCTTTCGCCATTGGTCATGGATTTCAACCGCGAATACGAACACCACATTTACCAACCCTGTATGCCGCAGATTCTCGACGTTCTCAGCGCCAGCACAAACGACAGCGGTAGTTCCGACTTCACCAACTGGCCTTGGCGACCGCGATTCATGCAGTCCATCACCGATACCTACGATCACCAGGACCTCCTCACGCCGGCACTGGGATTCAAGTCGGAGAATATCTTAACGGTCGAGACGATTGATAAGGAACACATAAATGATACATCATTCCACGGCGAGAAGTTCAACTTCTGGGGATACCCTGATCATGACCTCGCAGGTTATTTCCGAAATGCTATTATCCATGCAGAAGAGAACCATGAGCGGCTGTTCCTGGAGCACCTGACGGGGTTGACGCACCACCCTTGGGATACACCTGGCAAGAATTACTCGGAGCTTATTAGCTCGTCCTGGGGTGGAAACAACGAAGACGTGAACAAATATCTCAACACCATCGGCATCAACGATAAGTGGTTCGGTACTGTGCTTGATATTCTCGAGGAGACAGGCGTCGCCAATGAGACACTCGTTATCATGACAGGCGATCAGTAAGTGTTCTCCTCCAGTCCTAAACACCATATTCTAACCATATTAGTGGCCTCTCCCTTCTCGAAGACAACAGTATCACGCCCTACGACAACCCACACGTCGCCAACTTCCACGTCCCACTAGTCATCGTGAGTCCATCTACCACCGAAGTAGTCCCTAACTAACAAAACTAGTCCAACCCAAACCTACCTCCCATCCAAATAAACTCCTCGGTAACATCTATCCAAATCCTCCCGACAATCCTCGACCTCCTCACTACCTCCTCCTCCCTCTCCCCCAAAAGCAAAACGGCCGTCAAATCCCTCCTCCCCATGTACGAAGGCCAATCCCTCATCCGCCCCATTATTTCCTCAGACGAAAACACTCGAAACTGGCAGTTCACAGTAATGAACACCGGCGGCTCAATGGTCGCGATGCGCTCCGCCGATGATCCATACAGATTGATCGTCCCGCTCGTCCCGGAGGTGGAGTGGCGGTTTACAGAAATCGTATCTGATCCCCATGAGAAGAAGCCGATTAAATCTTTTGATTTGGAGTCTATCAAGTCTGCTGTTGCTTTGAGGCATGGGGCTGAGGCTGTAGCGTGGGTTGGGGAGGCGGCAAAGGTTGCGCAGTGGTGGGTTAGTGATAATTGGAGACGGTATGAATATTCACCTTGATTGGACACGTGCTGGTCTTGGTTTCTGGGGTTGCATTTGGTCTTGGGTTTGGTTTCGGTTTTGCATGCATTTATGTCAACCTTGGAAGATTCATGATTTCGATCAGCGGGCGCAGGGGATATCCGGTTCTGATTAACTGTAATTTTAGCATTCGGGAGGACCTTTTATCATCTCATCAGGATTATAATACATCTTTTCATTTCCACTCACACTTCTATTTCCATTTCAATTTGTAACTGAAGCTTCATCGTAGAATTTCCAGACCGCCACATGGACCGCCACGATGACTGTGCACGGCGATCTTGCACGTCAAAGCGCATGAACCAAATCCTGACAAATCATAAGCAGCGTTGAAACAGATCTCGGATAGATCACATTAGACGGTCCTGATCTGCAGTGAAATTCCAATTTATGGAAATCTGAGCCCTGTCGATATTGGGAGACAAGGTAATGGTTGGGTAGTCCGCCCGCAGATCAATGATCCATGGTTCATGCGCCCCTCCCCCAACTTCATCTTCTTCAACCTCCTTGCGCGAGATGGGGAATATAAAACCCTGGCTGTTTGATATTCGATCTTCGGAGAGATTTCTTGTTTTGACGGTCGCGATTGCTATTTTCACGGTATGTTTTCTTTTTCTTTCTTCCCTATTCTTCTTGCGGTGAGATGGGCGCAGTCGCTTACAATTACAGGATGCTTTTATTTATGGACTCGTTCGTTCTTCGATGCAGATACGCTGTTGTGAAACATTAATCTGATGTTCTAGATTGTTCCCATAATCCCTGTCGCTCTGGTGGAACGAGTAGGCGCTCGTCCTGAAGATGGTATACCATTTCTAATTTCTGCTTCTGTCGACCGGTGTGCGACTAACATACCCAAGCACAATACCTTGTTTCGTTGCTATTAGCAGTCTACGGTGGCACGCTTCTCGCTGGATCTCGTGAGTCAAGTCAAAGGAGATCATGATCAAGAACAAGCTAAGCCTGTATAGCATTATTTGGATACTTCGCCGATAATTGTTCATCGAGAAAACTTCCCTTCGTCCTCGGGCTTGTCACCCTCGGAGCATCCACGATTCTCTTCGTGGTTGCGCGCACATTCCCCATTCTGGTTCTCGCGCGCGGGTTACAGGGATTCTCCGCTGCGGCGGTCTGGGTCGTGGGCCTTGCTATTATATCTGATAATGTGCCCTCTGAACGGGTTGGCGCGGCGCTGGGAACGACTACAATTGGGTTGACGTGGGGAGTCCTTCTAGGCCCTATGATTGGGGGGTATGTTTATGACAATATTGGGTATTACGGATGTTTTGCGATTCCAGGAGCATTGATTTTGGTTGATGTCGTGTTGCGGTTCGCGATGATTGAAGTGTCAGGTATGTTGCCTTCCGATTTCTTGGGGGCTTTTCTAACGTTTTATAGTGATTGATCGAGATAGACCAGACTCTGGAATGGAGTCTGATTGTGATTCTGAGGCGGAGGGCAATACTTATGATACTTTCAATGCGAACGATCTTCAGAGTTCGATTCGGGCTTCTCGTTGCGAGCTGGATGGGGAGGAGGCTCCATTATTACCACGGCAGTCTATTGAACACCAGAAAAGTAACGAACAGAACGCTACTATTCTACGCCTCTTGCTCACGCCACGATTACCACTTGCTCTGGTGGCGACGACTTCTATGGCAATCACAATGTCTGCCTTGGAGACTGTACGTATACAACCCATCTATTCATGCTCCCTGTTAACATGTTCAGTCTTTACCGTTATTCACCATGGAAACTTTCACCTGGACAGCCCAGGGAGCCGGACTCATATTCATCACGCTAGCTGTGCCAAGTTTTGCCGCTGTGCAGGTTGGTCGACTCTGCGATTCAGTGGGAGTCCGGACGCTAGGAACTATCAGTTTCGTAGTTTCCTGTTGTGCCTGGATTTTACTGCGACTCGTCACCCATAACTCACCAGGATCCAAAGTATTGCTAGTTATTTTGTTGCTGTTTCTTGGTCTAACCATCGTCATTATCGAGATCGTTGCAATGATGGAGGTATCGCAGGTAATCGGAGACTACGAAGCCGAGTTCCCTGGGGTGTTTGGAGATAAGAGCCCGGTTGCACAGGCTTATGCATTGTTCAATATGTCGTTTGCGGGAGGCCAGCTTCTGGGTCCGCTGATCGCTGGTCCGATCCGTGTTAATGCGGGATGGGGTACCATGACACTTGTTCTTGGGCTCTTGTCTGGTGTGACTGCTATTCCCTTCGGCTTTTTCAGCGGTTCTCCACGCAAGGCACAGAGCGAGTCGGATGGCGCTGTTTGAAGATTGTGAACGCCTGGTATACAAAGCGTTCATTATTACTTATGATGACATGATCATGATTCTCCCATGACAGCCGTTTAGCAGGGGCATTCGAGGCATATCCGGCGCATTTGGTGTATATATGAATTGTGGCAGCACTGGGAACAACCGCTAGCCAGAGATGCCACGACGTTTGGGGAAAATCGGACTCATTGCTTGGACCTAGGTATAATCAACGAGAACCTTGTTCGGCGACAAGGGACTGATGGTCCGTTCAACCGATTGTACAGTAGATGACTGAAAACCGTCCCACTGTTTCACCACTCAATGCTATGACCCTAGTGTATACTCCCGATACCGCATAAACCAGCTCAACCGTGAATAACGAAGCATAGAACAAAGTGGAAGAACAATTCTGTTCAACGCAGAATAGTAGACTGCAAACCCACCCCATGATGCGGTGAATCCCGTTTCAACTGCACAGCCCGAATAGCATCAGACCCAATCAACCCCTTAGCAACAAGATGACAAATAAACTCCATCGTCCATTCCTGACACCGTTTGTTACTAAACTAACACAAATCAGCAACCAGCCCCCTCAAAAGCTAATGCTAAAGCTAAATTCACTCACATTATTCACAGGTGCTAGAAAGTTCTCACTAATACCAGGAGTAGGTACCTCCTTAGCAGCAACTTCAATATCACCCCTTGGCGTTGAATCGCTCGAGTTCACCCCAGGCACTGGGTCAACAATATGACCAGAATCAACCTCGCCGATTGGGAAGATATTATATCTCTCTATCGAATCGGCGGGTGAGTAGTTTCGCTTGAATTCGAGAAAATAGCCCGACTTTGGAGATCCGGTGGCTTGGATCAAAGTTCCCCTGTTGTCGTCTTCTTCGCTAGGGACGTAGATGGCGAAGTGGGCTCTTTGAGCGGCACTGTCCCGGGATTTAATTAGGTAAATTGTCCTTGGGGACATTGTAATGAATATATTGTGAATTGGTAATTTCTTGGAAGATTGAAGGTTATGTATACACACGCAGTATTGTGTATGGAACTGACGTCAGAGGAAGGGATTTTGATGCGGGGTAAGGTAACACCTTGGTTCTTGGCTAGGCTGCTAGGGATGATCTATGTAATTGGATATGATGCCAGTGGGGTGTTTCATGCAAGCTATGAGAAATGTCTGTGAAAGCCAGGGAGAGTCAAGTGTTATCGATCTGCTGTCAAGGGTCAACCTGATCGGGTTAGCGCGTCCCCTTTAGCCTTAAATCTCAGTGATCAAGGTTTCAATAGAAAATTTCATTGATGAGAAAGCTAAATCTCGCAATATCATATGGTCATCTGCAGTTTCATATTCATTCCAATCTTCAATTTGCTCACTGTGTGCTCCATATGATCTCCCGAACCAAGCCAAGTCGTCAAATGTCCTTTCTCATAAAGACGGTCTTCGTATCCCAGATTTTCCCCTTTCTGTCCTCAATGATGTAGTAGTTGTGTACTGTTCGAATCACGCGGTACCCTCGCCGAGTATACCAATCCTCGCTCACGACCTGCAAACGTTAGCCACCTGCACAACCCCAAAAAAATGTCTTACCTTTGGCAGACATCCCTGTGTCGCCAAGGCAAATTCCTCTCGGAGAGAATCATCTCGTTGTATGGAATCCAGCATCAAAGTCTGAGCATTCAAGGGATCTCGAATTGCCATCTTCTCAACCTCATCCATTGCCACCCGACCGATCCCCTGGCCCTGCAACGCGCGACTAACATAGAAAGATTTGATCCAGAAGACTCCAGCACGTGGGATATCCAGGTTAAGGTGGGTTGATTCCGGGCTCATAGAGTCCAATGATATATGTCCAATCGGGATAAAAGCTCTCTGCGATGGCTTCCTGTGAGCAGCATTAATGAACTGTGCTGTATCCCGCAGGACCTCTGTTTTCTGTTCAGTGCGTTAATGTCAGATCCTGACAGGCTTTCATCTTGTTACCTTGGACCGAAGATACGAACTCATGTGCTCAGTGATGTGTGAGTCATCGGGAAATACCTGGCGCTGTTAGTATTAATTCAAATAGGAACTTGAGCTTAGAGAGGTTTCAGCTCTTTAACTCACGATCCAATGAATGCATTTGGAACCCTTTAATTGTGCTTCTCGCCATTCTTTCTCGACTTTTTCTTGGTGCCAAGTACATTCTTGTCGCTGCCTAAGAAGGACATGTCGGTGGGCGGTGGAGTCAGGATCCCAGGGGATCAATGTGACTTTCGATTTAAAACTCATTCGAATGATTGGAATGTATTGAGATTACGGTAAAATGGAATTGTAATGATGAAGTTGATGAGTCAAAGTTGTAGCTGGAATCACTGAGGATCAAGCCAGGAATTTGGGAAGTACAACTGATCCAACCTTTGCAAAAGACTTCAATCTTTCAATGGCGTTAATGCTATGCTTATTGCGTGAAGAAAAGTCTGTATTCTCTTCTAACCTTGTATTCGATTTGAAATCATGGACAACGAATCTCTGACATTCCTGGATGTTATTATATCGCGTGCATCAGTTATGAGATTTCTATGAATCCAATCTGATGCGTGGAGAGCGAGGGGAACTCTCTTGACGGATCCATTGGCGTTGAGAGTTTAATTAGTCGCATTCCAAACTAAGGAAATCAACTTCGGGTTGAAGGATACCGAAATACCCCACATCTTCCCACGGCTTTTCCGACTTCTTTATTTATGAGTAATTTTGTCGTTTCAACTTGTTGCTCTCCGATTTTATTTTCAGGATACGCAATCCTTAAATATGGGTAGTTTCCTAAAGTTTCTTCGCTGTGGCATTCACGGGTACGATGAGGTGCTCGGAATTGACAGCGATGAGATCCGCTTCTTCTGGGCAATAGAGACAAACGCCAGTAACGTCAAACAGATCGCCTACCGCGTCGTGCTAAGCACCAATCCAGCAGTCCTTGATACCGAGAATCCAGATGTTTCTCAGCTCGAATGGGACTCAGGGCGCGTGGAAAATGCGGAGCAAAGGAACATCATCTGCAAGCCCGAGAATGGCTTCAAGTCGACATGCAGTTACTACTGGCGAGTAAAAATGTGGACTCATGACAGCGCCCATCACAGCCCCGTCCAGCACTTTTTCACAGGCTATCCCTGTTCTCGACTGCTGCCTCCCTATAGCATGAATCAGACATACATGCCGCATTCAAGTCTCATCTTTCGAACCTGGTTCGAAGATGAGGCGAATCGGTGGAAGGCCGTCTGGATTGGTGATGGGGGTGACAAGCCAATTTATCTCCGCAAGTCATTCCAACTACCACGAACCCCCACGCGCGCCATTCTATTCGCCTCCGGTCTGGGCCATTTCAACATGAGCATGAATGGGCAACCGACATCGAATCACCGACTGGATCCCGGATGGACTAACTACCACCGGCGAGTCCAGTTCACCTCGTACGATGTCACGGACCGTATCCGGGCGGGGGAGAATGTGCTCGGCGCACATGTCGGAAACGGATTCTACGCCGGTGATAAGGGCGAGGATCGGTTCTTTTGGCCTATGTATGAGGACAATACATATGTGAGGTATGGGAATGAGCTTTGCTTCTTTTGTGAACTTCATCTGTTCTATGAGGATGGATCGCATGAGAATCTCATTTCGGATCCGACGTGGTCGGTGCGGAAAAGTGCTACGACGCTGGCGAATATCTATGCTTCGGAGAATCACGATCGTCGTCTTTATCCGAATGGTTGGGACTCACCTGGATTTGATGGTAGTGATTGGGCCCCGGCAAAGCCATTGACTGGACCGCGAGGTCAAATATATTATCAAACACAGCCACCGGTGGTTCTGCATGAGACGTTCGAGCCGGTTAAAACGTACAGCCCTCGTCCAGGGACTGTCTGTTATGACCTTGGACAAAACGCTTCCACGATGGTCCAAGTGATTGTTGAAGGTGCTACTGGTTCTGAAGTCATTGTTCGATATTCTGAAACTGTGAATGAAGATGGCACCGTTCTGATGCCAGATCCTCTATTCAAGGAGTTTGAGACTGGTGTTTTTTCCAGGATATATTTAGCGGGCACGGGTGAGCCGGAGATGTGGGAGCCAGACTTTAGCTTCACCAGTGCTCGCTACATCCAGGTCGAAGGCGTATCTCTCACGTCAGGCGACGGTCTCCCAGTCGTTCATTCTGTCATCGGTCGTCACATCTCCTCCGCCGCGCGAAAGCTTGGTACTATGAAGACCGACAAAGAGGATGTCAATTCTCTCCTCAATGCTCTCCACTGGACCTTCAGCAGCAACCTATTCAGCTACCATACCGACTGCCCGCAGATTGAGAAGTTCGGTTGGTTAGAGGTGACCCATCTCCTCGCACCAGCTACACAGTACACCCGCGATATGGAGTCCCTATACACAAAGATTCTCGATGATATTCTCGATGCGCAAGAGCCAAGCGGTCTCGTCCCAACAATGGCTCCAGAAATCCGATACATGTGTGGGCCCCTTCACGACACCATCACCTGGGGCTGTGCAGTGTGTCTCATTCCGGACATTCTACTCCGCTACTACGGCTCAACGCACGTCATCGCAAAGGTATACCCCGCCGCAGTCCGATACATGGAATACATGCGCACCAAGGAGCGCAAAGGCGGACTAATCGAACACGGCCTCGGAGACTGGGGCCGCGATATTGCCTTCGGAAACCACCAAGCCAACATCGAGACAGCAATCTACTTCCAGTGTCTCAAGTGCGTCGAGATGATGGCTCGCGAACTAGGAAAAGACAACGAAGCGGAAAGGTTCAAATACTGGGCTCAGCGAATCTACGACGTTTATAACACCAATCTCCTCGTTACGGATGATCCATCCCGACCTGCATACTACACCTCTCTCGACAACTTCCCCCAACGAGACCGCACAGCTATCGCCCAAGCAATGGCCCTACAAATTGGCCTAGTGCCAGAGGAATATAAAAAAGATGTCATGGCCGCGTTCCTAGATGACGTTTCAGATGGCAAGATTCGCGCTGGTGAAATCGGACTTCGATACCTCTTCAATACGTTAGCGGATGCCAAACGACCCGATCTGGTACTTCAAATGGCTCGTCAAGAGGAACATCCCTCGTACATGCGTTTCCTCCGACGAGGAGAGACGACACTTCTGGAATTCTGGCAGGATGAGTGCCGGAGTAAATGCCATGATATGCTCGGCACGATTTATGAGTGGTTTTATACTTCTGTGCTGGGATTGAAGGTGGTAGAGAATTCGTATCGGGTGTTTGAGATTGATCCGCCCTATGAAGCGGAGTTTGGACACGTGCATGGAGCGGTTGATTGTCCTTATGGGTTGATTGAGATTGATTTCCGCAGGGAAGGGGAAGAGGTTATTTTGAGATTTTCTGTGCCTTTTGGGACGGATGCGAGGGTGAAACTTCCTGTTACTAGGAAGTCTTACAGGGTGGATCGTGAAGGATCTTCGTATAGTGTTGATGGGGAGAGTCATTTCACTGTTGGGTATGGGTCGTATACTGTTGAGATACAGCTTTGAGAGGTACAGCTATCATTGATGTCGATGGAAAGACCTACATGTATATCTACCTTAATGGAATCGTGTAAAAGTCTGCTACCATTATATTACTCATTCATATCTCAAAGTATACTATTACGAACATATATTAACCAGCTATATTCCACGCTATACCTTATCGCCACCCAAAGATCCTCCTTCGCCGGTCCAGTGCACAAATTCCCTGCATGGTAGCTTTGCCTCAAACATAGCATCAATCTCCAAGACTGAGCGACCCTTCATCTCCGGCACGAGAAGCCATGTCAATGCGCAAGCCATGAAGCATAGCCCGGCATATACGAAACCAGTCTTTCCTTTGAGGTCGCCTTCATCGGTGTTGTAAATGTACGGAAGAATGAGATTGAAAACAACATTAGACAACATGTAGCAAAGAACACCAACACCCTGTGTCTTTGCACGGAGACGCAATGAAGAGGCCTCGCCAGACACGGCGTATGATGCGGGCCAAGCACCCATTCCGCAAACGATGACGACGGCCATCATGCAAGCAGCAGTGTACCTAAACATCATTAGTATATTGAAGCTTCCAGTTTCTCAAGTGACTCACCAGATAACAGCGTTCCCAGACCAGCAGCCTGCTATTCCCATACTCAGCCAGATAACCGTGGTGACTGCCAAAGTACCAAGCATCAAGCGACGTCGCCCAAATCGACTCATCAACCAAACACCGATCGCATTGGCGAAAAGACCCAAGACGATGCCGACAATAAGGATAATTATACTGAGGCTCGACGACATGCCCACAACCTGCATGAAGTAACTTGCGCTGGACAGCAGTGGAACACCAAACAAGCTAGGAACCATGAAGGAAAACCCGACGATAATAGTCCGACGCAGATTGACACCCCTGAAGCAGTCAGCATACGACAACTCTGCCGAAAGCTGTTCCTCATGAATAATTGAGGTCCTCATCTGTTCCAAAAGAGGCCCCACATCCATACTAGCGGTATGCAAAGACCTCATCGCACTAAGCGCCTTCTCATTTTCCCCCTTCCGCAGCAAATACGAAGGACTCTCCGGCATGAAAATCGCCAACAGGAACGGCAAGAGAGTAGTGATCCACTGCGTCCCAAACGGAATCAAATAAGCCGCATCAGAAACCTTATGCTCGCACGCAAAGATCACCGCCGCTCCAATAAGCTCACCGAGAAGCATGAATGTTGGACTCAACGCCATAGCCGAGCCACGAAGACTAACAGGGACAGTCTCAGATAAATAAGTCTGAGCACCAGCCATCGCACCTCCAACGCCCACACCCTGAATAACCCTAGCAACGAGAAAAGTGCCTCTTCTAGACCCCATCTCAGCAGGAAGGTTGGCGCAGAAAGCGATAGCAATACCGATAGCGCAGATCACGCAGCTAAGAGCTAGTGACCAGCGGCGTCCGACTCGATCTTGGAACCAACCTGCAACGGCGGCTCCGAACATCGCGCCGATGGGTTGAATTGCGCTCCAGACTGATAGCCATGCTGAAGGGATGATGTAGCTGCCGTTATAGAGTTCGCCAAATTCGAGCTTGAAATACGGGACTGCGGTGATTGTGCCGAGAATGACAGTGTCGTAGCCTGTCAGGAGGAAGGCGAGGGCTAGACCTAGGGCATAAGCGGAGATTTTGGGATATTTGCGGATTTCCGATAGGAGAGTGGTGGGTTCCTCTTGGATAGAAGTTGTCAAAGTCATGACATCTTGCTTCGTATCAGAGACATGGGATTCAGGTGAAGACATTGTAGGTGAAAGTCAGGAGGTTGACTTCGAATCTCCCCAGATTTTCAGTCGAGATTCGCGGGTCTCTATATACCTGGCCCTTATCAGATATCAATACTACATTATGTTGGGGTAAAAGACGCGTGGATACTTCCCCAATCAGGTCTTTGGCTGGGGAAAATTGCCTTTCTTCGCTACAATTGCTCATTCGTTCGAGATTGGCAACACTTCGCTAAGAAAGAGAAGTTGATATTCTATAGATTGGATGCCGACGCAGCCAATCAGCGTTCAGCGCTTGCCGATATAGCCAATCAGAGCGAGATATGGAGAACCTTCATCAGATTAGGATATTTCTCCACCTCAACGCTTGGTCAATTGTCTTTTCTTGCATTCTTTGCAGGAATTAGCGAGTTAGTAATATTGCTGGATTTACCGAGGTTGAAGTTAAGCTATTTAGACACGTTGGACAAGTTTAAAATAGATAGCGGGGGGTCATTGAACACCTTTCCTCTTCGACCTATCTTACCTCCTTGGCTGCTCTTTTCTCACAAATCTGCATCAACATGGATATCGCCAGAATCATTAAGCCGTGGAAGCGTCAACCGCACAAGTCCTTCGTCTTCACCAATGCTACCATCATCGACCCAGTCGAGGGTGCTCTGATCCCCAATGCAACCGTCCGCGTCGCTGACGGCAAGATTACTCAAATCGACACGAGCAACACAGAAATCGAAGAAGAAAATGTCATCGACCTGAGCGGAAAGTACCTATGCCCCGGCCTCATCGACTGCCACGTCCACATCGCCGTTGTCCCCGGTGAAGCCGACCTTCGAGCCTACAAAGATATGACAGAGCGCATGAGTCTCCTGAGACAGCCACACGTCCTCAAGACGATGATCGAGCGCGGATTCACCTCCATTAGGGATTGTGGTGGAGCTAGTCTGGCCATGAAGGAGGCTGTGGAGGAAGGTGTTCTTCCCGGACCTCGTATGTTCATTGCTGGATTTGCGCTTTCGCAGACGGGCGGACACGGTGATATGCGGGGACCGCATTCGGAAGAACTGTGCTGTGGCGGTACTATCTCTGGTATTAGCCGGATCGTTGATGGACCGGCTGAGTGCTATAAGTATGCTCGCGAGGAGTTGCGACAGGGAGCTGATTTTATCAAGATTATGGGAGGTGGCGGTGTGGTTAGTAGCACCAAATACCAGGACCCCATTGAGGTGAATTTATCTAACTGCTGGTTTATGTAGGCAAGCCCGACGGATCGCATCGACCATATCCAATTCTCTGACGAGGAGATCAAAGCTATTGTCACGGTTGCCAAGAATGCTGGTACATACGTGACTAGCCACAGCTATACACCACAGGCTATCCAGCAGGCGATCAACCTGGGGGTTCGTGGCATCGAGCACGGAAACTTGATCGACCTGGAGACGGCCAAACTGATGGCCGAGAAGGGCACGTTCCTGACACCAACACTTATTGCCCACGTTATGTCCAAGCAAATGAACTTCCTCCCCGCCGAAAGCGCCGCGAAGAACGACGAAGTGCTGGAAAAGGGATTGAGGGCGATGAAGATGGCTGTTGATGTTGGAGTCACTGTCTGCTTTGGCACAGACCTCTTGGGTCCGATGCACTTTGCTCAGAGCAAGGAATTCTCCGTTCGCAGCAAGGTTCTCACTCCCATCCAGATCCTGCGCAGTGCCACGATCAATGCTGCACGTTTGCTCATGCAGGAGGATCAGTTGGGTCAAATCCGTGAAGGATTTACCGCTGACATGTTGATCCTTAATGACAATCCTCTGGAGGATATCACCGTCCTGGATCGGGCTGAACAAAGCATTCTAGGTGTTATCAAGGATGGACGGGTTCTCAAATCACGCTGGGAGAAGCTGACTGCTGAATCATGAGGAAATATAATATTTAGTTTTTTCAATAGTTAATACATTGATTGCATAAATACATTGCAGGCATGCTGCGAGTGACAATTCATAAAATGCCAAAGACATCAAGGCAGTATGGTATTCTAATTACAACATATATAGGCGTATAGACAAAATGCAATGTGTGACTATTTTGTCATGGCGACATGCAAGGCGCGGCTTCCGCAGGAATGGCGAGCTTATGTTTCATGAGATAATATCATGAGATGAGAGGCTAGAAAATGGAACAGCTCTTCACAAAATTCAATGGTGCTTATAACCACCCTCCTCAGTGTTGTTAGAGGAGCCCAGGCCAGCTTCACCAAAGTCACGGTAAACCCTGTCCCGAGCGATAGATCGGTCCTTGCGGATGGTGAGACAGTTGATGCCGAGGAACGTGGTGATCCGGTTGATGACCAGAACGGCCCAGTGCATGTAAATTACAAAGGCAAACACCAAGTACAGGCGCAGGTACAAGACCTCCACCCATGCGCTGACCATCGGGAGACCGAGGCGAGGCAAGTTTGCCAACACGGCACCGCCGATGAGAGGGGCCTGCAGAACGGTCCAGAAGGGAAAGGGCTGGCGCAGCAGGTGGGCCAGGATGATCATGGTGGTCATGCGGCCGAAGACGAAGGAGATAACCCAGCAGTAAAGAACCAGGTGGTTATCAGTGAGAAGGTGCGAGTAAGGCGAGAACAGCCAGGCGACGTTGCACAGAGTGAACATAATCATAGGCACCCACTCCTTGAGAAGAGGGGTGAACGGCAGACCCTGCTTCTTGCGCGCGGCATACACGTTCATAACACAACCTGGGAGGTGGCCCAAGAGGAAACCACCAACAAGAATCGGCACCCAGAGGTCCTTGACGGAGTTGGTGCCGAAGATCTGCGGGAGGTTGATCAAATCGGTAATCGGCTGCGCCCAGATACCCGGTCCCCAAATACCGGACGCAATCATAATGCTAATGGCGATGAGGAGACCTTCGGTAGGTCCATTAAAGTAGCCGAGATAAAGTGTGTGCGTGTGGAAGGTCTCCCATGTCGAGAAGTACATCGCGAGACAAGGAACAAGTGCGGTGTAGGCACCAAGCTGGGAAGCACCGAATCCCATGGCAGCAGTCTCCAACAAACTAGCCAGGGTACAGTTCAGGGAATCAATTCCGTGACTAAGTTCGTCAGTAAGCATCCATGGCTATCACAGGGATGGTACGAACTCAAATAATTCTCCCAGCCCGCTGGAAGTTCCCGTTCTCCGAGCCTGTTTGCCATCCACATTATCCAGAGTGGAGTACCTGCTGGTTGTTAGTCAAGGTCAGGAGCTTGACGATATAATACTGACATCCACATGCCGAGGGCGAAACTGAAGTACAGCCATGCAGGGGCCTATCCAAAGATTTAGTGACCGCTCATATACCGATTCCTTTGTACATACCGGTCCCAAAAGATCAGGCATATAGATCACAATCAACAAGACGTTCGCCACAATCCACATGAACCCGAGCAGGGTCACCATGTTCGGCGCCATCCACATGGGCAGAAGCTCAACGAAAGCATTCCACTAGTCTGAATCAGCCTTGTCCTTGTTTCACTTTCCAGGTTCCATCTTCGGAGATCATACGTAGTGTCTGAGAATGTAATTCGAGATAGGGGACTTGTCAACACTCGAGTACTTGTAAGACTTAAGGGGTAAAAGCGCATCATCGGATAGGGAATCTTGGGTCTCTGTAAAAGCGTATGATTAATATCGACCCCTGGATTAGTTGGGTGCAACTGAACCAACCTTGGACCATTCGCTGAATGACGTCCATCTTGCGGGCGCGTCGCGTGCAACGTTCAGACGGCGGGAGAGCCTGAGGCTATACAACACGACCTTTGACCTGAATATAAGGCTGGCAGGGGGAAGTGAAAAAGAGAAAGATGTAGTGCAGGTCAAAGCACCAAATGGAGACCAAATGGAGCTATTAGACCCAAAAATAGCCAAGGGAAATAAGGGTCTCAAGAATGTTTCACTCAGGGATTTTCCGCCCGTGGTCATGTGATCACTCCGCATCGGAACGCGCGCGTGAAAGCTCCACTTGACCAAGCTTGATTCTTGTCGCTGGCTCACTCTGAACTCTCAACATCAGTCCTTGGGGACTTGTCGATCCTGTTACTATCGTTGTATCATCATTTAATTCTCTGTCTCATTCACTGTTCCAGAATTTCAACATTGGCCTACCTCAGGCTTCCGCCAGCCTCGCGCGACAAAACTTGCTTCACTCCACCGTCTATCATCCAACCACCTTTCACTCACTACTTGTCATGGTCTCCTGTTAAGTTTGACTGGGCATGACGGTTGATTGTCCTCATAGCGCCAGTCGCGCTTTCAATAATTGAAAATCTTTCGCGATGCCGGGCGTCGTCGAAATGCACACTGGCGGCGGTCCTGCGCCAGCACTGGACTACAGTGTCGCACACCAAAAGGTCGAACTCGAGATCGATTTTATCAACAAAAGCTTAAAGGGAACTACCGAAATCACCATCCATCCGCAAAGGCAGGACTTGAGGAGCATACGTTTGAACTTTCGCCAGGGAGAGATTAAGCGCATAAATGTGAATGGCAAATATGTTGCGACATGGGAATATATCGACAGCTACGACAACATCCAGCTCTATGGAGTGCAATATCACCAGCGATTAACCACGAAGCTCGATTCCCTTCTCAAAACCCCACGCGACCCCGAGTTGAAGATAACCGTCCCGAAAGGCATCAGAATCGAAGAGCTGGATCCATTCTCGGCAGAGGCGCAAGAGCAGATTGCACTCCAGGGTGCTGGGGATGATGTTGATGCGCCAGCCGGGGGTCGGACGGCAGAGGCCAGTCTCCCACGATTCAAGGCCTTGACGTTGAATATTGAATTTGTGACGGATCGTGTTCGTGACGGCTTACAATTTGTCGGGGTGGACAGCGGAGATCGTCGATACCCACATGCCTATACTACAAACTCGCTGGATTCGGGAGTTGGGTCCCCACTGTTCCCTTGTGTTGATGATTCGGCGTCGCGTTGCACCTGGGACATTTCAATATCATGTCCTTCTACCCTGGGAGACATATTTGATCGCAAGATCCGTGATGCTGCAGGTGCTCGCTCAAAAGTTCCAACACGGAACCTGTCTGCGGATGATGAGGGGCTTGACATGTCCGTAGTCTGTTCGGGTGAGTTGACGGATGACATCGTCGACCCCAAAGATCCTAGCCGGAAGACAGTCTCGTTCGGGTGTTACGCTCCTCTGTCTGCTCGTCAGCTGGGATTCGCTGTCGGCCCCTTCGAATACGTCAATCTAGCGGATTTCCGCGAAAGCGACCAGGAAGAGCAACTTGGTCAGAATGCCATCCCTTTGCACGCGTTCTGTCTTCCCGGCAGAGTTGACGAGGTGCAAAACACCAGCTTCCCCATGGCACAAGCGATCGACTTCTTCTCCTTGTCATATGGTTCATATCCCTTCTCCAGCTACAAGCTCTGTTTTGTGGATGACGTTACCCCGGACACGTTGCCCACGGCCTGCTTGTCAATCTGTAGCAGTCACCTTCTCTTCCCAGCAGAGATCATTGATCCCATGTACGACTCGACTCGTACGTTGGTTCATGCTTTGGCGTGCCAGTGGACTGGAATCAATATCATTCCCAACGAACCTGCGGATACTTGGGTCACGGTTGGTGTTGCGTGGTACATTACCGATACGTTCATGAAGAAGCTTTGCGGCAACAATGAGTATCGATTTCGACTTAAACAAATGTCTGACCGAATCTGCGAGTTGGATTATGAACGCCCTTCAATCTATGACATGGGAAACTTCCTCAAGATCGATCCATCAGAATCCCAGTTCATTGCACTAAAGGCACCTCTGGTTTTGTTCATTCTCGATCGGCGTCTGACCAAGGCCAGTGGCAAGGCCACGATGTCTCGAATTATCTCTCGGCTTTTCCTCAACTCCCGCATGGGCGATATTCCTAACGGAGGGGTCACCACGTCTCTGTTCCAAAAGCTATGTGAACGCCTGGGCCATGCGAAGCTTGATGTTTTCTTCCAGCATTGGGTCTACGGTGCTGGTTGTCCCCGCTTCTCGGTCTCACAGCGCTTTAACAAAAAGAAGCTTGTGGTCGAGATGATGATCACACAACTGCAAGCCGACCCAACAATGTTAGTGACACGTGATCTCGATAAGAATGCTTTTCTGCGTGATGTCAAGGAAGAGATTCGTCACGTTTGGGCGGGTGCCCTTCAGCCCGTTTTCACTGGTTCTATGACTCTCCGGATTCACGAAGCCGATGGCACTCCATATGAACATATTGTGGAGATCAAAGACGGTGTGACAAAGTTTGATATCCCATATAACACCAAGTACAAGCGATTGAAGCGGAACAAAAAGCAGCGAGAACGTGCTGTTGCAAACGGTGACCCAGAGGTTCAAGAGGAAGTTCTTCTTTACTGTCTAGGAGACGTTCTACAGACAGAAGAGGAAATAAAAGATTGGCGCATGACCGACTGGACCAAGGAGGACGAGGAACGCATGGGCCAGGAGTCGTACGAATGGATTCGTATGGATGCAGACTTTGAGTGGATCTGCAGGTTGACCATGAATATGCCAGGTTACATGCACCTGTCCCAGCTTCAGCAAGACCGAGACGTTGTCGCCCAACTAGAGTCCCTCCAATTCATGACGCAACAACGCCCGCATCCTTTGATCTCCTCAATATTTGCACGTACCCTCATGGACAGTCGCTACTTTTACGGAATCCGTGTGACGGCCGCGCGGGCGCTGGTCATACACGCCAAGGATGAAGTGGATTGGATCGGATTGTTCCATCTAGAGAAGGCTTTCCAAGAAATGTTTTGTCTTCCAGGATCTCCCATGACCAAGTCGAACGATTTCTCTGATATGCCTGCTTACTTTCTTCAGAAAGAGATCCTAGAAGCGATCTCGAAGGTGCGCGACAACAGTGGCAAGACTCCCATGAGGGTCAAGAAATTTCTTTTTGACAAACTCAAGTACAACGACAACTCGAACAATGCGTACTCCGATAATTATTATGTGGCGTCACTGATGCGCTCGCTTTGTCATGCCTTGATGGGCCGGAATGAGTCTCGGCAACAAGACGAGTTGACCAATTTTGACATGGAACGTGCCATCGCAGCCCAGGATGAGGAGCAGCTGGAGAAAGACGCTCTTGCCGAGTTTGATCGATACCGAAGAATGGACGAGTGGTCAGGCTCGTATCAGAATTTGTATGCGCGAGCTGCGCTGCACTGCCAAATGCAAATGATGCAGGCCAAAGTTCTAGACACAGACCTGATGCGTTTCATCCCATACACTCGAGCTGGGACATTCGATCTCTTACGATTGCAAGCATTCGATTGCCTTGTTGATCTCGACATCTCTCAAGTCCCCGAGCTTCTCCGCTGGCTCATCTTCACCATGACGAGCGACTCCTCCGCCTATGTTCGGCATCATTGTGTACGGTTGTTTGGTCGGGCACTGGCTATGATTGCATTTGGACGCACTCCGCAACCCGAGACTAACCAGAATGACGGCTTAATCATCGAGCAAGAGTCCTCCACCGAAGTCCGTCAGGCAGACTTGGAACGTCGTCAAACTGTTCCCGGAGCAATTAAGGCCCTCAAAAGGGAAATCATCGTGCAGGACATGTCACTGAGAGAATACCTCTGGGCTGCGTGTAACTCATGGCCCATAGGAATTCACGAGATGTCCGAAATAACAGATCTCTGCAACGTCATGTTCGACGCCGTGACATCCCAAATGACCAAACTCAAATACCCTCGCTTCTGGAGTGTGCAGAACTTGGGTCACGGCAAGGTGCGATTCTATCGGTCGAACAATGTACGGACCAGTTTGGCTCCCTCAAAGGACGCCATCAAGCGCAAGCGTGACGAACCAGGCATGCCGCCGCCTGCTCCTCGCATCACATTCAAACAAGCCAAGACAAGTGCCACGCCTAGCACCCCATCCTCCACGAGCCTTCCGAAGCTCCACATTCCCAATCCATCCCCCATTACCGCAGCCGTCAGAACCCCTGGCGCTTCTACCCCATCAACCCCATCCAGTGGCGGTCCACTGAAGTTGAAACTCAAATTTGGGCAGAAACCCAAATGACCGCTATATCTGCATTCCATACCATGTATTTTAAAGTTATTTTTTTTATTTTTGGCGAGTACCCACCATTTGGGGAGAAGAAACAAGCATGGCTCTAGGCGTGATGACAATGCATTGCTTAAATTGCATATACCTTTTCTAGCCTTTGGCCACCTCGCCATACGTAGGAGAATTATTAGACTAGAACGCACACATCCTCGTATCACGAATCCTTGATATATGTAATCCCCCAAACCCAGGGTGGTATTTATTCAGGTTATCGGGAATCTTTCAACAGCAAACGAGCAGAAGTAGAAACAGAAAAAGAAGGTTTTGATGGTCCCCGACGAGCAACCGACCCATAAACTCCCTGTACCATTATGATCATCCCCAGCCGCGTGGAAGCCGCGCGCTTGTACCCCTCGAAGAAAATGTCATTGATCGTGCGTGGTGTCTATTTGTCGTTTATCCGCTCAAGGGCCTCGAGCATGACGACGGAGTTACCGCGAATGACCTGCGATTGTTAGTCGAGTGAGCAGAGGAGATATTTGAACAACGTACAATCATGCCAATGGCGACCTTCTCACCGCCAGCCTTCTCTTCGTAGGCCTCATCGAGGACAATGTTCATGAAGACCTAAGGAGCGAGATGAGCGTGGTTCATTCGAAGAACTCTATCAGGTCCTGATCTTGAGATGCTGATCATCTGCAGATCAAGACCTCAAATCTGAGTGGCGCAATGAGTTCGTGGGGAAGGATTGAACGTACATCGTAACCTCGGAGGATACCAATCACTTTGCGGTTGCCGTTCAACTGGCAGAAGACCCGCTTCTCCATGTACTGCAGAAATTGTCAGCGACAAGACGCAAGGTAAAGAAGGGATGCAGATTCATCACATACCTTTTTCAATTCCGGCTGAGCTTGAGGCATCTTGGGCAAGCTGGTAACTGGATTACTGATTTGGCAAGAATCGAGTTGACTATCGCGCAGTGCTGTGGTATCGGTGACCGGGACTAGGTTGATCCGGGTCCGGATAAGCGATAAGAAGAATAGCTCATGAGCTCGCCGCATCCTTCTTTCACGCCTCACTGACGCCCATTATGAGCTCTACTTTTTCAAACAGAAGGAAACCTCGGAAGATTGGCGGGGATGATGATGAAGAAGATGGAGCTTCTGCACCAGGTTTGTCATATATCCATTCTTTGTGGTACTGTCTAACAGCTACATACAGAGCCCGTTGTCAAGCGGCCAACGAAGGCGAAGCCGAAATCGAAGTTGCGCATGTCCTTCAACGCCGGGACTTCGATGGCCGAGGAAGAGGATTCACCGAGTGAAGTGGTCATTCCAAAACGACATGGTCTAGGTCGGAAGGCTGTGGAGCGCAGTGCCGCCCAGCGCAACCAGCTTCCAGGCGCTGCAGCAATGCTCTCCGAACGCTTTGGTGATCAAGACCGACCAAACTACAGCAGTGACTATCTCAAAGAACTCCGCGACTCAACACCTTCCACCCCAAAAAGCACCGATGATGATAAAGACCGTACTGTCGATGTGGCTGCCAAGTTTGGCGAACTTATGACCGTCTCTGGCCAATCGGCCATCCCAAGTGCAGCTGAAATTCGAGAAAAGAAGGCCCGGAGAGCGCGGCTGGCGTTGGAACATACTGCCAACTCTACAGAGGAGGACTTTATTTCACTCGACCATGGTGCTATAAGCGACGATGATTGGGTTGCGATAGCACGGGGTGAAAAGTTAATGGAAAAGGAGAAGGATACACGACTTGTTCGCGATGATGAGGATTTCGCGGAGGGATTCGAGGAATACGTGGAAGACGGCAAGGTGTCACTTGGTAAGAAATCGGAACGTGAGCAAAAGCGCAAGCAACGCGAAGCCATGCGGGAACTCATCGATGATGCTGAGGGACTTTCCGACGAAGAAGATTCCGACGTGGAAGAAAAGGCCGCATATGAAGCTACTCAGACCAAGGCCGCCATGGGACAGAAATCGGACATCGACCGGCCTCGCACACCACCCAAGATGACTTCTCTGCCTCAGTTGGCTAAAAGTTTTGACCGACTGCGTACTTCTCTGGCATCAATGGAAAATGCCAAGACTCAGATGATCAGTCGTATGGAAGACCTTCGCAAAGAGAAGGCTGACATTGCTATTCGTGAGGTGGAAATCCAGCATATGATCAAAGAAGCGGGAGAAAATTATGAGCGACTAAAGAGGGAAGCCGGTGTTGATCCAGCTTTAGACGGAGCAGGGGCATTGGAGAAGTCGCGAGGATTGGAAAGTATTGGAGCGCCTTTACCACCTTCTGATTACTCTGACTCCAGCTTCGATTCATCATGAGTCGTACTTTCCTCGTCCATCCCTTCCTGTATGACGATCTTTCGCCAAATACCTTCCAATGTTTAGATTTGGAGATGATTATTTTGATACCCAATCCGATTCCCAAGCTCTACAATATATTTACCATGCCTGCGCCTCAATTATTCTTCATATTTCGCCAACTTCCCCGTAAATCAGCTTCAACAGATCATGCGTCAGCAAACTCTCACCCATGAACCTGCCTACTCTCTAATGCTATCCAGTGTTCATAGTGGCCCACTGTCATGGATCGTCAGCCCAATCAACAAGACCGCAGCGGAGCCTCGTCTTTATCGTCGCTCCGACACGACATCCATTGAACTCTTCTTTGACTTGTTTTTTGTGGCCAATTTGTCTACTTTCACAGCAACACATGAGATCAACAATCTGAATGGTAGGTTCTGATCCGACTCTGACATTCAGAAGCTGACACATTTAGCCTTGGGGTCATACGTGGGATTCCTCGGTGTCATATGGTTCACATGGCTACAGGTCACCTTGTTTGATATCCGCTTTGCCCAAGATTCGGTCTTCGAGAGAACTTGTAAAGCTCTTCAACTTGCAGTGATGATCGGTTTCGCGTCCGCCGGAACTCGCTTCACCACCCGCGTTGGTAATGAAAACCTTTGGGCATTCCAGTCGTTGAGCCTTATGCTAGCGGGAAGCCGACTCCTGTTGGCGATCCAATACACTATCACTCTCGCGTTCATGTACCGACCAATGAAAGCTACGTCAAAGGGGGTTGCATACACCGCCATGATGTTTTGGGGTGCTGCGATTTTGTATCTTGCAGTAGGCTTCCAAGCACCTTTGCCCGTCTCCGCTAACGCCTTTAGATGTTCTTTGCCTTTAGCCGAGGGCATCAAGTCCCACCGCGAATTTGGACCGTTTGGTTCGTCCTGTTTGGTGTTGAGATGTGGACGGTAATGGGGGTCTCTTGTGGTTTCCCAGAAATTGGCTTCCAGGAAACCTACCTCAATATCCGGATGGGCCTTCTCACACTGATTATCATTGGCGAGGGGGTTATTGCGGTAACTCGGATTGTCAACAAGACGGTGCGGCCGGGGGGATGGACTAAATGGTCGTTTGTCCATATATTGGGAGTGACTACCAACGTCGTATGCCACCCACCCGATGTTTATTGGGGTCTACTAACTGCGATAGTATCTTCTATGGCAGGTCTATTTTGATCTCTCCCCGGGGCGTCGACTTGGAAAAATCACGCAGCATATCTGGGCGCAACTTCATTTCCCCTTCCATGTGGCACTTATTCTCCTGCTTGAAGGCTCCCAAATCCTTGCATTGACATTGGATGTGACCCTGAAGTTAAAGTACCTTGCACAGACATTCTCTTTTGTGTGTGAAGAAAATCGTCCTAGCCAGACGGCAGCGATTGCACTGATTAGAAGCACCATCACGGACATGGAGATCCCATTTAGCCGAGGTGCAACACAAGAGTGGGCGGCGATTTCGAGTCTTTTAGATGACCTTTCCAATCAGCCTCTTTGTTCCGACCCCGGGACATTCAATTCCATCCACAGGCAGGACATCTTCAGTGATCTGATGGGGAATGTGACTGCGGCCCTATTCTCAAGCATGGACATCACTCCACCAGTAAAAGTGGACATCGGCCTCCTTGACAGTCATCAACTGCTCCGAATGTATATGAAGCTCTTGGCCTTTGTGTATATATATTTCTTCGCGGGTGCCAGTCTGTCAATGGGTCTTTTCAGCGCATTTACCATTCTCGCCCGTCGGCACGAACGCCGTCTGCACCTCGGTCTTTCCATGGCAGTGAGAGCTTTACTCGCGATTTCTCTAGCTAGTTTAGTCTCATTTGCCAGCCACTTCCAGTTAGCCTATTCCTTCATGACCTCGCCGATCATCCTGTACGCCTTTACGTTGCCGCTCCTGACTGGTCAGTTCTTCTCCTACCGTAGCATGCGGATTCTAATTGGTAACAGTTCTTTTGGTTGACCGACTTTTGGACGGTCTAGCATCCCGGAGGGACGCAGCCGGCCGACGGACGCGGGAAAATAGTATCGAGCTAAAGCGTTCTAATTCAGGCATCGCGGGGAATGGGTCTTCCGCGGGGGCTAACCAACCCTCATTGTCAGTTGGAGAGCTTCATTCTCGGTCATTTGAACGTTAGTCGATGGAATTGCGGCTCTTTGAGCTTAGTCGGGGAGAGACATGACCGTCTAACGGGCAGCAATGCGTGTCTGCGTAGATACCGATTGGAGGTAGCAAAACGCCCCAACTGCTTGAATACATCTGAGCATTCTTATCATCTCAAGCTACAAGTCTCACACATCAATATATGCGTAATCATTAGGAGATATTCAGATATTGATAGTAGTTTGCCACCGACTCTCCGGAAACCTTTAGCAGAGACAGAAGCTAAAAAATTAGCGCAATATCCGCGACAGCGCATACCTACATGGTCTTGGCAACACCGTTATGGATGATCTGCAGCAAGCCATCCAGATCCATGGATTGGCTCCTCGATCGATTTTAGGCCTGGCCGTTAGATGCCTAGGTTCTGAGGGTGTCTCGGTAACTCCAGGTTCTAGCTGTACAGAGAGAAGTCCTTATACTATCTCAACTAATATGCGGAGTACTTAGATAGCTATGTCAATATGTCCAATGTTATAGGTACGATCACAATCTCTCCTGAGATACATCCAGTCCAAGGCCTCTTTGGCACCATGTGTTATGTCTATGTTGATTTCTAGACAAAGAATCTAGACCCCAAATGACATGCACATGCAGTACAACGCCCGACGATCCCCCACTCAGCCCGAACCAACTCCAAAATGCTCCAAACCAACAACCCACTCCAGGGCTTTATTATGTCAAGCAGGAGACGGAACTGTATCCGACTGGATAGCGCATCGGCAGTGCGCACTTAGCTGGAACCATCGCTCGTTCGCATTTCCTGCAGGCTGGTTCACTATCTTGCCGGTTTCAACGCCACCCAGCCCATCCCATAAAAAAGCTTCTTTGAAACGGGGCTGAGGGATGGACAGGGGAAGTGGGGAATAGCTCAAAGCTTGAGAAAGTACATAGCATTATAATACGTTGAGTATTTTATACTTTAACAATAAGCTTGGAATTAGCTTTGAGCTACATGAACTAGCACTGGTGCTATATCTATATGCCTTGTCCCAGTATGATGTTTTGAAGACGTTTGAACTTCTGCAAAAATTCACTTTTGAGATGTCCTCGGCAGTTCGCGTCCCCAGTAGATACATCACTCCACACCCCCGAGCCCCTAAGAACCAAAATAGAAGAGCTCATTGCTTTTCATGGTCTGTTGGATCGGTTAGCTGATCTGATTCGTGCGGACGAATAAGCACCCTAGGCTAGCCCTATGTAACTACCCGATCAGGATGGAACATTCTCAAATTGACCACACCAAAGAAATTGGGGAATCAATCTAGTGGAGTTAGAATGTATTTAATGGGGCTCGGAAATACTTGGGTTGATCTGGTTTAGGGCTGTTTTTGACAAGTGTGGGTTGGGGTTGCGTTGGTTCTGGTCAAGATATAGGAGTTAGTTACCTACCAGACCATTGGAAAGCAAAGGTAAATCTACCAAAGCTCAGGTCTGCAGGGCTTATGCAACCTATATAAGGATCTACGCAGACAACAGGTTTCGGACGTATAATAGGTAGCTTAATCAGTGTCTCACATTATTCCTTGCCAAGTCGAGTCTCTCCGCGAGACATTGCGCCCTGAGAACCTTGAGACTTGGAATAAAGAAAAGATCCGAAACGAGCGGCAAGTGGATGATCCCGCGGCTCAATATCCCGATTTATGGTCTGACTAGGGTTAAGTCATTCCGGGAACGATCCATGTTCAACGTCCCCCTTATCCAACGGTATGGGGTCGGGCTTTTATTAGGGATGATGTTCTATTAAAGTATCATCCCGGGGTAGAAATGCTTCATTTTTAAGACAAAACATCAGAGATCTCTAAGCCTTGACTTCACCGAGTTTCATTCATCCTCCTCTTTCCGTGGATCTGAGACCGCATTGCATCCAACGGTTTACCCGCAATAGACAATTAGCAAGAGATATGTCAATTGCTTGATAGTTATATCTAGATCTATCTATATATAGATCAGATTAGCTTATACTACAAGGTTTCCAAGGTTCTCCACTGAAGATCTACAAGGTTAGCGAAGATCCGAAAACTCAGTTGTCAAGTGTTGAAGTGTTGACAGAGCCCTATATCAGCAGCTGTCACCCGTCAAACCGTTGCACATTGAGGACAAAGTCTACGGTAATCTACACCCAGCGACAACCCGTGTACAACATTCATGATTACAGCGGTGAATCCATAGCCACGGTATTCAGCTGCATTCATTTTACCATGATAGATGTGCTGGTCAGTCCGGTACCGAAGCCATGGATGTCGCAGGAAATTACCATGAATTCGCGGTTTATTACTGGGGATTCTTTATTCACAGACTTCCCTCTTGACCACCTATCAAACTACTGGGACTCTGTTGACAACTCACAATCCACTTATCACCTACACTCCCCTTTGAAAAGACGCACTCTGTCTCCATCAGATTCTGAAAACATGTCTCATGTTCCTCTGCCAAACAGCTCTCGTTCCAAAGCTTTTCTCTGCTATCCTCCGAAACCTCCCTCTCTGCAGTCAAGTACGAGTGTCTCTCCCGCTATGGAGACTTCATTTTCCAGTGATGGAAACGTCTACCCTGATTCGACATATGGACACTTCGATCAGTCAGGATATCTCCCAGCTTACATGGGAGCCGCTGGTATTGACTGGTCTGCGAAGAACATCCCCTTCGTGGAACCTGAAAATACACCCTCACTCTCATCATCATATGAGTTCCAGGATCTTCCAAAAGATGGGCCTCCTACGTGGGATATGCCTTTCCAAGCCCAAACACCCCTCATGGCCATCAACGACAAGACCTTTCAACCAGTCAATCCTCAGTGGAATCTATGGCCCAACCAAGATCCTTGGATCCAGCCCTACTTCAATCAAAACTACTCCGATTCAAACTGGCAACATCTCCACTCCATGGCCCAGGACCACAAATCTTTCCAGATGCCCATGGAACATCACATCATTCATCAATCCACTCCAATCACATACATCCATGCCGCAACCTCTACCCAAGACCAGAGCCAAATCCAACTCCCAACTTCTTCCCACTATCACCCTGAGCCTACACATGTCCAATCTTCCCACCCCCTCACCACTCAGCATCAGCAAACTCCAGAATCCCTCTACTCCCCAATCCCAAACCAACTTCCAACGGCCCCGCAAAACCACCTCAAAGCAACCCTCCACTACACTGACACGCGCAACGCATTCCTAATAGACTGCAAACGACGCGGGCTGTCCTACAAAGAAATCAAGCGAATGGGAGGATTCAAGGAAGCCGAATCCACGCTCCGGGGCCGCTTCCGCACATTGACAAAGTCAAAGGAGCAACGTGTACGGAAACCGAAGTGGTTGGAACGAGATGTAAGTTTTCCCTCTTGTCTCATCCCGTCCTATCCCACCCCATACTTTTCTCCACGGGCTGGACTAATAAATCTAGGTAACATTACTCATTGAAGCGGTCTCTATCTACACTGATAAGGATTATGTGTATGAGGGTGATGAGTTGCGGGGACAGCAGCGGGGACAGGGTCAACCGCCTAAGGTTTCGTGGAAGAAGGTTGCTCAATTTATCTGGGCGAATGGGGGGAGTTATCAATTTGGGAACGCGACTTGTAAGAAGAAGTGGTGTGAGATATATGGGGTTAATATTTGATACTTTGTTTTGACTTGGAGCTGGGAGTGTTTGAATGGGTGATAATATGTACTCATGGTACGGAGTTTGTTATCTCAGCTGGACTGGATTATTCTCTTCTATTCTGATTCTAATTCGGAGTTCGATTTCACTCGTATTCCTAAATCACTTGTATTGTATAGAAATGCATATACATAATCAAATTTAAATCACAACAAAGATCCTCCAAAATCGACTCTCGGATATCCCACATCCCTCAAAGCACGATTCAAATTCTCAGGATAATATCTCAACGAATCCCACTCCCCTTCCGCCTTCACCATTAGTGTCCCCGCAAGAATCGTCCCGTTCAACGAAATCACCCCCGGATCCAGCGTATCTCTCGCCGCATCCGCATCAATAGGAACAATCGCCGTCTCTGTCCGTCTCGGCGCAATCATCATTGTTGAAAGCGTCATCGCCAGGTTATAGCTTATAGCCGACGGACCCTGAGTTGGGAGGTTGCCCTGATGGGTGTGAGGATCTTGCGATTTTGTTGCGGCGACCGCGGCACGGTAGAGGGATAGGTAGATTGAGTGGAGGATTTCTGAAGTTGCGTTTTCCGGGATGGGGAGGGCGAAATGGGCGAATGGGAGGTGAGGGATATATTGGAATTGACTCTGATTCTGATTCGCTTTCGGTTGTGATTGTGCGGCAAGGAGTTCGATGAGTGGAATCCAATCTGTACCTGCACTGGGCTGATGCATTGCTTCGACAGGAAGGAATTGGAGATGGCGGTGTGGTTGGCTTGCGCCGCTATCTTCTCCGGAGTTGAAGAATGCGAAGAGACGCGGGTTGTCTGTGGTGTTGTTGTCAGTGCCCCATGTGCGGAGACACTCGTATGTAGCTTCTAGATCTACTTTGTCGAGTAGATCTGTCTGAGCACGCCATTGTTTTGTGGCGAGGATGAAATGGTTTGGGATTACGGGGTATTTGTTGAGAATGAGGGCGTGGGAGGGGTTCTCGGGTGGGAATTGGGCGAGGAGGAGTTCTGGGGAGGGGTTCTCGAAGGGATCAGGCTTTGGACCTTTTGGGCCGTCGGGTTTGAGATTGGTGGGTTTCTTTGCTAGAGCTGGACAGTAGCGTAGTTGGTACTGGATTTGTTAGATGGTATGACAAATGACGAGCAGCTGTACTCACTGGGATCCCTGCAGCTGTAACGATTGACAAATGTGTATGCGAGAAAACTAGATGATTTCCTTCTTTAGCGGTAGCGAACCGCCTGGCGACCAGCGCCGAAAGACTTTCTGAGAGACCGAGTTGCATGGTGTGGAATGGCGAGAAGAGGTTAGGAAGTGATGCGGGGATATCGTGGAAAGGCGGTACCGCCTGTGGGGCCGACTCCGATTACGCTTCAAGGATGTTCAAGAAGTTCAAGATAATTAGGATCACTTGAAGTAGATATTTAGACATGATTCATTATAATCAAATATTTTCCGTCAACACCATCCGATAAGTCACCCGAGCCAGCAGGGTTGGGTATAGTGTGAGCAAAGCTTAAAAAACATAGAGAAATCGTATAACATCGAGCTAGGTATCATATGCGTAACCCGTCATCAGGACGCTCGCTTTAATGAAACAAAGGAGATGATGACGCTCAAAGATCAAAATTGGACATTTAAGCCATGAGTTCGTGGATCGACGGATCGTCATCTTGTTGGAAAAGATCGGGGAGGAGTCTTGCTGGTTGGCCCATGAGATGGGTAGATGGGCCATCGAGCCAGGGACCACGCTCCTCGTCAGAAGTACTGAGGACACCCTCAGCGCGTTTGAGTGTCTCCACATCCAGATCAGTGACATAAGCGTCACGATTGGTGCCGTCACCTGCACCGCCCGGAAGTGGCAGACGGACCTCGAACTCGTTGTTCAGCATCATCTCATCCTTCCACAGACGACGCTGTCCATTGAAGACGCAGAGAACACGCTTCTTGCTCTTGATGCTGCTGCTCGGGCATCCCCAGGACTGCGGGTAATTCCCACGGTTGTTGCGACGTCGATTCACCACCGCACGGGGACCTTTACCGGAAGCCGTGGACTTGGTGATGGCGCCAGCAATGATAGCACGAGAGGCCTTGGGTTTGGCAGTCCGACCAGCGCGCCAGTTTGAGAGGTCATAAGGGTCGTTATCATCGTGGGAATCATCATCATCGTATTGCTCGGATCCAGCCGTGTCAAATAGTTGATGCTTCTCCATTGTCTCCTGCACCTTTTCGTCAGAGGCAACCGCAGCGAGATGCTTTTGGTTGATCGCCTCCGACGGCTCCTCCTGCTGCACGACGCGCAGAACACAGTCGTCCAGATGCTCGTAGAAATCTTGAGCGTTGCTGAATGTCGCCGAGCAAGTCGAGCACTTGCCAGTGGCATCGCTGCTGTAGTTTGTGCCCTTCTTGGAAGAGGCAGTAGGGCTGCGCTTGCGACAGTTCGGCGGGGTCTGTTCCACGCCGTGAACGGAGGTCAAGTGGCGCTTGAACACATCGGCTCGGTTGAAGCTTTTCTCGGCGGAAGAGCCGGAGCCAGGACAAAAACCGCATACCATAGTGCCCTTGTAGTGGGTCAAAGTGTGACGGTTCTTGTCATACTTGCGGGCAAAGCCCTTGGTGTGGTACTCGCAGTTCGAGATGGGGCACTTCTCTGGCCGCTCGGACTGATGAGTGAGCAAATGCGCCTTCAAATCCTTGAAGACACGACCGCATTCCAGATAAGGGCATTGGCCTTTCTCCTTGACATCATCCCCTTCGACGCTGCTCATGGGACTCTGTGGAGAGGGACGGGAATTGGTAGAGGAAACGGAGGACCGCCGGTCGTAAACTGAAGCGGGCCGGGAGTGGAAACCAGAGTTCTTCATGGGTGGTGTTTGATGTGGAACTGGGTGGAGCAATGGTGAATGTTGCTCCACATTGTCGCTGTATGGAACGGGTGAGGTTGCCGGGGAGTGAGGGAAATAATCAGGACCGGAGTAGATGGTTCCGGAATATGAGATGGTAGGCATCAGGTGAGTAGAATCAGGTTCGATCAGGGACGGATCTAGATCCAGTCAGTACTGATTTTAGAATTTCAGAATCTGCGCATATTTCCAAACTTACCAACATAGGTACCGGCCAGTTTCTCTCGGTAGTATCCATCCATGTCGACTCCGTTGCCGATATACTCATTGGGGAACAAATCATGCATCACGGCCGCCGGCAGCCCCAGTCCATGATTGGTATCTACCCAATTCTCTTGGAATACTGCCGCAGATGCGATGTATGGAGATCCAATGGCGGAGGAGGGTGCGCTGGCAATGGATGGTCCGGAAGCCGCTGAGCCTGTAGGAACTTGCGGCTCTACATAGGATGTTGTGACGGAGGGAGGAGTTGCGGGCAAAGGGGAGAAATTGGAGTGTTTGTGCAGCTCCTCGGTGTAAAGATGGGCATCGAAATATTGGGGATTCCGAGAGAGGTCCATGTTCGCATACTGCATCTCCATAGGATATGAGTACATTTCCATGTTGGGATCCATCATAGGCTGGGAGTATGTGTTTTTGGGTCTTGCGTCAAAGGCGAGCATCTTGGATTGAAGAGGATTCGGAAAAAGAACAAAATCCATATAAATGAGCGATTGAAGCCGCTATTTCTTTCTTAGCTGTGAATGTTTGAAGAATCTGCGGATGGACATACCAAGGAATTAGGTTCGGATTGCGGCCCGTCAACCCAACGTGCGAACCTCGAATAGATATACAAGGCAATGTGGTAATGACCCGGGTGATATGCAAGGGATTGAAGGGGAAGGGGGAAGGCAAGGTCTTATATACAATCCGGGGTAGAAGTCTTAAAAACCGAATGGGAAGGAGGGGGGGGAAGAGGGAGTATTATAGGAATCATTGTTGCGCTACAATTAGTTTATAGTAAGGAAAATGATCAAATAAAATAGAATAAAAATAAAAATAAAAATAAAATCAAATTGTTCAAATGTAAAATGTAAAATCAAAATAAACCAAAATGTCAAAAAACCCCCGAAATTGAATAAAAATCTGAAATAAGAAAACGTGAGATCATGAAATTGACAATACAATACGAGACCCTCGAACATGGGGGCTATGCTTAGCGCCTGGTATTAACCCACAAAATTATTTTACCTCTTACTCGATCAAGCGTTCCCCATTACAATTCGTTCCCTGTTACAATTTCTAGTCATTTTTACCGTTCCCCTTTGACCAGCCTTACCACACCTCTTCGGCATGATTATCTGCCCTACGGAGACTAGGTTCAGGTTCATAGGGTCTCCCCCACGGGCCTCCCAGGATTTGTCCGTGACATTCTGCAGCCAATAGTGCGAGTGGAAATAATTTCCGATAGATCGTTTTTTAATCAATATCACAATGGAGACATGGGATGGAGATATTCGGCATCAGAAAAATTGTGCGATGATCGACCAGATTGGCATCCTGTCTTGGAAATAGCCTGTCAATAGCCTTATGGGTTCGATTTACCTGTCAAGATCGTTGCACGGGAAGGGCGCCCCATAACTGTCGATGACATTTTTTTCCTTTTCCCCTCCGTATTCCCAATTATCAGAATTTGTAGGTCCGTGAGTTTTGTTCCGAGTTCTTGGGATTCAAATTTGTCATACCAGGATGATCTGGTTTACGGAGTAGATGCCAGGTGACACTACATACATCTGAGATACAGTGTGTCTAGGCCTTGGTACGCGACATACATGGTACGGGGTACTCATACTCAATCCATGCAGGAAAAGGGGGAAGACCGAAGGCCAGTGGATCACCGGAGCACACAGAGATCGTGCGTATATGATACAGTAATTTTTCCATAGGTTCGGGTTGCCGATCTTTGACGGGCCATCTTTCCCCACAAGAACCACCATTTGGCAGGCGTGCATGGCGCGTTGTGGGGCTTGATTGGATGACAGCAAATGAGAGGTGAAATGAGGCCCCGAACTGCTCGTCCCAATCGAGGGCACAGATGGCTTCCGACGGCAGACGGGCGGACCTTGGTGGGTTCGCGAGTGACTTTTCTTGGAGCCACGCTAACCTTCCTGAACTGTATAGTGGCCGATCATTGTCCGTGGTCTTTCGGTGTGCTGGCCTCTGAGTGGAAGAGCCGCATGCTGATTGTAATCTGGACCACTTTATCCTTGTCCATGGGATAGGTCCTATCCTCTTCCATTTTCTCCTTTAATTCATTCTATTACTTCCCGTCCTGACGAGACGACTTGATCGGTTCCACATGTTCCAAAGATGACTGGGGACAACTTCGGCGTTTCCGTGATAATTTGGCCCTTAATTCTCAAAGTGGTATTGACATGTTCAGCCAAGCCATGAAGAACAAAGTACATAAATTGCCGACCATCAACTACGCCATGCCGCAGCCCTAGCGGCAGGGACGGAGAGACCGTGAAAAAGCAAAAAAAAAGAAAAATACGAAAGTTACAAGCCACATGTTGAGCCACACTCGGTCTTCTCCTAGTTTTCTGTCATATCCAATCATTGACCACCGCATGGTTCCCAAGTGGGCCAGTGCATGATCTATCCCCCCAGTGCGGCGCAGCATGACCTGTCGGCGATCCCGGCGCCAATGCTTGACCACATGGAAAGGTGAGATGAGGTTATTTACTTTCGTATTCTCACCCCATTCGTGCCGGATAACTCAAAAAAATGTCAAAAGCCGTTGAGAGATATGCCAACGTGGAAACGTCCCACCCTGAAACACAGGGCTGAAGGTAAGAGTAGCCAGTCAGAGTTCAGGAACAGGGATATCCCAAGCAAAGGGTGATGGAGCCATCTCCAATTATCCAATCCTATCCACTCCACTATATCCCCAATAAGGAGGCTCTCTGCATATAAGGATGATTAGACTTGTTCCTGCCCGATACTTCGGATCCGGGAGCCTGAGGATAGAAAGTAAATGAACCGGCGACCCCGAAGCCACGTTTTCCAGGCCTGAACTGTGGATTATGGAAATAGTTTGTTACGCTAGCATTCACCCACATTGTCGGGATGAGCTTAGGTCAAGTTGAGGTCCATGTGAAGATTCTAATTAATTTTGAATTACAAATAGCTATACGAAGTACAAAGTACTTAATTAATTTGTTCGATTCTCATTGATTTTCCCCGGTGGGTGAAGCTACGGTCGCGCCGGATTAAACCCATGATATTCTACGTGGAACTCTAACAATATAACAATATCCCGCCGTCGGTGAGTATATGTGTAATTGAATTCATCGCACTTTCAAATGCGAAGACTCTTTATCCTCAATCTCATTGGATGAATTCCCTTTCTTCCATGTGGGAAAAAGTGGAAATCTAAAAACAGAAGTTCGTGGTAAGCGGGTGTGTCTTAGTCTGGGGTTCCCGGTTTTTCATCCTTGGTTACGCGTAACAGTTTTATCCAAGATTATGTTTTATGTTAGGTGTCTATGTCGACTGTCTTGGTATAGTGGTTGTGCAACATTCAAACCATCTTATTCTCACACATATTCAACACTGAGTATCAAAAGTATTGCTTGTGCTTATTTCTAAAATTCTATATTTATTTCCCTTGGATCATATGCCACTGAAACGTCTCCTGCGTCTGTTTCAGGATTTAATAATGCCATGCTGCGCGCTGCTGCACCCATGCAAGGAGGCCTTGACCCGTTCAGTAAGCACGTTTTATTTTTTGATATGCATTCCAATGTTCCCTCGCTTCGGCCGAGTCTCACTGGTATTGCGGTCTGACAGGAAGTAAACGTAGGGTCCACGGTCAGCATTATTGAATTGGTCGGATTTAGAGTGATTAACGCCATCCCAGAGCCTCCGTCTGACAAATGCACGTCAACCTTCATTCCTGTGGCCCCATACGCCTTTAAAGTACGGAGTACTTGAGTGGCTGTTTCAAGAAGCGAGTCTAATCTATCGATTCACCGGTACTTTTACCTATGTAAATTCATCAATCTACACTGTATATCTCACATTAAGTCGTATCCACTCCCTCCAGAATTAACACTCCGCTCCCGACTCCCTCCCCGGCTTTGGCCCCATCGGAGAAACCCCGAGGTCACAAGTCAACCACAACCTTGGAAAACACCACTTGAGCTAAACCAGGTCTAGGCTTTGGACTCTGTTACGTGCCTGCACCGGATAGGACAATGCATCCGTCGATCCGACCATATCAGACCTTTCGCATTTGACATTTGATTTGACATGACCTCGTGTCGTTATCGGCGGTTCGGGTCGCTCTATTCCCCCTGAATAAGGTGAATACACTTCCAAACAGGTTCATGATTCGCGGAACAGACTAGCGGCTTTCCTCAACCTACGGTCGCTTATGTTCCCAGGCTAACTATTAAAGTCTGCGATAAGCGAATTCCTTTCCCCGTGTCTCATGTTTGCTTATTTTGCCGGGATAGCCTGGGATTGGCTATGGGTGGGATATGGTATATATCCGTACAGTACCCAAATGGGTTTGGTTGAAGGAATAGCTTCGCTGTACAACGCATTATTTCTGTTCAGTCTAGGTCTAGGGGGGAATGTAGTTGCACGATTCAATAGTACGGATCCTCCCGTGATGATCATGAAGATGAGATAGTCTGGGTGAAGGAATACATGTATTTACAGTACCATACCCGGCCACTTTTGCCTCCTTTTACCCCGTGTCTCTCTCTCAAGTTTCCTTTGTGGCTTGCACTTTTGGCTTTCTCCATGCATTAGCGAGTATCCCTCCGCTCGAACATGTTTGTCTATCAGGTTCCAGGTGCCGAATAGCACATGCACGAGCAACATACCCAATCAGAAGTACAGTGTCGCGCACTATTGATGCATGATAAGGTGCAAGGGAGGGGAAGACGTGCACATCCTTCCTATCAAAGCAGGAGAGGAGGATCGGCAGTACATCGTGGCGTCGATTCATATCTTTCTGAACTCCTGGCGAGCAGATACTCTGTACAATTACGGAGTATGAAATGTTATATCCTGCTCGTATACGTCTACTAGTCCTGGATTGGTCGCTCTTGAGATTTAATCTATTTGCCAGCTCTTTGCGACATCAATCTGATCGGGTTATACTGTAAGTCTAGATCCAAGCACTCGAGTCTTGCCACGCATCACCCCTCTGGAAATCGGTCTTCCATGGTACTCCCAGTGTAACGATCGAAGGACTGTTTCACAATTGTGGCACGAGTTCGAGATTCCTAAACCCTCAATCCTGACGTCGGTCGCCGATGGTCCCCGGGAGTCATAGCATCCAACACAGGAAGCTTGAATGCTCGTCCCTGAGTGAGGTGTGTGGCTTGTATCTATGCAAAATACAAGTGAACGATCTGCAGCAAATCACCCGCTAGTGATGATTCTCCTGTCACATCCATCACATTCGGCTGATTAAACATTTCGAGCGGGAATCTCGGGAAGTAGATTGCATAAGCGCCAAATGATCGACAGAGACTCGATAGCTCTCTTCTCCACTATTTCCGATCCATCAACTTCCGCATGTCATTTCCTATCGCTTAACCACGGGCTCGGAGGAATTTCTCTCGTCCCCGTGGTACTGTATCCTGTAACAACACCCTTCCCTTAGATCCACAACGGAATAGAAAAAAAGAAAAAACTTAGACGTGTGGGGTGTCATCTCCACAAACACCATGTCCACAGGGCAGTGTAAACAATACAATACAGACACAGAAACACAATCCGCGTGGCACAATCGGATCCTCCGTCCCCACAATACTACAGCTGGAACCTATAATAACCCAGAATCTTCATCCCCGAGATGACAGTGCAAATCTTGTCCCGGTGTCACGATCCGCACAAAAAATTTCCTTCGCTTTCTCCACTTGTGCCTTACCGCCATGTCATTATAGACGTCATAAATCTTGGTGGACGGCATTTTTCGATTCAGTGGGGTTCAGAAGTTCCGATGTACTGGTTTTTGGGATTTTGTTGACACAAAACTGTGCCACTTTGTCTCGCTTGGGTACTTCATGGTCCCGCAATACCTGGATAGGAAGTGAATGATGCAATTGTGGAATGCAAGGTTTGCGACATACGGAATACGTATTAAGCAATTCCAGTTTTACAGGTTTATGAATTCTGTTTGAGCGCATGAGGTACAGGATACAGGATACAGGATTGGCCTGCTGGGCGGATTCTAACTGGTTCGCGCTTTGTGCGTCTGCTTTAGGTTCTATGGTTTGGTGCTCAGATGTGTTGGCTGCAGGTCGTCCAGGTTTCTGCGGGGTCTGATCACTTGGATTCGGAGGATCTGGGGATCTTGTCAAATCTTAGGCATGTATAAATCGTAGATTTGCATTTGCGATCGGTGATTCGCGCTAAGTGCTTATCGTGTACCGTTGATCATTGCGGGTGCAGAACCTTGGAAGCTGTCCGATGTTATGGAGACCGAACCATAGAAAGACCTCGGGAATCGAAAGTCAATCCATGGTTGGATTGCACTTGGCATTGACCTGCAATGTGACGCTGTTCTTATTGATTCCATTGTGGAATCAGTGGCTGGTCAGGGATTCACGCATTGACATGCAATATGGAGCTGTTTTTATTTATTTCATTCTGGCTGGTCCGGGGATCGCGCATTGACCCTACTTCCAGGGGTAGATGCTGTGTAACCCACGGTTCCAAGGTTCCGGTTGACAGTCAGCATATACTCGACTGTACAAGAAGCTTAGCCAAGCAAGAAATATTGGATCAAATGCCCCTCTAGGTTCGATGGTTACGCAGCAAAGGATATTATTCATGCAATCAACGACATGTCCGAGTATGGATAAAATAAGCGATCAGACTTCCCCAATAGGAATAGTAAGTGAGGCGAAAAGGACTGATCAATTACCTTGCCTTGTTCATAAAGCGATTGTTATACAAGCCAAACTAGATAGAGACGTCAACCTAGGAAGTCATCATTAATAGGACAAATATCGCCAACGGGTAATAATCCGATGTCTAGGTTTTCTTTCAACTAGAAGCGACAAAGCAAACTTCTTCACTTACTTTCAATAGATGTATAGTATAGTACATACCTATAAGGGAAAATCACTATCTCACCAACCTGAAAACCCTGCCACCTCGTGTGCTACCCAAGAAATAAGATCCCGATCCACCGAACAGATCCAAGTGGTACCCGATCATTACCGATAGATTTCCCTGCATGTGTACGACCGGGGATGTCGAAAAGAACAGCACAGAATCGGACTATTGACGTTATACTTATGTCCAAAATTGAGGCACTGTCACTACATATTCAATATTGAATGTCTAGCATTGGTTTCTAATATCAGATCCATGGATCGGTTCAGGTTACATATGCACATAACGCGGCGCATATAGCACATAGTCATCAAATGATACGCGTCATCTCGCACCTGTGCGTATATGTGCCATCCAGGATATGTTATATTACAGACGCCGGTTTTGCAATTTGTGTCACAGAGGTTGAAAATCTTGTAAAGACGAATCTGCGATGACAGAATCTAGCAATATCTGGTACTTGTATTAAGTATTTGAAGGAGATGACAGAGATGCAGCGGGTACTCCGTGCTACGGCCCAAGTGTTATCGTAGCACATGTGCATAATATCTTACGTCGGGAAGCCCGAGTAAGAGGTAAGATCTCTTGCTTCAGATTGTTGCACGACCTGTGGAGATATGGACTGGACTGGGCAGGTGGATTCTGAAACACGAGATCTGTGAGATGCCTCCTCGTGATCTTGTGTGGTACCTTTTGGCTTTCCATGCTAGACTGAGCGATCCAGTTTTTCATTCGTGGTAAGAGGTACGCGGTCAGGTATCAAATGAGTATCCAATTATGAATTTTATTGGCTGTCCATCCTAAGCTATGTAGGTATGTACAGAAACAGTACTTCAATCAGGTAATCACGCTCTGATTGTAGTAAAAGTCGCAGGCATGCGGATGCTGCAGACAGTACTTGGGCATTAGGGCTGTGGCCATGACACCATTCGCGACTAGGTATTCGCGGAAGTTAAGCAGGCGCTGGGTGAGGAGGGTGGTGCGCTTTTTGCCATGTTCGTCGCGGTTGCCGGACCACACGAGCTCAGCGAGAGCAGCAGCACGGGGCCACATGAGGTTCGAGATGGTGACATCGTCAACCTGCTCTGACCACAGAGGAGCTTCAGCGCCGAGGATGTGTTTGGCTTGGGTATCGGTGAGGTTCGTAAGGAAGTCGTAGTCGTAGATGCGCTGCCAGGTCTTGTACGGGGCACACCAGGAACCACCGGCGCCGCCGTAGTTGAAGGTCACGTCGCCGCTTGGGTTGGACATCACGTCGTATCGGGGGTCGTTGCCTATAGCCCCACCGTGGCCGCAGTCTAGATACAGCCAGTCGGAGGAGGAGACGATAACATCGTAACCGCGCGCAGTGAGGTTCTGGATGTTAGTCAGGCCGTTGTTCCAGGTCTGCATGACAATGTCGTCGGGAACATCGTGTGCGGCCTCGGTAGACAGAGTGATATCCTCCCACATCATGATCTTGCGATCGGGGCTGACATTCCGGAAGATGGGCACGGCATGGTCAACCCAATACTGGGCCAAGTCGTTGTAGGTACGGGAGGGATCCTCCAGGAACCACTCGGTGACGTGGGTGCTGAAGTTGTAGCATCCGGGCTGGAGTTCGTCGGCACCCACATGGAACCAGTTGTCGGTGAAGATTCCTGATAGCTCGTTGTACACGTTGGCCACAACCTCGTAGGTCTTGTTGTAGATAATATCCAGCTGGCCAGGGTTCGGCTCCACGGCGGTGTGATATGTCCAGTCATCATTCGACCACCAGGAGTTGGCGCAAGCCACAATTTCAGGATCCACCTGCTGCCAGCCAGAGGCCGAGTGACCGGGCATGTCGACCTCGGGAATGACACGCACACCACGGGCGCGGGCATAGGCAATCACGCTACGCATATCATTCGTAGAGTATGTTTCCCGGGGCGAGTATGCGTCCTTGACCATCTCAGGGTAGGAGTTCATATGCATAGGCCAGGACTGGGAGTCGTCCAGGTGCCAGTGGAGCACATTGAGCTTAGACAGAGCCATGCCATCGATTTGTTCAAAGATCTTGGGCAAGGATATAAAGTTGCGGCCCGTGTCAATCATGATGCCACGGTACGGGTAGAGAGGCGCGTCCTGGATGAGAACCGGCTCCTCAATTATCAGACCACCATTTCCATCGGAGATAATGAGCTGCTGCAGAGTTGTGAACGCGTGCAGGGCACCCCAGACAGTCTGCGCGTGGATCTTGACACTGCCAGAAGACTCGGACACCTCCAATGTGTAGGACTCATCGACTCCGTGCTGAAGATCGGCATCACCATCGACCAGGGTGAGCTGAATGGACCTGATTGGGTTGGCACTGCGCTTGGTCTTGGTCAAGCCCGCGCCGGTCGGGAAGGGCTGGAAAGAGGAGATTGAAGCTTCGGTAGCGGCGGGAACCCATTGGAGGGTACTGATGGTGGCCCAGGCACGTTCCCAAGCTTTGTTGACAATTTGATGGGTGTGTCCTTGGGCGTCGGTGGTACGCAAGGAGAGCTCTTTGACGGAAATCGGACCCGACGAGCCCCAGGTGATGTTGCGGGGCGCGGGAAGTGGATTCACCTTGACGGCCGAGACGGTCGCGGTCAAGGCACTCAATGCCCCAATGACCAAGAAGAACTTCATAATGGATGAGAGAGTGGAAGGATAAGGAAAAGTCAGTAAAAAATGCGACGGGGGATATTTATGTTGAGAATAGTAGCATGCCGATCGACGCTGATCACCTCCTGGTATGTACTTCATGCACGAGTAAATGAGGATAATCAAGTCCTAAGCTATCTAAATAATAGATCCACAATCCCTTTGAATGTTCCAGTCCATCGTTACATCTATATATTTACTAAACCTATTTGGACTTGTTTATCATTAACTAAGCCTATTTAGACTGTTTACTAGTAAACAGTCAAGTGCGACCTCCACATGCGACATCGGGGTTCTCCACTTAACAATCACAAAGATCATAATCAGAATCAGAATCGGAGATTAAAATTTGGTCAAAGCGACAAAATGAAACAGTGACATTGGTCAAGCTATGTGGGTATAGATAACAGCGGGGTAAAAGGTATCATCCCATTCAATTACTCCGTACTAATTACTCTAGTGACTTCTCCGTCTCCATTCCCTCGCGGAACTCCTCATGAATGGCCGCAATGACCTTCTGGGACGGCACCACACAAGGACGACGGGGCAGTCCACCGTATCCACGGTATGATTGCAAAGCACTCTTTACTGCAACAAATCCGCCGTGAATGGCACCCCAATCAGCACGCGCAACAATAGCCTGCAACTTCTGCGCCTCCTCAACCTTTCCACTGCGGTACAGCTCCATCACACGCACACTCGACCGAGGAATGAGGTTGGCAACTCCACCGATGATACCGTCACCACCAGCAATGAGAGTCTGAAGAGTGAAATCAGCCGATCCACCAAAAGTCAAAAACTCCGGCTTGGAAGAGGCAGCGACACGAGCTAGCTTGCCAGTGTTACCACAGGTGAGCTTGCATCCGATAATGTTGGGGTGCTTGGACAGCGCAAGAATGTCGTCCGAGGACAAGTCCAGCCCGGATGAGGCGCCGGGGAAATTATAAATGAGAACGGGGACTGGCGACGCATCGGCCACAGCTTGGAAGTGTGCGTGGAGAGCCTCGTTGCTGACAAGAGCCTTGTAGTAGCTGGGAGGTAGGACTAGCACCGCGTCGGCGCCTGCTTCACCAGAGTCCTTGCAAAGCTGGATAGTCTCGCGGGTGGACGCGGCACCGCACCCAGCAATGACAGGAAGTGATGGGTACCCTGCAGCATCCACGGCACGACGTGTTGCGGCTGTGATGGCCTTGCGCTCTTCGCGGTCCAGGTGTACTGCTTCACCATTACTGCCCTGGGTGACCAGGCCAGTAACGCCACTCCGGGCTAGGTATGCGGCGTGCTTCTCAGTGGTCGCCAGGTCTACCTCTTCGTCTGGCTTGAAGAATGCCACTGTGGGCACGTAGACTCCTTTAGAGAGGGCATTCCGCTTAGTACCGTTGGCTGTCATTGTGAATCTAGACAAGTTAGCATCTGAGTTGAGGAACTCCCAGGGGAAGTCACTGACATTTAGGAAAGATGATCAGACATTGTTTTTGGGGAAAAGGACCAGCTAAATAACCTGGGGATGATCTTCAACCCCCACGTCCACAGGGTTTGATATGATTAGCCGTTCATGTTCCTCCGTTTGTCATCCACACTTCTGTGGAGAGAAACTTATTCGGTTCCCCCACGCCTTATGCGGGGTTATAGTCAGTCTAATTTATTGCACTCGGATTCTCCGATTCTCCGATTCTGTTAGGCTCGGAGGGATTTTCGTGGAGGAAAGTGATATCCGTAGAAAATCCTGGAGTTTTGATGAACATCAACGTGTTCAGTTGAAGACTCGATGAGGGGAATCCCCCACTTCGAGACGTGGGGGTCGGGTATTGGACATGGACAGAGTTTATATGAAACCTGGCGTTTTATGAAGTTGAATAGAAATGACCAAAGATCGAATCTGAAGCCCACGTGTGTAGCTGGTGTTCATTGTAGAAAGGTCGACCCGAAATTCGTTATGATGTTAGCAACCGTCCAGGTGTGCAAATCACGAATATATATATATTTGTCTCAAATGCTGCACGTAAAGTAGTTCACATGTGGGCATCTTGGAATTTCAGGATTTAATGAGAATTGGAAATAGGAATTCAAGCCTGATTGTTCGAAACATGTAAATAAGTGTACAGATTCACAAATTTCCTTCGCATCTGAATGGTTCCCTGTCGCAACTTGTATAGAATTTGGTCGCCAAGAACCTCTTCCTCGCATTACGCTCTGAACCACCACGAGCCGACTTCATTCCGGCATCTGGGCGACCTTCCCGCCCTCACTGACCCTGTACTCAAGCAACTTCCAAGGTTCCAAGATCCTCCGTCCATCAGTACCCACACTATGACTCGAGATTGAAACCTCTCCACCCCTCAGCAATGGCCCTCTTGTCGCGGCCGTCTCTCCGCTCTGTGCGACGGAACCCCAACCACTTGGGGAATGACGGTCGCCCCCCGCCGATGAAGAAACAGAGAACCCTAGAGGAATATGGCTTGCGCCGTCGAAGGAGTTCTCCAGACTGCCTCGACACGACGACAACCCAGGAGAGCCACCCGGTCGGGAAAGTTCGCTCCGCAAATCCTCCCTTGAGCGCCACGCGCCCGCGGACTGCGACGACACGCGCTCGCGGCCACTCCTCTGCCTCGGCGGACTCTATCGCGTCCAATCAATTGAAAACACCCGGCCGTCATATAAACGGTAATAGATCTTCTGGGTCGCCTCGTGTGCCCGATCGGAACACCCCTGCGATTCATCATCTGCACGACGACCGTGAGTCTCCAGACCCATTGGATACCATCTCCCCCGCCCCGACTACTATCAGACCACGATCTAGGGCGTCTGTCCACGCGCCCGAATTCGAGAAGCCCAAGTCCCCTGCGACTACCCGTAGCACCCGACACAATAACGAACCCCTAGAGCCGGTCCACACAATCAAGCAAGAAGAATCAGAGGCACAGCCGGCTCCCACGAGCCCGGTCGTTGAGACACGATCGCAGCCTACGCGCAGGAGTGAACTTGATCTTCTTGAGAATGAGCTTGTGCCCGCGCCGACAGGAACAGAAAGGCGGTCGCTGCGCTCCGCAGACACTGGTTCTCGTAAGAGCGAACTTGCCCAGTACTTCTACAATTATGAGCAGATCATCAGTCTCGATCAATCAAAGCCTGGTAGGTCTAACCCCAATTTTTGACAATCATCACTAACTCCCGTGAAGTAGAAACACTTGCCGCCAATACAAATGTCACATTAATAGACGACCTTTCCGAGCCATTACCTTTTCCTTCTACCCCAGACCCCATGCCATTTGGGAATCCGCTGCAGAAACTTTACAATTGCGAGGTGATCTCGCTCCCGATCCCTGTCTCACAACCTGAAGATGATCCTCTCTGCGAAGAACTATACTTCCGTTCGCATCGCCGGTTTGAACGCCAGGAGAAACAGCTGCGAAACATCGAGCGAGATCGTGCACAGCACGAAAAGCAGCAGGTAGATCGCCTACTGGAAGAACTACGCGGTCAAGATTGGCTGCGTGTAATGGGACTAACCGGTGTTCATGAGAGCGAGAAGAAGCTCTACGAGCCAAAACGCGAGATTCTCATCCAAGAGCTGGTGGCCTTGGTAAACAAGTTCCAAGTCTGGAAAGACGAAGAGAGGCGACGTAAGCTTGCTAAAGAAAAGTCACATCCTTCTACAGATGAGGCCGAGTCCCGACGTTCACGGAAGCGTTCACGTCCGGCCGAAGAAGCGGAGGAAAGCTCCCTTTCACCGGGAGTCCCACCCAGCACTCCCGACCCCAATGATGTGGATGCCTGGGCCGCACGCCAACTACATCAAGAAGCCCGCTCAGCTTCCGATTCAGCAGCAAAAAACCGCAAATCGATCTCAGGATCTCGCAAGCTCAAGCCTGCAGATGAAGATGATCGCCATCCAACCGATAAAAGCTCCACAAAGCGACCAAAAGCCCATGACCCTACCTTTTCCTCCCCACCTACTGACCCAGTCCCTTTCTTCCTTCCTCCGCCTGATGACAAACCCTTCACATCTTTCTTTTCCGATCCCGACGAACGCGAAACCGCCCTCTCTGCAATGCCAGGGAACTTCGAGGAGCGCACAACCCCCGTCCTGGCATTCGGTCACCCCATTCCTCGAGTAGGTGACTGGGAATTCCAGCCACCCGAGGATCTTCTTACCGAAGAAGCTCTCCAAGCTTCGCAGCGACAGCGACGTTTACTGAAACGACGAAGTCATGGGTGAGCAGTGGCGTGGATTGCGGCTTGTGTTTGCACATTGCCTCTGTACGATTTTTGTATGATACTATCGCATTGCGGCGTTCGGCATGGTGTTGGTTTCTTCAGGTTGGGTCTGATGGCGTTGGACGAGTGATGTTACCTTGTAAAGTGAAAGGAACTGTTATCAATGGAAATTGTTACAAATTGTTACCCATAACCAAGTAGTTGTGCAGTCATGATCTAAAGTGATGTACTGTTGAATGCATCCTGCATCTCATCGAAGCATCCTAGAACTCTTATAACGAAAGCTTCTAGTCGCCCAATCTAATGCTACGTACCAGCAACTTCTGTTCGAAGCAGCTTAAGGGGAAGATAGGATGCCAACAGAGCGCTGTATATGACAAGCACGAAGAATACGATGGGCTTACGTTTGTTCACAGAACACGCTACATACCATGCTGTATAATTAGGCCATGAAAGGTCGGCGAGTAGGTATTGACTGAGCCAATAGTAATCAGTTTTATCTTCGAATCCGATTACTCGAAGAAATTTTTACTAAAAAGGTTTTTTTTCTCTGAAATCTTTCTTCCTTCCTCATCACCACTCCACTCCTCATTTGGGGTATGGAGATCTCAAAAGATTTCAAAAGTGACCTTACTTCCTTCGAACATGCTGAGCAACCCAGAAACCTTGGAATCACTCTGTCGCTGCAAACTCCACCCGCAACTCAAGAAAATTCAACCTCCGAGATTCTATTCATACCTCGGAATCATCGAAACAAAACGAAAATGGGTTGTGAGCTTGAGGCATCACTCGTTCTATTAGTGATTTCGTTGAGATATCCAACGGATGCAACTTCAGGTCTGAGCCGAAAACCCCAACGTTGATGGGCATCTGGAATACCCTCGGGATCTCAACAAACATGATGGCCTCATCTATCATCCTCTACTCAGAAGGGTTGCAGATGGAATATGATACGCTACATGCTAGCTGACATGGAAACTCATATACCGATTCCAACAAGGATGATGTATTTCGCCTCAGAAGCCAAACTCACTTGAATGGAAGTCAGGGACATTCAAGAACTTGGACAAAGGAAGGAGGAAAGTCCAATTCGATTGATAGTGCCGCATCCACGAGGAAATCAGGCGGAGCCGTCCTCTTCTTCACCTCTTGCTCAGGCTTGCCATGGAGCCTTCAGAAGAGATAGCAGGAGGTTCTGATACTGTCTGTACGTTTCACATCTTTGAACTTTGACTTCAGAAGACTGACTTCATTCTTAGGATCTCAATACATGGCAAGACCATGTACGGAATGGTTTGATGGCAACATGGGTTGGAAGCCATAAGACGCCGGGGAACAGCATATTATCAGGGTCCGAGCGAATTCTCTGAATTCCACGATGATTGTAACTTCTGATCAAGGGTTTGCCAAGACGAGTCCCTAGCATCGAAGCTAGATGGAGATCCAGCGCCGAGCTGGATCGTGGGCGGTCGACGCTTCTGGCCTAAGTCCAAAGACGACTACCTGCTTACTATGCGACCGAACTGCGTCCAGAACCATCAGTTAGAAAACCGGAAGAAGGATACAAGAGGACTGATTAGGCTTTGGTACTTGGCTATCGCTTCGCAACAGCAGGCCTCTTTGGAAGGCATTTTAATGGACGACGATCGGTGTCGGTCAATGGCGAAATGCGCAGACATACCGCGGTCGGACACAAAGGCATAACATTCGCGACGTTTATTGTTCACCATCAAGCGATGAGGACAAGGACGAAGGGATGGATCGGGTCAGAACAACACGCGATGGATCAGGATTGTGGCTGGTTTTGGGTTCTCGGTTTTCTGTCTTATGTTCATGTTGTTAGGGGCGATATATTTGCTACGCACAAATTGTGACTACTACAATTTTCGGCTCAGGCACCAGTGTTGAAGCGAAAATGGTAGTACGGGAAAAACAGAGCATATCAAGGATCTTGACCTTCCAGTCCGCGAAACAGACCGGTCTTCAACAGCTTCTGGTCAAGCTCAACACGCAGCAAATCTAGTGCCATTGGAGAGAAACACTCTGCTAGACACTTCTATGCGAGGACTCCGCGTGGAGGAATGATCGACTCTGGGGATCTTGTTGGAAAGGAAAATCATGTTGAGTGTTTGTGACCAGTAGTGGGATTGCTACGTGCCACGCTGGATATGATAAGGATACGACATGCTGGATGAAGAGACCAGCGCATCAGAACCGATCGCAACCAGCGTGGTCTACTTTTTTTGACTGGCATTACGAAAGAAAGCCGCGAGGGTGCTAGAACAAGAATACGTGGTCCTGCTCTACAAGCTTATTTAATATGCACTGGTGATAGTTGCAGCCTATGTCGCCGCTGATGTTGGATCATGGCTTGTTGTGGCTGGTGCTTAGCGGCGAAATACAGCCAACAATGGCTTCTTAATGCCTTTCGCTTTGGCAGTTCAACTACTCTGCGGCATTTGGGAAAGTGACTACAACTCAACGAAATCGAACGAAGCAAATACGTTGGAAGCTCAATCTGGTTTTGATGTATGCTTACCGAGAAGCCTCTGTACATCGAGCCCCCTGCAGTCCCCAACCAGCGTGCACAAAGAAAGTCAGTGGTCCAAAGAGGGACTGATGTTCCACGGAAAGGAGGTCAAGCTTACTGGCCGCCCAGACTATACAGTCTGGTATGGAGATGACGATGACCTAGCGGTGAATATCGTGATGATGGAAGTAAAGGCGACGGATCTGGCCCTAACTGGTGTTCCGCAGGCCCTAGGGTATATGGATAAGTTCCTCCAAAGTCCCTTGGAACTTGATTCGAATTCTAATTTAATTCAGGCATGGTTCATCAGAACGCAAGAAATGCAGCAAGGCGGACTGCCAAGTCTATGGACTTGCTGGCGACGACAAAACTTTCTCTTGTTTGAAAATCAATAATCAATCTCCAAAGGCGTTCGGGTGGCCCTAGGCATTTTTTCTTTGTTACAGGTTTCTTTGTCCAACCATAACTTCCCTAGACGATCACCAAACCATCTTCATACTATCTCATCTCACTTTTCTTTACCCGTCCCCACAAATTTCTTGAACATCCAGGACCTTGCCTCGAGTTAAGCAATATGAAGCACCGACCTATAACCTGGTGATGATTCTGAGGAATCTGGCGCGTCCAGCGATTTGAGTAATTTATGGGTGTCTTATATATTAGTGTTCAACACCTTTAGCGTTCCGTGGGACCCCCTTGAGTTGACGTCTACTTGGGAAATCTTGACAGTTAGACGACCTTTCGCTTCTGCTTCACTACTATTCCCATAGGGACAAGAATGAACCTTCAAATTCTTAACCTGTCCTTATTGACGGTAGACCTGTTAAAGAAAGCTGCACATAGTCCTAAAACGGAGATGATCGTAAATGTTGATCCCATACAATTCTTATATCCAAATGCATGGTTACAAAGCTGAATAGACCTAACATAATTTGGGGCACTGCTTGGTTTCATCAACAGTATAATTTGTTCAGTAATAGCCCGTGCCGCCCGTTATGCACAGTATTATGCACCATCACCACGCCCGCTCGGCTCTGCGCCTTACCAAACCATGCTCAAACCGCAGTAAAAACACGATGAGGTCAGGTTTTCGTGAATAAGCAAAAGAAAAAACCACAGGCATGGATTTGTACGAATTCCCCAATATGAATTCTGGCTAACTACTGGCGAGGGAAAAAATCCGATGTAGAGCAAGACATCATTTGAAGAGGCTGTTCGGTTTGATCTATGGTGATGCAGAGAGGTTAGGAAAGTTGACAAGTTAAAGGACTGTTGATTTCTCGAGACAAAGGTATAATGTATAGCATTCTATATAACTTGCACCAACTGGATCTGGAGGTAGAAATGTATCCCAGTCCTCGGTAGAACTTCGGCACATGCCCTGACCCACGCCACATCAAGACGAACATCACACCAGGATGATAGACCTACGCACGATCCTTAGCAAGCGGGAGAACAAAGACTACCAGCTATGGAAACCTCTCATCCTTTTTCCACAGGTCATCTCAACGGACCGATACTTGCTTCATCTTCGGTAGCCCTCATTTAAGAATACCTAGAACAAAACAATCCGATTGGCCTGATTCCGTGCTGGTGACGAATCTACTGTGGTCAAAATGCAGTATCCCATGGACTGTGATGCGCCACTGGCAGGGACATCGGGTACAGTATTGCATTGATGAGTTTTCCTTTAGTAATTAACCTGGAAACTATATTGCGACAGAGTCGGATAGACCATGTGCATGTCCTCTCAGTGCAGTTATACCTACAGGGCTGACTTGATCCAATAAGGTTTAGCTTCTGCAGGGATTTCAAGCTAACAAGCGCCGCAAGAAGCTAGTCGCCACGTGGATCAAGCCCAAGCCGAATTCCGATTTCCTACCAAAATCCCAAGCATAAAAGCACAAAGTAAAGCATCAGTATTGGCCACGCCGGCATCGGCGCAGAAACTTTTTTTTTCTTTGGTTTCCCCAGTTTTACCAAGCCTTTCAGACTCCGTCGCAGAGCTTTTTTTGATGGTTTCCATTACGTCTCGGCGCCGTGATTCGTTATATCGGGCCGATGGCTGGATTGGACCCACTCGGAGCCGCTCCGGTTCAGCATGGCCGAGACTTTATTGAAGAACTTGACTCAATGCTTTTTTTTTCTTCTACATATCGTTTGTTGAGAAGATTTTGCCCTGGTGGATTTTCTTGTTGACTTTGTTCAGCTTGGGATTCTTTTTGTTACGTTGCATCGCGTCGACTTGGGGTTTTAGCTCTTCGTTGCTTGTCATTGTATACCTCACAAACTCGATATCACTATGGGTGCTTCGGTTCCGGTTGCACCAGGGGAGATGGAGCTTCAGAAGGAGTTGAGTTATGATGCTGGACTTGAGAAGCAGGATGTTACGCCGCCATATGAACAAGATGCCTTTGGCAATGAGGATTCGGCGGAGGTTAAATACAAGGTGTTGAGGTGGTGGCAATGTGGTTTGCTTATGGTTGCTGAGACCGTTTCGCTGGGTGTTCTCTCTCTGCCATCTGCTGTTGCGACTATGGGTCTCGTTCCCTCTATCATTGTGCTGCTTGGCTTGGGAGTCATCACCACTTACACGGGATACATCATGGGTCAGATGAAGTTGCGGTTCCCTCATATCACCACTATGTCTGATGCCGGTGAGGTGATTGGTGGTAAATTCGGCCGCGAGTTCGTCGGTGCTTGCTGGATCATCTTCTTCATCTTCATCATGGCGAGTCACTTGTTGACCTTCACCGTCGCCATGAACACCATTACAGACCACGGCACCTGCACCATCGTCTTTGGAATCGTGGGAATGATCATCTCCTTCATCTGCTCTCTCCCTCGTACTCTGGACAAGATGTCATGGTTGTCCCTCGTGTCATTCGTCAGTATCATGTCAGCCGTTCTGATCACCATGATCGCTCTTGGAATTGAGAGGCCCGACAAGCACGTCGTAGCCATCGCAAACACCAATCTCTACCACGGATTCACCGCTGTGACCAACATTGTCTTTGCATTCTGCAGTCACGGCGCTTTCTTTGGTTTGATGGCTGAGCTGCGCAACCCACGCGACTTCACCAAGTCCCTCTGCCTGCTGCAGAGTATCGATGTCTCCCTCTACCTGGTCGCCGCAGTGGTCATTTACTGCTACGCCGGAGATGGAGTCACCTCTCCAGCCCTTGGATCCGCTTCCCCCGTCGTCTCCAAGATCGCTTACGGAATCGCGTTGCCAACGATTGTCATCGCCGGTGTCATCAACGGCCACGTCGCATTTAAATACGTCTATGTGCGCATCTTCCGCGGCACCGACCGCATGCACAAGCGTGACATGATCGCCATCAGCTCCTGGATCGGTATCGCTCTGGGAATGTGGGTTCTGGCCTGGATCATTGCATCTGCCATCCCGGTATTCAGCGACTTGCTGAGCTTGATTGTAAGTTAACTCAACCTGAGCTGAGTCCACCACTAACATGATCTAGACTGCTCTCTTTGCTAGCTGGTTCTCTTTCGGATTCCCGTCTATCATGTGGCTCTTCATGAACAAGGGCGTGTATTTCTCTTCACCACGCAAGATTGTCATGACCGTGATAAATCTCATCATCATCGCCATCGCATTTGCTTTATGCGGTATGGGTCTTTGGGTGTCTGGAAAGGCTATCCATGACAACCCCAGCAGCGCGAGCTTCTCCTGTGCGAATAATGCTTAAGGATATAATTTGGACGGCGTTTGGTCATAGACTTGCATGAGTATTTGCATTTGCATGAGCTTTTGATTTACTGTTGGAGTTTGACTCCCAAAAGCATGAATATTTTCATTGCATCATATTGTATATTTGTCTAATATTGCTACAATACATAGAAAGCATTGCATTTTACCACTCAACTTATTAATATGTCTCAAGGAAAAATACATGTCACAGCATGTTTAACGTTGTGGTCACATAGGGCACACAATTCATGTGTGGGTCTTACTACTGAATATCGCACAACCATCTTCACCTGATCATTAAAAGGGTTCGTTAAAAAGGTTCAGACTTCCATTGGCCACAAAGCTGCATCCTTAGCTATGACCTAATTTAGGCAGCCTCTACGACTGGCTCAAGAGAGTCAGACCAGTCTGGTGTAAAATTCTCGTCACTTTTCCTGCGCCTCGTTTTCGCTGTCCATACAATGTGGAGGCCATCCCCGCAGGGTAACTCTTCAATGTCTTCATTGTGGGATATTCTAGTTGAAAAATGCAGCTGTACTGTAAATAGTCGATGTTCCACCATTGCCAAGGTTCTTATGTGTCATGATATGTGATACTCATACCCAGGTGCTTCCCAAGCTCTCATGCAAGTGTCTTGATTAGTGTACATTCCGCTGGAGTGTAAACACCAATGCTTCGAACTGTAAGTACAATGTCCTACAAACTGTGCATTCATATGATCCACTCCCAATGGGCAACAACACATATTCTGTATCTGAGGTGTTAGAGGTCGCAAAAATCCATCCTTTCTACGACCGCAATGTGGAATACCCGCCAAGCCCAGACACGATCCAGAGGATCCTCGAACGAGCTGCGGCGGATCATAAAGAACCAAATCTTGATGCTTTCCCGTTGCTTCAGAAGGAAGCTTGTAAGTATACCGCTACTATATGCTACGCCATTCATCACTAATCATCCTCTAGATATGGAGTCATTAAGCGTCTTACCGATGACCTGAGTTCGCAGAATCATTACCGGCATAGCGCCTACATCAGTACTACTGGAGGAGGCTCCGGTGGTCTACCCCTGATGTTTGCGACGGACAATAAGGAGAACCGTACACAGAGACAGATATTTGGTACCATGATGAAGACTTGCGGCATAGTCGAGTCCCAAGACTGGGTTCTTACGATGCATACTTCAGGGTATCTTTACCGGTACGCGTCCGTGACCAAGAGACCAGGCCTCGAGTAATAGCGATTGATCGTTTTCCACAGATCCCTTGACCTCATGAGCGAGCTACTTGAGAACGCAGGAGCTTCAGTTCTTTGTGCTGGGAGTCGCATGACGCCTGCTGAAGTTGTTCGGGCTCTTGTGAACTACATGCCAATGTGTTGACTGGCGACAGCAGCCAAATCATCCAAATTATGCACCACATCTCTACCCTTCCTAGCATCGAACGGAAGCAGATAATTCTCAACAAAGTGATCTACACTTCTGAACCCCTTACCGAGGTCCAACGAACCCACATTCTCACCATCTTGGGTCCAGTCCAGATCTTCTCTGTCCTAGGAAGCGCCGAAGCAGGCCCATATGGGCTTAGCAACCCAAAGCTCACTGGCGAACATACTCCCCCAGGGACACGAGACTTCATTATCGATACGAGGATGGTTCACATTGAGATCTTGGACCCATCCGTACTCGACAACGCTACAACCCGTAGAACGCCGATGCCCGAGACCGAATCCGGCATTATCGTAATGACCTCACTGCAGCGCCTGCGCAACCCGTTGTTGCGCTATATCACAGGTGATATTGGATCTCTGCATCCCATGCCAGAGACTGCCATTGGCGCTATTCCTGATGTTGAATGGCCGCACTTCCGTGTCCTCCGTCTAAGGGGCCGCGACCGCCGGTTCAGTTTCAAATGGTACGGCGAGCATTTCGAATTTCGCAATATCACCAGCCTGATGCAGACAGCGAATTTGGGCATCCTGCAGTGGCAGGTTATCCTGGATTGTCTGGACGTGGCTCCCCAGGCGACCCTGGAGGTTCGCCTGCTTCGTGCTGCGGCGAGTGAGCATGTCATTCCTAAACAGGAGCTGGTTGACTTGGTGGAGGGGTTCTTCTATGTGTTCCCGGAAAACAGATCTTTGTTTTCTATCACGTTCTTTGAAAGTCTGGAGGGGTTTGAGAAGAGTAGCACGGGTAATAAGGTCATGAACTTTGTGATCGATTTAATTAGTAATTTTCTATAGGTGTAGGATGCACAGCAGTCCATCGAAAGAGTCCTTATTAATGATATCCCATACGTCGTATGAGACATGAGAAAGCCCCCCGTCTTCTTATGATTGTTCAATTACTTCTGCGTCATCCTCCGGCTTGTTCCCGCACATTCAATCTTTCCTAGGATATCCAGACTTGATTTCGGCATTGCATAGCGCGCACATTTTGCCTAGCCTGATCAACACAAGACGCGCCAGTGATCATACAGGAGACCCATCAATTCACCAAAATCCATGCTCATGTCAGCATCGCCTACTCAATGCTTTCTTGCATCACCGTGCATGTCCAGGATCCTCCCATGCTGATGGTACAAATACGATGAGGACTGCAACGCCAAACACCGAATCCGATCAATTGACCATGTATGGCATGATATGTGCCGACAAGAGGATATCGAGTTCTCTCTCCAGATGCTTTCAATACAACATCATAGAGACGAGGAGTGATGCGTCGCTGGACCACATAGGTACCTCCTTTTCCCAGAGTTGGACTCTGTAGTCGCTTCAAAATAGAAACCCACTGGTCAGGCTCATATTCATCACCGAAAACAATACCAGCACCCTTGCCACCACGTACTGGCTTTAGAAAAAATTGGTTTCTGATTTCGGGTGAGACTTTGGAGAGGTACAAAACTTTGTCAAGATATCCAGATCCTGGAAGAAAGGTGTCTGCAATGCGCCTATCGAGCGCCTGTGCCTGAGTCGGAGAGAGCACATTGCGAGCCACGAGGTGATCTAGCTCTTCCTTCACTATTCCGAGCATTCGCTTGTCATGCACTAGCAAAATTGTTCGCAGGTCGTTGAAGCAGCGCAGGCTTACCTGTTGTAGTATCTCCGGTTGCATGGCATCTAGCTCATGCTGGTGAAGCTCAAGGCCAAGTTGATAGACTTCCTCCACTGCCTCTCCCTCAGGGGTGAACAGAGAAGAAGTAACAGCTTGGTCATGATCTACCAAGCAGCAAAGCGTGTGCTTGCCTTCCTTATGGGGATCAGGTAGCAACCTTAGATCTTGAGGAGATGTCAAACGAGGGGAGAGACCGATCTGACGCTGAACGAAGTCCACAACCATGTGAATATCTAAGCCAGGCTCTTCACCCTTGAGAAAATGCAGGGGAAGATTATGACGAAAAAGGCTCAGTAGGCCATTAAGCACCTGGTAAAGATGAGAAAAGGATATATCAGTGTTGCAGGACTGTAGCCCGAAATTTACCTTGCCTGTATTGGTTCCAGCGGTAAGACAATTGTGTCTGTCTTCAATCATCCCCAAGGCATCCTGCCCGTAGGCCTGATGCAACAGCCCATTAAAAGGGAAACGGGCGTTAATTTCCGTGATCTGGAAAATTTCCATCGGAGCTCCAGGCTCCGCACAGCTGTTCTCCGCGACTACAAAATTGGCCGTCCAGCCACTGATTCTGAAAATTAAATCAATAAACAGGAAATTTAGGGAAAAGTAAGGTCCAGTGCTGACGTACCCGCAGAAGCTCCTCTTCCTTCTTCTCCAGGGGCATTCGCTCTGGAAAGCGCGCTTCTTTTTCTGTCCACCATCGATCAACAATATCGGAAACCGCCGCTGTCAGCGCGGCGTTAAGTTCCGATAGCTGCTCCTGATGCTCCTTGACAACAAGGATTGGCCGGGGAGACATACAACTGTTGGAATCTATCGGCCATAGCTCCCGAGGACATAAAGTCAAGAGGGTCTTTTCAAGCGTTTCTTGATTTCGCAAGTAGACACTGCTCTGCGTCTCACAGTACTTCACCAGGTTATTGGTGCCAAAATCGGGCCCAATGTGGATTTGGAAAAGCTCGGGGTGTGTTTGTGTTCCTTTGAAGACGGGCATAGTGAGATACACATATTTGTGTGCGTGTATTGGGAGGGGGTTTGAGAAGTGAGAATATGTGTTGGTGTGGTGGATGTTGGTGTGGTGGATGTTGGTGTGGTGGAGTAAAAAGCGTACTGAAGTGGTAAAAATAGTCAAAGGTGAGGCTGTCGAGCTGGTCAAAAGGCGTTATAAAAGGCATAGTGCACCCGGGTGGCATAGACTGTCAGGCCCAATACCACCGATGCAATCGACTCATAACCTGTACGAGGTAGCGAGTGCATGGATATGTGGAAATGGATCCGAGAGGGTAAGCCCCTGCAGAGACGTAGATGGAGAGAAGCTCCACCACGAACAGCTCAACGCAAGATCAGTCCTCCTCTATACGATGTCATGCTGCGTGCATCCGTCATCAAGATAAGATATCCCCTCGTTGGGAAATACCATTCCATTGGTGAAAATACCGAGGCTTTGGGGTCTGGCGCAATAGCGCAGATGGAGTGGTAGCCATCAGCTTTGGAGGTGCATGGATATGCTCTGTGATGCATCTCGATTGATATTTCCTCGAACCTGTAGGGTTCAATATGAATGTAATTTGTTCGCGTGACTAAATTTCCTGGCACAATGGTGTTACCGTACGAATTGAAGCAATCCCGATTCCAATAGGACAGGGGTACTCTGTGTCTCGGATAGTAGATCGAGCCCATAGACCAGACGGACAGGGACAGCAGGAAGGGACTGGGTATGTTTTGCATCAAAAAAAAAACCTCCCGACATATGGCATGGATTGCTCCAATTCAATATGTGCATTATGGCTCAGCTGAACAACATCGGTAGACCCATACTACCTTTTGCTGATAATCTCACCCCCAGTGTGGAATCGAGCCTTGAAAATGCAACTAGACATACAGCCGAAGATATCTATGTCGTGTAACCTCGTCGCTATCAATATGGAGATTTGTCCACTGGAGTGTTTAGTCGGGTGAACTCAATCGGGCCACATCATCTTCGACTCAGAGCAGTGGATTCACTCACCCATACTTGAAAACCCGGGACCATGTCGCCGGTCGGTATGCCAGCGTCACGTGCATACAAAGCGACTGGAGACGACTCTAACAAATACAACATACCCATCGCTTTCTCAAGCTCGAAGGGAATCCTTTTTGAATTTTGCCAACAAACCTGCTGTTCTCATCACCGACTGATCCCATAGCGCCCGTAGTTTCCGCTATAGCAGCTAAGATATTCAACAACGACGACATCTTTATCTTATCAACTCAGCCTAGTACGGCGTTACATTAAGTTTGCGCTCCGCAGCCCTGGAGCGTCATTTTATCCGGCTAATTTACATCTCACTGTATCTTAATACTAGGTATTTACGCGGTCTCTTTCATTCCTAGGGGAGTGTTCGTGGTGGACCTTCTCGAAAATGATCATATGCTCTCCATTCATTGTAGAGCTGAATGGGACTTTATCGGTACCAGGAACGTCGATGAGCCCCATAATCGGGGCAAGAAGAGCCCACCCAACTGTGGTGGGATAACAAAATCCAAACTGATCGCGTAGCCATCCGGCTAGAGAACCTAAAAGTACAGTATAAATAGTAGCTGCAAGGGTGAATAATTGTGGACGGCTGGATCTTCTTGTCGGCTGGGAGAAGAAAGGTGCTCTATGGTAGCGTGGAAACAGACGAAACAGACACGATCTGTATTCCGAGAAGGACGGGGAAGTCTGGAAGAGAGAGAGATCTCAGAGACACATGCAGGGAGTCACCTGGCCCAGGTGCCCGACAGTCGAATAGTAATGATCATCACTTTGAGTTGAGATACAGTGTGCAGAACTAGAAGAATGTTTCTATTGTCGCATGACGATACCTGTGGAGTAGCGCGAATATAGTATCCAACCATCACTTATCGACAAGGCACCCTCCAAAGGACCGCCCGCCGCAGCCCCGCACCCACGAATCCATTCCATTGACCTTGCGTCCGTCGCACGAGGCAGAAGACGAAGTATTTTCCCATCCACGCAAGCATATATAAATAGTGCAGGCTATTTGACGGTCATGTGTGACGCACGGGGCAGAATGGCGCGAGGGTGCGCAATGCCCGGAGATCATCGTGGGCGGCGATCATCTGCGGGTGGATTGGGCCTTGCAGGAGATTAACTAGTTGGGGTAACACACTAGCTCCATTGCTAGATTTGTATGAATCGTTTCTTTGCAACTATTGTATTCAAGTTCTCAATAATTGGTACCTCTTTATATGCAGATCTTTACTTGATAAAGTAATTGGATAAGAATGAATCACTACATTCCTGGGCTCCTTATCATCGAAATGTGGGTATACCGTCATACCCCGGCAACTCCGTCATAATCTCCACTTTTAATCTCCACGAATAAGGCGGAGAAAGATGTACGCTACTTAACAGTGGTGTAGTACATTTAAATCGTCTATTTGAGCTTACAGTCACAACGTTGTCCATATCTCAGTGCGACAGACTCAAGAACATGTGCTTAGTCAGAGGAATGCAACTTGTTGGTACATCCCTTGTTCACCCGGACTGCCGGGATGAAGCTTGTCCTTGAGACCGGTCTGGACCAAGTTGGACTTTGTGCTCCGTTCTGTACGGAGTATGTAGATAGTCCATCTCAAGGGCAGAACTCAATCTGGGAGCGGGAGCCCCTTCAAAGCTTCTCCGGTGTCACCATGGAAGCACTGACCTTTACATGCAAGGGCTGTGGATAATTAGGTTTTCCCTTTGCTGTGTAACGGAATCTAGGCCGGGTGATTCCCAGCCTTGCTCGTGAATTTTGAGAGTACAGGGAGACTGACGGCACCATTTGGGCAGTCGTTAAGCTTTATCCATAGTGGACGGGTCATCATGTACCTGGAACCAGTCCTTGCAACGGCAATAAAATGGACAGGAACCTCGCGGGAATGGAGAAAGTGCGTCATCTGCAAGACTTGGAGTGACTCAGTTTGGTTGAGTGGTTCGATGCAACATGTGGTGACTAAGCACGTGTCTCGACCATGTGTAAGGGTCGTGACTCGTAAGTTGAGTGTCGGGCGTCAAAGTTGGGACTCGGGGCTTGTCATTCAGAAATCATGTACCTTAGGCAGGTACATTTTCAATCTTGGTTCAAACTCTGCCCTTGATAAATTAAAAGTATGATATAATTCTACAGTAGTGAAGATCAATTTGCCTCCGAATGATATCATGAACGCCGAGATCTTTTGGGTCTGGCGTAGCCGGAGGGTCCACTGCTAAACCCATTTAGGTAATAGTGGAGCAATTCCAATAGAAATTTACTTCACGAGATTTTGTAGTGCCGACTCTAACTTTGGGATCGGGTCCCCCCCCCGAGCCCCAGTCAATCTTAGTCGTCACGTCAGAGTTGAGCTCCGACGCTCCGATTCCTTCCTGAGATTAAAGTACTTAGGTACCTTCCTTCTCTCTTCTCTTTTCTCTCTCCTACATCTGACACATCTCATCCCCCCGCTATCGATCTACTACACATACTTTAGCACTTTAGCCCCACTTGACAAAGGTCATTCGTATACACATACCGCGTGACTCGGTCATCCCTCAATTTTCCTTTTGGCCCAACTTCACAGTAAAGACGAGCAAAACTGTTTCAATCCATCAAATCACGGATCTCCCAGGAACACGAAATGACATCCGTCGACTGCCTAGCGATGGCCTCAATCCATCATCCTCACCACCCTTATAACCCAGCCAATCTTTCTCGCTCTTCCTCGACCAAAGTGAGCAGCAAGAACCCTTATGCCAGATACATGTCTCCTGCGCCATCTGTGCGCTCGCAACAGTCCAACTCACAATACTCCACCACATCCGTACCATCCGTCTGGTGGTCCGGCTACCCGGAGCATCATCCGGTCGAGCCGAAGCGACGTCGCTCCAGCGCCAGTGCCAGCGGTACTCCCCGGCGCAACCGCTCTGGTCGCTATTCTCGGAATTCGATGCTTGTGAACCCAGACATCATCGACGCTCTGGATGACATCACACTTTACTCATACCATCACGAGGGTCCTTATGATGCGGTTCGCCCTGAGCGGAACCGCGTGAGCTCGACTAGTCCGTTGGAGGCTGTAAAGGAGTCCAATGCAGAGGCGTTGCGTGCGACACCGCGCGACAAGATTATCGATTCACTGCAGAGTCATCGGCCGTTGGATGGCACTGCGTTCTTCCCGCCCGGGACTACGGATCGGAATGGGCAGTCATATGAGTATGAGGAGGGGTCCAACATGATGAACGAGTATGGGAACTTCATGCGACTTCCTGGGGTGGTGAGTAACGGCTTCGATAGTGGTATTGGGTTTCCCTTACTAACTTCGGTTGTAGAAATTCACCGACGAGGACTTCAAGGACGATCCTTTTTATAACACGCCAATCTCGAATCCTTTTACACAGCTGAAGAAGAAGCTCAGTTTGCGTCGGAAGAAGAACCGTCAGAGTGTGCTTTGATGTGATCGAGGTCCTACGTTTTATTGTTCTGCGACTTATACCCTATGCTTTTTTTTTTCATTACATTTATGGAGGTGGATCGGGATTCTTTGTATGGAATAGTTTGAGATTCTCGTTATTTTTTCCTGCGTTCACTGCCAATGTGCTTTGGAATTCATGCTATATGATAGAATGGGATGTTTTCAATGCGATAGATAAACTTGTACCAAGCGTACCAGGTGCCTGTACCTGAGAGTACCAATGATTCAATAAAAAAATATTCAAACCCAAACAGTCCCAGTAAATTGATAGTAAAGCCATCATAAATCGCGGCATCTGTCTCGGCATTTCCATGCTCACACTCTTTAGAACTGCCTAGGCACGAATAAATCAATTTATTTTACCTTAACGCGGGGTTGATGTGGGGTGCGGGAGGACCTCGGCGCTAATCCCCTAACTCTTTTCTGGATATTTTCCGCGACGCCACAACGCGGGGTTATCCCATAGTTATTGACGATCGGATTTGATTTATTGATCTTATGGTCAACGTATGTGCCGATCAGACAGACGCGGATAGGAGTTTCGGGATATAGCGATCAGAAATAACATAAAAGCTATATAGAATCCAAGTCCAGATCTCCGTAGTCATCGTTCTCCATCAATTTACATCAACCCATAATCTTGTTAACCTTGACCATGCATTACTCAAAAATCTTTTCAACAATTCTCGCCCTAATCCCATTCTCCCAATCCACAAAACCCCCACCAACCCCCCCATCTCTCACCTATCTCTATACAGCTTACGTAATCTGCTCACCATCGATCTACGAAATGCAAACTCCATCCGGAATTCAAAAAGCCATCCCCATCATCGGCGGCAATTTTACCGGCCCACGATTACGCGGTAAAATCCTAGATCTGGGCGCAGATTGGGGAACCACCGATCCGCAGACGGGAATCTTCTCCGCGAATACTCGGTATAATTTGCAGACGCACGACGGAGCGAATCTGTTTCTTCAAACTTCGGGGGCTGGACAGCCTGATGGGGATTTGCATTTGAGGATTGATATTTCTACTGGGAGCAAGGATTATTATTGGTTGAATAATATTGTTGGTATGTTTGCTCTTCGGAGTTTGGGTCCACGGGTGCTAACGGATATATAGCTTTCGGGACTCTGAAGAGTGTGAGTGAAAGTGCGGATAATTTTACTTTAAGGATTGATGCATGGCATGTAAGTTTCCAGGTTTTGATGTCTTATGTTGTGTATCTTGCTGACGCTATGGGGTGTAGATGACCAATGAGTGGAACTCGACGACTTTCGTTAATGGGACTACATATCCGTAAGGGACTAAAAGAGTAGATCTGACACATTTAATGTTTCGGGTTTCTTGAAGTCTATTCAATACATTTATTGCAAACTTGAGAACATGAATTTGCCTCTGTCGTCAACTTGATCTCATCTTTAGTAGCCACCAAGGAGTATCATCCAGACATTCAAATACCCGCATAAATGCACCGAGCAAAGTAATTTCCTTAAATTGCATTCAACATCCATACAACTCCTCAAAATGACATCCATCCGCATCCCTCACACACTTAAAAACATCGGACCCTTGCACGCCCCCGCTATCGACCCCTCAACACCAAAGCTCTGCATAGCCAACAAAGTCAACATCAAAGTATCCGAACCCCAAGGCCACTATACTCCAGCAATAATCCACGAACCCCCAATAATCTACCAATCCCAAAGCTACAACCAATTCGATAAACGAACCGGCGCCGTAGTCCTAGTCTCCGGCGCCGGTGGAGGTGTCTCCGGACCAGGAGGTACAAACCCCCCACAACCATATAACATATAAAATGACACTAATAATTGCCAGGAATATATCCCTCGCTCGCAGACAAAATCGCCCTCCTGCTCTCAATCCCCTGTATCAGACTAGACTACCGCACCCCCGCCGAAAAAGGACCCTGCATAGCCGATATCCACGCTGCACTAGACCACCTCCACGAAAAATATGGCGCGCAGAATTTCCTCCTGGTAGGCTGGTCATTTGCCGGTCCATGTTTCTCCGTTGCAGCGCAAGAACCCACCCGTGTACTTGGTGTCGTGGCGATCGCATCCCAGATAGCAGGGACGGAGGGAGTAAAGGAACTAAGTCCACGGCCTTTGTTGTTATTGCATGGGGAGGATGATAGGGTATTGGCATCTTCGTGTTCCTTGATACTTTTCCATCAGTATGGAGACCGGGGGGATAGGAGGATTAGGTTGTTTCCTGGGGATGATCATGGATTGACGAGGAATGCGGTTTTGGTTGAACGGAAAATATTTGTCTTTGCGGCGAGGTGCCTTGGATTGCAGAGAATTGTTGATGGGGATGTTTTGGAGCAGGCGGGGATTGATCTGGTTGGTGGGAGGGAGGAGAGGGTTAAGGAGATGGAACTGGGGAGGGATTTGGAGAATGGTGAAAGGTTGTTTTAGATTGACTAACATAGAGAAGAAGGATCCGATGATTTCTTCTTTTACTGGGTAATATGTCTTCAGATATCTTCAGCGATGATCCGGCTTAAGAGCTATGCCCAAGGCTAGGGCCATTTCCTGTATTGTCAATGGGCGACGTGCTCCAGTAATGATGAGAAGAATCTTTTTGACAGTGGAGAATTGATCGGCATGGACTCTGGCCAGGATTTTTGCGTATGCTGCATTCACTGTAGTGGGGACAGGTCTGATTGACTCAGCATCTGGCTGAAGACTATCATTGAGAGTTATGCGAATGTCATCTAGTGCTAGGTGGAGCCAAAGATAGGTTCGATTCTCCATTTGCAGAAGTTGAGTCTCGAACCTCTTATGCACATCGGCTGAAAGCCCTGCTTCCCGGGCCAATAGTTGCATTTTCATGCTGATAACGATGTCGATTTCCTTCTTGATTTAATCATTCTGTTCTTCCCCCTTAAGTCTGATCTGTGACCATGCGGTTGTGAGGGAAGAGAAAAGGGTTTGGATCTCAAGATAAGGACGGCTTGTAACGAAGAAATTCAGCCTTGCACAATTACTGCTCCTTTTGTAGTCCTCAAAAGCTTGACACAAATTCTGGATTAGAAGTTCCACGTCTTTTGAATGACATTCATCAAGAGCATCAAGAACATAAATAATCTGAGGCGCCTGAGACTCCGAGGCCACCAGAAGCAACAATTTCCACAGCCTGGAAGTCTCGTACTGAATTTTGTCTCCGGTCGCTTTGAATAAATCCATCGCTTGAGATATCAGCGATGGCCCCTGGGTGAATATCTGGTGAAGAATGGCACATAGAGCAATGTTCAGGCGATCCTGCTGCTCATTATCCTTGAAATAGAAGTGACAAACTAGTGCTCCAGGCTCCAATTCTTTGATATCGATATCTATCAATGATTTGGACAACACTGATTTCCCGCAACCTGGGTCGGTAGATACCAAAAGAAGGCTGTTTGACAAGTTATCACGCCAATTGAGATAAGTTGGGTTTTGTAAACCCATTGGCAGGTCCCTGGAGCTCGTGATGGATTGATGTCCTTGAAGCTCTCGTAGTTTGATGTTTTGAGAGCCTGATGGCAGTTGTGATGCTCTCCAATCAATATTGTTGCCTTTTGCTCATCAAATTGGTCCGCGTGCTAATTGAAAACCTTGTCTAGTCGCTCATTGGTGACATGGACTATTTCATTCAAGCTTTCTATGTAGTCTTCTTACTGGTGAGCAAGACTGTGCTGCTACCCATCGGTGAATACGTCAACTCACGACAAATATCCGCCGCCAGCTGCTATTGAGTCACTTGGTGGCGAGGCAAATTCCCCAACAACTCTTTCGCATAAGACGCCGCTACCAATGCAGCATATCCTTGCCATTGCTTGTTCTCGTGCGAATCGGAGTAATCGCAGATGCCCCGGATGATGATACACGGAAAATCCAACATCAAACCTGCAGCTTCCATCTCAAAGCACAGCGCGCCGATTTCAGAACCCAGTCTCTCGCGGGATCTTCCATCTTTGATCACTGAGTTACCAGATGCAATCAGGCCATAATGAGAGCGGGGAAGATGATCATCCCAAGCTTCGCGTTTCACTTCCCACTCAGATGAACAAGCATCGCAAGTGCTTTCATTGGCAGGATGATCATGCTCAGATTTGGAAAGTCGATCACTCTTGGGGTCGGGGTGAGTAAACAACTTCTCTGTGCGAATTGTCCTTTCTCTGGCAGATTGGATGTAGTCGAAAAATTGAGGATCATCCGTGAGCTCGTCGGCCCTGAGACGGTTGATAGCTGTCAATAGCGACCGGGGCGGGCTATTAAGAGACCCAGTCTTGGAAAATGCACCACAAGCAACATGCTTGCCCATGTCGTATTGAACTACTCCCCCATAAGTGCCAACCGGACAGCTGATAACAACATCGCCGAGGCGAATGTCATTTTCAGAGGACGGGATGCCACCTCCCACTCCGACCATTGACCCAACCCGCAGTGAATTGGAAAAAGTGCGTGTCGTGTGTTTCGCAACCGTCGCCGCTGAAGAAGTCCCATACTGACCTGCTGGTAGACATGCAATGGCAATGTTATGCTTGCCAATTTTGCCTAAGATGTATGCGTTGGGATCTGTAGCATCTTGATCATCTAGATTCTCAAATCTTTCGTCAAGCATCTCTTTGGCCGCAGCGGCCTCGACTGCAAGAGCGCAAACCCAGCCAATCTGAAATTCATTCGGAGGTGGGCAGGACATTTTGACGACGGCATCCTTATCAGAGGCGTTCTAGCTTGTCCCAACTGGGCTGTAAACTTCGACGTGTTTTCTCTCGCTATAACACCATTGATGTAGACTGAAGCCTAATAGACAATTTTTTTGGATAGCTTAAGCTCAATTATCACAGCCACGCACAGTGCGCTGGCAATGGGGCTGGAATGTGGGTATGAGATTCCATTCTCATTGGATATTGTTTTGCACTAGTATGCGGCGTGTTTCCGTGCCGCCTAGGATAGTTCGCCATAGTGATGTGAAGATACACAAGGCTGGATAATAGAGAAAAATAAGTGTTCGAATTTAAGACTGAAAAAGTCTTCTTGGTTGAATTGGACGAGGATCACTTGGAAGGGTGTTTACGCAGTAGTCCGGTGAAACCGATAAAATATGCGATACTATTATCCTACTTATGCACGCTCCTAGGCTTACATTCAGCCTATCAACAATGTAAAAGCTAAGACATGACCCTGATCTCGTATAAAAGAGGTCACTATATGTATTCGTAAAGGTCGACAAAAGACATCATCGGACAAAAATTCTCCAACTTTGAAGTGTCATTTAGGTGTGCATGTCGCATATAGCCAGCAATAAATATGACGCCCAGATAAACATTTTTATAGCCGCTATTACACTCGAATTAGCGGACGAATGACTAGGTTGCCCAGCCAAGGATGGAAACAGCATAGGTCGCACATCTTCTTCAGCATTTGCGCCCACCTTCCCCTGAACCGGTGTTGCTGCACATAATTGTGACGGGAAACCTCCGCCAAGAACAGAGCCAAGTTGCCAAGCTCCCTCGGATACGAGATCAATCAACCTATGACTAGGGAATCAGAGTCCAATATTCCCCTTGGCGGTACTTGGCAGCTATAATAGGTTAAGCACATTACTTAGTAACTCTAAGTTCTTGGCCGCTCGTACGATTTCAGGGTCTAATTATGGATTTTCCTGAATGCTATTAGCATCCTTCCTGCCCATGTGCTATTCTTGGCCTTCTGACTATCCAGAAACACGTTCTACTCTATTCTCTTCACAATGTCAAAGATTCCACAAAGGACTCGCCTCGTTAAATGGTGGCCGATCGGCTTCGCCATCGCAGCCGTCATCTTCCTCGCCACCGGAGCAGCCCTCCTCGGCGTAGAACTCAGGGCACCGTACTCACCCGACTTACCCTGCAACTCTTATTCCTACTACTACAGTTATATCCATGGCCACTACTGCGAAGATGGAGACGACAGCAAGTTTTACGCTGGTGTTGTCTGTATCGGCATCGGAGGTCTCTTGAAGCTCATTGCCTGGATCCTGTTCGTCATCTGGTGTGTGAAGCGCCCCCGTATCCAGCAGACCAATATTACCCATACGAACAACGCACCGGTCGAAGACCCACCGTCCTATGATACACTTCAGCCTGTGTACTCTATGAAACAGGGTGCTCCTTTCGCTCCGGAGTCTCCTGCCTCTCCGGGTCCTATGTATGTTGAGGCTGCTGTGACTCCTCCGTCAAAGGAGGGCGTGGCATCGGCTACGGCTTATGAGAGTTGCAGTCAATGAGTTACGGCTATTCATGGGCTTTTCTGTTGTCATTGTGGTACAGCCGCCAGCTAGGTGGTGAAATCTTCATCAGCGCTATCCGGGCAACAATTTCGACGTCTTTGATTCAACGCTTTATGTATAATTTTATGCATCTCTAGCCTCTCACTTATACCTCCAGTTCAACCGTCTCTCCCTGCCTCCATTAAATCCTGTTGATGTGGAGAACTTCAACGTTATCACATCAATCCCCTATGCACTTGTGGTCCCCAGTTCTATCGCAGAGATTAGAGCAGCATATCCTATTACTTTCACAGTCCTCGCCATCATCTGCAGACATGATATTAGTCAATTAGGTCAGAAGACAGGACTGGATTAAAATCCAACATACACTGGCAAGCCAATACCACTAGAGTCATGGTAAGAAGATAGATCACAACTTCTGAAAGGAACTTCATTGCAAATGGTGGATGTATGATACGATTCGATCTCGATCAGAGTGAGGCCTGATAGATATTTCAAGGCAATTGGAGGTGTAAACTTGTAAGATTTAGCTTAAAAGCTAAAGGGTTCGATGTATAAACTCGCAACATATCAACATAAGATGGCCCTGTGGGACATATTTATACCTACACGACGTTTAAATAAAATTTGTAAGGGATAGCCGGTTATGAAATTATCTACTCCGTATCGTGTCACTCATTCAAATGGGAATATGATTACCTGTTCCAGATCTACAATGAATTCGCTTTACTATCAGCACTTGAGGATTTAGAACTCATGAATCTGGGATATTAATTCTTACTAGAGTTGATTTTGAGGAGATGCAAAAACTATTGCACGTTTACATGTATTTACTCGAAGTGGGATGGTGAAAGAATGATTAAAGTGAGGGTGAGACATCATAAAGTACGTTGAGACTACTAGAGGCACCGAGGCCTAGGCTATGGGCTAATAACGGCACTGTCACAATTTAAAGCAAACCTCAGTTTCCATTAATCATAATCTTTCATTGAATATTTGACTGAGTGGAAGGGAACAAGGGGACGCTAGAAGATAAGACACTGTTCTCGATTTTCTATTATATAGGTCCGATGAATCAACAAAAGCAGAGTCTCATATATTCTCGACTTCACTTATATTCTCCATACTTAACATCAAGTACTATCGCTTCTGTTCACTGACTCGAATGATTTACAGGGATGAGCATAGAAAAAAAGCCATCATGTATACTCCAATGTTGAGGCTCTCGAGGGAATTGGGCAGATTTACGTGGAACATGAGAATATGAGTGGTCTCCTTTGATGCTTGTATTATCTTTGTATTTTGATTCTCGGATTCTCTTTTTCTTTCGTTGAGATAATAATCAATTTTTCGTTTTGATGATTGCAAAGTCATCTATCTGAGTTCAATGCTGATTTCCTTCGTTCTTTGATGAACAGCCAGTGCTTTGAGTGAAAATTACACTAATGACCGCTATCGCCTTCCATGCCAAATACTAACATAGAGAAGGTCTTTCAAACGCTAATCACATGACACGCTAGTCCTTTTATAGTTAAGCCTGTATTGCATGATGCGTTCCAGGCTTGAATCGTATGACTCGGAACAAGTAAATAATTTATTAGTGTATCCTGTTACAGATCTGGAAATATTAGGTCCATCGTAGATGCCCGTCAACTTTTCGTACGACACTGTCTGGTAATATCCTCACCATATCGCAAGAAGAAAGAGCATTATATAGTATTTGACGTTCTGCCATTCGTTGATTTATTGATTCAGAGTATAAAGGACTTAGAAATTCCAGATCGTCTCTAAGTATCCCACCAAATTGAATGTATGGCCTAGATAACCGTCATTATTTTCATGATAGATGCTTGTTGTTTTGTCAAGTGCAAAGTATTTTTTGGGTTAAGAGTAGGAAAATGATCTATGTACAAACCGAGGTCACCCCTCGCAGGTATAGCAAGGGAAGTAGATATATTATCAGGCACTAGTCTCTATCTGTGATATGTAGCATATCGAGCTGTTCCAGAACTCCTTATATCATTTAATGATCTGGACCTATGGCTTTATCTCTATTTGCCAGTGCTCGCTAGTATAGCTCCTCTGCCTCCTTAAGCTTGCCCTGACCTTCATAGAGAATTTCAAGGCTGTTCATAGTATCGAGGGTGGATGTATGGTGACTGGTCTGGACACAGAGCTAGACGTCCACAGAACCCAACCTCGAATCCAACTCGGACCAGTATTGGGTCCGGGTTACGATTTCTAACCTAGTTTTTGGTATAGGGCCCTGACTTAGGTAGCTCTACGTAACATATTTCCGCTCCCGGGTGGGGCTTTCCTATCTTAGCTGCCGCCGCTTTTATAAGGGCGCTCAGAGTCAGGCTCACTGAGTAAATCTCAGTCCGGACTCAGGCTCAGTGAGCTGCTCATCTCTGAACACGTAATCAGGGTCGAACAGCATGTACCAATGGTATGGGTCACGTCTGTGTACTTGTCTGGTATTCTCTAGTCTCCACCACAGCAATTTAACATGTGGTACGCTGACTAATAAAGTTGATTACATGATCCATTGTTCCGACACTTGGAATAGCTTCTCTGTATTCGACCTGGAAGGCGAAAGCGGTCGCTACTGTATAACCAGGAAATTTTAAAATTAAAAATTAATTCAAATTTTGGTTCCTATGGAAATTTCTCTGATGCTCAAGATTTCTACGGTTCAGCCTTGGTGAGGGAAGGATTCATCGTCAAAGAAACATGAAAGAGACTACACAAAATCTAATTTCGATCATTCTTCCTACTAACGAAAAGCAAAAGTTTTGAAACAAAGAATAGTGAGGAATTATCTCTGGTAACCATTCACCTAGCGGAGTTGCTCTTTGTTCTTTAGCCTGGTTAGTATGTCTCCCCAAGTTATATTTGCTTACCAGCCAGCATTTCCTAAACACAGCTATCTTGATTCTAAAAAAAAGCCCCAAGTACAACCATCATCCACTTTGTCCCCAATCTTACAGAATCTAAAGTGCTTCAACAACATGTCTACAAATTCAAAGGATAGCTCTAAAGCTAACACCAACACGACTGCTTCTACCGCCCCTACCTCTGTCTCAACCCATGCATCTAGTGGTCCGCGCCGAAGGAAACACCAGGTGGATGTTGAAAAGCCATCATCTGATTTGATGTCCGGCCCGGAGAAGAAGAAGAAGAAGAAAGCCGATCCCAAAGCAAAACTCGGTACTAAGGAAAAGTCTGATACCAAAGTCAAGACAGATCCGAAGAAAAAGGTAGACGTGAAGGGAAAGGAAGACAAGAAGAAGCAAGCGGAGCCGAAGAAAAAGGCAAATTCTCAGGCAAATACAGATCCTAAAGCCAAGGAAGACCCCAAAGCAAAGACAGACTCGAAGAAGAAGGCGGCTGCGAAGATGGAAGACACAAGGGAAAGGACAGAAACGAAAAAGAGAGACAATGGAAAGAAGAAGGATAAGGCCAAGAGAAAGGCAGACATCTTGAAAAAGCTCGAGAGGAGGGAAGAGTTAATTTCCTCAGAGTCAGAAGAATACGCGACTTACGACTTGCATTCAGACTCGGGTTCAGACTTTGAAGCAAAGGAAATATCTCCCTGGGACCCGAGTCCTCGCAAGATTCTCGACGTCGCTGATTTGGATCTCAATAAATCATACATTCCTGATATCCCTCCCTTCTCCACAGTGGTAGCAAGACCACCCAGGCAACAGAGGTGGATCCATCCCGGACGGACACCTTTGACAAACGTCAAGGATCTACCGGAAGGCTGGAATTCCAAGGAGCCTGATCTCAGCGAGCAGTAGGTTAATATCCAAACATGATTCCAGATCGGGCTAACAATCAGTTCAGTGACGTTGATGCTCAAATCAAGAGATGCAAAGAGCGCATCGTGGATAATATCATGCCCCAAGTATTTGAACAGCGATTGATAGAGTTTCAAGAGGTGAAGAAATACCGAAAGTGAGCCAGGTTTGATGAGCGTATCTTAATCATTGCTAAAATTATAACAGATCGCTGTACAAAGGGGAGCCCTCCCATCTTAGCTGGGAGGTTATACAACGCATCGATGCACTGAAAGGCATACGAAAGGATATTTTGAAAGAGGACAAACATGAGCAGCTTTCTAATTCCGACGCTATTTTGGATGCGTACCGGAAGGGAAAGTTGACTCGAAATGCTGGACGCACGCGGCTTGTCACCTACTGGTCGAAGGGAGTTCAGCTCAGTCAACCACGCCCGTTTGACTGGGATGAATTTGACGCGATCAATGACCTTCATAAGGGTGAAAAATCTTTCTGGGTCGAAGATGTAAATTCCCCAGCGCAGTAGTGTTTTTTTAAGAGCTAAATTTTGTTTGTTTTCTTAGTTTATGCATGCGATACATGGATTAGATGAAGGCGCCAATGCGATGGTAGTCATACCTGAGAACGAATCTTGTGTTAATGCTAATGTGGTAGGAACTTTCCCCAGGATCTATATACATTTTCCATTCTAATGAGTCTCACAGTACCAACCTGCCCTCCGCATACCAGGATATAATTATTGGGACGAGATGAACATGATCTGGGATACCGGTGCAGGGTATATGAGACTCTATGAGGGAGATCTTATTACGATCACCGGTTCGCAACGACCCGAGAATCGTCCAATTAGGATTTTGGGCTGGGCCAGATCTGTAGCAGGTGACGGGCACGTAACTAATACTCCTGCGGTTGCAATCGAAGTGACTCTCCGTAACAACAGGGGCAAATTAATGTCGCCTTGGGTCAGAACGGCCGCATGTGTTCAGCCGGGCTTTTATCTACCGGGAAGAAGCAGTCGATTGGATGGCCCGTGGCTTCGGTATAGCTTGTACGCTGGAATTGCACCAGATGGTCGTTGCGAAGTAATTTTCGCTACTTCTAGGTCCGAACTTGGGATGCGAAGAATAGGATTTGAAGACAGACATGATCCTCGAGATCCTCCCTTGCATCAAATAGAAGGAGCTATCAAAGAGATGCCTCTTGGTCCAGTACCAACGGGACTAAGGGAACGGGGGACCAGAGTCTTGCCAGAGCCGGGTTTCAGAGTCCCACCGACACGGGAACGAGAAAGTTACGTCCCGGGGACTGCGTGATACTTGGGCTGTGTTCTTGAATTTTTGTCTTCTTTGTTTGAGACTTTTGCGTTCATTTCCTCAGTCGCGGAATATTACATATTATAAATGCGTAGTTGAAAATATTGTTGCAGCCTTGTTACTCTGGCGGAAACCCTTCGTATTTATTGTATTACCATCTGTGAGGTATCATCAGAGAACTCTAAAGTTACATAAAACATTCGGTATTATTTGACAGCCACATCTCGCCTCTTTCATGCATGCGAAAGCCCTTGTCAGATCAAAGGAGGGGTATGGATGGGTGGCTTTTCAATGTTCATTCCAGCTCTTATGATCCCCCAAAGGATAAAATACCTCTTGTCAACACCAAGAGTCACTCGTTTTCAGATATAATTTTCTATTTTACCGCTTTAAGTCTTTCTTTATTATACATCTAAAATCCATAAAAATAGCCAATCGAACAGCCTACTTCTTCTACGCGCCTACCCGGGACTACCCTGCTCCGCCACTCGGTCCCATCAAGTTGGGAAATGTTATCACCTCGATTGAAAAGCCTGTAGTGGAAGGTTCTGAGGCTTTTTCTCTGAGCAAAAAGTCTGTCGAATTCACTCAGAACAAGCTTCGAAACGGCAAATTCGGTATCGTCACTAAGTTTCTATCAATATTCAGCTTTGGGGTCGATCTTAGTGGGAGCTGGAATGTGGCGTGAGTCAATTTCTATCGTGCTCTCCTGTTTGGATACATTGTGGTTCATGCTTAAATTTTTCTTTTTGATGAATAGTAACAACCAGAGACTAATTTTTGATTCCGTGACCACCACGCAATTCATCCCGGGCCCCGGCTTCATCCAGGAAGAGTGCATCAATGCTTCCCCGATGGTCCAACGGTGGCTCGAAAGGAGCCGCTATCGCAAGCCGCTGTACGTGATCACTGGCCTTAAGACGGTGACAGGTGCAAAGACAGGTGCAAAGACAGGTGCCACGAATCGCATTCGAGGTGGTAGTGGGAATCTTGCCGTTCAGGTGGACGGGACTGTGTGGAGTGGTGGTGCTGTCCCCATCGGTGGAGAGCCTGAGGCAGAAGTCAGTATCACAAATAAAGCAGGCCAGAAGTGGGAGGGAAGTGGTGATTTTGTATTGGCTTTCAGGGTCCGGCGGGTCAAGGTGAGTCGAAAGACAAAGGAACTGACGCAGGATGAGGACTATATGCACGGCGCAATGCTGGGGGACGAGGTGGAGCGAAAAAAGGAGAACGAGACTGTCATTGTTGACGAGGAAGACGTACAAGTAAACAATGCAGGCTGGGGGTGGGATGAAGCAGAAGTTCTAGAAGGGGAGAAAGTAGTTACAGTTGGAGTTCTGAATATTTGAAGAAAGGGAAGAAGAATCACCATGTGATACATAGTTTTAGATAGTCGAGGTAAATTTCTTCATTAACGCTCACTGTTTAATATCTCCTGAATCCTGGAATCAATAATAGATTCTTGATCCCTGCCAAAGAGATTATTGGAGGACCTGTTAATCACCGCATACTGGTATCCATCCCGAGCTCTATCTGCTATACGGGTAAGTAAAGCTTCCATGCGCGACTTCTGCTTCATCATATCGGCATAATTGTCAGACAGATTTATTCTTGCACACTCTAGCAAAAATACCGCCATACTGGCTGCGATAGGCGTTGCGTACGATGTACCAGACTTAAATAGCACTCCTTGCCCTGGCCATGCAGATTCCACAGCCTCGCCGACAGTTGCAATCTTAATGACATTTCGAACGGGCTCTGGACTGAAGTCTGATCGGTTTTCATAGGTGTCAGTAGAATGGACACAAATGACATTATCATCTCGAGCAGGATATGCTCGACCCTCATTGGCACCTCTGTTGGAAGCCGCTGCGAAGAGAAGGACATTATTAGAGCGTGCAGTGCGGATGACGTTCTCCAACCTCTCATATCCATCAATTTGTCTTGTCGGGAAGCCAAAAAACATCGAAATGACATCCACACGCCATTTATTAACACCATTTTCCATGGCCTGCACCAGGTAATAAGGATCAGTCGTTCCTTAAAAAGAGGAGAGCACGAACACATACATTTGCAATTAACAAAGGACTAACAGACTTTCCATTCGAAATATTAGCAACTAATAATTCCGCATTTGGTGCGTAGTTGAGAAGTAGACCTGCCGTGAGGGTGCCATGACCATGGGAGTCGAGTACTTTATGTGTGTCCTGCTCGTAGCTCTCTCTCGTCCAATTGTAACGCCCCTAATTTTCTCAATTTTTGCATATATATCTTGATGTGTGTCATCGATCCCGGTGTCAAGAAGAGCGACTTTGACTCGGTGTGCAGGTGGATTTTCGATGAATCGGCTGTACACTTCTCTGAAGTCCATCTCCCATTTTTGATATTTGGAGACCCTATAATTTTCAGAGTTAGAGGCAAAATAGAATAGTCTTTGTAGCAAGAGATAACTACCCTCCAACAGAAGGATCTTCCGGGACGGTTTGGTCGTCAAAAAACTCGAAAGATTTGTAATTGAACTCTTCTTGTCTCTTACGCTTAATGGAACGTCTGAGCTCGATGCTCCGTGGTGCTGAATAGGCACCCGACTGGCCTAGGTGAGCGCGAGGTGGGTGATTTACTTGAGGATCAATTACTCGTCGCCAGTCGGAATTTCTTCGCGAAAAAGGTTTGCGAATCCAGCCTTGGATCTTCTTTCTATAAAGGCAAGAAGTGACGAGTAAAATCAGCAATAGGCCATCCCCGACGGTACCCCCGACAATACTTTTTATGTGCCCTTTACTCGAATTGTGTTCCGAGGAAGATGAGGAGGTTGAAGTAAGTACTTCCGTACCTGATGATGTATCGCTCGAAGATGGGTTGGTTGCTGTGGAGGCTGAGCCAGATTCGCCAGAATAGGACATATATGCAGTGCGATAGAGTTGCTCAGCAGCACATTCGAAACCAGTCATGGGCGTATCTTCTTGCCATAGGATAGTCATGCACTCGTTGAAATTAACATCAGTCGTACTAGGATAGAAGAAAAAAAAGTAGATGTGTCTACAAGAGATCAAGCAACCGTGCTTACCATTTTAGTACAGACGTGTTCAGCTGACAAGAACTATCGCAAGCGCCGTTTTTCACGTCGCTTTGAGAATAGCAGGTGATCGGCATCACACAACCGTCCAGACTGTTGCAGCACCCGCGCACTCGATGAGATACATCTGAGGCGCATGATGAGCCCACGGAGCACATAATCGGCTCAGCTTTGATGCGTTAGTTTCACGATATAGGGAACATCTAGCGGAGAGGGAGGTAATACTACTATCCCCATTCCAATAGCCGCAAGTTGCATATTCACCCGCTCGTCGCGAAAGCATTCTAGCCACATTGGCCGGGTCAGGGAGCGGTGTAGGTAAAGGTGCATGTATTTGCTCCATGATAGGCCTTTTATATACAGGAACGAAAATGAGAAATATTGCAAAATACAAAACAATGGAGAAGTAGAAGAAGATATATGGATGGTGGGCCGTCTCGTTATAACCCCAATGTCTGGTTTGTGATCCACATGAGGCGAATCAGCCTAATGTGCCTGGAAAATGGAGCTGAATCTTAAAGGTAGGAAATAGAAGCCAAAGCGAAGGGGAAAAGCAAATGATCTCGCGAAGGTATCCGAATGGGCCTGCCAATAGCCAGTCATCGCCTCGGCTGCCCTGGCAGACCCTTATTTTGCCTCCAGGGTAGTCCAATCATGAGCTGTCATCTAATGTCAGATAAGAGACTGATCACTTTCAGAGGTCGCATTAGAGATTGATGAGCCATGATGGAGGGACCTGGGGTTACCGTATCATGTGTACTACTATTGCAGGTTCCTATAAACTACAGTATTCGACATTTCCGACCGTATTGTAAGTTACGTCGACCATTCAATGACGTGGGTTGGAAAGAGTGAACGCAATATTTTCACTAGGTTTCTGCTGAGGTTAAGTAAATAGAGGGTCGAGATACGAATAATATTGAAGAATAGTACTGTACAGAGTGAAAAAGAGCTATGGACCGACTTGAAACGTTCCAATATTCTTGAGAAGCCTTGTAGAGAATAGATTGCTGTGCTTGAAGAAAAGACCACATTGGATACCAAGCTTACATGCATATACGAGAGACATGATGCTCACTTTAATTCCAAATTTTAATCTTGCGGCGATAGATACTCATTAAGGCAAGCGCCACAATATTTTTGATTGGCTATTCCAATTGCTTGGGGCTGATTGTGACGGTCGGCTATTTTGGAGTCACACATGATATGTAGACCAAGTGGCTCGTCACATACATCCCTGTACTTTCTTGCCACCCAACTTGTATTTATATTATAGCTATGGAAGAGATATTTATTCTTGTAGCACAGGTATGGTAAAAGGAAGACCGCCAACGCATATTGGCACGAGGGGAAGCCGGCAGGTGTTGATATTGGGGCCTTATTTTTCTAGGCCCTTGGTCTTCTTGTCCTGTTGTTGATAGACCTCTCTCGTTCCCTCCGCCCAATTACAGGTATTCTCACGTCACCTGACGAAGGATTGAGGGGCTGTATTCTTTCCTTAACTGAAGCAGAGTAGTTTAACCCCACCCCGCTTCCAAAACCACCCCAAGACTCAAATATTTAGTAGCTGGCGCACCTCATAACTATCATGTCTATTTCATTTGGGGGGTCCAATGCCGGCTTTCAAGTGGGTGTGAACAACGGCTTCATCAATCCCACTTTCCATATGCCGTCGGGTAAGTTCAACCGAAACCTGTAAGCCTGGCTTATTTTAATTGATTGCCGTGTATTCTAGGGGATGACGACTCGCCCCTGAATCCCAATGTTTCGATACCTTTTTCCCGCAATACTCAGTTCATTGCCGATCAATTCATTTTGGATCAGCTTCATGAAAAGCTCTCCGTGCCGGGGTCAAAAGCGGCACTTGTTGGCATGGGGGGAGTCGGGTGAGTTAATAATCTGGGAATACGTTAGGTCATGCAGAATCCTAATGTCGAGAAGGAAGTCGCAGCTTGCCTTAGAATACTGTTATCAAATTCTCGATCGATCACCAGACACACGGGTCTTCTGGGTATGCGCGAGTAATACAGCCCGTTTGGAACAAAGCTACCGCGATCTTGCCGATTTTCTCAGAATTCCTCATCGCAGTCAGCCTGATACAAATATTTTCCAGCTTGTGCAAAATTGGATCCAGGACTGGAAGCAGAATTGGGTTCTTATTTTGGACGACATTATGAATGGAGACATCCTTCGTACCTCACCGCCAGCAGCGAATGAGGATGGAACGAATGATGAATACAATGCTTTGAAGAGTATTTTTCGATCATTTGAATCCCGAGATATTCGAGGTACAATTCTTATGACCACTCGAAATCGTGAAATATCTAGAAGCATCGACAAATGCAATACCATTCAAGTTAACACCATGAGCGAGCCACTTGCTTTGGCTCTACTGGAAAATTTACTACTGGAGTCTGCATTCATGCAAAACGAAGCCAAGATGCTTATACGAGCTGCTGGTTATCATCCACTCACAATCGTGCACGTTGCTAGATGCATCATATCTCGATACAGTCTATTTGAGGCAACGCGGTTCCTTGAAATTCTCCAGGAGCATCAGAGGAATTCCCTAAGCCATGAAGTAGACTCTCCACCCACTGGATTCAGATCTGCCATTCGAATTTCTTTCGATAATCTACAAGACACATGCCCAGCGTCCATGAACCTACTATTTTTGATGAGCTTCTTTGATCCGAACGGATTCACAAAAAGCTTGCTGAAACGAAGCAGTAATGAAGTGGACAGAAATGCAGATGACACTTTTGAGAGTGATTTCTACATGCTCAAAAAGAATTCTCTAGTTGTGATCGGCAAAAATAGACAAACGTTTTTCATTCATGAATTGTTACAGCATGAAATAAAAATTCGGCTTGAAGAGCACGGCCAGATTGAGCAATGGAGGAAACAGTTCGTCATAAATCTTTCTCGCGAGTTTCCAACAATTGGACTTGATACAGGGAACCGAAAGAAATGCCAATCCTTATTCCCACACCTGAAAGCAGCAATGGCACAGCTCCCAAACTCAAGCTCGGAGGAATCACTCCTGGAGTGGGCTGAACTTCTTCAAAAAGGTGCGCAGTATGCGACAGTGATTGGAGGCACCTTGGACATGAAGGAGATGGCTAGGAAGGCAATGGAGGTTAGAGAGCGTTTGCTTGGCCAAGATGACCAGAAAACCATGGATTCCTGCATGACGCTCATCCGAGCATACATTCTAGAACGTGAATTGAAAAGGGCTGAAAACCTAGCGGAGTCACTTATTCCACGTTCTACTCGAGCCCTAGGAGCGGAAAATCGCACTTCACTCACTGCTATGGATTATCTAGCTTTGATAAAATGGCATCAAGGCCACTGGCAGGAAGCAGAGGTCTTGAATTTGAAGGTTCTTGGGATACGAAAAGAAAGGTTTGGACCAGAGCATCTGGACACTGTGACAAGTATGAACAATTTAGGCTTGACTTATTGGAATCAAGGTCGATGGCAAGAGGCAGAATCACTTCAATCTCGAATACTTGAGGTTCGAAGACAGTCACTTGGTCCAAACAATCCAGATACTCTCACCAGCATGAACAACCTTGCAACAACCTACTGGAATCAAGGACGGTGGCGAGACGCAGAAATACTAGGAAAAGAGGTTCTCGATGCCCGCGTAGATTTGCTTGGACCCCAGCACCCGGACACTTTGACCAGCATGAATAATCTCGCATTGGTATATCGCGACCAAGGCCGATTAGTGGACGCCGAAGCTCTATCCGTACAGGTGCTCGAGAGCTACGTCAATCTGCAAGGACGAGGCCATCAAAATACGCTAGGGAGCATGGAGAATCTTGCCTCTAATTATCGAAATCAAGGTCGATGGACGGAAGCGCAAGCACTGCAGACTGAAGTCCTCAAAGCTCGTGAAAAGCTTTTTGGTCATAATCATCCGGATACCTTGACAAGTTTGACCAATTTGGCGACAACATACTGGAACGAAGGTCGATTTGAAGATGCTGAACGCTTACAAAAGCGTGCGCTTCAGACCAGCCAAAATTTATTCGGTCGAGAGCATCCAGATGTGCTTTCAAGAATGAGCGATCTGGCTTTGACTTATCAAAGTCAAGTAAGGATGGCTGAGGCCGAGGAGCTCCTACTTCGAGTCTTAAAGTCTCAGAAAGCGCAGCTTGGTCAAGAACATCCAGATACGCTTCATTGTATGCGAAAGTTGGCTTCAATTTACCTTGAGCAAGGCCAGCTGGATACTGCTGAATCCCTGCAGGTCGATGCACTCGCCAGAGGTGAAAAAGTACTTGGCATGGACCATCCAACAGTGCTCTCAAATATGAACGCTCTGGCATCGATCTATAGAAGCCAAGGCCGACTAGATGATGCCGAAGATATACTCTCGCGAGCCATGGGTTCTTACCAGAGAGTTCTAGGCCCAGAGCATCCTGAAACGGTAAATAGCATGGAAAATCTAGCGTTAATTGCCTTCGGAAAACAAGAATGGAACAAGGCCGAAACGCTCGAGAGAATGGTAAAAAATATACGAATGAAAATATTCCGAGAAGATCACCCGGAAACCCTGAAAGCGATCAAGCTGCTCAACCAATTTGCTCGGCAGAATCTGGCAGAAGAGAAATTCAATTTGGACGACTCTTTATCTGACTTTTCAGATTCTGGTTCTGTCATCAGTTCTTTCTCATATACAGCAAGTGTCTCTACAAACCCCACACTAGATCAGCCCATTGCAATGACCGGTGTCGAGGTACTTACTGCATCCTTGTTAAAGAATGAAAACTTTCAAAATCTCTGCAAGTCTGCACTTTTGGAGAGACAGATACCGAGAGGGCGGGTTCATAGAAACCTCCGGAGGCTTCTTCGACTTTTTGCATCTCATTTGGGCCAAGGCGCTCAAGCTGGTGAACATGCCAATACCATCAAATTTGTGCGAAGCGCATCTTCCAGAATCGCTAGTCGAATATTGCAGAGTCCTGGAATAGTGAACATCCCTGGTGCTGTGTATTCAACGCTGGACATCTTGAAGTGGCCAGCTCCAGGGCCAAGATTGAAGAGTACTTGAAGTCTCGAAGGAATCCAATTGAGCCGACAGTATACACCAAACCTTCAACAGGTCCTCCAAATGCTGAGACTCTAGATGAACTTTCGCGCATTGAGGAGGTCGAGTCCGAGTCCGAGTCGGGCATGAGTGAAGATGAATTCGAAGTTCAGGAGGCCACAATACTCGACGATATTCAAAGGCTTGAGGACTTTTTGTTTACATCCAATGCATTCCAAGTCATGGAAAGGAAGTTCTTTGATTTTGTTTATCCCTCTCTTCGCTCCAAGTTGATGAAATGGATTACCAAGGAACGTCGACTCAAAAGATTCACGCCTGAGCTGCTACGAGATCTTGAAGTGGTAGTTAGCGAGCTGCAACACATTGCCGTTGATCAGATTTTGGTAAGTCTCAATGACGCACCGTCAGTGGTAAACAGCATAAAAGGCAGATGGGAGAGATTCACGGCAGAGACGTGGGACTGGTGGCCCCTCATTCCATATATATGTCCCCTGGCTAGAGGGGAGGCACGTTTGCACTGGAAATGTGTAAGTCATATCATCAATATTTTGTGAGAAACGTCTAAAAATAAACTTCCTTAGACCTGTGGCGAGCTTCGCTGGGCTAAAGTGCCTCTCTCTTTTGCGAAACGCGTTACTGGTGCTTCCAAAACTCTTGCTCAGTCAAATGCCGCGGCCAGTCCATCATCACAAATGGCTTCATCGTCACAGGACTCATACCCCAGTGTTCCAGGTCAATCCGATCAAGATACAGCTCAGAATCATCAGAATTCCAGTTGGGGTCGCACCCCAACGCACTCATATAAGGTCTTCAATCGTCCAACCACGCCCGAGGAAGATAAGCCTGATCTTCACATTTTCCTCGTCATGAAGCATTGGTTTTGGGACTCTTTTTGCCTTTCCCAAACATCAGTCAAGACTATGACAGACTATACCTTTTTTACCTGGATGCGAGCGACGTATTATTCTCGGCGCGGATTCCTGCTTGAATGGTTTGGGATTTCCAAGTATTCTCATTGTGAATTCTACAAGGTACAGAAGATGGACATATAAATATCATACCTCTGTCGCTAATATTGTGCAGTGCACAAGGTTTGCATGGTCCAAATACGAGCCGTTGAAGAAAGAATACCCTAGCGACGAGCCATCCTATCATTATCGCCCGAAACCTTTGGATCCTGTGCCACCAATGTCTCCACATCAATTCAGGCACTTTTTCGAGGACCAAGCGTGGCACTTTATCACATTTCGAAGATTAGCCAAGATATTCTCAACAGCAGAGCTGAACGATACATTCGATGAGCATGTCAATCTTCTTCCCAAGCGTGATAGTGTAATGGAGGAAAGAGATTACTCACGTGAGGTTTTCTGGGGGCTGTACGTTTTCGAGATTCGCTCAGTGTTCATGTTGGTATTCTACAGTTTTCTGTTTATGACTCCGTCGATTTATTTTTTCTTCGCCTGGTTATTCCAATGGGGCCACCACGGGGATCTACAAAATGCCTCTGTTCTTCCTACTTTGTCACTCATGTTGGTTCCATTTTGGGGATACATTATCTTCAGCTCACCAGGCTTTGACCCATCTCCTCAAAGCCACTGAAGGATCATCTAGATGGAGCAAGGTGCGGGAAATTATAACTTCACTGATAAAGCCTGTTTAGGGAGTTTGTACAGGAGTTTTTCAACTACTCAACTTCAAAGTCTCATGGCAAAGGATTGATCTTTGTATTATGACCCTCCATCTGTTTTGGTCTTTCTCACTTTCTGTCCTTTGTCCTCTTTCATACCTCAGACAAATCTTCCCTCTTCTGCTTCCAGTCCACGTATCACATATCCCTTGTCCTGAGCCGACAGCCGGCTTGCTCTCAGCGATGACTCGGACCAAATATTCCCCCAGAATTAAGTTAGACAGGAACTGCACAACTCCGCATAAAGTCAATTCCCAGCGCCTCCGTGCCAAGAACAGCAGCCCGGCGGAGGCGGGGAGAATGGAGTAAGAGAATGATCGCCCACGCCCACAACTCCTGCGCCGGAAACCCGATACCACAAAATGATTGGTTTTTTTTTCTTCATCAAACTGATGATCACCTTGGCACGGAGCGAAGCCGTCACAGGGCGTTTACCACATTTCTTGGCACTATTGGACTGAGAAGAGGCTGACGCGTTCCCCGAGCGAAGACCTGCAGAGTTCTGGCTCCTGAGTCCCTTCCCGACAGCTGGGCACTTTGGATTGTTAATATTCTATAGGTAATTGGTTGGGCTATTGATGCTGCGTTAAGTCGAAATTACCGGCTTGGCACTCATGCAAAGAGTAATTTAGCTTGACTTTGACGTACTATAATTTCCGTTTGGGAGAATAGAAACTAACCTGGTAAGTGCCTTCGGTATTTAATTTATTACAGCCATAGTCTATTACTACCCCATATAGGAAATTCATGAAGATCTTGGCGCGCGGGGTCCTCCATGTTTTGGAAAATGTTGAGCATCATGCAAGCCGTGTTGATTTTTGGTTAGTTTTCTGCACGTCGGCTTGGTCATTCAGGTGGACTATCTCATTCCATATTCTAGAGACGGAGCGTGTTGGAAAAGCAAGTGGCGTCCGTCATTGCGCCGGTGGGTGGCATATTCTTTATTTCCTGCTTGTCACAAAGTTCCCCGGAGATCTGCCCGTGGCTGATGTCAAGTCTGTGATGAAGGTTTGCATTACTCCTCCCAAATCTCCGTCCCTAGTAGGCTCATCGAAAGGAGCTAAGTTAGCCCGGGGGAGCACAGCCAAGAGAAGACGTACGCAATTCATCTTCGTCGGCGCAATGGAATTGCATCATGGCACTGTATTTGGCACAATATTCCTCTGTTTCTGCGGGGAGCATGATCTAGATGGCTGTTTCATTACGGGATCTTACTTGTTCAAAGCCACGAATGAGGAAAGGAAAATAAGCAATCTTGGTGACGGCGAGACTTATAAAATGGGCTTGACACTGGATCTTTCTTCTTCACAGCAACTTTGAACACAATTCCCACCCAGGTGTCTCGGCAAGCCTCATCATTCTTCTTCAATATGCATTTTCAATCTGTGATGGTACTCGCTACTGTTGGCCTAGCCACAGTAGCACTTAGTCACCCTGGCCATGAGGAGGAACGTCGCGACATAGGCGTTCAGCAATTCAAATCTCGGGTTCGTCGAGACTTGGCCAATTGCGCAGAGAAGCGCGAGGCCTCTGGTCTTAATGCCCGCGCCGAAGCTCGGCGCAAAGCTACTCTCGAAAAGTATCGCCGCCAGCTCAAGTCCAAGAGGGACACCACCACAATTCTAGACACCTCTCATTTGTATACTGGAACGGATATAACCGTCGACAGTGATGAGACTACTGTATTCTCCGACAGTGGTACCTGTGTGCTCAACCCCGAGGGAGAAGTTGGCCCCTTCTATGTTCCGGGTGAGTTGATCCGTGAGAATGTGCGTGATGACGAAGAGGGAGTGCCCATTGTCCTGGAGGCTCAGTTCTTGGACGTCAGCACCTGTGAGCCTATCGAAGGAGCTTACTGGGATATCTGGAACTGCAACTCGACTGGAGTATGTCTAATCCATCCTTCACCCCGTCATTTCTATGCTAACCGCATAAGGTCTACTCCGGTGTAGTTTCCAGTGGCAACGGTAACACCGCAGACACCGGCAATCTGGACAAGATCTTCCTTCGTGGTCTCCAGGAGACCGACTCAGATGGTGTTGCCACCTTCGAATCCATCTTCCCCGGTCACTATTCCGGTCGTACCAATCACCACCACGTGGTCCTGCATCTGGATGCTACCGTGCTCGCCAATGGCACATTGAGTGGTGGTACAGTCCCCCATATTGGCCAGTTGTTCTGGGATCAGAGCCTTGTCTCGATCGTCGAGGCCACTTCCCCGTACAGCACCAATACTATTGAACTGACCACCAATGAGGAAGACCGGGTGTTTGCCGTCGAGACTGAGGATAGCACCTCCGACCCTGTTTTCGAGTATGTGTATATTGGTGATGATGTCTCTGACGGAATCTTTGGCTGGATTACCATTGCCGTTGATACCACGGCCGAGTATACTCCTACCTATAGCTTTGAGTACACTTCCTCTGGTGGGGAGGCTGTCAGCAGCTCCTCAAGCTCTGGATCGGGCTCTGGTTCCAGCTCGGGTTCTGGTTCTGGTTCTAGCTCTGGTGGTTCTGGTAACTCTGGCGGCTCCAGCGGTGCTGGTGGCTCTGGTGGCACTGGCGGTCACTGAAGGCCAAGTTGAATTTCCCACTCCCTGTGCTTTTTAAGTAACTTGTTTGGTCGTCCTGTCATTACAGCTTGACATTGTGTTTCAAATCCTGCTTTCTGGTACACGTTAGCTTAGGCAATATCATGTTTTATATTGATTCTTGGAACATATCGTTTCGCACTCTTGTGCGGAGTATGATCAATTTTGCATTAAGATGTGCTTGTCAAGCAAGTTTCAATATTCTTCAGATACTAGTCAATGAACAATATCAGCCTTACTATTATGTATCCAATTACCCAAAATACATATTCCGTGTATTCAAGGATAGTGCCATTTGACAGGCTTACCTACTAGGGACAAGTTAGGTCGCACTTGTCTAGTCTTGAACACGTGCGCCTTCAAATGTCCCTTCTCTCCGTGGATGAATAATCACCGATCAATTAATTAAGTAATACACAACCAACTATGCTAATCCTCTTCGATTGGGCTTCATTTCATAAACCCCATGGAGCACATACTAAACGAAAATATATTTCACCAGTGCCCTTCAATAAAGTAAAAGTTGAATTGATCAACACAAACCTAAGATCTCCATGATATACCAGTTTAGGCAACTAGTTAATGTTATGCATTGGCATGTAGGACGATGGATTAATAATCAGCCCTTGCAGACATACTATCACAGTATAAAGGGCATTTTGTCGTACAAACTTGGATTTATTTAATTTTTTGTGAAACAATACGTGTAATCATGAATAGGCTGGTCTTCAACATCCTTAATATTTGAACTGACTGAATCTGTCATACAAGCAATTCGATCAAGACTATTTATATCACATAATATGGGGTCATACTCCCGCCAATCAGAATTCATCAGACCACTTCTTGGCGTCGATCGGACCGAATGATAAAGAAATCCGCCACCGAAGGCCAGATTGTCCACTTCCCTTGAACTTTCTTTATAAGCCAACAATTATTCCGTGACATGAATCGGAATCTGTGATTACTATCCGATCTGCGCGACGCACCCGCAACTTGATTTTGCATTGTCGGCGAGATTTTTGCTTTGCGTCACATAGCGCATACAATCGCCGCGGTCTCCGCTCTCCGCGTTCTGTTTTCTTCATACACTACACTCTCTCTAATGGTCCACAATATGCGTTCCGCGGCAAAGCTGTTTTACGCGGCTGTCTTCGCCTTTGCGAGTCTAGCTGATGCTAGTCATGTCTCGCAAGAACTTGACACGGCGAAATGCGCTGTAAGTTGGTCTCGGGTGCTCGGGGGCGAAACTACGGGGTTGATTTGCTGACATTTTCATGAATGCTGTAGTTTGATCCTTCAGCTATGGTCACAGATGCGTGTGTTTCCTATGGCACTATCAACAATCTTAACGACGAAGTTTACTTACTCCTACAATCCCTGACCACCGAAACCGATTTCTTCTCATATTACCGATTGAATCTGTTTAACAAAGAATGTCCGTTTTGGTCCGATGCCAATAGCATGTGTGGCAATATTGCATGCTCTGTGAATACGATAGAGTCAGAGGAGGACATCCCGCTTACCTGGCGCTCGGAGGAACTGAGCAAGCTGGAGGGTCCGAAAGCCAACCACCCGCCACGCAAGGTACAGGCGGAACGTCCCAAGGAGCGGCCCCTCCAGGGTATGCTCGGAGAAGGCGTTGGGGAAAGTTGTGTGGTTGAGTATGACGACGAATGTGACGACCGGGACTACTGTGTCCCCGAAGACGAGGGTTCCGCTGGCAAAGGCGACTACGTGAGCTTGGTGGACAACCCTGAAAGATTCACCGGATACTCCGGACCTGGTGCGCACCAAGTATGGGACGCCATCTACCGCGAGAATTGTTTCATCAAGGCTTCGGAGGAGCCGGAGGAGCAATCCCTCGGCATGCCCATAGGCGGACTCCAGGCAGCATCTGATTTCCGCAACGTAATGCAGAAGGAGTCGCAACGCTTAGACGGCCTGCCATTGGACAACGAGTGCTTGGAGAAGCGAGTCTTTCACCGTCTTATCAGCGGCATGCACGCTTCCATTTCGACCCACCTCTGCTGGGATTATTTGAACCAGACGACTGGCCAGTGGCAGCCGAATATGCAGTGCTATAAGGAACGGCTGCATGACCACCCGGAGCGTATCTCCAACATGTACTTCAACTACGCCCTTGTCTCACGCGCCGTGGCCAAGCTGCGCAAACACCTGCAAGGCTACACCTTCTGTACCAGCGACCCTGTCCAGGATTTCGACACCAAGCAGCGAGTCAACCAACTTGCGGAAATTCTGGCGCGCCCTCCTCGCATCTTTGACGAGGAACTCATGTTCCAAGATCCCATCGCCCACGGTCTGAAAGACGACTTCCGAAACCGATTCCGGAACGTCAGCCGACTCATGGACTGTGTGGGCTGTGACAAGTGCCGCCTGTGGGGTAAACTTCAGGTCAACGGATACGGAACCGCCTTGAAGGTTCTATTCGAGTACGACGAGACCAAGAACGGCGAGAACCCACCTCTGCGCCGTACCGAACTGGTTTCTTTGGTCAACACCCTGGGCCGTATCTCTCATAGTATCGCCGCCGCGCGTAGCTTCCACGAAGCCCTTGAAGCGGGGCAGGAACATGCTTTCCCGCTCCATCATTACGCTCCTTTGGCCCCCAAGCTGGCTGAGGTGAAGCCAGACAAAGAAGAACCCAGACGTATATTCCATGATGGTGCTGGTAATTTGTACTATGAGGACTCTGATGACAGCGAATGGTACCACGGAGGTCAAAAGGTGGAGGGACGCAAGCCCTGGGAATACCCAGCTCGTCCCGAGAATCCCACTGCCTATGATGAATTGGTAACCGAATGGACCGTGCTTCGCGACACGACGCTGTATGTCGTGAAGAGTTGGATAGGAATCCCTCGTACCTGGTAAGTTGTTTCCCATTTACCAGTCAAAGTAAAGACAGTATCGCTGACGTGAATAGCTATGGCATTTTGAGTTCCGAAATCTCGCGAGGCTGGGCTTACTGGTTGGGTTTGCCAGTTCCTCCTCGTCAGTGGAAGTTGAAGGCTCCTGGCGCAGATGACCCCTTACGCCGATCTGTCGGTGATAGGTCTGTTCATGATAGGGAACTCTGATCCATTTGAGCATACGCATTTGTTGTATATAGCGACCATTGTATCTGGCGTTGAAAGTGGTATTTGGGGCTGGGATTTTATTTGCATCAGTGGCTTCACTGTTTTTATATTGACTTTCGACTGTACTAGAGTCAGGCAATTGTTTATGCAGAAACTCTGATATACATACATTAATAACTTATTATCGTATATTCTCCCTCGGAACTACATACTTATTCGGGTACAATGATCAAAAGTACTCCGTACCGCTACTTAGATTCGCCACTTCAGAGATTTCACCCCGCACTACCATAATTTAGAAATGAATGATCAATGAGAGAAGAATATCAGATACCGAGTGAAGGAATTATTTCATGACCTATACTAAAGTTCTTGTGGCGACTTAACATACAAGGTTGATAACCTAGGCGTATTCGGTAATCGCCGACATCCTCGGCTTCTCCACTCCCGGCCACATGCGACCTGGAACTTTGCCTTTTCCCTTCCCTTTCCCCATCGCTCTCCACCCCCAGTTTCCCTTCCCCATCTTCTCCCCGATGCGCTAGATTGAGTCATGGCCTCGGTGTCACCACCAAAACCGTGGGAAAGAGCAGGTGTCGCTACTGGTGAGTCCAACGTCCTTATTCTTATCAAAGCGGTGAACTAAATCGCCTTAATGCGATCGCGTTTCCATCGGAACTCCGAATGCTCATTAATCATCATGTACAGGTAACGCATTAACATCTGTGCCCACCGCTGGTAGTCCGGTTGCTTCGACTGCGATGACTACTACTGTCCCCTCTGCGGACAACCCCGCAACCACCTCAAACGCTCCCGACTTACCCTCCCGCCCCAGCGCTCTCAACTCCGTCGTCAATAATAATGCCTCTAACTATTCTCCCTATGGTGCGTCACGCTTAGGTACCAGTCCTTACGGAGGACTTGGTGGCATGGGCGGTTACTCCTCACCATACTCCCGCTTCGGCTCCATGGGCTCCATGTACGGAGGAGGCTATGGTGGCTACGGCGGCATGGGAGGCATGGGAGGGATGTACGGCGGTATGGGTGGTATGGGAGGCATGTATGGAGGCATGCCTGGGCAGGACCCGAATGATCCCAACAGTTTGACGAACTCGTTTAGTCAGAGCACCCAGGCCACGTTCCAGATGATTGAAAGCATCGTCGGGGCATTTGGGGGCTTTGCCCAGATGCTGGAAAGCACATACATGGCAACTCACAGTTCATTTTTCGGTGAGTCCCTAACAATTGGGAAGTGAGTGAATGTAAGCTAACTTTCGTAGCTATGATTTCCGTCGCAGAACAGCTCGGAACATTAAGAAACACCTTAGGCTCGGCACTGGGGATCTTCACAATCATTCGGTGGTTCCGAACATTGATCGCCAAACTCACCGGCCGCCCTCCCCCAGCCGACGCTACTTCACTGACTCCTGCGGCTTTTGCTGCATTCATGGGTGGGCGATCTATGCCCGCCACTCTCCCAGATGGCTCACCGGCCCCTGCCAAGCCATCCAAGAAACCGTTCTTCATGTTCCTTGTCGCCGTATTCGGTCTCCCCTACCTGATGACCAAGCTCATCAAGGCTCTCGCCCGGTCGCAGGAGGCAGAGGCAAAGCGCCGACAGCAACTTATTGGCCCCAACGGCGAGATGCAGTCCGCCTCGCTCGATCCGACCAAGCTGGACTTCTGTCGAGTCCTTTACGACTACTCCCCCGAGACCCAAGAGAGCAACGGCATCGATCTCGCCGTGACCAAGGGCGATATAGTTGCTGTTCTCAGCAAATCCGATCCCACAGGAAATGCCTCAGAATGGTGGCGCTGCCGTGCTCGTGACGGACGTGTCGGCTACCTGCCCGGCCCATACCTGGAAACCATTCAACGACGACCCTCACAAGCAGCCATCACCTCCGGCAGCGAGATTGGCAACACAGCCACTGCAGGCCGCACGCAAAGTCTCTCGGCGATCTCCAAGCCCGCCAACGACCAGCCACCCCAGCTGAAGGGCAAGATGGGCGATATCTCCCCCGAGAGTTTCCAGAAGAGCACCTTCTATTCGTGAGAAATATAGATTTTGCCCCGGGTCCGGGACTGTTAGAGCTTTAACTGTGACGACCGCTTTCTTCTGCTTCTGTTCTGCTCTACTGACCAGCTAAAAGCACAACCCTCTATCTATGATTATATCCCCCATCTGACCGCGGCCAATGGACATTTGTAAATATCCATCTTTTCCCTTGCTTTATCCATGTGGCTTGGATCTTCACCTTGTTTTAACCTTGATTTTTTTTTTCTTGTCCTGGATTAGGACTGGTTTAGCGACTGTACTCTCTGGGATTTGTGCTTACTGGCGAAACGCATTTTATGGTTTATCCATTTCACATCTACTTGGTTCCATCTGGACAAATCGAAGTCTTTATTATGAAACGTTCCGAGTTTCTCAAATTTACAATTGTCAACCTTGGAAGGATTGCAATCTGATATCGCTATGTAGCACTTTCATACTGATGCAGTAGGTTAATTGATACACAACTCATCCTGTGTAGATGCATGTGGTCACGCAATTTTATATCCCGCAGATACCCGATGTCCCACGGGTCACATCTAACCCGGTTCATGATACGCACATGCTCTTTTACATTACTTTTGATCCATAATGTCAAGCTACTCATTTCTGGGGTGGCCGCTTTTGACTACTATACACCGTATATGTGCTAGCGGCGGCCGACACGAATCTCTGTCCTTTCTCGCCAACCCACCACAGTCAATTTCATTAAAGCAATAATGCCAGCGGCCGCCACTTTGAAGTCTCCTAATGTATGCGCCAACTGTAAGGCTCGCAAGAAACGATGTGACAAGTCTCTGCCGCGCTGTCGCTATTGCGCTGAGTATCATGCTACTTCTACTCCGACTCGGGGAATACCCGCTGACGCACAACCCCCTTTAGCCATGATCTACCCTGTCTGTATCAGGCCTTGAATCCTAGACCACGACATCGAGCAATTGCAGATTCAGCCATTGCACTCGCAGCCAGTCCTCGGTCCGAAAGCGACGTCTGGAAAATTGCTGATGCTCTACGAGCTAGCAACCCTGTCAGTGCATCGACAAAGCTACTTTTCGACAGCCTCGCATGCAGCGCGCAGATTCCCCATGGGGTGTCGATCTCAACGGTCGAGTCCACACTATGCGTCCAGGCTCAGCGGTTACTCGAAAGTACGGGGCTTTATCTTGATGACATCAGTGTGCGATACTTCCAGGGTGTTCATACATTCGTACCAATTATCTCCCGACGGCGATTCCACGTCCAATTGCTTTCTTTTGGGGCCAATGTTCAGGCTGACTTCGCTTTACTCGTGCTATGCATGGCATTACTTGTCCCCTCCACAGACTCTGCCGATCTCCTGGGGCCGCAAGTGGGCCACCGTGTCGAAGAAATGACACTCTACGTTGCCATTAAGTCCCTTATGGCCCAGGCGCAAACACTCTGCGCGCCTACAACCCGCCTCATTCAAGCTGGCTTGTTGCTAGCGGTCTACGAGTATGCCCGTGGTCACCCGGAGCAGGCATTTATGACGATCGGAAGCTATGCGCGGATGGCGTATGCAGCCCAGCTACGATCCATTCCTGCTCTGGCCGGAAATGCTCCGCGGCAGACCGATTGGACCATAGAAGAAGAGGAATTAAATACCTGGTGGGGAATCCGCATATGTGAGCGGTACGTACTTGGTCCTCTCTACGCCCCATGAGACCATTGGCTCACGGCGACATAGAACGTTCCTTTGTGAGCTAGCGACTTTGGATCAGCCATTGGGCTCCGTGATACCCGCCCAGGATAGTTATCTACCAATCGAACCCGCCATTCTAGACCAGAGGAATCCTGTGGTGGCGCTCACATCACGCGTCGCGATCCAGGCGCTGGACTCTCCCGGGGTTGGCGGCTTCGGGCGCAGCGCTCAAGCGGCATGGCTCCTGGATGGGGTGCTGCAGGGTCTATCCATGACGGATCCGGACCAGAAACATACATATCTAACTGAATGTGATCGAACACTGCAGTCATTTCTAGCTTTTGTGATGGAACAGCATGGGGGCAACTATGGAACATTCTGTGTTCCAATCGCTCTAACGATCCGGTCTGTCCCTCCCCAAGATTCCGATCTTATCTCTGAAAATAATTGTTTCAATTTGACGGGAACGCATAGTGCGTTGTTTCTTCTTCATTGGCATCTCCTTGGCTCGCGCGCCCGAGACTCCCCGAGCCCCTATGACTCGAGTAATACTTCCCACCAGGCTATGGATACAATTACTAAAATGGTCATTGACATTGCCACGATGCAGGAACACGTCCCCTTTGATCAAATCGATCACCTTCCTCCCAGCTGTCTGTATATTAATCGAGCAGCGTTGACACATATTTATGACTATCAATCAGTGACCGCGGATCCTCGGCTGCAAACTTCGCTTAATAAATTCGAAGCGCGCTGGGGCGCATCGCCAAGTGACCCTGGAAGATCACCGGCGTTTCGGGCATGAGGTCGGCTCTGGAGTGTGAGAGGGGGTGGATATAGAGAGCAAGTATAGTATGAGTCAACACGCGTGTAAGTAGAAGGGAGTTTCTTGCTCTGGAAATCTTATCGTTGCGCCTGGGCAATACAGTATCTCCAGCAAGTGGCATACTATGTCATGACACGTACGAAGAATAATTAAAGGCTTCGCAACTTGCCATTCCCTTTCCTTTTGGATCTTGGCGGATACATGGGGACGCACTGGCCCCGTTCCCAAGACTCTCGATAGTCCATCTCCTTTATTTATGCCTGCAAAACTAACATTCACCTGGAATAGTGCCCCAAATACATATTTTGAGGCACCGAATGCAAGCCCCTGAATTTTTTAGATTACACCTTTCAACTCTCTGAGCTTCAGATAAGCAACGTGTCGAAACTGCCAAGAAGCAACAGCCGACGAGACAACACAGGCCCGAGAATGGATGCACTCCTATATATTTGCAATTATCCGATCGCTGAGGATGGCGCCCATGATCGGCAGTCCAGTAAGATATGCCGACCACAGTCTGAAACGTCCCGGATCGTTGCCCTAATGTCTCCAGGCTGCCCGCCTTGGCTACACATGGCATGAGCAGAGAGACAAGAGCACCGCTGAGAAATCCATATACAAGCGCAAACACTATTACTCCTGCCCGTATGTGGGAGTAATTAAATGGCAGCCACAATGCCAGATTGACACTGCTGTGAGAAAGCAGCATACGGTAACGACATAAAGTAGCCCACGCGGGCGCTTACCGTTGCGTCTTCCGTGTTGAGATAGAATTCAAGAAAACATCTTCATAGAACATCTCAGTTGAAGTCTATAAATCCTGAGGATATCATCTGTAGATCCTGTCCCCACAAAACTACATGGATCATCCTTCGGATGCAATACCCGCCGTCGGCCGCCGCTAAATTCCCCAACAAAGAAATAAAACATAAAGCGCCGCCAACGCCCGCTGGAGACCCACAACGGATGTAACAGGATCTGCTTTGTCTTAGATCATCAAGAAGAAATGGGGGGCCTGACCAAATCCGACTCCTTGCATCAACGAGCCTGTCTAGAGAAACAATGGGAACCTCATCCTGTGTTGTGCGGTGAGAGAGGATAGAGGCGGTGAGAACGAGTCTTAAGATGTTACAAGTCTTCGGGGGAGGAGACGAAAGTGCAAAGGTCGATGGCCGCCTTTGTACGAGACCAGTGACTGAAGCTCGGGGTCTCGGTGGACATCTTATCAACATTCCTTGAATTTTATATTTCATTAGTTCTGGGGAATTTTTCTACCTCAATATTACGATTTTGATTTTCCGGGCGCACGAGTATATGAATTTCAAGAAATCAAACACCGTGTGACATTATGGTAAATATCAAGACATCATCACACTACTAGACCCCATGATCGTAAAGCTAGCAATATGTACTATTCCTCGGCTACCATCACGATAGCAATCATTGCGATACCCAGTAAACAGTTACCCCACCGTGAATTTAATAGGTACTGATAATAACAGATAAGCGGCCACCGTCGGTAGTGAGGATCAATCCATTCGAGTAGCTCCCTGCCCGACTCGTCAAATACAGAATGGCACCCGCCATCTCCTCATCCCCTCCGAAACGGCGAGCCGGAATGAAACGATCATCGTGAGAAGCTGCTTCCTCAGGCTTGCGGCTAGAGATAAAAACCGCTGCCAGGTCCGAAGGGTAGACTGATCACTTTAGTATAGAACTGTATGCATGTGTAAGGGAGAACATACTTCCAGGAGCAATGGCATTGACACGAATACCAAACCGCGCCAGCTGGGTACTGGCATGCTTCGCCACTTGCATGATAGCCACTTTGCTGGTCAGATACGGGGCCGACGAGGTCCAGTGACGACTGAAGGCCGAGATACTCGTCGTGAAGATAACCTGGCTCTGGATCGAGGGCACATCGCTGCCCTCCTGCAGGGGCTTGCCGAACCCGCCTTTCAGGGCATTCTGCGTTCCCGCGTCGAGCAATTCGAGGAACGCAGTCATTGTGAAGAAAGCAGCGGTGATATTGAGGTTCAGAGCTTCGTTCATACCGTCCATGGAGAAATCGGTGAATAGAGATTGACGCAAGTTGGGGAGAGAGGCCGTTGGGTTGAACCGTACGGGAGGTCCGATGCTTCCTGAATTGGCGACAACAAGATTGACATAGCCCACTTCTGACTTGACTCGATCCACAGCTGCTTGAAGATCCTGTTCGGAGGTCACATCGGCTTGGTGGGGGATGATAACATTGGGATATTCGGCAGCGGCCTTCTCGAGGACCTGCAGCCGACGGCCTAGAATGTAGATCTTGTGGGCACCATTGGCAGCCAGGGCACGGGTCATACTCAGGCCAATTCCTAAAGAATCGCATGAGGATGGCTGATACATTGAAGGGGAGATGGAGATAATTTACCACTGCCACCACCGGTGATAACGGCTACAATGCCATCCACCCGGAAGATGTTGCTGGTGTCCACGTTGCAGTCATGTTTGTTCTATCAAGCGAGATAAGCGTGAGAAGTATCAGAAATATTTAAGATGCGTGTAAATGTTTGGGTTATTATTTCTATCGCGAGGAGAACCTTATATACGTATTCTATCCATTTGTGTCAAGAGAGCTATAGCTAGAAGTCACACATTATTTAGGTATAAAAGTATGACTGAGAAGCACCCGAGCATCCGACGAATGAACTTCCTTGTCATCTGGTTGGTAATCAAGATCGTATTTTTCTCCCGACAAGGCGGCCGCAATGGCGGCCGACCAGAGCCCTAAGCCTATGGCACAATCATTATCTAACAGTAAGCCCTTTACCAACGGCAGATCAGGGATAACGCGACATCCGCATTTCATCTCCACTTCGCTGTCCTCCTGGCTGGTCGGGCCCCGCGCATTGGGATGAAAACGAGCTTAGCCTTCCCCGACACGTCACAAATTACGGATCTACCCAATCCCCAAGGAGTCTCATATGCGCAGAAACCGCCTTTGCGTATTCCTAGTAGTCGGAAATACTTCGCGGAAATTATGCCGCTGCATCGGGATATTGTGTATTTTTATGGTATCGGGAATGCGAAATACAAATGCAACATTCGCTGCAACCCAGCTCATGCTTGTTCAGCGATAGAACTGTGCTTTCAACGCAGGAAAGGTCAATCGCGATTTTGGTTGGACTGGTCCCAGCGTGACAGTCGATGCCGCTTGTTCTTCAAGTGTTGCGATTCACCAGGCCTGTCGGGCTATTGATCACGGCAGTGCAGCGGTGCCCTAGCCGGGGCGTCAACGTTTTGACCAACCCGATCTGGCTCTATGATTTATCCAGTGCCGCATTTTTAGTCCGACTGGGCAGTGCAGGCTGTTTGATGCCAAGGGAGATGGATATTGCCGCGGTGAGGGGACGGAGTTGTGATGCTCAAAAAATTTCGAGTGCAATTGCCGACGTCGACCAGGTCTTGTGCTTCATTGTGGCCACCCACATTAGAATCAGAATGGACAGCCATCACTGTGCCAACGCTTCATCACTGTCAGAGCTCTTTTGTTGATGTGGTCTGACAGGCCCCCCTGAAGCCACAGAATAGCTGTCGTCGAGGCTCATGGAGCCAGTACTCCTGTGGGTGATCCGGCGGAGTACGATGCCATTCGAAACATCCTCGGTCAGTGCAGCAAGGGATCCGATACTCTCTATCTGTCTTCCGTCAAGGGCTTCATAGGCCATACGGAATTCGCGTCTGGGGTATTTTTGCTGCTCAGGGTGTTGCTCATGATTCAGGAGGGCGTGGTCCCTCCCCAGACTAATTTTACAACGTCCAACTAGGCCCTCAATGTTCGCTCTGAAGACCGCATCAAGATTCAACGGTCGCGTGCTCCAGGTGTGCCTATCTGCAACCAGACACCAAAGACTTCGGGGAGTAGGAGAAGGAGACCTAGAAGAAGCTTAGAGAAGAAAAGGTAATCCGGTAGTCTAATCTCTGAGACGTAGAACTTATATACAAGTCAAGAAGAGAACAAATTAGAGAAAACAAGAGAAAAGAAAAGAAAAGAAAGAAAAAGCGTAATCATGGGGTCAAGGTCAAGATCAAAGATAAATTAAATCAAATCACTGACCAAGACCCTCATGATGTCCATTAATTTCATGACCCGGTTCCTGGTCCCTCCACTTAGACATAGAACGATCCAACTCCTGCTGCAGGCTTTCCAGGCGATTCTGGAAAAGATCCAGTCTGGTCCAGCCGCCGAAATTAGAAACCAAATCCGCTGCGTCGATGTCATCTCGAAATTGATGATGAGGATGAGAATTAGAATGAGACGGGACTGGTGCGGGCGCTGGCGCTGGCGCAGAAACAGGTACAGGCACTGAAGGAACTGATGTTGACGCTGGGATTGATGATACTGGTCCTGGTACTGATACTGATAGTGCTGGACCTGATGTCGGTGCCGATGCCGATGTCGATGCTGATGCCGGTCCTGGTCCAGATCCTGGTTGGATTTGCATTTGGGATGGGATTTGAATCGGAGGGATGGTCACTTCCGTTCCGGGTGGATGAATGTGGATGGGATTTAGATGGACTGGAGAGTGGAGCATCGAATGGACGGATGGGTGGGATGGACGGGAAAGTTCTGATGGGTGATATGGGCGGCGAGGAGTGGAATGTGAGTGTTGATGCTGATGCTGATGCTGATGTGGAGGAAGATGCGGAGGAAGATGTGGTGGAAGATGTGGTGGTAGATGTGGATGTTGATGCTGTGGGTGGGGTGAATGGGGTGAATGGGGATGGGGATGGGGATGGGGATGGGGATGAGGATGAGAATGAGGGTGAGAGTGGGAGTGGGAGTGAGAATGAGAGTGGTGCATGTTCATTGAATATGGTTCGTCATCCCCGGCGATGACGAGGTCAGGCATAGTTGCCAAGTTATTTGGATCTGATGGATGTGAGATTCCATGCTTCTCTTCATAGATGTTGACATACCATAGTTCATGGAATAAGGTGGGGTTTCCCTTGGAGATTGCACATCCGTTGGTGAAATGGGAGTAGCAGCTCCTTCCTCAGGTTCAGGTGTATAACATGACATATCAGACGGGGTTTCTGGTGATGTAAGTATACAAGATAAAGATGAAGATGGAGATGGAGGAACATACTTGGCTCAGGACTGTTTAGTTCATCATCTTTATCCCGATTCTTCACCCACTGCGTTCCATAGCGCCGAACGAAGCGAGTAAGTCGTTTCGGATCAACATCTTGCCCAGCTCGACGAAAGGCTGTCTGCTTGCCACGGGCGGCACGCTTTTGCTTCTTGCGAATCATGACTTGCACCTCAGCAGCTTTAATATTCTTGCGGACATTCCAGGCGGCGAGGCGATCTTTGTACTGTTTTTCTCTGAGGATTGTTAGGCATGATATTGAGGATAACAGAATACATTTGCACTAGTAGGGAAAAGAAAAGGTGGTGTATACGAGGCAACGAATTTATGATCTCTTTCCATGATGCGTTTCACATCTCGCAATTTAAGCTGATCACTTCGGTAAAGTTGTTCGATTGTTTCGCGATACTCGTGCCAATCTTCGGATCGGCGAGGTCGGAAGAGACCATTTGGCCTGGGAGATTGAGGGGACAGATTTGGAGGATATTCCATAACGACATAGAAAGGTAGGGGAGAAGGTGTAAAGATGGAAGGAAAAGTCAATATAATGTAGTCGGAAATGAAAAAGAATATTAATCGAAAAAGGAAAATGAATCAAAAAATCGAAAATTGAAATAGAAATAGAAATCGAACTAAAATACTAAAATAAAAATAATTGCAAAAAAACGCATATAGAAGAATGCGATCACCAGGCAACTTCTCACTCAGATCAGAGCCAAGGAATCTCTTGACTACTCTTTGCGGCGCGATGCAGCGAGCGGACGCACGACCCCCTGCTTCCCCGACCAAATCAGGTTGTCCATAGCTATGGACTACATGACATGATCGTCAACGGCGATAGGTGCACCAATCATACTATAGGGAAATGATCCCTTAGAATTTTAGATTTATAAGAGAATAATAGAAATAAAAGAAATACTAAGATGAGATAGAATATACAAGACGAGAATTCAACCTTTGGATTGAATCGAAATAAAAAGAAAACAACCCGGAAAAGAAGATTAAACAAAAGAATTGTTCCCCAATTGTGGAGCTGGTGAAATCGCGTACTTTTGACTCGGGACTACTGTACAGCCTAACCGAACTATTACATGCAGTGCACTGGCCGCAAATTAGATGCATTTTCCGCTGCCTTCTGCTTACCTATATAATCACCATACCTCTACGTATAGATTTGATACGTAAAGACAATGATCAGATACTTCCTCTATTTCAAATCTTATACAATTCAGTCACAATTCAGCTACTCAGTGACTCGTGGGCATTGACTGGTCCGGGAGCGGCCCGAAAAACTGACAGCTCTTTTATCGCGTCGACTAACAATCCCACCATGCTGGTTCTGTAACAAGCCACCTGCTGGACTAGTAACGCTGACTTTTGACTTTGTTTTGAATTTTTGCATTTCTCATTTCTGATCTCTGATTTACTGTTCCCCCCCTGTTTTGTGACAGTCTTTCACTTGCCATTTTAGGTCCAGAGTACTGCCGGTCTGTCTTTATCCCTCGTGCTGACGCAAGGGTGGGTCGCCCGTTAGATGCCTATGACCGTTGAGACAAGTGTCATCTCCAGAATGTCAATCAAGGGGGTATGCGACAGGTAGATCGATCCAGCATGAATTAATAATCTAATCCCGAAAAGAAAAAGAAAAAAAAAATACCTTTCCCGTATGTGTTGTTCCCTGTAGATGTTATGTTCCCGGTCCCCGAAGTATTCCAAGGTTTGTGCGCTTTGGTCACCTAGCTCCGGCCGAAACTCGTGGAGAATACAGATCAAATTGTAATTATCATTATCAATATAATTGTCATCATTGAAATTAGATTCAAATTAGCTAGCTCTGGAGAATAGTAAATTAATGCACCCTAAATGGCACTAAGCTTCCCTAAGCTAGGTGAGGTATATTCTGTAACACTCGCGTGGATGTACAGATGATCCTGGGTGGATTCACGATAACTAAAGTACCTCTACGCTAGCCCAAATCCCAACGCCTAGAGCGCACAGATGAGTTAGGTGGCAAGGCATCGCTGCAGTGATCGACGGCTCAGGAGTCAGTGCTCGGGGGATGGGCCTAGTTCCCGCAACAAAAGAGAGAAAGGTACGGGGACCTCAGCTTTCGTACTTTTCAACTCCTTCTACTTTGGTGGCAAGAATGAACCACAAGTACCAAAAAGTACCGCCGTATAGGGGGAACAATCGGGCACCGGTCCCTTCTGCGTGCATGCTCCGGGGACTAGTTCTCAATTCGGTATGGATCGGAGGGCTTTTCGCTACTAAAATGCGGGGCCGCGGGACCGCCGTCGTGTATGTGGATCGGGGATGTGTTGTTTTGTTTTTCCTTTTTTTCCTTTTCGCGCTCGAGCTTCCTTGCTGAAACGGTAGACTCTCTGAGATGGTACAAAACGGCAAGAGGGGCATTTCCCGCGTGGAGCAGGGTCCACATTGCGCGCCGAACTAGGCGGAGATTTCTACCGTGCTCATCGCCATAGGTCCCACGGACCACCGTTCACCGGCTCGGATCGCCTGCAGGTACTAGGATGTAGCGCGAAGACCGGCTAAGCGATTCCCCTCGTAAAGGATGTGACTCGCAAGAGCGTATCGGAAGGTGATCCTATTCCCCTTCCAGGCCAGATAGGAATGGAACGGCTTTCCGGTTCACATGTTCCCTCTTGTGGCCTAGGGAGTCGGCGGATCACAGGACATTGATGACTCCCGCCTTGTCGATCGATCGGGTAACCAATAAAACGCCAACGGTTGACGAGGGTACAATGCTGTACGAGGGCACACACCCACGCTTATCAAAAGCACCGCCTCCCCAGGGGGGGGCTCAGGATTCGTGGCATCGGGGATCATGCATCATCATGACATGTCGCCTAGAAAGAAGGGGGAGAAAAGAAGAAAAAGAAAAGAAAAAAGCAAAAAAGAAAAGTGAGGCTGCGTGAAATCTTTCACCGCATAATCCCTGTGTAATCTAAAGTTCCAGCCTCGTTCAGGGTCGACTCTTGGCGGGGTTGGGTCGAGTCTCAGCAGCTGCCACGGCTGCAGCCGCGACAGCGGAATTGTTCGATCCTGCGCTGGCAACGTTGCTCGCATGCGCTAGCAGGAACTTGCAGCACGTCAAAGTGTATTTACAGGCTCGAGTCCAGGTCTCGTCATTCTGATTAAACCCGAGCTTGATGCTAGCATCCCCGATGCGGTCTCGTTGGATCTCATAGGGTAGTCGCAGCCCGGGGGCGGTGGCGCTAGTGTGGCCGCGACGAGGGGATGCTATCGGGGCGGGCGTCGATTCGACGAACTGCCCCAGCTGGCGGAGACACTCGAGGAACGCCACCATACCTGCGTCAAAGCGGCGATGCAGCCAGGGGAGATTAAGCGGAAGATCCCCCGAGGAGAAGAGATCTAGTTGGGTAATCTTGGGTGCAACTCGATCAGTGGCAGCTGGTCCGGTTGGATGCACGGGATACTCAATCTTGTCGATCCGAGAGGTGGACCCCAGCGGTTTCAACCGATACCCTTGGAATTGAAAGCCGACACGTTCTGCGATCGTGGATAACAGCAGACAGGTCTGGCCCCATGCAGCATTGATCTCGGGCCACTCAACCGAAGGGTTGGCCAGACGGCCCAGGCGCAAGCCATTAATCGTCCCAAAATATCCATCATGACCGATGCAAAACGCGTCATTGTAGACATTAGTCCGTTGCAGTCGCTCCAGCTGCTGCGAGTCGTGGTCGTAACGCATGTTCAGCGCATCCCGTTCGGTTTGAAACTCTGCCAGCGTCAGGGCAAAGCTGTTGCGCGCTCGCCAGAATCTTTCCTCGTCGGCGTCTAGCTGCTGCGACTCTTCCTCGAGGTCGGCAATTTCTTTGTCAAGCTGGGCTTTCTCTCGCTCCAGGCTCTCAAGCTCCGCAAAGGCTGCCTTTTCCGCTTCGAGGCTTTCTTTCAAAGATCTTTCAGCGGACGCTAGCTCGTCCGCGGTCGGAACTGACGCATTCAAGCTTCTAAGAAATGAAATGTAGGCGTCCCGCTCCTTTGTAGCCCCAGCGAGGCGTTTCTGTAGTCCCTCCACCAACATATCGGTGCACTCCACACATATCGGATGATCGATATCCGACCGTGCGGACACGATCTCAAAGAGACGAGTGGTTCGTTCGATTTGGTTTGCAAATGAGCCTTCCTCCTGGGGATGTTCCTGAATCTGTCCAGTACTTTTGCGCTTTGCACGAACGGGTAGACTCTCGACGGCTGGTGGTACAAATTGCGACTCCGTAAGCATCACGAATGACATGTTGCCGCTATCACCGCGAGGCAGCCCCGGAGGGTTGTGGCTCCCCGACCGTGGACCCGGAATAGACCTCCTGTAGACTGGTGGCGTAGCATGCTTTGAGGTTCGATCGTAGAGTTCTCGTCTTTCTGATGGGTAGGAAGTTCGATTTGCAGATGAAGCAGCGCCATGATCGGATAGTGTTCGGCCTGTGGAGTCTGCGGAGCTGGTTAGATCAACACGTAGCTCCGGAACGAGGGGCAGCTTACTGACGAGTAGCTCAAACGCAGCTGGATTGAGTGACTCGATAGAACCATCCAGTTTTAAGGAAGTTCGACACTTCTGGCAATACATGGTCATCAGTTCATTGGGAGCTTTGGAAATGAATGTGGGGAGGTTCAGGAGCGGGAACGTCATCTCCGTTTATTCGTTTGTTTTTTGAACTTGAACTTTCAAGCTCCGCATTTACACATTTAACAACATTGAAAAATTCTTGTTCACTCCTTGCTCTCAATTTATTTCTATCTATACTGCCTATAACCCTCGAGCATCCTCTTCTTACGCAATTTATGCTACTGGAAGCTTGACTTCGCGCTAAGATCCGACCGCGTCGCCTGACGCGCTCTGCGCTCTGCAGCTGGCAGCGATTATGCCACGAACGATAATACAGCTACCTCGACGAATGACATCATGGAACGACCCGCGAAACGACAGCGCCTCTCTTTACCACCGGGCTCTCCAGAGGAGGTGACCGAGGAGTGGGACCTCCAGGCTGCGCGCGCCCGGAATGACATGCGATTGAAATCGATCTTTGAGGGAATATTCTCTAAATATGGAAAAGACTTTACAGAAGTGGGCGATGAGATTGATCTACGAACAGGGAAGATTGTGGTCGATAATGGCCACCTATCGGGGATGCATGAAGAGAAGGATATTGGAGACGAACATTCATGGCTCGATGAATCTGATTTCTCTGAGGGGGATGAGAATGAGATAGACGAAGGCCGAAAACACTGTATGGGAAATTCTCCGAGTGAAACGCCAGTAGTCACTTCAAACATCGGTGAGACCGACAGTTCCTGGAACGCAAGTACCCATCATCAACCTGCCAACCTATGCAAACCTGTTATTCAACCTTCACACCCATTTGAAAATGACCGGCCAACGGACCCTGTTTGGCAAGCCCCCGATCTGCCCGCTTTATTCTCCACGCCCACGGCCGAAACCAAGCGGAAAGGGGTTCCGAAACTTCCACATTTCGAAAGGGAGGCATCTCCACCAGGTTCTGGATCTTTATGGAGCGTGCCTCGACGAGGGCGTCCACGCACAGAAGCCAAACCCAAAACAACGCCGAGCCAAATCCGGCTCCGGGCGAAAAGAAAGTATCATTCCAGCCCTGTGGCGCATGACTGGTCATTTGCAGCCACGCCAGATGGAGATGAATCAGACGACCCGCTTCAGGAATTCCAACCTTCGCCTTCGTTATCGAAAGGTGCGAGGAACATTCGCGGAAAGCGTATGCAGGCGTCGGCTCGTACAGCTCGCCTACCATCTCCCGACGCACGACCGCCCCTATCTCCGTCTGACCAATCGGCTACTCAAGCCCATGATAATAAACTTCAAAACCACGCGAGAAAAGGTGCAGAAAGCCATGTGGCATTTGACGCCTCCAACTCGCAATACGATTCATATGCACATCCACATTCCCACGTTTTATCTGCCACGGAAACACCTGTCAAATCAAAGCGAGGGTTGACACCTGAAGATGCCAAGCTGGTCGTTCGCATGAGGCACATCCAAAAGAAAAAATGGAATGAGATTCACAATTTTTTGCCACATCGAAGCCGGTCTCAAATTTATCAATGGAATTTGGTTCATTGGACAGAACGCCGCGCAAATCCTCCTCAGCTTTCTGCGCCCTGGACCCAGGCTGAGCTTGAAACTTTGGACTGTCTGAAAGAGGAATCCGGTCTCACATGGCTGGATATTACGAGAAGTATTCCAAATCGCACCAAAGCGGAGATTGAGTTTGAGTTGCTCCGACTTTGGGTTGGGGATGAGGTATGGATTGGTCAGAAGAGGGAGCCCGAGCGGGAATTCCAGCAGGATGAGAAAGGCAGTGAAGATGAGGTAGATGTTCCTGAGGTTGTTCCTTCTATTGAGGTATACTGCGGGCCCGACACCAATGAGCCCCGGATTTTTGAGGACCATATTGGTGACGATGACCCCGTCGTCAACATCAGTGCTGCGTCATCGCCTTCCAAACTGTCAGCCATCTACCTTGACAGCCCAATCGCCAGCCGGCAGGGATCTAGGACACCAAAAAGAGCGTCTCCAATCAAGCAATTGACGTTTACAATCTGATGTGATTCCTAAGCTGTGCACTTGGTCAGATATCTCATTGAATAATGAAGTAATTAGCTACTAGAGGCTTTCGGTCGCGCATGTCGGGCCGCGCCTAGAACAGAAATGTTCCTACTATACTTCCTATACCATTTACCTATCGTCTATTACCCTGTCTCTTCCCCGTCTCCTACAACATCACCTCCCAGACTTTCTACCTTCTTTCCTACCGTATTAGTTAAATAGACGAGGCACTCTCCAAAATTAGAAGTAATGAACTAGAACGACGAAAAGAAAAGTGGAAGGGAGAGGCAGAAGCAGGAAATATAATTATCGGGTAGAGGTTTCGAACGTGTCCAAAAGGTCCAGGTGTACCCAAGTAATAAATGGTTGTTCAATTAGCTATTCCCAATCATAGGTGGTTATAGACTATAGGAAATCCTCGTCCCGTGCATTCAAAACATCAGCGAGCGTTGTATCAACTGCTCCACCAACATCACCGGCTTTAGCCCAGAATCGAGACAGATGCCGCGACCCCGAGTCCGACAGCATAGTCACAATCCGATGACCAGGTCCCAGCTTCTGAGCCGTCATCACAGCCGCGAAGCAGTTAACAGCGCTGCTACTCCCAATGAAAATCCCATCCTTCTCAACAAGCCACCTAGCCATCGCCAATGCCTGTGCATCAGTCACCCTCACCGCATCATCAACAAGCTCCTTGCCAACCTCAAAGTTAGCAGTAACCCGATTAATCCCAATCCCTTCAACAATGGTGTCAACCTGACGTCGTCGCCGAGTTCCTTCTCTCTCCTTAACATCAAACATCACTCCATACCGCACCCGGTTATACAACCCGCTTCCCTGCGGATCCGCGAGTACAACCGTGATGTTCGGTAACAAGGGTTTGAGATAACGCGCCACGCCAGAGATAGTCCCGCCCGTTCCAGCACCTGCTACAAAGGCGTCTATTTTGCCATTGCACTGCGCATAGATCTCTGGTCCACTGCCGCCAAAGTGGGCGCGCCAGTTTGCTTCGTTCTCGAACTGGTCGGCGAAGAATCCACGACCGCGTGCCATGCACTCTGATGGCTCAACCTGGTCGTCTGTTTCAGGGATGGATACTGTGCTTGAAGCTGTGTGGGCGGTTGCTAGTGCCCTGGCACGGTTGACGAAGTTCTCCTTCTCGACGATTGGTGCCGGAGGCACGCGGTCGACGATTGCGCCCAGTTTGAGCAGAAGGTTTGATTTTTCAATAGCCTGGTCTGACGGCATGCATCTGGGTTCTGTTAATATTGAGCGGGTGGTGGGATCGGATGACATACATGTGTGCAAGATATCCCTTTGCTCGAGCCAGAGATGCTAATGAGATACCGGTTGATCCTGATGTACCTTCATAGATGGTGTCGCCTGAGTAGGGTGTTAATATACCCTGTTCTTCTGCCTATGTTTAAGTCAGTACATATTTAATATCGAATTATGATGGATCATGCCTACCAATTCAATCATACTTAAAGCAACTCGGTCCTTTGAGCTTTGACCAGCGCCATTCAAGAACTGTAGGTCATAATTAGAACTTAGAGCGAGTATCATGTATCGCAGGGCTGCATACTTCTGCCTTTCCCAGGATCTCACATCCCGTTGCATCTGATAGTGATTTGATTCGGAAAAGGGGTGTGTTTCCGATACATCCTTCGATCCCGTCCACGATAGCTGGAGGTCCTGCTCGAGCGACAAGAACATTTTGATCTGATGCAGGAATTTGTGCTTTTGAGAATTCTGATTTTTCCCGATGTGAATCTAGGATATCTTTGCATACTAGAGTCAAGCAGACACCAGCAGCAAACGCTGTGCCGATATATACGGCAGTGTGTTCTGGCATTGTCGCTGCCTCGTGGCTTGCCTGGTCTTTTTGAGGATGGGTTTGTCCAGATGTCGTGATAAGACGCTCGGACCACCTCGGTCAACTGTGGGTATAGCAGGTTGAGTGACAAACTGACCAAAAATAGATATTGGTATTGATATGGAAATTGGTTAATGATGAAAAGGAGTTGAGAGACATAGATATAAAAAAGAATCGAACTTGGAACTGAGTTGAGTTGGAGCACATGACGACACGTGCTCTTCCCTTAGTTGACGGAGTAGTAACTAGTTAACCAAATCATTAACATTTGAATATGATTTGGGAGTCTTTCCGATTTCACTACACGCAAGAGACAATTGAAAAGCTGGTATAGTATGACCTTGAAAGCAGAGGGAGCATGAGTAAATCTTCCTCAGCTTGAGAATCCTCCAATAAGCACGTGCCTTGGTGCCTGAGGCCACAATCATGCACCAAATCCGACTTGTGCTTTCTCCGCAACGGACCTCCAGATCGTCACACATCATGGACTCCCCCGTTCTCAACCAGCTGTTTCGTCAGCTATTCAGGCATCCGGCCTGCCAGTCCCTGCGAAATTCCCCTATCTCATTACCAAGGGGACAAAGTCGCTCATTCCTCACCCGGCGCACCCCCGCCGCCAAACGCAAACCGCAAGATGCTGGCATGCTTTGGACAAAACGAGGAGACATCAATAAAAACATCGATGAAGAATATCAGACATATCCGACTGTCACGGCAAGGGAGCTGCGCAACCGGCGAGAGCGGCCGCGGCAAGTCAAAATGTTGACGCGCGAGTTCATCGACGGTAAATTTGGACCTTTACCGTACCTGTTGAGAGCTCTGAAAGCTAACATCATTCTGCAGACAGTCTTTATAACCCGTCTTACGGATACTTTTCGAAGCATGCGACTATTTTCACACCTGGCGAGCCGTTTGATTTCAACAATATCGATGATGGGCCGGCTTTCCACAGAATGGTAGGCGAGCGGTACACGGAATTCGAAAACATGCTTGACGAAACCAAGCCCGACATTGCGCGTCAGCTTTGGCATACACCTACCGAGCTATTCAAGCCGTACTATGGCGAGACAATTGCGCGGTACCTGGTTTCCAATTACAAGCTCACCCTCTACCCCTACCACGACCTGATCATCTACGAGATGGGTGCCGGTAACGGTACAATGATGTTGAACATCCTGGATTTCATCCGTGATACCGATTACGAGGTTTACCAGCGCACCAAGTTCAAGATTATTGAGATCTCGCCGTCTCTGGCCGATCTCCAGTTCAAGAACTTGACCGATGCTGTCGATTCCCGAGGACACCGAGACCGCGTCGAGATCATCAACCGATCAATCTTCGACTGGGATACCTATGTACACTCTCCGTGCTTTTTCCTTGGTCTCGAGGTGTTCGACAATTTCAGTCATGACACAATTCGTTATGATTACGAGACCGAGATGCCCCAGCAAGGTGGTGTGCTGATCGATGGCAATGGCGAGTTCCACGAGTTCTACAACACTCAGTTGGACCCCGTTGCTGCCCGCTTCCTGCGCGTGCGTCAAGCTGCTGCCCGCCGTCCGTTCCCCAGTCCCCTTGGCCCTCGTGTCCTCCGTGGGCTGCGGTCCACACCTCCATTCCGCAAGAGCCACTCTCTTCCCGAGTACATTCCTACGCGGCTCATGCAATTCTTCGATGTGCTTAACCAGTACTTCCCTGCTCACCGTCTCGTTGCGAGTGATTTCAGCTCCTTGCCTGATGCGGTGCCTGGGTTGAATGCTCCAGTCGTTCAGACACGGTACAAGAGACAGACAGTACCGGTGACAACGCCGTTTGTAAGTACCACAATATATCCAGTTTGAACATTACTAATGACAAAAACAGGTTCACCAAGGCTACTTCGATATCTTCTTCCCTACTGACTTCAATGTCGTTGAAGACATGTACCGTGCCATCACTGGAAAATTGACTCAGGTGATGAGTCATGAAGACTTCATGGAACGCTGGGCCTACATTGAGGATACAGAGACTAGAAACGGGGAGAACCCGTTGCTGAGCTGGTACAAGAATGCCAGCATGTTGATGACTGTGTAGTTACGCAAGTCATCGCGAGAACTGTCAAGTCCTACATATACACCCATCTATCCTCACTGCGAGATACATCTACAAAATCATGCATCTAGAGCTGAATAAAGACTTCAAGACTTCATAACGTATCAGATATAAACTGTGATGAGGTCCAACACGGTGATTAGATAGGATGTCTGTCAGGGAAAGAGGCAAACCAAAATGAATCCTGAAAGGAATGGTAATTACTGGATGAATCAACAGACAGAAGGGCCAGCTAGCTAGGCAGAGCCATGACCTGGCTCATCAGCCCTGGCCTAGCTCTTCTGCTTCAAAGCTCCAAATAAACCCCCCTTCCCCCCCCCCCCGGTGACTCGGATTCCTTCTCCAGCTGGGGAACAGTCAACCCGGCCACAGGCGCTAGGTAGCGCATTGGGATGAGGCTGTTCTCACCCCCGGTATCGGTCGATGTTGGCTGCTTAGGGCCATAGTTCCGTTCTGCCACGGAGTGTAGCGCAAGGAATCATGTTCAACCTGCGGAATGATACCAATTGGCAAAGTATCGCATCGCAACTTGGGAACGGCGTTGGGAGCAAATTGATATTTGGCTGGGTCCTGCATCGTGACACGCAAAGCCTGGAAGTCCCCGAGCGTATTGGCAGTAGCATCGATATAAGCTCCCTGTCACCACGCACCTTGTGAATTTGCAATGGGCAAGTATTCCAGCTGATGCCAATCCTGGATAAGAATCATAGGAGAAATGCGAAGACGTCCCCCACGAAATGGAAGTGAGGTTTCTCAACCACTTCATATGCTTGTTTTTGGGCATCGCCATGATGTCAAAACCTCAGACGACTTTGATGCCTTCCATTTCAAGAATATCAAGTCTCATTGGGGTCGAATATAGCGCGGTCCATCCGCACGTCATCCCTAGCTTCGAAGTCAAAAGGGTATCGGCTTGATCATTGCTTCATCGAAAGGACGCATAACGCCCAAAGGACACCCTCGCATGACTGTCGCACGTAGTTGGTGTCTAAGACCAAGGGGAGTTGTCGTCGTCGGACTGGTCATGCTAATCGTGGTCCGAATGGATGTCAAAGCAATGGAGCTGATATCCTCTCTGGGTGTCCAGAGTCTTTCTTCCACGTATCCCAGGGCCCTTCCCCGAGACCTTTCGGCATCAGCTTGTCCAGCTCGTTCTCCGCATTTTCAGTGATTCTGGCGGCTGAAACTTGCATGAGTCGTTCAAGTTCGGTCAAATCCTTTCGATGAGCCAGCATTCAGCCCAGTCCCCCTGGACTGGGTGAAGGTTGGGTGGTCCTGTGATATTCCACGCGAAATTGTGAGATTTGTGAAAGAGAAGAAGAAGTTGACGAAAGTGTCCTTTAATAGTTCCCAAATCGATCTTGCCTAATTCTCTTTTATGGAAAGAAGTGTTCACTTTAAAGAGGTTATTAAGAAGCCTGTTACATGTACCAATCGTAGCCTATTGAGAAATTCATTAAAACTCGCTTTATCCATATATCTCCTTCATATTTGATCATAGGCTATTACCCCTCACTATAATCTACACCTCGGGTTATCTCTATGATAACCAGGAGGGGGAATCAGCTGAGCCCATTTATACCAGGCTTCCTCTTCAACTTTTTTCAATTGTCTCTTACATTCTCCTTTTCCACCGCCATCCATAAAATAAATTCCTAATCAGGTATAAACTTGAATCATGCAGAATACCGAACTTCCGCACTGGAAACCCATCGTCCTAGAAAAGCGCGCTGCCCAAAGTGCCTTAATACCCAAAGACTGGCTTCTTCCTGACTCAATCTTATCAGATCCACCTCTATCAACACTCGATGCTATCCGTTCAAGTGGCATCCTTTCACCAGAAGAGCTCGCATGGACCGATACAACTGATATCACCGACCTAGTTTACGCTATTACAACCAGTCGTGTGACGAGTCTACAACTTACAACGGCGTTCTGCAAACGCGCTGCGATCGCGCAGCAGCTGACAAGATGTCTAACAGAGATTTGTTTTGATAAAGCTCTGAAGCGGGCTCGGGAATTGGACGATCATCTTTTGCGTACGGGGGAGGTTGTTGGGCCTTTGCATGGAATCCCGGTGTCGATTAAAGATCGATTTGAGATCGAGGGACTCGATACTACTGTCGGTATGATGGGAGCTACAGTATTCTCTACATTACTTTCGCTGATACCCATCCAGGTTGGGTTGGCCTCATTGGTAAACCGGCAAAATCCTCCTGCGAAATCGTACAGCTCCTCGAATCGATGGGGGCAATCATGTACGTTAAGACGAATATTCCTCAATCTCTTATGGTACTTTCCACCGCCAATGAAAACTTTCCAACTTCATCTGATATGCTATAGATGGCCGATTCCTACAACAATGTGTTCGGTCAATCGACCAACGCGTTCAACTACAACCTGATCTCCGGCGGCAGTTCCGGTGGTGAAGGAGCTCTCGTTGGTTGCGGAGGAAGTATCCTTGGAATTGGCACAGATATCGGTGGCTCCATTCGAGTGCCTTCTGCACTCCAAGGCCTTTATTCCATCTTCCCAACAACGGGGCGAGTACCATGGGATTGCTCATTGTATGTCGTCTTCATTCCTATCCATATTGAGCCTTTGTTTACCAAACTTCCAGCCGCCACCAGCATTACCTTGTCCCGCCCGTGGCAGGCCCAATGGCGTCTTCTCTCGCAACAACGGAGTATTTCATGCAGAGCCTATTAGCCTCGAATCCATGGAATATTGACCCATCAGCTATTCCCATTCCCTGGCGAACGGAACTTGCGACTCCGCCCACAGACGGGAAAATGAGAATTGGCATCGTTCTTGACGATGGTGTTGTGAAACCGCAACCGCCTGTTACACGGGCAATGAACGAGACTATTCAGGCCTTACGTGCAGCGGGACATGAAGGTATCATACACGGGATAAACCAACACCTAAAAACTCATGCTGACTCTTATTCAGTGATTGAATGGGACACATCCCTCCACGCACCAGCAACAGAAATGTGGACTAAAGCCATCCTCGGCGAAGGTGGCGTCCATTGCCGGAATCTGTGCAAGATAATCAACGAGCCTCTTATAGAGGGTATGCTCGTCGGTACAGAGAAGGATATGCTAAGTATTGACGAGCGCGAGATAGTCGAACAAGAGAAATACGCTCTTTCAACCGCCATGCTAAAACAATGGCTGGAAACTGGTATCGATGCCCTTCTTATGCCTGTTATTCCGTGGGTTGGATACAAGCCTAAGACGTGGGTGAAGAGCAAGCAGTGGGTTGGATATACTGGGATGTGGAATTTGCTGAATTATGCTTCTGTTACGGTGCCTGTTGCTAAGGCGGATCGGGAACTTGATGCTGTGGGTGGAGTGAAGAATGTCGAGTGGGAGGGTCATAAGGTGAGGAATGAGTCTGATGCGTTCAATTACGAGCAATGTAAGTTTTTCCATCGTGAATTGGAGGCTTAAGGACATACTAATGGCTTTGGTAGATGATATTGAGCTTGTACATGGGATGCCTATCTGTGTGCAGATTGTTGGTGGGAGATTCGGAGAGGAGAAGGCAATTGCTGCAGCGAAGGTGGTGGATCAGTTGATGAACTCGACTCCATTCCATCCGTTTAATTGATATCTAACGAGAATTCGCCTTCATTACTTGGCACTTGCGGTATATATTAGATGTCTTGGAAATTTTCCCAGGTAGCTCACAGTAATATGTCATGAAATTTCTATCCACATCCAATCCTCATCATACATCCATAATAAAAGTAGCCAGGCCCTGCCGGCGATCTCATTGCGGGCAAAAATAAAATGGAACCCCATTCATATGATCCCGGGGGAATAAAGCTAAAATTCAAACTCCTTACGGAAGACATTCACGTCCATACCGGCGACAACCTGGTCAGCCAGATCCCGTCGTCCCATCTGACTGAAAACACGGCGCAGCGTGTCGTACAAGTTGGTGCTCTGGTTCTGGCTGATGTGCAGCATGCGCTCGAGACGCTCATCGTCAAGACCATCGGGTGCTCCGCCGCCACCGATGATTTCGCGGGCACGTTCGCGGCCCTCTTGTTCGACTACACGGTGCATGGATAGAGCGCCCAGGAGGTGCTGTGCGGCTTCGGGGTAACAGCCGATGTTAATGCAGGAGACACCGAGGTTGTAGCGGGCGCGCACAAAGTTGGGGTTGATGGTGAGCGCCTGCTCGTAGGCTTCGATGGCCTCCTCGGAGCGGCCGGAGTTGGCTAAAGTGGCGCCGAGACGGTTCCAGAGGAGGTGGAGCTGCTCGCGCTGGTTGGTGGTGCCGGACTCGGTGGAGGCCAGGGCAGCAGAGAAGCAGTCCACGGCCTTTTCGTATTCCTCGGCACAGTAGAACAGTACACCCAGACCGACTTGGACGTCGGGATCCATCTGTGCACCGGATGGAGAAAGTTGAGCTGCTTGGATGAAAAGCTCTGTGACACGTTCGTGCAGGAGTTGACGGTCTGTGAAGCCGAGGTCTGCATCGCCGGATACCTCGTTCGGGTTGATGATCGACGGGTATTTGTTAGACAGCCAGCGCTCCAGGGTTCGGTAGGCTGTCGAGTCATAGCCTTCGTTGGTGTATGAAACAGCCAACCCCATCAATGCATCTAGATTACCGGGATCGATCTTGAGTGCCTGCTCCAGAGCCCGAATCGCAGGCAACTCCTTCTCATTCTGAGCCTGTGCAGAACCCAGCATTGTCCAGGCCTGCACGTGCTGTGGATCTTTCTGCACAGCAGCCTCGAACGCAAGTGCAGCCAGAGACAGGTTGCCACCCTCTTGCATGATCTTTACACCCTCCTCGAATGGATTGTTCACCGCCTGGTACACATTGTCTTGCTCAAACATGTAGTCACCGAGTTGGGGATCGCGGAAGCGTGTGTTCAAACTATCAAAGCCCTCCCAGTCACCCAGATCCCCAACATGCACGCTATCAGTAACCTGGAAACCGTCTTCTTCTGCGAGTTTTCTGCTCGTCGCCGTCTCAGCCTGGACTCGCTCCCATACGGACTCAAAGGCATCATTGGTGGGCACTGACCTGTCCAGCTCATTCAACTCTGCCTCCATAGCCGCATTGGCCTCCTCATCCGTCTGCTCCTGATTACCCGCCGTCTCCATCTCAGCGAACTGTGCTTCCCAATTCTGATCGTCAAGCTCCACCATCCTTCCCTTGCCTTTATCCTGTGTAGTACCTTCCATTGGCTGTTGTGTCATGGGTCCACCCATGCCCCCCATAGGCCGCATCATTCCCATACCGCCCATACCGTACATACCACCCATGGCACCCATCGGTCGCTGGTAACCGGACATCATGGGCGTAGCAGTGGTAGCGGGGCTGGAATTCTGCGGCATGCCCATCCGATTTTGTTGCTGAAACCGAGAAAATTCCGCTGGCGAGAATCCAGATCCGTTGTTCATCTGTGCACCAGGGAATGCAGCCTCCATGCGGGCCTGCTCGCCGGTGTCGAACTCGGCAGCCCACCCGGGTGACCCCGTGCGGGGTGAGGCAGTCTGGAAGTTCTCCAGCTCCCGACGCATGTGCTCCATCGCGAATGGTTGAGGCGAGGGTCCATTTAATTGTTGTCCGGGTTGCTGCATAAACTCATTTTGCTGCATAAACTCATTCATCTAGACAGCCGCGGGAAAGTACGTCAGTCGATTGGTCATCGGGGTTTTCACGTTCAGAACAGAGGTTATCACGTACCTGGTCTTGTCCGCCCATCATACCGCGAGATCGCATGCCTTCTTGCATACCTGGTCCTCGGCCAACCAGGCGGTCGCGCTGTAGGGACTTGTCATCTTGGACATGCTTGGTGAACTGTGAGAGAGGGTTTCCCGCTGTGGAACATTCCGCGCCACCGAGGAACGACATGTTGATGTGAAAAGATTGAGAACAGTATAGATAAGGATATTGTAACAACAAATAAAAAACCAAAACCGGACCGGTGCAAGGATGTTTCACACCGATACTCAAAAAAGGAGAGAGTGGAGGAGAAGCAATGCCCCGGATAATGCGTCGGATAATGCGTGGGGTTGATCACCGAAATGCGCCAAGACACTTTCCGTCAGCCGAGGTTCCCCGCTGGTCACGTGGGTGCAGAACTATATCAGATTCATAATGCAATAGTAGATGTTACTACAGTAATATTCGTATCAGATTTACCTCTACACTCTTCGAATTTAACTCCCAGACCCTATTTTGAGGCACGCTAATCCAAATATATTAGTCTCGTCAATCCCCTGCTTCGTAAAATAGAAATGTATCTTACATGACGCGCCGGGACCTCCCTTGATGTAATTTATACGAAACTCTTACACGTATGATACCACTCTATACACGACACTCAAGCGCTATCATACGTTGAGCTTGCTATATGGCCCTAAGACTTCTCACTTCAAGCTACTTCTTACCCGCGATATGGTACATAGCCAGTCACTACCGTCAAACATCACACTTGTACCTCAATCCAGGGTTCAACTGCCGAAGCGATTTGCAGGCTACAACTATCGCGTAAATATCTAAGTATGAGATCCAGCCTGGAAGATTTGGTCGGAAATATTGGCATTTGGGGTATCTTGGTAGAGACACTTCCAAGGCCTGGAGCTTATTTACTACCGCTGTTTCAAAAACTCGATAATCTGATCGATAGCCCATGGCAAGCTGTCCTCGAGCGGCCGATCGAGACCTGGCAGAATTTCAATGCCGAGGTTTTGACATTGCTGCGCATGCACTATACCCTCAACGTTGCCCCCTATGAAAAACTGAGCATGGTGCGCAACATAGTTTCGCCACACCATTTTCTCAAAGTAGTCCTCCGTCTTCCAAAATTCTCCGGACTTGGCCTCTGATCCATAACCCGGGCGCGTAAATCGTCTCTGCTTGGCGCTTGCATGACTCAACCGCAGGAAAAGGCGCAAGTCCAATCGATTCCTTATGCTGGGCTCATGATAGAGGAGAAACCCATCAACAAATACTATTTTCGCAGCGACGAGATCTCGGGATGAGTTGTGACCGGCCAGCCGCTGTGCCTGTTGGACTTTTGCACGCATATTTTCCATTAATTCCACAGGCGCTAGCTCAATTGCTTTCAATCTTAGATTCGGAAAGACGTCAGCTTGCCAACTTTTGAAGCCATCCGGTAGCCTCCCATTATGGGATTTCATATAATCGAGGGTTTCTCCTAGGCGGACAAAGTCAACACCAGCGGGCCCATCACAGTCCAAATAGCCGTTTACGGTGGGGATTTGGTCGAATTCCTTGCAAAAGTCATCGGCGTGGAGAATCTCAGTGTTTGGAAATATCTGGCAGAGTATGTGGGCCAGGGTGGTCTTGCCTGAGGATGACGGCCCAGACAAGCCAACGAATATCACATCCGGCATGCGTAAAGAGAACGATTTTATTAGTCGCGTGACGCAAGATTGAGTGTTCTTGAGTCAGGAAACGTAGTGCCCTGAATCTGAAACGGAAATATCGAGAGTATGTGCTTAGTGAGTGACGATAGTCAGGGGCCAAAGACCAGCACGTCCTCCGATTTATTTAAAGCGAGAGTATAGGAAGAGGTGGATGAAAGACGAGCACTACGAGGGCAAAGGAAAAAAGGAGATACAATACAGTCTGATCGGGATTACTTGAAAAAATCGCTAAAATTAGACTAGCGTGTTTCAAGCTAATTTCCGATATGAAAGTCTAAGAGTGTAAGAGGTAAGTGTAGTAATTTCGAATACTGCTGTAATGATACAGTTACTGGGGCTTTCAGTAGAATCCCTATCTTACGTTTCTTATATCAATCTTAATTAATACTAGCCATCTCGAAAGCAAGCCCTCCCTTACCCCTAAACATCCGTCCCATAATAACAGCAGTAACAGGCAAAATAGACTCCCTAGCACGATTCCACTCCTCCTTCTCCACATCAGATAACCCTCGTGGACAACTAAAGTCCAAAAAAACAGTAACTCTTTTCTCAAATCCACATCTTTCATAAAACGGGACAGCATCCGGCGCAGCTTCAATCCACACATCATACCCGCCCTTATCAGCTCTCTCCAAACCCCACTCCATAAGCATATAAGCGATTCCCTTTCTTCGGTGTTCTGGGACTGTAAAACAGCTTCCGAGTGTCATATACGCTCGTTTTCCGGAATAGCGTTCCCTTGTTTCGTACTCGGCTGTGCGGAGTGTTCGAAATGCTTGTTCTGCGAAGATGCGGGCACCGCCTTCTGGGTGGCGAGCTGCTAGGGAGTGGATTTCTGCTTCGAGGGTTGTGGGGGTTGATGCGTTTTCTGGTATGAAGATCCATTCTGCGCCGCCGATGATAGGTTCGTTTGGGGGGTGGGGAAATTCTTTGGAGCGGGTTACTTGAAGCCAGGTGGATGTTGGGTTTGATTCTATGCGCTCTTCTAGCTGGGCTATTTGTGCTTTTTGTGCTTTTTCTGCGGTTGTGGATATTGTTTCGTCGATGTTAATGTTGATCAAGGGACAATATAGACGGAAGATTGGTTGGAGGGGGTTTTCGAAGGCGTACCGTTCGGCTGCGATTACGGCTGGGAATTCGTTGGGGTTTGCATGTACTAGACTAAGGAAATAGGGCATGGCTGTGCTGTAGAGTTGAGTGTTGCTGATGTGGGGTATGAGATGACGTTGGATCTGGGGTTTTGACGGTTTATGGGTTGAACCCGCATTACGTCTTGACTGTGCTTCTCCACTTGACCCAGGTGGAGGGAAAGCACTATATATACTCGCATAGCTTCAAATCTTGCTATGAGTGAGCAATTATTCTAGTCTGTGCTCATATTTGCACGGATGATTCAATATACAAACAGGTGGTATTATATACAGTTTACTATAGTACATACGTGAGCATCAACTACTCACTCTTCGGGCCCTTCTTAGCAACTCGAGGATCTTCAGAATAATCCATCGCCTCTTCAACCGAGTTAACCATAGGACTCTTCTCTCTTTCCTTTTTTGCCCACAATTCAGGCAATCGTTCGGAGTGCAACATCCCCACCTTCTGCCGATTCGTAAACTCCACCTTCAACTTCCGCCCATACGGAGCCTTCCGCGACAACACTTCTTTGCCCCACATCGCGGATTGAACATCAATGAACTCCACATGCGCAAAGCCACGCGGGACACCCGAGCGCCTGTCCACGGGAACCCGGATATCGAAAGTATTATGCACATCGCTGAACAAGTCTTGAATATCACGATCTGTGAGCTCGTAGGGAATGCCGCCGATGAAGAGGGTGTTTGTGGGTTCGTGTTCGGTGGTTTTGTGTGAAATGGCGCTGCGCGCGTATTGGAGGACGACTGGACGGCCGGCGAGGATTTTTAGGTGTTGCTTCTCGACTGCTCGTTTGGCTTCTTCGATGGTGTCGAATTGGACGTAGCCGAATCTGGGATTGTTAGGACTGGACATTTGTACAGTGTGGGGATGGCTTACCCTTTACTTATTCCCCGGTTATCGTGGACGATGGTCGTGTTCAGCACGGTTCCAAACTGTTCGAAATGCGCCCGCAAATCCTCGGCTGCGAGATCGAAGAACAAGTTGCCCACGTAGACTGTCTCGTTCGGCGGGTTAATCTCATAATTCTTTCGCTTGACCGGGGTATCCTGCTTCGTCTCTTCATCAAGTAATTTATGACGTGATGATCTTTTTGCTTTTTTCTCTTCAACTTCCAGATCTGCGGCTTTGGACCTGGCATACAAGGCATCATAATCGATGTCATGATCCACTGTTGCGTCTCCTTTGATGTAGGCTTCATCTTCATGTTTAAGAGGAGCAGCCTTCCGGTTGGCAAGCTTCGAAAGGTTGCTGCGCTTTGATCTTGGCGTATCTGTTTCTGACAGGCCGGGGGTTTGCTGGTCTTTATTTGTTGAGTTCCAGCGTACATGAGCGGAAAGGTATGAGTGTTGAGACGGGGCGTGAGGGTGAGATCGGAGTGAGGTTACGCATCGTGATCGACATAATGAGGCGGAAGTAGATGACACAGAGGGAGCAAGTAGCCGTGACGAGGCTCGACGGAGGGATTGCCTGGGAGTAATCATGTTAGTCCTTGACTTGAATCGAGTAGGCAGTCGGCAGTCGGCAGTCGGCACAGGATGTACTGCTATCGTAGGGAAATATTATAGAATTGAGAAGTAACATACATTATGATATGACCGGTCGAGTGCCGGGATCAGCACAAATATTGCGAAAACTAAGATATGGAGCAATCGGGGATCCGCGCGGAGTTGAGCTCCTCGAAAAGTTTCCAGCGATATCGTCACGTGCTGATAAGGACTGTCGTCCACGCCTACGATGGAAATATTTGCGATGTATTCCAGCTACATCATAGAAGACAGAATCTGTTGGAGTGAAGAAAGATGGTAAGAGCGGAGTCAAATAAGACAAAATCCCAATTATGATACACGTGACCCTCTTATAGCCAGCCAAATTGCACCTCGATAAATATTGCTTCATATTTTTAAAGAATTCTCCCATCCATTGTATCGTTCCCACGGTATCAAAAAGACATAATAAAGAGTCAGCCTGCACCAACATTCTCAGACATCGAAGAATCCCACAGGCAGAAGAAATAGAATGAGTGAAGATCAACTGAACTCAATTAAATCCAGATTAAGAGCACTGCAGAGCAATTAAATTGATCGTTGGTTCCGGCCAGAACTACTTGGCTGGGACATTGGTGTAAATCCCTGTGCAGAAGAACCGTTGCTGTCACTGGTCGGCGGCGAGAACATGTTGGGTACTCGGCCACCAATGTCGTTCTGCGTAGTCGATATACCATTCGGTGCCTGTGCTCCAAGCGGACCGGGTATCGGAGGCTGTGTCAATCCAACGGGTTGCACTGTCTGTCCTGAGGGATCCGTCATGGGCCAGTACTGATTGGAAGCGCCAAAGTTAGGATTCTGGATATATGTATCCCAAGCCTCCTGTAGCAGAGTTTAGCGGTCGAACATACAATTTACGTCCGTTATTTTGGATAGAACTTACCCAGTCAAGGTTAGTTTGCATGTCCGGCATCTGGCCGAACATGCTACTGAAAGGTGATAGAGGCCCACCAAGCATCTCAGCCGAGGCGCCTGCACCCAGGCCCATGCCTGCACCCAATGGCGAATCGCTCATCTTCATTGCAGGATCTGAAAATGGAGACATGCCAGGGTTCATCGGGCTCATCCCACTACTCAACAGACCCAGCGTCATGGCGGCGTTCTGCTTCTCATCCTGTGGCTCGAACATGTTTGCGGTGCTATTTTCAAGCCCCGGGATGCTATGCAGCTTGCCAAGCATGACCCCGAGAATGCTGCTGGCTTTGAAAGCCTCCATGCTTTCATCGCGGACCTCGTCCCAGATCTCTTTCGAGCGTTGGATTGCTGCAAGCATCTCATCGCGTCTCTCACGGCCCCACGTATACGTGTCACCGGATGGTCGACCCGCCGCTTGGAGTTTGTACCCTTGGTGCAGATCAAGACAAATGATTGACGCAGCCAAGAGGAAGTCCACGGAGCTAATAGACGAGGCTTGGCTCTGGAGGCTACCGAAACGCCCATTCCGCGTTTCTGAATAAAGAACCGACTGAGCTCCGACCATCTCCATGGCAGAATCAATACATGTTCGTCGAGAGTAGGTGAAACGAGGGTTCTCCCGTGCACGGACAAGATATGGTCTATGCAACACGATCTGTGCCTTGTGATAAAGCATTATCACAGAGTAGCGAGACATTATCAGTTGTACTGGATCCAACTGACAATCTTCCAGCGGGCGGAGACGCAGATGATCAGGAATTAAGTCTCTGGCGTGCCGAATATCAGCATCAAGCTCCATGGTCTTCTCGTAAGAAGCATTGGAAACCGATGAAGCATGCTCATTCACACGGCCAAATTCGAAGGTCAGCCGGGACTTGGTTATCAGATATGAGATTGGTGTTGGCTCGGTCAGCTGGCGAGGTTGGGGTAGTTCCTTGCAGTCTTCGTCAAAGTCATCATCATACAAATTCTGCGGCAGGTCTGTATCACTATCGGCAGCCCGGAGCATACTCGGCATGCCGACTTGAAACGAAAACAGCACATCTGCAACCCGAACAAATGACCACACTCGCCGTCGCATCTCACCCTGGAACGGTGTGATGTTGGGAAACGCCTTTGAGTCTCGATGATATCCCATTCGCATCGCCAGACGGGCAATCACGCCTGTTAAAACCCATACTGACACATCTGCTTCCCGGGTCTGCGAGAAGTCACCATGCAAATGAAAAATTAAAGCTTCGATCAGATATGGGTGCGGTTTTGTGTAATCTGCCAAAGTCAGGCATTCTGCAACCGAATTTCGGAAGGAGCCAGCCATATCCATAGCCTTGCCCCTGAACTCCGGGGGCTCGTCGCCTTCTCGGAAATACGAGAGCATGGCCAATCTCATCATGGCGAACAACATAGCAATCCACACTATTTCGGTTCGAGAGGGATCCTCCCAATGTCTGTTGTACTGTGCTTGGAATGTTGGGCCATGAAGGATATGTGTAGCAGGATCGTAGGTGTTGAAGTAACGAGCAACAAGAAGGTCGGTCATGTATTTTGAGGGCAAAGAAGACATGATCTCTGGTCGGCTGAGGGGCTTCATCACCCCGAACAGCAGTGTTGACCCAGGAACATCAGTCGCTGGTCGAGCTGCCTTGACCTTTTCTGCTTGCTCCTCGAATTGCTTTTTATGTGTGTTGAAGAAATTCTTCACCTCGGTAATCTGCACAAAAACATGAGACATGAAGAATCCTTCCAAGGACCATCGAGACTTACATCATTTAATACAGAGGCCCAGTGTGCGTCGCTGATGTAATAGGACTTGTTATTGTCCATTTTCATCACACCAAATGACTTTGTCACCTGTTCCGTATCACTCTCCTCCGCACCACCAGGAGCATCGTCTTCAAGATCCAGATCATGGGAGAGTCCCGTAGACCCCGCACTACTATCTCCAGAGATCGTAGCCATGGCAGCCGTGGGGCCCGCAGACTGCGCACCATTCGTCATCAACGATAAAACCAGACCCTCCAGCCGGTCAATGCGATTTTGCATATCATCGGGCGAAGTCGGCGTTGTCTGTTGCTGAATATTCTTCTTCCGAGTACTCACTTGTGCATATGAGCATGAGTGCGCATCTCCTCGTTTGACGCAATTTTCGCACGGGTTGGATCGATTGCATTTTAACCTATGGATAGAACGTCTATTAGCACAGAGCTATGTATTGGGACCGGGTCATTGGAGGCCATTTTCAGGCTGCTTACTTCCTGTGTCGGCAGGGAGCGCATGAAAGCGGGACTCGATTGCGTTTGCGGATGATTTTGAAGTCAGGCGAATGAGCGCTTCCGCTCGATGGAGTTGTAGAGGGCGGTGTAGGGGACATATTGAGCAATTTCTGTTTGATTCGGGCGGTAGAGTATAGATAGTATTTCGGATGTTTTACCTCGCGAGTCACAGTCTCTTGCGCAGATGGAGCTGCAGCCTAGCCTCTGAAGGAGTTGAATCTGCAGCGACCGGAGTATTCCTGAGGTGAGCTCGGATGACTGTCGAAGCTATGCGCGATTCTTGCCAAACTGATAAGCTTGGTGGGGTATCTGAAGACACCTTTTTGACCCCTGACTGTTGCGACTGCGCAGTGTCGCGCCACTGGTGGCCAGAGCCTTGGTCGGCCGAAACGGCGCGCAGAGATGGCGCGCAGAAGCGGCGCGTGCTTATTAGGCGGAATTCGCGAAAGACCAGTATGAGTAACTCTCTTACGGGTCTTGGATTTCGCGTCGGTGTGAACGGTAGAAATGGAAGCTCGGGTTGCGGTAAGAGGGGTTTGGGACGAGTCTCATTCGGGTAGGAACCGAAGGGTTGGGGGCCAGTAGGGCTAGGAGCTCGATCCTGATTTGACTGAGATAGCGCACCAGCTGTGATTCCCCCTGAGGATCGAAATAGAAGATAGCAAATAGCAAATAGTTGAAAATGTCAAAGAAATGTCGAATGGGGGGTGATGATTAATCGGTCGTTGAGTTATCTCCGTTTTTGGGGTCTTATCGCCATGATGATCTCAGTGGGTTGATTGGGCCTACACATACGGGAATGGAATCTCCTCTAGCAAATGCTTATTATGAATAGCTATTCCGCTTAAAGTTATTTTCCTTTATATTCGAATTTTTCCTCTTATCGTCGCATCCTATCCTATTTAGGTTCCCGATCATGTCCTGCATCATGATTGGCTCAACCCTGGTTAGAGTGAGTCATCTCAGCGTCTCGACCTGTCACCTGCGCTATGTAAATGCTCCATATCAGAAAGGCACATGTCTCCTGCATCTTCATGTCCATGGACCTATGAGAGGTAATACGGATTATTAATACTAAATTTGGCTATATATATCTGCTGGGCATAGCAGTCTTGGCATTTATCCACGGATATAAAACATTGATGTTACTACATGAAGGTGCTCCATACTCGCTGGCGCATAGGAGGCTTAAAAGTCGAAATAAGCTGTCCCAGTCACACGCGCCTAATAAATATTAGGCGTAGAATATACACTACTAGTATGTTATGTTCATACCCATCTGTAGAGATCAAACAAAGTCATCATAGAGTCCTCGTGCATGATTTTGCCGCAATCACTTAAGCAGCCGTCGATCTCTTCTAGAACACCCACCTTATTTTACGATAAAATCGATCAAACAAATTCAATAAAGCTCGAGTGAAGCGAAAACAGGGGTAAATAAACTCTTCGTATTATGACGTTCGTGTGATTACACATCTCATTGTGCAGGTATCTTACATGCACGAAACCTGATTATCTCGGGTATCCAGCCACCTATGAAGTCAATATTCCCTTCCAAACCTGGTAGAGCGAGCTTCATTACCTTCAACTTAGATTACTTCTAAATGAAATCATCAAACTCCTGGAGCTTCATACTTTGAGATTCTTGATTCCAATGCCCGTGCGACGAAGCAAGATACTCCTCGCCTGCTTCCTTGCCTTTGCTTGGCATTCCAGCACTTGAGCATCAGCAACTCCAACTACATATAACCTGGAACCGCGTCCCCGTCATTCTCACGACTCCAGGCGCATTAATAATTTTACAACCTACATTAAATGACTCAACGACTCTCACAATCGTCGGATGGTTTTTCCGAATCAAGCTCTCGAAGAACCGGCTCTATATCTTCTACGGGCCCCTATATACACATCAAACGAGGATCAACGGGCTCCGAAATTCTCCAGACGATCCCCTTAGATCAGTCAGCGCCGATCGAAAAGGCTAAAGTTGCTATCCCTCGACATCGGTCTGGCGTTGCTCCTAGGAACCCTGGACGAGTTCCTCGAGCTTGTGAATCATGTCGCTTGCGAAAAACGAAATGCAGCGGCGAATATCCTGTTTGCAAGCAATGTTATGATTTAAAGGCCAAATGTGTATATCCTTTGACATTGAAGGAGAAAACGAAGCAGTAAGCTTTGCACTGTTTCATTTGCTGTGGTAGTTCTTTCGGGTCTAAGCAATAATACAGGCACATACTGATCTTCAACGTTTTCTTTATAGACAGATCCGCGGGTTGTCACAAAGATTACAGGCGTGTGAAGATCTACTCAGTGAGGTCGAAAACCTTGTCTCCGAAGATATATCTAAGCGCATTCGCGACTTACTGGTAAGGCTACTATATCATTCGATCCCCGCATACTTGCTATATCTAATTTGAATATCAGAACCAAGGAAACGACTTGGATAATACGCCACAGGAAAAGAGCTTCAGTGACGAATTAATGCAAGATGCAAATTCAGTCAGCTCATTGTCTGTTGGATCACTGGACAGCGATATCGCCGGCATGCAGCAGAAAGAAACAAAAAGCCGCGCCAAAAGTGAATCAGGCCAGTCTCCCGATGAGTCCACTCCAGATAAGATGTTTTATCGTGATGCCCAAATTGGAGTAACGAGACCAGTACGAACGTGGTGAACCCCCCCCAACAGCTGATACATGTCGGACACACCACTTTGTTTGAACAACGAGAACAGATCGGACTTGTAAGCATAAGCAATTGAGCTTAAACAGTCTTTGAAATAAAATTAATATCTCATAGCACTTGCATCAATTCGTTAAGCGTTGATATATAATGTAGGGGCTTTGCGCTGCGCGGAACTATCCCAATCCTAAATTCGAAGTTTCTTAATTCTAGGTCCAGTTCAAATTTACCGCGATTTACCCCGGTTTACCCCGGTAATGGAGGGCTATGAATAGACAATACATGAAATGGGAATACGGAATCTTGAAGAGTGCCACAGAATGTAGTGGATTCGTGACCAATTTCGAGTTTCAGCATCTAAACTGATCACCATACAACGGAGCAGACTTGGGAAGATCTCAATTACACTGTGTGAAACCTCTAAATACTATCTAGAAAAGAGCATCTGTTTTATCCAAGAAGCCACTGGTGAAGTCTCCTTTAGAAACCCATCCGTAGCATTCTGTTCCCAAACTCAAGAAAGTAGTAGTCCGCATAAACTAGCCCATGATCTTTATACCTCATCAGAGCATTCGAGTTATTATTTGCCGTCGAATGCTTCAGGATTGCGTCCCAACTCCCCGCCGGCACTTTCACCTTACCAGTCTCCCCATCTACCTCTAGCCGCGCGACATCCCCTTTGTCAAGCGCATACGCGATTGTATCCCTCGCAATGTTTAGCGCTGCATCCAGGTACCTCCTTCCATCATACTTCTCCTTCTCTCCTGCCTGCAACGCCTGATGGAGAAGCAGCATTCCATTAGCGGCAGTCATACCCGCCGATGCGTCTCGCAACCTGTCCCCCTGGGAATCAGTCTCCCCGCTGTTGTCATCAAAGTCCCATACAGGCACCCAAATGCATTTCTTGGCGGGAGATTCCTGTAGTCGGGTGATGAAGTATTCGGCCAGGCGTCTGCATGCCACTAGGAATTCGATTTCGCCGGTCCAGTTGTATGTCTGCGCGAAACCAAGTATCGCCCAGGCCTGGCCGCGTGCCCAAGTAGAGTCGTCAGCGAATCCCTGGTGGGTCATGTTATACTTCACGGTGGCTTGCTGAGGTGCATGCTGATCGAGGTTGGCGACATGCCATGTGGAGGCATCCGGGCGAATAAGGGTCGCCAGGACCGTGCGAGCATGTCGGGTTGCGATGGCAGTAAGGCGCGAATTTTTGGCGTGATGGCCAGCGTAAAAGAGTAGGTCCATGTCTAGGATCGGCCATTTAGTACCAGCCAATATTTGAGTTTGAGGAATATTTGAAGAATCATGGAGACTTACTACACATGCTGTCCACAATGATCAGAAAGTTGTTCTCCTTATCAACAATCTCGTAGGCTCGGCTCTTAGCCTGTTCCCAGCTACGAATCGCTCCGACCCTCTCGTCGTACCGCGACGCCAGGTTATCTGCGGCGGTAAGGTAGCTCTCTAGACTTGACTGATTGCCAGTGAGCTCCCAGTCCATGCGCAACGGATGTATCATGAAGCCCAAGTCGTGTGTATTGGTCCTTATTGCTTGGGCGTGTAATGGTGCAGACCACGAGCGACATAGGGCCAGGAGCTGGGCGTAGTGCGAAGACACCAGCGATCTGGTATTGTCAGACGACAGGGCTGGAAGGGGAATGCGATGCGGGAACTTTGCAAAACGCTCAAGGATGCAGTATAAGCTCGAAGGGAAAAAGCCGCATGTCCAGAAGTTAGCGGGCTTAGAATCATATTTGCCAAACTGGGGACCTGTTTCCGGGACATATTCCGGGTATGTTTCAAGAGATGGCTACGTTAAACAGAGTAAGCATTTGATGACAATGAGTGGGTAGATTAATACACACATGTTCCTCGAGATACGTTTCGGCAACTCTCCAGATCTTGGCCACAACATTCTCACTATATAGTTCCATAAGCTCGGCTGTGTCCACGACTGGTAAAGAGGACTTCATGGTCGCTGGTATAGCTGTGGCCTTGTCGGTTTCGAGACCATCTATACATTTAACAGATGGATCGGATACCAAAATGGCATTATTGTCATCGAAGCTCATTGTTTCGGTGGTAGATTGTTGGAAGGGCTTGGAAAACATGGCAGAGACTGCGTGGCGGTTTCTTAATCAAATTGTAGTATTTCGTGGGTTATGAAGAACAATAAGATGGCGAGTTCAGAAAAGTGACATTCTCTATCTATTTGCTAGTTCAAATTAAATATGAAATGTTAGCGGAAGTTGCTAGTTGATGTCACCTTACGTCGGCCATGCCGTCGGGTGATCGGGCTAGAATTAGTCCGCCGCTTTTTCATGGAGATCCGGGGTATCTACACTCCGCTGACGGTGGTAGCCATGTTTAATGATGGAAACCTAATGGATGAATCGTTTAGAAATGTGCGAGTTTCAATGGGCGCGAGCTTTTCAAGTACGCTGCCCAATTTTGTTGGTTCTCTTCGTTTTTCTCTACGGCAATGCCAAGTTGATTCAGCATGAAGCCACTACATCCCCGCACAGTCGTTCTAGATGGCTTCAGACTCAGCGAGATCAGGAAGCGCCTGCATGATGGTACCGATGCCGCCCTTCAGGTGGCACTGAAAGCTCTTACCCGGCAGGCTGATGAGTGGCTGACTCAAGGCCCCTGGTCTGTCACCACGAAAAAGAAAACCCCACCAAGCGGCGACATACATGACTACACCAGTCAGGCCCCCTACTGGTGGCCCTCACAGGGCTCACCGGATGGCAAGCCGTATGTCAATCGCGATGGAAAGAAGAATCCTGAAGTTCTCAACTATACGGACCGTGTGTATTGGGAGAAGGTCTTCTCCTCCTCCACAGTCCTAGCCTTGGCCTGGTACTATACACAGAATGAAGCATACGCCCGCCATGCTGGTGAGATTTTGCGCACATGGTTCATCGCGCCTGAGACTCGCATGAATCCAAACCTCAACCATGCCCAGCTCATCCCCCATGCCAATACGGGTCGCTTCATCGGCATCATCGACTTTTCCCAGGCTTACACCAGCGTTTTAGATGCTGCTGCTCTTCTAGCTACCGGAAATATTGGAGCACAAGGGCCTAGTGAAATCTCAACACGGGCACCCGGCTGGACTGATGCCGATGTTGAGGCATTCCGGTCGTGGAATCTCGACTTCCTCTCCTGGCTAGCTGACAGCACATTCGGCCGAGAAGAGCGTTCCCAGCGCAACAACCACGGCAGCTTTGCAGCCATGCAGATTGCCGCTATAGCACTCTTCGTTGGTGATTATGACCGCGCCCGTAAAGAGGTGCTCGACACGCGCACCCATCTCCTCAGCACCATTTCTTCTGACGGATCCCAGCCCGAAGAGCTCCGCCGCACTCGCAGCTGGCACTACTCAACCTTCAACCTTCTCGCGCTGACACGCCTAGCCTGCGTGGGGCAACATGTTGGGGTCGATTTGTGGAAGTTCACTGGTTCAGGTGGGGAGGGGAGCATTGCCAGTGCAGTGGACTTCATAATACCGGCAGCGACAGACAGCGAAGTCTGGGCATTCCCTGAATTGGGCTTCAAGGCGTATGCGGCGGCGGATATAATCCGGACGGCGGCGAACGCGGGTCATCGAAGAGCGAAACAGGTCTCGAGTAGGATACAGATGCCTCCTGCTGGTGATCTGTGGCCGCTGAGACCGGCTCCAGAGCAACTTGATGCGGTTAAAGTTGATGAGCACTCTATCTGAGGACAATGAAGGAAGCTATTTTATGATAGTTGAAATATCAGGACCTCTAGATGCCCAGGAAGATTCTTACTAGAGTTAAAATACCAGTAGTGATACCTTATTCATAAATGCATTACTCTCCTTGAATCTCGACATTCCCTAGATTTTATTTCAACCCCCATTCAATTCTCCTGTTTCCCTGTTTTCCTCGTTTTTCTCTTCCTAGCATATTTTTCGTATTAATTGACTCCCGGTCCATTGTATACCCCTACATTTGGCACGACGTTACTTTGTACTGCATTACCAAAGAAGTCCTGATTTCCATTTGCCACCACCAATGCACCACCATCCAAAGCTGCCGACCCGGTTCTGACACGGTACCCAAATCCTGCGCCCAAAGTATTCCCCGTCAGCCCTGGATCTATGAACTTCGGATCCCCGACGATCCCGTTCTCTGTGGGCGGCAGAACCGTCTGGAACATGTTACTCCTCCAGTTGATACCACTGCCTGTCGGCAGACTCGCGTTGGGTTGAATTCCAACGAATATGTTGTTGACAAAGTGCGTTGTAGGCGGAACATTGATATCAAAGGGCCTGTCAGGGCAGTAAATGATGTTGTTATAGAACCACAGCTCTGGTAGCGTCCCGACGCTGATTATCCGGCAATCACGCTCAAAGATATTATATCTGACCACTTGCTTCGACACCGTGCCAGCTGTGGTCCCGCAACCATCGCAATTGAGGAACGCACCACCAGCATTGTCGTGACTGTAATTGTACTCAACGGTGCAGGTGCCTGTAACGCCGAGATCACAATCGAAGGCTTCGCTGTCATAGGCGCTCATGATAGTGTTGTGGACAACGTTGTGACTGATGACGGGGTCTTGCGACGTTTCGACCCACATTCCTGCGAAGTTACCTCCTGTCCAGGGATACTTCCCCATGCCAAGATAGGCAGCGACATTGTGGTCTATAGAGGGCGAGTCCGATGTCGCGATGATTATGCCGTCACCACCACATGAGGAGATCTTGTTGTATGAGACGCGCACATTTTGGGAAAGACTGTATGTCTGACCAGGGCGTACCTTGATGGCACCACCGCCGCAATCATGGACAGTGTTGTCGCGTACAGACACGTCGTCGAAACGGCTGCCGTTGGATGCGGAGATTGCGATACCAGCCGATTTGGCGAAGTCTGATGCGTAGGTAGCCTTGTTCGTCTGGCCGGCCACGTCGTAAACGATGTTATGATCGATGGTGATGCCGTAGTGAATCTTGCTGTCAGAGGCAGCCACGAAGATTCCCTGACGGGGACCGAGCTCGCTAGCGGGATTTGTGATACTCAGGTTGGTGATGCGCCAGTAGTCTTGGTTGGTGAGAGTCAACGAAAAGTTGCTCCCGCCGCCGTTGATGATGGCTGGACCGGCGGTGGAGTCAATAGGGTATGTCGTTATTTGAATGGGGGCAGTATTGTTCCCGCTACCCAGCGGTGCCAATGTTCCATTGCAAGTGACATTAGATGTCAGAGATAATATGTCGCCGGGCTGAAAGGTGAAGCCATTGGCCTGACCCAATGAATTCCAAGGTGCCGTCGATGACCCATTTCCAGGCGTGGGAGAGCTGCAGTTGACATAGTATTGAATAGCCTGTCCAGTTGCAAGAGGCCCCGAGAAAAGCAAAGACAGACACAAAAACCTGAGAGCTCTGAGGAAGCTACCAGTAATGATCTCCATGTTGCGTCTTACTGTCTTGGTGATATCCTTGATTAGTTCGAGGATATGAGACGCTGTGACGCGTATTATATTACGAATATCCTGAACTGATTCGCCAAGATCGGTTACATACCACATGTGCAGTCAACTCTATTGCTTTCTAGTTTGAGTTGCATCCGCAGCTACGACATTGCTATCAAGGTGAACTACTAATGATACGTCGCTTCGAGATAAAGTTTATTTCTTGTTTTCACTCGCACTAGACAGACTTATCTTATCTCGAAGAGATACCGAAGAGGGGAACACGTCTACGGAACTCGATTTATTAGTCTACGGATCTCGGTGTATTGGGCTTCCGGCGCTATGATAGACTGCTAACCCTAACCGGGAATGTTCACGCGATCTGGATAAGGAAATCCTATGGGCGAAAGAGTTGAAAGTTAAAAGTCAAATTCTCTTCTGTGAGCGAATTTAGAATGAGCATCATCATGGTATCTTGCTTTCTTGCGATCAAGTGTGACATGACGGGATGTGGAGAAGTCAATGTGTACTCCAGGGCTTAACCTTGGGCGGAAGTGATAAGAAGTATAAAAGAGACCTCAGGACAGTGTCCATATTCCAACGTTGTTTGCCAGATAACAGGTTGTTCTCGGCAGTTGTGATTGCTAAATATATCCCAAAAATTTATAGGCCATTTCTTGGCTTCTTCACTATGTTGCTCCTGTCATGGAAATTCTCTACCTGGATAACTACGGCTCTGGTGATGGCGGCCAAGGTATTGTCTTCACCAGGAGTCGTTGAGCCCCGTGCACCCTCGTCCTGGATCCATCCTGGCATCCTGATGAACACTACTCAACTTGAGCTCATGAAGAGTCGTGTTGCCAGTGGTACATCGCCATGGTCTGACGCCTACGAAGTCATGGCGTCCAACTCATTATTCAATCTCAGCAGGACTGTCTCTCCTGTTGAAATGGTCGAATGCGGGTCATATTCCAACCCAGACGTTGGGTGTACCGCCGAGCGAGAAGATTCTATTGCCTCTTATAGTATGGCCTTGGCCTGGTATATCACGGGCGAGGCAAAGTACGCAACCAAGGCTATCTATTACATGGACGCATGGTCATCTGTGATCATCGGCCACAACAACTCTAATGCCCCTTTGCAGTCGGGCTGGGTTGGTTCTGTCTGGGCCCGGACGGCAGAAATCATCCGATATTCCGACGCCGGTTGGAGTGATGATGGCATTGCTCAGTTCAAAACTATGTTAACAGATGTCTATCTTCCTGAAGTAATCGGTGGTGATGCCAATGCGAATGGAAACTGGGAGTTAGGTAATCAACTACCTGGCGCGGCTCTACATCCTTAAATCTAATATTGTGGATACCTGTTTAGTCATGATGGAAGCTGCCATCTTCATCGCCATCTTCACTGAAGATGTTGATTCATACAACACTGGCATGACCGGGTTCCTGGACCGAGTCCCCGCTTACATCTACCTCACCTCGGATGGGGATATCCCCATTGCGCCTGTAAACAGCTCGTACACTACCACCGCAAAACTCGAGGCCTACTGGTACGGTCAAACAACCTTCGTTGATGGCCTATGCCAGGAGACATGCCGTGACATGGAGCATACGGGCTATGGCATCGCGTCCATCTCACACGTCGCCGAGACGTCGCGCATCCAGGGCACAGACCTCTTCGTTGAGGAGACGGGTGAAAGATTGAAGTATGCACTAGAGTTTCATTCGTATTATGCTTTGGAGGGAAGCTTCCCCAGCTGGCTCTGTGATGGAACACTCACTGGGGTACTTGACAATGGTAAGACTGCGGTAATTCATTACATTGTTTCCCAAAAATTTTGCTGCCTTGAGGGAGCCTCTTGCTAACATTGCCATTGAAGTAACTGAGATCGGACATACCGAATTTGTGAGCAGGCTGGGTGACACGATGGGCAACACGACGAAATATACAGAGGAGAAGCGCCCTGGCGGCGAAAATGGTCTTTTCGTCTTGTGGGAGACTCTCACTCATGCACGCTTGTAGACACCACAGGTTTGTACATGAAGGCAAATTATACTCACCAACAGGCCGTTCCACTCTGGACACTTTTCTGGACACTTTCAAATTCGATCAACAGATCAACACCACTGATTTAAACTTCCATGATTTCATTATTTGCTTCACGATAATCTTGTCTTGCTCTTTACTACGCGGGTACTTATGCTTTTTGGTGGCCACCGACTGCCCAGTCCCTGAAAAATCGGTCCTCTCGATAGCTGAGTTCATACTGAAGTGCCTACTTGAAATTACAGTTGTATTTAGTATGACAAATTGATTTCCCACGATATTGGTAAGATTGCCTTATATAACGTACTATACCTATCAATCAATATTTTGTATAGATCGGATTGATACTCGAAGTCGTTTTGTGTACCACAGGCATCGTTCTATATGTACTGGTTTTATGGTCTAATTGGATCAACTACTTATTATAGAAACCATATCTCCTGGTATTTTGTAAATGCTTGCTTCACTCAATAATTATCATTCTTTATCAGAGTGTTTATCACGCTTGAATTGGGGTGATCTGTAGTAAACCTAGCGTCAGGATCCATCTAGCGTAGATTTGACCTTTGGTTATGCCAAACTCATCCAGAATGCTGATAAGCCAGATCCTCCGACAATCCCATGACTGCCCTAATCAACCCTTTCCGGATAACTAGGCGTCCGGGGTACCAATAGCCCGATAATCCGCTATCAAATTAAGCACAACCCCGCATTTCGGCACTTGGGGAAAGTATCAGATCAGATGAACTATGCCGTGAGGAGCTCGGTTTGTGGGGGAATCTGTTGGATGGTCAAGCCACAGCTCGCTAATGTTGTAGATGCTACGTTCCAGGGTGGACTGGGGTTTTCGTTCGCCAGCTGTACGTCTCCCGTTATCGTAGACTTCTATAAAGCGGAGGTTTCCTTCCGGCCTCTATTCCCTCCTGTGCTCAATATTTCTAAACATCGCTGACATCCAAGTACGCGGTCAATAATCAAGACTTCTTCCTTTTCCCACAGAAGTCATCTTTGTTCCATTCTATAATGTTCCACGTCGACAAATCTGGCGTCCGCGGAATTGAGGGTGTGACGCTGCGGGAGACAGACCAGCGGACGCGGTTCTGGTGGCATTATCCCGGCTTGCGATCTCTTAATCTCCTACTTCTGGGCTGTATTGTCTGTGACATGACCAATGGCTACGATGGCTCTATGCTCAACGGCCTGCAAATCATCGACCAGTGGCAAGACGCGCTGGGCCATCCGAAAGGCACGCGCCTAGGCAACATCACCAGTGGTACCCGCTACGGGCAACTCGGTGCGCTCCTCGTTGCGGCACCCATAATGCAGCGGCTGGGTCGACGGCTGTCCATTATTATCGGATCGTGCATCTTGCTACTTGGCGTCGCGCTGCAGGCTGCGTCAGCCAGCTACGATATGTTTGTCGTGGCGCGTGTGCTTATCGGCTTTGGGAATACAATTCAGAACATGGCTTGTCCCATTCTGGCTTCTGAGCTTGCTCACCCTTTTCAGCGCACCCAGATCATTGGTATCCAGAATACGACCGGATCACTAGGTCAGATAATGGCCGCTTGGATCACATACGGCACCTCCTTTATGGTATCATCATGGGCCTGGCGCCTGCCCTCACTACTGCAGGCCGTGTCTTCTATCTTTCAACTTGTCATGATGTTATTTACGCCTGAGAGCCCGCGATGGCTTGTGCACAAAGGACGGCGTGAGGAGGCATACCAGATCCTCGTCAAGTACCATGCAGAAGGGGATCACTCCTCACAGCTGCTTCAATTCGAGATGGCAGAGATTGAGGCAGCTATCGAAGCAGAGCAGGTGCAAGCGCGAACCTCGTGGATGGAGTGGTTCCGCACGTCGGCCAACCGGTACCGACTTTTCATTATCGTGACATCCGGGTTTATCATCCAGTGGTGCGGCAACGCGCTCATCACGTACTACATCAGCCTTGTTTTCGAGTCAATTGGCATCACCAGCTCCAAAAAGAAGCTGCTCCTCAACGGTGGTATAACCATCAGCGGCTTCATCTGGGGCAATGTATGGTCGCAACTGGTGGATAAGATGGGGCGACGGCCGATGTGGCTGACTGGCATGTCGGGTATGTTCGTCGCCTTTCTAATGATCACTATCTTCACGGGCGTGAACGCGAGTATCGGCTACACCAACGCGGGTCTGGGAAGTGCCACCATCTTCGCCATCTTCCTTTTTGGATTCTTCTACAAAATGCCCGGCTGCATGACCGCATCGTACGTCGCTGAGATCGCACCCTTTGGCCTCCGTGCTAAGGCATTCGTCCTTAATGGCTTCGGTGACGCGGCGGCCAATATTTTTAGCGGATACACGAACCCTGTTGGACTTGAGGCTATTGGATGGAAGTACTACATTGTTTGGTGCTGCGTGCTGGTTAGCAACTTCACCATCATCTACTTTTTCTACCCTGAGACCAAGAAGCTTAGTCTTGAGGAGGTGGGCCAGCTTTTTGACCAGCCGTTGAGAGCTGTGGAGGCAAAGCTGGCGAATGATGAGGCTGAAGATGGGACACCAGTGACCCATGTTCCAGTGAAGACGGTGGAGTGAGATAGGACTCCATAATATTCCTCTATTTGTGTTTATTAAGGCCTCGGAACACTAAGTGCTGATTTGAAGGTTTGGATCATGCAGGTTATAGTTATTGTTTAAATTTATGGCATTTTGAGGAAGCACTGGGCTTTTTTATAGTGAAGAGATTTTCCCAAGCTTTAAAAGATCCTAAATGCGGGGAAAGTTGCGGATAAAGTAGCCTTTCTCCTATCACTTGTTTACTCCCCCGCAACTCGCATGGCAATTATCCCGATGCCCGGTCTCACACTTTAAATCAATCCCATACTGAGAGCTAAATTATTCTGGAATATCGGACAAAAATGCATGTTTCCCGGCGGCCTGGGGCAACGATGGCCGGCGTATGCGAAGAGGAGGGACTTTCAGCTGCTGACGACCTGCCTGCCTGTCAGTCATGTCGACGGAGGAAGCTCAAATGTTCGAGACAAACTCCATCCTGTGCACAATGCGAGAGACTGGGTGGGTAATGAGATGATTCTCATCAAAATAGGAGCTGACCGTGTTAACAGCATTCGAATGTGTCTATGTGAGCAAACAAAAGCCCGGAGTCAAAACCGGTGCCGTCGACAGCCTCGGTCGGAGACTAGGTAAAAATGTCTCCCGCAGAATATGAAAAGCTCCTGACTGTCGGAATACATGTTTTCAGACGTGCTTGAACGAATTCTCCTAGACGAAACTGGCAGGCGTAAAGCGCAACTCGCCTTCCTGGACCTCGACCCGGAACACGTCGATGAGAACCAATTTACAAGTCTCCAGAGCCAGACCTCCGACAAAGAAGCCCGAGTGGTCGAATCGGCAGTATCACCACGTCATGCTAGCCAGAGCAACCACAAGAGGAGAAGAACCAATTCTGTTAATCCAAATCTATGTGAGGATGATGAAATACCTCCCCTACCTCCTTTACCCCTTTTGGACGCCATCGTCAACGCCCACTTTCTTACGGTCCATCACTGGATTCCCATTCTTCATCAACGTCGGTTCAGAGCTAGGCTCCAGGATCCCCAGGAAAGAAGTCGGTTGTCAGTACTTCTCCACTCGCTTGTTGCTGCCGCAATAAAGTACGTGGAATTAGATAAATGCGGGCTTAGCCATGAAGATGTTGAGAGCCAGATCAGGGTATCCAGAAGGACTGTATTACTCCATGCCATGCAGTCCCTGTCGGTCGAGAGTATGCAGGCTCTTGTTGTTCTCGCTTTCGACTACGTAAGCTGCCTCTTTTCTTACCTTGCTCTTTGGGGTTCCCCATATTTGACCTTGCTCCTAAGTCTCTGGTTTACAGATGGGATGCGGAAATCCTTCCAAGGCGTGGCCAATCATTGGCTCCCTTACGAGAACGGTCGAGTATCTTCAATTAATTGTCGAACCGGCGGACCTACCTTTGCAAAAGCAACCGCTTCTTCGCCCCCTTATGCTTTTGCCATTGCCGCGCGATTGGACGGAATCGGAAGAGCAGAGGAGGCTTTTTTGGAATGTTTTTCTCCTTGACAGGTTAGACAATCTTAAGACATGCAACGAAGAATTCATGATTGACCCCATCATTGCAGAGTTTGCTCAGTCACTTCCGGGTAGGTACTTTTATTTTCCAAAGCCGCAACGTTTCTAACATAAGCAGCTGGCACACATGCCTGACATCGAACCATGTCCAACGTCGACTTCCATGTTGTGGAGCACCATGGGCACGCGAGGAAGCGGTTTTGACTCCCTTCTTCGGTATATGGAATAATTCCACGGCCAATATTGGCCGGTCTATAGCCAATATCCCAGCGCTGTACGAGTCCTCTTCTAACAGTAACTACAGCCCTGGCAGTGCCGCCGGTGGAGGTAGCGGAGGTGATCAGCTGGACACTTCGAATCTGGGGGCATTTGCATATTGCATCGAGGCCACCGAAAACCTCAGCCAAGTTACGTCCTTCTTTCTGCAGCAGAGTATTGACTTTGGAGACACTCAACAGGTCAAGAACTGGCTGATGAGGTTCAAAGAGCTAGATCTGCGGCTCGTCCAGTAAGCTTTCGCACCTCCCCGTTTCTTTTTGTATGTTATTGACTTAATGGTGATTTAGTTGGAAGATGTTTCTTCCCCATCAATGGAATGACTCTGATGTCTCCCGTGACATATCAGTCGTTAAGATGGACCCTAATTTAACACTTGCGCACTTGACACACAATGCCGCCATGATTCTGCTGCATCAGCATGTTGCCTACCCTCCTACGACCTGGTGTGGCGTGATCAAGCTGCCCAGCGCCTGTAGCGCCGAGACTTGCCAGCTTGCTGCTGTCGAGATTGCTTCCATAACTGATAAATACTTGTGCTTCATGGGAGGCATCGTCAATAACCAGTTTGCCTTTTGCGCTTTTGTCGCAGCCCGCGTACTTTTAGCGCATTGGCTCTCTGCTCAGGAGACGGGGGATCCTCTGGCGTACGAGTTCTTTAGCCTCATAGATAGCCTAAGAAATATGTCGCGCCGATGGATGGGATTTTACAGTCGAGAAGGGACGAATATGGGTGATGGCGATGGCAACAACGTGGGCCCTAGTGGGTCAGATATGATGGCCAAATATGCCACACAGCTCCAACTCATGCACTCCCAATATGCAGCTGGCCTTGGTGCACACAGCTCGGTCGGTGACATGCTATCAGACTCAAGTCTGGATGGCCTTCTGAATAAGCAGCAGAACATGGCAAACGATGAACCATCCCGTCCAGATATAACTTTTCCGTCAATGTCGGATGTAGATCCGGGAGCCATGATACCAGGTTCCTCGAGTTTCACACCTTACATCCATCCAACGGGCTCTCTACTAAAGCCACCGGCCCATCAGCATCCACCATCTACATATGACTCCCAACACACGTTAATTCGCTCGGGTGATGTCAGGTCACGGCAGCAATCGCGTAACACACAGCGGCGAACGCACTATGGTACGAACACGGCAATGACAGGAGCTCCAAGTACAATGATGACAAGCTCACCTTCGACGGCAGCCGTGGCGGGGCTTATGGAGTTGGGTATGGATAGCAACAGGAGTAATAGGAATAGCGCTGCAGGCGAGGATGACGAGCTGACAGCCATGTCACATATGCTGTTGGGTCAGCAATTTCTCGAGTTAGACCGTGTTATCACTTTGAATGGGACGGACTTTTTCGGGTCCTATACATCTGGTGATAGTGGTGGGGTTTTGTCTTATGGTCTTGATAAATAGTTCCTAATCCTGCCCAAGTGATCCCAAAATACTGTACTGTACCAACTAGTTTCTCGATTTCTATTATAGTGAAACGGATCTGCCCTATTTCTATCAATACATTACATCTTATGATTTCCAATTAGAAGCTTGGTATTTCATAGAAGCATGGACTAGTCTAGATCGCAGTTAATCGGCCTGTGACGCCTTGAGTGCCTCAACGGCATCGCCCAGCTGAGGCTGGTGAAACCATCTTTTAAAAAGCTCTTCCCTTGTGATATCATTCTTTCCATTAGCAATGGCAAATACCGCCGTCGCAATAACAATTCCTCCACCTGGTTGAATCGTAACTTTGTGTTGTATAGTTGGGATAAGAGCGCGGGGCTCTATTAAGTTTGTGTTTGGGTCGGATTTCAAGATTTTACCTTCAACCACAGTCCCTGAATCAAGGGAACTCTTGAGGCCACTAACACCAGCTCGACTAAGGACAAGTGAGCTGACATCGGTTTCCAAGGTTCCCTCATGCTCAGATCCACTGGCCCAGTCTTGATTCAGCGCCACCATCTGCCGAGGTTGTTTTGCTTGAATCGCAAAACCTCCTTCAACAAGGATAAGGTTCTCGCTATTTGAGTTATGGTTTTGACTTTTTATGCGGTGGATTCGGACGTGCCAATCCGGCCATTCATCACAGGGTGGGATAAGAGTCGTTTCGATTTCGAGCTCGGCTTTTTTCCAAGGCTTCCAGGTACTTTGAAGACAATTGAGTTCCACTCCGCCAAGTGAGATATATTGGGCATGAGGATTTCCTATTGTCTCCCACCTTGTGGTCCATGTGCAGCCATCGTCGTGGCTGATGGCAAGCGTGTTATCCGGAGCAAGTTGGGCCAACAATCGTCCGGTTGGAACACTAAACCCAAACGCAGAAGAATAGGCAAATTTGCTATACTTTGCTTCTGTTGCTTTCAAGGGCCACATGCAGAATTGACCCCCTGATAGCATAAAATGATGTTGTCCCGCGCGGTGGTGACATAGGATCTGAGATGGGGCGGGTAAATATTTGACTCCGGAGATGGGCCTACACTCAGGCGATGTGGAAAACAGAGGGTGTGGAGCTTCGGCCGCTATCCAAAACTCATCGTTGCTTTCTAATGCGAGAATCACAAAGCTTTTCATGGCCCAGTAAGGAGATTGAGGAGAATTGTAAGCCTCGCACATGAACATGTTCGGATAAAGATACCCAATTGTCAAGGTTCCATCCGCCGCGAACATTTGAGAAGAGTTCTTTGCCCACCATCTGAGATGTCGTAGCAACATTCCTTTCACAAATGCCGGGGATGTGTAATGGTTTGAGATGTCATAGCATTTGGCAAGGGCGAAAGCTGCGTAGAATGCACCCATCGCGAATCGGTAAGTCAACGATCTGCCAAAGGGGATAGCGGCGCCTTCTTCATCAAAGAACCTCCAGAATTGACAGGCAAATTCTGTTGCCTGGTTTCGATAATGAGCGACTCTTTCGGGGTCGGATTTTTCAGCAATTATGCAGTAGAGTAATTGGCTATACTGAATTGCAAAGCTTCCGGAATAATAATCGGCTTGGCGACCATAGGCTTCTTGACCAGAAAGAGAATCATCTCTCCAGATCCCATCAGCAGACCACCCATCCACTAGTTCAAAGCGATCAAGCATGGAAAAGTCATCGTTGATATACTTTTCGACATCTCCATATGGCACTCCACAGACGCGAGTCAAAGCAAGATTCGCAAAGATGCGAAACCATCTCCAATTATTCTCTGGCATAATCTTCCCATTCAGACCAGAAAGCCAATCAAATAAGTGAGAACGACTTCGATCAGAAAGCCTTTCGTAGAAGCTCTGAGGCGCAATCAACAGTGCGAATGAAATCGGCTCAGCCTCCACCATCCGCTGATCCCAGTCTCCAATAGCACCCCAATACTCAGGATGTGTTGGGTCAACTCCATTGGCCAGGCCTTCTACCAAATATTGAATGTAGCGGGTGATTTCTGGGTCGGTTGAAGAACTTGCGGCTGTGGCTGCTGCTGCGATTGCCCAGATTGGGCGCGCATATCCTTCAAGCTGTGCAGCATCTTCGTCAAAGTGCGCGGCGGAATGAACAGGTAATTGAACTCGTGCCTTTCCGGGTGAGAAGTATGGCTCAAGTGCCCTTGTCAATGCCTTTGTTGCATTGAGAATATCTCTCCGGTCATGGAAATGATTATCGGAAAATCCACGAAGAGGAGGCATTGTAGGTACTTCTCTAGTGGAAGAGCCTTTGGACTAATATAATTTTTTAGCCAGGTAGGGTTTGCTGCGAAAAGTAAAAGTATTGCTTTGATATGTACGGGGGCTCTACATCTGCAACATATGTTTAAATAAAGCCTTACAGCAGAAAGGCCTCGAACTGATAGCAAATGAAGAAAGTGAGTAACTTTGTTCATCGGAGCATTCAATATCCCGAAAAGCGTAGTTTCACTCACCATATTACCCCGGATCCCGGATCCTCGCAGTATGGATTCCTCCGACGCGAAAACAGCACATAGAATACCAGCTGAGATAGGAAAGGCCTGATTCAATGCGTGCAAGAAGGTTTGACTTTTGAGGGATCAAAATTTAGTAATTATGAAATTTATTTCCCAAAGCTGCTAGTCATGACTAGTGCCTAATAAGTTCTGGTGGGCTTACTATACACCGTCATTGGAGCTGACTCAGTGTAAGCATGTCCTTGCTAACAAGTAAAGTAATCATGAAAGTATCAATTGCACGAGTGAATTCCCTTGCATAGTGGTAATCTGTACAGTAGAATTAAAAGCAAAACAAGCCACAAAAGACAAAAAGATAAAGGGACACCGGACCTGAAGGAGTAAAAGGTAGAAGAAAATAAAGACAAGGTGGATCAGGAACCTCTAACACAACCCACATCAAGCTAGCTAATACCGGGATAAAAGGTAGTAAGTCATAGCAAGCTGTAGTGTCCTCGGGCTCGATTGTGTTGCTTGTTTAATGGGTATTGATACATATAGCTCGTGATTAGAAGCGGCCATGTTGTCATACAGCTGGATTTAAAGACATGGACGTTAGTCTCGTGCGGACTGGCCTAGGCTATTGAGCAATAAGCCCAGGTACCTGCGTGAATAATTGTTTATTCGTCGCCATATGTCCAGGTCGGCTGGTTACGACGAGTAGGGTTGTGCAGTGCCGTTGCGGTGCGAATAGGTTCAGGAGATCGATCATAGTCATCCCATGAAGCCTCCATCATTTTCACTGATTGAATGTGGTCATGGGGGATGTTCTCGATGTCTGTTTTGGGAGCAGGAGAGTCTCCCATCTTCCAGTGAGTGTCGAAGTTCTTCTGTCGGTTGGTATTGTTGCCTGGAAGTGATAGGTGCGCTGAGTCCTTGGTCTCCTGTTCGCTGGGCATGGCTTCACCGTTGTCGTCGAATAGGCGGTTTTGGTACAGACCCTGGCCGCGGCCTTGGTAGGAGCTGATGACACGCCCGTCATCTTCTTCCTTGTCCTCGTTCATTTCGAAGTGTACATCTGCGTCACGGCGAGGCTTGAAAACGTGGTGGCGGGGCGGGGGCGTCTCGATGTCCTCATCACTGTAGCCAAAGTTACGGGCCTTCTCGGTACGAGGCTTCTGTGGAGTGACAGTGTCACCGAAGTCCCACTGGGACTGGTTACGCGATTTTCCATGTTGGGGCTTCTCGGTCACCTCCTCATCGGCCGCACCGATGTCGAAGTGGTTGAACCTAGTCGGATTGCTCTTGTATGGGGCACGGTCGTGGTCCAGGTTATCTTCATCATGGTCCTGAGTGTTCACAGCATCACCTTTTGGCGCAGCTCTTCTCTTGGTCTCCGTGCTGTTGTCGGCACCGATCTCGAAGTGGTTGAACCTCGTCGGATTGCTCTTGTATGGAGCACGGTCGTAGTCCAGGTTATCTTCATCTAGAAGCTCCCGGGATTTTCCACCCTTGGGCGCAATCACTCTCTCGGCCTTGGAGGGTGTGGGAGGAGCCTCCTCGTCGATGAAAAGATCGGACAAGTCGCGGGTGGGAGGCTTCACAGCTGACGGCGCATAAGGGCGAACGGTAGCAGTTTCAGCCTTGCTAGGCGACAGAATCTCAGACAAGGACCCAGCCCCATATGGATCCTTGTGGTATTTCTTGCTAGGAGAGGCCGGCCGCGGGACGTGTAATATTTCCTCCTCATCTGATTCGCCTTTCGTGGGCGAGAGAAGATTGAACAAGGAGCCGGCACCGTGAGGGTCCGTGATGTGTCGCTTGCCAGGGGAGCCAGGTCGCGCAAGAAGTTCCTGAGAGGTATTCTGGGATGGGGTGAAAGCCGGAGCGGATTGCGCATTGGCGGCTGATCGCAGTAAACGGGTCTGCTCTTGACCGGCGCGAATGGGCCAGCTTCGGCTACGCGCTCCAATAATTTCCACCTCCTTCAAGAGAGAACCTTGGTCCCAGTAGATGCGGACCTGTTGAATTTCGCGTTCGGCGTTCCAGTGGACGATGTGGAGCTGCAGGAAGCTGCATTAGCACTGCTGCAGGTCATGGGGATCTCGGGGAGTTTACCGTGGGGATGGTGACGACGCGGTCGGCCAGGAAATTATCATCCAACGAGGGGAGATAGGCCCCGCCGCCCTCTAGGAACTCTAGTGTTGTCTCCATATCCAACACCAACGAGTCGGAAGCCTCAATTGAACTGATGACATCCTCGGACTTTTTCTTGACAATGCTTGATTGGCGCGACAAATGGGTCAATACTGAATCTTTGCCCTCGAATTTGGTGGTTGAAGGGACATAGATCAGCGAGACATTGGCGGCAAGCTTAGCGGACCTAGGGCTCGCCAGGAAGTTGCGATATTCAGTTTGAAAATAAGTCATGGTCAGCCAGTACCCTGGATGTTCACGCAAGGGAAGGGGAAAGTGTATCAAAGGAAGAACGGGAAGGATATCAGGGGGAAATTGAGAGCAACCGAGGGGGAGATTAGACTGTCGTCACGAGGCCGAGACTGAGGACTTGAAGAAAGAATTACTCTGCAAGGGACTGATCCACCAAAATAAAGATCCAGTTGTTAGATGTACGCGTCTAAGCTGATGCAGGTACCCGGTACCGATGGAACCATAGAAACTAATAGGCTAATGATGAGTACAGGGTACAATGAAATCCAAAATCCCCAAATAAAACAATCGCGCGCACGGGGAACCAAAGAAAAACACGCCGGTGTTTCATCTGGGTCTGGGTGAGCCCCAGTTGGAGCCACGGTTTTATGATCCCGCGTCTCTCCGGCAACTATAGAGTTCAACTTTGAATTCCGAGTATAAGAATGAGAATTCTGTAAATTCTGTAAAATTTTTCAGTATAGTACAGATCTCTAGGATTTCGCATGTCAAGGGCAAGGCCAAGGGCAAGGAATGGTTTCCCAATGCCTCGATCCTCGGCATCATTTCTCCGGGCACCTGCGGGCACCAGATGTACTCTCCACAGTCTTTTAGGTTTTTTAGTATGGGGTCGTCACTCGCCAACACAAAAGGGCATAGTTGCAATGTATCTGGACATTCAAAAGTGCCTAATCGCTAGATCCCTCTTGGATTGGTACCATGTGCGATTTAACTGCCTCGCTGTGATAGGGACGGACACCATCTCACGTATAATGATGATGTATTATGGTGGGTAGATATTGGGTATGTTGCGGCTCGTAGACTCATTACAGCGGTCTATAAAGAAATAGTGTAAGCATACAAATCATCCGATCAAAAGTTAGCTCACTTACCCAAGATAATCCTCCTTAATCGTGCCAATGGCGTTGATGGCGGCCACGTCTGGCTTCACACCAAGAATCTTCAGTCGCAAACTTGTACCCTTTTCAATCACCTGGTCTGCATGGTCGGTGTATTGTGGGGGAACGGTGTTCGGCTCCCACTTGATGTCGGAGGGGATATTCTGGTTTGCAAATTAGTAGTGGTCTTCAAGATGCGCATAGATCCATACTTTTCGAGCAATGAAGACAGATAAAGGACCCGCCAGTGTGAAGATGCCGGTGGGCTTAACGGAGGTGACAATGGCGTCGACCTGATGGTTTCAGTGTTAGCAAAAGCTTGGAATCGCAAAGCCAAGACTAGACTCAATCCAGCCGGGGCCAGGTCTCAACCTCCACATACAGTTTCACCCCGGAATGGCTTCCAAATGATTGCACGGTATTTAATTGTGTATTCGGCGTGGCCGCTGGAAGGCATTACTCGTCCTTCGCCAATGTCGACCATATCCATCACACAGATCACGAAGTGGTCTCCCGTACACCGGCCTTCCTCCTCCTCGTTGAGTCGAGTAATAAGATACTCGCGCATGTTGGGTCCGAAGTAGGATGGGTGCAAGGTGATGACCTTGGCTTCTTCTTTGAGGAAGAACATATTTGCGAAAGCTGACGATGCGATCTAATGTGTGGTCAAGGTGGGAAGCTTCGAGATGGTGAAGCGGGGAGAGTAGCGGAGGAAGTGGCTGTGGCAAGCCTGTCAGTCGTTGAAATTGGGACTCGCAAGGAAATTCCGGGGGATCAATAAGTGCTGAGACTGCGCGCGGAACAATGCGATGATTCAATTGAGGCTGGAGGTTACCGAGTCTGCTGTCATGACCTAGAGATAGCGTAACGATAGGAAATTTCACGCTGATAAAGGACTGGGTAAAGGTTGATGAGCAGGTGCAGAGTCTGCCTGGTATAATGAGGCAGATCGCAATACTGCGGGCGCGCTGGAGCTGCTGACGATTGTCTCGGGGTTCATGGCGGGCAGATCCAAGTCCAACTTGGATTTTGGTCATGTGACCTATGGCTTTAGTTCATAATGTTCGAAATATTCGACATCATTTTATTTTTTGATCATGAATGTTCTTAGTTCTTTAGGTAGCACGAATTGATTGACTTGAATCTGGTTATCATATTCAAGGGATTCTTAATATGGTGATTATGCATCACAACCTTGGAACATTCAAAATTCCAAGATTGTCGGAAGAAATATATTGCATGAATCGATGCTACGTACATATATTTCCTGCAAATCCGAACCACAAGCGAACGCAACGTTGTGAGAATAAGTTATGTAGGAGAAGAAAGCTAATGCCTAACATTTATTTACTTACGTCCACAGTATATCTCACCTAAGTAGATTTTTGGTCGTTTTAGAAGTGAATGGTGTCTGAGGTCTCCCTCAATTTCAGGATCACAAAGACTAGTTAACATCAAATCATGCTTACACCACAGTCCGAAGGCTATAGATACATAGTAGATAGTTCGGTATTAATTAGGATTAGATGTAAAGTATTACATTGGTACCAGTTTATAAGTTTAGTTCAAATCTAAACTCTACATACTGTACACGCATACGGATAGCCTCCTAGTAGGTATGTAAGTAGGTAGAACAAAATTGGTACATGTAGATCACATGCATCCATCGAATGAGTAATATACATGCTTTTTATCTTTACTGCTCAGGTTCAGGGTCCATTAAAACTTAAATGTTTGATTTAATAGTATCTAAGTTCAAGATCAATTTATACTCCATAGAAACAAGAGAGCATCCTTGATTTACCCATTCCAGGTGCACTAAATTTGTTGAATATCTTAATCGAAGATCGAGGTATCAATTGTCTACTGAAGTCTTGCGATAAAGCATGATTTTTGCATTGAAATGTTTCAAACATTGTCGTTGTGACCATGTAAAGATGATTTCAAAAATGACAGAAAGTTACCGCCCACGTTCATCATTTCATCCATCAATACCGTACAAAAACCACTCTATGGGCACCTCGGCTCAAACACATGGCACCACTCAGAGTTCACGTTTAGCTGATGATAGAGCTTCCCCAACATTTTGTTCCCACCCCGCCCTTAAGCAACCTGGCGACCACTCCAGAATGGCGCTGAACTTGGAGAAGCAGTTGCTTTTCGTGAGTCCTCACTGAAAATGATTTCGGAATTATTGACCATGCCACTGACCGACTTTCTCAGTATGGGGCTTACCACAGCAACCCGGTATGATTTTCTTACTTTTTGACGACGGAATGCTTGGCTCATAACTATCCAGGTGAACGTGGCAATTCACATCACCTGTGTCCCGATCCTGCTGTTCACTGGTATTGCTCTGGTACGAGTGTCCGCGATATCCCTTCAACGCGAAGAATACGAACTAACACAACGTTGTCGATCTCAACAGGCTTGCAACAGCCCGTCGTTGTTCTCTGTCCCAGATTTTCTGAGTGTCGAATACCTTCCTCCGAATCTCGGCACCATTGGCGCATTCATTTACTCAATATTTTACGTCTTACTCGAACCGGTCGCAGGCGGCCTGATCGCACCGCTGGTCATCGGCTCCGCAGCATGCGGTAACTACCTCCTCGGAAGCCACGGAATGATTGTGAACTACTGGGCAGCAGGCATTCATATCGTGTCATGGCTGGCACAGTTCGTTGGACATGGTAAATTTGAGGGACGGGCCCCGGCGCTCCTGGATAACTTGGTCCAGGCGCTGTTGCTGGCACCTCTGTTTGTGTGGATGGAGATTCTCTTTTTCTTTGGATATCGGCGTGAGCTGAAGCAACGGATGGATAAGAGTGTGGAGATCGAGATTGAGAAGTTTCGCAAGGAGAAAGAGCAAAAGGCCAAGGAAGCGAAGTGAGAATACCATAGCCCATGGGTTGGTTGAGGAGTCGGATGTGATGGGTGTAACTTATGGCTTCAGGACGATCTTTCATTGGGGAAGCATGCCCATAAGACGTGTCGTAGTACACTACGGATTATGCAAATCCGATGATACTGGATATCAAATGCTTGCATATAAATGGAATTTGGGGAAGATTGATGTCCTTCAGGTATAACCGGATGGAAGATGCTATGCTCTCCCATTGATATTCCTTCATGGATATGAGTAGTCTCAGTTTTAGGTGATATTGTATATGTCCACACATGTGCATGCATAAGACTAATCATATAGTTATAACCACTGTTTACTTCAGGGAGACCCCATACTATTGACTACCCGGTTGCCGTGACGAAACACATTACCTAAGCGACACACCTGACCAAGGATTCCGGCGACCCGAAGAGAAAAAAACGGGAAGCGGCTGGCCCGTTCTCGGAGCGCCTCCCATAGTGTCAAAGTGGTCTTTTTTCATGGGAAAATTTAGAGTCGTATGAAAGGGAAGGAAATGTAAAATTTGATCCAATCAAAAGTAAAAAAATGTGAAGGTGTAGTTCACGATAAATGCATCATTTCAACGGAATGAACAGCGTGGAGGTACACTAGGGCCACATCGGAGGGACTAAGCCCCCTAAAACGGTCTAGCGCGAGACCTGAGAATCCAATCCTCCCGAGAAAGCTCTCCCTTCCCACCCGTCCACAACCTTCTCTCTCCTCTCCGAACTCCTCTCCCCAATTACATCCTCCCTCTCAGAGAATTTATCCTCAGACCCTCTGAACCCATTTCATAATGTTCAGAAACGCTCTGCGGCAGTCCAGCCGCTCGGTTGCGGCTGTTCAGGCCACTGGCCGCATCGCCTCGGTGAGTCCACCCCGTCCTGGCCATCCTCGTTCATCGCCCTGCCCGGCCTTTTCCATCTCGAATTCGAGCTCGATTGGTTATCGGATACCTATCCTCCCCAGCGCCCATCCATTGAGCATACTTCGATCACTCTAGCATCCACCGAGCTCGTCGTTAACAAAGTTTTCGCCATGTTATAGGTTCGCGCGGCTGTCCCCGGCCCCATTGCCGGTGCCTCCAAGCAGGTCCGCTCTTACGCCTCTGAGGCTAAGGCTTCCCCCACCGAGGTCTCTTCCATCCTCGAGCAGCGCATTCGTGGTGTTCAGGAGGAGGCTGGTCTCGCTGAGACCGGTCGCGTTCTGTCCGTCGGGTACGTCAATTCCGCCCGGTGCGGGTAAAGGGTCGTGAGGGAAAAAAATTCGGTCACCGGATACACCTTCGCCCAACGCGCCCACGCCCACCACCAAAACAATCAGAATCGAACTACAAACTGATGATCAATTGAATAGTGATGGTATTGCCCGTGTCCACGGTATGACCAACGTCCAGGCTGAGGAGCTGGTTGAGTATGTGACCCCTGTTACCCGAAATGTCTTGGCATTATCAAGTTTGGAAAACTAACGGATGTCCAGGTTCGCCTCCGGTGTTAAGGGTATGTGCATGAACTTGGAGGCCGGTCAGGTCGGTGTTGTCCTGTTCGGTTCCGACCGTCTCGTCAAGGAGGGTGAGACTGTTAAGCGTACCGGTGAGATTGTAAGTTGTTTGCCCCTTGGGTTCAATTTTGATATTGGATCCTCAGCCTCCAGCCTCATTTTTATCTCCAGCCATTCCTAACATCACCCCCCAGGTCGAGGTTCCCGCCGGTCCTGAGATGCTCGGCCGTGTCGTCGACGCTCTTGGTAACCCCATTGACGGCAAGGGTCCCATCAACGCCTCTGAGAAGCGCCGTGCTCAGCTCAAGGCCCCCGGTATCCTTCCCCGTCAGTCCGTCAACGAGCCCGTCCAGACTGGTCTCAAGTGTGTCGACTCCATGGTGCCCATTGGTCGTGGTCAGCGTGAGTTGATCATTGGTGACCGTCAGACCGGTAAGACTGCCGTCGCTCTCGACACCATGCTCAACCAGAAGCGTTGGAACGCCACCGGCTCCGAGTCCGAGAAGCTCTACTGTATCTACGTTGCCGTTGGTCAGAAGCGCTCCACCGTCGCTCAGCTCGTCAAGACCCTTGAGGAGAACGACGCCATGAAGTACTCTGTCGTTGTTGCTGCCACCGCTTCCGAGGCCGCTCCCCTGCAGTACATTGCTCCCTTCACCGGTTGTGCCATCGGTGAGTGGTTCCGTGACAACGGCCGCCACGCCGTCATCATCTTCGACGATCTGTCCAAGCAGGCCGTTGCCTACCGTCAGATGTCCCTGCTTCTGCGTCGTCCCCCCGGACGTGAGGCCTACCCCGGTGACGTTTTCTACCTGCACTCTCGTCTGCTCGAGCGTTCCGCCAAGATGAACAAGACCCACGGTGCTGGTTCTTTGACTGCCCTGCCCATCATTGAGACCCAGGGTGGTGACGTTTCCGCTTACATTCCCACCAACGTCATTTCCATTACTGACGGTCAGATCTTCTTGGAGGCTGAGCTGTTCTACAAGGGTATCCGTCCCGCCATTAACGTCGGTCTGTCCGTCTCCCGTGTCGGTTCCGCCGCCCAGGTCAAGGCCATGAAGCAGGTCGCCGGTTCCCTGAAGCTTTTCCTTGCTCAGTACCGTGAGGTCGCTGCCTTCGCCCAGTTCGGTTCCGATCTTGATGCCTCCACCAAGCAGACCCTTGCCCGTGGTGAGCGTCTCACTGAGCTGCTCAAGCAGAAGCAGTACTCCCCCATGGCCGTTTCCGACATGGTTCCCCTTATCTTCGCCGGTGTCAACGGTTTCCTTGACCAGATCCCCGTCGGCAAGATCCTCCAGTGGGAGAACGACATCCTCGCTCACCTCAAGAGCTCCTACCCCGAGATCCAGCAGACCATCGACAGCGAGGGCCAGGTCTCCAAGGAGCTTGAGGCTAAGCTGAAGGAGGTCATTGGTGCCTTCAACAAGTCTTTCAGCGCATAGGTGAGCTAAGAAAACAACTTTGAGGGGTCCATGGTGATCGTTCAGTTTTTCCTGACTCTTTCTATGTGTATAGACAAGATAGCTTGTACAATTTTGAGGCCATAATTTCGTTTTGTTCCTCTTGGTCCCTGACGTCCAACGGCGAATTTCGATTTCAAGCCCTGGATGTAGCGACGTAAGGCTATTCCTGTCTACTGGTTCTACTGGTCCGGGGTAGGGATCATGTTTCGCTGTGAGACTCTGGACTGACTTGAACAGCCTGATCTTTTGACCTTCCAAAATGTGATTATATCCTGTACGTTTAGATTTTTTCCGCGCATCCGGGGGCGCGTGATGGGAGGACACCAAATTAACTTCCATCTGGTCTCCATGTGTCTCTCCATGTTGGATCCGCAATTCATTTTCTTTTGTTCCATTTTGCGGCTTCCTTGTAAGCAAGTAAGTTGTAGCTCAAAGTTATTTGGGTCACATCACAGATCATGACATCTGTTCTGTGCCAAGTACAAAAGTTGTGCCAACCATTCAAATTTTAGTTTCTCAATCAGATATTTATTTAATATCCACCACATGTGCATTCCATTCCACCTATTAAGCTGTCAGTTTATTTATTTACAATCATCTACTAAGCCTGTTAGTCTAAAATCCCAGTCCCGTCACGAGCGATCTCGGCAAGTGAGACCGAAAACGGCAGCCGATCTCTTATCGATAAGCGAACAATCTTTTTCCTTTCAAGTCCCCCGCGCGAAGTTCTATATATCCCAATTCTTATTGCTCAGAGAATCAATTGTCGTCATGTCGGCCCCTACAGCTTCTGCGCCTTCTTCATGCAAGGTTATGCTTTCCAAGCACGTGGCCAATCGCTTGATCAGCGAGGTCCAGGAAGGCGTGAAGACGCTTGAGAAGCCGCCCCATTTGGTCGGATTCCTGGCCAACAATGATCCTGCAGCATTGATGTATGCGCAATGGACGCAGAAGACTTGTGAAGAGAAGTGAGTTCAATTCCCTGTTGTCTGGCTCCCTGGGGCGTTTTCAGCAGCTTCGGTTTGTTGGTGGGGTTGGCGGATATGATTCATACTTGCCCCTCGCCGCGGAGATGGAACTCATGCCCCCAAACAAAGCCAAAGACAATCATAATTACGAATTAATTCAAGTGATACAATATACTAACTTGATAAAGTGGATTCAAATACTCCCTTCGCGAAGTTACCCGTGACGACATCGAAGAAAACATCCTCGCTGCCAACACTGACGCCGACGTCGACGGTATCATTGTCTATTACCCCATCTTCAACAACCGTCAGGACCAATACCTGCAGCAGATCGTCGATGTCACCAAAGATGTCGAAGGTCTCAGCCACCGCTACATCTTCAACATGTACCAGAACATCCGCTTCCTGGACCCGGAAACCAAGCGCCAGAAGTGCATTCTGCCCTGCACGCCGTTGGCCAACATTAAGATCCTCGAATACCTGAACATCTACAACACTATTCTCCCCTACGGAAACAGACTGTTCGGTCACACCATTTGCGTTGTGAACCGGTCCGAGGTCGTTGGACGTCCACTTGCCGCTCTATTGGCCAATGATGGAGCTTGTGTGTACAGTGTTGATATCACCGGTGTGCAGAAGTTCACTCGTGGTGAGGGATTGCAGAAGCACAGACATGAGATTGTTGACCTTGAAGGTGCTACAATGAAGGATGTGGTGCCCCTATGTGATGTTGTTATCACGGGTGTGCCCGGTGAGAAGTTCAAATTTGACACCAGCTTGCTTCGTGAAGGTGCTGTCTGTGTCAACTTCTCAAGTGAGAAGGTACGTTATCCCCAGCCTTTAATATTTGAGGCGTTCTAACATTTTTTATAGAACTTCGGTCCTGAAGTCAAGGAGAAGGCCTCCCTCTACGTGCCCTCTATTGGCAAGGTTACTATTGTCGTTCTGCTTCGCAACCTGCTGGTGAGTTTCATTCAATTCATGGGAACCTTATAAACTTTTGAAAATATTTACCCTAACTTTCACTACAGAGACTCATCCAGAACCGTCGGGTAGACGATGTCAAGCCTGCTGCTGCCACAGAGCACCCTGGCACTCTCGAGGCTGAGACTGCTTCGTAGTATAGCAATCGATTGCTTCAAAAATGATGGATGACTAGGATGTGCATATGTTGAAAATTCTTGATAGATTTGGTTTTAGCCGTACGAATATATGTATGTTCTTACTGTACTGAGGATCCCGAGGTCGGCTGGTTGTTTGATGAAGTATATCATCGAGTCTACTGGTGCCTTGCCCAATATGCAGTGCATAATCCACTGATCCATGGATATCAAATCCATACTAGCACGACCTGGGATATCAAGAATTGCAGAGAATAGGGAATAACCCGAGATCGAAGCACCAGGTCGTAAATTCAAATATGTTTGTGATATGCGAACCTAATATGCTCAATGCACCCTTCACAAGATCGAAGTATCGTTTTAAGCCAGATCAGCGTTGCCATTGCCGCTTTTGTATACCAACTGGACCAAGCCCTATCGTCCGGAATCACTGGTCTTCTTCTCATTTTCCTTTGCCGCAAGCCTTAGTACATCAACTTCACTTGCCAGCCAGCGTCGGTACGGCTCCGGGTGAAACACGCCGTCAGCCGAGAACCATTTTGTAAAGGGAGCTTCGAAGCGCTTTTCCTGCAGGACCTTGCCAGCCGGGGACTTGTATTGGACGTGGAGTTTATAGGGCACAGAGTTCTTATCGACAGACGAGGAGATAGATATCTGTTGAAAGCGTTAGTCTCAAGCATACACATAAAAATGCTCAGGTGCATCCTTACCGTCTCTCCAGTTTTGCGCTTCCCGTGAAATACCTCCCCAGCTTCAACAGCCCAAATCCAATATGTCAGGGCGGTGTTGAGGATGAAATACGAGCATACAGCGATAATGATCCAAGGCGATGTGGCGGCCTCCCAGCCTAGCTTGCGGTCTGCATAGAAGGTGAATGCTGAGATCGCGACGGCGCTATATCCCAACGCGAAGCGGACGTTGGTCTTGGTGTGGTCTGGTGTGAAGGTGTAGGGCGCGGGGAGGTTGGTCAAGTAGGGCACTAGGGCGTCATCGCTAGTGGACTTGAGGTCTGGATGCAGACATATGTTAGTTAGTCCTAATGGCAGGTATATAGATCTCGTTTTGAGCAAACAAGGGTCTTGTACCGCACAAGTTGGGGTAGGTAGATCTGGGGAGACAAACCGTTGGTCGAGTAAACAGGCACCTTAGTCGCCATGACTGCGATTCAAAGAGAATGAAGATAAAGACAGTCGTAGCTGCTGAATATCTGGCCAAAAATGTTGCAGAAAAGGCGTTTCGTGGCGTTGACGAACAATGTTTATCGCAAGGACACAGTTGCGGGTTGGAGAGAGCTGGAGCTCTTGCGGGCCAATGGCAGCCGCCGCCGCGAACCTCACCACTTCGGTCCGACATCCCCTTCTCCCCCACACCAGCAATCAACCGCTAAAGGAATCCTCGCTGGGAGTCATTTGAGCAACACTTTCTATCTTAATTGCTCTGGTCTTTGACTCTGTTCAACATGGCTTTCCAAGGGGCTGAACAGACCATCCTTCGGGATCCGGCGCTTTTGTGAGAAGCCATTCCCATGAACGCGGAGATACCCAAACTAATTGTTGTCTGAACAGTTATTGGATTTTGTTCCCAATTTCAGTAGTCATGGTATGAGAAACTCTAGCCATTCGATATAGACTCTTCTAATCCATCGCACAAATAGATCCTGACCGGAATCCTGCGCCACTACGCAACAGTCTTGATGAACACGCCTCCGAAAGCCCCCTCCACTCTCGCTGCATCGCGCGAGCGCCATGCTCTCATCCGCGGTGTTAACCTCCGCAATCATGCTTGTGCTGTTCTGGACCGTGAATCCTTCGAGATGCGCAAGAACTACATGATCACTGGCTTCCGCAACGGCTCCTTCCTCAAGGACCCTAACAACCGGGGCCAGCCTCCTGCGAACCCGATGACCGACCCCGCAGGAATGGAGGCCATGATGGGCATGCTGAAGGGAAATATGATGATGATGATTCCTCAGACGCTGATTATGAGCTGGATCAATGCATTCTTTTCTGGATTCGTGATCTGTATGTGTTAATGAGGATAAGGATAATTGTGCGCTGCTAACAGGGTTGAATAGTGAAATTGCCTTTCCCCTTGACTATTCGCTTCAAGTCTATGCTCCAGTCTGGTGTTATGACCCGCGATCTCGATGTGCAATGGGTGTCCAGTTTGTCATGGTACTTTCTCAACCTGATGGGTCTTCAGTCTGTCTTTGCATTCATCTTGGGCAGCGATAATTGTGAGTGACACTTTATTTACCACGAAATGGGATTGCGACTAATGTGTATTATAGCTGCCAACCAAATGGCCCAACAGATGGGTATGGCTAACCCTGCTGCTATGATGAACCCGATGCAGCCCGGTCAGGACCCTGATAAGCTGTTTTTGGGTGAAGCCGAGAACCTCGAGGTGATGGAGTTCTTCTCCATTTTGAATGGAGTGGAGGAGCGAGTTCTGCAGAACTTTGCCCCAGAGGTGAATTAAATTGGATTTACGAAGGGAGATAGTCTGTACGGTATATAAAAGGGCAGTTGGCTCCGAATAGAACAATTTCACTATCAATACATACGCTTACAGGCTTGCAGCCTTAGAAAAGGCATTTACGAGTGCTGTGTATCCTGATTTAGCCCAGGCTATTCCATGGGAATTCCATTATCATTAAACATCCTAAAGATCTCATGAAGTCGTTACTGTTCAATATCATCGATAGTTGATCACACCATTCAACACCCAGACTTCTCCATTGGCCACCTTCTCCGCGATGCTGTCCACCTCGATATTACCGGGTTGGATCTAATACCAGTCAGTCATCAAATCCAGTGAAGATGGAACATATTACTCACAAATATCTTATCTCCCTCTTTTATCCACTTGATTTTCTCTCCTCCCAAAGTCTCTACCTCCTCTCCTTCTTTCCATGGGCTAACAGGGATGAGATGGGCTTCGACAAATCGCTGCAGATTGCGCTTCGCCCGATCCTGTCCACCCTCTCCTCCATAAGCATTTACATCCCCATACTTCGCATAGTCCTCCGGATCCTCCCATGGTTTCCGCGGTAATGCCTGGACAGCACTGTTTCGAGGTGCCAACACGGTGATATTCTTGGAGAAATCATTTAAACGAGAGGCGATCGGGTCAAAGTCGCGGGTCAGCTGAGCGAAAATATTGATGCCCTTCGTTTTGGGAAGAACATCCGAGATAACAGGTGAATCTTGGTCTGCATCGGCACCTTTATCAGGACCAGCAGGTTGTGGCTTAATGAAGCCTGGGATGACTTTATCCATAATGGGATGTGGATTTTGTGATAAACCAAACGGGACTTGTCGGAGCGTGTTGGGTATAGATAGACCTAGAACTGCAGCTGAAGAGCTTAAAGCAGTGCAAAGCAGAAACAAAGATGTAATCTGAGTGGAGTGTCTCATCTTGGCTGAGCTGCAAGTGGGATGTACAATCTGGAGTACCGTTTCAGCCCATGACGCAAGGTACACGTGATATCGATAAGTAAATATACCACGTGACCCTTATCGATAAGACAGAAAATGGCAGTCGCCCGTCACCGGAGGGCAAGGTGCGCCCCTGGTATTGTTCTTATTCGATTCATTTGTGGTGTGAACGCTCTTTTTCCACACAATGTCGGCTCTGCAGACCTTCATGCTGGTCGTTGACAACGACAAAGATGAAGCAAAGAGCATCGCTGACTCTGTGGCACAAGGTAAATCTTGTCCAATCATGCCACCCCGCACTCGTCTTAGTGATATGATTATAACTGAGCTGCAATGTAGATTTGGAAAACAAAAAGACTACTTTAATCGATATTGTCCGACAGCTTGGCGAATACATCAATGACGAAGATCCAATTCTACGTGGAAAGGCAATTTCCTTCCTCACTGCGGTGATCAAGGCACTGCCGCCCCGCTTCCTGTCGAGACAACAAATCCAGGTTTTGACGACGTTCTTTGGTGACCGGATTGAGGATGGCGGTGCTGTTGCGGGACTGGAAAGATTGCAGGGTTTGGAACGGTTCAACAAGGAATTGGCTATTGAAACTGCCCAGGCGTGAGTCTCATACTTTCATACTCTGTTTTGTAGTCGACAATATACTAATGCTATAATAGCTTGTTCGCCAACTTCCAGGACCTTCAATCCCGTTCCCAGACACAGCGATTCCAGGTCTATCAGTTGCTGAATGAATTGATGTCAAGACATCGGGGGGCTCTGCGTGATATGGGCGATGATTCCCTCATGGGAATTGTGGATCTCATGACTGGAGAGAAGGACCCACGTAATCTGATGATGGTCTTCTCCATCATGAAGGTTGTAATGATAGAGTGGGATATTACAAACCATGCCGAGGTAAGGATATTGCAGCCAGGAAAAGTAACACAGCAGCTGATTCTACTAGCTTCTTTTTGACGCGGTATACAACTACTTCCCTATCACCTTCCGACCTCCGCCAAATGATCCATACGGGATTACCGCACAAGACTTGAAGGGCCGCTTGCAGGATTGTATTTCGGCGTCGAGACATTTTGCGCCGCATGCTATCCCTTCATTGCTGGACAAGCTTGACTCTACTTCCCCGAATGTTAAGGTATATCTATCTGATGAAGACCTGTATCCAAATACTAATACCCATGTAGAAAGATGCCCTGAACGCATTGATTGCGTGTATTCATTCATACGACCCGGACACCGTATCTCGATACTCTATCACCATTTGGGAGGTCCTCAAGTTCGAAATTCTTAATGCCCAAGAAGAATTTTTGTCAGAGTTGTCACTGGAGGCCCTATCTGGAATCGCACAGCGACTATCTGAAGGTGTAACCCAAGTTTCGTCAGACCTGCCCCTTGCGCAATATCTCCGACCTATCACCCAAGAGTGCAACGAGCAATTACAAGAGCCTCAACAGAAGCAGGCAAAGCCTGCCCAACAGATTCTCAGCTCGCTGTCGTCGTCTTCTGTTGTAGCATTTACGCTCATTGTGCAGACTGTTGTTGCTCCCATCTTTACTATCTACCAAGAGGCAGATGGCATCGTTAAGCAGCGGGCTCTCCTTGAGACGCTGGCTGTCTTGTTCCAATCTGCCACCCAGGTCTTCGGGCAATGGACGACTCGTGGTGGTGAAGTCGCTCACGAGAACCCCTTGGTCGAGTTCAAGGATCAGTTCTCAGATGTCTTGGGACAGGCATTAATGGGTTCTGCTAAGGATGAGGTCTCTTTCCGTGTCACTGCACTGAAAGGATTTCTGCGGCTTTCGACCTTGCGAAATTTCTTCCAGGACAACGAAATCGGATTATTCGTGCAATATTTGGATGAAATCCTCCTCACAGAACAGTCTGTTGGTCGGGATGACCTGAAGAAGGAAGCCATTGCAGCACTGGCTGAGATTTCTAAGCACAAGCCTCGACTGATTATGGATATTACTTTCCCTGCATTTGTGGCCACATTGCCCGACGAAGATGATGATACGAATTCGGCTTACTTGTCCACTTTGGATACCCTGGCCCAGATCAGCGTTGAGAGAGACATTTTTGAAACCCTGTTCCGACGACTATTCAGCAAGCTGTCTTTCTTGCTTCAAAAGGAGCAGCCTGGGTCTGCGGCATACCCTCGTGCCATCCTTGTGACTCTGCTGTATGTTATGCAGCAAAGACAGATGGATGCTGACCCGAACGTGGACTTTTACTTTGACAAGATTGTTGTTGGTCTCTGCCGCAGCGTTGCAGATTCCGCTTCAGGACAGGGAAAGAACCGTCTTCTCAACGACCCTACTATTCTTGATACTCTAGGCCGGCTCTGTAATCTTCTTATGCGAGCTGTCTCTGTTCAGAAACAGGAGCAGGCTGCACACAATGTCTACAGCCTCTTCTCGACCGGAGGCTTTGTGCCGGTACCTTTCTCTGAAGGCGCAAGTGCTGACCAAGAACGTACCATGATCATTTCGACATATCTCCTCGCAGGTCTGCCAAAGGACTGCGTCAATCTCATCCCCAATACGCAACCTGATATGTCGGACCTGCTTTCAGATCTGATCAAGCGATCTATATCTGACAATGCAGAGCCGGCCACCCATCTTGCATTTTTGCATCACTTGGCCCTGCTTGTAAACAAGTTCTTGTCTAAACAGGATTTGAAGATTGCTGAGAAACTTTTTGATTCTCTTGTCTCGCCAGAAGGCCAGTCTTTCAGCCCGGCTACTATTCGTACCGTCTTCTGGCTATCAAAGGCTCTCGTTCTTCGTCTTTCCCCATCCACTACTCATATTCTGACCTCCCTGATGGATCTCCTCTCTTCCCCTGACCAGCAAACGAGCAACTCCACTGCTCGCGGGTTTTCAATTCTTCTAGGCGATGATGATGTTCTTTCCGTAACCAACGGTGCCACCATCCGCCTGCTATCCAAGCAGCGCGTCTTCACTACCGTCATCCCGCTGATCTCATCGCGTATCCGCGACGTCAACATCGCTGGCAATGACGAATCTTCCTCAAAATTATTAGACCACATCAAACCAGCCCATTTAACCGCTTTGGCCGGCATCCTCTCCACAATCTCCACAGCCCTTGTCATGCCCGAACTTCCCACCTTACTTCCCCTCCTCCTCCAATCCCTCGACCTCCAAACCGCCGACTCGGTTGCCGTCCGCGCCGCAACCCTCGACACCCTCGCGGTTATCATCCGTGAGAACGGTGTCACCACCATTGACAAGTGCGGCCACGTCCACAGTCTTGTCCAGAGACTCCTCAAGACAACAGCTGTCAGACCCGGCCCTGGTATCGTGAACCCTCCCCGCCTTCGCGTTGATTCTCTCAGATGTCTTTACCTACTCGCCACAAGACAGACTTCCGAATCAGCACCCAATGCCCGGATCCCACCTGCCATCTCGCCGCTTCTACCTGAAAAAGCACAGGTCCTGCGCTCTTTGCGGGCTGTGTTGGATGATCCGAAGCGTGATGTGCGAAAGGCTGCTGTGGATGCGAGCAGTGCTTGGTTCCGGGGTGTGGATGATGCTCCGGAGGAGGATGATTGAAGATTTGATTGACTTGATGATATAGAGGTACAATTTTTTTTTTAGTACATACTGTTTGGGTGCATTCACACTAGGATAGAAAAGTTTCTGTTCCGCTATTCACCCAATTATTTGTCCATCCCTGTTTACTTCGGATATACTACAATGTAGCATGTAACATTTGAATGGTCTTCACTAAACCGATCTCAACATAATGCGTCTTCATCCCGAGAACATCTCTCTTTATCTCCAACGGCCTCGCGATCTAATCACCTCCACTTTTATCCAGAATGAGCCGCCACAATTTATGATAATCGAGGTCGCTGTCCACGCCCATACTCCCTTGTCGGGGACGGACGGTAGACTCTCTACCCATATCAGAAAAGAAATTCTTCTATTACATTCGCTTCTCTAGAGATCGACTATACAAACAAGCTTCCGCGAATACAAAGGAAAGTGAGTTTGGAAAATAGAAGAAAAAAACATTTCGAATTAGTTACAGAAAACACCCGAACTTTGGAATCCTATGAACGAAACCTGCCCTGACTCGTTTCCTAGGGCAATCATATTCGAGTGTACTGCGAAAGCGCCAAGCAGAGACCTGTACTCAGGAGGAATCCATAACAATTTTATCCCGTTTACATAAAGCCAGTCATCAGAAGAGAACTGCGCAGATACCTCTAGGTTTGAACTGGGGGAGTTTAGGATGAGATTGGTATTTTTGGATCGAAAGCTGAGCGATGCTCGCATAATCTGGTCTTTTTTTGAAACTTTCAGAAGTGAGTCATCTTGAGAGAATTCAAGTTGAATGATCCCTTCCTCTGAGCTCCACGTCTCTTGAATTTCTCCCGTCACGGTGTTCCAAAGACGCACTGTGTGATACGAACAGCTAGAAGCCACTTTGCCACCAGCAGGTGAGAAGGCCACCGAAGGAACCCACTGTGAATGGCCCTCGAGAGTGTGTAGGAGGCTGCCTGTCGTTATATCCCAGAGCCGCACTGTGCAATCAGTAGATCCGGACGCCAACAGTCGGCTATCGGGTGAGATTGCCACCGACAAAACCCCGCCCGAATGGCCCTCGAGAGTATTTAGGAGACTGGCTGTCGCTATGTCCCATAGTTGCACGGTGCAATCCAAAGATCCGGATGCCAACAGTCGGCTATCGGGCGAGAAGACCGCCGACAAAAACAGGCCCGAATCGCCCTCGAGAATCTGCAGTAGGCAACTTTTCGAGATGTCCCAGAGCATTATCTTAAACGCATGATATATACCGGTAGAATCGTAGGAGCCGCATGCCAGAAACTGACCACTTGGCGAGAAGATTGGCGAGAAGGCCAATGGGCTAACTAAGGCTGTAGGGCCATCTAGAGCTTGCAACAGGCAACCTGTCACGGTATCCCAGAGCTGAATTGTGTGATCCCTATTTCTGGAAACCGAAAGTCGACCATTGGGCGAGAAGGCCACGGACTCTATCACGCACTTACGGTCGTAGAAAGTCTGCTGTGAGTTGCCTGTTGCGGTGCCCCAAAGCCGTATAACCTTATAGTCAGTGCCAAACGCTAGTCGACCATCGGAAGAGAAGGCCATTGAAGGCACCGGCTCCGAACCATGAAGAGTCCGCTGCAGGCCACCCGTTGCCGTGTCCCAAATGGTCACTGCGTGATGAGAGCCGGACGCTAGCTGCCTATCGGATAAGAAGGCCACTAGAGTGATCGAGGAATCTCCTCGGAGGGACTTTAGTACTTCACCCGTCTCGATATCCCATATAAGCAACATGCGATCACTAGAGCCGGATGCTAGCCGGCCATCGGGTGAGAACGTCACCGCCCAAACATCGTCCGAGTGGCCCCATAAAGTCTGCAGCAGGGCACCCGTCGCCGTGTCCCAGAGCCGCACCATATGATCTTCAGAGCCGGACGCCAGTAGCCGACCATTAGGCGAGAAAGCTAATGAGAGAACTGAGTTTGAAGAGTTGTCCTCGCGACTCTGCTGTAAGAAGTCTGCTTCTGTATTCCAGCGCCGCACAGCATCAGAACCGGACACTAGTAACTGGCCGTCGGGTGATAAGGCCACCGAATAAACACTGTCAAATGGCGATTTAGAGTCCGCAACAGGCTACCCGTCGCCGTATCCCAGAGCCGCGCTGTGCAATCACTAGAGCCGGACGCCAGAAGCCGGCCATTTGGCGAAAAGGCTACTGAATAAACTCCACCCCTATGGCCCTCGAGAACCAGTAGCTCCTCACTCCATTTTTCGTTGACTTGTGGAAAGTGATTTATCCAACTAGGGAGGTCTGGTTCAAACTCCGTGCGAATGATGGACGTTCGAGGTGCGAACACCAAACCGGCGCAATAGATTTGGAGTGGCGCTTTATCGGCAATATAGTGATATTTCAAAACAAATTGCTTTGCGTCGTACAGGAAGTCAGACATTATAGAATCACCATTGCGCTTACAACGTAGTGTCAGTATACTTCATAAATAATCGTTTACTACAAATTTCACTTCCAGGTACAGCCTTCTGGAGGATATCAATATTATCTAACACTTCCAATAGGAGGCCCAGCAGGCTCATCGCCTCCATCCAATGCAAGAAATGCTTTCGGAGGAATAATAGTATGTTGGCGATATCTGAATGTAAGAGCTGACTCCTCTCAAAATGGTGTGTCCAGTACCGACAAGAGTATTGCAGTTCCGGTGGTAAAGGATGGCGGATTCTTTCATCTTCGATGTGTGACCTTTCCGCACCAGGACTTTCTAAATTGCAAATATCCTTCTTCGAATGCATGCGCATAAGTTTAAGGCAGTTCAGAGCAATCTCCCTTTGCTTTGCAGGCTCGTTCACTCGAAATTGGCTCTTGGATTGGACCAAGAAGTCTCGAAACGATAAATGAAAGATTCTGACTGGCAAATTTTGATCGCTTGGCAAGTTGACAACGGACCGGAAATTATCTAGAAGATTCAAAATTTCTCTTGCTTTGATGCTGATAAAGTTTAAAAGCTCGTTGACGGAAAGGGGAACAGCAAGAAGGATTATAATGCCGACAATCTGTTGGAAACTTTGCAGCAATTCTTGCGCATCCTCCTCATCGTGGCCATTCAACAGTTGCATAAGAACCGGTAGGTACGTCTTGTCCATTCTCGTTGCATATTTGGCTCGGTCCTCAAGGAGATTGTTGAGAGATTCCTCAGGATCCAACTTGCTTTCAAAAACCGGTGTATAGTGGCGGCTGAAATGAATAAAGGGACTGACATTTTCACAAGAGCTTGAATTCTGTCATTGCCCGGCCAATCGATAGGGACATTTTTCGCGTCCCTGATCATTTTGAATCGGTCCTCAAAGAACAAGGTGATAGCATGTGTTGTCGCAGCTTCGGGCATCTCATGAAGTGCTAGGTCTTGATACTCATGTTTCGCAATTTTCGAAAAGCCCAAGCGAATCGGCAACTCAGGTCGACTGGTGAGAAAGATTCGAAATTGTATAGAGCCAATATTTTGCACTTGCGGTAGTAAGTGAAGGATGACTTGTCCCGGATTCACATTCATCCAATGCGTCAATCACGACAGCAACCACACCTGGGGCCGAGTAGAGATTTGTAGTCCCTGTAATGGTCGAATAATCAGTTTATCACATTGTTCTCTCATCGATTTCGCGGCAATATCAGGATCGCTTTCGATTATTTCGTGGAGACTCGGAACAATGCCAGGGACGCTTGCTGCTAATTGTCGAGTGATCGTGGAAAAAAGCTTCCTAGCATTTCCTCGATCCTCTTCACCTCTTTTGAAGAAGAAGCAAGCGGTCACCACGTCCTGTTGGCGAAATGACCTTGCAACGGTGCGAGAGATCGTCGACTTTCCCGTCCCTGCCATGCCATTCAGCCAATATATGCATTTTCCGTGTGGTGACAGAACCCATTGTTCTATGCTTTCGAGAAGCTCATCTCTTGTGCCTGGAAGACATTCATCTTCATGTTGGTCTGCATACGAGTTAAATTTGGCACCATGGGCAATGGGCAGCTTGTCTAGAGGGTCTAGATTTCGTTAGTTCAAGCATGAAACGTAAATTAAATGACTGACCTGTCACATGAGCGTGATTATTGATCGTGCCATTATTGATTCCAGTCTGGATTCCGGAATTGACACCGCCAAAAGATATTGTTGAGCTCATAGTTAAGGGGGCACAAAGAGTTGGTATGATATGGTGCGCGGGGCTTTTGTCCAAGTGACAGCGCATCTATCATCACCACGTGATATATCATTAGCTAGTACTGACCAGTAAGCGCCAGGCATATGTGCAAGCCTCATGATTTGTTATATGACATGTCATGTTCATCATATATGATACCTAACTATGAGAGTGGCTTTCAGTTAACCATGAGCGGTATCATACTCTCGCTGTATCAACTCCACATGTTCAAGTAGTACACTGTGCCTTATTCACTCAAATTGTATTACAGGCGCCTGGGTATATGTTAAAATATTTGATTGGCTCCAGAGCTAAAAGGCGAGCTAAGCTTGTTTCTGGGCAGCCTATTCTACATGCAAAAGTCAATAAAAACAATAACTCAGATTCTCACGGTAACTTTGGCCCTCTTCAGCCCTCACCACCGCACTGAACCCTGGAAAGGCTTTGTGGCAAGCACGAGTGCTCTACTGTCCGAAGAAATTCCTTTCTGAGAATCTGACCTCACCACGGGATTCGTTGCACCCTCGGTATTGTCAACGTTCATGCTAGACCTAAGGTTATTGGCCCCCACGAAATCGATAACCTTCACCACATTCTCTGCCAGAGAAACAAGAGCACCCAGGCCTGCGTTACCGATAGAAGAGGAAATAGTAGTCTCGCTGGAAACATCTGATTCAGTAAGAGGGACATGAAGATCGAGCGAAGATGGACGAGACACCTTTGGCGACAGGTGCACAAAATCGTCTCCAAAGAGAGACATTGGTTTCCATTCAGTTGCCTTGTCACCCAGCTCGAGCTTGAGATTGCTTCGGAGCACTGTATCCAGGATCTTGGATGTCAGAGAGACACTCCACCATTGCCGGCTAGCCTTCACCATCTCCTTTAACGGGGCGCAGTGCGCTGCGATAACCTTTTCTGAGTTATTGATAGAGATTATGAGGTCTTGAGTTTCTTTGACATGAAGATAAATTTCTGAATCCTTATCTGGGTAATTTGTTCGAATATGCCGGTGGGTAGTTGTGCGACGTAGAAGAACCTTTACAATCTTGAAGTCATCTGATCGCTTCAACACAAGACGGACGTGAGTGCGATTGGGTGCAACGGATAGATTCTGTGATATCTCAGTGGCAGCTTGTCTGGCCTCCCGACTGGTCTTTGTAAATTGTCCCACGGAGCCGTAGATAGTAAGAGATGCATCCCAAACGTTTCCCGGCACATTGAGATAGACCGATCCGATAGGCACCGGGGACTTAGGAACTGTTGTCATCTGTGATTGGTCGATGACAACCAAAAAACGCTCTTCGCCGATACTGCAGTGGAACTCATACTCGAATATTCCGTCAGTGGGTTCTGCCTCGAAAAGGCGAGAACCCTCGACTTCAAGATTGATGATATGGTCAATATCAGCTGGCGAGCTCGTAAGACGGCCAAAGAACTTCATGAAAGGTGGCGGAAGCTCGACATTTGGATCAAAAAAGACCTCCAACTCCTTCACGGTCATGTGTCCCATCTTGTCAGAATTGGGGCTTCGATACAGAAGAAGGAGCCCAATCTGAATTTCTACATTTAGTATACCTGGGTATGAGGTAGCAGCATCGAGAAGAGGACAGATGGTGCGGAACAAGTATCTGATTTGATCTGCCTTTTCAGCCGCTTGTCGATTCTTCCTCTGGGTCGTCTTCGAATTCTCCTGTGATCTGGCTTTGGATGGGCCTGGTAGCGACAGGATTTCTTGCTCACCCCATGCCATGGAAATCAGGGCATTGTGCCTCGCCTCGATCACGGTTTTGGGCTCTGTGTGTCCCTTTTGGAGGGGATTCCTTCCGGATTTCTGGTTCATCGTAAAATGCATAGTTGATGGCTCAGGCCGCTTAACCTCCCGTTCTTTGCCCTTAATTGGATATTGATTCACCAAGTGAAGGATTTCTGGAAGTTCAGTTTCAAATTCATTAAAATTGCTTTGATCCTCAAACATAAATGGGTAATTCGGAAGGCTCAGATCTGGGAACCATTTCGGGGTTTCAGGTGCAATTGATCGTGCTTTCTCTTTGGCAACGCAACCCTTGCACTTGCATATATGCCGACAGCCAGCCAGGAAGTCCTCTCTATTTGGAGAAGGAGGGTCTGGGGAGCTTTCATCAGACGCTGCAGTAAAAACGCGCTGGGGCGTGGGAGCCGGCGAGGGAGTTTCGAGTTCAAGACGAAGAAATTCGGCAATCATTGGGGCGGGAGCAGTTGCTGGACTTTCAAAATCAATCAAATCACCATGAAGCTTGGCGACAGGGACCTTTCTCATGGAGGGAGACTCTAAAGCCGGGTCAAGCGACTCCATGATTCTTTTTTGCAGTATCGCCTGCGGAACAAATATTGGGGCTGTGGCCCGGAGAGTTGATTTCGATGCCGGTACAGGTTGGACTGGCAGCTTCTTATCAACATTTTCAGGGACTTCAGGGGTATTGAAAGGGGGTAGAGACATAAACGCAAGCTTTGAACCAACGGGCTCAGCTAGAGGAATGGCAACAGACGGGGTATAGATAGAGGGTGTTGCCGAGCGAGTAGGCGAAGCCGATTTTATTGACTTAGTTCCAGGAGTAGACTTGACCGACTGGGCAGCAATGTTAGCCTTTCGGTTCTCATATTCAGCCTCTGTGACCCGTTTCTTGATACCACGCGGCTTGCGAGGTTCCATCTTCTCTTCACTCTTCTCTCCACTCGACGGCTCTGATACTGGCGCTCCAATCAGACTAGTAAGAAGCAAACCGGACGACGAAGTCACAGCCGGCGTTCCAGAAGTAGTTAACTGCGAGTCATTGACCCATTGACCAACCTCCTTTGCCTTAAAGTCACCCAGGTAAGGATGATGCTCGGAGCCAGTATCGGTCTTCGTAGACCACTGGGGGCTGAAGACTGAGGGCAAAAAGTCAGAGTATACGTTGCTACTACCATTTCCTGGGAAACGGAAGTCCTTCCACGCTTGGATCATTTCTGGATAATTTGCAGCCGTCTGTAGGGCTGGTGGCTTGTCCAACTGGTCGAGCAGATTCCAGGAATTGATCTTCGTGTTGTAGTGGTACGTAACCAGGGCTTGCATGGCCAGCACTTCACCTAACGGTGTGGCCGTGTCCAAAAGAACACGCTGAATGGCCAGCTGGGTGGCTGTGAGGTCCCTAATCCGGTATCTCAATGAGGGGGACTGAGAGGCGACGACCATGGATACATGATGGGGGGCATCAGTTAAGTTCTGTTGAGTTAGATGTAGTTGAAGACAGGGGTATAGGGCTAGACGAACCATGACTACTGCGAGCTTATCGAGCTTCTCCATCGCCTCCTGGATCTCGCACTCAGCTGTAGACCGGATTTGGATATGGGTATTATCACCCAATTCCTCAATACGGATCTCTGTGTTTGTGGCGAGGGACACGAGAGAGAGAAGTCCGTATCGATCATGGCCGAAGTATCCCAGTGATCCTGCCGGGGTCCAGGTTCGAGTGACGACCTTGAGAGGCTTCTGCTCCTCCATTATGCCGATATCTTCATATTGAGCGCTCGGTCCGTCACTGGGTGAGGGGGAAAGGGACAAGGGAGAGGGGAGCGAAAACGAATTTGAATCCATGCTCGGTTCGTGGTTCTGATACATCTAGTATGCCCTATTAGTGGGGCGGTCGAATATTGGCATCATATGAACCACGTCTGAGGGTCTCAAGTCAAGGGCTTGAGTCGACAACGGTCACAAAACGTGATTCAGGCGGAGGGTAGGTGTTTCTGGTAAAAAGAAGGAGGACTTAAGTGAGGATTGAAGCTCTCACTTTTGCGTTGGAAGTAAAGTAAAGTTTTGTAGTGAATAGCGCCAAAATTCATGCTCAGTTGTGAGTGAAAAGTGATAGAACAATCCAGATAAGAAGTCGACTGGTGAGTTGTATGTGAGTTGTATGTGAGTAGGCATCAGGATAACCTATTAATGCACTTCACATCTCAAACAACACTTTGTCATATTCATGTCTTTGAAATTTAAATGCCTTTGAATTGAATATAGATACAAAATAAACATGCCTTAGAATTCTGAAGTACTCAATCATAGCGGTCATCATATATGAGATCTTACAATATCTAGGCCAACAAGAAGCTGTCATTGGGTATCTGCGCTACCCGAAACGCCATGCACCGTTAAAATAAGAATGCAAGATGCAGAAGAAGCCTTAAACCAAAGGTGAAGATTATAAGCGACATCAGGAATCCGATATGGCGTGGAAAGGGGTTCTGGACTATACCATTGTCAGCAACTCGAACCCTCTATATCAAGGAAGAACGCATACATCAATTATGAACCTGGTTTTTATTCAATTGAATAGCCCACTTCATCTCTGATTCTGTCTGCTTCAGGGACTTTATAGCAGCATCAATCTCAGCATTGTTGGCATGAGCCCGCTCAATTATCCCCCGTAGCTCTTCATCCTTCATCTTTTTGTATTCTGTATGATTCTCCAACAACTTCTCATGCACCTCCTTCAATCCCTCAATTTCCCGGTTCTTTTGATCGGCAAGGACATCGAGCCGCTCCGCACACACCACCTGAGTCTTTTGCGCCTCCGCTATTGCCTGCAATTCGGTCCATAGCGCTTGTACCCTTCGGGTGAGCTCGGCTTTATCCCGCTTCGTCATACTAGATAAAACCTCGTACTGTGTCTCGTGGTACTTGGCTATCTCCTGTGTCCGCGCTTGCTCCCGGTGGTGATTCTCACGCTCTTCCCGCATGGTCTCGTTCGTCCGGCTAGCGTTTTCTTCGGCGTCTTGTCGCTTGTTTCGCTCGCCCGCGTGCTCGGCGCGGAGGTCTTCGATTTTGCGGTCTTTCCGGGCGATGGAGTTTAAATTTGTCTCGTTGACTTGTTCTAAGTTCCGGAGGCGCTCGTTCATGTTTTGGGCTTGGATCTTGAGGGCTTCGTTCGAGCGCTGGGTTTCTTCGGCGCGGGAGCGGTAGAGGCTGCACTCGCGGGTTAGGCGCGCGATCTCTTCTTGTAAATTATGGATGACACGTCCGGATTTGCCGGTAGCGGCGTGGCCAACGGCGGACCATTCTGTAGGGGCTTCGGGGGTGAAGTTTGAGCTTTCGGAGGGATTGGAAGGTTGGGGCGGTGAATTGGTAGAATCTAGGTAAACAAACAATGTCAGTAGCTCACCGGCGGAGCGATGGGAGGAAACTAACCCGTCAGACTGTGATCAGCTCCATTCTCAACCCCCATTACCCCATCAACAGAGTCTTCAAAAAAGCCATTGAGGTGCATGTTTAGCTGTGTGTCCACATGGGGGAGATTGACCTGTGGCGCTTCTGTCGTGGTAGACGAGGAGTCAGTATGCATGGTATCGAGTTTTCGAAAGGACTCAAGCCGTCGCATGACGCGCCCCAGGTGAGCCATACTGGATGACGTTTGGGGGCGCTGAAGATTGGGGCCAGTGAAGTGTGCGTGTCTGCATGACAGATCCGATTTCCTGCAAGATGCGAGGGGGGTCCGGTCTTCCCAGAAGGCAATTGCAACCTGAAAAATACTTGAAGGGTGTCACACGTACCAGTATTATTAAACGTGGCGTAGGAGATGGACTTATGTCTGATCGAGTCTGGATTTAACGGGACATTCTAATTGTGGGTCATTCGTGAGTGGAGACAAAATCAATAGTCAGGACTCAGTAGTGCTTAGAAGATCAAAAACAGAAACAAAGGAAAGAAGCTCGGGGTGAAACAGACCAATCAAGCTGAAAGAATTAAATTGGAAATGAAAAAAAGGGAAATTCATCCTAGTTGACTTTGCTTCAATGACGCCACATCACTAGAGCCGGACGCTAAGGAAAGGTCGGCGAACCATGAATACACATGTGTATGTATCAAATGTCAACACAATGAGATCATATCAACTTTACGGAGTACAGCGGGAAGGATCTGTACGGAAACTGAAAAATTCATACCTCCACAACGACCAAAAGCCTCCTATCATTGATATCAAGGGGTATTGGGATGTATATACAGGAAGGCAGCCCCGGTCCAAACAGGGGACATGAAACGATACCACTCCCAGATAGAATCACAATGAAGTATCAAATTAAAGTCCCAAGTAGAAGAACACAGCCATGGCACCAGCTGCTAGCCCAACAGAGTATCGTAACACAGAAGCAGAGCCCTGAACACTGGCAGTCGCAGATGCATCCTTTTCATTGATATCTGAATCACTGGTACCAAAGGGGGCCTCAGCGCTGATGGAGCTGGTGGCCATGGAGGCAGGGGTGCTGGAGGGTGTGCCGGAAACAGAGGAGCTGATCAAAGGCTTGCTGCTAGTGCTGGTACCAGTGGTCTGGCTGGTAGCTTCAGTGGTAGGGGCCGTGGTGGTTCCAGTACCGGTTTGAGTCGTATCGGAAGCCGGAGGGTTGACGGGGGCACCAGCTCTCAGGAGAGCAGAGTAATTCCTCTGGCCATCCTGTGTAACTTGGAAGGCATAGGTCTCGCCTTCTTTGATATTAGAGCCAGGAGTCCAGGTAAAAGTTCCATCCTTGCCCTGAGCGGTGATGACCTCCACGTCCTGCAGGTCCGTGGAAGTACCCTTCCGTAGGGTAAGAGTGACAGGCTGAAACATGAACGAAGTCAGCAACCTGCCACAATGGTCTTTATTAAGAATTGGACTCATCCTACCTCATTGGTAGCGGCACCTGTCCATGTCAGAGTGACGGGCTTCCCAGCCGCGATATCTGCGGGCCAGCTAGTGAAGGATAGAGGGTCGGCGACACAGCCCAAGGTAAAGATCGAAGCTGACACAGCCAGGATAGTAGCGAAATGCATGCTGAAAATAAAAATTGATAATTAGAAGGTAATAATTAGGAAAGTGTCGTATTAATGTCGTAGACTTATTGACGAAGAATATTGATGCACAAGAACAAAGATGTCGGTGGCGCCCAACGGTTCTTATTCTCCAGAAGAAATCCCAGCTATTGCAAAGTAAGTCCAGTGTGCTGGTATTCGATTGTTGACATCCGCTCCCTGGGAGAATGTCGCATTCCTGGGGTATAAACACTATGATCTTGCTGGAGAGCCCGAAGCATGTAAATCCATTTGTTAAGATAATTCATCCTGAAGACACATGAAAGTCTCCACTAAGGACTCCAATGTTTGGAGATCTCAGGATGTTCGCTTCAGGATGGATGGTGAAGCTATACGTGTGTTGGTCAGTCATCACTAGCACTGGGCATTTCCACCCGTTCAAGCTGGCTGAACATACCTCCCAAGTGCTCCTTGGCTGCTTAGCATCCGAATAAACAATGCACAGACCATGGCTGATGTCCAGATCCAGGAATGTTATCCCTTCCCGACGTTCGTCGACCAAGGCTTAGGGCTTACCGATTTCCGTAATTCATACTGTCGAGCAAGGTATTCCACAGTGTGCGAACATTTCTCTCTGAGACCTGGGGTTTACAATATCAAGGGGGCGCAAAAGCTCAGTGTATATGCAGTTGTCATCGATCCAGTCTGGAGACGGCATGGCTGTCGATCTTATAATCTGCAAGGGCGGCCGTCAAAGTTGACAAGTGCAGATTACATATAATTTTCTTAGCTGCCCCGCGGGTATAAGGTTCATTAAACTTGGTTTGTACATTGATCGCGTGATTATATCAACATTGATATGTGACTCTCTTTTTGCGAGACTAAAATCTAGCATGATATACCCAATTTTATCCTCCAAACGCCAGCTGATGGTTATATGCTAAAATTTTACATTCAGGAAAACTCCCACAAGCCACGCATAAAGGACCCGGCTCCCGAATCCACTCCACCATCCTCCTCAAGCAAACGATCGGTGAAAATACGCTTGGGGATCTGGTATTCCACAACAGGAGTCTTCTTCAATGGTCTCTCTCCAGTTCCCAGTTCTTGTGTGACCATTCCCTGATAAGTGTGGTCCAGGAAATCCTCCAGGTTATAGTTTTGCTTGGTGAACTGTTCGGAAATGATGCGAGCGATTGAGGCGACGTTGGGGTGGTAGTGAGACTGTAGGGTCACGATCTCCCAAAGACTGCTCTCAATAGCACGGGTGCGGGTGGGGTCTCTCTCGGTAGGATTGAACGGGTCGTCCATGCCTACTTCTTCAATCTTGGCTTCACGCTTCTTGTCGGTGATGACCCGGTGCATCATGAAGGTGGTTGCGGGGTGGCTCTTGAAAACATTGTACATGAAAGGGACGATGACGACGATGGCCGAAGGTGGGGCATTGAGGGCCAAGCGGGCCAGTTTCTTGATAAAACTAGCCATCAAGGTGGCCGGAAGATGGGTCGAGGAGAGGAAAGTGTTCAGCAATCGGAAGAATTTTGACCGGTGCTTGGAGTGAAGCAGGTCTTCATCGAGAAGCGAATAAAGCTTGGGGTAGAAGTCTGGGTAATCCAGATTCGTCTCTTGAATGAGGTAGAAAAGACCGGACAGAGCGAGAAGCGAAGTGGCACCACCGGTATCGTAAGAGCGTGTCAAAAAGTCCATGAGCATATGCGGGTTTTTGAACCACGGCACAATGTGGTGCACCATACTTCGAAGGAGATTCTTTCGTTGCGCTTGCGAGAGGTTGTTCTTGAGAATCTCTACCCATGCCGCCTGCACGCGAGACTTATGCTCACTCGCTGAGGCGACCTGCTTGTTCTTGGTCACAAAGAAGTTTTCGAATTTGTGGTCTTTGCTGGGCACGTCGTCGCATGCAGAGAGGATGGATACGATGGAATCGAGAATTTCGGGGCTTCGACGGGTCTCTGCGTATTCACTGATTATAATTAGCAAGAAAACATCGACCAAGGAATTGAGATACATACGCGATATGTCCAAAAGTATAGTATCTCACATCTTCATATCCCTTCAAGAACTTCGTGATGAACTCTGTGTGCAAATCCTGATTCTCAATCACGGCTTCCACAATAGACTTGAAGTTATTAGACCACGCAACGCCCTCGTCTGCGGGGACATGTGTGATGCGCGCTTTGATCATACGCATGCTCAGCGCTAGAGCAGTGGTCTGAGATGTAGCATCAGCCTCGCGCATGATATCCACAAGCCTGTCCATGTAATTCAGACAAGTGCTTCTAATCCACTCTGTGCGCTTTTTTTCCTCTGGAGTAGCACGGCTCGACGTAGTAAAGTCTCCCGCTGCCATCAACCGGCTGAAAATCCGGCATAGAGACACTGCAACGGCAAGGTTGGGGTTTTTGGCTGATTCTTCGACATTGAGCATTTTGAACAGGGTCACGATATTGTTGAGCTTCGATGGCGACTCCGCAATCTCTTTTTCGAGCTTCTCGATTGTAGACGGGGTGTCGGCGACGTCGTCTGCGACTGCGCGGCGTTTGGAGGGAGCTCCAGCATTTTTGCTGCTTTTGCGCTTTTTGGAAGCGTCGACGGCGGCGGGCATGATGTTGTTTTTCTTCCTGCCGTGGTTCAAATACCCTGACGTTTATCACTGGCGTGATCTCGGGACAAAAAAAGTATGGAATTTTGAGATTTCGGAAGCGGGTTTTTCCGCGCGCACCATACCAATTCCCAAAGGGGTTAGCGTTTGCAAGCCCGTCCTACCCGTCCCGACCTCAAACCTCCTCTCCGTTCACCCACTCTGTTAAGGATCTTTAAATCATCTGCAACAATGGCTGCCCGTCTTGCTAAGAGCGCCATTGGTACGTTTCAACCGACTCTTTATGATCCGATCTGAATCCCAGAGGTACTGACTTGCATCGTTCCCTAGGCGCCGCCCGGCTGCGGCCGACCGTTTCCATCCGCGCTCCTGTCGTCCCTGCCATCACTGCGATCCGCGCGGCCTCCAACGTCCCCGTTGAGGACCCCTCCAAGAAGGCTCAGTCTATCCTGAACGCTGTTCCCGGAAACTCCCTTGTCTCCAAGACTGCTGTTCTGTCCGCCGCCGCCGGTCTGTCCATTGCCGCCATCAGCAACGAGCTTTACGTGATGAACGAGGAGACCGTTGCCGCCTTCTGTCTGCTTTCCGTCTTCACCGCCGTTGCCAAGTACGGTGGCCCTGCTTACAGCGAGTGGGCTCAGGGTCAGGTCCAGAAGCACAAGGACATTCTGAACGCTGCCCGTGCCGACCACACTAGCGCCGTCCAGACCCGCATTGACAACGTCCAGGAGATGTCCGGTGTTGTTGATGTCACCAAGGCTCTGTTCGCCGTCTCCAAGGTGCGTATCTGTCGTCTCAAGGGCTGAATTTGACCAAGTATCAGATGGGTGTTAACTTCCTGAGTAGGAGACTGCCCAGCTTGAGGCTCAGGCCTACGAGCTCGAGCAGCGCACTGCTCTGGCCACTGAGGCCAAGCAGGTCCTGGAGTCTTGGGTCCGCTACGAGGGCCAGGTCAAGCAGCGCCAGCAGCGTGAGCTTGCCGAGTCCATCATTGGCAAGATCCAGAAGGAGCTTGAGAACCCCAAGGTTCTGCAGCAGATCCTTAACCAGAGCGTTGCCGATGTGGAGCGTGAGTTTAATTTCTTGCTGTTGTATTGGACATCTACTGACATCGACTAGGCATCATGACCACCAAGGCCTAAATAATTAGGACGGTGGCTCCACCGGCAGTTGCCCTGTGTACAAAACTATAGCGGCTATTTGCATCTGCTGAGTTAGATTTGCAATACCATTTTTTCTGTCACTCTGTATGCATTAATGAGCGCAGGTCAACCCTGCTGCTCGGCTCCATGGTCTCATTTCGTTGAATTGGCCTCTCATGCCTCGTATGTCTCGCATTGTAGCCCGGAACCAAGTTCCGACAAGTAGACCCTGGAGGTTCAAGGGTTTCTACTTTGACTGGATCCTAGCATGATTCTGGCGTCATATCCGGCGCATCTGTAATTTTCACAGGGTACTTCGGCCGTAGGGCTGGTTGACATCAGACCCGCTCACCATGCAGGGACAACCCAATGTGGGACTTTGTATCGGCGCTTGAGGTAAATGTATCTAGGTACGTAGTTTTTGACCTTTGCTCTGTGCGTTATAAATATGCTTCGTATCCACTACCTAGGTAAACCAATTCTGGTTGGACATGAGGTCACCCTTGGTTGTAACTTTGATTAGCCGCCCAGTCTGACCCAAGGAAACGTCTCGGTCAGCTACAGGCACAGATGCCTGTTTCATATTCTTACGCGCTGAGCTCATTTTGCATCTCATCATTCTCAATTTTGATTTTTATCTCCACCTTCTTTACTTCTATCTCTTATCTTTCATCTTTGAATTTCATCTTAGAAACCCCAGCCCCTCCTCCCCGCAACCTCCGCATGCGGCATATTGAATATCGCATATAGCACTACAAATCAACTACATCAACACGCAGCCATCATGCCGTCCCTCCGAAACATTCTCCACAAGCGCGAAGACCTCTCGATCAACACATCCACAGAAAACCCAACACCCATGACCCCACCCCCCGAGTTCACCTTCATCCGCTCAGACACCTTCGGCGAAGAAGTCATAACTCCGCCATCCCACGCAGACGACCCTCCATTCTCACCTAGATCGCCTTCGGACTCCCTTGACTCCCCTCGAACATCCACCAGCACATCCCGCCGCAGCTTCCAGCTATTCTCGCGCAACCGAGCCTCCCGCTCAGACTCGCTCTCTAGTCCCTCTTCGCCCCGCCGCGAGCACCGGATTTCAAACCTCTTGCACCGCGATGGAGGGCGTAGTCGCAGCAATTCGCACGACCTGTCTGTGAATCTTCCCGAGGATCTGCCGCAGATTGCGGATGATGCGCTTGACAAAGAGGAGCGCGAGGCGTTGTGGGAGAAGAGAGCTACTGTACTTGCGCGGCATCGTCCGGCAATGGGATCACCGTTGCAGTCCGAGTTTGATATTTCGGGGGAGTGGGGTGGACAATCTAGGAGTTCGAGTAGGAGTCGAGCTGGGGAGTTGCAGGATGATGTATGTGCATATGTGTATACATATATATATGTGGAACTATGAGGCTGACATTTTTTCTCTAGGCGAATATCCAGGAAGCGATTCGACTTCATGAATCGGGTGGTGAGTTTATTTTTCGGTCTATATATCCATCTCCACTAATTTTTTATAGATCTAGAACGATCCACCCAGATGTTCGGTCAGCTTGCGGATCGTAATGGTGCAAATAACCCTCTTAGTCAGGTTCTATATGGACTCGCTCTCAGGTATCTACTTATCTCCGAATTGATATGGGTTAACATCAATGCTAACTTTTACTGTAGACACGGTTGGGGGTGCACCGAAGATAGAAACCAGGCTTACACCTATCTTAAAACCGCAGCAGACAACGCAGCCGCCGTTGAATCTGAGGCACTAAAAGCTGGAATGAAAAAAGGTGGTTCCGCCAAGGGAGAGCTTGTGCTTGCTATTTTTGAATTAGCCAATTGTTACCGTTATGGCTGGGGCGTGAAGGAAGACGCTGTAGCTGCTAGGAAACACTATGAGACTGCTGCAAATCTCGGTGACACCGATGCTATGAACGAAGCCGCTTGGTGTTACATTAAAGGATATGGCCAGGAGAAGGGAAAGAAGAGGGATAAGGATGAGGATAAGGTATATCACGAGTATCTAATGTGTCGTGTCCCCGCTAATACGAAGGCTATAGCGCATGGCAGCGAAGTATTATCGCCTCGCGGAGAAGAACGGTTGCCCTACTGTGGGAAATTCATGGTATGTGATATAGCTGACTGCAAGCTTACCGGGTATCTGCTGACTTGCTTAGGATCTGGAAAGAGAAATGGGACGAAAAACCGGCCCATAAGGGAGTTTGATTTGACCCCCGCAATATGCGACCACATGACTGATGAACTTCTCGCACGACATATCACACTGCATTATTATGTTCTTCCTCTGTATATATATCACGAGTCTATGAACAGAATGATGGCATGTAAATATTTTCTTAAACCTTGGAACTGCCATTGAGTCAATACGAAGGATCTTACTGTACAGGTCGTTCAGATATTACCGTAGGTTTTGAGGACGGCCGAGGATGGCTCTGCTAGACCGTCACCTGAACACTGATTTTTCGAGTTGTTCTTGGTGACATGAAAGTAGTCCTGTTTGATTACCGAACATGACCCTATTTCTATGACATCATAGTGGCTTCAAATGTTGGTATGCACGCAAGGGGTCAAGGGATACCGGATTATTCGCTGTCTTATAGATACTAACTCCTTCATTTTGCTGTACCGAACAAAGAAAAAACGACTAGGCTGCGAGTTAAGATGTTATTACTTCGTTGGATAGATCTAGCCCCAAATAAGATAACATCCAGCCAACATCTGCACGGCCACCTTGAAGACGTCTATGAAATCAGATTAATATTACATCCATGGCATGATAAAGACCAATGACACCATAATACGAACATGCGGGTATAATCTCAACCTAGCGATATGTTTATCCCCGCAAATCCAAGTCTGAATGGGGTAACTGACCCGGATTCAGGGGATCAGGTACATTCTTCCGTGGAGACAAGCTCTTTGGCAGACGGTGGAAACTTTGTTCGGAGAATTAAACGAGTCGGTTCAATTGATTTTAGACTACGTTTATGATTCAATCCCAATACCCACACCTATGGTCTTTAATCTGGGGTACCCCGGAGTCCTGAATTGTACCTGGAATCTCACGTGCACCCACTTGAAAACAGCTTATGATATTTGTAACATACCACTATGCAAGGGAGAGGCACTTGTTCCATTGAAGGCATGGAAGTCAAGTAACGGACGGTCCGTCCGAAGTCCGAGAACCACTATACCTTTAATGTCGGGGTAATTTGCTACACAACGCTAACTATATCCAGGCTACATGCTTCCTTCGACCCCATAAACAGTGTATTAACCTAACAGGGACTCCTTTAGCCCGGGGTCCCCACACCGACAAGCAATTGGGGTGGGGACCGGCACAACATTTAACCCCAACGCGAAGTCCGGGGTTACCCCGGATTCTACCAGCTCTCTCATTATAAAGACCATCAAAGCCATGCTCTTTGCTCAATTCCCCAGCAGAAATTTCTCTGAGATCTACATCTCGGATTTTGATCTTGGGTAGATACCAATATGCGTTATTCCAGGACCCCTGCGGCCGCACTCGCCTTTGCGACTGCGGCCTCCGCTACATCTCTCAGCACCATTTGCACGGACGCATATGCGAAGAAATCCTTGCCAATTGGTGCTATTGATGGTATCACGATTGATTCATCTTCGGTTTCGACGAGCCTTGTTACGAATTTTACTGCTACTTCGATTTTTTTCCCTACCGATACCTTCAACTACTGCAATTTGACCTTTGCCTACTCCCATGATGGTATTGATGGGGATGTGGTTCATGTGCAGTACTGGTTGCCTGAACCTTCCAAGTTCAAAAACCGCTATGTTTCGACCGGTGGTGGTGGTTGGGCTATCAACTCGGGAAGCACGTCCATTCCTACGGGTCTTGTTGCTGGAGGGTAAGAGTTCACATTCGCTGTATCGGACTTGAACTAATATCTTCCCAGTGTTGGCGGCTTGACCGATGGCGGATTTGGAAACTTCGATACTCAATTCAGCGATGCTGCTTTACTGGCTAATGGAACTGTGAATTGGCAGGCAACCTACATGTTTGGTAAGCAAAAGTCTTATATTTCGAGACTGAAGCTAACCTTTGCGACCTGTGATAGGATACCAAGCGCACAACGAGCTGGCCATCTTTGGAAAGGAGCTGACTCGCAACATTTACAACGTGGCCTCCAGTGAGAAGATCTATTCTTACTACCAGGGATGTTCCGAAGGAGGTCGTGAAGGATGGAGTCAGGTCCAGCGGTTCCCAGACCAATTCGATGGTGTTGTTGCTGGGGCACCCGCTTTCCGCTGGGCACAGCAGCAGACCAACCACCTGAGTGGTAATGTCATGGAGAAGACTCTGGGCTACTACCCCTCCAACTGCGAGCTCGAGAAGATCATGAACATGACAATTGAGAGCTGCGATCCCCTAGACGGCAAGACCGACGGCGTCGTTGCCCGATCCGATCTTTGTCTCGACAATCTCAACTGGGACAAGATTGAAGGAGCCTCCTACTCCTGCGCCGCCGCCACCAGCTACGGATCCACTACCCCCGCTGCCTCGGGCACCGTTTCCGCCAAGGCCATCGAACTCGTCAAGACATACTGGAAAGGTCTCTACGACTCAGACGGCAAGCGCGTCTACTTCAGCTACCAGCCCGGTGCCACCTTTACTGATCTTGAAACCGAGTACAACTCAGAGACCAAGAGCTACGAGCTGGATATCAGCGGTCTAGGCGGGATTTGGATCGCGCAGTTCATCGACTTCATCAAGGATGCCGAGAACATCGACAGCCTGACAAATGTTACCTATGACACTCTCAAGGAATGGATTATCTACTCGGAAAAGAAATATGGCGATATCCTACAGACCACTTACCCCGATCTCACTGATTTCCAAGCCGCCGGCGGAAAAGTCCTGCACGTCCACGGTGAACAGGACTTCTCCATCCCCACCGCCTCGTCAGTCCGCTACTGGGACTCCGTTCGATCTGTCATGTTCCCTGAAAAGGGCTACCGGGAGGGTGCTGCCGCTGTGGACGATTTCTACCGTCTCTTCCTTATCCCTGGTGTCGGTCATTGTGCGGTAAATGACTACGAACCCAATGCCCCGTGGCCGCAATTTACTTTGCAAAGCGTGATTGAATGGGTTGAAAATGGGAATGCGCCTGCTACGCTGGCTGGATCGACTGAAATTGAGTCCACTATGTGTCGCTGGCCATTGCGTCCTCTGTGGACTGACAATGGTAAGAAGTTCCAGTGTGTCTATGATCAGGACTCAGTGGATTCTTTCACCTACGATCTTAATGCGTACAAGCTTCCTGTTTACTAGGGTTTACTAGGGGTGATATGCTTGTGTTCTAAGACTTGTAAGTTCCTAGCTTATTTTATGATTGAATAATATATGGTTATAACAGTCCAACAAGTATGCAACTTCAACCTTGTATTAGGTTTCTCTCGGTCGATTAAGCATTGCGTTCGAGTTGATGTTAGGATATTAACATGGCTACTAATATTATGAGCACAGTAATCTGTTTGCAAGCCATAGTGTGCTGCCGGTTGAATAAACAATTCAAAGAGTTTCGAGTATAGGGAGGATAGGGAGATGTAGGTTATTCAATCCCTTAAGTATCTGGAGATTCCATAAAAACCTGGAATACTCTTGAAATGAGCAGCCCTGAACTGTATTGGCATCAAATAGGTAAAATAGTATGGTAACTTTCAACCTACTAGTATATCGTGAGCAAACGAGATTCACATAAATATGACCTAGGATCCCACGAATCAAACGAAGTCATCGTAAGTTTGATTGTGAAGGTCACCCGCATGATTGGTCGATCCTGGGGGAGAGAGGGTGATCTTGTGAAGTGTTTTGATTGGTCGATCCTGTTTGCAGTTGGTGATCTTGAGGCTCATTCACTTCACCCAGCGAACCCACCCACTACTATAAATACCTCTTGCATCACGCTCCTTCTTCCTCTTTCTTTCTTTCTTCTTCTTCAAACTTCAAACTTTCAAGGTTCATCTCTTTGAGCTTTCATCCCCCTCTTCAAGCTTTAACTTTGAAACTTCCATCCATGCTTTCATCAAAACAAGCATCTTTCATCTCATTCCATCATGCCAACCCCCCTTGATGCAATGATCATTCAATATGATCAAAACTCGGCCTGACGAGTATCAAGGTTTGTTTACAATTCCATTCCCTATGATGTTTCTAACCTTTCAGACTGTGCCAATCTTCCTTCCAGATGACCCATATCTTGCTTCCACACCAATCGAGTCTGCTGAAAAGCCACTCTTCCCTCCTGAAGCTTCCTACATCTGAGAACGTAATCTTCGAACTCGTCACCGGCGTCGACAAAAAACAAACAACAAGTGGTGTGGAGGACAACCCACTGGGCGACTTTGCGGTGAAGAAGCACCTATTGTGACAAGGAGGATACAGCCTCAGCCACGGTTCCATCAACGGCATGCGGTGAAGAAGCACCGGCCATTTCTACTTTTCTCTCGAGGAAATGTTGTGACTGTGCGGTTTTTCAAGAACCACAGTCCAACATTGCGACACCTCATGACTGGACTACCATTGACACACCATACAAACAAAAAGAAGGCTTCTCTGACGAGCTGCTACTGTATAATATCATTTGTTGCAATATCGTTTATTCTCTTCTTGGACTCTATGTTACAAGTCTATACAAAAATTACAAAACATCATGATACGCTATTTCCGTTGCACTACTAGTTGACCTAACAGTTTCGAATGTCTTTTCCCTTAAGGTGGTCAAACTTTCCAGTTCGCCGAAGTAGATTGTAGGATCTTCCAAGGTTGTGTAGCTTATCTTGCATCAGCATCACACCCACAAGTTGCACTGGACAGCAACATTCGTCAATGTTTGCTACTCGGTCCTCTTAAAGAAAGATTAATGCTCATCCATTACCAGAAACTTGGTCTTGAAATATGTAGTATGTAATGTATTGGTCATAATTCGAATTATTCTAATATATAGGCGAAGAGGCTCTGGATCAACCCTGAGTATAGTATATACTTCAGGCTGTAAGCAAAATCGTCCAAATTGAAACCAAGTACATCTGGTTATTTTCACCATATCCAATCGATCTATCCAAGCATCATGGCACGGATCACTAGCATCATATCCGGGGTATATCTCTCTCCAGAGCAAGCAAAGACAAAGACAAATACAAGCAGAAAATCTAACAGACTAAGCCCACTTTCCAATCAAAGCCATAATACCCGCACCAAAGAACAAACAACAAATCATAAAAGCAAGACGCTTATCATCCTGAGTCCGATGGGGATCAAACAAAAAGTCACGAGCAATCAACTCCACGAGACCGGTATAGATAAGAATACCAGCAGAGGTCGCATCCAAAACACCCGAAATCACATTCGCGGTAAAGGAGCCGGAGTTGTATGTCGTGCGCACGCCCAGACCGATAGCAATAGAAATGGGCGTTGTTAATCCGTACAACGAGCACAGAATCCACGGTAACCAGCTACCCTTTTTAAAAGGGATAGAGGACATTCTAGCGCCGATACCCAAGCCCTCGAAGGACTGGTGGAAGACCAGAACGGGATAGAGTGTAGCGAACTCGCTTCCGGTAACACCGAGATTCAAACCGATAATAACGGAGTGGAAAATGACACCGAATTCCAAAATAAGGAAAGCGGCAATCTGCTGTCTGAATGAGCGCTCGATAGTCTGGTTCTCATAATCGGATTGCGACTCTAGCTCTTTCGTCTGTTTATCGTGAGACTTGGGACGATCAAGAGAGCGTCGTTCGTGATCGTGATCATGACAAGGTCTCTGTCCATCATGAACTTGAACTTGAGCCTCCACTCCAGAAGCCATGATAGGCTCAGGATCATCACGACAAAGTCCATACTTCTTCTCGACGTACCGCTCTGCACCGAAGTCCAGGAGGAAGACCAGCATGAGAGATGTCAGCACGATGGCAGGGCACCAGGAGTAATCTGCCCAGTGGCCTGTCATTCCGACGCAGCTCTGACCGCCGATCTCGGAGTAGGCGGGATCGAGGAGGTGGATGAACGCCGTGGCAATGATAACGCCCGCACCAAAGTATTTGGCGAAAAGATAGACGTAGAGTGGGATGCGGAGGCGTGGAGCTCGCTGAGCGAGCACAGGGAAGAAGGTTGCGCATGAGGAAACAAAGCCGATGACAAAGATCGCAGAGATACGCGCGCCTAGTTGGCCATTGTAGTCATTGCTTGAAAGGTCGAGGTAGCAGACTACTTCTGTTGGGTCGGCGGTTGTGAGGTCGACATTGTGTGGGTCGAACACCATTTTGGGTGGTTGTTTGTGTAGAGGGCCCTCTGATTGGGGTTCAAATTGATCAATTTGATAGATAGGAGAGTATAGAAGGATATTGGAATTTATATCGAAAATGATAGGATCTTCCCTGTCACTTTATAGGGAAAAGAAATCTCCTCATCGGCGTCTCCGCTGTGGTGAGGACCTTGGGAGTTGGGAACCGTGGTGAATGAGTTTTGGCCCCCATCGATGTTTTGGTTTGGTGAAGACAGGACTAAGGATTTGAGATGATTTGAAAAGTGTAATTAATTATTTAGTAAATGCTAAGATGATGTAGGAATGGTTGTGGTGGTATGGTTGGACAAGATGGTGGGTGTTTGTCCTTGGCCATACACGGGAACACGACCTAGACCCGGAATATGGATATCGAATCCACCAATGTCTCGCACTTCAACGGGAGTCAAGCTTGGACCAGAATTCAGTCTCTCGTAGTGGACCAGAATCGGAAATAATCAATTGATCAAAGGGAAGTGATTGGGTGCCTGAAGGTGCGCAGAAGGTCCTTTGCTCCCAAGGTCCTTCGGCTAATATGAAGTGGATAGAATGACGAGCTTTCGTAACATTACGGAGGCAAAAGGGACTATGACTCCGGTTTAAAGAGCACTTGAGAGCAAAGTGGGCATGAATGACCAAGCAAACACCCGTGGTTCACAAAGAGCATTGTTTGACATCGGGTTGTCCTCCTCGAACCTGATCAGAACCCTGCTTTGTCTTCAGGCCAAGCACGACTGCAGCACCTTTCTACTGGTACCTCCTTCAACTGTAGCGTATATTAGGCAACCGTCCATGGGTAAAAGTCGTCCAAAATAAGATTGATATATTAAAAGTGGATTTGGTATGAGATGGTATTGATGTAGTTCATTCGAACAAGATCCATCCGCGCCACGCGCATGCGACCCAAAAACAAAATCATAGCGTCGGAAATCCTTCCAATTGCATCGTATCGGTCATAATCATCAGGGCGTTGCCGCCAATATGGTTTAGTTAACGCTCGAACAGGAAAGGTCAAAATTCAACCCTGGAATAAACAATCAGCCTCCGGAGGCCGAGAAGAATTGACAAAGGTAATCCAAACAACAGGAAATGACCCATCCAGAATGCTGTCCGCTTAGAAAAACGCTAGAAAACAAACAAAAAAAAACAAAGAAACAGAACCATAAATCACTCTCCATAACTCGTAATCAATATTCCCCGTCCCAATCCCATGTACATCATTCCTATATGGAAATCGAATCCTTCCTCCCTATAAACAAGTCGCTCCAAATCGCTGACACAACATCTGAAATCACATATGACAGAAAAGATAGAGAAAAAAAAATAGTAACAAGAAATCATTACAAGAAGATTGCGTTATAAAATCACGCAGTGGAGAACGTCGGTTCATGTGAGTCTGATTTGCTCGAACCAAAACCATCAAATGCAGAGAGTCGTCGTAACACGTAACGACCATCCCAGTCAAGAGTAGTCCAGTCATAGTGGGTCCCCTAGTCAAGCAGACTGAAAGCCCATCTCCTGCTTGACCGGCGCCCCAAACTCCTGAACCATCCGACGGAAATCATGGATCACTTTCTGCGGGACCCGCTCCCACATAAGCGACCTAGTGTACACATTAGAAGTGGCATGCATCCGAGAATGCTGAGCCGCATTATGACGCATAGCCGCCAGTGCCTGTTGCAGATTTGACGGCTGCGGCGGCTGCGGCTGCGACTGCGACTTGAAGCCGTCTCCTTCGAAGGTCGTTAGGGAGTTATACTGATCGACATTCATTGCGAAGGCTTGTGCGCGCTCTTGTTCCTCGGTTGGGATGACTAGGGTATCGTGTAGTTCGTCTAGCGTGGAGGAACCCATGCCCATGTTCATTTCCATCATGGGTGCACTAGGGCCGCTAGGGGGTACGGTGGGGTGGGTGAGGTCCGAGGGGGATGAAGCTAGGACTGCCTTCAGGACGTTGGCTGATTCAGCACGGTACTCGTCTGACAGCTGGGGGAGGTTTCGGCCAGGGAGGGAGATGTTGTTGGAGGCGATAAATGCACCGAAGAGGAGACACATGTAGAAGGCGTTCCAGCTGAATGGGTATTCTGAGTTGGGGGGCTTCTCGGCTCTTTCGTTGTGGGTGAGAGCATGTGATGGCGCAGGCGCAGTGGGTATTTGGTCTTGCATAGAGAGTCCGTTGGCCATCGAGAACTCGTCCCATGGATGGCCGTCCATCGACATATTGTCGAAGCCGAACTCGCCATGGGGTTCCATGCCGGGTTTGATGCCGCGTTCGAGCTTCTCGATGGTCTCCAAGAGGATGTTGTTTTTCTTCCGAAGTTCAGCTGTCTCCAGGGTGTGCACGCGGATCATCTCATTCTTTTCAAATTGCAAGCCTTCCACGAACTGGGTGAACTGCTGCTCTTGAGCGGCGAGCTTGCCAAGTAGTTCTGCCTCTTGCTGTTGAAGTCTTGCGATGCCTTCCTCCATCTGCGTCATTGCATGAGCATACTGCTTCTTCTCTTCCTCCAGCTTCTCGGTGTGGAGCTTCTTGCGTTGGCGAGAGTCCAATCTAGGTAAAGGGTTAGCGAGAACGTAAATAGTGACGGAAGAATACATACGCGGCCTGGCGATTCCGTAGTAACCGCTTCTGCTGCTTGAGTTCTTTGATCTCATCATCGTTCGTCGACTGGTTGATGAGCTGGTCGATATTGTTCAACGTCCTTTCCGCCGGGATCTCAAAGCGAGCGTTCTTCTTCCGAATCCCATCACGTCTAAGCATCAACGGTGACCCATTGCGATAATGACTTTTAGACGGATTCACATCGGACAATTCCATAGGCGCCGGCATCCAACCTTGGCTAGACTGCGGGGACATGGCGACCCCACCCGGCGGCTGGAAGCCCATGGCACCTCGATATGAAACTGCCATAGGGATAGAGCCGACCGGTCCTACTGCACCCCCCTGAAAGGGCGCGGAACTGCTCTCTTCTGATGGATACTGATCGTAAGCGGTAGGAGTACATGAGCCGGAAGCAGTCCGGGATAGAGACCATGGTTGAGCGTAGTGGGCCCCGTCCACGGGCATGAAGGGAACGCCCGAGTCCAAAACGGCCTGTCCTAGCGATGTTGGACGAGCCTGATCGGAGCCTGAGTAGTTAGACCAGACAGAATTCCGATGTGAGTAGGCCTCGTCGTATGAAGCACGTCGCGGATCAGAAAGACCGGGGGAGGTGGAGTCGAGAATTTTGTCGTCTAACACGTTCATCTCCTCCTCTTCTGACTGGGAAACATCTAATGGCGATGGATTTTGCTGGTAGAATTCAAACTGAGAATACCGTGCCATCGCGGAAGAGGCGGTGTGAGGGTGGATATAGCGTATAGGGAAAGAAAAAGAGGGGCGGGGGCGGGGCAGACAAGATCAAAGCAAAGATGCAAGATGCAAAGTATTGAGATTAAATCAGGTGCAAGGCAGGATGAGATGGGAAAATAGGATTTCAAGATCTTCTTGAATGTATATGCAAAAGCATAGAAGGGGGGATGGGAAGATGGGTGTAGCAGTGCGCAGGTTATGGTTGATCCGAATCCTCCGTCAAAGATACTTGGGTTATACATAGAAGATTGATAATGAGTCAAAGTAACTAGTACTATGAGCGGTCTGCGCGGGACTAAAGTATGTCTCTTCCCTTATCATTGGTTGCTTCGCTCATCTTTGGGCAGACGTGCAGGCGCATGTATTTACTTTCCTTTTTAAAAAAAAAAAAAATTTCCCCTACCTGATCGGGCCATGACAGGATCTACCAAATAGGCCCAAAATAAAAATAAAACTTCCCATTTAGGAGTCAAGTATACAACAATAAACATGAAAAGTAAAGTAAAACACAGTAAAACACACTTCATAGGGCGGGGTATGATTGGCTTATCGATAAACGATAGCCTATCGATCAAATCCGAGACACGGTCTGTGCAGCCCGAGAAACTTCCAATATTCTCTCCTCTCCAATCATTCTTTTCTTGGTGTGACTTTCCTGTCACTGATTTCTTCCATTCATTGTGGATATTCCTGGTTTTGTGTAATCAACGGCTCCGGCCCGTCCAAGATCCACCGCCAAATCCATGGTTCTGCCTGGATTATCCCCGTGCGGGAAAGCAGGGCGGATGCACAAAGCACGGATGTTCTGCAATGATCACTCGTCCCCTCCAGATGACGCCCTTCAGCTCCCCCTCCTAATCTGACCTATTCGAGTCCCTAGTTCTTTTTCGGGGGTCATCACCCACACTTGCGGGGAGGAGTAGGACCACACGATGATGCCATCGTGATGAACCGATGAACCCCAAAGCAACCCAAAATCCATAAGTGCGAACCCACTAATGCGAACCAGTGATGGTCCGGATCTTTATTGCTTTTTCATTTTCATTTCATTTTTCGGCCCTTTCTCTCTGTTTATGTGGAACCAATCCCACGCATGAGCTTAGTCTATGCGTACACTCTACCCGCCCAGAGCGCAGTATCGCGGTTCCTGTCTTCTAATATCAAGGCCGAGCCCACTTTGCATTGGGACCCCTGAGTCTGTTTGGCTATAGGACGCGGCATCTCACCAAAGTTCCGTGATAGGTCCTCGGAAACGGCGACCCCGTGCGAAAGGCCCCGGCTGATTACTGTAGAATCTGGCGGTGAAAAGCCCACTTCTATCCAATCGTAGATCGAGATGAGGATCATGTTCCCGCCTTACTAATGGTATGACCCAGATCAGAGGGTAAAGAAGGAGGAATCGATGACCTCAATTCTCGTACTGTAGTTTGCTTTACACCTTTCGCGTGTTTTAGTTTTTGATGACGACTAGACTACGTGAGATTTGGATTCTTTCTAGGAATGACCTTGTCCATATATTCTTCTTATATGGATCTCGTGTATCCATGACTCGTCACTCGTGCTTGTAGTTTGAATGCCATAAAGAAATCGTCTGGAATGACCCATGACTCATGATCTGCCATAACCTTGTCCATGACTGATAGGTGCGGAATGTGTAAATTGCGAGTCCACTATAAAGGAGATATCGTGGAGCCAGCCACGCGGTGAGTATTGTCGTTGCCCAACATCCTTGAAACGCTATCTAGCCAAGACGGGCTACAGTAGCCTCACTTTAGCCCGTATACCCCATGCCTGATCTTCGTTCTGAGTTCTGAGCATTGGGCACATGAGATGGAGCCTGGCGGAAGATTGGTGGACTGTTAGGAGCTGACGGGTGTGTTCCTATTCGGTGGAATGTTCCACTAGGCGCCTAGCCCTGGCTACCAGTACCTTGAGAAGACTTCTTTACATCATGGTTTAACTTGTGATTCTTTGTTTAGCTCAATTGATAGGATGATTGATAATCCTAGGATTCTAGCTAAGTGAGTCATCTCATAGACTGGACCACGTTCTTTGACATGATGCGGGAGATTGTTGCCAGTCCTTCCCCGTAGAGTCTGCTCTGTAATCTAGGGTGTTTCCCTTCATCTGAGATTTGGTCCTACCATCTATATACTGCTAGCTAGAGAACAAGTTATCACGGTCATAGTCCCAAGATCATACCCATAGCATAGTTACCTGGAGCATTGTTCCAAAGAGATGATCATAATGCATGCCTTTCTATTTCTGAACCATATACCCACATCTAGAATATTCATTTCTTACTCTGTATCTCCGCGAAGAACCATCAGTTTGTTCCTGCTTTTCCTTCGTTAATGCTAGAAAAGAGCGTGCAAAAACCGAACTTTGTGCTATACGGCCATCGAGATTTGGCTGAATAACTCAAATACCTACGAGAGAACTCGCTTCTTCATCTGTTTCATTTGTTTAGATCTTTAAAATCCTCCCAGTGAGAGCTAGGGCTCCCCATAGACTCAGATATCTATCATTTTCTCTCGTGCCGCTCCGCACCTATGCCGCGGCGAGCCATTTTATTGCCCACGGAGTCGAAGGACTTACCGGTAAAACTATTGCTGAGGTAGATGTGGTTCCAGACTTAGATGCCTATTCTTTAGGATCTCTCTAAAACATCTATCTTTCCTGGTCAACCGCGCTCAATCGTTGGTTGCTGTGACAACTCAAAATGGTGTGATATTGATTGTGCAAGGTGAGGACTCTTTTCCAAAGGAATTTGAGCCTATTCTAAGGTCATCAGCAGAGAGTGAAATCATGTGGCAGAGGAATCATAGGAGAACAGCTAACCGAGACTTTGAGTTAAGGAAAGTATTATCGTTCTAGACGGGTCGTTGCCTGACAATCCTGGCAGCTTCCCTGCATGGGTTCTGGCTGACACTCTGGATTGAGCACACTCGAGGGCTTTGATGGAAATTGGAACAACAAATTTAAACTTCATCCATTCTAACAGCTGAATATTAATAATAGACTCAACCTCGATTATTGTTCCGCTTTGATGTAGTTAGGCCCGGATATACTTTCACTCTCATGTGCTCTCCAAGGTTTTCAGCTATCTCACACCGCCAGAAATACGAACTTCATTCTGATGTCTAGATAAAATGACAAACCTTATCGACCTGCTCAATGGAGCCAGCCGTCTCCGCTCAGGAGTCCCATGCTCATTTGCCGATGAAAACCCTCGCGTTGGTGGCTCACACCACGTCTTCCAAATCATCATTGCAGACTCGGTACATTGGGCGGCCCGAATCAGCATCAATCCCAATACTTGGAAAGGTGAATTGCCCGCTTTCAAGAAATTACAGCATATCAAGAAGAAATGACCAGAGATCAAAGCGCCAAACATCTTTGTCGATGAAGAACGCCGTGTGCTCTACTCAGAATGGGTCATTGGCAAGCCACTAGCAATATGGAATCATGAAATTCATTCCATCAAACGTCTGAGGATGTTGGCTGGCCTTGCGGAATTTCTATTGTACTTATGGACTACACCGGTTCCTTCTGATCTTGTTACGAACAAAGATTGTCGGTACTCGACTTGGCTTATGGAAAGTCTGGATCAAGGTCTTCGTCGAATTCTTGCTGGGACTGCTAGATGGGGCAATGCTGTCAACTATCTAATTATGCGGTCTATGGTCTCGAATTATGCTGCTGAATTCGATAACACTAGTACTGGAATTGGGTTTAGCCATGGGGATCTGAATGCGTATAATATCATGACAAATGAAGACTTAAGCATAACAGGGTATGCAAATTCCGCTGCTTTGTTATGCATCAAGTCAGTCTAACAATGAGATCGTTGGTAGGGTCGTCGACTGGGACTGGACTTCCGTGGCTCCACTGCCAGCCATTATTCACCACCCTTGGTTTATGGCCGATATTCCCGGATGGAATAACGACGGCGTGTCAGATGGTGAAAATTTCCTTGATGACCGCCTCTCTCTTCAAGATTTTGTGAGAAGGAAAGAGATTTCTCAGAAGCTGCCTCTTACGGTGTCAACTTTGCTGAAAGACTCTGGCAAAAGACTGTATTTCCAGTCAGCTTTCCACTTTAAGTATCCATGAGGCCTTCGTCAAGACCCATTGTCCATGGACGGCGGAAACCTCAGGGCTGCAAGAGTACAATTAGATATAGCGCTTGGCTTGTATCCCGAATTGGGAGAGAAAGAAGGCGCATGGGAAACCAAAAGTCTGCTGGAGAGGAACGATGAAGATCAATTCTAGAAAATAAAATATAGTGCCTTCTTTCTGTTCATGTCAAATACTTTGAAAATGAATATGCTGAGATGAGTGATTCAACCGTGCAGATCAAGGTTATCTTGAACCTAAGAAGTATCTATGAATCACTTCAAAGGTTCAACGGTTTTATGGTCTCATTCACATACCATGAGAATCTAGAATATATTTAGTCTACGTGGTGTCGGGTATGTAACAAATCAGTCTATTCTTTCTCAGCAATGCTATGAATCTCAAGATGTTCCGGGTATCACTGGTTCTGGCTTAGACAAAACCACATGAATAAACGAAGAAACCAAAGTCAAGTCGATACGCTCATGTTACGGGCTTCCAGCAGATAACTATCTCCTATGGACAAGGTGATGGACTGCTTTAGAAGCGAATAAAGTCTTGCTGCTGTAGCATCTCACCATCCTCACCTGCAATCAACTCTTCAGGCGCGTCGTCAAACTCATCTGAGTCGACATCATCCGAATCAATCGCATCGTACTCCTCCTCTTCACTGGACTGGTCAGAATCATCCTCTCCAGGCTCGGCTCTACTTGCTGCAGCGGCGGCAGCCTTCCGAATTTGACCGGCACGGTCAACATGTGGCAACTGGCAGCGTTTCTTGTGGCAGACGCCGGAGTTCGCGTAGTCAGGGCACTCGTGCACATGACGTTCTTCGCATTGAGCACCTTTCTCACAATAACCTAGAGTCGCAAAGCCACGGCAGACAGGTGCACCAGGTGTTGTGCGAATATGACCATAGCGGCAGTTATCATTGGAACACCGTCCCTTCATAAAATGCACACAGGCGGGAGATCGGTGAGGCGATGGCTCATGGGAAAGATCACAGCTGGTTCCTGCGCTGCACTTGCCTGTCTGAAGGAAGTCTTTGCAGATTGCAACTTTAGTTGGATCATGAGTAAAGCGGCAGGATGGTCCCATATAGCATGTACCTGAATTCAAAAGTAAGTGTGTCAGTTTCTGAGTAAAGGGGGCGATTTTGGCGGGCAATGTGGCGCCGGAAAACAAAATACCGGTCGTAGTGAATCTTTTACACAGTTCATCCCGCTTTTTAGCGGCGCCTGGTTGTCTATTGATATGTCAGTGAAGCCCCTCAATTTTGGGAAGAAAACAAACTTTTTCGAGGCAACAGCACCAAGACGGTGCAGGTTGCCGTTCTTGCTTCGGACAAAAGTCACGCCAGCAACGGTTACACGCTTGGGTGTGGTATTGGCGGAATTTGGGTCATCTAAAACAGGTGAGCCAGTTCCGGACGGTACTAAAAGGTCCATAGGAAACATACTTGATACCCGAACCAACTTGCTGCCTCCGCGTACAACCTTAAATGGAACATCGTTGACAAGAATCTGTTGCGAAGCAGTAGACACAGATGCACTTGAAGAACCCTGAGCATACCGAAGCACCTTTGATTGTTCACGTTCGGCGCGTCGTTGCTCTTTAAACTTTCGAGTTTCTTCCATAGCCTTGGCTCTGGCCTGTTGTTCCTTGTCGTAAACGGCGGAGTTGATGAGCTGCATGTGGCGATCACGTTTAGCAACCCACCCTGAGGTGATCGGAGGGCGCGACTCGCCATCGTTGTCGCTCGCGGGGCCAGGGGAAGAAGTAGCACTGGGTGTGGAGCCAGCACCTCCGTTATTCAGAATCAGTGTGCGGTGTCGATGCGGGCCCGCAGGTCGGCCTCTGCCTCGAGAGTATGGTGCCCATCCTGGATGAGAAGGCGCATGGCGAGATACATACTGTGACTGGTGAGAGGACTGTGGCTGCGATGACTGATTCTTGTGTCGATTTATTTGACCTGTACATATAAGATACTGCTGATGTGAGGGTATATTGAGCGCTTTCCTTACCTGCAAGTCGGCCAATCTTGCTCAACAGATCCTCGTTTTCTGTCATGAAGGGCTGCTTAGAAGCTGTAGAGTTACTGGCGGTTAGTTTAAGGAAAGATAAAATCTTTCTGAGGTTCTCTCGGTTACAAAAGATAGCCTGAGACTAATTTGCAAATGAGAGATAGCTTGTGGGGGATGATGTGAATGACGAGTCGCGATCCAAACCTTATTGTCGGTGGCGCGGGCAGGTCATGTGATAGCTTGGCGGCGCGTATAGATCACAACAAGGCAAACTTGAAGTACAGTAATAGTTACTCAGGGACCGCTTTTTACATGAGATTATTTCTGCTTTGTTCCGCAAAGGATGCAACGTACTATGTATTATGTTAGATATCTCTAATCTATGTAAATTTTCAACATGTTAAAATTGCATTTCATCGACCCCAGAAGCAGTTGGGTCATCTTCCGAGCCATCATCGTAATTTTCAGGTTCAGGAGCCAACTCAGCCTTGGCGTCGTCGAACGATAATGCTTGTTGGGCATAATTAGCTTCCTGTGCCTCTGGCTTCAACTGCCATGTCATAGAATGATCTCCCGATTTGATCAGATGTGCCACCATCTCCAGAGTTTGCTTGAGATACGCTTCAGGCTGTTGCAGCTTGTTTTTGAGTGACCTGAATGGCCAGTACTGGTATTGGCGAAAGCAATCGAAAATCTTGTCCAGCAGCTCGTTTTGTGCGATACGCGTAGTTTTGTTTTCCTGGGACTTGGATTTGATAGGTTTCGTAGCTTGCTGTAATGGTGTGAGTAATCATTGGACAACAAGTATGAACGGAGACGTACCACGAAAGTTCCCTTGTCCACGGGGAGAGCATGCCGTGCCTGAAGAAGGTGTGCAGGAATTTTCTCCACAAACTTGACCCCCCTTCTCGGCTTCAGAGCCTCCAGAGCCCGAATCTCTGAGATTTTCCGGAACTCCTCATTCTCCACTGGTAGACAATTAAATTCCTCGCTGACTCGTCCGATGAGTGCAGTTTGTTCTAAAAGTTGTGAGCAAAGGTACTTCCAACTGTTCTCGCAAGTGCATACTTGGTACTGTTTTCCGAACATAAGGCTCCCACTTCTTGCCTTGTTCCCTTCTCCGAGCCTCACGCTTCATGGCCTCATACAAGGCAGAGCGTGTCTCTCCGAATGAAGCCATGCGATTTTCAGCGCCGGGCACGTCCTTCTCTGTGAAGACGTAGGTATTTTGTGTCATATGGGAGGCATTGGTGGACGTGACAGTTTGTCGCTGCAAGGTGTAGTCTTTTGGGATGTCCTTATTATCGGGTCGATCGTGGAGTCGCAAGCTAACCTGCACGCGATATCGTTAGCTTCTGACAAAAAGACTGAGAGAAATTGCAAACATACCCGCTTGAGGTCTGATGGGTCCCCCTCTATCCTCATTGTTCCAATCTCAATCTCCTCGTCATCATCGATTTGCGCCCAGTTCTCCCACAGCTGCCGAGGCAGGCGGGATAGCCATACATTCTGGTTGGCTAGTGTAAAATCTAGATCACCGGTTTCTTCGTAGAGATCGTCATCGTCCATGTCACGAAAGACCACATCCTTGTTATCAGGATCGGGTTTGATGTACATTGCATCCGGGTCTTGTTTGAACTGCGCCATGGTGAGTGGAAGGAGAGAGTTCGGGACCGAAGGAAATCAAAGACTGGGCGTATGCGACCGTTCACAAGAGAGAGAAAGACAAAGGTGATAGGCGTGGTAGGCGTTGATGAAAATTGAAGAACAAAGCTCGAGTGGAGGCGCCACTTAGCGGAGCAGTCTGGATCAACTGGCCAAGGCGGTGAAAGCTGGCAGTGATGACTTCACCGTAGCTCCATGACAGTCAACTAAACCCTGGAAGCAAAGATTCATGGCGGAGATAGAGAGACCAGAATATTTTTGATTGCTGAATGAGGCAAGCAAATTTAGCCCTGGTTTTCCATTGTGCTGATTTTCATTTGTGAGAGGTCTTGATGTAGAGCTTTGAACTCCACAAATAACATGTTTCTCTCACTACAAACTCCAAAATCATCAGATAAAACTTACATATTGAACAAGACTGCAAGAAACAAGACTGGAGGAGTCATCGAGTGAAACTGTGTGAAATTCACTGTTTGATCCGTAATCCTCGCCACCACTGACAAGGTAAGCTATACACATCTCTTCTCCGCCTTTCTTATCGATAAGCTTGCATCTTGATCCCTACCACAACCACCCCTCCAGTCTCCCAGTTATATTGCTCCTTCAGCTTGCTTGATCCTTTCAGTCTATCATAATGGCATCGCAACGGGTCACATCTGCGCTGGCGGCGATCGAATCCACATCCCACCAATCCACAAAGCTCCAAGAATACAACACGCTTCTCAATGACATCGTAACCACCTCATCTGGCGACGAACTGGCCCAAGATATCGTCTACTACCTTGACTCTATTCTCAGCGAAAACATCAGCATTGTCTCTGCCCGTCCCCTTCTCGATTCCTTTATCACTGTCCTCCACAAGTTTGACCCCGAAGTCAAAATCAAGGTCGGACAACACGCCGTCACGCTCCTCCAGTCTCGCGCAACATCCGTTGAAGAACAGGACTCGCAAATTCGTGAGATTCTAGCAGAAGCATACGAATCGCAGGAGGAATTCACCGCTGCGGCACGTGCCCTACAAGGGATCACTATCGATAGCTCGCAGCGTCTGGTCTCGGATGAAGACAAGGCGAAGCTCTGGATTCGGATTGTGCGTTACTACCTCGAAGATGAAGATACGACCAGCGCAGAAACTTTCTTGAATCGTATCAAGAATTTGCCCAGCAAGATCCAGGACCATGATTCCAAGCTTTATTTCCAACTTTCCCAGGCTCGCATTCTTGATGCCCGTCGCCGGTTCCTGGATGCCTCGCAAGAATACTACAATGTCAGTTTGGCGGAAGGTGTCGATGAGGGCGATCGACTCACAGCGCTGTCGGCTTCTATCCGGTGCGCGGTTCTGGCGCCAGCGGGGCCACAACGCTCAAGTAACCTGGCTCGGCTGTACAAGGATGACCGAGCTTCTTCTGTGGACGAGTTCTCTATTTTGGAGAAAATGTTCCTCGATCGCCTTTTGAATGCGGATGAGGTTGCTGCTTTTGCCAAGAAACTTCCCCCTCACCAGCTTGCTGTTACCGCTGATGGCACCACTGTTCTTGACAAGGCGGTTATTGAACATAATCTAGTTGCAGCAAGCAAGCTCTATGAAAACATTACGGCTGACGCTCTGGGGGTTATCCTGGGTCTTAAAGATTCTGGTGATTTGTCTGCCGGGGAGAAGGCAGAGGCATACGCAGCTCGAATGGTTGAGCAGGGGCGTCTACGTGGTCGCATCGATCAGATCGATGGCATTATTTCGTTCGAAATGGGCGAGACTAATAATCCCGTTTTTCGCAAGCACATCCGTCAATGGGATGCTGGGGTGGAGAAGCTTGCCGGAGATGTGGAGCGGCTGGCAAGCACTATTTCTGAACAATTCCCGGTATGTCTGCCGAATTCTTGATAATGCAATAGTACTGACCCTTTCAGGACTTGGCTGCCAGTCAAATGGTGCGCTGATAGCTATTGGTATCTGACGAACTTTCAACGAATTGATGTCTAAATGTCCGTGGTTTAAACCACTCTAGTCAAGCTCAAAATACCCGTAAATGGCTTTCTGCTTTGAGGTCTTGATTGAATTCAACGTAGTGCCAATTATATGGTGTTAAGGAACCTTTTTCGACCCGTCCACAGGGGGGAACCCATATCTCTTTATAGGCGCATTACCTCATCTTCCTCGCCAAAACATACCAGCTTAGCTTACTCACTAGTGATCTTATAGCTCTTATACCGCGAGCTCCGAGGATAGAATCTCTATGATATTTTTCCTGTTTAGCAGTATTTTACTAACCAGATTTATTGGATTCTCCATAACTAGATGAATAAGTGGTATTTGTGGGGCTTAGGTGACGCTACTTCGACCAAGGTAGGTAAACCTCGGGAGAATGTAAGCTAGCTTATGGCTGGGTGAGGGGGAGCTTTCGAGATTCTTTACCTAGATATGTATTATACGGATGGACCTAATTATCTCAGGATATGCTATGATTAATTTGCTTCGACAGTCTGTCTTCAAGTTGTTAAGTCTTACCTGTACAGTTAAGATGATTCAAACATTTGAAGGTAGAATTTAAAATAAAAAAGCCTCCGGAACCATGGGAAAGGCGGAAATTTGTCGGGCGTCAAAAGCGACTAAACTTTTATAGAAAAGCCGAATTATATAGAGGACATTAGCCGACTTTATCCTATATGAGGAATTTATGTGGGGCAAAATCCGGGGTTGTCAGGGTTCCCCAAGCTGATGCCGGCCACCTAGTGCTGACTGGCCGGAAACAACTTATGTTCTTAGCAAAAAAATTGTGCTATGTCTGGACAGCTATGGTATAAGTTATATTTGGACACGCAAAGAGTCGCTTACATACTTGAGAATAAACATAGAATGCAAAGCCTGAAGTAAAAGACTAGGGCGGCTGCATAAGGAAAGCGACTGCATGTATGACAGGGTAGGAAAATCTATCTGAGTAAAGCAACTAAATACAGGATCGATGAACAACTAATCAACTGAAATGATGAGGATATCATACATAACCTTCCAAGGTCCCAAGGCTATGACGGGATGCTATTTTGACAACATGACGGCCCGGTTTTTTCGGAGCTGATCCCCGAAAGTATGCACAGCAAGCCTCCGAATCACGAGTGGTACTAATGGATAGACCAATTTGGTGACTTTCACACCAATTCTATACAAAAGTTTTCTTCGTTTCAAGCCATAAGCATCTCGTACGCGGGGCGGCAGCGCTTCCGCGGCAATGATTCGGAGAACAAGAAGACCTGGCCAAGTCCAAAAAGGTGTAGTATGGCCCCAAATAAAAACCCGACCAATAGCTTTTGCATCGTCTGTAACTTCCAACAACTCCACTTCCTTGTTCCAGTAAGCCCAGAACGACCGACGATCAGCAGGCAGCATTTCACGAGGAACACGAAGGTATAACGAATGATAAAATGACTGATGATAAAGCTTCTCCGACGCCGCATCATCCATGGGTCCAAGTATCTCCTCATAGATTGGTAAAGAGCAAGCATAAATGCAAGCTGCAAGCCAAATCTGGATCTTGGGATCATGGGCATTGTATCCTGGACCCTTGACCTTTCCATGCAAGCCGTTTATCCAGCGAGCAAGTGCATCTTTTTCTTTGGGGGTTCCGAGGAACATGACGTAAATCCAGGTCAAGCTGTTCATCATGCGTAATATAGGTTGTCGCATAAAATGACTGTGTCTTATGGCTGCCTTTGACATTCGTTGGTTGGCCATTTGTAGGAGCACACATGGGAATAGAGACACGTAGACAATGGGCTCTTCCCAGACTGTCTGTAATTCTCCAAGCCTATTTCCTGAAGGTATAATTGATGAGGGATTCGTCGAGGTCGTGGCGTCTTTGTGCATTTTCCAAGCAAGGATATTGTCGGAGTATGTATCCATGTAATTTCGATGGCCACCTCGGGATAACCGTATTGGAGAATCGGTTCAATGGTGAACTTGCTAATCTCGTGAGACAAGGTTAGTTAAACTAGAAGGCAAAAACCCCATCCAAGGACATTCTTTGAGCTGACCTTCAAAATATAGGTTTGTGAGCTTCAGGCTCAACGTAAGAAGAAAGTGAGCGATAGAGCATCAAAATGTGGTGTTGATTCATTAGGACAAAAATGTGCAGGAAACTCTTAAGTATACATCAGATGATATAAATGAGGGAATAACTGGCCATTACTAAAGTGGGTCACACTTAATACTTCGGCAAGGGAAAAGCCATATTGATGTGATCAGGTTATCACTTGGGAAACAGTGATACTTGTAAGCTAGACAGAAGCTCCTTTGGAAAACGAATTCAGAGGGAATCCAATTCTCATATCAGGTTAACTGCACAAATGTCCCACCCCATACATCCTTGGCTTCCCAGATTTGATATATAATGTAGCTTATGCTCTTTATGTGTGACCCCAAAAGATGTCAACCATGTCAAAGAATGCCCAATCCCTGGTATCTATAACCAATCAATAAGCTCTTTTATGTCTTCATAGAAACCATACTGCTGTACCTATAATTCAAAACGGACTAAACTAAATTTATCTGCCTCAGGCATGCAGAATAAAACACTTTGTGACCTATAACAGCTTCACCATGCACGGGTCAATTCCAAGGAAAAAGCAAAAAAGGATCGAGTATTATAGGGCTCATGATCATAATGTCAGCCAATAAATTACCATGGTGGGCTTCCAGACCCTTAGGCCTGGGCCTACCGAGGCGGCCAGGAACATACTGCATTCCACTCCACCCATGATAGATCACACAACCTTCACTTTTGAGTGATGTGGATATGGTACTTTCATCCCCACCGCTACTCTGAACAATATAAGGAGTATTTATTGAAATTTTACATACCAAAGCTGCCCAATATCTGGGATCATATGTTCTAGTTTTGAGCTAAGTTGTACCTGTGTAATCTCAAAATTTGATAGATGGTTATTCTTTGGAAAATTCCGATGCCTTGACCTACAATTGTTGAAAAGAATTTGCCTAGAGTTCTCTTTTCTCTTCAAACATTGTCTTTACCACGTTCCCGAATCCCGAGATCCGTTTTCCCCATCACCGCTCCCTTCTCAATCCGCAACATAACTCAAACAATGTCCTGGCCTCGATCACAGCTTTTGGAGAAAGGCGACCGAACATGGTGTCCTTTGTGGCTACATCAACACGAGCAATTCACCCTAACTCAATTATGGGGGTTGAAAGTCCCCGGGTGGAGCCGCGGAGGCCGATGGTTCAAGAGGCGACATCCAGCCCTTTGTCGCTCTAGGTTCATACCGAAATACGAGGACCGGGATAGTTTCCACCAATTGTGACGTAATAATTCTGAGATACGACAAGGAGTAATGGGATATTTTGAGGGCAAACTGTCAACCTCCTATAAAGTCGTGATCTGAAACCCAGTCAGGCCCTGCAGACAAAACATCAAACCCCTACCATTCAACATAAAACCCACGGCTGGGCCCAGGCAAAGTAGTTAGTCTGATTTAACTTCCTCTGAAATATATACGGTCCAAGGCAAAATTCATGATGAAATGGAAGGACCATGGCGATAGGTTCGTGAGTGATAAAGTATCAAGGGAAGCTGAAGTCTTGGGTATTACCTTCACTATTTGGATCAAAAAGAAATACTGACAGTATAGGGGATGGCCGGGTCAACGTAGGCTTGAGGCACATGCGACATGTACCAGAGGCGTTGCCCACACCGAATGACCAGGGCGTAAAATGGACCGGCAACATCGACGTGACGCCACCACATATGAACATCGTCATGCAGATCGTTGGTTCAAGAGGCGACATCCAGCCATTTGTCGCTCTAGGGATAGCCCTAAAACAAGCAGGCCATCGTATCCGGATCGCAACACATGAGATATTCCGTTCTCTTGTCCAGGATGTCGGCCTGGAGTTCTTTAACATCGGTGGCGACCCGAGAAAATTGATGGCATATATGGTAAAAAACCCCGGGCTTCTTCCCAGCATGGAGACACTCCGGAAAGGGAGTATCCAAGAGAAGAGAGACGACATGCGCGAAATCCTTGAGGGATGCTGGCTGTCATGTTTCTTGCCGGACGATGGATATGGAGACCAGAAAGCAACGCCGTTTCTGGCCAACGCCATCATTGCAAACCCACCGTCATTCGCGCATGTACACTGCGCAGAGAAGCTGGGGATTCCACTCCATCTAATGTTCACGTAAGCACACCTATCCTGTCTCTCGCATCCAGCTGATTTGACTAGAATGCCATGGTCGCCCACACAAGCATTCCCCCATCCTCTGGCTAATATTCAGTCATCCTCACTAGAGGCGAAGATCACAAACTACCTTTCTTACATGCTCCTTGAGGAGTTGATTTGGGAAGGACTGGGAGATACGATCAATGCATTCAGACACAAGACTCTTGGTTTGTCAAAAATTGATAGATCCTCAGGACCAAATTTAATAGGGCGCTTGGGAATTCCATATACATACTGCTGGTATGCATCCCTCCCCTTCTAGTGTCATTGCTGACGGTCTTAGGTCTCCCGCCCTGATTCCAAAGCCTGAAGACTGGGGTGCACGAATATCTGTGTCGGGGTTTTATTTCTTGCCATTGACTTTAGAATATACCCCTCCTGATAATTTGCAGACCTTTCTCACCGCCGGGAGTCCGCCAATTTACATCGGATTCGGGTCAATTGTCATCGATGATCCGAAATCCCTCACCTTGCTATTGTTAGAGGCTGTACGGCTCGCTGGTGTGAGAGCTGTAATCTCAACAGGCTGGATCGGCTTAGGTGGCGTAGAGATGCCACCTGCAGTATGTGTAGTAGGGGACTGTCCTCATGATTGGATATTTCGGCGTGTGTCCTGCGTGGTACATCATGGAGGAGCCGGAACCACAGCCGCGGCGATTGCAGCTGGAAAGCCATCAGTCGTCGTGCCTTTCTTCGGGGATCAACCGTTTTGGGGCAGAATGATTGCAAGAGCAGGAGCAGGACCCGAGCCAATACCATTCAAGGAGCTCACAGCCGCCAGACTTGCAGCCGGAATCAAAGACGCTCTCGGGCGCGCTGTGCGGGAAACCTCACGCACATTGGGTGACCTTGTCAATGAGGAGAACGGGGTCCAGGTTGGCGTCAGTTCTTTTCACCAGCAACTGGATCTATCAATGTTGAAATGCTCGCTTACTCCGATGAGTGCTGCGACGTGGCGAGTTCGCAAAACCGAAATCAGACTTGGCTCAACCTCCTCCGCGCTTTTAATAGACATGGGTCTACTTGATCTGGACAAACTTGAGCTGTGGGTTCATTCATGTACTCTTCTTCAACGATATACTAACATGCTAAGGCTTCGATCCTGCGATTACAATATCAATGTTGGACCTAGGGATCCTGTATCTGGTGTCATTCTAGCGATAGTTGATTCAGCCGGCTCAGCTATTAAAGGGTTCAAGTACATCGGTTCTTCAATAAGCAGGAACTTCAAAACGAACTCATTCGCCCCTGGAGATGGCAACTATTTCAGGGATTCAAGAGCTGGCACTTGCCTGAAGGGCATCGGCCTGGCCTCATCAAGTCTGGTGCGTGCCCCGGTCCACGTGGGAATGGCGCTCACACAAGGGCTACATAACGCCCCAAAGATCTGGGGAGATCGCACAGTAAGGAGTCTTCAGAATGTGCACGATTTCCCCAGTGGACTTAAGGCTGGTTGCAAGGTAAGCATCCTGCAGTCTCAGTGTGTGAAAAAGGTTGATTGACAGTAAGACCTACTCCAGGAAATGTGTTTTGGTGTCTACGATGGCCTCACAGGTCTCGTCACACAACCTATATCTAGCGCTCAGCATCATACTGCGGTAGGAGCATTATCTGGAGCTGGAATCGGCATACTGTCTGGAATTTCCAAGGCAACATCGGGTGATATCGCCTTCCCCGCTCTCTACATTGCGTCCGCTGACATTCTGCATAGGAATATTGGCCCTGATAACATATCCCTTGGGGGGATTGGACAAGGAAGCCATAGAATATTTCTCCAGGACATACCTGTCATCGATGGATATCCAGTTGATGGAACAAGGACGAAGGGAATACGCGAAATTCAGCGACGAGGACCGCACTTTTATCGTTCATCAATTTCAGGAAGTAACAGCAGGTATAAAGAAAAAACGATTCAAAAACAGAATTGGAAGGTGTAAAAAGATTGATGGAGCAAGGAAAGGGCTCAACAGCTGAGGGATTCCTACAGTGAGAAGTTACTTTTCGACCACGGCGCCTCATTTCCGAATTTCACGGTAAAAGGGCCTGATCTTTTATCATCGAAAGATACTTTCATCATTGAAAAGCTCGTCACTCTTTTCTTCATGCAGGAGATATTCTCAAATAGATACCTTCTATCATGCTCAAGAAGTCTTTGCCAACTCAGAGCCTGCCGCGGTTTCCCGCTCGCCTCGCCTGCTCCGGCTAGCTGCACATTCCAGCTCCCTTTCTAAACTTGCTACCTTGAAATCTGTGTCTATAGGTTTTTATCCATTTGCAGGCACACTTTACTTCTTTTGACTTTGAAAAATGTCAGATTTTACGTGCACATCAGCAGTGGGCGTTAACTTTGAACTGATTACAAGGAAATCCAGGCCTTCATATCTTGAATGACGTGGGACTGGACATCAATAAGCTAAGGTACTGAGATCCGCAGCCAGTTGAGCCGAATGCCCTCGGGCTCATTTGGTACGACTTGAGTCACTTGAGACGGACGTGAACCTAAGCACTGACACTTTCGCCGGTTCCGCCAAAGACAGAATTTCGCATCAATTGGTTGTGTTATATCCCAAAGGAAGATCCTTTTCTATCATTTCAGAAGGAACATTTGAGACTATCTATACAATGAGAGGATCAAGCTGATTTCCAATCCAATGAGCTTGATAGATATCTCGGGAATTAATTCCGATGGTGCGGTTCGGTTCCTGATCTAGACCAGCCTCATATCACAAAAGTTTTGGTGAGGTGGCCAGGTCCTGTGGCACTTTTCTCTGCACTAGACTAGATGTGCTTCACAAAAAATTATCAGGTAAGTCTATCTGTGGTAGGGAAGATTGATATGACGCTCGGAGATAAGCAGGGGCCGACAAACACTCAACGTATGATCGATGTAGGGAATGGTCACATTATTTCATGCCTAGTCTATCTAAAGCTCTGCGCCTAATTGGCCTCTATTTTCAGAAAACAGGTAAAAAGAAAGGATTATTGGTCTCAGCATAGCAGCATTTGGTAATTCCTTGAGGTGAATCAAAGGTGAAGAAGACCGCCAAGTCTTACTACGTGTTGGCATTGCGATCTACGCCACAATCTGACTTTCGCGCCCAATCAGCCGCCTGCAAGGTTATGCACAACAGAATTGTGTCGGGATAAAAATGATTCCGCCGCGTTCTTTCCTTAGATCTTCGCGTCATAGACTTGGGTGTTAAATTTTAAACTATTCCATGTACCATGGATTTGAGCCAAAGATCCATGGATTCCTTCCACCGTGTGATCCCGAGAAACCGACACTCCGCCCTCGTCGAATTTCCGACTCAGAGAACAGCGAAGTTGGTTAACAGACAACTTATTTTAAAAGAGGTTGTCTGGAGGGGAGAAAACGCCTTGAATATTCTCCTATGAGCCGAGAATACGGAGGAGACCCGAGACGCACTCAAAAATGTCCTTGGGGTATGCGGTACCATAGCTCACGTTTCCTCTTATCCTCTGAGGTCAATTGCTCGGTCGCATTGGATAATGGCATCCGACCACCCAAAAGATGTCCTGCACACAGTCAATATCGTGACACAGGCACTATGTATTCCTATAGTGACGCTCTTCGTGGCCTTGCGGGTCTACACCCGGGTCTTGTTCAAGAAGAAATTCGAAATTGAGGACTGTAAGTATCTTTTTGTTTCCATCGATGGATGGATCGATGAATTTAACTAAATTCTGACGGTGATATGCTAGATTTCTGCGGAGTCGCATGGGTACGCTGACCGCCACCATGAGCTCTATTCTGATGTCGATGTGTGACTGACTGGTACAGCTACTGTTCATGGGATACTGTGCCATTGGCATAGTCCGTAAGTGATATTTCTCTCCGACACAGATCGGAAACACAGCCATACTCATCCTTATTCCATAGTCAGCTTCCATGGAGGGGGGTATCACATCGACACCCTCTCCGATGAACAAATCGAGGCATTCAAGAAATTTTGCTATATCGCCACGACCCTCTACTGCCCCATGGCTCTCTTCGTCAAGATTGCCCTTCTCGCCATCCTCGTCCGCATATTCTCTCCCTACCGCAGAAAAGTGTGGTTTATCTACATATTCCTCGGTTGTCTGTGCACCTATTACGTGGTTGCGCTCATCGTCAAAATCCACATGTGTAATCCCATTCCCCGGTACTGGATGGGTGAATTGGTCCCAGGCTCTTGCCTAGACCAGACAGCCGCCCTCATCGCCGACTCGGTGATCAGTGTGGTCAGCGATTCTATCATTCTTATACTCCCGCTGCCATTGACTTGGTCATTGCAAATGCCACGCAACCGAAAGCTTCGTGTGATGGGTCTGCTCGGTGCGGGCGGCTTGGCCACCGGATTCAGTCTGTATCGACTGGTGCTGGTAATAAAGGACGGCAGCTCAGCCGATCAAAGTATTGTTTTCATACAAGTTATTTTGTCCGGGTATGGGAATCCCTTTTTTCCTTCTTCCATCTTTCTTGTAAGCATGATCTGACAACAACACCCATGCAGTAACGCAGAAGGAGGTATCGGGCTAATCTGCACATGTCTCCCCGTCCTAAATCTCCTCATAGCCCACCACTGCAAGAACCTCTCATCAAACAAATCCTACAGCCAAAGCTCTGAGATTCAGCTCGGAAAGCGCAAGTCTGGCACAAGCTTTAAACCTGCCTCAGAATGGCTCAGTTCCTCACAATTTGGCGACCAGAGTCACCTCACCTCTTACGCCGACGCACCGGAGAACAATTCCCCACATGCGGAGGATGGCATTTGGAAGACCATATCTGTGTCACAGACTATAGAGACACATACCACGGGAGATCCAAGTGCAAGTGGCGCTGGTAAAGTTCGATGATTCTGAAATCAATTTTCATCTCCAGAATTTTATACGGAATGCAATATAGAACCATGCTAAGTGGAGAAACCATGGTAATTCCAATCATGAGGAATGGGATCACGATTTGCAGCTTCTTTTTGCGGTTATGCCTGCAATTTTTAATAGAATCTTCTGGAGTATGGGGTCAGCTGAACCCCTCCGTTTGCCAGCGCGTGTTTGTCTGAAATAGATCTCTCTCTCCTCCATCGCTCTCGGAATATAGATCTTGTCCCGTTCTTCTGTTTCCACGCTACTTTGTAGCCCTTTCTTCCCCTGGATGGCAGATCAGCTGCCAATAGAATGAAAAATTTTGTTACGCTTGCAATTGTAAGTGATGAGACAGCAACGGTTTCATCATTTACGACTAGGCGCTAGGATTTTATAGCTTTCATTATGCCCTCTATACACTCTCGAAGCTAGCCAAAAAATCTCCGTTGATGCAGGGAAAACAGGATAGGATCAAGGCGGTCATAACCCCAGATGAAGCCATGCCTGCATGCGTTTTCTCTGTACCCAGTTTCTTCGCATGTCGGAAGAGTGCTCTGCTAGTAGCGCACGCGAGTGGCGTTTTTCTCGACGGCTCGGCATTGTGGGCCGCCCGGAACAATCAAATTTCTATTAACCTATTTAAGCTCAACTAGTGAAGAGGGGAGCGCTCTTTGGCAGCGTAGTCAGAATTGAGAGGGGGGGTATTAGGTGTCCCATTCTATATCTCTGCTGCTATCTATATATACCCCTGGCTGCCGAAAAGACCTTCGAGGGCCTGGTATCCCCACTATACTAGATTTGTCGGGGCTATGCAGGCGCTTCGTCCAAATTTGCAGCAGAACTTGGTGTCCTTTACTTCAGATTCGCTGCTTGCAATAAACAGTAATAAATAGGAGAAGGCTGCCTTCCGCAGGAGGCCGGTACAGAAAAGAGTGTACTAAATCCAAATTCCAAGCATAGAAAACCCCAAATAAGTTGATATCTTTAAATGCATCGCCAGGCATCTTCACTGGTATAGTTCCCTGGACCAGTAAAGATATTGCGTTGAGGATAGCGGCAATGCTTTCTCATGTATTCCACTGATCCACTCGCATCAAGCTTGGCCCCGCGTACATATTCAGGGGCAATACCCTTCTCTACCCAATTCACAATTGTGGCTAGCATATTATTCTCTGGCGCTTCATCAGAATATGTATCCCAGGACTGCCCGATGTACGAAGCACCGGCACCAGAACCGCAGTGGCCCATTCCGCTGATCGGGAAAAATCTGAAAAAATTATCCAGTTCGGCTGGTGGCTGGTTGAGAGCATCTGCAACACGCCTATAATAAAGCTTCGAGTTTGTGGAACTGATGATCGGATCCTGCATACCGTGGTAGGCCAGCAATTTGCCACCGCGGTTCCTGAACGCGGAGATATTGGCATCAAAGGATTCAACATTGAAAGGGTTCTGGTCCAGCGCAAGTTTGGCACTTTCTGGCGTCCAGGAGCTCGCATTCCACGTGCTGTCGTTATACACAACGTAGCGATACCATGTCATCAATGTGGAAAAGGGAGAGCCGGAGAAGTAGATTGCGGCTGAGTCGGCTTCGGCTCCAGGTTGCAGACGAGGATAGTATAGTTTCCCTTCAGGTCCGTAGAAATCGCTCAAGGCAAGGTTTGCAATATTGGCCTGACGACCAGTGATGCAAGACGAGGAATTCGCACTGGTGGTTTCATTGCAGATCAAAGTTTCGAGAATTGGGGAGCACAGATCTGGATCCTCAATGATGCCGTCTTTGGCACCGTCAATAGTATCACACTGTCTCATGATTTCCTCATGAATTGTGGACCACTTATCAATTGAAATGAAGTCGGCATCTTCTGTAGTGCCTGTCACATTGTAAAGGTAGCCGCCCCACGAAATTAGATTGACAAAGTTGAATGCCGCCGAGCCAGCCACCACTCCATCAAAGTCATCCGGATACCTTTGAACAGACTGATAGCCCTGACGTCCGCCAGTCGAGCAGCCGAGATAATAAGAGGTGTTGTATCCTTGGGAATAAAAGAGCTCCGTCACCTTCTTGCCTACAACCGATCCCACATGGACAGACCGGTAGGCATAGTCTGCGAGAACCTCAGGATTACCTAGGAAATATTCAGCCGTATCACCATCATGGCCTGCATTAGTTCCAACCGAGGCGAAGCCAAACTTGGTGGCAAAACTGAGGTCATCCTGCTTGACACCTGTTATAAGTATAATTAGTTTAATGTTCCAGCTCACGAAGGGTAAGCTGGGCCGTGAATAACCTACATCCGGACATGCCATTGTTTCCAGTACTGAGGAAACGTCCAGTGTAGTTGCGAGGAAGCCACACTTCCGTCCGTAGGTGGCTTCGATCCGATGTCGAGACGTTCATGTAGACCCGGCATAGATCTACTTTGGCTGCGACTGAGGCGGTGCAGGCTGATGCGGTGTTCGACTGGGAGATATTCCCCCCGCGGGTACGTATTCGACAGTACCCACGGTCACGTTTGCGAGGTCGATCTTGCCTTTGAACGATTCACATTTTGCCCGAAAGGAATTGGCGTTGGCCAAACTTCCCCGCGACGGGGACAGTGCGGCAAGAGAAAGTAAGAAAGAAAGCTTCATGAACAGCAGGAATCCAATATGAATAAGGTCGATATGCGTGTAGACCAGAGAAGCAGAAAATTGGGAGTATCTCCATAAATACTATACTCGATTTTTAGTTGCCAGATCAACTCAGTCGGCCTAAGTCATATACTTGGCACTATTTCGTTACGTCTTACGTATGCGTATTCAAGGTCCATATTACGTTTGTTCCTGTGGCATAGCTCGTTTAGGTTGAGCCTTTGACCCGCTTGATTGGAGCAAAAATCATGTTAAAGCAATCTGTCTATGATATTAAGTTTCAAATGCGGGGCGCTACTTTAAATTAGCTTCTCGGCTTTGTCCCACGGGGGTAAACCTTGATTCTCGGCGCCTTTGAGTTGAGACTGCCGCTCTTAAGTGCCGAACGTCACTGCAGCTGGTGCCACGCGTCAAGTCAAGTGGCTTGTTACTTGGTGGGGTCCAATAATGAAATAGAATCATTCACTACCGTGTGGGACATCTAGAACTAGACCTCGGCGCCCCTCATGGAAGGCCCAGGACGCCCTTGGCATGTGGGAACATTGGCACTGCAAACTATCAAGCGGAGCTGGCAGAAATATCCAATGTAGTCAGAGACTAGATAGCAATTATTTGATTGAAAGGATGAAGTCTGATTGATCTAGCTAGATGAGTAGGAGATATAAATCTCAGATAGCTAGCTAAGAATTGAAAGATTGCAGAAATGATTGAAAAAAGGCATTATGCATGCAGCAATGGAGGAAAGGGGGCGAGGGGCGGGACCCAGCCCCTGGGCCGGACCACTGGTGTCCGCCCGGGGAACGATCTGACGAAGATCCTGTGCCAGATCTCTGTAGGTAACATGAAGAAAGGCAGGAAGATCAGATAAGCTCTCTGGTGAGACCATTTCACACGAAAATGTGGCAGAATCGGGGCGACAGTGCTTTATTCGAAAGATTTCGTTGAAGCTGCCGTTGGAGGATCCGATCTGCTCAACTTTGATGTAAATAAAGCGTTCAATTAGACTATGTCTATGGCTTATTAGAGATTAGAATAACTAGATTTCAAGTTGGTGCTTCAACGAGGTTTGGTTCTTTCACCACGTCTGCTCTTTCGCGGGGACTCGAAGTTGAATGACAAATTTTGGTGGGCCGCTTGTTTGGTCCACCGGATCAAAGAATTGACTCTGTTCAATGTTGCCTCAACGGTTGGAGGCCGCGATCAATTTCATCTTTGAAGACGCGTTCACCGAGTATGCTTCGGCCTTCAAGAGTTGCATCGACCGCGCTCATCTAGGACGAGTACCAGCATGGGCTATGTTATGGTGGCATAATGGATGATGAGAAAGGGTAGTGGGCTAATTGCCGGCGCCACGGCAGATTGATATCCTTCACAGAATCCGTTGAAGCAACGCGGGCTGATGATTGTTCAGCGCACTTACAGTTTTGCGGGTTTGATGGAATAATCGAGAGGGTTCAATGGTTGATACATTCATTCATTTCTAGACGATGTTGCCGCAAAGGTTCTGGGGGGTGATTAGACTTATTGAAAAGACCAATTTGTATAAAATTGTTTAGACACTCAAGCGCTTAGCCGGATGCGCATATACATTGGGCTAGTGGTGAAGAGGGAGTGGTATAGAGGGGTGTTGTATGTTCTTGCTTATTCAACAACCATAGTTCATTACATGTTTTTTGAGCATGGCGTTTAACTTGACTGTAAGTCTCACAGCAATAACCTTGGGCTGATTATCGGCAATATGGTCGACAATTGTTGATGAAAGACTCCGCCGAAGCGCTCAACTGCATGGATGCTTTGATCTAGGCCAGAATGAAGATATAGTAGGGACATGAGCTCGACTTAAAGTGCATCGGGTGCTAGAACAGAAAACTGACGCGTTCGATATGCGCGGGTACAAGGGCACAGCTGAGCAATTGAAACATCGTTCGTGCCAACAGAGAGTCAAGGATGAGATACAGAACAGACTATGAGTGTCACTGTGAGATGATGTCGAAGCTGTGTGCGTCGAACCCCAATGTGCACAGCCGTGTTTTCTTGGCATTACGTCTTCCCGTCTTGGCGCGTGTGCTACGTGCGAGTTTTAAAGGTCTTCAGCCTCTCGGCTAACAAATCGACGTGAACTCTGGCCCGTCAAGAAGCCGCGCTACGGCATTGTTTAGCTCAACGCTCTCCACCAATCACAGCGGAACGGCTTCCGGTCCACCATTGCCGTTGTGGCATCTGAATCTCTACAGCGGCGGCTTCCACGCTTGATTGCTGCCGCAGGTGGCGACATGGTTGCCCCACATAAACCCGCCCTCACAGATCGAGTCCATCGGGCCTGCGACCATTGCTATCAACGGAAGGTGAATTGCCTTCGATACGCTGGGAAAAAAGTGAGACTGAAAGATGGCAGATCAAATGTGATGCAGCAAGTCCACGCTGCAATGATTGTGCCCACAAAAACATCAGCTGCACGTACAACAGGCCACTACGAAAACGGGTGCCGAGACTAGCTTCTGCTCAGCGGTATGAATCACCCTGGTGCTGTACCCGGCCCCTCCTGTTACTTGCTGACTGAAATACATGAAAAGTGGGAAAGCCGACCGAGGGGTGACGCAATCACTTGAAAAGGCCCCTTCACAAGAACCGCACAAAGGTTTGTCCAGCAACTGATATTTTAACTTCATGACCCAAACGTGATATCTACATAGGAGACTAAGAATGTTTGTCATTAGATGCCAAGCTTGTCTTCCCATTTTTACAGCATGTTGGGAACCTAAGGCTCTGCGAGGGTGCCGTGCTGTTGCCTACTAAGGGACAGGAATGGGTAGAGAACCTCACAGGAGAGAAAATACCTACAGAACTCTGTTCAAACAGCTCACGGCCATGGGAGCAAAGCGCTATCGTTAGAACTGATGATCCCACACGAAGTGGACATCTCCTGACGATGCCTTTACCCAACAGGGCAAGAATGAACCAAGTCATAAGTGCTTACTTCAATACGCTCGAGTGTCAAATTTGGCCGCTGCTGGACGCGAATTTGTTTAGGGAAACGGAACGTGTGGCCTATGAAGACCATCATCAGAGCCCACTGAGAGTTCACACCGCGAGGATCTGTGTCTGGGCGGCTTGGGCATTCATATCGGCCTTTCCGGGCACATCATCACACTTGCTACCTTCAGAGAGGGCGGAGATTGTGACATCAGCCATGGCTTCAATCAATCTTCTCCAGCAGCCACACGTTGAATTACTGGAGGCAATAACGATGCTCGTCACCGTACATCTTCTGTCAGGCAATGTCCAAGCTGGGGCAATTGGCAACACGCTCGCTGCACAATATGTACTTCGGATAGGAGGCAACACTCGGGACTGCTTCATAAAAGCCTCCACCTTTGCAGCTACTGGAGACGAACGATTTCGAATCAACTATCATTTACGGAATTTGTTCTGGATCTGCTACCAACAGGACAAGGAGTTATGTCTTCGTTCTGGGCAACCACCAACTCTTTCCGAGGACAACTGTGATCTTGATTTACCCGTCGGATACGAACAGAACTGGAATAATTCTCTAGCGATAGATAACTCCACGGCCCCCGTTTTTCCGGGTGATCTACGTTTGAGCCAGATCAAGTCCAAGGCTTACTTTGAACTGTACTCTCGGCGTGCGCTGGAGAAGAATGGCGCCCTTGTTCTTAGCGCGATTCGCCAACTGGATGATGATCTGGAGGAATGGCGTATGAGTATCCCAGCAGACTATCGCCCGACTATGCTCTTCAACGAGAAAACTCCTCATAGGCCCAGACACTTCAATATTCGGTCTTTAATGCTTCGCTTAGAGTATTATCATTGCGTGGCGTACATTCACCAGGCCTGTGCACGATTTCAAACGATGACCGGAAGTCCAGATCAAGAGATACAAGGCGTTACATCGAGTTTAACGTTTTCGATGGCCGCGTGCCGCTCCTCGCTCTACTACCTGGTGGCTGTTCAGGATACATTAGTCCCTAAAGACTTCTGGTACGTCTTGGAACAACATTGCAATGGCTCGTCTAGGCTGCCAATTCGTTTGTGACTAATGAACAAAACTAGGTTGACCTTGTTTTATACGCTCTCAGCGATTTTGACTGTATTCTGCTTTTTAATATCCAACCCCGGGACTCCAGAGGCAAGGAACGATCTGGAAATCATTCGCAAGATAGCAGCCCAACTCCGGAGATTGGGAAAGGATGACCTTTTTACTGAGGAACACTCTCAGACTGAACGCGTGTGGAAAGTCATAACAGCTTTGGAGGGCCTAGCTAAACGTACAATTGAGAAACAAATTTCATGAAAACATGGCACTGGATACTTTTCAGGTACTGATATAGGAAGATTATAAGTAAAGGTAGTGGATCATTTTTTCAACCTCGCCAATATTCAAGCCACATCATGTTTAATGAAATCTCCCAATGCGCCATTTCGCCATTTTAGGGAGAGCAGGCGGGGTAACGCGCAGTTCAGCGAGAGACATTTTGAGCCGTTGGTGGATGGGGATCGTAGTAAATTAGATTTTCTAGTCAAAATTTTGAGGAAGACTGACTTTCTTCTTAGTTTTCACCCTGACCCTTGTTTTTTTTTTATCGTAAGATATGTATCGGCTCGGTAGTTACCCTTAGCACATAAGGTAAGTCCCAATGGCATGTGTAAAGCCAGAGTGACGCGTCCACCTGATTTATTTTCTTATAAAGAGGTGGAAAAAAATCCGTATATTCCAGCCGAGACTTTCACCTAAAGTATGTTCAGTGGATGAAACTCCACTGGTTTAACGTTCAAAAAACACGCATCATATGAATTCGGACCTCGAAGAAACCAACGCGCGATATACACAGACTGGTTTACAGATGGAGTATAAGAAAGAGAAAAGGAAGGGCGAGGAAGTATAAGGAAGGGAGGAAGAAGAAGAGAAAGAGAAAGAGGAAGAGAAAGAAGTGAAAGGACAGAAGAATATATGGAGGTTCGCGGTCCCCTTTATTTACATCCTTTTTAGTATAACGTTCACTCAGTTAGAAATCGTATGTTATACTTTATATTAGCCTTCTTGAAATTTTATATACAATTCTTTGCCTTTATCTTCTGGCTTAAAAATTTATCACCATACTTTCTGGCAGAACAACGAAGGCGAGGAGGTGTATGATAGTCGAAGCCGACGAGCAGAGGACTTGGTGTGGGTATCTGAGTTGCGGTTCCTCAAAAAGAACGCAAATCAAATCTTGGATGTACTGGACCCACAAAAACCACGACATTTTGGCCTTTCGCGCAGTCTAAAACCTCCTGTGCGGTGAACTTTCGGTTGGTAAATGGGTCGTTAGACTTGAGAGAGAAATGGATCGATGAAAGCGACACAACCAAACATGGAGTCTATATTTTGATTGACATACACTGTAAATTTGAAATAGCACCGACACTGTCTCTTCCTCTAGACTTGTAAATTTTTGGACCTGATTGCCATATTGACGCTGTGGCCGTTCTTGATTTGACAATTTCCACCCTTTACTCTGATTATAGAGCCCAGCTATGCCAATCAAGCGGCCAAGTATTGACGTCCGGTTCTTTTGGCCAAATGGATTTGAAAATCTTCATTGTACCATCGTCAAAAGAGCTCTTATTGCCATAAGGATCGAAGGACTTTGCTGCTCTTATATGCAGTCCTGTCATGAACCCACGTTTAACGATCCAGGTGGGAGCCAGCTGTGTAAGGAAACGATTGTCAACTTGATAATGGACTCCCCTTCCTTCCCCTGGGAAATATTGTTGATATTGGAATGCTTGACCAAATAGTGGGTGAATAGTCAGCTGCACGAGGGATTTCCTTTTCTGGCATGCAGAGATGTATGTGAAAATTGCTTCGGCCAGGGTCTCATCAATAGCATAGTTAATCATGTAGTCCCGAAAGAACTATCTAGGGCAGCCGTTCCAACGAATAGTCATTGAACCCTTTTCAAAATCAGTTAAGTTGCGATGCGGCACCGGTAGTATATTGATATCTATTTCAGGTAAGTAGTTTAGCACCAGGTCGAGCTCCTTCAGACACGGAAAACGGCCTAATGCAGCATAGATGTCCGTCTCGAGACCTCGTCGTCGTTGTACACAAATCCGTAGCTTTTGTAGAGATAGATAATGATTCGCTAGCTCTGAAATACTCTGTGATAAGAATAAAGGCCCGATCTGCCCCTTTCTTGAAAGCGTCTCTAGAGCTCTGCTCGTCCATAAATGACATCCCATATGCAATTTTAATTCGAGAAGTGTTAATCCGTGCCTCCAAAGGACCGGACCATTGAGAAAGCTAGGCGAATAAGTGCCTAACAAACAGAGATATCTCAATGGTGGTAGAGATTTAAATATCAACTTAGTAGCAGGCCAGAACTTTATATCATTTTCATTTTGGAATAAGGTAAGTGTTAGTCTTGTTAAATCACGGAAAGGTTAGATATCCACGACGGTCTGCAATAGCATTGAATCTTCAATATAGCCAATAGTCCATGATTTCAGAACACTGAAATCCGTAATCCTTTACCAATCCTGAAATTGCTTGGCTGTCATTTTGGTATTGAGTGGCCATGATAGTGATTCAAGTTTAGCGGGCGCTGGTGTCTCATCACTCAGGGGTTGGGATGTTAACTTAACCCTCTCATTAAGATTCTTTTGGGACGATTGGTTAGGACATCTAGTGATCTGTAATGCAAGTTGCCTGATGTGAGGCGTAAATAGTATAATGCTCTGAAGGATTCGATCCGGATGTTCAGAAATTTCTATGCTCCGACCGTCAAAACAGGTGATATTGACACCATGAAGGATAGGTGACAGAAGCCTAGGTGTACAATTTCACCACGATTAAAAGAATTAGCGGCAGGTCCGATCCAACTGGTGAACATTGTCACTTGACAAGTCGGATAATATTGCGAAAGAGCCTCTAAGAGCTCGACTGGGCCCCCATTCTGAATAAGGATTTTCGCCTTGTGCAAATGAGGTAGTCGTCGAATGAGATCAATGACGAGATTCCAGTCTCCCTGCTCCCCAAGAAAGATATCAGAGATTTGCTCATCCCCTAAATACGCTTGCTCTAGAACATCATCAAGGCACATCCAAGGATTGTAAGATTCTTGAGAAGTATGCCCCGATATGATGGTCAGTCGTCTCACGTTGGTGAGAACACGTCGGGCACCCAGAAGATAGAGCAATATATGATGTGCTTCATTTGAGTCTAAGCGGATGATGAGGTCGTGATATAGAATTGCTGCGGCGATTCCATTCCATTCTGAATTCACACGGGACAGTGCTTGGAGACTTTTCTTAGACTCGTCGCCTGTCTGGGGCTCTTAAATCAGGGACGTATATTATCACATTGGATAGGAGAACTCACCCATTTGGTGATCATCTGCCTGATCTCTATTGGTAGCCGATCCATGGTACTTAATTCTTGAACTTGCAAGGATAGGAAAGTGTAATTGTGCAGAGTAACAAGACGAAGAGAATTTAATATAAGGGATTGGTGCAGTAGCAGAAAAAAAATTTAACCCTCCTTTCTCACCGCTCATACAACAAAGATCGAAATCGGTTTCATCTAGCTACGTATGCATGCGTTCTCATTAAATTCTAACAAAATTTGGGTACCAGCCCGATGCTAGAGATTCTGCCGGTGTGGAGACCCGGCTCGGCAATGAGCTTCTCCCCATCACCGACAACCGTATGTGCCCCACCCCACTGTAAAGGCCAACTACGCCACCTCTGCAGCCAATTACCATCATTCTCACGCTCCTCTGCCTCTTCCACCAGCGGCCAGACAGAATTGTAAATGACCTCCAACTGCACAGCCCCCTCAGTCACCCAACGGCGGGCAATCTGCTTCTGCCTATACTTCACGGCCTTGACACCGGCCAGAAGATCCGTCTGAACCGTCCAAGACGAAGCCAGTGCTTTGAAGATATCGTTATTCGACGCTATTGATATGCTTTTTGCAGCCACTGCAGGTGCACTATACAAGGGACGGATCTTTAACTTCGCGAGGCGCCGATCCCTAACCTGGTGGGAGCGGATATGTGTAAAGATGGTCTTGGCCAGATCTTTGTCGATAGCGGAGTTGATCATCGTGTCTCTGATGTACCAGATAGGCACGTCGAGGCCGGTAGAGGGCGGGGGTTGAGCCTTCTCGAATTCGGTTAGGTCGCGTGGTGGGACTGGGGAGAGGGGTTCGGTTTCATTGGGGTCCACAAGAGGTGGGCAGTTCAGGTAGAGCTCGAGAGTTGTTAGGGCTGGGAACAGGGCGAGTGCGGTGTAGGCGGGTGTTTCGAGGCCGCGATTGCGTTGGATGGCGATGCACAGGGTCTGGAGGGAAGGGCAATGAGCTGCAAGGGGGTAGATTTCCTCGACGGAGCATATGGGGCCTGTCACACTCTGGCCTCTTGCGCGTAGTCGGCGGAGTGTCTGATGGTTCCAGTCTTGGGGGCCGACGTTGAGCTTTAGTTCGAGTAGTGTTGGGCCGTGCTTGCGGAGGGCAGTAGTAAGGAGGGTTGGTTTGTAGCTACCTAGGAGGCAGAGGTATGTGAGCGGGGGAAGGGAGTCGAACATTGCCTCTACAGCTGTGTAGAAGGATAGCTCGTCGCCTTGCGGTGGGAAGAGAGCGAGGGTGAGTCTTTTTAGCTGCTGGAAGGGACGAAGATTGGCAATAGCACGTAGTACTTGGGTGTCTTCGATGCCGCCAACGGTCCACGATTTTAAGCAGCTGTAATCTACTAGCTGATCCCACTTGAGGAACTGCCCAGCCGGCATTAGGGTATTCAGCGGCCACGCTAGCTGTTCAAGCTTTGCACGCAGTGGTTCCACCCCACTCCTTCCATCAATAATCACCGTCTCGTTGAAGTCTTCTTTCGGGCCAACTTGGCCACCCGCGACGATCTGCAATGCAAGTCTCTTGACATGCGGTGCACGAACAACTACATCTTCAAGAACTCTATCTGGGTGCTCCCTGAAATTCCTGCGCTCTGGATACTCGAAAAGAGTGACATGGGCGGTGTGCAGCTGCGGCGATAGAACCCAACCGTCCGTCTTTTTATACATGTCTCCCAGCTGAGGAGTCAAGTAAACAGATGACCGACAACTTGGATGATACTGCCTGATGGCCTCGTGAAGCCCGACAGGGCCGCCGTTTGACATAAGAAAATCAATATCCCGCAGTTGAGGAACCCTGTGAATGAGGTCAATTACCCTGGCGCTCTGGTGTGTTGAACAATCCCCAACTTTGGGAATGCTTCGATCTCCGAGGTTCTGAGTTCTAAGCATAGCCCGGAGGCCGCTGTAGGCAGGAAGTACTGGTGCACGCGTTTGGCTGCTAATTGGAGACCACGGGACGATGATACTGAGTCGCTTTACGTGAACGAGCACACGGCTGGCTTCTGGCTGCCAGAGAAACTTATGAGAGACATCATCTTCATCTCCGAGTATACGTATGATGATATGCTCGTACAAGAGCGGCCTAGCAATTCTGTTCCATTCTTGGTCCACCAGAGAGAGTGCAGGCAGGCTCTTCATACGTTCATCGCGTATCTGCAGATACGGTCAGATATTAACAACATTGGAAAAATGGTCAACGTACATATCTCGCAATCATACATTTGATCTCTGATGGCAATCGGTCCATGATTTGGTAGAGGGGTTGGGTGTTGAACAGAGAGTAGAAAAAGCTAGCTTGGGGAACATGGCTTTTTTTTAAAGATTATTAATTATACACAGAGCTTACCTAACACCACAGCATAAATAGCCTACTTCCTGCCTAGTGGAAAACATGTCTAGAGCTACATAGAAATCCTGCTCTGCTCCTCCTCCTCCCGCACCTCAACCCAACAACACCCTAACTATCAGCGACATAAAACAACATATGATAACAAGGCCCCATCCCCGCACTATAAGCTATATCCTCATCTCCATCCGAGTCCTCCACATCCAAATCCGGAATATAGCACTGCTCCTTATTCGTCCAATCCCGCACCTTCGAAATCGTCTCTGGGTTTTCAAAATAGGCCCTTCGCGTTGGCCAGAGTGTTACCGTATCTTTAGCGGCCGGATCTGGCTATGGAAAGCATTTCAAAGAGGTGGCAAATGTCGACTTGGATAAAATCATGAAGGTCTAAAGTGGTACCATCCCACTACCTTTGAGCAAGTCTGACAAAGCTATGGGGCTCTCTGAATGGTCAAAATGTGTACTTGAGACAAAGATAAGCATCCAAATTCCTAATTTCGAAATGAAAACCGTATTGCAATCCTGTGTTGGTAGATTTAGATCGCATGTGAAGAAATTCTCTAGACATTCGAGAGACACTGAGCCAGAGCTCTGAGGAATAATCCCAACAATCCTTGAACGCTTACATTATATGCATGATTTTCCAGGCAAGTTACTTCCTCAGTATTGTGCATCGTGAAGCGCCGTGACTAGAGTATCCTTCTTACTCTTGAGCTTGCGGAGATACTCTGAGTTTATCATTGGATTTAAGTCCACTACTTATGGTTGATCAATATGAAGACAGAGGTGATTGCTAAGTCTGGGCCCTCCAAGGATTGTTGCCCTATTTCACATGAGGAGGGTTGTTGTTCTTATCCAGGTACATGTATCAGACTTATATACATTCTAAAAAAAAAGGACCCAGGGTCCGTCACTGTCTCTTCCTCTTCATGCTCAAGACTTGAGAGTTTGCCAATGCATCAATCCGATCATGATTAACAGTATGACCAGTGATCCCACTTGCATAATGCTTTTTCATCTGTGATCTGCTCAATGAAGCTATTAAGTCTTGACGTCTGGCCCTGTCTCCAATATGCCTATGGACCGAAAAATCGATACCATCTCATGTGGGTACCCACCGAGGTAGACAGGATTGAAGGGCTTCTCGCGAATCGCATGCAATTCTGTATTATTGTCTTGTTTGACCGTCCAGACAGATGCCAATTTATCGAAAATGCCGTAGTTGATGAATCTCTTTACTCCCCGGGGAAACAAGAGTACTGGTCCAATTTAGTATACTGGGCCCGTTGACCGATTAGAGGACTCATGACAAGCTGGACAAGGTTTTCTTGAGATGTGCGTATTTGTGCGAAGAATTCCTTGACGAAGCTAGCGCTCATGAAACAGTTGATCATGTAGTCCCGAATGAACCATCTAGGGCAAACATCACTATCCCAATTGAAATCTGATGCCAGACCCTTTTCAAAGTCAGTCAGCTCTCGCAACGGGACTGGCATCATGTTGGCAGATATTTCCGGTAAGCAATTCCACACAATGTCGAGTTTCTTAAGGCATGGAAACCGGCCCAGAGCACTCGACATATCAGTTTGGGCACCTGGATACCGCTGTACACAGATGTTTAGCTTCTGGAGAGATGGACAATTATCTGCCAACTCTCGAACATGCTCAGTTGAAAATGTAGGCCCAGCTTGCCCCTTTTTGAACAGTTTATATTCCGGTAGCGAAATGCCTTCAGAACCTGATTGAGGTCTTATTTCCCTATGCAATCCCAATTCAAGGAGAGTTTTCCCATGCTTATAGCTAATCACGCTGTTGGCAAACTCAGGAGTATACATTCCCAGTAGACAAAGATGTGTTAAGGGGGGTAGTGAACTGAACATCGACTCCGCAGCTTGCCAAAAGTTTGGGCCATCGTCATCTTTTCGTGGAAATAAGGCAAGGGTGAGTCGCTTTAGCTGTCGAAATGGCTGATCATCCACGATAGACCGGAGTAGTGTCGAATCACTGATACAGCCAACAGTCAACGATCTCAGAACACTGAAATCGGTGACTGTTTGCCAATCCTGGAACTGCTGAGCTGTCATTTCGGTGCTAAGAGGCCATGACATGGTTTCTATTCCAGCGGGTCTAGGTGATTTGTCACTTTCGGCTTCCTGGTTCATGCTGAATCCGTTGAGCTGCCCACGCGAAATGTAAGGGGCTACCCATCCGTTAATTCTTAATGCGAACTTTTTGAGATTAGGCGCATGTAACACATTTTGTAGGACGCTATCCGGATGCACAGAAAGAGGGCTCCTATAACTATCCAAAACGGTCAAATGAACAGCATATAGCATTGTTGAAGAAAGCCACACTGGGTTAATAATAGGAAAACTATTACACTCCCGAAGTGGATGTCGATCCATCACAGTGCTGAAGAAAGACACTCGACAAGTAGGGTGATATTGCGAAAGAGCCTCAAAGAGCTCGACTGGGCCACCATAGAAAACAAATATATTCACATCGTGCAAAAAAGGTATTCGTCGAATCATATCGATGACGGGACTCCAATCTCCCCCAATGTAGAAACCAGCTTTAGGGAGATTTCGATCGTTGAAGAAGGCTCTTTCCAGAGCACGAGGAATGTCGGAATACTCCTGACCAAGCCATTCGCTGGTCTGAGGACCTATGCGATTGGGACTAAATTTCCTAAGATGGGAACGCGGCGTCCATTTTGCCACAAGGCTCAGTTGTCTCGCTTGTGTGAGAATACCTCGGTCATCCGGTATGATAGGGATTTTCCCGTCCTTCAAGCGAATCACGATATGTTGGTCCTGAAATCTTTTGGCAATTCCATTCCATTCACGGTTGACTAGGCACAGCGCTTGGAGGCTTTCCTTAGATATGTGTCCTGTCTGTTGCTTGAATTAGAGCTGCAATTTATTGCTTCAAACAGAGACGCTCACCCAATCGGCGATTATATGCCTGATCTCCAGTGGTAGTTGATCCATCGTTCTGAATTCCCAGTTTCGGTAATGGTGGTCACATATGATCAAGGGTAGGTAAAGATTGTTGTCTAGTTACTAGAGAACACAAAAGTGAGCTGGGAGTCCATTCAGTGTTCAAAGGGGTACGGCCCAGGTGGGTCTGTAACACCTATCTCCCTAACCGTCTTTGGTGACGAAGGGCATTACTGATTGTAGGCTTTGGTATGGAAACACTTAAAATTATCCAGCAAAATCAACTTCATTTAGTCACGAAATTAATCGGTCTTATTCGAGCAGATGGACGTACAGTGCTTCTAACGCTTTGACGGAAAGAGCATTGGCAGCGGATTAGACCGGATCCTGACTGTTATGTGCCTGCTGCTGCCTGTAGCTTCAGCCATGTGATAATTGACTATGTCACTGATAATCGCAACATGACCAAGGTCAAGTGTAGTTTTAGCTACGTACGGTGCCTTATCTACTTCCGCCGAAAGTTATTAATTCGCAAAGCTTCATGAGTCGCGTAGGTATCAACTTATTTGACATTACCTCATCAAATAGGTGCCATGGTCTAGTGGTATGACGACACATTGTGGTAGATCACAGTGAATCTGTGTTAGCCCCGGTTCGATTCCGGGTGGCGCCATTTTTTTCATTTCCATTTTTTTGCTTCTCAGACATGCCATACTACCAAATATTAACGAACCTTCTTGGCTCATCGGTATCATATTAAAACCCTTTTTAGGTTATTGGTAAGGAAGTGGTCGATAAGTTGAGCAAGAAGGTTATATCTATCGGAAATCAACCCCGCCATTTAAAGCTTGGCTCAGACCACATTTTGAACGTATTTCCATTTTTCAAATCCTGATTCCACGATTTCTTTGTTCGGGTAATATAGTCAATGTAGACTAATATAAAAATAGAAACACAGAGCTTGAATCGCCATAAATAATCTTGTAAATGGATGTGGAAGACAACAGAGGCTGATGACTATTCAGCGAAGGACTCAGCAGAAGCCGAGATGACATGGATTTATAACAACCACAAATCTGTGATTTCAGCGCTATATCCTCTGGCAACATGAGCAGTTTGATTTGCAATCTGATCGCACAATCTCGACAATTAGTCAACTTTCTTTCTCCAACCTTTCTTTTGACATGTCTTCCAACATTGAAATGTTTCCTTTTGAAAAGCAAACACCATTCACTCAACCTTGTCTTTCCCTTTTACCTTTTTAACTCCTTGGCTCATAGCTGTTCCGAGTATTTTACACAATTTCAATACTCGACATAAGAAAAACACATCCCGAAATAAGATACAACACGCAGTACAATCTGTAGTGACAGCATACTAATGTGGGGGAGGGGGCAGAGCTCCCCACTACAATGCATAGCATTCATAAACCTATTATAGTGATGTTGTACCGCAAGAAACATTTTGAAGCTGGTATAAATTGAAAAAAAAGATCCAGAAGCTCCACCTGGGTAGGGCTATTCTTTTTTAGAAAAGACAGGTCAAGCCTCTGGCTTACGACCAACTATCAGATACATAGGCGTGAATAGCTTCTCCTTTCCACCCGCAACAAGACAGTCCGCGCCCCCAGCAAGCGAGTCAGCAGTTCTCTGTGATCCCTTTGGCGCAATGCCAATCATCTCAAGTGCACCAACAATGCCATGCGCCAGTCCACGGCCAACATGAGTCATGCGGATCAGGGTCGGTAAGTCCCAAAGGCTCTGCGTGTATCTCAAATCACCGCTGAGGGGCCAGTACCAAGGAAGCTCATCGTTGCGATCGGCAAGATCCTCACTGACCTCAAGCACGAACCCAGCCTTCTTCATCGCGTCTAGAGCGACAGAGATCTTCTCCATATAACTAATTCCATTCCCTTGCTCGATACCAAGACGAATCGCACGGTGACGGAGATCATCGTTGTCGTAGTTCTCGGTCATCAACCACTCGTAAACACCAAAGACGCCACCAGGCTTGAGGACCCGGAAAATCTCGGAGTAGATTCCTTCCAGACTCGGAGCATGTACGGTAGCTTCGATCGCGTAGACAGCGTCAAAACTGTTATCGGGGAAAGTCATTTGCATAAAGTCGCCCTTGGTAAAGCTGACCTGATCACTAAGATCTTCCTTCTGTGCGTACAGAGTACCACGCTCAACTTGGTAGTCGTTGTTATTAAGACCGAGGAATTACACCCGGTGAACTTAGCGATTTCCCTCGCAGGACCACCAACACCACAACCAACGTCGAGAACCCGTTGACCCTCCTGGATACCCATCTTCAGTGCAAGGTAATGTTCGTGTCGAGCCAATGCCTGCTTAAATGCCTCGCTCTTGCTGAATCGACAAAAGTGGAAACTTTGCGCCCAGCCATACTCGTAGAAATCGGTCGCGAGATTGTAGTAGTGTCGAGTGAGGGTTGCGTATTCCTTGCGTCTGGTTTCGCGGGTTTTGGATGTCTCGTCATCGGCACCTTTGTTATCCCAGTGCTTGAAGTATTCGTCCACGGCGATTTTTTGAGCATCCTTGTTCTTGCGCATGATATTCATGAATGAGTTTTGATCCTGGCCTGTCTTGCCATGTAGCGCTTGCTTGAAATCTGCATCTCGCTTGTGGTCTTGAGGCTCGAGAGTAATAGCGGCCATTTTTGGAGTGTCCGTCAGGGAGGGATACGATTTGTGAGGTGGAAGAAAGGATTATGAATTGGATAATTGGAGTGAGATGGGGAAGCTATGCATATATGAAACTTGAACTATGTATACAGGATCATACAGGGGCTCGAAAGTCGGTATGATTCGACCAATCTGAGGCAACGAGGCGTTAATCTCGGGCTTTGACGCTCTGACAGGCTCCCAGATTCAGGATTACCACTCCCGGAACTACGGGTCACTGCTTGTTTAGATGGCGCCACCTACTTGCAGGGATTAATAGGGGATCGCATGCAGGGACGGAAAGGGGCTATGTTTGCACATGTGTATTTTGTGGTCTGCATACTGGTAGAGATGAGATTTCTTTGTGAGGAAGCGTATCCAGCATTGGTTCCAGGGTACCATTCTCACATTCCAGCATAAAAGAATCCTTCTCAGGTTATCTGAAGGGCTCCAAGGGGCAGTTTCAAAGGACTCATTCGGTACGGAGTAACCGACCAAAATTAGATAAAAGACTGACTTAATTAACTAATTACAGTAGTGGAAGTAACCTCAACCGGGACTTATAACTACTGTAGCCTTGTAAGTAATCTACTATGTATATCCTAGGCTAGCCTAGGATCCAGTGCCTAAGTGGGGATCCGGGTATCTGATGATCACCCGTAAGGAAAAATAGCGTATATTAATTCATTAAGCGAGTATTTTGGGTTAAATACCTCGGAGTTCGGTACTGGGATGTTATAGATCCGATGAGGCATAGTGCCGGGACTAGTAGGGTGAACTGACCATTAAAGCTAATCCATAATTCAATTTTCAACTGTGCGCAACTCCATGTATACGCCACCCTGCGGTTCTTGATTTGTGACTTTTCTTTTTTCTATGGATTTTCTTGGTTCAATTGTTCTGAATTTCTTTTTCTTTTTTGTTTTTTTTTTTGTTGTCATAATAATTGGGCCAAGTGTCAAGCCGACCTTAATTAAGTGTTAAGCCGACCTGCTTCCTCTGGTATGACGATATATTGTGGTAGATCACAGTGAATCTGTGTTAGCCCGGATCGAATCCGGATGGCGCCATTTTTTCATTTTATTTTTACTCTCTAGACATGACATGCTGATTGCCAACTATTTCATTAACTACAGTAGATCCATCGGTATTATATTGAAATTCCTCTACGCTAAATAGTAAGAAAGTGGTCGATGCGTTTGAGCAAGAAGGCTATATCTACAGAAACCAATACCGCTAACCACCTTGGCTCAGACCACAATTTTAACGTATTCTTCCACATTTTCATACCCTGATTCCACGATTTCTTTATTGATACAGTCAGTGTAAATCAGAATAAACACAGAAACATAGAGCTTGACTAGTCATTCACAATCTCAGAATATCTCTTACCTGGAACGTGCCCGGATAAATATCGGCAATAGAGGGGATGCGGGGGGGTTGCGTCGGCGTCTTTTACCCCGAACCACGTCATACGTCAGAAATATTACAATGGATGGATAAAGCGTCAGGAGTTATCTACTTCATCAAACTATCATAATGTCTGAACCATCAGTCACATCAGTATCATTTGAACAACATGCCACTGGACTAGGCATCGGATTACCTAGACCTCGTATTTCGTGGAAATTCGTAGCCACCAATAACACAGTTCCGAATTGGGAGCAGAAAGCATATGAAATTGAGATTGTGCGTGGCGCTTCAAGCCCTGAGTCTTACCATGTTAAAAGCTCAAATTCCGTTCTCGTGCCTTGGCCGAGTCAACCTCTTGAATCTCGCGAATCCGCTCAAGTCCGTGTTCGATCACACGGTCTAAGCAACAAAACGGACTGGTCGGACTGGGAAACAGTGGAGTGTGGACTGTTGAAACCTCAAGACTGGACTGCGCGCGCTATTACCAGTCCTGTTAAGCAGTCCGAGGGGCCTCTACGCCCGCTTCGATTTCGAAAGACATTCAATGTTCCTTCTGCTCTGCAGAACGCTCGTCTCTATATCACCAGCCTTGGTGTGTATCAGGCTTACATCAACGGTGTCCCAGTTGGTGATCATTGCATGGCACCAGGTTGGACGAGCTACCATCACCGATTGAATTATGAGGTTTTCGATGTTGCATCATTGCTGCGGGTCAACGAAGAGAATGTCATCGCGGTAGAACTTGCTGAAGGGTGGTATGCTACACGTTTAGGATTTCTTGGTGGCCAGCGCTTTATCTACGGTGATGAAATTGCCTTGATTTCCCAGCTGGAGATTATTTCCGATGAGCTTAAGATATCTGTTGTCTCTGATGCGTCGTGGAGGTGTCACTCATCGGCGCTCATCACTAGCGAGATTTATGATGGAGAGGTCTATGATGCTCGCGAAGAACAACAGGGGTGGAATAGCCTGGCATTCAATCAGGAAGCATCTTGGGATCCCGTTCGCGAGACAGTATTCCCCAAGACTGAACTTGTGGCGCCTAATGCGCCCCCGGTGAGAGTGACGGAAATCGTGAAGCCTATAGAGATTATCACGACACCTTCTGGGAAGACCATCGTCGACTTCGGTCAGAACCTAGTTGGCCGGGTCCGCATTCCTCTTATCAACCCCACGAGCGTGGTCGACCATATCGTGACACTCATTCACGCCGAAGTTCTCGAGAACCAAGAGCTCGGCACTCGTCCACTTCGAATTGCCAAATGTACCGACACTATCATCTCTTCTGGTGAGATCCGCAACTGGGCACCACGCTTCACCTTCCACGGTTTCCGTTACGTCCAAATAGATGGCTGGACTCCCACTCTCGACAATCTTGTCGCTGAGGTAATGCACACGGATCTCCCCCGAACAGGATGGTTCAACTGTTCCCACAAAATGGTCAACAAACTTCACGAAAACGCCACCTGGAGTATGCGCGGCAATTTTCTCTCCCTTCCCACAGACTGTCCCCAGCGTGACGAGCGTCTAGGCTGGACAGGCGATATCCAAGTCTTCGCACCTTCCGCCAGCTTCCTCTACAACACAGCCGGTATGCTCGGGGACTGGCTCAAAGATCTCTCAGCAGAACAACTCATTCACGATCACGGCATTCCACCCTTTGTCATCCCAAACGCCATCCCGGAAGCCCTCTGGCCTACTTTCCCTCAAGCAATCTGGGACGACGTCACTGTCCTCCTTCCTTGGACCCTCTACCAAAGCTACGGAGACAAAGACATCCTACGCCGCCAATACCCTAGTATGAAAGCATGGGTTGACACAGGTATCCTCCGTGGCCCGGATCAACTCTGGGAAGATACCCTCTTCCAACTAGGCGATTGGTTAGATCCTACTGCACCACCAGATAATCCCGGTAATTCACGCACAGACGGTACCCTCGTCGCAGATGCATACCTCGTCCACGTCACACGTATTCTTGCATCCATAAGCAGGATAATCAACGAGGAATCCGACGCATCACGCTACGAAGCAGATTACCAAACTCTCAAATCCCGATTCCAGAACAAATACGTCTCCTCCGCCGGTTTGCTCGTCGGTGATACACAGACTGCCCTCGCACTCGCTATCGTCTTTGATCTACTCGATGACCCTGTCCAGATCGCTGCAGCTGGAACACGTCTTGTGAGGCTGGTGCGGAAATCAGGCTTCCAAGTCTCGACTGGTTTTGCAGGGACACCTATTATCACGCATGCGCTTACGAAAGCGGGATATCCACAGGTAGCGTATAGGATGGTACAGGAGAAGAAATGTCCGTCGTGGATGTATCCCATTACGATGGGCGCGACGACGATCTGGGAGCGGTGGGATAGTATGCGTCCAGATGGGAGTATTAATCCTGGTGAAATGACGAGTTTCAATCACTACGCGCTTGGGTCGATCATTAACTGGCTCCATTGTACTGTTGCGGGTGTTAGCTTGCTAGAGCCTGGGTGGAGGGAGATTCTTGTGAAGCCTGTTCCCGGGGGAACGGTGACATCTGCTGAGGTTGTTTATGAAACAGCTTATGGGCGCTTAGAGTGTGGGTGGGTATTGGATGGTCAGCAATTTACGTTGACTGTTGTCATTCCACCGAATTGTAAGGCGAAGATTGTGCTTCCGGGTGAAGAAGGTGAGGAACGGGTTGGATCTGGACGGTATAAGTTTGAGACGACGTTTGATAGTCAGGTTGGGTGGCCGCCCAAGGCACTTGTTCCTCCTATGTTCAAATCGGAGGACTCGTTTGTTTGATTCCTAATGGATTTAGGATGATATAGGTAGAGTATAATCTTATCATCTATGATGTCTTGTAACCCGAAACCTCAAACTGTTCCGCAAAGAAGGCTCCATCCATGGTAACTCATAATTCCCAGATAAAGTCTCAACCAACTCAAACCCACATTTCTTCAAAACATTTTCTGAAGCCACATTCTCTGTATCACAATACGCCTCTAACACATCAAACTGTGATCTCTCCTTCCAGAATAACTCCAGAAACCCAGATAACGCTTCCGTCGCGAAGCCATACCCCCATGCCTGCCGATTATAAAGATACCCCAGTTCGGGCACAGGATCCGAGCGCCAAGTTCCTACTATCCCAAGTAAGAAGCCTGGTTTGAGAATATCTTGATCATGGACGTTGGGAATTCGGCCTTGGTTTTCTTTTGTAATAGTATTGATATCGATATCATTGCGTAGAAAAACGGCATAATTCTCGCCAAGTGGATTCTTCTCGGGTAGTAATCCAGACAACCATTCTTCGCTTGCTTGCAGTGTTTCGCATACTCCGTGTGGACTCCAGCGTGTTACGGTAGAGTCGGACCAAATAGCGTGGTAGCCGGGTGCGTGGTCTTGTGTTAGGCGGACTAGATTGAGACGCGTGGTTTGCATTGCGCAAATTGTGTTTGATGTGGTAAAATGTCTATTATGGAGTAGCTATTGTGGTTCATGGGAATACAATATCTTAAGTAGCTCTGGGACTACATTATCTTAAACATCGGGGTCTCGATTGGGACAGTGGATCTCATTTTCGAATTATGATAGGCTATAGTCATTACTTTACATAGTGATGCCCCATAGCTTTTGATTTTCATTTCCTTCTCATGAAATTGTTTCACATATCAGAGAAACACTAACCCTAAACATGATCTAAAAATGACCGATATTGTTCCATGTATTCTGTTTGAATGATTATGAAGGCATTGTACCGCATGTCCAAGGATTATGAATCAGATAGAACCTTGGATTACATAATCAAGGGGTGATAGCTCAGTTGGGAGAGCGCACGACTGAAGTTCACTGCAGTCTTGACATTAGTCAATCGTGAGGTCGCCGGTTCAATCCCGGCTCGCCCCAATGTTTTTTTTGTTCGTGAATTTTACAATCTTTACTTTGCGATCAAAACCTTTAACCGAAATGAGGCAAGCAGGTAAAGAAACACTCGCCGTTCTACGCGCCGCGCGAAATGCCCGGCGCAAAGCCTCTTGTATTAAGAGTTCGGGTTTCGTAATTTCAGAACAACAGAGAAAAATATATGAATTATATACAAGAACGAAATGTATAGTGATGGAGATTACGCATGTTTCAGTGAAAATAATTGATCCTTCTAACTCGTAGCATGGGTTGGAGATGAAATCCATAACATGGTTCAAATGGCTTTGAAGGGATCCAGTAATATCCTGAGTATAGCCCTCTTGACACCATACAGGTTGAACAACCAATTCAGAAAGAGTCAAAGATCGTCACGTCATATCAGCGTTAAGGACAGACATTTAGCTGTGCGGCTGTAATGCAGTAGTAGAGTCATCGTCCGGGGAAATAGCAATGTCAGTTTGAACCTTAATACCAAGCTCATCGCCCAGTCTATTCCTTTTAGACTGACGCCCACCAGAGATAGAAGACTGCATTCTCAGATAGGTTGGATCTGGCGAGAGGGGACTTGACTTAGACAATGTGTGCGAATTACTGATGTCCGTATCGATATAGTATGGTTCATTGCTGCGTTTGGAACGGTTCTTCAGCTTGAATTTTGGGAACAGACCGCGGACGATAGGGAGACAAGAGCAGATGAGTCCAACGGAAGGCTCGATGTGTGTCCATAATGTTGCTTGGTAGACTGTGTAAGTTGTGTCGGTGGGGCTGATCCAGAATAGAACCACGATGCGGTAAATACTAGCGAAGCAGACGAAGGCTCCGATTGCGAAAACGCCGTTAAGGGCGAGTTTTTCTTGCCAGGTGCGGTGAAGACCCCAGATCATTGGAACGGGGAGGGCGAGGATGACGAAGTCCATTAGCACGTTGAATGCTTGATTGACAATGAAGAAGAGGTCGGCGTTGAAGCAGTGGCCGTCGATGCTTTGATCCCAATATGCGCGTAGTGGGCGGCATTGTCCGGCGCAGGCGAAGAATATTCCTGCTCCCCAGGCGGCGATAAGGCAATTTATACCAAGGGTGACTTGTTGGAATTTGGGGGTGGTGAATACTCGGCGGTAGAAGCAGATGATGGAGATCTTGATGGACGGGCATAGGATGAAGTAGGTGAATTGATTTGCGAGGAAGATCTGGGTGTGTCAGATCAGATCATGCTTCAAATTATGCCGCGATATGCGTACCTTGTAGAAGTTTTCGATTGTCTTGTTGTCTAGTGATTTAACATGTGCACCATTACCTCCAATCGTGCACCCTAATAGGCATTAGCAGGGACTCGAATCGAGAACTCTTCCACTCACATAGAACCAGCTCAACCAACATAGCCAACATCAACATCATTGACAGAAGACTAAGATAGTCATCAACACCGAAGCTAACTCTTCGACGTGCGCGCGCCACCACACGCAATGCGACACAAATGCAACAAAGAGCGACCAAGATCGAAATGATCTCGATCATCTGCAAACCTCTCACACTAGCAGCCATGGTGAATAGAAACACTAAATCAAAAGGTGAGGGGTCAATAAGAATGGAATTATGTTGAAGATAAATGCAGATATATGGTCACACAAGAGCAGCCCAAGATTGAAGTCCTGGGAAACATTCAAGTCCGCGAATTAGATTGACTCGATGTCCAGTCATCATCGGCAGACTCGTGAGCCGTATAGAGTGGATAATTCTATATTCCAGTCTAAATAATTATACTATAACTGGGACGACGGTGGGATCGAAATTCTTTGGAACGCCGAGTTAGCGCTGTCTATCATGACCAAGAGGGGTGCAGCGGCGGGGGTTGTAGTGACACCTTTCTTCTTGCTCCGACTTGCTTAGAGGGTCCAGAGTACCGGTTGGAGTCAGTGAAATGGGGTTTATGGAGCTTTGTGGGTCTGTCTGATCGGGAGGGCGGCACTCCGAACGAATCTGATATGTAAGATTCTATATTCAACCTCGGGAGGTACGAAAATGAAAAAAAAAAAAAAGCAGTCACATAAATAGCGACGTTTATATGCAGTGCTTGTGTATGTTATACCAGCTTTAGGATAAGGTTATAGGTTTGAAGTACCTCGGGCTTCAAACACGTTGTCCTGTACTCTGTAGTGATTCATTCTTCGTGGCTGATCTGTTACGCAGACATAAATAGTTCATCTCAACCCGTGTCCATTTAGAAGTATTGAGCTTGGCGTGACTTGCAGGATCCAACAATCAGGGTCTCGATCCTTCACAAAGCTTACAACCTCAATATAAGCAAGTGCCAATATGCCAATATGCCAATATACAGAAAATCTATGTATTACAAATGTACTTTAAAGGTACACTATCAAAGATCGCACAATCTGTCTATCTGACTCGTCTTGCATAGCCAGAATTTCATTCTGGACTTTCGGTGATTCAGGTAATACACTATGGATCCCGTTGGGGCAGACTGTCAAAATCTTCGTAACATTAGAAGAATGCGATCATTGGTTCTTTCTATTTATTATTATTGTCTTGAACACCACCAGAGTTAATTCAAAGTATTTCACATCGGCTTTGATATTCCTATGAACTAATCCCACGCAGCCACATTAATACTGTGTCAAACATTGTGTCAAACATGTACGGAATAATGTAAAGCGAAGGGTCAATTCATGGCTAGCAAGTAGTGGAAGCATTGAATCAAAATCAGTGTTCTTATTTCAGGCAAGGATCAACAAAACTCCAGTTCAACTCCAACTTCAGATAAAAGTCCACATATACAGTGGGTCACAAATCCCATCAGTACTGTAACTCCCACACCTGGGCACCTTCCCCTCACCACATCCCCAAGATTAACGAAATGATCTCAGTCCCCCTCCTAATTAACGGCAAAGAAGATTTCCTCTCTTCAACATTCGACGTAATAAGTCCATACACCAACAGAACCTGCTGGGCCGCTTCAGCAGCCACTCCACAAGATGCCATTCGCGCCGTCGAAGCGGCCGACGCAGCCTTCCCAGCATGGTCGACGACAAAACCCACCGTGAGACGCGACATTCTTCTCAAAACAGCCGATCTCTTGGATCAGCGACTAAGCACGAATGCGGAGATTATGCGCATAGAGATGGGAGCTGATGTAGGTGCTTCAGAGGGATTCGTGGTACCATTGGCAATTAGGATGCTACGCGAGGTTGCGAGTCGAATTACCTCTATCTGTGGAAGTGTACCTGTTGTTGAGACAGAAAGACAAAGTGCGATTGTATTCAAGGAGGCTATGGGTGTTATTTTAGGTATTGTACCTTGGTAAGTTATATTCAGAAGTAGTTATATGATTAAATGTACTAATGAGTCCAGGAACGCTCCTTATGTCTTTGGGATCCGCTCTGCGGCTTGTGTGCTCGCTGCTGGGAACACTACGATTCTTAAATCTTCGGAACTTACGCCGCGCTGTTATTGGGCTATTGGTCGGGCTTTTCAAGATGCGGGTCTTCCGGCTGGGTGTTTGAATGTCTTGTCTTGTCGGCCGGAGGATGCGGCTGAGGTTGTGAATGTCATGATTGAGCATCCTGCTGTGAGGAAGATTAATTTTACCGGGAGTACGGCTGTGGGGCGGAAGATTGCGCGCAGCTGTGGACAGAACTTGAAGCCTTGTTTGATGGAGTTGGGCGGGAAGAATAGCTCGATTGTGTGTGCGGATGCTGATATGCAGGTTGCTGTGCAGGGTGTGCTTGCAGGGTCTTTCCTCAATGTAAGTTTCTATCTGTTCTTGGAAGGTGGAGGCTAATTCTGCTTTAGTCTGGCCAGATCTGTATGGCTACCGATCGGATCCTTGTTCACTCATCGATTGCACCTGCTTTCATTGATGCTTTGAAGAAGGCATTAGCTGCTGGTGTGGGCGCAGACTCCCTGCCCCCAACACTGGTCAACACGGCGTCCAAGGCCCGTGTCAAAGCCCTGATTTCTAGTGCTGTTTCCGCCGGTGCGCACTTTATTTCGGGATCTGCTGAAACGAGAGTCCCTTCTGATTGTGGTGTTCGCATGGCGCCCTCTATCCTGGGTGGTGTACGGGAGGATATGCCCCTCTGGCAGGAAGAGTCATTTGCCTCTGTGGCGGCATGTATGGTGTTTGAGAGCGAGGATGAAGCGATCCGACTGGCCAATGGTAGTGGGTACGGACTGTCAGCGTCAGTGTTTACAGAGGATCTCCGTAGGGGCTTGGCGATGGCTAAGCGGATCCAGTCTGGGTAAGCTTTCTTTTGACCTACTCATGGATCGGCGAACTGATAATTTCTAGGGCGGTGCATATCAACAGTATGACTGTTCATGATGAGCCAGTGATCCCGCATGGTGGAGTGAAGAACAGTGGTTGGGGTCGATTCAATGCTGCAGAGGGTCTGAATGAATTCTTGGTAACGAAGAGTGTTACCTGGATGGATTAGATCTTACAAGTAGATCTGGGTTGCTTATTACTTGATCTGGTACATCCCTGCATAAACATGAACAAAATTAGGTATTCATTTCCGCGATCTCTGCTGAGTACTCCGCGTTCGCACATCAATATCCCGATCTTGCGACTCGTTGATCTGGTCTCGGTCCGAGCCCCTCTCGGATAACATTAACCCGAGACTCGGCCTTCCAACCACCGAGAACTATTTTATGCTTCGGTCAAGCAACGAGAAATATGCTTCCACTTATACGGTCGGCTTGACTAGAAATGACTTCCGTCGGCAATTGAACTCCTAAGACCGACCAGGGATAGGTGATGTCATAGATCCACAAATAGTGATTTCCATCCCCGGATTTCCTGGTTCTTCCACCAATCAGAGGCGATCCATATTTCAGCGGTCGGCGATTGCTTTTACCATAGATGGATCAGGACCGATCTGGATATTAACTAGATTGTATTGATAGACTTAATCCACATGGTTATATCCACATAATTCTCATACTTATCATTCTTGTCGTACCTAATTTTATCTAGTCTCTCATCTTGCGGAAGTAGGTGTCTTTTACTTGGTTGTCATGCCACCTCGGTCACATTCTCGGCTTCTTGCTGCAGTTTTTGTTCCGAGGTTAAACCTCCGCGCTATTATTGTATAGACCGAAAGATATGTTAGAAGGATCTAGATAGAAAGACAAAATACCATTCTACATCTATCGACCTAGGTATAGAAAGGACCCGGCTATCAATACAAGTTGAGTCTAACAACTGCTGTGACCCTTTCTACCAGATCAAACAAAAACATGATGACGCAGATGCATGTGAAGATTTGACAAATGCATAGTACTAGTAGCTAAGAACATCAAATCAAATCAAATCAAATCAATTAGATATCGCCGCATGTGATACTCTTGCCCCGGATTCTTACTGAACAAACCAGAGTGTTGCTATTTACTGTTATTCCCCAGTATCCACCAGACCCATAAAGGCTCCTCTTTTTACTCCACGCTTTGCCTCGGCCGATAGAGCTTCGGCGTCTGAGTTAAATCCCCCCCGGATTCCTTTTAAACATTTCATCATTCCACTTTATTTTCTCTTTCCCACGCTTTTTTCTTTTCATTCCCACACATCCATCATGGCAGCCCCTCAAGTCATTGTGGTCGGTGGTGGTCGTACGTTCCCCCGCATTCTCATGGTGATCATCTTCGCTGACCTTCTCCAGTGTCTGGCCTCAGTGCCGCCCACACCGTCTACCTGAACGGTGGCAACGTTCTCGTTCTAGACAAACAAGGTACGATCTCATCCCCGGGGTTGAACGGCCCGCGCTGACCTTGCCAACTCCAGCTTTCTTCGGTGGCAACTCTACCAAGGCTACCTCCGGCATTAACGGTGCCCTTACCCGCACCCAGACCGACCTCGGTATCAAAGACAGCGTAAAGGCCTTTTACGATGATACCCTCAAGTCCGCCCGTGACAAGGCCCGTCCCGACCTGATCAAGGTCCTCACCTACAAGTCCGCCGCCGCCGTTGAGTGGTTGCAGGATGTCTTCAACCTAGACCTCACCCTTGTCTCCCGCTTGGGTGGCCACACCTACCCCCGCACTCACCGTGGTCACGATGCCAAGTTCCCCGGTATGGCCATCACCTACGCCCTCATGCAGCGTCTCGAGGAGCTCGCCGAGGCCGAGCCCGGCCGTGTGCAGATCATCAAGAAGGCCCACGTTAACAAGGTCAACAAGTCCGGTAACCACGTTACTGGTGTCACCTACACTCTCAATGGCGAGACCAAGTCTGTCGACGGCATCGTCATCCTTGCGACCGGTGGTTATGCCGCTGACTTCAGCGAAACCTCATTGCTCCTGAAGCACCGTCCTGACACCTATGGCCTCTCTTCCACCAACGGCACCCACGCCACTGGTGACGGCCAGAAGATGCTGATGGCCATCGGTGCCAATGGTATCGACATGGACAAGGTCCAGGTTCATCCTACTGGTCTCGTGGACCCCAAGGACCCCGGTGCCAAGTTCAAGTTCTTGGCCGCTGAGGCCCTCCGTGGTGAGGGTGGTCTTCTGCTCAACTCGGATGGCGACCGGTTCTCTGATGAGCTGGGTCACCGTGACTACGTCTCCGGCCAGATGTGGAAGGAGAAGGAGAAGGGCAAGTGGCCCATTCGCCTCGTTCTTAACAGCAAGGCTTCCAATGTCCTTGACTTCCACACTCGCCACTACTCTGGCCGTGGTCTGATGAAGAAGATGTCTGGTAAGGAGCTCGCCAAGGAGATTGGATGCGGCGAGGCTGCCCTCAAGAAGACCTTTGACGAGTACAATCTCATCGCCGATGGCAAGAAGAAGGACCCTTGGAACAAGAAGTTCTTCCACAACATGCCCTTCAGTGTTGATGATGAATTCCACGTCGCTTTGATGGAGCCCGTCCTTCACTTCACCATGGGTGGTATCGAGATCAACGAGCACGCTCAGGTTCTCAACTCCGAAGAGAAGCCCTTCGAGGGTCTCTACGCCTGTGGTGAGTTGGCCGGTGGTGTCCACGGTGCCAACCGTCTGGGAGGTTCCTCCCTGCTGGGTTGTGTAGTCTACGGCCGTGTTGCCGGTGACTCCGCCAGCCAGCACCTCTTCCAGAAGCTGCTCAGCAACGGTTCCTCCGCCGCCCAGCGTCTGGGCCAGATCTCCCTTCACATCGACCCCTCCACCCCCGGCAAGATCTCCGTCGAGTGGGGCGGTGCCGCCAGTGGCAGCCTCCCCACCTTGGCAGCTGCCCCTGCTACTAGCCCCGCTGCCGCAGCCCCTGCCGAGGAGACTAAGGCCGCCAAGCCCGATCCCGCCAACTTCCAGATCCCAGAGAAGGAGTACACCATGGAAGAAGTCGCAAAGCATAACAAGAAAGACGACCTTTGGATCGTTGTCAAGGGCATCGTCCTTGACGTGACCAATTGGCTCGACGAGCACCCCGGTGGTGCTAACGCTCTCTTCAACTTCATGGGTCGTGACGCTACCGAGGAATTCGCCATGCTCCACGATGACGAGGTCATCCCCAAGTACGCGGCCCAAACTGTTATTGGTCGTGTCAAGGGTCAGACTCCTAGCCTGGAGCTGTAGTTGTGCCTTGAAAAACCTTTCCGATTCTACGATCCACATACCCATATTTCTTTTGCTGCGTTTCTATTTATTCCATGTCTGAATGATACATCAATTTGGTTTACTGTATGTGAATGGTCCTCGTGTAACATACCATCTCTATTGGAATACTTCTTTAGAATGATTTTTGCTTAGTATTCATCTTGGGTAAGTCGTACTTCTCGCCAATAAATTTGGCATATATTTGCTTAGGCACCTGTTTACCCACCCGATTACCTACTACTTTTGCTCTTATCTCTATTCTTCTCTTTCACACACTCTTTATCTTCCATATCCCATGGCACGAAGCGTTTCATATTAAGCATATTGGACTTCGTCTGCCTCTTATCAAGACAAGAGTTTAGAGAAAGACTGACGCGGCTTGAACATTAATATCGAAACAATTGACCATTTGAGGATGTAAGAAGAAAAGTTCATCCGTAAAGATCCATAGAGAACTTGTCCCTTGACTACCTTATGTTTCTACTATACCTCCTATACCATTCACATACCCTGTATCCTAGCTAGTGTCCTACCATATACCCTCTTCCTTAATTCCTGCCATATTAGTCAAATAGCTGGAGTTTACTCCAGAATATTTCTTCAAGTCGATAAGTAACGACTGGGAAGAGAAGAGAAGTGAAGGATAGGGTTTCGGACAGTGTCCAAAAAGTCCACGTTTACCCAAGTAATAGAGGTTGATGATCCCCAATGTGTTCAATGTATTTAAATATTCAAGAAAATAATTATATGTACGGCCCCATCCACGCCCTCGCTATACAAATGCTATGCGATCAAGACTTCATATGCTTCAAAATCATCTTCAATCGTCTAACAGCAGGTCCATCCCCATCATCTTCCATGCCCGTCTTCTCCTCAATCTCAGCCTTAGCAGCTTCCAGCGCAGGCCGCAGATACCCCCAAACCTCATCATGGTATCGCTCATGGACACTAACCCAGTCTTCCGCACCAGGAAGCTGAGAGAGCACAGAGTCCCTCAAAGGCGTCGAAGTAGACCCAATCTCCGTTTGTGTCGGCGCAGATGCAAACGCAGCCGGATCGTTTTCTCGTAGGAATGTATCGATATCAGGAACCAGGCTGAAAGACGAAAGCCGTGATTGCGATTGTACTCCATCCTCCTGTGCGATCTGTCTTCGGAAAGACTCAATCATTTTGATCTCCTCCGCTGTTAAAGGCGGAGGAGCTGCATGGGGATCTAGATCCGCGCCTTCATAGTCTCCATCACCGTATGCACCGAAACTCGCATCGAATGACGTATCAGAGAGAAGCGATACGACCGCTGCGCCATCGGCTGGGTTCACTTGTCCCATTTGCTCGGGGTGTGTATTGGTATTCGCCCGCTCCCACGCTGTTGTATATTCCATCTGTACGGGATCTTGTGCACGCGCCTTTCCCTTCCAGTTCCCTGTGGAGGATTGGAGTCTTTCACGGCTTGGTTGAGCACTAACACCTGGTGCGGTAGGTGCCGAGGCCGAGGCCGATAAAATTCCATCCTGCTGTCCATATTCATGCTGGAACTCTTCCTCGCTCAATGCCGGGATCTCAAATCCACCCTGCGCGGCTCCAGTATTTTGGCGGAAGGCTTCGCTGGCGGATCCTTGCGCGCTCTGCCCTGGTGGCGCGCGAGGTGCTACTAATCCCAGCCCGTCTTGTATGCTGTACCCTGCCGATGTAGATTGGGATGGTCCGCTCTTTCCATTCGTCGCGCTGGAGAGTGTTTGCGCGGCATTGCTTCCCGCGCCTTGGAATACGCTGCGGGCAAGTCCCGTTGCGGAGTTTTGGACGCGACGCGCGAGGGAGTGCTGGGATTGATCTTTTGGAGTGGATTGGTGTGTGTTGGCTTGTGTTTGGGCGGTATTGTTGGTGACGGTGTCGGTGTCGGTGTCGCGGGTATGTGACTCGCGGGTACCCCGCATGTTCTCCGGGTTGTCGGACATGGTGGAGGGGGAAAGAACTGGGGCTGCCTAGGTGGTACGTAGCTCAATCTGGTTTCACTAGGATGATGCGCCTGGGATGGCGACGTGTATTATAGGAAAATATATCTGCAAGTTGGGACATTGTTCGTTGTGGGTTGCGGGAATGAGCTCGGTTTGAGGCCGGACAAAGTAGGAATGGAAGCATGTGAATATTTGTGGGGTTTGGTGCAACTTGAACTTACATACTTACATGAAGTCAGCTGTCAATTCTAATGTCATAAATTGCTAATAATTTTTCACATTTGAAGCTTTGTATACCTTTACCTTGATAGTATTGATAAGGAAAGCTGGGGTGGTTTGATACTCCGAAAGTTGGTGGTATTGTGCTCATGGTCAAAGACCTAAATGGATTCCAATTGGGATGTTTGGGTGGGTGAGCTTGAATCCAGCAAGGCTTGCCATTCTTGCTTTAGCCCAGTGACTAGGTTCTCCGGCCCATCAGTATGGCTGTACACACCAAGATGCTTTCATCCTGGCGCGCCGACGATCAAGGGCAGCATCTCATCTAGCTCCTCGTTTTCCGTCGACCAGCGATTGTTGTACAGGACACCCATAGTGAGAGTGTGTAGACTTGGTCGTTTGATGGTGTTGATGCCAAATTTCAAATGAAAGAAGGGAGAAGTGTTGTCTTGCTTTGGCATGTATTACATTGTATGCCACCTGCTGCCTTGTACTGAGAGCGATAACCTCAGCTTCTTTATCAAAGCCCGGGCACCTGCAAGGGTTGGGTATGAAATTATACCCACAATTATATGTTGTAGTATTGATGAGCTTCTAAATGCCCCTTTCATGACCGTATTTGAGTTTGTATGTTCAGTATGTAGCTAATCAAATAATTCCACTCGTACATTGGCACGTGTTGTATTATGAATCATATTTAGCATCCCGATATATATTATACTATCCTGGCATTTATTTCTAATGATATGCCTAGAACAATATTGCACTATAGAATATTCAAAATTGGTTAGTTAAATAGTAAAACAATGGTGGAAATTATACTATGATTCGTATGTAAAAGTTGAGATACGAGAGCACAAGCTTTCCATGGATATTGCTTCTGGCCCCAACAGGATGACGACAGCGGCGGGACACTGGCTGCAGCTCCAGGAGTGCAGTATGAGAGCCTTATGAATTGCAGGAGGTCCTGATAATCAAAGCAATTGATTGGTAGCAGCTTTCCAATTGTGCGCCCAAATCTTTAAGGGACTTCCGTGTCTGCTTCGGGCAATGTTGCAGTCGCTGGGTAGTGTTGATGTCAGCATTTGGTTGAATAGTTCAAAATTTTCCCCTCTTTCATTTTAATTAATCAAGCGGATATCTGGATTTTTCAGGTAGAACAAAAGTATATCATAGATTCCAGAACAAAGATTCGGAGTATAAACCCCAAAGGATCCGAGTTGTAGCGGTGGGAAGAAAGACGGTAGAGTAACTTCATTCTCCCCACCACCGCCTTACACACACTCTTCACCTCTTTTTGAACATATTTTCTCTTTTTCTGCTGTTTCATCCCGAAAAGTGAGATAGAAATGTAAATCCGTATGAATCCCATATACTATACCCTTATTATTCTCCTGTTTGATTCCTAAAACTCGAGAAAAAAAGTAGAATTCCAGATCATCAATGATCCCCTCTCAAGCTCTGCGGGCCCACTCATAACAACCACCGGCTCGTTTGCTCCCCTCCAAACCCATCCAACTTCTTCCCCTCCTCCATCCCGCAACTTTCATCACCTTCTCCTTTTACCGTTAAACTTGGTGAGGAGATTCACGGTCTTTCCAGTCTTCGACCGTAATTTACTATTACCCTCTCCCCCCCTCTTCCGCGTCATCGGGCCCCTCGCACCTCCGATCGAAGCGTGGAGTCCATTGCCTTCGCCACTTCTCCCTCACTGCACCGGACGCTGTGATAATACTTGTCCGACCGCTTCCGCTTCGTCGTCAATAATACGCTGAACTGAGTGATTAATTTGCATCCAACAATAGAGCTCCCGGAGCCCAACGTTTTGCCTGCTTTTTTCACCGTCCTACAACCCGACCTTTTGCCCAGATTCGCGATCAAGGGCGATCCTAGAACGAAAAGATGGTAGACAGAGATCCAGGTACACCTACCTGGAAGTTCACACAGTGAGTCTTGGCTTGTGGGGAATGGATATATGGCCGGGTGACAAGGCCGGGATTTCCATCGTTTCTCGACCCCCAAGGAATCCAGCACAAGAGCTAACTTGTGCCCATAGATGTTTTGGTGATAAAGGTGATGTAGAGGATATCACAGAAGGTAGCTACGCCCGAGGTTGAGTCACCAGAAGCTCATCGGCTGATATATTCTCTAGCGGACATCATCTCGACCGTCGAATTCGATCACACCGGAAATTATTTGGCTACGGGAGATAAGGGTGGACGAGTAGTGCTGTTCGAGCGTAATGAGACGGTGAGTGCTTTCGCAATCCCTGGTTCCCCCGGGCGGGCCATCTCATGCAAAAACCTTCACAGAAAAAAACCTGCGAATATAAGTTCCACACCGAATTTCAGTCGCACGAGCCGGAATTCGATTACCTCAAATCGTTAGAGATTGAAGAGAAGATCAACAAGATTAAATGGTGTCGGCGCCAGAATGCATCACACTTTCTCCTTTCGACCAACGACAAGACCATAAAGCTATGGAAGGTGTTTGACAAGTCGTTGAAAGTGGTCGCGGAGAACAACCTATCGAATGAGATGACTCCGCCTCCCCCGACGGGTGGCTTGCCTCGAGCACCTCGGGGGACTTTCAAGCACGCTTCTGCGCTAAAGCTCCCCCGCTTGACACACCACGACACCGTTGTGGCAGCCGTCCCTCGGAGAACATACGCGAACGCCCATGCGTACCATATAAATAGCATCTCCGTGAACAGCGATGGCGAGACTTTTATCAGCAGTGACGATCTCCGGGTCAACCTGTGGAACCTCAACATCCAAGATCAGAGCTTCAACATTGTGGATATCAAACCCGCCAACATGGAGGAACTGACCGAGGTTATCACAGCGGCTGAGTTCCACCCCGTGAGCTGTAACTGGTTCATGTATGCCAGCTCGAAGGGCACCATCAAGCTTGCCGATATGCGCCAGCGGGCTCTTTGCGATGAGCACTCTAAGTGTATGTCGGACTCCCCGGAAGCTCTATTCTGCGACTGACCACATTCTCTAGTGTTTGAACAGGAAGAAGATGCGTCGTCGCGTTCTTTCTTCTCCGAAATCATCTCCTCTATTTCCGACGTTCGATTCTCACATGACGGCCGGTACATCGTGTCGAGAGACTACTTGACCGTGAAGATTTGGGATGTGAACATGGAGCGCCAACCTGTCAAGACCATTCCCATTCACGAGCACTTGCGGCCACGACTCTGCGATACCTACGAAAATGACAGCATCTTCGACAAGTTCGAGGTGGTTTTCTCCGGCGACGCAGAGAACGTGATGACCGGTAGTTATAACAACAACTTCATGATCTATCCCACCGAGGAGCAGAAGGATACAGAGATCGTGCTCCAGGCGGACAAGTCGGCTTTCAAGGCGAAGAAGGTTGGCGTGCCCACACCGATGAACAAGGGCGGCAAGAAGGCTGGTTCGCGATCCGGAAGCCCTGCTGGTCCTGGCAGCCGAATGAAGAAGGAGACCGATGCAGACCAGATCGACTTCAACAAGAAGATCCTGCACATGAGCTGGCACCCCTTCGAGGACAGCATCGCCATTGCCGCTACAAACAATGTAAGATCTCCGCTCCGGGCTCACACTCCGCCTTTACTAACATCTTTAGCTTTTCGTCTTTTCTGCCTTGTAAGTGGTTTTTGACAGGACAATACACATTTTTCTTCCACGGACAGGCGCATCATGGGATCGGGTGGCTGGTGGAAGGTCGATGATATGGGGGGAGAAAACAGAAGACAACAAAATGAACAAAATCATGGCCATAGCAGCGAGCCACAGGTTCCATAATCTCAATTCTGTTCACACCTTTCCTTGGGATCAACCCGACTGTCCAACCCGACTGTCACTCCCTGGTTTCTATTTCCGTTGAGCCACTTTTCCCTCATCTGGGTTGTATGCAGCTTTTTTAGGTACCTCGAAGGCGTTGTATGGAGGCGCTTCATGATAGAGAATGTTAAGCCTGGTTGAGGCATATACCCATGCTTTTATGTAGTGCGGGAGGTTTGTAGAGAGACGTGGTGTCTACACGACTCATAAGGCCGAAAGACCTACCACCTAGGTTTTCAACTGATGCTACGCAATTCCAGCTCAAGTTACGCTTATTCCACAGGCTACTTTCACCTACCCCTTTATCCCTCTGCACGCCATCTGCACTGCAACTTTTGCTCCGGAATTTTCTGCCTGCCATTGGGGGCGATGACGAAGGCGGACGGAAATATTTATATTTGTGTGACAAAACAATACTGTATCTCAGTCGAATGCGGTAGTTGTCAGCTGGCAATCCTCAGATTATCAGTACAATACGGTTCAGGAGGCAGGGAACAACAATGATCCGGGACAGTTGGCGCTAGGCAGTAATGGGATTAGCGCAAGTCGGTCAGGAAACCCTCCACTGGAGAGCCCGCGATCGGTCGCGCGCATCACAATCCTGTCCCTTATCCACCTGGTCCCTAGTCATCTCTGTTTTGGTATCTTCAACTGCTTTACTTAGGCCGGTCATGCTTTGACATGCCCGCGATCTGAGTGTCGTGGATTACTCTCCCTACTGAAAATACAACGGAGAAACACACCAGCTAGAGCTCACCTGACCCAAGTCAATCCTCACGACTGAGACCCTTTCCCGTTTCGTTGACACCTCTTACTTCAGTGTCTTGGAGTTCATGACCAGATCATGAACTCTGGGAACGATAGTTGGCACTCCTCTGCCGGTGGGCCACCGTCGCACCCTAGCATGGATCAGATGAATCAACAGCCTCGACCCTTGGGGTCATTTGGGTATGCATTATCGGCGCGAGTCTTGTTGCGAAATTACATGGCTAATGCATTGTTTCCTCCGATAGTCAAAACCCTCCTCAGCAAGGTCCGGCGTCGCAGTCCTCCGGCCCCGTCCTTCCTCCTCCTGCCGGTTAGCATTTTTTCCCGCTCCCTCATGCACTTGGATATGCCCTCTCTGCTGTCATGGTAGTGACACTGTGAGAATTACAAACTGACATTTGTGCGCCGTAAAGGACCCTACCATCCCGCTAGCCAATCCGGCGGCCACTCCCTCCCAGGCCTAGCAGAGCTGAGCCAGACTCATGGCGCTCCGCACCAGCCTTCATATGGACAACACGGCCCCGGTCCGTCTCATGGATCGGGCCACTCTCTGCCTGGTATTGGACAGGCAATGCAACATGCGTCTCCGCAGTCTCTGAACCGCGAACACGAGCGGGACTCCCGAGAGCGGGACCTGATTGAGCGCCAGCGCCAGGAAGAGATGGCCCACCGAGAGCGCGAACAGCGCGAGCGCGAGCAGATGGAACGCCAGCAGATGGAGCGCCAACGCGAACACCACCCTGTCCAGAGCCACCCGGGCTCAATTCCCCTCCACCAGCCTGTGGCCTCCAAGGTTCAGAACTCCATTCACGGTCCCAATGGCCTCCTCTCGAACCTCGGAGCCAACCCAAACAATGCCCCCCAGGGTAATGTACAGTCTTCCGGGGGCCCCGCGAGTCTGTTTGGCCCGCAGATGCCGCACGGTGAAGGCACCCCTCGTTCATACATGCAGCACCCCGGTGGACCCCCCATGATGGGAGGATACAGTGGAGCGGGACAGCAGATCCCTGGAAATGTTGCGGCCCTCGCACAAGGCCAGCAGCCTATTTTGAATGCAAGTCTTCATGACTCCCAAGGATTCGACCCCCTCAGCCTCCAGATTCTAACGCCTTTCGTCATACAGGATGCCCTCAGCTATCTGGATCAAGTCAAGGTTCGATTTGTGGACCAGCCCGATGTTTACAACCGGTTCTTGGATATAATGAAGGACTTCAAGAGCCAAGCGTGAGTTTATTGATTGGGTTGATCCGATCTCATCTGACTGTTTGACAGAATTGATACCCCCGGTGTGATCCAACGAGTTTCGACCCTTTTCAATGGCCACCCGGCTCTGATCCAGGGATTCAATACCTTCCTTCCTCCGGGTTATCGTATCGAGTGCGGTACTGAAGACAACCCCGATGCGATTCGTGTGACCACCCCCTCGGGCACAAATACCCTGAGTATGCCTCGCGCAGGACGTCCATTGGAGAATATCAACGATCAGGTCGCCTCCAGTAGTCTAGGCCCGCCTGGTCGTCCTGATTACTATGATCAGTCCCGCCCCGGTTGGCAACAGACGCAACAACAGCAGGCGCAGCAGGGCGTGCCTGGATCGTACTCTCCAGGTTCCAGAATGATGGGTCCAGGTATGTACCAAGATGGCCAAGGTCCTGCGCATGACCATCACTATGGTTATCAAAGCCAGGAGGCCCAAGGAGCTGCGGCCCTCTCCCACCAGCAGGATCACCGTGGAGTCGCACAGTTGCAAGGTGCAGCTTCGGCTGCTTCTGGAATGGGAAGACCTGGTATGATGCAAGTTTCAGGCGCCGGACCCAATGCCAGTCTTACCCAGCCCATGAACAGCCTGGCTGGTGTTGGTGGTATGCTTCAGGGCGGCCACGCTGATCTCAACAAGCGTGGGCCCGTGGAGTTTAACCACGCCATCAGCTATGTGAACAAGATAAAGAACCGCTTCTCACAAGCTCCAGAGATTTACAAGCAATTTTTGGAAATACTGCAGACATATCAGCGGGAGTCAAAACCGATCCAAGATGTGTATGCGCAGGTCACTCAGCTGTTTAACACTGCTCCCGATTTGCTGGAGGACTTCAAGCAGTTTTTGCCGGAGTCTGCAGCTCATGCTAAGCAGCAGGCTGCTGCTCGTCTTGCCGAGGAGTCTATTCCTATCAGTAATATGCGTGGGGACTCTATGGGGCTTCCTTCTCAATCCTCCAACCGTGATATGAAGAATATGCCACCGCTTGGCAACTTCAACGTCAAGGATTCTGGCAAGGAAAACAAAAAGCGAAGAGGAGCAGGCCCGGGTGTTGCTGGATCTTCAGTGTCGGGACCTTCTGGTATTGATAGTGCCAGAATGCCTGAATCTCAAGTGCGTGGCCAGCCAGCACAGTTTGGCAATGCAAACAAGGTTCGTTATCAATCTCTGTTATCGCGAGGCTTCCCTTCTCACCTATGGTTTGTACTAACAACTTCGATAGAGAGCCAAGTACTTCCACGGAAAGCCTTCCGGTGCTGACATCCCGAACGTGTCTCCTACTCTCATCCCCGCATTGCCAGAGCCTATTCCTCCATCTGTCTTGACAACGCCGAGCCAGGAAGAGATTGCGTTCTTTGATCGTGTCAAGAAGTTCATTGCGAACAAGCAGATCTTCAGTGACTTCTTGAAGCTGTGTAATCTGTACACAAACGATCTTATTGATCGTTTCGTTCTTGTCAAGCGCGCGGAAGGTTTTATTGGATCCAACGCAGAGCTGATGAGCTGGTTTAAGCGCTTCATGAATGTCGAAGAACCTGAAGACAAGACCATCGACCCCAAGCCCCAGACAGAGCTTGGAATTGTTAACCTCGCACACTGTCGATCTTTGGGCCCCAGCTATCGCCTATTGCCCAAGCGAGAGCGCCAGAAGGCATGCAGTGGCCGTGATCAGCTTTGTTTCGAGGTGTTGAACGACGAGTGGGCTTCACACCCCACCTGGGCGTCTGAAGATTCTGGCTTCGTTGCTCACCGAAAGAATCAGTTTGAAGATGCTCTGCATCGTATTGAAGAAGACCGTCACGATTATGATCACCACATCGAGGCTTGCACCCGTACTATCCAGCTCATTGAACCTATCTGCCAGCAATTCCTGCACATGTCCGAGAGTGAACGTGCCAACTTCAAGTTGCCTCCTGGCCTTGGTGGTCAGAGTGAGGCTATCTATCAGCGCGTCATCAAGAAGGTATACGACCGCCAGCGTGGTGAGAAGATCATTCGGGACATGTTTGAGCGGCCCTGTCAAGTCTTGCCCATTGTTCTGTACCGCTTGAAGCAGAAGCTCGAGGAATGGAAGGCGTGTCAGCGCGAGTGGGATAAGGTCTGGCGCGAGCAGATGCAGCGAGCATACTGGCGTAGTCTTGATCACCAGGCCATTGCTACTCGACAGACTGATAAGAAGCTGTTTATTGCGAAGAACATCCAGCAGGACTTGCAAGGGAAGTTCGAAGAAGCCCAGAACCGTCGCAAGAGTGGCTTGAAGGCGCCCAAGGTACAAGCTGATTTCAAGATGGAGGATATGGATGTGCTCTTGGATACTACGCACCTGCTCTGCATGTACATTGACCGGAGCACTTCGGGCTTTGGTGCCGAGCCCCAGCGTCTGATCAACTTTGTCAAAGACTTCATTCCCATCTTCTTTGGGCTGGACCGCGAAACCTTCCATGACTACATGGATGAGCTCATGCTTGCTGCTACTCCCCCCGAGGAGCTGGAGGACAATTTCGGCACAGAGGAGGAGTCTGCTGCAAGTCGCAAGGCACCTAACACGCAGAAGCTGGATCTCTTGCGTGAGGTTCTGGAGCGTCGTGTGGAGAAGGTTAGCCAGGAGAAGTCGAACGGGGTTGCTGAACACCCACAGGAGCAGCAACAGCCAACACCTGAGATTGGTCGGGCTCTTTCTTCAGCTGTGTCTGAGGCCGAAGAGGCCTTTGACGTGGCTGAGTTGAAGTGGATGGAGCACCCCGGTCAAGGGAACTTCAATGTTGAACATGAGTACACCCTAAACGAAAAGTACAAGAAGACTGAGCACCACATGTACTGCAACCTGAACATTCTCTGCTTCTTGCGTACATTCGAGATACTCTACGAGCGTCTGCTCCGCATCAAGAATCAGGAAGAGAGCGCTCACGAGCAAGTCCGTCGGGGCCTTCTGCCCAAGCCCGCCCACGAGCTCTGTCTCATTGATCGCTTCCCCAGCGATTTCTTCTATGATGTCGATCCCAAGGCCAACCTTTACAAGCAAATTGTGCGCATGTGCGAGGAGGTTATTCGGGGTGATATTGACCAGATTCACCTTGAGGAGACTCTCCGTCGCTTCTACATGCAAGGTGGATATCTCTTATACAACTTGGAGAGAATCTTCTCGTCCATTACCAAGTTCGTCGCCTCCATCTTTACTGGAGACTCGCGCGATCGGAGCTCGGATATTGCAAACCTGTTCTTCAAGGAGCGCGAAAAGGAAGAGACAACCCACCACCAAGAGATCCAATATCGCAAGCAGGTTGAGAGACTGGTCAAGGAGGGTGATATTTACCGTATTACCTATGTGAGTGTCCATTCCCAGCCCATTTTGACATATCTAATCCTCCACAGATCCCCTCCGAACGCCGCATCACCATCCAAGTAATGACCACGGAAGATGCCACCCTCGAAAACGAGGAGCTGACCCCCGAAGCCCGCTGGTCTTACTATGTAACAGCCTACTCGATGCGCGACCCCACGGAAGGCGTCCACTTCTCTGAGATGCGCATGCCATTCCTGAAGCGCAACCTTCCTGGCAAGCTCGACGAGGACGAAGAATACGACCGCTACTACCGCCGTCTCCAACATCATGACGGCCTCCTCATCCGCATCTGCGCAAATAACTACACAATCCTTTACCAACCCGCTAGCCACGACTGGTTCTGGCGTCCTACCGCTCCCGCGCCCAAGGACGACGCCGACGCCAAGGCATTGGAGGAAGACCGGGCCAGGGAGAAAACCGCTCTCAAAGAAAAGCGTCATGACCGCTTCGTTGAAAAATTCGTCAATAACCCTAACTGGGCCCGTGGTCTGAGCAAGGACAAGGTCGATGAGTCGAACCAGCGCTTCCGCTCCTGGATGAACGGGACACTGGAGAATGGAGATGAGAAAAAGGTCTCCCCTCCTGCTGAGGAGGTCAGTGCCGCTCCTGTCTCAGAGAAGGCGCCCACTGAGCCCGAGCCTGAACCTGAGACCGAAAAGGCCGAGCCCGAGCCCACAGCCGAAAAGGCTGATATCGAGATGGCAGATGTTGAGCCAGCGGTGTAATTGTTCTATGTTGTTTTCGAGAGTGGAATTTGGGGAGGCCCTTTGTTCTGAGGAGAAATGCATTTGTTGCTTGCGAGAAGGAAACGGCGTCTTATCACACGAGGAAATTGCGACGATGAGTTCTATGGGGTTTGTCTATTCTACTTTTTTCTTTCTTTTTCTTTTTTTCTTTTCTTTTCCCTTTCCATTCTTGATCTCGCAACCTGTATTAGGGGCCTGTATCCTTAGCGATCTAGTCACCCGGTCTGTTTATCATTGTTTCCCAATGCACAAACGAAAGTGCGGTGTTTTCAATATTGTCCTTTTCCTGGACGAATACTTTTTATGTATCGAGTGACACAGGTCCTACTTAGCCTCACCGGATCTTGATGCACAGGGATCAAGCTGGATGAATGAATGACCTAATCTTCCAATGTTTATGTTCAATGTTTCATGTATTATACAGAATACCTAGGTACATACTGCCTATGTAGTGTGGAATCTAATCTGCATGCATTTATATATTTACCTCGAAGATAGTCGATCTAGCACAGATCCGAGGTTATTATACGAAATAACATTCCACCATGACCTCTTTCCACCTGGACAAACTCAAAAATAGATAAAGTAATGCACTAGTAGATCATGTGGCCAACCATCCACGCTTGATCGATGGACCAAATATTGAACTTAGCCCTCGGTGTGTATAATGAGCTCCGTGTGGCCGAATCAGCATAACCGATACAGTCCGAGACGTGGAATGACAGGCAAGTTCGGGCCGGGCGGCTCCTCTTGACCGGTATCTTATTCAGCCATATAATTCATGAGGCTTCTGTACATGCTGACACAATATGCATAGTCTATTGCAATGGTATATTTTGCATATGTCTCTATTCAAATCAATATACTAGTACGTATATTTTTATCTTGTGGCTAGGCGATATTCGGTGTATTATGGGGTATTGGGGGTATTACTATGCTGTATGCTCCGAGCGAGAAAATCCCGAGACCGAGAGAAAGCCGCGATGATGTCAAGATGAGGTTCACGCTATACCGCATTCGGGGTTCAGTGTCATCGATTTGACGTCTTGGATGAGAATGAAATGGACATGGGAGGCTATTATGTGTATATATATTGGTATAGACAAGATGGTAAAGAGTGTATATGGATTGACTTTGATAATATTTACCTTCAAATGTGCGGGGAATGGAAAATCTGGGGAGCGGAAGAGAATACATCCAGCAGGAAGCAAGTCCAGAGCTTTACCCTTTCTTCCGAGTTTATCGTATTTTGGGTGGAACCATTTGGGATTATTTTAACCCCTGCTGTCCCACCTTTTTCTCTTCATCTTTGTAATTCTCCTCTCTATCACAATGTCGGCTTCTGCACTATTGAAGAGCCGAATTCGGCGACCTTCTTACTTGAAGAAGCTTGCTAAGGCAGAGGACCTTATTCATCACTTCCCTAATGGCTCTTACATCGGCTGGTCCGGTTTTACTGGTGTTGGATACCCGAAGTACGTGATTGTGATCCAATTGACTTGAACCAATCTAACAATGACAGGATGGTTCCCACCGCACTGGCCGACCACGTCGAGAAGAACAATCTCCAGGGCCAATCCAAGTACACCCTGTTTGTTGGAGCGTCTTCCGGCGCAGAGACGGAGAATCGCTGGGCCAAGCTGAACATGATTGAGCGTCGCAGCCCTCACCAGGTCGGAAAGGAGATTGCCAAGGGAATCAACAATGGCCAGATTAAATTCTTCGACAAGCATTTGAGCATGTTTCCCTCGGACTTGGTCTATGTAAGTTGATTGTATCTGCAGCTCGGGATTTCCCGCCGCGGACTTTGTCGATCCCGATCATGATCGCCGCTAACGCTTCCCGCAGGGTTACTATACCATGAACAAGCCCACGAACAAGATCGATGTCGCTGTCATTGAAGCCTCCGCCATCACCGAGGATGGTGGCATTATCCCTGGTGCTTCGGTTGGCGCCTCACCTGAGTTGATCCAGATGGCCGATAAGGTCATTATCGAGCTTAACACCTCAATGCCCTCGTTTGAGGGCCTGCACGATATCGTTGGCTCCAGTCTACCTCCCGGCCGCAAGCCATACCTCGTCATGGCACCGGAGGACCGCATTGGAACCTCATATATCCCCATTGATCCCGAGAAGGTCGTCGCCGTGGTGGAATCAACCTACCCCGACGTAACCCAGCCCAATGCTCCCGAAGACGAAACCTCCCAAGCAATCGCAAGAAACTTAATTGAGTTCCTCAAGCACGAGGTCGCTCACGGCCGTCTCCCCAAAAACCTCCTTCCCATCCAATCCGGCATTGGCAACATTGCGAACGCCGTCGTCGGTGGCCTCGCCAAGGGCGGCGCAGACTTCAAAAACCTCAAAGTCTGGACAGAAGTCCTCCAAGACTCCTTCCTCGACCTCTTCGACAGCGGAAACCTCGACTTCGCCACCGCTACTTCAATCCGCTTCTCTCCCGACGGCTTCAAGCGCTTCTACGATAACTGGGAACGCTACGCTGGAAAACTCCTCCTCCGCTCACAGCAAGTGTCCAACAGTCCTGAAATCATCCGCCGATTGGGCTGCATCGGCATGAACACCCCCGTTGAAGTAGACATCTACGCCCACGCAAACTCAACCTGCGTAATGGGTTCCCGCATGCTAAACGGTCTGGGTGGATCCGCCGATTTCCTGCGTAACTCAAAGTACTCTATCATGCACACCCCATCCACCAGACCCAGCAAGACCGACCCAACCGGTGTTAGCTGTATCGTGCCTTTCGCCACACACATTGATCAGACAGAGCATGATCTGGATGTCATCGTCACCGAACAAGGTCTCGCCGATGTGCGTGGTCTTTCACCGCGTGAGCGTGCCCGGGTCATTATCAAGAAGTGCTCGCACCCCGATTACTACCCCATCCTTACTGATTACCTGGATCGTGCGGAGTTTGAGTGTCTTCGTAAGGGTATGGGTCATGAGCCGCATATGTTGTTCCAGGCTTTCAAGATGCATCAGAATTTGCAGGAGAAGGGTACCATGAAGATTGATTCTTGGGAGTAGATCTGTACCCTGAGATTGACTTTCTTACACCATTGCTCACATTGTATATATTAGCGTTTCCCTTTCTTACTTTCAATAAATGATTTTTTTTTATTTGAACTGGATTCGCCTAGGTCTTGCGAATTGGTAGGACGTAGACACTCGATGTCACGTTTAGCTCTGTAGATCTGATATCGCCGGCCCACTCAGAGCCTAGATAATGGCCCTTTACAAAGTCTACTAGATGATTGGTTTGACGATAATTTCCCATTTCAGAAGGCGGGTCGAGTCAAGTTTCGAGTCGACCTTCTAAATACTTAGCTATACATTATTCCCACCTGTAAACTAGTGTGTAAAATATTATCCTATTTCATAAATCGCTTAAATGTTAAGTACATTTTTGGACCATCCAGTCTCACCACCGATCATGCCACCCGATGACTGAAAACCCTCACCTGACCACCAAATCCTTCCAGCCACACCATACCATTCCACCCCAGCTTGAAATTCGGCAATCCCGAACCCAAAAAGCACTCCAATGAAAATCCAGTGATAACAAAAATCTTACCTCTAAAAACTCGGAGAATTCGCACCCGACGTGGTTCTTCGGCCGTACCATAGTATCACACCACACGTCACGTCACGACTTGAGCCCCACCCCGGATTCTATGCACAAACACATAGCACATTTGTAGGTAAATGCAAGGATCAGAATTTATCCACGCGAAATAAAATAGGACTGGAATCGGATTATTCCGGCGGGTTTTACACCAACCTGTAGTCAAGTGTTTGGTTCGGGTTCGGCCGTTGGGTGTCATACAATGCATTCGTGTTTTTGTCGATGTGGCGGTGCTTTTGATATTCTTGCGGACTATAGACGAAGTCTCATGTATATAAAGTCGTTAGATGTCGCTGGGATGTTTTCGGATTCACCCAACTCTCTCAACTCTACTTGACTCGACTTTACTCTACTCTTCTCTACTCTCAACCCAATTCTTCCAACTTTACTCTACTAAAATTCAATCTGGTTCACAAAATGACTACCCCAAGCCCTAAATCCGAGCACGCTCGTCTCCAGAACGACTTTGGAGCGGATTACTGGATTCGCAACAAGCAAGAACACCGTGTACGTCCCCATCCTAGGAATCGGAAATTAGCTAATCGTTTCGTTGTAGCACGCTACTGCTGGACGGGGCCTCTTCGCTGGTTTACAAGATACCAAGAACTATAATGTGGATAGTGGGTGGGCGCGCCGCAAGTCTGGGGATGTGCAGACTGGGTTTTTTGGAGCTATCTTGAGTCGGTGGGTCTAAGCCTTTCGCATTTAGATGTTGGATCTGGGCTGATCTTTTCTAGGTTTGTTGGTGGATCTTATCACCCGCCGACTGATTAGATTCGAATATTTGGTTCATGGTATTGGATTTGAAGGTTCGACTTTGGACATTTCGAGGCCTGTGATGATCTACATTACATGAATGTGACGTGCCTACATGTGTTATTTGCTTGTCATTTATTGGCTAGGAGTTGTGGTTTGGGATTCAATATTATAGCGAAACAGTTTTCACGCATATAATGGCTCTTGCTTATTTATGGTAAGAGTTCGAGGGACTTTAAATTTCGGAATTAATCCTGAGGTCAGGTATAAGCTTGGAAAATCATACCCATATAGTAGATCCATGGTATTTGATATTGGGTTTTCAGTCACAACTCGCATATTTGGGAGTGGGGACTCAATTGATATCACAAACTCCAAAATATGTACACTCAATTGAGAGAAACTGTACATCTTTGAGATTCTACGTATATATCATAAAGGTCGTGATGCTGCGGAGACGTGCCCATGTGAGCGCAGCGAAAATATATTTCCGACTCAGAAGGATGATAATCATAATTGTACATATAGGTACAAACAGAGTTTTGCTATATACATATACTACAGGTGAATTGCAGATCTTCTATGAAAAATACGGAGCCAGTGCTGTATTCGTTCCACTGCACCTACTTCATGTGTATAAGTACTTAATATATACTAGTAGATAATCAATGCCTCAGGCATTGATATGGTTATTAGTCAGCAGACTCGAGTAAGAATGGAACATTCTAAAATTCTAGGCCGAAACACCCCTACCTGACAAAGGCAATGGCACCGAGACATTAAAGTGCCCAGCATCCACATATTTGGCCAAGCATGAAGTACGTTGGGCCAAGCATGAAGTACGCAAAGAGTAAGGACGCGGCAAATGAATGCAAGCCTGGGCAACCCCACCCCACTTGGCCAGAGCAATGAGAATGGCCAGAATTTTCGCAAATGAAAATTACAAAATTCAATGGACCTATCAACCCCTGGACCTCCCCCTGAATAACCTCAGAAGCAGGGTCTTGCCAAGCCTCCAGACTCAGCCGGACTCCATACGTACAACAGCCGGTGCCCAGATCGACTATACCGCTTAGCGCTGCATAGCGCCTCCAGATGAAGATGGCGGTCGAGACCAGTGGGGAACATGGAAGAGAATTAAATACACACCGATCGGGCCCAGGTATGAAGTACTTCCTACTCCGTACTTCGTATCCGTACATAATATTTGCTTCCCTTTTATCGATATTTACCTTTACCCCATACCCAAACCTGGTCGAGTACGTATGCAAACTTTAGTCCAGCGAGGAACTGAGTTGAGCCAATTATGGGTCCACGGGAAATGATTAGATGGTCGGATGCGACTTATCCGAGACTAGTGAAGCCTCAGGGGTTAACTGTGGCGTTGCCTAGGAAGATTCCTCCACACCGTGAAAGTAATATTCACTCAGGTAAACATGGTAGCTTCCGGATTGCCGTGAACTGAATGTTTGAGGCATGTAGGTTAATCTCTCAGCAAAATCTAGGCCTTTGTCGCATTATGATCAGCATCTTGTCCCGTGATCGTCGTTTACGGGAACGTGCGCGAGTCCCACGAAGTTACTAGAACTAATAAATATTTCCAAATTCTTGATCAACTACTAGTTGTTATCAGGATCCCGTGCCTCGGATGATCGGCAATCACAGGCTATGGAGAAGAATTGAGTAAGCGGATAGGAGGAGAAAAGGCCTCCTGTTGATATCTCATTCTATATATCCGTACTCCGTATTGAGATTATATTCTTGTACGGAGTATCCATCAATTTTATCCATACATAAACAACGGGGTGTGTAGGACGGAGTATAGAATACAATACACGATACCTAGGAAAGTATGAGATCGGCAGGGCGGAAATTAGAGTCTGTGCGTTGAACCAATTAAAATCATATCATCTCCACATATCAAGTTGACACTTGACTTGATCGAGATTAGATTGTAAGAATGAATGAATCCACATGGTTAAGGGCCAGTTTCAGGTTTTTTTTTTCTCTCTGTCTTTCACTTTAGATGGCCTTCATTAATCATGAGTATTTACGGAGTATTGTGTATTAAATATGATATATTTCTTCAGATGATTGATCGAGTATTTATTTAGTTACTTAATAGTATTAATTCTTTACTGCGTATGATACTCAAGTTTTCCCTGCCCCGCAGTAAGGGGCTTAGACAGCATGGCCCCTAAGTGAGACATAAAACTCCTACTCCGTTGGTAATCTCATACATGCTAATTTACTTACTGTAATCTGGTAACTTGATCTCCACTCTGCCCGACCCGTGCGGGCCAACCAACATGGTCAATGAATTGGGTCAAACATTGTCATCCAATCACACTTGCAGCGTACCTGAACGGCAAGGTCTGACCCCGTATGAACGAACCACCCAGGGGTACAGGGTAACTCGAATTTACGATCGGTGGAGCCTGATACCTGTATAGTATTCACTAATTGGGTCTAAGCTCACTTCCCTTTCCTCCCCTTTTTCTGTTTCCCCCCTAACCTCCACTTTCTTCCCCCAACTCAAGCCCTCGAACAAAAGGCCTTGCGTGCCCACTTCCTCTCCTTTCCCTCTACCCACGTTCCTTGATACCATTGACCACCGCTTCACTCGTTCAGCGGGCATTCATTCATTGGCACGCAAGATTCCTCAAAAATGAAGGGCTCTATTTTCGCTGCTGCCGCCGTTGTGGGCTCTGCCCTGGCTGACGGTAACCTCCACCGTCGTCATGATGCTCTTCACCAGAAGCGCGCTGTCGCCGCTCCTCTGATCCCCGCCGAGGAGACCTGTGGCTGCACTACCAAGGTCATCACTTACTATGGCTCGCCTACTCTGGTGCCCGTCCCGGAGACATCCACCGCCGCCGTTGAGGCGACCAGCACTGAGTCGACTAGCACTCTCACCAGCACTATTCACTCGACCAGCACCCTCACCAGCACTGTGACCGTGACTCCCTCCGTGGCTGCTACCACCTCCTCCACCCCGGCTTACACCCCGTCTACCACCCCGGCCGTCTCTGAGGTCCCGACCTCAACCATCTATGTGACTCTGCCCACCAATGGTGTCACCTCCTTCTCCAGCACTGGTACTTACACCATCCCGGCCACCACCATGACCGTCACCGAGGAGACCACCGTCTGCGGTGCCACCACCACCGCCCTCAGCAGTGGTATCAACACTATCGGCGAGGTCACCACCGTCGTCTCGACCGGTACTGTCGTGACTTGCCCCTACGCCACTGTCAAGCCCACCGGCACCACGGTGACCAGCATCATTGAGTACACCACCTACACTTGCCCCGTGGCTGGTACCTATACCGTTGTCACCGGTACCACCACTTCTGTCCCCGCCGAGACCACCGTTGTTGTCCCTACCGCTTCGACCATCACTCCTGGCACCTACACTCAGCCCGAGACCACCATCACCGTGACTGAGACCGACACCACCTACTACTGCCCCTACGCCACCAGCACTGGCCTGGCTTCTTCCTCCGCCGTCCCCACCGCTGCTGCTGCTACCACCACCGTTGCTGCTGCTCAAACCACCGTTGCTGCCGCTACCACCACCGCTGCCGCCGCTGCCACCAGCACCAGCGCTGCTGCCTCTGCTAGCAGCACCTCCTCCCTTACTGGTGCCGGCAAGTACGGTATGACCTTCTCTCCCTACACCGACAGCGGTGACTGCATGACCCAGGAGGAGGTCTACAAGAACGTCAAGGTTATCGCCGACAAGGGCTTTGACCTGATGCGTATCTACTCCACTGACTGCAGCGGTCTGGAGTTCATCGGCAACGCCGCCAAGAAGTACGGCATGAGCCTCATCCTCGGTGTCTACATCGAGAGCACCGGTACCTCCGGCGCTCAGGAGCAGGTCACTGCCATCTCCGAATGGGCTCAGTGGTCCATGGTTAAGCTGATTGTCGTCGGTAACGAGGCCGTCTCCAGCGGATACGTCACCGCCGCCGAGCTCGCCAGCTTCATTACCTCCTCCAAGTCTAGCTTCGAGTCCGCCGGCTACACTGGCCACGTCACCACCACCGAGCCCATCGACATCTGGCAAGAGTATGGTACCTCCAACCTGTGCTCCCCCGTTGACATCGTCGGTGCCAACATCCACCCCTTCTTCAACGCCGACACCACCGCCGCCGAGGCTGGTGCCTTCGCTCTGAGCGAGTACAAGATCCTTGAGGGCATCTGCTCCAAGGATGTCGTCAACCTGGAGACTGGCTGGCCCAACGCCGGTAACGCCAACGGAAAGGCTGTTCCCGGTGTCTCCGAGCAGGAGACCGCTATCAAGGGAATTGCCAGCACCATCGGCTCCAAGTCCATCTTCTTCTCCTACGCCGATGACACCTGGAAGTCCCCTGGCGAGTTCGACGTTGAGCAGCACTGGGGATGCGCTAGCGTCTTCTAAGCTTCTTCAAAACTTGTACAGGAGGATCAGGAGTTCTGACCATTTACATTCTTACGCGTTGGACCCAGTCTAGCGTGCCCTTTCTTGGATTCTATGTCTATTATCTTGGACGTGTGGTAGATACCTTTATTTGATGCTGTCTACTAACCTGGTTGCACCTGATCTCTTTGTTTTACTTCGATGCTATTTGCGTTGTGTATATTTTATTTATTACATGCCTTTTACGAACCGGCATCCTGAGTAGTCCCGAGTAGCCCTGAGTAATCTCGTACTGTATTTCTGGTTTTGATTGACATCCCGAATTGCATGTGGATGTCCGTAACAGTTTCAGATTGCGTAGCTACCCGCACACCGGATTCTCACCCACGTAAAGTCAGTCTTGCCGTTTCCTTCGAGTTTAGCATGTTGTTGACAATGCAATCCAGCCTTATTCCTTACCTGGCCACATCGTACATACCCCTGGTAAGGTATAATGCACGTCATACTTGGACTTAAGACATGAAGTGAGGGATACAGATACAAGAATAGCGGTGTACTGACCAACACTGGGAATTCAGCAATCGCAATCAGATCAATCTAAAGCATAGTCTGTGCTCATCATCTATGATGCACCTAGTGAAATTGGCTCTAGGCTTGTCCCCCGGCCTGTGTCTTTTCGTTTCCCTTCCTTCTCTTCCACTTCCTTATTCTCTATTCTGCTCGCTATTATGATTTTTGAGATCCTTTTCTGAGTGCCCTCCCACGATGTATTTATATAACATTGTAGGAGACCAATTTGGAGACTGAGTAGGAAAATGGTAAGGGAGGCAGAGTAGAAACATGATTTATTCCCACGGGGAAAAGACAACTCTCATTCAAGGTTGCTGTCAACATCTATATGTACTATTGAAATTGATACATTGAATCCAATCCACCAGTTCCCATGTCCCCTATAATTGCGTGCTATGTGCAACTCCATATATCCCTCAAACAGATCCAGCATACAAACTACTGAGGAAGCTTGCCAACATCATCCTCCTTGATACAGACCTATGAAATCATTAGTAACAAATTTTTATCCCGGTATCATGCAACTTACACCCATGGTGCTATTTCGCTGGTTTCCGTTGGGCTGGCAGATCATGTTGCTGACACAGCACTGGTGGGGATCACCTAGTGGGGCATTGACTCTGCAGGCTTGGAACTCCTAATTTATCAATGGATGTTAGTTGAATTGTTTTCATGTGTTGGAAGGTTTGGTGACGTACGGTCAGGCATGTGGTTTGGGTTTCGGGAGTCGGCACTGCGGAGGTGAGACTGGCGAGGAGACCGAGGATGAACAGTGAGGCGTGCATTCTGAGGAGTTGAGGAGGGGTTTTGAGAGATTGGTTGGTTCTGGATGATGTTAGCAGATGATTGACAAGGTTGTATATGGGTATGTGGGATCTTGAGAGTAGGGAAATTGGTCGTGTTCAAGTTGTTCAAGATGCATGCAGATATGAATTTGGACAACAAATGAGAGATGTAAACTTGAAAATGAAATCAAATTCAAGTTGTGATTGAAAAGAAAATGGATTCAAAAATGCACGTACCTAGAGCGACCGGTAAAGTACGGAGTATATTGATCAGGAATGTCAGGTCACTGGGAACGACGTCTTATAACATTCCACATTATTCAGTGCCTGAATAGATGGGGCTGCCATGCTCCCGTGGAGACTGCCGAGACAAGCCAAGGGATCGACAGGGGGGTACTGGGTCGATCAAAGTGGTTGGTTTTTGATGGAGGCTGGTCATGACTACAATTTGATCTCATTGTCATCTGTGAGGAGTGATCATGTCTATCGATGTACGCTATGATTTGTGTTATACAATGCGATTAGATTGTATGCATCGTGATCCAATGTTTTCTGATTATTTTTCCATTTTACTCAAACGCTTCTGGCGACGTAGGTTATGAAACTGCATCTTCTCCTTTCTAGCACTTATTTTTAGATGATTATGGGGAATATGAAGAACTACTCTAAGCGAGCACTTAGACTCGTTTAAGTGGGGAATGTCTGTCATATCTCGTGGCAAGAAAGGGATAGTTAAGCTCGATATTCCTTGAAACAAGAAATGATATTCCGGTGCTGGGGATCATTGGTTCTTCCTGCGAGGGGCAGTACATGAAATGGCGGACTCAGGAGGCGGGGCTTGGCGGTTGTTTCGCTGGGTTGTCTTGTTAGGAAGGGATCGATGTTCTTGTGGATCGAACTGGACTTATTCTGCGTCGCTCTTTACTGCTTATGTTAGAGGCTAAGATATGATAAAATGGCCTTACTAACATCTGAGTTGACATTCCGGCAGGGTATGCCTACAAGCATCTAATGTATGCGGCTACAGAATGAATGGGAATCAGATGTCAAAATCAAGAAGGTCTGGTGGAGGTTTCGAACGTACGTCCAGAAAGTTTGCGATTTATCCAAGTAGGTTCTGTCATTATGGCCGCTACTTGCCTTCGTACGCGATTACGTCAGTATTTCAACTACCCAGGTCCTAGTCACCTGCGTACAAGGCAACCCCATTTCGAATCGTCCATAAAGGAAATATTTCTTTATCCCCCCTGTGCTTCGCCTAAAGTCGCTCCGAAATCATTACAATTATGGCATTCGAAAATTATTTCCCCTCTGCAACGCCTATCTTTAAATATGAGGGAAAGAAACATCTCCTTGAGATTTGGGAACAGAAGTATTACCGAAATATCCCGTTTTTGATTTTCAAGATGGATGAAAGCACCTTCCTCACGGATTTTATACATACCCGTAATGAAAAGATATCCAAAATATGGAAGTCGTATGAGTATTCCTCTAACAACCTTCTTATTGAAATGAACGAATCAAAGCCACACGCAGCAGCGGCTGATGAATTCAAATTCATTATCATGAATTGGGCAAAATCCGTCTCAGAAAAGCGATTACTACCATGGGGTTCCTATCCGGTTGCGAGGGATTCCGGGTTCAAGAAACCGGATGGGGCGTGGGGACCGAAGGAACGCCTTCGCTGGCCCACAATTGTTTTTGAGGTTGGAGTGACGGAATTTGCTGAGAGCCTACAAAACAATATGAAAAATTGGCTCGAGAACAGCGAAGGGGCCGTTAATGTCGCATTATCGATCAGAGTGACAAAGACAAGGGTGACTGTGGCGAGATGGGATCTGGAAAACAACTCAGAGAGATCAGCATTCATTTCACAGTCAATGTTTATGACTCGCCGGTCGAAGATTCCCAGGATTAGCGGTCATCTTGGATTTTCATACGAAGAGGCGTTTCTGGAATCTCCTCAGGGGGAGGGGAAAGATTTTACGCTTACGGAGGAATTGCTTCGTGACTTTGTCACTAGTGTTTGGGACCAGTGGGACAATGAGGAGCAAGAGAAAGCGTCTTCCAAACAACCAGTCACGAACTAGCAGATCGATGCGAATATCTCAGGCCACTGGATTGATAGATTGGACTTGCCGTGTTGAGACTAGACGATCCATGGATCACATCCGGTGACTAAGTATCTGTCTCCACTTAAACTTTCCTTCCCTACCCCAGATTCTACACTCTGCAGCCATGGGCGATGTTCCTCCGATACTACCTGATGGAAGACTTCCTGGGTTCAATGCCCCGGGTTTCGAAGAAGAAGCCTTCTTATCGCCCGGAACATTCTCCAGTGCGGACGAGTACGCCGCTAACCCCCGTTTCCTCGAACTACAAGAGGAACTGCGCTGTGTGCTGTTCAGCGCAGCCGCCAATCTTGACCCTAACAGCTACACATCTCCGCCATCCGAACCATTAGAAGGCGCGACAGAGGCTACGAGGATAGCCCGTCAAAATCTAGACTTCACACGCGTGTCCATCCCTAAAATCCGCCTGATCCACTACCTCAAAAACTGGATCACGGAGTGCGCGCCGTACCTCGACAAATTTGACGAGTCGCGTAATTTTGGTGTTCACATCCCTATTCTGGCACAGCGGTCGCCGGCGCTCTTCTATGCTATCCTTGCTTTTTCCGCCCGTCAGACAGAGCGGAAAGCATGTCTTGATAAGGCGTATGATAGTTTAGAACTCTACCAGGAATCTATCCGTCTCCTCGCACCATGTCTTCAAGCCAAGGACCCTAATGTCTTGGCTACTGTGTGTATTCTCGCTGTCATGGAACTGATGTCTGTCAGCCCGCGCGACTGGCGCCGCCATGTCGAAGGCTGTGCTGCACTTTTTGATTCGTTCAATGTGAACGGACTATCAGGCGGACATCTGCAAGCTGTATTCTGGTGCTACGCACGTATGGAGTTATGTGGAGCGATTATTTCCAACGGTGCCGAAAGTACAGTTCTACCACTGGAAAAATGGGTGCCTGCCATGCCTGAAACGGCGACACCAACGGAGCGAGATAATATGATCCGAGATTTGTTCTGCCAAAAGGGTGTGGTGTCTCCGGATATGCATGCGAACTGGGCTGTCTACCTGTGCGCGAAGACATGTGACCTTTCCTGCCGACAAACGAGATACATCGAGCTAGGTGAAATGGTCGACGATCCACGTCCTTTCACTGAACGATGGAAATGTCTATGGAACGAACTGCAATACTGGCTGGAAAAACGTCCTCCGGCTATGTTACCCGTTAAGACAACGGGGATAGGAGGCGGGCAGATCTTTCCGGAGATCCTGTTCGCGCACTGGGCTGCTATTTCGGGGAATCAGCTATATCACGCGGCGTGCATTATAATGCTGGATATGAAGCCACCGGAACACATCTCCCCGTCGAAACCATATTACTCGCCCATCTGGCATGCGCGCAGAGCTTGCGGCATATCGCTTACGAATCCCCATAGTGGCAATTTGATCAATGCTATCCAGCCGCTGTATATTGCGGGCAAGCTTCTCAGTCATCACAGCGAACATGTTGAGGTGGCAAGGCTTTTCAAAATTGTTGAGGAGACGACTGGTTGGGGTGCACTTTGGCGACTGAAGGATTTGGAACGGGCTTGGGGGTATGAGCCCGGTGAGATATTATCGGCGATTTGATATAATTAATGAGTAACGAGACTTTCGTCCTATTTAAGACAAATGAACATTCACATCTAGGAATCTATGCTGCCCAAGACCGCTTGATTTAAATCCAATGTGTCATACAGTCCCAATTATTCGAGATCAGCACACGACTTTGGATACTGTAGAGCATGCTTGATCCGCTGTTTCAGCCTGTCCGCATCAACCTGGAAGACATAATTGACTGCCCGAATACCACTTGGAGCGAGAGCCTTCTGGTACACGTGAATGTTGCCATAGTTGAGGCTGCCATATGAAACATCGACATCCAGATAGACTAAGACTGTTAGTACCCAGTACCCTCTTCAGCTATCGAAAGACTTACCTGAAGTCTGGTTGGTAGCGAGTGACGGATCAACCATCAGCGCCGCAGCAGTTTCATCCCAGAAGGGAAATGAAAGATCATAGTGATCGTAAAAGAGCTTGCTATACGGGCTAGGAACTGAATAGACCTCATCAGCAAATTCCTGACCCGGAAAGACCTGATTGGCAACATTTCCCGCAATAGTGATATTGGGAAAATCAGCCGTGAGGGCAATCTTCGCAGCTTCAGGATCAATCATGAGATTGATCTGTTCATATCAGCACATGAAAACCACTCAAGTTGGAACGAGTAAACCCACATCAGACTGAAGATCAGCTAAGAGAATACTCCCCGTAGCCTGCAACATATTCACATCCACATACCCACCCATAATAACCAACTCCTTCGCCAACACCGCAAACTCCGCATCCATACGCACAGCCAAAGCAACATTCGTCAACGCCCCGGCAGAATATATCGAAACCTGACCAGGATACTTCCGTACCATCTCAACCATAAAGTTTGCAGCGCTGGAATTCTCCGGTCTACCAACCGGAAACCCCTCCAGGAACGCAGCTTTGACAATCCGATTCGGATCTCCAGATGTAGGATCACTACCTTCCGCCTCGGCGGTTTTGTTCTCCGGGGCAAAAGCACCTTCCCACGGGAGCTTGCCGTGGATGTTTTCCCATGCCTGAAAGCGATGGGGCGTGTTGATGAGTGGGTACGTGGCGCCGGGGTAGACGGGGATGCAGCTTAGGTTTCCGGCTTCTAGGGTTGCGACGGCGTGAAGTGCGCATTGGTGTTGCCAGCTATTTGCAGTGTCTGATGTTCAAATCCCAGTGTTGTTAGTATGTTTTTGGACCGGTGGGACATTGTGATGTGATTGTCTGTACCGGAGGCGAGGCCTAGGATCTCGATATCTCCGTCCAGGGCGATCAAGTATGGGACGAAGCCGGCTGTGTACCAGTCGTTGTCCATTATGGCGTAGTGCTTTTCTGCATGGGCAGTTGCTAGGAAGGGGAGAGTGCTGCAGAGCAGCGGTATAGTAATAGAATAATGCATAGTGCGATTGAGGTTCAATTCGAGTAAATGTTCAGTTCAGGAAATAATCATTGATTGAGAGGTCGATCTGAGGTCTTCTTTATACTACTAGGTAGCAAAATTAAATCCAACCGGTATAATTAGTGACACATGCATATATCGGATACCACTATAAAAGCTTATGAAAAGATTAGCGAAAATTAAGCAAAGTTGGGATTTCTTGGGGCCCTAATGGGTACCCGCTATCGATAAAGCCTTTCCCAATTAAGAGTATAATCATCTAAAAAAGCAAGAACAAGAGATAGAAAGGTCTTGGGCGGGGTTGGCCATCGAGACGTGCGGGCGAGTTCAGGTTTTGAGTCCGACTTTTATAACCCAATTGGTTATGCTGAAGCCTATTCACACCAGTTGACCTGTATGCGGTCCCTGAGTTTCCTCCGACATGGAGACATTTACGTCAATTGAAACCCAGCCCCATAATTCCCGCTGGATTCTCCCCGCATTTAACCGAAAGAGAAAGTCTTTGCCTCTGCATCCCAAAGAGGAATGTATGGTCCGACCCTCAGACCAAGTAGTTTCAGTCTTGGCGTTGATCCAAAACGGTCAGTGTAGGCTATACAAGTCTAATTCGGGTCTAGTGTCTCCCTCCGCACTTTTCGTCTGGGGAAATTTAACTTTTTATGGTTCGATTTAGGTACGGGGAAGAAATTGTATATATGGGGCCTCCGTCCTTGAATTTCCACGTTCTTTCCTCACAGTGCTTGTCTTTATCTATTCTTGAGCTTGATCTTCGCCATGGCAGAGTCGTCTATAGATGTGGAGGCCCCACGTATCCACATTGTCAAGAAGTCAATGTGGCAGTCTATCTTTGATAACCCCAAAGTCCTATTCATCGCGTTCTTTGCCTCGTCAGTTCCCCAGTCGAATACAGATAAAACTCACCAGCTAACCTTGTCAGATTCGGTGGTTTCGAATATGGATACCAGCAGGGTGTCCTCGGGCAGTCCTTGGTGATGAGTCGCTTTGTTGAAAACTTCCCGACTGTCGTCGCATCTTCAACCGCAACAGGTTGGTTGACCTCTGTTCTCCAGCTAGGAGGTATTGTCGGATCCCTCACAGCCGGAATCCTGGGCGAGATCATCTCCCGCAAGTACACCATGTTTATCGCCTGTTGCTGGGTTATCCTAGGAAGTTACTTGTACGTCGGTGCGACCGCTGGAAACCCCTCTCTTCTGTATGCTGGTCGCTTCTTCACTGGCCTTGGCGTGGGCTTGTTTAGTGGCGTCGGCCCACTGTACAATGCCGAGCTGGCAGCCCCAGAGATGCGTGGACTGTTGGTTTCTTTCTATCAGTTTGCCACGATCCTGGGAATCATGATCTCCTTCTGGGTTGGATATGGCAGTAACAATATCGGCGGGACGGGTGCGACACAGTCCGACTTGGCATGGCGTCTGCCGTCTATTATCCAGGGTATTCCCGCCGTATGTCTGGCGTGTGGGATCTGGTTTATGCCATTTTCGCCTCGCTGGCTGGTAAAGAAGGGTCGTGATGAAGAGGCACAGACTACGCTAGCATGGATGCGAAAAGTGCCGGTTGAGCACGAGCTGGTTCAGGTTGAGTATTTGGAGATTAAGGCCGAGGCCGTCTTTGAGGAGCGCGCATTTGCCAAGGCATTCCCCAAACTGGCAGAGCATGAGAGAAAGAGTGTGCTTATGAATCAGATTGCGCAGTATGCCAATTGCTTCCGCACGATGGACAATTTCAAGCGCGTGACGACTGCGTGGTTGATCATGTTCTTCCAACAGTGGAGTGGTATTGATGCCAGTAAGTACCTCTACTCTGTCCATTATCGTGGTTGATTCTCATCGCAAATAGTCATTTACTACGCCTCAAATGTCTTTGTCAGCCTTGGTTTGACTGGTGGTACAATTGCTCTTCTCGCGACTGGCGTGACCGGCGTGGTGTTCATTGTCAGCACGATTCCTGGAATGGTAAGTCAATCGCAATAGTATCCTGAATTTGTCTAACAATGTTTAGCTTGTCATCGACAAAATTGGCCGCAAGCCCATGCTTCTCGGTGGATCGGCAGTTATGTTCTGCAGCATGGTCATTGTTGGAGTGATCGTGGCAAAATTCCAGCACGACTGGCCATCGCATGTGGCAGCTGGTTGGACTGCTGTTGGTAAGTGCAATTGTACCCTCAAAAATGCTCTAGCTAACATCTCTAGCTCTCATCTGGCTGTATATTGCAGGATTCGGTGCTACCTGGGGTCCCGTGTCCTGGACTCTGGTATCGGAGATCTTCCCCCTCTCTATCCGCGCCAAAGGCGCCTCGATTGGCGCTTCAAGTAACTGGATCAACAACTTTGCCATCGCCTTTTTCGTCCCGCCAATGTTGCAGGCTTGGGAGTGGGGCACTTATATCTTCTTCGCGGCATTCCTGGCGGTTGGTATTGCTTGGGTTTGGTTCTACTTGCCGGAGACCAAGGGGACATCTCTGGAAGAGATGGACCGTGTTTTCAAGAGTAACACCGGCGAGCGGGATGCTGAGCTGATGCGTGAGGCGCAGCGGGATGTTGGGCTGACTGATTTCTTGGAACGCATGGGTGCTGCGACGGGACGGGACCTGGAGAAGAATGGACCTCAGTATATTGAGAGTCTGTAGTCGGTATGACTTTCCCAAATAGGATGCCAGTACTCCATATATCAATAGGCTTAGCAAATAAAGCTTCGATGAACGTGTTGCCCCATATTACCAGACTTGGCATGATGAACCATGGTAGATCGATCAGAGAAAGAAACCGATAATTATCAATCTTGATTCTTCGGGTGGCGTCCGGACACTGAGTCTTTGCTGAGCGGTTTAACCCGCCCCCACTTTTATCAATAGATGGCGGTGAAAATAGGCAATATTAACAGTCAGATTATGTAACGCAGATCATATGACCTCGTCGTGGAGGCTAGGAGCTGACTGCTGCTACCCAACTTCGATTGCTTTCTCGGACGGCATGTACGGACTCCAGACGCCCTAGTCTAAGTATAGATTTTAGGCTTAAGATGACACGGAACGTGCGTTCAGCTGCCCTTTTGTAGGAGCCTCCACTCCAGAGTCCAATGAGTCGCTCTCTTTCCCGGAAAAAGGTAGAGTTGGGAAAAAATATAACGAATAATGGAGGAGAATTGCATCATTAGGATGCAGACGAAGCTAGTGTCATTTCACCAAACATCTATGAGTCAAGACAAGTGTTATTTACTGATCAGATTTTAGGCTGCAAAGTTGATACGAAAAATTAGTTGCGGCTGCTTACTGCTTATGTCGCTGGTTGGTGGAAATGCAATTAACATTGATGGGGATTTAGAGATGATAGCTGGGCAGATAAGGACAGGGTACTTTTGTAGACTCTTTTCTTTAATTCTTCCCGTTCTTCCACTTCTTTCTCTGACTTTTCATTCTGCTTGAACTAAAAAGCCTTGTCACAACGGACTCCCTTTGCGGAGAAGAATTCGACTGGTCCCATCGCGGATATCAGTCGACATGTCGACAACCTGCGAAGCTGACAGTGACCATCAATTTGGCCCTCGCGTTGCTGCCAGCTGTCGAGACTTCGATTTCACTCTTCTTTTCGAGGATGCCTTCCTGACAGTAATCCCCGCGGCAATTTTCATTATTTTCTTACTAGCACGGCTATACATCATACGAAGAGATTCAGTGAAAGTAACATCCTATAAATTAGCAGGCTATAAATTGGTAAGGATGATGTCCCCTCGACTTTCTTAATAATGCGAGTTCTAAACAATTACTATGTGTTCAAGACTCTTTTAACGGCTCTGTTTACATTGCATGTGGTCTATGCCGTTCTACATACCAGAGCGCCAGACTTGCGCACCCAGTTATCACTAGTATCCGACATTCTCAATATCGTTGGCACCGCCGGTGCAGTGGTTCTTTCATTTCTAGAAGATCAACGTTCAGCGCGACCATCAGACCTCCTGGTCATATACTTCTCCTCTCTTGTGCTTTTATGGATCCCCCGGCTTCGCTCATTATGGTTGATCTCTGGATCAGGTCCCTGCAGAAGCTTGTGGGTGGCAATATATACCGTCACTGTCCTTATTGCGTTCCTCGAATCAACCAGAAAGGTCAAAACCCTGCGTCCTTCGTATCAAAATGCCAACGTGGAGCAGATTAGTGGGTTCTGGGCTCGAAGCGTCTTTCTATGGGTTGTGCCTTTTATTCGAACCGGATATTCAACAATTCTCTCTGTTGAAAATATGCCGGGAGTTGACGAGAGCTTACAAGGCGATCCCGCACGTGATAAGCTGGATCAAGCCTGGGTGCAAGTAAAGGGCAAACACCGCCTCATGAAAGCCGTATTCCGTGCGTACCTTGGATCTACCGTTTCTGGAATCTTTCCTCGTTTGATCCTTGGTGGGTTCACCTTTTGCCAGCCATTCCTGATCACAGCGACCGTGGATTATTTCACAGGAGAAGCAGAACCCAAGGAATATGGGCAGGCGTTGGTGGGGGCATTTCTGCTCGTGTATCTGGGAATCGCAGTATGTTGATGGATTTGGACTTGCTTTATTGGCAAACTCTGACCATGTTTAGATATCGACAGCTGTCTACTGGCGCCAAACATACCGACTGTGCTCGACGGTGCGAGCAGGCCTCCTCTCGAGCCTGTACCGCAAAACAACACTTTTGGCTGGGGATGATGTGAAAGGGAACGCTGTGCTAACGTTGATGGGAACAGATGTGGAAAGAATTGTGAACAGTTTCAAATATTTACATGAAATGTGGGCCTCCATAATCGAGGTCGCTGTAGCGCTCTTTCTCTTGGAGCGCCAGGTTGGTCTGGCCTGTATTGTCCCTGCGATAATTTCTCTAGGTGAGCCCAACCTCAAAGCAGTTCAATCAAATGCTGACATGCTTTAGCATGCGTATTTGGTGCAGGCCCCATATCCGCCAAAACTGCACCAGCGCAGAAGGCTTGGGTCGAGAAAGTACAAGAGCGGATTGCTGTTACATCTTCCATGCTGAGAGACATGAAATCCGTCAAGATGTTGGGACTGACTGACGTATTCTTGGGACTTGTTACCAAGTTGCGTGTGGCAGAACTGGAAAAATCTTCTCAGTATCGCAAGTTGGTTGTTTGGATGCTGCTATTATGTAAGTTACTACAGCGGTTCTTACGAACAGGTTTTGATTGGTGATAGCAAATGTTCCATCGGACCTAGCTCCATATGCGACGTTCGCTGTTTATGCAATAATTTCCGTGGTCCGGCATGACCAGTCTCTGTTAGCATCTCAGGCCTTCACTTCTCTGTCATTGATCTCGTTGATGACATCGCCGCTATTGGAATTTGTGCAATCGGTGCCATCTTTCATTGAGTGCTTTGGTTGTTTTGAAAGAATTGAGGAGTACCTGGAGAAAGCGTCAATCACGGACACTTCAAATGCCCCAAGCTCTGGACCGATAGTCGTAGACCCTGAGCAGCCTGAATGTGAAGAGAAGCCTTTGATCTTTCCCAGTGTGGTATCTTTCAAAGACGCAGACATTTCGTGGTCATCCGACTTGGAACCCTTGTTTCAAAATCTAAACCTGGACATTGGCAAGGGAATCACGATGATTACTGGGCCCATCGGCTCAGGAAAATCGGCGCTGATCAGGAGTCTAGTAGATGAGATGACCGTCAGGAAAGGCTCAGTTGACAAAACGTTCCGGACTATTGCATATTGCCCCCAGACTCCGTGGATTGTGGACGACACAATCCGGCATAATATCACCGGAGGTACAGACTTCGATGCGGCATGGTATGAATTTGCAGTTTCGACTTGCGGTCTGAATGAAGATTTCAAGTTTATCCCTGCTGGAGACATGCATGTAGCAGGCAGTAGTGGCGCCTCCCTTAGTGGAGGGCAAAAGCAAAGAGTGGTAGGTCACCCTGATATGAGGCACATGCTGACGTAGCTAACATGATATCAGGCTCTTGCACGGGCGATTTACTCTAAACTACCCGTTCTCCTCCTTGACGATATCTTTAGTGGTCTAGATTCAAAGCGTATAAGCGATATATCTGCAAAGCTGTTCGCCGAGGATGGATACTTTCGCACCGCTGGAAAAACGGTGATTCTGGCAACTCACACTGGTATAGCTCACATGCACCTGTCTATTGGGATTGAAGATAACGGTTTATAGAATCCCTTCTTCCATACTCCGATAGCATTATTGCCCTGGACAATGGCACAGTCGTTCATACAGGCTCATACAAGGACCTTAAGCGAGGTGCTATCTTGAAGAAATCGATATTGCCACAAGAGGGAAAGATCGACTTTCATCCTGAAAAGTCGTCTGCAGATATCCAATTTGTTACAGCCGAAATAGACTCAAGCAATCCCAGTCAAAGAAATGATGAGCTCGACTTTTCTCGGCGCGATGGAAGTTGGGAGGTGTATTCATACTACATCGCGAGTGCAGGGCCCTGGATTAGTATGGTGGTTGTTGGCTCAATTACAGTTTTCAGTTTTCTCAGTACCTTCTCCAGTGAGTTACACCCATCAGATCTGTATAAATCGTCTCAACTGACCACACATTGCGCAGCTCTGTGGATCCAGTGGTGGTCTGAATCAAACGCCAAGGATCCCAACGGCAGGATTGGCTGGTATTTAGGCTTCTATACTGCATTCGTGGTCATTAGTCTCTTCTTCTTTTTCACTGCTTGCTTGTAAGTCTCACTTGGAAAGATCTGATCAATTACTAATTCGTCTCCAGCTTGTTGTTTATTCGGGTCATCAATGACACAGCACTAGCTCTGCATACGGCTTTATTGAAAGTCACATTGGAAGCACCATGGAGCTTCTTCCAAACAACAGACGTTGGTTCTATGACCAATCGATTTAGTCAGGATATGGACCTCATCGACATGAAGCTTCCTCTCTGCGTGGCCAACTCTTTAGCAAGTGAGTAGACAACTCCATCCAATATTGGAACACTTTCTCACGCCGACAGATGCCGCACTGGGCATGATGAATCTGCTTCTTCTATGCGCGATAGGCAAATATATGGCCATAACATTTCCGTTCCTGCTCGCCACCTTCATTATCATTCAGCTCGTCTACCTCCGGACGTCGCGACAGGTGCGATTACTTGATATCGAAGCCAAAGCGCCTCTCTATGCCCATTTTGCGGAGACCATCGATGGGATCACCTCGATGAGAGCTTTTGGATGGCAGGAAAACTTTCAAGTCGAATGCAACAAGAGAGTCAATAACTCCCAGAAGCCATTCTACATGCTACTTTGTCTGCAGCAATGGCTGAGCTTGGTTCTAAATCTAGTCATCGCTGCTATGGCAGTTGTCTTGATAACGGTCGCTATATCTATGAGGAATCATTTCAGTGCTGGTGGTATGGGAGTAGCTTTGAACCTGGTGCTGAATCTGAATCAAATCTTGGTGCAGGCAATTCAGTCATGGACACAGCTGGAAACATCAATTGGTGCGGTTTCTCGCGTACACAGCTTCCAAAAGAACACTCCTTGCGAGGATAGAGCCCTCGAACCAGCACCAGGAGCTCAGGAATGGCCAATCCAGGGCACTGTGGTCTTCGAGAATCTAACGGCAGCTTATCAGTAGGGCACCTCAGTCCGGCTTTTATATCAATGATTAATAATATATAGGAGTACTGATAGCAAACCTGTCCTCAAGAATCTGAACCTAAAAATCAGGTCAGGTGAAAAGATTGCCCTTTGCGGACCATCAGGAAGCGGTAAGAGCTCTCTGATCATGAGCCTCTTGCAGATGACGGAAATAAAAAGCGGTCATATATCCATCGACGGGCGGGACCTGGCATCAATACAGCCATCCGAAACCCGCTTGCGACTCAATGTCATCCCACAGGACCCTTACTTTGTACCTGGCGCAGTCCGACTTAGCCTAGACCCCCATGCAGTTACCTCCGATGAAGAGATCATCAGCGCAGTCAAGAAAGTGGGCCTATGGAAACAGATCCAAGCAAATGGCGGCCTAGACGGAGATCTCGACGCTTCTAAATGGTCCATGGGAGAAAGGCAATTGCTGGCATTGGCGAGAGCATTAGCCTCAAAAAGTCCCATATTGATCCTCGATGAAGCTACAAGCAAGTATGTTACCCCAGATGACCTAACTTAAAACGAGACTAATAGATGGTACTAGTGTCGACCGTGAAACAGAATCGATTATGCAAGAAGTGATAGAAACCGAATTCACCAATCAGACTGTTATAATGGTTATGCATCGACTTCACTATATCACACGGGTTGATCGAGTGGCTCTGATGAAGAATGGCGAGCTGGTTGAATGTGATAGTCCATCTGCATTACTTGCACGGGACTCGGAGTTTGCGGGTTTTTATGCTGCTTTTAATGGGTCGCACTGACCCAGGGTATTTAGTGACGCGGTAAATAGTGGCTTATGATTTTTTGGATACTGCTGTACAGCTTTAAATTACTACAGTACTCTAGTGGATACCCGGCACAACTGGGTACTTTACAGTTAAATTCGAAACAACGATTCTCCTCTCAACAGACACTTGTTTCTTGGCCTGTACCCGAGACTACGCTAGTACACGTTAGATCAACGGCATTAAAAACACCTGCTTAGCCGCATATTGTCTTTAAACGTGCTAGAATTCAACACTCAATGAGTCATTGTGAAATACTGTTAATTCCAGGCCAAACATATAAACAAAGTTGACAGGTGACAAGCTCGGCATTCTCCACCACATCGTGGATCTTTTTGTCATATTGTCGACCTTCGAGTTTCAGGGCATCCCTTGCGTCAATCCAGTTCAAAAAGTCAATTGCTAGTTAGTCGCTGCAGCACGCAGTTCTCGAAATTATACTCGTTCTATGATCCCAGGCCGACCAATGGTCTATGTAGAACTAGCGCGTACCGATCTCTTGGAATCGACGATATCTTTAATTGGTTGGGTACTATACAAGAGTTAACAACATTCAGAATTCATGTGCAAGGGCCAGCTAAGGTAGTGGTGGACCTTTGATCATTATTAACGATTGCATACTCCATTGAACCCTCGGTTTTTGTATCTTATCACTATTTAGTGGTGGAAAAGTACTTGATATTGGGGCTCAGTCTTAAACAATCTCGTGAATTGGATGCTTGTTAGCAGCATTCAGCTAGTAAAATCGTACATCTCAACGGATAGTAGACACAATTAGAAGCTAGAAGGAAACAAAACATCTTAGTGCCACTTGTAGGGTGTATAATATTCATTCCATTCAAAGTGACCAAAGAAGTCGAAAGAAGAGACGATGAGGAAAGCTCATTCGTTTAGATAGTATGATGACACACTGGTAAATATGCTCTTTCCTCGAGGTTAAGTCAAACAAGTGGTCCCTAGTCTGACTAAATAACATTAACGATTGACGATCTTCGTGGCTTAGGCCTTCCCAGATTGCAAAGGTGCTCTCATCTAAGAAGTTGAAAGATGTCCCTAGCAACTTGAAGATGCGATTGACCCAGTGTTGATGCTTTGAGTGCCAGCTGTCCATCGACCAGATTATAGTGGGTTCCCAAGGGAGCCAGCGTATGGCTCTGAGAGCCTGATGAATTTCCTGCGCCTTGATTCTCCCTCGTTCCCCGTTCACTGCATGAACACACCCTTGAGTATTAAAAGCAAGGTGGATAAGGAGGCGATCAACAACAACATCAACTGGCACTTCATCTAGGGTCGCATCCATCCCGGGGTTGGAAAGGGAGCTCGCGAAGTTGAGACAAAACAAAGGCGTATTCGCCAACATCGCTGAAACCATGGTAACTGGTGAAGATGTTGGAACCGTGTAATGTGGAAAGGGAAAGCATTCAGCGGGGCCTATGACTGAGGGCCGTACAATGAGGAGCTGATTATACCTTCCGCATTCCGAGAACATTGCCGTCAACAATCGCTCAGAAAGATGTTTCGCATATCCATAAGCCCATGGAAAATCATTGGATTCGTATTCGATGGTTGAGAATCTTGCCTGAGCCTCTTTGTACTCGACAGTCACTGTCCTTTCAGAGATTGACTGAAGGGGGTATATGCGCTCTTCAACTTTGACATCAGTTTCTGAAGAAAGTCCATGGAGATGAGAGTTTGCGTAAGCAGTAGATACATAAACAAATCTTTCCACGTGGTCGCATTGAAGGGCGAACTGCGCCAGTGCTTCGGATGGCTGGACAACATGTTTCAAGGTGCTTTTGAGATCATGGATGAGGTTGATGGAAGACGCTGCGTGTACAATAAAGTCCAACACAGAGCTCAAATTTTGAATTTCGTCGTCATGCAGACCAAAGTTGGGTCTAATGATATCACCGTCTAGAATGGTGGTCTTCTCAGGATCTAGCAGCCAATTCACAACGTCAGAGGGTAGTGATCGACTCCATTTTTCTTTCAGGCAGCTATGGCAGCGTTAGCCTGGTGACATTGGAAATGGCACAGAAATAGTATATACCTTTTTCCTCCCCGCGCAAGGAGGTAGATATGATTGCACTGTGCTTTTGATCTTAGCCGAAAAACCAGCGCGGTGCCCAAAAAACCAGAGCCCCCCGTAATAAATGCAGTCTTTCCATCAAAGAAGTCCCACATGACGCGCTGTTTTGCAGAATGGATAAACTACTCTGGACGTGTTTCTATAATTTCTTATTCAATTTCAAAAATCATTGGATCTTTATATACTACTCCATCTGGCCTCAATCAAGCTGCAACACGTCATAGGCCACGGAAACAAAACATTGCAGTAGCAATCTGCTGGTCAATAGTGAATATCCAGGGTATACTTTGAAACTGGTAGTCAGATATGAAATGTTACACTGTCGCCATGTTTTCGCCTTGACGGATTAATTATTGATGCTCCCTTGCATCGAACCGTATCACAGCAGCCAAAGGATGTTACCTGACGAGGCAATTTACTGCGTGTTTATCGTCTGTAGGCCCTGGCATGTGATGCATCGTGGCTACACTCCACGAGCAGACTGACAGCTCGCCTAGCACGGCAGATCCTTGGCTGAGCTGAATAAACCTTATTTTTTCTTGGCGCATTTGGTATCCAGAGATCGACTAATTGCTAGACCCAAATCGGAGGCTTTCTGGAGGCACGACATGTTTGGGACTAATTATGGACTGCGTATTAGTCCATGCTATGTACTATTGGAAATTCCATACGGGGAGATGATTGAACATTGGAAACACCGTTCATTGCTTTGTCCTTCTTGTCCACCAATTCCCGTCTTTGATCCTATTTTTTCGATTTTCAACATGTCGATATCAGCATTAGAAATGAATTCTTGCAGGATATCGTCCTCCCGGCCTGATGCTGAGATTCATTCGACTGACCTTTGAACTTCCCTTTTCGAAAGTCATGACGAAGATAGAGGATACCCCACCGATCGCGTTCTTATCAACAGGGTTGGTTCGGAACATAGTCTCACCTATGCAGAGACTCGGTGGTACTCCCTGAAATTCGCTCATCACCTTCAGCAAGATTGCGCTTGGAGAAGGGAGATACGCTGCTCGTCTTTTCCTCCGAAACTGTGTGGTATACAACTTTCGTGTGGGGCACCCTGGCAGCTGGAGGAGTTGTGAGCTCTGTGAATCCTGGATACAGCGTTGATGAGCTTATGACTCCTTTGAAAGCCGGAACTGCCATTGCAACACAGCGAGACCAGCTGCCGGTGACCCTGGAGGCAACAAAAAGAGTCGGAATCCTCGAGCTCTCGCGTTATAGTCTTCGAGGAACTTTTCGCGCAATTAGCCATGGGTTTAGAAAAGCCGCTCTAGGGATCATATAAGCCGCCAATACACAACCCAGCCAAAGACGTTGCCGTCATAGTCTAGTGTTCAGGGACTTCGGGCCTTCCGAAACCTGTGAAACTGTCACATCAGAAGATCGTCTCTAATCTGTGCCAGCTCACATCGTAAAGAGACGCAGGCATTGCGGCATATGGCGGACGGAAAGAAGTTGAGGATCGGGCCTTGGCAATCTTGCCCTTTTTACTAAATTTTGGTCAGTCAGACATCACTGCGCTGCAAGCTGTACTAATGTTAGAAAAAAGTCTGACCGTGGTTGTTCATCTAAACTTTTACCTAGGAATTCCAACCTTCATCCTCCCTCGTTTCCGTTTGGATCACTTCTGCGCTGCACTAGAGAGATACATCACCCATGCCGCAGTTGCTCCGCTAGTACTACAATCCCTGGTTTCAAACTCACACCTGGCCGCTGAATACATTCTCATTTCCCTCCAGCTGATGACCCCGGGTGCGGCCCCGCTCAGTCCAGATCTCGTTCACGCACTATACGAGAAGCTTAAGCTCCGAGTGGGGCAAGGGTATGGCCTCAGTGAATGTTAACCGGTCACCCATCTCCAAACATGGGAGGAGAGTCTTCTGTTCCTGGGCTCAGTTGGCCGCCTTATGCCGAATATGACGGCACGTTATGTCGCCGCCGAAGACCACGACCCGTCCAGCGCCTACAAGGAACTATGGGTCAAAGGTCCAAATGTGTTCTTGGAATACATGGGCGACGAAAAAGCAACATAGGAGCATTTTAAGGCAGATGGGTTCTACAAAACTGGTGATGTGGGGTTCGAAGACGAACATGGCAACCTCTTTATAACTGGGCGGCTGAAAGAGCAACAATAAATGGGTTTGCCTTGACTACAGGAACTCTATGAGCCTCTTTGGGAGAATTGTATCGACAATCTGCACAAGCCGGGTTTTGAATTCGCAGATTTTGGATCGCTGATGCGGCACAACAAGGCAAAAGTGGTGCCATCAACATGCGTTCCCTCAGGGATGATCGTTATTTTCCCTCCGCTAAGTCCGCTAAATCTCCATGGCTTTGGCGAGTAATCGCTCTTAGCACATTGATTTGATCATTCTTATGACCTAATCAACATCATCACAATTACCATGGTATAATCTCTAGCCCAGTCCGAGACTAGGGCCACTTTGGAGCATTTACTCTGCAACGAAACCTTGAGTCTCGTTGAATTATACGAACTAAAGCTTGACGATATCATGCACCAGCCAGTGGATTACGCAGTACTGGCAAAGAAGTGCCTGAGGATATTGCTTGATTCCACAGGTTCTGGTAGTGTGAACGACTTGATGAGCGTTTTAAGCACAGAACTAACAGACATTAAGACTACTCGGCGTCTTGAAAGAAACCTCACACGGGCAGAGATAAGTGAGTCCATTTGTTTGAGCTGCAAAGGATTTATTTGATAAAGTGAGCACGGCACACGACTACAGATTATTCATCTAAGTGCTAAGGATTTTTGGAAACCCAAGGAATCTCTTAAAAAGTCAATTGGTCTTCCATCAACAAATCTAAAAATTTTCCTGTGAAATAGATTTTAGACAAACTTTCAAACGTGAGCCATTAGACAATTGATAGTAATTGGCGTTGTATATTATTAGGGATAGATTGTAGCTTCGATGAGGATAAACTGAAGCACCCATGGTGAGCACGAAAGTTTAGTGATAATCGAGACAGTGGTGCAGGAGGAATTAAGAAGCTAAAGATCGGAAGATGACAGACCAGTGTGGAAGAGTATTGAGATCTCTTTAAATCTGTAACATCATACATGATGCAACCGTCCTAGAATTGAAAAAATGCTAGTCCAAAAAAGCGGTTATTTACGACTATTCCAGATATGACGTAGTTCGTACTCGGGAACGGTACAAGCTTCGGTTAGAGGAATTCGATGATATTCCTCCATACTACTCCTTCAGGTCATCATATCTCGCAACTCTCCATGCTGATCGGAGCGATTCCGTCTCATGCTCTAAATTATTATGTAGTGGGCGTAATTTTTCTCAGTCGCTCCAGCAAAACGATTTGCTGAGATTCGTGTATCATATTTTTCGCAATCAGAAGTAGACCTACCACCAGTACCGAGTCCCACTGCTCCGGCAAGTCATTACTAGCTGCGATACCACATAATGCTATCTTTCATACCAATTCAAGTCTTGAAATACTGCTACTGTGAGTTGAATGAGTATTATAATTTTTGAGACCGGATTCAAGAAAGACACCCAGTGTGTATTGTCAGTGGTGAAACTTATTTCGTTCTTCCCTGGCACTTTCAGTCTTCTCGGGAAGTGCGACATGATAGTGATCTAGTCTATACAGCGGTCGAGAAGTTGTCTCATGATCTTCTGCTGACAGGCCCCATCAATAGTAGATACCACTTTCTTGGTGATAATGATCTGGTCACCGCAGCGATCAAGAAGGAGTACCAGCACTGCTTCGCCACTCCCCCAGTTATCAGCCGCGCGGCCTTAACGACTTCCTCGGTGATAATGATCTGGTCTCCGCAGCGGTTAAGAAGGAGTGCCAGCACTGCTTCGCCACTCCACCAGTTTCTAGCCGCGGCCTTAACGACTTCCTCGGTGATAATGATCTGGTCTCCGCAGCAGTCAAGAAGGGGTACCAGCACTGCTTCGCCACTCCCCCAGTTATCAGCCGCGGCCTTAACGACTTCCTCGGTGATAATGATCTGGTCTCCGCAGCGGTCGAGAAGGAGTGCTAGCACTGCTTTTCCACTCCCCTGGTTTCCAGCTGCGACCTTGATTACATCTTCAGAGATAATGATCTGGTCTCCACAGCGGTCGAGAAGGAGTGCCAGCACTGCTTCGCCACTCTCCTGGTTTCCAGCTGCGACCTTGATTACATCTTCAGTGATAATGATCTGGTCTCCACAGCGGTCGAGAAGGAGTGCTAGCACTGCTTCGCCACTCCCCCAGTTACCAGCCGCGGCCATGACGACCTCCTCGGTGATGGTGATCTGGTCTGCGCAGCGGTCGAGAAGGAGTGCCAGCACTGCTTTTCCACTCTCCTGGTTTCTAGCTGCGACTTTAATAACATCTTCAGTGATAATGATCTTGTCGCCGTAGCGGTCAAGAAGGAGTGCTAGGACTGCTTCGCCACTCCACGTGTTTCCAGCCGCGGCCTTAAAGACTTCCTCAGTAATAATGATCTGGTACCCGCGGCGGTCGAGAAGAAGTGCCAGCACTGATTTTCCATTCTCCGGGTTTTTAGCCGCAGCGCTGACCACCTCTGTAGTAACCTTCCCTCCTCGGTTCAAGAGGGCAGCAGAAATATTCGGAAATCCTGACCTAGCAGCATGCTCCTGAGGCGTTTGACCGAAATCATCCGTACAATTCACATGATCAATATAGGTAGTCCTTTCCACGTCGGATTCTTGAAATTCTAACTCGGCGGCATGATTCACTAGAGCGCAAATACCCCACTTCGCAGCCACGTGAAATATGGAGAATCTTGTAGGCACCGTTGGAACACTCATGTCTGACCTTACACCTTCCAGCCACCATTCCCGACAACGAGAATCGATCTGGAAGAACTCCGCTTGTGAAGATTGTAACTCGGCCATACGCGCATGATGAGCCCATTGTTGAGTTGCATAATACCAGAAGCCGGACTGTGGTTGATTTGTGTCGCGGAATTGCGCAATGATGCGATCCACACAGCGATAGGCAAGTTGGGCATGAGCCTTGAGCTCCTGGATAAAATTACTCGAGCTCGCCCCAACTAGGTAGTCCCTTATCGATTTATGCAATAAATGTGCCTTTTAGTTCTGAATGATGATCATTAAGCGGCAAGACTCGAGATATTCTTGAGTGAACTGGAGCGTTGTCTCAACGTCTTCTTCCTCCTGGTGCAGCTGGCATGCTTCGGAGAGCTCCGACACAGTCAGTGGCCGCGAACTAATAGCTACGCAGCTTAGAAGGTGTCTGATATCATCACCACTGACCTCACTCTGCTTTAATGCCGTTACAAGAAGTTGCTGGAAGAGTGCATTAAGTCCCTTTGGTATATTCTGCAAAGTGCGGACGACGCTGTTTGACGGAATATCTTTAAGCTCGCCACAGGCCAAGCCAATCCAGAGGAAAGTACCCTCAGCTTTGTCATGTAGAATTCTGCGGACCTCTGCTTTGACCTTGTGTGTGTATTTCTTTCTTTGGGCCAAAAGATTGACTTTTTCTTCGACAAAAATATTCATGTCCTACTTTCTCTGAGGGAAAGAAACCAAATCTTTATGCGTGAAAATTTGCAAGCTTTCGCGTATCTCGGGGTATGGCCTACTAGTGACTAATATTCGGGCATTTGGTGACACGTTTGGGCACTTGAAGGTTTCTTCCAGCTGTTGTAGTAGAGTGTCTTGCGATTCTCTATCACATTCGTCCAGTGCGTCAATGATGCAGTATTTCCGACCCGTGTTCTCATCTGCCACCATGGTCATGAATATATCCCAAAGGTCGTCGAAAGATGTGAATAGTTCTTCTCCGCGCGTATGGTACTTCGATAATAGGTGATTACGAAGCTCTTCGTTTTGCTGAACGAGCTGGTAAAGAAGCCCTTTGACAACTGAAGTCGCGGTCTTCCGTGTATCGAAAGCGGAGTCACAGAAAAAGTAAGCTAGCATTTTCCCGTCCGTATTAGAGAAAGTTGCCGACAACTGCTCCGTAAGGTATAGGGCTATGGTAGATTTCCCTGTTCCTGGGTTACCATAGAGCCATAGGACCTGGGTCGGCTGGCTCTCGGGACCCACCGTCGGGCCAGATCCAAGCCAGGCAGTGAGCTCTTCCGTACGAAGTACCCACTCGCAGGTTCCCGGAGTGGGGCCTCCTTTCTTGCGTTTCAATGTTCTCATATCTTGGAGCGGATTTATCCCGCGGAAGTAATCTTGCCACCTATTTCCTGGCAGTCTGTCAGTCGGGACCCCAAGGCGATGCTTAGGTAGTAGGCTAAGATCTTGTGCGGTTCCTGACCTACCCGAAGAGATATAACTAGACCTCGCCATATTGCTTTTTTGGGTACCCGAAGGAATACCCGCGAACCCGCCAAGAACCCATTTACCTGTATATTACAGTATTACTGTTGAAATACAACCAATACCAGATATAGAGTGATGTAATCAGGTATATGTTACGTGTATTTTAATCTCTTGGCGGGTTTTGGGTCAAGGGTCGAAACCCAACCCGCCCATTTGGCGAGGTCTAGATATAACTAATTATCGAACCTTCATTGACCCCAAATTGTATTCTATCATTGTGCCCTTGAAATGGAAATCGATGTCATGATGAAGTAGAGCGCATAGTGTGTGGTTCATGACGGAAGTCCTTGTTGGGCCTCCACGAGCTGGATGAGGGGTACGTTCTCAGCCTCATAATCATGTGACTTTCCTGCGCTCAGTCAGAAAGTTCGCGGCAGCTTGCCCAATATATTTCCGCGAGGGTAAGCTGGGGCTAGCACAAGCCCTAGGAACGGATTGGCCCAACCCGACCCCCGAGAAGTTGAGGCACCCGGTGACCAGCGAAAAGTTTCCAGGTTAATTGCTCTAATCTCACCGACCGGGAGTTAAATCCCTATTGTATGAAACAACTAAATTTGGAATGATATGATCGAGAACCTAGTGTGTTCTTTTTTTCCAATTGCCCTGTTCTGAGGGCTGCAGATTGAGAAGAGCCACAATATGTAAGAATTTTTATTAAGGACTCGGATGTGTTTAATACGAGGATCATTGCAGTACGTATGATACTGTATGTAATACAAGCCTCATACACCCCTTAATGGCCCTCCATACTCTGGAATCCATCCTTCTCCACCCCTTCACGCAATTGCTACAGTTTCAAGCCCAAGATGACACCCAGTCTGATTCCATAAATGCTTCTTCTTGTATGGTATGATACAAAATCAATCACTAAACAAGTCCTAATTAGCTCACCCGGCTGAATACAGCTAACGAACGTCTGCTTTACTGAACTTCATCGAATCAGTCTCCAAAGATGACTCGTACTAAAAGCCGACTCTTCTTCAAAAACGCTCTTTTGATCTCTGTTCATTCCAACAAAGAACCCTTTATTTCAGATGTGCTGGTATCACAAGAAGGATTGATATCCTATGTCGGACGCGAAATAACTGAAGACGCCGAAGACGCCGACAGGGTTATTGATGCGACTGGGAAGTGGCTGTTACCAGGATTTGTTTCAGCACATAGCCATTTTTGGCAAAGTGGCTTCCCTGGCCAAGCGTCGGATAAATCTGTGAATGAGTGGTCGGAGGCTATTTACCAGCCAGCCAGGAACTTAACCCCTCAAGACATCTACACTCTTACGAGTCAAGGCGCGGCCTCTCATATACGGAAAGGGATCACAACTGCGTTTAATTTTACATATTCGCCAAATTTCCGAGATGGCCTTGCAGATCGTGCTCAATTCATTGCGGCTCTCGATTCTGGGATTCGCTTCGTCCACGGGTTCAACGTGGGTGCTGTGACTCCAAGATGGTCTAACGAGCAAGCTCTAGCTCGGACTAAGAAGTTTCTCGAGTGGGCTTCTACCGTTGATACTTCTGGGAAATATCTTGGAACCATGATTGCGAATCACGGAATTATATACCGAACGGATTCCAGTATTCATATGGAAGCCGAAGTTATGCAAAAGCTCAATTTACATGGCCATCTCCATTACCTTGAAAGTCCTAGATCTCAGGACATAGAGACAGAGCAGTCTCGGTGGACATGGCTTAGAGATGCTGGTCTCATTGACCAGAGGCTTATAGTTGGACATTTTCTGCATCCTACACCATCCATGTTGAGGGAAGCTGCTCATGCTGGTGTGCGTATGAGCTGGAATCCAATGTCCAATGGCCGTCTTGGATCAGGCATTGCAGATATTCCTGAGTATCTCAAAAAAGGTCTTTGCATTGGCCTAGGTGTTGATGGCGAAGCAAGCAGCGATCGTTGCGATCCGTTTGAGAATATGCGAATGGGCCTTTATTCTACCCGAGGAAAGTATCAGGACCCTTCTGTCTTGACTACACGAGAAGTACTATATATGCACACTCTAGGCGCAGCCAAAGTACTAGGGATTGACGAGAAAGTCGGCAGTTTGGAGATAGGGAAGCAAGCAGACATGGTCCTTCTTGACCCACCATCTTCCTGGAAGCTCGATGATCCTGTATCTACATTGGTACTTTCAGCTGGTGTTGAAGATATCAGAGCGGTTTTCGTTGGAGGGGTTGAGCAATGGCCACATATGTCTACGGTTCATAAAGACCCTACCCGATTACCAGAGCTAGCTTGGACATTTTCTTCGAAATAAAGTGTTCTTTGAGGACCGCAGAAGTATCTCAGGGGTTGGCAAGAGAGTAAGCCAGATCGCCAGATCACCAGAATTCCCTTCGAGACCAGAATATTCTATAGAAGTTTACAGTATTTTACAGTGACTCATTGAGCATCGAAACCCAATACGTTGAGATAAAAATACCGCTAAGCAGTACTATTTACAATTCAACCTCATTAAGACTAGCTTCGTCTCGTGTTCGTATTCAGGTACGGTACAGGCTTCGGTTAAAGAGGAATTCGAAGAGAATCCTTCATACTACTCCTCCAGGTCATCATATCTTGCAACTCTCCATGCTGATTGAAGCAATTCCGTCTCATGCTCCAGATTAATTCCTGTAGTGGCCGTAATTTTTTTCAGTCGCTCCAGCAAAACGGTTTGCTGGGATTCGTGTGTCATATCTTTTGCAATCAGAAGTAGACCCGCCACCAGTACCGGGTCCCACTGCTCCGGCGAGTCATTACTAGCTGCGATACCAGCAATTGCCTGAGCATGCCAGATATGAGAAGTATAGCACCGTGGACCCGGAAGCGACTTGAGGAGTCGTGGTTTATGCGTGAGGAGTAGAAGGGACGTGATATGATAAACGACATTGGCGACCAGCGCGACTGGTGTCGTCAATATCAAAATGGGGAATGATGAGTCGTGAGCGGGGTCGATCTGGTCTGCTTCGCCTCCACGGATATCCAATATTTGTTGTGTATCGACCGAGCGCTCGTTGTACCATTTTTGACAATCTGTCCAGAGAAAGGTCCACTGTGAGAGGAAGTGGGATTGTCGTAAAGATGGGAAGCCTGCTAGTGAAGAGCTCGCTTGTGGGGAAGAAAGATTCGGGTCTCCGTAAATAAGGGCAAGGCAGTGCCCCAGCAGACACAAAGCATGTTGATGGAATCTGGCCGTATTTGATTGAAGAGGCTTTGATGTATGTATTGGAGATCCGTCTCGCTGTAGGAAAGACGGGAATGATATAATGGGTGCTTTGCGTGTACACAACGAAGCTGCAAGGTCTAAGAACGGTCAGAAACTTTCTTTCATTGTTGGGGCTGACATACCGAGTCGGAAATAGAACCAAAAGAGGGATTCACCCAGCTCTTCGGCTAGATCAAGTGGAGAGATGAACCCACGAGGATGCTCAAATTGGGGTAAAATTAGATTTCTCCATTGGTGCAGTCCAGATGGCAACAGTTCCTGGACAAGTAGCAAGACATTACCAACGTGTCTTTCCAGTTCAGGCCGAAGTGCCAGGCTTTCTTCTGCTTCCTTGCGAAACCGCAGCATATTCATAACATCTTCGGTATGGGTCAGTGAAAGAAGAGATCTCTGGCCTGCCGATAGTGCGAGAATGGCAGACTGGAGGGGTCTATTTGATCTGGACAGAAGGAGTACTTGGACACCGAGAGCACAATTCGAATCTCCTGTATCCATCCACGGGCCAACGTGATAACGAAAATGACGTAGCAAGTCGGTCTCATAGCTGGTGTTTTCTGGGGGCGTGCGCACTAGCCGTCGATAGCTTCCCGCAAAGCCAAGATGCCCGTGATAGGAAACAGAAGTCCTCCCTCCAGCGAATTCAATGTCCCCCAGACCCGGCGGATAATGAATTGGCACATCGGGAGCGAGAATGCTATTCAGCCCAACCGGGTCAATGTCTTCATTTTGAAATGGGATATCATGATCCAGATTATCTTGCAAATCACTCCGACTGGGCGCAGATTGTTGTCTTGATTTGCTTTCCTTGACTGAAGCAGGCGAGTCATCCACAAACTACTGTTGTCAGCGTGCATCTCACCTTCTCGCAAGACACTAACCGTAATTTTTTTGTAACCCTCCCTTGCCCCAGATATTTGCCCAGATCGCGTCACAAAAGCCAAGTCCGATCCATATTTGCAAGTGAATCCTTTGACTTCACAGTTGGCGCATCGCGGCTTCTGCTCGTCGCCTGCGAGTATCAGCAAGAGTCCGCAGGGATTTCGGATCTCCCTTACATTTTCGTCGCCTTTTCCGACACGTCAGACAGCCCGTCCTTACTCTCTGCTTGTCTGCAGGTGTAGGCTTGCGAGGCATTATTGATGTATGGGCATGCCGAATGTGTCCAAAAGGAGATTCAGCGGAGCCTCTGCGGACTGAAATTAGCGGAGGTCGCCGAGAATGTGGGGAAGCGGGTTGAACCGCGTCGACATCATTATGTGCCCGGACGCCACCCGATGATTGAACTGACTGAAAACATCGACCAATCAGTTAAATTAAAGGAATTTGCGCCTTTACTGTAGCTTATAGGTGCGCGACTTAAGAGTAGCTTTAACTGACCTGACATACCTTCCAAGGTTCGGAGACTCTGGCGTGGCATTCGTCACCTGTTTGGTTTTCGTTACCCCTCTACATATGAGGATTGTCTCGTAGCACAATTCAGACCCTGAGCTGGCATCCAGATGGGGTTTACAAGCAATGACGGGCGCACTCCGCGAAGGAAAGAGTGCCGCAAGGACTTGTTGCCCACATTTGTAGTAGATAACCTCCTGACGTAGACTCTACAATGCCGCTGATTACATGGATTACTTCCACCCGATTGCCTTCGTTATCAGGCGACCGACTGGGCCTTGTGGTTCCCCTTGCAGGATGCGTCGGTAGCCTTCTGTACAAGACGGCTATGCATGGTCTGACTCAGCCATGATTGTTGCGTGAGGGTGTACGAGGCGGAGCATTTCAAGCTGCTCAAGGAGGTAATTATAGGATTAAATTTGGTTTATTTGTTCAATGATGGAGCTGATTATTTCAAGTGGTCGCTTTTTTGCCCTCGCGGATTGAGAGCAATAAAAACAACGAGTGAGTTGCGTCTGTCAAGAACCATATGTCATCACTGATTATACGTTACTTTCACCAAAGTCTCTTCTAGGTGGAGTCCCAATTATTGGTCCATGATCGCCCCCCCCTCCCCTTCCTCAAGGGCTGATAAATAGACGGATACATTGCCTTCTTCCCGAGGGAATGCACAGGGAACTGTTCGGCCAACTTTGCTATGTGACGAGGGGCAAAAGATTTTGCGCCTCGTAAAGTTTCAGGGTAAATGTGAGCCCCATGGCGCAATAGTAATCTTATGATGCCGACATTTCGATAGAAGATTGCTTTGCCGACTGCGCACTCGCGGATGGTTGGCAAATCAGGATCTACCCCTCGTGACAACAAAAGGGCGACAATTTCCTCTTCGCCGTATTCGATTGCTGTTAGGAATGACTTTTCTTGGTCTTCGAAGCCTTTATCGAGTAAGAATTGGAATGTTTCCGTCTCGCCAGCTTCTGCTGCGAGCTCTAGCAAATCAGTTGGGCAGTTTTCTGTTCCGTGCTTGGAAACGAGCATCTCAACTGATTCCTTGTTGCAATTCGTAATAGCAGCACTAATATGTCCACCTTCGACATCGGCACCGTGAGCCAAAAGCACTTTGACAACCTTATTGTGGCCGCCCCAAATTGCCAGGTACAAGTCAGTCTCCTCGACACTAGATGCACTCGTTGTGATTTTGACGGCAGATTCATTAGCAAGCAAAAAGGTCACCAGATCTAGATGCCCGTATCTGGCTGCTACTGATAAAGCAGTCGATACATACCCTCTTGCGTCGTGTGGGTATAGGGATATCCTAGGAGCATGGTGATCAATATACTTGTAGTTGATATCTGCCCCATGACCAAGGAGCATAGATACTAAGGCTATGTCACCGGAGACAGCGGCAAATGGAAGGGTCGAAGAAGCATGTTCACGGGGAGTTGGAGCATAGGACAATAAATATTCGACCACGAGTATATGTCCTTTCAGTGCAGCCTCTTTGATAGGAGCCAACGTGAATTCGGTATCTTTATCCATGAGGAATGGTATGGAGCATCCTTCTTCGAGCAGGACCTTGATAACCGAGAGAAATCCGTTTCTCGCTGCTAGATGCACAGGCGTTTCGCCTAGGTTGTTCTCAAAGTCTGGTCCGGCGCCTGCGCGTAGAAGATATTTCACAAGCTCCGAATGTCCATACTCTGCAGCACAAAGGATAGGGTGCTCTAATCGACATGAGCACGGGCCCGGTCGTGGAAATACAGGCCGTGGTCGATGTTTCTTGGTATGGATTGGTCGATCTTTCACAGGGTATCCCTCCCTGATAAATTGGACTACTGCAGGGGTTGATCCCAGCCTGGCTGCCTGGAGAATTCCATCCCCGTTCCGTTGCTTCAGGTTGTATCGATACAAGATGTGCTTTATGAGGTGATTGAGGCGGCGGTTAACCTGCACCAGCGCAGCGAGATCTGCTTGCGATTGTAATTGCTGCGCAATCAGGATAATGATTTCATTCGACGCGTCTGACAAGGACATTTTGAGTTCATGTCAGACGCGGTTTCCAGGACGTGAGCATCGACGAAAATACGGATAAGGCGGCAACTTTATTTGTGGGCTTTGATTAGTTCGTGAATTCTGCCCATTTCGGGGGATTTCTAAGCCCGAATGGCGGTCAAACTTTAAACGGGGAAGGAGATGGAGAATGGGAGGAATTCTATAAAATGATAATGTCTTCCTTTGGCAGATAAAAATCTATGATACATGATCCCATCACTCACATCATAGGCAAAGGGAATACTCGAATGCATCAGGCGACGAGTCGATGCACTCCAGTAATTTGGTAAACCGAATCTGAACACAAAAAGAATATTGATGTACATGATTTCCTCGACAGATTTATCGACGTAAACGTGAATTCGGCCCATCCTGGATCAAGCTCGCTAAATAAAATCAGCCTGATGATGATGCAAGGCGGTCCATGGCTTTGCTCGAGCTCTCACATGGAGATATGTGGACAACGAATGATCTGCAACATTCCAACTACCTCCGTTATGGCTTATTACTCAAAACCTTTAGCTGGGGTACTCAGACTTCACATCTTGTGATGGCAACTTATATCAAGTAATTTGAGCTTCCTACCTCTACTATCGCACAGAGTATAGGTACGTTGGCTTGAGAAAATATTGATTCCGAATTTATCACGTTCGCAAGGTTGATATCGACTTTTGTAGTTGACGGACATGATAGCCATTTAAAACCCCGATTCGATGAAACTTGCGGTGTAATTAATATCATACAGTGCTTTTGAAAATCGGTGTCACTACTGTTCTGGTAAGGGAGGTTACGGAGATGCTCACTTACCACTTGGATGGGCACTGGGTACCTTTAAGCGTATATAATAGTTTAGTGAAAAAATACTTGTCATACATTAATACTTGTTGCTGCTTTTGAGTGTATTATTGTCATGGTTGCCTAACTTTGCCTTTACTATGCCTCCACAGAAAGCTGATGGAACTGTAAAAGTGCTTCAATTCGAAATCCAAGTCGTTGCACAATTTGTAGTGTTGACCAAAGAGCAGACCCACCACCAAGTTAACACAAATTCAAACAAGAGTCAAATTTTGAAGTATTGATTTATGATATATTAGTCCCTAGATTCGGTCATAGTGAAAGAAATTGAAAGCAATTGGTGATGGGTCACCTCATACCCGACATGGACCATGATCTCAGCCCACTTCACATCCAGATCGATAACGGCAGCTCACCAGACTGGAGATAGTAGCTTTGACTGTAGACCTCAGGTTTAGTCCGATGGCTGTGATCCAGGACTGCTGAAGAATCCACATGATACCAGGTGGAGATCGCGGTGTGGCCGAGGTGGAGGTGTGACTAGTGCGCCACGAGGCCGATAATCCTCGAAGACAAATTTTATTTTGATCGTTCCTGTAAACAGCCAAGCTAAGCGCTTGTCTCATCGCCAGGTGAGGTGCATCTGCGACAGTTGGACTGGGCGAAGTTACCCGAGTATTTCTTAGCTCGAAAGATCAAGTAAAAATGGAAAGGCGAGCGATAGGCGAACATTCGCCCAAGTGAAATGTCGAGGCAAATCAAACGAAGTGAACTTAGCAGACACTGACGCCTGATGGGGCACTTTCCAAATAGCGAAGTCTGTTTCTGAATAAATCTAAGCACTTGCCATAACTATCTACCGTTCTTAGACCCTTGCGCACCCTTTGAATTGCTCTGCTTCCAAGGTAAAGATTTCAACTCTGACCTAATATCCGATTTTTTCTTTCTTTAAGTCTCAAAAATGGGATTCGAAAACGAACAAGACTATTTCGCACCGGACGAATTTCATGGGCGCACCGTGATTTTCACCTGTGTCAATGGTGGGTCAGCCATCAATATTTTTGCTGGTAGATCAGGCCCCTCTCAATAATCAACTCAAATCTACATTTGTAGCTAACTAGTATAATCAGATGGCGGCAATGGTGGCACTTGCATCAGCGGCTATAGCTTGAATAACGCCACTTCGCAGCAGTGGAAACTCCACAAAGTAACACCAGGTGTACCTTGGTCTGCATGGACGTTGCAAAATATTGCCGATTGCAGTAGGTCTCTCTCAATCACTCCAGATTCTTGATTCTTATTTTTATGTCGTGGAGGCGTTGGAAAATTCGATTGTAAATGACGATTTCTCCGTAGGCTATTTGGATCTCCCGGATGGTAACCCTGACAATTGTACCCCAGTGCAAGCGTGAAATACAGGGGGTCTGGCTAAGAGCTCTCAATGGTATCTGACTGGCTAAAACATTGAGGTACTGAGCGGCATTATCTCCAAGCCGCATACACCGCTCACACTCGAGCGATATATTAGTCGTGGCGTTCTGCGAGGTAGTGCAGACTTCTTGGAAATAGTCCACTGTTGCGTGCAGCGCGTTGAGTATGGAGGCGTCCTCACGCGACAGACGGGTGTTTCCATGCTCCAGACGCATTAAAGTGTTTACAGATTGCTCCAACTTTGCATAGCCCTGACGAGCTGCTTCTGATACCAGCTTTTCTAACGCGTCGGTAACAATCGCAAGGCTCTCGTAGCTTGCATCATGTTGGTCAATGAGATCTTTGGTGCGCGCTTTAAGAACGGAGAACAGTCATTGATATTGACCCATATAACACTTAGAGTCTTCGAGGTACCACCACAGTTTGGGGGCTTAGGGGCGAATATAAAGGCAGTTTACCTACTCGCCCGAATGGGTCATTGCTCCACTTGATTGTCCGCTCGGAAAGTACCTCCTCCACAGCCTTCACGGCTGTTTGGAACTGATCTTCGTTGAATGCCATGAATAGACTTATTGGAATTGAGTTTCACTTGATAGTCAACTGAACATCCAGAAAAACCTTGCGATGAAAATTGGCATGAATTGCCTTTCTTCCGGCTTACTTATCAATTTGAAGAACATTTCCATGTTCCGAGAAATAGGATATACTGTTCATAGCGCGGATTGAATTGTCTCATACCGCTTTCATCCATAAAGGAGACGGCAATTCGTCGCGAGGCTATTCTTTCCTTCGGCACCACCGGACTCAGAGCCATACCCCGCAGTGGAACCCACTCGTCACCGGTGGAGCTTGTCACGCAGCTGAACCACGAACTTTGTCACAGGCCACTGGTTTCCAGCTGTCTACTCGCAAGCAGGTCCTGCAGATCCACAATTGGGTTGACATCCAAGACAGACTCTGAAGAATTTCGAAGCTCGGCACGAAATGCTAAAATGTGTAGACGAACTAGAACCAACACTCAGACCTCAGTAGTGGGCGCAGGCTCCAGCCTTCGACTGGACCTGCGGACGAATATCCTCAATAGTCCAAGTGGCCAGTCGAGCCGATCCAGCTGAGACTATGGACGTTGTGTTCCAATACACCATCATCATTAGAAGGAGCCGGTTTGTCTACATAAAGTCCGCTTGTGACGGACTAAAACTCGCATTATCCATCAGTCCATCCATCTCCGCCTTGACTACAGTCGCTGATCTGGGGATCTCCATCATTGACGTTTCTTTCCACTTGCTTTCCCATCCTCCCTCATCTTTGAAAAGTTTCGCAATGGCTTCCGACGCTCTCACGGATCTGGAGCGTGCGCGTAAAGAAATGCAAAAAATTTACTTTGGAGGCAAAGCATCCAATCAATTCGTCGACGAGATCAAGAATGCGGCTCTCTTCCAGTTTTCCTGGGGTGAGCTGTTGAGCGCAGCACCCACTGCCTTGAGTCTCATGGGATCTCTTTGGATTGCAGCATCGAGCGAAACCGCAGGTAAAATCATGTTGGACTCACAGCCTACTGGTGGATTTAAATATCTGGTCAACAGAAAAGACATGTCATTGAGAAGTTGTCTTGTTGAGGGTACGTGAGCCCAGTATACAATATAAAATCTAATGCAAGACTTATCTAACAAAATCACGTTCAGTCTGTGACAGTGGCGGTCGCGAGGCTTTCACAATCGCTGGCGGGCACATGGACGCACTGCAAAACCGCAGTCGTCGAATCACGACAGAGAAGGCAAGTCATTTACCATGATGACAAAGATATCTAGCGCAACATGCTGACAGCGCACCTTATATAGATTAACATTGTTTTTGCGCGGCTTGTTCCTTGTACCCGGGGCAAATATGAACTCGAAGACTTCATGGATGCTCTTCAAGACTTCTCGGAGGAAGCGAAGCAGTGTGCTACTCTCGCTACCGAGATTCGGATGGCTTTCAATAAATGGGGAAAGATGGTCGGTGAACTCCACGCCTGTCTAGAGCAGGAGAGTACCAACACGAGCCTCAAACAAGACATCGTCAAGGTAGACGCGCTTGTGGCCATAATCGACAAGAAATTCGCGACAGCGGCCGTGGAAGACTCTAAGTTACAGGCCGAAGCGATGCAGAAGCAGGTCCAGCGTGCTGAAAAGCGACTGGACAATGCGCTGGATAACTTACCAGGACCGTGGGCGCAGGTTGCTCAGGCTGCAGTCTCGGGCTTTGCTCAAGCACTTCCCTATGTCATGGGGGGAATCCTTCCTGCCGTGCTCGCTGCTGCCAACCCAGCTAAACCTAACAATAATAACGCTCAGACCACTGATTCGGCTGCAAGTTCGCCAGCAATTACCGCGGCGGATCCAGCTTATGCTGCCGCTCTAGAAATGAAGGATTTCACGGCCCACTTCTATGAGAACCTAGGGGGTGAGAAGGGAGAGATAAACCTTGAAAAATTCAGAGGCTCGGACAAGCCCACTGACGATGCAGATGGCGCCCAAAGTGACAACAGTTCCATCGGGTACCTTATTGGAACTCTCACCAACCAGCAGAATTCCATTGAAAAGACAAATACCGAACCCAACAAGAAGCTGCACGCCTCTTTAAATAGGTTGATCAAGGTGAGTTGAGATACTCTCCTTTTGTCATCTCATTTGGATTGTATCGCTGACTCATGCAGGTCGCCAATGATATTCGCACTTTGTTGGGCAAAGGGAGCAGCATTAATTCCGAAAAGCTCGATCCCAAAACTGTGAATGAATGGAAGAGCGAGGTCAAGACTGCAATGAACGATCTTCTAGCCCTCTCCTCCTCTGCCGTAACCATGTCCTCAATCAACTCGCCTGAGCTGATCAAGATCGACATTTCGAAGCCCGATCATAGTGCGCAGGTGGCACAGGTGAACAGTGCCATGCAAGCAGTACAGATGACTCAAAGTGCTGTAGAAGCAGCGCAGAAAAACTATGATGCTGCTCTGGCTCGCCAGGCCAATACTGCGGCTGCCATGGCTGAGGTGGAAAAGCGCTTGGAGCGACTAAAGGAGAGCGCGATCACCTTGGAAGAGATCAAAGCCGTCTTGCGTGACTGCATCAACGTCTTAGTTGATCTGTCTGTGCAATTTGGTAAGCTAGAGCGCTTCTTCACCATGCTGACAACGGTTATCGACCACGTCATGTTGCCACGGGCGCAGAGCTTCGTCAAGGGAATGAGCAAGGCCGGCGAACGCGCCAACGAGCGTGGATTGGTCAATGTGGACGATATTTCAAAGCAGATTATCTACACCTCCACTTTGCAAGTCAAGGCCTACTTCTCTCTTTTGGAGGACATCTCCGGAATGTATAGCCAGGTGGATCGCCACTACATTGCCGACGGTGTTAATCTCTGCTACAAGCTCTCAGAGAGTGCTGCCAGCAACGAGCCTATGGAGGAGTTCCAAGCTGAACTCAAGAAGTACAGCGAAGATAGTTCTAAAAAGGTCGCGCAGATAGTCGATGAGAAACAAAAAGAGATTCTCAATGGGCTTCGTGCCCGTGCCGAGAAGGCCTTGCAATCCACCCTAATCCTGGAGGATACAATTAAGCAAAGAGGAATCATCATTAGCGACGAATCCAAGAGCGCAATTCGGGCAGGAGCTGAAGCAGCCAAAGCGAAAGCGAAGGAACTGCTTAATCAGGAGCAATGTGCCACTGGCGGAACCGAGGATATGGCGCTAGATGAACTTTGAGACTAATAAGTATGATAATCGCCATTAGCCAGGAGGAATGATCGTGATGTGTTAAGAACAATGAGATTCCCTGATTGTGTTTCCCAAATGTTACCACATCTTAATGGATCTGGAAATCTGAAGCTCACTGAGCTTGAAAAAAAAAAAAATGAAAAAAAGAATTACTGGATAGACCATCATGAGTTATCAATCCATTCTACTTCAATAGCCGAATGGCTCTCTAAAATAAACATGAAATGGGATTCTTCATAAGAAAAAGATGTGGAAGGAGAGTGGGAGAGGAATTCTGTACGAAATGATAACGTCTTTCTTTTGCACATAAAAGTCCATCCCATCACTCCAAATCATAAGCAAAGGGAATACTCTGCATCGCACCACTCCGCTGAACACACATAGCAGCAGCCGCATTTGCCTTCCCAACAACCTGTTCAATCTCGTCATCGAAAGCTTCCAACGCAGCTCCACTAGCAAGGAATCGCGCCAAATTCGCCGAAAAATATCCAACGAACGTATCCCCCGCAGCAGTAGTATCAACAACCTTAGGAACCTTGACCCCCGGCACGGCACCACACCGACCACTCCTCGTCGAGAAATAAACCCCCTTTGCCCCAAGTGTAATAATCACAATCTGAACTCTCGCCAACTCATGGAATCTCGGAGCCAGCTCCTCAGGCTGCAAAGCATCCAGTTCACTCTCACCAAAAACAGGTAGCCCGGCGATACACCTGGACATCTGAACAGCCTCGGTCTCATTCAGGATTAAAACCGAAGTCCCCATAACAGCCTCCAGCGAAATTCCTTCCGAAAAAACAGGCGCGGGATTAAACACCACATGAGCATAACTCCCGTTATAATGCTTCAAAAGTTCTAATGTAGTCGACCGCGGAATTTCTCCCTGCATCACAATGACCGAAGGCATAGTCTTCGCAACAGTCGCAACTATCCGCGAGGAATCCATCATACCAACATGATTCGCACCAGGCACCACAAGAATGCGATTTTCTCCACATTCCTCAACGATGATACTCGCCGAGCCGGTTTGCGCATCGGATAATTGCTGGATATGCTCTGTGTTCACGCCGGATTTCTGAAATGCGGGTTGAAGAAGCGTAGTGTAGTGCGGGTCATTGGCACCGACGGCACCGATCATACTGACTTGTACATCTTGTTTGCTCTCTGTGATGAAGGAAGCGCGTCCAGCTGCAACCGCTTGGTTTCCGCCTTTTCCGCCGGCTGTTATGGTGAGGGAGGTTGCTGTTAGGGTTTCACCGGCGGTTGGGCAGCGCGGTGTTGTTGTTACGAAGTCGATGTTTAGGGAGCCAATTATGGCGACGCAGAGGGGGGTAGGTTTGGTGCTCATTATTGTGTTTTTTTGTGGTGGTGGTGGAAAAAGAGCTGGTGTATGGGTGGTTTGGGGAGGGATGAAGCTTGAAAAGATGTAGGTTGTAAGTTGTTCATATATTCCTTATCGGTGGTGTTATTCTAGATTAGGTTGGCGTAGCCTACATATGGCCTATTACAGTTAGACTGGTAAGATGCTCGCCAAATGTGGATACTGCATGCGTCGCGCTAGCCTAAAATGGAACACCAAAGTGATCCCACTCTTTGATGTTGGCGAGTCATTGGATCCGCATTAAAATGCATTAGAGTCTGATTCTACTTGCCGAATGACTATGCCTATTAGCCAGTAGCTACCACGGTGGAAATATAAAGTAAGTTAATCGATTTTCATGTCGTTAAAATAGTTGGGTGTAGCTTTGAAGATGGGAACACCCCTAGATGATGCAGATGATGATTGATGATCCTGATAAACTCCCCGCCATGCGAACCCAAATAACACTGAGCGATGCGTAGTCATCAGCTTCAACTCATGCGAACGTAAAAGAGATAACGCTGCCTGATCTGAGCTACATCGTAGACGATGTACTCGTTGTACATCAGATACTTGCCGGGCACATTCCGATGCTGATCGACCGCCACATCAGGCATCTTGACACTCTTCAGATTGGATGTCAGACAGCCAGCATCCTTCCATCCTCCAGGGATGCATCGGCCCTGGCCAAGGGTGGCGATCTTCCCTTGGCTCTTCGCGTTTTCCCCAGCCGAGTAGTCACTGCTGACAAGTTCCAGCATAGGGTCACCTAGCTCGGCATCACACAGCAGTAACAGACCAGTGTTACCACTGTTACGTGGACAGCAGTAGTTAGCAGACTTGGTGGACGTGTCAGCGAGGTAGACACCCTTCCCAAACATGTATCCGTTCACTGGTGCCTCTGGTGGGGCGATGCGCAGACCCTGGCTCAGAATGCCACCGAAATTTGTGCTTCGAGACCCGTGCCAGAGAAGGCGGCGGTCACTGTTCTTGAGCTTTGCAAAGGGAGAGGAAGTAAAGCGGTCGTGTTCGCCTTGGCGTTCAATGCGAAATATGTCGATAACCTGGATTAATTAGCCTGGGACAAAACGCTGATCTGGGATAGACTCACATTGTAATTGAGGTTGTGAGTTGCGCCACGGGAATTGTTGAGGTAAGCGACAAGCTCATGGTATTCGGTTCCGTTGTGATCAACTATTTCATGTTAGTATCTCCTCGAGCGAAAAATCAAATTAACTTACGTTGAGTCATCTCCTTCATACCAAGGCCCTGGAACTGCCGGTCCAGCTCGTTGATATCAGACAGCTTCGAGTCTTTCATGATTTCATTTGCAACGTCCATGTCCGTCAAGGCATCCAGTAACTCAACCTCTTTTTTGATCAGTGCATCTGAGTTCAGGATTGGGGGTCTGTTGCGACCAAAGACGTGCGGAATCGTGGTGAAGTATCGATTGCTGAGAGTCACAAGAGACTGTTGCCAATCTGTTCCAGTATTGGGGGTGGCAATAAGCTCCGCCAGCTCTTTCAAGATCGTGAAACCTGCTTTGAGGGTCCGTTCACTCAACTTCCCCAACGGCAACTTCTGCGCATCATAAGACATTGAGGCCAAAGTAGATTGGAAGTGCTCGGGGTTGAAAATGAAAGACATAAGACTTTGAAGGGGCTTGGTGAGAGTACTTTCAACCTTGATCTTAACCTCATCTGAATCGTTCTTTGTCACTGTCTCCTCGGTATCGTCCTCATCATCCTCATAGTCACGCTCGATGAAGGTGTATTTCCCTTTCTTGGGAGGATTCAGGCGGTTTTCCCACGTCAGACCCGACTTGTCTTTGAATTTCTTTTCAAAGGATCTTTTGGCATCTTCCAAGGAGCCATGCCCTAGGCAGGAAAACTGCCCGAACTCGCCAACACGACCCCAGCGTGTCCACGCCACGAACTCTTTCTCACCATCGGAAGCAATGAGCTGGACGCGGTAAAATTTGTTGTTGTTCTTTCCTGAATCTGTCTGGTTGAGTGTCGCATCCCAGATCAACCCATCAGATGAAATATAGACGTGTGCATCTGAAAAACCAATGAGTGTTTTTTCATTCCAGTATTGAGAGGGAAAACTCACACTGAGGGCCTTTGAAGGGACAGTTGTGAAAAAACCCTTCATCGATAGGGATGTTCAATGGTTTAGAGTGGCTTTTCTGAGAGTCATTTTTGCTTTTCTTGGACTTTTGGGCGTCTTCATCATCTTCCTCCTTTATGGCGCGTTTCTTTGGGTTGTCCGAAATCCCGTCAAGCATGGGCAATGTGGCATCGCTATTCGAGTCTGAAGACAGAAGAAATGCTTTCTCAGGAAGGACTTTCTTGGCTTCACCTGAAGAGACCAGCCAATCCACACTCACAATTTTGCAGGTGGGAATCTTGCAAGCCGCTTGATCTGTGTTTGCCGTTAGTAATGAAAATCGTGCGTTTGCTGAGACCATGGCAAGACTTATAATAGGGACTTACACTTGGTGCCCTTTCTCTCAACTTCCTTCTCAGTTGTGATCAAATGGGTGCACGTGTTATCCAGGGCAGTCATGAACGTAGATCCTTGGGCCTCAACCAAGGTCTTGATGTCAGCTGTGACTCGGCACGTTAGTGTGGGGCCAATTGTCTGGGGTCGGAGGTCCTACCCTGCTTGTGCCCAGGAATTGTTCCACTGACTGCAATGAAAAGGGATTTGAAAGATCGTGCCGGCATCTTGATCAGTTCGAAGTAAATAAAAGACAAAGAGAAATGGAGAAAATGAAGTGAGTTGAGCACAGCACTTAAAGAATTGGATGAATACAATCAATAGTGGAATGGGTCAGGTTGATGAAGGGATGTGGTTTGATGAGAGGAAATGAGGAATAAAGTTAATCAATCGCGAAGTCCTGAAGTGAGGCAACAGAATCCTTTTAAACAAAGCTGATGGTCACATTGTTTATTTGTGGCCTGAATGGTAAGGCGTGAATGGGGCTGCTGCCTGGCTTAGTCTCAGGCAGAACATGTGCTAAGTGGGGAATTTCCAGGCAGCAAAGTCAATTGCTTTGGACCTCACACATTTGCTCTTTTTGACTAATTAATCCTAACATCATATTCTAACTAATTATCTCAGTCCACTCAATAAAACTAGGGTGACCTTTTTTTTGTGGGGCCAGTGACCGAGACTTAGATCTGCTGCAGTTGTGTTACACAGCTTCATCAGCGTCAACGTCACCCGAACGTAGTCAAGCCCAGCAAGCTTCAATCCATTGATAATGGATAAAGCCCTATACATAGTGTACTTTTGGTGATTTTATCTTTTGAATGTGATCTCGACATCCGTGGATCTTTGACTGGTATGTAGAGTTAGATCATAGTTTAATTTTACTGATCTTTAATGCTAGCCGTGTGGTTAGGTTCCCAACGACATAGGTACTATATGGTGAAGACATCATCATTGCCCAAGCCCATCCTTACCCTAGTCATCTATAAAGCGACCGTGGAAGACCTCAAGACCGACACCACCATGCCACCCGAATATACTGCTTCCAATAGCTGGTTGTCAATGGCTTGTAGATATAATGATGTGAAGCGTTACATATGGGTATTGTTTGGTAAAGGCATCGTACTGACCTCCCATGTACATCCATAAGGCTTCAATTCTAGGTATCTAACCACATACCTACCCCTTTAGCTACCCAGGTGTCCTATACCTCAAGTGCTAGCATAATATGTGGCATATCTACCCTCTACTCAACCTCAATATATAGAAGTGCGTTGAAGGTATTATAGATACATATACCTAGGTAAAGGGAAAATGAGTACTTATCGCCTCCTTATAAAGCCCTATTCATATTGAGGTAATAATCAATTGATCAGGATAACAAAGACAAAAGCTTTGCCAGCAGTGGATTCTACAACTTTTGCTGTGCGAGGAGAACAACAGATCTAACTCATGCTTCACTTCAATAGGAGTAGAGAACTCATTGGCATCCGATGATGGATGAAATTTTGAGTGGAAGTGTGCAGTGCGGACGTTGGTCTCATCCAGTGGGATTATTTGTTTTCGCTCCCAGTTGGCGCGGTGAGAAGAGAATCAATGGTAGAGAAACGAGACAGCCATAGCTTGCTTTCGCATAGCTTGCTTTCGCTCCTTTGCAAGACGGTAGAGTACCGGAGTAACTCCCAACAACGTCCGCAAAGCTCCGAATCTACTTAATAGTTCAATGAAACCGTGATAGGAAGCGGACATGCTATGGTATCTTTCCTTGCGAATATGATCTTGTAATCGTTCTCTATGGTCTTCTACTTTGACGCTGTCAGCTGCTTGTTCTCCTGGATTGATAAATTGACTCAACGCTTTAAAAATGATAGAAGGTACTCCAGGTCCTAGCAGACGCGCATCTTCTGGTTTTGCTTGTGCTTCGACTATGTATTGATTGGGTTGCCTTGACGAACGGGGAGCTTGTTGTTGATTTTCCTTCAATGTTGTCACCATTTGCTTCTTCTGCCGATCGGATTATTATTAATAGTCCCTTTTGGAAAGTGCTGTTTGAATATCACGGTCGACTGGGGGAGGATTATTGAAGCTACCCTTGCGTTTAAGACCGGTGTTTGTGACCTTGAATACTATCTCGGATTAGTATAATTAGGCCCATCTGGAAACCGACGTTTAGACTCACTGCTTCTTTGGAACCCTTCTCAACATACCCCTGGGGACCGGATTGGCATAACCACACCTGTCTGGAAAATTGAGGTTGGCTCACTGATCCTTGAAGATTCTTCGCAAAACGCTCCTGAGGATCGGATTAGCATTTCAAGGCCGCCAATCTTGAAACTCAAATTAGCGCTTGTTGTAGGATTTTACATGTTGTAGCTCAAATTTGTTCACTTTTTGGGTGTATTCCACCTTGAAACGAGCTCAGGGTCATCTTTAAGCTTCATGTCGAAGATGACTTGGATGTCAACCTGGTTCGAAGATGGCATAGCGACACTTGGAAGCAATGACACATCTTCAAATCCTTTGGCTAATTTGAGTAGCGCGGCGTCCTCTGGGTTCTCTCTGTCCACGAAAGTCCGAACAGCGTCGCAAATCCTCTTAAGCGTCGGAGTTATCGTTGGGAAATTGTGGCTTGTAAACTGGAAAAAAGCAAATAATGACTCAAAGGGTGATTTTGAAAGTAAAGTATCAAGTTGAAGTGGTGGGACAAAATCCATTGCTTTCATTTCAAAGTGATTCTTAAACTTGAAGATACTTCGATCAGTAAGCAATATTGCCACGTTCGGGGCTGTCATATGAATGGTCGACATTTGAAACAAGTCAACCCACATGAGACTGAACATCAGCCAAGAAAATAATCACCATAGCCATCAACATATTCGAATTCAATCCCGCATCCACCTACAATATACACAGCCAATACAATTATGACTGCACATAGTCCTCTATACAGACTACCGAGTCCGCCGCGTTAATCAAAAATCCATGATTCTTGATATGCTATCTAGGACATCCGGTACCTTACCTATCTTAGCCTTCCTTAGCCGACTAGGACCTCCTAAATGTTCGTTAGACTTGTAGGGTTCTTTCATTTACATAGATTCATCTTCTGTCCTAAGGGTAAAGTAGGATGTATAGATAACGAGGGAGAAACCTAAATAGGATATAGGGCTTAGGGCTAGGTGATTACAGATTACGTCATGAATTCAGAATTGTCTCAATTCACGTTTGTCACCTAATTTCATTTGGAGATATAAGTGGAAGTTGACTGTAATCGTCTAGTTGTACATTATCTGGAATTTGTATGCATGTGGAGTAGCTATCCTGCTTGCTGTGGCTTTTGTCTTTTCAAAACCCATATTTTTCCTCAGGACCATCTTTGTCGCTTTTACTTCTCCATGGAACCAATATGCAATCTGTCACGCGTGGAATAGAAGTCCCAGTACAGACGGAAATCTATTATTTCTGGAGGCTTTCGCGAGTGGCTTTTAACGGAAATACTTACATCTCGGCGCTCCAATGAGCTGGGTTTGGGTCTATGGTTAATTGGCAAGTCAATTATGTCAGTGGCAGAACTTGAATTTTACTTCATCTTCCCGTTATCGCCTCGTTTTTGTCGATCTTCTTCGAGCACTGGAACTCAATTTAGAAACAATGTGCAGAGTAACAACTTGTTTTGTAGCCAGCTGGAACTTGGGCTCATGATGAATCACACTGTGGGGGTGCGTCCCCCACCTCCTGGAGTAACCCCGGATTTCAATTCCAGGCCTTGGTTACTGAATGCCAACCGCATCGCGGTCGCTGTGGGCCTGACCCTTTCTACATTGTTTCTTATAATCCGGCTTTATGCTAAGGTCTGCATCATAAGAAGTTTTTGGTGGGATGATGGTGAGTTAGTTCATTGATCTTACTGGGATAGCTCTGACTCTAATGTTCGGCTCTTAGTTTCAATCTTCCTTGCCTGGGTATGTTTTTAAAAGCAAAGGAAGCAGAAAAGAAAATTCTCGCTGATGAACCTGATAGGTCTTCTCCATTGGGACTCAAGCAACTATTTTGTGTTAGAACTTATAATGATCACCCCATGAGATCTAACTACTGACCATATGGATGTAGACGGCTATGCCAATTCGTGTTTCGCGATTCATATTTGGAATATCCCTCTGCCTCTTATAGTCAGCTACCGAAAGGTAAGTGAAAACCGAGTTGAGCACCTGCACGAAGTTGACAATAGACCAGACCATCCTCGCCTTGGCAGTGCTCTATCTCCCGGCGCTCGCATTCGCCAAGCTAGCCGTCATAATGCTTTACTATCGTGTGCTTGAATCTGTACGCATGTGGCGATACACTCTCTGGCTTGTTGGTGTCGGTATCTGCGGATACAGCATCGCTCTAATATTTGCGCTCATCTTTGCCTGCAATCCCTTCCAGGCTGGATGGAATTTGTCAGCTCCTAGCGCCTGCAGGCATCGATCAGGTATATATCTGGGAACAGCCATTGCAAACACCGCCAGTGATGTGGTATTGATTATAATACCGATCACGTTTATGTGGGGGATGCATTTGCCGCTTTTGCAAAAGGTTGGGATATTATGTTTGTTTGGGATTGGTTGTCTGTTCGTGAACCTGATTGCCACCTGATCAAGAGATATGATTCGAGAGCCCCTGGGCGAAATGTTAACTTTTGTCTTTTTATTTCCAGCACCGTGGTCACCAGTATCGCTCGCTTGGTGACTTTGATCCCCTTACTCGCGTCGAACGATCAACCACATAATCTCGGCCTCGCCTGTCTTTTCATGTAAGTGATCTTTGGCTGAATAGAGATTCAGTCTTTGACTCGGGTGATTGTTAATGTGATATCTATGGCTATTTAGAGTTATTGAGGCCAATTTTATCATCCTGTGTGGCTCTATTCCCTACACCCGCCAATTTGTCCGTCACCACGGCCCCAAAATTCTCAGTCAAAATCGGAACGGAAGAACACGCCTTTCTTCAAATGATATCCCACCGCCTCAGACACACAGGACTGGCCCCAAGAGACTACCTGATGATATTGAAATGGCTATGAATGAGCCCTGCGACATCAATCAGTCGGAATATAATATGAGCGAATTTCGTGCAGAGGACAGGGAATGAGCATGATGAGCATGGAACCATGTTAGAAGATATGAACCAGTTCTAGGATCCATCCACTGACTGATGTAAATAGTAGTAGAATGGTTGGAAAATCAGCTGCGTTTGAGAATAATTTCATATATCCAACCACCTACTCAGCATGCATACAGCTCCCTTACCAGTGTCAATGCCCAGTAATTGCTGGGTGAGACCGCCAATCATCTGGCAATGCACGACGGATTCATCGTATCTGGAACGGAATAGAAGAAAGTAATTCTGGTTAGCTTGGCTACAGTCTGAATCATATTAAATCTTGTGTTTTACGGGGTTACAGAGACGCGCTCCCCGTGGAGGCCAGACTAATCTCCCATACAAATAGCCCCGTCTTTTTTAGAAAGAAAGCATCCTTCCACTTGAAAAGCATTTCGAAAAGTCCATCGGAGGAAAGGTCACGACGGGATTCCTCGCACTAGAACGAAATACCTTTGGCATTTGCCGGCAATTGTCTCTCGCTGAGTATATCTGCATGAGGACAGTGGGCGGCTCCTTTACGTGTTCCAAAATGTGTCTCTACAGCATCGACGCGTAGAGCCAGGTTTCAGGTCACAATACCCCGTTTTCTTCGATAGACAACGCGTAATAGAAGAACGAGTAGAGTAAGGAGGCAGTTCTCAAAATTCATAACATCTATAGTCAATGTGGTATGGCCGCATTCAATAAAGATGTCTACTGTTGATCGATTAGAGTTAGGTCCGGGCGGGACCGTAGCTCGCGCAAGTGAAGGCGCGTTAACGCAGACTTGCAACACACAACGCTCTAACCGGCTTCGGCTCCAGATCCACGGCTAGTGTGGACAGTCAGATGATGGTACTAAACGCCAGATGTGTGTGTCACTGATTTGATGATCGCGCTGCACGTCGAGTCTCAAGTATTGAAAACCCTGGCAGTTGAATAAACGTTGGACTGTGAACAAACTTCTAGTGCATACGGATAGACTGAGACAGCGGAGCCAGCATGCCCTATAGGATCCAAAATCGTGTGCTGATCTGGAATTACTTGAATTTTTGGAACAAAATACAGTTTTTTTACATAATAGGAAAGGATCAAGCCTACCGGATCTTTATAGGATCTTATTTAGAGAATATCTCATTGTATCTTCATGTGCATTGAACACACAACAACCTTGAAAAACAGGGATGCATTTTCAAGCTTCACGAGGCTCAAAATCCAGAAATTCGCTGCCACTCCCTTTAAATATGTATACTCACATTCCAGCTAGCCTCAAACTGACCCCTTCAAATTCATAACACTGACACTAACCAAATTATCCGTCGTAGAAGCAGAGTCACCACCGCCAGTAAGAACCAACCAATTTCCATCTCCAGCCAAAACCCTCAAAGATCTCGAATAAGCAGCAACCTCTGGCGAGGCAACCTCTGTCCACTCACCCTCACCAAGAGCCTGATTCACAAAGATAGAAGAAGAGGACTGCGCACTCGCAATGATAGTACCGTGCTTACCACCGTACGAGGTCCAGACCACATAAGGCGCGGATGTAGGCTTCGTACCCTCTGTGGTGATTAATTGAATTCCTTCAGCGGAATTAAATTCCTCCGGGTTTGAGGCGATGCGGTAGTAGACGGGGAAAGAGTAGTCTGACGTGTTGAAGAATGAGCCGTACTCGTGCATGAAAATGTATTTCCCGTTTGGAAGCTATAGTATGGTTAGAGTTGTTTTCTTAGTAGGATATATGTGGAAATAGACGTACTAATGCCACAGTTGGCATTCCCGGACGATCAGTGTATGTTGGGTAGGCACTAGAATTGATTAGTTGAGATCATGCAGGTGGAATGGGATTTTCGTACACGTCGTCAACGACAGGACCCCATTTCTTCAAGTCGTAGGAAACTTGGTGAACGAGCTTTTGTCCGTAGGTCGCGTTGTCGCGCTGATCCGAGTAATAGCAGATCAGTTTGCCGTTACTGTGCCGAGTCAGTTTATGCCAGGTAATTTTAAGTAGTGCAACTCACTAAGTCATAAGGAAAGGTTCCCAAACAGGTGTCAGTCCGTTATCTGGGACAGCTTCACCGCCACTTGCGATGTGGCTTACAAAGTCCCAGGTAAGACCGCTATCGTGCGAAGCATACAAATCGATGTGCGTGGTGGAGAGGTCCTCCGGAATACTGTTGCCCGCAAGCAAAATGGTTCCAGCCTTGAAGGAGCCGATAGACTCAGAGAGATAGTACAGGAATGGCTGGTAGCGCAAGCCATATCCGTTGGCCTTGTCAGTGACATTGGAGTAGGCCTTCCAGGTTTTACCGTAGTCTTGAGAGCGGTAGATTGGGAAGTAGACTAGGGGTGGCTCTGGGGAGTAATTCTCCCATGTTGAGAGCAGGTCACCATTTGGGAGCTCGATTGTGCGAGCATAGAGAGTTCGGGGAAGATTGTAGTCTGTCGGTGGGTTGAAGATTGTTACGTCGGATAAAGCAGCTGGGGATGCGGAAGCATGGTTCAGAGCTGCTGCTGCTGCCGTTGCAGCGAATGTGAATATATAAGAGAGCTTCATGTTCAATTGATAGAATTTTCTTTAGATGATTAACATAGGTTCTAAAGGGGAGAGTCCCTTTTATGCATGATTCACAATAAACATTGTTTCTTAGATCAGGCCAAGCACTATCCCGCCGGAATTGTCCTTTTTCTGGACTCATTAGCACTAGACAAGCGTGGTCTAGCGGGGAAATTTCCATCAATCGCGGACCAGCTGGACCGCCTTAGGAAACATTACGCTAAGGTAATATACCTGTTAATGTAACAATTGCCGAGAAACAACCGAGATTATTTTGCGGGTAAGTTACCCGGTCCGTCATGTCTGGAGTACTTTGCGGGGTTGATCCCCACATATCCTCCGTGCAGTACGTTTGTGAGGCGCCAGCAAGCGAGATGAGAAAATCACGTTAGAGTGAAGATTACAACGCCATTTGATAAATAAGATTTGGCAGGAAAACCCAAGTGTTTCTCTTACATCGTCGGTGCCGAGGTAGGGTTAATAGTTATATGCAACTATTATCCTGATTCTGAGGATTTAACCGCGAAGAGATCATAATCTTCTGCATCTTTTAGATTAAGGACAGGAAAAGATCACCGGTATTTGATATTTTGCAGGGCTTAAGAGTTTTCAGGGTGCTCCCACAAAGTAGTCTGCTCTACATGTGCCCATTATTGAGTTTCTCGTACTCCCGAAGTCGATATTTCTGCGATTATCTACATATCACTAGATGGATCATCCATTACAATGGAAAGCTACATACAAATAAACAATTTTACAGAGGTAAGGAACTCAAACCAGGACCAATGCGTTGTTGGTATTGGCGTAATCTTCTTCAAGATGGATTAGGGAGGGAGCATCCTCCTCACCGGCAGGAAGTGAGTGGTGGACCTGCACTCCTTGCTGTTCACCATCATAAGTCCTTTGACGAATGGAAATAAGAAATTTAGCCACAAGAACCGGACCAGCACCATTTCGATTAGTCAAAACGCACCTATAAGTCCTTATAAATCCTTGAGATCCACTTCACCCTTAGTAAACGCTGGCCGAAATCGAAAGGGGCTGATAGGCGCTTAAGTAACCCTTTTCATGCGGACTTGAGGATCTTAATGCCTATCTCCGTCTTCGGTCCATCTTTCCACGCAGCTTTTTGTTGTTCATCTTCTTCTTGATAATCTCACAGACTGCCATTGAAGCCCATAGGGAAAAGAGAGAGCGATAGTTGCAGGCTGTATGGCCCATAGCCGGACTGAGTCGGACAGCCAAGTACTGTGTTCCCCTTCAGTGACATGATCTAAAGAGTCGTGATCCTGTTCTTTTTCAGTTCCAAACGCACATTACGATTTCCACAGAAACTCAAAAACCCGCTGATTTCAACGCTCGAGTTGGAACGGTGAACGACTAAGATTTGTAGTCATTTTATCACCTCCTCCGCCAAATTTATCGTCCGAGTCGCGATAGGTGATAGCGGCGGCAGCGGCTCGCGTGGGGCGATGTCCGAGGACTGCATCCTGGAACGGAATTTCGTCGAGCTCATTACAGTCAGCGTCGCTGATTTGACTGCTCGGAACGATATCACAGATGGGCTTGAAAGAACAAGTCAACCCGAAGGCCGGGATTTGGTAAATCAGCATAACGAGAATCGGGTCACCTGCTGTTGCAGGGGTGATAATAACGTTCCCAGTGAAGTCCTTATGCATCACAGTACGAGTCTCCCTCCTGTATCCGGATTACCGTCGTGGTAGTGAACTAGTTTGAGAATATCGAGTGGAAGATTTGAACCTGGCTCATGAGCATCACAATCCTTCAAAGGCAGCAGGAAACGCCGATCAATGCCATGCACAGATTTTGTCGCTTGTGGTCACGGTCATGATGGCAGTCCAGCGCCATAGAAAGAGGAGTAGCAGCAGCTGCATACAGCAAGCCATGGCGAAGCAGGGACGAGGAGATATCGGTTATTAGACAAATAATATTTGCATCGACAGTCTACTTCGTCAGAAAGCCCATGGTTCGGGATTTTCTTCAGAAATGGAATTGGTTTGAGGCATCTGCTTCCCATTTGTTGTTTCACACACCAAAGTCATAGCCTAGGACGCGTTACATTTCCGGGCCCCATAAATTTCGACAGAAAATGTCTACTTGGGTTTTTGGACTGTTGGTGTTTCCTCTCCGTGTTTCTGAACTCTTCAGCGAGATCGGGCCTGTAATCCGGTTGAACGTAGATTTTCCAAAGCCAGGGCTTTGAAGGCAGGCAGAAAAACATTCACATAGGAAACATTTTTACACATGTGTCCAGGGATACTCCGACACAGTGGCGCATAGTGCTGCCGGCTGGCTTGAGCATAGATCTAATATAATAAAGGTGCCAGCTGTGTTGTAGGAAAATAATCATCGATCGGATACTGACATTCTTCAGTGCCGTTGTGCCAGAGAGGTCAAAGAAGATAGCCCGCTATTTAGCGGGAAGGGGCGATGAGGAAGGAGGAAGGAAGGAAGGAAGGAGGGAGGGAAGAGGAAGATGGAATTGTAAAAATATATAGAGAGAATTTGTGATCGATCAAATGTTACCCATTTGAACATTTGAAACGACTGGGTAGGAGGGGATGAAGAAGAAAGTCCCATGTGAAGTGGGTAAGGAGTAGTCAGAGAGAAGGAAGAGGGAGAGGGCGAAAGATGAAGGGGAAGAGGAAGAGGAAAAGAAAGAGGAGAGGCAATTTTATACCCACGAGTTTGTTAGAAACCCACCTCACCTCACCAATACTAAACTTCTATCTATTTGAGCGGCAAAAGAAAATTACAAAGCAGGAAGTGAACTAATTGAAGAGAGTGATATTTTCATTGGCAACTGAATCGCCACAAAGAACCACCTAAAGTAACCGAAGCAGAATGTCGAAAGTTGAAATAAAGAGCCGAGGATATGGAGACGTTTACGCCCAAGAAAAACCCATGCATGGAACCAGTGAAACAGATTGAGATAGTAATACTGGAACAAAAAGTATCAAGGATGATACCTAAGGCAATAACATCATGCAGGAATGAAGGGATGGAAGTGAAGTGAAGCGTAAGATGAAATAAGGGAGTGAGGGCGCTATACACAGGTCGCTTGTTCGGAATGATTGGAAGTTGAAAAAAGAAAAAAAAAAAGTCAATTGTTCAGGCCCGAAAATTCTCGAGCGTGAGATGCAGATTATGTATTAATGCGATTGCGATGGATTGAGTCAGTGTTGCGGGTGGCGTGTGGGATATCATGGTCAAAACGTCATTGAGAAAAGATTTGTATAAGGACGTAGATGCTTTAAGTTGTTCGATCGGGAGAAATAACTTCATCAGAAAATGGTGAATCGCTTTTGCTTTGCTTTGGTAGAATCTGAAATTGTCAGTGTTATCCCACTTTACATTGCTGTTGGGACTGACCATGTGCAGGGGGTTTTTCGTTTTTGAAACGACCGTTTCGAGTGGCCATTGCTGCGTTGGCACCTTCGGAGGCTGCTTGGATTGCAGCGAGACGAATCTTGGCACGCTCGTCGCCTTGCTCGGCGGCTTTGACGTACCAGACGTTTGCCTCGAGGACATCACGTCGGCAGCCCAGACCCATTTCGGTAAAGTATCCGACGGCATATTGAGCTTTCACCAGGCCTAAGCAAATTAGCAATGATCTTGTTTTCGTAGATTGGAGAAAATGGTACTCACCAAGGTGAGCTGCTCGTGTAGCCCATTCGTAAGCCTCATCCTCGTCCTTTTCAAGGACAGGCTCCGCACCAACCATATACCACGCGCACAATGCCATCATGGCAAGTGGGTGTCCATGCTGTGCGGCGGCCGTGTAGAAGTGTATACTCAGTGCAGGGTCTCGGGGACAGTTTAGCTTGCCATGCTCATAGGCATCACCTAGTCGGTAAGCTGCCTCGACGTGACCCAGCTCTGCGGATTTGGTGAACAACTGTGCCGCGTAGGATTCATCTTTAAACACATCATTCCCGTCTCCTGTCTCGTGGAGAAGTCCAAGCTCATAGGGCGCTGAGTTGTACTGTGTATCGGATGATTCCGTTGCCCGCTTCATCCATTTGATGCCCTCTCGGTAGCGTTTGCCCAGACCCATGTCACCTGCCAGACAAGCTCTAGCCATGCGCGACATTGCACCGGGGTGGTTCTTCGATGCAGCTTGTCGGTAGAACTGGACAGCACGACTGCCATCTGGCCTTGTTCCCCAGCCAAACTCGTAGCACAGAGCTGCACGGTAGCAAGCCTCCACATGGCCGTGTTTGCTGGCAGCCACGAAGAGGGAGAAGGCACGATCATGATCTGGCTTTCCCTTGCTGAACAGCCCAGACGCATACCCGTCACCGAGGTAGTATTGTGCAAAAGGATAGCTGCGGTCCGCAAGACGTTGGAGAATGGATTTTGATTCCCGGAGTAGTCGTGATCGGGTGATAGACTCCGAATCCTCGAGATCAACATTAGGCATTTCGCGCATAGAATTTATCATGAAGACTGCAAACTCGTACTGCACGCTTGGTGAGTCCGTCTTCTTCACATTCGCCAGATACATCTCAAACGTCTGTTTGTGGCTTAAGAGAGAAGCATTGTTCCCGACCGATGCTTGGAGGCGCGAATTATCGAATTGAGCCACACTCGGCCCAGGCTGGGGGTATGATGTATTCAATAGATCCAAGTGTGAAACTGTTGGCGATGCAGTTGAGTTTCTTGATGATGACCGGCCATGCATGTACGGCGAGGCCGAAAGATTACGCCGGTGGGCAGCCACGCCATCTGATCCAGATGAATACGTGGAAAGGGGACGGGCGATTCTTGAGTGCTGGACGGCTAGGTTTCCAGTCGAGCCGGATGGCTGTTCGGTCAAGTTCATTCCCAAAGTCGAGCGCTTAGCTCCTTGTGTAACTTGTTCTTGCTGGTGGTGATACGCCAAAGGCTCGTATGCATCAGACGCCAGAGCAACACTTTCCCAGCTGCCACGAGAGGAGTCGCTCTTTTTCACCGAGTCTTGAGCATCTTTCGGGGTTTCGCCTGCAGACCATGATCCGTTGCTGGGTGGGCCATACGAAGAGGGATACGCCTGGGAGTTCGTTTGGGAATAATTAGCATCCCAGTTGTGAGGCGGAGTGGATTCTCCAAGTGACATGTGAGCGAACTCCGGGAGCTCTATTCGCGGTGTGCCATTATGGGGAATATTCTCGACAACCACGCTAGAAGCCTGGGGTAGTTGGACTCCACTGTCGATCTTCACTGGGGAACGAGGTGAATTCTGGACGATTGGGGACTCGTCATCGGTAAATGAGCCAGGTCGAATGAGGGTCAAGCTCTGTGGACGTGGAATTGTTCGAGGAGTCTCTTTGGTGTGGTGCGATAGCGGAGGAGAGTCCCGGAGATAAGCTGGCGGTGGTGAGGATAATTGGTTTGCCACGGAATAAGCCATGATGAAACGATCCAAACGAGTGTGTCAAGACAAGAACGAGCGAAGTTCAGAAATATTGAAATACTAAGCCATGCGAACCGATCAAAAGTTGAAATGTCGGTGGACTGTAGCTCTAGTGGAGAATTTTAGGGGGACCTAAAGGAAATCTGCATTTGGGGGGTAAAATTCAAAACGATCCAATGACCATGTTTAAGTGAGGGAGGGGAAAGAGTTATGTTTCAGCCAAAACAAAGGGAAAATGATTTAAATTGTAAAAAGATTTAAAAGATTTAAAAAGGGTTCGAATCCCCACTTGATCGCTAGTTTACCCCTCGAAGGGTCATCCAGCGAGTACTAGTTGACACAAATCCATGGCATTTTTATGCGATTTAACAAGATTTACTCCTACTCCGTACTATTCCAAGATTTTCATGTTCATTACCCATATAGCGGGGGAGCTATTAATATACGAGAATTCCATTCGAATCTTTACGCGCCCAGTTCACTTGGCTTGTCGTATTAGTTAAGGCTAAAGAATGCCACTTCTCTCCCGTACAACTCCACTGACTCCACCACAATGAACACGCGGAGTTGATCGCCCTGACCCTCTCGGTCTAGCAGAATACGACATGCAATCTTGGAATTGAACCTGTCTGTCTTTCTCCAATACTAACTTGTATGAAGATCGTGACGATCCATGGGAAGCACGGTATGCTGACCACGGAATCATCCCAACATTTTCTTCGGTATGGCGAACGGTATTTCCGCAGCTTACTGAGTCACCTCTGGAACTCCGACAATCACAGTTCACCTTTCTTACATCATTTTCTATTTCTATTTCTATATTTACCTTACCATATCTCTCTTATTCTCTCATTGATTTTTATTTTCCGAATTATTGCTTTGATTGAGTTATGCCCGCACGGCCCGTTCACCTTCAATAATGGGGAGGGTCCTTGGCTTTTATGGGTTCCTTGGTCCTCCTTGCTGGCGTTCAAACTATCGGCACTATTTCCAAAGGTTGCCAACGCTACACAATCATACATATTGACATGGGCTCGATGACGAAATTGCCGGTTTTTGTTAGCTCATCCTCCCTCGCATACCGCCATCTGCCAGGTGTGACCTCTGTCAGATGCATTCCAGTTTGAAAGAACGTGGGCATGGCTCCCATGCGCTCGCTGCCAGGCCGATCATACAAGGGAGGGCCTGTGAATCCCTAGCAGATCCGGATTCGATCGGACAGAGAACATGAAGTACAGCGTACGCTGTAACTGACTTGTATGTAATTTAGTATGCAAAAAATACTAACTGAATTGGTAGACCCGCTGTGATCGTCCACCATGTCGATCGGCATTCGGGTGTGCACCGGGCACGGGTTGAGCCCCTGGAGGCATTTTCATATTGAATTGATAGATCTCACGCCTTAACCGGCATTGCATAAAGTTACATCTGTAAGGACATAATTGATCGAATATGACAGAGCACAGACATATACGGTATACGGAGTGTACGGAGTATAGACGGTAAATCTCCTGCAGGGTCTGAATGTGGCACAAATAGAACTTGGCAAATAACCTCAGTTGGGTACAGGTTCGATCAGGTATTACAAAACCGAGTAGTTACGGTCTCAAGTGGCGTTAAATCTGAAAATAGAAGGGAAAAAGTCGATGACCCCGTGACTAGAGTCGGCTCAAGTTCCTAAAATTGAAAGGAAAAAGTTCAGTTTAAGCCTAATGAAGTTAAGTTGGAATCATTTCGGGGTCATTTTGGTCCCTGACTTCGGTTGACTCCACTATCCAATCAAGTTGGTTAGTCATTTGCTTGCTTATTGGTAATGCACCCCGGATGCCCCTAGCGAAAAAACCAATAGTGACGAGAGGATTAAGGGGGAATACTAAGCGAAGTCAAAGTGAAACAGTGATACATATCAAGGCCAGGTGGTACTAAGAATGAAATCATGACTTGTAATCTCTTCTCCTGAATTCTCCCCAATTCACTTGAACCCTTCGGGTCGATCCGCTCGTTTCTTATTTGACGTTCTCGATTGCCTTGTGTGGACCTGGACCTTTGTTTATTTCTCCACCCCCGGCCGTCGTTGCACCGGCCGACCGCAGTGAACGTGAGATCACTCCGAAAAGACCAAACGGACTCATTGTCCTGGGAATTGTCTGCAGCTACCAAGTACCGTCAAATTTACATGCAGGAATTTGGAGCACTTAGCCGATCACCGGAGATGCTCTAAACGATCGACCGGATCAGCGAAATTTGGACATTCCGAGGTCATTCGTTTCCAGTACATGACCGGGGCTTTCTGAGAGTGAGTGCGCCGATACTGCGACGCGATACTTTTAAACTAACTCGATCAGCACCATGTCTTTGCCCCAGAGGCCAGGAAAGGCCTCGCCTCGGCGTGAAGAGGTACGGGCTTTCCGCGAACCCTCACGACGACGTCGCAGAGACGACACGGGAGACTACAGTGACAACCCAACCTCTCCTTCCCACCGACACCGCCGCCGACACTCACACTCGCACAGCCGCCGCCGGGCGACCGACGACGAAGATCGCATGGAGCGGGGCGGTGATTTACGCCGCAAGAAAAGTATGGTGAAACCCGAACGTCGCCGTGTCGACTCCGACCACCCCAATTACCATTATCGTCAACGGTCGCATCATATGAATACACACCCATCCGCGACCGGAGATGACCCACTATTGGACCACGATGGCGAGGCCGAGACCAATAGCTCGAAAAGCATCGACATGAAGGCTAGGGAGCTGTATGGAGGGAATGTGAATAAGCCTATGGAGCGGGGCCCGAGTCGTCATCGCTCAAAGAAGAAGAAGAAGAGATCTTCGCGACGGATCTCGAAGAAGCCTAATCTTGAGGATCGTAAGCGCCAGAAGGCTATGGAGGGGGTGCGACCGCCGGATCTGTGGACAACGTACTGCGCGCTGATCAGTTGCTTGGTACCGGATTTCTTGTTAAAGTGCTGTGGCATGCCACAGAGAGATCAGCGGACCGCGTGGCGGGAGAAGATCGGCTTGATCAGCATTATTCTCATGGTCGCAGCCTTTGTCGGTTTCCTTACATTCGGATTCACCGCTGTGGTCTGTGGATCCCCTCCTACACGAATGAAGATCAACGAAGTTGGTAGTGGTTATATGATTTTCCACGGCCAAGCATATAACCTGGAGAGTTCGACGCACCCTGCTGCAGAGGGCGTTCCCTCGGGCTCGAATGTTCTTTACGATTTGCCGCACAAGTATGGTGGCCAGGATGGCAGTTTCATGTTCCAGGAAGTCAATGGTGCCTGTAAGGGACTTATCACTGCTGTAGATGGTGGTGGTGTTCCAACCAATTCTGCCGGTGACTTGGGATGGTACTTCCCATGCAATGCTTTCAACCAGGATGGCTCGACTGAGCCAAATATGACAGACTCCTACTACGAGGGATGGGCTTGCCATACTAGCTCTGCTGCACGGAAACCTTTCTGGAAGCTGAACCCCTCGGGTGATGTGTATTTCACTTGGGAGGACACTAAGAACAAAAGCCGGAACCTGGCTGTTTACTCAGGTAGTGTCTTGGACTTGGATCTTCTGCGCTGGTTCAACACGAGCCAGGTCTCGTATCCGGCCAAGTTTGATGCCCTTCGCACGAATCCTGATGTTCGAGGAGTTGATCTGACATACTACCTACAAGGTGGAGACGAGAAAAAGCTTGGTCAGTGTCTGACGCAGATCATTAAGGTTGGAAGTATCGATACAGACACCGTGGGATGCATTGCTTCCAAGGTAGTTCTGTATGTGTCTTTGATCTTCATTCTGTCGATTGTCGTGGTCAAGTTTTGTTTTGCGGTACTGTTCCAATGGTTCTTGGCCAAGAAGTTCGCTGCGGACAGCACCAGCATGAGCTCTGATTCCAAAACTCGTAACCAACAGATCGAAGACTGGTCCAACGATATCTATCGACCGGCACCTCGCTTGCCTGATCCTCCAGTTCCCGACCGCCTCAGCAAACGCGCCAGCTTCTTGCCGACGACATCACGTTTCTCCAGTCCATATGTCATGGGATCTACCGGCGGTAAGCAACGCTCAAACTATGTGACGATGGCTAGCCAGAACTCGACTTCCCGCCTTATGCCAAGCTCAACTACCACTGGAACTATGTACAAGACCAGCCACAACGGCAGTGGTGGCACTTTGAGTGCGGAAAACTCTCGGAACCCCGCGGCAAGCAGGACTAGTTTGATCGGTCCGGGCTCGCAAGAGGCTCCGTTTTCTCCCACGGCGCCTGATTATGAAGCTCCTGGTCCTGCTGGATTTATTCATGAGTCCGTTGTTCCTCAGCCCCCGCCTGATTGGCAGCCGTTCGGCTATCCCTTGGCGCATGCACTTTGCTTGGTCACCTGTTACTCGGAGGGTGAAGAGGGTATTCGGAGTACTCTGGACTCTATTGCCCTGACCGACTACCCCAACAGTCATAAAACGATTCTCGTGATTTGTGACGGTATCATCAAGGGTAAGGGAGAGGAGTACTCGACTCCTGATATTGTGGTTGGCATGATGAGAGACCATGTGATTCCTCCAGATGAGGTTCAGCCATTTTCATACGTCGCCGTGGCTACAGGCTCCAAGAGACATAACATGGCCAAGATCTACACTGGATTCTACGACTATGGTGAGACCTCTCTCATTCCTCCTGAGAAGCAGCAGCGAGTCCCAATGATGGTCATCGTCAAGTGCGGTACCCCTGCCGAGTCTACCCAGTCCAAGCCTGGTAATCGTGGCAAGCGAGACAGTCAGATCATCCTCATGTCGTTCTTGCAGAAGGTCATGTTTGATGAGCGGATGACCGAACTGGAATTTGAGATTTTCAACGGCATGTGGAATGTCACCGGTCTTCCTCCAGACTTCTACGAAGTCGTCCTGATGGTAGATGCCGATACGAAAGTCTTCCCCGACAGTTTGACACACATGGTCTCCGCTATGGTCAAGGACCCGGATATTATGGGTCTTTGTGGCGAGACCAAGATTGCCAACAAGACCGACAGCTGGGTCACCATGATTCAAGTCTTTGAATACTTCATCTCCCACCACCAAGCCAAGTCCTTTGAGTCCGTGTTCGGTGGTGTTACCTGTCTTCCTGGTTGTTTCTCCATGTACCGTATCAAAGCTCCCAAGGGCGGCCAGAACTACTGGGTTCCCATCCTAGCCAACCCCGATATTGTGGAGCACTATTCCGAGAACGTCGTCGACACCCTTCACAAGAAGAACCTCCTCCTCCTAGGTGAAGATCGATACCTAACAACCCTCATGCTCAAGACCTTCCCCAAACGCAAACAAATCTTTGTCCCACAAGCAGTCTGCAAAACTGTCGTCCCTGACAAATTCATGGTCCTTCTCTCCCAACGCCGTCGCTGGATCAACAGTACAGTCCACAACTTATTCGAACTAGTCCTCGTCCGCGACCTCTGCGGAACATTCTGCTTCAGCATGCAATTCGTCATCTTCATCGAACTAATCGGAACACTCGTCCTCCCCGCCGCCATCTCATTCACTATTTACGTTGTTATCTCCTCAATCGTCAAACGACCAGTCCAGATTATTCCTCTCGTTCTCCTCGCCTTGATCCTGGGTTTGCCAGGTGTCCTGATCGTTGTCACCGCTCACCGCCTCGTCTACGTCCTCTGGATGCTCATCTACCTTGGCTCACTTCCAATTTGGAATTTCGTCCTTCCTACCTATGCATTCTGGAAATTCGACGACTTTAGCTGGGGTGATACCCGAAAGACAGCTGGTGAAAAGGATAAGGGACACGGTGATGCTGAGGGTGAATTCGACAGCACGAAGATTACGATGAAGCGATGGCGTGATTTTGAAAAGGGTATGTTTTATCAACTTGATTCAATGTCCTTTGCTAATTAATCTATAGATCGACGACTACGAAATAGCGCTTGGCCTCAATCCTTACCTGGGAACGGGTACTCACATCATGAGGCATATTCGGACTATTAATGAGCCAAGGTCTTGGCGTTTTCGACTGTGATTTATTTCTATTTACATACCGAATCTCGGGGCGTTATGAGCTTCTTTCTTTCTCTTCTTTTTCTTCTTTTTTTTCTTCTCATTCATACTTGATTGATTTGCCGGAATTCAATTCATGGATAGGTTCTGCATGACTCGATGAGATAAATTTGTGTCATCACATTATTGCGGCTACATTTTTATTTGTTTTGATATTTACTTTTTCATTCTGCTATCGGTTCAATTTTACTGTACAGTGAGAATGTGAATCAACTTGAATGGGCTGAGCCTGTATTTGATAATTCTTTAGTGTTACATTCTTTCACAGATAAGTAGTCTACTGCAATCGAAAGCTATGTAGACTATGACATACGTATGGCCTTTCATATGATTACCAAAAAGGTTCCAAACTGTTATGCACAGCTCGAGCTCACATTTTAATCGAGGCAACGACACCTGTCCGATGGCGAAAGAGAACCATTGACTGAAAAAGGGCCTTTTTTTTCAGGACTTAGAATACACGGATGAGCCCGATCAAGCGAATATATGGATCGAATTATTCCCAGGTCTCATCGTCTGTCTCCCAGTCATAGCCATGGTAGGGTAGTAAGAATAGCACACCAACATCTAGATAAGTGTCAGCCTTGGCCGTCTTAGCTTATGTAGGAAACTTTCATTCCACGACAAGCGGCAGTCAATATATACAGAACCCAATGGCAGTGATATGTCAACTGGGTTACGAGTAACAACCGCATGCGGATACGGATCAAGGTCAACCGTGGTTGATATATGTCATCGGAGGGATATAGGCAATAGAAAGAAGATGACATTGACCTCAATGTTCTATCTGGACAAGCAAACAGACGGAATAGGTCACCTGACTAACCTACTATACTTTGATTACTGCAGCCTATTCTCAGTGATACCGCTCTCCGCACAGTTGGATCGAAACAAGGTTCCATACTCTTAGCCTCCGGGCTTACTTGACAAATGCAGACCAATGACACCAAACTACTCATGTAGTAGGTCATGCTCACATTCCACCATGCCTCGTATCGGTACCTCAGTGGCTGAGCTCAGGAATATCGCATGAGGTCCGGCGCTTACGTAGTGCCTCTCCGATCTGATGGACGGAATTCGAATAATCGACGTTATCGCGTCTAGTTCTCTTTTCGCTTCCAGGTTCCTCACAACTACCATTCGATCACAAAGGTCATCACTCTTGACCTCGATAACATCCATGATACATCCTCCTCTTGATCCTTGACTGAACATGCTACGAAGAAAGTTGATCCACGGTGCTTACAGAGTGGGATGGATATGTCCCTTGGAAGTGGAACAAATCGCAGCAATGGAGATGCTAGACGAAGAACACGAACCTCTACCACAACCGAGCGGGGATACCAACATCTACAACCTTGGCAGCATTAACAACCACAACGTTGTCATCGCCGGTCTCCCCAAGACAGGCAACTGCTCTGCGGCAACTGTTGTCACTCAGATGAGGATGACATTCCCAGCTCTGAAATATGGCTTACTTGTGGGTATTGGGGGCGGCGTGCCGGTAAAGACAGACCATGGGATGATCCGCTTGGGCCATGTGGTGGTTAGTGAACCTACAAGTATTCATTCTGGAGCAGTCCAATACGACCATGGAAAAGCGAGATTGGGTCGTTTTGAGCGGAAAGGCTCCCTTCCGCCCCCTCCTACTGCACTTTTGAACGTCGTAAGAGAGGTGGCTGTGCGACGTCAAAGGATGAATCATGATCCAATTTGGCAAAATGTCCAGCGGATTCAGACCCACCGTCGACATCTTCGCCGCTTCAAGTATCCCGGCCCCGAGAATGATCACCTCTATAAATCAGATTACCTCCATCAGCAGCAGGGGGCATTATGTGAAACTATATGTGACCCAAAGCAGCGTATCGAGAACCCTGTAGATGCTGAAGATGATGCATATGTCGTCGTACACAGAGGCACGATAGCATCCGGGGAATTGGTGATCAAGGATGCTACTATTCGCGATGAGCTAGCACAGGAACACGGGGTGCTTTGTTTTGAGATGGAAGCAGCAGGCGTTCTAACTGATTTCCCGTGTATGATCATCCGCGGGATATCTGACTATTGTGACTCGCACAAGAATGATAGATGGCATGGGTACGCGGCAGCAGTAGCAGCGGCTTACGCGAGGCAGCTGTTTATCCATATGGCCATTGAAGACACGCCGAGGTAATCCGTTCTTTCTTTTTGACAATGAAGTATGTCAGTATATTGCTTACACATGATTGCTTAGAGAAAATTACAACTTTGCTCTCCCGTTAAACCTATCTGGAGTCTTCGCAGTCAATGAGTTTATTGCTAGGAAAGATGAGCTCGGAAAGTTGCAAAAGATTCTTGAGGGCGATGGGCGTCGCACTGCAATTGTACGTGGATTGGGCGGTATCGGCAAGACGCAAATGACGATTGCATACATCAAGCAACATCGTAAAGACTTCTCTGCGGTTATATAGTTTAACGCAAAGGATGAACTGTGTCTAAAGCAGAGCTTTCTGAAAGCAGCCGAATGGATTCTGCGTCACCATCCCTCTATCGCTTACATCGCAGATGCCCTGGAGAGCCAGGATCTCGACCAAGTGGTAGAGGCCGTCAAGCGGTGGTTGGACGAGCCGATGAACCATCACTGGCTTTGCGTTTATGATAATTACGATAATCCTTTGTTGGGGGAGAAAAAGGAAACAGTGCACGTTTCTTGTGGTGCTACGGGCAGTCATAGTGAGAGCACCGAAGATGTCATGACGGCCTTCGATCTTCTTCCCTACTTTCCGCAGACTGACCATGGCGCTATCGTTGTGACCACGCGTTCATCTGCGATTAAATTTGGTGCAATTCTCCCATTGGGAAAGCTCCAAGACATGAATGATAGTCTGGATATTTTGGCGTCCACTTCTTATCGTGCTAGCTTCAAGGACGGTGAGTATTCTCGCCTCCCATAAGTTCAACGTTCATACCACTAATGCAATGCAGACCCAGCAGCAAATGAACTTGCAAAGAAGCTAGACGGACTTCCTCTGGCTCTTGCAACTGCTGGTTCATATTTGGACCAGGTGTCGATGTCCTGCACGGATTATCTGAAGTTGTATGACGAGTCATGGCTTCAATTACACGAAGACACACCGCAACTGCCTGCGTACGACAAAAAGCTATACTCGACTTGGAATGTTTCATACAGCTATATCGAACAGCAGAGTCCACTCGCAGCTAAGCTTCTCCGACAATGGGCTTATTTTAGTAATGAAGACCTATGGTACGAGCTATTGCGAGAAAGTATAATACAGAAGCCAAAATGGTTAGAGGAACTTACAAGTAGTACTCTGACATTCCATGGAGTCCTACGGCTTCTATCTAGTCATGGTCTTGTTGAGGCTTTGCCGCCTTCATCCCTGCAGCTGGAATCAAGAGGGTACAGCGTCCATGGGTGCGTTCATTCATGGATGATCCATGTACTGAATCAGAAGCCTGATGAGGAAATGATATTCACAGCCTTTCAGAGTGTGACCTCGCGTACACCGGAGCAGGATCAGCCCGAGATCTGGTCTATAGAGAGACGACTTATGCCACATGCAGATAGGTGTTGGGAGATTATGACAGGTTTGGAGGTTGGACACAATGCCCTGGCATTTTTGAATAATCTCGCGTGCCTATACTCAAGCCAATACCGTTTTCCAGAGGCAATTATGATACTCGATCGAGCACTTCAAGGTTTTGAAGGGGTGTTAGGACCGGATCATCTGCGGTCGATTGATACAGTTCATCACTTAGTGTCAATATACATTGACCAGCGCCGGTTCACAGATGCAGAGATGTTATGTGAGCGAGTACTAAAGGGATACGAAAAACTGTTCGGACCGAACCATCTGTCGACATTTGATGCGATCAGCAATCTTGGTGTAATCTACACGGAGCAACGCCGGTTTACGGAAGCAAAGGCGATGCTAGAGAGAGCTCTAGAAGGCAAAGAGAGGATCTGTGGACCGGAACACTCTTCGACGCTTTGTGCGGCTCTTGATCTAAGCACACTCTATATGAATCAAAGGCAATTTACAGAGGCAGAGGCTCTATGTGAGCTAGTGATTAAGGGCTATAAGAAGATATGGGGGCGGGGCTATAAAAAGACGTTTAATGCCATCTACCACCTAGGCGTCATCTACATGAAACAATGCCGGTTTCCAGAAGCACAGTTGATACTTCAGCCAGCACTACAGGACTACGAAAAGGAGTGCGGACCGGATCACAAACCTGCATTTAGTGCATTCCGTGCTCTGGGTTTACTGTGCCTCAGTCAAGGTCAATTTTCAGAAGCGGAGGCATTATGTGAGCAGGGGCTAAAGTACCAAAGGAGAATATGGGGGCCGGATCATATGATGACTCTTGGTACCATCGGTGACCTGGGCATCAACCACATGTATCAGAATCGCTATACAGAAGCAAAGCTGATGCTCGAGCGAGCACTCCAGGGATACGAAAAGGTGTGCGGGCCGCGCCACACATCTACGTCTCGTATAATCCATGCTCTAGGATGCCTCTACGTACATCAAGGTCAACTCACACAAGCAGAGGAACATGTTAGACGAGCGCTAGAAGGCGTTGAGTAGATATGTGGACCGGAACACGCATCAATACCTGATATGGCCACCAATCTAGGTATCATTTACGAGAGCCAAGGCCGGCTTATAGAAGCGGAGGCAATCTACGAGCGAGCGCTACAAGGATATGAAAAATGGTGGGGATCGGACTATGAATGGACGCATAAAGCAACCAAAAATATGGCCAGGATCTATGAGACGCAGGGTCGGCTCACAGAAGCGAAGGCAATGTATGAGCGAGCACGTCGCAAGGTGGCATAGGTTAATTTTGAGTATTTGACCCTGAGCATGGATTTTGTATTTGTGAAAGTAAAGCTAGAAAGGTAGATGAAGCTTTCTTAGATGGCCAAAGACCAGGCAACAAGGCAACTGTGTTTGTGGCCTCATAAACAAGGCAAACAACCCGATCACAGTCAGCTGACTAAGAGTCAAAGAAATGCCTGAAAGGGATTATAACTGAGATGGAAGTCGGACGTCTTCTCCAATAGCTGAACAGTTCCAAGTGGTCGCCTAGAACTTTATTCGGACACCTGCATCAGGGCTGGCGCATTTCCCCCCGTTAGCATTCCTTGGGTCCCCCTTTCGTCATCTTACATCCCGCTTATCAGTCTTGTTTTTGATCCTGGGATCAGATCACCCTACAGAGGACGGAGTACAGGGTAAACGGTTAGTCTTTCCCCTATGCGCCACTGTCTCCAAATGTACACAAAAGAAATGATGTTTCTACCGGGGTGGACTTCCCCCACGCATTTCTCATTCCCTTTGAGGATCCATTCCCATCCCCTCTGACACCGGCGCTAACCCGAAAAAACGGCTGTGCTGTGCTCAGTCCCATCCGTCACTCCGTCTAATTAACGGCCCGCACATTCCCATCCCCTCATCTTTCTCTTTCTCCTTTCCTAGAACTTCTCATCACCCCGCCACCCTCGTGCGGTACTAGCGATCTGATCGCCGACTTCAACCGTCGCGGCATTACGGCATTACTGTCTCACCCGCATTACTGTATCGGCTGGGGCCGAGTTGCGCCACGCAGAGTGGAGTCATCAGCGAGTCAGCTGCAAGTCGATTGATCAGTCAGTAAACCAGGATCTGATCCGTGATCCCGGTCGAACATCCTGCGCCAGCTCTACTTCTGCCCGTGTAACCCCGCTACCAATCAGTGGAGCCGGACACTTGGGATCAACCGTACCTTGGTGCGCATCGTGCCTGTCACATTTTCCCTCAACTTGCTTTTCTTACTTTCCTTTTTGTTTTCTCGCCATACGGGTTATTGCCTTCCCCCATGACGGGCGATGCTCGGTGACAGCAACTCTGCACCTATTCGTCCGTCCGGCCTGTATTCAGGCGCCCCGAATATAGCTCGAGATGCGTCATGTGATACCACAACTGTGCCAGCTCATCGAGGTATGAATAACGCTCCGTCAGATTCGACCGGCAGGCCCGCTGCTTCTGATGCTTCGAGTATGGACGTTTCACCTGCTTTATCGCCTGCCTCGCGGTGGACTGGGGTACCCTCCGAAGATGATCGGCGGTTACATAGTGTGGGAGTCGCCGCTCTAGCTGCCGTCTCACAGTACCCACGCCCTGTGGATGAGGGGGATTCTTTTTTAGTCTCAGAGGTTGTCAGTGCAATGACGAGCATTTCCCATCCTGCGTTCCATCGCTCCCATCTGGCAATGGAGAGTGATGGAGATAGCTCTGAGACTGACCAAGATGGAGGAGTGTACTTGGAGGCGAGCATGTCTGAGTCGGAGCCTTCCAGGTCATTGTCGGGTGATGATACCGGTATGGAAGACATGGAAGATTCGATTGAGCGAACTGTGACCTGGCAAAACACCGCTACAATCGCAAGTGCCCATGATCATTCCAACTTGCAGACGGACATGGTTATGGACTATGAGCCTCCCTTTGCGGACTATGCTTCGTCGCCGTCTTCCGGGTCCGATTATGACCTAGAGGATTTGCTCAAGTTTTATCCAGGCGAAGAAGAATACTTGCGCCAGCGCACAGCCGCTCGTTCCCCTGAGGTCTCTACGCACGATGTGAACCTGGACCAATTTTATGACCATGTCACTTATGATGAGCCTGACCTGGAAGCCTTACAGCCACCTGGTGGGACCACGGGCGAACCCCAGGAGGCTTTAGAAATCCATCCTGCATCCATCATTCATACAACCAGTAAGTCGGCAATCGACTAAATGGGAACTAGTCTAACAAGTTTAGCTTTCGAGCGAAATCACACCATTGATGAATTTATCCATCGTTGGATGGTTCATTCCCGCACTGTGCCTTCTGAATTTCACTCGGAGGGCAGAATTCCACCACAATTTCGCCCACTATCAAAAATGATCAACTGGAGGCCACCTCGAGATATCTACCGACCGCAAAGAACAAAGCGCGAATTTTTTGATCTCCAGCAGATTCCGTGGACCGAAACTTTGAAGGTGAAACGAGCCGACGCCCGTTCGCTTCGCGATGCTTGGTACACATCTTACCATAACGTTAATCATTCACACAGCAACCAAGCGGAGCGACTGCCAAGAAGAGAGTTGTTTTTCCGGGCGAAATCTATGCATACAGCGCACAAGGCTTCTATCGAGCACTTTCAATTGCGCAATCTGATGTCAGTTACGGCATACAATACTGTTCAGTTTGCCAGTCGGTCCAAAATCCAGTCGTGGACCCCATCCTTGGATAATTATAGCTCTGTCATTGATTTGAGTCGCCCAAACCCTGACGTGGGATTTCTTGGCCCGGTCAAGATTTCCAGCATGAAGTCTGGACACGGTCTTACGATCGCAGGCGGGTTCTGTGGTGAATATGCGGTACAGGCATCAGATGGACAGGGCTCCGGTGTGCGAGGCTTGGTGACGCCGGACTTTAATGACGGCATCACGAACCACGTGGATATCATTCGAAATCGGACCGGCCGATCGCCGATTTGCGTGTTTGCCTCGAATGATCGCCACTTGCGGATTCTGGACTGCGAAACCAATATGTTCCTGTCGGACCAGGAACTGTCGCGCCCGATCAACTGCACCGCGACATCTCCGGACAGTCGTCTCCGCGTGGTGATCGGCGACTCACCAGACGCGTGGATCATCGAGGCCGACACCGGCCGCCCGGTCCATCCGCTCCAAGGCCATCGCGACTTCGGCTTCGCCTGCGCCTGGTCTCCTGATATGCGCCACATCGCCACTAGCAACCAGGACAAAACAGTCAATATCTGGGATGCGCGCACTTGGCGTGTCCTCGAAACCATTGACTCTGACATCGCAGGCTATCGATCCTTACGCTTCTCACCGGTAGGCGGTGGCCCGCGCACTCTACTCTGCTGTGAGCCTGCCGACCGGATCTCTATCATTGATGCTCAACTCTACCAATCCCGCCAAGTGCATGACTTTTTCGGTGAGATTGGCGGTGCAGATTACTCCCCGGACGGCAGTACGATCTGGGTCGCAAACACAGACCCCCACTTTGGCGGGTTCATGCAGTACGAGCGCCGCCAATGGGGGAACACGTTTGGATTGGCCGATCTACCGAACGAGTGGCAGTACGAGTCAGACCTTGAGCGAGATGATCGGTGTCTGCTTACCTCGCAGGAGAGAAAGTTGCGATTCATGCGCAACTTGACCGATGAGGAGCATGATCAATTTTGTATTTGACGCGCATTTTCCGTTCCTTTTTCTCCTCTCTTTCTTTTATTATCTTTTCCCTTTCTTCATTCTGCCTTGCATCTGATACCCTGGGCTTTTTGGTGTTGTTGGATGTCTGCTACCTTTCCAGATAGAGTAAACCGCATATCGCATGGTCTGTCACACAAGCTAGTTATTTTCATATTATTTTGACATTTGTATCCACTTGGGGAACCTATAGGAAGTGCTACACGTAGTCCCATTTTTCAGCTGATCAGACTATTGATTTGGGTTCCAGGTTAGGCATGGTATCGCCTCAACATGCCAAAGCATGTATGCCTGGCATAGCATATAAGTACTCCATACTTCGTACCTACACGTGCATCCATTCCAACCAACTACTAGTTCGATAACGTCTTTAAACCCCGATCTGATCCAATCCAATAATTAATTCCATTAATTGCCCGGCTGAAAGCTGAAAGCTGAACTGGACCGATCTGGATCGGCTCCACCCGCCCCGCCACATCGCAGCAATCATCAAGCTCAACGTAAATAAACCAACCCCGCCCCCTCCATCTCGCCCTATTCCTTTCCCTTTCCTTTCCCTTTCCTTTTCCTTCCACCCATCCATCCCAAACCAATCTAAATAACTTGAAATTATCCAAAATGTCTTACGGCAGATCCGACAATAACCAAGAGTACGGCGGCGGCGGCTCCTACGGCGATAACTACTACGACCAAAACGCCAACTTCGAGGAGCAGCAAGGCCAAGGCCGAGGCCACGGCCAGGGCGGACACCACCAACGCCGCGACAGCGGTGAACAGTCCTACGGCCGCCAAAGCGAAAGTTACGGCCAGCAGGGCGAAGGCTACGGCCAGGGTGGACACCAACAACACCAACGTCGCGGCAGCGGCGAACAATCCTACGGCCGCCAAGGAGACAGCTACGGCCAGCAGGGCGAAAGCTACGGCCAGCAAGGAGAAGGCTACGGCCAGGGTGGACGCCAACACCAACGCCGTGACAGTGGTGAACAATCCTACGGCCGCCAAAGCGAAAGCTACGGCCAGGGTGGACACCAACAACACCAACGTCGTGGCAGCGGCGAACAATCCTACAACGACACACAATACAAAGGACGGGAGCAGTACAGTGGCGGCGACGATTTCTCCTCCGCTGCCCACCACGCTAACGAGCACCATGGCGATAACTCGCACGGTGCCATGTACGATAATGCGTTGTCTCACCTGAATCAGAGCAAGGCCAGTGGACAGTTCTCTTCTGATAACGAGGTTGATGAGGAGCATGCTATCCGGTCTCACCAGGCTATGTATGGTGGTGGAAGTGCTGAGGGTGAGAGCCATGATTCTTCGACTGTTGGAGCTGGTGCGGCTATGCAGGCTTTGAAGATGTTCAGTGGTGGCGGTTCTAGTGACGGGGGCTTTGATAAGAATAAGTTGATTGGCATGGCTATGTCTCAGGCTAGTCAGTTGTGGGATCAGAAGTCTTCTGGTGGAGCTAGCATGGTGAGTTTGTGTTTTGAGTTTCAGTTTTTATTGGATTATGGTGGATTGTGCTAATCTTCTTCTAGGGTGGTGACAAGCAGTCTGCTATTAACAATGCTGCTGAAATGGCTATGAAGTTCTACATGAAGAGCCAGGGTGGTGGTGTTGGTGGTACTGGTGGTGCTAGTGGTCTTCTTAGCTTGGCTGAGAAGTTCTTCTAAGCTTGACCTCTAGCAAGATAGGTTTACATCTCACCTAGTCCATAGGCTATGCTCGAACACCTGGATTATGGAATCTATGAACATAGGAACGAAACTATCGCGGACAGTATATATTGAACGTAACTTTCTAGTTTGTAGCTTACCAACAACCCTAGAAAGGAAGAAGGGAACAATGAAAATGAAGGGTAAAACAAAAACCCGGCTAGCCCATGCTCACACAGTAGACCAAAACCTGAATGCACGCATATGCCAGGGTTTACAAAAATGGGAAAACAATCACAGGCCTAACGCTAAGCGCAAAAAAGAAGACCTCTGAAAACTCGAAACCGACTGAAGGAAATCTCTTGAATCTACCAGTCGTCGTCATCCTGCTTTCCCTGCATAGCGTTCTGTCGCGCACGCAATGCCTCGGCAAGACCACCAGCCAGACTGGCATTGGATGTGCTATTCGGCGTTCCGCGGCCGCTTGCACCGGACGAATCACCCGAGTTCATGCTCACGGCACTGTCACGAGGAGCAGGAACAGGGGCGGTCTTCCGGCCAGCCATGTTAGGTCGCTTGATAGGGGGCGCGGGTGGAGCAGGTTTACTTTTCGCGGCGACCGCAGCTCCGGCTCCATTGGGGACAGGGCTTGGGGTTGCTCGAGAGACGGGAGGGGGAGGAGGGGGTGCGGGTTTAGGAGTCGCGGCTACTTGCTCTTCGAGGTAGGCTTCGGGAGTCCAGCCTTGAGCAGAGGTTGTCATATCCATGCAGAGCCACCATCCTGGGCAAATTAGCTTAGTTAAATTTGTAGAGGTATAGGGGACTAACCATTTCCTTCCTTTGATACAATCTGCACAACATCACCACTCTTAATAGACAATTCGTTCGCACGATCACTGTTAAAGTCATACAGGACCTTGGCCGTGTGTTTCTTCGATGCAGGAGGCGCGGGTGGAGGGGGTGGGGGAGGAGCTCGTGCAGAGCCTGTGGAAGAGGTGTGAGAATGTGAAACCTTGGTAGTAGCAACAGGCTGAGGGACTGGAACAACTCGGGGTTGCTCTGGCTGTGGGGCAGGGGCAGGGGCAGGTCTGGGTGTCGATTGAGGCAAGGGCTGTGCGGCAGGTACAGGTCTGCGAGCGGCAGCGGAGAGCTTCGACTGGCCCCCTCCTGGGCCACCGGGGCGGAGCAGCTTGCCCTTGGTGACTGGCCGAGCAGCAACCGGCTTGGGTCGAGGGGTAGGCTTGGAAACGGAGCTGGCTGGTTCACCGGCAGTGGTGTGGATCGTGCTACTCTTGTAGCTGTCGATATTGCTAGAGCCTGGGTCTTTGACGGCCTTGACCATGGCTAGCTTTCCAGGCTTCTTGTTGTATTCGATGCTCTCTCCGATCTTCAGGTTCAGAGAGCCTCGCAGAGCCGTGCTCAGGTGAGTGAAGAACTCGGTCTTGAAAACACAGTTGATCAATGGGTCTGGCTCTTGAGCACCAATTACCAATGAGAACCAGTCATCCTTCAGGTTGGAGGTGCTGACCGCTTTAATGGCCCCGATTGGAACGGTGCGTTCGGACGAAATGACAAGTTGGTTGTTAACGATGCCCTGGGCCACAATGTACACATGTCGGTTGGTCAACACAATAAACCGAGGAACCTGTTTGCTGGAGCGACCAAACTTGGACTGCAGTACTTCTCCGCGGCAAGAGAAGAGAACCTCTTCTGAGCCGCTGATGTTGCCACCGCTGCGAATCATTTCACCTGGACCACCGGTATTGCCCACGCCAAGGTAGTCACCGAGGAAGCGACGCGAACCAAGAAGACTCATTCTTCGGCGCTCCTTACGGCCTTGGAGAAGTTTATGTCCCTGGTCACGCACTTTGATGAATTCCAAACCACCGGTCATGCGGCGCCAGAACCGCTGGATCCGAATAGCGCACTCGATACGGTACCTAAGGTAATTACGCCAAGCGCGCTGGATGCGAATGGCCATGTTATGCCAGTAACGGTCGCGCATGGCCTCAAGGGCAAAGAGGGTCTCGGGTGTCTTCACAAAGACCTTGGTGATACCCATCTGGTACTCCTCTGCAGGGATACTGGTATCCTTCAAGATCTGCTTGGCACCCGATTCTGCATCGCCAGTCCATGTGTAGTCACCAGCGTATGAAGTTTTGGGAGACAAGAGGTAGAATCGTTCGACAAACTTGTCAAAGGTCTGACGATAAGCAAAACCAGCACGACGAATGCGCACGTTCTCCTGGAGACCAAGGTATTTGATCTGATGCAGCACATTGCCGACATTGTACTCCTTAGGGGCCTTGTTATCGTTGGGCTTGATGGTTCGGATGTAAGAGGGTTGCGCCTTCATCAGCGTAGCAACAAGGTCGTTGGCCGAGGCCTTGATCTTGTCACCTGCGGTAGGCGGGCGACGCTTATCATCCTGGTTCACCTGGTTGGGGAAAAGATCGTGAACGAACTGGTTGCTGCTGGATCCAGCCAGGTTCAGGAGATCCTTCAGCAACTGATCCTTGTTCTTATCGGTCATACCCTCAACGGCGTAGCTCACATCACCGGCGTAGTGCTTGATAATGAACTGGCCTTGGCGTCCCTCGAAATTAGGGTTTTGAGAAAGGAAGTTTAGACGACCAACGAATGTGTTATCGGCAGCGCCGGAATCAGCGTGAGCCGTGGCACAGGCATCGTTCAGGGCGGCGAAAACACCAGGAGGGCGCTTGTCCTCGATCAAAGAGCACACCACCTTGTTATCGAAGTACTTGATGGGAGTCCATTGGATCTGCTCGCGAGCATACTCATCTTGCTCGGCCTTCAAAGTCAACTGGATGAAAATCTGCTGCAGCTTCTCATTGACATAATTGATGCAAAGCTGCTCAAAGGAGTTCTTCTCGAAAATCTCGAAACCGTAGATATCCAAAATACCAATGGAGTTGGCCACAGTTCCGCGAGCAGCCAACGACTGGTTAACACGGGCCACAATCCAGTCAAACAGATTGAAGTAAATCGCCTTCGCCATGGCATCCCGAACAGCCGTCGCTTGCACGGTGTTCAGCGGGACTTCGTAGATAGAGCCCCTGCGGCCTCCGCGCGCAGTCTCCATCAGACGAATCGTGAAAGCCTTGTTCACTTGCGCGGCATCCACCTCCAACAGATATGCGACAAAGTCAACCACGGACTGATCCGTGATAGAGGCATTGCCGGAGTCATCTTCAGTGAATTGAACATTACCAATCCACAAAATAGCCGCCAGCATGCGGAAAACATTGTCCTGCTCCGCCTCGGTCATTCCAATCATCTGCATCGCATCCAATGTATCTTTGAACTCGCCCAAATCATCGATTCCAGGAACGTCAAAACATTTTGATCGGCTCGTGTAGAGGTAGGATTGCGGCTGCTGAATACCGAAGCTGTCTCGGTACTTCTGGGGTGCACCCTTGGTAAATTGGTAAAAAATGTGGAAGTTTCGCTCGTTGGTGATCTGGCCGACAACTCGCGACTTCTCCAACAAGTAGTTTGTAATGTTGGCTCCGACAGGCTCACCGTTGGCATTGAACTCGAGTTCGAGGTACTTGCCGAACCGGGAAGAATTGTTATTGCGCAATGTTTTCGCATTACCAAACGACTCCAGCAGAGGGTTTGTGGCTAGTACCATGTCCTTGGTCTGTTGAATTGACGAGTCACCACCTCCAGACACACTGGCGATATACTGCATGATGCGCTTGGCAGCCTCAGTCTTTCCAGCACCCGACTCTCCCGAAATAATAACACATTGGTTGTCCTTGTAGGATTTCATGTTGTAGTATGACGATTCGGCGACTCCGAATACGTGGGGAGGGACCTCGAGACGGTTCTTGCCGCGGTAAGAATCGAGTACCTTATCGGTATAAATACCCACTTGACTGTGTTAGTATTTTGGTTTCCGAAGTATCCCAGGGGTTGCAATCCATCACTCACGATCTTGGAACGGATTGACCGAGACCAACACATGGCCAATATAGGTCTGTTCGGACACCTGTCAGCCTGCCCCTGCGCGCATCCCCGCGATAGAGTCCCTTACATAAATCTCGCCATGCTCGAATCGTAGTTTCAAATTATCGTTGATTGCCTCGTTGGAGATCTTGCTCAGCAGTGTCAAGTCCGAAACTCCGATCTCCTTCTTCTTAGAAGTCTCAAAGGTGGCCTTTTTGATCTGTGATTTTCCGGATTGTCTGCCATCGCCAATATCAGCGGCTCCTTTAGAGCGTCCGAATCGACTCTTCTTTTCCCCGCCTTGCGGGCGTCGTGATTGACCCTAAGTCGGAACCGCGGGGTCAGTGCCGGAACTTGGATGTGTCAACGGGGGGTTGTCTCCGGAGGTTCGGCTCACCATGATATGTCAAACTCCCGGATCTCGCGCCCAGGCGACAATGGGGAGGTCAAAATAAGGGAAATATGTTTAGGAAGAGAGCACTAAAGAGTGGGTGTTCTAATCGCCAGGAGGAAGGGCGGACTTACGTACACAGACAAACCCAATCAAACAAGCTGCGCCACACTTAAAGGGTCTGGATCGGCTGTTGCCTTAGGGGCGAAATTGTGTTATCACTGGTTCTTCATTTACCCGCATTTCCACATACATTCAAATTTGTTCCAATTATATTCATCCTTTTCTCTAACGTGTGCCTTAACTAGTATGTGTTCATAAGGCTGTGTGGCTCGTGCGTGTCATAAATAGCAACACCGACGTCATTGGGCATACACCGAAGGCACGTTCGTAAGCGCTCGAGTCCTTGCGTCCGTTTGCTGCCAGATGGTAGATTTTTAAGCGCCTCCAAGCCTCGTATACCATAATACTCATGTTGACAGATATATTGTTATGAAGTATAGGTGGCAAATACTCCACGGCTCCGCACGGAAGTGATTAATAATAATTGTGATAATTGTATTAGATATCGGGATCACGATGTGTTGATAGCTCGTTATGGGAGTATCTAAGGGGCATCCAAGAGCATCGTCACCCTTTCTTCATTTCCTCCATCACAGCTTGCGTGTATTGAGAACACAACCGGTCGATAGTGCTTAGGTAGCTGCCGAAGAACGTTCTACCGTCACATCACTATGGCCAGACAGAGAATGGAATTCGGTATGGCTCCACACAAATGAAACGAACACAGAAGCGATCAAAGATCGATAATAATCAAATTGCTGAATAAGCGAGCATATCGAATCAACTGTGGTATTGATAGTGCTATGGGAGACCCTTTACAGTTGTAGGCTCCCTTCATTGAACCAGTAGTTGCAGAAGGTTGGAAAAGATGGTTGAAAGAACAGAGTTGGGAAAAAGTGTTAGAGGGAAGTGATGACGGTGATTAGACGAAAGTGCAAGATGAGCTGTAATGTACAAAATTCTAAGGAGCTCAGAGATGAATAAGTAGAGAGGGTATAAACACCAACAGAAAGCCACACGCACCACTTTCACCAATGGCTCTAATCGACAGCACCCAGATATTAACAACGTTAAGCGCTCTATATATAACATGCAATGAAGTCTTATTCCGAATTCTTCGACTCGGATGCTTTATTTGGTCCAGGCGAAGCAGATTGCTCACCAGAGCCTGTGGCTTTTGAGTCTTGCGGTATTTGTGAAAGGGTTTGGGGAGTCGGTCGGGGTTTGTTTGATTCCCTGCCAAACGAGAAGTACGAGGTGACAGTCGACCACCAGGTTTGCTCTACCTCGGGCTCCTCCAACTCCGGCTCTTTTTCCCACACTGCCCGCGGTAAGATACGGTGTGTCAACTTGGGCTTTTCGCCACGGGCAGCATGCAATGCCAGCAGCTCCTTCTCCAAGGCAATCAAAGCTTCCCTAGCCATTTTCTCCGATTGCTCCAGCTCAGCAAGACGTTCCTCAACGCCTTCTCGACGAGTACTTTCCTTCCGACGGGATCGCCATGCCTCGAAGATAATCAGCCCGCCGGCCACCATGAAAAGAAAGCTTTCGCTAATGAAATTTGCACCGGACTCGATTGCTTTCGACTCGGTCAGGGGTCGGATACGGTAGTGGTGAGGCTTTGCTGCTTCTTCCGCAGCAGCTTTTGCTTTGGCTTGTGCATGCTCCTCTGCTTTGGTCTCGGCCTCTGTCTTTGCTGTCGGGGACGTGGGGATGTGTTTTTTCGCTTGTGCCTCGGCGGCAGCTTGACGCTGTGAGGCAGAATTGTCTCGAATTGAGCCTAACCGTAGGCGCATGTCAAATCGGTGGAGGGCTTGTGCCATTGACACACAAAGGTTGCGGAAGCGTTCATGTTCACGAGCTTGAGCTTTCAGTCGAGTCTGCGGATCGTTGTCAGTATTGCAGGCAGACTTAGAACGCTTGTAGAGCATACCGCGATCGGTTTAGATAGGGTGCGAATCGCTAGAGACGAGAGTTTCAATGTAAGGGACATGGTGGAAACGTTGGAATGTGTGATCAAGACAAAGCTTGCGTGGGCCTGGAGCTTGACTCACGCTGTGACGTTGATCAGGTACTGCCCCCACTGTACTTCGTACTAAAGGGGATTAGTCTTTGATGACTCAGCGAGGCAATCCAACTTTCAGCAGATTCCATGGTTATCCATGAAAGTATAGAATGCTAGTACTAAGCTAGATATTAAATGATTGTGTCTAAAATATGCCGATTGTGTATGTGGGATTACTGAGATACCTTATCAGGCGGGTCTTTGGAACCTGGCGGTGAATAGTGTAGAATCATGTACTCGCTATAGAAAAGAAAATTTGGGTTTAATTCTTTCACTTTGTATGCTTCAATGTTGACAAATTTTTATTTTGCACAGTGCAGCCCTGTTTTGAGATCTTGATGGAGATCATTTTATGCAAGGTAGGAGCCTTTTTCCACACAGAGGAAGGGTTGACAATATGTAAAGGAAGTGCAAGAGAAGAGTGGCCATGATCTACAAAATATATATACCAGCCCGGAACATCGATTTAATTGAAAAATGACATAGCCTTTTCAGGTGAGCAAACAGCCAACCTTGGGACTCGGCATGGAAATAACTAGTAGCTATATAGATAGTTAAAAAAAATCCAAAGACATCAATAAACCCGGTGCAGTGTTTTTTAAGGAATAAGTGAATATTCCAGATCATCAACAACTGGAGTGAATGCGGATGACACGTGATGGATTACCTCAGCATTGGTGTTTATCGATTTCCGAATCAGGAAATCTATTATGGTCCGAACTTCTGCACTTTAGCTTCAATCCTTCCCCACTCCAACTCTCGGTCGGGTTGTGCTTTGTGGCTCTGTGGGTGATTTGTACAGTCTCTGTTTAGCGCTTTGCATTCTGGTATGTTCTCTCACCTCATCCGCCCTGAATTGATTTACTTAGTTTCGTCGGTTTGCCGACCGAGTGGAGCTCGATAAGCAGAAGCTGAACTTTCGGATGCTTGCAGGGATACCAATCTTGCTCAACTTGATACCCTCATCGACTCTACCTGCTTAATATTTGTTACTCAATGACCTTAATGCCTGCAATTTCCTGAGTTCGATCGCAAAATCACTGCAACAGCTATAATACCGGTTGCGAAACCTCGAACGAATACTTTTCATAATGGACGCTCTCTCACCAAGATCAACAAACCAAATTATCAAGCCCAAACTTGCCATGGATCGGAAAGTCGTCAACAAACCCGCCGCTGCCGGTCAGAAGGCTCCCTCTAAGAATCATGCCGACCCCCCACCTCCGTTGGTCCCAGAACCTGCGGATAGTGGAGAGCAATATGCGATAGGCGCATTCTTAGGGAAAGGCGGATTCGCTGTATGCTATGAAGGCACACTTGCGCGGAATGGCCGCGTGTATGCGATGAAAGTCGTCAAGTCTCAGATGCCACAAAAGAAAATGGAAGAAAAGGTAGGCATGCTGTTCAGTCGGTGGAGGTAAAGTTGCTGATGATATGACAGTTCCGGACCGAGCTACAGATTCATTCAAAAATGCGCCATCCATTCGTTGTGCAGTTTTACCGCGCTTTTGCATTCGAGCAAAGTACCTACGTGGTACTGGAGCTATGTCCGAATGGGTCAGTGATGGATATGGTACGGAAGCGACGATACCTATCATTACCCGAAGTAAGACGGTTCATGATTCAACTTTGCGCCGCCATGAAATATCTACACAAAAGATTTGTTGCGCACCGTGATTTGAAAATGGGGAACCTGTTTCTCGACCAATACATGAACATCAAAGTCGGAGATTTTGGCCTGGCCGCTATGATTCTCTCAGACAAGGATGCGAAAAGACGAAACACTTTATGCGGAACACCAAATTACATCGCCCCGGAGGTTCTGGATAAGAGTAAAGGTGGTCACACGCAAAAAGTGGACATCTGGTCTCTCGGTGTCATTTGCTTTGCCATGTTGACTGGTTTCCCGCCGTTTCAATCCAAAACGCAAGAGGAGATTTACAAGAAAGTTCGAAATCTGGCCTATGTGTGGCCAAAGGATTCGGAAAATAACAATCACATTCCCGAAGAGGCCAAGGACCTAGTTAGTGCTTGCTTGAATCTCGTCGATGAAGAACGCCCAGACCCAGATGACATTGTCGAGCACCCATTCTTCAACATGTACGACGGATGCATTCCTCGCCAGTTGGATCCCGCCACGCGTTTCACCAAGCCAATTTGGCTGAAGGATCAGGCTCCAAGAGGTGACGTGATGATCAGTGGTTATGGTTTGGACTCCGACGAGAAGCTGCGTGGCTATGTATACCAGGTGGATGATCCGAGCCAGCGCTATCACTCTTGCAAGGCAGCGTTTTACTCACTGTGCGGTGTTGGGCGGAAACCTGATGGGACCGCTCGCAAGTCTGTGGGGCGAAATTGCTCAAAATCTGCCTATTCTGAGTGCGAGACAGAGGATGCAAGAGGTCTGCGCCCCTCCGTTCCATTGCCTATGGACTTTATCTATCAATGGCCCCATGACCTCGAGGGCGATTGGTGTCTTGCGGAAACATCACGAAAAACGGTCCCCAGTGTTGATGGTGCTAGTGACAGCAGTATATTATCATCTCGGCGAGCTGTATCCGCTCGTACTAATCCATCAGCCACGCGAACAAATGCGGCTCTTGCTGCGGCCCAACAGCGCAGAATGGAGCCTCAAAGTCACGCCGCGACACTTCGCCAGCAGGGTCGAGTTGGCATGGTCTCTCCTCGCAAGATTCCGGGAATGGGTGAGCAGGAGCCAGCGAGACCTTACCGGGAAACCCAGGAGCCCCCTGTACCACCAGTCCCTAGTGTACCTTTGGGTGGGCTCGCGGAGCGGCCCATCCGAACTCGACGAATGGCATCGGCCTCCCAAGCCCAGACCCGGGATATTGAAAGACCGCAGTTGACCAAGTCAACCAGCATGCCATCGGGGTTGACCATTGGCAAGACTCGGTCTCAGTCTCGTCGGCTGGAGGCCGCTGGTCAAGGACCTATGTCGACCGAACCCAAGTTACCGCGATTGGAGGAAAGATTAGCTAGCCGACAGCCAACCTTACGATCATCTCGACCGGAGCTAAAGATTGCTCCCGAAAGAGCAGAACGACCAAAGGTCATCAGCCCCACCGAATCAGTATTCACATCCAGCACGCAGTCAAAGCCGGTAACCACGTCTCACGGAATCGGTCGGACCAACAGCAAGGGAAATTCGTCAACGAAGCCTCGCTCTAGTCTGGGACTTACGCCTCTCTTCCACAGCGAAGATGTTTGCGAGATCTTGCCAGGCACTTCTTTGAGCGAAGTCAACACGGATTTGCGCCTTATGTTGTCGAATCTTGTTAGCCAATCTACCCGCCGCCGAACAGGTCCTCGGAAGCAGCCCCACGCATATGTTATCAAGTGGGTTGACTACACCAATCGATATGGCATCGGGTATGTACTGGATGATGGTAGTGTTGGGTGTGTTTTCAAGGGAGAGAACGGCCAGCCGGCTTCCAGTGTGATTGTGCGAGACGGTGAAAGACACATACGCCGTAAAGCGCGCAGTGCCGATAATGGCGAGGAGAAAGGTATTCCATACTCAGAAGCTGAATACCTGATTCCCCGCCATGGCAGCCCTGTAGAATTCTACGAGAACCACGATGACGATCTGCTGGGTTGCCGTGGTATCCGGCGAGGATTCATCTCCCCATCTTTGTTCGATCCCAGAACCTCGAGGGCGATGAGATTACGCGTCAATACGGGGACAGAAGCTGACAAAGCTGATATGGAGAAGATCAAGCGAGTGAAGTTGGTCGATCAGTTTGGAAAGTACATGATTGGATCCCTGGGTCGCCATGGCGATGATGGCAGCGATCACGTCTCCAGCCACATCAGTGGTCAATTCATCAAGTTCTATCAGCGACTGGGCAATGTCGGTATCTGGGGATTCGGTGATGGCGCTTTCCAGTTCAATTTCCCGGATCATACCAAGCTGGTCATTGCTCCGGGTCGTACCCGGAGCTCTTCACCGTGGATCGACTTCTATCATCTTTCACCCTCTGCTGCACGCTACTTCTCCGCGAAGGGGAAGATGCATCCGGCTGGATTTGACACGCGCGCTGTCGCGTCAGATGAAGCGGCCACTTTCTTGAGCATTGTCAACGGAGAGTCCCTCAACTCCGTCGAAGACCGTATCCGGGAGATCTTGGATGCCAATTCCTTCCTCCAGAAAGTCAGCTTCATTAAGGATGTGTTGAAGGTCTGGATCAAGCATGGGCGTCTTGGTGGTCGTCCTATGTCCAGAGGGCTTCCAGGCGATATACCCCCAGAAATGTTCTGGCAAGGTACTCAGGAACGGTCGCAAAGCGGCAGCTCTGGGACCAAGTTTGTCTGGGTAACCGTCGGAGCTCCTGATGGTGATGGAGAGTATCGGTCGGTAGTGCTAAAGGAGAATGACAAAGAAAAGCTGGAGAAACGGGGAATGGAAGTGGATAAGGAGGTGGACATGTTGAAAGAACGACTACGAGTAATGGGTCGTTAATTTGTTGTCTATTTTGCTATTTCACGACGATATGACCTTGTTTTTGATTTGCGTTTGATATTGATAGCCGGCAATGGCATTTGAATTCATAATTCCCATACCCTTGTCACTTAACGTCACTTAACCCCTCAGTGGGCCAAATAAGCCAAGTATGTAAGACTAGCCCATGCAACTCCAAACCCTGCTCGGATTTCTGTCCTCCGACATTCTTTAACTCTGAAGCCGTTTAGACTCTGTATTTCACGTCTTCCCATAGGCCTGATTGTTCCGATCATACGACTCTAGCCTGGCCCGCATGCAAACTATAAGAGTGGTTGGCAGCCATTACCACCCATCCTAAACAATATGCAGAATCCATCCTGTCTCCTGTATGGACCAGCCGATATCCGTTTCGAGGATCACCCTCTCCCAACCATAGAAGAGCCTAACGATGTAATCATCCGCATCGCCTACATCGGCGTCAGTGGCAGTGACGTATGCCCCCTGCGCAGCATCAATAACCCCAAACTAACCTCATCAGGTCAATTTATGGCTTGACGGCGGGATCAAAAAGGGAAATCTGAAATTATACGTCTCAGAAGACGAACCTCTCATCATGGGCCATGAGGCCTCTGGCATCGTCCACGCCGTGGGTCCTGAAGTCTTCAACCTCCAACCAGGGGATCCTGTCGTCATCGAACCAGGCACACCCTGTCGAATTTGCAGTCGCTGTAAATTGGGGAAATACAACCTATGCCCCGCTATGAAATTCGCCGCCTCCCCGCCTTTTCATGGGACGTTGACGAAGTATTACAAAATCCCCGCTGATTGCTGCTATAAGATCCCGCCTAGTGTGGGAATCTCCTTTGGATTGGACGAAGCTGTGCTCATTGAGCCGCTCGCAGTGGCTGTTCATGCTGTTCGCCGGGTGTGCGTGCAGCCGGGCGATAAGGTAGTTGTTTTCGGCGCCGGGACGGTGGGATTGCTATGCGCGGCTGTTGCAAGGGAATTTGGGGCTTCGACCATCATGTCGGTGGATGTCAGTCGTGGTAAGCTTGATTTTGCACACTCGTTTGTTCCGAATGGACGGTTGTCGTTCTCGACTGCTATTCCTAATCAGTCGCTTTCGTCTGAGGAGAATGCGCAGTGCTTGAGGGGGATGCATCGCAATTCGCATTTTACAGAGTCGGATGTACCGGGCTTTGATGTGGCGATTGAGACGACTGGAGTGGAATCTTGTATCCAGATGGCTATTCATGCGCTGAGGGTTGGGGGGTCGTTTGTGCAGACTGGGCTTGGGAAGAGGAATGTTGCTTTTCCCATTGCTTCGGTCTTGGAGAATGAGATTAGTGTTCAGGGGTGCTTTCGGTATGGAGCGGGGGATTTCAAGATGGGGCTTGAGTTGGCTTTTACGCGGAAGATTGAGTTGAAGCCTCTTATCACTAAGATTGTTGATTTTGAGAATGTCGTTGAGGCCTGGGAGACTACGGGGCGAGGAGAGGGGATCAAGACGTTGATTCGGGGGGTTGGATATACGGATGATTTGGAGGATTTTGCATCAGAGAGGAATGGGACTTCGAGATATGGCTCTCGAGGTCGTAGCATGTATGAGTGAGGATTATATAGTCATTAAGCTAAATTATCTAAGTACTGTACATAAGGTCGTCAATCATCAGGTTCCAGGTTCGCCATCACCATGCTAGTGGATTCTCCTGCTGCATCGCTTGATCGGCACGCGCCTCGACGTCCTTCTCACTATCAAGATTGTCCTTGCCATCACGTAGACCTTGGGAAGTCTCCAGGGCACGATCCAGATCATAGGACTGAGTCAACAGACTGAACAACAAAGCAACACCTGATATAGCACAGCAAACGACCCAGACAATGCGCAGACTGTCTGTGTACGCTTCCTTCAGATTCAGCTTTGTGGCCCCATCAGCCATGCCCTTGATAACTTGCACCAAACCCGACGCATCCTTACTATAAGCGCTAGCCATAGGCGCCAGAGCAGGGTATTTGAGCAAGTTTTTGTACATCCGATTTTGGAAGATAACACCACCGACCGCAACACCAATCGCCTGTCCCAAGGCACGGAAGAAGCTAAACATAGCAACGGCGATAGCCAGATTCTCCGGCTCAGCGGATGCCTGAACTGCGTATCCGAGAGATGGGAACAAAATCCCCAGCCCAAGGCCCGGGACGAGGTTAAGCAGAATCCAGCCATAGGTACTGGTCTCCACCTTGATCAACCACATCAATCCCAGTCCAATCGTCGAGACAGTCCAGCCTAGCCAGATAGCCCAGCGGTAGTGTCCCGTCACCGTAATCAAGATCCCGACAACCATGGCACTGGGTGCAACGGTAAATGTCTCAGGGAAGAGAGCGACACCCGAGAGGATGGGACTGAATTCTTTGACGGCTTCGTAGTATAATGGTAGGTAGTAGAGTGTGCACCATAGGATCAAGCCTTGGAGAACACTTCCAATGAAAGAAACTGTTGCTGTGCGGTTTATGAAAATCTTGGGCGGGATGATTGGGTCGGAAGCAAAGCGGTACTCATAGAATGCGAAGACGAAGAGACCTGCAGCGCCAATGATCAAGGGGACGAGAGTGTGCCATGAGTTCCATGCATAGGAGATACCACCCCAGGTAATCGGAATCAGGAAAGACGACAGACTTCCCACGAAAAGTACAGTCCCGATATAGTCAATTTGGCGCAGTTTTTCAATTAGAGATCCGGGAAGAACCTTCAAGTTCAAGAAGAGAAGGACGAAGATTGCACCAACTCCAATAAAGGGAAAGTTGATGTAGAAGATCCAACGCTGGATGATATTAGTATACTTCAATGTTAAAGCTCTGGCTTACTTACCCAGGTCACATTCTCGGCAAATCCGCCGCCCAAAATAGGACCTGTCACTGATCCAAGACTCCACATTGCGCTCATGATTCCAAAATATTTCCCGCGATACCGGAGTGGCACGATATCAGTAATGACGATTTCACTCAAAGCGATGATCCCGCCACCACCTACTCCTTGGATGGATCGTCCAACGAGCATATAAGTGAAATTTTTTGCGACTGCCGCGACGATTGCGCCAACGCAGAAGAAGAGAATGGCGACTAGGATCATTGCGCGACGGCCAAACATATTAGAGAACGACGCGAAGCTCGGTTGGAATACTATCAGATATTAACTATGAATTTTAAGGCAGATTAAAGCCGAGTGTACCTGTAGAAGTCAACAAGAAGGAGGTACCACTCCAAAATGCTTCGATGGCTGTCCCATCCAGCTCTTGGGAGATGGTCTGACTTGGTAAGCTTGAGTCATGACACTATTGAAGGGAAAAATACCGGTAGAGCCACAGAGAGAGAAGTTCCATCCAGAGCCGCCATCAAGGTAAGAACGGCCAAAGTGAAAAACACGAGCACGCCTCGTCGACCAAGTTTGAATCCATTATCGGGATCCGTCATAACAGAAGAAGGCTTACTAGGACTAATGGGACCTGGCTTCTCCGACCCGGAGGACGAAGGATTCACAGAGGAAGGCATCCCGTGAGAACTTGGAACCTTGAAACCTTGAAAAGTATAAGATTAGTGTATGCAAATAATGAAGCAAGGGAGCATCTCAGAGAGCTATATACATTAGATCGGATTTTAGGAAACCCAAATCCCATTCCAGCCTCAAAGGGATCCACAGATCAGAGTTTCATAAGGAATTAGTTCACCCGCTAGCTCCAGACCGGGATAAGCTCAAGCCGATTAGCCTCTAATAGTTGACAATTGATGTTGAGATGGATTGGAAACATGCCAAGAATCGGGCTAATAACCGGCCGAAGCGGCGATCGGTGTAATCTCTTAGGCCCACGGGCCCGCGGACTTCATGTGGATACCCGCGATCAACCACGCCTGATCTAATCTTTCTTAAAGTAAGCGTCATTTTTGACGACACGGTGTTTTCCGACAAGGCTGCATGTCAGCCTTAACGTCTTGGTGGCGTTGAATTACGTGGCTGATCGGAGTTTCTACCCGACATGCGTCTTATATTCTGCATATTGTCCGTATTGACAACAACTGGGCTACACGTCAATCTGACACCTCATCTGGTCCAAGCTGGAAGTATAAGATCTGGATGGAATCTGCGAAAATCACACCGTACTTTCTTGACTCTGAAATAGGCCAGCACTGCCGCTGCGTGACATGTCATATTGGCAGACCCGGGGAGAGATCGGGGAGACATTCCACTTCGCGCTACTGCAGAGCCTGCCACTCACTCTGAACAATAGCCGGCAACTCAGCGACCAAACTTGGGCGCGAAGGATTCCATCCCAGAATCTTACGCGCGCGGCGGGCACGACCGCGAGAATTCATCCCCCAGCTCAGCGACTCAAAACCAGCGTATCGCTTTGCACTATCCAGATCGATTGGTTCGGCTTTCACCTCTGGCAGATACCCCAGTCTCGTGGCTGAATCCACCGTCTGCTGCGCCAATTCTCCCCAGACATGTTCCATGTTCTCGGTAAGATAGTAAGCCCCCGCACCCCAGAGCCCATCATCAGTCCGACCTGCAATGGCTGCATCAACGAGCAGCGAATAGACGTCACTTAGATCGTGGATGTGGACGTTATTCCAGAGCGACTGGCCTGCTCATATGATAGGGCCTTTTTGTAACTGAAGCGTTACTTTTGCTAACGCATAGACCTGTCGACCGCGTTGCGAACATGGGCCCCGGCCTCGACCTGTAAAATAAAATGTGAGTCTTGACCCTTGCTGACGGGGAGATTCAGGGATCACCGTAGATAGTCGGTGGGCAGACTAGAGCGGTTTTAAGCACATCCGCATGTTTCGTACCGGCCTCTAGCACGAGCTGGTCTACATTGTGATGGAATGCATGGTCGGGAAGTGTCAGGAGTTCTTCAACTCCATCCCAGTCATCGTATACTTTCTCGCTCTTGTTACCGTAGATACCGCTGTCGCTGCGAATGTTAAGATTCCTGTTCCGCCTGTGTGTAGCCAGTAACCTGGGTTTTCTTTCGTGTGGCCAGCCACTAGACCTGCGGCAATAGCCTTTGCGGCGCCTGCATGGTCGGAGGCGTCTGCGGTTTCTGAGTTTTGTTAAATTTGTTGTGGTTCAGTGAGGCTGGCTGAGAATTTACGGAGGACGATATCAGCTGCGGCACTTTCTCGCTCTAGAGGAGCTGAATTACCGAGATCACCGAGGACAATACGGATGTTTGGGTATTGGGCTTTGACCTGCTCTGCTTTTCCTGTGGTGCGAACCAGTGCAGAGAAGGAGAAATTCGGATGCTTTGCAAACAGGGTGGCTAAGGCGTCTCCGGCAATGTAGCCCGTCACACCGGTTCTGTGGTCATATTAGAATAAGGACTGTGACGCCTTGAGTTGATCGAACTCACAAGAAAATCTTGGTCATGTTGTGTGATGTCTGGTTTTCTGTATGACGTCAACACGCGAGGTGCGTGGTTTGAATCAAGAAGAAGGTTTATTAGCTGGCCCCGGAGACGGTGAATCAAACAAATAGTATACATGTTTGGGATTTCTTCAACTTGCTGAATGATGATGATAGCCGGGGATTGCCTTCTATGACCCCGCATGAAGCAATTGTCGAATTTGTAAGCGAGTGGGGTTGAAGCCCAGATCGCATCAACGTCTTTCAAGTTTCTTGATGCAGAGAAAGGGAGATTATAATGGAACAGCACGCTGACATTGGCTTTTGATAATACCGGACGGAACCAACGCCGTTACGAGCTGTTCTTGCCTGGGAAATCCTGGGAGTCAAAATCAAAATAATTCAAGCTTCGATCTGATACGGCGAATTAGATTACTTGGATTTATTGCTCACTACACTTATTCGCCTCATGACCTCAGTGATGGACTGGCTGTAGTACAGAGGCACCATGACCCTAAAGTGACCATATCTGTTCTCCATGCAAATTGTGTTATTGATCCATATAAGACCAAGACTTGAGTCTGAACAATGAATTGTCTCGTGTTTCTTCAATCAAAAAATGCTTCATTTGTTCGGGAATTGGCTTATAGTCGCCCTGTTACTTTCCTGATAGTGCTTGCTCTTCTTCTTTCCAATTTTAATCTCTACTCAGCTTTAAAGCTACTCAACAGTTGATCTGGCCGATTTCTGCTTGAACTAACTCAGAGCCAGGCTAAGATAAAGCCAAGCTGCACCTCAGATGCAGTGGCCAAATCCAGCAACCTTGACCGAGTCTCGGATTTAGCAGTCCAAGAAACAAAAACTCAAGCAACAAGCTCGCATTCCTATAATCTCAATAAAAGCACAAGTGTAGACCAAAATCGCGAGACTATATCAGACCGCTTTCTAAGTCTAATTAGGAACAGGCAATCTATCAATACATGATATATCCGCCAGGGATCTGTTCTAACATGCGGAGTAGATATAGATCAGGGAAGATTCAGTCTTCACAATTGAGTCTCTGCATCTTTGAGAGAGACCGGAACTAACACTTTCGCGGTCTTTACTATTAACTTATACTATTTGCCATTATGGATCCAAATCACCAATTTAAACACCGTATTCTTTCAGTTCAAAGGTGGATAGAAGTTTTATTTCAAAGGTGACTTATCTAGAAGATTGAAAGACTACTCTGAAGAGAACAAAGTCAGACTAGAGTCAGAGAAGCCAGAAGTCTCATCTCTTAATAGGCCTAAGCTAGCACTATTGTTGACAAAGAGCTTGACAATTGATATATGACGATTTTTGGCAGCCCATGACAGCGGCGTCTCGTCGTCCTCATCCTTCGTCTCTAGATCAGCACCCCTATCAAGTAGCAGCTTGACCACTGGCTCATGGCCATATTGGGCTGCTCATGACAGCGGTGTTTGACCATATTCATTATCCTTCGCCTCTAGATCAGCACCCCTATCAAGTAGCAGCTTGACCACTGGCTCATGGCCCTCTTCGGCTGCCCATGACAGCGGTGTTTGACCAAAACGATCATCCTTCGCCTCTAGATCAGCACCCCTATCAAGTAGTAGCTTGACCATTGACATATGACGATTTTTGGCAGCCCATGACAGCGGTGTTTGACCAAAACGATTCTTCGCCTCTAGATCAGCACCCCTATCAAGTAGCAGCTTGACCACTGGCTCATGGCCCTCTTCGGCTGCCCATGACAGCGGTGTTTGACCAAAACGATCATCCTTCGCCTCTAGATCAGCACCCCTATCAAGTAGTAGCTTGACCATTGACATATGACGATTTTTGGCAGCCCATGACAGCGGTGTTTGACCAAAACGATTCTTCGCCTCTAGATCAGCACCCCTATCAAGTAGCAGCTTGACCACTGGCTCATGGCCCTCTTCGGCTGCCCATGACAGCGGTGTTTGACCAAAACGATCATCCTTCGCCTCTAGATCAGCACCCCTATCAAGTAGCAGCTTGACCACTGGCTCATGGCCATTTTTGGCTGCCCATGACAGCGGTGTTTGACCAAAAGGATGATTCTTCGCCTCTAGATCAGCACCCCTATCAAGTAGTAGCTTGACCACTGGCTCATGACCATTTCGGGCTGCCCATGACAGCGGTGTTGAGCCATCTTGGCTTATTTTATCAACTTGGACCCCTTGTTGCAGCAACATCTCAACTGCGTCTCCTAGTCCGAAGAACGATGCCATGTGAAGCCCTGCCATGATATCCTCAGACAAGTAGAGTTCGGCGTAGCGATAGATATTTAACATCACTTGGCTTGACGCTGCCACCTTTGTCTCTGAGTTAAGGAATTCTATAATCTCTGGGCATATACTAGAAGCACCACGAGCATGGTCTCCCCAGTGATCTGCGCAATAGCCGTAGAGCCTATTCACCTCCAGTCGTGCGACAAAATCGTTCCATTTTCGACAAGGTCCACTGTCAAACGGACGAAAAGAGAGATAAGAGACGCAAACCTTCGTAATATCAGCTTCTGCATTCACAAACAGTTTGTCTCGTGTTCGCTCGAAGTATTCTTGTGTTGTGTAATGCACCAGACGGATGACATCGCTTTCTTCGTCAATCGTGACTAGCCCAGCGCAGATAGAGAGAATATGGGCTTTACGTGGAATATTTCGTTCGTCAAATTCAGTTTCGCCCACCTCCACTGCCAAGGCGTGCAGCAGCTCTTGGACGCTCAGCTGTCGTTTTGCAAAGGTAATCCATTTTAGAGTCCATTCTGCTGTCTCTTGACAGGCGGGCGCTTGTCCCCTAATTCTTTCCAAGGCTTCGTCATATGCATAATCGTACGCATTTGATCCTTTAGGAAGCTTCTTAAGCGCCATTTCGATAGCCTTTGGTGAATGAATTCCAATGAGGGAATCAAGGTGGAGTCGTGCGAGTAAGAACCTTTATGATATTAGTATGGTCGCAATGAATAATCAAAACTACTCACATTCCATCAACGGCATCAACAATTCCAGCCACAACCTTCTCATGCAGTTCTGGGCTCTCATTGACAAAATCTGGCAGCCGCGTCATATGGCTGTTGAGATAATTTCGGATATCCTGCTCTGAAGCAGAGATAGGCCGCAATATACACCGGTCAAACCTTTGTGCAATCTCTGGGATAGGTCTCGAAGTGGCCAAAAGATTCGTGGCAGCTTTGCTCTGCAGAGTGAAAATCTCCGATAAAAGACTTGACAAACACCCATCGGATACTTGGCATTCATCCAAAGCGTCCACAATGATAAAAATTTGCGAATAAAGTGCTGCCACAGAAGAAAGAGAACTGCAAATTTCATGAAATGATGGCCGGGTTTTTCTTTCCTTATGTTGACTATGAAGATTTGTAACGGTGCCGGGCAGGGAAGACCAGCTTTGGCTCAGTTGCTTCACCAAACTTGAAACCAGATCTTCACGGTTTTGTTGCTGGGTTTGGCGAAAGTTGCAATATATATATCCAATCCCAATCGAGGGATCTTGTGCAAACTTGGTGGTAAGGTCGTCAATGACGGTTGCTGCGAGAATTGTTTTCCCCGATCCAGGGATGCCTGGACAGAACAGCGTCTGCTTTTTTGAGCTCTGCCAATTCCGGTATTCGACGGAGTTCAAGAACCATTGGCCAGTGCCAGGCTGTCGTCTTTTCAAGATATCGCTATGCTGTGGGCCGTAGTCAATCTCAGTAAGCCAATCGAGAATGTCGAGATCCTCTTTTCTATCCAACTTGTATCGCATTGTTCTAACGTTGGTGTCTGTTCTCTGGACTGTTTCTTTGACTTCTTTGACTGGACATTATATTAGAATAATCCTATAATGACGATTTGGCAGCCGTAGTCACTGACCATCACCTAAAATATCTTTCAGTGGACGCTCATTGTCCACGTCATTAGGCTGTACATGCTCGAGAAGCTCCTTCGCGCATGCTGCAGCAATAGCCGCAGCATATTCCTGCCAATCTTTGTTTTTCTGTGCATCGGCATAATCACATATTCCCCTGATGACAATGCATGGAAAGGTATTCATGAGCCCAGCCGCCTCCATTTCGACACATAAGACATTCCCACCAAGACTTTCATTCAACGCGTCACGATGCACGGCGTCCTTGATGACGCTGTTTCCACTTGCGATTAGGCCATAATGCACGCGTACGTCATGACTAACAGGGGGTACTGCTGATTTTGCTCGAGAATCAACAGCAAGCAATCCACTCCCGGAGAGGTATCTGTAAATAACCAGAATCAGGCTCCAGAGTGCAAGAAGAACAATTTGCCAGCCACTCTGAGCATGTTGAGAAACTCCCGGGTTAGATAAAGGGTCCTGAAGGGAATCGGACCAGGTGTATTGTGATACCAATGGGGGATATTTCCTTCCCATTTCATCAAGATATTGATGTATCCGAGATCCATGCATCGCATGTCGAGTCTCAAGTGTTGTCAAGGCTGTGAGCAGTGCAGTTGGCGGATTATTCAGCGCACCAGTTCGTTTGAAACCGCCTGTTTCAGCTTTTCCCATATCCCACTGGACAACGCCAGGATACCCAGCGACAGGTGCACTGATCACAACATCGCCCAGTCTAACCCGAGGTGGAATACCGCCACCAATTCCAACCATCAGACCAATTTTGAGGGACGGAAATGTGCGCACCATCTGAGTGGCCGCAGCAGCAGCAGAATTGGTGCCAATTTTCCCTTTCGGCAGACAGGCTATGATGACATTGTGCCGCCGATAGATCCGAAAGTGTATGCATTATGATCATTTGGCGGTTTAGGTATTTTGAGATGGATTTTGTCGAGCATAGCGGTCGCTGCAGTCTGTTCCTTTGGCAACGCGCAGATCAATCCGACCGTGTAGTCATTACACGTCAGCTTGATTGAGTCACTGCTAGGATGTCCAGTCTTGTTGCTGGTCGTGTCAGAGGCGATTTCTTCGCCGACGTCAATCCCCATTCTTCTCTCTGACATTCTTCATTCGATCCAGGGAGAGAGGTCTGCGAAATGCAATGAATAGGGTGCCTGTCGCCACAGATTGACTGGTTGGCTTTTTTGAGGCTCAGTTGGAACTCCGTTGAGAGAGATTTGAACTCAGCTTGGTCTTTGGGTGTTGCTTTTCTTCAAAAGGGTGGTCAAAATAGTCACTGGTAACATAAACGCAGAAAGTCCAGATGTCCGACCATTTATCAAGGATGTTAAATTAAGGGGCAAATGAAAACATGATTTCAAAACGCGAATTTCTGAGCTGACATTGCTTTGGGGGCTGAAATAAACCCCGCAGACTTGGTGCCAATCACCGAGCTGCTTGCGTGGCGCGCAGCAAGGCTAAGGCGAATACACTTGGACGGGTACGGCGGCTGCTTGTGGTTCAGAGAGAGAGGAAAGAAAAAGAGACCGGGCCCCCATAACGCTGCTCATGGTGATAAACATGCATGACTGTGAGTAAGTGAGGTATTGAAACTCACTATCCATGTAAGCCCAAATAATATGAGATTCCACTCGCGTTTGACTTTTTTGCATCACTATGATGGCTAGCTAGTTTTTACAGTGACAAGGCATGAAGTCACCAATAGCTATAATAAATGCTTATGGGACAAATAAAACACAGAGTATAAGAATGGGTAACTATATGGGGTTGCGAGTAGTCAACCTTAATTATGCCATAGCTCCAAATCTCATTGTTGAGCTGGCCGAATCATATTTACCTGCTCATAGCCAGGAAATGGCGAAAACGACTCATAAGACTGAAACCCATTCTTCTCATACATAGGCTTTCCATCCGGAGAACTCGACAAATAAACCTCTACACCCTCCTCATCCGCCCTCGCCAATCCCCACTTCAACAATTTAGAAGCCAGTCCCCGCCCCTGATAAGAAGGATGCACACCCAAAATCTCAAGATCTGACCCCAGTCAGTAAACAAAAAGTTAACATATGCAACGAGTAAACCTACAATAATGAGCTCTCTCCCCCATCAGCTTCTGATGATGATCCCCCATAGTCCCGAAAAACAAATCACACAAATCCTTATCGCTCCCTACAGGCCAGTGCATGTCGGATTGAGATTCATGCAGATCCCGATCTGCAGCCGCATGATACGGACGTATCCATTTCGCAAATGCGATAGGTTTCCCGTTCTCATCGATCACTTTCATAATCAGATCGTGCTCGGATGCGCGGGCGTTGCCGTTTAGGAGGTTTTCGGATATCCATGCGCCGACTTCTGGTGTGGGTGGGAACATGGTTCTGTTGAAGGGATCCGAGAATGCCGCTAGGAATACCTCGGTGAGGTCCTGGGCATCAGAGGGCGTTGCTTCGTGGAGTTCTAACATTTTGCTGTTCTGTGCCTGTGTGTTTGTGTTATTGGTGACTTTGGTCGGGTTCGTTATCGGGGAATCGGATGTTCTTTTGCGGGGGGCCGGAATTGGTTTTGCGGGTCGGAGAAATTTCTTTTTGCATTTTAGTCCAAGTATGAAAGGCTGGATTCTTGAATCTAGTTGGTTGTTTATTGGTTGCCTAATGGTCTGAGATGTCTTAGACATTTTTCTGTTTGATTATAGTTCCTCATTTTGCAGAGTTTGCTGGTCGCTGATTACGTTCACTAAAGCATTCAACAGGAGTGTCAAACAAGCAAATTGGTATTTCCAATGAGAAGTGGTATTATGTGACATTTTCGTATATATTTAGACATTATAACATTCATTGACTATGGCCACCGTAATAATCCAGCTGGCCTCGCAGGTGGATTCTCCATGATATTGTCCCGAATGGGGTTGCAAATGGAGACCACCAGCTCCGCAATTATAGTCGTAAGAAAAAAGCTTAAACGGTGTTGCTTCAGGTATAGTTTTTGTCCGCTCATGGAAAGTTGCGAAAAGCAAATCTCCGCTCGCCAATAGGTTGGTATTATTCCACATATCAAAACTGCATAGGCCTGTGGGTGATGCATTCGTATGGGTCTTGACAGATAACATGGCAACAAGGCTTAAACCTTGTCATGTACTGCCTCCGGAACAGTGATCGGGCCGACTGGCTGTTCATCTTGCGGGTGCAATGCCGTTGAACGTTTCGCCGGGGTTGTCGAAGGCCTTTGACCACTGAGTTCGTTATGGGATGGGAGAAGAGAGCGACGTATCCTCGGGTCATCTGGCTGTTGTGTATTGGAATCCGCAGAACTCCGTGCGGATTCCATTTCCGATTTCAGACTTTGGTACATGCTCTCCACGATGAAGACTTCCTCCTGCACGTCGAGATCAACCCCGACCAGACAGAATTCACGCTCACGTTGCTCAATATATTCTCGGATGTGCTTCCACTTGTTCTCATAGGCCTTCAGGCGGTCTGGAAGACCGGAGCCACGCAGATAAGTCAGAATACCAGCGATAACTGTGTTGATGGCGCCAAATGCTGTGATAGCGCCGTGGGGACCACTTGCGGCACCGAGAGCTGTCAAGGCGGCGGCGACGACAATCTGAATCCCCAGACAGATGTTGATCATCCAGTTGAAGAAGTTGTACGCGCGCTCGGCTTGGGTTTCGTTGTTGATGACACGCGTGTAGATACCGACATTGGGAGCGCTACGGAGAAGATGACCGCCTTGTGTGAGGGCGGGAACACTGTCGATACCGGTCAAGGCGCGGAATATGAGAAGCTTGTCGTTGGCTGGGATGAGGGTCTCCGGGTTGCTGGTTCCAATATTCCACCTTTGACCTTCCAAGTCGCCATTATTTCCCAAACTGCTATTCCCGCTCTTCTGTGCTGCCACAGCAGTGGCGTGAGCGGCCATGGGCGGGTAGGTGTCCTCATGGCGATTTAAAACAGCCTCGATTACCCTGGTCAGAAGGGTCTTCTTTGGAGGCTGCGTCATGGTTCATACGCAGATCAAGAAGCGGTAAGAACTGGTTCACAGGCGTGTCGGGGGAAAGGGGAGACAGCCTCCATTTGTAGTCGCGAAACACTGCCGGATCTTAACCCGGTGCATATGACCTTGTCCATAGCTAGTGCATATGCGGAATAAAATGACGGCTAGAATGGAGTCTTTATGCAACTCAGCTATAACGGGGCCATGATAAGCGTGATTGAATACCTAGTGTGGAAGGCATAAGAAGCCAAAACCAGGGTCTGGGGGGCTAGGAGACTCGATCTCGATTGTGACAGGTCGGGAACCGTGGACCAACAACCCGCGCTGAACTTTGTGGGCAAAGCGGCCGAGCAGACTAGTGGTGGCGCTGATGCAGTGCAAATTCAGGCTTGGTCACTCGGGCGTGGCGTCAAATACGGTGAAGATCTGCATGAAGTACGAGGATAAGAACGGTGGGGTTGCCTTTAGAGTAATGCAATCTCGCGATCCGGCTAGTAGATGTCGATCGATGCGACGATTTCTGCAGCCAAAAGGGGTTGAAGTTGGAACATTGATGAAGTCGTCGAAAGTGGGAGGAACATCAGCTGCATCATGGCTGGTAAGCTAAAGAATCAGCCAAAGAGCTTTGTCCCCAAGTCTTACACGCCATGAGCTCCCCAATCGGGAAATTGATGAGATTTGGCATTCTGCAAGCTCGGGAATGTGAAGCCGAGTGGAGCTGATTGCACGGCATGGCAACTCCACATAAAGAGCCGATGGTCCACCACGCCCGTGCGCTCCCCTGCTGATCTGTGACAAGGAACTCGATCCTGTGGCTTATCGTGATGAAACACAGCGTCCCACTCATGGTGAAGAAGTAGGTAAAATGAGAATTTTCTTCGGGTCATGCTTGCCCCATTCGTGACATGGATTCAATCGGGAAGTGGTAAAGGCTGGCGACGAGCTGAGAGTGTGGTTACGGCTTAAGTTGCAAGGATGTCGATAAGGGATGCAAACAATATAAACGTCCACAATCCGTTGGTTGACGCGCATCATCCTGTAGCATCCAGGATTCGCGACCTCGGGGACTCCGCTTCCAAGAGAGCTGAAGGCGATAGATATAAACTTTTTGAAGTACGGAGTACGGAGTACATGATGCCATGATAATCCGCCTGCGCGACAAACAACCCACACACGTAACTCTGCCACGTGTAGCGACTTTGATGACGAATCGAACTGTGAGAAGTCATCGATCTATGATCAAATCGGATACCTCAGACCAATGCATAAAATAAAGCTTTGCGGACCGTGGCATGATGCGGGGTTACTCATGTTTTTACAGATTATCTGTTGAACAGAAGTGTTTCTGCGCCAAGTTATCGTTGTTGCCGCAGAATTGGAGAAATCAATAACTGGCGATGACAAATCACTGCATGTCCTTGTTCGCCATATTCATCAGGCAGCTAGAATCAAGCTTGCGCAATTCGACACCATAATGCAGTCACCAATGGCCATCGTCTCTCCACAAAGGGGAGCGAATCACCTTATCATGTCTTTATCAGCAGCATCGCGAATCACCAATGCTAAGCTTAGCTTCAACCGGCTGCGGGGCCCACCCCGCCCCCAATGACAGATTAATAATGCGCGTCCGCACCTTTCAAGATCACCACCTTTCATCTTCGCATCAGGATGGGCGACGCACCACTACCCAGTGAGCATGTGCTCATCATTTTAAACTACACCCTCCCCGACTCTCTGCTGGAGGCCATTCGGCAGAAGTTTGCCGATGCCGAGGTTACTCTTTATTCTGCGACTCGGGGTGCAAAGGTGCCACCTGGTATATTACGCCCTCAGAGCAGCCAAGTTTGCGGGATTAAATTAATGGTTGAATGTAGAGCTATTCCGCAAAGCGACTATCCTTGTCACATTCATTGATTTGCCTGAACCCGAGGATGCCGAAAAGTGAGCAACCCAAGGCCTTTGACCCAGTCAGTGTTAACATACGCATAGTTTGAAGTTTGTCCACACATTCTCCGCAGGTCTGGATCATCTGATGAATAATCCCCTCCTCAAGAGCGGTGCCGTTCCGTTCACTACCAGCTCTGGTATCCACGGCCCACCAATTGCAGAATGGACCATCATGAACTGGCTAGTCTCCGCTCGCAAATACAGTATAATGTACGAGGCGCAGAAGGAGCACAAATGGGACAAGGAAACACCGTGGATGCAGACAAACTACGACCAGGCTGGCAAGAAAGTTGGCATCCTTGGTTATGGCAGCATTGGTCGACAGAGTGAGTCCACTATCTCAAACGAGTGAACAAATCCGCTAAATATTGCCAGTCGCTCGTGTTTCCCAGGCATTGGGAATGACCGTCCACGCCTACACTGCCTCTCCACGTCCAACGCCTGAATCACGCCATGATAACGGGTTCATCGTTCCGGGTACTGGAGATCCCGATGGTTCGATTCCTGTATCCTGGCACCATGGAACAGAGAAGAGTCACATTCATGAGTTCTTGTCACTGGGATTAGATCACCTAGTCGTGTCTGTTCCGCTGACGCCTCAGACCACTCATATGCTGGGCGCAGAGGAATTTGCTCTTCTATCCGAGAACTCGAAGAATCCCGGTATCAAGCCGTATGTGACGAATATTTCACGTGGAAAGGTGCTGAATCAAGATGCTTTGATCGAAGCTTTGAAATCTGGACAGCTGGGTGGTGCGGCACTTGACGTTACGGATCCTGAGCCCTTGCCTGCTGATCATCCCCTCTGGGATGCGCCGAATGTGCAGATCAGTCCCCATATCAGTGGATCGGGGAGGGAATATTTCTGGCGGTCAATTCAGATTGTTAGGATTAATTTGGATAGATTGGCGAACGGGCAACCTTTGATCAACAAATACGGAGGAAAGGGCTATTAGAACATGCCCCATTCTGCACAAATATATTTTACTATAGAATCAGAACAATCTGTATCTGGACCTCACCACCTCCTCTGCGAACGCACCCAGCAAGCCGCAACTGTAGACGACCAAAGCCCATGGGCTGAATAGATCTCGCAACGATGGCCAGAAGCTGTTCTTTTCACCCTGCCATTCCCGGAGTTGTTCAAGCTTTTGCACGTCAATAGCTTGATATCGCTCTTCTTGGCTAGCCTCAATTTGCTTGTCGCCACCGATACAGCGAAGGAAGAGATAATTCGCAAGTGGTCCGAGAAGAATGATCGGATTGAAAGAATTGGCGAGATTCAGAACTGCGAATGATAGATGAACCAGGGTATCGCCCAGGTAGCTAGTATGATGTTAGTATAACAAATGCAGAAGTTCTAGAGAAACTTACTTTGGATGTCTAACAATGCCCCGCACTCCATGTCGACACAAATCAGTACGCTCTTGTTGATGAAGCTCAAGTTGAGTATCGGACATAACCTCCAGTGAGAACCCTGCACTAAAGAGCCCAACACCAAATGCACGGATTGCATTCAATGACGAAACACCGAGGGGAATAGCAGACCCAGTCATCTGGAACGGCATTGTAAAAGGTAAGGAAATAATAGTCAAAAAAGCAGCCTCCGGGAGAAACAATTTGAATAAAGCCGTTCTCCAGAACTCCGTCTCTTTCTTGCATGCCTCGTAACGAGGATCATCCTTCCCACGAGCCAGCGACCGACTCACGAGACGGGCGAAGAGTCTCGCACACCATATTGTAACGGACCCGAGGAGAAGGTTTTCGGTCCAACTAAGATTACCCCAGGCCGCACTAAAGGAAGATTTGTTTCCGTACATCTGTCGTCCGACGGCATTCCACCATGCGTTCAATATTTGGCTTGATGGCCATAACCAATCTTTGAGCTCGACGCGGTTTGTTTCTTTGGCTGCTGCGAAGGCTGCGATCGAAAGACTGGAGTAAAGACTGAATGAGGGGAGGATTGTTGATTTTAATATGCCGACATTGCCGGTAGCTGCTTGGATGTCGGGGTGGAATTTGTGGAATGGTGGTGGTTGGAGGGGACTCGAAAGGCTCGGTCTATGATCCACCATTGTAGCAACCCCATCCATTTTGATTGTTTTCACATTGGAATATGACTTGAATGGATTCGTGGAAAGATTGATTCTTAATTGTCAGAGGTGAATGAATTGGTGTTGATGTCAATGTTATGTAACAGAGGGATGTTTCGGTGGGCTTTGCCCACAAATCAGGATCCAAACTGGGATTTGTAAGGATACAGTCATTGGAATAAATTAGGACATAGAACATATCCGATAATATACATGCTGGGTATAATGTTGAATGGAATCAGAGATATCCTTGGAGAAATAGTATGCAAAAGCTAAAAATGAAGTCGAGTCGCAGCAAATAATGTATCATGAATCATATCGGTTGAGATGGTCGATAAGCAGAGAAACATCGATGTTCAAGGCTGGAGCTCCGGACTCATTTTTAGCTTTGTATTTCTTCTTGATAATGGCATTCAGTCGTTCATTCCAGACTGGGACTAGAGATTCCACAGTGGATGCAGAAAGCGTGTGTTCCTTTTCATCACGCACGTAAGAATCATGAAGAGCTATCAGATTGAATGATTTTTTCACATCGGATAGATCGGTAGACATAGAAAGACCGATGCTGTGAGTATCATAGCCCTCAGGTATATTTTCAAAAGGTAACTTGTTGGCAGGAAGTCGTCGAGCCTTCTCATTTCCAGATTCCCGAGTATTTTGGCGAATGAGATACGCTCTTGGATCATTGGGAGAAAGGGCATTGGTAGAATCTAATGGAGCAAACGGTCGATCTGACGCTAAAGCGGCCTTTGCTTTCAAGAATCGATTGTGGTGCGGCGAATGTGAGATGGCGGTACTGGTTTGAGAGCTCGACGGTGTGTTATTGTTAGCCTGACGGGCACGGTGATTTCTAATCGCCTCTTTCTTGCGCCTCTCGAAATCGAGGGCTTTGTCCACCTCAGATTGGGTTTCTGGGTTGAAGCCCTCCCGAAGACTGGCAGCCCATCTTTCAAGAACAGGAAATCCACGACCACTATCCATAGAGCCTTGATAACCAGCTTCATTATGCTGATTTGACGGAGAGGTTTGATTCTCTGATGCATCAGCCCTGCGTCCAAGATCGTCCGCATTGATTGAAGGTTCCTCAATTCCGGGATTCTCGGTCTGATTTCCAAACCTTTCTCCCGCAAGCTGGGAAATGCTTGGAATTTCTTCACCTTCGGCCGTCGACTCTGTCGGCTCTTCCCCAAGAGAGACTTGTGTAATTCGGGTGAACCACGTGTCAAGCGCCCCATTGCCATATCGTTCTTTGTCACGCTGTCTCGCGGCCTTCTTTGAATCGCCCGTTGAATTTGTCTGAGTAGGAGAGACTTGTGATTCTTGTGATGGAGGTTGCCGTCGCCGATTGATAGAAGACGTTGACACAAATCGTGAAATCGGGGTTAGCGGCTCGGGAATATCCGTGGGTAATTGTTGAGTAGGTCTGCGAGGAGGGGTGGGCCGTACATGCTCTGACGATGGTAAAAGCTCTGGACTGACGGGTTGGGGAGCAATCTCTTGCCTCGGGGTACGCAATGATGCATTCATAGCCGTGACCGACCAGGGGTTCACAAAACGAGACCCTCTTCTTTCCGTATGAGCCGTGCCGTCGCGACCCTTCTGACTCGCAAAAGGAGTGGTAGTTTGGGGCTGAGCTCCAGGGCGTGGAGTACCGCGAATCAGAGGAATTGGGGCTGTAGATTGAACACATCTATCTGTCTGTGTAGATTCAGTAGAGGGCTCATTAGCCGGTCTCCGGGCGAGCATGATGTCGAATTCATCACTTCTTTGAACTTTGGAGCATTTGTCTTTGGCTGCGCGTTTTGCATGAGAATCTGGGAGAGGTCCGTATAGTTCATTAAATAGACTTTCGACCAAAGAGAGCATGATGTCTCGATCCTCAAATAATACGTCATCCTTCCCCGGCTCAATGTTGACATCGTATGAGCCTCGTGGACAGCTAAGCTGGATGATCAGGAATGGATCTGTGATCGACCGCGTCACTTCATTCTTTGACGCAGCACGAATGTAGGATTTGAATAGCTTTGCAATACCCTGACCAAACCCGGTCGCAGCAGACAGCGGTCGTCCGTCCACGCTGATAAACTGCCCTGAGTTATTTATTTTGTAGATATCTGCTAGGGTCAGTATTTTACTTGAGCAAAGGACGGGGAATATGACCTGAATCTGGTTTTGGAAGGAAAGCCACAACATCGTATTCCTTGTTGTCAAACCTGCATTGTGTTGCAGCTGATGAGTCGGGCGAAAGTTTCTTGGTAACACAAGAAGAGGATAACTCGCGGCCAAATATCTTGATGGCCGCATCGTATAGTGTTGCATCGGGACTGGGTGCATACATCCAGTTGTTGTTCTCATTTTTCGCCTTAAGGACTTTTAATGAGAACCTCTTGAGGGTCTGGGCGACAGCATAAGCCTGAACTAGCTTTTTGATTCTTGTGAGAATCTTGGCCGCACTCTTCTGGACCAACTGCCTGCGGACGGGAATGTGTTTGAGAAAATGAACAATGCGGACAGTCGTGCCGACCGGGTGAGCGGTTCGTTGAGATCTTGCAAAATGTCAATTACTGGGCAAAGCATAGTCCCATAATCATGTCAATCATACTGGAAAAGCTGCCCATCCCTTTCGTACTTGAGACACGATCCGGTAGCCTCGGAAGCAATTCGTGTGGTGATGGTCATGCCGCCAGACATTTCAGCCACACTGGCTAGTGCCTCACCACGAAAGCCAAAAGACGTGCCACCGACATTTTTCAAATCATCGAGGGTCTGAATCTTGCTGGTGAATGTATGCCTGCAGACATATGGGTGGTCATCAGTCGGAATCCCATGTCCATTATCCTTCACCTGTATCACGTCCACGGTGTTTGATGAGATTTCGATCACAAGGGAAGTAGATCCCGCATCTAAAGCATTATCAATGAGCTCTTTGACAACCGAACATGGATCGGAGATCACAGATGTAGATCCGATTGCCCTGACTGTCGCCGAGGGGAGGGCCTCAATCGGCATTTTGGACGCTCTATATCAGGTATACATGGCTTTGATCCCATCAAATAGTTAATTGTGATCAGATGTACGATGAAAAGGAAGAAATATTGGAAAAAAAAGGGAAGATTGGACGAGAATTGTTGAAAACAAAAGTTGGTTTCGATTCAGTTCGAAGTTGGCGATCCATCATCCTGCTTAGTCATCACCCCATAAACAACACGTCCACGGACTTGGTTTTCTCATCTCGATCGTAGCAGGTTGTCAAGCCAAACATGTTCGGCGATGACTTCTCAATCTCACAGCTGGCCATTCCGGCGGTTAGTGTGCTGATCAGCTTCCTAGCCTACACATCTCAGTACTTCTTTCTGCGGTTCGAGTCGGCACCTCTCCAGAAAGATGAAGTGTGGAAAATTAATATATTCGCTTTGTGCATCTGGATATGTTACTTCAGGGCTTGTTATGTAGACCCTGGTCGGCTTCCCTTGGACCGAAAATCAATAACTGCTGATCAACATGAGGAGGAGCGGGCTACGGGCAGGCGATGGTGCCGTCGATGTTCAGCTTATAAACCACTGCGCGCTCATCATTGCAAGACATGCAAAAGGTTGTCCAATATCATCTTAACAATTTGAAATTCGCAAAATGGACTAACATCGATTCAGGTGCATTCCCAAAATGGATCATCACTGCCCGTGGACCTCCAATTGTGTCTCACATTTCACCTTTCCCCATTTCATACGTTTTCTATTCTACGCAGTGATTGGGATGTCCTACCTTGAGACTCTCCTCTGGGAACGTGCGTCTATTGTCTGGGGCAGCCGAAATCTGCCAAGTGTAAGTCGCCTCCTTCCCTTCAATTCCGGTCACTGACTTTTTCAGTATATGGGCCCCTCCATCGGGCAACTGGCACATCTTTTTATCTTATTTATCGTCAATAGTTTGACGGTCTTCGCACTTTTTCTTCTGCTCGTGCGAAGCCTATACACGCTTGCCTTCAATACGACTACCATCGAGTCTTGGGAGATTGAGCGGCATGAAACTCTCGTCCGACGAGCCCGTGTCCTTGGTGGTCAACTAGATGGACCGGGTGGGATAAAAGTCCGAATCAAGAAACAAGAGTTTCCGTATGATATTGGGATTTGGACCAATATCAAACAGGGGATGGGAGGGAGTGCAAATGTGCGTCCAAATTTCAATGTTCCAATCTACAGAATTGTCTGACGTCTTCTAGATCTTCAGCTGGTTCTGGCCACTGGCAGCCACCCCTGACCGTCGCACTGGGTGGGAATTTGAAACAAATGGCTTTGAAGGTATGCAAGTCATTCATCAACGTGATCAATTCTAATCTATTGCTGCTTTACAGATGCTGGATCCTCGTGGCCACCACCTGATCCAGATCGTATTCCTTGGCCAGTGAGCCGTCCAGACCCAAGTAACTCAACATTGGAGTCATATTCATCTGCCCGTGAGACTATCGAGGCATTCAAACGACGCCAGGCAGAAGACATGGATCGTCGCAGGCCATTTCCCGAAGTTCAAAGACGTAAGCGATTCCACGATCGATTTCAAAAAGAGGCCCATGACAGTGAGGAAGATCGGGGACCTGGACCTGTCTATGGCGATGACTCGGATGAGGGCGAGGAGTCTTGGCGGAATGCCGAAGGAGAGCGCCTCCGTGACTTCGGGGTTGATGAGGACGTGGAGTTCTATGACGAGGACGATGTGCCTTTGGCCGTGCTCATGGAGCGACGAAAGCAGCAACAGTGAAGAATGACCCGATTGGAACCACTATCAAAACCCTTGGGTCTCAAGCTGTGTGGGTCCCCGTTTCGTCTCTCTTGGCCCTTTCTACCGTAGGGAGCTATGACCGGCGAAAATACAATGGATCACACGTTTCCTTCATCTTTTTAACCGGGTCAAAAATTACCACCAAAATCCATTCCACATTCAAGCATTTGTATAATCTTTCATGATATCCGTGCCAGGACCATTCTCCACGTTGGCTAATGTGACGTACTGGAGCGCCCTAGCTGTATCAAAACAATATTTCACACAATACAACTGGCAATTAATGCATGAGCCTGTCAATGGCGAGAGAAAACCGATCGCGACTCAATTGTGTGTTGGGGACATGTTTTTTCCAGGTGCTGATAAATAGGGTTTACAAGTTTGATGTCATAATTAAATAAAGCGGCAATACATTCCGCGCTCACGCGGAGCAATTCCCGGCCTTGAGAGCAATTGATTGCGCATTTCCTTCCCCAAGGTCCCTTCTTCAAACCAACCTGATTCGTGCTATCAAAGAAGTATTCAACATGTCATACACCGACTATTGCAATTGTGAAAGCATTCACGTTACGCTGCCGCAGCAGCCCGAGAATTCTGGATTGTGTCATTGGTGCGTCTTCATGAACCAACCTCTTGTCCGTTGGCCATATTAATCCAATTTCAAAATATAGTGATAATTGCAAACGCGCAGGCGGGGGTAAGTCGATTTTTGTGGTTATTCCTCCTGGTGACGCTAACATGGAGTTCTCAACAGCGTTCTCGGTCAACTACTTTCTTCCTGAAGATGAGATGACCCTGGATGACCCTAAAAAGGCATTGAAGAGTTACGAAGACTCCGAGACTGCAAGTGGGAATGTGATCCAGGTATGATTTCTTTTCGATACATTTGAGGACATTGCTAATAAATTTGCTCAAGCGCTATTTTTGTTCCAACTGTGGGAGGTAGGTATTCATCCTGTTGATGATAAGCACTGCTAATTTCAACCAGTGCCATCTTCACCAGAACTCCGAAAACTCCTGGAGATATCTTCTTGAAAGCAACCTTATTTGACACTGTTTCGCCGACTGCTGGTGAGATTTTCGCGCATAAGAAGCTACAGCTGTAGTAGCCAGCATTTTCTACCAGCACTCGGGAGGCAATTATGCAATATTGGAACTAATACTCAGCCTTGTTCTCGTGGAAGATGGATGTCAAAAGCAGAGGTCCATCGGCATTAAGGCTGTGTTTGACTCCCGATAGGAGACATGATGTCAACAGGGCATCTAGCTTCACATCTGTGGATAGGTATGCCTTGGTGCTTCTAAGAAAGGAATTCGAATAAAAGCCTTTTATTTCGATTTGACTAAACCCCTTGGCTTCAAACGCTTGTTTTGCTCCCTTGTTAGAGCCACCAATGCAAACCTCGACTGTTAGAACAAGCCAATACATCATGTCGAACCTGGAAGGAGCTCTTTTTCACCAAAATTTCATCTCGTAAATATCACATTTACCACGAGGGGGAAGAGCATATCTGCATCAGCACACTCCTGGATATAACAAAGAATTGGGATACAACATGAAAACGCATCTAGGCCAAACTCAAGAATGCACCTACCACCATCGATCCCGGGAATCTAACAGTTACTCCAACCATCACCCAACCTTGACTTTGCGTCACACACTGCGCAATTCGCGGAGATGAAGTGATCATTTCGGAAAACCCATCTGCATCATCAGCAGGTTCTTCTGGCGAATTGAAATATTCAATCTGCTCTAAACTCGACAAATATTGTTGATCAACGAGGCTTGGTCACCTGGGAAAATCATAAAACACAGGATAATACTACTTCCCATGGAGATCGCGCATTGAAGGGGTACAATGTACGCACCTGGGGGATGTGGGGTGAGTCATGAGGTGAACATCACAGGAGTGTGAATGCTTGAGATCAAGCTCTAGCCGAAGAAGGCCATTTGCCGTTTGCAAGTGAAAAATAGCCGATTGGTAGTCGTCGGACTTGCACCGAGTCAATACTCGTGTAAATTTGGGAACGTGGTGGTATAAACCTTCATTTTAAAGTTAAATTGGCAGGTGCTAACAAAGGACAGATAATTGAGGTAGTCTGCGGGATACAAGTATCATTGGTTATAATATATCAGCATGCTTCAGCTAATCTCACGCAGTCTCCAACTCGAGGCACTGAGCCTTATTTTTAAAGTCAAGTGTGTCATCCTGCTTCTCCGCTCGCAATGCTGCTCTATCTTGCAACTGTCTCTCAATTCCTGACACAAAATCCTTGTCAAGCGAGTCCCTGACCACACGCCAAAGAGACGGTCGCTTTCCATCTCGGTCAGCAAAGAACAGATCCACTGCTTCGAGAGGCATTTTGCTGGTCTCCGGAAAGGTGAAATAGACAAGAGGCACCGTGGCGAAATTGATAATCGCAAAAACGACATAGCACTTGTATCCGATGTTTGTGATCATGACAGGCGTGATCTCGACAACTAGGAAGGTGAACAGCCACTGAGAGACGACAGCTAATGCACCTCCTCGAAGTCGCAGCTTCAAAGGAAGAATTTCACTGGGATAAATCCACATATTGGATTGCCATCCCAAGGTGAAGAAACTTTGAAAGAGATATAAGACAACTGCAGCGCCATAGCCCAGTTTCTCCCCACCGATGCCGATAAATACAGCAGAAAGGGTCATGCAAAGGCCCATCCCAGCAGACCCGATCATGAAGAGTGGCCGGCGTCCGAATCGCTCAATCGCCCACCATGGAAACAGACTGCTGAGAAAATACCACACTTGCAGTCCACCAGACACGAGCATGGCATTGTGTCGTGACATGCCGATCGAGTCCTCAAAGACATACGGACCAAGCGAAGACATCACATTGCATCCCGACATCTGCTGGAAGAAGTTTGCCGCAAACCCGATCGCTATTCGAGAAAATCCGCTGATCCCATTATCCTTGAATACGTCACTCCAAGACCCCTGCTCCTCGGCTTCCACCGAAAGCGCAAACTGAATCTCCTTCAACTCCGCCGCGACGGCAGGGTCATCGGGAAACCCAGCTCGCAGGGCTGCGAGGCTAATCGCCCCATTAACCATATCGCCTTTCGCGCACAGATACCGCGGCGACTCCGGAAGAAACGGCATACAAACAAGCGTAATACAGCAGAAAAGAATCTGAAACGCACACGGAAACCGCCACTGCACCGAGCCAGAGTAAGACTCCATCCCGTAATCCAGCCAATTTGCCAAGATGAGCCCGACAATCAGATTGGACAATTGCATAGCCATCATTCGTCCGCGAGACTCGGGCATACTGCATTCTGACAACCAGATAGGAATAACGGTAGTCATGATACCTAGTCCGAATCCTGCAACAATCCGACCAATCAGAAATTGTGGTAAACTGAATGTAGTTGCTTGGAGAATCGCCCCGATCGAGACGATCACGGCGCCAGCCATGTTGTTCGGTTTGCGTCCGAATCGATCGCCCATGAAGAACTGGAACAGAGCGCCGGAAAGTGCACCGATTTCGTAGGATGAGACGAGGAATGCTAGTAGTGATGCTTCAGGGTCTCCGAAGACTGCTAAAAATTCAGGTGACGTTGTGAGTCCCCCCATGAATCCTAGGTCATAGCCGAAAAGAAGAAATCCGATCGAACATGTGAATGTCACGGCGTAAATGAGGCTCTGACCTTTGAGGCCGACGAAAGTCGGCGACTGTGTTGGCGACATGATTGCCTGAAAATTTTAGGACTCGACAACAACATCAGTGAGTTGGACCCGTTTTATATGATTACCCCACAGAAATGGGGTAATTTCCGGGGTAGGTGAATGCCCCGGCTATTTCTTCAGGTCGGCCCATCTCCGATTCCTGTGCAACCCTTTGGACTTTCCGGCTGATCATTGCTGGTTACACTAGCTAATTGTCCTATCCTTGCCTTATTTGCTTAAATTTGATTATCATATGCACGCCAGATAGGTTCCTACCAATACCCACCAATGTCGAGCAGGTTGTCCGTGTTTCCCTGCATCAGCCCAATAATAAACAGTCTTCTATAATCACTATTATAGGGGTGATTAATTATATACAGAAAACTAGACAAGGCGGCGACTAGGGCAGGATCGGATGGATTGCCTGCCTTCACTTAGTTTTGCTTCGATCGAGGCCCACTTCCTGGCCACTTTGGCCCTATCATCAGCTGTTGATTCCAGCATCTCTTCATGGCCTTGCGCGATGCGAGATAAAATCATATGTCCTTCCTCTGTTTTACCGAGTGATCTCAGGAGCTTTAGGCGCAGCCCGGTCAAAGGATACCCGGCAAGTCCCCAAAGAGCTGACGATGTTAGAACATGGGAGATCCACTTGTAGCTTAGACACATACCTGCTGGGGGTTTCAGGAAAACTCCCCCGATGCCCTTTCCAATGCCCTTGAACATTCCTTTGGTGCCATTTTCTTTATAACCATATCGAGGCTGAGTAACCAACCCTGTGACGCCGTCATACCATCCATTGCGAAATTCCTGTCACAAATTAGCAAATGATTCGAAACATATCATATAGGTCAACAAACATATCCCGCTGCTCTGAAGCCACTCCGAACTCCCTTCACCTTTGGCGTGGTCTTCACCATCCGGTCGTGGTATAGCTTCGGTGCATTGTGAAAGGCCCTGGCCATACTGAGCGAGAGATCGGTCGGAAGCCAGATTATTAAATTGACAACCTTCATAGACATCCTGCGTCCATGATTAGCAGCCTCGAAGAGACCACCGTGCGCATGCGTTGGTGCGATTTCATCACCCATGGTTTTTGCTCTCTCTAGCTCCAGACTATGCATCTTCTCGACGTCGGTCTCAGGAAATAGACTATAGTCCCCAGGTTCGGTGTCGGAATCCATCATTTCATTTTCATTTTCATCCTCATCCTCTGCCGCTCCTTCCTGTCCTTCTTCATCACTCGACTCGTGGCCGTGGGTTTGCTCTTGTTGCGCCTCGACTGAATGCTCTGATGATGACAGATCACTGACAAGTTCATCTTCATCATGACGTGCGCGGTGCCATTTCTTATGAGGCTTGGTGTGGTCATTGGGGTGGGCATGAGCATGAGTTATCGCCCGACCGGCTGAAACAATTTCATGCACCATCTCTGTTGGCACGTCTGCTAGGCCTGTGATGAAATTGGCGATCGCTCCATACAAGACTTGTGCGGAAGCGCTAATTGGACCGACGGGATCGCGATATGTATCGTATTCCATAGCTCGGCTCCTGCATACCGAATTAGTCCTGCCTCTCACTTCCAAGGAAGTAATAAACTCACAGTACCAGATCCTCTGGCTTCAAGCTCCCCGTCTCGACCAATATAGCCGCGGCAAATGCGCTGAAGCCCAAATTGGTTCGTTTGAGATGCCATACTGCAGGACGATGAGGACATATGCAACACCGCAACGACTTCAAATCCAGCTGACGGTGGAAGCTGCGAACGCCTTCGCGCACCCCAGATTCATTTTCCATCTTCTTCGCGATAGTCTGTGCTTTTTGCCGAGTGGACTCCTTGAGCGCCATATCAATTGCTTCGCTCAATTTGTCCACGGTCAATTGTTTGTGAGGTATCGGTCGTGGCCCAGCCCCTGCACGCGCAACAATTCCTCCCCAGAACTCCTGGTCACCGAAAAACGGTATGATGATGGTCGGGCATCCGAGTGCAAGTCCAGCGGCAGTTGTACCTGCGCCACCGTGATGAATCACGCATGACACTTGTCGAAATAGCCAGTCATGAGGACAACTGCCGATTACGAGAATATCGTCAGGAACATCGACGACATCGGCACCAAGATTTCCCCATCCTTTTGATATGATTGCCCGTTGACCTGACTTCTTGACGGCCTCAAAGACGATCTTGGTTAATGTGACTTGGTCATCTACCACGATAGAACCGAAGCCTACGTATATCGGCGGTGGTCCGGCTTTGAGGAATTGGTCGATTTCCGCAGACGGCTTATAGTCGGACTCTGAAGGGAGGAAGCTGAACCCACAAATATCAATGTTGTCGCCCCAATCGCTTGGTTTGGGTAATACGGCCGGGGACCTAGGATAATTGTTAGTTTAATGTAAGTGAAGAAAGTAGACTATTACTTCCTACCAAAGGTATGAGGTAGGTATTTGCAGCCTATGGAGTATGCTAGGTCCGACAATACTATCCAATGTATCGAGAGAGAGAGACTTCTTGCGAAAGCTGTTCACAAGATCGCCCAAGCCCTCCCAAACCATCATATCAACGACAGCATAGGATACAAAGTTCGCGACCGACCGCTTGCAGTCTTGTTGGTGAATAATAGCGAGTGGATGGGAGAAGGATTGTGTAGGTGACCATGGCATCCTATAAAAGTCAGCTCAGTCTTAAAAGTCATCACCACAACATATGTCAACATACGTGAACATAATATGAAGCGGTATCCCCAACCGTTGCGCGCAATGAATATGCGCCAGACTAGGAGGATTAGCAATTATGGCATCGGCCACGAAGGGCCTTCGCCGATAATCAGGTGTATCGCCCCAAAGATCCTCTTTGATCTGATGCATATTTGTTCCATCACCGATTTCGAAACATGATCTCCAGCACCCGTGGATAATCTCTTTCATCTCCCGACGCCGCTTCTGTATCGCACCGCTTCGAATCGTAGATAATCCTGGAAGCAGACCGGGATTTTTGACCATGAATGCCATTAGCTCCGCCGGATCTCCCCCAATATTGAAGAATTCTAGTCCTCCTTCGAGAATGAATTCTCGGAATGCAAGGTGGGTCGCCAGTCGTACGCGATGTCCATGGGCTTTCAACTCTTTTCCAAGTGCAACGAACGGCTGGATATCTCCGCGGGAGCCGATGACTTGGATCACGATATTCATGCACAGTGGGAAGTTTATCCCATCCCTTTCTTTACGGCTGGAGGTACTACCTGCTATACTACCTGCGTGTTCCCGTTCTGATTGTAGAGGGGTATTCTGAATATGATGCAGCAGTCCGGCGATACTCGCTTTGTGTTCCTTGATCCGGATATCGAGGCGTCCATCTCCTGTTGCGCGATGACGTTAGTTACTATTAAAAAAGCTTTTCATAATCGCGCACCTCGCACTCGGACGCCTGTATTCAGTCCATCGCCAGTGAATTGCATCCGCTCGTCATCTTGTGAGCGGGCTTCGCTGATATCCTCTGGCCAGTCTTCTGATCGGATCGGACTACGTTCGGACTGTGGTCCTGCAGTAGCCGATACCGACATGGTGAGCGGGAGATCGACGAAGCTTCCAAGGTTCCGTGAAGAAATGCGGTTACGTGTCAAATATCAGAAGTAAAAAGGAAGCTTCAAATAAATTCCAGGAGCAAATATTTCTTTGTCTGACGTACTCTAGCATCGAGAATAATGTTGCAGTCGATGATGTCACAAGGGTCCGGCTCAGTCGGCTTGATCGGCCCACTCAATCCACCGGGTTCCATGAACCTGATTAGCCCTATCCGTATACATCATAAAATTTCCACTTGCAGTAACAAACTTTAAAATGGTTTATGATCGACAAACAACTTTAGAATCAGTATCTGTAAACCTCCATAAAAAACTATTGGAATGACCCACAAATCGCACCCTAAGCATGTAAAACGAGGAATCACCACATCCACACAGTTGGTCATCCCAGCCGAACTCCCACATTGAGGATGGGACTTGTCATTGCTGTGTTGCAGTCTTAGCTGGCTACCGATCGACGTATCCCACAAGTATTGAGAATTCCTAAGGCAACCAACTACGAATGCTTGGTAAATTTCCATTTGGTGTTCTTGCGAACCAGCGGAGTGGATCACAATGACTGTCTGCCGATTATCATCCACAGCGTCACTGAACATTGTGTTCCAGTAGATGGCACTGATGATTATGCGTAGAAAATCCATTGGAGGAAGGAGGTCAGGTGACTCCACCCCGTTTGCTTCAATCTCTCCCTGTCTCTTCCTCCATTTCTCTCGGAATAATCCTGAGTAAAAGCTCTTACGTTTTAATCTTCCCTAGAAAGCAGAAGCATCTAAGTGTCAGCAAACTCAGAGCTCCAAGTCCACTTTTATTTTATGGCCCCGTCGCCGATGTCTACCTTCATAATAACAGGTCCAACAACTGCACACCAGCATGACAGTTTTGACAATACTAAAAAAATATATCTTGTTAAGCTGGTGATAAGTGTGTCAGTAAGCACACATCTGGTATGGGAGAGAAAAGGGAGCGAGTAGCATTGTGGCTTTTTTGAGAGTGGAACTGGAAAAGCTGATAAACCGGACCGATCCGCAAAACGTGGAGATCGACATCGGAGAGCTGGACATAGAATCCACCTGACTTTTAACAATACTAAGGTATCCTGAGGTCGGCTCTATTGAGTATCAGGACTACAGTCACAGTTCTGCGCAATAGTATTCTTCGAGATTTCACGCCGTCTAGGACGTCCGGAGAAACCCCCGATTCGTACTAGTACATTAATATAGACCAGGCACGATAAGAACCGCATCGACTCTGTATGGAGGTACCTGCATCCACTAAGCAGGTACCGTCCGCCACAATCAATGTTGGAAGTCGAAGCAATCTTACCAGCCTCTCATCCGGTTGAGGAAAAGATCTGCGAGTCTCATCACCGCCCTCCCTCGAAGGAACAACAGTGTTCTTGCGGCGTGACTTAGACCACTTGAAAGTGAAGCACAGCTCAAAGTATCGTACGTGGAATCCAATGGCCTTCAACTATCATCTGTTGGGGGAAACTGCTGCCTATTCCCCTAAGCGAACCCATTAGGATGATCATTGGTGCCGGCGATAGACGGATCTCCGACCGACCAGATAAAGGGGCACCAATCAAGGCCAATCTCCTCGATATGGATCCTACCTTCCCAATCCATCCTAGTGATCTGCAGTAGTTATATATGATGAATTCCCAGCGAGCGGGGTCATCTGATTTCAAAGCCTTCCCCTAATATCCTCTCAATTGATAGAAGGCTGCATTATTTGCGTCAGAATGGTAGTATTTTCGAGGTTCGCCATAGTGGCCGCGTTGGTTCAGTATGCCTCGGCTCAATTTGTCCCTGCGCCGACCGATTTGATCACTAAGAAGGGTTATGCTGGTATCAATGTGCGGTATAAGGAAGTGCCCGCTGGGATTTGTGAACAAGATCCGGACGTAAAAAGTTATTCGGGTTATGCGGATGTTGGTGAGAATGAACATATTTTTTGGTAAGTCATTTTTCCGATATGAGTGATCATCACGAACACATGCAGGACGGCACACATGCATGTGTTACATACTATTCATGTATGGCTTATAAATGGCCGCGCGAATTGCATGTTTATGAGACGCTGACAGACCACAAGGTGGTTCTTTGAGGCCAGGAATGAAAACCCAGAAGAGGTATGTCATATCGCCTTGTTCCCAAGTACAATGCTAACGGTCAAGTAGGCACCACTTACAGTCTGGATCAATGGAGGGCCGGGATCATCGTCAATGATTGGATTGTTTCAAGAATTGGGGCCCTGTGGAGTTGACTACGATGGCAATGTATACAACAACCCTCATTCGTGGAGCAACGTGAGCAACATGGTAAGTTCCACAACTCAGTCCATTACGATAGGTTTTGCTAAACGGCCATTAGATCTTCATTGATCAACCCGCTACAGTCGGCTTATCATACACCATTCCAGTCCCTGCCTACCAGGACGACGATGGCAATATAATCCAGTTGCCCAACAACACATGCCCAGATTACGCTGAGCAGTACGGGACATGCGGCACGTACTCCAAGTCAGACGTCGGTCTGGTTCCCAACACCACGGCAGGTGCTGCTCCAAACATGTGGAAAACACTGCAGGGATTCATGGGTGCATTCCCGCAATACTCTAAGAATGGTTTCAATTTCGCTACCGAGAGTTATGGAGGCCACTATGGCCCAGTTTTCAACAGTGAGCTCCCAGTCACGGTCAAATAAGAGCGATGCTAACAGTTTCCAGCCTACTTCCTGGAGCAAAATGTCAAGAAAATCCCCGGCGCTGTCGACATCGAGCTTGAGAACGTGTTCATCGGAAATGGCTGGTTCGATCCTCTGATCCAGTACCAGGCTTACTATAATTTCTCTATTTCCCCCGGTAACACATACGATTACGATCCATACAATGCCTCAGTCAAAGCTGAATGGTACAACAATCTCTACGGAGAAGGAAACTGCGTTGACCAAACCTTGGAATGCTACGCCACCGGTCGGAATGATATTTGTTCTGCAGCAGACGACTTCTGCGCCAATAAAGTGGAGGAGCTTTATGACATTTACTCGGGGCGCGACGAGTATGATATGCGTGAACTGAGCTCTGATCCTTTTCCATACGAATTTTATGTGGATTACCTCAATAGTCCAGAGGTTCAAGCCGCGATTGGTGCGTACCAGAACTTTTCCGAGTACTCTTATACTGTGGGAAATGGTTTCGGAAGCACTGGTGATGATGACCGTATGGATGGAACGATCGGAGATGTGAAGGAGTTGATAGAATCTGGTGTTCAGGTGGTGATGTACTTTGGTGATGCGTAAGAACCCCTCCGGCTCCCGAGGAAGCGATCCGGCTGATCTGACACTCATCTAGTGACTACAACTGCAACTGGCTCGGTGGTCAGGTCATTGCGAAAGAGATTAATGCTCCGGGGTACGAAGAAGCAGGCTTTGTCAACCTCACCACTTCGGATGGAATCGTTCATGGACAAGTCCGACAAAGTGACCTGTACACGTTCATTCGCATTTACGAATCTGGCCACGAAGTTCCTTTTTACCAGCCTTTGGCTGCGCTGTCTTTCTTTGAGAGGGGAATCTCTAGAAAGGATATTGCCACTGGAAAGAAAAAGATGAGACAGCATGGTGGCTATCGGACTGTGGGAACTCCCACAAGCGATTACCGAGAAGGTAATAGCACCATCGTTTTTAAGGATCTTTCGAGTGACGCTACATATAACACGACCCTCAATGGACCTAATCCATAGGCTCTAGGCTGTTCGTCATGAGATAAATGGTATTTCAGAAGAATTTATGAAATGAATATTGAGGAATGAGAAGAGAATAGAATAGCGTAGGACCTGCATACAGCGAACAGAAAAACACTAGAATATGAATTAGTTAATTTTCCTTGTAATTAATGGATCTATTGATACATCATACTACATGTATCAATATTTGCATTTTTATCCTTCTGCTATAAGTTTCACGTCCCGTCTGCCAAGATATATTTACAAAGACCGGGTGGATCCAGCTCATGAATATATGTGGGGGTGTCAAAAACGAGTAGAAAAGACTGATGTATGACTCATTTAGCCCATAATTTACGGGGTCAATGACCTTGGTATCTTGAGCCTAACGAGTGAGTTTATAATTGTGAGAATATCTAAAATGAATGCGCCGGTTTTGCTACTTTGCGCAAGTTTGGAATAGGTTCAACCATCGTTCCCAACAGCCTCTTCATAAGGTATAGGCAGTCTCATGTCCCTAGTGGATTTTGAGCTGTTAAATAGACGGGGACACAAGCCTGGAGTCCTCTCTCTCCTCTCCATCTCCACATTTTCCCTTCCCTTCTTACCCACCCATGCGTTTCTTTTTATACTTGCTCTTGTCCGTCATCAAATTCCAAGTGCCTTTTTGTTTCATTTGATCTCCTTTATCTGTTTCTCTTGATCCTCCACCCCCCATCCGAGCTGTTCAAAATATGGACAACAAGACTACACAGAGGTTTTCTAAGCCTCAAGGTCGCTCACAATCTTCTCGACGTGACGATTCAGCCAATCCATTGCTTAAGCACATATTCCGTCTGCGTCCCTCATGCCATACACAACGAAGAACCAGAATACTGACCATCCATATACTGCTAGCTACCTATGGACTTGATGACAACGGAATGCCAAGATTTCGTATGTGGTTTACACAGTCGGAGAAAACGATCTTCTCCCACGTCCCCGCCGATCCCTGGCTGTCGAAATTTATTGTTTTCATCATCAAAGTTTCAACCAACTCCTCAATAATTTTAGTATTTGACAGTGGAAAATTCATTGGAATCAATCTTCTTCTCTCAAAAGTGTAGCTGCAATCATAATAAAACAAGACTACAGCCTCGTCAGCCAGATAACCACTGTCGAGGTTTCATGTTCAAATGCCGTCTGCAGTCGGAGTATCCTTGCATGGAATGGAGGTGGAAAGATCATAAAAGTCCGTGACAAAATATAACTGGGTATTGAGTTTTGGTCGTGAATATCATGCAACAGCATCAATTAGAAGGTAGGAATGAAATGGCTCGAATCTTTCTCTTGCTGGCTGAAAGACTCTGGGAATGCTGCGATTCCCCCAATAATACCAACTGCCATGAATCCCAGCGAGATGAGAGACCAGATGACACCCCAGCACTGAGAAGATCCTCCATATCTCTTGGCGAACACACTGGCATCCGAGCTGTTGACTTTGCGGAGAATGAGGTCGTCGCACTATGATTGTTAGTCAGGTTGCAACCAGGAACACAGAAGGATAACATACGATATCCCATACACTGTATAGAGAAGACATGACGCCGATAAATAGCTGAGTGACTGTCAGTACGTGAATCTCAACCAAAGTCCAGGTCTAACTTACCACGAACCACCGTAAGGCTTCAGCATGGGCAATGAACCAGCATGCCACGAGGAAGCCGACCGCAAGTAGGATAGTGCCGATAGTCAACTAGTCTCTCCGAGCCCACCAGAGAGTCAAAAGAAAGCAAACACCCAGAACAATGCTTGCAATCTTACTAGCCACAACATCGAACCCAGCGAAGATCAAAAGAGCGCCAATAATGGATGACCCCAGGTATCCCGCCGGCAGTGTGATCGCAGACATGCCTCCTCGCATATGGGTGACGCCACCTTCATGGGGATCAAGGGAGATCGACTCGACCTTTCCACCTGTGCAGCAAGCAGTGATCGCATGCCCGAATTCGTGAAACGCGATAACCAGCATCTATCTCATTAGTCGACGCCGTCTGCGAGGAGGGAGGACGCTTACCTTGAAAGGCCATAATGAATAGCGAAGATATGGCAGATTCCAAAGTAAGGCGATAACAACCACGTAAACGGCCATGATCCCTAGCGTTATCGCCTGTGTATGGTTGACGCTTAGGCTGCGTTGGGCAAGGTGCGGGGCCATGTGGGCCCGCTCCTCCAGGGTCGAGTACAAGGCTGGCATGGTGAGGTCTTTGCTAGAGTTGCCAGTGCAGGGCGGAAATGGTGATGTTGAAAGTGATCCTGAGGTCTTACCAAGCTTTTAATATTGCGGTCGGGAATCTCTTTGGTTGGACGCGTCAGGAATGGACGCGCATACCATCTTGGCGATTTGTTTTGTGGCGCGCAACAGGTCTGTGTGGCTGGGTTTCCCGCCTTCCTATTTATAGCGGAGACACAGGGCAAAGCCTTACACGTTCTTCAAATTTTAATTTAAAGGATATTGATTAGAAACTGTAAAAGATTTGTATATGGATCACATTTGAACTTTACTGTATCTATCTACTTTCTAAACACGCCTTTGAACCTTGGATCGAGTGCTTCGGAACGATCGGTTCAAGTGCTAGGTTAAACCCAAATCTACGTGCTGTACAGTCATTAGCGAATCTGCTACTCCCTGACAACTGCCTTTCTTCACTTGGGCCCCAATGCCAACGCACTAGTGCGGCAAATTATTAACGGACGTCACTGAAGATATAACTGCTCAAGGTACAGTGATGTACAACAAGTATTTGATCTTGGGTACTTTCAGACCCGATCGCTTTATTATAGATCGCTCACCAATCCAGTGAAGTCAACTCCACGCGCCCTGACATTTTAATATATACAGCACTATTCAATCGATAAAAGGGTGCTTAGAAGAAAGTACGGGATTTTTACTTTTATTCCTCGGCCAAATTAGGCCAGATATGGATTATAATGAATTTCTGCAGTTTCTGCTGGCAATGAGAGAAGTGGGTCCTAAGTACCCAAGGTCAAATACTTGTTAAACACCACTGTATTAGAAGGTATTTGATACTAGGTTTACGTTCTTAATTTACCAAACACCTACTACTACGCTGCAACACTCCTACACATCTATGTACATCGCGACGTGTCATTTAACTTTCATTTGCGATGGTCAAGGTATACCTCGTCATCCATTCATTCATTCTCTGTACACGCTCGACTGGGGATGAGCTCTCAACACACACTCACGATGTAATGACTATCGTAGGCCACAGCTATTATTTCTCATCTGACTCTATTTTGGCGATGCCCCCATCCTTAATTAGCAGCTGTTCCAGTTGTATGCTGCCACGTGTTATGTCGCAGCCTCAGGTTTGATCGCGTATCGGCTGTTTCCACAAAAATGCGGATCAGTTCACGAAAGAAAAAGTGAATGAAAAAAAAGCAGCAACATCATGTCAAAAGATCACATTCAACTTACGTGTCCTTCAGAGCTTAGATCTACCAGAGGCTTGAATTTGAATCCCACCTCCCCTCCAAGCAGGCCAGCATCAGATACAGGCGCTGTTGTGAGAATGACGTCTTGTATGGCTATGGAAGACGCCGAGACGGACTTGACTGTTTCCAGGAGCCGAACGTTAGCTATCATCGTCTGCATCACCTGCATCACCGGCATTGGCAACCTCTTGGCTGGGCTCTTGACTGTAGGGATTCCTGTTATTGCGGAGGACCTGCAAATTCCGTCTGCACAACAACTTTGGCCGACTGCTGCTTTCGCTCTCGCGTGCGGCTGCACGCTACTTCCATGCGGTGCTGTTACCGATGTTCTTGGTTCTCGTCGTGCGTGTCTGCTCGGTGGGATATTCCAGACAGCTAGTGCTCTAGGTGCAGGGCTTGCTGCTACACCGGCGCAGCTTATTGCACTGCGGGTCACAGCAGGTTTTGCCGCCTCTTTTTGTCTACCTGGCGCTGTCGGCGTCGCCGCACGTGTCTTCCCCATCAACAGCAGCCCGCGCCGCCGTAGCGCCGCCTTCGCAGCCATGGGAGGTGGCCAGGCTGTCGGCTTTGGGTTGGGGCTGGCATTAGGCGGCGTGTTTTCGGATACTGTCGGCTGGCGCTGGGGCTTTTATGCCACTGCCATACTCAATGGTGCCGTGCTGGCACTAGGACTGTGGGCGCTGCCACCTAGCATTGATGGTGGTCCGCTGAATCGAGCATCGCTCACACGTCTCGCACGCGAGATCGACTGGGTCGGCGCACTGCTCATCAGCACCTCTCTCGCGCTTCTATCATATGAGCTGGCCCTGGCCACTGGATCAGATGCGGCGCGAAGTATTCAAGAACCGTCAAATATTGTGATACTATTCATTGCACTTGCGCTCATACCTGCATTCGGCTTATGGATGCGGCGCCAGGCTCGCCTCAGCCTCCCGGCGCTGATTCCAAACACTTTATGGGCTGATGTACCCTTTACAGCCACTTGCATCACTGTTTTTCTGGTTTGGGGCAGCCTGAACGCGAGCGAGCAGCTAACAGCCTTATACCTACAGGATGTCCGGGGCGCTTCGGCTCTCACATCGTCCTTGTATTTTCTACCGGCGCCAATTTGTGGGGCATTGATGAATGTCGCCATTGGTGTCCTGCTCCCGCATTTGCGACCCTCAATGGCGGTACCCGCAGGCTGCTTTGTGAGTGGTATTGCACCATTACTTTTAGCCACCCTTTGTGGTATTGACGGGCCAGGATATTGGCGGGGAATCTTTCAAGCCATGGCCCTCAATCCTTTAGGTGCGGACTTAATTTATACTATTGCGAATTTGGTGATGACAGCGTCATTTCCAACCAGCACTCAGGCCCTGGCAGGCGGTGTATTCAACATGATAGCTCAGATTGGGAAGAGTGTCGGTATCGCGACCTCGGCAGTTATTGCAAGGCAAATAACGGCGCGGGTGGCGGAGGTAAGTACTGAGGAGGCGCTATTGCTTGGTTATAAGGCAGGTTGGTGGTATAACTGTTCACTGGGGTTTGCCTCCGTACTTGTCAGCCTCTATGGTTTGAGAAGCGTTGGGAAACTAGAAGCCAAAAGAGAATGATACCCCATTTCCTGTGCATTTGGCTGCAAATATATATTCTCGCATGGAAACATGCATTGTTTCTCGATCTGTATCCGAAACTATCCTACTATAACTTGGTCCCTTTTTATTATAAGGTGACTGTGCATACTAAATTAAATTTCAACGTCGAAAAGTGATATAAGCCTCTAATGATTGATCCGAGCATGGAGTCGCTAGTATTTTACTTCCCTTGTTTTACGAACGACAAATAATAAATCAGAAGCGATTAAAATTTCTTCGAACAAGAAGTTTGGTATTCATACAAGGAACTCCTATGTGGTTGCTGGCTTTTCCGAATGCAAAGGCAGTGCCACTCACAAGTGCCGTTCAAATGGTAAGCGCCACGAAGCTTACTATACTTGCCAAACACATCCGACGGGATGTAATGACATTTCTACTAGCCCTCACTATTAACTCTTTCTCAATGGACGATCGATCATAAACGAGTAAATGTAAATAAGCGGAGTCATGTATTTTTGAGGAACCAAAAAATGGAAGAAAAAATGGCGCCACCCGGAATCGAACCGGGGCTAACACAGATTCACTGTGATCTACCACAATGTGTCGTCATACCACTAGACCATGGCACCTGTTTGATGACTAAGGTCGTTATTAATGCTACATATACCATAAGCCTTCGTTATTGCCTATAAGCATCTATCAAGTAAAAAATGGTACAACTACTAGTTAGTAGTAGGTACTAGCTACGATTATTAAAATACTTGGCCTTACGGAGTACAAGTTGTGGTCTCCACTTAATGCAAGAAAAAGTTTTCCAACCAACCCATATGAAGTTCTTGATATTAGTCCCGATAAAGGAAGCCATACTTCTTGACCTTGAAGATACATATGCGGGTCCCCGCCGACCTTCTGATTTTGACCTATGCCGGGATTGTGACTGTCGGGAGTATAGAGCCTCAAATTTTGGGGAACTAACCTGACGTGCAATACATGAGGTCATCCAATAAACATTCTTTCGGCTAACCTTCAAATGCTGGCTGAAGAACCTTGAATTCAAGTGCTTGACACTTTATTTTGATCCACATAGAACACTTATTAGTCACAAACCTGCTGCTTCGATACTAGTCTGCTTGGTCCAACCCGAACGAGAACGAACTTCGTAAATGGCGCATTGTTCCTAGCGACCGGTATTTCCCGTCCCATTTTAGCCTTCTAAGGCGTCATTGGCATTGGCCAGCGGGAGAGGAAAATCGAAAGGCCGGCAGACAATGCGGAGTCCCCGGTTCCACACCTCGTCAGTGGCAGCGACAACGTCCGTTCGGGATATCGGTATACCGAGAAAAACATGTTAATCAGGGTAAAATCCGGGGAAATGTTGTCTTGCACAGATCACAACTCTTGTGGGAAAGCGACCTGCAGCTAGTTGTTCATCTGGACCCTCAATCCCTGAATCTGGGGACGGCAATGCGTTTAGGAGGGGGAATCGGGAGTCTTCCGAGCGGATACCTCGACACGACCCGATGGAGTCGACAAATGTGGGGTTCATGGCGCCATCAGCCATTCATACATCGACTGACATTACGGGACGAGGTGATCGTCATTAAACACCCGGCTTCATGGAGAACAACCCGAAGAATGGGCGTTTTGTGACGTAGCGATACAAAATTTCGCTGTGGGTCACCTTGACAGTGGTCTAGGGACTTCGGGCAGGTCGGCGAATGTATGAAGCTTAAAAGGTAAGGGGTTGCCGCTCTTTCGATCGACATCAGGTCAATCAATTGCAATGCTCGGATTAAAGAGTTTGGTCTGGACGACCCTTGCGGCGTCGGCCGTTGCGACGCAGGCTTTGGACCTTGGAAGTGGGTTTAGTCTTGGTGTTGACCAGGATGCCAACCATCTGGCTGTTACTGGTCAAAATCGGACCATCTGGGAGACTGTGCCTGGCGCGGCATTTTTGAGCGCCAGCGCGGGACTGGATGAGATTATTGATGACAGTGGTAACTTTAAGATCACCGATGTTGATACCAACAAGTGCACATCTGAGCGTATCACTCAGGTCACCCAGCGCGCGTGGAAGGGAAGTGTCAACAGTCACGCTGCAGTCGTGCAGGGCTCCCTCTCAGGTTGTGGAAACGCCACCGCTGGATTCTCCTTGACTCTCTATGTCCCCCTGGAGTTTCCTGACCGGGTTGCTTTCAGCATTAAGGTCAATCCCAGCGCCGACGGTGCTTTGACCAAGCTGTTCTTCACCTACCGCTCATCGCCATCTGAGGACTTCTACGGTCTCGGTGGTCAGGCCTCATTTGCTTCGCTGAAGAACCAGTCTGTGCCGATCTTCTCCCGTGAGGGTGGTGTTGGCCGTGGTGACAAGCCTACTACCGAGCTTGAGGATGCAGAGAGCTTCTTCTCTGGAGGTGACAAGCACACCACCTACTCCGCCACTCCCCAGTATATCAGCTCCGAGGCGCGCGTGTTCCACCTGACCCAGGAGAGCACCGCCTATGCGAACTTCGACTTCCGCAATGCCAGCTCCGTTACTGTGCGGTATGCCGCGCTGAGCGTGGATGGTTACTTCATGCAGGCAGGCAACATGCTCGACAGTATTACCATGCTTACTGAGTACACTGGTCGCATGCCGGAGCTGCCCAAGTGGGCTGATAGTGGTGCCATCCTTGGTATCCAGGGTGGTCAGACCAAGGTCAACAGCATCGTCAACTACGGATTGAACCACTCGTGTCCCATTGCCGGAGTGTGGCTTCAGGATTGGGTTGGCACCCACAGTCAAACCGCATCTTACCTGAATGGTTTGACTATTTCTCGTCTGTGGTGGAACTGGGAAGCTGATTCCAAACTCTACCCTACCTGGAACAAGTTCGTGCAGAACCTGCGCGACGAGCACAATGTACGCACTCTGTCGTACATCAACCCATTCATTGCCAATGTCAGCACTAAGCCTGACGGATACCGCCGTAACCTCTACCTCGAGGCAACCGAGGGTGGCTTCTTGATTCAAAACTCCACTACCAACAGCACTGCCGTCATCTCCAGTGGTCCCGGCATTGAGGCTGGAATTGTGGATCTCACCAACCCTGCTGCCTGGGCCTGGTTCCAGGAAGTCCTCACTGACCAGGTTTGGAGCGCCAATGTCTCCGGATACATGTGTGATTTCGGAGAGTACACCCCGGTCACCTCGGACACCAAGTTCGGAAACAAGAAGATTGATGCCCGATTCTACCACAACCAGTACCCTCGCGACTGGTCCGTCGTGAACAATCAGCTCCGCAACAATGTGTCCGCCGTCGCTGATGCGCTCATCTTCCACCGCTCCTCATCCATGTCTTCCAACCGCAACATGAACCTCTACTGGGTCGGCGACCAGAACACCAACTGGGGCGTCAACGACGGAATCAAATCCGCCGTTACGGTCCTCGGCCACATGGGTCTCTCCGGCTACGCCCACGGCCACGTGGAGATTGGTGGCTACACAACAACCTGGGACAGCAACGGCATTGTGAACCGCTCTGCCGAACTTCTCGGTCGCTGGGGGGAGCTATCCGCCGTTTCCAGCGCTGTCTTCCGCTCCCACGAGGGTAACGTCCCCACGGTGAACGCCCAGTTCTACACCAACGCCTCGACCTACGCATACTACGCGTACAACGCCCGTATGTTCGCCAGTCTTGGTCCTTACCGTCGCGCAATCCTCGATACCGAGAGCAAGCACCTTGGCTGGCCTCTTGTTCGCATGCCGGTCATCTACCACCCCAACGATATCAAGGCTAAGCAGATCAGCTTCGAGAGCTATTTCCTCGGTGCTGACTTGTATGTCGCTCCTGTTCTGGATGCTGGACGCAAGAGCGTCAGCGTTTACTTCCCTGGTCAGGGTGAGACGTACAAGCATGTTTGGACTGGGAAGACTTACCAGGGTGGCCAGACTGCTACCGTCCCTGCTCCATACGGCAAGCCTGCTGTTTTCGTTGTGGGTCAGCCTAAGCACAAGCATCTCGAAAGCTTCTTCGACTTTGTTCGTAAGGAGAACTCGACTGTGATTCATGTATAATTATGACATCAATTGATGTGATGTGGAATGTTGATATGTATAGATAAGAACGAGACTTTTTTAATTTTTCACTTTGAATCCCGGGGTATACTTTCCAAGAAGCTACCAATAAACGTTGATCATCGCATTGTTCTTCTCTTCGGGCAAAACCCCGACGGAGAAGCTTCACCCAAAACAAGATCTGCACAAAACATCGCACAGAATACATCGGCTCGAGCCGCAGTAGATAGCGACGGTTACATTTCTCCGCACTTTGGCCGGATCTCTTCCACCGCCTCAGTAAGGGGTGTAACCGAATCAACCCCGCAGTTATACTGGTTGCATGGTCTCATAGCAATATATAGCCAAGCTAAATCCTATGGATGAAGTCGCAGCTCATTCAAAATGTTTCCGACATGGTCTGTGCAGTGGCTTCTGTCATTCACGACATTCAACCTTATCACACCTACACGGGCTACCTCACGTAAGTAAACAAACAAGAGTTGTGTTCCTACTAACAGACCACAGTTGTTCCATTCGCATACGATCCTCTCCCGTTAGGTAGCATCACTCCGAATGGGTGGTTGAAAACGGAACTTGAGACCTCTGCTGCAGGTCTCGGTGGCCATTTGTACGATTTTTATCGCTTTGTTGCCAATTCATCCTGGATCGGTGGAGATCAGGAATACAGTGACTTGAACGAGGCGTTACCATATTGGGTGAATGCCCTTGTACCACTTGCGTATACGACGCAGGATGATCGACTGAAAGCACAGGTCCACGATATTGTGGATAATGTGCTCGGTCGGATTCAATCTGATGGATGGATTGGTCCCGTAACCCTGGAAAGTCGGGAGCGAATGATCTGGGCGAGGACGTTACTGTGAGTATTAGGCGATTTTGTTAGAGCATCGCTAATGTATTCAGATTCCTTGGCTTGACAAACCTTGCTGATGCGAACTCGACTTACGAGGCCCCTATTGCTGATGCGCTGCTTCGATTCAATGGACTTATGAATACCATGTTGAAGGATAATGGGACGGGGATGATTTGGCACGAGGGTGATAAGCCTAATACTGATGATTTCTTGTGGTTCCGTGCTCGAGCTGAGGATATGATGGTTAGCGTGCAGTGGCTTCTTGATTATCACCCTCAGAATGAGACAGAAATTCTGAAGGAGAATCTTGAGATGCTTCATCAGTATGCATATAAGTGGGAGGGATGGTATACCGAGGGCAGTTATATCAAGGAAGACTTCTATGATCTTCCACAGTCTGTGACGGATGACTTGTGGCAATTTTTGCATGGAGTGACTATTGCTGAAGGTAAGACTCGCATCAAAATCATTATGTCCAGGCTGACGATTTCCAGGTTTGAAGTACGCTGCTGTGGTGAGACGCTTCACATTCAATGATAGTCTTCTGACAACCGCCAAGAATGGAGTAAGTTGAAATTCCACATTTCAAATGTTTGAAAGACACTAATTCTGTAAGTCGACTGGACATTCCAATACCATGGAGCTCCAAGTGGCACCATTCTTGCGGATGAGCGAATCGATGGACTAAACCCGTACTACGGATCGGAACTTTGCACACATGTCGAGACCATGTATTCTCTCGCATACAACTACTTTGCGATCGGTGATCCAGACTACGCAGATCGTGCCGAGTTAACGGCATACAATGCTCTCCCTGCTGCCCTGATGGGAGATTGGTGGAGTCACCAGTACATGACTGAGCCTAACCAGCCATTCTCCAAGAATCTCTCCGCCACGCCGTTTTACGACGACAACTCTCTGGCAAATACATTTGGCCTTGAACCAAACTACCCCTGCTGCACTGTGAATCACCCACAAGGATACCCAAAGTTCGTTCTTCATTCCTACGTGAAGAAGGGGACATCGGGTCTCGTACACGCCCTCCTCAGTCCAGGCAGGGTCCAGACAGAGATCGACGGGAAGAAAGTATCCGTCAATTGCGAGACGGATTACCCATTCTCGAATACCCTCTCCTACACCATCGATTCCGATTCAAGCTTCGACTTCTACCTCCGAGTTCCAAACTGGTCGACAGGCGTATCAACCCTGGGTCTGGAAACACCACCTACAGACCCAACCACCGGACTAATGCAGTTCAACATCCCATCTGGAACGACAAAATTCACCTACACGCTTTGCATGGAAATGAAGATAACCCCTCGCGCTAACGACACCGTTTCAGTCTACAGAGGTCCACTTCTCTACGCTCTATACATCAAACCCGACATCTCGTCCAGTCCCCCGAAATTCTATAACACTCAATCGGAGTACCCAGCAGGCACATACCCTCCCCAAGCACAAGATCACGTGCTTCTCAATACAACAGAGTGGAATGTAGCGATTGACCCGACGACATTGGAATATCATCCTGGCTCGAGTCCGCTTCCTGAACCTGCTTTCCAGGATGGTGCGCTGCCTATGTATATGACGGCGAAGGGGTGTTTGATCGATTGGCCCATGTTCCGTGGTGCTGTTCCTGGATCACCTATTCCGAAGGAGGATCGGGTTTGTTTGGGTAATGCGTTTAATGTCACGTTACGGCCTTATGGGAGTGCGAAGTTGCATATGTCGGAGATACCTATGATAGATCTTTCTGAATGATTTTTGATGAAAGCCCTGCAACGCAACAAGATATTGGCAGAAATATACGAACACTGGCTTATATTATGGAAGCTCATTCTGCAGCATATAAAGAATAAGGGTGATTGTATTGGGTCTGGCGTCCTCGAAATCGTCTGGGTCTTGTGTTGCTTCGTCGTCCGTGATCCTGTCGGTTTCATCAGAGTGGCGTTTACTGTCTTGATCATACCAGCATTCTGGTAAATGCTGGATAGCCCTAACTCTGACCTGACTGCGTTCCCCATTCGCACGTGGTTCCATGTATTGTACACTCGCGGCATTCTGAAAGCCTTATGAGACAATCCCTCGAACAAAAGTCTTGGCGCCCTCGCCGAGAATGTATCAACTGAGATTGGGAAACCGTTGGTGAGATAACACGCGTTTGCTCTGATTTTGGTCATCGACTTGCTGGTTACCGTGCATAGACGAGCTGCCGGCGATTGATGAATCGAGAGGTTGATCTAGTGCAACTGGCGCTTCAAAACGAGGAAGAACGTGTCCGGGAAAAAAAAGCAAGTGAAAAACACAAGGAAACGCAGTAGAAAAGCAACATACAACTAGAACTAAAAATCAAATTTGCTCCACGAATCCTCTTCATCGTCCTCCTCAACGTCCTTGGATACATCCATGTCCCTCAGTTTCTTAGGTAAGTCTCCCTCCTTTCTTTTTATGTGTTTGCCAGCAACTGGTTGGATCGCAGCCAAAACCCTCCTACGGCCGAGCTTCCTCCACCTCCGCTGCATGTTCCGTGTTGTTAATCTTTGGTTTTCGCGACGGGATGCTCTTTTGAGTGGCTCGGTCTGTTTTCGAAGTGGCTGCCGGCGAAACTCCGGAATTTTTTGTTGTCAGTGCTCTGTCTTTGTTGTCATCCATCCTTGCTTCTGAGGCATCGCTGAGTTCCACTCGTTTTTCAACGCTTGAGACAAATGCTGACTGAGGATTCAGAAAGATCCCCGCTCATTCGTAACGTCTTCACTTTCAACAAGGCCCAAAAATGACCAAGCTATACACTGCGGATGCTGTTCAAGTTGTTCAATGTCCAGGATACAGGTAAGGTCGAATACATCGATAGAAGGTGCGTATGAGATTCGCAAAGTAGCGAAGAAATGTTGGGCGAGACAGGAAACACGTGGATCATAAGTATATCACTTAACGATTTCCGTCCAACTGTCCCTGCAATACTGTACGTTAGCTTGGCAGGGATGCGCCAAGCGACCGGACTCGAATTCCGTTGAAACCAGGGAGCCTGGGCGCGCTTAATTTGTCTTCTTGATCGGTGCTGAGGAGATTACTGGCCTTCCTGTAGTGCACGAGGAGTGGGTTGTTCGCGGCAAGTGCTGTTTTCGCATAGAATTCCTGGAATATGGCGACGTGAGGAGCGGGGTGAGGTCCTCGGAGGTCACTGATTTTGTTGGTAGAACAGGCCAAACGTAAAGCGGGGATATCGCACATCCGCTAAACGCTTAACGGTAATTGCAACGGCGACAGTGGCAGGAGGAATAATTACGTGCTCCTGACCATGAGAGGTTGTGTTACCCCTGGGCTACTCCTCTTTGAGTCACCGCGGCTCTCTTTTGGATTGAGTGCTGAATCCTGAACTCTTGGCCAGCGATTAAATGCTTTCAAATAATTTCTTAGGTTCGAGGTACACCCCTTATCCTCCTGAATGTGGGGATTTTGCAATAGCATTGTACTGCTGGTGCTGGTAAAGGGGGTCTTGGAGCTCATCATGAATAGTCCCCCCATTGACTTGGTTGTTCGCCTTCGGAGTGTAGGTGATAAACAGTCGTCCAGGGGCTCTGCCAAAGGCAAAAGACCAATTGACCTCTGGCCTGAACTTTCAGACTAAATTACCACAATATCTTTGCTCTTAAAAAATAGGTTTTATCGCTGTATCTGTTTGACGCAGGGTCTTTGAACAAGCAAATTTAGACAGCGTAGTTTGGTTTAAAAGTAAAATAAAGAGCAAACAAGGACAGTTTTGCTCAGAACTCCCATCGAAAACGTCAAGGAGACAACAACCATTTCAGGTGCGTCCTCTCCTTAACTAAAGGAAGACACAGCCTGCAAACCCAATCTGCACCATACCACACTTGAGCAAGCTCAGTAGGGGCCAGAAAGTCAAAAGCTCTTTTTTTTGCTAGCCACTCCCTCAGTACGCATATCTTTGATTGGTGATCTTGAGCCTGATGGAACGACTACTGAATTCCCGTCGGAGTACAAGTCACTGTCATCATTCTCGCGGCACCCTGCATAGCGGACATCCGGTGGAGGTTTCATTGTAGTTGCAGTCAAGCAAAAGATTGTAACGACTTCTCTTTTGGATGATCGATAGGGGCTCTTTAGTAAAGAACAGCGACCGTGTTTCTGTATACCGTCTTGGTTGCCGTACTTGGACGCGCAAGAATAATCATGGTAGCCGAGCATTTTCTGAGATGGAATTTGCCAGTCACTGTTTTGGCCCATAATCCGATCTCCACTATGGAGATTCACCGAGTCCATTCATAATGCAAGAAGAGATTTCTCACTCAGCGGTAATGTCCACCAAGCGACAGTTCCACGAGCCCATCCTCAGACTCTTCGGCAGCGGGAACGACCTTTGGAACAAAATATCTCACTCTTCTTCGATAAAACCATGATGAAGGTGTTTAGAGCATCCTCTTTAAAGCCATTCCATTTCTGGAGCTTTCCTACCAACCTTGTAGACGTAAGGCACTTGTGTTCATCTGGTTGGCCCTTCAGGTTCCAATAAAATTGTTCTTCCTGGGAGTTGTTTCGTGATGCAGGAGCCGGCGCATATAGTCAGGATGCATTCAACCTACCCATAGCTTAAGGGAAGTGGTGATATCACAGGATACATCTTCCCAGCTGAGTGTCCATAAATCCGAATTCACCGCTCTGAATCAGCACAGTGTGAAATAAATCAGGACTGTTCGGTAAAATTGAATTAATGAAAGTAACTCGAAAATGAAGAATGATGATTACCTATCATCTGTGATTTGTTCATCAGTAATCCGCAAATTTATTGCGACACATCTCTCATCGATCCATAGCATTGCAATTTTGTGAAAACCTAGGCTAGCCTTTTGAGAAATCATAAGTAGACGAATGCCAGGAAGAGGAGGAAAGATGATACGTACCAAGTAGAGATGAGAGAACATGATTTTGATTGAAATCCATCTAGTATCGAAAGAGGGAGGTTGTCAGAAAGAGAAAAGAAAGAAGAGGTGAGAGTGGGGAGAAGAGAAGAGAAGAGAAGAGAAGACAAGTGAGTGATCAATGATATCTATAGGCAAAATGGAAGATGAGGATCACATGATAGATTCAGGCTCCCATGACAGAAGAGACTTAGTCTAAGCGACTGGTGTGATAGCAAAAAGCAGAAGTGAGTATGTAGTACTGAACAGCTTTGTATAAATTGACTATGTGGAAAGCGAGATTTTCATTATTGAGCCCGTAATAAAAATGTCCGGCATTTTCATGCGAACTACCAGATCACAATGAGAACCAAGCCTAGTATTTATCCTTAATAGGATCCTTCTCAGCTCCCTCAATCTGCTTCAAAAACTCCTCAGCAGCCTTAGGATCATCAGCAAAGATATGCTCTGCAACCATGCGCCGCGGAGTCTCCCCGAGCCATTGAAAAAGCGAAAAATCCTGGAACTTATCCGCACGGAAAATCTCCAGCACCTCAAGTGGTTCCTCATCGCTCAAGTTCTCAATGAAGTGACCCATATTTCGAGGGACAATACCCACATCTCCAGCCAGGTAGTTAAATGTGCGAGCATTTCCTTCTGCGGCAAAGACAGTGACGCGCGCTCGGCCCTTTTTGAAGTAAGTCCACTCATCTGCGTTGGGATGCCAGTGCATTTCTCGAAGTGCACCAGGACCAATTTCTAGATGTGCTGCAGCTACGGTTTTTGAGATGGGGAAGTTGGTTGAATCTGTGATTCGCACAGATCCACCACTTGTTCGGATGGGGTCTTGGGCGTGCATGCGGTGAGTGAATTGAAGTTTGCTCTTTTGGAAACCGCGGGGTTTCTCGTGCTCAATACTGTCTGGTACTGTACCCTTGAAGATATATTTTTCGGACGGGGGAATGGTGAGGAACCTTTCTGGTTTGACGCGGAAGTTTTCAGCTAGGACTGACTTTGGGGTGTGGGCTGATCATTGTTAGCGAAGGATTGATACTACAGCATGTATTGATGAAATGTACCTAGCCAGTCAGTGAGGATAAAAGTAGACTCTTCAGAGAAGTTGCCATCGTCGAAAATCAGAAGGAACTCAGTGCCGTTGGGACTGAGTCCTTGAAGAGAATGGGGGAATCCTGCTGGGAAATACCACAGATCACCCTCTTCGAGATCATCGATAAAACTGCCGCCGTCAGGATCCAGTGCCGTCACCCGGACTCTGCCTGCAAGTACGTAGGCCCTTTTGAAGGTAAGCGTTGTGTTTCAGAGATATTAGCATGTCCAACTCACCATTCCGCCTCAGTGTGCCAGTGCAACTCGCGATATACTCCCTCGTCCAAGCGCATATTCACACCAGCGAGCTCACGACTAGTTGGCAGTTCACGGATCGTAGTTTGTCGAGTCCATCCTCCTTCCTAAATGCACTTTAGAATTATGTGAATAACAGGATGACAGAGAGCCTACTTCAATCCGAACGTGCGAATCGGCAAAACTCCATCGCATATTTGACATGCTGCCATGATCCGTGCTCGGAGGACGCACCAGATCAGGATTTTGCTTCTCACGGTCTTTGTTCCTCGGCCCCTCAATCGATGCACCATTACCCCCGCGGTAAGGAAGAGGTTCCCGATCATCTCCTACTGAGTCAACTTTGTGGTCAAATGGATCACGATGGCCCGGGGTGAATGGAGGATTGCCGATGCGGAGAACATCCTGAGTGTGACCAGCAGGGATTTGCAAAAGTCTCTGAATGGCCGAATTGGGAGCAGGAACGGCTCTTACAAGGACCAAGATCTGCAGTAAGGCGCAAGTAGCCAAAATTATGTGCATGATGGGCGTGTTCCAAGATATCGTTTGTGCGAGGGAGGCAGTTTTTTAAGTCCATTGTTAACCCCGCACGTAAAAGGTACATTTAGCATTTACGTCAAGCATATCTAATTCCGGTTCATCCGGTCATTGCCTAGTATCTTACATTGATTGTCTTGAATTGGCTGAATAGTGAAAGCTTATCCTTTTCTGATCCACAGTTGACGGATGACGTGCATTGCTATTGTCCGGTGCGGAGACGCGACTCGGGCGGGAAGAAAAACTCTTCCCCGCACGTACACACACCAAGAGGACTTTGAATCAAGACTTCAAATCAACTTAACTCTTACAATTATCTTTCACAATGAATGAAGAAGAGCCACTACTGGGCAATCCACCGCCCCGACGCGTCTCAAAATATGTGCGCGAAGAGATCGATACCAACCGCGGAGATTTGCTTCTCCTCATCTGTTACATCATCACTGGACTACTAGACAGTTCGGCTGTCTTCATTTGGGGTAGTTTCGTATCGATGCAAACAGGCAACACTGTTTATTTCGGGCTCGGTCTTGTCGGTTCGGACGACGATCGATGGATCAAATCTGGTGTTTCGATTTGTGGATTCTGCGTTGGATCGCTTTGCTTTTCTGCATTCCATCGCTTCTTCACACCGCGACTTCGCTGGGTCATCACAGTTTCGTTCTGCATACAAGTACTTTGTATCATGGTGGCTGCTGCGATTGTGACGGTTTATCGTCCCACGCGTGATGCGCCTTTGAGCTGGGTGATCCTTGTGCCTGTTGCTCTGGTAGCGTTCCAGAGTAGTGGCCAGGCTGTCGCGAGTCGCGTGTTGAAGTACAATGGGTTGACCAGTGTTGTTTTGACCAGTATCTACTGCGATCTATTTTCACATGAAGACTTTCTTTCTTTGAGGGTCTTTCGTAACGCCGAGGAGATGCGTCGATTGGGCGCTGTGCTATGTTTGCTTCTTGGCGTTATTTTTGGTGGACTCTGGGCACATAGCTCGATTGGAATGATGGGTGCACTCTGGATGGCTGCCATTATGAAGGGATGCATCATGTTGGCTTGGCTTGGATGGAAGGGCAAGAAGGAATGAATGATCTATTGGTTATGAGTACGCTGAGTTTTGCAGACATCTGAATTATTGGCCAATGCATCTTATTATACAAGTATCTATACCTTGAACAAAACAGTTGAGCACTTGGCATCAATCACGTGGAACTTATATTTAGTAGAGTCATAGTGGTAGTTCTTACGGGCCTACCGAAGTCCAGTCCCCTGGGGGTATCCTGCTACGCTGGAGATATGAGTAAGGGATGTGAGATAGGATTGATATAGGTAAAATGATATTCAGACTAATCACTAGTCCTCCTAGGAGGTTCAAGCTCCTCAGAGGGGTCCCTTCGTGCATATGCGTATACAAGCAGGTAAGCGAAGCGATGTATTGACAGGCGGCCCTAGTATCTCATAGGCACCCCTTACACATTCCCTTATACCTCATTGTATGGTTGGCGTAAAGGGTGATTCGGTGATACATATACAGTGGGAACCGAACCCGACATCTCGCCAGATTCTGCGTCGGTGGATCAAAACATTCCAGCGACGCAGCTTGACAAGATTCCTGTGTCTGTCCAGACTCCATTCGAATAAGTGGGAGTCAAGGAGAGAGCGTAGCTAGTCGCGAAAGAACCAGCTGCCCATCCGATCCATCCCAAATAGACATCAGAATTCGAGCTGTTCGGCCAGAAAAGGTTGGTTAGATAGGAATGATCTTGGTAGTCAATTTGAATGTTCGATCGGACTTACTTCATCCAGTCCAACTCAGCACAAAGATCTGTGTAGCAAGAAGAAGTGCTTCCGCCGCCAGTTTCAGTCAGGAAGCTGGTACGTATGGTATTAGCATTGATAATAGATCATCTCGAAGACTAGTTGTGGGTGGGACATACGCTTGTCGCCCATTGCTGCGCAGCCAAGTTGCCAGCGTGTTGAGGTTATCGACTCCATTGGTAGTGCAGGTAGTGCTAGTACCGCTTCCGTCTGAATCGAGATACTGATGTACGTCAAAGATCAAATTCGTAGTACTGCCATCGGGATTTGTCACGGCACTAAGGGCCGAAGCAGATCCATCGGAGATGAAGCCGCCGACAGATGTATAGTCGGTACCTGGGAGCAAAATCATTTGGGACGTTGCACCAGCATTGCGGATCGACGTGACAGCCTCTTGAGTGCTAGTCGCCCATTCTGTGATGTCAAGGTCGTGAGGCTGTGGAGGCATGAGATTTAGAGTCATGGCTGGCTTTAGTTTTTCACTCCGGTCTGCTCACCTCATTCATCACCCCGAATATAACCTTCGATGTCGACGCATATTTTGCTGCTCTATAACAATGTCAGGCAAGCTTTCAAGCAGTAAGAAGTCCTCTTACAGCTGCCACCACACGCTAGCGAGTTGATCACTAGTTACTGCACCACTTGACTGCCCTACAATCTCATTATTCCAACGAGCATAGTTGTGAATGTCGATGACACAATAGGCTCCTGTGGTCAAGCAAGCCTGCACCAGCTGATCATAGATACCAGAATTTGTCGAATCTAAGTTGCCTCCAAGGTTGTTATTGACCAAGTACTGCCAGCATACTGGAAGACGATAGACATTGAGCCCATATTTGGTGGTAAAATGGCTCATCTGCCCCGCCCCATCAGCCCCTCCCTGAGAAAGGAGCGGCGGCATCACCTCGGAGGCAGTGTATACCCCATCTGTATTTCCGCAGCCGAAGTCAAATCCAGCTATAGTATCCAGGACAGTTTCAGATATGGTACCGACAGTGAAACTTGCAACAATCAATTTGGAAAGTCTTACCAATATTCACGCCAGCTATATACAATACTTGTCAGAGGCAGGAAATAGTCATTAATCATCAAGGACAAGCATACCTAACCAGACATTGGCAACAGCCTTCTGGGCTAGGATTGCAATTGCAAGCAGCCTCACGAGCATGGTATCGAAGAATGGCAGTGTTTGCTCTTGATTTTGTTTGTTGGCTATCTGAGAAATGAGAATATTATATTTGGAGGCTTCTCCATGCATGTCCACCTTATATAGCTTACCCATGAAAGCCCAAAAGTGTAATTTGATTCGAAGTGAACAGAAATGCACACTGCCACGTCGGAATTTCATCGGAGGGATAGCCCGATGTGCCACGGAGATACTCTCTCGCCAATTTGAGCGAATTGAATCCAAATCTAATTGATGGCAATTATATAAAACTAATAACTCGTTACTCCCAGGATCCGTGAGTTCCCCGTCTCTCCTGTCGATTTTATTATTATAAATTATCATCAGGTATATACTCATCGCAGATGTGCTAAGTAATGAAAACTCTACATTGAAGCCTATAAGCCAAAATCCTGGGGTAGCGGGCAACAAAACTAGACTGTGCCTATTAAAAATCTCAATATTGCATGCAGTAACATAGTTGGTCAAAACACCAGCGGCAGGGCGTATTTCTTCACGAACCTTAATGATCAAATCTCGCTCGAATTACTTCAAACGTTTTAGCGCGCGGGGAACTTTTAGTACATGCCATTGCGATATTATAATTCACTCCATGGTTAAACGCGTGTATTAGAGGTCTACCAGATCTCAGAATGATTGATATTGCATGGTCCACTGCCGTTCAATCTAGATATTTCATAATATGGTTCCTCCATCTTGTCTTGATTATTTGTTGGTCGTTGTGACGCAACTCCGTTTTCGAGGCGAAATGCCGTTCCAAATCTGGTAAAGCTCAGAATGAAGGCGGCTGTTCATGTTCATGAGGTTACCTATCTCCTTGGAGAGAGCGGAAATAGGCGGTTCTAATCTCCGATCTTGCAGGAAAACAATTCAAAACATTAGATACAAACAAGGAAATAAAATCTGTATACTCTTCTGAAACATAAACAGACATACGCTCGGCTGGTCTAACCCAATGAAGCCTGGGTAAGGACTTACAAATTCCACCCCCTTTTGTTACATCGGGGATATAGCGGAAATTGCGAGCGGTTGTTAGTCGGGATGTACATGACAAATGTTGCCTCCGTGGACTTTCCGAATGAGATCAAGGTTCCTTGGTTTTTGGTTGCAATTGAAATGACTGGAAATAAATCGCCTTGAGCCTGAATCACAGCGTTGTGTTTTGATCTACGCTTTCTCATAGACGTGATCTCCGTTGGACGATAGCGGAAGAATCTCCATACAAAAAGCCCTAAAATTGTTTTCGAGGAAAAACACCACTTCATTATGATTCCGAAGGGTTAGACGTAATAAAAACAAATTTTCGAAGCGACTCCGCATTGTTTTCTGCAATACCGTTGGGATTGCCGGCATTCCTTCAACGATGGTGCTTCCATAAACTTGACGTCAATGTCCTAGCACAGTCGCAGGAGGTTTTTTTGTTGAATTATCAGTAACTGCAGTGAATTGTCGCTCAAGAAGAGATTAGTTGAGACTGGTTCCAACATGACTCACATTGGGCAAGCTTTTTCACGATTGTCTTTCAACATTTGGTGAGAACAGACAGGGCTGAGGCGATGGAAAAGAAGCAGATGGGTGAAAAGGCAAGCTGAAAAGTCTATAAATACCGCCTGCTATCCCAGTCCTCTGCCATACGGAATCACTGCCGGATTTTGTCACATTGGGAACCTCTGAAATCAAGAAGATATCATATGCTATCCCACCAGCAGACCCCCGATAAGTTCTTTCTCCTTTGATTCTCTGAACCCTTTCCGGCACTGACAGACGCAGATCACATCGAGATCATTCAAGCCAGGCAGCCCTTATCAGGCGATTAATGCATTGCTTCTCTGTTCCAACTCATACCAGCTAGCCAAGTAGAAGGCAAAGCCACCGTCCGGTCTTTGACTCAAAGATCTCTCTCGTGCCCGTAGGTCTCAAGGGAATTTGGCCATCGGAGCCCGAATGATAATACCCATTAGCTTCTTTGGTCGTTTGAATGTAAGCGACCCTACCGGTGTGGGGACAAATGGAACTCTTATTCCATCTGTAGTCGCGGAGATAATTCTTAGGAAGATGTCACAATTGATTGCATATGTAGCGTGAAAGTGGCGGAGGACGGAACACCGCGGGAGAAACACCGAGATCTCTTATTGGTCTTCAATTCCAATCCTCACTTGCTTGACGTGCGCCAACCGGCCGCTCAAGTGACTTGTTGAGATTTAAGATTTCCGCACACCATACTGTCAGATGGATGTTGTGCTCTGCTCTTAACATGTTCGATGGGCTTTGCAGAGCTAGATTTTGTCTTCCTACTGCTCTGCTGACGAGATAGACACTATTGATTAGTCTAGGTTTGATCTTTCGCAGATTAGTGTTCGCTGATATATCGGGGAGCGAGAGGAGGTACGATTTGCGAGTAGGTGCACCCTTGATGAAGTGGATAACTCAATCGGTCATGTCCCAACGTCTCATCATTCTCTGGGAGTATAATGGGCCTGTTCTGCGAAAATGGCGGTCCGTATATCTGCCGGAGATGACGAAAGCATCTCAAAGAGATGCAAAGCTTCAGACGATCGAGAGCATCTAATGAGGGGAAATTAATCACTTGCATCTTTCGGTTCTTCCGGGTATGGGGATTCCCCACTGGGTTTTCCCTGAGCGCGAATGGCACCTTAATCTTTCTTTATCATTGCGCTTACTTTGTTATCTGTTATCGATGTATCGCATCCTCACAATATTCACTAACGTTTCCTTCTTTCACTAAAGTCAATATGCCCCACATAGTTCAGGGACTCCACGTGTCATGTACTCCGTAGGTCTCGCGGAATAGTCTTGCACGTGGATCATCTGGATTTATTGAACTTTATCTAAACTAATGCTATGGGGTCTTTGAACCGTATAGTCAGTTTGTTTGCTAGACTAGAGCCCCCTGCCATTACAGCTGAAATCTGAAGCCAATTCACCTCTAATCACACCTTGGTCTCGCCCGTACAATTACTGGCGGAATCTGTTCCCTCAGTTGAGCTTTAATTTGCTCGGGGCCCACTGCCATGGTAATAGTGCCAAAATCTGTTGTTTGGATCAATACGGAACGAGCGAGAACACAAAACATTGTGTATTGTGGAGTGTGAAGAAAAAAGGAGAGGTGGCACCTAAGAGGGTAAGCCCCTTAGTCCTAAATCGGACTAGTTTAGAAACCGCTTCGAACCTCCAATTTCCCGCTGTGGGGATCGAGTTCCACGCTAAGGTGCATTGGGCGTAATGTATGGCGCAGTCCTCGTAGGCGAATATTCCCTGGCTACCATTTGCCAGAGTGGTCCAAAGGTCCGCGAGACCTCCCGAAATACCGAACGATCCCCACGCCGGCATTCTGCGGCGATCTCACGTCCTTTGCGGCTCACGCCGTTTGCTAACGAGAGTTAGCTCTGTCAATCATTGCCGTTCGCTGGTGGCAAGCGAGTTCTAGCGCATTGAAATTATCCCTGACGGAACAAGTGTTCTAGATCTCCGCTCTGGTCACCCTCAAAGTTTTTTCTGGATTTGAAATCAACGCCGAATCCTTCCGCCACATGTCCCCCTAACCTTCAGGATGAGTAGCGATGAAGATCAACAAAACCTAGCGATCAAGGTCGTTGCGGCCCTTTTCATGTCGATAGCATGTGTGGCCGTGATGCTCCGGTGTTATGTCCGTGGCTGGCTGGTGAAGGCGTTCGGATGGGATGATGCCGCGATGGTGGTGGCTATGGTAACTTGCCCCATTCTGATTGCCTTGAAATCCGGCCTACTGACTGTCGGGTAGTGCTTTTATGCAATGTTCTCCGGGTGCATGATCGGAGCGTCGTTACATGGCAATGGGAGACACTGGTATAGTCTGGAACCAGAGGAGCGAGTGGTCGCGATGAAGGTACGATGAACCCCCTTAATTTTCCTGATAACCCCTGCTGATTTGTTCTAATAGTACTGGTGGTTATGCGAAGTTGCGTTCTCTCTCGCATCCATTTTCTGCAAGATTTCAATCTGCATGTTCCTCATGCGAATCTGTGTCAAGAAGACCCACATGTGGATTCTCTACAATGTCATGGGCGCAACAGTCCTTGCTGGCTTGGTGTTCTTTCTCCTAATGATCTTTCAATGCAAGCCATTGCAGTTTTTCTGGACTCGCATGGCACATCATCCCGTTGTGAACATTGAAGGCGAAGGCCACTGTCTCAATATGGAAATTATCGTGGCCATGTCATACGTTTACAGTGCTTTTGCCGCAATGTGCGACTTCACTGTGGGTATTTTACCAATCTTTGTTGTGCACAATCTACAGATGAAACGCCGGACAAGATTGGTGGTCATTGGAATCTTGAGCATGGCTTGCATGTATGTGACTGCAGCCTTGTGAGTTGGGGAATCTACAGCTGACCTCTTCTGCAGTGCATCCTCTGCCGTGATCGTCCGTATCCCATTTTTATGGACCTTTGAGGATTTAGACGACTTTTTGTGTACGTTCATATTTCACCAATTTCCGGATCCTTAGCCTCAGGAAGTACTGACTCGCAGAAGATATGACCGTCCAAATTGCCATTTGGTCGAATCTCGAGATCGGTCTCGGCATTACTGCTGGCAGTCTCGCAACCCTCCGTCCCCTGGTTCGCCAGTGGCTCGGTTCGCGCGCAGGTCGATCGTATTCTGGATTCCCTAAAGGATCCTATGGGCGCTACGCTGGTGCCAGTGGGCAAAAGGGGGTGTCTTTGGGGTCGATAAATAGAAATAACCGGAACGACTTGAGACCAGATAAACTGGCTGTCATGGTGACAAATATCGAAAGCCAGAGAGACGTTGAAAGTACATGGCCACGTTCATCCAGCCTGAGCAGTAGCGAGGAAAGATTGACCATGCAGCATCCCACACATCCAGGGAAAATAGAAGTGGATGTCCACCAGACATTCGAGGTTACACGAACGGTAGCCGATGGCAATGACGTGGGAGGATCATCTCGTCAGATCGCGAGAGAGCATGTATAACAATTAGATCAGAACTTACTAGTAAGAAATCAATCACAAGTTCATTTGGTTTTAGTTTCTTTCAGAAGATTTAGGATTCAATAAGGAGTTCTGGGCTTAAATAGCTACTATAAAAGCGAAGAACATATCGTCGGTTCCTGTAGCACGTCTGGCATAAGTCGAGTAGACCCTGATACCCAGAGAGCCCAGAGCCGGAAACATCGCAAATGATAGGATGATCGTAATCAGACTACTGTCATTCGTGTCATTATCCACTGTCGGGCGGGTGTTATGCCCAGCGGCCTCAAAGGAAATGCAACCGCTATGGCCGACAACGCCGCAGGTCGATGCCAGAATCATTCAGTAAGCGTCGGGACATGTCCTGGCTTATATCCAGAAAAGAGAAATATGTTTAACTGAAAGAGAATGATAGAATTTCTGAGTACAAGAGCTGACTAGATGCAATACTGGGCCTGAGGCTGACCATCTCTAAAATACTTTGGATTCGTGAGTTTATGCTGACGGATACACACGGGTTGTGGCGGGGATCGCTGTATCTTGTTCTGTATTGTTTTATCTGATTGGTCTTCTTTGCTGTGGTGGCGCTGGGTTGGTGCATTGAGGCTACTTTGCCCCATATTTCAGTACGTGGCGTTGGCCATCCCCATTCCATACTTTATTCAGGTCTTTGATTTCGTACTCGTGATTTATGCAAATATATATGTATTAACCCTGTTAGATGGAACACTATGACTCCCTGAGAGAAGGTTATGCTTATTCACTCTTCCTTTAATAAATGTTATATCTTCGCTATATATTTCTTTTTAACTTTCCATAAACGGCATATATTGACGTATCTTGCCCTGGCGAATAGCTTCTTCTCTCGAATTTGTATCAAGGATTCGTTTTGAGAAAAACGCTCTGGCACTGGCCCAGTCATTTGTCTTATGCGCCATTTGGACCGCGTCTCGCGATTGCAACATAAAGTCCATGATCCTAGGCGCCTGGCGATCGGCGAACCAGTGGTCAGAAAAACGGCCATAGAGGTTAAACTTGCGAAGCCAGCTGTTGTACGAAGGGTACGGATAGTGCAATATCATCGCCTCTTCACCTGACGGTGCGAGGGCACGGCCAGCGTAGCCGGAGAAAGAGTGAGGTCCTCTTGGTTCAACACCCGGTCCGAGGCGGACTGCGCTCTTGCCGTTGCCATAGGCGATAAAGTTGGCGTTACGATCCACCCCGTTCACCCAAAAATACACGCAGTCTTTGAAGGGATCGGAGGTCTCGAAGTCGACTGGGAGCGCCTCGTGATTGGTGAAGGTCACGAGGCCCACATCATTGTCTCTCGCCCAGGAGCGCGACTCGACTAAAGTCCCAAAGAGCAGCTCATCCAGGTCAATATGAATGAGCCATGTATAGCCACGTTCCATCAGATAAGCGATTGCATGCCTCATATTGGCCATCTGGCGCTTAATGAGGCGGCTTTCTGGCGTCATATTAGACTCGACTTGTGATCCATCGAAAAGTGTGACGGGTTTATCCCCACAAAGCTGCTCAAACAACGGCCGCTCATCTGGATCGTCCATATAAATCACTACATGCTGCACCCAGCGGAGGTGGTAGTCAAGCCAGACTGGAAGCGTTGGCCCGGGACGAAGGATTGTGGTGGCTATTGCCAAGGAAACATCAGCTCTTATACTTCCTACGTCGTCTGTCTGGTAATCTGAGGCAAGTGTGTAGGAATGATTCTGGCTCAGTGAATTCCCATGGCATAGCTCTGAGATGAATACAAGCCAGAGCACATTTAAAGCCAGCACTCGAGAAAATGCGTTGAACAAATTGTACAACTTATGAGACATCCCGAGGAGAATGCAGAATTGGACGGAGGTGTGATGTGAGATAACAAGTCTGTTGAAGGAGCCGTATCACCAGTATCCACATTAAACCCATGGACAAAAATTTTCCAGTTCATTGGGCTTATGCCGAAGTCTAATTGGGTTAACGGAACGGAACGGGAAAAGGTGGCGGCGGGCGCAGCAACAATCTCGTGGGGAGTTTGGCAGACAAAGCCAGTATCCAAGGCTCAGAAGTCGGACCCTAGTATTATTCATAATATTGTGGGTAATAATGCATATTTATCTACTGTGGATGCCTTCAGCCTTGAAAATTGTTGATAATTGTTAGCCCCACTAATTCAACGGAAGCGAGCTCTCTGCCGTGTTTGGGCACCCTGAGTCTCTGACAACCCGCTTCATTTACATGTGTCGAGTACATTAGATTCAAATTACTAAGTATATCGGATAAAATCCAAATCCTCGACACTCGGATTGAGGCAAAAGTAGAAAATGAAAAATCAAAACAGCGGTCGCTGCACAGAACATCATCTTCATTTCTCACAGTGCACTTACACTAATTGCCTCACATTGCGCCCCTCATCTATAACTTTATCCGCTTCCGCCCTTCAATGTTCCAACTTTCCTTTCTTTTTCACCGAATTTACTTAATTGGTGCAGTCCCAAAAATGATTACTACGAAAACCTGTCAGCGAAAATGAACCAAATGTCTCAGTCCCGTTGAAGGACAGAAAACCCACCGGTTTCAGAATAACCCGTGCTTGTGCAGTGCCGTGTTCCGGGTCTCCGGCTCTTTTCCCCCCAAATCAGCCGAACTTCTCTCTACCAATGGATTACGAAGCAATAACAGGGAAATTGACACAATGCCTCTACAAAGCTACGATTGGCACTATTCAAGTCGATATTCGCGCTTCCGGCTTTGGAGCAAGTTCTCCATGGCAACTATTCACCGACAAGAGATCACCTGATAAGGACATTCATCTCCGAAATGGTGTCATCAATTGTGCCCTGCACCCGTTATTGACTTCCCAAAGCGGAAAAATTAACTGCCTATCACAATCCATCCATAAGGCTGTGTTATGGAAGAAGAGGTATGTTTAAGGCTTCGTCTGCACTCCCCAGTTCCCAGCCCAACAGAGAATATTTAAAAGAGTATACACTCATTTCACAAAAACATTACGCGATAGATGCTGGGATGAATTCCACCAAATCACAGAAAATGACCAAGTCTGCCTTGACAGGGTGATCGTCAACGTTTATCTCCCCCATCTCTATAGCGCATGCGCCATAGTAGCGCCTGAGTCTGGCCCGGCCCATCAGGGTGATCATTCCCTTATCGATAGTGTAGCTACTTCAGCCAACAAGAAGACAGTAGACCTCGCTGCTGGCGCCGCTCATCAGGAACTACAAGTTCTGGACTCTGTGATCTCCCTTCTTCAAAATCACTTTCAATTTTGCAAATCCGTCTACCTCGTTCTCAAAACAGACCTAGATCCTACTATGGAGATTGTGGCTCCGCTCACCGATGATGATGACGCGAGAAACGCTAGTATCTCGAATAACGAGATTCCTACTAGCGTGACCAATTTCCTTGAAGACAAATTATTACCGCGCACCGACGACTTATATCGTATAATGATACAGCAGCGGCTGTCATTAAAGGCGGACGACCGCGGGGAAGGCCTTCACTTCTTGCCGTCGTTGCGTGCATTCACGCCATTTGAGGAAAAGGCGAGGATGCGAGGAGAGGTTATACGAGAAGGGGACTGGGATCGAAACCGAGATGCGGAGATTGCCGTCTGGCGGGCTATGGACGATCTGTATTCTGCGGAGACTGATCGCGAGGGCACTAGAGGATATTGGGTCAAGACAGATGTATTCGATATGTTTCCATGGAAAGGAATGAAATTTGTCTAGCTGGAAAAACAGATACGAAAAAGCAAAAAAAAAAAAAAAAAAAAGAAAGATAAAGGAAAGGGTACAAAGAACCAATGTATCCAAAAACATATTCGTCTCCCTCCATTGCCTATAATTCAAAGGTAAAATGAGAATTTTGACTATGTGAAAGTCGACTTTACATGATGTTGATTCTCACCAGCACAACGTTTAACATATTATAGTAACCGAGAGAGGGGATTCAGATCCAAACTACCGATGTATCCGTGTCCAACCTAAGAAGATCCAAGAAACCCCCAAGAGATACAACAATAAGGATGACTGCCTTTCCTAGTTGTATTAAAGGCTATGTCTCAAAGAGATGAATAACTATCAGTAGAGTACTCATCCAAATAAGGAATAGTATGGTTCTAAGCTCAAATTTAGGGCAGATATCTATCTTAGCTTAGCAAACCAATACGGTCAGCGGGTCCTTTCTCATAGGGACAATCATCCAAGGCTTCATCAGCATACAAGATCCTAAATATCAACCGCACGATTGCCTTCACAAGGAGTTAGCCTAATGGGCCGCCCTATGCCGAAGTCTATGTAGATACATTGACATGATGTCGATCGAAAAGAATTCCTATACCGAATGCTATCCAAATACCTGCGTGCATATTTTCCGATGCTGAAAACTTTTCCTTTGGCTACTCCGGCTGAAAGATCTTGAATTGAACAGGCCGTAGCGCAGCAGATCGTAAGGGCGTTTCAGACCAATCATGTGCGTCGCTCTGACTAGGGTGCTACCAGTCACCCCTAAACCGCCCGCACTCGCTTATTTCCTCGCCATCCTTCATCTGTCCCTGCTTTTTAATTAAAATTGTCTGATTGACCTTTATGCAACGCAAGCGCAACACAATCAAGAGTTCAAGATTTGGCAAACTATATCCATCGACCTTTTCCCCCGGCAGCGGCCAACTGCGGGATGTCATCAAGCCAAACATCGTCGCTGCTTTCATCCGTCGAAACCTACGTCACCTCGCTCAGTTTAGATGCAAATGAGAAATAGAAGTTTTTGGCTGATTTGGGGAATGCCTCTTCTGAAAAGGTGTTGGATGCCGTGATGATGATTCAAAATTCGTACATGGCTCGACTTAAACTTCAAAGTGTGGCTGAGAAGATGAGGAAATGCATGAGTCGGCTGGAACGCCTCTTCCAAACCATCGACATTGCAATTCAGGCGGATCCAACTGTGTCAGCTATTGTGTGGGCGGGGCTACGTCTACTCTTTCAAGTACGCCCTAGACATTTTTAACACATGGCTGCAATGCCTGGGATTGCTGACACATGCTCCAGCTGGTGGCAGATTTTTCATCGTTCTTCGATAAATTGGCCATGATGATCGAGGGCATGGTCCTCGCGTTGCCAGACTATGGCGAATATTTGTCCTTGTTCAAGGAAGATGACCAATTGAAAGCAAGTATTGTTGATGTCTACCAGGATCTCATGGATTTCCTTCGCATTGCTACAGGTATATTTTTCCAAAAAAAGAAGTATGTGTTATCCTTCCCAATCATATGTCAAATTTATAGCATCTGACAGCTGCTATGATTTAGAGCCAAGACGAGTTGTGAAGATCGCAATGACTATCACATGGACTCCATTCGATCAGCGATTTGGCGATATTTTGAAACGCTTCAACGAGCATCATGAGAAAGTCAAGAGTCGGGTTCTTTTATCCTCGATGATGAATACAAAGAGGGCGCAAGATGATGCCGAGCTCGAACGAAAAGTTCCAATCAAGATAGAGAAATGTTGACACGGCTGGACAAAACAACAACATCCTTACTGCTCGCTCAACAGGAGGAGAGAAAAGGTATTATGGAGATTCAAGTCTATTCCCTATATTCTGCCCAGTTCTCCATGACTGACATTTGATGGCAATTCAGAGGCGGCATTTCGAAGACTCCTTAATTGGCTTGACCCCAAGAGCTGCCAGGATTTGATTGACCACATCTCTGAATCCCGACATCCTCAGACCGGTTTCTGGATTATTCAATCAACAGAATACCTTGAATTCACATGCTTTTCACACGAAAAAACATTCACGGAGAGCGAAATATTGGATGATTCTGTGCTGTTAAAAAGCATGGGTGGGAACTCGACAATGAACAAATCAAATCAGCGAGTTCAGGAGATTACAGGAAGAAAACCAAATAATAATCTTCTGTGGATATACGGTATGGCTTTCATTTGCAGTATCGCATGTAGTGAGAATTAACTAATATTAGTTCCAGGAAATCCGGGTTGTGGAAAAACATGGCTTACCACCCTTCTGATTGAGGATCTCCTTTCGCGAAAGGACCTGATTTTCCTACAACAAGAACCGACAGTTGCCCATTACTTCTGCAGTTATACCAAAAGCACCAGAACGGCCGATATTCTTCGTTCCATTCTCGCCCAGCTTCTCCACGTACACAGAGACAACCATGAGGTCGTTGACGCGTATTGCTTTTGTTATTCCAAGTCCATTGCCCCCATAGCAACTTCAAACTCACAACTTATGCAACTGCTTGAAATTACGCTTCGTCGCTTGCATAACGTTTTTATCGTCATTGATGGCCTTGATGAATGCCAAGATCGCGATCAAATAGCCCCGTTTCTTCTCAGACTATCGCTACAGCCATCCCTGGTGAAGGTTCTGATACTTGCAAGGGATAGCGACACCATTCTGCGTCGCAAATTGACACTTTTCAAGGGCTTGGAGATCACAAATTATCTTAACCATGCTGACATTTTGGCGTATGCCTTATCGCGGATCGAAGATCTCGTGGATTACCTATCATGGGATAGCTTTCATCGACTAATATCGTGGGCTGATGCTGCCAACACACACATTTTGAAAGCAAAAGACGAAGATCTGGTCGGCTTCACCAAGAGGTTTGTCAGAGACTTTCAAGACCTGCAGTCAAATTTTGATCAAGAGCTGAATTCCCACCCTCACCATGTCTGGACCGGGATGACAGACTGTTCTAGCGTTGGCGGCCCCCTCAAGTCTTCACGGTCAACGATTATTGTTTGTGAACAGGAAGCCCCAGAGCAGCTTGATGGTACCGGGTCGTCTACACCGTGGGACACGGACTCGCCTGTGGCAGTCATCTCCGAGCTTTCAACTGATTGCAAGAGTTTACTAGTCTGCAGTGTATGGGCTTCAAGGTATGGCTTGCAGTTTTTGTATAATGTACCATGCAGTGGCTCACAGAACTAGGGATTTTTCCTCTCTGCTTCAAATTGAGAGTAAGTCGTCAATGCGTTGGTCTCAATGGATTGCGTGTCTTCTTTTTCCAAATGTGTTGTACAACATCTAGGTGACTAATATTGGCATTCAGGCAAGACAACTGCAGGAAGGCTTTCTCTTCCTTCATGTCTAGACTTCAAAAAGGTTGCATCGGGGTGGATTCTACGCCTCGAGACTTGGGACTTGATCAGCAGAAAGAAAGTCGCCTTCCCGAAAGATCTTCCTTTGAATCCATTGGAAGTGGAAAATCAACTTCGAAAGTCATTTTGTTATGATGCGCTTCGCAAACCACGGTTTGGTTTCCCCATGGCACTCTCGCCAAACCACGACTTCATTGCCGTATTAGGTTCAATCTATCGCATTGAGATAAACCAAATACCGAGCAAGACTGTCGAATGGTGGGTTAAGTCTTTAGAGACCCAGGAAACAGGCAGCGCTTGCTATCATGATTACCGCATCAAATTCTCGCCGTGCAGTGAGTTTGTTGCTTATCATATCGCGAGGCGCTATCGTGAGCCACCACATTTGGATGGTGGGGAGACCCTTGAGGTGTTCGGCCTAGCTCAAGATTCCACCTCTAAGCCAATTTGGAGGCGAGATGTTCCGTGTTTTTCCAATTCGCCTCTGATCCGAGAAGACATACCTAATTACGAATCAGCATCGTCATCTTTAATCGTGGCCTTTCATCCCACCTTAACGCTCGTTGCCTGGAGCGGGCCTATGATGGGAACTTATATATCTGATTTCATCCACGAGAAAATTGGTCAGCCCTTCTTTCCTGAAAAGCATAATGCAAAACCTTCTTTCCGATATAGTCACTCACCTTTCGAATTTTAGGCCTTGGGATAAATCTCACCCACCAAGAGATTGGAGAGCTCCGGTTTTCTAACTGTGGGAGACTCCTCTTCGGAAAAGAAGATTACAAGCATCTTGGTCGCCCTGTCTACTTCCTGGTGACAGAAGCAGGAATACCGCCCATAGAAAATCCCGATGCCATAGAAGTGACAAGGCTTGGCGATAGCGTTTTCACCAAAAGGGACCTATCTATGGTGCCGCAACAACTTCTCAACGAACCGATGCAAACCACTCCAACTCAAGAACTACGCGTGGGCAGCTTTTTAAGCAGCAGTCCTAATGGCTCAACCTCAATATCAGTAATTGCCCGCGTGAAGTCTGCCAATGGCCAAATTAATATCCAGCAGATTAGCAATCAGCGCGGGATGGAGGAACGACAAATTGCTTCACTTCCAGCGTCAATCTTAAATTCCTCAAGCGAAACGCGGGTTGTGCAACACATCAATCCTGGAGATGGATCTTCTGACGAGCTCAAGATTGTTCTCAACAAGATCGGCAATTCGTGGTACACACAATCCACAAGAGAATCAAGTCTAAGCAGAGATCCGATTTTATACATTCGCCCCCTAGCGGAGCTCGGGCCCTGGGAATCTGTTGGAAGCAGCACACATACCAACAGGGGCTCTAAAAGAAAACTTGAAGAATTTCAGGGCTCGAGTAGGATCGATGAATTATCTGAGATATGAGTACATCAATGGACTACATATTCCATATAGAGCTCCTAGCAATGACTACGGAGGCGAGTAAGATTGAGTCTAAGTAGAGACAGGGTAGGCAAGCACCATATCTATTGAAATTTTCATCAAGCTTTCTCGATGTGATTTCACCGCTTCCCTGATTATTATGTAAGGTCTCAATTGATAGTCAAAAGACAATTAATGACCAAACCGATAGTTCACATTTGAAAAATAATATTAGATATACATACCATAATGGTTTCCTCACTGTTGCTTACTTCCTACTTGGAGGTGCTTATTATTATCGTCCTTTAATCAGCGCATATCTTACTAAATTGATTCAACGGAAAAATCTAACAATCCGACCATATCCCATTCTACATTCTCCTGGAGGGTGACGGGTGTCGTGTCCAAGCCCAGGAATAGGGAACTGAGCTTCTGCAAGGAGATATCATCAATACAGAATTCACTGCAAATATGATGTCCCACAGCCAGCATAGCCTTTTATACTGGGGCTCGGTAGGGTGTGCGTTCCTGTCAGTGTCAGTGAATGAAGCCCGAACCGAGATGCAGATTGCACTGGTTAGTTATCAATCTTGACAACCACTAAGAAGCGTCCTTCTCTATCATGATATTTCTCCAGCTCCCAGCCCAGAATGATATGAGACAGTTTGCTGAACGATATTGCCATATGAATCCAGGCCACTTGTCGCGATAGTGCGAGTAATTCTCGCCACATTGGATGAAACGGACGCATCTCCCAGATCCGACGCAAGCCAGGCTTCGTCTGCACAAAGAATGATACATTTTCAACTTGCAGGCCGGGATGCTAGCTGCGTTGATTTGGGCGGCATGATGGGAGGCAATAGAAACGTTCAGCTGGCCTGCGAGTCAATTTGTGTGTATGATCATATTCTCCGGACAAAGGGAGTTAATAGGATGTTTCCATTCGCGACACACGATCTAGCGGAATGTTGTCCTCAAGGGTGAATCGGGAGAAATACCCACGGTGGCAAATCAAACGCAGCCATCATTACAGGAGAATTCCTCAAAGGAGCCTCAAGGTTTAAGAATGCAATGATGTCCTGTGATTTGGCCTAGCAGGAAATATGCATTTAAGTCTCTGTCTCAATCCCCAAGCTCATGATTCGTGGCATATTTTTTTGGTGGATTAGAAACACTTAGTTTGAACCAAAAAACACCCAGACACCCCGCTCGCAGCAAAGTCCTCAAATCCGAATGAAAACCAACCCAATTTTCTCGTATTTGCAGCTATATTAGCCTACACGATTTTAAAGTAATACGAGAGCTTGATGCTCCGGTAGATCTCATAGTATGGGAACCATGGGAGATCATGTAAGGTTTGACTGGTGGATTTTACCCGCTCCAGATTTCCCTTCTTTGGGGGACTAATCGGTACAATCTTGTTAAGTAATCCCATAAGCCAGAAGGGCCAGTCTCTGTCACCAGTCTACTGCCTAATCCCATACAATGGAACCGCCTATTGGGTGGTAAGAGCAGTCAATGATACGCTTATCCAGCAACATTCCCGTATTTCGTAGGTGAGACTTAGAATACAGGATTAAGTCCATTCTTCGTCTGTGTGAGAGAGAGAGAGAGAGAGAAATGCATTATACTCTAATATCAGACACCGTAAGGGGCTCTTCCCGAGTTGACAGCGGCCGTACTGGCTCCAAAGTAGCTAATTTTCTTGTTTTACATGTCAAATTCAGCCACCCACGCCCGCCAGTTTGCCCTCATATCCCCTCGTATATTTGTCAAACGCCCTCGTAAACCCACTTTCTCAATCATGCTGTTTTTGCCACATCCCTTTGTAAACCCCACTGTAAATCCAACGCATCTCCCACAAAATCTCATAAGAAAGCTTACTAGGTAAGACGCTAGAGCGGCATGCACTGCCATTAGTGTCAAAAACAGCGGATCAAGAGTGCGGTATAGTAACGAAGTCGCGGGCCATCGGCGCCCCTGTGCGGTGCCTGCCCCACCCGGTTTGACACTTCGCATCCATTCTTTGTCTTTGGTCGCGTTCTGAGTAAATCTAGAACCTGTAGAATATCCAAAAGCGGAATGCCGGTCTTCGCGCGGTTTCAAGTTTGGATGTACCATAGAACCTGAAAATGAGGGCACCAGTGATATCCCAAATTTGATGTTCAAATGGGATTAAACTATGATGCCAAACCTTAAGCCTAGTGCCAAGCCTACTGTTGCGGGGATTAGTACATCTAGTACCTCGAAGACATTATTGAGTGACACGCTCCTACACTACACTCCCTAATTTTGGTTCATTTTTGACCAATAAAGTCATTTCGGTCAATCCTTCCACAGCAGTTAGCCTTAAGCAAACCAGAGAATCTCGCCTCTGACAGCTGGATAGTGACACACTTGTCTATATAATCTAGACCATTGATAACGCCACATCTCATGACGCTCAAATCCAACATGAAGCTTATCCATTTTGAGGGCAGGTTTTTTCAGCTGTGTCACTACGTCAATACGAGACAGCAACAGAGACATAGCAACGCCACGTACTTGAGGCCTGGAGTCTATTTAAGCAGGCATTATGTTCTTCGAAAGCACACAGAAGCAAGCCTTTGAAGGAATTCTTATCCAGGTTCTCATTCTCTTCTATTGATCTCATTGAGAAGACAGCATGCAAATCAAGAGCATCGTTGCAGTCCTGGCCCTGGTCAGCTTAGCCCCTGCGGCTCCAGAACCCGCAAACTTAGAGAAAAGGGCGCCGCCATGTGGGCCTGGTCAGACCAGGTTCTGCTGCCAAGATTTTTTCGATTTCAATTTCTTGTTTATTACGGCACTCGGAAGCGATTGCCAGGGTAAGTCAAATTATATGACACTCCAGTGAAACATACCTGACAAATTCAGAGGAAACTGGTCCCACTCTCTGTCAAGGCACAAAACCTGACCAAGGCTGCTGTAGTAATTATCTTCCCCTCCAGGTAAAACATGCCCTATACTGTATGGTTTGGCATCAACTATTGCTAATTATGTTAAAGAATGGTGGAAGCCTTGTCTGTGTGGACTAAGCGAGCTACAGTGCGAAACCATGTTGGTTAAGTATCATTGAGGTTAGGGGAGTTGCGTTTACCATAATTGAAACAGGGAAGCAATAGAAATGTTCGGCTTTGTGATGTTGTTTCACGTGGAAAAGCATCTGTTAGCATTGATGTCTGCTTGAGTATCAAAAGTTATCAATTGATGTACAATATATTCTACTCCACAAAATGCTATTAAGTTCTTGGTTTTCAGAACTGACACAAGTTTAAATATAATTTTTGTTTGAGAAGTATTTGGAGCTGACAAAACATTAAACTCTAGAGTAGATGTCATCAAGTTCCGCTAGTCAAGAATTGTTCTTCCTCCTGAGTGACGGCTCATTGACTGCTCTTAGCGCTCAACCTTTAAATTCTATAATCAAGCTATCAAATGGTATCCTGTAAAACTTCTATATGTAGCTTTGCAGTCCCTCAGATGCTATGGAGATATGATACTCCTTTCACGTAGAAGGCTAGGCCGACCATCGGGTGCGTGTCACTCTTTGCCTGTTGCTTGATCTAAGAGCCCAATGGTTTTCTAATACGAGACTAAGACTAATTTCTGGTCGGAGGAGTAGTAAACTACTGATTGAACCAACGTTTTAAAATAGAATAACCCAGGATGATCTGTCGCTCTTCCCACGTATCGCGTTCTCGAGTCCGATTGTCAAGGTTTGTAGGAATCATGTGTAAGTGATCCTAAGATGCAACCTCCTCAGAGGTGAATAGCCGTGGATGGCGATACCAGGGATCAATTTAGATCAAAGGTTCGCGGTCGGATGATCGACACGCGTCATGTGGCGTACCCGAGATTAACGGGTGGTCATCCACTGAACGCTGGGTTTTGAATTCATTGGCGGGGACAAGGGTTTATTATATTCTGCTCCTACGGAGGTCAGTAGCGGCCATGTGGTCAGATTCCCAAAACCAGGCAAAAATGGTACCGAAAACGGTTATTCACAAGGGAGCAAACGACTGTGCATGTTACATAGTCCCTCAATCTTACATATGTTGGTTCCCGCCTAGTATATATTAATAAAAAAGGTCTTTAAATTTCTGAAGTTCTAATAGATCTAGTCAGCGTTATCCTATTCCTATAGTCATAAATAGTATCACAGATATCTTTAAGAGTATATAAGTCCGCTTAAGAAGGGACTCGATTCCCCCTGGTGGGAGATTAATCTATGGGTCAGGCAGTCAAGTTTGAAATGAGCCTAGGTAAGTATTAGTACTGGATAATACTGAAATTATGGATATTTTGGTATAATACAGTCCAAAAATAATGATCTGACCACATGGCCGCTACTGGCTTCCGTAGGCGTCTTAACTCTCAGTTCCTTAGAGCACATATAGATTAATTTTCTCACAATATCACAACATTTATATTGTGTTCGTATAAAACGTGTTAAAGTTGCCCTTGATTATCTGGAGGTAATCCAACTGATGGAAGAAGGCACTAATATAATTTTAGTCTCGGCACTATAAATTTCGGTCCGTTGCTACTGACCCTGACAGATGTTCCTTTTGTTATGCATGTGTACTGACAGTTCCCATTTCTTCATCCGTCTGGCGTGCCTTTCCATTCTTTTCACTGGTCAAAGGTATTTGACTTGAAGAACGATTCGCCTCTATAGCGACGGCAGAAGCTTGGGAAATCCTTCCATCAGCATACGTATCTGTTTCGTTTGTTTCAATGATCTGCTGTGCAGAATGATATGCCTGGTAAACCTCCTGTAATAGAAGTGAGATTCCGTCATTGCAGACACCGCTATTGCCATATCTCAATAAGGTCGCTTTTTCTTGAATGAAGTCCGAAACCTTGGCGATCTCGATCATGTTTCTCCTCAATCGCTCCGGGAGCCCTCTTCCTTTGAGCAGTGCTAGCAATCCGGCAATAGAGGTGTTGAGAGCTCCTAGAATTGTGATCGCTAGCATGTGATCACCACCTGACGGTCCCAGTGCGGTAATAGCTGCACCAATTATTACTTGCGTAATTGCGATCATATTGAAAGCATTTTTGATGAGCTGATATTGGAACCTAAGGTGTTTTTCCTGGCGAATCAGTTTCTTTCGTAGCTCAGATGTTGCAGCCTCATAAGTTACATAGATCCGAGATTCGTCATCAGATTCTTGTGGGTTTGATTGATGAAATTCAGACATGGTATATGGTTAAATATCCTTTTGTGAAAATAGTGTTCGTAAAAAAAATCATAGTGTGTTTGTTGCGCAAACGCTGTTAATACAGGCAATCTTGAGTGATTCTTAAACGTGAGAAACTATAAGCCAAGTTCTATTTGGAGTTTCAAGGTTCCGGAATTTCTGGTTTCGTAGGGAACACGGGTTCTCTAGAGTCTCGGCCAGTCTCCGAGGCTCGTACCGTATATTCGTCTTCCGTGGATTTGAAAACTTTTCTTACCTCAAATGGAGAACAAAGACAAGCAGAGAATACGGATAGCCGTTTGCATCCACAACTTTGTATAGTCTGATTCCTGCGTATTTCAAGGATCACTAGGCAATATGAGTGAGCGTGTCGAATCAACGCATATGCCGTCTTCGAAAGAAACTATGGTATTATTTTACCAATTCTACCTAGTTGATATTTAAATGATAAGGCCCTGAAACGAAGGAACGGAGTGGAAGGACTACCAACCTCACGGCTGCCCAACGCTGACGTTGACGATGCCAAGAACACAGCAAGAAATACACCCTACTCTCCCGCCAAGCCTCTTGATCATTGATAGTGGTTGGATTCCCGGTTACGTTTCTTTCTTCTCGTGTTCGGTTATCTCTTATGTCTCTTTGCTTTCTTATCACCCTGCTTTGCATGCATCCTTGTATATTATGCCTTATGCCCTTTCCGTCCGTTATCGCAATAACCTGCCCATACCAGTGCTACGTCCTCGTCATTCTGGATGTTTGCTTCTCTCTTCTTGCTATTCGCCTGTAATATCGCCTCCCCTACTCTACACCAATACTTTCGCGTGCGTCCAGAACTTTATTTCATTTCTGTGCTTTTATTCTAGAGCTTTAGACCTTCCAAGTTCACTGCTACCTTTCGAGAAGTTCCGTATCTAAATATAGTACTTCTTTCACTATCCGTTCCCTGTAAATATATTTGTCTCCATTTCATACCGCCATATCATTACTGATCCTTATTTTCATATCCTCTGACACCCCGCCTGCCATGTATTAGTAAGTTTTATTACGGTGGTGCTTGGCCTACCATAGGAGTGAGCTTGATGGTTGGTCGGATATCCGCTATCTACGGTTTACTCAGTTCGTTACTCAGAGCATAGTTTGAAGCAACGGAACTATAATTTGTAGTTTCTGATGCTACTACACACATATTTGAAGAGGTAAAAGACGCAGGTCCCTCCGCTCTCATTACTATCGCATGGGGCTATTTTGGCAATGGGTTTCTGGCTATCATTGTTTTACCGGCTTATTACTCGCAATCCCATCGGTTCCAGCATCGCTCACCGGAAGTTCCGGTTTCTATTCCTATATGTTTTCCGGAAAATTTCTTCTTTAGCCGGAGTCAACGGACTATCCTCAATCATCTTGATCTTAGTAATGTTCAGCAATATTCTCTTCAACGAATCAACCGCCCGTCAAACCCACGCCTTTGCGCGGTGGATTTCTAATGTCCATCCTCACCGCCGATTTCCGGTGCGTACCAACGGGCTATCTTGCCTGACAAGGGGATGTCATGAATACAGCATTCACTGCAAACGTGATGTCCCTTAGCTAGCATGCCTATTTATACTGAGTTCCGGCAAGGTGTGCGTTCCGACCAGTATCAGTGAGTGAAGCCCGAATTATGCAGATTGCACTGATTGGTTGCCAATCTTGCCAGCCACTATTAAAACGCACCGACCGTCTCTCGCCAATTGAGAGCCCCTTTAGCAATGCTTATCCACGTTTTCAATTTCTCCCAACCAAGAATTAGGGGCCGTATCATTGGGAGAGAAAGGAGGGAAAATTAACTAGGATTATTAGCAAAATCTGTATACCTAAGGCAGCCATTGAGGCGTGGACATGATGCCTCAGACAAGGATTCAGAATGTCAAGATTAAGTAGAGAGAATCAGAAACAACGATACACTACTACCCATTCAGCACGAAAAGTTTCAATGGATTGCCCGCATCACTAAGCAGTGAGAATACCAGACTTCGAACGCCCAACACAAGCGGAGGAGGATGTGTTAGTCTACGTAAGCTATGACTGGAATAATCTTGTCATATTTTGCTCACCTTCTTTCGCTCCTATTACGTAGTCGACATCTCTCCAGCTGATACTTGTCAATTATATGAACTCACACTCTAAACTAGTGACCGGCATTCGTTATCGAAATTCTCTCCAATTCTTATTGCAAATAAGTGCTATGCACAGTCCAGGTAAGGCAAAATTATCGATTTGACTAATGACCATGATCAACGCCATCATGAATTTTTGGGTTTTAATTTACACGGCCTACTTCCGAAGAGATCAAATATCGTCACTAAATCTCGGATACGGAAGGAACTTCCCCATAAGTTACTAGTGCGTTTAATTGGTGGCGACTGTAGCGCCGATATAGCATGCAGTAGTTCCAGGAACGCATGGAAGCGAGTCATGAAAAGCTCATATGGGGCAAATTTCCGGGGTAAGATAATCAAACGGATCTAGCGACAAATACTCATGACAACTGTAATGTTATCTGGTCCCGAGGTCTCTTCTCAGTGGTCATCGGCCGGGTCCGATGGGAACAAAAGTGGAGCACGTTAACAAGTCGGTCGGGATAGAATGTTATCTCCTGCAAACCAGATCTCGGACCGAAGCAATCTTTAAGCTTTAAAATTCTTTCGGCGTCTATAGGGTTTGAAACTAGGCATCCCGATCGAAGTTCTGTTTCAACGTTCCCCAGAACTAGAAAGATGGAGAGGAATCCGGGGAAATCAAGGCATCTTAGCTAATTTTATTTCCCTTTTCAGTTTTCATTAGTTTTGTTCTCCACAATTCCGATGATCGGGACCTAACTAGCCCTTATTCTCGCCAATGGCTACTGCGATGCTCGGTCCTGGGTGGATGTTGGTCCACATTTTCCTGTCACTTTTGTCTTCGCCAGGTCGGGGGACGCCGATGGCCGTCAATTCTGTCTCGAAAGTATATATGAATTGGATCACCTCTAAGCTTCATGTTCGACCTTGGCGGGGAGTTTTCTATGATCCTTGCATGATCATCAACTTTAACTCAACTTCGAATAATTTTGCAATATGGCGCCTTACTTTGGCCTTCGTGGAACGGCTTTGAGCCGAGCAATTATGTGGCTTGTTGTTTGTCCAGCTTTCGTGACATATGGATATAACCAAGGTGTTACTGGAGGTCTTTTGACTTTGAAGGCATTTGCAGAGGAATTTCCTGCGATGAACACACTTACCACCACCGGTGCTGAGCAAACACACAACTCGACCATTCAAGGTATGTCCAGCAACCTGCATCTACAGACAAGTATCATTCTCGAAGGGGTCTCCTAACATGGACCGCTAGGAACCGTGGTCGCATTATATACAGTGGGAGGAATGTTCGGCTCATTGTCATGCATTCGATTGGGAGATATCCTTGGTCGCCGGCGAATCATCTTTATCACCACCTTCATCTCATTGATCGGAGCGGTCTTGATGGCCACTTCCTTCTCCCTAGCACAGTTCATCGTTGCTCGTTTGGTGCTCGGATTCGGAACAGGAGGATACGTTGCAACCGTACCCGTCTGGCAATCAGAGATCTCCAAAACTACTAAGCGAGGTGCCCATGTCGTGACCGACGGAATCTTCATCGGTGCCGGTATCACCATCTCCCTCTGGATCGACTTTGGACTCTACTTCGTGACTGGTAGCTCGGTCTCATGGCGCTTCCCCTTGGCCTTCCAGATCGTCTTGTCCTTGATCGTCATGGCTTTCGTCATGCTATTCCCTGAGTCCCCTCGGTGGTTGATTAAGAAGGGACGTATCGAAGAAGCACGATCTATCCTAGCAGCACTCGCCGACGTTGACGAAAACTCCGAAGAGATTTCCCTCGAGATCCGCGATATCGAAACCTCCCTCGTTCTCTCCGGCTCCGGCTCCTTCAGTAGCTTACTCACTATGGGTCCACAACGTCTCTTCCACCGCACCGTCTTGGCAGCCACCGGCCAGATGTTCCAGCAAATGTGCGGTATCAACCTGATCACCTACTACGCCACCACGATCTTCCAGCAATACCTCGGTCTGGATGCAACCCAGTCCCGGATTCTCGCGGCATCTATGTGCCTGACTCAGCCGCTGGGCGGCTTTGTCGCATACTTCACTATCGATCGTCTAGGTCGCCGCGTTCTCATGCTATGGAGTGCAGTCGGCATGTCCGTTTCAATGGCAATCCTCGCCGGTACCAACTCCCTCAGCAACAACACCGCGGCGATGATCGCCGCCGTGGTGTTCCTCTTCGTTTTCGAATTCATCTTCACCATCGGATTCTCCGGGTTGACCTTCCTCTACGCGACCGAGGTGGCCCCATTACAACTCCGAGCAGCCATCAGCGCCGTCTCCACGACCGCAGTATGGATGTTCAACTTCCTTTTGGCAGAGGTGACGCCTGTGGGCTTTGACACTATCTCGTATCGATACTACATCATTTTTGCCGTTCTGAACGCTGCGATCGTGCCGGTCGTTTACTTCTGCTTCCCTGAGACTAACGGTCGATCTCTGGAAGAAATCGATGAGATCTTCATCCAGTCGAAGAGCATTTTCGATCCTCCACGCATTGCTCGTTCCTTGCCGAAGATGCATGTTGCCGATACCCACGGCGTTGAGATGAAGGAGATGGACGGCGATGATGCGGGTCCGAGGATGCCCTCCAAAGCCTAATCACGATGTTACGAATTTTCATACATAGCCTGCATTTCAACGACAGTGTACAATACATAGAATGGGCGGATAAAAGAACTGGTCTAGAGATTTCATCAATACATCATATCTCACATTGATAATCTACTTTCATAATCGACGTAAAGCCAGATGCTTGTGGAAGTTCAAATATACATAAATCACTTGAATTTCAGACGTTATTTCCTAGCTACGGGGAACTGAATGCAGGGTTTTACGCCATCATGCCTAGCGCAGCACTGCGACCTTCTAGAAGCTCTTCAAAATTTGACCATGATTTCAACAACTGTCTTTTAAGTTCGAAAATTCTCAACTTCCAAACCATGTTCCGATTGCGGCCGACATTTATGGGTCGGTGGAGATAGCCGCGAGTCACAGTAAATAGAATCAGCGAATTCCGGGGTGGATCTTGGCACCTGGGGTTGAAAGGGGAAATTTGGACGTACAACCCAAAAGATCCCAGAACATCTCAAGAGGAGGGACGGATCCATGAATCAAGGCTTGAAATTCTTTTCACTTGATAGGTACTTGTGCAAAAGAGTTTAAGCAAACATATCTGGGCAAACGAAGACAACATTCAGCTATCAGCTGCAGCTATCTGTTCAGTTTCTTAGATGACCAAAAATAAATCCCTCTCAATACCACCAAGTACAAAATCAGCACTTCTTCTGCAGGTGCGGTGATATGCGTTGCAGGTTCTAGTGGTGATACAATGGTTATGGCGTTAGCGATAACTGAAGTCTCCAGACCTGAGTGCGTGGAGTCTGTCCTACAAGCGCTAAGTCAATATCCTGGCTAGTCAACGTTGAAAATGCGCTTTTCCGAATTGCTTCTAACTTCTCAACCAGCCACTAGATGATTATGTAGTTTGAGTGCCGATATGCCGCTTCATCAATGACACGAAAGTTTTGATCTAGCCTGATTTTGATTTGTCTCATTCTCAATGCACAGTTTACGTTGAGATTAAGTGCAACCTGGTACAGATCGATTCAAAATAATAATAGGAACGAAATCTTCCATCTCAGGGGTTGTCGCTATTCCCATGTCATGCCAACCTTCAACGAGGGTATATATACTCTTAATTTCACAGTTTGCTTTCCTTGTTGCCCATATTCTAAAGGCACTTCCTTTGACTATTACTCTCAATACCGATTCATCGACGAATCTCCGACGTGATGCCATTCAAGACTTTATTTTCCGCAGCTTTGGCCTCCCTTTTCATTGATTGCAGCCTTTCTGCACCAGTAGTCGGTGATCATTCTGTGGTAAAGAATACATTGGAGCCTTCTTTACTGAAGAAGTCATTGACATTGGGTTTAGGTCCAATATTGCGGCTTTGAATCTTCCCAAGATTGTGAGCTCCAAATAGTGAGCATAAATCAATGCACCATGCTAAATCACGTGTAAGACCTCCTTCATCCCTTTCAATCGTGCGTGTTGCTAATCGGTCACCAGGGACAATGCAAGATGGACTGCTGGTACAAATGGGTGTTGGCTATACAGGTAGGATTTGCCAGTCATAGAACATATAACTATATACTAATACCAAGCTTTAGCAATTCTGACTGCTCCGGGGAAGAGAGATTTTCAATCCCCAACGCGATGAAGGCATTCCTTGTTAACATTCCCATGAAAGGCAATGCTGTTTATTGTGCCTCGGAGTCACGCAGCTCATAGTGACATGATCATTGGTTCTCGGGGGACGATGGGTACATTTGAGATTCCAAATAGGTTAGATATCCATTCAAGTGACGGAAGCAAATGACATTTCTTTTTAACGAGAGAAGGACGAAGTGCCTTACTAAGTGTGTCGATTGAGTATTTACTTTTCTGTACCATGCGTATACTAGATACAATGTGTATGTTAAGATCAAAGGTCATAAATCAAAATATATACATACCAGAAGAGGTGAATGGAACAACCGCGTTCTTGAACCATCTAGACATCAGGCTTCTCCATTTCCTCCGAGTCATTGGCCCCCGAGTCAAACATCGACTCGCGCATGAATGGACTGCGGCGTCTAATATCTGGACCCTTGAGTACCAAAACCACCGGGACAATGGAAAGAGCGAGGCCAATAAACCCCAGCAATGTGCCAGCCCAGCCATAGCCCAGTGTATCAAACAATTCGTAAGATGCAAGGGGCAAAAATGCGCCAAATGTGTTCCGACCCAATGAAGCAGCCGACAGAGCTGAGGCAGCATACTTCTCATAAGCATCAGTGAGATAATTCACAACAGCCATATAAATGCTATATATTCCCACGCCCGCACATCCGATACCAAGGGTGGGGACAATCCAGTGGATAGATCCATTTCCAACACTTCCCCACCCGTACCAGAATAGACCACCCGCAAAAAGCAAGCTTCCAGGGATTGAGGTATATAAACGAGCTTCGGGGATTGGCCGACCGGGTCGCTCCTTATTTCTCTTGGCAGATTGGAGGTAAATCCAGTCCTGGATGGGATTGAAGACTGTGCCAATTACTGCACCGACGGAGATAGCGAGCTGGACGAGGCCTGTAGTGAAAGTTCCCCACCCATAATTGTGGCCGTATGTCTGCGAAACGCTCGAGAAGAATAAGTAAAGAATTCCCCATGCAAAACTGACCCACAAGGTGAAGAACGTGACGACGGGTTCGGTTAGAAGCATTCGGGTCGGTCGCTCGAATGATACTTGGACCAATTTCCAGACACTCGTCGTGTCCAGGTCGGCTTCTGCGTAGATCGGTTTTCCGGTCTTCTCGCGAAGCTTTTTCGCACGTTTCTTCAGAATAACATCTGCACGAGTCTCGCGAAGGATCAACCAGAATACCGGGATCAATGCAGCGTTATATATGATCTGAATATAAAAGATCCTACTCTCGTTAAATCAAGTCTCTCGAATGATTTCTCGTGCTTACCATCTCCACGGGTCCGACTTGTGGATAGTCTGAATTGCACCACCAATGAATGGCCCTAAAGCAATTCCAATCACACTTGTGAACCCGAATAGTGACATTGGTAAACTCCGAGCCTCATCGCCATACCAGACGTCACTAATGCTTCCGCCAACAATATTGATGCTGACCGATGAAGCACCACCACCAAAGAATCGGGTGACTACCAAGGTTGCGAAATTCTGTGCAAACGCTGATGGGAACAAGGATACAACGAGGATGAAATAAGCGATAAAGTATCCTGGCATCCGGCCTGTTGATTCTGTCAAAGGGACGAAGATAAGGGGCCAGAAGGCGGCGCCCATGTTCCAAGAAGTTGTAGCCCATGCGAGATTCGGGAATGGTACATTTTGAACGTGGAAGCGCTGCTCCATATAATTATTTCCAGCACCATATGATCCGGCAGGGAGACCTGTGAGAATGGATCTGTAATCGTATTTAGTTTCGGAACTCGGGAGAGTAGCGGTTCACTAACATGAAGCACACTGTCAATGTCAACACCCATTTATAGGTTTTGCTCCAGTTAAAAGGGTTTTCGGGGTCATCCGGGCCATCCCAAGTATGGATCTCGACATCCTCCTCTCGTAAAGGGTGTCGAGAAACTTGACCTATGTGGTCTTCTCTTCTGAAAAAAGAGCGCACTCTAATTGAGGTTAGTACTCACTTGCACAAGAAAAAAGCAGAGATGTTCAGATCATGCCTCGAGAGGAAGGAATCGTCAAATTGATTGTGATGTAGCGAGCTGACAGTTGATGCTCGGTGAATAGGTTGAGAAGTCGGGTCGACAACGGGTGGCGTCCTAGTGACCAGTTCTTCGGGATTTTCCATATTGATGTTTGGACCAGCAAAAAAATAATTATTCAATGTCGCAAGCACTTGATGAAACGACCGGACAAGAAATCGATGTATATTATTGCAGTTGACTGCTGAGTCAACGACTCTCATATTTGTCTTGACGTCATGATAGCCATGGCTCTGGACGATTTCGATCGTTGCGCCATCATTTTGGAAATTTCTTGTTTTATTAGGACCCTAAGTTATCAAAGTAATTCGCCTCTTCAATCAGAATAGTATAATGCTCTTCAACGAAAAAACAGGTTCTTTTCATGACAACATCGCATAAATTTGGCATTGGCCAGGGGATCCAACCCGAAAATATCTTTGGGTATATTATTCACAGTACTGATATTTCTACACCTTTATAGAGATATGTATTCTCCACCGTGATCTTATTATCGATATTTCATGAGATTTGTCAACATGATCCTGCTCACTTTGATTGATATTGAGTAAACAAGTATAAGTTTCATAATCTCATAGATCTCACTTCAGCCGTTCCTCCCGAAGACAAGAAATAAGAGATACCAAAAGGTAACCTTCGAAGAATTTCATAAGAGATAATATTTGAACTGAAAGCATCAACTGCCCCACACATGTATGGACAAAAAGCGAGATAGAAATAAGCTTGCCTATATCATTGTCATCTACTACAGATCCTAACATCACCCTTATATTGTTTGAGTACACCGGGAACTTTTTGGGCGCAAGTTCAAAGCCCCTAGCCCCCAGGTTTCTTTTTCTTTCATTTCAAAGTCGCTACTGATCAATCATTTTGGAGGGCCCTTCAGTCATCATACCAAACGGTGGAAAAGAAAGTAGGACCCATAGTGGGAGATTGAGAGGGAGATTGGGTAGGTAAATGGCATAAGAGTTACAGTAGAGGTCATTGGACCCTCTAGGTGGCGCGCGAGCGGATAGCCTATATTTGAACAGTACTCCGTAGCTCGTAAAAATTTGGCCTGGCGAGACCGTACCAAAATCCCCTATTTTTCTGGATCCTCGGAACTATGCCGAGAAGCTTTTCGACAAGGAAGGTGGTCATACTCATCATATTTTGGATCTGCCTCAAAGATATCTGAAGATCATCTCCTCGGTGCCTTACTTTGAGATCGAACTTAATCAGAGATGTAGTATATGTTGAGCCGAGACGGCCCCAGGATGCGACTAATATGCAAGTGGGGATGTGAGGCCCACTGCGTGTCCAGGCCACGAATCCTACCTTAACCATTGAATCGGCACTTGAGCGATGGAATCTGACGAAGAGTGAATATACTGCATATATATACCGGAAATATGCGAATGTCGTCATAATCGAGTACTCCTACGGTCGTTCTAAGTTTACATACCGATGTACTCGTTCTGCGTTCTTTCGCATGTTCATATTTAGACCTTGGCTTTCACAATGGTACTCTAGAAATGCTAGGCCCTCTGATTAAGAAATTAATCTGAGCTCAATTATCAGTCGTATCTTGCAAACATCAAATGTTTCATTGGCCCTGCCTGTGCTTTAAAGTGGATGGATGTGGCGGGTTTGTTGACGTAAGTGTTTCGGAATTTAGGTTGTGAGCAACATTTATAGCTTGCCGATACATTTCCTCAGAGCCAGAATTGCGCCATGGGGAATAAAGCCGGGGGATCTTCGGATACATTTTGAGAACCAATTGAGTCTTTTTTGATTACGACTCGTGGTAAATGAGGTCTTGGCATTCATGAGCAAGCATCATTCAGAGTCTCGACATTTGTACATTGCACATAGGTAGTAAACATTGTTTCCAACCCAATTGACCTTCTTAGACTCATGTCACTCTTTCCCTCCTCTCTCAGTGTTGGGGAATACACAAAGTAACTCTGGAATTGGGAAGCCACTCACGGCACCCAAACAACCCTCCCGCTCCCGGCCAAGCCTCTTCCGTCTCAGCTCTGACGCGGTCCCCATTCCAGACTCTGGATTACCGTTGATAATCCGGCTTTTTTAAGCATGTGGACAAGATCTACAAGAAGAGTTGGGGATAACGAGTATCTTGACGAATGGAAAGTCCTTCATTCGTCAGTTCTTCGACGATCGTTTTCCATGTCGAGGTAAGCTCGTGGGGCTCTGGCGCGTCTTCGCCCTGACACGCGGCGCCAAGCACCCATTCACCTACAGGTATAGGAGACGAATGCTTCCAGACATCCAATTCCAGGAGACAATTCCAGAGAAAGATAGTATCCGACACCGAAATTAACATAGTGGATCTCGATGCTTTTTAACACTGATATGACGCGTCCAGAGACAAGAGCAGGATGCTCGAGTGGTATAAATCCAGGCTGTCGATCCGGGTCTGGAAGAAATGTTGTTTGAATTGTTCATCCCCTCTTCTGGTTAAGATATTTTCATCATGGTTCATTTGTCCAAGTTCTTCGCTGTCGCAGCCGCATGCCTGGCTGCCCCTGCTGTTGCTCACCCTGGCGAGAAGCATGATCCTCATGTCGTGAAGCGTGAGATCCACGCCCGGAATGCCGCGGCTGCCTATGCAAAGCGCTCCCTGGGCGGATGTGAGAACAGCCTCCATGCACGAGAGCTGGCGAAGCGCAATGTTGCCCGTCGTGCGCAGAAAGTACAAAATCTCCGCGAGAAGCGTGGTGTCACTTCCAGTATGGCATCTGTTATACTTTAGCATGGACATGACTGACTTCATATAGAATCTCAGAAATGGCGTCGTGACTTGGCTGCTCTTGAGAAGTGGGAGGCCATCAATCACAACAAGACTGGCATCCTCAACTATAGCCCTGCCACACCTGAGTCTGTTGTGTTTAGCGCCAACACTAGCTGTATTCTGACACCTACTATCACCGACGGCCCTTACTATGTCTGGGGTGAGGTGATCCGCGAAAATGTGAAGGAGGACCAGTACTCGGATGGTGTGGACCTCTCTCTGGAGGTTCAGTATATTGACATCAACACCTGCCGACCTATCCCTGGCGCACTCGTTGATATCTGGCAAGCCAATGCCACCGGTGTCTACAGGTAAGCAAACTTCAACAATCTCCACACACACATACTTACCAGTTTAGTGGAATCTCGGAATCCGGCAACTATGCCGCCGACGGATGGGACAGCACTTACCTGCGCGGCATTCAGCAAACCAACGAAGATGGTGTCGTCAACTTTGAGACTATTTTCCCCGGTCACTACGAAGGCCGCGCCACACACACCCACCTGTTGACTCACCTCAACGCAACCGTCTTCCCAAACAAGACTCTCGAAGTGGACACCGGCAGCGTGGCTCAAATCGGCCAATTGTTCTGGAATGAGGTTCTCAGATCCGCAGTGGAGGATACATACCCCTACACCCTCAACAGCCAGCCTGTTACCTCGAACGAGGATGACCAGTGGGCCAAACTTGAGGCTGATAGCGCCTACGACCCCTTCCCGGAGTACATCTACCTTGGTGAGCATCTCGACGATGGTCTGTTCGCGTGGATCCAGATTGGTGTCAATGCTACCGCAGACTACACGGATAACTCTTACTACAGCATTGCTGCGTATCACGATGCCGACGGAGGCCACGAGAACGCTGATGACACCTTTGTTGGTGGAAGCGGCGGAGGCAGCGGGACCGCTTCTTCTGGTAGTGCTTCCGGCACGCCTTCCCCCAGCGCCTCTGCTTAAGCGGTAGGTGGAGATGTGGCGCCGGAGGAAGCCATGGAAGGCTTCCTCAAGCGAGAAACTACCACTAGTGACAGCAGGATTGTTATTAAGGGGTAGCTCAATCGGCATTCTTGTGCTCTATTAGACAATGCTAGAATATAAAACTTGATGTTTTGTTCATGTTTCACTTTCTGGTTGGTCAAAATAGCGTAGGCGTATTAGTAAATATGATGACTAAACGAAAAAGTCGATCAACGGGCTGCCGCGTTTCTCTCTCCCGCGTTTAGACGCAACCGAGGTTCCAGAGCTTTGGTTTATCAATAGACGCGCACGGACAGCAGGATTCACAGAATTTCAACAATGAAGATCCATAGTTGCGTACACTAGGCGCCCAAAGCGCAGATAGAATAATGAATCGAAGATTCTACTCCGTACAAAGCGCCACAGTCCGATCCACAGGTCAAAGGTATGGGACGGAGTAAATACGGAGTACTAAGCGGATATCTGCAACAGCATTCAAGATAAAATGGAGCAAGCACTAAACTACTTTTGGAAGGTGTAATCGGATTAGGGCATTGACCCTGACACTTGGCCAAATTGGGTAGTCCCAGATTGAATTATTCATGCCTCAGGCAATATTTATTACCCTTTGCGGACTGACGCCGGTTGTGAGGCCGAAGACCTCGTGGCATTCAAGCCTCGAATCTAGAATTCCGTGGGTTTCATCCTTAATCCTCAAGTGTAGCACGTCACGCTTTGGCCACCATGCTGCATCTATTGGGTAACTAGATGAAATAAAACCAGATAAAAGAAACTTGGAACCACGGTTTGCATATTTAGTTAGTACTGCTCTAGTAAAAGCCAATCACAAAGATCTTCGGCATTTTACCGGCTTTCAGGATAGATGCGGCTCCTCGCCCGCCCAGATGAAACCCACCTACGCACTAGCCAAACCGATTACCAGATCTTTGAAATACGGAGGTATTTCTTTCATGCATGGGGATTGCAAATACCAATTTTGTCTAACCTAACCAAACTCCTTTCAAGTTCTCACGAGCATGAACCCTGGAAGCGTGGAGTCCCACACCCCCGACATTGGCCAAGTAGCAATTCCGAAAGTGGAAAGACGGCTTATAATCCGGCTTTGTACTCCGTAACATGTGTTGCAAGAATTCCACTAATTTTATCACGATCGCTGGGGCTTTTCGTCTGCCGATCAAGCGGGTTTAGACTCGACCCTATAAATCAATACACCCCACTTGTACCATGAGATGCATTATTCACGACGCAGGGGGGTTCCACTCAGAACCAAGACTCTAAAGCTCCTTGACGGGTTTTCTAAAGTCAAAATAGCCGGCCTGCAGGACCGTGGGGAACCGATCTTCTTTAAAACATAAAACCACGAGGGTGCCACCTTTTGATCTTCCCCTCACCCACCCGACTCACACTACCAGGCGAATGGGCTTTCCCAAGGACTGCCATGGATGAGGATGATGATAGCCGCAGTCAGGCTATCCTGATCGTCACAGCCATCTTTCTCGCCATTTCACTCATCGCTACCGGCCTCAGGCTTTTTGTTCGAACTCACGTGGTGAAAGCTTTCGGCAAGGATGATGTCTTCATGGTATTGGCTATGACCCTCAACCTGGCCTTTGCCATCTGTGGATTCCTCGGAGTAAAATATGGCATGGGACGGAAATTGATCCATTTCGTTGGGAGAGAGGCGGATTTCCACAAGGCCTTGCTGGTATGCTTAAAGTCGAATCCGCGCAATATCCATGCTAATTGCGACAGTGCTGGTGGCTGGGTCAAATCTTCTATGTCATTACCTGTGTCGTCGCCAAGGTATCCATCATCATCACTCTTTTGCGCATCACCGTGGATCGCATCCACCGCTACATTCTCTACGCCGCTATCACGCTTGCCACCGCCGTTGGCCTGGTCTTTCTTTTCTTCACCGTCTTCCAATGTAATCCGGTCTCTTACTTCTGGAATCGATCCCCCGCAACGGGCACTTGCATCAGCACCGACCTCCTCATCGACATCGCATACCTATACAGTGTTGGCGCAGCCGTAACCGACTTAACCATCGGTCTCCTCCCAGTCGCACTAATCTGGAACCTGCGCATGAATACGCGCACCAAGGGCGCCATCATTGGCATTCTAGGAATCGGCTGCATGTACGTCACATCACGCCACCCATATCCCTTTTCATTACTAACGAAACCAGCGCGAGCGCCGCCGTGATCATCCGCATTCCATTCGTGCACAATTACAAAAGCACCGAATTCCTCTGTATGAATACCCCACATATTTATTCCCCTCTCGGACCTAATCGGACCCGTCGGCTAACATTGGCTAGATAATACTTACCAAATCTCCATCTGGTCAAACGTCGAAGCAGGCCTAGGCATTACAGCCGGATGTCTCACCACTCTACGCCCATTAGTCCGATTTCTCCGCGATGGCTCCTCCGCCTCCCGCAGCCGTGGCAATCGTACCCCCGGCCCCGGATCTTTTCCCTTGTCGAGCAATGTGGCGCAAAAATTCAACCGCTCCTTGCGATCTAAGCACGACGAAGAAGGACAGCTTTGGACTGGTACGGATAATGACGATTATCATGGTATCACCACTACTATTATGGGGAGTCAGCGTCCGAATCCCATTAGTAGTGAAGAGGATCTTAACCCAACAAATGGGTGGAAGGTCGAGCGATCCGTTCGGGTGTCCGTGCGCGACGAATAAGGGTTTCTTCCTGGCATTCCTTTACGTATAATTCATGTACTATACCATTAACGACTTCGAAAAATGTACTAATGTTTCAATGGCTTGGGTTGCAATTTGGTCTGCATGTAAATTTGGTATGCTTTTTGTTGGGATCACAATTCCCTTCTTTTTACCAGCCTCCTATACTGGAAACGATCGGTGGCGCCTGCACAGTGGGGCTTGTATGGTAAGCGAGACGATGCATCCTTGTAACAAGCGCACCAGCTCAATCAACCGGCTGTTTCATGGCATGGTGTACTCTATCTTATATTTGAATGACCGGCAACGGGAACCATTCGATTTTGATCCCGTGAATTAAGGCACCTTACCTGATAGTATTGATAAATTGGCCATGTGGAAGCTTGGTCTTGTAAATATTGAACACTACTGTACAATGGTGTAATTTAGCGGTATTATTGCAGGGATCTATTCCACTTTCTACCAAAAGGGGAAACAACTCGCCGAGTTGATCGTCAATTAATGAACTCAATACTCCGTAGTAGATTACATTCTGGAGTGTTGTACTACATAGGCGCTTGAAATATGTAGGTTGAATGTGATGTCATTGCATTAATGAATTCTAGAGCTAGAATGATTACAAGTTCTGTTTGCACTTGAGTTTGTGATTGTGTATTCTTGGCGCCTTGGCGCCTAAGATTGCATCACCGACCTCGGCCTATGCCTATTCTGGTTAGGTGATACTATATGCGAAAAGCATACGCATGCGTGTACCTGGGCAGTGCGCCACATTGTATTGATTCTGTTGCCTGGAAGGCTGGCTAAGACTAGGAGGGTGCTTTTGTCTCATTAATGAGTGTCCTTAAATATTCACATCAATTATTGATCTGCATACAAAATTCACAATTTAAGGCCGCTGACAATCTAATATGGCAGATCGTTATGGCACGTGGATAGGCAGCGGATCAATGTACTGAGTGGATCTTAGCTCAATAGATTAGAATGATTTTCTTCCCAAACTAACATATGTTTTACCTTGGCCAAGCGCTGGGCTAAAGGTCTAGCTAGCGATTTTTGATACTATTTGGTACTTATGGTCAGCCTGGTAATCTCGGAAATTTGAATACTATACTAAATGAGGTTCTGTAAATAAAGCTCGTGGAAGCTTGGACTAGAAAATGGTAAATACAATTCTCCATAATTAGGTATACACAAGCTTGCGACCTTTAGACATATCGAACTTTGAACTATGAAACTAAGATAGAAATTGAAAGTCCATCATTTCACTCCTTGATTTCCTTCACCTCCTCATGGACAAGTCCTTCTTGCGAAGAGGCCGACACAGCGGCATAGGCATCCACATGAGTCGAAGCGAACTTGCGCGCGGAAACCTTTCTGGCGAAGAGAATGTCAAGTTCCGCATATGTACGGTCCTTAGGCTCCGGCAGACGGAAGAAGGCCCATGCAAACATCATCACAGCGGTACCACCCCAGAAGAAGCCTGTTTTACCAGACGCGTTCCATGCAGTTGGGTTCATGAAATAAGGCTCCAAGACCTGCGAGACGACGTTGATGAGTTGATAGGCTGTTCGTGCTAGACAGACTGTCAGGGTTCGCAGCCGGACGGAGGACATCTCCGAGACGATGGAGTAAGCAATTGGGCCGACTGTCAGGGAGTATGTGAAGAGCCAGAGCATACAGAGTGCCGCTTGCGCCCACATGCCTCCACTGCTTGAGGACGCGGCATTGATGATACCAATTAGGAACAGGAGGGTGGCGAGGGTGCCTTGGCCCCAGACGTAGAGGGTTCGTCGACCGAACTTTGTGATTAGGAACCAGGAGAGCGCTGTGCCGACGAACGATACAGCAGTGCATCCAACGCCTAGCTGGAAGGATCGGTTGGTGGACATTCCGGCTTGTTCGAAGAAGTAAGTCGGGGAGTATGCAAACGAGCTACCGGAGAGGACCTGGCCCATGAAGGCTACACAGCAGATTTCTGTGCGCCGCAAGTCCACTCCCTTAAAGCACTCGGCATATGTGGTCCCGGCCTCAATTTCAGCTTCCAGCTTAGTTGTGTGAACCATCATTGCCAGTTGTCCGTTAATCTGATCGTCGGTCTTGTTTCCTCCCAGTCGACTGATGCTACGCTTGGCGTCTTCCAGACGATCCTTGCGGACAAGGTACCATGGACTCTCGGGTGCCAGCCAGCAGATCACCATCAATGGCAAAGGCCAGATCCATTGCAGGGCGAAGGGAATGCGGTATCCCCATTGGTCCGTTCGGTCGACTAGACCATACAACACACCTGATGCAATGAGCTGGCCGATGGCCCAGCACATGTTCACGTAGATAGTGAGGTAACCACGGAGGTTCGTGGGGCATACTTCGGATGCATAGGCGGGTCCAACAGTTGCGAAGACACCCCAGGAGAATCCACAAAAGATCTGGCCAACGAGCAGGACAGCAGCTGAGTTGGCGAAGAAGGTGATGAAGATGAATGCGTTAAGGAATCCCAGTGCCACGATCATAACACCTCGATATCCAAATTTCGAGGCGAAGTATCCATTCATGATACCGCCTGAGCTGGTCAGCGATTTGCTTTTCATATGCGCCAAGTCAACTCACCAAAGATACATCCAACTGTGCTAGCCATACTGAGTCCCGTCTGCCACGGAGCTGATACTTGGTAGTCGTTTTCGGCAGGATAGTAGCTTCCGTACTTCTTCCTAAACGTGGGGTAGGCGAAGAAATTTCCGATCAGAATCGTATCATAGCCCTCCATGATGATCGACATCGAGATCAACATCGACCACGCCACAGCCTTTCGATTAGCAGCGAGTGCTTGGAACAGCGTTTGAGAGTGCTCCTCATCAGTCGCTTGTTTAGCTTCGATAAGCGCACCGTGGCCCAGAGTATCCTCAACATGGTGGGCAGCCGTCTTCTCCAACGCAATCTCAGTCTGAACAGTCGCCATGTCGAACAGCAAGTATAACCAGTTGACCCAGTGCCAGAGATCCCGTAGCCTCAACGGGCCGAAAAAGGATGGACGAGGCTAGTGATATAAGACTTTCTGACAGACATGGTCTCGACACACCCCGCCACATGCGGGTCCAGATTTTGAGAAACGTGGGGAAAGATAGCAAGAACAAAGCATCTACATGCATTCAGCCTAATGTAGGCATGGAAGCCAATCGCAAACGAGCTGCCTAGGTGGTTCGACCAGTAAAATTGCCAAGGGACATAGAGTGTCTTGCCACTACTCGGAATGCGAAGTTCAAAAAAGGCGATAATTTTGCACCTATTATATTAGCCGAAAGGTTTAGGTACGAGCTAGCTCAAGAATGGCCCCGCAAATCCTGATTAGTTTCTGGGGAAGCGAAGGCTGTATATTAGGTCTCGGCGATGTGATTGGATCCCGAATTGCGCCTCCGAGGTCTCAAAATGCCCCTATTCCTTTCGCGGAACGGGGTTTCGCGCCGTGATGATTCCATGGGTTGTGTGATCCTAGCCGTTTTGGCTCTAAGACGCAATCACCCGAGGTTATATCGTGTTCTGATTGCTCACTTCTTGGATTCCCCAGTGTCTGACCGGGGTGTTGGCCTTGACCGATCGAGTAGCATGTTTTGACAGGGGGAACTGTTGGACCCAAAGGAGTAACGATTCATTTTAGCCGCGAATCCCCGATATTCTGATCTTCCAGGGCTTTTGACAAAACATGTGCAGCTTAAATTGCGTTGGGTCACGAGGCTAGTGTAAGGATCTGACGATCCGGGGTTTTCTAGACTCGCACGGACCTCCTAGGTGCCCGAGGTCATTTCCCCAGAAATGCTATTAACCGACGTGAAGGCACGACCGGCGGGGTTTAAATTTGCATGTCTATCAGTCATTGGAGGAATAGGAATGAATGGGGAGCTCTGGGGAACATCTCACTCGCGTTGCTGGGACATCGAGGCTTTATGACGTAGTTCCCGTGAGAAGGTAGAATAATTGTCTACGTTAGCCAGGCCATGGAGTGGGGGAAAAGGACACGGTTGATGGAAAATGGGACCCTTCCAATCATGAATCATTGGAGAATGAAAAAGAGTTGTCTTATAATATTCATCTAGAATGATCGCCCTTTCGGCATTGTGTTGATCATGATTTTGAGCATAGCTTCAATAAAGTCATGGAACCTGTTTACTAGGCCAAGATATATGTACATGTCGTGTTATAAGATTCGTACTGCCACCTAACACCAGTACAAATCTTTATTTGAACAAGTTTATTGCTCACGGGAGAGAAGTCCCTCTGCCTCCTGGGCATCATCGACTGGCCCACCATGCGATTTACCCAAGGTTTCGGCCATGGCAAGAGCATCGCGATGACCCTTGTCGGCGTTCACCATCCAAACCAGAGGAATTGGAAGCACAATGATAATGGCGATGAAGAAGAAACCTGACCGGACCTGACCGGTCGCGTCAACAAGTAGTCCCACCACCGCCGGTCCGATGAATGAACTACCTTTGTCCGTGGCCGCGTACAGCGCATAGAACGCAGCCTCGCTACCAGGAGGAATCAACATGCCAAAGAAGGAGCGACAGTAGGAGGCCAGACCTCCAGAAACAATCCCGTGAACAATTGCAAGTGGAAAGATCTCCCACGGCTTTTGAAGACCAATTACACCCCAATTCTTGACAAAAGGGATATAGGCCAGCATTCCGTAGAGCGGGATGGTCTCGAATAGTACAATGCAAACGATGATCGTTTGGTTGGACTTGAGTCCAAATCGTCGGGATACGTGCGGCCAGAGGAACGCACCAGTCATGCCTGATAGGGTTGCAGTGATTGACAACAGACCGACTGCTGTGGTGCTCATCTTTAGTTCTGTACGCGCAAAGAGGATGGCTGTACCGGAAACAGTAGCCATGGCGTCTGACAACAAGAACCATGCGACAAGGAAGATCATGGCCTCACGCAACTTCACTGCCACTTTGACGGTCTGCCACAGTGACTTCCATGCGAATCCCATAAGCCGTAACCATACACGCCACCGAGAGGCACCGGGGGCAGATGAGGTGTCAAGACGGGGACCAGGTCGTGCGCGCAGACAACGGCCGGCGACAAAAGTGAATGCACACCACCATATTCCAACCAACAGCAAGACGAAACGCATTGGGAGAGATGCAGAGATCTTTGCGAGCTTGGTCTTAGAAAGTGTGATCAGTAGCAGAATGCTGAGAATTTGGACGAATACCGCCGCACAATATCCAAGCCCAACACCCTTGGACGAGATCTTTGTAGAGAGCTGAAGCTCCGGGGTAGATCCCGCGCTTTTGCTCTTGATACCATCCTCTCTGGGCTGGTTGTATTGACCTGTTCCTTGTATGCCATCGACACTGTCCTCGTCGTCCCATGCGTTCCAGTCAGCGTCGTCACCAGCGCCATTGCTGGCCTGGAAGCTCGACATCTCGTTATCTCCATCTTTGATCTCTTGGACCGATGGGTCGTTGGCGACCATGACGGGTAGAAACGAGTTTAGGACAACAAAGGAGGATCCGAGGCAGGTGACGCCGATGACAACCAAGATGGAGCCGATGATAAATACCGACGGCGCGACAAACATGAAGAGCATGCTGGTGACCGAGCCGATGAACCCAAAGGACAAGAGCAGCGTCTTGCGATTACTTTCTGCACGTACTAATCAGACATTTTGCAGTATAAAATGACAAGCGATCCGCAAGCTTACCATAATCCGCCAGCGCACTGAACGAAATCAATGTCAGTGCTTGGATTAGCACCGCTAGGGAGAATGTATACATGGCGAAACTCGCAGTGGTAATGTGGAGTCCCATCACCCCAACAATACACTGTTCGTCTGCTTGTGTGCCATTCGTCGGCGCCTCGGGCCCCCAACAAGGGAGGTGGCTGGTCTGCAGTGTACCATGTTCGCGCGCTAGCTGCTCAAGGGTAAGAGGCAAAAAAGAACCTGGATTATAGTCAGAAGATATTCCCAGTGAGTGGAGAGTTGTACGGACCTACACCGCAGACTGCGAAGACTTCGGCCGCAATGCCGTAAGCATACCAGCCGAGAATCTCACGGCGGGTTGTCGGTGTCGTGTCTTCGCCAGCATACCGAGGGGTCCTTTGCTGCACCCCATCGGCTTGATCAGGAGGTGATCTGATAGCGGCGAGAATGGACGACAGCATGGAGGGGGGGTTGAGAGGTTAAAAGCCGAAGCTACCCTCGCGATGAATTTCTAACCGGATGTCGACGGAAACGGGGCGGGGACGTACGATGTGGTCATCGCCGATCGGGATCGCCCAGGAGCCACAGGGCAGACCCACTTTGGATGCCCATTCTAGTCCTGAGTAGTTATGCAAGTATATCAGAAAGATAGTAAGCGAAGTAAAGTAAACATGAAGAACCAAATAAGGGAAAGTTAGAGTTGGGTTGGTCGTTGTTGCCGTTTCCGGGCCGGAACCGGCCACGGTTTGCTATAAACTTCCTCTTTAATGCGTTTACCGGCATCGCTGCCTTTAAGTAGGAACATTTGGACTTCTTTTTTTTCATTTTAAGAACCTTTTTCAAAAGGTCTTTCAACATGGCATCCATCTCGCATTACATACAGTACTTCCTCGGTCGCCTATTTTATCCCATACGAGGCCATGACTCTCGCCAGTTCATTTTCAGTCCTGCATTTAAGGATATCCCAACACCAAACATGACTCTTGAATGTGAGGAATGTGGACCGTCTGGCTCGACACTACTTCTGCACCATACATCCTTCGCCAAAGATGGCGTTGGTGCCATTCCTGAGCTCAAGTGGTCACCTCCGACAGACACTGAGCCAGTCAACGAATATATCTTGCTCATTGAAGACTTCGACATACCAATCCCATTCCTTGTCATTCACCACGGTCTTTTCTGGGGTATCAAGCCCACCGATCAAGCTGTGACACCGCTACATACCAGTGTTTCAAAGGAGAACCCGAAATGCTTAACCAGCTCAGGATGGCGTTACGTTCCCAACGTGCGAGGCGCATCTTATATTGGAGCCGGTCCTGTCCTCGGGCATGGAACCCACCGCTATGTCTTTACAATCATTGCTTTGAATGAGAGCCTCAAGTTTGAATATCCAGAGAAAGTCAGCAAATCAGACATCCAGAAAGCCATCGTTGGCAAGGTCATCGGTTGGGGGCGTTGGGTCGGCGTGTTTGAGCGCCCGTGGCCTCAATAGATGTGGCTCGGTAATTTCTTGAACAGCGTTTCGAACACGAGAGCATTTTCAAAGAATTGAACGTTAAGGATTCAAAGGTCACATACTTACCCACGAAGTCATTTACTTTTCTCTTCTACTGTGCATCACCAGTCTGTTTCTGTTTTGTTTTCTTACAACTGTTCAATTGGTGCTCAATGGTATGCGATTTGAAGTACATAAATATTCTAGTCATAGGGCCCCTTGAGAGTGTGATTTGTGTGACCTACGTAATCACAACTTTCTAGTCACATAGGTATCAGACAACCACCCAGACAAAGTGAAGATCAAGCTAACGGGACAATATTGGATTCACCGTCAAGAGCCTCCTTCAGCACCACCAACTGGCTCATGATAGACTCCACGGAAGATTTGTAAGCATGGAATGTCGAAGCTCCATTCCGATGGTCCGAATGTGAATTGTCCAGCCCCAACAATAAGGAATCTTTCAAGCTCTCCATCAACTTTACCAACCTCCTCAAGCTCTCCCTGATTATCGTGCGAATCAGCAGCCTCATTTCATCCTCATCGAGCTCTGTCTTGCCAAATAGAATTTTGCTCCGGATACAGATAAACTGAGAACATTGCTGCTCCACCAGCATTGCCGGGTCAAAGAATCCAGATTGGGTGGGGATATCATATGCCGCGCACAGTGCTTCGAGCAGTGGGAGACATTGCTCGGACAAAGCTGGGAATGTCACGATGGAAGGATGCGGGGTCTCGATGCAGTTCTTGCATTGCACCATTGTTACCCCTTGCCGACATATGCGATGTATCAGATCGAGGATATCTCAGCGTCGACAACAGCATTCACATTCTGCAACTCAGATATTATCTGCAAACCTTCAATGGAGCAAGGGCAGATATCTTCAAAATTCATCTTTTATTGATTCAAATGTTTTGAAGAGATTATCGGTTCGACTTGTCCCATTTAATGGAGGTCCTTGTTTGGCAGTCATTCTTATTTTTCACCAACCGACAGTTGGTGAAATGTACTGTTCAGTGTCATTAAAGGTGGCCAGGAGCGAACAAATTCTAAAATAAGGATGAAAGCCAAAGAAGAGTTCCGACTCTGCTCCTCGTCAGCTGCAGAATACTCCCATCGCCTGACAGCCGACATAAAGGAGGTTGTCACACCACGATGACGCTTTGGGAACGATTAGCTCTCATCAAAGTTTATTGCTGACCAATGGATGATCGTAGATGACCCCATATAAATCTTCATAACCAGAAGCCAATGAAGTTCCCCAGAGGAGCTGCCGCATTAGTAGGTTGCTATAGTTCGTTCTCCTCACGGCACCTGAGTGCTTTTCATGACCAAAAAGCTCGTTAGGAATCATAGATCGATTCGGTTTATTGTCACAATAATCTTAAGAACAAAAACCAAATTCAACCAATTACCATCCTAATCTTCATCATAATAACCTGCAGCCTCCGATCAGTCTCCATAATCATAAGTAACCTCCCCCTTGAGAATACCGCCACCAAGTGCTGTTGCATACGAACGCGAATTCGTCGGACAGTCAATAACAGCATAGAAAAACGACCATGCAAAAGCTGTAGAATAAAACACGATTTGTCTTCCAGAGGGACCCTATACCTTCCAACCAGTAGAGGGCACGCATCCACATGGGACTTGAACCCATCCCCACCGTTTCGCAACTTCCTGCTCCCCATTGGTGGCGACTGCATTGACATTCTTTCGTCATTCCTAGCTCCAGCCGACTTCGTAGTGGTATCCAGTATTGAAAGAAGACTATCAATCGTCATCACAATTATCATCAACATATTAGCCTGAACCTCGGACTGTGAACACATATTACACTGTAGAATCGACTCAGTATGTAATAGTAACTCCTTTTGACGCGCTAGTATACTATCGATACTAACCGAGCCGTCTTCTTCCGCACGTTCACCTGAACTGATCAACTCGCTCGTCGCATGCTTGTAGCAGCTGCAACGGATATGTGGCGGGCTAAGCAAGCCCGGCTCGTCAGCTGAGTATAGTTCGCTATCAGGACTGGTATCTGGAGATTGGAGTGGATGGTAACTCGAGTAAGAGGGATCTACTAGAACAGGGATAGATTGATGTGGACTCTCGAGCATCCATGCATCTTGGATAGACTGCATATTGAGTTGAGCGTAGGCCCATGGTGTGGTCTCGGCTTCTTTGAGCTCGAGAAATGTCATCTGCTCTAGGTTGTGGATTTCGGGGTCGCATTGATTTAGATTCATGTCGTGCGCTAGGGGGGTTGAGGAGGAACAGGGATCTCCTGATGGTGGGATGAGAATTGCAGTGGAGTTTCTCGTGCATTCTGATGGTGTGATGAATGTGTCTTCTAGCTCCATTTCGGCGTACGTTTGCTCGAGTACTGGACTCAAAGGGTCATCGTTCATGCGAATGGGCATGAGCGGTTGGGTCCAATTCTCTGATGTGAAGTTCATCTCAAAGGATGGGTGGCAGGTTGGCTCATGGGCTTCGTAGTGAGTGGACATGTCGGGCTCATCGATATCCGGCAACGTCTTACTAGAGAGTTCTTCGGGGATGTATTTTTTCTTTGCAGCTCGAGGCCGCATAACTTTCCCTGGCCGATTTGCTTTCTTTCTCGATGTTCTGCGAACCGTGCGTTCGAATTCAAGATCCTCAAATGTCTCAGGTGTGGGACTGCTCCCTTCAACCAGGAGTTGTGAACTTTTCTTTTTCGCTGGACGACCTAACATTCGCGACATACTGTAGATACAATCAATATTGTGTTTCTGACAGCGGTGACAAGAAGGCTTCTCATGGCTGCAGCGAATCTTGGCCTGCTGACAAGCATTACATGTAGAGCGAACCTTGACGCTTTTGGGAAGTTGACCAACTCCACTCTTCTTTGAAGAATTCATGAGAATGGATACTTGGATGCATTGGCAGAGGATCAGATCAAAATATTTCAATCTGTGCATATCGCACTGGACTCGCCGTTTATCTATACAGCATCCCGCCCTCACCCACTTGATCGACATCACATTCTCGCTTTTAATTCTTTTTCCGTATCTGTCGATAACGCCATGCACGGCGAAAGAGCCTATTGCTAGATCGTGGAAGTTAAAAGTTACATCCGAGAACCCCTGTTGGTTTGTTTGTTGTCCTACCCGACCCGCTGGAATGCCCCGTGCAATAGATAGTGTTGACCAGTGGTTCGCAACTACGGTCGATCTTTCAAAGAAATAATTCTGAAATGACTGTCGGGGAAGTAGATTTACGGATATCCTTGAATGGTTTCGGGTCACGCATGTGTATGGTATTGCAATTTCAAAATTAAGTCACGGTTCTAGCATAGTCTATCAGTCAACGCAGATCTTAACTAATTTCCTTCACGCTTAACCTTATTTCCACATATAACATTGAAATTGCTGAACATGCGAAGATTAGAGCAATTCTTCTAAGATCAATTGTACTCAAGGCCATAGTTCTCAAGCTTACCCACCATAACCTACAGACAGACCCCGTAAAAGGGTGTTATCGCCGTTTCACAAGAACGAGGACCTTTGAATATAGTGACTCTTACCTTTTCGTCCCAGTAATCACCAGATCCGTGTGACAGGAACTCTCTAATCAAACTACACAATGCTCAACTGAAAGGGGGAAGTCCTTCCGAGGACGAAATAGGCAACGAATGGAAGCTATGTACATAGAAACCGTCTACCGATGTGTTGAAATCCCGCATTCTGGTACAAGACGGAAAGTCAGTCTTAATTCGTTGCAGGGACTTTCGGCGTTTAGTTTCGGTTGGATTTTGGAGGTACAGACTGTAGTGTCTGTATCTTCGGAGGGAGATGGCTACAGATTAACTGGCATAGAAGCCGTCTCCAGTAGCATACCCTGGATTAACAATGAAATGAGATATTCGAATGACGAGGTAAAGCTTTAAATATTGTGGAAAGATCATTGATATTGAATTCATAAGCTCGTAAACCATAGGTCCATAGCGGTGAAAAGCAAAAAACCTTCGCACTATTTCCGTCATAGGTATATTTAATGTAATTATTGAGGCATGTGCTCGAAAGGTTTCTCCAAGTGCTCCTGGCAGAAGGGAAGCTTGCTGACAGTCCAGATCTCGGTGTCCTGCGGAAGACAAAGTTAGCCCCACCATCTAGTGCGGTCCATTCCCATGCCCCACGTACCGGCTTCAGTGTTTTCTTGATTTCTGTGTCCAGGGTACCAGCTTTAATGGCAATGATCTCAGGCGCGGCATCTGGATCGTGAGCGATCGGAGAACCGCACTCGCCACAGAAGATGCGGTGCACGGATTTTCCAGATGAACCCTTGCCCTCCCAGCTCTTGGTGGGGCCCTTGATGGTCAAAGCTGCCTTGGGGACGACGGCGACGAGAGCTACAAAATTAGTAACAAGCTCTCGTGTAGGAATTGGTAAGACGTACAGTAGGTAGAGCCACTCTGGCGTTGGCAGTCATCGCAGTGGTCATAGGCAGTGATCAAAGGCTGGTCGACCTCAATGGTGTAGGTGACCGCCTTGCAGAGGCAGTGTCCGGACAAAGGCATAATGGAATTGATTCTCACAAGGTTCTTGGGGGATGTGGTTTGAGGACCTTGGGGAGGGGGGAAAGTCGAGAGTATTTAAAGGGAAGAAAGTGGGATTAGCTCAAATCTCTTCCATTACGAACTTAGACTTTCTACTTTGTAAGGTCAACGAACTGTATATGCGCGTTGCGTCATACATAAATCAATTCCAAATTCCGCATGACAAATTGTTCCAGCCCCGCTAGCATGAGCCCCTCACTATCTATTCCTCATGAGCTTACTCTGTCTAGTCTCGGTCTTTTACCAGCCATAACCAGCCATATACCGCGCCACCGAGTCCGAGTCCCGTAAGCTGGGCAGAAAGGTTTAACACGAGACCGCACTTGCGACGTGCAGATAGAAATTCCCATGAGATGAGGGCTTTCACCAGGATCTCCCCGCGATCGACTCGTGGTGAGGATCCACTTCATTAGCCCGAAGTGGGGGTATCGAGAAGATGAGAAAATGAGACGGATAACACATCACCGGTCACATCGCGGGCGGTGAATGTGAGGGTTTTTGTTGGGAATTAAACAAGGCGGTGGAGTTGCGGCTTCTTCTCGGGGACCTCGGGGAGCGAATCCTGCGACATATAAGCAGGAAGCGAGGGATAAGCAGTGGGGCATTTTGGGATTTCGCACCGGAGCTTTGGGATACAGTCGAGCTTGTCGATCATTCAGCTGCAAGTCCAATGGGGCGGGTCAGGGCTAAGGATGCATTCACCCCCCGCTTCGTGGAAACCTTGGAACTAGCACGATTTACGGAAGAACAGTACAGATGTCTCATTATCATTCGTTCTATATGCTGCATATCACTGGAGTCTGGCCCCGCTACCAAGGCTCTTCTCGCCGGACATTCTCAATCTTATCTGCCGCGCTCTGCATCAAATAATTAATGCAACCCTCGAAACCTCTTGAATACCCCACTTACCTGCATTTGGGCGGCCATGCCCTGCCGTGGAGTCTGTCCTCCATAAACCAACGATTCGGCTCGTTGTGCCTCGCGAGCGTCGTCCTTCGTTACATACACCGGTACTTCGGTCGGGACAGGAGAGAGCCCGAGGATTTCATTCCGATCCGCAATTGTGCGCACCTGTTCAGATACGGAGCCTCGACCGGGACGTCGACCAAAGGCACGACCCTGGGCTATCAATCTCGACTCTCATGTTGAGGTAAGCTGGGATAAACCTACTTCGGTGGCTTGCATCTCACGTGCGTCTTCATGTGTGATGTGGCTCTGCGGCTTACGAGATACTTCGTCTAGTTGGGCGTCAAAGTTCATTTGTCGCATCGCAAGGCTTTGAGCGGTTGCTTTCTCTTAATCAGTAATCATCTTCGATTGCAAGGTGAGGGCGTACCGGCTGGTCCGCCACGAAGCGGGCCTCGTCCGGTTAAGATGCTTTCGGCATGAGAAATCATTGAGACGTCTGCGGGGGTGATTCGTTGCCCAGCCTCGACAGCTTGTTTTAGATCAGCCACGGTTGGGATCTCTGCGCTCATTTTCTAATGCTGGTGTATGTTGTGTGGTTTTTGTTCCTATTCGCCACGGTTTGTTGAGTGTGCTATATACCTTATCTGTGGCGCTGATGTCACGTTGAACGCATCCTCGCCGCACGCCTTTAGTGGCGGTGCCACTTTGCCCAGGTGTAGTATAGAGCACGAATCTGGACATTCAATTGGTAAATACACCAAGGCTCTGTCCTGGGAATTTGACTAATATTACAGACATGTGGAGCAGATTCGAGGGTTCACGAGATTGAACACATTGAGGGTCGTCGCTACCACATGGAATCTCGAGTTCACCAAGACTAGATAGGCAAGAGTTTCAAGAAATAAAACCCCATACCCGCGGACGCTAGGAATTAACTGCGAAATTAGCACGCTGTTCCACCAACGCTTCCAACACCTGCATCTATCCAGCTTATCTCACACAATGACACATTCGTCAAGTCTGCACTTAGCCGCGAGTCACCAAGGCCAACCAAAGAACTGCGGGGTGCTTGACAAACGATTCGTGACTGCCAGTGTGACGCGAAGATACCATTGACTTATCGAGATCACAGAAACAATTCATTCTTAACGACGTGCTGACCACGTAACATGTTTTATAGGGAGTACAGTAGACCCCCTGCAATGACCTGTTATGGAAGCCCCCGTCTTGGCCCGATAGACCTGCTGTGCTTCCATAATCCAGGGGAGTGAAAAGTCTGTGTATCGTTTCACCGTGTTGGTTGAATAAGGGACACGAACGGGCTGTAAGCTGTATTGACTTTGGTCCTTGCCGAGGAAGTACTTGTCCGTACCTCTGTTGCTCTAAATTTGTTTGGTACCGTTATATGAAAGTAAAACTGGTAATTGAAATCTATCTCTTCAAACTAACAGAGAACTATCGAAGTTGGATGACTCTCAAGGCGCTTCGACCAATCAATGCTGACGTAAGTTGACGGCCAGGCCGGTTCCGGGATTGTCAATCCACCAGATTGCCGGCACCGGAGTTGTTTGTCCCTCCCTCATCGTCAACTCTCGCCTCGTCACACCTTGACGCCGGTCAAGTCATTTTCCCCAACTGGTTTCCCATTAAATTGGACTAGCCTCCGGATGACTACGTATGGACCCGTTTCTATATTTGCCAGCCTCCGCTAACATGAAATCTCGCAGGCCATTGAAGAAAGGGAAGAAGGCGTGCACGGAATGCCGTCAGCAGAAGGTACAACCTCCAAGAAATAATCTAGTAATAGAAGCTCATACCTAAAAGGCAAAATGTGACGTGTATTTAAGTCCGGGTGAGCCGTGCACTCGATGCCGCAAAGTCAAGACGGAATGCATAGTGTCAGACCCATTCAAAAGAGAGCACAAGCGCAGGTACGCTAATTCCAGACATTCTCATTGACGCGCAGCCTAATATTTACTGTCCAGACGTCTTTCTGATCTGCAGCGAGAGTCCGAAGAGTTGCGGCGAAAGCTCCGAGCATCACAGCCTGCAGATTCACACCCGTCACCCATTGCTCTTTTAACAGCCGCGGCAGAGTTGGGTAGTCGTCCGGATCCACAAGGCGCCTCTTATCCTTCCTCACAAGCCACGGCTAATGTATACCCACCACAGCTTCTAGCTCCAAGTAGTCTGGGGTCTGGGACCCCGGCACCGGCATTCGACAATGATGCTACCCTGCCTAGAACATTGAATGGCATTGAGCTCACGAGTCAAGAGATTGACGATCTATTCCAGTTGTATGTTCTCGCATCCAAATATTGAGAGGATCTATACTGACTTCATCAGGTTCTTCCGCCACTATGCCCAATTCCTCCCCATTCTGGACCCCCACACCCGGCCGAATGCCTATTATGCCCAATCCCCCTTCCTCTTCTGGGCTATCATTGGTGTTTCATGTCGGGTCTATCCACAAAATCCAACCCTGTTGATGGCGTTGGCGCGCAGTATTATTGAGATGGCTTTCCTGTCTGCCCTGTCATCGTCACCAGCATGGCATACAATCCAGGCTTTCTTGGTGATTTTACAGTGGCCGTTCCCAAAGGGGGGTCATCCCGATGTGAATTTCACCATCGGAGGAATGATGTTACATATAGCCATGCAGAATGGCTTGCATATCCCGATGGCAAGCCACGAATTTTCACATCGCCCAAGGATGCCGGTCCCATCTGAAGCTGACTTGGTTCGTCGGTCGGAATTGTGGGCACTGTGTGTGATTGTTTATCACCGGTAAGATGAGGAATTGACAGCCGAGAACTTTAGCTGATTCTGGTAGGGTCTGCTTGCAAAAGGGGCAATTTCCTCGAATCAATCCGGCGCAAGATCCACCACAGCGCCAAGCGATTCTCGATAAAATTGCGCCGTGGCTGGCGCTGAAGCTCCGCTGTCAGGGAGTCGTTGGTCGTTGTAGTGAGGCAGTAATGGAGAATGGAGTTCAAGCCATGACCCTGGAGCAGGAGCAATCCCTCGATATCGTTCTCCGTACATACGAAGGCCAAATAGATGATCTTGAGCTCCAAGCAGTCACCAGTAAGATCTATCAGGCGCGATTGTATTTAGTTTTTAATTCTGACCAATCACAGATGACGAAAGATTTGACGTCTTCCTTAGCCGCATGGCTATCCAAGGCTTTCATTTCTACAAGATCCAAACACGGATCTCCAGCGCATGCTTCCCGCGTGTCCTTGTCACAGCATGTAACCTAATCGACTACATCCAATCCCTGACCGACCGAGTCAGCAGTGTTGCAATGGCACCAGCACAAATGCAGTTCGCACTATTACTAGCCTCAACCGCCTTGCTAAGAATACTCAAAAGCCCCTCCGCCTCCCACGGTCTAGAAACAATCCGCGCGCGATCCTCCCTCTTCACGGCCATTAACCTCGCCAAACAAATGTCTATCGATAGCGCCGACCTTCCGGCTAAAACAGTGACCATCATCAACTCTCTCTGGAATAGCACCAAGGCATTCCGCAGACCGGACGGATCTGAATTCACCTCTCTGCGTATCCGCGGCCGGTTGGTACTGAGTCCTGTGATCGATGCTATCTGGTGGTGGCGAGATGAATATGATCCGCCTGCGAGATTCAGATCTGTGGTTGAACCTGCTGGGGGAAGTGCATACGGTCAATCCCGATCGTATAATGTGCCAGAAACAAGGGCCGATACGAACCTGCAAGATGTGCCTAGTGGTCTCAGCCAAGATGCGTGGCTTCTAGATGAGCAGTTCCTTGGGGATTTCGAGTGGGCTTTGACGGATGACGCCTTGTTCTCTTTGGATCCGCTGCCCAATTATTGGCCTTCGGCAAATAATATGTTATAGATCATGACTGAGATTGGTCTAAATATACTACATGGGGTTACTTTGACTGCCCCTTAATCTGCTGCGACAAAGGTTTACAAATTACAAACTCGACGCCGTCGGATTACCTGCCCCTCTATAAATTGGGTGCACTGTGGAATTTTCAGACCTTCGTTCGGAGCCCGGGAATTTCTTTTCCCCTCTTTACCTTGCATTTCTCTTTCCTTCTTTCTAGGTCAGCAGACCACTCCGATTCACTCTTTGTGACTAGCTCAGTTATGGAGAACCTTCTCTTCTCATTCCCCATGAATACCACATATTTGTGCGTCTTCCGCCCTTTTCCAGTAGATCCTGATTTCAGCCTTTCATAGGCTTCAACGATTTTCCGTCACATATAATTCTGGAGAGCACTTCGACTATCTGACTAATACGGTGAATGTAATTAGGAGACTGGATAGGAGACTCGATAGGTGAATGGTGTAGGAGGCGTAGTGGAAACATTCTTCTTCTAGGCGCCGCACGAAAGGTGCTGTGGAAAGCCTCTAGTCAGATTCAGCGCAATACCTCCCAAATAAGATCCTTTTATCTAATCGTGCAAGGACACGGGATGTTACATTTCAATCAGTTAATAAAGAATATCCGTGAGTAGCATCTTGATTGGACCGGAATTTATTCGTGGATAACCCCGTGCTGTCTGATATGTATGACATGTAAAACAGCGTCATGTATAGCAGGGAATATGTGACACCATAGACGAAGGGCTAGCATATCAAATACTTTAATGGTTCTGAATACTCTTAATGGAAGTCATTAGTTGAAATGCTCAAATTTTGTTGAAATAGTAACTTTCTACAGCACTTGAGGGTTACATCGTGTCTCAAATAACATTGAAAAATGTTACATAGATGGATTTCTTTCTTTTGCACAGGTACCTTCTGGCCCCAGGGACAATTTGGTTCTACGTCTAATGCAGGAATCTGATAGGTGGTCATGTATTATGAAATCCGACATTCGCACCAACTTCGCTCAACGTGGCGACCAGATGGACTTGAGCACTGAATGTTACTGATGACAAGAACCAGCTTGTATTAGAAAATTTCGCTTACTACTATGTATATCCCCTGGAATCCGCCGTGGGTTAAGGCTTAGGAATTGAAGGCTGTTTAGGCAATGGTGGTCTTGAATCTTGGTCGCACTCCCCTTCTTAACTCACTTCTCACTTCTTCTCTCTTCATCTGCCCAAACTATCCCCTTCATCTCTCACTCTTCATCTCTTCAAACTTTCTTTTCCCTTTACCACCTTTCACTTCATAATCCTCCTTGCGGCTTGCGTACATGCTGGACATACTCCCGTTCTCAGACAGCCTTGCTCTCAACTGGTTGATTGCTGGTCTTTACTCCGACGGTATTCCTGAGATTACAACTCCCCAATACCTTCCGAACAGTAACCAGGAAATTCGCTCCTGTCACGCGCTCTGTCTCTGAACCAAACCTTGCCGTTGTTTTCTCATTCCCTCGCCATCCTTGGTCACTCAAACCCGTTCTTTCGCTACAACATCACAAAATCTCCCCGTCAAACCTTCACAATGAAAAAGGCTGGTCACGAGATTGGAGGTGTTCCAGATGCGAATGGGGCCTCCAAGCGCTCAGACTCAATGGCGGAGAAAGATCAAGTCGGCATCGCTGTCTCGACTGGGGTTTCGGCCGACGTGGAAGCTTTTAAGAATCTCAATGAAAAGCTGCTTTACTTGAAGGAACTTCATCGTTGGGATCCTAACATCCCCGAAGACTATTTTGACGTGATGATTGAGGCACTCGCCACGGACGACAAAGATGTTCGTGATGCACTGGCTCGTGACATTTTCGGCAACTCCATCTACCCCGAAGTTCGAGCCGCAGTGTCCAACATCGACGAAGGAGGATACTGCAACACGATCCGCGCCTGGGTAATTGGGATGGTTTTTGCGACCGTTGTTGCCGCCGTCAACGTTCTTTTCTCTTTGCGCAATCCCACCATCGGTATCCCGGTTTACATCATCCAGCTCCTGTCTTTATCTCTCGGCAAGGCATGTGAAAGATGGATCCCAAGCAGAGAATTTCGTTTCTTTGGGATCAAAGGCAATCTCAACCCTGGCCCTTTCAGTAAGAAAGAACATGCCTTGATTGTTATCATGGCAAATGCCTCCGTCGGTAGTGCCTATGCAACAAACATTATTACCGCTCAGCGTATGTTCTACCATCAGCGATTTGGTTGGGCCTTTGAGACATTTCTCTGCATCAGTAATCAGATGTTAGGGTTTGGAATTGCGGGACTTTACACGCGTTTTCTGGTGGAACCTGCCGCCATGATCTGGCCAAGTCTTCTCATCAGTGTGGCCCTTTTTGACACTCTCCACAAGCACTCAAAGCCCGACCCATCCACCACGTTCGGATGGAAGATTAGCCGGTATCGATTTTTCCTGTGGGTGGTTTTGGGATCATCTTGTTGGTACTGGTTCCCAGGGTATATTGCGCCGTTCCTCAGTACCTTTGCCTTTGTGACATGGATCAAGCCACAAAGTGTGGTGATCAACAAGCTATTCGGATGTAGTACTGGACTCTCTCTGATTCCTTTGACATTTGACTGGACTCAGATTGCTGGTTATAAAGGCTCGCCATTGCAAACACCCTGGTTTTCCATCTGTACTACAATGATGGGAATGATCTTCTGGTATTGGGTCGTAACGCCGGCAATCCATTTCTCGGGAATGTTCTACTCAGACTACCTCCCTATCAGTGATTCGACTAGCTATGACAACACTGGCAAGGTCTACAAAGCGTCCAGAATCTTGACTCCAGATTTCATGTTCGATCTGCAGAAGTATCAAAATTATTCACCGATTTTTCTCTCCACCACTTTCATGATTTCCTATGGTCTCTCGTTTGCGGCCATCATCTCGATGATCACTCATGTGGGACTCTTCCATGGTGCCGAAATTTGGAATCGAATTCGTCATATCAACGATGACCAGGAGGATGTTCATAACCGACTCATGTCACGTTTCAAGCCAGTTCCTTTCTGGTGGTATGTAATTGTTATGGTTGTCATGCTAGCTATGGCGCTTGGTATTGTGCTGGGATATGACACACGTTTGACTTGGTGGGCTTTCCTTCTTGCAATCTTCATATCTGTCATTTGGACGTTACCTATTGGGCTAGTTGGGGCGATGACCAATATGGCCCCCGGATTGAATGTCTTCACAGAGTTCATCATGGGCTACATGCAGCTTGGTAAGCCTATGGCCTTGATGCTGTTCAAGGCGTACGGCTACATCACGATGAGTCAGGCCCTCAGCTTTATCGGTGATCTGAAGATGGGTATTGCTTGTTCATCCTGGCCATTCACAGCTATAGAGCTAACTGAATTTATCAGGACACTACATGAAACTTCCCCCCCCGCGTCACCTTCATGGCACAGATGATCTCAGCTCTCTTCACAAGTGTCGTCCAAATCCTCGTTCTCAATTGGTGTTTCGGAAACATCAATGATGTCTGCGACCCTAAGCAGGTGAACAACTTTTCCTGTCCGAATGGCCGTGTCTACTTCGTTGCCTCGATCATCTGGGGAACCATTGGACCAGGACGTATCTTCTCTATTGGCCAGATGTATGCACCAATGATGGCCTTTTGGATTGTCGGTCTTCTTCTGCCAATCGCAGTCTACGTTGGCGCTCGTAAGTTCCCACGAAGCGGACTCCGGTATTTCACGACACCAGTGTTCTTCTGCGCAGCGCTTAATTTGCCGCCTGCTACACCGCTGAACTGTTTGTCATGGGGTGTTGTGGGATTTATTACCGGCAAGTGGATCCGTGGCCGCTATCGTGGTTGGTGGATGACCTACAAGTATGTTCTCCCCTGCCTTCCCCAATACAATTGATAATTTTCTAATCTAGTTCAACACAGTGCGAGTCTTTCAGCCGCTTTGGATGTTGGGCTTGCCATTACAACCCTTATCATCTTCTTCACGCTGACCATGACCAACACCAAGTTTCCAGACTGGTGGGGTACCACGGTCACCGCAACCACACTGGATGCCCAGGGTCATAACGTTCAAAAGCATGTTACGGATGGAGAGATATATGGCCCCACATCGTGGTAAATCCGTCATATCAGGTCTCATGGGTTCTCGGTGTGGAGCGAGGTCTATCATATGCGTTCTTGGGGGTTGTGTGGACCGATTTATGCGTTACTCTAAAGCAGCATTCTTATCGGCCACGAGGTGAATCTGGCTCTGACTTTTAACCTTTATTTCTTTATTTGGGTACGTCACTTGCCAATCGAATTTTACCGCAACCTTTCAAACCCTCCACCAGTAATCGTCGAAGCTTCGGGCTAAAGCACTGTAGAAGGACAGAAACAATTCAAATGAGATGGAGATCCTGTGCCAGAGAGTATCTACTAAAGTGCGTAGTTCTACCCGTTGAAGGAATCTATCCAAAGTACCTGCTAAGAAGCAGACACCCAATAAATCATAGCTTTACAGTAATAGTAAGTGCAGATGGTGGGCACATATGGAAAAAATGAAGTTGATCAAGTCCAAGCAATATCTATTGCGATCTTACATGAGGTCATACAGCAAGTGAATTTCAATTCTGCGGCCCAAATCCAAGATGTTATTCAAAGCTGCTAGGTACTGCCAGAGTCATAATGATAATATATACAGTCAATTTTCTCCATACCATCAAACCGAGATATTCACATTCACGACCTCGGAATCAGGAGAACACATAAAGTCATCAGTGCGGAAGATAGCGCACCCATGGACACCGTCTCGTCATATAAACACAATCCAACCCAATGCTCAATGCAATCAGAGCTGCACCCTACGGCGGCGCATACCAACCTGCAATCCCAAAGGCTTGCGCAAGAATCCCTCGCGGGTCTCCATGGGGTGATCCTGCTCAAGCTGGAACTCAAATTGTCTGAACACAGTAGCGCCCATAACAAGCAGCTCCATCTCGGCAACATTGCGTCCCACACAGGCACGTGGACCGTAACTGAATGGGATAAAGGCCGCCTTCTGTCTCGGGGTCAGACGCTCAGGGCTCCAGCGCTCAGGATCGAATTCCTCCGCATCAGGACCCCAGATTTCCTTGGAGCGGTGGATTGTGTAGGTGGGAACAGAGAGCACATCTCCAGGTCCGAACTCGTGTCCACAAATGGTAACCGGTGCAACACCAGCAGGGATCTCACGAGGAAGACCCATGGCAGCTGTACTGTGGATACGCATAGTCTCCCAAATGACCCACTGCAGGTAAGGAATCTCCTTAACCATAGCATGAGTGGGAACATCAATATCCTTGGGAATAGCATCATCAAGAGCCTTCTGCAACTTGGGAACAACACCCGGAGTGCGCAGACACCAGTACAAGATAGCACAAGCAGTGTTGGAAGTAGTATCCGAACCAGCAATAAGCTGCGTCAAGGCCTCGGCGGTAAGTTCTTCTTTACCAAGCTTGTTTCCATTGCTATCCTTGCCCTCCATCAACCGAGCCAGTAGATCCACACGAGTGTTATTAGCCATAGCCTCAGGCTTCAAGCGCTCAGCCACACGCGCAATGGCAATACCAGCAAGATTCTCCACAGCCTCAAGACCCTCGCTGAAGAATTTGTCGGGAATGTACTTCGCGAAAGGTTTAATCCATGGCATACAGCCGAGAGTAGCGGAGACTTCACCACGGCGATTGAGAACTTCGATAGCAGCGACGTACTTGGCTGGTTCGTTGGGACTGTGGCGCATTTCGGCGAAATCTTTACCCTTTTCCAGCATGCCGAATGGGGCTCCGAAGGCGAGATCTCCGATGATGTCGAAGGCGAGGTAATTGAACCAGTTCAAGGCGTCGATGGAAGCGTATCCTGTCTTGGGATTGGCTTCGAGATCGGAGAGTTTGTTCCATTGCTTCACGAACAGTTCGACGTTGCCGTGGATGTACTGCTCGAATTGGCCAATTGACTTTGCGCTGAAAGTGTGCGAGACTGTCTTGCGCTTGCGGGTGTGCTCGTGGCGGTCACGAGTGTTGAAAAGACCGCGACGGATGGAGACAAAAGCATCGTAGAAATCGCTGGAGCTTATTAGTGGATGTTTCGATTACTTCGATGCCTTGAGTGGATGTACTTACGCCTTCAGGAACCCATTTCCGTGTCCGTACACAGCGTTGATGGCCTCATCATCGGCGATAGAGACTTGGTTTGGAGAGATACGGACGAGTTTTCCGTATTTGGCGTGCGCTGCGTCGACAGATAGGAATCGTTTACCTTGGCGGGTTTGCAGGAAAATCCATAGATAGCTGAAAGCTGCGAAACTCGGGGCGGGAATATCGCGGATGCGCGACCGTGTCAGGTAGGGGACCAGGTAGTAGGCGAGGAACAAGCCTACGGCAATGAATGGGGCGTTTTCGAGGGAGATCAACATGTTGAGTTTTATCGATCAAGTGAGGAAATGTAGGGTATGGGTATGAGGGCTTGGCCCAAGCTGAGGCGGTCAACCAACAGCGATGAAGTGGTAGATTTGGATGAAAGTTTTGATATTTGCGGGGAAGTGAAAAGTTGGGGAAGTTGAATTAAAACTCTCCCTTGCAGACTATAAGGTCTATTTATGCAAATTGGTCAATGAGAAGTCATGATGGCATCCCCGAGGTTAAGGTTAACGGGAAAGGATATCGGTATCTGGGGATTCAATAGAATGTGGAGCGACCAATCATCGTTTTGCCGATTTTGATGGCCGAATTCGGCTATCCTTGAACCAATGAGAGGACAGAGATCTACTTGCTTATGTCATGGTCATACAGATGATAAAGCCTCGATAGGAGCATATTACTTCATTTGGATGTGGGGATTTCATACAGATAATCTCTGAAGCTTCGTAAGGAGCATATTACTTAATTTGGATGTCGGTGATCGTCACGGTGATCCGGCTTCCGTGCACACAATTATCATTGAATTGTCTAAAAGTGCTAAATAGTTAATAGTGTTATCACCAATCTTCTACAGGAAATAGGCCATTTCGCTTCTTTTCACCCTCCCATCGATCCATCCATGCCTTCATATTATCTCGACTTTTTTGACTCCCCACATTGACGGTTGGAATCACTCGTCCAATCCGTAGCGCACAGCAGAACATGGTAAGTTCACGAAATGAACTATGCTCACTGTATGGCACGCCGAAACAGGCACTTTCCCGCGTGCTACCCCGCTGTGGCGTCAAATGGTCAACCGTAAACGGCGTTCTCCAGTGTTCACCACGCAGCACTGTCGGCACCGGCGGGTTCTCCAGCATTCGCCCCGCGGGGGGCCGATAGGACCAGCCGGTGGGGCGAAACCCTACCACTCGGGAAAAATGCGGTTTTAGGGAATCTAGGTAGTCGGCCAATGTTTCTGCCCGAATTTCAAACAATGTCTGCATGTGCACCTGGGCTTCTTTGGGGTCTGTAGTTAACAGTGCAGAGAGCTCTGGGTCTTCGAGACAGGCGCAGATACGTTGTTTAGCCGGTGTGGCGAAGATTTTAGATCCTAGGGCGCGGGCGATTCCTATGCAGATTCGTTCTTTGCCGATGCTGTACGTTCCAATGACTACCAGTAGACGACCTCCGGATGTCTCTTTCGTCCGTTCAGGACTAGTTACCGATAAGAATTTGTTCATCAGACTACCGGTTGCCTTCCCCAGGTCCAATCCCACGCCTGCTTCTTCGTTCAACCGTACACAAAGTTCCGAGCATGCAGAGATCACTTGCGCCTGGCTTGGGAACGCATACTTGGGACTGAGATATGTAGTGTCCAAGTAACATTGATCGATCCGCTGCTGTCTTGGCTGGCCAGTCGCTGGGTTGGTGGGATTGGGGCATAGTAATGGATGGCGTAAATGATCCGGGGACGCACGAAAGTCACCACAGTGGAGGATTCTCTGTTGGCGGGCATTCGGTCCATTGCCAAATCTCTTCTCGAACATAAACAAGGAACTGCCCGGACAGTGATTCGCATGGATCATGGTGACTTGTACGCCACCGGTATTCGGCACTTCAGTTGTGGTCTCAAAATCAAGGTCTATCACCCATTTGGGGTCGACTCGGAGTTGCTGTCTAACAAGATTGCCCGTGGGTCTGCTGCAGTAGATAGGACCATGACACCAGGACTTGGATAGCCCGATGTAGTGATCGCTGTGGAAATGACTGAGAAAATAGGCATTGCACCCTTCAACAGCGCCGTAGCGAAAGGCATCCACGGTGATTGAAAACCCAGGCATCACCTTGTAAAATGGGCATGTCCGTGTAAAAGCCCGCTTCCCACGAGACGATACCTCATCTGCCGCTGCATCTGCCCAGGCTGTATCTTCTGCATTTCCAGCCATCATTTTGGAGAATGCAGTTCGGCTGCTGGTATTATTTTGGGAATAAGGATCACGTTGAGCGGGTCGAGCGATTGCAGCTCGTTCAGTGTCGGTCATTACTACATCCGCGATCGATTTAGATGTCGGTGATTTCTTTTTTTTGATCTCAGGGACCGACTCGATTAAGCTTATCGAGCTGGGCTTTCCGTCTAAACAATCATTCACGTGTATATTTCGTTGCTGGGCTCAGTCAGTATGAGAATTTTATTGATCGAGAGACACGTACTCGTTCATCAAGTCCAGCCAGTTGTCCCTGACATGCCGGACAGGTAAGATCAGAGATGCCAAATATCCCCTCTGCTTCCGCGGGACTCATTGCATCCGCGTCTTCAAGTGCAACCCTTAAATCCTCCTCATTCCCCCATGGCGATTCTTGAAATTCCTCCCCTACAAATCGATCTTCTTCCTCGTCGTCAAAATTCTCGTATTCATTTCCGGCATAATTCGTGTCTCTTACCAATGGCGGCTGCGCAGCCTCGGCAGATGAATCCCCGGCGTGGTCGCCACTGATTGGTGTAATGGGCATCGAGTTGGCTTCGTCTTTAATTTCTCGGTATTCATCCATATCGTCTTCGTATTCGCTGTCCGATTCATCGATGAAGGGGCCACTGGTCGCTTTCCTGGGTGCAGGTTTTGGTTTCGTCTCAGCCACTTGTTCATTGCTAACCACAGTTGCTTCGTCGGTTTTGCGGCGCTTTGCAGAATCGTTTCCGTTGTAACGTGTGTCATCTTCGGCCCAGATGTCATCCGGTGTCCGTGACCGTGGTCTGACTTTTGTCTCGACTTTATTCAAGCTCTGTTGCATTTTCGCGAGTCCTTTCTTATCTTCGAGGAACAATCCCTCGTTTGATTCGACATCGGCACGTTGTACTGGTGTTCCGCGGCCGGAACTCGGGGATCGGGAGGACGTGAGAAAGTGTGACATGCGAAGCTGGGTCTGCGTAGGTCTTTGTGGAGTATCGGTTTTTTGGAAGAAGCTCAAAATGCTAGAATTGCGTTTGGTAGGAGGCGCCTTAGAGGGCGTGGACGCCTTTCGGGAGTTCGAACCTGCCATTGCGAGAGACAGACAAAATCATGCAACAGAAAACAGCGAGGGGTGTTCGTATTCTCGTAAATGGTGGGTCTGGGATATGTACAAAGCTATTGATCATGTCCGCCTGAAGCAAGTCTCGGTCAAGTGGCGTACAGAACCAAGAATCGCGCGGGACCGCGACACGAAGTCACATGACCTAATATCTACAACTTTACAATTTATCAAACAGCAATGCAGAATCAAATTTGGATGATTGCAAGGGTATTGAACACAAATGCAAAGCAGACCAGATAGTCACAAATGGCCCACGGCTCTTCAACTTTTCGCATATTGCAGAAGCCGGCAATAAGTAAAAAACCTATTCCCTTCCAGCGGCGCCACTGCGATGTCATATGTGATATCGGCAGATAGTGAGAGCCAAGATCGGCGAAAGAAATAAAAGAAACGCTCGGTCATAGAATCTCTCCCAGATTCCGGTCATCATTCCGGACCTTGTTGAGGCTCGGCCTCGATATTCTTCGTCCTCGGTCCAGGATATTCTTCTCTATCTCGGTCCGAGGGATGTTATGACAAGCGTCAAGAGGCATTAACAAGGATATAAATGTGGCGTTGAATTTGTTGCGTTAATCGTGGTCATTTACCGAGCCTTGCCCACCTGGTTGGCAGCCTCTGTGCGATTGTTAGCGTGATCTTATACCAGTGCACATGACATTTGACCGATCCGATAACTGGAGAATAACGACCCAGCCAACGTCTCGGATTTGGATTGGAATCACTCACCCCGCCGTGTGGCATCCTCCAACAATCCCACGTCAACCTCCGACCGTGGCAACATCACATATCGCACCACACTACCTCGGATGAACATGTTCTTCACCGATGACAGGTGGGGGTACTTGTCCAGATCCAACACCTCCACGTCGTCCAACTTGATGTTCAGGTACTGGTCGACCGACTTGAGGATTCCACGGATGCGGATGTCATTTTTAAGCTCGATAGTGACAGTCTGGTTGGTAAGGGTCTTGAAGAAGCTGCGGAGAAGGGAGTTAGTGCCTGTTAAGAGGATTCAAGGTCGCAATGAGCATCGCATAAGCTGGGTTGTACCTGAAGAAAAGCATGATGGTGGGATGGCGCACTGGGCGCGTAAAGGAATTGGAGTTTGAGCTGAAGAGATATCAAGTGTGTGAGATGATCCAAGAATAGAGAAACCCGGTCGCAGGTTTGGTCGACTGTGAATAGCTCAAGTATGAAGGCGCGGGGATCTCGTTATGGCAGAGAACGATCCATGATGCGGGAGTGGAGGGTGGATCACGTGATCTATTCCCTACCAGCACTGAACAGTGTGAGCATCGGTATTGTACCAACTTTAATCTATTGCTGTGGATGATAGCTGGCATATTAATATCTAGCTCTATTCCTAGTATCTGACGTCTCGGCGTTATGTTCGAGTTGTTGGATGTATATACAGCTCGATCCATCGATGAACTATATTGTATCCACGAGGTATATATACATCTGTGCATCCATCTCAACATCATTCCTATCTCACGTCTCGCATTAAATTACATAATGGCCCGAAGGCACAGTAGTTCAGATATTAAATGAATGCAAAGGTTTTCTCCCTCAACGGCCCACACTCGTATGCTTCGGCTTCATGGCCCAACCAGACAGACAAGTCCATCCTGCACCGTTCTTCCTTCCCTCATCAAAGATCGCCCCAACACCCTCTAGCAACTGCCCCCGTTCCCTCCCCATCTCCATTCGCAATCTAACAAGCCATTGCTCCCACATCCATCCACCTAGTAACCCAGTGATACTGGCCACATCCCCCGTGCTGCCGATAGGTCCCTGCACGGCTTCGTACTCTTCAATCTGGCTCTGGACTCGAGGCGCTGGTGTTTCACGTGGTGGCTGGGTTTCGATTGGCTCCATGCCCATTGGAAGGAACATCCAGGCGCGCTTGATTCCTACAAAGCCGGTTTTGCGGAGACGGTTGAGGAAGCTCTTTGAGGCGTTGGGGTCGTAGCCGTTTCTGCGCAGGGCGGAGGCGAACTCGACGGATGGGGCTGATGATTGAGTTCCTGCGCGGGAGATCTCCGCGTCGAGAAGCATGTACTCTAAGTAGCCGCCTGGCTTGAGACAGCGAAGACATTCATTCAAGACGAGGTCGTATTCATCGCGATCGAAGCCAGTGGGGCATTCGGTCTTGAGGAGGGCGTGCAGGGAGCGCGTGGTGATGACATCGAACTTGTTGGCTCCGAATGGTAGCTCCCACAGGTTTGCCACGGATACCACGCGGTGGTTTGATGGGCCCTTGATCTCCTTATTGACGACTTGAGTCTTGTTGTTGACAGAGTAAACCGTGACTTTGGGGTACTCTTGCGCGACATGCCATGCCCATTCGCAGGACGACTGTCCACCGAGGTCGAGGATGCGGATTTTGCGCTTCTGCTCCTGCGTGTATTTGGTCTTGTTTGTCCTTGCAATGTGCTTCTCAGCGGGGCTGGTGAGTAGCTTGCCACCGTTGAGACTGCGGAGGGATTCCATTGCCCACATGGGCTCGCAGAGCTGGGCAAGAACGAGTTGTTCCTTTTCGAGCTTGGAGAACTGAGCCTGCTCAGCCAGGACTGAGGCAATGGTCGAGTTCCGAGGTGCCTTTGAGAAAGGTCCCCTGTAAGCCGGTCGTTCGGGACGGACAAGGTCATATTTTCCTGTCAAACAGTTGATATGATTGTCAAGCAGGCCGAGACGGAACGATTGAACCGCATCGTAACGCATGTTACGGTGGAGGAAACCATCAGGCTCATCAGCCCTTTCAAGAATTGATTGAAAGCCGCGCCAGTAAATTGAATCTTTGGTGGGGACTACGGCAGGCAGAGCAGGAAGGGGGCTCGTTGGAGCCGGGGTGCCTTCGATGAATCGAACTACTTTCTTGGTGAGGGTATCCTGCACCTCAGGTCGTTCCTCCACGATGGAAACTTTAAGCTCAACTTCAGACTCAATCTCGTTCACGGGGTTGGTTTCACTTAAAGCCGCCATGTAAGTGGCTTGCGCAGCAAGCCAGACGCTGGTTCGGTCAAGGCTGTCGGCCGCACGGTCCTGCAGGTCTTGGTCGTAGGATTCGTCATACTCAGGCAAGTTTGCAGAGCGGGGAATCTCCTGGACTGCTTCAAAAGTCGCACTCATTGGGCTGTCATGGTGAGCAGGTTGGGTGGGAGTATCACCTGGAATTCGGATCGCAGTAGGGGGTCCTGATTCATCCCGCACTGCAGTAACAGGATCTTCGTCTGCACGTTGAGGCCAGTCAATGACCTGCTCGACTACCTCGTCGTCATCCCGGCGCCATGGCAAATTGTAAAATTCCTTTGCAACGGCTGATGAGGGGGGCAAGTTGGAAGGAGCCATAGACCAGGTATGCCGGGCACGTGGAGCGAGCGAAGCAAAGAACCCACCAGGGGAAGGAATGCTCAGCTCACTAAAACTATAGCTTGACATTGCCGACGCCGGAGTGGCGCCGTCTGCACTGCGAGGGCGGCTAGGAGGTGCCTGCAATTGCCACATCTCATCGTTACCCTCGGAGCTCTCTGACCAAGCCTCTTGTGCACCATCGAGCTGAATATGGTGGAGCATCGCTAGAGCTCCATCTGGAAGGAAAACACCCTGATCCGAGGGAGTTGGTTCTCGGGACGGCTCGTCATAGCTTTGAAGAGCAGTTGGGATTTGTGGGAAACTTCCCAAGACGTTGCGCCAGTCAACATCTTCTGGGTTCTCGATGGTGATTGGAATAGCCTGGAGATCCGAGTTCTCCTCGAGCTCATCTTCGCTTCCGTCCAAGTCAGGCCGGACATGGATATCCATCGCATCCCAGTCGGGAAGGGAGTGTGTATCAGGAGTCGCGAGCGCACTGAGGTTCGATTCTTGGTCCGACGAAATACTTCCATCCAGGGAAGGCGGTGCGTAGGATGCAGGAACGGCTCGAGTCAGCATTGAAAGCGCAAGGGGAGAGACAGGAATCTTGGGCGGAGGCGTTGGAGGGATCGGCGAGCTCTTGTGGCCTCCAGTGATCGAAGGCCAGACATTGGATGGAGGAATCTGAAGAGTAAGAGAGCGTCTTCGACTGCCAGTTGATGTGTATGAATCCCTTGTGATCGGTGTCACTAAACTCGAGGGGCGTGTCGCTTGGGAGAAACAGGATGAACTGATTTCGGTCGAGTTATCATCATCTATATCTTCCTCGTCGGTTGCATCATATAGATCGTCGAATCCCTGCATCTGCTGCTGCCATTCCATATCCGAGCAACATGATGAAACTGTCGCCGCTGACAGAGGCGACATCATGCGGGCAAGTCGGGCATGAGTCGGTACCGCCAACCCGGTGGTCTTCAACGTCAACTTCGGACTCAAAGGTTTCTGTGGACTGTTGGCCTTTTCACCGAACTGTGACTCGCGAGTATCCTCCATTATAGTATTAAGTACCGTCCCTCGGGCCTGCCGAAGGGGCGGACATCGTGTTTGATAAGATCGAAGTGTGTCGGCCATATCTGCTCGATGTTGGTTTATTGTTCGTGTCCGAAGCGTGGCGTATCGCAGGACAGAATTCTATGGGTATCAAGGAAAGTGCATGGACACCGATCAACGGGTATGCGTAATGAACAGTGGGAAAGAAAACAGTACAGAAAAAAACCACCTTAGCTACCAGAGCCAGATGGTACCAAAAAAATCAAGATAACGAAATTAAGGACGCAAATTCGAGTTAGTCCTTGGGCCGCTGAAAGGACTATATAGACGAGTGATGGTGTTCGTCCCCTCGATGTGCATGAGGAAGCCGGTCCTTGTTCACTCGCTAGTCATCAGGTGCATGAGCTACTGCACGATTGGGCACCGCTAAGACGACCCCCCTGTCGACTCGGCGGAGATGAGGATGTTCATTGGTTGATAGGAGGGTGGGCGCGTCGCCCGGGAACAGTTGCTAGCCCTTGACCGACTCATGCCTAACAAATTTGTCAAAGAGGACGATGATGGGTGGGGAGGAATAATGCAGACGGTGGACGAATCAAAAATGTGGAGAGCGTGACGAGGCGCCCACTTTGATGCTTGAACCAGTGATGAGGCTTGTTTAACCGCTGTGGATGCTATGTTTAGTCCCCGCCAAGGTCCGTGCCACATCAATATTCACCTCTTTTCAGCACATTTCACCAAAATATAGGATAATTAGTCTATCATGACGCATTTAATCAGTGAAGATCATCAACCAAATCAGCAAAGGAGGGGTAATGCATAGTCAAGGAGTAATTTTAGAAATTCCAGTTAATTATTGCATGCTAACTCCGGAATCGGTCAACTGATGTGACATAGTCCAGGACAGAATAGTCCAGATCTCATTAATTATGCTGATATTCAGGGCGCATACAGTATCGATGCAGATTGGTTGACATAGCCACAATGACACATTTTAAACCTCAGCTTCATCTTCTGAAATATCATGATTGGCATCAAGAGATCAAAATCAAGATGGTATTCCAGTTCAACCTAAATAAGCGCCCCAGAGAGCAACCTGAAAATGTATCTCTGACATTGAATGATTGGAAACGTACCGAGAGCTTGCTTAGGCTAGAATGGAAGTGCTTCGTGCCCAATGAAAACATTTGTTGAAGTGATGTAGATAAACTCTATGATTAAAACTTCCGATACGAGGGACTTTTACATAGCAAGACCTTGCTCATTGAAACATTTTTTAATCGGAAATGGTTCATCACATTGACTGAAACTCTACTTTCCAAGGTTTGTAGGCGGTATACATCGGATGGTATCGGACCATCTTAATTCAAATCCGTTAGGCCACCCGACTCAGCCACATGAACAAGACCCTTCAAAACGCTCTCCATCAGCTCAAAGGTAAAGCCTTCGCGCACAACAATCCTCATTATGTGAATTTCGTGCCCTTCAGGACCCCACTTGAAGACAGTGAAACTATAATCGAACAAGTTAGCCGTGTATTCTTAATGTGAATCTGAAATGAGCGTACTGGGGATGGAAATATTCTGATCATACATCGAGTCACTAGATGAACCCAGAGATACTGCTGGGTTCCGCCGTAAGAACTTGCCAGACAGTCTGAAAGCGACAACCGGAAGCCCAGGATGTTTTGCCTGAACACCCTTGTCGGAAAATTCATGGCATCGAGAGATGGGTCGGTGTATGTCACTCCAGCAATAGAAGTAGCCAGTTGCTTCCAGCTTTTAGCTCAACAAGCGGGGCTTGGCCATCGAATTTTGGATAATCTTGCGAACTCATCCATCACTAGACGGTGTAACTGGTAGTACTGGACCACAACAGGGGTACTAGGCCTCGAGAAACTAAGCGTGAAGGCAGATTGACTGCCCTGTAGATAGGAGGACTCTAGCAAGAGGTCTTTGAGAACGTAGGAATTTTCACGCCAGATAAGCCAGCCAACGGACAGACTGTTTAGTCCAAACTTGTGACCCGAGGCATTGATCGATTTGACTCGAGGAAGACGAAAGTCCCTATATTTTGAGACGGGGTTACAATGCATGACTGGGGATATTACCAGACAAAATTATCCTTGTTGGGTGTGAAAGGAGCCACGAAACATCCACTCGCAGCGTCAACATGGATAGGAATATCATTCCCCGTTGCCAGCTCGTGGCGGTCTAGAAAATCGGCTATCCGTTATATTGGGTCAAAATGGCCGGTATAGGTATTTTCCAAAGTCAAGAAGACGCCGATGGTATTATGATCCAGATGTTCAGCCAGGTTCACCGGGTCAACAGTGTGTTGCTTGGTAACAGGAACAATCCTCGCTTCGACATCGAAATAGTCCGTGAACTTTTGCACGCAGAGATGTGCATTTTCGCCAATGATGACATTCATACGAGAGTCGGAGTTCTCCGAATTTTTGAGCTGCCAATTAGGTTTCATTGCGAGACAACCAAGCTGAACGGCTTCGGATGATCCTGTGGTGGCTGTACCAAAAGACGAGTTGATGGATGGGGCATTCCAGCGATCGGCGAGGATAGAGATACAGCTCTCTTGGAACCTAATAAGAAAGAGAGTCAGAAAAGCCTCGGTTCATAAAGGATGAGAGGACTCAGATACCTAGCAATGGAAGGGTACTCTTCCACACAGGATACATTCTTGAGGAGACTTAGAGGAATAAGATCCCACAATTCACTTGAAAGTTGGGTAGTTGAGAATATAGCAGCATTAGTGTAACATGATTTTGAATGGCTCGCTTACGTTCCGAGATCCTGACCTAGAGGCATGTCTGCTGTCATTTCTTTGCGCACCAACGATTCCATTTCGTTCTTAGGAACCCCATATTGAGGAATGGGCCCTCGAGACTGGGAAAGGACTCTGCTGCTTGTATTGCATGTGTTTTCGATTGACATTTTGAATCACTTTCAGAACAAATAATTGAATGGGAAAATTTGTACCTTGCTCCAGAGAACTCCTGTCTACTTATAATGAATAGGTAGGCTGAAAAGAACAATGGGTGACGATACCTTGAGATGATTGCCATATGTGATCTGCATTCTGGGGTCAAGTTTCGGAATCTCTGTTAACATCAATTTGGAGGATACTCTTCAGTGAATAGGATTGTGATCTTTTATTTGCCACATGAAGTCAGTTGCAGGAAAGTCATGCCAGTCTTCTCGATTCAGAACTGGAACCCATTTACGAAGTTATACATTCGTCTATATCTTACTACATAACAGCTGCATATCCATGTCTAGACAAAACCCATCTAGATACTTGACTACTCGAAAGCTCCGCGATACTGGAAACATGTGCTGCCTATATGACGGTGTGTATACAAGTATTTTACAAACATCAATGACGAATTGTGAGGACTTGACGAGGTATTTCTCATCGAGGTCAAAGTTACAATAATATTTAGGGAAGTCCTCCTAGCGACTTTCCTCGATCCTATCGATCGATCGATCGAGAGGCGACTTGGAATAATGAAAGCCAAACGCATGGTATTATTCTGGAAATATGCTAGATAGAAGATGTAACGTCAGAGAATACAGTAGGATATTTGTCGAGAGGAGAATATTAAGTGATTCACAGTTGACAAATATTAGCATATGCCGACCTGCAAGTAGTTAAAGGGAACTTAGCTATCGGCAAAGCGAATATTTCATATGCAAGGGATTTCCATCAGCTCCTTCATTTGGAACTGAACTTCTACTTGAACCAAAGTGGCCAATCTTGATGTCGATCTTCCGCGCGAGTTCTGCAAGGTATGCGTTTCTCCAAGATGTGCTACACACCATCAGAGCCACCTGGAAACGTATGGGGAATGTTGGAAGTATTTTCCCTTCAAAAAACACCACCCGCGCGTAAAAATATATTCTGTGCAACAATCCCGTCCAAAATCAGCACCCAAAATGTCCTGTCTTGGATTGATTCGGCGACCTGCATGCCAAGAGGTTCCATTGAGGGTGAGAATGATGATAATATTCCTGAAAACTGGAGATGAAGTATGAAATCTATGACGAAATAACCAAATTGAATCATGATGATGGTCCTCCCTTGCAAAGGTTGAAATTATTACATACGTCCATCCGATCTATGAAATGAACGCAGATATAAAGTCAAGGTGAAAGAACTTGTGGGTTGAAAGTTATCAGACACGGACACATCTACGTTTATCATCAGATTTAATATCGAAAAATCAGTTAATCAGCAGAGTGACAGTCACAAATGTACACAGCTGCATTGAAAATCCCAGGTACCGACATATCAACTCGGCTTGTCGCGCAACCTTCCACAAATCACACCCAAACACCCCACAGCTGCACTTCCTGGGCTGTGCTTATGCGAGAATATTACATTCAAGATGCGACAACCTTCCTTTGGCTAGAGCCAAGCCATGGCGGAGACTTCCACTGGAACAACCCACAGACAGATCTGCATGCCCAGAAGATCTCTATTCCGATCAGTACAGAACTCTCCATGGAGGAACTGAGAGAACACATGTTTGAGAGCTCCAGAGATGCATCGTGGGAGCATTGGAGCAATGGAAATACCAAGGCTGTGACAGAAGGACATTCTACCGCTGTCCTTGTACTGAATGATGAGCAAGTGGATGATGGAACCTCCCCGGATGCCATATTTCGAACATTTGAATGGTTGCAAGTACGTAACTCCAAATCAAAATCTCTCTGCACGCTGTCGGTATGAACTCAATTCAATTTGTTTCCTTGGCCAACTGGCTGTTCAAGAAGTACGGGAAGAGAATCAAGGTTGAAGCTTTGCGCAATTTGCACAGCGTGTGCGATATTAAAGATATTGTGATGGACAGAAATTGGGAGCATCAAAGAAAACGAGAATCAAAGAAAAGCGAGATTCAAGACTTGGTTGAAGAATTCGTGAAATTGAAAGCCAAGCTGTCCATGCGCAAAAGGACGGGCTTCTGCACTTCAATAACTGGATTCTTGGGCAGCCAAATTTTGCGAACCTTGCTTCAGAGTCCTACAGTCGGACAGGTGGTTGGTCTTGTCCGTGCAGAGAATCGGGATTTAGCGATGGAAAAAGTCCAGAGACAAGCTGAGATTGCTCAGTGGTGGGAGCCCCCGTTCCAAAATCGGATTCTTATTCTACTCGGTGACCTTAGCAAGCCACAACTTGGTCTCGACGAAGTGACTGGAATCGAGTTTTCGGCAAAGTTAAGGAGTCTCCAATAAATGCAATCATCCATAATGGAGTCAAAGTGAACTGGATGAGCAATTACGCCGAGCTTGAACTTGTCAACGTCATCAGCACTCTTGATATTCTATCCGGAATGTCGAACATGCCATCCCCTTGTTCGCTGGTCTATGTTTCTGGTGGAGATTCATCCAACAGAGAAGAAAGCTCTACCGAACTCGCAAATAAGCTATCCCGCGCGTCGGGCTACGATCAAACAAAATTCATGTCCGAATGTCTTGTTTCGGAATATAACAGGAACATCGACTACCAACAACTCCCTGCCCCCAAGGCATGCACCGTTCTCCCAGCTTTCATTGTCGGAACTCAGAAAGAGGGCATCGCCCACCCCGAAGACTTTCTCTGGTGGTTCGCATTTACCACCGCCCGAATCGGAGCTATGAGCAATGATCTCAGCCGGGTCGCAGTTGCAGGAGTTGATCAGGTATCCAGCCTTATATCAGATGTCGCTCTTCATCCTGATCAATATCGTGCTGGAACCCTTGCATGTGGTGATGGGGTCTCTCGACATTTTGCAGTATTTTATCCGAATAGCTCAAAAAACCTATTCAATGCATTTACCATGATCGTTGGATGAAGATTTCGTGCGATGATGTTGACAATACTGATTTCGAGCACCCTTTTTTACCTGTCTTGGAATGGTTTGAGGATAATCGATGGCACATGGCAGATCCAAAGGATACGTCGAAGAATCGGTACCTTGATGAGAGTAGGATTTTAAAGGCGCTTGAAAGCAGTGTGGATTACTTGATAAATATGGGCTACTTTATTCATGGCGGTCTGAAGATCAACAGCGGACTGAAGGTCAACAAAGACCGGGCTGAAATGTTCAGCCGATCACGCAACTAGGGTATTCGGTTGTTTACCAAGCGTTATATCAAATTGATGAACCAATAAATAATGGCCGTTTTATGAAGCAAATATAGTATACATTCTGCCGATAATGAAGTGACTCTAATCTAATCCTTCTTCGTAATCCCCTCGGGACGGGTGGGAAACTCGCCAGTTGGGTCCGACTCCGCTTTCTTGTTGAACTCATTCTTACTACGGTTCTTAGCCGCATTCCCCTCTAATCCGTAAAGCACATCTTGCGACATGTTTGGGATGATCATCTCAAAGGTATCCCGCACGACGGTGTACTGATAGTAGCCACAGCGGGCAATCGGCTGAGTCTTCTTGATATCCAGGATTCCATCGGTGAGCACGCTATCAGCGATGTGCACTCCGACAACCTTGCCAATGACGATGTCCACAGTACCCATGGGTGGGTTACCAGGTAAGCGCACGGTGGTGTGGTACTCACACTCGAACTTCACAGGGGACTCTTTGATCATGGGAACATCCATCAGCTTAGCCTGCTCCTTGGTCACTTTGCAGAGTTCAAACTCGTCGGTGCCATAAGGAGTTTGCTCAGCAGTGATATTGACGGCCTCCCTGAGGTCCCAGGTCGCAAGGTTCCACACGAAAGTTCCGGTCTCCTCGGCGTTGACAACCGTGTCTTTGCGGACACCTTGCGCCGTTTGGTTTGAGGAGAACATCACATATGGCGGGTCGAAGGTCAGATTGTTGAACTGGGAGTAGGGCGCTAGGTTGCATTCGCCCTTCTTGTTCTTGGTGGAGATCCATCCGATTGGACGTGGAACAACACAAGCCTTATGTTTTGTTTTAAGCTGGGGAGAACCGGAAAGAACTTTTATCTAGTTGCATACCTTGAAAGGATCATGGGGTAATCCATGCTCGGTGACGCCTGGTTCATAGAACATCTTTGTGGTTTTTTGGTTGGTGGATCAAATCTAGAAAAATGATTTTGAAAAGATGTGGCTTGAGGGGATGCGAACTATAAATAATGGCTTGAGGGAATGCGAACTATAAATAATAATTGTTGTCTACTTTCGGGACTCGGACCTCGCTGCATATCGGTAGATCATGCGGCACTTGGGGTAGGGTGAAGCCATCGTAGACTGGGTTCAGTAGAAATGGTGGGTCTGTTCAATTGAAATCAGATTCTTGCCACTCTGTCCCCTTTGTGGAGGGGCATTCCAAGGTGACACCCGAGAGATCCGAAAAAGCAAGCTTTTGAGCGAAACATTTAATATGAATTGATCGGCCGTTGGCAAATTTGATTTGTCGAGTACAGTTATACTTCGGCGGTACCGTCAGAACTCGATTGTACTGGATGGGCAAAAGCGGAACCACGCAGAATATCCGAGTCCCCGAGGCTCCGAAGGCGCCGGCTATCATTGAGTCGTTCAATATATAGGATCGTCGTCTTTCTTTTAGGAAATAAATTCCGTACAATAACATGAAAGATCCACCATGTCCCAAATTTGGCAAAGTGACTGTACAGAAATAAAGAGAAAGGAACAGGCGCTGCAAGTCCCCGGTGGGAAGCCAAAGCTGTTGGAGGATATAACATGGAGTAAAAGGCGAATCAGCAATTATGAAGACATGATAGACACTTATCTGCTTGCAATTTCTCATTCTTAACCTTCTAAGTTCTCAATGTCTCAATACCGTGTTAACCGAACAGGAAAATCTGAAGGCAAGTGGCAAGCTCTGTCGGGTCTCGGAGATCTCGGGACTTGCAAATCTGTGGATCTGAGGGCTAGGGGAACTATTACATTAATGTATTGATGTACTCCATTCAATAGACATCAGCCTAATGAAACCCCGAGTTCTTAGTGGTAATACAACGAGGTGCTATTTTACACTTCCAAGGATCCATTAAGTACAAAATGTATATCCAAACATGAACCCAAGCCCAAAGTCATTGCTAATAATTTTCAAGGCTTTCTAGCCATCTTCAAGGCACAATGTTTACGACAAATTACGATACTGGACTACCGCAGTTTGATCTTGCCTTCAATGCGGTCTCACAAATAACCAGCTCGATATTGGCTCCCGAATTTTCTCAACGAAACACATCGACCAAACAAACTACATGTTCTCAAAAGCTCACCCCTTCCCCAACCGTCGAATGTATCTCGCGAGCGCGCATTCCCACAACCACCGGAGCAGAGCTGTGGCTGCACGTATACAAGAATGATCTCGATAACAAAGAGCACCTGGCATTTGTCTTCGGAAATCAAATTGCGAGCAAAAGTTTAAATCGGGCGAGAGAGGGTGAAACTGAACTGGACCGAATGATACGAGGAGCTTATACGGGACGGTTGACTCCCGGGCGGATCAGCAGTCGCGATGATCAGGAATTGGTCCAAGAACGGAAAACAACGCCGACAAATCCAGTGTTAGTCCGTGTCCATTCGGAATGCTACACTGGCGAGACAGCATGGTCGGCGAGATGTGACTGCGGAGAGCAACTTGATGAGGCAGCTCAGATGATGATCGCCTCAGGAGATGGGGTGATTGTCTATCTTCGACAGGAAGGCCGTGGTATCGGCCTCGCAGAAAAGTTGAAGGCGTACAACCTCCAAGATATGGGCCTTGATACAGTGGATGCGAATCTTTCTCTAGGGCATCCTGCTGATGCCCGGGGGTATGGTATAGCAATCGCAATTCTGGTGGACCTTGGCCTGGGCAATGATTCCGGCAGTCCTGGAATTCGACTCTTGACGAATAATCCGGAAAAGCTCGACGCCATTGAAGGTTCCCATGGAGAGGTCACTGTGAAAGGGAGAGTTCCTATGGTTCTTTCAGGATGGGAAAGTACTAGATATTTGGAGCTTCACAGATATTTAGAAACCAAAGTGAGTCTAATACATTTAAAAAAAGAGGTTTGTTAATGCTAATTGCATGTATACAGGCTAAGAAGATGGGACATATTTTTTGAACATTGAACGATGGAAATTTGGATGGCGTTCAACGGTACTCTTGGGATTTCAGCGATAGCAATTCTTATAATACATTTGAGCAATTCACATAGATTATTGGAAATCTTAGGACTAGAAATATTATTCCTTGGGATTCGATCACTCCAACTCACACCCAGTCCCTCGGGAGGTATATCTCAAAAGTAGCTTAATCTGACTATTCTTTCGATTCTAAAGAAACATCAAATACGCCCAGATGGACCCAGCCTCGGATAATTTTCAAAGCTTGTACCGGAGGCCACTGCCCAATCTATGTTTCGGAATGCCGATCAAACCTGAGCGGGCGTCGGCCCATCCCCGTTTATGCTTCATACTATTTCGTGGATCACCTGCACACCGTATTTTCGCCATTGCCGACCACGGGCAGGTGAATGGAAGGTTAATGGCCACATTTCGGTTCGAGATTGCCGAGTTACCGTGGATCAGTTTAGGCCCTCGGGGCCTTCGGAGGCTCGGGATCTGCGAACTCTATTGATGATCGACGCTCGTCGCGCCAAGTTAATGGTCAATGACAATTGACAAGCTGGAGATGGAAAGCATATTCCCCTTACTTGTATAAATACGCCTAACTTTCCTTCAAGCATGAATTGGAACGACTTCATCATCCTAAACAACTCTTGATCTCATCAATTTTCTTCAGTCAACGCAACCATGCCTCACCACGGTCACCACATCGTGCATCGGGACCAGGATCCCTCCATCCAAACTCTTCCCCACATGAACTTCCGCTCATTTGTGGAGGCTTTGAAGAAAGATGGCGACTTGGTCGAAATTGATCGTGAAATCGACCCTAATCTTGAAGCCGGTGCCATCATCCGCAAGGTCTGCGAGACTGATGACAAGGCCCCCCTCTTCAATAACCTCAAGGGTGCTGATAAGGGCCTCTTTCGTATTCTGGGAGCTCCCAACTCGTTGAGAGCTGATCCTAAGACTCGTTATGGTCGACTGGCTCGCCACCTGGCCCTCCCACCCACGGCCGGTATGAAGGAGATCCTCGACAAGATGATGTCGGCTGCCCATCAGAAGCCTATCCCTCCTAACGTTGTCTCCACCGGCCCTTGCAAGGAGCACGTTCTCAACGCAGGAGAATTCGACCTTACCAAGCTCCCTGTCCCTCTTCTGCACCAGGCTGACGGTGGTAAATACATCCAGACCTATGGTATGCATGTTATTTCATCGCCGGAAGGAGACTGGACCAACTGGTCCATTGCTCGTGCTATGGTTTACGATAAGGACCACCTGACTGGGCTGGTGATTCCTCCTCAGCACATTTGGCAGATGCAGCAAAAATGGAAGGCCATCGGCAAGGATGTTCCATGGTCTCTTTGCTTCGGTGTCCCTCCTGCTGCTATCATGGCAGCTAGTATGCCTATCCCTGACGGCGTGACCGAGGCCGGATATATTGGAGCCTTTACCGGCCATGCTATTGATGTCGTTAAGTGTGAGAGCAACGACCTCCTTGTTCCGGCCAACACCGAGATAGTCCTAGAGGGTACTATGAGCATCAGCGAGACTGTTCCTGAAGGTCCCTTCGGTGAGATGCACGGGTGAGTTCTATCTTAAAGGAGCCTTCTTAATCGATGTACTAATCTATTTCCAGCTATGTTTTCCCTGGAGACTCGCACCCTTGCCCCCTGTACAAGGTGAACAAGATCACCTACCGCACTGGTGCTATTCTCCCTGTCTCTAACTGTGGTCGTCTGACTGATGAAACTGTATGTTTTTTACTCCTGATCCTGACTACCGCTTTGACTAATTATCTTTCTAGCACACTATGATCGGCCCTCTCGCCGCCGCTGAGATCCACCAGCTCTGCAAGGATGCCGGCTTGCCCGTCAAGGAAGCTATGTCTCCATTCGAATCCCAGGTCACTTGGGTAGTCTTGCAAATCGACACCGCGGAGCTTCGCAAACAGAAGACAACATCTGCCGAGTTCTGCAAGAAGATTGGTGATTTGATCTTCAACCACAAGGCCGGTTACACCATCCACCGCCTGGTTCTGGTAGGCGAGGATATCGACGTGTACAACTGGAAAGATGTTATTTGGGCTTTCTGTACCCGTTGCCGTCCCAGTCTCGACGAGTACTTCTACGAGGATGTTCGTGGATTCCCGTTGATCCCGTACATGTCCCACGGAAACGGTTCTCCTACTGAGGGTGGTAAGGTCGTGTCCGATGCTCTGATGCCCTCGGAGTATACCACTGGCGCCGATTGGCAGGCAGCTGATTTCAAGAACTCTTACCCTCAAGAGATTCAAGATAAGGTTAATGCCACTTGGGCTGAGATGGGATTCCGCCCTGATCTCTAGATTCAGGACGAAGTGTCATCATCCTGAAGTCTAAATTTTTGCAGATCTTTGTATTGTAGAATTTCAACTTTAACTAAGACATAAGGCCAGGGTGGGGAGAAGTTTCACAGTCTGAGTTCTTATCACTGTCATTTCTGAATATATACTTGTTTACTGCATGTGGCCTACGTTGAATCTTTTCAAACGCTTTGAATGCTTGACAAAGCTTATCAAGATCTGTATACGGTATACATTCGAATGGACAAGGTATCAGAGATAACTGTATTTTGAGACTAAGTCTTGCTTGCGTTGGCTCAGCTATGGACTTAAATCGTAGTAAGCACCGCAACGCTCAGGTTAGGCAAGCTGAAGCTGAATACTCCACTCTTTCCAGCCTGGATAGTCGTAGTCTTGGACTCCACGAGATTAGCTCCTCCAACCGCATTCATCGAAAAGGCATCAGGAGCCGTCAAGATGGTCAAGTCAGCCTTGGTACCCTTTGAGACGCCTTCAAATGTCAATGAAACTGGCACATTCTCAGTGCTATTGTACACAGCTCCTTTCCAGATGTGCGAGCTGGTCTTGTTGTTCAAACCAGCAACCCAGTATAGAGGACCGTATGCGTCTGCTGATGTTGTCGGCAGGGTGTTGGTAATATGGTGGTGGTTGAAGAGCTATATGATGTTAGAGAATGTTTTGAGATAAAAAGGTGATACTTACACTGTACACATGCCAACTCGTCGAAATGGCAGTATTATCTGGATCGGCATCGAAAGAATACATGCACGGACTCCATTCATAGGAGTTGAGATTCATGAAGTAGGGTGCCTAATATGTCAGCTTAGGTTCTCGTAGATGCATGCGAAACCTACATAAGTTGTTCCAATGATCTTGTCCGCATTTCGCTCTGCTCCCAACAGGAAAACAGCTTCGGCGACCGAACCAATCCACCAAGGATACAGCGAGAAATTGATATCGCTCCAGTCAATGCCAACGCCATTATTAAATTCAGTAGCGGCGATCTCACCTATCAAGCAATGTGTTAGCAATTTATCTTGTAGTTTTAGGGGCGTCTCAAACGTACCCAATAGGATAGGATTCGCATCGGTGTACTGATCAAACTGATTAAAAGCGGCGACAAAATTATCCGGGATATCATAGAGATGGAAATCACCACCCGCTGTGCCCGGAAGAGTCAGATCAATGGTCGATGCGAGAACCTGAATATGGGGGTATTTCTCCGTAATGGCATCGTAGAATGCAGCAAACCGGTATGCAATGTATGATTCCAAGCCATTATTGAGGTGGTCTTCATTGCCAACCTCGACATACTTGAGAGTCCATGGGTCAGGATATCCGTATTTGGCACGAAGCGCACCATACTCGGTATCGACAGAGCCAGTCAAGAATTCTATCTCGTTGAGGGCATCTTCGACATAGATATCAATATCGGCTTCGGCAACGACATCCTCATTGAGGGCGAGACCACTCCAAACGGCGAGGACTGGATTGATTAATGGTGAGTTTTAGAGGTCTTTCAATTTGGAGAAAATACTTACTGGGCTCCATGCCAAGATCGTCGCACCATTGCATGTACTCGATTAGACCCATTCCACCTGTCTCCTCATAGCCCCATGTAGTAGGACGACCGGGACGGTCTTTGAGTGGCCCAAGAGTCTCATTCCACTTCCAGCGAGTGTCAATTGTCTCTCCCTCCAGGTTATTTCCGCCGGGGAATCGAAGGAATGACTGTAGAGCGATGAATACTTTATAAAATATGGCATAGTTGAGGGTCACTTACCACACCCATATCACTCATGGCCTGCATAAGGTCAGTGCGCAAGCCATTGGCACGGTTATTCCAGGTTGGTGGGAACAGGCTAATCAAATTGAAGTCCAAAGAACCACCAGATGCTTTCTAATATCGAATCATGTTAGTCATTGCATCTAGGAGGGTTGTTCAATCTTACCGAGGAATCAAACGTGAGCGAGAATGTATTATTGACGTCGGCAGCTTTGGACTTCGGCGTGAGTGTAAAATCATGCTGAACCCATGCGTTGGCAACACTCTTAGAAGTCACCTGAACACTAGCAAGTGTCTTTCCGGTACTGGACTCGAGTGATGCAGTGAAAGAACCCTTGTAGGATCCTTTCACATAGAAAGATCCGGAATACTTCTGAGGGCGCACATCAATTCCCCACCAACCCTCATTTGTAAGGCCAATAGTACCCTTTCCTGAAACCTTGACCGATGTCGGAAGAGCAGAAGACAGTGGGTTGCTGAGATTCTGCAAGGCCAAGGTTGACTCACCGACCGCAGTCCAGGCGTCCAAAGTTGACGGGTAGAGGGAGCTCCCTTGGAAAGCTCGGTTGCGAATCAATTCTGCGTACAGTCCTCCTTCACCACCATGATTAATTTCCTACCAGTCATGTCAATACAGTCAATAGAGAAAGGGAGAATGGACATACCTCTTCCATGACACCATACTGCGTGTTAGAAGTGAAATTGCCACCAGACTTTGCAACTGAGATCGTATAAGCCGCGCTGACAGAGGCCAGCAATGGCAGTAGCAGATATTCACGCAACATGGCTGCGATCTCCTATTGAAGAGATGCAATTGCAGATATTATCCCAATTGGCCAAGAGAAAAGATTACACAGGGAGATCACACTGGGTATTTATGCATCGAGAATCCCAGTCCAACAAGAGCCCATGTTGCCAAGACGGCTGAAGACCGCTGTTAGACATACATTTCCCCTCATTGTCGTGAAGATAGATCTGGGGGTGGCCCGTGTCGGAGCCGATCATTTCCAGTTGTATCGTGAAATTAGCCGGTAGCTCGCGATTGTCAGGCAATTTCAAACATCGTGTATCCCAAATAGGTAAAACCCCAGAGGAGTGCATGACGCAGGGATCAGTGCCCTCCAGGGGCAGAGTGGGAAAACCTCGGCAGAACTGCCAAGGATAATGAGAAACCCTTGTTTAGAATGGTGGCTGGTCTGCCCTATCGGGAGATGGTAAGGAATGGAAGAATGGGGGAGACATGCAGGAATTTGCATAAAGGCGACATCTCATGTTAATTAGTACCGAAATAAGTAAGGACTATCGTGGCTTATAGACCGTTGATGATTCTCTTCAGCGCCACCGGAGAATAAACAGTAAACAAGGGATGCAAGCGGGGGATGTGATTGACGGGTAATATCAGGTCTTCTCCGCATCCCCACAGAGCCTCCACTTCCCGGTAAGATGTAGTTATGCCCTGGATCCGGTGTGTGATTATATCAAGATGGAACATAGGAAGAAAATGGCGCTTTTTATTTTGACAAATAATTTTCATGATAATTTTCATGCATGATTGATATCCACATAATATACCGGAAATCCATCTCAAGTAGGCAGGACAGATGGCGGGGCCGAATCGAGCTTCTTCCGAAGTTGTCTTTAAATTAAAGGAGTTCCGTCCGTAGACGCACGACTCAGCGCAAATTTCGCATCCAACTTCAGTTTCATCTCGTTGAGCATAGTATAATCGATCTTGCGTTTTCGCACAGTCAATAGCCCACCGTAGGCTTTCGCTTTGGGATACCTTCGCCTTAGATCCATTATCTGTGCAGAACGTTCCATCGAGGGAATATGCTGCCGTAAGCGTAAGAACACACTATAATTTATATATCATGTTAGCAACAATCGGGCTATGGATGAGGATGCATAGAAGCAAATGTGTTGAGGAAACATACTTTCCTGCTGTCCATTTCTTAACGCACCGATCGCACTCGAGAGTGGCAGGATGGTTAGGACCACAAATTTGAGCATTGAGACGTGCGCATTCCGTCATCATCGCAAGAGATTCCTGATGCCGCATTTGAGCCTTCAAAATTTTGGCGAGTTTGTACATATCGCGTATGAATACCCGATGCTCTGCTCCATAGATTTTCCGGTCTGTTTCCAGCCTATCAATGTACAACTTCTCCGCGTCTTTCAATTTCCATTGATCAAGGTAGCAATCTGCGAGAATCGCATTGGCAAACATCTCCCACCCGCCATCGGTGTCAATTGTGTCAGAGATTTTTGTGATAGCTATGATGTGGTGAGCTAACTCTTGTGCTTCATGAAGTCGGCCCTGTGCGTGATATGTTAAAGACATCCCAGAAATAGCGTGGCAGAGACCAGGATCATCCAGCGAACAGTGGTCCAGCATATATCGGAGAACAGTTTCGTTTAGTCTTTCGGCCTCCTCGACGTCACCAATGAATCGATAGCTATGCGATAGTGCGAACCGGAGATCTATCGCCTGCCTACTATCAGAACCACGGGCCTTTTCCTCGAAGTGTATTGCCCCCTCAAAAGTTTTTATGCTCTGTTGGTATTCGCCCTGGCTGTGGTAATTGATGGCCAGATTTTCAAGAAGCCATATAGTATAGGAGTGATCATGACCATATGCAACATTAGAAGAATCAATTGCTTGGCGATAAAGCACGGTCGAATCTTTAAATCTCGACTCTTGAGATTTCACAACGGCGGCAAAGCCAAGCAATCGTGTTCTTTGCTCGGTAATGGGCTCGTCTTTTGTTGAATTCAGAACTTGGAGAGCGTGTGGCAAGGCTATTCGGCGTTCACTTAGCTCCGATGGACAGTACGTGCTCATTTGACACAACGTGTGAACCATCCAGTCATGAAGGGAATTGAGCGATCGAAGCCAGTTCCTTGTGGCAAGATGCACCAGCCGATGCATGTCAAGCTGAGTACCATTATTCCGGGTCCGGACAAATGAATAAGAAACAAGTACCCCGATCGCCTTTTGGCTTTCCAACTGGGTTGACCGAAAGACCATCGAGGCGGGTATATCCTTTGCGTTCAAGCATGACATATGCGAGAGATAACTGGCTGCTAGGGGGTGGTCTCGACCAATTTGAGTAAAGGACGTGAGCCATGTTGTTGCGACTGGGTTTCGTATACTCTTGTATCTCCCCTCGTCTTCAAAATCTTCACTAAGAAGATCAAGGACATCCTGATCCTGCCCATCCAAAAGCTTCACATAGTTTGCCATGTCGGTTTCATTTTCATTTATGAATGAAGCGGCTTGGACAATTGCCAATGGAAGATATGTGAGGCGCTCCAGGAGCTGTCGGGTACTTTCTGTGTCATCAAGGAGGTCCTTCCTAAGAAGAGAATTTCTCAACACAGTCGTTGCCCTTTGTTCATCTAATTCGGCAATTTGGAGAAGATCTGTTGCACCGAGATGTCGCGCCACTTTGTTGCTTCTTGTGGTGAAAAGAATAACGCCGCGATCGCTTGCGGGAAGAAACCCCCTGAGACCAGCGCCTTGACCGTCTGGATCGTTCTCTGTCCACATGGTAAGGTCGTCAGCATTATCAATTATGAAAAGCCAACGACCACTGTGACTCTGGGTAAGATAGCTTTGAACAACAACTTTGACGTCTTCTTTTTTCGGATCGAATTCAAGACCCAATCTATATGCAATATCTTGATAGGCCTGGTGTAGACTTTCCAGGTCAACGGCGGGAATCCAGAATACCGCGCAGTCTGGGTATAAGGTTTTGGTCTGGTAGGCAACCTCCAGGGCAATTTGTGTTTTACCCACGCCACCAAGCCCAACAACAGCGATACGCTGTGATTCCATTTTTAAAAACAATTTTCGTTTGATTTGGCTGACATGTTCTCGATCAACAAATCTCGAATTCCGCTGTATTGGAACAACCCAACAAGGTGAGGCAGGCTGGTGAGATGCCTCTCCAGACAATTCAAGGACTCCAAGGACTTTATTCTTATATATTCGAGCTTCGTATTCCTGTTCGATATTAGTATGACTTTATACAGCACCCCAGACTCATTCTGACCCTCATTGTCAAATCAAATTCCAGTACAGTTTTTTCTACGAATCGTTAATTCTTGAATAGACTCAATGATTGTTCGGTTTTTCTAATACCTTTCTTTGTTGCCAAATTCAAGATGCAGTCACGGATGCGAGTTTTCTGGGAAGAATGATGCAGATAGTCTTGGGTGGCGTTTTCAATCAGACTCCGCTGCGAACAGTCATCCATCCTGACAGTCTGTAGCCCTTGCTGAACATTAAAGCGAAATATACGATTCTCTTTGACCTCATTGCTCCATCGAGCCATGAAACGTCGCTCTGTACTTTCCGGTTTGGTGGCCAAGTTGACCAATGTCTTGCTGAGAAATTTCAAAATGTTATCAGTCATGGGCAGCACTGCTGGACAGCCCGTACCAACTGTCAGAAAGCATTTGACCAAAGGCTTTATTTCTCGACTCGTGGTGCACCATATATCAGCAGCCTCCTCTTCAACCTCCTCAACGGGATTATTTGCACCGAATGCACCATCCACAAAGTCACGATTCCCAATAATCACCGGCTCAAAGAATCGGGTTGCTGCAGAAGTCGCTAGAGCTGCCTCGAGGATTGTGGCAGGAAGAGTATCTTCATTAGGTATGCTGTAGCTTCGGAGTCTTGTGACCTGAAGGGTGTCTCTCGCGGTAGTACAAACAAAAGCTCTAGTGCGGCGAGAAGCCCCATCATCCATCAGATCTGTTGGCGATGCACCAGCTTGAGTAATGACATGCTCGATGGCTGCCTTGAGTCGCTTGCTGTCAAATTTCGCTCTAATATTCAATGACCAATCAACGGGAATGTGGCTGATCCTCTCGCCGAAGACCGATTCCATCAATTCACTATAGGCCTCGATACACTCATCCACATCGAGCTCCAAACGACCGAGCATAATGGCAATGAGCCTTCTTATTTAGTATGGACTTGTTATCATAAATTTTGAGGTTCACTTACCCGCCCGTGCTGGTTCCCCCAATCAAGTCAAAAACATCGCATGGCTTAAGATGTTGACCAACTCCTCGTTCACGATTCAATTGCATAAAAATATCCCTCAAAATTAATAGAGTAGAGAATCCTCGAACACCACCCCCATCAAGTGACAAAAGACACAGCCCATTAGCGTCACGGGGATTCGATTCAACATTTTCCAGGGTCATCGCATGTAACATATAGCGGTATTGTCGCAAGCAGATATTCCACTGGGGAATTCCGTTTAAAAGAAATCCCTTTGCTCAGCCTTGAAAGGCAAAGCCTCGGGAACCCGGCCATCATTGGTCGCCTTCTTCCGGTGGCAGTGAACATCTGCGGAGCAAAGCGCTTAGCTGCAGTCAATGCGGAGCAACGAGATTAGCTGTGACTAATCTGGGACGCCAATCGTAGACGTATTACAAGTGTCTGGCGATGCGCCGGTAAATGGTTAATATGCAAACTAGGAGAAAAGATAAGATAAAAATAAATCATAGAAACCATGGTGTTTACTGAGTTCCCGAGCTTTAGATAAGCCTTTTCATCCGTGGTAACTATTGGGCCCAGGTTGCTAAAGCCTCTAAAGTCGTTGGACTTGTTCTCGATAGGTCTTCCCTAGTGGCTCACCCTCCTAAGCGATCCGCTCTGGATTACTAGCAAATTCATTTGCACTATATAATCAGATGAAAAGGATCAGATGATTTATTTTCAATAGGTTAGAGATCTTCAATATGGAAACATAATTTTGGCTAATTTCAGTGTCACCAGATTGGAGCTTCACAGAGCTTGAGAAGAGACATTAATACCCGAAGAGTGAATTGGATTTAGCCCAGACCCCGCGGGGAAGATCCAAGAATCGAAACGCCATGTAAGGAAGGAAGATATCATCGAAGTCGTTGATTGCGGCGCTTAGCACATCTCACAGCACTCGACACAATCGGCGCAGCACTCGCAGCCCTCCTCACAAACGAAGCAACAACACAGAGTAGCCAAACTATGAGCCGATATGAGTATAAGAGAAATCACTTCTGGAGGAGATATGCTGGAACTTACCAGGCGCTGAGGCAGCCACCACCAGACTTCTGCTGTTGCTGAGGAGGCGGGGCCTGTTGTGGGTATTGCATCTGGATAGCGCATTAGTTAATGTTTTAATTACTTCGACATTGGTTTTGACATACACCCTGTTGAGGAGGATATTGCGGCTGCTGCTGGTAGTATTGCGGTTGTCCTTGGTATCCGGGGCCGGGGGGAGGAGGACCATAGCCTGGGCCTTGAGGGTAGCCGCCGGGGCCAGGGGGAGGGGGACCATAGCCTGGGCCTTGAGGGTGGCCGCCGTAGTGACTACATCGAAAAGCTCGTTAGCAAAACAAGTCCAACAATCGTCGATGTCCAGTTTGTCCGCGGGTCGCAATAATCCACCCCAATAATGCCGCCAGTCATTTTCGGTCGGCAGGGAGCGATCGATGTTCCGTCTGGTGGTATTCGAGGGATATATTGTTCATGACTCGGTGCGACTTACGCTTGCTCGGGGTATTGGTAGGACATGATGGCGCTAGGAACCTGGTATCAAGAGAGGCCTAATATCTGACGAAAACAAATCAGCGACATGATTCTAAACAACAAGACTGCCCATGGAGCGGCCGCGGCGTTAATGACTAGCTCTCCTGAGTATGATAGCCCGTCACGGCGCCGAAAGCGACCAGGGATGCGATATACCTGGTCGGTCGGAGAAGCGGAAATTCGAGGATCGAACACGGGGCTTACAATAAAATAGGCTTGGCTCGCGAGTGAAGCGATTTGACAAGAATGAATCGACGAGGTGGATGTGAAGAGTAAGGAAATAAGGAAGTAAGGAAGAAGAGGAGACAAGGTTTACCGAAACCGCCGATGGAGCTGAATCTGCAGGAATAAGTTACTCAACTCCTTTTTTCCCTTTGGTTTCCCGTTTACTAAATTGGTACGGTCTTGGCACGTAAGGCTGGATGGGAATATAATTCCAAGCCAAGACTAAATCCTTATACTTTATATCCTGTTCAATATTCTCATTCTATTGATTCCCATACATATTTGTTCTTGGCCTGCGGCTGTGAAGACTGTGATTCGATCCACTATGAATCGAACTTGCCACATTCACTTTGCCGAGTAAAGAATGAAATACCAGTTCCGTTGACAAATGTGGTCGCGGTTTGTATTATTACTGTAATATGATGTATTGTGACCCACTTAGCCACAGCAAAGCCCCAGCCCTATCACCGGACCAGCGTGTTCAGCCACATAGGCATCTCCGCTAGGTTTGTGATTATTGGATTGGAACCCAGCCACCGTGTCACTAGAAGCATTAGAGACTCCACAAAGAACGGGTGCTCATCCACTCAGAATACGGGAGCGTGCGAACCTCCCCGGCTGCATCGGTTCGGTTTGGGTTGACCGCTGTATTGTTGCTGCCTATGGATTCCATACTACTACACACAGGTTGTACCCGACATCCACGTAAATGGTACCATAGAAAGTACTCTGGAGGGTTGTATACTTTTCTTCCTATTGGGCGTTGAGTATAGTAATCTACTTTTGACTTTCGTACCTTGGCTCTGGAACATTACTGGAGTTGCTCCGTAAAATACGATTCGGGGCCATAAATTACGGGCCCCCAACATCTCCGCGGTGGTACTGGTACGGAGTACATCTACACGATTTACAGCCCCAGCCCCAGCCCCAATTGTATGCCCGGAATGACATGGGAACATTCCAGAGAATTTCATTGCTAATGAAAAACTGATACACTCAAAATAAAAATCATTAGTTGCTTTCGTCGCTCGTCAGTATACGGTGTTAAGCGAAAATGAAAAGAACGACGACCCTGGGTTGCCTCTTGCAAAGCAAGTGCAAAGTGGAGCAAAGGGAATGATGTCACGCTGCGCCAGTCGCCAAACCTCAATCAGCGAAACCTTTCAACCGAAATTCCACCCTTAATTGAAAATCCCTTCGGTATCAATGTTCAAGTTCAATCCTCTTCAAACGAACCAGATTCGATGCTTATGCCAACCCAACCTAATACCATATACCACATACCATGCCGCCAAACCATGAAATAACCATGTCATATAAATTGCTCAAATGAGGGAAAGAAAAAGGATTAACTCGCCAGCAGACTACGACCGCTCACATCACATACGACTCCATCTCCGGTGGGAACGGAGGTTGGGAGTCCATGCAGAATGGGACATCGAGCGAGGAACCAAGCTCATATGCCATGGGATATGACTCAAATCCATGTACAAGGGTGGGATCCATTCCGAATGAGTGAGTTTGACTCTGGGTCATGGAACGGGGCACATGCGAGTTCAAACCTGAATTCGAATTCAAGTTTGAGTTCATACGTGGCTCATCTAGATCAACATCAAGATCCAGATCAAGCTTCCCCTCCCTCTCATCATCAACAGAATCAGACCCGAAACTCCCTTGCCGCTCAAGCTCAAGTTCAGCCTCTAGCTCAGCCTCAAGCTCAACACTATCATTCCCCTCCTCAGCTCGCTCAACAGTCTGTCTCATCCAATGCTTAAGAACGTCCATAGGTGGATGATTCCCCCCACCCTTTCCACCTCGCTTCTCGCTATCCTTCCCCCGTCCTCCTCTTCCACGTTGACAGGGATTAAAATGCGTGCGTCGAAGATGCGCCGCGGCATTGTAGTTCGCGCCGTATTTTTTGCCATTCCGACAGGCTTTGCAGTTCGCCAGAAAAGATTTGTCGGGTGAAATATCGACGCAGACCCAGACTTTGCGGACGGAGGCGTGCACGCGGTCCATGTGGCGGCGGAGTTCGTGTTCGCCGTGGAATCCTTCTGGCTGATCGGTGCAGAGGCGGCAGTATGTTTTTTGACGCGGGGGGCGCTGGATGGAGGCCTTGGGGATGGCTGCTACTTCTTTAGCGGTGCCGTCTGTTGGTGAGATGCGGACCATCTTGTGTGGGTCTGTGCTGTCTTGGATCAGGATGGGACTTGTGCTGTCGTGGGTTTCGCGCTTCGGAGCGATGGGACGGGATGCATGGGCGACTTGTTCTTGGGTCCGACGGACTGCGCGGGGGACTTGGTCTTCGGATTGTAGGGTAGGTTTGACATCCACTGTGGATGTGGATTCGATTTCAGATATCGGGGTGTGTTGAAAATGGTGAAAGGAAGTTGTGCAGGGGGCAGATGTGGAGAAGGATGGAGGGTAGGTGAGTGGGAAAGTGGAATCTATGTCAGGATATAGGGGAGGGAAAGGGAGACCAGATGTGGATGTGGGCACCCATTCTGGGGGGATGGGGATAGAGTAGGAAGCCAGATCCGGGTCCGCGTTTGGAGCCGTTTGATCAAATCGGAAGTTGTCAAAGTGGTTGATGATCGTGTCGGTTGTTCCACTGCGAGTCATGTTGATGGCTGCGGGGGTTGTATCAGGAGAGACCTGTCCGTGGTGGAGTTGCAGTTCAGTCGATCCATGAGCCGCGAGACCGAGCGGCATAGCCGAACCAGTACCAGAAGGATATGACTCGGTATCGTCCAGTTGCAGCTGTTCCGTGTATTCGGAAGGCGAGTACTCGTCGATCACTTGCTCGCGCGGTTGCTGGGTCCTCGTTCCGAAAGATGGCCCTTTGCCCATGACCGCGGGTGGGTGCCAGTGGGATATGGGGATCTGTTGGCTCTGCGAGCGGACCATGGGCGTATGCCGGTACGCTGGGGAGGGACCCTTTCGGGGACTACCAGCGGTGGATGCTTGGGAGAGTGCGCGCCTGAGCTCGACGGTCACCGGAAGATCCGGGGTCTGCCAATCGTCAATCCAAAGATTTTGGCTGGGGAGGAAAAAAAAAGAAACGGAATGGGTTCTTGATCAAAGGGTGCGGGAGCAAGAGACCAAGGTCACACATACGGTGGCTCGCCGTTTCGCTTGCGGAAGACCAGAACCAGGGACCGTCCGCGGGATAGCATCCTGTCGAGTTCGTTTGCCCTTGCTGGGGGTCACGTCGTTCCGTTCGAGGGCCGGGATAAAAGGGCTGATCCGGCGGCTCCAGAGTTGATTTCGTTCGGCATCCGAAAGGTGGGAATATCGATCCAAAAATGCTTCGCGGTACCCAGATATGGCCCTGGTGAAGAGTTCATCATCCTGATTGAACGTCATGATTGGGGATAGACCCTGGTGTGATGAACTGTTTATCAGTAGGGAAGATCAAAAGCTGGAAGTGCTAGATTCTGGTGAAGGGATGTTTGTCTGGTCTATATAGATCGTTAGGAGCCGCAAAGCCGAATAGGGATGCGCACGTACATTCTTTTCCCCAGAAAAAGTGTCTTATCAATCGATTCCGATCCAGGGGACTCGATAAGGAGAGAGAAGCTTTGAGAGGAAAAGGAGAGATTAAAGAGTTAAAAGAAATTACGATATCAAGGAAAAGATAGAAAGATGAAAAGATGGAAAGATTGGGCAGAGAGGAAAGAACAAAAGTCCGGGAAAATCAGAAATCAGAGCTAACTAGTCCCACATGAATGGATACGAAGTGCTATAGACATGGAGACCTTCAATGGACGAGTGGATCTCCAGGTCTGGAACCATCTGAATTATGATGTATTGTTTTCCCCATGTAAAGGGGCTATACAACAATCCGTGAACAGAAATCGATGGATATTGTACCCCGAAATCTCTGGTTGGTTCTCTCTTACATGCAACACGGGCAGAGTCGGTGATGGGGAAATCCAGCGGATAAAGTGAGGCAGCGAACCGGATCGCCCCGAACGTGACCCGGTGCTCACGATGCATTGATTAACTAATCAAGGGATATGGGACTTCACTCAGGGGAGAGTTTGGGAGTTTCAAAGAATCGTTACGTATTCGGTTAGACTATTTATTTTACAACAGCGCATCCTCAAACCAAAGTCCACTTTTTACCTGAATCTTAGCGACTGGTCCCATGGATTACATACTACAAGTACGGAGTCGATCCATCCAAGTAATGGATTGGACGTCTGAATGGCTGCCACGTCGTTCCAAGCTGCAGCCATGATTCAGTTGGGCCCTGCAGGTGACTTGGTGGATTGGTGGACTCTGTCGCCCAATTGTTGCCCGGTGGTTGAACCGTTATGAAGGTCCGTGGGAGCAGCCGAGCAGTACCATGGTTCAAATCTATAATTGGTATGATTATTGACTCTTTACTTCCTACTCTACGGAGTATAGCTAGTCAATTGTTCTTACTCTGAGTATAATAATTGGAGACTTCCTAATTTCTTTGTTCAGGGGTCGATGATCACACGATCTTGGCGCTAATAGACCCGCGACAGAACAATAGTAACTTCCAAATAAGGCACAAAACCAACTTTGGTTCCGTACAAACCAGCGGTAACTGCGTTTCACTTCCTCTTCCCCCTCTACCATTCATAGGTGGTTACCAGATATTGGCCCGCAGTGGAGGATCGACGACGCAGTTTCCAACCCAATAGCGATCAGACTGCGCCGCCCAATCTGAGATAGGCTCCACGGCTCCACGGGCCAGTAAGATGAACTGTTATCTGTCCATTTCGATGTGTCATGTCCTGTGGATTTCCACGGAATGAATCGACAATAAAAGATTGACATTCGTACTGTTCGGACCGCATAATAGAGTAAATTTCAAATATTTCGTCATTGCTGCGAAGACGGTGTACGTTGTATCGTATTCTGCCCAAGGGTGAGATCACTGATTGGTTGGCCATCGAGTTATTTTGTCCAATCGCCCTGTTCGTCAGTCTACCAACAACATCATCTTGGTCGCGTTAGAGCTACTAGTATACTCGCCCGAGGGATATTATTTTTGGAGTAAATTCAGAATCTCCCAAAATTACTTTCTGGTAGAACCAAAAATCACAATCTCGAGCAAACCCGGACAAAAGGATCCATGTCAATAAAACTGAAAAGCCTCACCGACTCGCCCTGTTCCAATCACCCTGCTAACGGGTCGTGATATAGCCTCTCTCTCCCTACCAGTGGTCCATCCAGCCGAGTCCAGTCTACACGAGCCCCTGATGACAAGGCACTGCCACTCGGCGCAGCACGTCGCGTGCGCTACATCGCGGCCTAGAAATGCATTCCCCCTGATCGCGGTGCAGGTGGCTCATCACCAAAGCCTACCACACCTTGTCTTATTGGAAGCATAGACGCATCATGCAGCAATGGAGATACGGGAACTGGAGTGGCTGATTGCCATTGTCTTGCACGTTGACAAGGCGGAAGCAGTCCACTTTTGAATGGATTGGCTTCATGGCATTTGAGCGGTTCCCCTGGACGCGTGATTTACCGCGCAATTCAAGCTAGAAGGCCGTGCTGATTCTGGCTCTGGCTCTGGTTCTGGAGGCTCTGCGGAGAATACTGTTGCATACTGACCGCTACTCTGCAAACTGGATCTGATCAGCACATCCAATTTTGTTGGCACTAGTGTTCTAAGATGGACCCTCTGGCTTTGGCGGTGTATGCAATCGAAATGTGGCTACAAAGCTCTGCGGGACTCACATAGAAAACGGACAAAAACGGTCTGACTAAGGTCTGACTGGAGTGAATGGGAGGATCCGTGGGATCTTGGATTCTCGAAGAATCTACTCAGGCCCGTGGTTCAAGCTCAGGCGAATGTGTCGTAGGAACGATTAGGCGACACGAGTTTCCCCTTCCAAAGTTGGCCAATCTTAATTTCCACTGTTCGCTAGCTGTGAACCACGGGACTCATGCTAGGTTGGAGTTCTCATCAGGGAACCAGTGACGACTGGGTCGGCTGACGTCAAGTCGCCACGCGGGCCTTGGAAAACGTGTGTGGAGAAAGCATATATAACATTCGGCGGAGAAACCGCGAATCATGACTAAATTGATGATTCAGGAATGTACAGTAGAAAATCAATGAAAAATAAAGACCACACGTGATTATCTCATCAGCCACGTCATAATTTCAAGGAGGGAAGCTGGTTCACGCTGCACAAATTTCGTTATACCTTTTTGGCTTCTCAATAGTTCAGGTGTTCTCCGCCTTGATGAGTTGACCCTCACTGATTTACCCCTTTAATTTACGATTTACGATCCTCCAGTGACTCACTTCCTCAACCACCCCCCTGATCGCACCATGTCCGACCCAACCCTTTACCTCTACACCTCGCTCACCGCGGGGTCTTCTCACATCATCACCGCAACCTCCCGCATAGAAACTATCCTCAAGGCGAACAAGCTCCCCTTCCGAGCCATTGATGTCGCCACAGACGATGCCGCCCGCAAATTGTGGGGTCGCCGTTCCAAGGGCAAGAAGCTGCCTGGCCTGGTCAAGTACGGCAACATAGTCGGAGTATGTGTCACTTTCATTTCAGAAGAATACTACTGACTCCAGTAGGATCTGGAAGAAATCGAAGAGTGGAACGAATTCGGCGAGTTGCGCCAGGTCGTCAGAGACGCCCCAGATCTGGACGGCATGCCAGCGACTAGCTACCCGATCGCGCCAGAATCCACCCCCAAGGAGCCCGAGCCCAAGACCCCTAAACCTTCTACGATCAAGATCCAATCCCCGCCTGCAAAGACCAATCCCGAAGAGAAGAAAGATGAAACCGCCGTTCTAGCCCTGCGGCAGGCCAGCTCTGAAGCTGCATCCAAAGCAAAGAGCAAAGCAGAGAATGACGCGACCGCAAAGATTGATATGAAGGAGAGCGATTCTACCAGCCGTACCATCCGGCCGCGCAAGGGCTCCGTCGCGCCTGAAATGCCTGATACACAGCCCGATTCACCCAAGGGACTCAAGAGGCCTCCTCTCGTTCCTGAAGTCGCGGCCGTCTCAAGTGCGAACTTCCATGCGGATAATGCTGAGATGCTCGGTCTTGTAGAACATCATCGCGGGTCGATTATTTCGATGGCGGACAAGGACGAGCAGGATAAGGTTGTGAAGGAGATTCGATTGTCTATTTCGGCAGAGGATCCATCTGGGTCGTTAGAGGCTTTGCGGAAGGAGGCTGCCGGAAAGGCGCGACCGAGCGAGACCATTGAGGAGATTCCTGTTGTGGAGGAGACCAGCGAGGTCGAGCCTGAGGCTGAAGCTAAGGAGGAAAAGAAGACTGCTACCGAGGCTAAAGAAAATACTGAGGATCCGACCAAGGAGAAGGAAGCTGGAGAGCTCAATGATACTGCGACTGAGACGAAGGACGTCTCCGGGAGCAAGGACAAGGCCGAGGCTGAGGCTGCTCCTGCGGACGCTGCGGAGGGCACGGAGACTACGTCAGCGACCGTGTGAGGGGCATTTTACGAATCTGTACAGGAATGCGTCAATTGCGATAATTTTATGCATGATACCAGAGCCCAGTTATTGATAAGAAATTGAATTTCTTTTCCTATATGATTTTCCCAATGCGATTCATTTCTCATAATTAAAACAAAATACACCCCATGAATGACAACAAATCCCGTATATGAAATCAAACCCGCAATGAAAAGTCCAAAAAACTGTTGAGAACACCGAACCCCCTTTTTGATCACCCCACCAAATGAACCCCCACCTCTCATCAATGGCGGGGTAAGTCCAAAAGCTCAACTGTAGTTATGCCCCGCTCAGGAAGAAGTAGAACCAGCCTCAAGGCCTCTCCGCTTCTGAACAGCCTCTCTCAACTTCGCAATAACATCCGCTGGATCCTGTGCGCCGAAGATCGCAGACCCCGCCACAATAACATTGGCGCCCGCCTCGGCAGCCTGGTCAATCGTTCCAAGACCAAGACCACCATCAACCTCAATGTTCAGATCCGGGTAACGTGCGCGCAGGGCTGTGACCTTCGGGAGTTCAGACGCCATGAACTTCTGGCCGCCGAAGCCGGGGTGAACTGTCATGACGAGGACCATCTAGATCGGAATTATTAGCGCATATTTCCGGAGGATGTGGAATGTAAAGTAGAAGTGGGGGACGCACCTCGGGTCGCTCAGCAAGATCGGGACTATCCAAAATATCCCAGAGAACATCAACAGGCGTATCAGGCTTAATCGCAATACCAGCCTGCATACCCTGCTCATGAATATACTTGATCAATTGACGTGGCGAGGTACGTTGAGTAGTCTCCTTATCAGTAGGATCGGTAGCAGCAACGGAAGAAACAGCAGCTTCATAATGGAAGCAGTAAAGATCGCAACCGGCTTTCTGGAACTCCTTCACCCATTTGTGAGGCTGAAACAAAATCAGCGAAAGCTCGCGCGATTCGGATTTCCTCCGAGCACTGCCGCACTCACCTCCATGATCATCATGTGGCAGTCGAAAGTACCACGAGCACAAGGCTCCAGCGGGCGGTCGACGCAGCCGCGAATTTGAGAAACGACGGGACATCCGATGGTCATGTTTGGAACGAAGTGGCCGTCCATGATGTCGACATGGAGCCAGTCGGCGCCTTGCTCCATCTTCTTGGAGCAGTCATGGCCGAGATTTGCGAAGTTGGCGCTGAGAATGGAGGGAGCAATGATGGCGGGGGGAGCCATTTTGGAGGATTATGGGGAAGGAATTGGAGTTGGGGGGAGGGGGGGTTGGGGAGGAAAAGAAAAAGAGAAGGTGAAGCTCTGGATGTTTACATCAGGCCGAGTGGCAACCCGAGGGTGGGTGGATATTCCGGGTTCGCCCACCGATCGGTGACGGAGTAAATTACTTATTCATTCATAATGTTAGTCTTTTATACAACATATCTACAAATCAACAAATCCCTCTAGTACTCATGCACCTGTTCTTATTCAACAAAATGCAAAACGACTTTGATAAGGGCTCGGCTTACTCACGTGGATCACAGTTAATCTTCGATCGGCGCTGCAATCTTAAGGGCCTTACATGTCTGCATTTCAGATCCACTTAATCACTACCATTCATCCAGTCCAATGCTCAGGGGATTTAAGCCTGACAAATCGTCATCATGGAATACCCGTTTGGGTCATTCCGGTTGAAAATTCATCAAGTCCGCTGACTTGAAGCTTTGATGACGTTTCTTATTGGGGGAAAAGCCTGGAATGTCCGTCGAACACTGGCCCACCAATCAGTGCCGTTATACTACCACGCCTTAACAGTATACAGTTCAACTCACATTGTTCATCTGGATATCTTTACGATATTATATTTACGATTTCAAATTATGTAAAAAAATGTTCTACAATTCATGGATTCCATACGCAGGTCAGCCTCCGACTTGTACAGTCAGCAAGTCGGAAAACAGCATGTTCCGGAACGGTCATCAATAGCCGTCAGGTTAACTGATCTTGAGTTGGAACTCGGTGAACTCCGTACATGTGTGAAAAGCGGATATTAAGCATAAAGCGGGGATTGACATCGTGAGTGTTCGGCGCACTGTGATCCGACGCTCATGCCATAGACCGCCCTAGGCGCCCAACGGTGCTGATGGCTTCTGCTTGTCATTTTTACTCGCTTAACGTTGATATCGAAATTCAGTCTAGTTATCTCTTAGATTACGCCACAGAGGGGTAATACATCTCTCTCTGTTGTAAACTATGGAAATTGACCAGCAACGCCATAAATTTCACTGCCCAATCTTGCTTGTTTGTCGGATATATTACCAATGTACATACCCCTAGCATATCATTTTATCTAACTCGCTTATCCTTTTCAGGAAGCCCGGCGTAAGAGCAATTGGGCGTTATCGAGAAGACTATGGTTGTAAAAGCCGAGACTATCTAACATTCACACAAAATGCTTTAATCTTGTCAATCAATCCCGAAGATTGAGTCAGATCCCGCTGATCATCAGACATATCCGCATTTAGATAAGCTATGCTATGCTGTCATTGAGGCGGATAAACCCGTGTTACGTGCTGTGGAGGAAGGTGTCGCGGGTCTAGGACCCTTGAAATAAGGATCCCGATAATGTTAACGATTGAATTGGAAGATTGATGGATCTGTTTTCCGTGAGCTTGAATGATCTGCAATTCAATGGTTCAGCCAATTTGCGTTATTGATATTACCATGTGCTATTTATTCCGTCCCAATTGAATAAAGTCAGACTATCGTGTACTTGGGTCGGCGGTGTTCTGTGTGTACGCTACTGTAAGGATTTTGAAGGTGACCTTTTTGTGACCAAAGTCTAGTAGACAGGACAACGGCAGAAATGTGGAATACATCATCACACTCTTGCCACTTATCATTCATTTATCAGGATAAAACTAGTTTATAATCCAGTCTATAGTATGTATGCATACGATACACCTGATCCATCTGAACTTGTGGAGATAATATAGTCCTTGGAATCAATGCATATACTCATCATGTAAATTCATGTTCCTCTCCTTTTCATCTCCTTCAATAGCACCAAGCACAAGCGCCGACTCCAAGTCCTTAGCAGCGTCAGCTCCAGACTCCAATCCATGCTTAAGAAGTGATCCCTTTCGGCAAGCATCCTTATCCAAAAACACAAGCGTGCGCCGATTTGAGGTGAACAGAAGGTCCAGCTCCTCCAGCGTCCGGCGCGAAGTCTCCGGGAAGAAAAAGTATACAACAAACGAGATACCGATATTGATACCCCCGAAAACATAGTACACCTTCCAGGACCCCTCATTCAGCGCAGTAGGCATATACAGCCCCAGCCAGAAATTGACGAACCAGTTCACAGAGGTTGAGAGTGCAGTTCCCCGACCACGTGCATTGATTGGGAAGACCTCGTTTTGATATGTCCATGGAAGTGAGGCCATGCTCGCACCAAATGTAACCATGTAGAGGAACATGAATGCAACAGCTGTGTTACCGGCTGCGCCATCCTCGAAGTTGAATTTCATTTCCTGAGTGGTTGAGTCGAAATAAGGTGCGCCGAAGCCGACTAGCATAGATGCGACGATGATCATGCATATTCCCATTAGAATAGGACCAATGATCAATGGCTTGCGACGGCCATACACATCCATGAGAAGGGTTAAAGAGAAAGATGCGATAAGGAACAGGGCGGACTCAATGCCGTTGGACAAGAGCGCGGCCTGAGTTCCTGTTTGACCTGTTTGCGCAAACACCTTGGCAGCATAGTACAAAATGATGTTGACGCCGGTTATCTGCTGCATGAACTGGAGTCCCATGGCCAACGCAGTGCGACGACGATATTGCTTGCTGACCAGCAGCGAGAGGTAAGATGGGGCAGGTGTTCCTCGCTCGTATTCGACGACGACCCTAACTTCTTCAAATTCCGACTGCACGACGGGTGCATTCTGGTCTCCCTTGGCGTGAAGTTTGGCCAGGATTTGCAAGGCTTCCTCGGAACGGTCATGTCGGAAGAGCCAACGGGGGGACTCAGGACGAAACAGCATGATAGCTCCGACGATCGCACCGGGTACCAGCTGGAGACTGAAGCACATGCGCCAGGCAGCGTTTCCCTCGATATTAGCCGCGCCATATTGGACCCAGTACGCGACCAACAGTCCCATCGCGATACCCAAACTCATCATCGAAGTCATCATGCCACGGATTTTCGGGGGTGTAATTTCAGCGGTATACCTGAAGAGAAATAAATAAATTTCCACAGTCAAGGTACAGGAAAACATACAGCGAGATTGTCTGAAACAAACCACCAGCTCCTAGTCCATTAACCACACGCCCAGAGATAAAAATGGCTTGATTCTGCGAAGCGACAATAATAGCCTGACCAATGAGGTATACAACAACACAAAACAAGATAGTGATGCGACGACCAAAGCGATCCGAAATCAAGAATCCAATCAGCAAAGAGCCACCGAATTCGCCAGCCAATAAAGCCGCGGTCATAACGCCCTGTCGAAAAGCAGAGGGGGTCCCAAAATAACCCAAGAACTGGGTCATAGTCAGAATACCACCCATAGAAGCATTTTCCCAACCATAAGCAAAGCCCGCAACAGCTGGAGGGAAAGCATAGTATAATTTGCGCGTTAAAGAGGTATCAATTTCAGTAGCCATTGTGAAATGAGAAAGGAAAGAGCAATGAAAATGAATTTCTGGACAAATCTAACCAGAAGTCGATCTTTATTTCTTTCTAAAGTGTACCCCCGAGATGCGGGGGGCTAAGCTTTTGTGTCGGCTTGTTTTTTTAGGTCCGTCTTGGCGGCTTATTACATAGCCGTCTGTGGATATAGGGGGATTTGAGCAAGTCCGGGGAATCTCCGATGGAGATGTGGGGTAAGCCCCATGTACTTCCCCAGATTTAGTCTATAGGATGGAATAGCCCAATTATACCGCTGCATTTTATGGACTGCGACGCCATTGTTCCAAGGTTGATGGCGGTTTTGTATTCCGTTCATCCTGGAGGTTGTCTGGATATTTGATTACCCTACCAGTTAACATATGATTTTCTGTCCCCGCTCCTGGTGAAACTTTACATTAAATCGCGCAAAGGATTCCAATTGATCACTTCTCCTAGTAGTGTAAGAGCTTTCCCTAACCCCAGGGGTAAAGACCATTTCGCTTGTCATGGATCTGCACAATACTAGAAATAATACTGGTTCCAAGATTATAGAAAGCAAAAAGAGCCATCATCACATCAACTGAATTTTAGAGATATCCATGTATTCAACTAAAGCCTGTCAAATAGGGCCGCAGGCCCAAAATCCACCCAATCTGCTCGACATTCCTGTCCAATCCTCCACCTCAACCTTCACCTCGATAATCAGTTGCTTCCGAGCGGGACTCACTCAGAACAAGGGCTTTGCACGCCAACTTATCCTTACTATTCCACGGGCTCAAAGAGCGTCGCGCTGAATCCCTTATTCCGAGACTCGTGTCTACCCTCCATGTAGTATATCCTGCTTGTCAAGTTCCTGCACTTAGTTCAAGCATGATTTAAGCTCCACGACCTCTCTCCAGTCCCTTTCCACGCGTGAAGAACGCTGCGATTGTTGCAATCAGTGCAAAGGCGGCGGACGCCGCAAATGAGAGTCGGATACCACGGTAGTAAATCTGGCGCACGGCGATTTGAATGTCTGGAGGTAGGGTGTAGATTGCAGAGATGGAATGACGGATTTCGTTTATCAACTAGATTTTGAATATTAGGGGTCAGTTTCCGTTTTGGGCTGCTGTGCTTTTTTGTTGGAGAGATTGGATAGTACTTTCCATTTGTCAGGTACTCCACTCAAGGCCTCTGCGAGGCCTGAGCTCAGTGTATTTTGGATTATCGCGGATGTTATGGCGACGCCCCATACTGTGCCGAGGGAGCGGATGAGGTAGACTGTTGAAGCTGAGACGGCGTGTTCTGAGAAGTGGCAAGTTAGTAAGGACTGCGGTCGGATGGTGAAATTAATTACCGTCGTGGTCGAATGCAGAGAGGAAGGTGAATAGGATCCCTGGGTACACGATTCCTTGTCCTAGGTTTGCGGGGATGATGTATGCGAAGTACTTCCAGTTTGAGTCGTTGAAGTGCAGAAATGTGACGAGGAGGTTTCCTATGAACATCAAGGCGGCGCCGATGCGCACAAGCTGAGCTAGTTTTCCCCATCGTGACATGACTATGCCGGCAATGACTCCGCCTACCGGGGTCATGAGAGATGGAATCACTAGACGGGCACCGGCTTTGGTGGGACTATCCAGCAGGATTACCTGGAAAAGGAGCGGCAGGGTAAAGAGGAACTGCGCCAGTCAGCTGAATCCGTGAGACTTCTCGGCAAACTTACAGCGTATGCTGACAGTCCCACGCAGACGTTGGCAATCTGAGTAGAAACTGGGTGAAGCCCATATAGCATCTTCAGTGGGATAAGTGGGACAGCTTTGGTATTCGCTTCCACAGTGATGAAAGCAGCGAGAAAGAAAATACTAGCCCCCAGAGGCATTATAACCCAGATACTTGTCCAGGGCAACTCATTTCCACCAAAGCTCAGTCCGACCAGTTGAGTCGAAAGAGCGAGGACAAGAAGGAAAGATCCAAGAAAGTCAATCTGGTGCCAAAGACCTGGCTGTCCAGGTTTGGGGGATTGATCATTCGTGGGGAATTTGAGAACGAAGTACCCCAAGACGAGCACAGTCACAGATACAGGAACTTGTACCAAGAAGCACCAACGCCAGCCAATAGTGTCAACGATCGCACCTCCGAATGAAGCACCACATATAGCACCGAAGCCGTACGCAGAATTTTGGACGGCTTGGTACATTCCACGATTGCGGAAGGGAATGAGATCAGAGTTTATAATGGTAGCTTATGACGTTAGTTGAATATTCCGTCTCTTGAATATCTTTTCACTCACCCATCGTCATCAACCCACCACCTCCCATACCTGTCAACGCACGCATGATATTCAAAAAGACTACGTCTCTCGCCATTGCACAGCCCAGACAACCTGCGAAGAATGTAATCGTCGCAGTGGAAAAGCAAGCGCGACGGCCAAGTAGATCTGAGAAGCGACCGTAAAGAGGTTGAAAAGCCGTGCTCGTAATGAGGTAGGAGGTCGTCAGCCACGAAGCAGTATTGGCAGCATTGAATTCAGAGCTGATGACTGCGTATGTTGACGCAGTGATTGTTCCGTCGAAACCGGACAGAAACACATTTGACATTATAGCTGCGATCATTAGCCTCATGTCATCGTCTCAGAGATAGTCTACACACCCAATTGTATCCAAAAGAACCCCCGTGGTGGACTCCAAGCATCCGGTTCAGATAAAAGAGATTGTTCTTCACTTGGAGTATTCATTGCAGACTCCTGTTCTGATTCCATGTTGTGGTGAAAATTCACACTTTCTTCGGTATAGGAATGCAACAACATAGTGGGATGCTATAATCCAAAATTGAAATTCTTATAACTTCAACTGTATTGACCGACCTTAATAAATCAAATTATGGCCGAAAACTCGGCATTGTACTTGCAAAAATCTTCCAGCCAAGATATTTTTACTAACGATACCCTGCAATACAGTGTATCGGGCACCCTATTGGGAAATGCGCGACGTGAAGCCCCGCTGAACCAAGCACGACATTTCACCCTCGGTTCGCGTATTGCATGTGTATTGCACCAGATGAGAATTTGAGTAATGACGAACGTAAGTAAAACTTAGAAAAATCAAAACTAAACATTCCATCCCATCAATGCCAGATTATACAGAAATCTTTGAAATTGGCTTCCAAACTTTACATAGTGAGACTATCTCCAGCCCAACACTAAGACGATAATAAAACCGCCTAAAGCAAATTAATACAATACAATATCAAATTAATCTATAACTCTAGTTATTTTAGAGAACGCCCTAAGTAGGTAATTAGAATTTATACAGTTGACTTATGTAGCTCCCACTTCTCTATTAAATTTTACTTGGACTACATAAGGGTAACCGATTTCTGTAGAAATGATTAACTCCTAGATTCTCAGGTTTTAGGCTTTTGGAGCTTTTAGATTATTGATTATGTCTTACTATGCATATTATTTAGCTATATATAGCTAAAATACTAAAAATACAGTATATGTATACAAAATCCATATCATTGTGTCGTGTCCTAAAGCGGGGTAGCTATTTCGAAAACGGGTACAGTGAAACGCCCGCTTACGACATACGTCACTTCAAGGTGGCCGTTCGAGGAAGCTGCAGATATCTTAAGTAGAGAGTTCGAGGCGATAGTAAATCAGGAAGTAGAGTGAATAGCGTTAATGTGTCCAAGAATTTATGGGAGAGGACATTATAAATCAGTTGACGCCGTTGGGAGTTTCTAATTTTGGGATAAGTATTTAGGGGTTGTGAATAGTCTAGCAATCGCTAATATATATTGAGTTGACCCTTTCTAGGGCCATCTAGACAAAGATATATGTTGACCAGAAACACCGAAAGAAGCTTATGGATCCTTTTGAGGTGGTTAATTTGAGGTTGAATCGTGTAGAATAGAGAAAAGTGGCTTTCGTAGAAGGCTTAAATTACATGGCCGCCTATTGAAAAAGGATTTGCCGAACATTTAGTGGAATTTATTCAAAAAACTCAAAGAATCAATCAATCCTACTGTATCTCCAGGTGTCAATCGTGGCGCATCCGTTTGCCAATTCTGTGGAGCAGCCAATGAAGCAACACGAAGTGGCTCATTTGTTCGCTGCGCCCCATGATTGATGAGTAATTGGATAATTTCTTCATCACATTCATTGTGATGAGCCCACATAAACACAGTATTTCCCTACCGGTCTTGGGGCTCATTAATCCAGATTTTAACCCCTTCGACAGCCAGAAGAACCTTGATCATCTCAATGACTGGTGGTTTAGATCGTACTGCAATCATCAAGGGTGTATCTGATCCCTGTAGAATTTCATGGTTGATATCGACCCCCGGGACAGCAAGAAGTAACTTGACAACTTCTACATTCCCCAATTTCACAGCCTCTGGTAAGGTCAATATAGCCTGGTTACCCGGGCTGTGCTTACGTCCCTTCCGAGTGTATAACCTTATCGCTACCTTCTCTTCGCATTTTTGTCCCCCGCCTATAATTCGGGAGTTATGGTGCATCATCTCATCTAATAAGAGCTGGACCATTTGAGCATGACCGTTCCTTGTTGCGCAGAGGAGAGGACATCCTGGGGACTGGTAACACGCCCCTTGCTCTAGAAGAAGGCGGACAGTGGATAAATGACCTTTTCCTGTAGCACAGGTTGGGGTATAACGATTCATAATCAGACCAGAGATAATCGTACAATCAATATTCGTATTGAATTCCAGCAGGGCCCGAACCACCTCATCGTACCCCGCCCAGGCCGCAAATAATAAAGGGAGATAGATATCCTGAATCAAAAGTGGATGTTCGTCCCACCGGTGTATTCTAGACCGCTGTCTATAACTCACCATCGCTCGCTGATTATCATCCACATGGCCATCGGGCCGTGCGCCTTTCTGCAAAAGCAGTCGAACTATAGCACTTGAGCCAAAGCTCTCCGCAGTAGCCCAGTAAAGGGCATTTCGACAATCGTAACCCATGTACTCGATGTTGGCACCATTTTCAAGTAGCAATTATATAACAAGAATAGACCGGTCTTGTGCAGATCTTATTACACCCGGTGCCATTTTAGGTTTCAAATCCGATTCACCTAAGGGGTATCGCATTACCCAGATCAGTGGCGAGTGACCGTATATTAGATCCCTTGAATTTAGATCGACACGCTTTGTTTCCAGTAAGCATCTGACAATATCAACGTATACCCCTTGTGCAGCGTATGACAACAGTGTGCGTTCGAGTGTACTCGATTTATTATCTAGATCGACGCCTTCCATAGACAAAAGAGTGTTCAAAACACTTATCTGTCCGTGTTGTGCTGACAGTGAAAGTGCACGGTTCATATATGGTAATAATAAGTTGGGTCCTAGATGGCCATTGGCGATCAGGAAAGATTACAAAAGCCGGCTGTGACCATGTTCCGCAGCCCAGTAAAGATTATCTCCTTCATTTTTCTGAAAGCTCAGCTGGTAAAGCTCCGGCATGAGTAGATTGTGAAGTTTGTGACAGGTTTGTGCGAGGTGGGCGATGTCGCCTTTTGATGGCATATATTGGGAGACAGCCATTATTACTTCCGTGGGAAGGGTAGTCAAAGACATGCTGAGGTGGCTTTTTGAACGACCGAAAGTATGTAGGGTGGTGTAAGGAGGAAATGTTTGCACTTTGCAGATGGTAGGCAACTTAAGCAGGACGAGAGAATTCAATAAAGGATCAATCGAGATTGGGGTAGGATAAATTCCGGTGAGTTTTTATTGGTTAATTTTCGCCCGCAGATGATCACAGAAGGTCCCGTAAAGAAGTTCAACTCCATCTACACATAGCCTCTCAAATTTGATCAGCAATTATCACCCATTGAGCACACTGGTCCTATATGCAGCAAGTCTATCCCATAGTCACTGAGGTTGTTTCATATTCAATCTGCACCCAGTAATATAGATCGGCGATTAGTGTATAACTCGATCCCAGCTCTGTGACAATGGGATTCTGGATTCTGGAAAAATATAGTCAGAGACTATTTGAATGATCATGTGTTTGGAAATTGAGGACTCACCCACGCTTCAAACTCTGCCTCTGTCATTCCGAAGTAGTCTTCGATAATGGCATATGTTAAGCTGGACGAATACACAATCTATGCACTGCATTCTGACGTACTTCCAGGAGCGACAGTGCCTAGAGGACTGGTCAGTCAAGTATGCACCTCTAAGGTGAAGGTTTAGGGCCAATGAAAGCAAGGCCAAAAGCTTTATCGTAACCGAGTGCCAGAAATATAGCGAGGAGAGCAGAATAAGAAAATTAAGAATAGAAGACAGAAAGATTTGTCCCTGTTTAATATCATTTCAAAATCTCTTTGCTATGAAAGATGCGCACTTTTTTGGTCTAGCGGTAAATTCCACCCAGTGCAGCAGGCAGATAATATGATGAGGATGCAGCACTGGCATTGGCAGATCATTGCAATAGCTGACAGGAAGGGTGGCCGGTATGATATGCGAGGCTGAACCTTGCAAAGCAAGCATACATGCGGGTATTAGGACAAGCGGGCAAATAAACGAACAGAGACTACCAAATACGAGAAAGAAACGTGACCTGGGATCCAACTAAGCAGCAATGAGAGAGAGGCTTGGTGGGAGAATAAGGTGTGTGTTTCTCGTTGTTTGGCAGCGTTAAATAGATTTGGGTCTCCTTGGTGAAGGCTTGTAGAACTACTGTGCCTTCCGCTTTAATTGAACCTGTCTTCCTATCGAAGAACCTGCCAACGTGATATATGACTCCCTCCGGTTTAGTTGTGTCTGTTCGAACGGTGACAAAGAGACAGTTGCTTGGCGCTTGTATGCTGTGACGGACAATCAAGGATTGCGGTCGTTTCTTGATGAAGCCGAGCGCAGCGGATTCAAGAGCTTACTGCTGCTATCCGGTCAAAGTTCTGCACATGTGGCTGCTGAGGGCAATTTCCGCTCGGGGTTGCGTCTTACGGACCACGCAAAATGACTCGTATTTAGGATCAGGTCCTTCTACAGGTCATATTCGCCGCATTCGACTGATCGGTCGCTTATGAAGTAAGGTGTGTTCTAGGCTTGGTGCCGGTGCCAAGGCCAAGTCGCGCATTGACCAGTCTGATCACGGAGAATTATGGAGAAGTAAGGGGTAGGGTGGATCGAGGTTAATTTGACTGTATCTTGATTATTGGTCAGTATAATGAAAATGGTGTATAATGAGAAATGGTGAAGTGGTGATAAGTCTATACGTTTCTTTATTTAGTCAGTAAGAGTCATCTGTGAAGCTAGGGTTCATACGTAGTGATGACCTGAAACATGCTTCACCATGTGAATACACGTGCTTTATGCAGGGAAACGAGTGATTATAATTGGATCAATCATTATGTAAGATATCGGAAGCATCCTAAAGAGGTCAGTGTAGTTGAATCAAATCCATGGATCCGCTCCACTTCTGCATCCACTTTAAGATGCGGGGAATACGAAACGAATACGCCACCAATCAACTCTCACTAATGATGTAGCTGACTGCGTTAAGTTTGACATTTCCTGTTCGCCTAATGACTTAAGATGACTCTTCATTCCTCTTTATATTGAAATTTGGGTCAGGGTTTCCTTGAGTCCATTCACGGGAACTTCAAGTTCCGGGGATAAAGTAGTGGATACATGGATCCGCACGTTAGATAAACCATATCGATAAGTAGATCTACTTCCATCGGGAAACCCTTTCAGGCCCCCGATGATGAACTTACAGCGAGACGCTTAATCGTCCTTTCTGCCCGGATCTTACGCCTTCCGGTATCCGGCACAACATTGCACACTTGCCCAAAAAGTAATCGCTCCTTATCGGAAAGAACTTCTCACCTTTCCTTCTCCTTTCCTTTTCCCCTCAAAGTTGTTTTGTTTTTTTGATCATGCGTTGAACTCTTCGTGAATTCTCGAGCCCCGACTTCGTTCTTCGGAAATTTCTTTACAGCTCGCGCGGTTTCGCATATCAAGAAGATGAATTCGGACGAGACCTCGGTGTCCTTGAGTGACCACGACAAAGATGAATCTGTAATCCTAGCTCAATCAGAACAAAAACGTCACCAAGAAATCACTAAGCTCGCACGCACTTTCTCACAACTCTCACAACAAAACAGCTCAGGTTCTGACGCCATCAATACCTTCCTTGATCCGTCCAATAATCCTGAGTTGGACCCTAATTCGCCCGACTTTAACTCCCGCAAATGGGTTCGCAATACCTTGCAGTTGACCCGTGACCCTGACCGTTTTCCGCGTCGCACAGCAGGCGTCTCCTTCCAGAAATTGAATGTCTTTGGTTATGGCACCGCTGCAGATTATCAGGTCAATTTTGCTAATGTCTGGCTGAAGATGCTGGATGGTGTGCGGCATATGGTTGGCCTGGGAAAGAAAGTGCGCATTGACATCCTCCGTGACTTTGAAGGAATCGTGGAGCATGGTGAGATGTTGGTAGCTTTAGGTCGACCGGGCAGGTAATCTTGAACTTTCACACCCTTTTTCAGAAGTAACACTAACACGTGCTTAGTGGATGTTCCACACTCCTTAAGACCATTGCGGGTGAGACACATGGTCTCTTTCTGGGTGACGGAGTCGATGTACAGTATGAAGGTATCACATGGGAGCAGATGCACAGTCGCTTCCGTGGTGAAGTCATTTATCAGGCTGAGACGGAAATTCATTTCCCTCAGTTGACCGCCGGAGAAACATTGTTTTTTGCGGCTGCAGCACGTACACCGGCCAATCGTCTGCCTGGTGTGACGCGTGATCAGTATGCCTTGCACATGCGGGATGTGACGATGGCCATGCTTGGACTCTCCCACACCGTCGACACCAAGGTGGGAAATGATTTCATTCGCGGTGTCTCTGGAGGTGAGCGAAAGCGCGTCAGTATTGCCGAGACAACACTATGTGGCAGTCCTTTACAGTGCTGGGATAACAGTACGCGTGGACTGGATAGCTCTACTGCGCTGGAATTTGTGAAGAACCTTCGGCTGTCTACAGAGTACAGTGGTACTACTGCTGTCGTTGCGATCTACCAGGCTAGCCAGTCTATCTATGATCTCTTCGATAAGGCGATTGTCCTTTACGAGGGGCGCCAGATCTACTTTGGCAAAGCTCAAGATGCGCGTCGCTTCTTCATCGAAATGGGCTTTAACTGTCCCGATCGACAAACCACTGCGGATTTTCTGACTTCGCTTACCAGTCCATCGGAACGTGAGGCTCGTCCAGGCTTCGAAAATCGAATCCCCCGTACACCAGATGAGTTTGCAGCTCGTTGGAAAGCAAGTCCCGAGCGAAAGCAACTTCTTCAGCAAATCGCCGACAAGACGGCTCAGAATCCAGTTGAAGGGCGTCGGTTTGAGCAATTCAGTCACTCTCGCGCAGCTGAGAAGGTCAAGAGCTCACGCGCTGCCTCTCCGTACACCCTTTCATATCCTATGCAGGTCAAGCTCTGTCTCTGGCGCGGATTCCTACGATTGAAGGGCGACATGAGCATGACATTGGCATCTGTGATTGGTAACTCGGTTATGGGCATCATCATCGCAACAGTTTTTGTAGGCCTCGAGCCCAACACTAACAGCTTCTTCCAACGCGGTGCACTACTTTTTTTTGCTGTCCTGTTGAACGCCTTCGCTAGTGCTTTGGAAATCATGACCCTGTGGCAACAGCGGCCCATTGTAGAGAAACACTACAAGTACGCCCTGTATCATCCGTCTGCTGAAGCCATCAGCTCTTACATCGTCGAGCTGCCGTCCAAATTATTGATTGCCATCTTTTTCAACATTATCATCTACTTCATTGCTGATCTTCGTCGGACAGCCGGTCACTTCTTTATCTTCTTTTTATTCTCATTCACCACCACTTTGGTAATGTCGAATCTTTTCCGATGGATCGGAGCCGCGTCCCGAGCCATGGCCCAAGCTATGGTTCCGTCCTCAATCTTCATGATGATGCTGGTAATTTATACGGGCTTTGCTATTCCAACTCGAGATATGCATCCTTGGTTCAGGTGGTTGAACTGGCTTAATCCTATTGCGGTAAGAATTCCGGAAACAAACTACAAGTCCTATACTAATCTCTAACAGTACGCATTCGAATCATTGATGGTCAACGAATTCAGTGATCGGGACTTTCCTTGCTCCTCCTATGTTCCCCAGGGCCCTGGTTACCAAAATGCCCCACGGAACTCGACAATCTGCAACACAAAGGGCGCAGTCGCGGGTCTGGATTATGTCAGTGGAGACGCATACATCAACACCACGTACCAGTATTCTAAGGGTCACCTGTGGCGGAACTTTGGAATTCTTGTTGGGTTTTACGTCTTTCTACTGATCCTCTACGTTATCACGGCCGAGTACAGTCGAGCTAAACCATCCAAAGGCGAGATCTTGGTTTTCCCTCGCGGCAAGATTCCTGCCTTTGTGAAGAATGGTAGCAGCGGAGATTCGGAGACTGGGCTCGCGGAGAAAACCCAGATTGGCGAGGCTCAGGATCAGACTGCCAAGTTGGCTAAACAGACCTCTATCTTCCACTGGGAAAATGTTTGTTATGACATCAAGATCAAAGGCAAACCCCGACGTATCCTTGATGGCGTGGACGGCTGGGTAAAGCCTGGTACCTTGACTGCCCTGATGGGTGTGACAGGTGCGGGTAAGACCTCATTGCTCGACGTGCTCGCTGACCGTGTGACCATGGGAGTGATCACCGGTGATATGCTCGTGGATGGTAGGCAACGTGATGGCTCTTTCCAGCGCAAGACAGGCTATGTTCAACAACAGGACCTGCATTTGGAGACTAGCACGGTCCGTGAAGCTCTCATCTTTAGTGCGCTCCTCCGTCAGCCTCACAAGACCCCCTATGACGAGAAGATTGCCTACGTTGAGGAAGTCATCAAGATGCTTGATATGGAAGAATACGCAGAAGCAGTTGTTGGTATCCTGGGTGAAGGATTGAACGTGGAACAACGCAAGCGACTGACCATTGGCGTGGAGATTGCGGCTAAGCCGGACTTGTTGCTGTTTTTCGATGAACCAACCTCCGGTCTTGACAGCCAAACCGCCTGGTCTATCTGCTCGTTGATGCGCAAGCTTGCCGATCACGGCCAGGCTGTTCTCTGTACCATTCACCAGCCCTCGGCAATCCTTATGCAACAGTTTGATCGGCTTCTGTTCCTTGCGAAGGGTGGTCGCACGGTGTACTTTGGTGACCTGGGTTCTAACATGCAGACTCTGATCAAGTACTTTGAGAACAAAGGCTCGATCAGTTGTCCACATGACGCAAACCCTGCTGAATGGATGCTCGAAGTGATTGGTGCTGCCCCTGGCTCCCATGCGGATCGCGACTGGGCCGATGAATGGACCACTAGCCCTGAACGAGTGGTGGTCCGAGAAGAATTGACCAAGATGAAACAGGAGCTCTCCCAGAAAACGGTGGCGCTCGCAACGACTGGGTACGGAGAATTTGCAACTCCAATTTGGTACCAGTTCCTGGTCTGTATTCGTCGGATGTTTCAGCAGTACTTTCGTAGCCCCGGATACCTCTACTCGAAGACTGCGATGTGTGTCTTACCGGTAAGTTTGGAGTGACTGAATGATATCCCTTTTACTAACCTTCTACAGCCTCTCTTTATCGGCTTCAGTTTCTGGCGTGAACCGAACACTCAACAAGGCCTGCAGAACCAGATGTTTGCTATTTTCATGCTTCTGATCATCTTCCCCAATTTGGTCCAACAGATGATGCCCAGTTTCTGCGTGCAGCGCTCGCTGTACGAAGTGCGGGAACGGCCCTCCAAGGCGTACTCTTGGAAAGCGTTCATGCTCGCAAGTATCTTTACGGAACTGCCGTGGAACATCATCATGGCCATCCCCGTGTATTTCTCGTGGTATTACCCGATCGGACTGTACCGCAATGCAGCCGGCACGACGGCAGCACGGGGTGGAACCATGTTCTTGATAATCTTGATCTTCCTCATGCTCGCGTCGACTTTTAGCTCGATGGTTATTGCGGGAATTGAGACGCCCGAGACGGGCAGCAATATCGCGCAATTAATGTTCTCTCTTTGTTTAGTTTTCAATGGGTTAGTCTGCCCCATTTTCCGATTCCCCGAACCCTGGTACTTTCCGTGATCTTCGTCCGCTTACTCATCTTGTCTAGTGTCCTCGCGAGTCCCACCCAGTTGCCCCGATTCTGGATCTTCATGTACCGCGTCTCGCCCTTCACATACCTAGTCTCAGCGGTCCTGTCCACTGGACTGGCAGGGAGTACCGCGCATTGCTCCGATATCGAGGTCCTCACCGTCTCGCCACCTTCTGGACAGACTTGCTCGGCGTATCTGGACTCCTACGTGAATACTTACCACTCGACCCTGCTCAATGGGGACGCAACGGAAAACTGTCGACTCTGTGCTATCTCCACTACAGACCAATTCCTGGCTGCACTCAACATTTATTTTAGCGACCACTGGCGGAATATCGGCTTGCTCTTTGCTTATATTGCTTTCAATATTTTCATGGCCGTCTTCCTCTATTGGTTGATTCGGGTACCGAAAAATTGGTCCCGCAAGGTCAAGCGGGAGTGAGCGACTTCACATTCTCCACTCGTGGGGGCGGATTTTAAGTCAAGGTCCGTGGCCCGATCGATTGGCTCCATATGAAATATGTATTATGTACTACCTAAGTAGTAGTCATTATTTTACTCCTGTATCTCAAGATCAATCAAAGTCGATCAGTGACCAGTATCACTGTTTAAGTCAAATTCCTATGCAGCACAGAGTAAAAAACCAACGTGTCGCTCTCACTTACCCCTTTATCTTTGACTTTGACCCGGAAAATCATTAAGCGGCTCATCTCGGATGAACCAGTCATGAGCTTGTGGGGGCCGTTTTACCTCACCCAGTTGACTCAGGACTCAGGAGACAATTAAATCATAGAAATGTTGGCTGTGGTGAATTTATTCGATTTACCTTTCAGTAACAAGTGGATATTCGTACTATTTCTGTCTAACATCCTCGGTGATCTTCGGGCATGAAACTCACGGGAGTCCGTGGGTAGGGTTTAGTGGAGAATTCAATGGAATTTTACCTGGATCATTTGGGGTCCAAGTAGATCCTTCATCATCCATGTTTGTTGAATGAACGATAATCTCCGCACTAGACGGTGTGATTATCTGTTAATTATGGGCCTTTTATTCTTACACGTAGCCCATTCTCGCAGGTCCGAGTTCAGTCTCCGCTCCTTTCTTTTACCTCATTGGCCCCAACTTGAGGCTCATCCAGACCCCGATCCACTGTGACTGAACTTATGCGCCGTTGGGAATGAATACTAGCTTGGACTCTGATGTAACTTGGCCATTATTTATACCTTCCCTTTGTCACCTTTTCTTTTGACTTTTTTACACCCTGTACCTGTACCCTTTTTTCCCTTTAGGGCTATAGATGATGGATTACCCTTTTATCAACATGCCTATGTCCCAGACATACATCTTTGATCCTTCTCTAGATCCATTCACTCATGCTTCCTCTCAATTCCACCTTTCGCCCCTGGAACCAAAATCTGATTTACCCCAACCCGGGGAAAATTCCTTCAACATGACATACTACCCCGATTTCTCGTGGAATGGCGCCCTCTCAACAATCTCGGATCCCCAAAGTCCCCACAGCAGTAGCGAAAGTACCCTAGGAATGAACCGCATCACATCACCAGCATTTTGCCAAGAGGAGATACTCCCCGTGGACGAGTATCCCGCGCCCAACCAACTCCTCGATATCGACTCAAATCTCCTCCCTAAGCATAACGCACTCGATCATCTCTCGCCTTATACCGATTTTGACGCTTGGTCGGGTAGCCAGTCGGATCGAAATATCTCGCCAGAGCAATGGTCCCCTCTTCTTCCTAAGGATGCCGCCCTCCCGCAACCTGACCGTCGCTCAAAGCGACCGGTAGAAGCTTCGAGGGGGGTTCGCAAAGAGCGCAAACCTACTTCTGTACCTAGTCGAAGGCGGCGAGGGACTGGTACAAATGATATGAGGACATTCGTGTGCAGTTTTGCGCCTTATGGTTGTGAGAGTACCTTTGTTTCAAAAAATGAGTGGAAGCGACATGTTACCTCGCAGCATTTACAGTTGGGGTTTTATCGTTGTGATGTTGGGAAATGTAATTCTCAACACCAGACACATTTCCTCTCCATATCGACTTTGCCAGCTACGGTTTCTACTTTGACATCTACATCGAAATCTAACGCGAAAGCGACATCGAGCATATCTTCACCTCCACCGGGGCAATCAAATGATTTCAACCGCAAAGATCTCTTTACGCAACACCATCGCCGTATGCATGCACCCTGGCTACAATCCGGAAGACGAGAGCCAACCGGATCTGAGCAAAGTGACTTCGAAGCTGGGCTGGAGGAGGTACGTCAGCGCTGCTGGCATGGTCTACGGACACCGCCCTTGCAGAGTCATTGTGGATTTTGTAGGGAGGGGTTTTCGGGCGAGGGAAGTTGGGACGTGCGCATGGAGCATATTGGTCGCCACTTTGAGAGGGAGGATCGACGTGCTCTTGGGGTTGAAAGGGAGGATCTGGCTTTGAGGGAGTGGGGGCTTGAGCAGGGGATACTGGTTCTTGTTGATGGGGTTTGTCGGTTGGCTTCTTTGATATAATTTCAATATTGGATGGGCTATTATGATCCTGGTTTGGATATCTGATTTGGTGTTGGGGTGTACATGTATTTTGGACTTAACGTATATATTTGAGATGTCAGACACCTTTCGGCATCATGAATACCTAGGTACAGGCTATAAATATTATGTACTATGCATGGTCTACTCCGTACATCATACTATTCACTCTGGTCAACAGATGTAGTAAGCCAAGTATTACCGAGGTTCAGGGATCACAATCCTGCCCAGGTGGAACTATTGATCAGTACAACCAAACTCAGTAAATTCCCTAACACCGACACCGATATATCCGACACACCCGCTAATTTCTGACGGTGGTAGGCCTGATATATCTGGATCTGCCTGGTCATGCGGAGGAGTTTTATAAAAAGCACAAAAATGGGGTATCTGTCAGTCTAATTGGGAATACTTGCATGGATAAAGCAGGCTATACACTCGATCGACATGAACTCTTCGCTCCGTCGAATGTACGAACTTACTGGCAGCTGGTCATAGGTTCAAGGTTGTTGGACTCGTGAGCACTAATTTAGACTGCATACCACGTTTTGACCACGTTTCCCTTCTGTTTTCTGGGTCTTCTGTCAAAGTATAATCGGAAGACCGTGTGATCCTGATGTGATCCTGCGTTCTTTTCCGTAGATCTCTTTCATTTTTATATGCCACGTTTCTCTCTGTATGTGTCTGTTTCTTTTTATATCTTTCCATCCATGGATACGAATTACGCATTTCTAGATTAGGTATCTGAGTTGCAGGTCTTTTGACACATTTAAAGGGGTCCGAGGGTCACTCGAGATGATTGGTCGGCTCGGAAGACGATGGTTCAAGACTAGAATCCGAATCTCCTGCACATGTGTGTGAATCTACCGATCTGTCCATTCATTTAGGTATTCTAAACCGATAGAAATTGGAAAAGTTGCGTAAAAAAATGAACACCTAAACCCAGACCTATCCTGAGGGGTATTCAAGTGATTTCTCTCGCTTCGCTCAAGTCCTGATCATATGTATATATTAGGGAGTATTTTCAAAGATCGTAGGATATTAACGATCTTTTTATAATAGCTTTAAGTATAGGTTTAACGACAGCTTCAACAGTAGCTTTAGCCTTTAGCGATAGCTTTAGAGAAAGGTTTAATGAATCTGATGCCTTTAACGATAGCTTTGATCAGAGATTTAATAATAGGTTTAACCATTTAATGATATAGGCTTCATCAGGACACAAGTTGGACCCAACCCAACCCAACCTAACCCTTGGGGCCCCAATTGGGTCGCGAACATAACAATTATGCCTAGATTCTATCACTGCATAAAATCAGAGATTTGGCGCTAGTAGCAACGTAGAGCCGCTGAGCGTGCTGTCATCACATTCGCACAAACTCCCACGTATATACATCGTTATCTCCAAATAAATGTCGAGCTTGTCTCGTATATCAGCATATATAAAGGTTTATATGTCATACCAGCTGCCATCTAGCTAATAGAAATTAGATAGACTGATATCTCTTAAGCATATATGTACGTACGTACTCATAAGGCTTTTCTTAAGTAGATGATGAAATTAAATATGTTTTCTGTGCATAAAAACACATCTCTCATAGCTAGAGAGCATTAGGCGTATAGATCAAAAAGATTATCAAAAAAAAATCGAAAAAATCATGTTTTTGTGCTCAAATCCGTCATCCTCCCTACTTTTTCGCTTCCTCCCTGACATCCGTAGTTGGGTATTCACATCCGGTAGCTGCTGAACCTCCTCAGCCTCACTGCCGTTATCCTCCTCCTCCTCCTCCTCCTCTTCGTCAACATCGTGCTCCTCGGTATCACTAATAACACTTACCTCAGGGTCATCCCGCCTTTCATCATTATCTTCCTTTGCTGCTTCATTTTCATCAAAGGAAGAGAATTTCTCAAGCTCCTTTATTTGCTGCTCTTCAAGATCAAATCTTGAAATACAAAGAAAAATCATCAGCTCCTCAATTATTTCAGTCTTCCTGCGGCTACGGCGATAATGGCAGATATCCCAAGCAGTATTAAATAGTCGCTCCACACCAGCGCCTGTTGCTTGGATTGAGAGGATATCCCGTGCAAAGGTAGATATTGGAGGGAAATGCCCTTATCGCTAAGCGGACTGCACGCTTCTTCCTCGCTTCCTACTCGCCACCAAGCGGCCCACATACCTACTCCTACCGGCACTGATACCCGACGACGACAGCGCAAACGACCAATGACACCCACATACACACACACACACACACACACACACACACACACACACACATATATATATATATATATATATATATATAGGGCCTCTCTCTCTGTAGTCTCTCTCTCTCTGAGTATGCTGCAAAGAGTCAAAACGGGCGGGGCAGGCGCCGTCTGGGGAACCGATAGTCAGCGACTCTGTTACTATACCGCACTCTTATTCCGCACTCTCAAACCACCCTCTTTGATACTATTGATAGGGTGAGCTGCTCCGGTGCCTTATTAAGTTAGCTTTCTTGCGCGGTCCTGGGGGATCTACAGTGGTATCTACAGTGGGATTCAATGGAATATACAGTGGGGACTTGGGCCAGGACCTAGCGATGAGTCACGAGGGATATCGGATGGATTTAGATGGTGATGAGCAAGCTGGTGGGCGTGTTGACATGTGAGCAGGAAAGTTAGCTAGTTAGGCGCCGTTACGGCCGCTGAAGAGCCCCTTATAGTGGCTCATATTCGAGTGTAATGCATCTTTCTTTCTTTCTTTTTGAATACCCAGGTCAATTGTCGCTCAAATTTCCCAATAGGCTGGTTTTGGAGGGTCCTAAGTAGGAACACCATCAGTGACAGTGCCGAATCCGCCATAGGTCCAATTTCCATTGCACGTATAATCGAATTTCGATTTTTCCAGACTCTCCTTCTGGATCCTCATGAAGGTGTCGAGCTCACACCAACCATCGTCTCGGTATTCACAGGCTGAGAAACTAGCGTGTAAGGGCACAGTGCGCTGGTTTAGCAGAACATGGATGTAGGTGGTTTCATTCGTGCCAGAGACGTATACATCCTTGGCATTGCGTTCCTTGGTACTGCGCTTCGTGGAAACCATACCGGGGGCCTTGATGATCTCAATATTCATGCGACCGGCAAATGGAACGATTTTACTGCTCTGGAATTGATGGTTGGCGGGGGGTCCGGATCCGGGCAGAAGCTCCTTAAACTGCTCAAAGCCAAGGGCTGTTAGAGTAGTAACGATTCCGCCGTCGTGGGTGAAGTCCAGATAAAGGCTTTGGATAGGGAAGGTCTCTGGGTTAGTATCGAGGGTCATATTAGCGTCGGTTTCGGTATTCTCAAGGAGATGACCCTCGATACGTGCGATGAATTCTTCTACCCAGGCAATTCCCTGGGCACGACCGGTGGGGCTCTGGAATCCAACCGTCTGAGCGAACGATAGATCCGAATAGTATGCAAACCCTTCCCACTCCTCATAGGTAAATAGCTGGCAGATCTCACTCCAGCCCAAAGCGACTGTTTCGGCACTGCATAGCATCTGGGCGTTATAAGAATCGCTAGTGGTCCAGTTGTAGTCACCGGCCCACTGCTGGAGTGCGATAGTTCGGTCTTTGAGGTATATAGCTTCCCACTCCTTATATGGTAAGGCCATCGCTGATGATTCCTGATACGTAAGTGCATTGGCACACCCATATGTACCGATGAGGGAGTTATTGAACCCCGCCTCCTCAATGATCGGAAGGAGATTTGCATTCTCTGTCCACTCTAGTCCAAAGAAGCCAGCTAAAAAGTTCTCAGCGCTCTTTAACATCCGATCGGATGTAGTGGTGCGAGCGACAAGCTTAGTGCTATTATTGTATAATTGGCCGTAGTTATACCAGTTTAGCACGCCACTTTCGAACAGTTCCTGGCGACCAAGTGGAACTAGAGAATTCTCCCCTAGGCTGTATGTGTAGTCGTTAAAAAAAGCCAGTTCTCCAGTGAATCTAGTACTGGCGGTCGCATTGGCGATTTCTGCCGCCCAGGTACTAAGACTGTTGTCACCGGGATACCGGGATCCATGGCGGTGCAACATATGCATCTGAGTAATGTTAGCGCCCTTGGGAAGAGGGTATTCGTCTACCCCAAAGCCTTCTTCGGGCGAGTGATAGGGGCTGTTTTAAAACTTATGTCAACATTAAGAAAAGATAGAAAAGCTCCAGATGATAGAATACCCACCCTTCATTGCCCATGATATGGAATATGTCTCGTCCATTAGCACCCTTGATAGGTTCCGATGTCTGCAATGGGGAGTTGGGAGCATAGCTGACACCTGAGAAGGTGACTGGGTTGACCTCGACGAGGAACGGAGCGATACCAGTTTCTACAGCCCCTATCCATCTCATCTGTTAGTTTGTGATCAGGTAGCCTCTGAGTCATAGATTGAAGATACCTGCATATGATTCTGGACTCGTCTGGAACCAATTCGGCCCCGTGCTGGTGCTGGTGCTAGTGACCAAAGTGGTTGTAGTAGCCCGCGGCTCGATGACGGCTGCTTTAGCCCTTGAGACTACTGCCACGAGAGAGATGATTGAGCGAGCCAACATATTGAGTGACAGGAGAAACAAGACATTCAATTGGAGAGTTGATGCTGCATTTTGAAATTCACTAAATCATCAAAGATAACTGGTCCATTTTATAGTTATTCTCATTTCTCTAAGTTCGACAGGCCCGCATACTCTCCCACTCGTAAACCTATTCGGAGTAACGGAGTCTATTCTGGAGTAGCTCAGTCGAGTCTGGAGTACCGAAAAAAATTTACGTGGTAACAAGTGAACACAGCTTGCGGCCGCACGTGGGGATCCATCGAATTGGTGAGGCTCCGCATTCGCGAGTTTAGCGCATTTGCCGGATAGCACGTGGGGTGTACAATACGCTACCATGCTTTTGATGCGCATCTGATGCTTCTCAATTACTGCTGCACAATGCCCCATATAGAGTTTCAGATAAATTCCCTTGTCCTGGTTTAACTGAAAGCGTGGTCCCGGTTTGAGCTTATCGGGTTTTGTCGGATACTCTGAACGAGCAAGACCCAATTAGCCTGGAATCGACCCAATTTCTATTTTACTTTAAACTAGTCTTCAGTAAGGCCGAGTAAATGCCTATACTAGTAATAGTGGTTTCTCTTTACACTACGTCCCGAAGCTAGTGCGACCACCTCTACTCTTCCACTATTCCTTGGGAATAGTCCCACTAATTATCAATATTCCTATATTAGTATCAGTACCCTAGCTTACCAACATTAAAATATGATCATTTTCTTGCAAATATATTAGCGATTTAAGGAATTCTATTATAATGCAAATCAAACAATCACTAGGGCTGGTAGATACCTAGAGAATCCGGTAGGTATTAACCTAGTAATAGGTCATATATAGTGGAGTTAACCCCAGTACTAATTACTCATAATTAGTAGTAAACCCTTATGCAGAGATATTAAGATCTAAGGTTACATCACCTTGTGTGGCGTGCTGAACTGGTATAACTACGACTAACTATACAACAATAACACTAATCTTATCGTTCGCACCACTACATCCAATCGGATGTCAAGGAGCGCCGAGAACTATTTAGCTGGCTTCTTTGGACTAGAGCGGATAGAGAATGCAAATCTCCTTCCGATCATCGAGGAGGCGGGGTTCAATAACTCCCTTCTCAGTACATATGGGTATGCCAATGTACTTAAGTATCAGGAAGGCAATTTATTCTTAATTGAGGCAAGGTCTTAGACTTGAAACGAAAAATCTGAGGTTCACAATCAAAGTCCTCCAAACATTACTACCCACTTAGCAATGTTATACGTTCAGCATATTTGATTGCATACAACTGCCCACATATCATTTCTTTAAACTTGGTGACAGAAGCCGGACTAGGCCTTGGCCTCGACTTCGTCCAACAACTAATCGAGTATAAGAACGATGTATTTGCATTCTTCGCGATTTGTCCTGGTGTAAGTTTCTCAAGTTTTTATTCTTTTTATCTTTCAATAACCTTCGACACAGTGGGTCAAAACTGACATGGGAAGCCAATTAGCGCAACTTGGAGTTGACACCAGGATCAAGGCAGTCCTTGATATTCTCGACAAGGATGCAGTGGAAATCAATGGGAAGTTCCGTAAACTTCTCATCCCAGGAGTGGAAAACGCCGAGGATCTCCACAAGTATGATGGGGCTAAGATTCCATGGTAAAACTACATAGCGCTCCAAGAGCTATGTGAAGTCAACGTAATCTAAAATTCAAGCTCAGAATATCTCATTGAAGACACCGTCTGCCATAATAATATGATTCATCTGAATTCAGGCTCAGAATGAGGACCTCATCTTTCGGTGTAAACAGACTTTGGAGCTTGGGTAGAAAATGAAAGTTCGAAATGTCACTTATTTCCATTTCCTGTTTTATTTATATGGGAATGTCAATTATTTCATATCCTGTTCTATTTATATTTCAAAATGTTATCAAGACATAGAATGTTTGAATGTTTGTAGTCCCTTATTTGGTGGGTCATCTATAATCTAGACAGCCCCGAGTTGAGGGATCGTATATTGGCTGATATCCCCACTTCCGTCACTAGCGTTACTCAAGATAAACAGGTGCCGACCTCGAATCCCCGCGACTCCGACCAAGCTCATGCATTACATTACCATGAGAATTTAGATTCTCCAATTCCAACAGCCTTCATTCCTCATTGTTTCTCCTTCTTATACTATTCCGACCCTAAGCCACCAGGCATGCCATAATCGCAATTACCCCTATCCTCCAACCACGTCTGCAACTGCACTCATTACGGCATTATGTGCGTCCCCCGAAGCTACCACGAGTGCTCAACTAACACTCTCCAGGACCGTCTTCTCCCTCATCATCATCAACAAGGCCGGCGGTCTAATCTACCAACGCGAATTCCAAGCCGGTCTGCACAAGCTCTCCACAAACGACTACCTCGTTCTCGCTGGTACCTTTCACGGGTAAATAATCTCCTACCTGCTCATCCCAGCGCTACCTATCTGACAACCATTGATTTGCTTCAGTGTCCACGCAATCACTCGCTCCATTACGCCTAAAATTCCGCTCCAAACAACCGCCTCCCCGGTCCCCTCCTCACCCGGGACAAATCCCCCTCCCACATCCGGATACAGCTACCCTGTCCCAGGTGTCCCTGTCTCGGGTCTCGAACAGCTTGAGACGGATAAGTTTCGCTTAACCTGTTTCCAGACTTTGACGGGAACGAAGTTTCTGCTTTTTACAGATCCTGTTACAGGGAGTGTGGACTCCATCATCAATAAGATTTATGAGCTGTATGCGGATTACGTTATGAAAAATCCGTTTTATCAACTTGAGATGCCGGTGCGCTGTGAGGCCTTTGATCGGCATCTTGGGGCTTGGTTGAGGGGGCGGACATAGTTCGGGTTACCTTGTATGCTGGTGGGTATCCTGGGATCATGACTTTATGACTAGACATTTCTTCCTGTTGTTTATGTTTTGGCGGTACGAACTGGAAGCTTACTCCGGCTTTGTGCTTAATACCAATTGCATCGATATTTCCCTCCCTTATCTAGAACAGTGTCTATAGGAGTTGTTCGAGTATACAAAATACGAAAACACAACAAAAGAGTAAACGCCGGGTATGCATCAGATCGTTTCCACAAGAAAGCTCAGGCAATCTACGCAGTGTCCATCTTGTCGTCATCTTTCTTGTCGCTGGATTCGCCCTGACCTTCCTCGGGAATGCCACCCAATTCCGTCTTACCATCCTGCGCCTCACGATCGCGCTTCTCCTTGTCCAAGCGGTTCTTCTCCTCCTCGAGCGATAACCGCAGAGCGAATGCCAATTCGGGATCATTCTCTGCCGCATCCTCAAAGTTGAAGCCACCGGCATCACCACCCTCACCACCGGACGGGGCAGTGGTTCCAGCACCCTCGCCTGCCAGGATCGGAGTCTGCTGGAGCTCCTCGCTGAGCAGGTGAGGACCCGGTGGGATGATGGCCAGGTATGAGCCCTCGCCACCCGTCACGTTGTCCACGAAGGCCTCGAGCTTCTTGGTCTGGTCGGATTCCAGGTCGCCGAATGCCACCACGTCCACCGAAACGTTGGATTTCTTCAATTTCTTAGCGAGTTTGACGAGGGTCTTCTCGTCTTCTTCGATGGGAGAGCATGAGAATACGATGATGCGTTGCCGTTGCGACTTCTCGGATCGGTGCTTAAGTGCCAACTGTATTGTATATCAGTATTGCCCTGCTGTGCTGCTGGTGAATACTTACGGCTGCAACCTGAATGCTAGAGCTGAGATGCGCAGTGCCGCCGATTTTTGTCTCGTGCAGACCAGCTAGGATACCGCCAAAGTCTGTCGTAAATGTTGATAGGACCTCGGGGCCCTTGCCGCCCATGCTCATCAGGCCGACGGCCGACTGCGGGTGTACGCGCATCTTGACGCTGTGAATAATGCTCACGGCATCGATTTGAGCTTGCCATCGGGTCGATCTGAGATTATTAGATGATTTGATCGAAATGAGGGGGTTGACAAGCTCACGTGTAGTCTCCATTGCGACTGCTTTCGCTGTTGTCGACACTGCGGAAGAGGTCAGTGATGCTATGAGCTTGCGGGGGACACAATGACGAACATGATCATCGTAGCTTCGAGAGACATGGTGGCGGTGTGATCGATGGAGCTGAGAGATAAAGGGTGTGGGGATGAGCGAGAGAAGAGATGGTCCTTAACGGAGTCCTAAGTCGCTGATGACGATGGAAGGTAGAGCTCGGTTCTGCCGGATTTCTCCGCCCGCACACGCTTGTTTGTTGTGACTCCGCGCTCCACTCGACACTACACTTACAACCGTTAATCCGTTGCCCCATTTCGTCTCAATTTACACCACAACTATGGCTACTTTAAAGCGCAAATCACCGGAGTTTTTGTCTGCGCCTGACGCGACCCCGACAGGACGACCAGTCAAGAAGCTGCGTCTGACTCAGAGCCAGAAGCAAGCGTTAATCGACAATCTTCAACTTGAAAGTGCGTGGGATAGTGGGCTTGTCTGCCATAACAAGTACTGACAATGCTCCACAGTCACTGAGCGAGCTCGAAAGCTCCGCTCCCAATATGCCCTACAGGCGAACGACCTCCGATCGCGCATTGAACGACGCGTCAATCGTATTCCAATCTCACTCCGCAAAGCCAACATGGGCGAGCTCCTCGAAAAGCACAACGCGGCCCTAGCTCAAGCTCAATCTGCTTCTCCTCCACGAAAGATCTCCCCAATCAAGGCCCAGCGACCTATTCCTACTATTGGTTCTATTGACCAGGCTCTCTCGCCAGCCGGTACACGAACCCGCCGCCCGAGGTAAGATGCGCTCGTTCATTAAAGGTCCCTACTGACCCAATAGTAGTCATGATGGCCATTTCTCCGACAAAGAGAACGGCGGTCCAGAAGGTCTACAAAATCCAAAGCGCCGCGGTAAAGCTCCTGGTGTCGGCAGTACATCCCGCGTTGTCTCACAAGAAGTTCGAGGCAACGATCACCGTATCCTCTCTCCCAAATCCTCCAACTCCCGCACATACCCACAATCGCCCTTCCGAGCTTCACCAGAAAAGGGTCAACCGTCTTACCTATCACGCCCTACTTCCCCACTCAAACCATCTAGCCCGCTCCGCGCTCCTCCCGGTAGCATCACTCGTCCTCGTGGCGCAACTACTTCCACTGTCAATTCCTGGAACCAGCCTTCCCAAGCAAGGAAGACTGCTCGCGCTGCCACAGGCCCCAAAACATCTGGACGGTCTCCTCTTCCGAGACCTGCAACGAGACAGGGTGAACGGAAGAACAGTTTTTCTTCAAATGCTTCATCCGGGACTACTGTGATTAAACCTACTCGCACTGGCACTGGTGCTCGCAAGGCGACAGCTAGCACTGCCTCTACCGCTGCGAAGAAACCCACTGCCCCTCGTGGACAGACTGCGTCTTTGGCTGTGAAGAAGAATGCCAGCACAGCCTCGGTGCGGAAGGCTACTGCGCCTGCTTCTACAACTGAGGCTTCGGCACGGGGTACTCGGGCTCTGCGGAAACGCGTATAAATATGCCGGGTCTTGGGCTTCGCGAACTTGATTGGTGACCTGTGTTTATTTGAGTTTGAAGAAGTTGGCACTTGAGCGTGGAGTATTTTGATTAAGAGAATCGAAGGGAGAGGCGCTTTTTGGGTTGTTTTTTGGTCATTACATCGGTTTAATGGGTGCGTAATGGGTGTTACTTGGGTGCTGGGTTTATTTTATTCTCACATGGGTATTTAGGACCCTCAATGCCTCCTTTCAAGGTTTGGCTTTCTATTGCGTATTTGTCTAAAATTTTCATCGTCAACGCGCTTTCTAAGCCTTGGCAAGGTATTAAGCAGTGCATCTAATTTTCCACTAGCAGTAGTGATGTAAGAGAACCTAAGATTTATTCTTTATCGAAGCACATGTTGATTTCTGGTATATTTCTTCTCTAATCCGATTAATCCTGGACTAAGACTCTGCATTCGAAGCACTTGCAGTTGGTTTAACACAGCTTCATTTGAGAATCATACAGCAACTAGATTAACTACCAGTCAGGTAGGAGACCCATCACAACGGCTTTAATCCAATAGCCAACTAAGACCAAGTAGTGATATCGAGAATGGAAGGTCAACATGATAGTAACAGATACATTTAGACTCAGCAATGGTATCATAGCAGTCATGCTGGTTGACAAGCAACAATAGTCAAAAGGGGGGGTCAAGAAGAGAAGTAAAGAGAAAGAGCAAAACCTTTGATCTTTCGGTACCAGATCGAAGGCAGAAAGTAAAATGAAAGAGGGCGAGGAAAGACCAAGGAAACTCGGAGCCCTGGCCTAAAACATGAGATAGACGGGAACATGCTCGAGATTAGATGAAAGAGGGACATAGAAAAGTCCCACTGCAGCGAAGTAGGAATGGGATGGTATGGGTATGACTGATCCCTAGAATCAGATGCAAGCAAGAAGAAGAAAGAAAAATGACGGAGGGGGATCTCCTGTGAAAGATATAATAAGAAAGAACAAACACGAATCCATCGGACCAATCAGCTCGCTGATCACTTTTGGAAGAATTTTGATGTATGTAAGTAGTAGGAAATGGAAATGGAATGAAACTCCGTCAACCAAGCCTGTCAGTCGAGATGAAAAGACAACACAGAACAACGCTAAAACAAGCCCCCAGAAGCTAGACAGGAAATAGAGTGGGTAAAAGAGAAAAAAAAATACACCATGAACAGGGAGGTATGGCGCCAGGTTGATGATGCGAATCAGGTCATCGATGAATGGTATACTAACTGTGCATGAAAGGAAGAATAACCAAGTCTACCCTGTAACGCCCATAGCACCCGGGCTAGGACGAGGTCGATAGGGGACGTTCTGTGACTGGCCATCGGCATTTTGTTGACTGCCATTGCTGGTACTGCGTTCACGATGGTAGCTGGGCTCCGGTGGTCCGAAATCCAACCCGGCCTGGGGAGCAGCACTCATCGAATGAGAGTGGCCACTTGGCCCAGGCACATGACGAACGGAACTTTGCATTTGCCAGGCTGCGTCCTGGGAGGGATCGGACTCGATACGAGCGGAAGTTGGGGTGTTGTGTCGGTTGGAGTTGGTGATGGTGAAAGTCTCGCCGCCATTGTCGGGTCGTGTTGAGAAGCTTCCACGGGCAATGTCACCGTACCGTTTAAGGATCTCTTTTGTGGTGACCTCGGCATTTTCTCTGAACAGGGTGGGATCACTGAGGATAGATTGTAGATCCTCGGGAATCTAGATAAGGATTAGACTGGCTTCACCAAGACCTGTTGGTAGTGCTAAAGGGCTACTTACCTCGCACATATTGTCATTATACGTGATCAGCGAATTAACTGCCTCGATGGACAAGAAGCTCTCGTCCACCGTGCTGGCCTTTGCATTTGGATAGAGAATGTTTGGTGTGATGACTGTTGCAAGGTTGTGGATGTCCATCTTGCTTCCAGACTCCTCGTCCACATGCGAGAAGGAGGATGTCCAATTAAGGAAGGAGAAGAGGACTTCCATTGTATCACGGTGAGCCTTAGGGAGGAGACAGCACGTGAGGTGTAGCAGTCGCTTTTGCTTCTCAGGATCGGGCAGTTCTATTAGAGGTTAGCTTGGACTTGACAGAGTATGTGGTGGAACTTACTTTGTGCTGCCACCCAAAGACGATGCAGTTTGAAGGTCATCAATGGATCCGGCATCTCGCGAAGGAATTTCTTTAGAAGGGCCGCAATCTGCACAGGATTCTCCTTCGCCATGTCAACTGACTCATACTTTTTGTCAATAAGCTCGGCGAGATCCTTCAGTCGCCGAATGTTTCCGTTCTTTCGGAAGACACCCTCAACCGACATGTCCATTTGGCGCATCGCGGAAACAGCGTCGTCCACGACCGTGGGGATACGCAACGCTCCTGGTCCAACGCCATGGCTGGACTCGGTTCCTTCCTTCTCCACCAAGTAGTCTAGTGATACTCCAAAGACACCCTTCTTCTTGCCCGCCTTCTTATTATCCTTGAAGGCACGACCGAAGATGTTCCAGACAGTCGGCTTGCGAGACTCGATGAGAGAGAGTAGTTCTTCCATATTAAATTGGCCTTCCAGCAGCGGCTCCATCGACAGGACGGCAACGTGGCGGACGATGAAATATTCCAAAGCAGTAAGCTCGGAGAAGTATCGCTTGGTGCGTGTCGCGGGCTCTAACATCATATCCAATCTCCCGGTGGACATCTCACGCTGATGGCCAGCCTTGTAAACAGGCATCGGCTCCTGGGGTGCCACAAGTTTCGATCCAGCGTGTCTGTATGCATTTGGCCGCTGCTCCTTCGCCTGCTCGGCGGCAACGATCCGCGGAATGTCATCTAAAGTAAGTGCGTCCTGGGCTCCGAATGTCAGATCCTTGACAGTATCGCCATTGGCATCTCTCTCCTCGACGATCTGGAATCCTGGACCTCTAGGATCGCTGCCGTCGTTGCCAGATGATCCCGGTCGTGCACTTCTCCCCTCGGGACCATCGATGATTCGGGATGCACGAGCCTTCTTATATGTCGTAGATAAAGTGCGCTCGTTGCGAATTGAGCGTAGTCGGCGCATCTCACCAACAGTTTGTTCAAGCGATGACTCTTCGAACCCCTCGCGACCACCACCTGCACTATATGACATAGAACGTGTGTTGGCTCGACGAGGTTCACCTGGGTGCACTCGGTGACCTTCTTTGTTTTGATATTCATTGAGATTGGGATCATCCGAGGTGTGTGGCAATGTACCACCAGCACGAAGGACAGCAAGCAATCTGGCTAGAGCAACTCGCAACAGGAACACAAACTGCTGCAGCTTGGTAACTTGAACGAAGCCACTCTTCGCGGCGGATGTCACGTTATGCTGATCAGCACATGCCGAGCAGTACGTGCTCTCCTCGGCCTCGTTCCAGAGAGCTTCAGACAAGTCAACACTCAAGTCCTTTTCACAAGAAGAGCATGATAGATGAGGAGGCTTGAGGTGCCAACGCTTGTCTTCCAGAAGAAGACACTCATCATCGATGGGTTCTTTGCATTGGATGCAGCAGTCTGAGAGCTGGTCCGCCAAACCTTCCACCCCCGCATTCAAGTCAATTGGACCATCTTCGTCGTCTGGCTGAGCAAGAGATTCTGTGTTTGCAAGGTGGCTCAGGAACTCGTGCAGTCCATCGGGTGCTGATTTCTCCCGCTCAAGCTTCAAGGCACCTTGCAGACCGATGCGAATGAGTAGCTTGAGGTAGTGGGCAAGGCCTGTCACTAGTGAAAGTAGCTCCTGCGTCACACCAAGTTTGCGAACTCCAGTCTCCTGGGTTTTTGACAACAAAGCAAAGAATGCCACAATCTTCTTGCAAAGCAGTTTCGCCTCCCGACCATATGACAATTCCTTCGCTCCCTGGGACTTGATGAAGGTAGCCAATTGATCAACGGCTGTGAAAAGAATCTCCACGTGAGCGATGAATCTCTTGGCCACGAGGACTCCGTCAATATAAACGCCATTGCTGACGTGCAAGAGCATGTCTGAGATGCAAGCGGCCGATGATTCTTCGAAAGTCGAAAGTGTACTCCAAATATTGTAAACCTTCTCCTCCATCGTATCCTCTTCCCGGCGAATACGCTCGCGTTCTTCGGGAGAGGCATCTTCATCAAGTGGCGGGGTCTCCCACGCTTGACCAGCAGGGGACAATCGCACATTCCAAAACTTGTGTATCATGTAGCACTCAGGGTGCCAATGTTGATTTTGACCGTTGCGGAAGATCTCGACGAATTGCTTCAGAATCGCAGTATGACAGCCATGACAACGCTGCGCAAAATGTGTCGAATAGTGGAAATGACAATAGACCTTGCCCTCGTGCTCGTAATATGAATCCTGGGCCCCAAATACTGTCGGACATACTGAGCAGGTAAAGTGTTCGATGTGGTACTTGCGATCTAATGCAGTAATATAGGAACCACGCAGAGCACCCCCGCAATCATGACATAACAGGTTCAATCGCCGGAAGTAGTCCGTCTCGCAAAGGGGAAATTGAACACTGTGGTCTTCTGAGTCGACGGGGAAGAATTTAGAGGCGACAATCTCACCACAATCCTAATAAAGGGTCAGCATAAAGATGGAAACATTATCCATGAGAAGCTCTTACCTCGCACTTAAAACACTCCAGATGGAATGTACCACCTAGTGCTCGAACAAACTGACCAGTCAGTGGCTCATTGCACTTCTGGCAGATTCGTGAGGAGCCAGGTGATTTGTTGTGTGATCGTCCATTGGTACGTGAGCGATCTCTCGCAGTAGATCGATCTCGATACCCTGGCTGTTCAGGCTCTAGTCCACGACCTGAGCGATCATCCTGACTGAGTGGGCTATTTCCTCCTGTGCGCGTGGTGGGGGAGTCAAATGGGATTAAACTATCTTCAGGTGAGGTGGGTGTGTTTTTCGAGTAGCTGCCTGCGTAGCCCGAGGTATTTAAAGTTGGAGTGGGCTTGCCTGCGACCAGGCTGGCCGGGAGTTCACCGGGGGGCATGATGGTCCCCCGTCAGAAATTAACAGGATCAAATCGCGAGCACGGTCACACGGTGAACACTGCATGCAAGGGAACTTAAGGAGTGACGGCGGGGTGAGTGTATTATTGTGTCTGGTAAACACAGCAGTGCAATGCGCGCGGAGGAAGGTTCACAAAAGATCGATCAAATCGTACTGTAAGTCCACATTGTTTGGTTAGAGCTGGAGGAGGGTTCAAGGTGATTTGGGACTCTAGTCTTTGATTCAACTCACTCGTCACGCCATGTAGTTCCACCAGGCGGGGTTGAATGTAGCGGGGGAGTAGATTTGGATCTGGTACACGAAAAAGGAGGGTCCTGCAGGGAGTGGTGATCGATATACGCCAGATTGGTGTACAGGATGTCAGGTGCTTGACGCGCGGGTCCAGACGCGGGGGTTCAAGGCTGAGAGCTCGGAGCACACTAGGGACAAAGGGTAAACAGGTCGAAGGTGAATGAAAGGAGGATAGAAGAAACACAGTGTAATAGAGTGTTAGGGGAGGGGGTGTGGGTGGGAAAAGAAGTGGGGGGGCTGAGGAATGAAGATGGAGAAGGTTTGGGTGCTAATTGGACTTGTGGTGCTTCCCCCCCCTAATTGGACTATAATGCCAAAGTATTATTAGGCGCGGTCCCTGAAGTCACGTGGTACACCGCCCCCATTAATTCAATTTGCTATAACTAGTCTAGTACGGGGTGATTAAGTATAGAATGATACTAGTAGGTACCTAGGCATTGTTGAGATACGTTATGAAATTTAGTACCTAGTCAAATCCATTATCTCCGCTTGTAGATGGTCCCAATATGTTGGCGGTTTCCCGACCCAAACATGCTCACTCAAAGGTTCCCCTATGTTTCATGTCACCAGGTTTCAGTTCTACTAAGTATAGAAATTTGGCATAATTTTGTTATTTATTAAAGCATGAATAATTGTAGATTTTGAAAGCTTTACTAGTGAATTGGCAATAGTGAAACGTACGGGACCTGATGGTGTAAGCCATGGTAGTACCGCAAACTATAAATACTTCTATGCCCAAGGATGGCCCTTGGTATATTTGGGTGAGATCTGTGGGTTCCCGGACAAAATGGTTGACTGAACCACGACGTCAATCACGCAAAATTGAATCGTCCTCATCAACATTTCAAAATCAGTTGTTGGAAAAATGAAGGTGGTTTAACAACCGAACATTTATATTCGCTGGCAACTTCCAACATTGGTTCTATCACAACTTCTACAACTACACATCCCCACCCACTAGATCATGCCCCACCACTTCTTCCATCCACATCACATCTCAATTGACTGCGACTGCTTTCTTCGTCAAATCTTACCACGTTTAAACTCGTTAGTATGGCGGATCAGAGCCTGATCCGGATCCTGCGGGTACGCTAGACACGTTCTCGATCAATGCCAGTACTGACACAAGAAATGACATTAGGAAATTCATATGTTTGAAAAGGATGACCAGCTTGGTAGGAAGCGAGAAGCGATAAACCCATCTTGATATTATTGGGGCTGACGTTATTGTAGCGATGACCATTCACTACTGCGAGAATAATGTCCGCCAGATCACTGCTCTCCTTATTGGACCTCCTGACACCCCATACGCTTTTGGATTCTACCAAGTGAGTTTCCAACATCTGATCAGGGCTGAAAGGGTTTGTGCTAAATACCGAGGAAACAGTTGAACATACAGATTCCTCCTGGTACGCTTGATACTACCTCTTCATACTGTGGCTAATTCTGGACTCCAGACTACCCTGCTCGGCCTCCAGCTGTGACGCTCCGAACGACAAACATGGGCAGAACTCGCTTTGGCCCTAATCTGTACTCAAATGGCAAAATCTGCTTGTAAGTGTATTGATCTGCTCCTTCCTCAGCTACCACTCACCTTCGAACAGGTCAATCATCGGGTAACTTTTAGCTTGCTGTCGGCTTTAGTCAATCGCTAAACATTTAAAGGACATGGCCTGGCCCACCAAACGAGGCGTGGTCTCCCGCCCAGGGCCTGGAGTCTGTTTTGCTCTCAATTCAGAGCTTACTCTCCACGAATCCGTACACCCTGGAGCCTGGCTTTGAAAACCTCGCTCTGCCGCGTGACAAAGAGGCCAGCAAGGTATACAGTGCCAAGGTAAGCATGTAATGAACAGATCAAAGTTCCTCGGCTCAATGATGATAGATTGCCCATGAGAATCTGCGACTCACGGTCATTGCGCCCCTCGAAGTGGCCATGGGCATATCACCAGCTGCATCGCCAAGCGGAGAGCCTCGGCCCAAGAGAGGGAAGGAATTCGACTTAACACTGGGCCCGTTTGTTGATTTCTGCAAACAACGCTTCCTGTGGTATCGAGAACAATACAAAATGGCGATGCAAGCTGGAATTGATGGCGTTGACGACGAAAAGCCGCGCAATGGCCAGTCTTTTCCCCATACATCCTTCGAATCCAGTGAAAATTGCATGTCCGGCGAATGGAACTACCCAAGCCTGATGAGGCGTTTTGAGGTTCTGGAGAGGGCCATGATGAAAGAAATCAATCACTGGCCCAGCGCTGGCCTGGATCTCATGAAGCGGGAGACCAGCCTCGCAGTGAACTTACGCGCTCAGCAGGAACAAGTCGTCTCGGAGCTGGCTCTGCGCTCGGAGTCCATCTTCGACTTGGCTTTGGTTGATGACAACCCTTTTCTCTGGCTGATGACATACTTTGGTCGCTCAGGTACCCCGGTGGATGATGGCGTTTTCCAGATTAGGATCCATATCAGCCCTGACCACCCGAAGGTTCAACCTCGAGTGTTCATGGAAACCCCATTGTTTCATGTTCGTGTGTCGACGGATCAGATGCTAATCTATCTTCCCGTACGTGCTGATGAGATGATCCGTCATATCGAGGGTATAATGTTCGCTCTGGAGGAAAAATTGCCAATATGCAACCCACTTATGGTCGTCAATCAACATAGCGCTAGGCTTTGCTGGGGTACGCTATGTGAACAAAAGGAGTACACTCGTCGACTTCGTCGATCTGTCGCTGACAGTCTTGAGTAAGTGGCATCTTTTGGACTTCATATGATCATTGAATGCTAATCTATCCAGGAACCTTTGATCTCGAAACGACCCAGGACATCACACCTCCCCTCCGCTGATATCCCCCTTTCCATGCAATATTCAACCTTGATTCCATGATACCCCAGTTTCGGAGGAGTTAAGGATTAAAGCAGTTCAGCTTCGGCCCCTTTGATCACCACACTTGCTACGGCCAGTCGTTTATGGTTATAAGCGCCATAGAAATTTTCAATAAATTCCAAACTTCCAACCTTTTAAGTCGTAGAATTCCAACCCGCGGGCAGTTAAGACCACGATAACGCTTATCAGCGATCAGCTGATCCCGCCCCAAGTTCCTCCCCTTTTCACTCCACACTTCAACCCCTAACCTCATTCAATCACAATGTCTGCAAAGAGCCGCAATTTGGAATTAGGCAACGTCCTCGTGGTCGGCGGCTGCGGCTTCCTGGGGTGGCACATCGTCGATCACCTCCTGAACTTCCCCTCCGAAACAGACCCTAGTGTCGCACTGCCTAAGGTCACTGGTGACGCGCGCTTCGAGGTGCCAACACTCGGCTCCCGATTCCCGAACTACAAGGCCAATGTTTCGGTCGTTGATCTGCGCACCACACACAATCGCCTCCCCGGCGCGACCTACTACGATGGCGACATCACCTCCGTTGAGTCCATGCTGGAGGTTTTCCGCGCCGCGAAGCCGGACGTTGTGATCCACACTGCAACCCCGTCAGTTCTCGATGGAAACAAGCCCCTGCTGTACAAGGTCAATGTGGAGGGAACCAAGACTCTGGTTGAGGTTGCTGGTGGTGAGCACGGAGATTGGGGTGGCAAGTGTAAGGCTTTCGTGTACACCAGCTCTAGCTCCGTGGTGCACGATACCCAGAGCGACTTGATCAATGTCAACGAGGAGTGGCCTCTGATCCGCGGCCCACGCCAAAAAGAGTACTACTCCGAGACCAAGGTACGTCCAGCTCCATTTTGTTCCCAATTGTAAGCAACGAGCTAATGATCTTCCCCTCAGGCCGATGCCGAAGAACTCGTCCTCAAGTATAACCGCAAATCTCCCACCGGAATGGTCACTGCTGCGATCCGCCCCGCTGGTATCCTGGGCGAGAAGGACACAACAGTCACCCACAAGATCCTCGAGCACGGTGCTAAGGCCTCCTCTACCGTGCTGAAGATGCAGCTCGGCGACAATGATAATCTGTTCGACTTTACCTACGTCGGCAACATCGCCTATGCACACATGCTAGCTGCGCACCGCCTGTTGGCTTCCTATACCCGCTACGAGTCCGGTCAGGGCGGGCCCCTGGACCATGAGCGTGTTGATGGCGAGGCGTTCAACATTACCAATGACTCGCCTATTTACTTCTGGGATGCGACACGCGCTATGTGGGCACTTATCGACCGGATCGTCGAGCCTAATGAGGTTTGGGCTTTGCCCGAGGGTCTCTTGGGTACGATTGGTGGTATTGCGGAGACTGTTATGGGATTGTTTGGAAAAACTCCCCGGTTGACGCAGCGCATGGTGCGATACTCATGTATGACACGGTACTACTCTATTGAGAAGGCCAAGTACCGTCTTGCTTATCTGCCTGTCATCCCTGTTGATGAGGGTATCACCCGTGCTGTGGGGTATGTGATTCAGAAACAGCGCGATGAGGAGGGAAAGAAGGCTCTGTAAATGCATTTTCAATCGAGGACTTTGACGGATATAATAGAAAAGTATTGTTGATACTGTATTAATATGGCGACGCCTGAGGAATGACTAATAAATGTCCAAGTTGGGAAGTCCGAATACATCGTAGTTCAAGTATCCATGACCACATGTTCTTCTTGTCTTATCTTGTTGAATGAATAGTGTTCATTGTATACTAAAGCTAGCCCGCAGCTTAAATATACTAAACCATGCCTATGTAAAGTGCATATAAACAAAACATCGTTCATCATTATATCCATTATTCCGAGTCGTGACTCCTCTTGGTATCCGTTTTCAAGTTGCCATGCACCTCAAGCGCACTAAAGTTATCATCTGGAATGGCCTCGCCTTCATGACGAGCAATCTCCACATCAAACGCAGCCGCACTGTGGAAGATACTCTCCATCTCCTCAAGGGACTTGCCCCGGGTCTCCTTCACGAAGAAGAAAACACAAACAGCCATGAAGATATCCAGAGCAGCATAGAAGAGGAAAGTGTATGTACCCCATGCCTTGATCATGTAAGGCGTTGTGAGCGAGAAGAGGAAGTTGAACAACCACTGAGAAGAGACAGCGACCGAAGATCCGATCTCACGAATACGCGAAGGGAAGATCTCGGTCGTGTACGGCCACGGAATAGGACCCCAACTGAACTGGTAGATTGAGTTGCTGAGGAAGATCATGAAGACAGTGGCGATTCCGGCGCTGGAAGGATCTCCCGCTGCGTCGAGGGAGTCGGTTGTCTTGTTCACGACTACAACCACAATGAAGCAGCATGCCATGAGGAGATTGGCGATCCAGAGTGTCGGTTTGCGTCCCCACATCTCCGAGAAGAAGAGAATGTATGTTCCTACTGTGACGAACTTCTCGGCGCCGAAGAGGCCTGTCACGAGAAGGGAGCGGCTGCTGTCGTTGCCGACGATGATCTTGAAGAATTGTGGCCCGTAGTAAGCTAGCGCTGTCATTCCGGTGCATTGTTGGCCGCAGAACATTAGGAATGCGAGGATTAGTCGATAGCGGTTGGCGGGTTGCATGAGCTCCTTTGACTTCAGGCCTTCTGTTGCCTTGAGCTCCTCTTGCAGACCGATTTCGATTTCACGGAATTCAGCCTTGACATCGGGGCCTAGTGGAAAAAAAAATTAGGATCGTTAACAGATGCTCGGAAGAATCGTACTCACCATCATCAGCACGCATCCAAATCAGGTTCTTCCACGCCTCCTCCATGCGTCCCTTCTTTGCCAACCAGCGAACACTCTCGGGCTGGGTGAACAGACCCAACGCCAGAATGGAAGACGGCACCAATTGCAAACTAACAGGAATGCGCCACTCTGCTGATTGTCCTGCGAGGCTCTGCTCAACACCATAATCTATCCAGTAACTCGCCATCACGCCAAAGGCGAAGAACCACTGCATGCCCGAGCCCAGCATGCCACGAATCTCCTTGGGAGCCATCTCAGCACTGTAAGTGGGCACGACGGTGGTCGCACCACCAAGACCAATACCGCAGACTACACGGCCAATATAGAAGCAGACCAGGGAGTGCGACGGGACCAGTTCAAGGACGACACCGATGCAGAAGATGAACATGGAGGCTTGGATGGTCTTCTTGCGGCCATAGCGCTCGGATATGGGGAAGATGAACAATGAAGTGAAGAATGCGCCCACGTTTTGTAGACTGACCATTACTGCGTCGACGGTGGTTTCATCGGTGTAGCCGAAATCCTTCATGTAGGATTTGAATGTGAGAATTCCACCTAGTGTCATGTTAGACCCTGTCCATTATGGGCTGTGTTTTCGACGTACCAACAATTCCGGTGTCATAACCGAATAGGAAACCTGCGAGGCAAATAAAGAAACCGAAGAAATAGGCTCGGAAAGCACCAAGTTTGGTGCCATTTAACCGTCCCATGATGTATAGATGTATAGAAGCACAACAACAAAGAAAACAGAAGGGAAGAGAAAAAATATTTTATGAGTCTGGAAAGCTTTCAAACTCATGGTTTTAAGTTATATTATATCCGAGTTTCTGCTGATCTACAACAGCAGCACGCAACCGTCGCCCATCGATTTCGCCATAGCACGCCATGGCTGGACACGTCTTCCGCTAATCTAACCTATTAAGCTAGGATCTAAGCTTTCTGCTCGGCTCTATTCACTTTGTAAATATGAATTGATATATTTATTATCATATTCTATATATATGTCAACCCCTATCTTATGAATATGAAGGGATATAATATCCCAGCTGAACACCTGTGATCACCCTTTTTTTCTCCGCATTTTGCAAAAGCCCCACACAACCTACGGCATGATCTCATCCGGCTGGTCGGGTCGATCGCCCCGGTCGCTTCAAATGTTTGTATAACTTCACTCATCTGTGGCTTTTTGCTCGTGCTTTTCTTTTCTTTGTGGATTTGAACTTGATCCAGTGCTCAGAGCTTGAGCAGGGGTAGGGCCTCCCTTGCAATGCAGATTGCCGACCAATGATCGAGCCTCATGAATCGGCTGTCGGCTAACGCTAAAAGCCCGGGAACTACATGACCTGTCGCTCATATTTGCCTTTGTGGAGTTCCTGGTCAGCAAGCCTCTAAGTCGCTACAAAGAGTACCATATGACCCTCATTTGCACAAGCCCTGGATCTCCTTAAGGCCAGGCTCCAGTGGATCCCATGCATTGCGCCAGGAGTACGTTGTACTGCATGCTGCGCTCCGAATCTCGTGCCTGTTGGATTGGATTCCATGGCAGGATGCAGTGGATGCAGGGATTGTCCTGATTCGAGCAAACCGAGAGCCTATGGGAAGCTGGGTAATTGATCCTCTGTGGATACATCGTCCGTGCATTTTGAGCTTTGTACGTCTTCCCTGTAGGTCCCACTGGGGCCGTTTGTCGGAAACGCGCAAGCAGTGCCGATCTCAGTCTCTTTATAAACTGGATAGCTTGGGCATTAGTTAAGACGTGCTTTGGTAAGGCCTAGATCGGATAGCAATAACACTCAAAATTGCTTCCAGTAGTAATACCGCAATCGGCGTGGTGGATCAAGGGGTGGTATGCTCTGGACTGGAAGAATCAAAAGTCGAGGCTGGACCTACCCACAGGACCTTGCTTTCATTAAACACCATCTTTTTCTTTCAGTCGATCGAGATTTCCGGGCCTCTTTAATTCGCAGTTGCATCAAAAGCAATATTCTCTTCCATGACCGTTGACTTGAACCTTGCGGATGAGGCAGGGGTAAGACTCGCCACAAAATTGACCGTAGCGCTCCACTCCAGCATCCCTTCTTTCCTTAGCAGCTGCTGAAACTTCGAGAATTAATACTCCGAATGCCGCCACATCGTCGTGCTCTGACTTCAACCTAAATGTCGATAGATTGACCGCTAGCACGCACAGCCTCTGCTTTTTTCTTTCTTGGTGACTCAGCGAGACTAGGTGTATAGTAATCCAGTATCCTCCTTTAGAGGAATAAATTGAGCAGTTCATTGGCCGTCTGCTGCACGATTTGCTCAATTTCGATGCCACACGTGCGACCCGTGTGACAAGGGGTGTTTTTGATACTGTTGCAACATATGCGAGGGGCTGTCTGCTGTGAATACTGTAAAAAAATTGGACACGTACATGAAGTCATACAAGTTTGCCCGATCTTATTACTGTCTTTTGTCCTGGTATCAGGCGTCTCGAAGTTCTCGACTGTTGTGTAATACAAAGGGGAACCGAGATGACCACCATCTGCCCAATTGTCCTTGCCTCCTTATATGCAGTAATCGGAATTTTCATCTTATCCGAACTGATTCTGTGGCGTAAGATCATAGCTGACCGGCCTATACATATGTGTGTATTCGAGGGGCGGTCGAGGTCCTCCTAGTGCTTCAGCTGTTCCAAGGTTTTCGACAAGCGCACACCCGGTGTGCCTTTTTGAGCGATGCCAGTAATTTCTTGGGCGTATCTTGAAGAAATATCTTGGATATGTTTTACATAGATCATCTGGATGTCTATTGGTGGCGATCTCAAGGGTACCTGTTGTTCAAATTGGTTCATGGATTGCCTGGGTAAGAGTCAACAGGTCCACCACAAGTTTCCAAGGTTGTAGTGCGTCAAGATACATGTATATCCTTCAATAAGAGCCGCAGTTAACATTTAACATTCGTATGTAATTATTGGAGATACATATTCTCAAATGATGACTGGCACTGGATGGAAATTCTGTATTCTGTACGCTACTGTACGACTTTAGCTTCTATCTTTGGCTTTGACCCATCATAGTGATTAAATGAAGCAAGACGGGTTCCAGGTCTCTCGGCATGTCATTGATATTAATGATCCTACCTTGATATTCTTGCGATGACAAGTCCGAAATTCCTGTGATCCAGTGGATAGCATCAGATACATCCGTGCTCATCCAGATAGCAGGTAACAGCGAATCTAGTATTCCGTTTTCTGGACAACATGTCGTTATTGCTCGTATCTTCCCAGGGGTATGCCGGATCGACCTTCCGTAAGTAGATAGAAAAAGAGAGTGAATCGGCTTGTATAGCGTGGAGATAGTACGCCTATTCAGGAATTGACGCCGGGTTCGAATGGTACTTCGAGGTATTATGGCCTTATTGGAGATCCTGCGATGGGGTCAAGATCTTTAAGAGGCGCTTTGGGAGGGGTTTCTGAACCTAATCCAGTGTCGCATATGGTCGTGAGCGGGGGCGGGCGCAACTATGGGCTCGGATATGGAATATCGCATTGGGAATCAGACACTTGATCTAGCTGATGTGTGTTTTGTGATATCGAGATGTCGGTTTAGGAAGGTTGATTGTAAGATTTACAGGGCTGATAAGCCTGATAGGGTTGATTGGTGGGCATCGGGTATCGTGTAAGATCATGTAAGAGGGCGTTATCAAGGTCATAGTACTTCGTATTGAAGTCACGAGAGTGGTAGGTGCGTAGTGGGTCTTGTGGATGTTCCCTGTTTCGGGGAGGTATGGACAATCTCCAATCGTCGATCATCGTGGATCCCCTTTATCATAGCAATGCCGTCTTGCGGACCGGTCAAGGCTGTAGGCCGGTTTCAAAATCGAAGAAATGTTTTTGATATATGAAACCTGGAATGGTCGATTAATTACATTCCTAGCATATACTTCCACTATCTTCTATTCACTCGTCACTTCGCTCGTCCCGATAAGTATGTCGCATTGGCCATAGTTGTCGCAAGGGTAATGTCATTTGGGTGATCCGAATGGGTTTGGCGCGATGGTATGTATACAATGGTCGCATGGTAATTGGATCCTTAGCAAGGGTGGTTCCGCATGGGTCGCAGCAAGGGTTTTTGAAAAGGGCAAAGGGCAGGATTAGTGTCGTATAAATGGATCGTGGCGAGGGCCGTGTTGAGGGCAGGGCTGCTAATTCTAGGTGCCGGGTATATGGGCGGTATTAAGTTGGCGGGGCTCCGGGTTGCTCAGGGTGGCTGGTTTGTCGCAATGGGGATCGCTGGCGGGGTTTAGGGATTAGACACTCGGACCATGGTCCTTCTTCTTGTCTTCCGTGACGATCTCCACCTCGGAAAGGTCATCGGCAATAGCCTCAGTGACCGGGCCAGTGTAGACGGCTTTTCCACGGATGTACCAGTAAGCCGTGGAGAAGACTAGAACGGCGACCAAGTAGACACAGGCGTAGTTCATCTGTAGTCATGTCAGCAAATATAGCCAGAAAGGGCGTAATTTAGTACGTACGTTGTCTGCAAGGGCGGGCATATCGGTTGGCAGGATGAAGATGACGCTCACAAAGAGGGTCCACAGGCAGGCATAGGCATTCACCAAAGTGCTGAAGGGGCCCATGTGCCATGGCCCAGGCTCAAAGTTGCCAAAGATCAACTTGCACATGATTGGAATGCAGTAACTCCAGTCCAAAGCAATGGCGCAGAGAGTGAAAATACCGCTAATGGCAATGTAAGATCCCAATCCAATCAAGTTGATCGCAATGCAGAAGAACACGGAGATCCAGACGGCGTACAAGGGAGTACCAGTCCAGGGGTTGACCTTGATCCAAATATTGGAGAAAGGTAGCATGCGATCACGGGAGAAGGCGAAAACGGTTCGCCCGAGGGACTGCATCGCAGTGAAGGTAACAAACTTGATGATGACAAGGCCCGCAATGGTAAAGAAAATACCGCCACCCTTACCAAGACTGTTGTAGAAGATTTGCGCCACAGGCTGCTCAATTTGGGAGTCGAGAATGGCAGAAGGGTCACCCATGCAGAAGCAAAGGACAATGTTGAACAGGAATCCCGCGACGTAGGTGAAGAGCATAGCGGTAGAAATGGCCCAAGGAGCCTTTTTCTCGGGCTCGCTCATCTCCTCGGTGATGTGGGCAGTTGCATCATAGTCAGTCATGGTCCAGCTAACAGAAAGGAAACCAAACAGCCAGCTGAAACCAACGGGCTTCCAACCGCTGGAGGTTTCCACATGAGTGAACACATAGCTCGCGTCGTGCTTGTCTTTGGTCAGAACCAGTAGAGCGATAGAACATGCCACAAGCACAGCGATGTGAAAGATCACGTAGAACTTGGTCATCTTCTCCATCCAGTAGGTCGACAAGGAGTTGACAGCACCAGTCGCCACGGTCAAAGCAGCCATGACACCAACAGTTGTGTCGGTAGTAATGGTGTAGTTGAAGTCCCGGCTCATCGACACAGCCGCCAGAAGCATCTGGGCAGCGCCGTACTCGGACGAAGCCACACCAGCTACTTGACCAATGAGATTGAGCCAACCGGTGACCCAGCTGATTGAGGGAACCCATTTAGAGGGGGCCATGCGAGAGATAGTGAAGTATAATCCACCAGAGGTGGGATAAGCAGAGACCAGTTCAGCCACGGAACACTAAAATCCAATCAGCCTATGATATCAGTAGGGAAGCAATCGTTCTTACCGCAATACACATACAGCCAGCACCAGAAATGGCCCAACACCATACCACCGCACTACTGCCACCAGCTGCCAGCGGGTACGACAAGGTAGTCATGATGGTTGAGAACAAACCACTGATACTGACTGCGAAAGAGAAGGTAGCCAGGTATCCAAACTCACGCTTGAACACCGGGTTATAACCAAACTTGACAGCAAGTTCATTATCTTCCTCAGTCATATCGGCGACGGCGATTTTCTTGTGTTGACCATCTGGACCAACGATCTCGACTTGTCGAGTGCTATGACGATTCCGCATTTCATTAAGGTCGGCCGCGTTAGCGGTAGTGATATCCGCCATGATGGATATTCAAGTTGATTTCCAAGGGTTTCGGGGAAGGGATGGTAGAGGGAATAAATAGGAAGCAGAAATGAAACGAAAAAGGAAAAAGATCGCGGGCCGAATCTTTTTCATCTTTTTTTCTATTTTTCTTATTTTTCTTATTTTTCTTCGGTGGAGTCCGTAAGAAACCGGGTTGTACAAGATACGTCTTCGCCGACCCGCATGGGGCTTGTCAAAGTTTGATGGCTTCATTCTAACATGTTCTTATTGGTTTATCAATACTTAGCGAGTGTCTCGAACACAAAACCACATGGTCCATGGAGGGGCTAAAAGCTTCAGATCTTGTATTAACCTATCATATGAAGCTTGTGATTGGGTCCACTATAGATAAACGTTTTCTATTGGTGAACCTCCTATCAACTTCACGCTAACGGCTAAGACCTTCCTATTGAAAATTACTCAGGGGGTAGTCCCTCGTTTCTACCTCTTTACTAGCTTCAAAGAATCAAGTAATCTATGATCGCATGATTCAGATGTTCAGAGATAATCTTATCATTCGGGACTATGCCGAGCCTTCATATCTGCACAAAAGTCCCAGAAGAAGAAAAAAAGCCCCATAAACCATCAACCTCGGCTTAAAGCGACACGGGGTTACACCATGATAACAGAATCGGCGAGCGCAAGCGACTCGAATCTAGGCAACTCTCCTCAGTAAGGTCTTCAATACCTTATCTTGCTTGGCGACGGACCGGCCAAAGAACTTTGTTGATGCCTGGGTGTAATTGGATAATTCTTTGCGGCTGTTGAAGCGCTGAGGGGAACGGTCCTCTTCCCAGCATTCCAAAAGATCGATGATGTTGACATAGACATGCGACAGGGCCTATGCAAAACATATCGTTAGCTTGATTCGTCATACATGATATATGGACCCACTTTGCGACATTTGGTGATTGAGGGAAGGTCACCAGGAAGGTCCAGCTTGTGACACATTTGCTGCCAGGTTCTGAGATCATGTACTCGATCTCCAATTAACAAGTCATAATACTCAAGCATGCATCGATTCCAATTCTTTCTCCAATTTTTGGATCCATTCTTCCAGTGTCTCCACTGGGCCAAACGGTAGAACTCCATGCTCACTGGGTTGTCGGGCTGGTGATCAAAGCCATGGAAGCTTGAGAAGAAAGATACTTCTGTAGATGTTGAAGGAGAATCAAGGAGAGGGCTTGGTACAATAGTCATCTTGAGATAATCAACAGATATGGGAACCTTGAAATGTTGAAGGAAGATGGTGAAGGAAGATGGTGAAGATGGAGAATTATGACTACCATGATTTTTGGTAAAAAGTAGGCAAACGACTAGACAATGCATTAATCATACAATCAAACTTCATTAAATATCATCCCGGAAGACACGATTGCAAGTAACCTTTCATTTGGAAACTTCGATGGACATTCGGGTGAAGGAAAGCGCATGTCCAAGGCACTTTCACAGTTCGAATTTCCAAATCGACTATTGCTTCAATGTTCTTCACTGGGAATCTGGCAGCAGCCATTGTTGCGCTTCTTGGTATCGCCGCCTTTTACTCATTTACCCTCGGTGGGACTTTTGACTATGTGGTGGTTGGTGGAGGCACAGCGGGCATTGCCCTTGCAGCACGCCTAGTCGAGCACGGCTTTCGAGTTGCCCTCGTCGAAGCAGGTGGCTATTACGAATTAAAGCACCCCACTGCTCGAGTGCCAGGCGCCGCTATTCTAGGCATTGGTGCTGACCCCAAGATATCATCGCTTGTCGACTGGAAATTCGTGGTCCATGGGGGTGAAGGTACAGCCCATCGCGACATCCATTACCCAAGGGGGAAGTGTATGGGCGGGTCGTGAGTACATCATACCAGTTTTTGACCACATCATCGGAGGCTAACCTTCCCTTTCAGATCAGCGGTAAACTTCATGATATACCAACGGTCAGGATCTGGAAATCACAACGGCTCATAGCTAACGTTCGAGCAGACCGTCGGAGGAAGCCATGAGAAGGTGGGCAGAACTCACCGATGACCCAAGCTTCCTCTTTGAAAACACGCGTCCTTTCTATCAAAAAACAACAAACTTCACACCTCCCGGATTTCGAACGGGTGTCACAATTCTCTACAATGAGTCTGCCTTCAGTCCTTCGGGCTCGCCACTGCACGTGTCATATCCGCAATGCACCATGCCGTTTTCCCTTTGGGCGCAGCAGGCTTTCTCAGAGGTCGGAATACCCGAGGCAGAAGATTTCAATAGCGGTTCCATTCTCGGGCATCAGTTCTGCGCGATGACCATTCGAGACACAGACCAAAGCAGAAGTAGCTCCGAGTCTGCCTTCATTGGAGCGCCATATTTGAGAGATTTGACCATCTATCAAAAGACCATGGCAAAGAGAATTTTGTTCAACAAAACTCGAGCGGTCGGAGTAAGGGTCAAGCAATTTCTGACACTCACGTTGAAGGCCAGAAGATAGGTTATAATCTGCGCAGGTGCATTTCAGTCCCCACAACTCTTGATGGTTTCAGGCATCGGTCCTGCCGACTTGCTCCACCAGCATGGAATCAAAATTATTGCCGACCGTCCTGGCGTGGGTCAGAACATGTGGGATCATGTTTTCTTTGGGCCTTCGTACCCGGTCGCCGTGAATACTTTCACCAAGTTGACACAGAGCAAGGACGAGCTTTTAATCCAGATTGCGTATTTCTTTTTGTGTCAAAAGGGACTCTTGACCAATCCATCAACCGACTATCTTGCATTTGAAAAGCTTCCGCCCCAATACCGATCGATTCTGTCGGCTCAAGACGAGCAGGAACTTTCCTGGTTTCCGGCAGACTGGCCTGAAGTGGAGGTGAGATAATTCAGCCCATCACAACAAAGACATCAACTAATGTTTGTAGTATCTAGCCGCTGCGGCTTATGTAGGAAACTACTCAAATCCCCTTGGACAGCAGCCTAGAATGGGCCAATATGGAAGCATTATTGGCACTCTCGTCGCGCCCACCTCACGTGGGAATGTGAATATTCAATCAGCGGACATGGCTGATCCACCGATTATCAATCCAAATTGGTTAGAGTCCGAGACGGATCAGAGAGTTGCAGTTGCTTCCTACAGGCGAATCCGCGATATATTCAAGACTGAGGTTATGAAAAAGGTGCTCACAGGAACGGAGTACTTTCCAGGGCTCGAGGTCGAAACGGACGCGGAGATACTCGAAGTGATCAAGCAAACGATGACGACCATATACCACGCTGCATGTACCTGCAAAATGGGGATCAAAAAGGATAGAATGGCGGTTGTTGATAGTCGCGCAAGAGTCTTCGGGGTGTCGGGTTTGAGAGTAGTGGATGCAAGTGCATTTCCATTTTTACCTCCGGGTCATCCTCAATCCACAGTTTGTGAGTCACTCTTCTTTTATGGCCTTGTCAGTATATTAACAGACTCGAAGACATGCTGGCTGAAAAGATTGCAGCCGATATTGCAGGCTCGTAATTGTGTACAGGGATGGGAGCTTTGGATCCAATTATTAAAGAATGCTATTATATTTTTAGCCGTTACCAACTCTCCTCTAGATACATTTGATTCAACGTGTCGAACATATTGTAATCACTGGGTAGACAATCTGGAGAGAACGCGAATCCCAGATTATTCGCAAATATCTCGTCCGAATTTGGACAGTCCTGCACACCCTCAGAGGGGTAGCCCAATCCAGGAATACCAGGACGGCTGAAACTGGATGCTTGATGCAACGACAGAGGCTTTTCGAGTTCGAATTGTAGCGGATTATCAGTGGCACATGCTTTCGCATTGATGATATCATCAAATATGTCAAGATTAGGAACTGTGAAATCCGTCGCTGTGGACTCGAATCCCCGTGGTGGATCTTTCCCATTGACTTCGCTCTCCTGCGGCATAAAAGGTAGGTGTTGAGATCCATATCGCTGGATATACACCTTCTCCAGATTCCTCCCAATACGCTTCGCGATGTTCCAGGATGTGGATAGCTCTCGCAGAACCTGGAAGCATAGTGCAACGGCGGCATGTGGGGGTAACTGGTGCCCATTCTCTGTGGGTGAATGCTTAGCGACAGGTTTCATAGAGCAACATAACTCTATAAGAATCAGTGCTGTTGATAACGTGCAATGTGTAGCTGTGATGGGACTGAGCTTGAAGCTGCCAAAGGTCTGTCGATACTTTTGTGCGATGCAGCACATGTATCGAACGGAATTGCCACAGCTCGAAAGGGCTTTGGTGTATCGTGTATTTCGTGTTGTTTTATCCTCGCTTAGTGGTGGAAAAACCATGGTGTCATCTTTGGGGTATTGTAGATTGTGGGATATGAATGGGGAGCAGAGTAGGATCATTGCCTGGTGGTAGACCATGGACAATGTATATGCGTGCGGGAATCGAGAGACCTCTGATGCACGGATGACCTTTAGCTCAGATGGCAAGTCGTAGGACCATGTTTTGAGTTCAAGAATGGTGGTGTCGAAGAATGCGCATCGTTGATGGCAGTGAAGAAGTGGTTTGGGGGACCATCTTTTAGAGTTAGCAAAATCCAAATTAGCGTTGATTGGATCCTTACAGAGAACGAAGAATCTTCTCAATGATGCGGCATAGATCAATCATTGATCTCTGCAGCTGAGTGACGGCCTTTTGATTAGCTGCTCGTGGTTGGCCATTCGCAGAAGGCAAATGAATGTTAGAGACACATTCCAGATCAGGCTTATTCACAGCACCTTGCGAGTCCTGGTTGAGAGATGATCAGTTTCAGTGCAGTGCAGGAGTTTGAATAACATACCAACAAAGTACAGACCCTACCTGTGTAGCAGGCCGACAGTTTGTCATGGCAGTACAATGCCCAATATATTTGCCTTCGCAACTCGATTTCAATCGCCGGAAGGGAAACAGTCCCTGTAAGAACTACAGGGTCCATGTTGAGTCCCATATCAATGGCCAGACGATTGGCCATTCCTTGTTGAAGCCAGCCTGCGGCATCAGATCCCGTTGCCTGGAATTATCAGTGATCAAGCTAGGCCTAGCGGACAGCTGGGTAACTCACAATGTAATACAAGCCCATGATGGACAGGGATTGGATTGTTGTGATTTTGGGCCAGCGAAGGTCATTTTGGATGAGTCTCTCTGCTGCGCGAATGAACATTTTACCTGCTGTGTTGGGGTCATTTGGGTCTGTTCGGACCTCGATTCGATCACAATAACGAGAGCCAACGGCAAGGATACAATTCAGCAAGAGAGGACTGTAATACCGGCCTCCGGATGCTAAACTTTCACGAAAGAGCTGCTCATTCACAACTTGAAGCCATGGCTGGTCCCAGTCGAAGTAAAGGTTAATTAAGTGGGCTTGTAGCTCTTTTGATATCGAGGGTGCATCATGCTCGAACGGACTTTCGTGAGCTTGCGTTACACAATGTGAGGATAAATTTGAGGTGGCGGGCGTGGCTCCAGACCCTCCTGTATAGGAAGCATCAGTTGGTGGAGTATCTTCCCCGGGAGAGGCTATCCATTTATCAGCATTTGTCTATCCGAATTCGAAGATGGTCATCTGCTCACTAGTAGCCGAAGACTGAAACAACAAGCGTCCACTGGTCGGTCCAAAATAACGCACTTCGCCATCCTGATCAAAGTTCAAGGATTCATCTATAGTGAGTGCACCATCAAAAGTAACGCATAGATCATCCACACGCGATCCATGTTCAAAATCTGCCGAATGGTTTGAAAGTTCATTCTCGGCCATCAGTTCTGCCACGGAAGCTTCTGCATCAATTCCATGATTTCGCAAAACACGCTCTAAGAGCTCGATTCGGGTCCGCAACATCACTACATATGACTTCGGCGCTGGTTGCCTTCCATCTTCAGCGGTGGAATATTGGCAGCGACCGCCGCGATCAAGACACCGGGAACATGACGGTCGTACACCATCACACTTCACGCAAATGCGTTAATGTTCATTGATCTAGACTTTGACAAGACAGGAATTACCTTTGATCGTCGTCGACGACACTCCTCACAGGCTCGAGATGTATACTTTCTTCCGGCGCGTTTGCGCTTGGCCGATGGATCATCCTGTATGGCCGGAGGATTGTACTGAGACGGATCCATCTTCTGATTCCATATAACTGGAAAAAGCGACCTACAGGATTAAAGGATAGGATTATGAGGCAAGGATGAGCGGCGTTTGACATTACAAAGCAATTTTGACACCTTATATATGAGGTGTCGAACTCTGCGGCCTTACGCGAGTAGCTTCGGCAATGCTCCACTTAGAGCTCATCAGAGTTGTATCATCAAGCAACGAATCCTCTGTCACACAAGCCCAGATTACGACAGATTAATTTCCCAATACGACGAGCCTGAAGAATGGGAAGATGGCTCGCAACATACGCTGTAATGCCTGGTTACTGTGGTAGTTCCTACGCTACGCGGTCTAAATACAGTCCCTCACTATCTGTTGTGCTCGAGAATCAGTCACAACCTGATAGTCTTAAGATGCTCCAACTTCCTTAATGGGAGGAGAAAAGATTATACGACCAGGATCCAACAACCTGTATCCACTATCGTATCGAGTGACAAGTGACATCGGCATTGACGTATGGTCCCGGACGAACAAAAATGTCTAATTGACTTCTTTTGCCAGTTTGAATAGCAGAGTGGAGTCCAGCGTCTGGTTTTTGGGTGTATGGTACGCCCACTCAGAGTCAAAAGCAAACGCCGTGAAACCAGCCGCTTTGATCTTTTCAAGGATATCCCGCCATAGACCGGGGACAGGGATATGCCAAGTGTGGAATTCACCAGAGAAGATGAGACTACGCTGACTGTTGATCTGGAAGCTGCAGTGATCCCATTGAACGACCTCATTCAGGCCATCGTCGTGAAGAGGCCACTTGGCCTAGAAGATACGAGTTGCTCGAGTCGTCTTGAATGCCGCTCGAACTGCAGCTGAGAATTCCCAAGCTGCCAATTGATTGTTTTGAGCTGACGACAGCCCAACTGGGACTTGTGGGAGGGGGGAACTTATTGTTGCATTGGACTCATACTTTGTGCAGAAACTTGCCTCTCAGAGGACAATGTAGGTCAAGGAAATCTGCTATTGTAGCTAATCAGACTTAGTCTGCGTCAAGGCTGGAGTAACAGGGATTGGAGCGAGATTCCGGTGGAGCTCAACTCTACCCCGCGCGAGGGCCCTGCAGCACTTTTGGTTTAAGCGAGTACCAATTGGGCAATGATGATATTTCCCCGCAAGTTAATGGGGAGCAGCAGTAAAGAGAATATATTACCGCAATGTCTACCGTGAGTTTGCTCCGCAGAAGCACATGCAATTCGGCATTATATATACCGACAATCAGCTCTCAGTGAACCTTGTCTACCGCTTAGAGCACCAATTATAGACGACCTTCTTTCATTAAAAAAAATAATCGTGCTCCTACTTAGTTAAAGGAAGATTAGATCTGACTAACATCGGGATATCATTAGTTATTTCGGCTGGCTTTGTGAGAAGGGGTATGAAAACCCACTACCCCCTCGGTATTGTTGCAGCCGATGCCATGGCATAAAAGAGAGCGACACTAGGTAGTGGTAGATATCTTCTATCCTTGGGGGAGATAGATATTTCACTGACTGTATTCCCTTCCGCGGGAGACGTTCTCAGCAAAAATCCAATTATTGCCGGGTCTGGAGAAATTTCTTCGAGCGGTAGTTGCCAATCATGCGCATTCTCGTCATTATAAGTGCCGTTTTACAGGCGGCATATGTCGTCGCGGATCAGCCGTACGCTCTGCGGCTCATGGATGCGACTCCGGGCATGGCAATTGACCAGCCGTCACCGCGATTCGCGTGGGCATCATCTTTTGAGCAGAGGGGATCAACTCAGTCGGCATACCAGATACAAGTGATAGACGCGAAAAATCACGCAGCATGGGACTCGGGTCGAGTCCAGTCCGCAGTACAGGGGGGCATCGACTACACAGGACCCACCCTCAATTCGTGCAGTGCCTATACGTGGAGGGTGCGTGTGTGGGATCAAAGTAGCGAGCCGTCTCATTGGAGTGCCGCGTACGAGTTTTCCACAGCATTCTTCAATGCCTCAGATTGGAGTGCCGATGCCATCTGGATCAGCGCGCCGCAGAGCCGTGTTGGCCTCGCGGGAAGCAACTGGATCAGCCCACCAACTGCATCTTCCAGGACGATGGTATCCAGAAATTTCTCTCTTGCTGGCGATAGCGTGGTAAGCGCACTTACGACAGTGACCGGTGAGGGCAGCTTTAACCTCACAGTCAACGGACTGGTAGCTAAGCGGTTCAACGGCACGTGGGAGGACGGTGTGGTGGACCTGGATCTAAAGAAATTCCTCCAGAAAGGATCAAACATCATTTCCATTTCAGCTCCATCATGCGCCCCAGCCGTGGTCCTGCGGATGGAGATACGAAAATCCGACGAATCCTGGCTTCTTGTGGTAACAGATAACACCTGGTTTGATGAGGAAGGCGAGAGTGTCACTATCCTAGGCGACTACACGCAATCTTCCTTCGCGGGCATCGGGATCCTTAAGAAGAACGGTGCCGTCAATGACCAGCCTTCATCCTTTCGCAAGGAATTCATTGCTAAAAAGGGCGTAAGAGTTAGCCGTGCAACGCTGTACATCGCTGGCCTTGGCCACTTCATTGCTTACCTCAATGGCCAGCGAATCGGAGCCAACATCATCGACCCGGGATGGAGCAACTATGACGACAGGGTATACTACGTGACGCTGGATGCGACGGAGCTCATTCACCCAGGTCTACAGAACGTGTTAGGTGTTCAGCTTGGAAATGGCTGGTTCGATTACCAAACAATGCATATATCAGAGCGCTGGGGCTGGGGCGAGTCTGCAGTATTTATCCGGAATTGGGGAGTCATGCGTATGTTTGCGCAGCTCAATATCGAATATGAGGATGGCACGGAGCAAAAAGTGGTCAGCGATCCCGGCTGGACCACAGCTGCAAGCCCCTGGTCGCTGACTACGGCCCACGGCTCTGAATGTTATGACGCCAGAATGGAGCAGCCTGGGTGGAATATGGCCGCGTTCAACGACTCAGCCTGGAAACCTGCGAACATCATCGAAGGGCCTCCTGGGCAGTTACAGGCTCAACAGACGGCGCCGCTTCGAGTGCAAAATACGCTCCAAGGAACAGTGATAATGGAGGGTTCTGATTTTGTCATCTTCGACTTGGGCATCAATATCAATGGACAACAAGAGATCACAATTTATGGACCGCGCAATGCCACCGTCACTATCATCGGAGGGGAACGGATCGACAGTAATGGCCATGTGCAGGCAATCGGAGACTCCAAACAGGACCCTGCCTCCGCAGAATACACGACGTTCTCCACGTTCACTCTAAGCGGAAACGGGAACGAGACCTGGCGACAAAGCTTTTCCACCTCGGGGTTTCGATATATTGAAGTACAGGAAGCAAGGTCAAATGCGGTGGTGGGTGGTCAGGCCGACCTGCCCGTCGTGCTGGGCGCCAGGGGTTATTTTGTCCACAGTGACGTACCCTTGGCAGGGTCATTCAACTCCTCTAACACCAAGTACAACGCGATCTATGATATAGTTCAGCGCACAATGCTGAGCAATCTCGTGTCCATTCACACGGATTGTCCCACCTACGAGAAGCTAGGGTGGCAAGAAGTGGTGTCTAATCTCGCATCATCCTACTCATACATTCGAGATGTCCGGAATTACTATTCTGTCTTGATGACCCATGTCCGCGATAGCCAGCTCGAAGATGGCCTCGTGCCGGACATTGTTCCTGCCTATACCGCAGGGAAGGACGCCTACAATGATGCCCCGGAATGGGGCACGGTGATCATCAATGCACCGTGGGAGCTTTACCAGATGTACGGGGACCCGACCGTCCTGAAGGACAACTACGATGCCATGAAGAAGTACTACGCCTATCTTAAGAGCAGGGCAGGAGACAATCTGATCACTTACGGCTTGGGTGACTGGGTCGCGCCAGCGAATGTTCAGGTCGACAACGTGGCTGGCGCCGTTTATGTAAGAAGCGCTAAACAATTGGCGCAAATTGCGTACATTTTAGGGGAGATTGCCGATGCCCAGGCATTCCAGTCTGACTTCAACGAGACCCGGCAGGCATACAACAAGGCCTATCTTAGCACGGGGAATTGCAGTTACATCCCGAACACGCAGGCTGATCAAGGCCTGCCACTGGCTTTTGGAATTATCCCGGACACCCAGCTTGACTGTGGCTTGTCTGTTCTAGTCTCCACAGTCACTGATGGTGGATACCTAGCAGGCCAGGACATCGGGTTCGGCCCAAATCTCCCTAATCATACCACCATGGGCGACATCTCCATTGGTTACGTACTGCGCGCTCTCAGTGATCTCGGACGCCCTGATATCGTTGAGAACATGATGCTTCAATCTACTCTCCCTGCTTACTGGGCATTGGTCGCCGACGGTCAGACCTCCTTGCCAGAGAACTGGGACTACACTATTGCACGCTCTTTAAACCACGATATGTTCGCTAGTATTATGGAGTGGTTCTACAGGACCGTCGCTGGTATCAAGCCGCTGGAGCCGGGTTTCGCCAGCGTCGCAATCAAGCCCGCAGTCCACCAACTATCACTCACCGAGGTGGAGGCCACGTACCGGAGCATCCGCGGTGACATTAGCGTCCAGTGGGAGAAGACTGCCTCCGGCGACGCTCGAATCTCCGTGAAGATCCCCGGAAACACCGTGGGGTTGGTGTATATCCCGTCAGGCAAATTCTCACCGCGCGATGCAGCTCACTTTAGCAGCGATCAGGGATTGAGGTCAGTTAAGCAGGATGGGGATTACGTGGTAGTGGAGATCGGGTCTGGGAATTATACTTTCGATTTCGACCTTTAAGGACTACTCAGTAGCTAGTTCAAATTGCGAGACAATGCGCGTACGGGTGTCGTCAGGGGATCGCGTGGGCATCGCATGAAGATTCAGCATCTCGATCCAGACCTCATGATGGAAGTCAAGTTCTCATTTTATCTGCTTCCTAGCTTAACTTCTCATGCAAAAATTCCAAGGTCACCGCATTTGCTTCCTCCGCGACCGGCAGGCCAGGGAGAAAAGTAAAACCATGAGTGGCACCAGGGTAGATCTTCACGATAGCCTCTCCACCGGCAATGCTCCACTTAGAGCTCATCAGAACTGTATCATCAAGCAACGGATCCTCTGACCCACAGAGGAAGATAGCAGGTGGTAACGACCCAGTAGAGGGGTCTGCAACAAGTGCGCGTAGATCCTGATATAGTGGGGAAACACGAGGATTTTTGAGCTCGGCGATGCTCATGCCCGGCACATATAGATCATTGGACCGCTCCATGATTTTCAAATTTATCATGAGGGACTTGGTCGAATTTATCATCGTGGGAAGACCGAGAGCAAGATCGAAATATCCATAGGGAAGAATGAGTCCCGATAATTTGTAAGACAGTCGTGAGCGCATCAGCTGTAGAGCTGAGAGAATGGCAAGACAGCCCCCTGCTGATTCTCCACAGATGAACTGAAGAGGGGCACCAAATACCTCTACCGCGTAGTCTACCATGTATTCAGCAGCATCGATGGCGTCGTGAGTAGCGGCCGGGTATGGGTGCTCTGGTGCCAGACGGTATCCTACTGAGATGGCCGTCAACTGGCACTCGTTGGCGTATTTCCGTAGGAGGGTATCGAAGCTATCCAAAATGTTAACATTTACTAGTAAATACAGGTACTAGCGAAGGTGGGGAAATCACTGTTTGTGCGTTCCTAGTACAAAACTGCCCCCATGAAAGTGCAAGAAGACGCCTTTGCTGGGTTGACCATTATCAGGCCTGTAGATGCGGATGGGTATCTCGCGACCAGCTTTTCGCGAAGGAATTGCACCATCCAAAGCCCCCGGCAGAGAGATTGGCTTGGGTAGCCAAGTCTGGCCAAGCTCGACCATTTCACGATATTTTTCAACGCCAACCTCCCACCATCGGGGCCCATTGGTTCCGATCTTTTCTAGGAGTGCTGCGGCATTCTTCGTTGGCTCTGTAAAGCTCTCTGGGCTGAATTTGCAGATATCAAGGATCATATCGCTGGTGATCGGCATCGTAAAGAGAATCTGAGGGATTTCTGCGTTAAATTCAAAGAGAAATCCATTCCGAACCCCTTCAAACCAACATTAGGCTACGGGCTCGATGGGGGGCGATATTGGACTTTTGCCCGTTTTTCTTTATGATCCATGACTCGTGTTATCGTGTTGCGTGTTGCCAGTCCAAGCTATTCCAAAATTGGACCCGGATTTGGGGGCAATCACATCTTTACACCAATCATCAATAGTAATTGGAGCTTGCAACGCATACCTTCCCTGTTTCCACTAACATTCATTAGCTACGACTGCTATTCCGGCCACCGAATACCGATATGCAAGGCTTGGCCAGTGTTGGGGGCCAAAATCCCCCATCAATGGTGAAATATGGCAACGGCCGCAGCATGATCTCGGACGATCCATTTTCTACTTGACCACCATTTCAAATAAACGCTCAGTCAACGGCTGTATGAAAATGCCTGTCGACACCAGTCTCTGGTGGTACATCGGGGGGCTTCATGATTTTTCCGTTCGTAGCAAACGAACATTGTGGAGTTCCCAAATATAATAGAGTGGCAGTCGTTAATGTGGGTAGTTGGACACTTATGGAGCTTTGGGCCATTTTGATTGTATGCCATCCTCAGATTGGAATGTTACAGGAGCCTTGTGCGTGTTGAAGATTGGCTAAATTCAGACATTTGGGTAAATGAAGTAGGAATTTAAATGAATATGCCTTTAGTCTATATAGAGGGATCTCGGGATACGCGACACGGCCCATTTACAGTCTACCCACGGCTTCGATGTCCCGAGGTCGTCCGGTACGGGCAATCTCAAGACTACGGCACCTAATCTTTTTAGACAAGGATCCAAGTTACTTTTATTAGGGGTACTGTGGAGTTGACTTTCTCTAGTTGAACTCAATCATGCAACTTGAAGATCCCTCTCCTTGTTAGCAAAGAGAGGGGCGAAACTACCCCGCTGTCTCCATAGCTCAACCCGACACCCGACTAGAAACCGGGTACGAGACAGAATAAAACGAGATTTTTCACAATTATGCGATGTTCATCAATTCTCCTTTCCATGACCGCCTTCAAAAGAATGGTCAGATAATCAGGAGACTTGGTAGTTCCAGTGGCTACTGTACTGCCCTTTCCTGGGTCAACTCATGTGAGAACAAGATCTACATACGGAGTATGTATATTTATAATCTGTCATAAGGTTTTGACTTCAACCTTTTTGATTCTTGAGGTCTTGGCAAGTTTACTAGGCGTGAGCGCTAGCGTCTATTATGAGTGACGGACTGCTACTTCAGTCCGGAGCTGATACCTCTTCACCAGCCCAGAAGAGAAAGAGGAAGACTGCATTTCATTGCATATTGTATTATTAGCCTTGCTTACAAGTATGTCGTAATTAACATTCTTGTCAGTGGCAAGTAGTCCACGTGAGTGTTTTGTCGATCATGCGACATCGGTGGATCCCCCAAGTGACAGACTTTGGTAATTGCCTTTTCAGTTTTACTGGACTCTGTGTTGGTTTTGCATATCATTATGTATTTTGTTCGCTAGATCTCATGCCTTTCAAAATTTGGGATGCATGCAAATTTTTTTCCAAAAGGTGAAGCAGATGTGTCGTCATGCTTTACCCAGGTAATATATCTCTGGACCAGGGATAGATAAGTGCACGTGTGTTGAACATGATACGCAACAAGTACGTAATAGACTCTCATCTATTGTCAAAGTTTACACGCATCAATTGTTCCCACCCCCTCTACCTAGGTACTGAGGCACCAATCACCGCTACAGGCCAATAGTGGGTTCATGCAGACAGAAACAATTACGATGATTGGGCCACCCCACTCAAGGGCTGTGGGGAAGGGAGAGAAGCATAAAGTTTCTTCGGGGAGTATCATGGTCCCAGGTTGGTCACTTGGAGGTACAACCAGTCATAGAGAAGATGGTGGTGACTTTCGAAGACGTGCCGTCCTGGACTGTCGTGGATCAACGTAGACAAATATATTATCGAATCTTCCAAGCTGGAAGTTACAAGGGTCAATGTGGCTCAAATGTTCCATAATTAGATTCAACATTCAAATTTTTCTTTGGAGAGCTAGTCTAGTATAAACCTCCCAGGTCTACATCAGCTGACTCTTACCCCGCGGACCCGAAAATCCGAAGAAAACGGTGGAGTCGAGGATCGACGGTCCACCCAAATCTACATTCCATTCCAGCAGATCGGCTCCCTTCTCCCTCGAGCAATGACACAATACAGCCCGAAGGGCTTGAAAGGAGTCCCGGATGTGGCTTCCCCAGCCCATCCTAGTCCGATAGGAATCATGGCCAGTAAGGGACCGTATCAAACTCTTATTGGTGGGACAAGCCGGGGCAACTAGTTCTACCCTCAATGAGCGTCGTAATTGTGTTATTCAAATATTCACAATGGAGCGATAAGAAATGGATATCAAAAATTTCTATGGCTCAAGTAAATATATTCCAGACCGCTGCCGCTACATTGAAATTGTCTCGGCCGCCATGGCAAGTGAGTCTGAGAATTATATCCAGGAGTAGATAGTGGCGCCCACATGGAGAATTCTGAGTGGTGAGCTATATGTGACTAGTCCATTATTTGTTTCGGAATGTCATCCCAATGGGTACGGCGAGGGAACTGGCTGGGGGGAAGCACGTTACCTGAGACCTCGTTACGAGAGTCCACACAACATTGAATTTCTAATACAGTACAAGTACGGAGTACGGAGTAACTATTTTGAATGATAAATATTATGACTGTTTCACATTACTTTGCGGGAATTATCGAGTTTATCTCTATACCTTAAGTATGAGCGGTTTCTCTTGATGAAATTATTAGACAAAAGTACCAAAACAAAAATAAAAAAAAACAAAAGCCAAAAATGATACAGATCCAGACCTGTTGCTATCGAGGACTGCAGCTGCATATACCACTCAGGTTGATAGGTTAGATATAGGTAGTATTAATCAACGCCGTTCTTGAGTAAGGGTGTATACTGTCAGCAATATTCCATGGTGATGATAGATAAAGTGATGAACCAATAGAAATATACTGTAAAACAGTGAGTATGATAAATCCGACAAAATTCAGTCAAATTCCCTATACTTTTTAACTTCTGCGATGCGACAAAAGGTGGTGCAGAAGGGAAAAGAGACGCACGACCCAGTTTTCTTCCTCTTACCGCCAATCAACATTCGTCCTGCTTTCCACCTCCCCTCTCCCAAATTCCCCCCATTTCCTCCCTCTTTTTTTTTTTGTTAAGCAACGATAAACATCGACACATTCAGTCCTTTAAGATCTATCTGGTCCCTGATCTCCCTCCCCTTGGGCCCCCGTCGGCGTTGACGTCGATGATCTTGCCGCGTCGAATCGGTCGCGCCGCTCCCCGCATAAACCACAACGGTTTCCGTTACCCTCCGTCATACTGAAGGTCTTCCTGTGCCTGCCCAACGAACACTCCTCTGTCGGGAACTGTTCGATACACTATTACCCTTCCTCATTGCGGACACGTTATGGCCTGTTGATGTTACGGATGAATTCATAGCCCACAAAGCCTAAGAGCACCCGCTCTGCCCTCTAGCAGACGGTTCTGCTTGGCTCTACACAAACAAGTGGACAAGCTCTTTCTCGTTACTAGGTGCGCTCGATACGCCTGTTCCCTCTATTTACGGCGGATTCTCGGTGAACCGCTTCACCATGGCGGACAATGGCCCTCCAAACCATCAATTTCTCGCGCCTCCCGCCGTGACCGCGTTGCGACAGGAGGCTCGGAACATCAACCCGAAGTTGACAAGAACCTTGAGTGAAAATATGCGAGAGGAACGGGAGGATTTGAAGGAAGCGGCGGAACAGACCTTGAATATCATCGTGGATTTGGATCTGGAAGGTCGGATCAAATGGGTCAGTCCATCATGGCGGCAAGTGGTCGGCTCGGCTCCTGAGTCTGTCGAAGGCTGCATGATTTCGGTATTGCTTCTCGGAAACAAGGGTGTCTTTAGAGATGCGATTGAGGCCATGAAAGAGGATGACTCGCGGAGTCGATTCATCCGTTTTACTGTGCAGATGGGGCCGGACTCCGTTCTGAAAACCGCGCCGGAGTCGCGGCAAACCGAAACGGAGGAGACGTACGACAATACCCTCGAACCCGAAGAAACGACAGAACCCTCGCAGGTCGAAGGTGAACAAAACAACGATGTGCTCACCATGGAGGGGCAAGGTATTATGGTTTATGAGCGTGATGAAGATGGACATGTGAGTGATGCCTTATACAAACTAACAGGCGGCAATGAGCGAAAGTTGACCTTGATGACATAGTCAATGTGGATGCTGCGACCATTCACCAAGCCGAGAGAAGTGACCATCGATCTCCCACCTCTCCTGGTGGAGTCGTTGGGCGTGGGAGCTGAGGTGCTCGCAAATTACTTGACCACACTGGCCGAGGCCGCTGCGAACGAACCCGATCCTTCGAAACACCCTGCCCCTACCCCCGTACTATGTCGAATTTGCGAGCGTCAGATCACACCCTGGTGGTTCGAGAAACACTCAGATCTCTGCCTGCAGGAACACCGAGCCGAGATGGACGTTCAGATAGCCCAGGAGAACCTCAACGAACATCGACATATAATTGTAAAAGTGCTGGATGCCTTGGAAGCTCGGCACGGAAGACCGTTGATCACGGCTGATGGTAATGTGGTACCGCTCCCTCAGCCGGAGTATAAAGGATTACCCATTGGCCCGTCTCCTGTCAGCTCAAGTCCATCTTCAGCCCCCGTCTCCGGTGTGAATTCTGCACCAGGCACCCCGCCTCGTTCAAGGGACCACTCAGCATCAGGTCTTCCTACGACGGGCCGCGCCCGCTCGTTTACCGTCCGGCGACCACTAGCCCGCATTGTGGAACTCATTCTCGACCTCTGCGATACCGCCCTAGAAATCAGCATGCCGATGATTAAAGACTCCACTCGTTTAGAACACCCGGAAGAGTTTCGGACGCTTTCGCCACAGTCTGAATCTCGAATCTCACAGGTTCTTCAGTGGCAATCGCCAAGTTCTAATACCCTGGAGCAGGAACAAGGTCTTGCCGCTCTAGCAGGCGACACCGAGCAAATTGCAAGAGCCAAAGTCGACGCTGTTGTACGTCACCGAAAGATTGTCGAGTACGCGGAGAGAATTCGTATCGAATATACTGTCCTCGTAGAAGAGTGTATCACAGCTGCGCTCAGCAAAGCAGAAAGGATAGCCGCCGGCCAGCTCAGCGATTCGTCTTGCTCCTCTGACGAGGAAGAATTGCAACATTCTACTGTCCTTGGAAATCTAGATGACTTGAACATCGGTGCAGTTGCCTCCAGCGACGGGTCCATCGCTCCCGACCCTTCCAGCCAAGAATCTTTGTCTTCCCCGGCACGGCACTTTATGCCCACTCCACAGCGGTCTACGACATCGGCACTTACGATGTCCATGCGCCACTCACCAGATCGCTTCTTGCTTGGGCAACAGCCCCAACATCAACCTACAGACGGCAGACCTTCATCTTCATCCCTCGCCATCTCTACCGGATCCAATAGCCCTATGGAGTGTCCTACCCCTCGGTCTTATAAAAGTGCCGCTGGACTGCTTGGAACTTCACAATCCAGCCGCAGGGGATTTTCTCTTGCAGACATCGACGCAGGAGATAGCAGCGACAGTAGTATGCCGTCTGTATTCCCGGGAGTCTTGCGAACTGATTCACCATTGTCTGAACGAAGCTTTGACCGCAAGCGGAGAAGTTTGGTACTTCCTGGGTTATCGAGCTCTCCCCGCCGGCAGCCATCTCCCGCGCGGATATCTGGTCCGCACTCCCCATTACGCATGTCCAAGCCTCGGCATTCTTATGGGGCAGAAAGCTTACCGTCACCGGTAGTCTCTCCGTCAAATTATGCGAGTGAACTGGCCCACAACTGCCATCACCACCGTCGCCAGTCATCAGCAACCTCCTCTGACGTGACCAAACCACCGCCTTCACCGCGTCTGCCGTCAGTCAGTCAGCAGCCTCGCCCTGCGCCGCCTTCAATCAAGGATTTTGAGATCATCAAACCGATCAGCAAGGGCGCCTTTGGAAGTGTCTACTTGTCTAAGAAAAAATCTACCGGCGAGTACTTTGCCATCAAGGTTCTGAAGAAAGCAGATATGATCGCCAAGAACCAGGTGACCAATGTCAAAGCTGAGCGAGCCATCATGATGTGGCAAGGAGAAAGCGACTTTGTTGCTAAGCTTTATTGGACGTTCTCGAGCAAAGAGTACCTCTATCTGGTCATGGAGTACTTGAACGGTGGTGATTGTGCCTCCCTTGTCAAGGTTCTTGGTGGTCTCCCCGAGGATTGGTCTAAGAAGTACATTGCCGAAGTGGTTCTTGGGGTTGAGCACCTACATGACCGAGGGATTGTGCATCGTGACCTGAAACCCGACAATCTTCTCATTGATCACCGTGGTCATCTCAAGCTGACTGACTTTGGTCTATCCCGAATGGGCCTGGTAGGTCGCCAGAAGCGGGTACTGAAGAGCCCGAACGAACCTGTCCCGGACTTGCTGAAACAAGGACCGTTCCCTCGAGCCATATCGATTGCCTCATCACGCTCTGCATCCTTTGATTTCCAGGCTGGATCCCCTGGCTCCACGCCACTAATGACCCCGGAGAATAACATTGGTGTAGCCCAGCCGTCATATTTCAGTCTCAACCAGACAAATCTCAACCAGACTGGCCTCAATCGCCAGACCTCCCGAAGGGCTTCTGGTTACCGCAGTGATAGTGCCGGCAGCGACAGTTTGAATGGCATGTTTCGAACATTCTCACTCAATGACAATGGACACGAGCCAACTGCCCCGTCGCCGAGTATGCTTTCTAGCAGCTTAGCTGAGGAAGAGCACCAGAGTGAAGCAGAAGACTCGCCACATCTGTATCCGTTGCAGCAGACGTTTAGCCACCCTGCACACAGCACTCCGCCGCCACAGAGCATGCTTCCACCAGTCATGGCACTTTTCGATCCTGAAGACCATGACCGTCGTTTTGTTGGTACGCCGGACTACCTAGCCCCAGAGACAATCAATGGCGTTGGGCAAGACGAAATCAGCGATTGGTGGTCATTGGGCTGCATTATGTTTGAGTTCATCTTTGGATATCCTCCTTTCAATGCTGAGACTCCGGATGAAGTTTTTGAAAATATCTTGCAACGCAAGATCAATTGGCCAGATGATCCAGAGGAATACACCTCGCCGGAATCACTGGATCTTATGAATAAGCTGCTGACCCTCAATCCCCGTGAGCGCATTGGAGCCAATGTGGAAGAGAAGTACCCAAATGGCGGCGCGGAAATTCGCGCTCACCCCTGGTTCTCTGATATCAATTGGGATACTCTATTGGAAGACAAGGCGGAGTTCGTTCCCAACCTCGAGAACCCTGAAGATACCGAGTACTTTGATGCTCGTGGAGCTACTCTCCAGACATTTGCCGAAGAGATGGAAGATGAGCCGTCCCCTCAGCCATCCACCGCTTCAGAGTCCTACCCAGATCGACCGCATGACGCTTTGTTCAAAGTGCGCTCGCAGGTGAATTCCATGAAGCGTCCGCTGATGCCACTGCACATCCCTCCCCACGTTCGTGATGCCCGTGATTCACGTAGCCGAAGGTTAAGTGAGCCGGCACTGGCTGACGACTTTGGAAGTTTCAACTTCAAAAACTTACCGATGTTGGAAAAGGCCAACAAGGATGTCATTCAGAAGATGCGCCAGGAGGCTATGCAAACCCAGCACCGCCACTCAAGCTCTTCATCGTCTGGTCAGACACCATTGACCGCTGCTCAACCTTCTCTAGAGGGAAGTCCACTTCCAATGTCACTCCAGCGTACTTTGTCTCAGACTAAGGGCAACAATCGACCTTCATCGCCGTCCAGCCTAAGTCAAGCCAACTCATCTCCCAGTCGGCCTTCTCAACCATCCTCTCCACTCTTGGTTCAGTTTAGTACTGGGAGCAACCATGAGCGGCGCAAAACATCTGGGTCTTCTTCCACTGCATCCCACCAGTCCAGCGGTACTTTCCAGCCCTCTTCAGTTGAGCAAACCCGCATGCCCAATCTTCGCCTCGGGTCAGTGGCATCTTCTCCTGTCAAATCCCACAGGATAGCGGCCCATTCGCCGGATAAGCATTCTTCACTTCAACGTCAAGGCAGTGCTCCCGTTAGTCGAGCTCGGTCTCAGACTATAGGTTCTCAGGATGGTGACTCCTCATACTTCAAAGAGGCCATCGTGCCCGCTCATCACAAGCACCGAAGCCAGCTGTTTGACATCTCACCATCCTCCTCGGATAATGAGGACCCACGTACCAAAGCCCTGCTTAAGGTGCAGCGTCGCCGACAAAGCTCTCGTCGTCTCTCTCAAATCAATGTTCAGGAGGGACCTAAATTTCGTGCACTGGATATTCTCATTTGTGAGGATCATCCCGTTTCACGATTAGTAATGGAGCGTCTCTTTGAAAAGGTTGGCTGTCGCACCATTACAGCCACAAACGGTGCTGAGGCCGCGCGGTATGCTGTCAGTGATATAAAATTTGATATAATCATGACAGAGTATAAGTTGCCCCAGATGAACGGTGTTGATTTTGCTCGTATGGTCCGAGAGGGTCGCGGTGCCAACAATCATACGTCAATTGTCGCTGTCACTGGCTACTTGAAGGATCTACCCGAGTGGCATAATTTCAATGCCCTCATCCAAAAGCCTCTGACCTTGTCGAAAATCATTGAGGCGCTGTGCACTTTTTGCAATTGGAAGCCACCTCCAAGTGACTATAATCCTTCTGACCCTCTCCCTGTGCCAATGCCTAGCGCACGCTCATCACATGGTCCGGATGATAACAGTCCCGGCTCGCAATCATCGGGATTCGTGCCCCCGCCAAGCCCATACCGTGGATCAAGTCGTGATGATTCAATGAGCGGCAGCGTTTTTGGAGAGATGGAGATCAAGCCAGAAGACGTTCCAGTCATCATCCGTCGCAACCACGACGAGTGGGACCCGAGTGGGCTTGGAATTTCCGAGGATGCGCATCCAGGCAGTCCTGATCCTAAAGTAGTGCCTGTGCCACAATTACTACATGCGGTCTCAGCTCCAGCGGTTGTGGATGGAAGTGGAGCACTTACCCCTCGCAAGCAGCGTTCCAGCGAGGCCATCCGAGCGAAGCGAGAGTCTCTGGAGCGGAAACGGTACGAAGGAGCCGAGTCTGGCGATGACGAAGATGAGGAGCTTGGGAACTCGCAGACCCGTAAGAGCCCCCCTGGGCGTACCCGTCGCCCGGGATCCAAGCTAGGTATCGAGATGATGCGCACCAATAGCCGTGGCAGTGTGGTCAGTGGCAGTGAAGAACTCCTCAAGAAAGAACGGGAGGCATTGCGCCGCCGAAGCGGCGAGTATATCGACACTGACATTGACGAGGGTCCTCTGGGATCCCCTGCTAGCACTAGCATGGAGGAAAGATTCGAAGGGCTCAGCATCCCAGAAGAATCCGAGGCTGAGGACGGACTAGGCATTCAAAATGCCTCTCCAGTGGATGGATCTACAGGCGCCCGTCGGCCGTCCCTTGCCCACCACGATACTGAGATCTATAATGGACCTCCGCTTAGCTCTCACGCTGCTTTGAAAACCGTCGAAGGGGCCAAGTCAACCCCAACCACTCCTCCATGGGAGATGAGTGGCAACAAGTCACCCATTACTCCAGAAATCCACGTTGCAAGCAATGATTCCTCCAGCTCTGGAGCGGACGATGGCAAGCCTATGTCTGACTCCGAAGCCACTCCACGACCCCAGCAACTATCTCCAAGTCTGGACTCCGACGAGACGCCTCGGCCTCCTGGGCGTTACCGGCCTGATCTATCATCTGTATTCAAGAGATGATGATTCAGCCTAGCCAAGTACACTTTACGATTTTTTTTTCCATTCTGCTCCCCATACTGATATGCTATCATTTCCCTTCGTTGTATACTTTTTTTCCTTGTCGGTTTTTTACCCTATCCTTAGGGAACATCTCCCCTGTCCAGCGGACATGCCACCATACGCGTTGTCTTACGTCTCTTATGTTCTCATGGCTTATTGGAGCACGGTGTTCTGGTTCTGGTTCTCATTCTGGTTCTATGTTTTCTTGAATTCATCATCACATGCAACTGGCGTGAATGGAATCATCAGTTTCTTCCTCCTAAATCACTTTCTTGCTCTTGCCATTTCGAGTATCTAACTTGACATTGCTTTTATTTTCCCCAGCCCTGTGCATTCTGTGAATGGCGAGGTCTTACAGAAAATAAATCGATGTCATCGAACAGATATTTCTTCCCCGTGGCCAAAAATATCATTATCTCTAACGGTCGAAATAAAACATTTGAATAATGTTCACCGAATTAGATCTAGACTTCACAGCCTCAGCTCGCGTAGGTCAGTGCCGAACGATGAAACCCCCTTAGCACCAGTAAAAAGCCCAGACTCAACTAAGCCGAGAGGTCGGGTAACACCATTTCTTGGCAGTGTCAATGTCCTCTGATAACGCGACGATCCTACTATTTAGGGAACTTCCGAGATGAGCACAAAAATAAATGTGCGAGCCATGCAGAACCTGCATAATTGACTCATTCATGATCATTGGATGTTGTGCGGGGTTACACACCCCAGACTTTTACTTATCCCACACGGAGTAGTAGACACGGGCTAACTAGTTTACTAAGTCAGGTCGGAGCGATGGATCGTCATAGCCTGGACGTTTGACCCACGCGGGCCATGATATCACTGGAAGTACAATCAAAAGGCATGTGGATACTGTTATATTTTATTTTATTTCATCTAAATTTATCCTTTCTTTCGATGTCTCACAGTTCGGGTTACCTACCACAGTAAGGGTCTGCACGGTGGCGTTTTGTGGCGCTTTTTGGCGGATCTAAGATATCCTCACATATGTAAGAGGACGTGCCCTTAATTATTGATTACTGGCAATCAAAAGTCCGTGGCATTTTCGACGCCACCCGGTGGAGAACCCAGGTGGATCCGTCCGATACAGAAGAAAGAACAACGGATTGCGTGGTCTGGGCTTGGCGGGTTATGAGGTGGTTGGATTGCGAATAATTTCATAAAGAATAGATGTCGATTAACGATGTACAGACGATAATGGCTACGGTACATTCAAAAGTTAGTACAGTGCATGAAGTTCTGTGTTTCAAATCGAGATAGATGCAATCATCAAAGTTGACCCATCTGCGGGATTGAGTCTAGACAAGTTAGTTAATTGTCCTTTGACCCACTTGGTCCACTCAGGGTACTCTCCGGGTTTTACTTGGTAACGATCACCTTCTCTCCCCCCTCAAGCTTCACTTTTCTTGTCTAAACTACTACTTGACGTTCGTTACTGGCTTTCATCATTCGTTCTATTTGCAATTTGCCCGTGAAGTACCATCTCTTCCATGCTTTTCCGTTAGAGCTTGAATAGATAATCCCCACATTCTTTCGATCGGCCTGGTGCCATCATGTCAAACCCAGAAGAGCGCAAGATCCTGCACATCAAGGAACAAAATGAGAAACAAACCGACCCCGAAGTATCACCCTCAGACGATGATACCTACGTGTACGAACAAACATTCGAATCGGATAACCCGCTACGGGTCGATACCTCCATGAACGATCATGGCCCTCCGCCAATGAGTACGCCATCTGCTCGCCGGGAACAAGCCACTCGTCTTGAAGATGATTTGTTGCTCCTGCAGGCTGAGCGCGTGGTGTCTCGGTCAACGCAAGGGCCCGAGGACGGGGAGGGATCATCAATGAACCGGACCAGGTCCCGTCGCACCGAAGTCATCGATGAGTTTGACGAAGCGACCAACCCGTTACATGAAAAAGCCGCTGTGTATACCCCACCAGAGAGTCCTAATACCAAACTCTCGGCTTTTGTTAAAAAGATCCACCAGTCCAGCTTCATCGTTCGCTATCTCACCTACATTCTGCCCGTCGTCATCCTTCTATTGATCCCGCTCCTCGTCGGAGCCCTTGCATTTCCCGATGCCGATGTTGGTGGTGTGAGGTTGATGTGGTTTTCAATCTGGCTGGAAATCTTCTGGTTAACTCTCTGGGCTGGTCGCATTGTTAGCAAAGGTCTACCTGCCCTCGTAAGTGTCCTGGCTAGTATTTTTACCAACAATGCGAAGAAATGGCGCGATTTAGCCAGGCAGTTGGAGATTCATGCCGCCCTGTTCCTATGGTGGCTTGGTGTGGAGATCTCTTTCTTGCCGACCATGAAGAACCACCATGTGGACGGAAACTCGGCCACACGCAGCTGGGAAAACACTCTCAATAAGATCATCATCGTGATCTTTGTGTGGACCATTTTGAACTTGATTGAAAAGGTCATTATTCAATTGATTGCCATCAGCTTCCACCTCCGCACCTACGCGGATCGTATTGAGATCAACAAGTTCCAGATCGGCAGCTTGACGAAGCTGTACGATTGGTCTCGGAATCGCATCGAGGAGACAGATGAGGCTTTCCATGAGAAGCCCGCGGAACAAGCAGATACCCCGCCTGGGATGAAGAACCCTCTGCATTATGCCGGAAAAGCTCATAAGGTGGCAGTTGGTGTGGCCAAGGGCGCGGCGAAGAAAGCTGCTAATAAAGTCGGTGACGTTGCTAATGCCGTTACCGCGGATTTTACTGGTCGCAAGGCGACCAAGAGCAATGATCCGTACCAAGTCATTCTGGCGCTGTTGCGAAGTACATCTGGTTGTCAGGTCCTCGCACGTCGTCTGTACCGCACATTTGTACGTGATGGCTTTGATACTGTTTTCTCTGGTGATTTGAAGGAGGCCTTTGAGAATGGCGACGAAGCCGAGGCTGCATTTACCATGTTCGATCGTGACATGAATGGCGATATATCCATGGAGGAGCTCGAGGCTGTCTGTGTCGATATTGGCCGGGAGCGGAAATCGATTACTGCTTCTTTGAAGGATTTGGATTCAGTTGTGTCCAAGCTCGACAATGTGTTCATGTTCTTCGTGATTGTTGTTGTTCTTGTGGTGTTCTTGTCTTTGATCTCTACATCTGCCGCTGGTGTTTTGACTTCGGCTGGATCCAGTATCCTGGCCCTTTCTTGGTTGTTCTCAGCTACGGCCCAGGAATTCCTGCAGTCTGTCATTTTCGTGTTCGTCAAGCATCCCTTTGACGTCGGTGACCGTGTGACTATCTACGGTAATGCTGGTGATGCTGGACTGGGCGATGATTATTTCGTCAAGGAGATTACCCTGTTATACACCGAGTTCAAGAAGATGCAGGGCCACGTTGTCCAGGCACCGAACAGCTACCTCAATGGTCTATTTATTCTGAACCAGCGACGATCCGGTGCTCTAGCCGAGGCTATTCCCATTGTTATCAAGTACGGCACAACTGTCGACCAAATCGATGCTCTCCGCCAGCGTCTGCTGGAGTTTGTGCGCAGCGAGAAGCGCGACTTCCAGAGCAATATGCTCACCGAGCTGCGCGAGGTGACCGAAAACTTCTCTCTCACGCTCAACATTGTCTTCTTCTACAAATCTAACTGGCAGAACGAGGGTCTCCGTCTGCAGCGCCGCAACAAGTTCATCTGCATGCTCATGATCGCCCTCCAGGAGATCGGCATCGAGGGCCCACGCATGAACCTCCAGGGTGCCAAGTTCGACATCCCCTTCCACATCAACCACAACCAGCCCATGGTCGCACCGACCCCCAGACGCGAAGAGCCAAGCGAGTTCGAGCCCATCCCAATCGGCACAGATTCCAGCTCGCTCCAGGACAATACCGCGACAACCAGCGGCGCCGCTACCCGCCAGCATTCCATCTTGCGCAGGGGCGCAGATACCGCTGCCGCCCGAGCTCGTGGTACCTCCACTTCTCGGAAGCATGTCGATTTTTCCCTCGGCATGTCCAATCTCTCCTCGAACGATATCATGGGCGATGTCTTCGAGGATCGCTCCGTGCGACTTGACAATGTTGTCCGTAGTGCGAACCGCGAGGCGGCTGAGCGTCGTATGCAAGATGTCGCGGAAGAAGAAGAAGAGCGAAAGAGCCGAGCGTCATCATCTCAGCATCGTCGTCCTTCGACTTTGAGTGCTCCGGCTCATGAACCTCGTCACTCTACCGATGCTCATAGCTATCGCAGTGGGGCCTCGTCTACACGGAATCACTTCTTCCGACACCGCAGCAGTGTTACTCGGGACCGTGAGGATATAGAGCTGGGCCGTCCTGGTACTCCACCGGTTAAGGATGACTGATTTGATTGATTTGACGTTATCTCTCTTACGTTGACCTCGCACTTCTTGAACAATTTCCAGCGTTTCGATATTCCCTTTCATACACTAATCATTCTGTTCATATATCCCAGTTCATGTATAGTTCAGACAAGTTATGAAGATCTTGTCATCTGTCCTTTTAGGTTCTAAAACTCCCATTTTCTCATCACGCTAATTCCTCGGAATGTCACTAGTATACTTCTAAATATTGATAAGCTGGAGTGACACGGACCACTAGATCGCGAACCATTGGTATCTGCTTAACGGTTGTTGATTTGCTATCTAAGCTCAAGTGCTTCGACTACTTTGCCAACATTTGAATTCAACCTTGGAAATACTTCAGACAATTAAATACCTAGCTCAAGTCTTACTTGACATGCCCGGACATATAACACTGTAAGGGGTGTGTACATCTAGAACGGTTGTCCCTGCATTTGATCACTGTCACCCCGCATTCCACACTCAAATAAGCGAGAATGGTAAGGAAATATCAAAATTTCACTATCATAAATTCAAGAAACAAATAGTCCGATAAAACCAAAATCAAACCAATTTAAAATCGAGAAATTTCAAATTCTGCATTAGTGACCGCCATTGTTTGTTTTCTTTTGGTCAGCCAATTGCGCCCCACTGTTCGGAGTTCCCTATTCTTTCTCTCACAACTCTCCTTCAAGAGTTCCCCCCCATCAATTCTTCTAATCCCCCCCTTTTCTTCTATCCTCGTTCAAGATGACTCGAGGTGAGGTACGTTGTTACTACCCTGATACGTCGGTCAAATCTTTGTTTACACTTCTTCCACAACCGGTTCCCCTCTCCTGAACCGTGAAAAACACCACCCAGTTCCATGGCAACTTCCTGCCCGGTTCAGCTGGCAAACAATGACATGCTAACGCGCCAATTCATCAGATCTGTCACCTTCACATCGGCCAGGCTGGTGTCCAGCTTGGTAACGCTGCGTGGGAGCTGTAAGTTCTTCACCGCTTCTTGATGATTGTAGGGCATCATTCTCACAATTATACAGGTACCTCCTCGAACACGGCCTTACCCCGGACGGACACTTCAAGCCCGAACTCGCCGCAGACGACCTTTCCCAGAACGGTTCCTACGATACTTTCTTCACTGAGACCGCCGGCGGCAAATACGTTCCCCGCTCCGTCTTCGTCGACTTGGACCCGTCGGTACGTTGGCCTAGCGAAGGAGTATGAATGGTGGTCTAATTCGTTGGATATGATAGCCCATCGATGAGATTCGCACTGGTGCCTACCGTCAGCTGTTCCACCCCGAGCAGCTGATCAGCGGCAAGGAGGATGCCGCCAACAACTGTATGTTTCAAGTGGGGACATATGTGGATTGGAGACTAACTAAGTCGCAGATGCCCGTGGTCACTACACCGTTGGCAAGGAGTACGCCGATGAGGTGCTGGAGCGCATTCGCCGCGTTGTTGGTACGCATGACATTGGTCCCCACAGCTGACCTAACTAATTGCATTTAGACAACTGCTCTTCCCTGCAGGGATTCTTGATCTTCCACTCCTTCGGTGGTGGTACCGGTTCTGGATTTGGTGCCCTTCTGCTTGAGCGTCTCGCCAGCGAGTATGGCAAGAAGTCCAAGCTCGAGTTCTCCGTCTACCCTTCGCCCAAGACCTCGAATGCCGTTGTTGAGCCTTACAACGCTGTCCTGTCTACCCACAGTACCATTGAGAACGCCGACTGTACTTTCCTGGTTGACAACGAAGCTGTCTACGACATCTGCCGTCGTCACTTGGATATCCCCCGCCCCGGCTATGAGCACCTGAACCGTCTCATTGCTCAGGTTGTCAGCTCCATCACCTCCAGCTTGCGCTTTGATGGTGCTCTCAACGTCGACTTGAACGAGTTCCAGACCAACTTGGTGCCATACCCCCGTATTCACTACCCCCTGATCTCTTACGCTCCTGTGATCTCGTCCAAGCACAGCTCTCACGAGAGCTTCAAGGTCCAGGACCTTACCTACCAGTGTATGTGCCCCACTTTATCCTGCCTGTATTGATATTAACTCTGTCTAGGTGTTGAGCCCCACAACCAGATGGTTGTCTGCGATCCCCGCAAGGGTAAGTACATGGCCGTTGCTTTGCTGTACCGTGGTGATGTTGTTCCCCGTGACTGCAATGCTGCTGTTGCCGCCCTCAAGGCCCGCGATACCTTCAACTTGGTCGAGTGGTGCCCCACTGGATTCAAGCTTGGTATCAACTACCAGAAGCCCGTCACCGTCCCCGACAGCGAGCTCGCCCCCGTCGACCGCTGCGTCAGCATGCTGTCCAACACCACCGCCATCGCGGAGGCCTGGAGCCGTCTGGACCACAAGTTCGATCTCATGTACTCTAAGCGTGCTTTCGTTCACTGGTACGTTGGCGAGGGTATGGAGGAGGGTGAGTTCTCTGAGGCTCGTGAGGATCTTGCCGCTCTTGAGAAGGATTACGAGGAGGTTGCCGGCGACTCGCTTGACGAGCTTGACGAGGAACAAGAATACTGATCGACCGGTTCTTGACCGAAACTTCCCTCGCACATATTGCCGTGATTCTTTCTTCTCAGAATATATCCCCTGTCGGCCTTTGCGCTTGTTTTTTTCGACATTCCTTTTGTTTGAGCTAGCTCTTCAGCGTTACTATCCTTTTCCCGCCGCAATAGGTCTTTAATGGCATCAAAAATCAATAAACCTTTGATTGATCCTTCTCGCTTTGGCATGAGCCCAATTGTAAGAGCCCAATTCTAAAAGTACAAAAGAGCATTACCCTGTAATCTATGTGTCCAAACGCCAACCAATGCCAAACCAGACCGATGCAATGCAGCTGCACATCACCCCATCGCCGCGATCTCCGTCTCCTGCAGAATGCGCAAAACCTGCTCATATGTCCACATAGTGACCGCACTTGCCGGAGCCGCCTTCAGCAAGCTAACCGTCAACCCACGATAAAGCCCACGTACGCCCTGCGTCCGCAGAATCATCGCAATCGACCTCGCAACCCCATTGTACTCCGGAATGTTCCTATGCACATACCGCGTCCTCGTCGGCCCTTGAACTTGCAACCTCTTTCTAACCAGATCCAACGGAAACACCCCCGTCTTCGCAATCACACTCGCGCACACACCCGCTGCCGCATCCCCCGTCCCAAACGGCATGTGATCCAACTCCGTCATTATAGGTCTGAACCCTTCATACGCTGTAAAGAATAGTCCCATGTACGGAACAATCTGTATAATGGCTGCTGAGCTCCCGCGAAAGAAACCCGCTATACCCTCGTGTCGTGCGATCTCTACAATCGACGCCCGGAGAGATTTGTAGATTTGTTCGGGTCCTTGCGCTGCGAACCGTGTGCGGAGGAGATCGAGTGGGTATGTTGTTGCTGTGGCCATTCCGCCGGCTGTGGCGCCTGCGACGAAGGATTCGGCGGACGGAGGAAGTCTGTAGGGCAGTTCCGAGAGCGCTTGTGTTGTGCTTCGGTATGCGGTGAATTGGAGAGCGCCATAGCAGACGTACATCATCTCTGCGGGAATGTTTCCTTTCCATAGACCCTACTCACAACATTAGCATGTCTGTCTTTTTCTTTATCGTTGCCTTCGCCGGTTCGAGTCGGAAATGGAATTGAGATGAAATAAAAACGTACAGTAATACCCTCCTGTCGCATAATAGCCCTCATAGTCGACATGGTCCCCTTATATATAGGTCCTTCGACTGACTTGTGACTCGCCGGATCCGAAAGCGAGTGGACCTGCAATTGCAGTCGGATCTTGACGACGTCTAGCGGCGCAATGCAGAACCGCGAGATTAGTCCTGCTATCCCGCCGGCTAGCACTGTTTGCAGCTTCGTGCCCTCATCTTTGAGATGTTCGCCCCCGGCTGACATTTCTGGTAGGCTGGGTGGGTTATGTGTTGGTTGGGGAAGCCATGTTTAAGCGCTGTGGATTGTTTATGTCATTTTTTTGTTATGGAATTTCCGGGGGGCAAAAATGTATGCTTTCTGGCCGGGAATTCGGCTTTACGTAAGGAATTCATGCCTGAGGTGTCTGTATGGTGAATGTATCTCGTGGGAATTTTTATGATTGTTTCTGGGGATGATAGCTCAGGGATATGTGGAGAAGTAGTGATTCTTTGATTGATCATACTTGCATGCTGAAGACAGGGAAATACAGAATCATATTGCCTATGCGTGTAGTGAAGGTGGTAGGTGACACTGAGACGGACCCTGAAAGTATTGGCCTTGGAAGGTGGCACAGCTTGAATAATGAAAGTTCAAGGTGAGCTACGAATTGATAGCTAATAGAAGATCTTAAGGGAACCTCATGTTTGTCAACGTTCATGTTAAGCAGATATTCATGTACCTCGGCTGGAATATTAGTCCCGTGCCGAAATCCGGGGACGCACCGGCCATTGACTGACCTCCTCGACCTTCTCCTTCCTACCGTCACTACCTCCGCCTTTTCAATGCGTTCTCGATCACTTCTGCGACAACTTACGCGAGGCCAGGTCCTTTCAGGCCCTTCTACGCGGGGGTTTGTCACTTCAACCCGGCTCTGGAACGCGAACGCGAACGCACCTAGCCAACTGGAAATCGCTTCCAAGTCAGAAGACGTGAAAGCCGACTCCTTGAACATTCCCATCACTTGTATGAGCAAGGGTTCGGCCCTGCATTTGAGAGGTCCCCGCGCAAAATTGACATTGAACTATACTTTTCTTCGTGATCTTTGCAAATGCCCTCAATGCGTGGATCCCCACTCTAAACAGAAATCTTTCCGCACCAACGATATCCCTCTTGATATCCGTCCGCGTAATATCAAGTGGGATGGCGAACATTTAGAAGTCCAGTGGGTTAATGATACCCAGGGTGCAAGTCCAGACCACCTCTCACGATGGCACCTGCAATACCTTCGGAATCCCAGCATCAAGCCAAACCACTCCTCACCACGCTTTTCTCCCCTGCTTTGGAACGCCGGTCAGATGAAGGAACAGCAACACTGGGTCTCGTATGAAGACTATATGAATAATGAAGACAAATTTGCTGCGTCAATGCGAAATTTGCAACGCCTGGGTCTCATCTTCATCAAGGATATCCCTGATTCGCGCGAGGAGGTTGCGAAGATTGCGACACGCATCGGTCCATTGCGTAATTCCTTCTATGGATCAACCTGGGATGTGCGTTCCGTTCCCGAGGCTAAAAATGTGGCCTATACCAACCAGTTCTTGAACTTTCACATGGACCTGATGTACATGAATGAGCCCCCGGGTTACCAGCTTCTACACTGCTTGGAAAATTCATGCGATGGTGGCGAGTCGCTGTTCGCTGATTCATTCCTTGCCGCCGAGTTTATGAAGAAAAACCACCGCGAGCTTTACGAGGAACTCACTCAGCGCTTACTGGCTTATGAATATGCCCACGAGGACCAGGTCTACTATAATGAACGACCTGTTTTCGAGGTCGATCAACATAGTCAAAAGCTCCGACACATCAATTACTCACCCCCCTTCCAAGCTGCTCTTCCAACCCCTTGGAAAACGCCTGGTTCGCCTGTGCATATCAATCGCATGAAGCAAGCCTTGGACGTATTCACCAAGCTTATTGAAAGCGAGAACAGCGTTTTTGATCTGAAATTGAACCCGGGTGAATGTGTGATCTTCAATAATCGTCGTATTGTCCATGCGCGCCGCCAGTTCAACACTGCAGTTGGTTCGCGCTGGCTGGCGGGGGCTTACGTGGACACGGACGCTGTGCTGTCCCGCTTTTCCGTGACTGGCAGGAAACACTTAGACATATGGGAGAGTGCGGATCCTAAGAGAGGAAGAGAAATCTTAAAAGCCAAAAAGGTTATAGAGTCAGTAAATCAACGGTTGGCCGAGTTGATGAGCCAGGGAGCCGGAGAGGTGGTGACTAAGGCGTGACTTCCAGGTTCAATCAAAGCCCGTGGAATATGAGCATATTTAGACTTATTGTACAAATCTATATTCCTCGGTTCTGTCTATGACAGGTGCATCTAACCAGAATTTCGGAGCCTATCCAGGTGTAGGTATCGTAGAGCAATTCAATCAAATATAATGTGGAATGTATCCGTAAGGACCTGTGATGATACCGAAATGAAGATTAGGTATCTCAGATATGGTCTATCTGTTTTAAAGAAAGGACATTTCTCGAAAGGTCACGAATTGCCTAGTTCGCAGTAGTTTCTACGTCCATATCAGTCACTGCCCATTTCTCCTCGGATAGTAAATACTTTTCATTGGCAGAATGGAGGTTACAGCTGGAGAAGAAATGCACGAGGAATTTCACCTTTGTATAATCAGTGATTGGATTTCGGAAGTAGAAAAAGACAATCACTTCGAAACCAAAAGTCTACGACACGACAACTTGCTTGTATCGGAAAAACCTCTGTAATTGCCCTTCTAATTTTCACGATAGAATTCTTTCTGGTAAGAGCTTGCAAAAAATGTACCATATCATAAGTTGAAAAAACGATTTTCCGAGAATTTTGCGCCAAAAGCTAGGAATGTACTTAAGATATAATCTCTTTAGAGATGATGGACGAACCAACAAGCAGCCCATGGAAAGGCATGCCACACGCCACGCGCCAGAAGGTATGAGAAGGGTAAATTATTTGAACGCTGTCTGAATGGGGAGTTCAATAACGAAAGTAAAAAACCAGGGCAGAAGACTCAAACTATGAATCAATCCCCTGATCAATCTTCCAGTAAGGCGCATCACTCGGGGAAGGTAGGAAATCCATCTTAAACGTAACCGCTCCTCCCGTATACTAGGCATGAAGAGTGCAAAGACTGTGCCTCGTAAATCACTAACTGAGACTTCTTTGACCTTGCGCTCCACCCATCCTTCGTTAGAAGCACCTGGGACTATCTCGATACTGAAAAGGGACTTCTCAAAGAAATCTTCCACGGTGATTTTGAACGAGTATGCGCAAGTGATTTTGAATGTGTCAATAAGAAAAGGCTCCATCAAATATTCCATCTCTCTTATGGACAGAAGTTTGCCTCTTAGGGGCTCCACAAAATGACACTCTATCAAAAAGTCATCTGAGTGAAAGCTTCCATACGCGGTATCGACACTAGAAAACAGTGTAACCTTACAGCTGAAGGCGAGATTGAAATTATCTCTGATGTCTTTAAGGCACACGAAGACTATCGGTGGGTGAATGTTCCAATCCGGGGGAAGGTTCCCTTTCTTTATAATCATTTGATCAAGTTTATGTGGGTAGACAGATCGTATTTCGGTAATTTGGAGGTGAGATGGGAGACTCCTCATCTTGACTGTGAAGTCTGGGATATCACCGTCGTGATTGGTATACGTGGCGGACGTCGGGAGTAGGTATATGTTTTTCAATGGCCATTCAGACCAGGTGTGATGTCCAGCTGAATGAATCGGTGCTTTGACCCGCATGTAGATATTTTCTCTCACCTATTTCAATGGGATTGTGAGAAGAATAGTAGAATCTTTCTTGGTTTGACATGGAATGAGAACAAATGAATGATCTTTGCATGATAAGAGTGGGACTTGCATGCTGAGGCCCTTATTGGTGATGGAAAAGGGAGGTGTTTGACCTCCCACGCTGCATGGAATGTAATTACCGCAATGTAAGAATGCCGCTGGGGATTCAGCAAGGAATCCACATGTGAGTAAGTCCTGGGGATTTGACGGCTTGAATGTGTCGAAAGAGGAAAATTTTGGCTGTGATAGGGCCTGATGTTCAGAGCCATTTTCAGGCCCGGTTTCAGGCCCACTTTTGGACTCAATTTTAGAGACACAGTAATGGCCTAAATTGACATTTTCTTCTGTCCATGCGAATAAAGATTGGTCATCTGAACGCTTGATGATTTCTTCCTGTAAGCGTAAAAATGCACCCATCCCTTCGCCATAGAGGAGTGGCATGTTAATTCCGAATAACCCAAGTAGAGAGTATGCCCGGTCTTCCTGCCGACTGGTTTCGCGTTTTGATGCCCAATTCATTCTTTCGGCAATACTAGCCGAGTTCAAACGAGTCCTGAGACTAACATTATCCGGTCTCTGCTCTAGAAATGACACACTGATACCAGTGATCTCACTCAGATGGTTGCATACCTTTTCCCGAGAAGATAGGTCAGACCAATCATGGGCTAGAAAAACAAGCCTGGCTGGTGCAAGAAGTTCTTGCAAAGTCCATCCACGGGTAAACCATCGACTATCCTCAAATGGCCGTTGGGGTACATCTGACAGGTAGGCATAACAAATCTCGGCATGCTCATACCATTTCATCATGGAGTTGATGGCTTCAGAGAGCTCTGCGCTGCTTGTTTTATCGATACAGCATGTGTCCACCCACGCATATTCGATACCATCCTGGAGAGCTCGTTGACAAGAATGCTGGATTTTGTCATATCCCTTTTGTGACAGGTTGTTCTCTTCATTAGCTTCCAGCCATTTCATGTCTTGAAAAGTGACCTCATCTGCACCCCAGGTATGGGACAAGATGGCATATTTCGGGATTTCATGATCCATGAATTCCTCCAATCGGATAGTTGCGCTTCTGATTAGGCGCATTGTGCTCTCTGTGATTGACAGTGCCTTGTTTTGAGGTTGGGGTAGACGATTTTCAGCTCCAGGTGTCAGGTGTCCGTTGGGCTGCAGTTACGCCCGTGAGTCGGCCAATTAGAAAGTGGTCACTCTTTCGAAACAGTATAACTAAAAATTTATCTTTCATGGTGAATAGCGTAGCAGAATGCCTGGGTAGCTACATCTATTTATACTTTTGTAACATAAATTGATTACATTGGTGTCGCATTTTGAATATCTTTCATACCAAATAAAAACGTATATCATCATGGTGACTCATCCAAATGTAGTTCTCCACGCGTTTCATGGGTATCATACCATAGCCTATCCCTATTTGCTGACGGAGTAGGCTGACAGGTAGTTGGGGTCACTGTTGATCTCCTCGCGGACCTGTATCAATGATTAGTAATTGTCAATATGAACGGAAAGAAAGACTTACAATATCCAGACCACCCACTAATTCGCCATCGACCCACAGTTGGGGGAAGGTGGGCCACTCGGCGAACTCCTTCAGACCCTGTCGCACATCCTCATCGGCCAGAATGTTGAAGAATCCGTACTTGACGCTCCGCTCTCGGAGGATGCCCACCAATTGCCGACTGAAGCCGCATTGCGGAGAGCTAGGTGTTCCCTTCATAAACAGCATAACGGGTGCAGCCTTGACCAACTCAGCAAGACGAGCGAACAGCGCCTCTTGGGACTGCTCCGGAGTGAGGGTAGGGGTGGCGGCGACGGGGGTAGCGTTAGCTGCGGGACCAGCGGCATCCGCCGAAGGAACAGGGGACTGAGTTGCTGTCACAGGGCCATCTTCGCGAGGAACGGCAGAGAGAGGAGGAGGGATATGGGCTCTGGTGACACCGTCGGCGGGGGCCGCGCCGTTTCCGCGGCCAGCGTGGCGCTCGATGGCGTCGCGGACCTTGATGGCATCGCTACCGCTGATAGATTCGAGGATCTGGCCGCTGCGCAGGCAGACGACAAAGGGAACAGCGGAGACGTCATACTCCTCTGAGATGTCGGGCAACTCTTCGGCATTGATGCTGATAAATGAAATGGTCGGCGGGGCTGTAGCGGGGTACTGCGAGGCGAGAGCGGAGAGGACGGTGCGCATCTGGGTGCATGGTGCAGCCCATGGTGTGTGGAAGTAGAGAACAACCAGCGCAGATGGGGAGAGCGAGCTCAAGTGTGCTGAGAAGTCTTCCTCGGTGAGGACCTCGGTGAGTGCCGACATAGTGAAGGGGGTATATGGGAGGGTGTCGGAGGGGCGGGGGAGCTAGGACGAAAATCCCAGAAGAGATGTGAACTGCCTAGAGATAGGCAATTGAATAGAGTAGTAAGCTGGGTGGATATGCGGACTAATCAGGTCCCTCGAGAATTGCAGGGTGTTGTAAGCAGGTTCTATACAGGACGAAGATTGATTGCGTGACCAGGCGAATTTTACCCGGCGGCGATCCGTTGTTATCAGATCCTCAAGCCGGAACAGGTAATTTACGTAATTTACATGGTGCCTTGTATTTTACCTCTTATCGCTTATCGGCACGTGACTACCTTTCTCAATTTGACCGTGGGACGGAGCTTGCATTTGCTTTTTACAGCAACCATGACAGGAGAAAACAAGCGGAAGCGCGAAGAAGGGAGCGAGTGCGGCGAAAATTCCCCAGATACTACAGGTCATGAGGTTAGACTCACTACAAATGTCTCACAGCTCAATGACTCCTCACCGGCTCCAGATGTCGCTATGAACGGCCCAAATCAAGATGCGCACCTCCGCAAATCGAAGAAAAAGCGCGTTGATGGGGAGAAGACCAAATACCCCGACTTGACATATGTTGAGGGAAAACTTCAATCGTCCATCCGAATCGCTGACCTGCAGGGGTTGCTCCTGTACTGCTTTGCAGATGGCATCGCTCCGCAGTGGATCTCCGTTAAGCACTCTGGACACGTGCGCAAAGTAGTCGCCCTGATGGTACCTGGGCTGGAGATTGGTATGTTTGATGGTACGATCCCGTTGCAGCCCATCGAAGACAGCAAGCCGAATCCCGAGCCATCGAATGAGACCGAAAAGACCGCCGCCGAGGAGAAGGCCGCCGACTTCGAGCGATGGAAGCAGGGTCTGCCACTCGAAGATCGATCCAATCGATTCAATCCTCGCCCTCTGTCGTCGAATACACTTCCCGAACCTTTGCGCCCCATGGCTCACATGTTTCCCCACATCTGGCCTGTCAAGGCCCCCGGTGACAGCAAATACAACAAAGTGCATTCACCTCTACAAGCAATTCTTTCGTCTCAAGTACCAAAGGCCAAGGATGACGGTGCCCGTGGCAAGGGTGCGCGCCCTGCCAGGGTCGATAAGAGCTATGTCGAGCAACGGACGCCCATCACAGCTTTTATCAGCACATTGGATCAACTCCGCGAGAACGACTACACCATACACCCCGCCTTCTTGACCTCGGAGAAGGAGAGAGCCGCTGAGGCTGAGGCTCGACGACGTAATAAACAGTCTGAGGAACATGGATGGGTGGATTCTCTGGTACCCAGCCTTGAGGCTGGTGATGTACCCGATAAGGAGATTGAAAAGGGCAGCATGACTGCAGGTCGGGATGTGCTCGCTCTGGATTGTGAAATGTGTCTGACAGAGGGAGGCAAGTCCGAACTGACCCGTATCAGTATGATGCGCTGGGATGGCGAGGTGGTGTTGGACGAATTGGTAAAGCCGCCGCGCCCAGTAGTCGACTACCTTACCCGTTTCTCAGGCATCACCAAGGAAATGTTGGACCCGATAACAACCACGCTCCCTGACATTCAAAAGAAGCTTCTTTCTCTTTTAACTCCTCGTGCGGTCCTGGTTGGCCACTCTCTCAATTCGGATCTGACGGCTCTCCAACTCACCCATCCTTTCATTGTGGATACTGGCATCATCTACCCGCACCCCCGCGGTCCTCCATTGAAATGCAGTCTGAAATGGCTCACACAGAAATACCTCAACAAGGCGATCCAGCAGGGTACGACCGGTCACGACTCGGTTGAAGACGCCCGCGCTGTGCTGGACCTCGTGAAATTGAAATGCGAGAAGGGCGAGCGTTGGGGTACCAGCGATGCGTCAAATGAGAGTATTTTCCGACGTCTCGCTCGTACCAAGCGTCCTCATAAGACCTCCTCCGAGGAAGGACGAACTGGAGCAGTAGTGGATTGGGGAAATCCAGAACGCGGCTTCGGAGCCCAGGCAGCGGTTGCTATTGGATGCACCAATGATGATGATGTCGTGAAAGGAGTTTCCGCCGCTGTCAACGGCGATCCCTCGAACCCAGCTGTCCCTGGTGGCGGTGTGGATTTCACGTGGGCACGTCTTCGCAATCTTGAGCAGTTCCGTGGCTGGGCCACACGCCTCCCAGATGCAAACAATGCCAATGCATCCACCGAGGTGACTGCCTTGCCCGAAGAAACCACGCCAACGACTAACGCTGATGGTTCTACCCCCTCATTTGATCCTGCGCTCGTCGACTGCGTGTCTCAAACCGTCTCCAACATCCATCGCATCTACGAATCGCTCCCCCCATGTACATTGTTTGTAGTTTATACGGGCACCGGCGATCCTCGTGAGGTCAGCCGTCTCCATACTATGCACAAGCAGTATCGTGAAGAGTTCAAAGGCTGCAAGCCATGGGACGAGCTCACTGTGAAGTGGACTGATACGGAAGAACAGGCTTTGAAGAAGGCATGTGAGCAGGCTCGCGAAGGATGCGGATTTATGTGTGTAAAGTAAAGATGTCTTGGTTATTCGATACCCAGCAATGAATACATATGATCAGCATTTAAATCATCTCAAAGGGCATACTGATCCCACGGCACGATCTGAACGCCGATAGACTGTAGCTCGTGTTCAATCTCCTTCTCAATATCTTCTGCACTTTGACCCGTTTCTGCCTTGTTATAGGTAGAATGCGCCCCTTGAAGCAGCACCACATCAAATCCCGCTTTCAAAGCTCCGCGGCAAGTAGCGCGCACGCAACATTCACTCTGAACCCCAAAGGCCACGATAGTAGTCACGCCCCGACTTTTCAAGTCATGCGCTAGTGACGGGTTCGATTCAAAGGTATCGCCTATCCCATATGTCAAATAGACTCCAGAATTTGTAGCCATGACCCGTGACTCACCCGTAGTTTTCTCGACAACTCGTTCATTCTCGGCTCCCTCTCGAGGAGGTAAAGCCAATTCCCACGCCTTGCTCCCGCGGATTAATGTTGCATTCGGATCGCTTGCTTCTTCGTAGTGTTGAACGATAATAATCTCAAGTTCTGTTTTGGGAACGCGTCGCGCACGGTCGAGGATCTGACCACCGACTTCGCAAACGCGTGCACCATGGGGCATGGCAGTACTGGGAATCGAAACAAGCTCGGCTTGAGTGTCGATTACGAATAGAGCTTTCTTGGTCATTTTGACGGCTTGTATGGTGTTGTGCAGAGGTTGAGGTTTTCTTCAGCACAAGTGGGATGGAAGTTTGGAGGCTTTAATAGCTTTAATTAGCGCGCCACATTGAGTCATATAAGGGAACGGACTATCAACCACCGAGATTACACTTTGTTCGCGGGTGGTAAGTATAGTTGACTCTGGTCAGTTATTGAAACTTCTTTAACTTGGAATGCAAAATTTCATTGAAAGCCTCGACCTGAATACCGAGTAACATCAACAGTGACAGCATTCCTAAAGTCTAGGATCGGGCTCTATCGCACGCCGGCTTGTAGACGGCATCTCTCTAGCCAGAGGCGGATCCCGCGGGGGTAATTGAAGACGACCAAGCCCAGGTCCATGTGAACCACCAAGAGTCACCCTTGGCACAATTCGATCCCGTGTATGAGACAATCCGTACCTCCTCAAACCAAGCTCGGCTCTGTTGTTCGCAACATATATATTGTCGTGGGCATCTGGCTCGGAGGTAATATGCATAATATACCTCCGCCAGGGTCCGTCCAGTCTTTGGGGATATCTTGGGTCCATTGGCCCTTCAGAAATAGCACATTGGATTCTGACCCATGGCGTTTCGCGGGTATCATGGGTGTAGTGGTTTATCAGACATACTTCGGCCATTATGACAATGTCATCAATATGGCCGGTGAGTTCCTCTCCCCGTGTGACTCCTACTATTGGGATGGGATGGTTGTCGGTAGTCAAGTCTCCTTGGAGTCGGACTACGTCGTGCCAAAAATATCCTTGTCATTGTTGCGCCGGTATCGTATAACATCTCAAACTCTTCCCAGTATTGATGGCCAGGAGACAGAAAGCAACGTTGTACTCAGTTCTCTGTTAGCTTTTGTTTTTTTGTTTTTTTGCATGACTGAATGACATACCGTGTGTAGGAACTGATGGTATCTCAATGGGGGAATTATTAGGTGATATTTCCAGTGTTCAGGGTCTGGTCCATGTAGCTGACTAGATTGTCAGCATATTCTCAAGAAAATATAAAACAGAACCCATGCCTTCAGTCCAGAAAGAGCTGGAACCATTGTGTCTCTTGTTGATTGCCTCAAACTCGTCCCAATTGAAAGGTCGAGGTTGGCAAAGTTGTTGACCACGGGACCAATACGGGACAAGTCCAGTCCACTCTAACTCGCCTGACCTGTAGGCATCCATAACTGACTCAATATTGGTGAGCTGGTTGAGTTCGTCGCGATTTTTTCAAATCCCGTCCCAAATACTGTCGAGGGTGCCCAGGCGTTGAATGGCAGCTTGAGACAGTGAAAGGTCCTCTTTGGAGCTTGTCATTATATTAAGTAGGAAGTTTTTTTAGCAGTTTTCAAAGTGTAGATAGTCAATGAACAAAATTCACGAGACTTGCTGGTTCAAGGCGTAAACCTCTTCAAATTTCTGCAATTTGGCCTCAAAGATGTGTGGCATGATCCCCTCATCGAATCGCTCATAACATCTCTCGATTTGGGCTACAATATCACTGCGCCATGGGATTAGCTCAGCGGACTTTGTTTTATGCGTTTTTCACCGTACTTATCACCAAGATCTGGTTCAGCTGGATGCCAGCCCTCAGGTAGCCGCTCGATATCATAGAGGGGCCATTTTACCGCGTGAGGATTGACCCAAGTCTGTTTGGCTGGGAGTTTGACTTTGTCATTCCTTTCCTTTTCCTTGACTCTTGAAGATCATACACGTAGGATTTCTCCAGATCCAAATCTTCCACATCGACTGGATCCCGGTCCACATCATCCAAAATGGATCCTTTCCAAATACTCCGGGCCCGGCTTGGTGGCGCAATCTCAGGGATTGTTGAAGACATGTCAGTTTCTCAGTAGAATTTTTTAAAACAACAATGTGAAGTCAGATTGACCTGAGAGCATATTTGGGAGACTGCGATCTTTAAGTCATCATTAATGAAGAATTCAGACAAAGGTGAACATGATTGGAATGTAAAAGAGTTATAAGTTTGGGATAAGCTAATGATCAACAAAGAATTCTCAACGATCATGACAACCACGATGCTAGACTTTCTGCTCCAACTTCACCAATTTTATAATTTGATATGTAACTTCTAAGTGTGTATTACAAGAAGAAAGTGCACATTCAACAAATGAAACAAACGAGACATATTAGGCGAGATACAGCGCACTCGGGTCTGCTGGGCAGGTACTCGAACAAAGAAAAATCAAGTGTCTCACATCCTGTAATTCAGCTTTCTGTCATCATAATGACAAGGCAGTGCTACGTCATACCACCATTCTGCGGCCACTGGCATCATTTTGTTACTGAATAGGGTCACTTGCCAATATTGACGACCATAAAGAAGCTGAAAATAACTCTCCTCAAACTCTTTACCCATGCGATCATCAAGGAAAGTCCAGTATGATGTGCACCTCAGACCTACCTATGAGCCTTAGTATTTCCACACATTTGCATGGTTGAACTCTATTTTACGTCATATTTTCTAACTCAACAGAACTAACGTCGATTGACAGGAAAGGCTGGCTGAAGCAATGCAGGGCGACTCTATGCGTATCGCTGAGTATCGATAGTCGGCGCGAAACGCTCTGCAAGAATTAGTCTCGGATTTAGCGTGCAGAATGGCACATGCCCTGGCAGGTGGCTGCGAGAGTCCCACATATATGATTGGGTGCTCGGCTATTTAGGACTGCCGCACAGTGTGGGGAAACTGGAGATCAAACAGCGACGGCTAGACTACACGAGAGTGAAGAAATGCTCAAGCTGAAAGTCGAAAAACCTCAGTCATGACAGGCCCACAAGCTCGGCTTGTTGAGCTCTCTCTCTCTGAGAATCATTTGGTGAGCTGAGAGTTGCCACGAGTCCGAGTCTTCAACATTCATAATTTTCGGATATAAAATGGACTCAAATCCCGCAAAGTTCGAGTATTCTTATCACACTTCAGTCATCATTTGAAGTACATTCTATACTTCCCGACGGCTATCTATCTCTTTACATTATGCCTTACACCAACGCAAGCCAGCAGCAGAAGGATGCTGTGGCTACTATGGTTGAGAGGATGATGAAACCTACCAACGCTCCCACTGGCAACTCTTTCACGCTCGGTTGGGATGTTGTTGCCTCATACTCTGAAAAGCAAATCAACAAGCTGCTCAGTGTTCGGCACGGAACGAAGAAGGCCGGTATGCTCAGGAATCTGGTACTCACAACTGAGGACTACAACCCTGCAACGGACGAGCCTTACACCACTACCTGGAACCTGAACTTCGGTCCACCAATGCTTCAATTCGATGCGCATGCCAGTAGTCAGCCAATGTGCTCGATTCAAATGGATATTATCTCCGGCACCAAGCAAGTTACCGGAGCCCCAAAGCCTATCCCGACCGGTTGGAAACTTCAGCTAAACGGCATTCCGCTCGCCACTGCTCGTGGTAAAATCTCCGATGAAGGAGAGATTGAAGGCGGCGTTGAGAACATCGTCCCGGGTGATACGCCAATTCACTTCGGAGACGCTAACGAGGAGCATAGCCATGTTGTGCTTGGCTTTCACTTGGACAAGGACAATCTGAAAGTTCTCGCTATTTCTCCTGACGAATTGGACCTGAAGAACAAGGCTCTTGGGTTTATGAAGACCTCGTTCCAAGAGGGTTTCCTCGACTTCTTCACTGGCAACAACGGGAAGACCGCTTTGAGCTATTCGATTGCAAGTGTCAACAGTGCCTCAGCACCAGGTCACGAAGATCTCAAACCGGTGAAGTTTCAATTTGCAACATTTGCGAAAGGTGATTTGGGCATCGTCTCTATTTTTATTCAGGTCAAAGGAGGCTTTAACGCTGGTACGACCGAAGGGCTTCAATCGCTGTGGCAAGCGCAGTGGCTGCGGAGCAACACTCAGCCAATTCCTGAGCACTTCACTGCCAGTCTCATCCTTTCATCCGAGATGATTCATCGCGTGCTTCTTCAGCCAGGATTCCAGAAATCCAATTGGGATGCGACGAATGCGACCGAACCGACCGACTTTTGTAACAGAGTGAGCGCACGAAACCACGCGGTCTGGAAACTTCCAGTCCAGGACATTGATTATTCTGCTGGAGTGTTTCATGTTGACGGGCCTCAAATCAATTTACATGATTTCCCCCTGAAAATGACGATAACTCAGAAAGATCCCGCTGGTAGCCCTGAGGTGACCGCACACTGGCAAATCGAGAAGGATATCTCTTGGGAAGCACGCCGTCCCATACTGGCAAACTCCGACGGCCACATCCATGCGATTTTCAGACTTTGTGATCCCGATCACTATGATCAACCTCGTAAGATGGACTGCACGATTACACTAGATGATGAAGCTTTTGGCATGGACTTGCAGGTCAACACTCAGAACTTCCGAATGGATCAGAATGAGGAAAATGCAATTGAATTCGAAGCTTGGCAAAAAGGCATGAGGGGCATCTGGACTCAGGCGCCAAATGTCAAAATCGGGACTATGGGCCTGGGATTCCTGCGCACCACTAATCTTCTTACGCCTGATGCACGCGTTGTCGATTTCAATGAGGAGATCGGTCTCAAGGCCCCCAAGGACTTTGTTTTGGTTGGTGATATCTTGGATTACTAGGATGTTTCATGATATTTAGCTTCTTGATTAAAGGCATGTCAATCTTTACCTTTAACAGCATGAGAATCGAAGAATTCGCCATTTCTTATTCCTAATTCATACAAAATATGGCGTAATAGAGCTTTGATAGATATCCCGAGGTAGAAATCATGAAGGATATAACTAGACACAAAACTTGAACAATTATTTCGAGGTTGAAGGTCGCCTGGGCAGGCTATGCCGCGAATTGAGGATGACCCCTCCAAGCCATCCATCCTGTACCTTCCAAACATCCCACATATTCACATTGCATCTCCCCTGCTTTGAGCACCGTGGTCTCGACCCATAATCCAACCTTCCCGGCACTCATTTCCCCGTCTGGTCCATATGCAGCCATGAAGCGGTCCCGAAGCTGCACATGCCCTTTGTTACTGCGCCCAATACGCTCCATGTGGCGTAGATCTTTGAAATAGAACAGCTGAATTTTTTTGTTATACTTCAGTGCCCTAGTCTGAGAGTTTCCAAAGATATCACTTTCTGCGTCAAAGCATAGACGGCCATCTAAGATTCCAGATTGTGACTCCGCAGACATAAGATCTTTGATCCAGTTTTCGACAGATTGCTGGAAGTTTTCGAACCAGTATTTCTTCTCCTCTGGTGAGATTTCCGAGTGGTCTTGGCCTTCGATGACGAAGCAAAGGTTATCAGGGAATTGATTCATAAGGACACGTTCGAAGCGGATGGACGCTTGGCCTGTGGAGCTTATGGCAGGATAAGAGTCTAAATCCTTCTCAAGTGGCGTGGTGAATTTGTCACCAGACGATGCATCCATTCGATGCCGATAACAGCCCCAATAGCCTGCTCTGTCGGCAATAGACACTCGAGATCCAAGCGTACCAAGCCCTATATCATCTGGCTTGTTCGTGCCGTATTGTGTCCGGGATGCATCTGGCATCATCACTTCTCGCCACATTCCAGCGTCTGGAGGAAGGGATGACCAGAAAGCAGAGACTTGGGGACTCGTCCACCAGTCGAGGTACTCTGTTCGGGATCTCCAATACCCCAGCCAGACGAAGGTCTTGCCATGGCTCATTGTGACGGAATCTTCTTGAATCACGCGGTCGACGTGAGTGGCTTTGTCGGTGATAAGAGAGTCGAAGTTGGCTCTGAGAGTTTCTTTCTCAGTTGTTGATTCTCCGTCGCGGTATTGTAGTCCAAATATGGAGTACACGAAGGGTTCGTCCGATGATAACTTGACTCCCCACATAACTTGAATGGGCCTATTGTGGTGCCGATTTAAATGAAAAGGTTATATATATTGGTCTGAAGGAACAGTAAGGACCAGGACGCAGAAAGGTGAGAAAAGAAGTAAGCTGAGAAGCGGGACAAGACCTATCAGGGTATTTAAAGGTATATGTACGTGAACATATGGGGTTAATCGAACAATTTACGCAAAAATAATACAAATTCTCGCGACTTGAAGAGCCTGATGTCTTCAGTCATGACGAGTGTGACACTTGCGGAACTTATCATTCCGCAAATTTGCAAAACAACTATTGGAGACTTATGGTCAAAGATAAAAAATCGCCTCGGCGGTGCATTTCTTCTACTTTACAGTTATGAAAGCCCTCAAATGATTGGTGATTGCCGTGGACCCCGCATTGCGGAGGTGGTAACCTCCGCAGATGCTCATATCTACCCAATCTTTGGACAATTCCATTTATCAACATCTTTGATAAGATAGATAACACCCAAGATTTGAGTTGAGATAAACAAAAGCTCAGCTAATGCGGAAGTCTTGATTCCGCACTTGATCCAGACACTGCATATATAAGTGACATTTTACCGCCGTTTTCTCATTCTCGTAGTCTTACCTTTCCACAGTGGTACCTATACCAGATCACACCTCATGTCGACCCAGACCGTCCGTGTTGCAGTTACCCAGGCCGAGCCAGCGTGGCTAGATCTCGCAGCTGGGGTGGCAAAAACGTGTGAATTAATCACGGAGGCCGCAAAGAACGGCGCTAAGTTGATCGCCTTTCCCGAGTGCTGGATACCCGGGTATCCATGCTGGATCTGGTAAGATTGAGATGATGTCCAGGACAAATCAGTATTAACACTTTCTAGGACCCGGCTCCTCGATGTTGAGCTCAATGTGGCTTATATCAAGAACTCGATCCGCCTTGATTCTCCTGAGATGAAGCAGATTCAGCTTTGCGCAGATACCAACGCGATTGCAGTATCTTTAGGTTTCTCGGAAAACTCCAATGACTCTATATATATCGCTCAAGTGATGATCGGGCCTGATGGGGAGGTCAAGGCCCATCGCCGTAAGATGAAGCCCACGCACATGGAACGTACCATCTTCGGTGATGCTTCAGGAGAGTGCTTTGCAAGTGTTGTGCAGCTTCCATTTGCACGAGTCGGTGCCTTATCTTGCTGGGAGCATATTCAGCCTCTGTTGAAATACCACACCTTATCTCAGCAGGAGGATATCCATGTCGCCGCATGGCCAAGTCTCACGCCTCATAGTGGCGGCTCGGATTTGTGGTCTATGTCAGCAGAAGGTGCGTCCATGTCAGTCTGGATTGGAACATGGCTAACGCACTTATAGGTTGTTCGAGTCTTTCTCAAACTTACGCGATCGAGTCTCAAAGTTTTGTGCTCCATTGCACGGCTCTCATTACGCAAAATGGTATTGACAGAATGAACACTTCTGGGGGAGCAATGATGTCCTCGCCTGGTGGGGGTAGCTCGGCGGTCTTTGGACCAGATGGTAGAAGGTTGACAGAGTCAGTGGATAGTACAACTGAGAAAATCATCTATGCTGATTTGGATATGGATCAAATTGTGGCGACGAAAATGTTCGCAGATGCCACTGGGCATTATAGTCGTCCAGACTTGATGTCGCTTCATGTGTGTAAGCGAGTCAAGAAAATGGTTCACGATGAAGAGGCAGTGGATGTTAAGGGGAGTACCAAACAACCTGTTGAGGATGAGCAATAATCGTCAATACTATTTCCTTATTTCATTTCAACTATATAACTTTCAATTCTCAAATGTTGTACGCACTTCAATTTGCAATACTTTGCTTTCAAATTACATAATTGTTACCTTGTAAATCCCAAGGACAGATCATCACTACTCCCAAATCGGAATATCTGAGACAGGCCCAAAGCTTCATTCTCGCCTTCAGGAAAGGAAATCGATAAAAAATCAAGTTGCGGCTCTGTGCTCCACTCAAACCGTTGCCAATCGTCTGCCATGCCAATATGTAGATCGGGAGGTTCGTCGAAAAGCCCGTTTCGCACGTTAAATGCTGCGTCCTCTGTGTTGATCTCTGAATCTGGCATGAGATGAGAGATTGGAGCAAAAGGATCAGCCTTTTCTGGGCTCGCGCCCAGATTTATATTCGTATTGTCGTCTTTCAAATCATTATCACAAAGCACAAACTCGACGTTCCACCTTCGTGCTAAAGCCTCGATAACGTCAAGACTTTTTTTCGAACGTAGCTTCCAGTAACGGCCAAGCTCCCTAAGGAGATTGAGGCAAGTTCGCACTGACCGGGTATTGTATCTTCTGAAGGTATGTGATGTGGTTGTGGTATTCATTAGATGCACAATCGATGCGCTGAGAATATGATGGATCAGCAATGGATTAGCGTGCTCAAATCCATAATTCTTAGTATAGGTTTGCACGAGACGGACCATTGATGCTGCGGCAGAGGTAATTGACCGCAATACCAGTGGCGTTGCCTTTGAAGTGTTTGGTTGCGCGGCTTTGACTGTGGCAAAAACTCGGAGAAATGGAGGCATGGTGACCAGAATAGCCATTTGGTATGACATGTGGAAGAGCAGAACAGGTTTTGGAGGAACTTTGCGGGTAATTTCCAATGCTTGATCAAGCGACTTGAAGAATTTGCTCAGGTCTTTGTGCGTTAAAATGAGAAGATGGATTTGTTCCGCAAAGTCGAGTTGCTCGAAGGAAGAGGAAAATCTGTTGTCAATAATTAGCCAATGACTTACTATTTCATGACGGAAACAAACATTCGATCCATATTCTGGTCATGCATATACCAAAGTTTGCATTGCCAAGCAAATGAGACCTTAGCCAGATCTTTTTCGCCTCTGAAGAAGGATTCAATAGCTGGTACATTGACACGCCTCCATGGCAGTATACAATTCCGTCCAAGGATCGAGACAGATGTTCGGTCGGTCATATAAAACGACCAAAACGTCTGAACTGTTTCCAGTGGCGGCTTAATGGAGTTTGTTGCAATCTCATCAAGTGCCAAGACATGAAGACGCAGATGAACTGCCATTCCAGCAGCCATCGACAGAAACGTCCACCCGAGATGATCATGACCCAAGGCCAAAGATCGCCAGGATAGAATACAGAGTCCTTGGATGATTTTGATTGTTGGTGCATTTCGAAAACACGTGAAAACCAGACTCTCGCTCAGTTCCGCAAAATCATCGCTAACCTTCAAGGAGTCTGACTGGTTTTCAAATGTAGCACCGGCGGCTAATACGGCCCCGTGGAGGAAAAGGACATCGAGTGGATGGTCAGGGGAAATTGAGAACGCTATAGTGGTTTCGTATTCAGTGAATTGATGCTCTCGGTTGATATTTTCCAAGAACAGAGTTGCAAGTCTGCGTATGCGATTTCGATCTTTGGCATAGTCCAAAATGTGATTTGGAATGGCATAACAGGACTTTGGCAGGCTTGTAGTTTCTGATTGGTTGTTACCAGGCTCAGGGACAATCGTCACTCCATCTGCAAGGTTGGTTCTCCACATCATCACACTTAGCTCCTCCATCGCTTTGCGAGATTGGGTGGATTCGGAGTCATCTTGTTGGATCTCTCTGCACTCGTGATCTTGACCAGAGCTTTTCTGGAGTGAAAGATCATCAAGTCCCAAACCTGATATGTCGGATACGCCCTTATTCTTGGTATTTTCTGCACTCTGTAACGCTAAAAGGGCCTGCACTTGGTTTTCAAGAGACTTGACATACTCCTCGTCCCAGTATTTTCGCCTGGCCATTATTAGCAATCGTGGGCAAAGGGTGAACTAGCAGACATGTGCAGACCAACTTTCGTGTCTTTGGTTCATTCTGGTAAACACAACTCTTGTTCCCTTTCTTACAGGTTGAACATTCGGGTTTCGCCCCATCGCACTACTGGATGATAAGCTGCAACCCTTCAAGTGGGGATCGATGCACCTACTCGACGCTTTGAAGACCGACATTGTTTACAAGCAAATGCAGCGGCCTTGGACTGCAGATCAGTCATTAGACCATAGGGACACAATACCGTGCCCTCCCTAGTACCGGATTAAGGTGCTTGCAGTTGCATGGGGAGATAAGGCGGCGAGATCCCAATTTGGATGAGATCGGTCACGTGATATTTCATACATACAAATTCAATAAGTAGTTATTGACTCTAGCTTGAATAAGTATCAAAATATGATACTAGGGTAGATCCGACTGAGTATTTGGCTTGGCGAGCAGTTGCAATCAGGGTCTAGTGTAGGTCCGATAGATTCCTGAAATGAGCGACCAGAAGCTAGGTCCTGGCGACAAAACCGACTCCACTTTGTATCTCACCCGAACATCTAGTTATAAGGAGTGTTCAACTACGGCTTCCAGTGCATGCGGTCAATATTTGCATCGGCTTAGCCTTAATTGGAAGTAGATGCGAGGTGGCCAAACACTGTATGGAGAATCAAAATGCATGTTCTAATTTACTACGGTGACCCGAACATTCTTCTCAAATACACAGGACATAGTATCAACCGAAACCAAACAGGCTCTAGTCCCAGGGATGAGCGGGCCTTCGAACTTTTGCCGGTCAATCCCTTCAGTCTGAACTTTCATGGCAAGACTACGTTCCTTTTCGGATTTCTGCTTGTACTTCGTTGCCTCAGAGATACCCATGGGCTAGTCAACTGTTTCGCTCATGATAAGATCAATAAGTCCCTGGTGTAATTTATTTGCAATGTGGTCTCGGTGATTAAAGCAGCCTCGTGCCACCAGTCATGGCGCTGTGCGGGTACGTTCTGCGTTGAGTAGATGCGGTAGTGAGGATCAACCAAGTAGATGATAACACAGCGTTGGTGGCCTGAACAAGATTTGTCTTTCAAGGAGAATGGCTGCATTTTGTACCGTGAAGTGTTCGGCCAAGCCAAAGATCGACCCTGCTTTACTCCCAAAGAGCCTAGGTTTTGAACCTCCGGGGGAAATGGGAGATGGTGGAAATCATAGTAACCAAGAGTATGTGGAATGCCGAAGATTTTGTGCATTACATCAGGCTCAGGTGCATAGTCCTATTCATTCAGGTCACTCTCTTGTTGAAAGGATATCCGCGACTCGACATTCTGAACACCGTAGTAGTATCGCGATGCGACCACAATATGCTCATTGAGGAGACCATCGACGTGGAAGTCGCTGGAAGTCGCTGTCACCGGGGTAGAATGGGCTTTCTGGGGTAAGTTCGATGTTGGACACGCGAATGATAACTTGCAGCCCTTCCGACCGAAACTCATCTTGCAGGCAAGTATTCTGGTATGGGTGGTCACCCGACAAACTGGCATCAGGAACAGGGACCTCGCGGCGACTTCTCTTCTTTTCAATGATCGGCTTCCACGTTTTGCAAATTTTCCATTCTTCGTAAGAATAGGAGATTCCGGCTTGTGGGTAATTGAAAGTATTGAGCCTTTTACACTTCAACTCCATCAGTTCATCCAGCTCATTCACTGCCGAGCCCGTCAATATGTCTGGAGTCATTGCAGCAGGGAGATCATCAGGCCCTCTTGAATCTTCCAGATCATCATCATTGATTTCATACTTTGAACCAGGTTCCGGCAAAGCGAGATACTTTTCTACCTTCGTAATAAAAGAGCCCCATGTCTCTATTTCCAGACGCAACCAGGCACGCCAATGCCGACAGTACTGGGTTTCTCGGGTTTAAATTGAGAGTTGGTATCACTCTTGTCGAACCCATGAATTTTGATGCGCAGTGGATAACGACTGGTTGCTCCTTTGATCAGAATTTTGTTTCAAGGGTCCAAGCTCAAGGAAATCAGTATTTCAATTGCCATATAAGCTCGCTTGTTTTGGGGGTGAAGGTTGTTGATGTATGATGGTATGCGAACTTCTGTGCTGGAAGCTTCTTGGCTGGTAAATACTACTTCACTTGGAAGCCACTGAAACCGGTTGAACCAACGGTAGAAAGGGTGGGTTTCGTGATCATATGGCCGAGAAGCTCTCCTGTAGCTCGATGACTTCGCTGTGAATATATCGAGTGGGTGCTCTAAGATTGGTGCAACAATGGCCTTTGATGCAATAGTCGGATATGCTAGACCACTATCAGCCATGGGTACAAGACCTCCTTGACTGAGCACGGCAGTCCAGCCATCGACCAGCATGAACAATGAGGGATCAACCAGATCATGCATCGGACTCGAATCTTCCTCTGGGAATTCCCCTCGTTGGTTGCAGGGAAGTTGTTTTTCCAGCGCCTTTTTCAGTTCAATTTTCAGTGGTTCTCCAGCCAGTTCATCTGATTTGCAGACACCCGAATCGGCATTTAGAGTAAGGACAAACTTCTGTTTTCGAATATCTTTTGCCTTGTCCTGCAGCTCTGCAATGCACCAGTCCCATGTCGTCTGTGACAAATAATTAATGTCGACATCCATATCAGCGTCAGCTTCTGGGTTCAATTGCTCTGTTGATCTCGACTCAGATATCGCATCTGCATACCACTGAGCCAACGCTTTGTCGTCGAACACATCATGTTCCCAGCTTGGTATCTCCGACACTCTTTCAATCATACGAAGGATGAACAGTTCGGTAATAGTCAAACGGGTAGCTCGACCCCGCCTGTGTGGGTGGTTCGGCAGGGCACCATGAGCAAACCTTTGACTGGTTTCCATTTCATAATCAAGGGATATATCCCCGAATGCTGGGACCTGTAGCTGGCCAATCCCAGGATTGTCCATTTTAGGCAGGGTCATCATGAGGCTCACCAGGCTGGTGGACTTGAGGCTTGAGGATGGAGACAGAGAAAGCGCGATCCTCTATGGGGAAAGGTGTCTGGTAATACTGTTGTTAATGCCGTTTCGCTTTGCCAAGAGCTCCGGACTGAAATCGGACCTTCCGCCGATATTTACTTGCTCCGCCTCTCTCACCGACGGTACATACTATTGCGTCGCAAGCTACACCAGCAACACTCTGCCATCTACAGTCTCCGTTCTCCCCAGCCCTTTGCAAACCGGTATAGTCTCTACACGGGATGGTACCTTGCGGATGATGACGATACTTGCGAGGAGATCGCAGAAATATTCGGTACATTCAGCGAAGATAACTTCCTCTGATGGAATCCCGCCGTGGGATCTAACTGTTCCGGTATCACCGCGGGCGATTATTACTGTATCGCTACTCCAGGCACCCCGACCACAGCTACTACCACGGCAATTACGGCGACGTATTCTACAAATGGAGTGGGGCTACAGCCCGAGCAGACTGGTATTTCCGATGAATGTGTATCTTAATGGCTTGTTGGAGTGTAAGTTCACACTTCTACCTTCTTCTCATTTATTGTTGATCGTTAGTTTTGACTAATTCCATCTCCAGAGCTGATACGTGCGCAATCATTGAAGAAGAAAACAGCATCACAGAAGATCAATTCCTGGATTGGAATCCTGCTCTTGGATTAGATTGCTTTAATCTATTGGAAGATTACTATGTCTGCGTTTTGATGCCGAATGCTACCACCACCGGTGGAAACCTTGCGCTTTCCGCTGATAACTCTACAACCTCTGCTTCCCTTACAGCGTCTTGTACTATCACGGTAACGACAGGTGTTTCTCTCTCAATTCCTACATCTTACCAGGTAAGCATCTAACTGTTTCCAATTGCCTCTCCGCTATTACAGAAGTGTGGACTAATTCAAAACAGTCCGACATGGTCTCCAGCTGCGAAGGCTTCTACCTCGTCGAAAGCAACGACCACTGCTAAGACATTGCTCTCGAAGCCAACATCGCCCTCACAGACCTCTACACCTAGAAACCAGCTGTCGGAAGAGACTGCTCGGACCTTGAATCTGGGGAATATGTCTGTTTGGGAAATACTGGACCACTAACGACAATGACGTCCAACCCTCCTATGCCTACTACTCCTAGTCCAACACAGGTAAGCTTTGAAATTTAATTGATAGTGATAATCCTTGGATTTCTAATGGATTTTCTAGACCGGTATGGTGAGCGGGTGTCTTCGGTTCTACTGTGTGGAAAGCGGAGATGATTGCTATGATATTGCTCTTGATGCAGGAATATCGCTTGAGTAAGTGTAGCACCAACTTCCCCTTCTTATCAAATCGTATTTTTTCATCGACTAATCAATATTTTTAAGTGATTTCTACTCCTGGAATCCAGCGGTCTCGGACTGTGCAGATCTCGAAGTCAGTATATTTGTCTGCATTGGCATTTCTGGCCAGGCGACAACCATCACCAGTGGGACGCCTGTAGCAGCAACTGGAACAACAACGGCTACTTCATCATAATATACTATTTGTATAGGATAGATTGTGGGAACAAGACGAAAGTTGAAGAATCCATGTATTGTCTTCCATATATCAGAAATACCTAAGTAGCCAGCCACATGTACAGCATTAATTCCGGGGTCTCAATTCCTTATTCTTCCTCGCCCAGAAGCTGTCAAGTATAGACATCGGATTTTGAATATCTAAATGCGAGCTCCCCTCCGAAATATCAGTCCCATATCCATCACGTTCCCCCGTACCAAAACAAGTCTGCCACTTGATAGTCGTACTGTGGCACTTGTAAGCTTTGTATCTGACAGCGCTATTTTTCACCCTTCTTTTCTTTTCCATCTCCCCTAACCACGGTTTCACCTTCTCCTTCAAAATCCGATACGGTGTAAAGATGGACTTCAAACACCTCTAGATACTCATTCGCCTCAACCATGGCTTCAATCCTATCTAGCCACGCATGTTGGATGTAATTCTTATCGTTCCCTGAATCCCTAGGGACTCCTTGTGGCATTTTCTCCAGACTTGGCAATCAATGAAAATCCGGATATGAGTCAGTGAGGTAAATGTCATTCCTAGAGCGTTCTCTTGGCGCCAATAGGCCCCAAGCGGGGAAGATGGAAGATGACTACAATATGTAGGCTGACAGCTTCACACAAAACGTATGTGATATTGGGTATGGGGGGAGAAAAGAGAGAAGGAGCAGAAGATCTAGAGGATATGCCCCCAGACCCAAAACTAAGCTAGTCCTAAACGGGATGCCAGCGCTGCTCAGGTCACATGATATGACCCAGGGACACCGACACGTTCCATAGGCAGTCATATTTTGCTTTGTTCTGCTTTGACATGTGTGGTTGGATGTTTGTTCCCAAGCTCCACCAGAAGGTCAGACGGCGGATGGCGGGAAGACCCAGAGAGGGAATCTGGGCTGGGAAAGTAGTGCATATATCTTTCTGGTATTGAAAGCGGAATTCGTTGGTGGCGTAGAGAATTGGTAGGCTTTCAGTGTATCTGTTTTTATCATCAGTATTATCATTTCTGAAAAGTCCATGATTCATGTATTGGGGGCACTCTAATCACATATGTAGAATCAAAGATAGGTATCACGGAGCGACCTCTGGGAGCATTCAGAAGCTTGACCGCTGCGCTACTGGCAGAGACTAAGATGTAAAGCCTTTCGGCTTTACACTGCGCTCACATATATACCGCGGCAGAACAGAACAGGGCAAAGCATGTAGGATAAATGTGTGCGCGGTCGCACATAGTGACAATATGAAATGTAACTCACCCCTTCCAACACGAAAAGAAAGCCCAACATCAATCCACATCGCCCAAAACTCTGCAGCAGAAGACGCGTGTCCCCCATTGCTGTACAACGGTCCCAGTCTACTCTTTCGCATGGCGAAAAGCAAACATACGAATTAACAACCCATTTCCTCTTTTCTTTCACCCAGCTACACTGGTAGTGCAGGGCACGGTTTCCGAATAGGAGCTCATAGATGATGATTCTGATTTCTGGGGGAAGGAGGGTGAAGAATGAGCTTTGGAACTGGGGGTTGATGAAAGATCGAGAGGGTTAGAGCTCCTTCTGCTGGACATTGGATGCCGGGTGTTTTTGTGATTTGAGCTTTTCCTCTCCTGATTTTGTATTTAGTGAGTGGTTGATTTTTTGGTAATTTGCACAGTGTTTGTTACTTACTACTCTCTAGGTACCGTGTAAGAAATTTGAAGAGCATGGTTTAAGGCAAAGGTTAAAATGTGATGAAGGAGATGATGAAGAAAGCCGTGGAAGATATGGAGTCTGGGGCACTTGTTTATATCTAGGTAAATTTACTAGGCTAAATAGGGTACCCCGGTAAAATTACAGTACACCTGATTAGATATGGGTCTGGAGCATAAAAATAACACAAAAGGAAAAAGAAAAAGAAAATTTCAATTGGCAAAATGATTAGGAGCGTTTTATAGTGATTGCGCCATGCCTCGCCATCGTGGGGACAGAACACCACACATTGGCATTGACTCTAGATGCCCTCGCCTACGCGGACTACGCAATCTCTGGTAACCGAGATGATCTTTGTTTTTCATCTCTTCTTCCTATAAGAATGCCCATCGCCCGCAAATAATGTACACAGAGATCCACATTTCATCATCTTATAATTTCATTTCCTTAAAAATGACCTCTCTCGATCGCAAAATGTCCGATCAGGGCATACTCAATGTAAATAACAAATTATTATCGTACTTGCAAGAGATGGCGAAGTGGCCGGGAGCCCACCAAACCAACGATACCGACTGTCTTGCCAGTCCCGTATCAAGGTGCGTGCAGTTGCACGGGAGATAAGGCGGAGGATTACCCGATTTGGATGGAGTCGATCTCGTGAAATCCCATGCAAGTATGGCCCTGGAGAGACAATGATTGACAAGTGTGAGTTATTGAAGAAATGAAATGAATTTCCACAGGAATCGGGCACTGAGCATCTTAGGCCACTAAGTACTGTTTTCGTACATGATAGCATTTATATACTACACACGTGACCTCGGATGTGATCAACGATAAGGTTATGTGATGGCGATGCAACTGTAAGCTTTTCTAAGACTGTATATGAAACTATCCTGATAATGGACAATTTTCCTTGATAAACTCCTATACTCAGATGATTTATCTACAAAATGTTCACCGGGATTGATTATTCACAAAAAGCCTCCGTACGTTTACTTTGTATATCTACGGGACTGTCCCTGGATAGTGGGGCTCAGACTTAAGATCAGCATGGTTTCTGTTATTTGTAGACTAAAAAGACTAATATCAATGTGAGATAGTATGATAGGCACTAGTTTAGCTTTCAGTATACATTATGCTTAAAATCCACGCTCTAATTTTCATGTTTTCTGACCACACTGTAATGCAACTCTTCCATAAGTAGCGGAAAGCTGCCTAGTGCATCCACGGTAAGTGGGGCATTCAGGTGGCAAATCGAAACTATCACCGCAGTGATTAGAGCAGGCTACAGTCAGCTAAAAATTCTGTAAATGTGATTTCTCCCGTTATACACACTTGGCACCAAATGAGCCTAAGGAAGTCATAGATCTGATTACGATCGCATCCATGGTTTAGATTGGGAGGAAGTGAAATCGACCAATCACGATCACCTAAGCAGATCAGTCAGCCAGGAACGGTTGCCTGAGGCCAGAACGAGATCAACTGCGGCTCCAGCTGGTTCTTGATTCTTGTTTCTCGGACGACGAACCCTTTACCAGGACTACAGCCGTCCCGGTTTCCCCCTTTCCGATCTGTTCACAACTCTTCAATCGTTTGTGAATGGATAAAAAGGGTGCCTGTCAATCTGTGTAAGTGCAACCTCGAGTTGTGTCGACGTCAACAAACGACCTTGGACCGCGATCTCAATGAAGGGAAGCTGACGATCATGTTTGATTTCTACAGAGATACTCCTTCATTCCATTCAGACTTATGAGAAGCATCGATCCGTCCAAGAGTCTCGAAATTCCATCGTTACAAGCCATCGGATTTGTCCATCGCCGCAACTTGACAGCTCTCCCTTCGCAAAAGCCAAGATCTTCGAGACGACGCATCAAATTTAACACACTGCGTTCATCTGAAAGGTGGTATTTGGATCACCTGGCAGTTACGCGACCTGAGGCCAAATCATTGGTGTGCCCACCAAGCCAGTTGTCACAGGTCAACACAGGCCCCGCCATTCCACGGCATTTCACTCTGCTTCGATCTTGTTCCCCGACCTCTTATCTCTGTACCCGAATGAAACGGCAAATTGTATGCACCGGATCCCCTTTCTCGTCCTTTCTCTGCCCTTATTCTTTTGTTGAGTGTTGAGGTGTTTCGCCCGGGTAAATTGCCCCGGTGACCTTCCGCCCTTTCTCGCGCCTTTCTCAAGGTATATATACCCTTGTTCCCGGACTGTCGACTTTTTCTTCTTTCTCAAACTTACAGGCCAAGCACTTAGGCCGTCACGTGTATCTCCCCTGTTATGGAAAAGTTTCTTGTTCAATCAGCACTTATACCCACACAAAACCAGTCTTTAGTAGTCGTTTTGCTATTTATCCTTAGCGCTTGCAATTTCTTGCTTTGATTTCTTCACCATGGAAGCAACACAAGAATCCACCCAGCCATGTGCCGACCCGCGCCGCATGGGCCTGAATAATTCGGGGTTGCAGGACCAGGATCTTGCCGACATTGTTTGTATCCTTCATCCTAACTCCCATGCCGCTCATGACGCCGTGGCTGCTACGGCTGCACGAGGTACCCAGCATATCCTGCAACAGGCAGCCTTGGACTTCGAAACCTCGGAGACTGCAGCATTGGACCTCGCACTACGATTGTCTTCCGATGTCCACAACCCCGGGGTTGGGTTTTGTTTTGGTCGCAATCAAGCCATTTGTGATATTCTTTTGACACCCAACGATAATGTTAAGAGGATATCCAACTCACATTTCCGCATTCATCTAACTGGCGACGGCATAATCATGCTGCAAGATACGTCGACCAACGGCACTATTGTAGACAATTGCCGGTTGCGAAAAAACTCCAAAGACCACAGTCGCATGCTTGTTAATGGTTCAGTCATCCAGGTGGTGGCTGGGAATCAGGGAACAGATGAGGTTCGTTTCGTCGTGCGGATTCCTTCACGTGAGAATTTTGCTGTGAAGTACACGCAGAATATTGTTCGGTACTTTGAGCGAGTCCAGCAGGTTGTAGCAGGGCAACACAAAGCCCGGCAGGCGCCATCTCAACCGGTTCTGCCGTGGTCAGTTGCCAATGCTTATGGCATGCATTGGTCGGGCGGCCCGATGTACAATGTGACCGGGCAGATCGGTAAGGGTGCCTTTGCCACAGTGTATAAACTGGCCACGAAGCAGCACGGTGCGATATACGCTGCCAAAGAGTTGGATAAACGCCGGTTCATGAAGAATGGGATTCTGGATCAAAAGGTCGATAATGAGATGAAGATAATGAGAGACCTGAAACATGTGAGTTGGCCTATTTCCCTCATGGAATGACAATACTGATGTGGTTCGATTTAGCCAAACATTGTCCAATACATCGAGCATCATGAGTATGACCGGTGGATCTACATCGTCATGGAGTATGTGCCCGGTGGTGAGCTGTCCACATATTTGCACAGCCCTGGCAAGATTCCAGAGGACATGGTTCGAACTATCACTCGTCAGCTTTTGCGGGCCCTGCATTACCTCCACAAACGTCGTATTACCCATCGCGATATCAAGCCAGACAACATCTTGATTGCATCTCTGGATCCGATTCGGGTCAAGCTATCCGACTTTGGACTGTCGAAGGTGACACAAGAGGAAACGTTTCTCAAAACATTTTGTGGAACACTGCTATACTGTGCCCCTGAGGTGTACCCGGACTATGATACGTACGGACGTGGTGAAGCCCGGAAACGCCGCCGAGTGGGAGACCCGTGAGTTATTTCTGACCAATTCCGACAGAGCAAATGCTAATCGTTAGACCGGCAAAAACCTCTCCGTATAGCCAGGCTGTGGATATGTGGTCCCTGGGTGCAGTTCTTTACCATGTTTTGTCCGGTGTCCCGCCATATTCGGGCCGCGCTGAAGATCGGGGGATTGCCATGCTGCGCAGTATTATGACAACAGAATGCGATTTCAATATTTTGCGGCAGGCGGGGGTCTCTGAAGATGGTGTTGATTTTGTTGCCAAATTGTTGAATCGAGACCCGTTTTCTCGCCCTACAGAAAGAGAATGTTTCAAGCATCCGTGGATTGTGGATGTGCCTGATGTTGACGAGTACGAAGATGATGACATTTTGCCCGACCCACACGACGGTCTTTCAGTCATCGGTGAGGCGGAGGAAGAACTTGACGCGTCTCAGTTGTCTATTCATGACGGAATGTACACGCACGAGGGTGGAGATGAGGAAGCAAGCAGCAGTGAAGCACTGGCTAAGAGGCCAAGGATTGAAGAGATCCCTGCAGATATTCGATATCCTGCCCTCCCTCAAATTGAAAGCTTCCAAGACAGTCAGGTGATTGCCGAGCACCAGGCAAGACGATTATTTGGCGAGGTCACCTCGTCAGCTCTGCGCAGCTCACATGCACTTGGCCACACAGGCGCGTGGGAAGACGAACCTGACGCCGACAACTTTTTGTCTTCCGGTGAGTCGGTGAGCGATGAATGCAGCGTCTCTTCGGTCGTCTCCCTCCCGGCACATCCATTTGGCGGCACTGCACCCAGTTTGATGGGAGCGGAAAACCTCGTCGGACGACTGAACATGAACTCCTCGCATCCTATCCTCCATTCCCAAACCACCCCCGTTAACGAGACATCGACGCCACAGATCAACCCCGGACAGCCCAAGGATCTGGCGAGTGTAGGTAGCCCCCCTGAAGTGGCCAACTCACCCCACCCGAGTGTTGATACGACGCCCAAGGCACCCAAGCTGAACGTTGCTCGTCGTCTCGAATTCGACCTCCCCGAGACAGCCAGTGAGGAATCGAGTGACGCAAGTGCACAACAAAGCCGTCGAGGATCTGCACAGCCTCTTGAACGAAGCTCTCAGGGAACTATTGATATTGAGCTTATGACTACGCTTGATGCTCAGACTGGTCAGGCTATTCTGGACCAGCAACTCAAGTCTGAGATCGAAGCGTCTGAGCCTATCGTGCACTGGCCTGACCCACCGTCCATTCCACCAAGCATGCCCACCAGGGCCAACACCGAATTTACCAAGCCCCCGAAGATTCTTGGTCGCCTGAAGAGTACACCAGGCTCTATCTTTGATTTGAACCTACGCTTGGAAAACCGAATGACCTCGTGGGGTCGAGGACCAGCCGCGACCATCCGTCACGAGGATCGAATGGATACTCGAATCTCGGCCTATGCCTTGGAGATTACTTTTTGGGCGCCCGGAATTGAGGTCAAAATCGCGGAAGGGAAAGACTGGCAGCAAGTTCCTGGGGTCAGGGCGCTTCTCTCTACTAAAACACGCAAATGTATATGGGTGAATGGAACGGAACTTCGACGAGGGACTTCGACAGAAGGGGGATCAGAGGGTTTACACTTTGGCGAGATTTACTCAGGCGATATCATCACAGTCTACCGACACAACGGCCAGTACCTGGATCTTCGGTGTGAGTTCTACCATGGTGAGAGTGCTCAGCCACGACCCGCTCACGAAGCCGGGTTCGTCGTACGAAAAGCCTTGGCCAATAAGCCTGATGCTGCGGCTAATCGACAGCCGCTTCGAACGCAAAAGAAATCCGCGTAATAGATTGATAGTTACATGTCATTACATGCCATGTGGAGACAATTAGATTGTATGCATGCGGAGATTTCTTGATTCGGAAATCAAGTCCAAGATTGTGTTGTTCCATGCATAAGATTCCGATCCGCGGCATTTCCAGGCTCATTTAAGCTCAAATGAGCATTTAATATATTTGAAACGATAGAACCAACTTGGATTACTCCCAATCTTCTAGACATAGGGATAATAACTTCAAATAAAAAAAGGAATATGAAGTTGAATAATACCAACTTAGGTAGTACTCAAATGACTGGTTGCGGCTTTACAGTCAATTTGATTGTTACAGTGCTACAGTGGAGACTTGGTCTGTGCTGTTACTATGGACCCTAAAGCACCTTCAATCTTAATCTTAATCCGTCATTTAATTTCTTTTGACTACAACGACTACAATACGACATAATTTATATGTATTCCCCTCCTCCCGGGCTTCGGTCATCTTGACCTCATTCTGCCACACACACCTAAGCAGTTACCAATATCCCAAACGCGCAATCTCCACGCTGCCATTTTCTGCCCTCGGCCTTTCCTCTCGACCACCGATCGCATCCCATGTCACTATCGCGATCACCCTCTCCCCACCCGGGCGGAGGGTGGTCCAGCCCGGGCTTAGCACCGGGCAGCGGAACCACAACTCCGCGCGGGTACTCGCCCTCCAAATCACCCGGAATTTCCTGGGCCGCGGCGAAAGCGAAAAGCGACGAGGTGCGCGGATACCCATCCTTCTCGACGCGCAATAGTGGGTTCTTCTCGAGGCAGAAACATAAGATCTCGGCGAGGTTGCCCAGCTTTCGGGGACGGTCTGGTGCTGGTGGGTATGTGGATAAGGATGCGTATGGACGCGCAGAGTGGCGCTCTGGCGGGCATGGGCCGTTGGCTACGCTGGGAATGTTGATGCGACGTGGACGGGCCCGTTTCCTTGCGGGAGTTTTACTGCTTCTTATTGGGTACCTGTTTCTTTGGTCGAGTAAGTGATCGTCTTCGTTTGTGAATGGGCGCATAGCTAATCGCTTGTGTAGCGCTGGTTCAATGGTACCGTCGTTCATCGCTGGGAGGAGGCCGCAAGGTGGTAATCATTCTCGGGTCGAATATCGAGGGCGGTGTTATGGCGATCAAGGGAGCGCGTGAGTGGGCTGTCGAGCGCAACAGCGTCTGGAATAAGGAACGCTATGCACAGCAGTGGGGATACGAATTGGAGGTGGCCAACATGCTGGCTAAGAAGCGGTACTCGCATGAGTGGCGCGAGAGCTGGGAGAAGAGTGACGTGATCCGTGAAGCTATGCGCAAATATCCCGAGGCGGAATGGTTCTGGTGGCTTGATATCAACACCTGGATTATGGAGTATGGGACCTCCTTGCAGAGCCACATTTTCAATGACCTGGAATCGAAGGTCTATCGAGATATCAACGAATACAACCCTCTCAACATGACACATCCGCTTCCGGAGTTCTATTTGGATGATCTAAGTCGTTCTCGGGAGGGTGATGGAGATTCTCGCTCTCTCAACTTGCTCCTTACTCAAGACTGCGGCGGGTTCAACCTGGGTTCTTTCTTGATCCGACGGTCTATCTGGACGGACCGACTCTTGGATGCATGGTGGGATCCTGTCATGTATCAGCAGATGCACATGCAGTGGGAACACAAAGAGCAGAATGCTTTGGAGTACATTTACCAAAGTCAGCCATGGATTCGCAGCAATGTCGGATTCTTACCACAGCGCACCATCAATGCCTTCCCTCTGGGGGCCTGCGGTGACGAAAACAATCCTGCCATCCACTACCAGGAGGAAGACCGCGACTTCGTCGTCAACATGGCTGGCTGCATGTTTGGTCGGAACTGCTGGGCCGAAATGGTCAACTATCGAGATCTCAGCGATCGGCTCAATAAGAGCCTGTGGGAAGCTTGGAAAGATGCCCTCGGTGGGGCAGACGACCAGGAGTCGGAGGATGAAGAATCCGAGGAATAACCTCACAGTCACCCATCTCCTAGGTCTTATGTACCCACGCTCTCTACAAATCTCCGATTCAAAATCTGAGCATTGTATGATACGAATTCAAAGATTGCTTGATGCCGGAGTTTGATCTGTATTATTGTCTAGCACTGGTGCAGGACGTTTGGAGTCCAGTGCACGAAGATATGATTTTTTTATTTTTCTACCTTCAATATAACCATTGAATTACACCAACCTACACCTAGTTTCTTGAATCATATACAGAAACTCCTAGCTTAGAAGCCTAAAGCATCCCAACTATAAAGTCACGTGGTTTAGAAACAAACTGCACTTCTGGTCCCTTCATCATCCAATACTCACACCGCCTTTCAACCCACCCAATCATCTTCCCCCTAATCCAACCTCCAGAGACATCGGATTCGACGGCATCAACCTCGCGCACCCTCCAAAATCCCCACACCAGCCCTCGCCCTCCATCCTTCCTCAAGCCTCAGGGATCCCTCCACCATTCCCTCCTCTTAATACCCAAATACCACCTAATCCGCCCACAATGCCTACCCCCGAGTCCGCCGCTTTCCTCGCGAAAAAGCCCACCGTTCCCCCGACCTACGAGGGTGTCGATTTTGAGGACAATGTCGCTCTGCACAATGCTCGTGATGCTATTATCCGTGAGCAGTGGGTTCGTTCTATGATGTCGCGACTTGTCGGTGAGGAGTTGGGCAAGTGCTATGCGCGTGAGGGTGTGAATCATTTGGAGAAGTGTGGTGTCTTGAGAGGTAAGATCTTTCCTTACTTTCTTGTCCCGATGGAAGGATCTCCGTGGAATTGGTTGATCGGTCGATTGGATCAATATTCAATTGAAGGATGTGAGAGATTCTTTGGCAGAATTATTACTAATTGCGAACAGAGAAGTACTTTGAGCTCCTCGGAGAGCGCAAGATTAAGGGTTACCTCTTCCAGGAGAAGAACGCTCTTGGCGAGAAGGCGTAAATGACCATTTACTCTATTGGTCGCGTATGCTGTTATGACGATGGGGTCTGTGGAATGCACCGTGAACTGCGACTCGATTTGTGCCGTGGGTGCAGATGCTTGATCTTATTTGAATCAAGTCTGATGGGTTGGTTTGAGAGTTCTGCCATTCCACTGCTTGGGAATGGCTGGAGATTTCTGAGGGAGTGATGCTCTCTCTTGTACTGTACATATACAATATCATTCCAAGGTTGTCTGGTCAATTTATTTTTGTTTAAATCATAATTACATGAAGCAAGAGCTGGGTATTATCAATAATACGCAGTCGAAGCTGTGTCACTGCGATCTGGGAATCCTCCTGGTGTCCCTCGAGTCTCGGGGGAAAAATCCTCGTCGCTATCATCAGGGTCATCCGCGAAGGAGATATTCTCGTCCTCGTTCGGTGGAGCCCGCATGAGAATCAGCTGGTCTGCATCCATTGAAGGAAGGTTATATGCTGCTGGCGGGGTGTGTATATCTCGACCGGATGGTAGATTAGACAACAACGGTGCGGATGGTGGAATGGCTTGAGTATTAATCTGAATGGCGTCAGTACATCAGTAGAACTCGGATGTTCCGATATGTCAACTACTTGAAGACTTGATGTTCACTCACAGTATCATTCATGCGCACCCACTTCGTCTCCAACATGGTAATCACCCGACCCTCTTCATCGCGCCCTGCATCATCTCCCGGTTCCAGAAGACCCTTCTCACTACGCCCACCCCCAGCATCTTTGCCAATCTTCTTCTCCTCTCGACGCTCGGTCCACTCCCGCTTCAAACGGGAAAATCCACTCTTGGACGTGGCCGGTGCTCCACTGGGATCATCAGATCCAGCCGAACCCGTGCCGCGCAACCCAAGCTGTGTGCGGGCAGCTCGCAGCCATGCAATACCCTCACCGCATTTCCCTGCAAGCTCAGCATCGATTCCAAAGAACCGACAAGCTCGTGCACGAGCAACACGGCCCAGAACACCTGCATACCGCGTAATCTCATCATCGAGACGACTACCTTTGTCCGAGCCAACACTTCCAAGTCCCGCAGCAGCCTGCTCCGCGTACTCGGCAGCGCGCACGCATAAGCGCGCAAACAGTAAAGCACGCACCTTTGGGATATCAGGCGCTTTCACCATCCATTCCCGATCATTAGGATTGCGCGCCTGGATACACGCCGCGACGTATGCATCATCTTTAAGCACAGCGAGGAGTGTAGCCTCTGCGAGCGCAAGTGAAGCCAGCGCGGATTGGGTCGTTGTCTCTATATCCGACACAGATGTAGATCCGGAATTCGCGACGGAAAAAGAAGGCGAAGAGGCCAGAAGCCCGTGTACCGAGCTAGCTTGTAGTAAGTGCCGTGTGGCGGTCTGCACTGCCGCAGTGCGTTGCTCGGGGGTTTGAGTCACAGGTGCATATACTGATTGAACGACGCTCGCTCGTGCAAGTCGGCTCAGCACGTAGCCGAGTGTTGTGAGCGTGAATGCGATTTCGAAGTTGATGCCTTTGCCTGAGGTACGGCCTCCGCGGGCTCGGACCCCTTTTCCGTTGGATTTGATACCCGCTGAAGAGTTCAGGTTTAATGTGTTGCCGGTTGACAGTGTGGGTTTCCAGGCAGATTCGATCTCGGCGCGTAGTGTTATCTCGATCTCTTCGCTGGCGCGTGGTTGGTTCTCGGAGGTATTATAGCTTGCATAGTGGCTGCCGGGGAGAGAATTTGTTTTGATAGATTGACCACGTAGACCGTGCGAGATTGCAGAGAGATAGGGGAGATAGTCTTGTAGTGCGGAGAGGACGGTTGGAAGGTGGGCATCTTGTCGGGCGCCGCGGGGTAGGCGCTTGTGGGCCTTTAAGGCGAGGCGAAGAGCATGACGGGAAGTAGATGCGGATTGTGGAAGAGAGGGATGTGTTGATGATGATATGAATGTTTGAAACGAGAGAGGAGAGGTGGTTGGAAGGCTGAAGGCGTACACCATGTTGATGCGGGGAGTTGAATTGGGGAGTTGGAGATGACAGCTCCGGCGGGATTGATGTCACACGGCCAAGACTGGTGACTTGGCGAAATAATATTCTGTTTATGGCATCAACTCCCCAGTCAAGTATTTCTTCAATATTTAATTCGAAAGCTGGGTTGGATCAGGGGTTGGACCAGATTACCCAGGAATTTGGAGATAACTAGGTTTTCAGAGCGATCATATGTACTCCGTATAGCATCGTATAAGTATAATTGTACACTACTACTGTACTATGGAAAAAATCCGTCACAACCACAGTCATTCCATATCCTGAATTAATGGCTGTACCATTCCTCTCCCTTCCAATGTAGAAGCGCAGTAGGGATGAAGCTGGCGCCCATGATCAATGCCGCAGCCACACCAGAACTCTTCGCGATGCCAACGCTGTCGAACAAATCGGTGAACCTGATATCAAGTTAGCTGAAATTCAATACACTTTAAAAGGAAGAAACATACCAGAAAGGACCGATAAATCCCCATGTCGAGCGAACAAAGTTAATGAATACACCAACGCTGCCAGCATCTTGGGGATAGGTATCGACAGCATAAGTAGTCATAACAGTAGTAACGACCTGATTTCCGAACGCTGCGATACCCGTACCAACAACCGGTGTGACCGTCCACTGGCCTTGTTTCGCCTGTTCGGTGCATACCAAGAAGACAACCATCCCAGCAATGGTCACCAAAAACCCGATATAGCTCAGCCATAATCGGTATTCTGGGTCAGGCTTCCGGCCAATGCGTTTGGCGCGAGCATTCATCCACATATCGGACATGAAGCCACCCAGTTGTTCACCCAGCAAAGAGCCGATGATCAGGCCCAGGAACTGGAGACCAAGTTGTTGGGCATCTAGGTCGAACTTGGATTGCAAGAGTTGGGGGACTTCGACGGAGCCCATCACCGAGGCAAATAGGAAGACCATGGAGTATGCGATCGCAGCAAGGAGAACAGGAATATTGGTGAATAGGGTGAGGGGGTGGAAGAATTCGGAAAACTTGAAAGGGGTGGGATCGATTCGGCGGAGGGATGTGTACTCGCGCTTGAACGCAGAAGCTTTACTCTGGACGTCGTCGCCAATGTAGCGGGTTTCGGGCCCGAAGAAGAGGTATAGGATGAATTGGACACCATTGGTCTGGTCCGTTAGCATGTCTCTCAATAGGAGATACCAAATGACTTACGATAGCCAGAATCCAGTAGATCCAACGGTATCCAACCCGTTGGGTAACAAATCCAAATATAAAGGGTCCAATTGGAACTCCCAACGTCACCATCACTGTCCAAATTCCCATGTACCGCGCTCTTTCATGGCGGAAGAATGTCTCCGTGACAACACCGCTACCGATAGCCATGGCAGGAGAAATGAAAAAGGCTACCAAGGCACGGCAGGCTGCCATGGAGGCATAGTCTGGGCTCTTGGCACAGCCTATGTTGCATACGCAGCTCAACATCAACGACAAGAGGAATACGGGGCGTCGACCATATCGGCTAGAGAGCGGCTTCCAGAACAACGGAGCACCACCAAGAACAGCAATCTGCAACGAGGTGAGGTAGCTGACTCGCTGGATGGAAACGCCCAAATCTAGAGCGATATTTTCGTAGGCACAAATAATGGCTGCGGCGGTGAATGTGCCCATGCAAGCATGAAAGGCGACGAGGCACAGATTGGTTACTTTCTACTAGCGGATTAATTTTGCTGCTCATATTTTCCGTGGCATTTGATTTACCTTCCACGAGGGCCAGTTGTATGGATCAGCTGGATCCATACTGGGAATTGGATCAAGGTCGAGTCTGCCATGACGCTCAACCAAGTAGGTTTTGTGGGATTCCGATAAGACGCTTGAGGGCTCATTGTGCGCCTCAGCTTTTTCATCCACATAAGAACTTATCTTGCTGGGGGTTTCATCCGGGATTCCACCTGGAGTCGCCATATTGAATATATTGAGGAAAGGAAAATGGGAAAGTGGGACAGGGTCAGATCTAAGTACATAAAGGGGGATTTAAAACCCCGCGCATCTAGAATCCCGCCGGTCATTTCCACTCCGGGGTCATTTGGTCATCACAGAACGCGGAGTAACGACTGGGGTGAATCTGGGGCAAATGGAGTCCCAGTGGAGTCATTATTTGATGGAAATCCCCCGGTTTGAACATTTTGTGGAGGAATTGCGGTAGATATATAATGTACCATTGCCGATAAGTTGTTGATTTGTTGAGTTTGACATGGCCGACATGTGGATCGGACCGCCAGACTCGGGAAATTCTGGATCAAAGGGAGCCAATCAACGGACACATGCCAGGCCGAGATCAACATCAGACCGAAATGCCTCGCTTCGTTTGATCTAACTGCCGATGTGCGACTCCGAGAGGCTTTGATTGGGTGAGAGGTCGTTGTGGCAAGTGTGGGAAGGGCGTGGGCTCAGCGTTAACTGGTAGGAAGTTCGCCGATGGCGTTAGAGTTTAATCTTTCAAGGCTTGACTCAATACTGTACGAGCAAGTAATGAGGTTATCCTTTCAAACCAGCGATTATGGAGTTGGGACATCAAACAAGGACATTTGGGAAATTATTTAGTCTAACCCCGGACTTGTTGACGCGGGGATTTCCGATTTCCGGGGGGAAAGTGGACTTTTTACCCTTGACCAATTAGTCTTAGCCTATTTATATGTATAGATTAGTCAATGATTAGTAATTATCTTATTTGGCCCAAACTACACTGCGATACTGCTAAACAGGATTGGATGATATAAGATTGCATCAAATAGCTATTAAATCCATCCTAGATTATTTGCCCGTGCCTATACAGCACGCGGGTTCCGCTTCTAAGATGTTCACGACAAGAGGACTTGTAGTGATCGTAGCTCATGCTTCATCGCCTAAATCTTTCTCGTAGAGCTCCGTGGCTCTTCTTGCTTGGACCGGGTTTTTGCGCATGATCCTTCCACCGTGCGCACCTGTTTAGACATGTCAAAAGGTCCGGGAGGAGTGTTTTGCTTTGCTCGACTGATTGTTCGTGTAGCTTGAATCATGTGACGGACTGGTTGGCTTTCCAGTCCAGGCTTTCCAGACCAAAGGCGGAGAGTTTGGTAACACAGAGCCAGGGTATATTTGGTTGGTAGCTCGGAGCATTGAGGTTGTAATAAAGATATTGGATCAATCGATCCTGGAAGCTTCGGATTCAAATTCACACTTCCATGGCACCCTCTGACATATTGCTTGGTACACTGCTGACGCCTGAAGTATCGCTGTGTGGGCTGGTAGGTGCGCGCGATCGCACCTGTTGTCCCCATTCCCGGATGCTCGGGGCACCACCCTCGATGACGATCGGGTGTTCTTCAGCACTCTTTCCAAGAACCGTTCCTGCATATCGGGACTCCTCACCCGTCTTGCTGTGTTTCTTCTTCAGGGCTGTCAAGTAATCCTCCTTCATGAGGGAATCGGGGTCCATCATGTCGCCTTCACTGGGGACAAAGCCTGCGATCCGTCGAATCTCGCGGTGTGATGGGCCCGTGATCCACCCGATCAAAGATTCAAGACCACGCATATCCTCCTCATTTTGCCAGTCTTCCTCCCATTCTCGTAGCTGAGGTCGAAGAGCGCCTGCATCCTGAAGAGCTTGGTAAACATCCTCAAGAACTGGTGATGGGTCTTCGGGGTGAGCATTAGCGGCATGCGCGGCGGTTGAAGAAGCAAGGATCATAATGTATCGCGCAGTAAGATCTGCTAGTGATTCGATGGCTGATGGTCTTGTGGAATGGAAGCCTTGAGCTCGGAGGATCTGGATGATGGGAGGGCGCAGGAGAGCATTGTGGAGGTTGTGGCCGGACATGGCGATGAACTGGCCAGATACTGTAATGAAAATAACAAGAAGAACGTACGATAGACTGTATCAATAGATTGTCTTTCAAGATTGGTGGCGCGCAAGTAAAAGAGATGCGGTGTATGGGTGAGGAAAGAGGATGAAAGTGTTTAAAGTTAAAGCAACGCGGAATCGTAAGGCGGAGAATTCCTTGGGCCGCGCCTTCAGCGATCCGCCTTCCTATTACCTTGCTATACTACTAACCACTTTCACTTCGTCGCCCATCTTGTTTCCCATTCAACGACATACTGTTTTGATCTCTGATAAATCCTCCCTCCGCTGGCATCATGTCTGATGCTCCACGACCGACGCTCAAGCTGAAGTTTGGCAAAAAGCCGGCACCCGAACCTCCAGCAGACGCGCCTGCACCACAACCCTCCCAGCCAAAAATCACCCTAAAGATCGGCTCCAAGCCAAAAGCACTCTCTCAGGGAACTGAAGAGAAATCCAAAAAGAAGAAGACGACAAAGAAGAGACCCGCCGAGAATGCAGGCCAGCCCGAACCCATAGCGGAGCAAGGGCCCAAACGCCTCAAATTAAATCCTTCCAAAAAACCAGGACTACAGGCAATCAGACTTAAGAACCAACGAGTGGTTGCTCATCGACCGGTGGGTGTTGGATACGATTCAGAGGCATCCGATACGGAAGCCGATCCGGCCATCGAAGAACAGTTCATTCTACGTATGCTGCCGGGAGAGGACTGCGAATACCTTCGACAGGCCATCAACGAACGACGATTCGACAGGTCAGAATTTTCCTTCAAGCCATTAAATCGGGAAGGGCGACGTGCGGTCTTGAAAGTTCGGGATCAAATGTATGCCGCGTCTTTGGTTGACCTCCCCTGTATCATTGAGGGCATGAAAAGTTGGGATCGTCGAGGTTGGTACAAAGCGGCAGATATCTGCCAAATGCTGCTAGTGCTTGGACCAGTGTCTAGCGACCAGGAAGCACTAGAATATCCTCTTCCTGATGAGATCGAGTATCCGGATGATAAAACTTTACACTACCCACACGGTCTTGCACCGCCATTGCGGTGGGTTCGCAAACGACGTTTCCGAGATCGCGTGAGCTCGCGCACTATTGAACAAGTGGAGAGAGCTGTGGAAGAACTGGTCGCACAAGATGAGACATCGGTCTTCCCACCGCGATTTGAGTTGGTGGACAGTGCATCTGTGCACCGCGCCGAATATGTCCAAGACGAAGAATACGAGGAGGAGTTCTACGATGAGGACCAGGATGCCGAAGGCGAGGCGGACGATGATATGATGGGCGACTTCGATGACGACCTTGTCGCTGAGATGGAAGCGGCCTTGGCTGCCGACGATAACGACGCGTCTGCCATGCCCACGGATGCTGAACAGGCAGAGACACCATCAGCCAACCCAGCTGCTGCTGCAGATGGGTCAGGCGCCAGGGAATCATCTGGCGAAGATAGTGATGACTCAGATGATGACGACTTGGATGATGAACAGCTGGAGCAACAGCGACAGCTGCAGCAATCGCGTGAAGAAATTGCCGAGTTAGAAGACCTAATCCGCACCGAAACTCGACAATGGGAGAGTCTATTGAATCCGATTCTACGAAACAAGTTGAGTCGACGGATCACAGAACTCAAGAAGGACCTTTCCCTGAAGAAGATGTCGGCTGGACTTGGGGACGACACCGATATTTAATTGTACATAATACCCTCCCTCTCGAGATGGATCGAACGCTCTCCAAATGATGATACCAGCAGTTCCTGCCTCGCATTCCTCACTCACTAGACTACTGTACCACTGGATTTCCGCTCGCCTCCCTGACTGCCCCCGCCACATCCACATCTTCATTCTGCCTCAGCTTGCGTTGCCGAGCGGCTTCTCTCTCAGCGACATCATACTCTGGTTCTAGGGGGCTCTGTCCAATCTTCTCGCCAAGTATGCGATCATGTTCAGCCCGCTTCTCACCCATATGAGCCGCAAGATCCCTCTCCTCTCCAAAACCGGGATGTCCAGGCCCACCAGCACTTCCAACCGGCCCAGCATGTGCACCAGCCTGAGCGCGCCGCATGCCCATGCCCTTCCGCTCGACTGAATCCGCAATATACCCCTCTGCTGGTTGCTGCTCTACCCCGTACTCCAGATCGACATCTGGAGAGTTGAGCATCCTCTCTTGTTTCAGTCTGTGTTGCTCGTTAAGACGGGCCCGGACTTCGTCACTTGATGGCTTTGAACTTGCGCCCCTTGTGATCACTCCAGGGGCATCATCGTGAGGTCGTGCTGGAGCTCGTTGCTCTTGTGGGCTGTGTGACACTGGGTTTAATGGTTGGGTGTAGGCAGCTTGCTTGGGTGGTTGGGCGGGCAGACTGGGGCGGTCGCCTGTCTCCATTTTGGTTTCAGATATCTGAATGGTAGCAGTAGAGAGGAATTGGTAAATGGCCAATTGTTTTAGTTATCACGATAGTGTATTGTTGGGGAAAAGAAAGAGAACGATTCTTGAATGTTGCGAAAGCATTCTGATATCGATATGACGTCAGGTCTTACAGCCGGTTCTACGACGTCTCCATGCATAGATATACCAAAACAAGTCAATATCATTGGTTCATTCGATATTCAAAACTTTGATATAAAGTCATCAATCCTGAGCTCCTTTTGATTATGGGTAAAAACCTTGGAGGTTCCCTTCAGGAGTTCGAACTCAAAACCGCCAACTTTCCATCACCTGGATAACTCCATAACGTTCGAATTCAACTTCATCTCACCTGACTAGATAGCGTTCAAATTTCATTAGTGATGAGAGGTCCCAACTCCTGTGACATTGATCTTCGACATTGTATGCCGATTATGTCATCCATAGGCCAGGCATGTGATGCCGCGGAGTGATTACAATTCAGATCCGACTTGGCCGGTGAGCCTTGAACCGAAATTGCTTTTATACTGTAGCTTTCCCCAGCTTCATGTCTAATCTATCTACCCAATATGACCACCTTGTTCACGGTTCCCATCAGCTCAACTGGTGGCTCCATCGTCTGCACCAATCCCACTCAAGACCAGCAGAATGTCTACCTATTGACATTCACCTCGCCAAAAGATAATCGGTTGACTCCGACATTCATCGACGCGCTAATTCTGACACTTGATATTATTGAGCTTCGCTATCCAAAAGGTGTCGTGGTAACGACAAGTGGTATCGCCAAGTTCTACAGTAATGGACTAGATCTGGAACTTGCCATGAGCACGGAGGGATTCCTCGATAAATGGCTCTGGCGTCTTTTCCGACGATTCTTAACGTATGTGCTATTCCTCCATGCCCGGGTCCTAGCTGATATTTTCCAGATACCCCATGCCAACAGTGTGTCTACTCAACGGACACGCATTTGCAGGCGGCTTCATGTTGGCCATGTACCACGACTACCGTATTCAAAATCCCGAGAAGGGATTCCTGTGCGTTAATGAGTTGGAGTTTGGCGTGCCACTGCAGACGCCTATGATGTCGATATTCCGGGAGAAGTTGGCCCCAACCACATTCCGGAATGTGGTCCTGGAGGCTCGTCGTTTTGGAGGGAGGGACTCATTACAGGCTGGGATTGTGGATGGGGTGGGTGGATTGAATGAGGTTCTTGAGTTGATTCGCGATCGCAAACTTCTCAATAAGGCTGCGACGGGTATCTATGGGACCATGAAGGAGGAGATGTACTCACGGGTGTTAAATGGTCTGGATGATCATGATGGGAATCTCTCGTGGCGGGAGAAAGTGGAGCTGAAAAAGGATGATGTTCAGAAGAGAGGTCTCCAGGCCGTGGAGGCATGGGAAATGAATAAGGCGAAGCTTTGAACTTGATGCAGATTTTGAGTCATCTGTGTATCCATTGTTCCTCACTGGTCGTCGGAGCATGTCACGATTAATACCTGGTTGATATAATGGTGACCATTAGTATACTTGATAGGTAAGGAATTTCATACACCTCTTTCGACCACCTTGCAGCGACCAAGAGTTTTTGTTTTCCTATACTTTACTATGTCTTTTGGATACTATGGCGATCATTCTATAGCTTGGTTTTTTGTACGTTTTGCCCTCTTTGCAACTCACGCAATATTCAACCGATTCCCGTCAGAGAAAAGATGACTGGAAGCACAGCATACTCAATAGTCCAAACGGCCGAAACGCAAGCATAGTATGTCAGACCATTGTTGATATTAAATCAGCTTCGCAATCATGGGAATTTGACATTTATCCAGCTGGTAGATCTATCCACGGGGATCTCTGCTATAAGAGTCCGGAACACTGGCTCTAAATGACTATACAATCGATCGAATCGGCTTGGTTCACAAAAAAAATCAAGATAGAGTACGATATCCCAACTTGCAGACTCTCCCACTATCGAAAGATTATTGCTCCCGAGGCAGCATTTGAGGTAAGCAGTGAACCAGTCTGTATGCACATTCTATAAAATGCTAATAAATGGCTTTTAGGGCTGTAAGATGCTTTCGGTGACAGTCGGGACACCCCAATCGACATCTGCATTAAGACCAGGACGAAAGCCGAAACAGTCACAAGGGAGATCAACATCGAAATCAACATCAAAATCAGCAGTGGGATACAAGTCTGGTATTGAAGCTTGGTTGCTTGATTACGTCCAAAGCTGATTATTGCTGATTTCCTCGAATTTGGTCCATCCCTGCGTATTTCCAATCTGCCCTTATGCTCTTATAGCTGTAAGATTTTGAGAGATCAGAGGGGTATTACAGGTACATGGATCCTAAAGAAAACGAATACTTGCTACAAGAAGAGTAGACCAGATCTCAGATTTCCAACATATTCAAAAGCAGCCCTCATCTTGCATTGTCTTAGCCTCTTAGACCATGCTCCTCCACGCGGCCTTGTCACATTACGAGGGTACTTGTAGCATGCTCATTTGACACATTCTTATTTGGGCTAGTCAACCTATCAACGTAAAAAGCAATATGTACATCGACGTAGTTCAGCATCTAAGGTCTCTCATAATATTGTGATCCTGGCGAGCGAAGGATCGATATGACTGGTTGAGACCCTGTCAATCTCCGAATCTAGTCAAGACATATTCGCCGAGATTCTAGGATGGAGTCAGCTCGACTGGTTAGGAGAGAGGAATATACAATGTGTCGGGAACTTGGGATATAAAACGGGCATCCCTCGCTCGACATTGTTCTCAGATCATGACTCTCAAGTGCTTAGTTCTCTATCATCAATCTTGATCTCTCTCTAGTACACTCCAGTGTCCATCTGGTAAATGTTTATTTGTCCTTCGGGGCAGGAACCTTGACTAACTCTGTTGGAATTGGTAGATCAAAATGCGGTCCAACTACATTTTTGCCCTCCTTGCCTTTGGAGGTGTTGCTATTGCGGCTCCCGTTGCCGCTGAGGCTGGTTCGTACTTCAGATATGCCGATATATACACTCACTAACAATAAGAATACAGAGGATGCAGTTTCTCAGGGCGGCATTGGCTCGGGATTAGGCGTTGGCTACGGCAGTGGTTCTGGTAGCGGCCTGGGTGCCGGCGCTGGCAGTGGCGCTGGCGCTGGCGAAGGTTCTGGAGAAGGTTCCGGCTTCGGTGCTGGCCTCGGTGCCGGTGGTGGTATCGGTATTGGAATTGGTGAGGGAAGTGGCGGTGGAGAGGGCGGTGGCAGTGGCATCGGATTTGGAGCAGGATCGGGTAGAGGTTAGATGCCGCGTATCCATTACATCTAGAAGGACAGATAGATGTGGCAGATCATATACAATATAAATGACATTTCGAGGAAACCTCTATATGCTTTCTCGTAATAAAATCCATCACGTCGTAAGGTAAAGCAGCGCTGTCGTAGAAAACTCTTAAGGTCATCATTTTTTGGTCTTGGTTGGCCGGCCCAGCCGTGCAGGTGTATCTAACTGATCGACCAGTGGACGGTATGGCGAGGCCAAAATATGTTCCGGTGCAGGTTCTCGTCGTGGTTCTCCAGGGTCTGGACGGCGTAACTGTTCTTCATGCATGCGATCGAGTGGTTCTCCAGTCACATGGTACTTGGCCCAGTTGATCGGTGGCATGCGCACCACATTTTGAGGTTGTGGTATGCGGGCAAATGCCGAGGGACTCCCGCCCTGTGTCTGTTTCGGGTTTTCTTTATCATCCTCGTCTATGTCCATCTCGTCGGAGAACTGTATGATGGCCCCGCGATCTTCAGTGCGCAAACGTCCCGCCGCCAACTCACGCGCAAAGCCTTCTGGGTCGGCAGCGGCGGCCTCCTTCAAGCGATCTAATGATTTTATATCGCGCAAGCTCTGCTGCTTCTGCATCTGCAATATGGATATGGCGGAACGCAGTGCGATCGCATCGGGGTTATCACTCTCGGAGATGGGGACTGGAGGTGGCTCCGGTTTGAAGACAGGTGGATTTACCGGAGGTGGTGGTGGACGATATATTTGGTGCGGAGTGTTATTAGTAGGTGAAGGCGACAAGGGTGGTGGTACAATCGTGGCGTTCTTTGCAGCGACCGGTTCGAGTTGGGCGAACACTGGCGTAACTGGGGAATAGGTCGGGCGGGGTGGAGGTGGGCGATCTTCCTGGTTTTCTGGTATCACTCCCTCCTTCCATGTTTTTTCTCGATGAGACTTCATCGTCGGGGAACAACGAACGGTGGGCTCAGTAGTAGACATTGGGTTTGCCCAGGGGCAGAGTGGTTAAGAAGCTCGTAGAAATAGAAGGCTGGAGGATGTTCCAGTGGTTTCTGGGCGGGAAGTGACGACACCGGTTGGCGCCTGGAACGAACAGTACCAATAATCTAACCTATGCACTCAAAATTGAATCGGACTATTCTCATGCAATGTGTCGGTTCCGTTAAAGAAAGACTCAACCAGATTTCAATTCAGTGTAGGAGTTGAAATTCCTCTGTCCAGCAGAAGTCCTGGCGGGCCAGGACCTGGTCATTTACAGAGGATTGATTGCAGAAAGAAGAGCATCCAATTCCCTTAGTAACCTTCAATATCCTTCTGGAGAAGGAAAGCTGGCGTCGTGGATCAACATGAAGCCTAGATCCAGTACAAGGGATAAAAGTGACAAGTGATGCTGTTGAAGCGTTTGACTCCAGTTGACAATTCACCGCCTACATTTGAATTGGCCGTCGTTGACCTACGACTTCTCTACTCTATAACTACAGTATCCAGAGACTGAGCGCAAGTCAAATTAGACCTTGAGTCCTAAGCCAATATTTGCTCCCAATACGCACCGCCACTACTGGTTAAGTTACTGCACGCATTCACTTTTATACTGGGGAGCCGCATGTGTCATTTCAGCATGTTGCACAGCAATTTGCGAAATCTACGGATATTCTAACTAATATTTTTGGGATTGTCTTGTGTTTCAAACATTAGGAATTCCTGAGATCCCAAGATGCTTAGTCAGGCCCGATCCATCGAGCTATGTATATATGCTATCTCCACTTGCCAAATTGCTCTGCAAGTGTTCAATTTTCGCCCGGAAGCAACTATAGCAGTCCGGGCCAAGCGGCAATCGAAGCAAATTTCCTTTTCCCGCACCCATGACAGTACCTGTCACAGCTTCCACAACCCGCTAGGCCGCTCTGAAAGGTTCATCTTGACTTGTCGGCCGATCGAAACTGTCAACATCCTCCAATGGTGTTCGAAGTCGTCGTTCATCCCAGCAGTCTCAGCGAAGTAGGCAGACACGAGGACACGGATACCGAATAGTGCTAGCTATTCGAAAAGCTTTCGGGCGTTCCTGCATTCCCGGCTAGCTAATTGCCCAAGACCCGGGGATTATAATCCATCTTATCATGGCTACCTACCGATGGCAAACTTTCGTCTCAGTATAGATTTCGTATGAAGACAATCCATCCAGCCTGTCAATTCTGCTGGTATTTGCGATTTCGTAGGGCCTGTCGAGGTCACCTGCATGAAGGCAAAGTGCCATTTAGTATATGCACGGGCCCATAACATTCGCGCTGGATTTTGTGGAGATCCGCTTCATTGATGTCTATGCTTCCCGGTAGTGAGTATCCTTGTTGACAACTACTTCAATTCCGCAAGTCCATTTCATCACGCCTGTCACATTCGTTGTCATTTTCCTCTCCCAGGTGTCGTCCCATCGGGTTGCCATGCTGGGATCTCACATGTGCAGGACAATCTTGTTTGAGCGTCGGATATTTAGGTAAACCGTCTGGATATACAGAGTGTTTGCAGTGGGTTTGTAGACACCAACAGCTCATGTAGAAAACATTCAAAGCTTGGATTTTCTGGGATGCTGTACAGTGTACCTACATGCTTTCAGTGCTGTGACCTGGTACTTAAGTATATATATCAACACCTGCACAGGTGTTTACAATTGTTTCAAACATTTGAACCTTGGAACCACCTGAGGAACAAAACTTTGAAAACATATAATAGCCAGAACGTTTGTACCACTTGGAACATGACGAAATAACATCAATGCATTATACTCTCGAGGTCAACATGAACATCTGCTTAATGGACCCATACCCGTGGACAGTGCATAGAAAGCCAAGATAAGCGACAAGCCGCTAAATGCGAATGCGCAGATGTCAATCTAGCCGTGATCGACAGATCCGCTAGGTTGAGAAACTCCGTAAACCTCGGAAGTTTTCCAAACTGGGACCTTGGCGATATTAGATTCCAACTTAAATTTCACATGCAAGCAACGCACAGCATATCACCAACGACTTTGTGAATGTCATTTCAGGTGTTCATCTTGGGCTGGGCAGTAGAGTGGGCAAACCTAAAGCACCGCACAGACAATCAGATACCCGTGAGGAGATACCCGTGAGGAAGTCGTCATCACCGTAAGCACTTGAGCGTATTCGGGTACATAATCGACAAGGTGCATTTGGCCCCCATCGCCAAGAGAATTCCTCAGCAGAGCTTCATTAGGCCAACCTATTCAGGAAACGCGATGTAACAATACTACAATGGGCCAGATAGCGGTCAAGCCTTAAGTCACGGAGTAACTTTTCTTCCACGAATGGCGGACATCTCACAGGATTGTATTCAGACCCCTAACATGATGAAATCGCCCGGGAAACGCGAAACAAGTCGCTCCACACCAGCGCTAAATTGGTGGCTACGATGATAGTTTGATTAAAAATACAATATTAACCGAGTTACTTATTTGATAGTCGAAACCTCAACCCGTTAAGAAATAGTGTAAAGTGTGAAGCGCGAACCGGGCCGTAGGGTCCCGCACTGACTGAAACAGCCACATGGCTTGAATGAGGTCACCAAGTGTACAGAGCATGTAAATGAGTCTCGCTGTATGGGATACAATCAATTATTGAGTCTCGGTTCAGTATCCCTTGTACACCGTCATTACGGCGTTGTAACCAGTACCTGGTACACATGGGTTACCCGACGGGTTGAGACATGACCAGTGAGGGTAGCGATGGAATTCGGGGCGTCTTCCCCGTGGTATCTCAAACATGTTTCTCCCGTTAAAGTCGTGGAGTCCATGAGCGAAAGGGACAGGCAAACACTGGTAACAAGGGGTATGAGAGACAGAAGGGAGGGGAAAAAATTGATCGTTTAATGCAGCGATACAATAACTAGCATGGAATGATCTCCACTCCCCCAGCTTCGGGGAGGAAGACCTGACTCGATGATCGACGGGCGCACAAGGGAAGTCTGTGCTGTTCCCCCCTACCAAAGTCTGTGATAGGCAATGACCAGAGAATTTGAATGGCGTCTTGAATCATGTGGGTAAGCCTAAGCTTGTGGTACTCGCGTGTGAATGAACTATTGGGAAGCGGGGCGCAAGGAAGGGCCACGATATCTCCCCGTGGGCTGGGTATTCAGTGGAATGTGGTTCCGTGGAAGACAGATTACCGGGTCCGTGGACCAAACTATTTGGTTCATTAACTCTATCGTGGATTAATCCCTTGAGGCTGAATTTTCCGGGAGGGAAGGGGGGGGGAGGAAGCTATGACCAGAGTAGAGTGGTATGAGGAATTCCTTATATAAGCTCTGACGGGATTTCCCCGGAATGGAAGACTGCTACCGTGTCAAGGGAAACATCAGAAACATTCTGCAAGGCGACTGTGCCATGTGGCAGGTGAAGAGTAAAGCTGAAGCTTCAGTAGCCACGCAACATTACCGTGGCGGTGTCAGGACCCGCTTCGGCTTAATTATAGAATTAGGCAGTTGAATATCTTGCTGCCTACTAGTACTTAAAACCATACAATACTGTATGTATATCTGTAACTTGATCTGTAACATTGAGCGTGAGCTTACTCTAAGTTGAACAGGATCTAGATCCAAACGGTCAATTCGAGGCGAGAAAAGCCGAGTAAATAGACACATCCATCAGGATCAGATACCAATCAGCCACCAAGTTCTTGATCCAAAATAACCGTGGCAAAAAATGCCCGTTTTCTTTTGGACTGGTGTGGTAATTTCCGATGAGTGTTCCAACTGAGAAGATCTAGTCTCGCCAAGAAAACGTTGTGGTCGCACAGACTCGAGTAGGGCTCCGAGCAGGGCAAGGTTGTCTAGGCCGAAGAATACGAAGTTAGACGCGCGCGGGTCTAGGCTTGTTAAAGTGGTTTAACATTGAAGGTGGGGATTCGGGCGGCAGCGGGCGGGTGCAGAACCGGGCCAATGTGAATCTGATTGAAGGATCAAGCTTCTGAAGAGATTCAAACACGAGACTCGGACTGGATTTTACATAGTTCGAGTTCTGGCTGGAAAAGGCAAACAACAAAGAAAAAGAATGAAAATTGAAGGCTGAAGATTGAAGACCGAATACGGGGTAAGTGATAAGAGGAGAAAGTGCCATGTGTGGGAAACCACGCGTGTGGGAACTTGGACAGGTCAAATTGCTGGACTTGACAAAAGAAACCTCATTTTTTACTCTTTCTGTCAAACATATGCCATGTGTTTGACGTTTATGGTTTAGCGTAATGCAGCCACTATTCCTGCAGTTTGACACTTCAAGTTTCGTTTGCTTTCACCCTTGGTAAGGGATATACATCAAACTTTCATGGTATAGATTGTTTGAGATGCAAGGAGCCTCAATTTGCCTCGAGTCTATTTGATCTCTTTGCCACGTGAAAAGAGTTAGATATATTCAAAGTCAAAAACTCCCAAGGGTGTACACTCCATAAGACGTTCCACACCACGGGTGGTACAGAAAGTCAACCACGTTCGAATGTTGTGACATGAAGAAGTCATGATGTAATTAACAAGAATGTAAGAAAAGACCCAAGTTTGGAAATTAGCTTCCAAATAACGTGTACTCCTTGCGTCGAGTCCCAAGGGATCAGATTGGGGAACTGGAACTTGTGGGAATGGGAATCTTGGGAATTTGAGAATGTGAGAAAATCAAAAATAGGAAATCAGAAATCAAAATTACATTGCCATGAGGAATTTACTCCACTTATCTTCTGATCCATCCCTTGTGAAGGTACGGGTGACTACGTCGGCGGATACGGGATGGTTTGATTTGGAACTTTCTTGTATCATACGGGTAATGAGTGGGGATGGGCAAATGTAACTCTGAGAGAATCTTCTCTCTCTCACACTCCCTTGCCTTTTTTTGCCCCAGGGTCAGCCTCGTGGCACAGGTGGAGTTGTGTTGCGCGCAGCAGTGGTCTTGGCGCATGGTAATAATACTCATACCGTGGTTGCCAAAGTTACATACTACTACTTGTTATGGAAGATGTCGGCTGGTCCAACTGGTTTTTAAGTGTATCCAGAACTAAATACTTGTGCCACATTTGGCTACATGGGTAGGTGGTATACAATGGGACAGGGTTTTTGTCTTGGTTTTGAAAATGTGAAACAGATTTAGTAAAGGATGTAGTAATTGTTAGTAGAGTAATTTAAAGTAATCGGAGTAATTACTACTCCAATACATGTAATTTCACAGAAATCCGATATAATGTAAAAAAGATCGGACTGACTTTGGACAAATGAGAAGTGACTAAACTGGGTTAACGATTTCACTAATAGTCATAGTGTGAGATCGACTTTACTTCTTTTTTTCCCCCTCTTTAATCTCTATCTACCTAAATAGGTTGTACTCCGGCCCCTCTCTGACTGAATTTCCTCGTTTTTTTCGTCCCGCTCTTTTACATCCCCCAAGTTCAAGTCTCCAACTCTCTGGGCAATTCAATATCGACAAGGAAGAAAAAAAACCTCACGAACGTGACAAACTCGGATCCAGATTATACTCCGTGAACTTGCACCAATTTTTGACACTCTTTACTCTCCCTGAGGGGAATATGAAATAGTGTGCGCGTCAGAACTTATTGTGTTCTCCGAATTTCGCTCGTTCCTGTCCTTTATCGCTTGTTCGCATCGTTTCTACTCCCTATTATTCTGCCCTCCATGATGGACTCGGTCGCTCATCGGCCATGGGAGCCTGTATCGTCGGGGCCCGCGACTCCCGCGGCCTCGGCTCAAACCCTGCCGTCTATCTCAACCCTCACAGCCAATATGAACGGCGCAGGTCCGAACCCTCAGGACAAATCACCGGGCAATTCGTCATTAAATACCATTGAGCGAGACTCGGGGAATTGGTCTATGCCGCAGAGTACAAGTAGGAGTTTGAGGTCCAGGGATGTTCCAGTGACTGACTTTGGGCCAGGGTCTTCCACCTACTCGACCACAACCAATGGGACCGGCAACAATTATCCTTCTCTGACCTTCCTGACCTCGACCTCTCAACCCTCACCCAACCGAGGCCACATTGCGCCAGACCGGTCGCCATACGGCCACGACCAATCTACCACTCCCTCCTCCGCCGGCGCACAGCAACCCTCGCCCAATTTCAACTCTTCGCAACACAATTCCGCCCTGCCCTCCATAAATCAGAACTACGATGCTTCCTCTCACCGTGGGAGTGTGGTCGAGATCCCCGAGTCCAGGCGGAGCAGCGTCGACAGCCGCATGAACCAGGGCATCAGCTCGCTGGCCATCAACCCGGCCTCGCCATACCACAGCACAAATGCCTCACAGTCCTCCATCGTGTCCAATCTCCAACGGGAACGGGGGATCGCAACTGACATGAACTCGTACCGGGGGCCCAGATACTCTGGAGGAAGTCAACCACTGTCGCCCTTGGGACCTCGCGCGAACGACTATCGAGGATTCGCAGCTGGCCGAACTGCTCCAGCCATCTCGTCCAACCCGCGATCTGACATTTATAACGCCGAGGCGCCCACGGCCGGTATGGCTTACGCTTTTCCTGACCCGGATGTGGCACGATCAAGTTCCATTTCGTCTACTGAGAAGTCCAACCCACCTTTCTCACGAAAAGGCAGCACTGCAGAGTCTCTGAACAGCATGTACTCGGAATCGCACATCTCCAGAGGACAGCATGGTAAGATGAACCTTTCGTCTAGGAAAGGAAATGAACTGACTTGGATTTAGAACTCCCCCAGAATGTACACCACCATTCGTTGCAACACAAGCAAGTGCGAGATCTAATCGGGGAAGCGGAGGGCTCGGCAGCGAACACACCATATAGCCGGACTCCCGAATTGCGTGTCACGCATAAGCTGGCGGAGCGCAAGCGACGAAGCGAGATGAAGGATTGTTTCGAAATGCTACGCATGCGTCTCCCACAGCCCCAAAATAACAAGTCCAGCAAATGGGAGACCCTTTCCCGGGCGATTGATTATATCGCTGGTCTTGAGAAGAACATCTCCGTGCTGCGGACGGAGAATAAAGAGCTCCGCGCCCAATTGCAGCAACAAGCCAATGGGCAATCTCGACCACCCTCAATCTTCGAGCATCATCCCATGTCTGCGACACCGACTAATGGGCAGGCCCAGCCGGTGTTCTCGGGCTTTGGAAATGGCTCCGTGGTTAACCAGGACCAACCTCGTACTCTCCCACCTCTGATGAATGGGTCGGTTGCTCCGATGCAGGGCATCCAGTATACCGATGAGCGACGGTAGCCCAGCTCCCCGAGCCTATGGATGAGAAATGACTAATCATGCTGCGGATGCACTTCCACGACCAATTTCCCACCTTGTCATTCTACATGTCCTCTTTAGATATGAACCTGGGGTCTTCTTTCATCTGTCCCGAGGCGACTCCAGGTCTTTTCACCTTCACCTTCTCATTTGCATTTCCTTCTGGAGTGGCTCCATTTACCTTTTGAGCTTATACTTTCCTATATGTTTCATTCATCATACCCGCCGTGACACTTTTTTGTTTTGATTTTTGAAGCCCTGATGAACCGTTTTATCATCGATCTGCATGTTGCACATGAGAGGCTCATGGGAACTGGGGTTTAAGGCATCGGATCGCCTGTTTGTTTTTCTCTTCCTTCTGCTTCTATATGAAGTGTGTAACAAATATCCAAAAGTGCGTACTTTACGCCATGATATCCATTAAATCTTTGCTGTGCCAATATCACCATTTCTACCAACGGTAGAAACTGATTCACCGATTCAACAACTTTTTGCCTCAGTAATTATGTTGTAAACAAAGCAAATCCAAAATCCACCTAGGTTAAACTGCAGCGCCTGAAGAAACTAAATAAATACAAAACGCGGGATCTATTTTTGGGCTTCTTAGGTCTTGTCTATCATTGGTGGTGGTTTAAGCGCCCTGTTCTCAGCGCGTATGCAGCCCCATTGCCACTCTGCACTTGAGATGATCTTCATGAAACGTCCAATAGCGGCGATTTAACTCCCGTTTAATTTAGGTTGTCTGGGATAGGTATAGATATAGTGACTTGAGATGATTTGATTGGCTTTTAGCTGACACTTTTGACTTAACATGAATGCGTCTAGATCGGATCGAAAAGCTACATGCATAACAGTGACAGAAGCTCTTTTCTTCACGGATCTCCCGACTTTTCCTTTCTCTTCTCTCTTCTTCACATCTTCACTCTTTGACCTTCGATCGGATTCCTTTATCTCGTTGTTGTTGCTTCTCCTTCCCGACATTGAAAGCATTTCCGTGGCGTTTCTTTGACTACATTGTTTCAGGAGTCATTAATATTAATAGAGACTGCGTTGTTTCCTCCGATATCTACTGCAGAATCCGACTTCCTCTCTACTTGACTCTTCATGCATCGGACATATGGTATGTCGTGTGAATGGAGTCGCCTATGCTGTCTTACTAAACGCTATTGTGTAGTATTTTGATCAAACATTCACAAAATGCTCTCCAAACGACAGAAACCGCAGCCGCAACTGCAGGTCCCAGTTCCGACTTTCCCCCTATCATCACCTATCACCGAGGAAGTGGAGGGTTCCTCGTGCTCTTCTGCCGAGGACCACGAGTTGGAACGGAGTCGACCGTTTGATTTCCTGGTCAAGTCCACGCGACAAAAGGTCGAGAGGTCACAGAAAGAGGGGAACCGGTCTCCGAATATCTCGAATTCGCATCGTGGCTATGGAGATACCCCAAGGCTGAGCCTGCGTGGCATTACAAAAAAAAAGAAAGCCCCCAAACCGGTCGGCCTCAATTTAGTCACGGACTTTTCACTTTCAGCCCCTTCACCCAAAAGGCAACTCGATGATATCACAGCTCCATTTGTGGACTTGAATGATCTGAAACAACTATCCAAGGCTCGAGAAAAAGAACGCTCAGCACAAAAGGACAAGACAAAGAGCGGCTCTCGAAGGAGAGCTCCTCGGACTGGGCCACCTCAGGAACCAAGTGATCACGATGTGTCCTTTCTCAGCCCAGATGCCGAAAATAGACCTAACAATCGATCCGAGTCCGGTCTATCACCCTCCGATCGTCATGTTATGATCGGTCTGACGGTTCCATACCACGAATCCTCGGATCGAGCAAGGGAACTCGACAGTGCAGGCGACCAACCGCTCACTCCCTCGATAATCGTCACTCCTGCCTGTGAAGAAGCGCCCTGGTCTGTAGACACGGCCAGTCTAGAAGGAACACGACCCCGAGCAACATCCAGCGTATATTCTCAACCCACACCACGTCTTTGGGATAGTGAGACTGATATCCCACCGGTTCCTGCCATCCCCAAGGAACATTCCATGTCCAAAAAGCAAACCGAGGCTGAGTATTTAAATGCCCATTTTGCTGCTATGACACGGAAGCGCCAGTCTCTTTCGGCTGAAACGATTTTCGAGAATGATAGCCCGGATGAGGAATGTTCACGCGTTGTCGATGATAATGATCAGAGCCCGTTGAATCGGCTGAGTGTTAACACGGAAGCGAGCCGGCCACAATCTCAAGGATGGTGGAACGTATTGCTCTCACCTTTACTCGGTCGTTCGGATACACTTTCTAGTAAGAAGTCTCCACTCAGCCCATGGTTTTCTCGGGCGAGTCCATCTACGCCCATATCACAAGCAGTCCGGGCGAAGGAGAAGATAAAGGAAAAAGAGAAGGAGGTTTCTTGTTTCTCGCCTGATACACCAGAGACAGTCGTGGTAGATCAGTGGCAGGAAAGAAACAAAGGTCTCGAGCAATATCGCTCTCTCGATGAGGCCGTCCCGCCAGTCCCAAATAGACAAACTGCCATGTCGATGATGTTCCAGGGAAATCGGGTTCAGGGCGAAGCGGCAGAGTACTACCAGGCTTGTGCACATGAGCTGTTCAGCAAAACGCCATATTTTGACTGTTTCAATCATGTATGTTCGATTACGCCGCCTACTATTATTTCAAGCCAGCCAGGCCTCGAGGCAACCGTCACGGGCGATCGAGGGCTAGCTTTGGCTGAAGCTGAGCTTCTGCATGATCCATCGGAGATAAAGGATGATGAAGTTACGATTGCTGCTCGTGGATTGCTCATTGATGTGGATACACCTTCTCAAGATGCCATGAAGAATTCCGAGTGCGCAAAATGCTCACATTTGCGGGTTTCAACGAGCAGTACTGCTTCTTGGGCTTCCACTGCAGTCGATACTGTAATTGGTGATGAGAAGAGTCCACCCGAAATGCCACAGAACACAAGGGACTTGGTTATTGAGCCTCCTATTCCAAATCCTACTCCACCCAACACCCTGGAGTCGGCTCCAGCGCCAGCTATCTGTCCACCAGAGCCAGCCCCAGTCCCGGCTCCGGCTCCGGCACCCTACTTGCCCCCGGGGCCCTTGATGAGAGAAGCAGAGCCAGCTTCTGAACCGTATATTCCACCACAACCCCCGGCTCAAGCACCACATTCGGAGATGGCAACTTCAGCTCCCGCGCCTTACTTCCCACACGAGCCCCCGGCCCAAGCTCAGCCTCCGCAGATTATCAATAACTACCACTATGCTGTACCGCCTTCCGAAATCCCTCCTCAGGCTCAAGTCATAGTTGAGAGAGCAATGCCTCGTTATATCCCAGTGTACCCCTCGAACAATCCTTTCTTTCCTCCACAGGAACAACCCCAGCCTGCAGTTTCAGGATGGCTAGTGGGACCTGCAGTTCCTCAGTCGCACTCCGAGGAGCTATCCCAGGAGCCAGATATCACCAAGATGCCCGAAGAATTCCAAGATAGACCACGAGATGTACCACAAGAGCATGAAAGAACACTTGAGCTTCTTGCGCCACCAGAGCAACATGGGCCACCCCAGGCGTCAGAGCCTATCTCTCCTGGCTTCCAGCGTGCTGCAGGTGGACCTGGGGCCATTCAGCTGTCTGAAGTCAATGCCCCGGCACCTGCATATGCACAGCACCACAGAGATGCCCCTCTTCCAGAACGACATGATCTCTACCCGACTCCAGGGGCGGCAGTGATGAACCCCACGGGAGAAATAGGGCCTGGTGAAGCTCGCCGACGTAGGCTGGAACGCGAAGATGCCGTAGGGAAGAAAGTCGGTGGTCTTTGGCGTGGACGAGGCTGTTTCAGCAAAAAGGGCTGCTTTGGACGCCCCGGGCGTGAAGGTCGCCTTCGCCGAAGATGGTATCTTTTCATCGGCTTGTTCTTCCTCATTATTGTGGTTGTGGCGGTTGCTCTGGCTACTACATTGACGAAGAAGGGAGACGAGACGCAGGTTCAGTCGCAGTGGGTCAATCTGACGAATTATCCGCCTATCCAAACTGGCATTATGACAATCGCTGGAACGGAGGCTCAAATCCAGGATTCTGGGTGTATCAATATTGAGACCCTGTGGAGCTGTGCACTTCCTAAGGGTACACAGCAGACTCAGAATGAACCTTATGCCGCAAATCAACCCACTTTTCGGGTTGAGATTCGCTACCGCAATGAGACCTCGAACACCACTAGTAGTTCGAATTCGACAACCAAGCGTGACATCTGGACGGCGGATCCAACTCCTCCGAGTATCGCGGATCAGACCTTCCTTGGAAATACAACAGATGATAACGCCAAGCCTTATGCTGGTGAGGAGACGCCTTTTTACCTGTCTGTCCTGTCATCGGCACATCTGTCATCGACGAATATCTTCCGCCGCGGTACCAATTCTTCATCCCTCATCCCTGCTCCAACAGAGGACTCAGATGGTTCAGCAGCAGCGGTAACACTGTACCCACTCCCCTCCTCCCAGCCAGTCCGTCTCTATAACCGAGGAGAGCCATCGGAGCATTACGGTTTCTATACATACTTCGACAAGTCCATCTTCCTCCAATCAAAAGCACCTCTCAACGATAGTACAGAAGATTATGATTCCGAAGATAACAACGGTGGCTCCACCCAAGCAGAAGCCAAAGCACGCTGTACCTGGTCACAGACTCGCTTCCTTGTCCAGATCTGGACAAACCCATCCGGTATGGGCTACTCTCTCCTTTCTTCCACGAGTGCCACAGCCACCGCGACAGCGACGTCTACATCTACATCTACATCTTCAACGGCTACGTCGTCTTCATCTGCGACGGATTATACTCGCCCTGGTTCTTTCCCGTACCCTGTCACGGTGACTGTAGATCGACACGGTGGCGATGCTGGTAAGAAGAGGGTTTATTGTTATGGGATTGAGGATAATGGTCACTACAATTTCACTGAGGCGAAGCTGCAGATTGAGAATCGGTCGGTTGGAGGGACTTTGATTAATCCTGCTTCTGACTCTACTTCTTCGTCGGCTTATGGTGGGATTGATGGTGGGACGGGGGGTTGTGAGTGTCAGTGGGTAAATTGGATATCTACTTCATAGAATGATATCTTGCCAAAATTAATTTCTTATGTTTATTCTCATTCAAATTTTGCTTCAGTGGTATTGTTTTCCATTTCATTATCTTATGCGAAAAGCCACTGTACTACTTTGAAATTTGTCTTACTTTCGAATGGACATGTTTACCTGCCATCGCCTTCTAAGTTTCATACCAGATATAGGCATGCTCTCTAGATAAATTTCAACATCCATTCGCTGTGTAGGATACTACGGTTCCGAGTGACAAATCAAAAAGCCTCGGCGAGGACTTGGTGAAGCCATTGCCTAGCGTAGGTAAGCAGAGCAGCATAGCACAGGCAATATGATTAATTCTCATATTAAGTTGTTTGCTAAGTAACATCATGTAGTAACAGTGAGTGGCTTTTTAATGACCTAAAAACTTTGATTGCATGGATTTTGAGTACAGAGTAGTATTCATAGGTAGGTAGGGCAAGTGATAAAACCAGTACTAAAGGAACAAACCGGTATAATCCACTCGGGCACTTCTTAGACGCGATATACAGGGGCTGAGTAGATCCACATTAGAAGCATCAAATTACGTGATATAGCTTGCATACTCCCTTGGTCATACTTCACTCGATGTTGCATGCTCATCTCGATGAGAAACCTTAATTAAAACCTTAAGTTTAGGCCCTGTTGGAACACTACTATTAATAGATGTATGACTACGACAAACAAACACGCAAGAGCAAGGTTGCATTTGCCACTTAGAAATAAGGTTTGAGTCAATATATCATCATTTGAAAATTTGCTATGAAAGATGGGATATCAGGCTGGGACCTAGGTGATGATCATCGTTCTCCAGGTAATGACTCATGAGGTACCTCTTTCTACTCCTTGTGTTCCTGCCACTTAGTTTGGATCTGCTTCACTTAACCCCTCAATACTTTGATGTACCTTCCTGGTTCCTCCCCTTTGGCCCTGATCTTAACTCTATCTATAACTATGACCCTGAGATGAAATTTAGAAAGGTGGACCTTAAAATGGTTCCTTGTGTTGGAGGAAATATTTTCACTGAGGTAGTCTCGGATGCAATTTTTTAGACCAGGATTGGACTAAAAGGACTGTGCATAAGTGTCAAGGGGCATTCCATTTCCAAGTCTCAAAATAAAATGCTCTATTGTGGAAAATCATCCGAAGCTGAACTTTTGGAAATTAGAATTATATTAGATCGGTAAATATCCCATACAACATCCTTAAAATATTGAAGAGCACGATCTAGAAATCAACCTGAACGCCATTCTCTTTTCCAACATCTTGCGTTTCCGCAGCTTCAATATGCTCAGAAAACGACCCACGGACAGCAGCCATGGAGACAAGATCAGACCATAACAAGAACCAGGGTTGACAGGATGGGGAGACAGGAGAAGTTTAAACACCATCATTAAATAACAAAGGAAAACACAATATTAGATATGATGACCCGCTTATGCGAGGAGCATAAGACCGTAGACAGCACCACCGACAATAGCGCCGGCAGCACCCATGGGGCCGACGCTGGAGCCGCCACTGGTGGGGTGGAAGCCACTGGAGCTGGGAGAGGCAGCAGAGCCGGCGCTGGAGCCGGAACCAGAGCTGGAGCCAGAGCTGGAGCCAGAGCCGGAGCTGGAGCCGGAGCTGGAGCCGGAGCCGGAGCCTGCGCCAGCGCTGGAGCTGGGCTTACCAGTGGCAGCGCTGACGGGGGTGCTGTGGATAAGGGGAGTGCTGACAACGGGAGTACCGGTAACAACGGTGCCGTTGCCGCCAGTAGTGCCGTTGTTGATGGGACCGCCAGTCACGATGGGGTGGGTAGCGGTGTTGACAGCAGCAGTACCGGCAGCAGCAGTACCGGCAGCAGCAGTACCGGCAGCAGCAGTACCGGCAGCAGCAGTACCGGCGGCACCGGTTGGGTCAACAGCACGAGCGAACTTCTCATGGACAGGGGGCTCAGCACGCTTGGCAGCCTGAACGCCAGCGGCGACGGCGAGAATAGCCACGGAGGTAGTGAAGTGCATTTTTATTTTTTGGGTGGATAAAGCTGGAAGCGGTTGTCTAACGAATGACGAAGCGTGCTGAGGAAGATTAGTATAAGCTGTTATCTTTCAATGAAGATATCCAAACACACCTAGATGAAAAAGATATCAATGCGTTGGAAAGCTGTGAAGGAAAGAGATGAGGAAGACGTTCTTATAGACCGAGAAGCTGTCTCAATCCGGCGTGTCTAGGGATATCAAGGCAAGTAGATGATGACATATAACGAAGGAGAACGGAAATTTTCCATCAAGGTTTTCTCGGACCCATATGTTCCTATCTATGATTGCCTGTGCCTCTCTGCCCTTGATGGGAACCCCGGCGCAACGGCGAGACGAGATTTGCAATCTTGGGGATTTCCGCATCCGGGGTGGACATTTTGATGTCACTCTGGGTACCCGCTCAAAGCTCATAATCCACTGTGGAACCATGGTACGGTTTGGGACCTACACCATAGACTTCCACCGAGTCAGAGACGAGGAAGGCTGTGCGGTGTTTATGGTGTTTGCAGACTTGGTCTTGCTGAGGGCAGATGTAGGTCACGTGTTCTCCCGAATAGGAAGGCGTTTGGCTCGCAAGCGGAAACATCGTCTCTGCCCCCGTCACTGCACCAACGGGGAATTCTTCGACGATCGACATGTGGAGGAAAGAACAATTGCATTTTCTGCTCTGAGGGATCCAAAACGGCGCGTGTTTGTGGGGGGGGGGGGGATCTGCATCCGCGAGGGAATGCGGCCAGAGAACAATGGGTGGGGAGAAGCTCAACCATTTACCCTGGTAGGAAATAGGAATCAAGACTCGTAGATCCAATTGTCAGTATATCTTACGATAGCTGAAAACTAGGAATTCAATTTTCTTAGAAGCCCTCTGGGTGGTAAGCGACAGGATTAAAGAGATAGAACTGTCTCTTGACGAGTTTGCTCCACAGTCAAGTTGTACAAGGGCAATAACATCGGAACTTGTCTCGGGCCAAAAGGTCAAGACTTCCTGAGGTCACAGTCACAACATTTGAAGGCTCTGTATACCATAAGGTCTGGCGGCTCATTGTCCTAGCCTTGAGACAATAGCGACTGCCCATGTGGACTTCAAGGGTTCGCAGCTTGAGCATAGCACTGCGATACTGCATCCGGAACCTTCTGTTTACATCAGTACCCCTACCAAATTCAGAACCATCCGTACTGAAGCTGACATCTGCAACCTTAAAGTCCATGTTCAATGTTGTGGAATGCAAAAGCGCATGCCCATGACGAAAGATTTCTCATAGAGCTGTCATTTGCGTCAACTCGCACATCCTGAGATGAAAGATGGAAATGGAAATAGACTCTGTGTTCAGATTCAAAGCGAAGGTATGATCATCATTATTCCAAGGCCATCATACAAGGCGCGAGCATGATCTATCATCAATAGTCAATAATGGCTTTCAGGATGTCTTAGATTTGAGAGTCAGGAGTGAAGTACAGTATTGTTCTGATGGTAATACATTTATACATTGTACGTGAAGCAACTCGGTTTGATTTACTGTTCGATTGGAAGAGAATATTTAAATTTGAAAAGAGGCATCCACTGTGATTGGAGAGACAATTTGACAAAATCCATGTTCTTAACATTTAGTCTCAGCATTTGAAGTTGAAATCGCCTGAGACATGGGGAGAAACATACAAATGGTCTTGGCGGGTTAATCCCGGCCCGCCGATCTCCCTTTTTCGAGATTCAACTACAACGCTGCTTCTCCCCAGCTTCGATGCATTCGTGTCGTGGCTCATACGCCCGCCATGTTGCGCCCAGAAAGCCCTGAACTTCTATCTCCAGCAAACTATGACGGCGATGCAGCCTCATTACGATCACCCTCCGAGCAAGACTCCGACTCCGAAGATGATGAGTTCCTTCGTCACCCCCGCAGCACCCTAGAGCTCGCCAAACACGATCGAGGCGTTCTCGAAGATGAAGATGAGTTGGAAAAATTGCTGACCAGACGTGGTCCGACTCATGGGTTGCGCAGGATGTTCAGCCCCAACGGAAGCAGTGTGCGGATTGGAAAGAAGGAACGGCGACGAGCGCGGAAGGAAGCCCGATTGTCGCGTCGAGAGAGGGTCAGCGAGGAAGGAGAGTTGATGTATGAGATGGAAGAAGGGCTTGGCGATGATGAATCCTTGATGAGCGGTTCTTCAATAGATTTGGATGAAGACGACTACATCTATGAACCGGTACGTCAAGTGCAGCAGTCACTCATTCATTCTCAATGCTAATGTCAACTTTGTTCTTCTTTTAGCCATCCAGACTATCATGGCGTAAATATTTATTCATATTCGCTCTCATTGTCGTCCTTTTCCTTATCCTCGTTCTCGGCGCATACAAAGCCTCCACCGGATTCCGAGCTGCACAAGTCCTCTCAAAACCCCTCCTGTCTAATGGCACAGCACTATTCGCCCCGACAACCATTCTTATCTCCCTCGACGGATTTCGGGCAGATTTCCTTGACCGCGGTCTGACACCAGCGCTTAGTTCACTGGTCGCGGACGGCGTCTCGCCTCAATACATGAATCCCAGCTTCCCCAGCGTGACCTTCCCAAACCATTTTACACTTGTCACAGGATTATATCCCGAGAGCCATGGGATTGTGGGGAATACATTTTGGGATCCAGACCTGGAGGAAGAATTCTACTACACGCATCCGTCAGTCAGTATGCTGCCAAAATGGTGGAATGCTGAGCCGTTATGGGTGACGGCAGAGAAACAGGGCGTCAAGAGTGGTATTCACATGTGGCCAGGGTCAGAGGCTCATGTTGGAACCCCGGAGCCAACTTATTTGGATAAGTATAACGGAACTGAGGCTTTGTCCCGCAAGGTCAACCGTGTCTTGGAGCTTCTTGATCTGCCCGGTGCAGAGGACGAATCGCAATTGTTGCCAACGCGACCCCAGTTCATTGCAGCTTACGTGCCGGATGTTGACCGAGACGGTCACAACTATGGACCCAACAGCACTGAAATTCGAACCACTATCTCACACGCCGACGAGATGGTGGGAGGTATTGTTGCTGGTCTCAAAAGCCGCAATCTCACGGACGTGGTCAACATTGTGGTTGTTTCAGACCACGGCATGGCTACAACCTCCACCGAACGCCTCATTCAGCTGGAGGATATCATTGACCTTGATCTGGTGGCTCACCTGGATGGATGGCCATCCCGCGGCATTCGGCCCAAGCGACCGGAAGATCTAGCAACGCTGCAAGCTCAGCTTGAGAAGGTGGCGCCCGATTATGCGCACGCTTTTGAGTTCTATACCCGAGAAAACATGCCTGAGCGCTACCATTTCAAATACAACGATCGCATTGCCCCGCTGTGGGTTATTCCAAAGGCTGGGTGGGCTATTGTGGAACGCCCTGAATTTGATGCGGTTGAAGCGCTGAAAACAGGACAAGTTTATCACCCAATGGGTATCCATGGCTATGACCATGAACACCCGCTGATGCGGGCGATTTTCATCGCGCGGGGTCCAGCGTTTCCCCATACTCCCAACAGCCGCCTGGATGCATTCCGTAAGTTTTCTTGGTCCAGATTCGAGACGTATCAGCTAACCTATCGTAGAAAACATTGAGGTATACAATATTGTTTGTGATTCCCTGGGCATTGACCCACATCCGAATAACGGGACACTTCGACTTCCCCTTCACCCAGTCGGGCTTCATTCGGACAAGGACGTGCCGCCTATGGAACGCCCATCAGATCCACCCGAGCCAGCCTCAACTGTTATTGTTTCACCAGAGCCAACGAGTCCCGCATCAGATGCCCCAACTGAGGAACCGCCTACATCAGACCCCAACAGCCACGACAAAACTTCATGGTGGGGCTCCCTGGTGGACAAATTGGAAGAATGGAAGGAGTGGGCGGGGGAATTGGTCTCGGCTGAGCAGGCCAACCACCCGCAAGGCGCATAGTGGCTGGCGGAATGCGTTTGCTACATCATATTCCATTTTAATTCGGCCGGCTTACTGGCCAAGATTTCCGAGATACCCATGTTTATAAGCCTCTAGAGTAGATAATACATAGTACTTTTGTGCAACCCTTTGGAAGTTCTCTACAACCCGAGGACCGTGCCACCATACATAACGTCCTCGCCCCAATCATTGGAGACATCCAGGTTCTAAGGTTTACCATATATAGGTGAGTCTAGGTTCATGGTCTATGTATGATTCGCATGCTTCCATAAGTTCCGAGAAATTTCAAAATTTATTACTGATTCTGTTCAAATTAGCTTACGCAGAGACAATCAACAGTTTGATTGATGATGCATGATGTGGAATGCGTTGCTGAGCTAAAGATTTCGGTTATGTAGCCAAAGCCGGGGAATCCCACATCAACCAGTACCAAGTGGTCGAGCGGAAACTCGACTATCTTATCTTCCTTGGTCTAGGGGTCATGATTTCCGCTTGTCATTAACACTGATACGCGCGGGAGACCGGGGTTCGATTCCCCGAGGGAGAGATTTCTTTTTTTGCTCTTCTTTTCGAGTCTTTTTTGTTTCATTTTCTTGATTTTATTCTCATTCATATTAGCCTTGTGATCACTCGGCTTTTTTTCGCTTTAAATGACGTATCTGAGGCCAAATCAGTAGATCACTGGGTCCAAGCCACTCGAGTCATGCACGAGTCAAACTGTACTACAGGCAGGCAGCCATCAAGCAAGGCTCGGACACCCAATTGGGCGCCCGCAAGGCTTTCTTCGGGAATGAGGCTCTTTTTGCTAACTTACGTATAAAAAAGCCATTTTACTCGCCTTCAAATATTTGTACATATCAGCACAGGCACCTGGGCATTTATAAGCTTGAGGTTTGCTCAGTCCCTTACTCCTTCCTATTATCACTCTCTCTTTCTTCTCAATACTCTGCTATTGGACTTGCTGTTTCTTCCCGAGTCTTTACTTCTTCACATTCAGCTTACTTTTTTTTTTCTCGCTTCCTCTTCACACTTTCAATTTACAAACTACGGACCTAAATTCGGATCATGGATTCCAACCAAACAATCCCTCTGTCTGAACGGACAGGTATCTCCTCGCATGAGACGCTCTTCCTAGATGCCATGATCCCAGGATACTCGCTAGTCTCACGCTTCCTGCTATCATACCTCAAGATCGATCTCGCAGCTTATCTCCAACAACTGATTTTTTTGGTTATGGTTGGTGCTGCCACCAAATATGCCATTTCATACATCAGCGATTTTGTCAAGGAGTATCTGGTCTCCACTGCAGAGATTCGCTTGGACGATGAAACATTCAACTACTTCATGTACTGGATCTCACGACAGCCACACATGAAACGCACCAACCGCTTTGTTGCTGGTGTGAAGTCCAACGGCTACTGCAGCGAGGGGGAATCTGAGGATGATGACAACAACCCAGACCAGGATAATGGCGAGTGGGATGAGCCCGGTAGCGCTGATGGCGTCTCCTGGGATGAATACTGGGCCAAGGTCATGAGTCGCGACAAGTACAAGCCCCTTCGCTTTACTCCATCCCAGGGCCGTCATATATTCTGGTATAAGAGGAGGCCCTTGATGCTAGAGCGAAGGCATCAGACCAGCAGCCACAGATACGTCTTGAATAATGAGCGACTCTACCTTTCTTGTCTCGGTCGCGATGCATCTATCCTTCGAACTGTCTTGAACGAGGCACAGCAGGCATATGTGCAGCGGGATGGGAACCGCACGATCATCTACCGTGGTACTAACCGCTACTATTCCCGTGGTGCATGGGACTGGGCTCGGTGTATGGCCCGGTCGCCGCGGCCGCTGTCGACGGTTGTGCTCGACCCACGGCAGAAGGACGAATTCATTGACGATATCAAAGAGTATCTTCATCCGCGTACCCGTCGCTGGTACTCGAACCGTGGGATTCCATATCGACGTGGATATCTTCTACACGGTCCCCCTGGTACAGGAAAGACCAGTCTATGCTTCGCTGCGGCGGGTCTGTTTGGCCTGAAGCTTTACCTTCTCAATCTGAACTCCAAGTCTCTTGACGAAGAGAGCCTTGCTTCTTTGTTCTCCGAATTGCCAAACAGATGTATCGTCCTTCTTGAGGATGTTGACACGGCTGGGATCACCAAGACCCGTGGTAAGACCATTGCAGATATCGATTCTAAAGAGAGCGAGGATGACGCCGACCTCGAGGAGGTTCCCGCCGAGGAGGTCGATGCCATCGTCGTTGAGGAAGCTGTTAGTACTGACAAGGCCGATGGAATCACCCTGTCAGGCCTGTTGAATGTGATTGACGGTGTCGCTGCCAGCGAGGGACGTATTCTCGTGATGACTTCGAACCACCCGGAGAAGCTAGACGCAGCACTCCTTCGCCCTGGCCGAGTGGATATGAGGGTTGCCTTTGGATATGCCAGCAAGATGGCCATCGAGGAGCTCTTCAGCTCAATCTATATGGCAATGGATGGGGACTCTCCTCGCACGTCCGCTGCCCAGCGCACCAAAAACGGGAATTCGAAGCTCGCTAACAGTTTTTCCACCCCCAATGGACATACACGGAGCAAGAGCCTAGAGTTGCTGGAAATAGAAGTGAAAGAGAAAGAAGCGCATCAGACTTACCTCACAGAATTGCGCTCTCGCATAAATACGCTGGCCAAGGAATTTGCATCAATCATTCCGGCTGATGAGTTCACTGCTGCTGAAATTCAGGGATATTTGCTCAACTATAAAAACACCCCCGAGGTGGCCATTAAGGGCGCAGGAGATTGGGCGAATACCCTACGGGAGAAGAAAAAAAGGCGCGAAGAAAAGCGTGTTTAGTTTGGCGTTCAGATACTTGGCCATACGTAGTATATTCGTTAGGGTGTATAGGGTGTATGTCGATTATGACTTTGCAACATGATTTTCTATTCATGATTACTTCAACTGGGGATTCTAGCATTGATAGATCAGTTGAAGAATGGTATAATAACGAATGATCAATCTCCAGCTACTTGTTTAACAGCAGTAGAGTTCTTCCTGACTTATGCTGCCCAGAGGTCTTTATTTGAACAAATCGCAATAAGTCCTAATGAATGATAGGCTGTATTGGGTATGTATAATCAAAAGAAAACAACATCAAAAGGTCGTGAGCGCGTTATCTCTTCAAACCAGACAAATCAGACAATAATAGCAGTTTCACCGGTAAGACTAACATTAGCGACATATATGAACCTCTCCATCTTTACAGCATTATAAAAATCATGAAAAAATATCCGATCACCACGTCCAGAAACAGTCGTACTTCCAGGTGACGCCAACCCGTTCTCACCCGTCTTAACCAACTGAACGATATAAATTGATGCCTTGGTGCCTGATTGTGAATCGACCCAATTAGGGTCTAACGTAGGATTCCATGAACATAATCTCCTCTACTCAGGTCTCCCCTTTTCTTCCTTTTCTCATCTCTCTCTCGGAATGCAAGCAAATTTCTGTCTCTTTTTACATAGTAGGCAGTTGGCTCAGCATCATGTTTGATTTCAAGTCCAACGATGCTGGCCAGAGCTCAAATGACCGGTAGTATATAGATTAGTCTTCCCTCCCCTTTTCCCTCCATCGTGTTCCCTCTACTGTTGTCATGCATATAACTGACAATTCTGACTAAATGTTGGGATGTAGTAGGGGCTGACTCTGCATCTCTTCAGGCTTCCGGTCTGCCTCACGGGACCGCCACATTCTTATGTGAACAAGTGTGACCCGATGCAACCCAAGTCTGACCCAGGAATTTGAGCCACAGGAACTGGCAGTTCCCATCCATCATCTAATTTGATAGGTCACTACATGTACTTCAAAATTCGCTCCATGGGCATAGATTATGCTCGTGTTCCCTTTCGCATTCCTCTGTCGAATTGAACCCAATATACTTTTATCTTCTCGTTGTACCGGCACACATACCTTAGTATCCAAAAACTGGTTTTCCATTGGCCCATATGACTCTCTCTTTGACCATGTCGCTATATAAGCCTATCCTTCCCTTTCTCGGATTGTTGATTACGCGTTCCCCTGAATTCGATTTATTGCCCCCGCACGATGGTGCGATTTCTTAAAAGAATCCTTGGCCTCCAGGACCCGTTCAACCCCTTGGGTAAAGTTTCCGACGAGCAAGAATTAGATCCCACAGTTTTGGACTGGTTGAACGAAACATTCCCGTCAAGAAGCCAGCTACTCCAATATGTTCGTGGACTTTTCCCATTCTGCCAGTGGCTTGGGCATTACAATCTACAATGGTTTTTCAGTGATTTAATTGCAGGTATGGACAACGATTTGGCCACTTCGCATCCCATTACTTACATATTCCCAATACAGGAGTAACGGTTAGTGCGGTCGTGATCCCGGAGAGCGTGGGATATGCGAAATTAGCGGGACTACCAGCTCATTATGGGCTATACGCATCTTTCACCGGTGGAATGATCTACTGGATCTTTGCAACATCCAAAGACATCACTATTGGGGTAGGTGCTCAAATTGAGGATTCGAGGCCATTTTTAACGTAGAACAGCCCGTCGCGGTATTATCCACCGTCATTGGTGCGATCGTCAGAGATGTACAAATCGCCTATCCCGGATCCCCTGCGCCCCAGATCGCCATGTCAATTGCTATAATATGTGGGGGTGTCGTCACATTCCTCGGTCTGACCAGGTTGGGTTTCATCATCGATTTCATTCCTCTTCCATCGATCACTGCCTTTATGACTGGATCTGCGATCTTGATATGTTCCGGGCAAGTCAAGAATCTGCTTGGAGAAACCGCCAGCTTTAGTCTGGATGACCCTGCATATCAGATCATACTCAATGTTTTTAAGAATCTGCCTTCGGCAAGGGGATATGATGCAGCCATGGGACTTTCTGCGCTTGTCCTTTTATATGGGATCCGCACGATGTGCAATTATGGAGCCCAGAGGTATCCACGGCGCGCCAAACTTTTCTTCTTTTTCTCGAACCTGCGGAAATTGTTCGTCATTTTGTTCTTCACGATGATAAGCGCCATAGTTAATATACATCGTCAAGAGGATCCCGTCTTCGAAATTGTTGGATACGTACCCCGTGGGTTGGAAGATGCCGGTGTTCCTATACTCTCCAGCGACATGATCCAACATATCCTTCCCAAACTCCCAGCTGCTGTCGTTGTAATGGTACTGGAACACGTCGCAACGTCCAAATCTTATTCTCGTATCAACAATTACACCGTGAACATATCTCAAGAGCTCATAGCCATCGGCATCACCAATCTCCTCGGCCCATTTGTCGGAGGATATCCTTCCACTGGCTCGTTGTCCCGCTCCACCATTCAGTCCAAAGCTGGTGTCCGCACTCCGTTGGCTGGTGTCATCAGCTCCACCGTTGTGCTAATTGCTATCTACGGTCTGACGCCAATGCTTTCTTACATCCCTCATGCCTCTTTATCAGCCGTGATCATCCATGTGGTGGCTGATTTGATCGCCGCACCAAACACTATCTACCAATTTTGGCTTATATCACCCTTGGATGCCGTGGTCTTTGCAGCGGGGCTCATCGTTTTAATTATCAATCGCATTGAAAATAGCATTTACGTCACTGTTTGCTTATCTCTGGCAATTTTGCTTTTCCGCCACATCAAGGCTTCTGGAAGACTTCTTGGTCGCACATGGATCGGAGATGAAGAAACCCAGAGACCCCTTTTCTTCCCTATTTCGGATGTCCAGAAGCCTCGCCAGTGGAATGTCGAAAAGCCACGCCCGGGTGTTTTCATCTACCGCTTCTCTGAGGGTCTCAGTTACTCCAATGTCGGCCACTACTTGGATGCCTTGGCGCAGGACATACTCAAGAGCACCCGTCGTACATGTGCATTGGACTCTGGGAAGAAAGGCGATCGTCCGTGGAATGACCCTAAGCCCAAAAATACAGGGAATACCGCGGATGAACTTCCACTTCTACGGGCAATTGTTTTTGACTTTTCGGCTGTGAATAATGTCGACGTTACTTGTGTCCAGGGGTTGATTGATGTGCGCAATCAACTCAACCGCCATGCTGCACCATCAGAGGTGCAATGGCACTTTGCCAACATTAAAAATAGGTGGACCAAGCGAGCGCTTTCTGCCGCAGGCTTTGGATATCCTACTATGCCATCCGTGGTTGAAGGTCAGCCTGTTTCAGTGGAAATAGAGATACAAGAAACTCGTGAAGACTTGGAGAAGGCAAAGGGGGCCACTTCATGCAAGGGACAGGTTTATGAGAAGCATGAAGCTCGCTCTGCACGATTAGAGCGCATCAGTCGACGCTTCTTTCATGCAGATTTGATCGGAGCTCTGGAAAGTGTTGATGCTTATCTGTAATCGAGTCCAAAAGTATAGACTATGTATTAGACGTGAACAGTTTACCAATGCTTCTGTTTTATGGCTTGTGGTTCCTTGGTGGTCGAATCGCCCAGCAATCACATCATTATCCCTGTAAATATCGTTAAAGTGCCAAGGTGCCAAGGTGGTCTGGGACTGGAGAAATAGCCGGCGTGCGCGCCCTCATTTGAAAGACCCTGAAAGGATTCTTAGATATTTAGCCAGCTATGGCGCAATCCCGGCCATGATTTCCATTCAACGTTGTAGAGATGATAAGCCGGAGAAAATGCATAAATTCCGTCTTCTATTCCTCCGGTGATGCAAGACTAGGGGCTTTCCGTTGCGCCTTTCGTGCGGCTCCTACTTCGGTTTTATAGATACTAAATCTGCTACAATATCTCATACTTAGTCTCCCACTCAGTATACCACTCATTATTCTACTCTGTACTCTACTCGGTCTTCTATCCAGTGTCTTACCCAGTATTCTACCTTTTTTCCTACCGGATTAGTTAAACTGTCAAAGGGCTATCCAAATTCATATATAGCGGAATAGAAAGAAAAGAAAGGTCGGAATTTCGAATAAATGTCTGAAAGTCCGCAGTCTACCCAATGAATAGAGGGGTAGATCGAAGTACCTGATTAGTACTTGCATTCGACTAATATGCCAGCCCAAGGCTGGAGGTACAAGTCTTTTCAATGTCTTCAAAAGTTGGAACAATGAATTCAATGAAATGAAAGTACATGAATCACATTAATTGAGAAATCCTAGACATCTGAGAGCATAATTAATACAATTATCTCATTTCAACTGGAAGGCACGACATCAATTGATGGCTGCATGTGTGATGTGATGACCGCCGAGCTAAAGGGATTGCGTGACCAGGCATGTATACCCCGCTAATTCAATGATATATAAACCATTAGAAGTATGACGAATGATTGTACAGAAGGGCAGCATACAGAGCGCGTACTAATTACCTTCGTTTGATCGCGATTAAAGACATGGCCGAGAAGACTGCGCGGGTTTCCGTCGGTCAGAAAGACTCTCCCGGAGTCAGTGTGTCAGACAATTCGGATCAAGAGTCGCAGCAAGTTCAAGTTTACGACAATGCTACTTTTCAGGTCCAGGGGGGTCATGAATTCTACCGTCCGATTGATAGCTATGAAGGAATTCATCGCTGGGACCCGGAATTTGAATGGACGGAGGAGGAGGAGCGAAAGATCGTTAGGAAAGTAGGTCATTTTCAGCAAGCTGATGTCAACTCTTACTGATATCCTACTGACAGATTGATCATCGTGTCCTGACCTTCGCCTGCGTGACATTCTTCGCCTTGCAACTTGATCGAGGAAATATCGGTCAGGCACTAGCCAGTACTTTCCTGACCGATTTACGCATGACGAGTAACGACTACAACTTGGGTCAGACGATCTTTTTGGTCTGTTTCCTTCTGGCTGAAATGCCATCTCAGTTGATATCCAAGAGACTGGGACCCGATCGCTGGATTCCTATTCAAATGATTCTGTGGAGTATCGTTGCAGCATGTCAGGCTTTTATCAGAGGAAAAAGCACGTTCCTAGCCACACGCGCTTTATTGGGATTAATAGAAGGTGGCTTGTAAGTATTAGTATCCTTCTGCTCGTTGGAGAAGCTAACTATTCAACTTAGTATCCCAGACACTGTCCTCTTTCTGTCATTCTTTTACAAATCCAATGAATTGCCCAAACGACTCGCTTGTTTCTGGATCTCGTTGACCTTGACTGGAGTTATCGGTGCATTTTTGGCTTTCGGGTTCCTCCATATCAGACTTTCCGATGATGGGGGCGCCTGGCGATATCTGTTTGCCTTTGAAGGTCTGATAACTGGAGTGATTGGAATCATCGCTGTGTTCTGGATGCCCGCTTCTCCGGTCCAAACAAAAGGAGGATGGCGCGGCAGAGATGGATGGTTCACGGAGCACGAGGAAAAAATCATTGTTAATCGAGTCATTCGTGACGACCCAAGTAAGGGAACCATGCACAACCGACAAGCTGTTACGCCGAAGTTGTTATGGGAGTCAATCCAAGACTACCACATGTGGCCGATTTATTTTCTTGGATTGATTTGGATGATTCCCTCGACCCCAGCTACGAACTATCTCACGCTACAATTGAGACAAGCTGGATTCGGGACCTTTCAGACAAATTTGTTGGCGATTCCGGCTGCTGTTGTTGGGATCATCGGTCTCGCATCCATTACGTGGATTGCGGAGCGAACTCAGCAGCGGTTACTTTCTGGTGCCGCGGTGGAAGTGTGGAATCTTGTTCTTCTGATCGCATTGGAAGTTTTGCCTGAGAAAAAGCTACCGTGGCCTAGATTCGCTATTCTGACTCTTCTTGTCGGAAGTCCGAGTATACATCCGGTCATCGTTGCTTTGACATCACGAAATGCGGGCTCTGTACGAACTCGGACTGTTGCTACCGCATTATACAACATGTCTGTTCAGATCAGTTCTATTGCGGGCGCTAATGTGAGCTATTGCAACTTATGACTCTGAGTATTTACTAACTACTGTAGGTCTATCGAACCCACGATGCGCCATACTATAAACATGGAAACAAAGTCCTTATTGCACTGGCGGTGGTCAGTCTGTTTTTGTTCATTGGTTCGAAGTTTTACTACGATTGGTGCAACAAGTATGTACTCTTCGCATTTGATCTTATTATAGGTGCTAATGAAGATTCAGGCGTAACGCAGCGAAGTGGGATGCAATGACAAGCGAGCAAAGGGAAGACTACCTACGTGAAACCCCTATCATGACTAATAAGAGGTTTGTGGACACAAGCCTATAATTCAACATGACCAACTAACATTTGAATAGAATTGACTTCCGCTTTTCTCGGTAAGACTATTGTCATATCGGATCTGGTTAAGCCAAGACGGGACGAAGCCATTATATAGAGTAATCTATCAAGTAATGAATATTGTTGGAGGTGATACGTGAATTTTACATCGAAAAGCACGAAAGATCATAATATGGAGTGGTATGGAGAGAAAAAAAGGCTCCAAGACAGAGAAATGGGATATGCCCATGCCAGCGTAAACAACCCGATATACTCGAGACAAATATGATAAATCGTTGTCGCACAAGCATTAAAGTCTCAAGATCAATTTTGAAAGATGTATCTCTAAAAGTAGCTTTATGCAGGGTATTTTGTGTCACATTAGACACTGATGTTGCAATATATCATCAAGGAAAAGTTGTATTTGTTATCGGCACAGACTGTCACTCTGAAAATAATACTGGATTCTTTGTTTACTGTCGGTGTCCCTGGGTCATATCATGTGACCTGAGCAGCGCTGGCATCCCGTTTAGGACTAGCTTAGTTTTGGGTCTGGGGGGATATCCTCTAGATCTTCTGCTCCTTCTCTCTTTTCTCCCCCCATACCCAATATCACATACGTTTTGTGTGAAGCTGTCAGCCTACATATTGTAGTCATCTTCCATCTTCCCCGCTTGGGGCCTATTGGCGCCAAGATTTACATACAGCTCCAATCTCATTCACGGCTGAAGTAAGATGAAATATTGCTTGCCTAGTTTGCCTCGTGTGATTTACTTTCCGGAATGTAGGGCGTTTCGTATGGGCGTTCGGCCTGCGGGGTAATTCGTGCCAAATGACGGCGCTCGCCAGTCGTCCAGTCAATAATCGCAGAATGGGCAGTCACGCGATTCTGTACATAGATTAGTTCAAGAATGGCGTCTTTATCGATGATAATAACTTACATCCCAAATGACAACAGTCTTAGGGGCCCATCGAATGCGAGCCTGGTAGTCAATACCTCGGCCGACATGAGCCAGCAAGAATGCTAGGAGAGCGTCACTTTCTTCTTTCTTCAGTCCCACGATACTGCGAGTGACTATTTCCCTATCAGCCTGAAGCATAAAAGAATACTGGGTAATGAGAACAATTATACTTACAACCAGCGTTGACAAAGAGCGCTTTTTCCCGGGTTACCGGATGAGTCCGAACAAGAGGATGCTCATTCTTTACTGGTTCTCGTCTCACAACACCATCACGAGCTCGGCTATTTTCAGCTTGTTCAAATCCAGAGTGCACGGCCTTCAGTCCATGCAGTCGCTCCTGGATTGCCGGGGAAAGTCGCTTGTATGCTTCAACTTGATCCACAAAAACAGTATCCCCACCCACTTCGGGACCATCAAGAAGATACAGCAGCGTGGTTCCAGGGGGCTGCTGCTCGTAGGTCACATCCGAGTGCCATGATACACTACTATTCTTCTCAGCAAGGTACTGATCAAACTCCCACGCGTTATTGTTGCGATGAACGAGATGAATCTCAGGATATCCCTCCGGAGACCCACTCGTGGGGTGGATGTGGTGTCGACCAAAGTAACCACCAAAGTCCAAGGCCTCTTGAATTGATAGGTCTGCAAAGTCCTGGTCTCGGAAGGCGACGACCTTGCGTTGAGCGACTAGAAGAGCGAGCTGGTCTTTTCCGGCGGAGTTGAGTTTGCTCAGCTGGATGCCTGTGACTTCGGAACCGACGGTTGGAGTGAGTTTTTGGATTTTGGATCCTTCAGCTAGGAGATCCTTAAAGCTATGGTCGGCGTTTTTGCCGTGATCGACGTGAGTAAACGGTTCAAGAGGGGGAAATTTCTCGCCATGATCCCAGGTTGGAAGATAGTGCGGATACTAAAATACCAAGGTTATGAGTACAAGAACATAATCTCATATAGACGGGTCTGGGCACACGCTGGCAGTAGTCTTTCCCCCTTCTTCTTCGATCACTCTTCTTATCTTGGGTTTGCCCTCGGCAGATCCAACGCCGTTTTTGATAGGAACGGTGATATTTGTAACGGCTTGGGAGATAGATGGCGTCATTTTTTTATCTTTGAACTGTGCTTGAGAATTTAGTAGTGTAGCGTTCCTGCGTAGCTCTTGACTCGCATATATATATAACTCGTATTCACGTCATAATCGCTTTGAATCACGCAGTTCTAAGGTCTCATAAACCATATAATTGTGACATCAGCGTAATCTGGTAAGTGGATGGTGTTTTCCAACGGGAAATGCTTGACACTACTTTTGAATGTCAAAGAAAGCCAACTGGAAAACTAGGGAATCTCATTAGAGGGATCACCTGATCCCTCTCCTAAACCCCCCCCCCCCCCTCCTCCCTCTCTCCTCTCTCTCTTTTTCTCACCCATTCTTCCTTCTCCCTAAATTTTCTCCTTTTTGTTTGTGCGTACACCATGTAGGGGCTTTGTCCCCTGTATGATAGATCAACTGTCGACAACCCTTATAAAGCAGGTTGTACCGATGGATAAGTGCACATAGTAGAGGAGTGAAGTCTTAACTTATTTTGCATTTTCACTCACGTCTTGCCCAAGGGTATAGATATTTCATTTTCAACTTTGCATTTCTCAATTCCTAAGGAAGACGTTTATGGAGAAGGTCAAGAGGACGGACCTACAGAGCCTGATGGATTATGAGGCAATCATGTCTCACCCGCAGGCGACTCGCTATGTCGCCGGATCTATGTTATCAAATGGTCTTCTCGGGCGGTTTCGCCAATGTGATATCGAGCCCGAAGAAGCAACTGAACCATCACACCAGGAGTTACCGCAATGGGCAAGGGGTGAAGATGATGCGTATCCAACACCAGAGTGAGCGATAACTGAGATATCGATCACAACGACAGTAGTTGATAAATGCAGAAGGAGATATACAGGAGGATATCGGGGATATCAAGGCATTTTACATAGCGATAGCGACGTTCTTTTCAGCGGGGTTTACTTTGCTTGGCATTTTCGGCTCTATTTCGGCTTCATCTTTACCTGTCTGGGTAGTATCATATCTATTTCCTTTACGCATAGCCATTCCTTACTGTGTGTGGGATTCACTGGCGTTGGGCATATTCTTGCTTCGGACGACGAAGCGCCTGCATTGCCACGGCGACCAGAGCTAGGCAGCATCAGGTTAATAGATCACCATCATCATCATCATCATCACCTTCTTAACTTTATACTCACTTAAGTTATCAGGGATGAGAGATTGTTCTTATAGAAATGCAAACGAATCGTAATACTGTTATGCATATAGTGACAGGCACCTATTGTGATGCCTTGGCAAAAACGATCGGATGCATGGTTTAGGCGTATCACATCCTAGATTTTAGGTATGATCAGGCACGCAGATAACATTGGCTAACCGTATTTAGAGCCTAATTTGCTACAAACCTGCTTTAATGTATCGATGTCGATCCTTTGAGGGAAATTGAAAGGAAAATCTCTTCGTCGCCTTACAGGCATCTAGACCAGATGCCCGGTTATTCAAATTTTCAAACCCCACCAAGACCGTCTTTCTGCACCAATTGACCAACCGACATGACCCATGTTAATGGTAAATGAACTTGAAAGAGGTGATAGCCTGAGTCTAGACTTATACAGATAGCTCAAAGGGAAAAACCTGTTCGGTAAGAGAAAGGTGGATATTAAGACGCTTGGACCCAGGGACAACAATGACGCGTCCCGTTTAAGGCAAAAGTGGAGGTCGGGATTCAACTTGTCAAATCATGGTCAAGTTACGGAGAACGTACAAATAGTCAAGTAACTAAATGAAATAGTTATATGAATCATGTCTGACCCAGATTCAATGTTTATTGATACGTCTTGATACGTCTCAATAATCAAAGTTTTCCAGTTCCTGGATTGTCAGGCCCGTTTCAAGGCCTAGCTTCATGCGGGGCTATCAACAATGCAGATTACTTGGCAGTGGCGTTCCTTTCTAGCTTCAAAGTTGAAAGAAAAATGAGAAAATGACACGGAGTCCGCCTACATGAATACTGGGATTAAATGTGCTTCTATGGAAATTTCGGATGAACCTAAATAGCAATGAGTTCCTGGGCAAAATATCATCATCGCCTTGTGGGATGGGTCTCTGAAAGATCCATTTTCCAGCAATTTCGGGCTTTTGATCTATGACAGGGATCATGTGGACACGCGGCCTGTCCCACGTTGGTAATTTCCCCGCTACATTAAACATTGATCCTATCGAGATGCGGTTAGTGTCTATAGTTTGAACAATCAGCATGAAAGAACCAATCAATTGGGGGATTTGATAGGTTCTAACGGCGAACACGCTCGCCTAATTCCCGGTTTTTGTATTTACTCGTGGATGATTCGTAAGTCTCTCGTAGGTCATTGCTTTTTCTCGATTACTTAAACCCCTGGGGTTGGCGATTTCGGTCTGACCTTAGACATTCGTTTTGAAGCACTGTTTACATTCGTCTCGCGCTCTTTCATAGCCCACCCTTTCAACCTACATTATGAAGAGCACCATTGCCATCGCAGCTTTCCTGGCTGGCGCTAATGCCCTCGTTGGTCGCCGTGATACCTGCTGTTTCGAGCTCACTGCCTCTGGAAGTGCCTCCGGTACTCTTGGCCAGCTGACCGACGGTCAAGTCCGCCTTGGTGACACCACCTTGTCGCCTTCCACGTTCTGCATCTCGAACTCTATCATTACTGATAGTGAGGGCCGTGGATGTGTTATCACTTGTGAGTCAGCCCATGCTTGTCAGATCGACAGAAACTAACCGTCTATTAGCGGAGACTACTCAGTTTCAATGTGACCAGGGCGCCACCGGCACCTCTGGCTTCACCTTAGCCTCTTCTGGGTTGCTGAGCTTTGACGGTAGCTCATCTTTCATCGCTTGCCAGACTGGCGAGGACAACGGTAGCAACATCTACACCACCAACAGCACCGATGTGACCCAGTGTGTTAGCATCCAGCTGACCGGCGACTCGTGCGCCGCTGCTTCCTCCTCCGTGGTATCCTCTGTTGTCGCTTCTTCTTCGCCGGCTTCCAGCACCCCCGTTGGTGTATCGCCTGTCACTACGGCTGCGTCTTCGGTCCCTGCTCTCCCTACCTCTAGCCCTCTTATCCCCAGCAGCCCGGCCAAGGTCTCTACCCCAGTTGTCTCTACTCCAGTTGTCTCTACTCCAGTTGTCTCTTCCAGCGCTGCGATCACGAGCTCCTCATCCGCCACTGCTTCGAGCACCATCACTACCAGCACTACCAGCACTTCTTCTACAACTAGTGCCTCCGCCTCTAGCGCTGCCTCCACAACTGCTGTCAGCGGCTCAGCTGTCTCTGCTCCCATGGGTCTCGCCCACTGGGTCGCTTCGGTTGCTGCGATGCTGAGCTTGATGGTGCTTTACTAGACCCTCATCTAGACATATACCTTATGGCCTTACCGAGATGATCGCTGAAATTGAGGAATTGATTTGAGGATCCTGCGATTAATGCGCCCAGATCAATTTGATTTGATTGGGTAATGTTTTGAACACGGTGCGGGTAATATTTGCAAACCGCATGAACACTCCTTTATGAATATAATATCGTGACTGAAATGATCACTAATGTCTCCCTGTTTGCACTGGCATGAAATTACAAGCCCCCAGTTCCCCAGCGATCGGTGATATACATCGTGGGAAGAAAGTGAATTTTGTAATTAGAACTGAGAAGTAATAATATGTTTATGATTATACACTATTAGGTAAAAGTACATAACTTTGAACCATTGAAGATCAGAACGAGTCTCTTTAGAAATACTCAAGCCTCCAAAGCACTCTTCTTAGAACCCAATTCCCACACCGTTGCTACGCCGTTGAGCGCTGCAGTATTGTCTCGTAGCAACCCAATCCGCACGTTCCCTTTCCTCTCGCTTCAGGCGTCGCTTCTCCGGTTCGTTTTCGTCTAGGGAGTAAAAGCTCCAGCTGTGTTGTTTCTGAGGGGCATCTTTGACTACTTTAAGTTAGAATACCTATGTTCGAAAGCAAAAAGTCAGGGATACCTAACTAGTAGCCTTGGGTGTGTTATCGACGCCTGTATTGTCACTTGGCTCTGACTGGACAGACTTGGTCAAATCAACCGAGCCGCGCCTTTGGTTGTATTGTTTGAAGAAATCAGAAGTCCTGCGGAACATGATTGAGATTAGGGAAGAGTTCTTCAATGTTCGATGATTTATAGAAGAAAATATTTGATATTAATGGGCGAGTAGGAGGCAAAATTTCGCTAGTTATATATGCAAATCTGATCATCATATGAGAACGCTGTTATTATGCCAGGAAATACCACAGGGTTAGAATAAGCTACTACAAAAACTTTGTATCAAAGCATCCTAAGTGGGGACATTCGTCATCCAAGGTAATTAACCGCCCTCCTGGCTTGTCAGGAATGCATCACGCAATGACTGAGACTGGGAATGTGGTACTCTTTGTGTCAATTCTGATTCTATTATCTTCTGTTATCAACGGAATCCTCAGGTCAACACAATTATGGTAAATCTAAAGTCGGGATTTACCAAAAGATACACATCGGAGAATTGGTAAGTCTCTATGAAACATTTGAATTATCTCATTTTCGCATTTTTGAACAATAAATGTTACTTGGTTAGAGACATAACTGAGTGAGGTTGTGAATTCCTCCGCTCAATGCTGTGAGTCCGGAGATATTGGAGTCTAAAGTGTACATCTAACTTGAGTCATGACCAATAGCATTCCTAATTGCGCAATCATAGATGTCAAGTCTGCCACTTGTTCCAAACTTGAAACCACTGAGCTTCATTTGACCCTTGGCTGGAGATCAGAATGTGAGGCCAAGGTTGACTTACGATGCCCGTCACTTGATCAGGGTACGTTGATAAACCATTTAATTTGTCCCGAAAGAAAGCTCCCTAATTCCAGCCAAGCCGCAACTGAGCTCGACTTCTCCAAAGCATTGAACTCTAGTCCTCTTCCTGGACAGCGAGCTAGGCGGATGTTCCTCAAATTCCAACACAAAATTTTTCAACCCAGCTACGTACCGTGTCATATCTTCGATCAGCGCGGGGCAAGCAAATTTACCCCCATCGCCGTGTTCAATGAGAACACCAGCCAGAGCCTAGTCCCCAATATCCAAGTTCTGGGCAAACACCTCTTAATATCGAAATGGCACCTTGTTTTCGGCGGGTCGTGGGGATCAACCCTGGTACCACTCTATGCACAAGCTTACCCCCATATGGTGGGATCACTGACCCGCCAGAAAGTGTGAGCTTCGGTTCTCTCGAGACACTTTTGGTGCTGCGCAGAATATTTCCCGAGGCGTATGAGATCTTTGTCAACTGTCTTCCCGAGAAGACCGGTCGAGGCCGAATGAAGGGTATTATCGGTTGCTTGTCTCGGAGGATTGTGCTACTGGGGTTGATACAGCAAGTTAGTGAAATCGCTGGGATCTTGTTATTGGTACTTAAAGGTCCGGCCTGGATGCTTTTACTAACCTTGAAGATGAGGGCTGGGTTTTGTCGCATGCCAGACTCGAGGCGCGTTATGTTTTGAACATCCGCTTCTTGGCTAAGCAGATTTTTTAAGGGCGAGACTTTGGCGAAGATTAAGCGTACTAGTAGTTAGCAGTGGTTGTATCCTAATGCAATGGAATTTGGCTGACAATTTTGCTCCAGTGACTATCATCCAAGGTCGCTATGGCATTATTTGCTGGCCGAATACAGCTTGGGAGTTGCACAAAGGTTTGCCAGGCTCTCGTCTGTCTTGAACTCCAGATGCCGGTCATGCTGCTACTGTGAGTTCTTTTTTCTGTTTTGTTATACTGTACTTATCTCGTTCTAGGAACCTGGCACCCGGGCTAAGTTGGTCGAGGTGTGTGATGAGAATGCGGAGGTGCAGGTTCCTCATTTGTGACCCTCTGAAAATATGCCTCTGATTGGATAAATCTGGCTTCTATACTTTTTCTCCGATTTACCTATGCTATAATTTCATTTAGTCATGCTCTTCCTCTTCTTCCTCTTCTTCTTCTTCTTCTTCTTCTTCTTCTTCTTCTTCTTCTTCTTCTCCTTCTCCTTCATGCCAAACCAGTTTTCGGTGCCTACTTCTCTGGGTCTGGGTCTGGATCAAGGAAGTCCCTAAATCACCCTGATATCACGCCCCTGTGGAGTGAATCTTTGGTCGCGGAAACCAGTTCCGCTTTTTGTCGTCACATTCAGTAGTGTATCAACCCCCTGGGCTGGCCAATCAATGCATAATGCGAGATTAAGGTTAAAAGAAATTGAAACGAATGGTGGACACACGGGCTAGGACTACGGTCCTGACAATAGTAACACAAAACACACACACAAACAACGATGGAGTGCAATTCTTCAGTTCATGGATGGGTGAGCAGAGAGATAACCTGGCGTATGCACATCCGAAATCAATTCCGCTCTTGATTCTGTCACCAACTTTAAGAGCCACATACTCTCAATAATTGACAATCATTGGCAGGATCAGACGATCAGAGGATCCGACTGACGTTCAATTCGGGTTCCGCTTGTTCGGCATATTTATCGGCATCTTTAAGCTTTCGGGAATCCTTGGATAGATGGTGGCGACTCAGTATCAACAATTCATCTCCAGCGTAGTACCCAAACTTTGTTTCTTGCCCAGAGTGCGGGGATCGTCGAAAACCATGGAAACGTTTCCCGATATCTTCTTCCGGTGCCACTTTAACCTTTTTGCTCCAGCCACAATTCCACTTCCGATCGGATGCGGAGACTCGAAACCTGGGGAAGCTCTCCAGGTATGCTATAGCTATCAAGCGGGACTCAAAATCGGTAATTGGCAGTTTAGAGCTGTCTGCTGGTCCGACTTAAATACCCTTTGCTATCCTCCAGATCTCTGTTCGGCAAAGGTCCACCATTTCAGGATATCTTTTACCCACAACCTAGAATAGAAGTCAAAATGGGTGACGAAATTATGCGTGGAACCTCCAAGGTTCCTCATAGTGAAGGGGGGATGCCTGCCTTGACGCAGGTCCCTACCTCGATCACTCTGTCTGCTGAACAGTTTGAAAGGCTCTACTTGAGTCCTATGATGCATCGCCAGCCAAAGCTGGCCAAGAATTTGGGAAATCCCACACCATTGTATGATATGAATCCCAACTCCTGATGACCCCTTGCTAACTATGACTCCAGAGGTATCGGAGCTTTTGTACTCACAGCGACACCAATGGCATGTTGCTTGATGGGGTGGAGAGGTGCAGGTGGAGGTGGTGCTGCTTTCACGTAAGAACTACCCTGGCTCTAGACTGCTCTTCGACTGACATGTTATAGTGGAGTCTTGATCTTACTGGGTGGACTCTTACTGGTCCTTTCCAGCATCCTTGAATTTATCCTTGGAAACACTTTCTCGTCGGTCGTGTTTGGGCATTTGGGTGAGTCGCTATCGGAGAATCGGAATACAACAGAATTGACTTTTCTTAGGTGGCTTCTGCTTGGCTTTTGGTGCTACTATGACTCCAGCATTCAACTCTGCAGGTACGTATCATGCAATCTCAGAGATGACCTTGTGGGTACTAACTTTATATAAGCCCCCTATTCTCCAGATGGAACCAATACATTGGCAGGTCTTCATGGCCCAGGCTTCGTGGACACATTCGGTATGTTTCGATTAGGGCTGCGGGTTCAATCAGAAGACTAACCTAATTGAATAGCATTTTTCTTTGTATTCATGGCACTGCTGATGCTTATCTACGCTGTCTGCGCCACTCGTACCAACATTGTGTTTGTTCTGATTTTTACATCCCTGATCTTCGTGTTCTCTCTCTTGGCGGGTGCGTACTGGAAATTGGGTCTCAAGGATGAGGTGGTCGGCAACAGGTTGACTGTGGTATGTTTGAACTATTTCTGTCGCTGGTCAATGTTTTCTAACACCGTTTAGGGTGCTGGTGCCGCTCTATTCGTGGCTACTATGCTAGGATTCTACTTGCTGGCAGCCCAGCTGCTCGACTCTGTTGGTTTCCCCTTTTGCTTACCTATTGGAGATTTGAGTGGAATTTGGAATCGCACAAGTCAGCGGTAAGTTCTGAATGACCTCAGTACATGTTCCATTTGCTGATGAAATGTTAGCAACTTCTCGGATCCCGAGCTGGCGACCGATCCCAATGGCAAGTTCTAGGCTCCATTGGTGGCTGGACCGTCTAATCTCACTTGTTCTGCAAGTGATAGGGGGTAACAGAGGTATATTAATTATGATATTCTATGTGGGATGGGCAAATTGCCATTCGTTGATTAATTTGATGCTTAAGCAAATGAAGCTTCCTTATTATGCACAATCTCTGCTCTCCGAAAGCCTATATTACATTTTAAAGCGTTTGAAACAATCAATTATTGGATAACATTTCAAGACTCGATTGGCTCCAGGATACTGAGTAGAATCCAAATAGAGAAGGGATCATGTAGTCGATTTGTCTCGCAAGCCATCGAGTTTCAAAATTATTTTTCGATTCCTCGAGCTTTTACCACCTTGAACATTTATTCTTGGTAGACTTTTCTTATTCACAACATGGGGCAAATTGAAGCGAGCGCAAGTGGCTGTCAGCCAAGCCCATCCCCACCAAAGCCGAACGGAGCGAACGGGCGAAACATAATGAGGGGCTTAGAGTTATCGTCAGCCATCTCTGCAGAATTCATGTTTTCTCTGTCAATCCAGCCGAGCTATGGTAGACTGTCGTTCTGTACTCTCATTGGTGCCCGCTCTGGGCGCTACTGGGAACACTTGCATTTGACGGGACAAGATATTCGGGGCGAGCTGCCAGGTACACTGACCTCGACTCCACTACGCGGCCTTGCCGTACGGAGACATAGATTCAGCCACTTGGCAACCTCTTCAGCTGATTATGCTAGTCACAACGTGATGATTGGATTCTATCATGTCGGATCGAGCTGCCCGTCAGCAATCGACTTTTCTTCGGCCTCGCCGTTCTTATGGACTAGCTGTGATCATGACTCCAGTATAGCCATAGCCGGATGTGTATGAGGCATGAAGGCATTGCAAGCGATGAAGGACAGACTCGAAAAATTTATAAGGATGGCTGATTCCCCTCGAATACCAGATTCCAAGCCTTCGACTTCAATCCGATCATCTTGTACACATACGACTGTCTTTTGCCTTTATCGTTTTTCACTTTCTAACAAAAATATCTTAACTTTCAACTGCTCTTCGGTTCACTTCATCAAATACCGCCAAAATGGTTGTCGCTGTTGAGGCTCCTGCTCAGCTTACCTTGACGGAAAAGGGCTCTAATGAAACCAATGACACCAATGGTACCAACGGTACCAATGGAAATGGCATCATGAAGACTACTTTTGTGCCCTGGCCAAAAAAGCCCACGGTGACTCGAATCCCTCCACCCAAACTCGTCGAACCCGATACCATCGCTGCTCTGGCCGAGAGATTCAACCTGGACAACTTCATCAACCAGCATGAGGTCCATCAGCGAGAGCTTACGACCATTGAGGATATCGATACCACTATGATCCGCGATAAGGATTTCTTCCGCCAGATGACACACATCGACGTCAAGCACAACCACGCCGCCCACTGGGGTCAGGTCATCAAGGCTCGTGAGAGTATCGCTACTCATCTTCACATTGCCCACGCCGAAAGTGATCACCTGCTCGAGTCCCTGACCGAGGTTATCGATCATCTGGATAAATCAGAGCATGCCAAGGCTGTCGCCATTGCCAAGTTCAAGGCCGCTGAGAGGCGCCGCACAGAGATCGAGAAACAGTTGGAGATTGCCAATTGTCAGCTAGGCCAGGCCCGCTTCAGAATGGTCGAGTTGGCCCAGGAGCGTGATGCGAAAGAAGCCCGGGCTGAGGTTGCGGAGAAAGTCTTGCTTATCCGTGATAAGCAGATTGAGACTTTCCGTATTGAAATCAAGAAGCTCAAGGAGTGGGCTGTCAAGCTTACTGCCCAGCGTGCTGATGCTATTGAGGCTTGCCGAAGGGCCCGAGAGGCTGAACGGATTGCTTGTGCAGAAGCTGAGAGCGCCCGGGAGCGGGCTAATGAGCTGGAGGTGGAGAAAACAAGGCTGGAGAAGCTCAACATCGACCTCGAAAAGAAGTATACGGAGATTTCCATGGAAAAGTCTGACCTCGAACGCAAGCTTTTGGTTCAGACTACGCTGCTTCATGAGGCTGAGGATGGAATTGTCGAACTGACTTCGATGAACGGCGACCTGCAGGGACAAGTGAAAATTCTGAACTCTGAGCTGATCAGGGCTGAAGAGGATAAGGATATCCTGAACGGTATCAATGCCACTCTTGAGACCAGGTGTGATAGGGCAATTGAAGACCGCAGCAAGGCCGAAAGTGCGCGTGATACAGCTATTCGAAATGAAATGGAGAGCAAGCGCCAGTATGCCAATCTCCACATTTTGTGGGAGGATGCAAAATCTGCTCTTGAGTTCAAGGAGTCTGAGATCGAGGACATCAAGCTCGAAAGAAACCATGCTCGCGAGAGAGCTTTCAACGCTTGCCACTTCGTTCAGGAGAGCCTTGAGTGGGGACAGTCGCTCAACCTCATCAATCACCAGCTTCTGAGAGAGTGGAAGGTCATGAAAGAGGAGAAGATCTGTGCTCTTCGCGAAAAGCTCGAGTGTGAGAAAGAGAAATTCCACCTCGAGGGCCACAAGGGTTATGACCATAAGATTATCCTTGAGCTGGAGACCAAGCTGCGCATGGAGAGTGAATGTGCGCAGAAACTCGAGAAGGAATGTGAATTCAAAGACAATGAGCTCAAGGAAACGAAGGAGAAGATGCAGTCTGAGCTCAATCGCAAGATTGACGAACTTGCCAACGCCCAGATTGACGCGTTCAAATGGGACAAGGAGAGATCTGAGCTTACCAAGTCTCTCAGCATGGCCGAGGCTAAGAATGTTGAGCTTAAGACCCAGCATGAGACTGAAGAGACTATCCTGAGGAAAGAGATGGAGAAACTCGAGCTCCGCATCAAGGAGAGCGAGGCTGCTCACGCCGCCCATGAGCTGGCCGTCAAGCAAGAAGCCGAGAAAATGGCGGCTGAAAAGGCGGCGCTCGAGGCCAAACTTAGGAGGGCAGAGGAAGCCATCCTGTCTCGTGAATACGAACACCTCTGCATCCATGATATCTTCTATGATAACAAGCGACTTGAGGACCACGAAGACCTAGATGATTCAATCCGGAAGAAGATCTACGATGGCATTGCAGCGCTCTGGGGCACCGAGAAAAAATTCCAGTTGGATGAGTTCTTCCCGGACACACACAAGAAGAAGCCGGTCCAGGTCATCTGTCGTTTCAATAAGGGTGATAAGCCGGTCCGCGTGTTCGACAATTCCGAGGGATACTTCAAATTCCCCAGCCGTAAGTAGATACTGAGAACTGAGTTAAGGGATCTGGACATTCTTTTCGCCAAGTTGAGCCTTGGTGTTGTTTCTTTTGTTCATTCCTGTCTTCTTCTACTTCTCTTATGTCTTTCTAATGTTCCTTTCGGTGATGTTTTATTCTTGAGTAATAATCATATTTTCTTGACTTGCGATCGCATCTTCTTCGAATAACTATGGAGGTTTAGTGTAAGACTATCAAAGTGGGATATTCACATATCAAACGTTAATTCCTCGAAGATCATTGAGTCTGTCTCGATGAGATTTCTTAGGGATTTCTGATTCTTTAATACTCGTAAATAGATATACCTAAATTACCAGAGGATATCTCTCGCCTTATCGGTAGGGTTTCAGCTTTAGGGATCTGTTCAGAAACGTTCTTCCCTGATCCATCTCCAAGATCATGCACTTGCAGTCCACCCCGAATCGTAACTATGACGGCGACATTTGGATGAGAGAGTCATATGATTCAAATGTCGGGATAAGGTAGCTGGAAGCCTGGGACTGCAAAATTCCGAAGCATGTCAAACTCATGGAAAGGTTTTGATAATGTCCTCCAGCATTTGTTCAATAGAGTGCATCAGTGGAATAAACATCTGAGTGGGGTGAGAGCCAATCTGTATATATTTGCAATTCAGTCACTTCATAAACAAAGCGTCAACATAAACTGAAAGATGTACAAAAAATAATCTCGTTCAAGGTATCATAAACGCCATTTCCAGCCATCCAACGCAAACGCTAAAATAAATCACGAGCATCAATGCATGAGCAACCAGGTCTCAAAAGGAACGCCACGAGGTGATTTCTTCCCATCACGATCTGTAGAGAACAAGACAGGCTCAAAGTCTGAAACCGAAGCATACTGGCGGACTAAATGCCGCCAGTAACACGACTCCGCAGCGGGAGTCAAATAGCGATCCCGGAATGTCCTCACTGCATTATCAGCGATCCGCTCCGCCACCTGTGGATTATCAATGAGGTAATCAATCTTGGTGGATAAATCTTCAAAGTGCTGGTCAACCTCTATATAATTTGCGTCTGGACCCGATGAAACAAGTGCGCCGTGGTGCGCTTCGCGCCAGACAAGAGGATGCGAGATCATCACCGAGCGACAGTTGAGGAGGTACTTGCCTCGGCCAGAGAAGCTCCTGCCCTCGGTATGCGCGACAAACATATAGCGGCAGTGGTCCTCTATCGGTAGGAGGTTGTATCGGATGTCATTCTCGTCGTCCCAATCGATTACACGGACACTGGCCCAGCTCCGGCTCAGAGCGGTTTTGAGTAGCTTGCTGCGGATGACCGGGTTTGTGGCAAGGCTGCCGCGCCAAACGAGTTGCTTTTTCTTGTCTTGAAAGGCTAGTCCTGGGACAACAGTACCATCTGGGAATGTTTCACCATCGTCAATTGCGGCAATGCGCCGTCGGACTTCGTGATACGGTCCAATTTGTACTTCGGGCCAGGCCCAGTATCCGAAGTCGGGCATGAGCCACACTGAGTCCTCGCCATCGCGCTTGGAGTATGCCCAAATTGGACCGGGGCCGGATGAGTCTTCGGCGAAATCTTCTGTTGTGAAGATGAATTCGATGCTAGGGAGGAGACGACGGTCCGGGTATGCCTTTAGCGCACGATGCAGTGAGTTCAATGTGGAGCGAGCCCGAGTGCCTGTAACAGGCATGGCAGCATAATCGACAATGTATAGCTGTAATTCAGGCTTATGTGAATTTAGAGACTTGGAAAACGAACGCGGCTTTAACTCACCTCTCCCTGGTCAATGATCCCCCGCACCATGCCGTCCTCCACATTCCGGGAATCAAGCTCCTTGTAGGAAATATGGTTCTCCTGCTTCAATGAAGCAGACTTGTCGATCTCGACGAAAAGCTTCGGGAATGCAATACGACACTGCTCGTCTGAAAGACCATGGTTCTGTCCGTCACGCCCGACAACAAACTCCCAGGAACCATTGCCAAGAGCTGATGATTCAATTGGATGGCAGCGTTGAATCGGCCCAGAAGTCTTCAGAAAATATCGACTGGAGTCTCCAGATGGACGCAACTGAAAAATAAGGAATGTGAGGATGACAAGGGATACCGTAGCACCGGTGGCTAAGAAGCGGAAAGAAGGCCTTTGCGCGAGCATCCTGCCCAGATGGATGTTGGTTATTCGGGAATGAAGATATCCACAAGGCTACACCAACCCCATAAGCAATGATTGTACCAGTTTAAATCAGTTTAAATCACTTGCACTTGAACTTCAGTCGCGAGTGATTCAATCAACTGGACCGTAAGAGATGACGAGATGTCAACGACGATAGTTGCCGTGACAACCAATTGTCCCAATGTTTCACTTCAAGAACCAGTTAATACAAAACCTTCGACTAATGAAATCAAAAGGAACTTTTGTTACCAGAAAATACTAGTGGTAAACATTTTACAGGTTAATCTGGGAATGCATGAGATTATACCTAGGTAAAAAGCCGAGATAATAATCTAATAATCAATGAGCACCATCAAATCTATCATGGCCCCAACGATATCGCACTATGTACAAGGGAGAAGCGCGCCACGGCCAGTTGATATATTCAAGGGGGGTATCTCAACAACAAGTCATAACAGGGGGGAACATATATAAAATGAACTAGAATGGTAGACTCCAGGCCTAAGATCACCAAAGACATGAAGCACAACTCGAAGCCGCCAAACGCAAAGGGTAAAGGGCAAAAGAACAAAAAAATCATCGCTCGTCGCCACTTGCAACTGCACTGCCACCGTTGCTGCTGAAGTAGCTTTCGTCGATCTTCAGAATCCATTCAACTTTCTGGGCCTCGGTGCGGGTCGCGAAGAGGTATGTGTTCTGCGTTCCGTACACGGCAAAGATATTCGGGCGTCCTTTGGCGGATAATGAGCGATCGTTACCGGCGCCAGATCCATCGAGAAGGCGGGCAAAATCCGGTGCATGATCGACGCGGGAATTACGCAGGTTGATGGCGTTGATTTCATCTCCACCGGGAACCGAATAAATGTGAAGATACGGCCGGCGAAGCTCCACGAATCGGCGAACCCAAACACTGTTTGTGTCGTCGGGGGTCAGGACATGTCCTGATTTCAAGACCTCTGGGTTCTTGGGTAAGGCCTGGATAGTAGCCACGAAGCGAGGCTTCAATGACATCTTGTCTGACATGGCATTCGACCTATGCTGTGCGCCATCAGTGGGAGGTTCGGTATTGCTGCCAACCAGGATAGTCTCGGTGGGATCTTTCTTGGTCGGCCAGAGATCAAGGTATTTCCGAAGAAGTTTGGTTTTGCGCTCGTTGAGGTCTTGATTCCTCATAGGCGTGGATCTACCACTGCCACGAGCGGATGAAGGCATTAGGCTACCCGCACTGAGGGCTCCCCGGGCAGCCTGTAATTCGGCTACACGGTATCGATGTTTGCGAGCCGCGATATAATCTCGAACCAGCGACACTTTTCGGGCAGCCCACGTTGTCAACAGCTCTTCACCCTTGACGTAGTCGTTTTGAGTGTTCATTCGCCACAGGTCGGCGGCTCGTTTAGCGGAGATTGGTCGAATAACCAACGAATACATGCGAGTAGTCGAGTGCACAACGCGAGTAGTACTCCACAGCTGTTTAAACATAGACTGTTGGCGGACATAGGTCCGTCCGAGGATTTGAACCGTCTGATCGACCTCGAACACCACGGGGTCCTGGAGACGGGACGATATAAGATCCCAGCGCACCGTGACCTGGACTCGATATTTGTCTGCGGTGACTCGGTCGAGCAGTAGGGAGCCGTGCAGACTCGAGTCCCACTGTCCCACGATCGTCACATTGGAGGTTCCATCGGCGTTGTCCTTCACCATGGGTTCTTGAAGGAACTTGAGAGGAACGTCCGGGGTCTGGAGATCCTGGTCAGGGATCTTACCCCATGGGTCCAGAAGACGCACAGAACCCACACGAGCATTGCTGATGTCATCCCATGGGAGACTCTCCGTGGAACTGTAAGTGAGATTGATGGAGACACGACGCTGCAGACCCTGGTGAAGCTGGTAGGTGCCTGCATCAAGATTGTTGCTCTGAACAACCTCCACCGGCAAGTATTCACCAGTCTCCGCAAGCTCGAGGATCTGGACTCTAGCAAACACGTCGTGCCTTTCTTCCGAGTAGAATTCCGACTCTGCAATTCGAGGGGCGGTTCGCTTTTGGGGTACAACGTCCGCGGAATCACGCATATCGTCCCAGCTCAAGAGCTTGTCCAGATGCATTGAAGTCACACGAGCGTAAACACAGACCTTCAGGGTCGCCGTTCGCGGGCTTGAAAGCGGCAGACTCATGCTATGCACACTTTCAAACCGCACTGGACTCTCTTCAAAGCCACTAATCATCTGTGTCGTTGTAGCACCTCCTTCCTCGGAGATTCCAGGAACGAAGAGCTGTGCATGAACATCTGTCCCCTCCCACTCAGCGAACCCAACCATGTCCCGCATAACCACATTAAATTTCAATGTGGACGATGGGGCCTCTGCGGAGGATGGTTCCAAAGACAGTCGGATGATCCCAACAACGCTTTGGGTATAAGGTGACGTGATCTCAATGGAGAAATCTTGCACGCGGGTCTCGAAGACGGCTGTCAGGGGAATATCTGTGTCGCCGATGAGGGAGAACTGTGGGGAACACGGGTCTGAGAACGGGTTCTCGAGTTTGAAGTGCTGGATATAATCGGGTCGATCAATGTACTGGTGTAATTGGCGCATGGATTGCACGCGGCGTTGAAGTTTCTCGATCGACCACAAGTGAATGACGCACTGCTTGTAATCAATCACCCGGATGCCAACACATGGTTTCTTGGCCTCTTCTAGCGCGATATCGTCGTCGCCAGAGATTCCATTCAATACAAGGTCGTAGGATGAAACCATGTTATGGCCATGATCCACAATGGCAAATTGAAAGACCACATTCTTGTCCATGATCTGGCTCATGATCTGAGCTTCCTTGATAAGAGATGCATGCTGGAGGATTTTCTCGGCCATGCGGACATAATTGCGCTGAGACCAGTGGCGGAAAACGGATTGGGCGATTGCGATTTCCCGTTCATCAAGTTTGGCGAAACCGTTCTCGTAAATTTGAGGAATAGGCTTACCCATGTCTCGCATCTGGGACTCAAATTCCTCCTTTTGCACTCTCAGCTGCTCCTCATAGTCTTCTTTGGCGAATTTGAGGGCGTCCTCCATACGCTGCTTCTCGGTGCGAGTTTCGGTGGGATCCTGATTGGAAGAAGCTTCGGCGGTCTTTAGCTTGTCCTGGAACTCATCCTTTTGTCGATCTAATTGGCGCTGCATATCTTGACGGACTGAGTTGAGAGATACCCCACTGTTTGGTCCGTCGTCATCGCCATTCTGACGGGGAGTTCCAGGCATCGTGATAGCAGTGTCGAGAGAGAAGTTGTCGATAGTGCCATTAGACATGTACTTGTCACGTACAGGAAAGGAGCTGAGAGAGTCAGAGTCTTCCTCGTTCTCAGGTAAGCCACGACGCTCTGCGCGGGCCTTCTGCACACCTTCAAGTAATGCATCTAGTTCGTCGTCTGGCAGATGTGAGATATGATCTGGTCCAAGCATGGCACCGACCGCCTCTCTTCGAGCAAGGAACCAATCTGATTCTCGTCCGCGCTGAGACGGCATCGGAGAATCTGCCCTACTCGAGTCTCCATCGACTTCGGACCCAGTCTTGCTCATATTGCGATCGTGTGTTTTGTTGGGCGCGGGCGACCCAAGTTGGCTGGTTGTCACAGAATGCCGTAGTAAACTCTGTTCCACTCGTTCAGCACGAGCCTCTTGTGGGTGATTGAAACGGAAGATGTGGAAATCACCGAGAATGATGCGGAATCCACTCTTGAGGCGTTTGGGCTTGTCGACCCGCATACCATTGACCATCACTGCGGCACCTTCGGTGGGGACGATGGTGACAACATTGTCCACGTTTTCAAAAGTACAGTGTTTGGAAAGGATTTTGGACCCGTTCAATCGAATTTCGACATTGTTCCCTTGGTCCATATGCCCCACGGTCGTTGTCCCTGGTTTGATGTTGTAGACCAAACATTCTGCCAGCAGGGGATCGTCACTTAGGTTGACCAAATGAGGCATCTTCTTGGGTGTACTAAGTCCAATGAAACCTTTTTCAATGTTGATACCAAGTTCTTCCAAGGCAGCCTCGCGCTCCTTGTGAATTTCTTCTGTTTTCTGCAATTTCTCCTCCCACGTCTGGTTGAGGTCCTTGTATAACTTCTCACTTTGATTGAGCTGCTCCACAATCTCGGCCTTGCTGACTTTCTTCACGGACCCGTCGCTTTGGTGAATGGAGACCATTTGTTTCTCCAGCGGTGTGTCAGGAGGATATGATTCTTCAGCTGGCAATCCACCGGCGGGTCCAGCACCCGCACCACCTCCGAGCTTCGAACGCAGCTGTGCTAGTTCCTCTTTGAGTTCGCGGATCATACGAGCGTTCGGATCTTCGTTCACTACTGCGTGATTCTTGATTCTCTTCGCCGAATCAGCATATCGTAGAGTACCGAGTGTTTCTTCAAAGTTAATATCTGCAGGTGAGATAGCTGCGATCATAGAAGTCATTGAATTACCACCCAGTGAATCTTTCAGAAGCCAAGTGAGAATAGAGTCACGGTATGGAACCATCGAGGCGTTCTTTTTTTTCCCAGCAGACACATCGGCCAGGGCTGCAATGACACGACCCAGAGTGGATAGAGAACGGTTGATCTCTGCACCTTCCTTCAATCGAGCACCAGTCGCTCCGGTGGAATTTGCTCTCTCCGAACCTGCCAAATCAACCAAACTGATCTTTGACACCTTCTCCGTATCCATCGAGGTCTCGGAGTCATGACGTTTCTGCGTGAGTGTTAAAGTGAAGACGGCGTGGGATCGACTGGATGTTTCGTTCATGTTTGTCGCAGCCACCGTTCGTGCTTTGTTTCCCTCATCCATCAAATTTTCAATCTCATCGAAGGAGCGCACCACTAACTTGGCCAGATCCTCCACATATGGACCCGTTGATGGATGCTCGCGGACCTTCAGGTTACCCTTGTTGGACGGGTTGAGCAAATCGCGCACTCGTTCGTTGTAAATTTCTAGGTATGAGACCTCCACGGTACAGTTGAGAAGTTTGTCCTGTTGAATCTGGGCAATCCGCTCAAACATGTCCTGGCAAATGCGAGGGATGACACCATATTCCTTTCCATATCCCATCATCGAGTATGACTTTCCAGAACCGGTCTGACCATAGGCAAAGATACAATTGTTATATCCGCCGAAGGCATTATCCAGCAGCGGTGTACCCAGGTCATCGAAGAGATTATCCTGTCCAGCGTAGTTAGGGGAGTTTTTGTCGAAAGACCAGTACGATCGATCAAACGCGAAGGTCTTGGGTCCTTCACCACCACCCTTGCCACCTTTTCGCGATTTATCCTCCATGCCCGGCGGCTGGCTGATCACCGTCTGGGCGCCTTTCATTGACACAATACATTTTGCACCACGCTCGATTTCTGCAGATTGGGTATGCTCGTCAGCCTCATTGGGTCTCGGTGACTTTTTCTAGATCCCTCACTCACCTCGGCTGTTAAAAGGTCGCACCCGAACCACCACCTTAATGTTGCCTCCACCGCCTGGACCCATCTCGGTCACTCTACCCCATAAACTGGGGATGCGTCAGGGATCGACTGCTCGGGGGAGGTTTGTGTTTTTGGAAGGGTGACACAAGCGGTGACGGGAGATGCAGCAATGCGCCAACTCCCCGAGGAGCGCGGGTTAGGGAGATTTCACAAGGTTTCCTCCTTGAAATTGTTTTGATGGTCGTCTCGGTTCTTGCGTCTGGGTCAGAGTTGCAGGGAGGTCGGGAATAGTCGATGTCAACAAAGACGTCATGTACCGAATATTGAGCGTGTGCTGTTGAGTGTGGGGTGGGTCACCGGGGTGCTACAAATGGGTAGTTAGAAAGAGCTGGGTCGATCGACTCAAGAGCCGCGACTTCAATGGCGCAGACTCGAGACAGTGAACGGTATTGACGATTATTGTTTAACTCGACTTGTCCATGTAGAAAAGCCACCTGCTCCGGAGCGGGACCCCTTGCTGAGGTAAGCGGTCACTAGCCTGGAACAAAACGCCAAGTCAATATTGCAGTAATGATAATCAAGTTTCAATGTTCGGTCTATGCATCGAGGCATGTAGTCAGAGCATTTTTCCTGCACGAATTCCGGATAACGAGGTGAATGGTCCGTAAAAATTGCATGGACATCAGCATCTGGTTCGACATAGCGCGCTGACAGGAACCACCGACAAGAATCGACTGAACGTTGTAGGTAGTCTTGAATTTGAACGCCAACTTCGCGCGTCACGCGGAGCAAATCCAGCAGATCATTCCAAAGTTGTCTCGCTTGCCCACGCTGTCGTTGGTACCTTTTGGACCGACACCGGCGAAAACAAAAGCTGATGGTAATGCGTGCGGGCTATTAGATTAGATCATGACTTGCTGCGTATGCTCCATGTGTATCGCAACATTGGGGAAATTTGTTGTCGTTCATGTAAGCTGTGGTGGGTTTGCTTGATACTCGGTTCAGATCTTGGTTCAAGGTTTCATTGAGCCCTGCCTGTTGCGTGGTAGAGCAAGAAACGAGGGGCTAGAGTCTAGGTGCCCATGTACGACATCTGCAACATTTGAACACATGAATGTTCCAAAAACAAAGAGTTTGAATTACATGATGTATATGTACTAGTATGTACCTCTGATTTTCGGGTATACAGCAGAAATATTTGTTGGAAATGGATATGGTACTGGATCAGTGTTGTACAGTATAATCGCTCCAAATATATATTCCAACTTGAAGGTTGCGAACCTGAAGGTGCCGATCGCACGGTATTCAAACCGACACGTCTAGATGAACAGAATCCGAGCTGTGATAGAATATTCAAACTACTGCAATAAGACATATCAAAGTGAATCAAGTCAAATCAAATCCAGAGCTTGAAGATATCAATTTGCTCGATTCATTTTATAGGGACTCGATCTTCTGTGGTCCAGTCCGAACACACGTGGGGTCCGCAGGGGATCGGACCCGTAAAATTAAAAAGCAATGAATGGTCACCCACGTATAAAGTTGACGGTTAACACGTGGGCCATCATCAAATGATCCATGCATGGTATCTATAGAGTATTCCTACAGATTTGTATTTACTTGGGTGGGGGATGTAAGTCTCACTATGTAAGACGCCTAGAATAAAGGTTCATGGATACTAATGTACGCGCCGGCGACTTCCGTGGGCGTATCGCCCGACTCCATTGTGACGAGCGAGACCCAGGACGATGGCATGTTAGGTCATTTGTTTCATGGATCTTACTTGATTGAAATTGCCACCGTTGGACATGACGTATCTTGCGTCATACCGTTATTTCCAAGCGTTAGATTGAAGGGAGGCACGATCGCCGGACGACAGGGAATGAGTGCAAGCTCGAGAGTGCAGGTGGTTGAGATTGGAATTGTCGCCGATCACCATCTTTGCTAGGATCTCATCACGGAGCAAGCTGTATCACAGTGACGGGATAGAGAGCATGATTGCCCAAACAGGAGCGAGGGCCGAGGGAGGTCAGCACAATCACAGTAATTATGATGGACACCACTTCATTTCGGCCCCGGGATTAGGTCAGAATCAGTAATTACCATGGCTGAACACAACATTACTTTCACCGCTTTATGAGTTGCACATGACTCTCTCGTGACTTCCGGGATGGCCGGATTCCATGTTACTAAGACAGTACCAAAGTTACAAGAGATCAACAACGATACATGACAGTATTAGACCTTACCCTAAGTTTAGCCAATAATACCACTCAAGTCCTGTAATGAAGTAGTATTGGGCCGCATTACCAGACCCATACTAGACCCGCTGGTAAATGGACCCACTGAAACACGTACTCTGATACGTCAACGGGTGAAGAGGAAGTCATCGTCGGCCAGTCAGTTAAAAGAAAAGTCAGTACTAAAATACTAAAATGCCCCATCTCGCCCCTTTTCGCCCTTTCTCTCCTCTTTCTGCCTCTTCTCGTTGGTTGCCCGTCCCCTTTCCCAAGCTTCCTCCTGCCAACCATCGCACAGAGTCGGCCACCCTTACTTCGTGTTTTCCCATATCATTCGTCCACCTTGGTCCAGTTGGTGAGCCCAATCATCTTGCTTTCCCACTTGGATTTCCCCTCAGGTGTCGAATCCTCTTGTTATCTGGGTTTATCACCGATCTTCGAAGTAAGTTGATGCATGGACTCGATGGTGCTCGTGCGCTATGATCTTTTAGTTTTCTTTTCAATGATTGAATCGTTTTGATTGCCTTGTATATCCCCTTCCTTTCTCGGATTTGTCTTGCTTTTTTAACATTTCTTACTTTTCTTACATTTCTATTTGATTTGGGATTTGGCTCACTTTTTGGGGGCTTTTTTTATGCCTTTTGGCCTCTCCCTCCATGAATCATCATCACCTTTAACCCCTACCCGTTTATGGACTTGTGGCTCTCTCACTCTATCCTGAGATCAAAACATTTGTGGAGAGATTGGGGATCCATTCGGGCTTTTTGAAGGCTTGATGGGTTTAGTTTTAGTGCCCACACAAGAACTGAACCCGCCCCCCAAAACCACCACCGCCTTTCCCTCTCGTTGGTCTCGTTGGTTCTCTTCCCCTCTTTTTGGATTCCCCCCGAGTCCCCTCTTGATCTTTTCCCCCCAATCATTGCATCCCTTGAATTATCTGAGCCCGTTTCCAAGGAGCTTTGTGCTTGTTGGTTCCCACCCCGCCTATTACGGTAATTCCCCTTCTCCAATCCCACGTTGCGTGCGCGTTTTTTTTTTAAGTCCTCGGCCCGTGCCAAAACAACGCGCTCCATCGCCTGCAAAGCGGCTACGCCGTGTTTCAGCTCGCTTTCTATTACCATTGGTTGTTTCCCCCTGTTGAATTGTCCGCGCTCACCATTCATGTATTCTTGTTGGTTCTTTACTTGTTTTGATATTGGATGTGTCACCATTCTCCCGATCGCGTCGGGATTTACATCATCGCTCGTGGCAACTCGCATCTAACATATGGCATTTAGGCTCGGTTTGATCGGAGTTCCTTTACTTGCACGCGATTCCATTCGCTCCCTGCCTAGCCTTACGATCTGCGCCTTTGCTGCAGAAACCTAACACGCGATCGACAAGGTATGTCAACTTTCCCCAGCTGCAGCAATTGCCCCCATTATTCCCGTGCCAACGCATACATCCACTCGCCCTTTGCCTTGGGCCCTAATCCATTTCTGGGTATGCAAGTCTACCATGGCCTTGGATTGCAATCCCACACCCCCCATTTGCCAACGCATCACTCTCGTTCTGGAAACTCAGATCAGAAAATGGAAAGACTAACTGGTGCAGTCTTGATTCGTGGAGCCTTCCAGCGACTGCTCTGACGTCGCCGACTACATTTCTTCATACACCCGCAAGCCCGGGTACCCTTCCTCCTCGGATCTTGCGCTGGACGTGGCCGCGCCACACTCAGCCTCGGTTTATTCAGGGAAGGCCCTTGCCTGAAATAGTCTGCGTAGCCTCAAGTGTCGGAGTGGCATTATCGTGAACAACGCATCACAGCTCAAGTCGAGGGGCGCATCACCCCCCCGGTCCGCTGCATCACAGCCCAACCACGTTACACCCGACGGTGGACATAGACCGATTTGCACAAAAGAGCCAAAACCCTCCGAGTTTCGGGATTCCCATTGACGAAAAGGTCAGAAGAATTTCCTTTTGATCTTAAACACCACATCCTGGCTAGTGGTGCCTGCAGTTAGTAGTTAAGGTAGGCGCCGAGTCCCGTGTGCTTCGATTCCCCATAGCGCTTGCCCCCACCAGTGTCCCTTAATCCAGTGACTGCTCGGTCCTGCGCTGTTACTGACGCGGATACCCGGCCTGCAGACGATTGTGCCCCGCTCCGTCGAATCACCGATCACCCACGTCAACTGCGGTGACATCTCCCCGTCCACACGCGCCGTACGTGCCATTGACCCGCGCCGTCTGCCAAACAGATTTCGCAGTTCGATTTGACAAGATCACTCATCTACGACGGCGAATCTAATCCGTCGCTGCGCCTAGCTGAGTTCCATTTGACTGGGTGGATCCCGTCATCTTAACGCCTCATATTCTCTGTCACACGGTGTGACAGCGCAGTCGCGTCGACGCTTTTTTCTCCTTTTGCAACCATGGAATATCCTCCGCAGTATCAACAGCCTCATGGCCAACATCCGCATGCCTCGTCACACATCCCTGGAGCTTACCAAGCGGGCCCACAGAACCCTGGTGCCCCGGTCGGCTCCATGGCATCCCCCACCAATGCTCAGGCACCAATGCAATCACAACACTCCGCCCACCAGACTTCCCCTATCGTTCCATCGCAACAGCATTACCAACAACAGGTACAGAATGCGCCGGGCGCCGTTCACCAACAAATGAACTTCCCCCAGGGCTACGGCGTCCCCACCGCCATGCCCCAGTCATACGGTATCTCCCCCACCCAAGCGGCCGCCATGGCCACCGCGGCCGCATCTGGCCAGTTTTACCCTCTACACCAGGATGTGACAGGACAGATGGCCCAAGGATCTCGAGGTTCACCTCGCATGGCTGGTGTACAGATGAAGCCCGATCGGAACCCGCGTTCCCCCCCGCAGATGGCAGGCCAGATGCCTCCAATGGGTGGTCAGGTCCAGATGCCTCCCAACTCCCAGTTGCCACCCCGGCGGATGAGCCACGTGGGAAGCCCTGGCGTGCAAAATGCGCAGCCTGTGATGAGCCACGTTGGCAGGCCCTCAATAGCGCCCCCAATGGGAGGCCCCCAAGCGGCAGTGCAACCGCACCAACCGTCCCCTGAGATGGTGGCCAGTAACAACCAAGAAGAGTCCCCCTTGTATGTGAATGCCAAGCAGTTCCACCGCATCTTGAAGCGTCGGGTTGCTCGACAGAAGCTGGAGGAACAATTGCGCCTGACTTCCAAGGGCCGGAAACCCTATCTCCATGAATCGCGACACAATCACGCCATGCGCAGACCCCGTGGCCCTGGTGGCCGGTTCTTGACAGCGGACGAAGTGGCTGCCATGGACAAGAAGGTTGCTGAAGGCGATCCAGACCCGCTGGCTGACCTCATGGGAAAGGAGAACGGCTCTGCGACCAAGCGCAAATCAAGTGAGGTCAACGAAGACCACGTGAATTCGAAGAAGACCAAGGTTATTGCCAGTGCCGAAGCAAGTGAGCAAGACTCTGCTGACGCATCTGATGATGATGGTTGAATGACTCGTCCACGTCACGGTACCTGAATCATGATACGTCCCGGTGACTGGTGTTTTTATACTTTTTCCTTTGTTCCTTTTCTTTTGTCGTTACGGCTTTATGGATGGACGTTTTTTGGACCTTATCTCTAGCGAGCGATGTGTACGGATCCCCCTAACCCCTTTTGACTTCTTATTCGTGCCCTTTTTATTCATGCTTGGTTTCCCCCCCCCCCCTCTTCTTTTCTTATCGTCCCCATGACGTCTGTGTATAGCTTCTTCGGGGATGATCTCAATTCTCCTCTTTCTACTTACCACATCTGAAGTATTCCATCCGATGGACATGGCTGCCATCGTACCCTGGAGGATCATGGTCACATCGCGCGGGAGTGTCCCAGACTTCAATGCCAATGAACTTCAATGTTGACGTGAGATCTCTGAAACAGAATATTCTTTTCTTTGGCCACGCCACAACACCATACTCCCTTCCATCCCCCGAATCGGAAGCCCCTGGGCTTTCACCATTATGTGTATATGTCAGCAGTACAGCCTGATCTGTCTCTACTACCCCTCTTTCGCGTTGCTTTGGGTTCTGCACCACGGCGAATCTTGTGAGTTTCGATGTCTTTGTGTTGTGCGTTTATGGGTCTCCGGTTCGGATTTTAGAGAGGGTCTCCATCACTGGATAAAAAACAGACAGGGAAATGGGGTTGGAAAGACTGGGTTGTTTTTCTCGGATCTGGATATGAATCAATTTGTCACTGCTTATACTTAGTATGCAATAAAGATACCATTTGTATTTTGATGAGATTTAAGAAAATTCCAAGTAGTATGACAGGAGATGCAGGGCAATATCGCAATGTTGGGCGAAGCCAGTCGCCGTTGAATAGACTGTACATGAGGAAAAGATAAAACATTATAACACACAAAAAAAAAGCGCCACCTGAAACTCCAAACCTATGCAATCAATGACTGATCAGATGGCCTCCCAATCCATGGCATCGACAATGAACCCCCAATCTGATTCGGAGTTAGCTGTGTCATCCAGCTCTCCTGGGCGAATGCACAAATCCACATGGGATCTGGCGCGTATATACGCCTCCTCCAGCCCCCCAAAAATTCCAGTCAAAATCTCATCAAAATTGAAGCTCGATAGCGGTAAGATTTTCTTCCCCACTTCGAAGGGATCTCGTTCCCGTTCTTCTTCACTCATATCAGCGCCCTTCCACCGATTCCGTAGCTCCTTTGCCTTCCGCAACAACTCATAGACGTATCCACTCCCCAGTACAGGCGCAAGAGGGGTAGTCTCTTCCTCCAAGGCCTGTAGCACATTCGCATGGTATCGATGTATTCCTGCCGCATTTCCGTTCACTTGAACCCCACCTCGGCCGCCTCGACCAACTGAGGAGACCGCAATATTGAATACTGCTAATAAATGCACAATCGCTCGCTCAAGTAGTGCGTAGTATTCATGAAAATCGATCTTGAACATGATTTCCGCTTGCGCAACATCCGCAGCCGAAATGCCATTCACCTCATCGACGGCCAGCGTTGCGAGACGGTAGCCTTCAGCCAGGAACGGAAGTTTCCATCGCAGTCGTGCAACGATTTTCATGAAGCGTGCCAGTTCTTCGGAAGGGGGAAGGATCCCAGTCGCTGACCTTGATGGTGTTCTTGATGCCGTTCCGCGTGTGTGGCTATTCGAAACTCCAGGACCCGATAGTGCGGGATTCACATCTGAGTGGGTCCGATTTCCTGAATATGGTCGCAAGGGTGCGTGGGATTTATGTCGAGTCGCCTCGCTCGCGCCGGGAGCCCAGCGCGAGCTGAGAAGGTCAGACATTGCTTGTTCGTTCTGGTTGGAGTGTGGGTGTAGGTGTTGAGGTGGACTCTGCTTGAATCAATGATGCACGGACCATTGTGGGGGCGATGACGATCGTCAATAGGGAGACGCGTGGGATATGGTTCACAGCATGGAAAGGCTAATATGATGTCTTTCAACATTTGCCTGAGGCTTACAAAGCTTCGGATTCAACTTTTTTCAATTGTTTTTCTTTGATACGCGTTGAATTGAGTTTCACTTTGAATGATATTAAATACGGTAAATTGCATGTAACTAACTAGCGGCCTCAATGAAAATTTGGATAGGCATCAATTCCACATTTATTCGAGCAATTTGAGGCTTTATAATCAATTTTACTACATGTTATAGCATTCATGGTTACGTGGCTACCCAGGTGGAACCGAAGACTATCAGAACATTTTGCAAGTCCAAGATATAGAGCTTTGGCTCTACCCAAGAAGAACAGTTCAATTGGAAACAAAAGTCTCCATTTCTGCAATCATCGAAGGTTGGTCTAGGCTGGGGATCCTGTTTAAGCCGGTGTGATCGAAACAAGTGATGGCCTTTGAAGCATTGTTTCAATGTTATAAGCACTTCGGACAGATCAAATCCCTTGAACCTTTCCATTGCAACGATAATGTACATATCTTGTCACATTGTGTTGGTTAGCGCTGGCCAGATTGGCCTATGCAGGTAAGCCCGGCGTCTATGGGATAGTGGCAGACGAACGATGGACTTAATTCAAGTTTTCACTATTAGCCAATTAATGTAGAGTTCCAACAAATATGAAAAATCATTACATGATTGAAGAATATTTGTTTGAAGTATGTAGTACATTTCATCGTTTACTAACAATGTTTTACTTATGCATAAGTAATGTTTTACTTTTTCTTTTCTTTCTTCTTCTCACCGTCACAAAAACCATCATCAACAGCCAACAGGTTATTTCCCCATTATTTCCTTTTATCACTTCGAATTTTACTCGATCCTCCTAATCAACAAAATACCAAATAGCGAGAAAGCTGATCAGGCGACTCTGGAATCTCATAAAGCGCGCTAGTTCCCAAAATAGACTAGCGCTCTCCAGCTCTCACCTTCAAGTCGGTTTTAGTCATTCCCATTCACTTCCCGCTCTCCATCTTACCGTGAGCTTGTCGCTTTCACGATTTCCCACTCTAGCTCAGGCTTCTTGTAGGTTGCCTACCCTTCTTTTATCATCTCTTTTGTCAATACCCCTTTCCTGCCTTGATACCCTACCGCGCAGTCCCCTATTTCTTCTGGTTCTGTGCCTGTTCCTGCTTATCTTTTGTTTCTTCCTCTGAGCCATTGCACCGGCTTCGTCGCAGCGGTCTTGCGAATTATGGCAGTTACTTTGCAGGGCACTGGCATGCGCTATTCCCAATTTATCATCTCTTTTGCTACACTCCTCCCACCCGGGGCCATGTGGCTGGGGGAACCTGCCACAGGCCACCGTGACGACCACCTCATCTCATTCCTCTTCAATCCCCAAGCATTTTGTCTTTCATGTTACTCATGAACCTCCCCTTTCGCCGCTATCTACCATTTTCGCGCTTTTACCACTTGCTTGGGTCATATATTAACGATGCTACCTCTTAGCTCATCGTGCGGGAGTGCAACCCACTCGACATTCGCTGGAAGCTTCGTTCGCAATTGAATCCCACGATCTACGTGCTTGGGAAATTTCCTCAATCTCTCACGGCAAGAGCCGTGAAACTGCACGAACCCTCAAAACATAATGGATTCATACGAAAGTTATGGCTCCCCGGGCAGAAAGCGCGAAGCAGATTCATTTTCCGGGCGAGGACCGGGTGAGTACCGACGCCGATCGCCGGGTACGTTCGTGGGACAAGTTTGCGCCAGTGGGAATATTTACTGACAATGTCTCTAGCCTCACAAGATCGGCGCCGAGGCCGCGGCCGCTCCCGGTCACCCATGATCGACCGCTATGAGCCATCTGACCACACTCGCCGAGAAGATTTTTACAACAACTCTCGCGAACATGCCGCTCGCGAGCGCGAAGATCGTCGACGCCCGCCTTCTCCTAACATTGCCAATATTGATCGCTATGTGCCTGGCCAGGATGCGGGCAAACGGCCGCTGCCTACCAACCCGCTTACCAACCCACTCAGCCTCGATTTCCAGGCGGGCTTCAATTTCTTCGCGGAATGGTGGAGGGCTGAACAAAAGGTCAATGAGGAAAAGGAACGAGCGAAGAATGGCGGTCGTCACCCATCTGATCGGGTCAAAGGAGAGCGTGAGGCCCGTGATGATCGAGAGAAGGAGCGGTCGCAGATTCAGGAAGCCTATGATGCATACAAGGTGGATCTCCAGGTCAAGCTGGCCCGTCAATTCGTCCAGCAGCACCGGAACGAGGAGTGGTTCAAGGAGCGTTATGTGCCAGAAGTGCGAGACCCGCTCCGAAGCCAATTCATGCAATTCCGTAAGGGGGCTTACGACCAGTGGGAACGCGACATCAGCGCGGGTACGTTTGACGATTTTACCCTGGAAGGTATCTACAAGAATGAAAGCGACGGCGCCGGTGGTGTGATTGAGAAGGAGGAAGGTGAAACGACCGCGGCGGGTGAGACAATGGGTGTTCTCGACTTGCTGCCTGTCCGAGGAGGCGAACTTCGCGATGAAGCCCTTTCTCAGCCTACTTTGCTCATCAAAACACTGGCACCAAATGTCTGTCGCGAGAAGATTGAGGAGTTCTGTAAGGAACACCTTGGAGAGAGTGACGGTGGTTTCAAGTGGCTCAGCCTCAGCGATCCCAACCCGTCTAAGAAGTTCCACCGCATGGGTTGGATCTTACTCCACCCTGCGACTGAAAATGCTGTGGTGGATCGAGGAGACGGGCGCGAGGAAGAGGGCGAGCTGGACGCCAATGCTGGCCAAACTATTGGCACCGCCGAAAAGGCCCTAGAAGCGATTAACGACAAGACCATTCATGACCCAATTCATGGGGACTTTGTATGCCATGTGGGTGTGCATGTTCCTCCCTCACAGCCGCGGAAGAAGGCACTTTGGGACCTGTTCTCCGCGCCCGAGCGAATTGAAAGGGATCTTGATCTTGCTCGCCGATTGGTTTCCAAGCTTGACTCTGAGATGGGCCAGGGTGTGGACGGATTCGCCAAGATTGAGGAGCGTGTCGAGGATTTGCGCGGCAAGGGCTGGTTGCAGCCACCTGTTACTGGACCGGTGAACATCAAGAATCAGTCCAACGGACACGACGATGACGGCCATGACGAGGGTGAGATGGAGGAGGGGGAAGAGAAGGAGACTTCCGAAGACGATGAAGTAGATGACGAGGAACTCCTGGCAAAGAAGAAAAAGCTTGATTTAATGGTTGAATACCTGCGTCGAGTCCATAACTTTTGCTTCTTCTGTGTATTTGAGAGTGATTCAGTTCATGAATTGGGCCGCAAATGTCCCGGCGGACATCTCCGTCGCCCACGCTCTGGTCTTTCTAACCAAGCTAAGCAAGTCGCGCGCGCTACTGCCTTGGGACAGCCGTATCCAGTCAAGATGAAGGACCCCAGTGAAGAGGGTGAAGAACGAGGCTCTCCGGTTGCAGAGAAGCGGCCACAGCGACCCAGCAAATCCGAGGGGCAACTACAACGCGCATTTAAATGGGTTCAAACCTTCGAGGATAAGTTGCTGCAGATCCTGGAGCCTGAGAATGCTGACCTACGCAAGCTGGGAGGAAGGCCTGTGGAGCAGGCCTTGGAAGATGAGTTATCCAAATATGTCAAGCAAGAGGATGACTCGCGCTACCGTTGCAAGGTGCCCGAATGCACCAAGCTATTCAAAGCCGAGACCTTCTGGCACAAGCACATTGAGAAGCGTCATGCAGATTGGTTCGACAGCATCCAACGAGAGGTATGAATTTCCTTTCATTTTCCCTCTCACATTTCCCTTCCAAATTTTCTTCCCCATTTCCTCCCCCATTCTCTTTGAGCTTGTTTCTACGGGGCGAATAGTTTCTAACCTTCTCTAGCTGTCTCTTGTAAATTCATATGCTTTAGATCCATCACGCATTCTTCCGTCCCGGTCTGATGCCAACAGCAATGGCCATTTCCCCATGGCTGGTGGTGGTCAGAGTGGTACTCCACGTGGCTTCAGCCTTGCCAACGTGCCTTACATGGGCAATCCCGGTGCCCTCACTGGGTTCCCCGCAGCTGGAATGGCCGGTTTTGTCGGCCCTACCCATTCCTGGAATGGAAATATGCTCATGTCAGGCGACGGAGCCATGCACCAGCCAGGAGTAATGCGTCGTGGTCCCCACCGTCACAACAATCGCTCCGGGCCATATGACCGTCGCCGAGGCTACAATGGCGCCAATGGTCGATTAAGTCCCATCCGGATGGGCAACATGTACGGGCCAGGTGGCCGTCTCCCTCCAGCTGGAATCAGCGTCCCCCCTGGTCACCCGGCTGCCAACATGGTTGCCGGTAACAACCCTTTCCCTGATGCGGCGGCTGGTGGTCCCATGGCCATGCCTCCGCGGGAGTCGATCCAGGGCCGCAGTTTGAAGAGCTACGAGGACCTGGATGCGGTGGGTGGGTCCGGCAGTGGCGAACTGAATTATTAGTTGCGTTTCAAGTTTGTTCCATAACTGTTTTACTAGGCGTGCGTGGCGTATGACAAGGCAATGGATGGGACCTGCTGGGTGTGCCTCATATATTCGGTTATCGCACATTTCCCCATGGATTGATCTATGTTTTCTTCTTAAGCAACATTTCTTTCCCTTTCCCTTTCCCTCTCGTTCCCTGTTTCTGACCTTCTTTTTTATTTCTTTTTCTGCACCTTATTCGGTCGAGTGATATGTATTACCCCGAGTTTTTCTCTTTCTTCCCCTGGGTCTCCACCCTGCATTTCACAGCATGTACAATAGCCTTGATAAGACCAAATTGGAGATCTCAACGTATTTGCATTCATTCGTAACCGTGGTAAATCAAAAAGGGGTATTCAGTCATAGATGATGCCACTTTGAATACAAAATCACGGCATTTGGATCACTGGCCGATCGGCGGAATCCCTCCATTGCATTTCCATTCCCCGAACCCGCCGCTCACTCGCTAGGAACAAGAGCAGATACACGTGCATGGCGACCTCCCCCCATGCATAAACTTTCAGTAGGACTGGAGTGGATCGATCCAGCGCGGCATCTGCAGTGGATGGGGATGCATGTGGAGATGCATGCTCAAGTATACACCAGACGCCCCAGCCGGCGCGAGCGTCTTTCCCTACGAATTCTGAGAGGAATGACCAGAAGCGGGTGAAGAAGGAGATGCTCCAGTTGCGTTGAGTTTCTGAATCTTTCATGTTAGTTTCTAGATTCGGGTCTGATTTTGGTTCTGGTCGATTTTCCAGGTGTTTGACATTCTTCTCAGGCCATATATGGAAGTGCACGGCCCAGTAGCCACGTTCGAGTGGATCCAGGGACCGAGTCTGGTGGAGTGGTTTGTAGGTTCGTGCAGGGTTGAGGCGTTCGGTGAGCATTGAAAGTGTTGGTGTGATATGAGTATTGAAGGTGGCATTAGAGATGGGGGGTAAGGGGGGTCTGATCTCTAGAGGGAGGGATAGAAGAGGAGATTTGGATGGAGTAGTATAAGTAGAATTAGAGATGGGGAAGCCATCAGGATCAGAATGTGGTGGTGGTGTTGAAATCGGAGGGCTGATTATAGGCTCTCTCAGGCTCAGACTTGGACTCGTATGGGATGGAGATTCGAGACGGGGTTTTTTATGAGGATTTGCCAAATCCAGATATTCAGAAGTCTGACCGGCTTGGTATATTTCTGGCTGGGAATCTGGAATAACGCTGACCAGACTGCCAAGAGAATCCTGCACAGGCTGACGAACTTGGATTGGATCTAAAGGTGCCGTCTGGCTGGAACCGATCTGAGTAGCGATCGGCTGCTCGGGGACCCAGTCTAGAATGGGAGTAGTATGGCCCGAGCGACTAGAATCCTGTCGGATATCTGCAGTCAGGCCTGAGAGGATGGCAGCAACCTGATCACGGTATCTTGCATCATCCTGTGCCCTGCTGGGGGCAGAAACATGAACAAGAATCTCCATCACCCGATTTGGAGTATTTGTCAACGGTGCAGGGGAGCAACTATTGATTTTTGATTTTTTTTTCTTTATTATGCCTCCCAAAATTGAATTTCGCATCACTTGGTGAGACTCGTCACATCGACAGATGTCAAGAGGGGAGAAGATTGGACGGGAAGGAGAAAAGTATTGAATACAACCATTTAATAAGTAAAATACATAACCAATATTGGTATTGAATACATAATCAATTCTGTAGCACCTTAGAATCGATTGATTTTTCCAATTTCCCCCCTTTTACTTACTTCCCAAGGACTCCGTAACATTGAACCTACTGTAGCAACCTACTAGTAGCTATTCTGCCAAGATTCCTCTCTCATCTCTCTCCAACAATCTCCAATCTCCACTTCCTCCAACGGCCAACGGCAACGGCACGCTCGGACTTTTCTCTTTAAATTCCCTCTCCCTTCCTCCCCTTGCTCATCATGGATGTTGGTGGGGTGTATATGGATATGGAACATTACCCTGGTAAGTTGGTTGACTTGCGACCGGTGGTTCGGCTCAGATCTGGTTCCCGCTCCAGATCGAGAGAGATGAGAGAGATGAAAGATCCAGAGAGATGAGAACAAGCATTCGAGTATTCGAGCATTCAAGCATCAAGCATTCAAGAATGTCTCTGAACTTTATACTGATTAAATTTCCCAATCTATATCAGATCGCTAATTTTTGTCGCATTGATTACAGAACAACCGCAGACTCCCACCAGAGGCGGCTTTGGCGCCGAGTTCAAGAAGATGTTCCAAGCTGCTGGTCCCAAGAAAACCACTCGAGGTTCGTCTCTCGCCTCCCATCAGATCTGATCCCCACTAACTCCCCAGCTAGATGGCCAGACACCAAAGCGCCGTGGTCCCAAACCCGATAGCAAGCCCGCACTCACTCGGCGACAGGAGCTGAACCGACAGGCTCAGAGGTATGAACCAAATTCATCTATGGATTGTCGTGTTCAGGACAGGAATGGCTGACCGTTGAAAAAGAACACACCGCGAACGAAAAGAACAATACATGCGCGCGCTAGAGACCGAGGTATCGCGACTACGAGAGGCCTACACGACCGAGATATCCGATGCAAACACCACGATCCAACAACAGAAGGAGGCCATCAATATCGCTCGACATGAGAACGAAATACTCAAGGAGATCTTGCTTGCCAACGGGATTCAATTCGAGCCCGAGCTCGAGCGACGCCGGACGGAGCGCGCCTCGGTCGGCGGTTACCAGTCAAGTCCGGTCGCAGGAAGCAGCAATGGTTCCAACGCGGCCGTTTTCACCAATTCCATGACACAACAAAACACCACCCCGGGTACCTCAATCTCAACAGCCTTCAGTCCGCGCGCCAATGCTGGTCTGGAACACCCCGAGGTGTCGCCCCCAATGGCATTTGCTCCTCAACAGCAAGTATACCATGGCGGCCCGGCAGAGCAGATGGGTGCATTGGATCGGTCTGCATGCCATGTAGCAGAACCCACCGTGCCTCCCATGCTGAAGGGCGTCTTCGAAAACGACCCGCAGCTTCAGATTGATTTTATTTTAACGTATTTCACCCCTCCCCATACAGCCAGGAATCCTCTAACCATGCCCGTTCACAGATTGGAAGCTCCGTGCCGCGAACACACTGACTACCTGTGTCGACGATCAGTCACCGAAGCAGATGATGAAGATATGCCATTCTCGGGCCATGCATTGATGGCCACTTGCCCGCCGCCGAGCTACATCGCCAATACCACCCCAGAGCAGACATATCCACACAAGGCACCGGATCTCCCTATTCCCAATCTCTCCACGCTACTCAATCTCAGCCGACAGCTGGTGACCGAGGGTCAAATTACCCCGATTATGGCACTGTCATGCCTCAAGAACCACGAGCTCTACCCGTCTTTAAGTCGGGATGACGTGAAAATCATCATTGACACTTTGAACACCAAAGTGCGCTGCTATGGATTCGGTGCGGTCGTCGAAGACTTTGAACTTATAGATTGCCTGAGCAGCGTTCTGGGGACCAAGGTAGACATTGGCGTTTCCCGTGTCCGTGGTGACTCCATTTACGGATAAAGCCGCTTTTCCATTTCCCTATAATGATCCTGATGTCTGCAAAATCTTTTCCTTTCTTTCTTCGGCACAAATTGCCCTGATTACTTTCAGTCTTTTCCTCTGGATCTGAGCGGGAGCCGAACAGGCCTTTTAAATAGCTCTTCACCATTCTTTTCATTTCTTATATTTTCTATGGCTGTATATACCGCGAGCGGCCCTGGCTGAGCTGTGAACCTAGGGCGTTGATCTGTTTCCTTTCTCTTCTATATGATGGTTGGCCCCATGGAATGGGATTGCCTCGGCACTTTGACACATGTGATATATCCTGATTCTGATCAATTTCTTTTTGAATATTCAAATACAGCTGAAAGGCAGCTATCCAAACCCAATCGCCCCAATAGTCAACAGGGTCGAGATGTCTCGAAATACGATGCTTCACAATGTCTTCGTGCTGGCTACCTCTACGGAACTTTGAAAATGGTATGATTAAAGTTGTTTGGTTCAATTAACAAGTTCCATGGGTTTTTTGACCTGGGTTTATATCCACTTTACCGCATGTAGCGTTGCACAAATTCATTGTAGCAGCTTCCGAGCCTTGTCTGATCTTGGCGTGATGACGCATGGGAAGCTATCAGGAACGCCACTCAAGCCATTCGAGAAGGTGACGCGTGGTAAAATCCTTTCTCCATTATTATCTACCGGGCAATGCAAATCCATCGTGGCCAGCAAGGTTGCAACTACGATGTAAACCCCAGCAAGGGCCAAGTGCTGACCAGGACACACCCTCCTCCCGAAGCCAAATGGACCCTCCGGTAAAGGCTCCCCTTTGCCACCTTCTGACGGTGGAATGAATCGATCTGGATTGAATTCTTCAGGGGAGGAGTATTGCCGTTCATCTCGCGACATTGCCCACGCATTTGCAAAAACGACTGATCCCTTGGGGATGTGATATCCATTATACGTGTCATCCTCGAGAGAGGCATGAGGAACGCCGAGGGGTGAAAGGGGTGCCCAGCGAGTCGTCTCTTGGATCACGTACTCGAGGCACGTCAATTGCGGTCTATCGTTAAAATCTGGGAGGCGATCGATGTTCCCATGCTCATCCACCCCTATCACCCTATCAATCTGGTTCTTGACCTTGGCTTGAATCTCCGGATGGGTCATCAAGTTGAGAATACACACGATTACGGTGGACCATGTGGTATTGCCGCCTGCAATGGAAATTGCGCCCGCCGCACCTTTCAGATCGGGTATCGTTGCTTCATTGGGCTCTCCAGTTCTTTCATTGGCAAGGTAGCGCCCAAAATGTGTACGCATAAAGGAGGGCTGGATTGCATCTCCCGTGCGGATGGAAAGCTCAGTTGCGTTCCAGGGTGCGTCGTGCAAATTTTGAATAGAGGATTTTGTGCGGCGGGCATGAGCTAGTGGCTGGAAGGCAGTGGAGATCTTCTCTACAGAACTGGGCAGATGGCGCAAGATAGGAATCAAATCCACGATGGAAGCGCCCGGCACACCACCTTTACCGGTAGCTTCTTCCACGTCAATAGCCATCTGCACGTAGGGGTCTTTTTCTTCTTGAATCTGTATGCCAAATCCAATCCGTAGTACGACGGCGGTTGAATATCGTCGTAAGAGCATTTCCCAGTCCTGTGGTTTCTGCAACAATGCCTTGACAGCTCGTCGGGCCTCTTCCTGCTGAATCGGATGATATGACTTGCAGGCAGACTGGGTGAAAGACTGCTGAAGAAGCTTTCGATGGAGTCTGAATCGCGGGGACCAGCGCAGGAACGTGAGGGTGATGCCCCATCCCATCACCTCGAAAATAACAAATCGTGGACGGTCAGCATAGTTAGCCCCTCTTTTATCCAGGAGATCATGTGCCGCCTCGACACTGTTGAGTATGATCACTGGCCGGGATAGGACGTTGTAATAGAGAATGTCGGAGTTATACTCTTTACCCCATTTCAAAAATTGACGTGCTGGATATTCTTTTGGAATTATGCGAAGATGGCCCCAGATCGGATTTCCTGAAGGCCCAGGTGGTAAAATAAGTGTTTTGCTTCGTTTGATTTGAATTATCCAAATAGTAATGGCAAGAATGAGGCCAATAGCCACCTGCAGAGGTGACATCGGAAGCTCCATGTGAACAATCTGATACTGGAGGCCTGGAGGTGGAGAGATCAATGATTTGTGTTGGCTTGATACTCGACAGCTCTGTTTAGAATCTTCATGGAGAAGTGTGTTACGTGCACATGTGTAGGGATCAGGTCAGCTGGATATTCGGACTCCACAGCGGGGCAGTGGAATTAAGTTGGGACCCACTGATCGTGGTGACTGTACAAGGGTTGATAGGATGAGATGAAGTAGAGTAGAAGTTATGTATTTGTTCCTGCGAGAGAGGAGAATGATAGATGACTGGTGCTGACTAAGTCCATGCCAAAGTATTATACAAGTATTTGTTGATTAAAATCTCAATGCATTCCTGGACTGGATCATGTCTAGGTATGGGCAACATTGAATGTCAGTTATAGGACCATGAGAATGGAGTTACTTGATCCTTACTGTATGGAGCTCTATCCATTCGAATCTTACCAAGACTCTCATTCTCTTTCGGTTGTCGTGGAGTAACTAAAGGCGTTGACTCATTCTTATCAGGTTCAGGCTTTTCGTTCTGTTCATAGTCAGTATTTGGTTTCTTCTGAAACATGATTAACATACCAAAGGCTGAATAAACTTGCGCCAGGCAGTTTTGCAGTGAGTGAACTTGGACATTTTGTATGGACTTTGAGAAGGATAGAATTGATAGAGTAAAGACCTTGATCCATGATATTGGCATATTTATACCAGAGACCACACATGTAGATGATTCATACAATCGGAGTTCGGATCTTTCATTCATATCAAAATTTCAAATGTTGCCTATACCCATCGGAATTAACCAAAACAGCACTAGTTCAACTGCCCCTGATCGAACTCCGAGCCCCGAATCTCTGACTCCTACGGAGTACATCTTTCGTTCTAGACAATAGATCTCCGACTAAAATGCCAATCACTAGGCGTAACGGTCAACTGTGGTCCTGTGAACCATGTCGCAAATCAAAGCTACGTTGTGATCATGCAACTCCGATTTGCGGCCGATGCACCAGACGCGATAAGCAGCATCTCTGCGTCTATCACCCATCACCCCTCACACGAGCAGTGACACCCGGAGAGAAACGTTCCCGTCGAATTACAAAGCCGACAGAGCGCAGCATTGATTCGGATGACTGGAGTCAAAAGAGGGTCACATCCGCACCGGGGTTTCTTGGCCATACTAGCTACTCCGATGCGTTCAGAGATAACGACAGTGGACTGGAGTTGGGGGGTATATCATCGCCCCCAGATGTTGTTTCTGTCGATATTGAGCGGATCCAGCGGGGTGCACGGGCGTTGGTAATGCTGAAACATATTTCATTGTACCGGGAGATGTTGAGTGCTCGTTACAAAACCTGGCAAGGCTGGACCTTTGGCTGGCCAGTTATACTCATGATACTGACACAGACCGAAGAGATGTGGGACTCACTTCAAAATGAAGAAGCCGATGAAACAACGCAGACACTCTTGCTGTCCAAGAGGTTGTTTGAGAAACAGACTCAGCCGCTGGATGTCCATTCAGATACAACATGGCAAGAATTTGCGTCCGGCAGTGTTGGGCGCTGGGAAACAATCGGCTTATTGTTCACTCTCGTCGGTCTGGGGATTGATACCATCCCTCGTGATTCTCTTTGGAAGTATGATGAGTTGGGAGATGCAGAGCACGTCGCAGCCACAATGGTGGCAATCGGGGAACTTTGTCTTCAATTCTGCGAGAGTGCCGGAATCATCAATGACATTGTGTGCTCGCTGCTCCTGCATCATAGTCTACTGGTTTCAATAGTGTATGGCGATGGCGGTATGTCTACAATCTAACAGTACTTGAACCTGGTCTAATGATGAACGCAGATCATCGATCCTGGCGCAAGTTAGGTGAATTGTCGACTACTCTCTTTGCCTTTGGACTCCATCAAGAGCCGGTGAATGTGCCATTTTTCCTCCATGAGGGTCGCAAGCGGACAATGGTGGCAGCATATGATCATGATAAATCGCTTGCGACATTTCTTGGCCGCCCACCACTCATCGGCTGGCGGTATTGTGAGCTTACAATGCCTTTGGACCTCAGTTGGGACGAAATCTACGCCGAACCTGGGATACGACAAGCAGCCATTAATAATTTGACCCCGGATGGCTGGAACCAGAAAGGATGTATTCAGAATGGTGCTTTAGCTCGTGTCTGTCTTTTATCTGGTATTTTCCGGGAAAAGGCGCTGGAGTTGTCGCTTGGTCGCCAGACTGAAGATCTACCAGAACGGGTTGAGTATGAACCCTTTTACGTACACCATTCACAGGTTAGAGCTGACATAGACAGGGACTTGTCACGGGAGTTACATGAACAATACGACGATTTACCTGACTTCCTTCGTTGGAGTTCCGTAGGAAACTGCTCAGCAAAGAAGACCCCCGATGATCGCCTCCAGATTCTCCAAATTAATCTTCGTCTAGAATACATCTATCACGACTTCCTGCTACATAGAAATTTGGCCAAGAGAACAAAGACCACATCGGACAGAATCATCAGTGTTTCACTCGAGATTATGACTACGCTTATATCGTTGGTCGCCAGAATATTGGAATATCAAACGCCAAGAGTGAACGCTGCTTGGAGTGTAAGAGCACATGCGCACATACATGCAGGAAATGCTGACTTTCCATGCTAGCTCTGCAATGTCGGAATTCCCTCAGCTGGTGTCCTATCCGCTGAGCTTCTACGGCAATCCCGGTTACGGACACCCGAGCAATCAACTTTCTCACGCTCTGACATTATCCAGAAACTTAGCATCTTTGCATCATATCTAGAGACCACGATCCGTCACGGTGAGGGCAACTATCACATTGCTCAACAGGGCCAACGGGCAATTCGTCGTGTTTTGGATCAGGTTCTTGCAACTTCTGCCTCGACCAATCCGTCCGCGTTTGAATCAACAGAGTTGGGCACCAGGGAAGAAGGGTTAGAGTATTCGGATTTATTGGAGGGCATTGATATTGAGGATCGAGGACCATTTCTAGACTGGCTCGATGGGACGACCGAGTTTCACGAGTCATGGCTTTCCGGGATAAACTGGAGTTGAAGCAATGTGATTTAGATTAAGAGGAAGTTTGGAATATTTGGAAGTCATAAAGTGTGGTTCATAGCTCTTATCAAACTTTTGCAGATATGCACAATCCAAGAAACAAATAGAAATCTAATCCAATGAAAAAAAAATCATGTCAGAGTTTATTTACTCATCCTTCTCCTCGTCATCATCCTCATTCTTCTCCTCAATCTCAGCCTCGTCATCCTCCTCGAAAGTGGTAGCGGGAACACTGTACAGACGGAGCACGGAGCGGTTGGGGTCCTTAATGAGGACGTACTTCTTCAGAGCATCAGCAGGCTCGTCAGCATCCAGGCCACGGATACGGTCCACAATGGTGCGGACGATACCCCAACCATTGCCGAGGTTCAGGTTCATCTGAGCAGCGAACTCGCGGGGCTTGTAGCCAACAACGCCGAGAATGATGTGGGCAGCAGCGGAGCGAGGGTTGGCACGGGACACGAAACCAAGCTTCATGCCGTCAGCCTGGGCTAGGATAGCCTGGGTGGTCCAGCGAGCGAGCTTGCAGGAGTTGTTCTTCATCTCAGTGGCGATGACGGCACCACGCTGCGAAACGAGCTTGCTGCGCCAGTCAAGGGCACCACCCGAGCCGATAGCCTTGCTGTCGAACTCGTTGAGAGCCTTGACAATCAGCTGCTGGTCAGGGCCGCCTGTCGGGCTCTTCATAACAGCGTCAACCTCGGTACGGACAATAAGCTGCAGGGGCTCCTCATCACGCTCCAGGGAGATATCGAAGCGGCGGTACTTGTAACCCTTGGAGGCGAGGGGCTCGGTCTCCTCGGCCTCGTTGTAGAAGGGGTTGGGCTGGGCGAAGGAGATCTTGGCCTCGTCGGACTCAGTCACGGTCTGCAGAGCAAAGTTGTGGTTGATGAAGGTGGCTTCCATGGCCAGAGCGCCGGGGGTGTTGATCTGCTCTTGCTTGCCGGAGGCCTCAGAAATCTCGAGAGGAGCATCTTGAGCGTTCTCGTTGACGCTAACGAGATCCATTGAAGCACCGGGACGCTTGTCAAAGAAGATCTTGTTACCCTGGTGCGAGATAACGATATCCCACGAGTAGACACTGCGGGTGGCGCACATGAGCATGGAGAGAATGTCGGAGGTGACGAAAACGGTAGCCTGGTCCTTCTCGGCGAGTTCGTGGATGACAGGATCCTGCGATGTGGTGACGTTGTAGGCGGCACGCTCGAGAGCCTGGAGTCTGCGCTCGGCGTTCTTGACCGGGGGACGGTCGTAGGATCGATCGTAGTAGTGCAAGAAACCGTAAGAGTCAAGATCCTCACCCTCTGGGGCCTCGAGGTTCAATTTGGAGAGACGGTTGAAGTCAACCTCCTCCAGCATCTGCCACTCGGGACGAACGTTGACGGACGGCTCACGAGTGCGCTGGGGCTTGTCGTAATCTCTCCAGCCGAAACGACGGCCACCACGGCCACCACGGTTGCCGCGGCTGTCGTAAGAGCGGTCACCCTGGCCACGGCCACCACCGGCGCGCTGGAAGCCACCACGGGCACCACCACGAGGGCCAGCCGTACCGCCACGCTGACCACCACGGCCACGGAAAACGGTACCACCGCCACGACCGAAGGTACGCTTGGTGGAAGTGCGAGTGTTGTCGACGACGGAGAAAGAGGACTCATCCTCGGCGGCCTGGACGGTGAATAGACTGGTGGAACCGGCACCGTACACCTGCTGATCTTAAAAACAAAAAAAAAACCACAAGTCAGTAGACTGCGGAATAGCATGCCACGGCGGGCCACAAAGAAAAAAGAGTCGCAACACTGATAACATACCTCTGAAGTTACGGTTGTACTGCTGACGACCCTGACGATCACCGGTCTTGGACTCAGCGGTCCAGTCAGCCATACGGCCCAGCTTGTCACCCTTGGAGAAGGGGGCATAAGGGACACCGTTCAACATGTTGTCGGCGGAGGAGGAGGGGCCCCAGGAGTCCTCCGAGGGGAGGGCGGCCACGAGGTCCGCAATAGAAATAGGAGCCATTTTGCAGATGAATTATGCAAAAGTAGGGCAGAAGATGGTTTATCGTGGGGTTGGAATTATCAACGGGAAGTTTCTGTGTCGCGAGTAATTGTGGCTGAAGTGGGTCTTCCATACACCGCCACATCAGTATAAGCCACATCACGTGTTAATCATATTCTAATTAAGAGTAGTATAAGCCAGCACTTGTACTGTCAGACTGTATAATTGCGCATCTTTGCATGTAGAAAAAACCGTTGATCAACATTTATGAGCATTGAGTTTCTGACTCCTCTATACGTCAGGATGGCAGACATGTCTCTGGATGGACAGTGCAGGTATCAAACATTCCTTTTAGTGAGCATCCATGGATGCTCTTTACATCAGTCCTAGCGATTATCAAATAAGAACAAATCTAATTTTTCTAACACCTAGCAACTTTTTTTCAATGGGATAATGTTTTTATCACATTGCTAGAAGTATCGCTCCAACCAAAGTCAGTAGCTCTAGGGGTATTTGAATAGCACTGTATTTTAGATATTAAGATATGTACCAGTCAGAAAGACATTGATAGTCAGTTAGATTGTCATACTTTATTAAGCTTCCAACGCCAGGTGTTACAACCGAAGTAATAACAGCTAAAATAAAATCCGCCCTCAGTATGGCATAAAAAGTACTAGTCGCTAGTCGTACTAGCCACAACATATTGCTTTGCCGTTTTGAGCTTATCAAGAGTACTTTCACTCAATTTCAAGGTGTCTGACACAATCTGTTTCGGGGTAGATGCCAGCCATTGGCCAAGAGCCATATCTAAAGATGATAAGCCAAGGGATCAGAGAGGTTGATGTAAGAGCCACCTACCGGTAAACTGGGGTGCTTGAAGCACCTCCAAGAACATCAAATCCTCATCACCAGTGTTCTCTATATAATGACTGTTTGACTGAGGGAAGTAACCAACATCCCCAGCACGGTAGTCAAACGTCGTCGCAGAGTTAGGCGCCGAAAACAACGTTGCGCGGGCTTGCCCTTTGATGAAAAATGTCCACTCATCACTAGTGGGGTGCCAATGAATTTCTCGCATGCCACCAGGATGCACAGTGACAATGGCGGCAGAGAAATTACTGGCAATTGGAAAGGTGAGGGGATCAACGATTTTAACTGACCCGCCGGCGACTTCATGCGCGGGCTGCTCAGAGAAGTGGTAGGAGTAGCTTTCGGATCGGGGAATAATGCCAGATTGAGTCGTGACATTTTGCTTTTCAATGTCATCTGGTGCAGGGGTGCCTTCGAAGATGTATAGCTCGTTGTCTGGAATATCATCAAAGGCTGAGATATTCAAGCCGAGGTTTTTCGCCAAAACCGATTTCTGTTTCTTAGGTAAGCCTCATCATTGTTATTGATACATGGGAGCATCTTACGGGGGTATGAAGGAAAACTTCCGTAGCAAGGAATGTGTTATCCTCGTCGAAGTCGCCCTGGTCAAAGACAAGGAGAAACTCGACTCCATCGTCTAGTGCTTGAATGGAGTGAGGAATTCCTCTAGATACAGGTTAAAGATGACTTTCACATGATTCAAGCTGTTGAAAAGGAATATCAACATACGGTGGGAAAAACCAAACATCACCTGCAGTAAGGTCATCAACGAAAGTCTGTCCATCCTGGTCGACGGCCTGCCAGATTGAGTAAGTCAATTGAATTATCGGGTACAAAATATAACTTCGCTCACCTGGATACGACAGGAGCCATTCAACACCAGAGACCATTCTGCGGCGACGTGCCAATGCAGCTCACGATAACCAGCGGGTTCAAGTCGCATATCAACGCCGGCCATTTCCGTTGCAGCCGGCATCACCACCGTATTTTCCTGGCGAGCCCATCCAGCATTATCTTGGCCAAGTCTTTAAATCTATTAGCGATGCTTTGAACTTGAAGTTTATTTAAGATTCCGTACCGGTTGTGGCTAAGACCTATATGATAATCAGTATTCGCACGTTGTCTCTGGTTGGTTCAATAACTTACCCATAGGCCACTGGGCATTGATAGTTTGACCGTTGTCTGTGCCAGGAGGAGCAAGTTTGTCACTGTTGATTCGATCGTATGCATAATTACCTGAAGATGTTGTGTCAGACCTCTAGTGTGGAGCAGTAATAGATGTCAACATACGGGGGCCGGGATCATCACTCCCAGTGGAGCCTCGGATAGGCTGGGGATTTTCGACATCCTCAAAGTCCAGATAGGCACCGATATCCGGACTGACCGTTTGGCCAGGAAGAAGACTATACTCAATGTCTGGCTGAGTTCCACTAGCAATCTTTTCAGTGGAAGAGTACCCGAGAAGCGCTTCGGATCCTCTTAAAGGGGCATTGATGCTCCTTCGAGCTGGTGCTGCATCAACAACAGACAAAAGGGGCAGTAGACACAAAGTCGGGAAATGATCTTGGAGCTTCATGATGGGAACGAATTTCCAGATTACAGCTTTATTCAAGGTAGTGGGGAAATGAAAGGAAAAAATAGTGAACTTTGGGGCTCATATCCTGTTTGTAGACTGGAATCGCTGGGTCGTTTGAAGTGCACCAAAAGCCCTTTTATAATGGCATTTCTGCTCATTAATTCCCTATGAAAGATGTTTCCCCTCATGCGGCATATCCTGATAGTTCCCGGAAATTGCTACAGTGGGGATGGATCAATTTTTCCCCTCATCGGCAAAATTCATTGACCTGAAGCTGCTCGCAGCCTCCAACTAGTAGAGCTGATGATTGGCTCACGCCATTCCAAGAAATTACCGAAAAGAGGGGCAAGATGCATAAGAATAGATACATATATCGGTTGCAAGTAATCTTAATAGCGCAATATATTGGCATATCCAAAACAGAGGGATGAGTAGCATTCTTCCGGTTATCTGTTCAATGTCGTCTCCTCGAAGATCCCAGATGCCCGCTGTAAGAAGGTGAAACACTTGAAATCTCAACTGTTTCCCGGTTGAATCTGCTATGTTGGGGTATTTTGGGGATAAGACCTGTGAAAGACCCGCTTTCTGCGGAGTAGTTCCCGGTTTGAAGCAAACATGACCATCCAGGTACTATACATAGCTTCGGCTACGCCATAGAAGGGGAAAGAATCTGCAACAAGCCCAGTTTTATGCTAGGTTCATTCTTGAAATGACGTAGATAATATTAGAGGTGAGGGGCACATAATAAGGAGTTGAGCTTTCCCAAGGTGTAACGGGGACCGTGAAAAATTAGAGTGAATTTCAGGGCCCACATCAAGTACCTTGTTTCTCATTCCAGAACGGAACAGCTGTACAGATAAACTAAGCTATTTCACAGATGAACTTAATGTGATGAAAGCAAGAACGATTTGACCATTTGCGGGACATTATTGACCCCGTATAGAGCGAAGGTAATGCTCAAGCCAAGCTTTGGCCGAACAAGACAAGCAAGCTGCCGGTATCAGGCAATCGAAACTATGCATGCCACCTCCGGTAACAAAGTGGGACCGTAGAATTCTCCGACTGTTCTCGCCATGCCAAAGTACCATGGCGAATGGAATTCAACTGCCACCGCTTTTAATCCCGCTGTTCTCCATGTGAGGGCAGTTTCGGGGTAAAGTTTGCCACATAATGTATGGCTCAATACTTTAAAGCCATTTGGATGAATTTCCCTGTTTAATCGAGGGAGTGTGTCCGGCTTTGGGCGGGCTGTTGACGGAACATCGTGAAACCTCGCTTAGAAAACAGAACGAGGGTCCAAACATATCGATGCAGAGCGTGCAGCTATTTCGCCATTTGGATGCGATTCGGCCACATTCAATGTCGCTCGCTGGCTAATACACAGCTTGCATGGAACTCGTGCTTGTGGTGTTGGCCAGAGAAAGGCTGCTAATTTTGGAATTGGTGATGTTTATGTGAGTTAATTATAGAAAAGTCTTGCCGCTGTGGCCATTACCCCGCGCGATCTGATTAGTCGCTCGAGTCCGAGAGCATGATTGGTTACAAGTGAGAAACTGGAAGGCATCAAGGGGATTTAAGTGCAGGTAAGTATGTAAACAACACAAATCTGAAACGGTGCACTATTGTAATCCTTAATCGCCTTCTTGCCCCGAGGACCTTGGAGCTTGGAAGCTTATATGGCTCCACTGTTATCGACTGACCAATAATGAAGATCACGAGTGGGTCACTTTCAGCCTTGTTGGTGACAGGTAATCCACATCGGATGGAATGGGAAGTTTTCGTTCTCTTGACTCTGTACAGGGAGCAAGGGTGAGCAATATGTAGAAAGGCAATCAGAGTAACCAGTATGAAATTGGCACGAAATTATGCATATTCCATCTTCCAGGTCTTCCCGGAGCGGCACTGATGAAATGTCACGCCGATGCTAGCTCCAAGGTTGGCTACACGGAGTACAGGGAGAAGTTCCGGAATGGGAGATGAAGTAAGACATTCCGGCAGAAATGGGCAATGTGCAAATTAGTAGAAGGGACGCAAGCGCTGAGGTGCGAGTTGAGAATGTCCTAAGTCTGCTCACGGGTCACTTCGTGCAATATTGATGAAATGAGTGCCTGGGTGTCTGAGTGCGTGAATAATAAGGCTCAAGTCCGATATGATGTTTGGATTTTCATCGATTTCTCTTCAGTTAAGTGCGACTTGCAAGTTTGGTCATTTGGAGGGATGCTTTTGAGACGGCGGAAAGGTACAGTCTGTAGGGGCACAGGGATCACAAGGATATTAGATCATTCGTATGATAATTGAGCTAAAATGAAGATCTGATCGCTGAATAGTCCAAAATTTTGCTCTAATTGATGACATAAAAAGGATTGAATTGACCACACTTAGCAAGAATATCCATAAAATATGTGACGCAAGAGAGCTAAAGCACCTCCCTACATGCTGACACATAGTCATGCCCTCATAAAACCAACATGATCTCTCATTTTAAGACCTCCAACGGTGAACAACAAATTCTCATTTATTCTGCGCCGTTGCAATACTCATTCCAGCTTTGCTTATTTCCCCAGACAACCGAGAAATAAACATGACAGATCGCCCAATGCGGGGTTGCCAAGGCCCTTGCGTCGCCGAAGGATACAATCATGAGATCACCTGCTAAGTACAGTGACGACGCCCTGAGTAAGAGGCGTGCAGTGATAGGTCGGATGGCAGATTGGGCAGCCCAGAAAGGGATGGGGCGGGCTCTGCACCGGATCCCTTTAGGAATAGGGGCTAGACTGGACGGCCTTCGTAACCTTGGAATGTCATGGTCGCGCTATCCAAGACCATTTCCCCCGTGTTACAGCTGAGATTCTGAAAAGTTTCCATTTGTATCGAGATGACAAGATTCAAAACATTTAAATGATTTGGCCGGATATGCGAAATGACGAGAGCAAGGATCTGTAGTCATAGTATGTAGTCATAGTAGATCTGCTCCACATGAAGATAGGCGACAAATTCTAGCCCTAGTATGTGTATCTATTTGATTGTGATGACTCGATGAAAATCTTGATGATTGCATCCCTACGAAGCGTGTCTCCTACGAGTGGCATGTCTCCTGTTTGTGTTATAGTAATTGATATGTGGGATTTAAAGATAGTAGTTGCAGTAACGTTACAGTAGATATGATAATAGTCATGTATTCAGGGTAATAGTAGCCCTCAAACGCCTGGTCTGTCTTGCCACTCTATGGTGATGATACGACGACCATGAATCTGAACAAAGGAAAGGTCCATAACCGGTACGGTGCCCAAGTAGTGAAGGTGGTGGGAGAAGAAAGTGTGTCAAGCGAGAATATGTATGGTTAATCAAAAGAGTTGGACGCCATGATGTGGCCGGATCTATCTGACATGCTTCAAGTAACGCATGGTGAGATAGACCGCAGCCATACTGGTGTAAAGGCCGCCGCCGGCAGTCACCCAGACAGGTCGATGGACGGTCATCGAGGTGCGAAGGAGTTGACCTTCCTTCTTTGGCTTCTCACCTGTAAGTTATTAGTGAAACTGTTCGTCATGGAGTTGGTGAAAGAGCAAGGTGAGCGTACCCTGCTGGAAGAGCCTCTGTCGCAAATTATTCAACCCCTGTCTGGAACGAGCTGGCAGGGTAGCGAGCTGCTGCATAATGGGTCCGACAGGTGCTGACATGATTGCTGTGTGGATGTTGTATTCTGTTATAGTAGAGAGTAAAGAGTAGAGAGTTGGTAGATGAGAAAAGGCAAATTCCCCCTTCCCACCCTTATATAGGTGAAATCATCTGACAGGTGTATGCGGGGTTGTGGCGGTACCGTCCGGGGTACCCTTGCGTGGCGACACACTCGTACTTTCAGGGAATGAATTGGTTTGGTTTGTCTAGATTGGCCTCGATGGGATCATTCAGTGGATAGAGGCAGCTGCGAGAGTTTCCAGCAAGGGCCCACCATGGTCGCTACGTCTAAATCCATGATTCCAAAGAGCTACTTAGGGTACTTTTCGTATTGCCTGATGGTGACAGTGGAATGAAGAGAGTCTAGGTTGACCTCCTCCCACGGAGCTGAAACTCTTCTCAATCTTACCATTGGTCGACGAAGGTCTAATCCAGCACCTAGTACATCCTCACACGATCAGCGCCTAAGGGGTTCAATCAAGGTTCTGAGATTACACAAAGCAGAACATTAGGAAATCAGAGATTCAGTTCTTCCCTTCCGTTAATCCGAAGATGATTGAAGATATAGATACAGTGGAGACTTGGGGGGAAAAAGTGGAAAAGTGGAAATCTGGGGAAATGTCAAAAGTGGGGTTTTAGTGCCTTTAGTGCCCGCTCCACCTTGAGCTCGGACTTTTGCCACTTTCCACGATCTGGAGAAATGCGACTCGTCTACTTCAACCTGGTCTACCTGGAAAACATCAATTTTGCTCCCTTGACTGTTAGACGGATCATCATATAAATAATGCGGTCTAATTGATCTGGCACGGATATACTATCCTGGTCAGGTACACCGCTACACAACGCTTGTGTCTTAGTATTAATCTGGCCGATGGCGGCTACGTCAAAGGTGAAGTTTCAAATAGCAGCTTTCTTGTTAAACTAACTCACCCACCTGGAGGTATAAGACTGACCGTTCCAGTGGCGAAGACTCCGCGAAAGGACTGACGCTATCGTGAGGCCGCAAATTGCACATCGATCGCATCACTGATCTCAATACTTTTCTTACCCAGGGTTTTCGAAACAGACGACCAAATCCTGGCGCCGGGGCATAGGCATGATCGAATAAAAGATTGGAAGGGTGTCGGCACTAAAATCAAGCAATTCTCGAAACCAAACACAATCGGTGGACCAAAGACAAGCAGAGAGTGGGGATTCACTTCCAACCACTATCGATCCGACCCGGGCCATTGATTGAGGATGCATCTATCTCTTTTAACCCCCAAGGGATGCATGCCAACTGGGGCGCATTAACCCTCCCAATCTGCGATTGCCGACCGTACGAATATCGTGTAACTTTGTAAACTTAGCAGGATAAAGTGGAGACCTTGAAACCGCCATAGCACGCCACAATGGTAAATGCTGTTGAAAAATTCAGCTGATAAGGGACCGGATTACCGCATCGAGTCTAGGGTGATTGCATTGATTACGTACACACGAAATGTCCCTGTTCGACAATCAGTTTGTTCAGTTTGTTCAGTTTCACCTGTTCATGTCAATTACATTCAATCCTGGCAGACAAATAAGATAAATGAGATAAATTAGACAAACTGTAATGGACACTTTGGTCCATTCAGCCCCGTCAAGCCCCCTTTCAAGCCTCCGACGTATTTTCGCGTTTCTTGAAAGGTAAGTGGATCCATGTGGCTTGGCATTGTAAGATTGACCAATGAACAGATATCAAGATCCAAAAACGTGGCGTATGAAGTCCAAGACCGGGTCATGTATGGAGTAGACTAGATGGGAACGTTACTCTCTTCCCGGCCAAGTTGCTTTTTCCCCCGAGAAATCTTCTTTCAACCTTCATTGCTTTCCATGATTCGACCGAAATCTTACATTCTTTTCAATTCTGTTCAATCTGGATTTCCTCACGGTCCATTTCTCCGTGAACCGGCACTAAGCACAAAGTACAATCCAAGTCTAGATCGACAATTCTCAGAATATCCCGGATCCCCCACCCATAGCAGCACCCCGCCTCGCGACTCTTTTACTCCCGTGCGACACTGCCCCCATTTCATTACAAGCCCTGCAAGCGACATGCCCATTTACCCAGATATTGTACGATAGACTACTTCTTACTCGCCTGTCCCGAATTGGAATGACCCAACATGGCGTTCATGAGCGAAGATAAACCGTCCAGCAACATCCATGGCGTGGTGGACACGCTAGGTCTCAAGGCGACCGAGGGCCACCAGGATGTCCAGGAGGGATTAATGGCCGATAACGCCGACAATCTCCAGCGTCACTTGGGGAACCGCCAAATTCAACTAATTGCCATTGGAGGATCCATTGGAACTGCCCTATTTGTGAGTATCGGAACGGGCTTGTACCATGGTGGTCCTGGTAGTTTGTTCCTCGCCTACAGCATCCAGTGCATTTTCTTGGCCATGGTCAACAACTGCCTCGCCGAGATGACCACCACCTTCCCCGTGAGTGGTGGTTTTATTCGATTGGCCGGAAAATGGGTTGATGATGCCCTCGGTTTCATGGTGGGCTGGAATTTCTTGTTCGATTCTTTTCTTCGGCGTTACCAAAAGATATGGGCTGACCGAAATGCAGCTTTTATGAGGCTCTTTTGATTCCATTCGAAATTTCCGCTTTCACTCTGGTCGTGTCCTTTTGGTCAGATAAAGTGACTGAACCTGGTCCCGTGGCTGGCATTTGCGCTGCGATCATCATCTGTTATGGGTAAGTTCTTTGTTGGCATGAAATCCCCGGCATCTCCGCTGACATTCTGGCTAGTGTCCTCAATGTGATGGCCGTCAAAGCTTATGGTGAAGCTGAATTTTGGCTTTCTGGGGGCAAGGCAAGTTCCCTCTCTGACTATTTTGAGCTTGAGCTAACTCAAAAGGATTCATAGGTGATCTTAATTTTCGCCCTGTTCTTCTTCACCTTCATCACCATGGTTGGCGGCAACCCAGCCCATGATGTATACGGCTTCCGCCACTGGAACAATCCTGGCTCCTTCATGGAGTATCTCAATGTTGGCACCTTGGGTCGCTTTGAAGGGTTTTTAGGAGCTCTGTGGTCAGCCGCGTTTACTGTCGTCGGCCCGGAGTATATTTCGATGGTCGCGGCTGAAGCCAAGCGCCCTCGACTGTATATCAAAGCGGCGTTCAAGACAGTCTACCTCCGCTTCGGTCTGTTCTTCATGGGTGGAGCTCTTGCTGTTGGGATTGTCTGCTCTTGTAGGGATCCTCAATTAGCGGCCGTCATTTCCGGTGAAAAGTCTGGTTCAACTGCTGCGGCATCGCCTTATGTTATAGGCATGCGAAATCTTGGCGTCTCCATTTTCCCATCTATTATCAACGCGTTAGTACTCCCAACAGCCAGATGTTGCTTAATGCTGACAATTCTTAGTCTACTATTGACTTCCATTTTCTCTGCCGGTAATACGTATACCTACTGCGCTATCAGAACCCTTTACAGTTTAGCGCTCGAGGGTCGAGCACCTAGAATTCTTACCCACACTACACGCAACGGTGTCCCGATATACTGTTTTATTATTGTGATGATCTTCCCGATGCTATCGTTCCTGCAATGTTCTAGCAGCTCTGCCACTGTCATCACGTGGTTCTCAGAACTTGTTACTGCTGGAGGTCAGAATCCACCGAAAATGTGCGAACATGCCGCTAACCCATGAACCAGGTCTTATCAACTACATCACGATCTGTATCACCTTCATCTGCTACCACCGCGCCTGTAAAGTGCAGGGTGTGGATCGCAGAAGCTTCGCATACTTCGGTCGCTTCCAGCCTTACTCTGCCTACTTGGCGCTGGTTTGGATGTTTCTCGTCACACTTTTCTACGGATACCCCGCCTTTAAACCATGGTCAGTGTCTGACTTCTGGGCAAACTATACCATGCAAATCGTCATCCCTATTCTCTTCATTCTGTGGAAAATTTTCAAGCGGACCAAGTTTGTCCGACCTCATGAGGTTGATTTGGTCTGGGAAAGACCTTTGATTGATGCGTATGAAGCGAGTTTCATAGATCCTCCGCTGGGTTTCTGGAGGGAAGTGGGCCAAGTCTTCGGTATTCGACGAATCAAAGGTGGTAATGACCATCGCCGACACTCGATTACTCTTCCTTCAAGTAGAACCGAGGGTACAGAGGAAGGAGTGGTGGCATAGTCTGTATACCTCGCCAGCTGGCTCGATTCTTTATCTTTGGATTTGGCTTGGGTTTTATTCTCTATTGTTTATAGCCCCTTTAAGGGAATGCCCTATATCACTTGCTTTCATAGCATTTGAATCTCACTGAATGATCTAAGAAACCAATTACCTCCTAGAAAAATCTAGTATACCAGTACTCACAGATTCGTGTGCCTCTATGTACAATTCGTGTATATATATATGACGAGGAAGTTGATCTAAACCGTCATTTATCCATCGAGCTGGCCCGAGTGGACCCCGGTCGGAATGCGACAGACGCTGCGAGCATCTTCAGGCATTGTTGTCCAAAGCACCTGTCGCACTTCTTTGCCCACTTGCTCAATCGCATCTACGGCCCATAACACATCGAGGTGTTCATATTCGTCGATCACTTTGGAGTGAACGACTCGTACATGCGGTTCAAGTCCATCCTGAAAGCGACGCAGGAGTCGTTGGCCATCAACTAGGGCATCAGATCCACCGATCCACATAGCAAACGGGGGCACCTGGGGGCCGAACCAAGGGATTTCCCTTTGAGAACCAAGACATGGGTCCCGGGGATCATCACCATGATCGCCCCCAGTCGAGGTACGATGACAGTTGTTCTGGTCCTCAGCAGGGGACAAGATGCACCCATGCTTGGCAAAGCTCTCGCTACCGAGCCACCATCGCATGGATTCCGCGCTGACATATACAGGAGCAAACTGAAACATACGATGACGTAGATCACGCTCCCAGCGCGCATCAGTCCATCCGAAAAGAAATGAAAAGACCCAGTAGGCAAGAGTGCCATATACCTTGGGATTGCAATATCGACGGACTGTCATCATGACGGGAATAAATGCATGGATGCCAAAGACAAGGCGAAACAATGCAGGTGAAAGAATTTGCATGAACCGAAAGAAGGACTTGCGAACGAGTGGGCCGGCATATGCAGCTGGTGCAAGCGCACAAAAGACCGAGATTCGTTCGCCTAGTTCTGGTCGGTGTTCTTTGGCCAGTGCAACAAAGGTTTCAGTAGTTCCTTGTGAATGGCACACTAGACCCAGCTTGCTGAACCCGGTTTCGTAAAGCACACGCGAAGTCAGTGCTGTTAGGTCAAGGGTCCCAAGATGGCGAATATCCCACGACCACATGCGGGGATCGGAGGACGAAAGAGTTGCGTGTTCTGGATTCATGCCACAGCGATTGTTGCCCAGCCAGACATCGTAGCCAGACTTGCACAGAAAGAATGCAAGACTGTCATCGTCGTTGGTGCAATACGCGCCCGCACTTTGAAGAAGCCCATGAACCAACAGAATGGGATATCGCCGACCAGACCCGGATTGGAATGAATTCCCATCCTTCATTCCATTGAAGACGGTCGGGCCTCGCTCACGTCTTTGCTGCGGAGACAGAGCGGTGTATTCTTGAGGGTCATATACGTGCCATAAAGTAATGATGAAGCCATCCTCCGTTTGAACACGAAAAGTTTCCACATCAAGCCCGACCTGTCTCGCATAGTAGGCAACGTCGCAGACGATCATGTCCTTGCTGCCTTCCAGGGGAGGGCATTCGTCAGGACCTTGCTCTTCGTGGACATGCTTTTTCTGCGGCCGAGTATGCCATTCCTGGTCTGGATCCGCTCTTTCCAATTTCCGATTTCGCTCCTCGACAAGAGAACCCTGTTGTAAAGCCATGCGATATCCTCTTAATCGTGGAATCACGGCCTGCAGTGTCGTCTGAGCCTTACAAATCAATGCTCCTGAGAATATGACTGTGAGAAAAGCCAGAGACAGTATAGATGAAATAAACATCATGGCATAGTATCGTGAATTGCGAGTGAAATTAGGAGCGCCATAGGTCGGAAGGGGAGGAAACAGTGGATGGTCGTTCGAGTCAACGTGGAGTGCCGGTTCGATGTGTTCTGGCTTTTGGGCGATAGTTGGTCCATCCTTGTATCGCGTAATACTGGGTTGGCCTTTCAACCTCGGGGACTCGAAAACATGATCAAAAGAGGAGAGAACCAGGTGGGGCTGAGACTTGTCCGACTGCTCCGCAAGGACAGGAGAAACGAGATTCTCCAAAGCAATGGGGACCGACATGGTCACGGTTATATGGTTGACATCGGTTTGCAAGGATCCGTCATTAAGCCTCGACCTGGCAATGATCAGTGCGCAAAATGATCCTGAGCCTATTAGGAGGAATTCATAACAAGAGAGATCGATCCTGGTTACTGGTTCAGGGACCATCACGTGAAGATAAAGGTACACCAATCGGAAATACAAATAGTAACGTGCGTCATAGTAACATACGTCATAGCCTATTACACCTGCACTATATGTATCACATCCATCCATGGATACCCACGTCTATCGCAATGTTGAAAGTTCGCTGATAGTTGGCGAGACTATCGCTCTGGGGCTCGGTCTAAGTCCTTAGAGAGAGAAAAACCTTAGAAGAAATCAATATATTCTGACATTGGAGAACATTGTAGGTATACACATTAGATCAGGCGAAGTTTGCAATTCAATACGCAAAGAAAAAAAAAAAAAACAAGAAGAAACAGTCATAGTCCGCTAGTCATGCACATATTCAAAGCATTGAGACAAAAAGCCCAATTAAACATCAGCCTTTGCACTAATAGTTTCCAAATGAGTCGCTTCCTCGCCGCTGCGTTTCTCATTGGCCTGTGTCTCAAGCTCGGCAAGATCACCAGAGTTGGAGACGGAGACATCGCGAACATCAGTGTAGTGGACAGACGGAACAAAACTTTTCGACTTCCACGCAACAGGCACCTTCGCGTAAAGTTCATCCACTTGTTCGAGTGACAGACCCTTGGTCTCATAGATGCACGTGTAGACAAAGATGGCGCAGATGAAACAGAACCCACTCCAGATAAAGAAAACCTTGGACTTCAGGTTTGCATTCCCGGGGCCGCTGTTCACCATGTAGGGTGTAGCATAGGCAATGGCCCAATTGAGTAACCAATTGGTAGCGGTCGTGATGGAGAGACACTTGGCGCGGGCCTTGAGGGGAAATAGTTCACCCGTGACTACCCAGGCAACGGGACCCCAAGAGCAGGCAAAGAAAAAGATGTAGACACACACGAATGCAATCAACACCTTATTCGCCACGGCGGATGTTGCCGCGGTACCGACGATGGCTACCACGAGTTGCGAGATACACATGCCGACTGCGCCAAACATCAACAGGGGCCGACGGCCCCATTTCTCCACCATGTATAGACCGGGCAAGGTTGATACCACGTTGATGATGCTGGTGATCAGCGTAATCACAAAAGAGTTCTGGATACCCGAATTTTGGAAGAAAGTGGTGCCGTAGTAGACTATAAGGGTTAATAGATATTAGGTAGTGGGACACGGATTGTGATCAACGTACAAATGAAGTTAACACCAGCGAGCTGTTGGAGGCCTTGAACGGCACAACCGGTGGCCAACCGTTTTCCAATAGAGCCACGCAGGATCTCCAGGTAGGTGGCCTTACCCAGGCTCATTTCATACTGGTGGTTAGCCTGGATTTCTGCCAGCTCCTCAACGATGGCGGAATCGTTGATGTCAAGATGACGCAGGCGGGCAAGAGCCTTGGCTGCGGCTTCATGCTTGTCTTTCTTGATGAGGAATCGGGGAGTCTCAGGCAGGATAAGCATTCCAACGACAAGGATGATAGCCCAGGCAAATTGAATAGCCACGGGAATCCGATAGCAACCAGTGTCGTCGCGATCCTTACTCGAGTTGTTGACAATGGCCGCCAGGAGCAGACCAATCGTGATGGCTAGCTGGTAGGCACCGACAATCGTTCCTCGAATCCATTTGGGCGCCGTCTCTGACTGGTAGAGGGGGACTAGAAGACATGGTTAGAGATTTGCCTAGCCAGTTTTGTAGATCGATGATAGACTCACTAGTTGCGGACAAGAGACCCACACCCAGGCCGGCAAAGAAACGGCCAGCCACAAAGAGTGGAATGGATGTCGATGCAGTTTGTAGAATAACACCTATGCAGAAGACAAAGGTCTCAAGAATCATGGCAATCCGACGACCGAAGTAATCCGCAATAGGAGCGGCACCCAAGGCACCGAAAAAGGTTCCCGCTGAGAGGAGGGAGACAATCATCGAGGATTGGGGGGATGTGACATCAGGTAAATGGTCGTCGGGATTGATGTAGCCGGTGGAAAACATTTTTCGCCAATACTTCATGGCAAGAATGCCACTAATAGTTCCGGTGTCATATCTGCACGAGACTAGTGTATTAGTTTAGTACTCAGAGGAAACTACTGTCAAGACTCACCCAAATAGAACACCACCGAAAGCCACAAATAGGCCGATGATGATAGCCGGAGTTGCAGAGCCAAGTGCATCATCAGGCTTCTTCAATGCGAAACCCATAGTGTACAGATGGACAGATTTGATCGAGTGGAATGATAGAAAGAGTACGCGAGTAATGTATGATTAGAGGATCAACAAACATCATACCCGGGAAGTTCAAAAGAAAAACAAACAGAGGGAAAGTGGGAAACATTTTGTACTCCACATGTGCAAGAGAGCCCAGAATGGCTGCAAGCAGAAACTTTTGACCTGGTGTACCCCGTGGGGCTCAGGGTCTATGTCCATGGACCCATTCGTTCCATGTTTTCGTTAGCGCAAGGGTTGAGTAAAGCCAATGCGGCCACGTTGAAAAGTGGAACCGATCAACCTGTTGCCTCGAACAGAATTGTTCTCGAAGGAATTGACCTGTTTCGAGTCAATCACGTCCCAGATGTTGGCTGCAACCGGGAATTTATTTACATGCCTCTTAAGATCGCCTAAAATCTCCTGGGAATCAATAAAGTCAGCTTCGAATGTTCATACACCGGAAACGGGAGTTCAAGTGAAGTCAAGTTGTGCCCGCTTTAAGTGCGCCGATCGGGATCGGCGGTCTCGGGAGCCGCATTAGGGGGAAACGTCTATCCCTTGTTGCTGTATACAGTTGACTATCGCTTATGTAGATGGGTTTCTTCAATCTAACTGTATGTGTCAATTTGAGGATGTAATGGGGCGTAATGCATCCATAGATCCTTTAATTAGAATATCCCTGAAGGGAGAGTCTGGACTCGTCAAGCTCCGGATTTTCAGATCTCCACATCCCTGGAATGACGCCATCTCCAGTATTCGGCAACCTTGTCATGAGCGCTACAGACTCGGGGAAGAGTTTGGGGCTTCACCGGAGCCCAGTTGAGATGTCCAAGTGGCGATATTGAGGTTGCACTGAGTTTTTGAAACCTTTTCTTCCGAGCAGTACAGGAAGGCCCAAAGTCAAGTATCCACACATATCCCCGCATCGTGTCATGAAAGCAAACTAGAATAATACAAAACATGTACATGGTTTTGAGTTGTTTCGGTGTAGTATGGAAGATCAAACCAACACATCTTGAAATCAATTCTAAAAGCCTGGTACACTTGTCCAAGTGTATCCGCTATTTCTCTCGGTGTTTACCCCGGGCAAGTTCCAGTACATCGGCCCGTGTCCAAGGCTTGGCAAAAGCCTATTGAATAGGGGGGCTGTCCTTAGTGTACATTGGGCGGGATACCCGATAGCCTGCCGAAATTAGCCCGGTCTCGGCGAAATCAAGACAACGGGATCCGAGTCAACAGATACAAACCTTGGTGAGACCTCGCCGAGTCTGGGCGCCGAGTGCTCCAGACCAACTTCCAGCCTCGGTGAGCAAGATCGGGACTGGGCTCGCGATGAGAAGGATTGGAGTACGCTGCGTCGGCTTCTTGATCCGATGGTTCCATGTATTAAGTCTATTCACTATATGCGTTGGGTTGAGAACCAGCTACCAGCGCCAGATCAAAAAGAAATACACAGGTAAGACAACCTGAGCAACCGCCCGGATAGAATGAACAAATTCTCGGGTCGTGTGGGCACATTTTTGGCGGAAACCATGAGCCCGTGTTGGGCGGTAAAGGCCTTTGTCCTTTTGCGTGGTCGTCGCAACATCATCTTGAACTAGGGCCCAATAAGCATTCTGGGGCGGTTGGGCACCGGAGTAGCGACGGGGCAGGACAGTGCTGCCACGGCCGGCCAAGCCGGGACCAGATAGAGTGGAGCTAGACGTACCGGATGTGGGATACCGGCGCTTGAAGGACTCCGGGCGTGTTTCAGAGAGGGGAAGGAGTGAGGTAGGGGAAGACGTTGACCCAGGGGTAAGAAATGCATGGTAAACAGAGGCCATGAACAGAACGACAACGCTAAACAACAAAACGCAGCCATAGTGCATGAAGATCCCGAGTTGGTCGGGGAGAAGACAAAGGTGGTTTTGGATCGTTGGGGAAGATCCCTTCATCGTGGACTCGCCTGTCTCAGGGTCAAGTGGATTCCATAAACTGGTCATCACAAAACCAGGACGTCGAACACCCATCGCCCAAGAAATACTCTTCACAGTGATCTCCTTGGGCGAGCCGTTGAACTCTCGATGGGTCAGCTCACAGTAGTCATGGTCATCCCCAGAGTAGACCTGCACAACGTTGGGGCCCGCTTTGGAAACCAATTCGTTCGAGATGGTTGGGGTCAGTACGTTCTGATATTGATAGCCAGCGCCAAGTGTCAGTGAATTGGGTTCGTCTTCTTCCAGCTCCTCGGCCGACGAAGGCGGGTACCGCTCTCGGAGCGGACCACAGGGAGTGGCTGGCTTGCGGTAGAGGGGCACATGGGTGAGGAGAATAGCAGGGAGCTGCAGAGGGTTGTTGGGGGGATTGTCATGGATTGAGGACTCCACCACATCCACGACCCGGTAATCGAATTTGACGCCCTCGGGCTCTTTACGCAGCATCCTGAGCTCATCCATTTCGGCCTTGGCCCGGTATGTGGGAATCTTGTTAAGAAAGTCGGCTGCGTCCTTCCAGATCGGCGGAGGGAGACTCTCATCAACGGAGCTTGAGCTGGAGCTGCCAGTCTGGGGGTTTGGTTGGTCCATCGCACTCAACGACGGCGTGTCCACCGAAATAAAGGTGTGGTTTCCAATGACATCTACCCGGTTACCTTTGCCGAAGTAGGCTTCAAACCGATCCCGTACGGGCTCTTGTATTCCATTGCCAAATCCCAGATCATGGTTTCCTGGCAAGCTTGCGATCATTCTGCGACCCCGACCGTCCATGGGAGAATCGGTTTGCCTGAGCCAAGGTTCCACAAATATCTTTACAAAGCGCCCATACTCTTCCTTCCAAAAAGTACCTTTGTATCCTTTGTAACGCTCTTCCGGGCTAGAGGTCGTGCCAGTGGCCCATTCTCTTCCGCCGTCGAAGAGATCACCAAGGAACAAAACCGAATCCGGAACCAAATTGTTTTGAATGGTTGAAAAAGACCGACGGAGATACTGGTCTGTATAACGGACGGTCAAGGTAGAGAGTGGCCATGGGCGGCCAGGATAGGTGTGGGGATCGACTAGTTGCGGATCGGCGACGAAGGCAACGTGATGCGGCGTTGCATCTTGAGGCTAGAGCAAGAGGTAGTCAGAAGAGATCCCATGGATATATCCCATTTAAATAGCAGATCACAAAAGCGACTCACCCAGCTTTCCCAATTCTGCCAGATGCAGGCATCTATACTTTCTTGGAAGATTGTGCGCTCTCCCCACCGTAACGTGAAGCACCAAAGTAAGATCACAGCATTGATGATTGTAAAGATGCGCTTGAAGATGACTATCGCAGATCTCTGCATATCGTGTCTGATACGGGGCCTTGCCGTTCGAATGCTATTGGCGCCCTCCCCAATCCATCGTTTTGCGGCCCCTGGAAGATCATCCCACGTGCGATCAAGAGTTCGCGTTTTGGAAGGTATAAAAGAAGGAAGGGTAGAAGGTCCTATGTTGCGTGGATAGGCGTAACTCATTTCGGTTGAAGATAGAAGAAATAGTGGCTCGACCCCAGGCGACACGGGTTCATTTGGGTGGGGAATCAACGAAAGGAGTGACGCTGCATGCTCTAAAGGCCAATGCACATGAACGAACGAGAAAAAAAAAACGATTGACTTGCGTCGAAATAGGGCAAAGAGGAAGCAAATGGTGATTTAAAAAGACGTTTCAATGCATGACAGGGACTTGGCAGCAAAGAGGGAAAACAAGGGGCCGGAAACATTTGGTGGCGCCCACGTCGATCCCACGTGACTTGATGTTGCATGCATACGGAAGGTTCGCTGTTAAACTGTAAGTACTTATGGAGCTTCTAACAATTATATATCTAGTATGCTTCGTGGTTGAATAGCTGCCAGCGGAGCCCAAATATTAATTTCCGAATGTGGTCGAGTTCATTAACGATAAATAGAGATACAAGGACTGAGTGGATATCAGGATGATGAGGAGGCCGAGAGAGAAGCAATCAAATCTAATGTCACGCCATGATTCACCGTTGGGAGGAAACCCACAGGGCCAAGGACATAGGTGAAACTCGAAGTTCTAGGATACAGAACCGTGGAGATCCAGGTACAAACCACGGTGAAGAATAGTTGGAATAAACGGAAGTGAGGATGATGTATCAGGATAGACAGCAATGGTAGTCAGATAGGATGATGAGATGCACAAGATAGATGGGGATTAGCGGAGAAAGAATGCAATGGAGTGGGAAGCAAAGACGATTTTTGAAGCTCACTTTGGTGGGCAGCATTGGCCACCCTGGGCGCAATTGTCGTCGCACTCAAGGAGACAGGCTTGAGAGTCACCATCCCGCAAGCTAGCGGCTTGGCTGTGGTTCGCATCATCAGCGCCCGGTCGAGACGAGGATGCCTGGGTCAAGTTCTGTCCCTCTTCAGTATCGCTGTCGGGGGCAAACTCTGGCTGAATGGTTGAGGAGTGGATGCCGTAGGCATGGAGACATCGTCGAACTTGACGGGCGAGACGCATATATCTCTCCGACCCCTCGCCCTTGATTTCCGTGTCCACCTGGATGTGAATAGAGGCTACGACCTTCGTATCGCTCAGCTGCCACACGTGAAGATGGTGAGAGCCAATGACACCTGGAAGTCCTTCAATGTCTTCCTTGATGTGGTCAATGCTAAGGCCCGCGGGCACAGCCTGCAGCAGGATTCGCGACGCGGCCTTGCAAAGAGGAATCGCAGAGGCAAGAATGATGAGGGTGATGACCAGGGAAATACCCGGGTCCACGTAGAAACGCCAATCATAATCGGTCAACCAGATTACCAACGCGGAGGCGATCACACCGATATTGCCAAGAGCATCACCCATAACGTGTAGGAAGACTCCACGCATGTTTAGGTCGTGATTGTGACCACCCTTTTGGCCCTTAGGCTTAGGTTGGGCGTGATTGTGGTGCTTGTGCAAGTCATCCTCAACAGGGCCTGGCGCCATCAACGGACCGGCATCCTCATCGGTGTAATTGGAGGCGCGGTCGCGATGGCGGAGGAGGCCGGAGTGTTCAGTTGGGGTTTCGTCGTCTCGGGTGTCCGAGTCGGACGAGTCTGCATTGCCAAAGGAGCCCCGGCTGGCGGCAATGATATCCTGTCGCATAGTAGCGGGATGCACGTAGATGTCCTCGACGCTCGCCAAGCCGGAGGTGCTGTATCGTCTCGAGGTACGGCTTTGGGAGTCTGCCACGCGGCGCTTCCGAGACGGCGAAGCGGGGTCAGTGGCGGGGTGCGGAATGCTATGTTGCAAGGGAGCATCGGGGTGGTTGTGGCCATTGATATGGTGATCAGTGACCACCGAATGGCTGTGCTCATGATCGGCGTGACCCGATTCGATATCTTCATCATGGGCGTGACCGTGATCATGTCCGTGAGAATGGCCATGCGCATGGCCGTGGTCGTGAAAGAGGGCTAAGCCCAGGATGTTTGAAAGAAGGCCAAAGCAACCAACAATGCAGACCAACTTGGGGTTCTGCACCTCCTGCGGCTCCACCAATCGCTGAGTCGCCTCTAAGAAGATCGACATGCATAGGGCGACCAAAAATACCCCGTTGACCAAGGCACCAAGTGTTTCCGCCCGTTGCCACTGTGAGCCCAGAATCAAAGTTAGATCATATTCAAGGGTGGGGAGGGGGGAGAGGGGTCGCCGCTCTCATCCAACTTACGCCATAAGTATACATTTTCGAGTTGGTCTCCTGGTTGGCGACCTTGACAGCCCATAGACCAACACATAGGGATAACACATCATTCAACTGATTTTCCAATTAGACTCAACTTCACGGGTAAAAGAGCATCGTGCGATCGGGGGCAAAGGACGAACCATGTGAAAGGAATCGGCGACTAGAGCGAGCGAGTGGACGGCATAACCTAAAAGAGACAGGAGTCAGCGTGAGACACATTTACCGGAGAAGTCGGCTCATACCGGTGATCAATTCCAATAAAAAGAATGCGATATCGATGATCAGCAGGATGATGATCCTGTTGGTCTTGGAAAGTCCCATGGCAGCTGGAACGCTTGCGCTTTGTCGCGCAGAGTTTCGCAGCGGGAAAACAAGGGATGGACTGTTTGATTGGTAGTTTGCCCGTTGAATAGAAGAACTGTGAGAAAAGGAAAGGGAAAAAGAAAAGGGAAAGGAAAAGAAAAAGGAATGGAGGTTTAAGAAAATTTGTGAGTAGGTAAGATGAAGTGGGAGGGATTGACACTTTTTTGGCCGGTGGAGTCTCGAGCTTATAACGGGCGGAACACTCCGATCAAGGCCAGAGTGGCGTCACTCCATATTAATGTAAAACAGGCAAAATGCTTCCAGGTAAAACAAAGGTGCGTTGTTTCTAATAGTATTTTGAAAGGTTTTGGTATTAGATTCATCTTTTTTCTTATCTCTTTTATCTTCGTAACTATGGTTTCAAAAACATTTTCGTGTTGACAAAAAGTACGTTGATGCAGCTAGAGCCGAGATTATTACGGCATATACTGTAAGTTATATCTTGGCCCCACTCCAGCCCAACCGGCTCAGCCTTAGAGAGATCCCCAGGTCCAATCATGATCAATACAATAGGACCCATAGTAACAGGCGCCAAGTCTTCTATACCATGAGAAGTTTAGACCTAGAACTAACCCTCAAGGTCCTCCTCATGTGCAGAGATTTTTCATCTCTTGATTCCTATATCGGAACCTAGACGGCAGATCGTAATTCCATTCTACCCGCAAAGTTCTGTGATGTTCTCTGGTACATACGGACTCATGATATCAATCAGGCTCGAAAGGCTGATCCAGTCAAGTTCCCCATGCACAGTTTCCAGTGGTTGACCACTGTACAGAACACGAGCATAAATTGACTCTTGCTTGTCCTCAATTTTCCTAGAGAGAGAGTCAGTTTAGAATCATTACCTGCGCAACCAATAGAAAGCTCACCAGAGTTCAAAGGCTATGTTAGATCCCATGGCCGGCCATCGAAGAGCATTGATCCCCAGAGACCCTAAGACTGGCCCAAGGTCGCCATCGTGAATAAAGATATGACTGTAATCGATCGAGGAACTGCCGTCACCCACGGCCTGGAGACGAGCTAGGATCTCTCCGATAAAGAGTCCCTCGACAACCTGGATGTATTTGGTGACATATGGGTTTGTGCGCCAGTAGTAATTCCACTCCCAGTCTCCAGCTCTGAACACCTCATTGGCCATTTCCTCGGTGACGCATTCAGATGAGTTTGTCACGCTGCATGGAAGGTCATAGCCATTGCAGAGTCGTGCTTGGAAATTGTCAGAGAAGTGGTCAAAGGTGCTCTGCCACGAGCTAGATGTAGCACCGAGCATGGAGCCAAGCGTTGAACGCAACGTTTCCGTCACAGCCAGATGTTCCTTCCACTCAGACGTAGACTCCAAATCATCGAGAGTCGAGGAGATCGCGCTGCAAGAGTATCCTTCATTGACGGTATCAACGGACGAGACCATCTGGTGCAAAGGCAAAGCCCCGTCGTATTCAGGCCAAACCCCACGTAGGACCGCACCCGCAGAGCCTTGAGTCAAGGCGGATTCACTAGACCGGAACCAGACGCGGTCATTGGGGCGTTCTGGAAGCAAGCCGAGCTTCTTGCCGTAGACGTTCCAGAGGTCTTTGCCATGCTGGTATCCATCCTGAACACCACCAATCGTGATCTGGGGGTACTGGCAAGTTCCATTTACACCAGGAGTAAAGGGATTGGACGAGTCCTGGTAGGTTTGGGCATACATGGGCATAGGCTGAAGACCAGTTTCACTGTTGGGCCCGGCGAAGAGGTACGGCCGTACATTATCACACTCGTACGGTTGATTCTAGCTCGGTTCTAGTCAGTTCAAGATATACGGACTATAGGGAAGGGCAGATGTTTACCTCCCCACCAGGAAGGATATTATAGGGGGATCGCCTCTGGTGACGTTGCAGATACTCAAGGTAAACAAGCTTTGCCTTGACTGAGCCGTTCGCGACCGGTCCGGGTAGCTTGTATTCTTGAGCCCGTGGATGCGGCATGGAACAATAATCATATGTTCCATAAGGGGTGCCCTCGGTAGGACCCTGTGTTGGTGCCTTGTAGATACCACCGTATGTTCCAATTGAAGCGTTGGATATATATGATGTCTCATTCAGAGTTGGAGGGTAGAAAGTATCCAAGGGTGTCATGCCTAAGGCAAGGCCGGCAACGCCCAACATCCAGCCGGGATTGATTCCATGCATCATGATGAAGGAAATTGGAAAAGGGGGGGAAAGAAAAGACCTTGAAGTGCTCGTCTTGAAATTATAGATTCATGAATCGAAGCATGAACTACCTACCAAACAGGAAGGGATGTCTGCAAGGGTGAGATGCTGAAGACAGGGGAATATGCTGCATATTAAGTACCCAAACAAGAGAAAAGTGGATTCAAATATTCAAATATTTCGCTAAAACTGGAGAGAAGGACGATGGACGAAGAAAGACACGTGGGTAGACAGAGAAAGAGGCTCGATTCATATGCGCCAATGAGCAAACGGGTCTCTGACACGTGACACATATGGCAATCACAAAAGTAACTGAAATTATATTTCAAAATCAAAAGGTGGAGAGAAAAGGAAAAATATGATCTAGCTCACCAATTTACCATGGCAAGAAAACAATAGGCTAGATTACAATCCACCTCGATAACCAGTTGTCGCATTAGCCTTACTCCACGTGTACCACGTGTCAAACTGCATGCAGATATACCACCCAAGTCTTCAATGTTTCTAGAAACCATTTGAGTTCCGACAAAAAGTCTCAAAAAGAGTCGTTCCAAGGTTCAAAAGTAGATTTAACAAATAATGTGATTTTGTTGATGAAATTTGCCGAGTTGTTCTGCTGCTGATTTGCATGTGGGGGAACTGCCGGTCAATCAAAACAAACCTCTTTGCTCTTACTTATCCAAGTATGAGATGATAGTTGTTAAGACATGGGGCATTATTACTACTGAGAATATTTGCTTTCTTCTACTGGAATACAGGCCCGTGAGATTTCTCTTTGTATACTGTTTTAGAGCAGAAAAATCCATTTGACAACATCTCCATCTACACAGACCTAGTGTTTCAATTTACCTTTTTTATCTTATTAATGAAGACCTGTGAATATGGGAAACTCACCTATTAATCTTCGGGCCATTACTATGTTTTATCCTAGATATCCGTGCTCATTACTCTTTGGTTCAAGGTTTTCACCTCTCTTCAAAAAAGCTTCTACTTAAACATCACCCGAGACCTCATTGTAGAGAAAAGAATTTGACATTCAACGCTTAGAATAAATATCCCACAGACCCGAGCTTCCAAGCCAGTCCAAAAACACTTCATTCAAACCCTGTCGCAACAACTCATCGCCCATGTAAAACTTTCGTCTCTCACTCCATAAATGGGTACCAAATGTACTTTGAAGCGGAATTTTCATGCGAATTGCCTCGATGGACTTTTGAAGATCCACCCAATACACGCTCGTTGGCATCCAGCCACGTTCGAGATCGGTGGAAGATGCGAGACTCTCAAATTCAGGCAATTTCTGGACTGCCTCCCAGATTTTAAAGGCATCATAGTATGCCGCTTTGCCATATTTCTTCAAAACTTGCTGCTGATACTCAGGAGAGACCATCTGGCGAGAGGTTCGGTGCAAATACTCAATTTGCTGAGTAATGATACTCTGCAGCTCTTCTCTTTGGAAGGAAGAGCTTGAAACATCCCCCGCCTTATCAAGATAATGAGTGATTTCATCTCGGAGCTTTCTCAGGCGATATCGAGTCCACTCGGGGTAGAGCGATCCCAGATCCGCATAAGGCCGGATGTTGGTGATGTAGCTGGAGTCATAGACGTTCGGCATCCTTGAGCGATAAGATGTGATTGTAGAAATTCGTTCTTTCACTCCCTTGGCACGAGCAGCCAGGTGTTGAACTTCTCCTCCTTGCAGCATTACTGCATGTCCAATTTGTGGACCTTCCACCTGCATGATTTTTAGCTTGACTTCCTCTCCCCTGGTACTATCAAGCGAGAACTACTTTTTGGGCTTCACCATTCCCCTTTTTGATGTATGTTTCCCCACCGACCATGCCGTCAGTCTCACTTAGCATGACAACACAAACATAAGGATAGGAGTCATAGCTTTCCGCAATCAGTTCTAACACTCTCAACCATGAATGAACTGAGTGGGATACTTACTGCCAGGGTATGATAGAAGCTTCATCTTTCAGTGGATCGTAAGCCCGATCCTCAAGACTCAACTCTATTTTCTCTACTGAAGGCTCAACCTTCAAATTGTTAATCATTCCTTCAATCGTTGCTCCTTCAGCCTGGATGTTTGTATGGCCTATTTCTGTGGGCATCACTACCTCTAAAGGCACCCCGGAAGCCTCAGATACTATTCTCATCATTTCAGGGTGGGTCCAGAAGTCCCGAATAAATCGAGAGTGTTTGACTGCATCACGAAGGACCAGGGTGTTGGGAAATGGCGACGTTGCGCACTGTTCAATCACATTCTGCTGGAACAGGGCCTTTCGATAGGCTCTCACGCCTTGGGGTGATAGTAGTGGGAATGGTACTGTCCCTGCAATAGGCGTTGCGGTTGAACTTGGATTCAAAAGCAAATCTTGCATCGTTATCTTCTTTTCAGGCGGCACATAGTTGAGATGGACCTAATCAATGAAGTCTTGAGCGTTGGTCAAAACGAAAAGTGGTTTGTAACTGGATGGACCTACTGTGGGGTCAAACAGCTCCTCTTTGACAGAAACTAGTGGGTCGGATTCTCTCAAAGGGTCCATCCTGCGCTTGATGTGTCTCCTAAGTAACGATCAATTTCGTGGGATTCAATGTATTCTATCTGGTTTCACAGAAGAGCAGATTGAATCAAAAATGCTGCTTGGAGAAGAGTCAATAGGAGAATCTAGGCACCAAGAACAGAGTTTTAAAGCGACGCGTGCTGCTAATGACTATAGTGACTGCTACACCCTAGGTTTACACTCACACGCTATTCCCATCCAGGTAATTGGGTCCCGCAACACACATAACAAGGGATCGCATCTCCGCTTCTAGTTATCTATTTACAATAAACAGCGACTTATGATTCACGCCCATTTTTGAGAAGTACTATATACCTGTACTTTCTGTTGAATTCTTCGGTATTACAGGGGTCTCATTAAGTTACCTCCCGCTTCCGGTGGTGATTGTATTTACTAAGATTTACAAAATGTCAGATCTCTTATCTCTCTCCCATTGGGTACATGTAAGAGAACTGCCGGGGATAATGCCATTTTCACAGGTAAAACGTGGTGTTTCAAGTATTTGACCCTGGGTACTTAGAGACCGGGGTCGTAAAGTATCCGAGAGCAAATACTTGTGATACACCACTGTATTATCCACAGACCGTGTCAACGGTGTCGGAACCAGTATATATACGGCTTGATGGTGTTAATTTTGATAAAAGAACGTCGATAGAAGAGAATTTGGAATATTTCATTGACTTGGAATGAGATATATCAAACATTAAATCCCCAAGCCAAACAGATCGGATTGAAACCACACATGTGGGCATTCCATAAAGTTACCGGCCAAGGCATTATTTAGTTACCTAGTTATCTATCTCTAAATTAGTTGAAGTTAATTAGTTATCACATCGCTTAGGTAAGGTGACTTAATCGATAACTTAACTCCACAAAGCGGGGTCGACGTTATCTTTTATCGCCAATGCGGATGGCGGATATCTGGATGTCCGAACTTGCGACTCCGTGATAACACAGCGGGCAATAAAGTCCAACTGAAACTGGGAGTATTATTAAGATATATGTGGCAAGAAGACCTTCGCTTTGTTGAATTACGTTCCTGTCTATATACAGGTACCTCTAATGGCCGATTCAGCTCTTAATATACCATCGGTAGATATATCTCCATTCTTGGCAGATCCTAACTCCACTGAAGCCGACAGAATTGTCGCACAGATTCGCGATGCCTGTTGTACCAGTGGATTCTTCCAAATTGTCGGACACGGAATCGATCAAAATTTGCGTGATGCGGTATTTCGCGCTGCCAAAAAAATTCTTCGCTTTGAACTTGGATGAGAAGAAGAAGCACTGCGGTGCTCGTGGCCGGGGTTACGAGCTGATAGGATCTCAAGCTTTGGAGCCAGGAACAAAGCCCGACCTGAAGGAGGTGAGAAAATTCCCAGTTCATCTGTGCTTCCTTTGCCAACGATTGACACTTTCATCAAGGGGTACTTTGTGGGGCGTGACGATCCAACCCGAAAGCCACCATTTCGAGATTTCGAACATCCCAATGTGTGGCCAACAACCGCAATCCCCGATGTCGAGTTCAAAAATCCGCTGGTAGAGTATCACAAAGCTCTTTCGGCCCTAAGTAACCAGATGATGAAGCTCCTGGCTCGTGGCCTCTCAGGCATGGATCTAAATACTGATATCATCAATGATTTTTGCCACGAACCTGTCGCTAGTGTGCGTCTACTGCACTATCCTCCACATCCGCAGGATCATGATCCGGAACTCCGTGGAGCTGGAGCACATACGGATTTTGGTGCGATCACTCTTCTGCTTCAAGATGTCGGGTCAGGGTTGCAAGTCCTCAACCAAAAGTCTCTGGAGTGGATAGACGTCCCACCAAACAAATATGCGTATGTCGTCAACGTTGGCGACATGCTTTCATATTGGACAAAGGGCCAGTACTTGAGTAACATTCACCGCGTTATCAATACCAGTGGAACAGATCGATATTCTGTGCCGTTTTTCTTTGATGGTAATTTGGACTGTGAACTCAGGGCATTGGATGGCTCAAATGGGAAGGTATTGACGGTATCAGACCATCTCCATGCGATGTATGAGAAGGTTTATGTGTGATTATGCGTGGACCACCTTTGATAATGACTGCGTTGTCAAGCATTCCGTCGAATGAATTACTGTCCAAAACTACTAAATTTACTGTTCAGGGCTCAATACTGTCGAGACTCGTGAAGTGATCGATATTGGCCTTCGTGGACAGGTTATCTCAAATGATATAATTACCTTGTTAGAACTCCTGCCTCCTTTTTTGATTAGCTGGTCTTTCTACTTTTACCCTGACCTATGGCATGACTTCTCGAGGCGATACATGCGGAGGCCAAACCAAGTACGTCAAATGCGAAGAGTTCCACCGGTTTTAGGATTCGAAGTAAAATTATACTTTAAAATTGTAAATATTTTGGCGATAGCTGATCTGTCGTCCAGTGGAAGCAAGAGCTACATGGGTAGCCCGGCAACCGAAACAGCGGACAGAACCCGTATCCAGAGAGGGCGGGAGCTATTTACTAGACATGCGAGTTCATGGTTCCCAGGGGCCGCGGGCTCGACTTCCCGTCAAAAGCTGGGGTTTTTCGTCTCCCCAAACTAGAAGGACATCTTCGTGTCTAACTCCAAATTTATCTACCAGATAGATTCCTGGCTCGGATGTGAACGTCATACCGGTCTTTAACAAGCTGGCTGTATTCCCTTGGTTCATATACGGGCTTTCGTGAGCTAAGCCACGTTGTTAGTACCTCGGAATTGGATTCAAGAATGCATATAACGGACCTTTGATTCCGATCCCATGCCCCACACGATGTGTAAAGGCTTCAGCATACCCAGCATCGCTGATGACGTTGCGTGCAGCGATATCCACACTGGCCGCCGTCATATTCTCACGCATTTGATCAATTGAGCGAGTTTGTGCCTCGAAAACAATATCCCAAACCTTAACCCAAGTCAGTGGCCAGGATGAAGCAAAGAAACAGAATGACTTGCCTTCAGCTTCTCGGTCATGCGCGGTGAAAGTATCTCGTGTTTTGACGGCTTCTGCAGGAACGGAGGGAAAAAGGTACGGCAAATATCCGATGAGTAGCCATAGAGATGTGCACTATCTTAGCGTTAGATAGCGAATTTCATAATCTCCAGGAGTTACGAACCCAACATCGATTAAGACCAAGGTCTCGGGCTCCAAAACTTTAGATCCATTGGTTCCACCATGCGGGTTGGACGCATTCTCATCAAAAAGCACGATATCGAAGAAAGGATCCATTCCAGCGGCCCGAAGTGCCTCGTCAAGAGCAGCGGCAATTTGATTCTCCGTCAATCCTGGGTAGAGGCATCTTCTCATCTGTCGCACCGCTTCAACGGTTCCGGTATTAACCGCGCGTAAAATCTCAACCTCTCTATCTGTTTTGATCTGTCTGACTTCCTCAACATGGCCCTGCAGACCGACTATCTCAAATCCCGCAGATCCAAGTCCGCGCTGGATGAAATCTCGCATTTCTTCATCTACCATCAGGCGCGCAGGTCGACGGAGGCCCAAGAACACATCCGATTGTTGGAGAGTGGCGTACGGATTCCAGTGCTCCTCCCACGGCACGATCGAAATTTCCTCAGAGAAAGGCATTCCAAGAAGACGGGCACGTTCAGCCTCGAAAGACGGGCAGAGAAAGGTGGTATTGGCCTTCACGCTGCCGGTGGATTCATCATGGAATGGGCGTACAACCATCAGAAAAGGACGCTCTTCCGGCTAAGTTGGTGGGTCAAATATGCCCAGAAGAATTGAGATCCTAATGAATGACTTACCTCCCACACTTCCCACTCGGGCTGGCTCACGTTGCCATAGTACTTGAATGTATACCCCGGCTCAATCACGAAGGCATCAGCTCCCTCATCAACCAGCGCTTGCGCCAATCGATCCCGTCGTTCTTCAAAGTCTGCAACTGTGATGGGGATGACGTTTCTCATGAATGGGAGCCCCGTATCGAGAAGATTGTTGGTTGCGCATTGTTGGAATGTTTTCAAGCGGTCAGAGTTGTCCAAGTCGCTCCGAATGATTTGACCAGGCGCGAGGAGATCAACGTCCCTAAGCAACGATGTGTGACGAGAAAAGTTGTAAGTCGTGGCTAGTAGACCAGCACTGGCTATCATCCATGCCAGGTTGCGAGCTGTGAAGCGATTCCTGGGCTTGGCCTCGCCAAAGGGCAGGTGTTTTGACATGATCCAAGTAGTTGATACAAGTGAAAAAAAGAAAATTGTCTTCCATTTCACCCCTCATTCAATTTCCCCCTCAATCTCGGGTTGATTCTTATCTCGTTTTGACCTTCCTACTTTCGCATCTGCTTTCCCCGCCTGGGCCGCTTTTTAGCGTCAAGGCCCAAGCACCGTTGCGGAAATTTATACGGTAGTTACTTTTGTGCCTCTTGATTGGTACAGTCGGACTAGATTTACCTGCAACGACATCGGACAAATCAGGTTTACTGCTGTATTCTGGTAGATACCATGGATTTTATAAAGTGTGAGCCGTGTCCAAATCTGCCAAGTACCAACAGCTAACTCCAATCTCCAACCCCATCATGGAAAAGCCTACAGTAGTCGAGAAACGTGAGCCTTGCGAAAAGAAACCAGAAGCGAAAGAAGTGGACGTTCCAATGGCGACGCTTGCCCTTTCCCCCGCAACATGTTATCTGACAGATGACCCCTACAATGGCCGAGGCTACTCACGCCTCTCCATGATCACGATGGTCATCTTCAGTGGCCTCGCAATCGGGTCGGATGGCTTCAACGCTTCCATCATTGGGAACCTGGAATTGATCATGGCCGTCATTTATCCGAAGTCGCTGACCACGGCTGTAGCCGCTAGGTTATCCAACGCATTCATGGTCGGTATGATTATCGGCATGCTTTCATTTGGTTACATCTCTGATAAGATGGGGCGCAAGGCTGGCGCTGTTCTAACAACCACAATTTTGGTTTTGGGGATTGCGTTGAGTGCCGGTGCTAGCGGGCTGACCGAGGATGGGATGTTTTGGATGCTAATCATAGCCCGCGGAATCGCAGGTGTTGGAGCTGGCGGGTGGGTTAATTCACCTTATCCGTGAGCTATTGCTAATTTCAGCCTATTAGAGAGTACCCTGTTGCAGGGGCTGGTGCTGCTGAAGCCACAGACGAGGCTCCGAGCATTAGGAAGCGAAGAGGCTTTATTTTTGCAATCATTGGTGACCTGTCGGCATCCCTTGGATTTGCCTTTGGTTCTCTGGTACCACTGATTTTGCTTTTGTGTTTTCATCAACAAGTAAAACACTATGAAGCTGTGTGGCGAGTCTCATTGGCCATGGGGGCCATTGCTCCTCTTTCGATCTTCTGGTTTCGCTATCGGATGGTTGTCAGCTCAGCATATCGCAAGAGCTCTATGAAAAAGCAGAGGCTACCCTATTGGCTAGCGATCAAAAAGTATTGGCGGCCTTTGCTGGGTGTTTCTGGTTCGTGGTTCATGTGAGTACCCTCAATACCGCAGAATAGTCTCGCTGTGGCTAATCACAGCTGATACATCAGTTACAACTACATTTCCTATCCTTTCGGCCTGTTTTCATCCACCATCGTCGGTCAGGTAAATCCGTCCTCTTCCTTGGCGCTCACAATGGCCTGGGGAACATTGATCAATTGCTTCTATATTCCCGGCGCTTTCATTGGTGGTTTTCTCTCGGACCGTATTGGCCGCCGCCGCACTATGGCACTGGGGTTCTTCCTTCAGGCCATTCTTGGCTTCATCCTAGGAGGAGCGTTGGGCCCGATCCAGACAAATCTACCACTATTTATCGTGCTCTATGGCATATTTCTTACCCTCGGAGAGGTCGGCCCAGGTTCTACAATTGTTCTTACTGCCAGTGAAAGCTTTCCCACGTCAGTTAGAGGCCATGCAGTAGGACTAGCTGCTGCATGGAGTAAGGCCGGGGCGGCGATTGGAACTCAAGTCTTCAAGCCAATCATGGCTACATGGGGCGATGATGAGCTTCATGGCACTCAGGCCGTCTTTCTCATTGGATCAGGGTTTGCCGTACTCGGAGCTTGCCTGGCGTGGTTTGTGCTCCAGGACAGTAATAAAATCCTCGATCACGGTGACCAGGAGTGGAAGGATTATCTGGTTGCTCATGGCTACTCAAACATTGAATGGGGCAATGGAGAGCAAGAGGCTATACCGGACCAAAAACTGGCTGATTAGATCAACTCGCACGAGTCAGTGCTCAAAGTCGAAGGTCATTGTCGGGCTTCGCTTTTCCTTCAATGTCGTCTTCAAAGATGAGTTGTAGTCCCTCTTGAAAGGGACCAACTTACTTGCGAAGTTCTTTGACTTGGGGCCCGCCATACTCCCTGGCAACTCGCAGCTCTTTGAGAATATTTAGAAGATCAAGTACGAGTATCTTTCTGATACTAGAGGCTTACCCCCGCGCTTTTTGCACGGCGCCTACTTAGGTTTTAGACCTCACCTCCTACTATATCTCCTACTCAGTCTCCTACTTGATCTTCTTCTTAGTCTCCTACTCAGTATCCTATCCAGTATCCTACCTTCTTTCGTACCGTGTTAATCTAATGGTCAAAGGTCTCCCCAAATTCATAATTAGCGGAATAGAAATGCAAGAGAGAGAAAAGAGAAGAGAAAAAAAATGAAGTGGAAGGAGAAGGGCAAAAAGCAAAAATCTGGTGGAGGTTTCGAACGTATGTCCAAAAAGTCTGCAGCGTACCCAAGTAACAGAGTGGTAGATTTTGCATGTGCCTTATCGATTTTTTGTACTGGGAACCAGAATTGTAAATAAGCGTTGCATATCAAGTAGTAGAACTGGAGCTCATATGTGTTAAAAGAAATTATAAGTTGAAAGAATGTGCAAGTGGAGGCTGTGAGAGTCACCTCATCTTGATCTCGGTAATTCTAGTCATTGAACAATTACAACCCCTCCGCCACCAAAGCCAGTGGAGCACAATCAGATGCCACACCACCCACAACAGTGTATGTCAGATCAGAACCCTCGAGGACACTCGCACCAGTATCAGGATCCTCAACAAGGAAAACCTTGTTTAATTGATCCTGGATTCCGCACACGAAGGGGAAGTAGTAATTCCCAAGGGTATCAATCGCGACAAGAATGTCCTCAGCTCCCGTGGACATCGGAACCAAACTAATGAGGTTGGCTGTCAGGGGAATCTCGCCCCAAGCTCCAAGACGCAGCCGTGACGCCCCAACAGAAGTCATACTATCGGGAAAGTAGTAAAGTAGACGAGAGGCCGAGTCTCCGATGACAAGACCTTCAGTAAGATCGGCGGCAAACTGGATTCCGTCGGTCAAGCTGGTGAGATTGGTGCTGTCGCTGACAATGGAGACGAACAAGCTTCCATTGATAGAGGGATTCAAGTAGAGTGTACCAGTGGTGTCAGTGATAGTCATAACGCCAGTAGTGTCATCAATAGTGGAGTTTGATACCACTGTTGCATTGTCAGACCGGGAAGAGAAGAAATGACGACCGTAAGGGCCAAATTTCCCGGTCGGAGAACGCTTCTTCTGTTGAGGGACGCTGACCGGAATCGTCTTGGATCTGGAGACAAGAGTGCTGTACGCACGCTTATCCGTCAAATCCGACACATCAACTGCTCTCTTCTTAGTGACTGAGGTGGGGAAGGCTTGGTAGGTGTTCTCATCGCCAGTAAGGTGTTGCAAGTTGCCAGACGAGTCGCGGTAAAAGATGACACCAGTCTTTACATAGCCATACCAAAGGTCCTCTCCGAAAAATGTGTTGGAGAATTCGAATGACTCTCCCGCTGCGGCGGCGCTGTAGACTGCATCATAGACTGTCTCATTTGTTATCACACCGATGCCCCAAACAATGGAGACAATCGTGATTTCAGCGTCTGCTGGTTTGGTGTATGTGGTCGCTTCGTAGGTGTATGGAGATAGACTGAGAGCACCAGGAACGATCAAGTATTCTGCACGGGCAAGCATTGCAGACACAAATACGCGAAGGTCAGTGCCATACTCGAAGAGCATGACGATAGATCTCTCGTCCGAAGCCTTCGACGTACCGGCCCATGAATTGGTGAAGAACGCTTCGAGCTCTGGAAGAGTGATAAGAATGTCATTACCGATGACAAACTTCGTCTTGGCAATGCTAGTCTGGTCAGAGTCTCCGTAAATGAAGTATTCCATTGTAACCGAGGTTGGTGTGGCCACGGCTGTAGCTGTAGTCGTTGTAGCTGTAGTCGTTGTTGCTGTAGTCGTTATTGCTGATGTGGTTGTTGAAACAGCATCTCCAATACACCCATTGGCCAGATCAGCCAATGTGTACGAGTCCAGCGTATATGTGCCCGCATCAAATGCGGAAAGATCAAGAACGACATTGTTAACCAAGGCCAGGTCCCAAGTGATGCCGTAGCATCCATCGGCAGGAGTGACGTCTGCCTCTCCATTTGTGTAGGACAGATCATCATCGTACTCAGCTTTTGACTGTTAGAAGGTAGTTCAAAGGTGGAAACATAGAGAATGGCTTACCAGTAGCAGAGATTCCTGGAGTATCAACCAATTTTGCTTCCTTCTCCCACTTTCCATTCAAAATATTGAGACCAAATGCTAAGGTCACAGGAAGACCCAAAGTGGAAGTAATAGTAACATCCCCGTCGAAGCTTGCAGAGTAATTGTGGGTGGGTGTGAAACCAGAGTGAGTAGATTGAGAGTGGTCAATCAAATCGAGCATGGCAGAGATATCGGACCAGATCAACCCAGCCCCAACGAGATATTGACCCTCGGCTTGAATATCAAGCTCAGCAGACACACCAAGGGCCAAGCTAGGACCCAATGTGACAATGTCAGGAATTGAAAAGCCGGGCAGACCGACAGTGAAAAGATCGTGCTCGGTGAGCAAATCATATTCAGCAAAGGCATCGAGGCCAATGAACAATCCGGCGTACATATTTCCCGTTAAGGAGAGTTGACCTTTGGTAATTCCAGAGGTAATGCTGGCCGAGAATGAACCAGTCACTTTGAAGTCACCGCTCACGCCACAGTTAACACACCAGAGTTCAATACCAGGCTCGGGATCCGCATCTCCAATAAGCTCTTCCGTGATCTTTTCCAGGACGTTTTCATCCAACGAATAGTGGGAGTCATCATCATCATCAAGGGTCAGAGTATAGAACTTAAACCCATCACCCCAAGGGGACTCGGTCAAGAGCGAGGATGGAGGCCCAATGCTCAGTGGGAAGTTGAAGGTTTGCTGGTAGTTGCCAGTCACGACAAAAGTTGCGAGCGCCACCACCGTTTTCGCAATGGTAGCCACTGTACTTGCAACTGACTTCACAACTGATGCTACAGATGCAACAGCTGTAGTGACTACAGCCTTTGCGACCGTAGTCACTTTGGTAACGACGGCCTTAGCAACAGTCTTGACTACCGCAGCGACCTTCTTAATGGCAGCCTTGATTTTGCTAAAGATGGATCGACGCATCTTTCGGGAGTTCGTGCTCGCTGAACCAGGAGCAAGAGCAAGCAGAGTAGCCTAGTTTCAAGTTAGCGTAATGAAGAGGCTTTCAGTTTGGGAAAGGGGAAAGAAGAGCTGAAAACGTACATCGGTATCAGCATCAGTTGCAACAGAGTAGTAGCCAAGCAGATCATCCAGATTCTCGTCGAAGTCACTTCCACAGGAGACTGCTGGAAGACCATCAATATATGACGAGTCTGGCGAGGTGCAGCCTAGAGATGATGAAGAGGAAGTGGTAGTAGAATTGGAATCATCCTCTGTGTAGTCAATTGAGCCAAAATCCATTCCAACGGTTTCCACAACATCTGAAATTGATTCGATGGTACCAGAAGCCACAAATGAATCTGTCGAATCATCAAAGACAATTGAAGTAGACAGGAAGTAGATACTCTGGCCATCGGAACTACAGCTAGACGCGGCCGTGACGAGGATCACCTCGGAATCAGTGGGCCAAGCACCTTCAGCATAGACATATGCCGCCGAATTGCTGAAACTTCCCGACAACGAGTTGTCGACGCAGACGATATCCTCAATGTAGATCGATTGATCTAGCACAATGGAGTCATACGCAAAGGTAAGGTTCAAGCGCACGTAAGGATACGCAGTGCTGGAGTCAGAGGAGGTACTATCATCTGCACTGTACCACACTTGAGCAAGCCCAGTGGGAGTCAGAACACCAGTGCCGCCCATGTTGACACCAGGAGGATCAATGGGAGTCAAGGTAGCTGTTGGGGCGGTGCTGAGAGTAATTGGACCTGCGAATGAAGAGACTGTACCGCCACCGTAATTGGAATTGGAAGTTGTTGTGACAACGTATGAAGCAGATGTGACTGTGGCAGTGGCGGTGATAAGATCAAAAGTTGTAGATGAAAGAGTCACATAATTCACGGAAGTGGCAGTCACAGTGTCCGTTACATCAGTGGTGAAATCGATCGTGGACTGCACAATGGACTCTGCCGTGATGGTCTCGATGAAGTCGACCGTTCTCAGGATTGTATTTGTAGTGGTCTCATCCAACGTCACAATATCCGTAATGTCTTTTGTGGTGCGAACCGTTGACAGAATGTTATCAGTAATAGTGGCGGTTTTGTGAACAGTCGAAGTCTCGGTTATCTGAAATCCAATTAGCGAAGAAACTTCATTTATATCAGTCCAGGGCAGATGCTGCATGTACAGTAGGTTTGACGGCAGTTTTGGTTATAGCATGAGTGATCGTGGGCGTTGGCAGGTGTAAACAAGAGCAGACGGCTGTGACAACATTGCTCCCAAGTCCCCGAAGAGCCCAGGGAACGGGCCGTTCCGGTGGATGCCCAGGAGATCGCCCAAAGATTTGTTCAAATCCTGCGGTAGAGGTAGCTGTAACCACATCCAAATCGGTTGAAGTCAAAATTTGGGTGATTGTAGCAGTCGACGTATCGATGATGGTAGCAGTGTCAGTCTGAAACACATCATTTATTATGGTTGTTGCCAGTGTGGTATCAATGGTATCAGTAGTTGACAGGGTAGAGTGGTCTGTAGTGGTCTCGGTCCGTCGGTCGGTGATTATTTCAGTGACAAGGTGGGTAGCAAGGACAGTGTGGGTGCCTGTTTTGGAGACAGTAGTCGTAACAATTCTGGGCGGTGGAGTCCATGTTTTCGTGACAGTAGTTGTGTGGGTTGGAATATGCAGTACACTACTGCAGTATAGCTGGGCCTCCCAATCCCAAGAAATATCATCAATCACATGGCGTTCAGATTGACAGACATTGCCCTCTTTTAAAGAAGGTAGGGCAGAAGCTGTGGCCACAAGGGCCAACAGAAGATGGGTCCAACCCATCCCCGAGAGCCAAGATAACAAACGAGTGAGATATCTATATATATGTGAATATTGAAGCGAATGGACGTCAAAAGAATTGACCGGTAAAAGGAGAATGTCCCAGGTTTGAAGCCTAACGATCAGTCATATTCATCCGGGGAAAACCTTTGCCCATATATAGTAGGGGGAAATGGATGAGGCCTTTGCTAATTTGGTCAATTGAGATAGCTGGGGTTCTCCTGGCTAAAGATGGACAAAGCAAGCGATGATAGTGCCCTGGTTTGGGGATTCAATAGTAACGCCACTTTGAAAGCCGAGGCTTGCGTGCTGCGGCTCGAAATGAGATGAAATATTCCTTGCGGTTGGCTTTTTATGCCAACATTCATTAACAGACACTAACGGTTTCAAGTTGCTTGCAATTCCCGTTTTATGATCCTCTCTTTTACATTTTTTCAATGCCTGTCTATGTGCATTCTGTCGTTTCTGTATGTAGTATTAATGTCTAACTAAGCGGTTTAAAAGGGTCAGGTGGCTTAAGCTTTTTTGCCCAGGGTCTGTCCAATCGGCCCCGTTTCCCCGCCACTTTTATGCTCTTTTGCTGGATAAATTACCCACTTAAATTTCAGGCACCAGCTTAATGTATCTTAGTTTGGGGAAGAAATAACCGATCTTCTCCCACAAAAGCGCCACAACAGCTAAGCTATTTGTACCCGAACTCCACCATAACTGCCGGCCATGGATAATTAGGTCAAGATACCGGAATTGGGCTGATTCCAGGAGAATCTTTCGATGGATTTTGTCTCCCTGGTTCCAGTCTGGAAATTGATTCATTTTTGCCAGATCCAATGAAGTTGGAGGATATGGAACTACAAGAAAAAATAGAGTTCCAAGCACAGCTTAGCGGAAGCTTTACGCTCACATAACCCCATAGAGGGTTTAAAAGGGTTATTGAGCAATTGATACGCTATAGTCCCCTATTATCGGGTGCATGGAGACCAGTCCAAGCCCAGCTGACTCCGGCTCGCTTGGACTAACCCTGTCGATCTAGCTTTGGGTGAGTGGGTCTGCTCTGCACACTTTAAATTATTCGCCTTGTCGGCAAGTAAATTTGGTTCAGTCCATAATTAAAGGGCACTTCTGCCGAGCACTTCCGAGGGTGGCTGAGCGAAATACAAAAAATCTCTTAATTTCGACTATCACCCACAGCGCTCACCTCTGTTGTATGCTTAAAATAGTTGCGTGAAATAGAGCATAAATAATTCAAGCGCCTCCGAATGACACAAAATAGCTTATCCACACCACTACTTTGAGTACTGTGGACACTTGGGAAATCTTACGATACGTGTATATATTTCAGACACAGTATCGCTCATCGGCTCATCGAGGCTGTACCTCTAGAGCATATGTCGCGATTGCTATCTGAAGATTAGCGCTGTCTCGGCCTTCTCCGAGAGCCAAACCCTCGGCTTTACCATCTTTATTGGGGGCTATTTTTGATCTCTTGGGCACTGTGACATTTGATATTGATCACTGATCACCGGTGATAGAAATTTGACTAATGCAGGCTGCCGACCGGACCCGTATTGTGCATCTTTTGCCAGATGAAATTCATAGAGATGCCTACTGCCGAACCGGGTCCGGGGTCGTTACTACCAAGAAAGGGTAGCCAAATTCAGATTGGTGAAAGCTTGTACTTGTATGAAGAATACTGTTAATACTTCTCTTGAAATAGTACTCGATAGGAATGACTTGAGGGCTTATTGGGAATATTTTAAGACATTTTAGGAGAGACAATATCAATCGCAAGAACATTCTCAAAAGGCCATACATATACTTTCTAAGGAAAGAAAAAACCGGCGCAAAGAGGAAAGCCAAATCAAGTAGTTTGAGCTTCATGGGTATGATATGATGGACTTCTGTCACGAAAGCAGTTAACACAGATTTCTTGATGCGATGTACTGACGAGGGTACGTATTCCTTCATCGGCTGACTGCGTTTACCGCACCTGTGGTTTTGAATGCAAGTTCAACTTTTAGGTTAACGGCAGCAAAGAACACCGTCTACGGAGGCGAGTAGCGGCCATGAGGACAGAAACTTCAGAATCACATGATAAATAGCCGAAATTCATGTATGCTACTAAGCTAATCTACCCCTTTGTCACTTGGGTATACCACAGACTTTTTTGAACGGACGTTCGAAACCTCCTCCAGACTTTTCTTCCTTTCACCTGCTCCTTCCACTTCATTTTTTTCTCTTCAATCTTTTGTCTCTCTTTTCTATTCCGCTATATGTAATCTTGGAGAGCCCTTTGAACATTTGACTAATCTGGTATGATAAGGGAAAATACTGGATAGGAGACTAAGTGGGAGACTGAGCAGTAGACTAAGTTGAAAATTCAATGGGAAACTGATAGGAGATAGAGTAGGAGATATAATATTATACCTTAGTAGTAGGCGCTACCCTAGAATGTTCTGTCCTCATGGCCGCCATTCGCCCCTATAATCCATCCTCTGGTTAAAGTAGAGCGGTGAGTGTAAAGGATGAGTCAACCAATACCTATCGCCTTCTTTATTGGTGACCTCACACAGTCAAGAGGAGCAAGAAGAGTTTAGTTTGGCCGCAACGGGTTACCTGTCGCTGCGGTCGTAGACCGTGGCGTCAGATAGGCCCAAATGACCCGGGCCAAACTAGGATGGTGGAGGGGACGGTGGTGGAAGCAGCAGAGACAGCGGGGCCGGGGAGCCTGTCTGGAACTGGTGGTTGAGCTTGTAAAGGACTGACGCATTCGTCGTAAAATAGACCCTGAATGCCTCCGAGGTCCATCTCCCTAGCATCTGAATCTGGTCGTCGAGTATCCCACTATCGTGCGCATGCTGAGCCGCACCCTTCCGAAAGCTGTGACCTGAATATCCGTGTGTCGGTATCCTAAGTGCTCTTAGCTTAGTAGATAAGGTCGAGAGGAAGTTGTTGCGGCTAAATGGTCTTCTGCCGAAGGAGAATAATGGGGCGTCGGGCCCTTTGGGGTCGAGAAGTAGCAGTTTCCGAAGGGCGTCAACTGGGCATGCGCCGTCTCCCGTCTTTGCAAGAATAATTTGCACCCCTTCGTGACGGCGGTCCGTCTTACTGCGCTTGAGTGTGAGTTGCGCGTGGTCTAACGAGGGCGAGAGTCTGACGTCTGAGCGCGTTAACTTTGTGGTGGAGAAGATAGAACGTGTGCGGAGGTCTTTAGTCTTATAGGTAAATTCTCCGAGGCGGAGAAACCCAGCAAATGCTACCCGACACGCGGTTACGAAGTTTAGGTCGTCTAGGAGGTTCGCATTCATCTCTAAGGGACGTAACGGGAGTATGGCGAGGCCTGCGGATAGTTTCGTGATAGTGTCACGCGAAATCGGTTTTCTGAGCCGTACTTTTATCATGGGATTGAGTCTTCTCGCGCCGTCTATAAGACGTCGGAAATGCTTATTATTAAAGAGTTTATCGTCATGGAAGTTGTCGATATGGTAGGCTCGGAGAGCGGCTAGGTCGGCGAGTGCGGTATCAGGCTTGACGGCCTTTTGACTAGCGTTACCAAGAAGTCGTGCGCTTAGCCATGAGGTCAATGAATGCCTTGAAACTGGCCACGCGGATAGATTCTGTAGCGCGTAGTGCTTTTCGTAATTACGCTGAACGGAGAGGTAAACGGAACGTGTGTTAGCGCTGAGTCCGTTCCAGAGCAGTTTCAGGTGGCCTGCATTGAGCTAAGGAGCTCGTAAAGAGAACCACGCGGGCGGTTCAATACCGAGAGGTCCTGCTAGTGGGGACAAATATTAGCAATGTCTTTAAGATTATTACGTGAGAGCGCATCTGCTAATGTATTTTCCCGGGAGGGGAGCCATAGTGGCACGATATGGATGTCTCTCGCCGCCGCTAGGATAAGTAGGCTCTTTAGAGGTGCGTTAGGCGGACCATGAAGGAAGCCTTTCTTAAGTCCCATGTGCGCTGTAGAGCTATCCGTGTGGATAACGAGAGTATGATGGAGCCAATGGTGGCTGAAGAGTAGGAAGCCTTAGAGGATGGCGTCTACTTCTTAAGTATTGATGTGCGCATGTACGTCTTAAGCAAGGGCCAATGTGGCAGTATTGCTTTGATGAAGCTGGTGACAATAGGCCAGCCAGCAGTCTAATGTAGACTTGGATGAGAAGAAGAAGAGCCCCTAGCCTATACTAGAAGCATCTGTGTAGAGATGCGTGATAGTGCGGCGGCAAGGGTCAATGAGGAGTACGCCGTTAAAGAGAGATAAGGAGTCCCTCCACCATTCCAAATCGTCACATACCTCGTAGGGGATACGGCAGCGCGCGCTACTCCCATATGGGAAAACGGCTTAGAAGGAGTATAGAGACTATAGCCTTGTTCTCCCTAGCCGGACAACTCTTAAACAGAAGGCTAATAAGCCTGCGAGGCGCTCTGTTTACTTAAGTGAGAGACTCACTGCCGTCAGACAAGCTGCGGCGTCCAATATAGCGCGGCATAACTTTTCTGGTGGTAGACAAGCTTCCATTACAATAGAGTCGATCTAGATACCTAGGACTGTAACGCAGGTCCCTTGCTGGTCCTTTTTGGTATTGCGGGGGATACGTAGGTAGTCGGTGACCCTGTTGTAAACCTCGTCGAAGGGACCCGTGGGCTCGGACACCGAGGGAGACCGGGCAATGACGATGAAGTCGTCTAGGTAATGATTGATATAGAATGCAGGTAGGTGGCATTGGAGTATCCAATGGAATGCCTCGGCGAAGAGATTGAACAGAAATGGGGCCGTTGCGAGGCCAAAGGGGAGACAGCATTCGACGTAAGTCGAGTCATTCCACTGGAAGGCAAGGAGATGTTGGTTATCCTCGGCAACGGGGACTATTCGGAAGGCGTCCTTGATATCCCTCTTAATGATTGTGCAACCTCGGCCAGCTTATATGACCTACTCGTAGATATGATCGATTATCATATATTCGATCGCTGACCAGGAGTCCGGTATGCCCTGGTTAAGGCCCTATCCAGGCGGCCAAGATAGGTCATGGATGCGGCGCCATCCCCCATCGTGCTTAGGAACCAACCCAAGCGGTGAAACAAAGGAGGGCCTAGAGGCTAGTCTAACACGGCCGAGGTTGAGGTCTTCTGCTAGTTGGGCCGTGATTATGCCGGGTTCGTGTATGTGATGGTTAGAGGAATAGCGAAACTGCTTCTTGCCCCTATAGCCAACCTGGGCACCATAGGTCAGAATCCCAGCGATAGTAGAGCCCAGATCGCCTGGATAGTAGCGCAGAAGATTGCTCCAGCCTTTCGCATTGAGTGGTGACGGAGAGGATTGTAATCTTGGGAGCTCTAGGTTGAACACGGGGTATTGAATAGCAGTATTTAGTCTAGGTAGTTGCCCCTGCGGTGTGAGGCTTAGGGACAAGGGGTTAAGAACAACGTTACCGGTGTCACTAGTGCAGTTCTCAAGAGCTATCGCTTGCTACTTCTTCTTACGGCAGGAGGAGGCACCATGCTCGCTTAGGCCGCATGCCGTGCACTCATGACGTCTCTTGCAGCCTTCCCAGGAGCACCCTATCGTATTGAACTTATCGCAAACCTCTGTCTCATTATTCGAAGACCTGGTATTCCTGGCTTGACGAGGCCGGGCTGGAGGATTTGTTAGTGACTTCGCAGGTAGGGTGAGATTATGGCGGAGGTATTTCTCGCGAAATGGGCCCGTGACCAGGTAGTTATCCGTCGATAGCTCTCCTTTATCCAGTATGTATTAGTGGAAATTAAGGGCAAGTAGGAGAACTGCTTCCGACCACTGATAAGTCTGAGCGAAGTCCAGGATCTGTCTCATAAACATGAGGAGGTTGGGAATTGCCTTAGGATGTTTCTCGCCGAAGAGGTACCCTACAACGGCCAGATAGGCAAGAAAGCAAGTCGTCCATATCTGAGAGTTAGGGCCCCAGTCCTTAAGCGACGCTGCTGCCTTCTTGAAGCCCACTGTGCCTCCCGATTCGGTCATTTTGAAGACTCTATCCTCCTGATCTAGCTCGGTGACTGACTTCTCTTTGAAGCGTATAAGTTCAGTCGCCTTCAACTTCCTCTCGAAGACGCGGATAAGAAGGGCGGCGGAGACACCCGGAAATATGTCGATGAGTGATTTGACCTCAGGGGGAGGCTCACGGTTTTCTTCGAGATTATCGTCATCTTGCAGGTCCACATGAGGTCTTCTGCGGCGTAGATCGGTCTCTGCTACATCCAATTCAAGGCGTCTAGCCCTGTCTTTCTGTATCTGCCCTAACCAACTGGCACGGTCTGCCGCACCCATAGTCTCCCAAATGTGGGCCGGTGGCCAAGCGGAGTCGAGCGGGGCAGGAGTGACACTGCTGGACTGGCTGAATGTCATGGTGGAGAGAGATATAGTCAAGGCTTATCGATGCTGTTGCCGTAGGGAAGGACGTGAAACACAAAATTGACACTTGACTGCCTGAGAGATGACGAGCTACGAGCTACCCGCAGAGGCCATCAAATGACTCTCGTGAGGCAGTTGTAGGAGGAAGAGGCCCTCGGAAATGTCGGTGTAGATATCACGTGAGGCTACAGACATGGTGAGGCTACAGGCATTGTGAGGCAACCCCAATAAAACCACTCCCTTGATGCAGGCTTCAGATCACGTGTGTATTACCAGGTTCTCTCATCGACCAAGTGTAATGTAAGACTTATTTCAAACTATAAAATCCATGGATATTCCATCAAAAACAATCAAACCTTGAAACCGAATATGAACCCTTGTAACATAGAAATTTTCTTGTTTGGTTCCTTTGCTCTTTCATCGGTAATTCGAACAGTTCTATCAAGAAACACAAGTCTATGGAAAGGTTTTACTAATTTTAGATAAAAGGACGGTTTAGTTGATTGTAGATACGTATAAACTTCCACAGAGTTACATCAGTTAATCCGAATCTCGGGGATGGGGACGGCTGTTGGGGCATTTGCAGGTAGATGCGTGGGTACATCATGTTCATGATTCCATGCACTGCCGCGACTATATCGTGTACTCTTTCTCAACTCCTCTTCAAGTAGTATCCACTTCCTGACCAATTCGGATCTGTCTTCCTCTGACGCTTTTGGCATTTCCTCGTGGCCTTGCTTAATGCGGGAGACCACAATATGATTCTGCTGGGATTTACCCAAGGAGACCAGAAGGGTTCGGCGAATTCCAGCAAGTGGATAACCTGCAAGCCCCCAGAGACCTAAAGGACGGTTATTCTGCAGCTGATACGAGCGTAGCATTAAAAGGAAATCTCAAAGAGAACTTACCGGCTGGAGGTTTCAAAATAATCCCACAGATGCCTTTTCCAACACCCTTGAACATGCCTGTAGCACCATTCTCTTTCAGGCCATATCTGGGGAGAGTAAAGAGGCCTGTTATACCATGATAGAAACTATCGGTGAATTCCTGCGCCAAATATTAGTTTTGCTCCTGCCCCGGTCAATCACGGATATTGATTATACCTTTCCAGCCGCTCTGAATCCGCTTCTAAAGCCATGAACGTTGGGCGTATCCGTGACCGTTGGATCATTGTACAGTCTTGGCGCATTGTGGAAGCCTTTTGAAAGACTCAGTGAGAGATCAGTGGGTAGCCAAATGAGATGGTTCAATAGCCGTTTCGACATCATAGTCCAATGTATTGCTGCTTCAGTAATAATACTTGGTTGTTTGCCCGATCGCATCTCACAACCCATCGTCACCTGCTTTTCGAGGTGCAAGCTTGTCGCCCTGTCCAGCTTTTCTATGTCAAGACTTCCATTCATGTGCTCCTCGTCATCTAGGCTATCCATATCCTCATCTTGTTCCGCCAGTACTACCTGATGCTGTTGAAGCTGTTCTGGTTCTCTTTCATCATCAGTTTCACTTTCAGTTTCGGCTTCAGAATTGCTAGCCGAAAATTCGCGTGAGCGTGAATGGGAATGAGAACGGGATCGGGATGGCCGATGCGCCCGACGGCACACATACTCCTGGATAGGATTGGAATGATCATGCGGGTGGTTTATCAAACGACCCGCGGAAAAAATATCTCCAACAAAGCCCACTGGCGTATCAGCTATGCCAATGATAAAGTTGGCAATGGCTCCAAACAATACCTGTGCTGATGCACTGAGAGGGCCGGCCGGGTCGCGGTAAGTGTCATATTCTTTGGGCCGGTTTCTACATACAATATTAGCATGTGAATGTTCCGCTGTATGAGATAACGAACAAGACAAGCCCTGAAGGCGACAGCCGCCCCATTTCAACCAAGGTAGAGGCTGCAAGGGCACTCAACCCAACCTTCGTGTGCCGAATGTGCCAAACCGCGGGGCGATCAGGAAAAATCGCACATCTCATAGATTCCAGATCAAGTTGTCGGTGAAAGCTGCGCACAGCATCCTTCACACCAGATTCTGTTTTCATCCTATTTCCAATGTCCTGGGCTCTCTCATGCGTTGAGGGCTCCAGAGCCATTTTTATCGCGCTACTCAGTTTATCCACTGTCAACTGTTTATGTGGAATTGGGGGGGGGGGGGGGCCAGCTCCAGCCCTTGCAACTATACCTCCCCAGAATTCTTGGTCCCCGAAGAAAGGAACGATGATAGTGGGTCGCCCAAGAGCCAAACCAGCAGCTGTTGTGCCAGCACCGCCGTGGTGGATAACACACGAGACATGTCGGAAAAGCCAGTCATGCGGACAGCTTCCAATTACCAAAATGTTATCAGGAGTCTCATCATTATCGGCACCCAAGTTACCCCAGCCTTTAGAGACAAGGGCGCGCTGTCCGCTTTTTTCGATTGCTTTGAATATAACTTCAGTTAGCTTGATTGGATTGTCCACAACAATAGAGCCGAAGCCAACATAAATTGGTGTTGAGCCTGCATCAAGGAATGCTTGTATCTCCTGTGGAGGTTGGTAATTGGACTCGGATGGAAGAAAACTGAACCCGCAAATGTCAATATTGCCAGCCCAGTCGCGTGGCTTCCGAAGTAACGCTGGGGACCTATATCATCACTCTTTTAGAGATGAATCTTACTATTTCCGAAAAGGTAGAATAGTCTTACCATAGATATGAACAAGGAATCTGGAGTCGATGGATCAAACTCGGAGCTGTGATGCTGTCTACTGGATCCATTGATAATACTTTTTTCCGTAACTTATTCACAAGATCGCCTAACCCCTCCCAGACCATCATATCGACAACAGCATATGATACGAAATTTGCAACGCTTGGTTTACACCGTTGCTGGTGAATGATGGCTAGGGGGTGTGGAAACGATTGGGTCGGTGACCATGGCATTCTATTCCGTATAATTTTAGTAAGTGGCCCCAGGGATTCTTCTTTCGCGTATACTAACGTAAACATAATATGCAGTGGAATACCCAGCCTCTGTGCGCAATGTATGTGTGCTAGACTGGGGGGGTTGGCTATAATTGCGTCTGCAACAAAGGGCCGTTTTCGCCAGTCCACAGCATCACTCCACGGGTCCTCTACAATTTGATGCAACTTCGTCCCGTCACTTGTCTGAAAGCAAGATTTCCAGCACCCATTGATAATTTGATCCATTTCCCGACGACGCTTTTGAATAGCTCCACTGCGTATGGTGCTGAGATTTAGGTAGAAGTCCAGGATTTTTCACCATAAAGGCCATCAACTCGGCGGGGTCACCTCCAATACTGAAGAATTCCAGGCCGGACTCAATGACAGGATCTCGGAATGCAAGGTGTGTGGCCAATCGGACGCGGTGGCCGTGATTTTTGAGCTCTTTCCCCAGAGCGATGAACGGTTGAATATCTCCACGAGAGCCGATCACTTGGATTAAAATATTCAATTTAAGCGGAAAGTCTATCCCTTTGCCTGGTGGAACACCTTGCTGGCTATCTCTGTCTTCTGATAGACTAATTTCTGACGTTTGATGAGATAGTAGAGGGCTTCGCTGCATACCCCTCAACAACCCTGCGATGTTGGGCCTGTGCTCGTTGATTTGAATGTCAAGGCGTCCGTCACCTGCACATAACAGAGAATGCCAGTAAGCAAGTCGCCTCTCAGATAAGCAACTTATTCCAGAATCTCTGACCTAGCACCTTGACGCCCGTGTTCAAGCCATCTCCACTAAACTGCACTCGATTATCGTCGCTGCTCGAAGAATCACTCGCCTCCCCTGGTTCGCCTTCCCTCTGTAGACTCGCATGGCGCGTAGATCCCGGTACCGAGAAAGTACGTCTCAGTGTATCCATGATATAAGATGTTGATTTGAAATGTTGGGACTTTCTTCTCGAACCTCGAGCATAATGAATGTCCACAGGACTTTTTCTAACTAAATGTTAAAAATTGGCTCGCATGAGCTTAGCAATACGATATGGCTATTTGGAAGTAGTCGATGATGTCACAAAGAATCTTCACGAGGTTGTCGTGCAGATGCTTACATAAATGCTGCAGCAATCGACTCTGCAAGCTTTAATAAATGAAAAACATTAACACGTTGGTCACCCATTTATTGCTAACGAGATAAGCCATAGAAAATGATCAGATTATCGTCGCGTGGCATTGTCAGCTGAGACTGGGATCTTGTAATTTCCGCACTGAAAGAACTTATCCCCAACCATAATGTTGGAGCTTGCTCGCAAGGAGAAATTTCGCGGACGCTGCGCCATGGTTGACACTCAAGTCTGATTCGTTCGTCAATTGGCCTAGCCCAGCCACTGAATCATCAAGAGAGCAACCCCTTCCGCATAATTTACTATTATTTTCTGTATTTCTATATTTCTGAACAGTTTGGATCTGCTTTGCGTTGAGAACAATTTTTCGTCGCAGGAAACATGGAGAAAAGTCGCGATAATGAAGATTTCGCAGACCAGCAAGGGAAGAAACGAAAGGCAAGGTGAGTCATGAGATCAATACCTACAGTTCTCTTTTAACATCTTTTCAGCCATTGGTCACTGGTCTCGCTAGGCTTCCCCGTTATTGTGGTATGTTACATTTTGATACCCTTCCACTGAACTTTCCAACGGTAAATTAGGGAACACTGTGTGCCATGGCTATCATGTTCAACATCTGCGCGACAGCACAGGGGTGGCAACAGACTATCCACGCCAACGCTCAAACCGTTAAACCAAGCTTACCACATTGGCAAGTCTACTTCGCTTGGTGTTTATTCTTCATTCAATCACAAACTAAAGTGTTCAGGAATGTCGCACTAAAAGCATTATCCTTGGCCCTAGCTTCTACTGCGTATATACTTTATCTACTGGAAATGGCTTTCCACTACACCTCGCGAAGTGGATTCACCATAGCAGTGTTTGGCTGGCTCGCCTCAGCGATCATCCTGCTAAGCCTTATAGGGATAGAAGTTCAACAGCATCGAAACATCAGAAGTGAACAGCCATTGGAGTATACACAGAACTTTTACGCCGGTATTTTCGCTGCAAGCCTCTACTGTTTAATTGCAATCCTACTAGCAGCGTACATGGCCAGTTCAAGTTCGCTCCACTTGAGTCCCACGGACAGGCGAACGGTCGAATGCTCAAGCATCATCCATCGGGTCATCACTTTTACCATCATTCTTCTCGGTGGTGCTGGGATTTATAGCACCATTGAGGGTTGGTCTTTGATGGATGCACTGTACTTCACAGACTACACCGTTCTTACCATTGGTATTGGAAACATCACTCCCCAGACGCATCTAGGGCGCTCACTTCTCTTTCCATATGCCACCGCCGGAATAATCAGTCTAGGTTTTGTCATTTCGGGTGTAGCATCATTCACCAACCAAGTGAAGAATTTAAAACTGAGATATGCAATTCTCGAGGCACGGCGTACCTTCCGAACTCAGGACACAGAGATATCTATGGCTGAAGAGGAAGCTCAAAGCACTGTTCCAGTCCCTTCAAAGTTCCCTGAAAGAGATGAAGTGCTCGAGCTTCACCGAATCAAGTCAAAATTCTACCGCAGGAGACGTTGGCAAGATTTAATATTCTTTTCTGTGGCATGGTTCATCTTGTGGCTGATTAGTGCGGAGATTTTTCATCGATCCGAGAAAAGTGAACACTGGACCTATTTCACGGCGCTTTACTTTACATACACTTCCCTCACGACAATTGGCTATGGGGACTACCATCCGACAAGCAACTTCGGAAAGGCTTTTTTTGTCTTTTGGTCCCTACTTGCTCTTCCCATATTAACAAATCTTGTCACCACCATGGGTGAAGTCCTCCATAGGTTAATGTTGGTCTTGTACGGCCACGTTTGGAGAAGTTTACCTCATAGGAGGTCAACACCACACCATCATTCCCATGAAGATGGGTGTTGGTTATTTGAAAATACAAGCGATAATTTGTCAGATAGCCCTCCTTCGCATATGGTCGAGAACGATCATGAATCTGCGATGGAAGACCATCGTCCGCATCTATCTTCCGTCAGACCAACACCATTGTCCATACAGAAGACTGGCACCGCAGCAAAGAAATCTATGCAATACAGATTAAGTTTGGCGGAAGAGATGACAAAACTCCTAAGTTTTTTGAGGAATGAATCCGTTGACAACTGGGAAGAGCTCTGTTGTACCTGGTCCAGAGTCATAGCTCTACTTCATGCAGAAGAGAGCTACCATATCAGGTCACAAGGGATTACTTCATTCGAGGTATCATCGACATCCGAACATTTGACTATGATGAAGATCATGGACCCCAAGAGGGCACTAGCGGAGAGGAATGCTGAGATTTTATGGATGATGGCATTGCTGGTGAAGAAATTTAGTTCAGATTCAAGACGGGAGTTATTTGAGCTTAGCTGAATTGTATCAATACTGACCAAAGTTGGTATAAAAACCATCCCGTGGTGCCAATCTTCAATCCATCTCAGAAGGGTAGTACAGCGGTGCTTCCCCATGATTAACCGGTTTTCTAAACCTGGCGGCATGGCTGACGTTGCGGGGATGCCCATAGATGTTAAGTTCGCACAAATCCGCACGGTAGATACTCATCGCAGGGTCGAAGAAACATTGGATGGTGCGCAAGGCGTGTAAGTGCTCATATCATAAGTAATGAGTCTCAAGGATGCCATCGGGATTGTAGCATCTGGCTGGCGCACCAACTCGCGATAATCCTCATGGTAGACATGAAATATATCGAGCCCGAAAAGCCCCTCACGCGATACTCATTCGACGGTCTGCTGGCTTGGGAGCTATGCAGCTGGATCTTCACGGACATTCACTCTGGTCTGTCCGTGTTTCAGCTCATGTCCAACGGGCACATTGCCAAGCTGACTCGGCAGACTTCTGTGAAGAGCAAATGACACGAGCACTTCACGATCAAGCCGTGCTGGCAAGTTAATGCGAAAATAAGGGGAGCTCGTGGAGGTATCGCTTGGGCATCAATCGGTAGAAAATCATCGGATTCTGTCGGTGTCCCTGGGTCATATCATGTGACCTGAGCAGCGCTGGCATCCCGTTTAGGACTAGCTTAGTTTTGGGTCTGGGGGCATATCCTCTAGATCTTCTGCTCCTTCTCTCTTTTCTCCCCCCATACCCAATATCACATACATTTTGTGTGAAGCTGTCAGCCTACATATTGTAGTCATCTTCCATCTTCCCCGCTTGGGGCCTATTGGCGCCAAGAGATTCGATGTTTCCATAGTAGTTATGTGATCTCTTATCTTGAAGATTGATTTAAAAAAAATATTGTAATCGCCAGAACTCTTCGATGCCTTCATGTTTCCTTCCGCTTCTCCATAAGGGGGCCAAACTCGGATAATTGCTTCATGACCAAAGACAAGCAAATGAACAGACGGGCAAGACGAACCATTACCCATACATCAATACTACTAGAAGCTTAGGAATTTTGGGCTTATGGGCCACTTTCTACGCGGCAGCGCATGCTAAGGGTCCAAAGATAATTTTAATCAAATCGAACACGCCCCCAACAACGGTACGCTTGAATTGGTAGCCACCCTCGTCACCCAGAATACCGACCTGCTTACTTATTAACTTTGAACATTCATTTTATACAATGGGAAATGTTAATTCTAATATTTAATCAAAATTCACAAGAATTATACATCAGATCACAAAACTATGAAAAAGAGGTTGAACACCCCCCAACTCCACCCCCCAAATCCACCCCATCATGCGTCCGCCGTTTCCTGTGTCTCCATGGCAAGGGTACGAGCTCTAACATCTTCGCCTCACATTTAGGTATCATGATCATCAACCTCGAGCGCCTGGGTCATGAAATCGTCTTCGTGGGCGGATTGAACGAATGCGGTACCCCTCCGGGTATTTCCAGTAAATACTCCGTACAGCGATTTCAATTCTTCGACTTACGGCAGCCTTTGGGCCAATCAATTGATCGATCGATGGTTGACAGACAGCGGAGCTGAGATCGGCAGACCCCTTTCAATCATGATCTAACCGCACAATTTCCCATTGACGTTGTCGCTGTATAACCGGGATATATTTTCCGGCTACATATCAGACGAGCCGGCCCATCTGTCGTGGGAAATGTTGGATAAACCACCTAAACAATGGTATTGCATATAGATAGGTATATGGAATGATTCGGAAATCTATTTCACGACCGACCCTTTGAAACGATGATAGAACAGTGTTCTCCTTCCAAAATCAAAGATAACGTTTACCTAGGCTGTCTGTATGGATTATTCGTCGAAGATAATCCTACTGGGTTCACATCTTTGTGACCGCGTAGTTCACGACAAATCACAGGAATTCAAGGTCAAGCCAATTTCCAGTCCCTTCTGATAACAACTGAACACCAAGGAGCTCTGGTCTCATATGGTCAGTGTGCGAGACAATGCCGGTATTAAAAAGAGAAAATTATGGAATTTGGCGGGTATTAGCAGCTATACTACCATGGTACTATACCCATCATAATTTTTTTCGAGGACGGATAATGAATCAGACCGTTTACTTGATCAGAGAAGTCTCGAAGTCGACGTGAGCAGAATGGGTCATATGACCTAACCCTTGCGTCTTATTCTTACAGAGTACAGCGAGTTAGTATCTACTCCAATCGTATAGGTTCTCCAACAGTCGGTGCCCACATTTCTTTTTACATTTTATCGTCGACTTTTGTATACAATGCTGTGACCCAGGAAATAACGCAGATAAGGCATCCCGCTTGAGCGTGTGGAGACAGATCAGGAATCAATCCGCACCATCGGAAACAGCGTCGAGATGTGTATACTGACAACCAAATTGATTGGAAATCAACTTGAATCCTTGTTATATATATTTTCTGCAATTGGTAGCCCTCATCGCTGCCTTGAAAGCTGCAAATTTTGCCTAAGAGTACGATAATACAGCTCATAGGAGCCGCACTCAGAGCACATATGTACGCTTTTCCCGAGACAGCATGATCAAAATGAGATATATTTAGTAGATTGTCCAGCACTTTTTTGAATTATACATATTCTTCCGAGAAACAACAATGAGCTGCCTTTCTTGAACAACGTCTTGAAATGACGTTCTAGCGGTAAGAGATGCCGTGACCTGCAATGTCATCAAAGTGGCCAATAGTGGGTACACAGTCACATGTCTCGCGTTCTCCGAGCAGCTCCTCGTGTAGGGAGTCTAATTCAGCCCACGCGTTTGCATATTTCATTCCCCTGAGCCTTTCTTTCTCGATGACCTCACAGATCTCGGAATTGCCCAAATCCTTCTTTATCTTACTCATTGATTCGGTGCTTCTCGGTCGAGGGTCCTGATGTTGGGCGGGAAAGTCTGTCGTCTTTTTATTTTCGCCTAGTAGACCTGAAGCTCTCAGAAGTCGTTCCGGCGCCACGGTCAACCTACCCTTCTTGAAGACGTACTTCGAGACGGAAGATGCAAATACAACAGGGCGCCCCAATTTGTCCCCGCTATTCCCGCTCCCAGCCCTGGTGCACCTTCCAGAAGTCTTTCCGGTAGACAAGTTGTGGGTGATCAGATCGGTTTCTTTGACGCTTCCTTTCTGGACAAAATGTGTCACAATATAGAGCCACTTTCGGTCCCATGTAAGGATCCGAGACCATACTTCGTACTGCTGGAAGATTCGAATTTCCTTCTTGAAGCTTGTGGTAACAGATCCGATTATGGCAGCCATTATCCCCCGCCTGCCATCCGCAACGAGCTCTTGATCGACAACAGAAACTCCGCGATAGCAAAGGTATGATAGAAGATGAGAGCGGCTTGCATCAACATCCGTAAAATATGTACTATTCGACTTGTGGAGGTTGTAGTCTGCCTCAAGGAGTGGGGTGTATGTTGTCGTTACACATGGAAGAAAGACCAACGGCAAGTCTTTGTCTTTGTGATGAATCGAGACGTGATGGCTTCTTTTCTTTGTTAAGGAGCTCTGAATGATGGGGCGAAAGATGCGATACTTCAGGAATGTCAGTTCAGAGCTTGCAGGGGCTTTGAGAGAAAGGACTGGAATTATGGGCTTGTTATTCGCCTTTCAATGAACACTTACGTGGAACACTAGTGGCAAATTTTTGAAATTGACCACAAGAAAGATTGCTAAAATAAACTTCCAAAGACTAATGGATTGAATTGAACTCCAAAGCCATTGAATCATCTTGGCGAGTTTGATTAGCTCAAAACGCATCGAGCGAAACTGGAAATTTAGAGCAGAAATTGGCTTCAGAGGCAAATGCAATGCAGTGACGGTAAAGCTGTATGTGCATTTACCATCGAAAATCGGCTGTAAAAAGATACAAGGGAAAAAAAAGCCTCGTGACAACGAATGTGCGCAAAATTTCGATGCCACTCAAATAAATAAGCATAAAGATTCTATAGGTTGATACTGGAGCATACTGTACGGTCGGGAAGCCGAGGCAAGCTCGGCATGATATCGTTATCATTTAATTCTGAGACCCAGGATCAAGTTCCGAGAACGCCTCGGTCGGGATTGGCCTCATGTTATCCTCAGGGAAAATTCGTCTCCGACGGATCACAGCCCACAAGCATGCTATTTATCAGGCTAAAATAAATGAGGGATGCCGGACCTTGAGCGTGGTGTGCCCACTCCACACTGGTTAGTATAATCTTGATCTATAATAAGACTACTGGCGTAAGCAAGAGATCGATCGCGTCGCGGCAAAGGCGGTGAGAATGTACAAGACGCGTGGTGTACGCCCGAAGGTGTGCACGATGACCCATAGAGTTGGCAATCTAACTTCACTTGACGAGCGGCTCTTCAAGATACATCAGTGTGCTTCGGGGGATATGAGGCCACACTCACAATTATTCACCTTCGCTATTATTGACCTGTTCCGCACTCACCCCACGGCAGCCAACAGACCACTGAGATGGGATATAGATATCACCCTTAGCTTGAATCGGGTAGCGATTCTCCGATGTATATAATATGAGCCGTCTTCTGAAGATGGCAGAGTACAAATTCTCGGCAAGCTCTTTCAGCTAAGAGCACACGGATATACGGTAAAGCAGTGAAATTGTAGAGGAGACGGTATCCATATGCCCGATCAAATATATTAGGCCATTGAAGTATGCAATATTACCAGAAGGTGCCATTTATGAGAATTGCTCTCATGGGCCAAGCGGTATCCCAAGGCAAAAGGAAGGGAGAGGTAGAATGACAGAGAAGTATTCCCGTAGGTCATGCAGGGTGCAAAAATCCAGGTTTTGACATTGTAAAAGAATTTGACGAATGATGGCCCCGCACGATGCTCATTCAATGGTTGTAGCTACTACACGGAGAGGACGAAGGGAACTTGGCTTAGCATTCGAAAGGCTGAGACTCCGAGAGGATCGAAAGGCTCGGGATTTGCTAGAAACTAGTATAGGCATAGCCAATTGACTGCTGAGAGGTGTCTGTCTAAATATAGATGGAAGATAGGTATAGAATGAAAAGAATCATGTGAGGCAATGAATGTGTTTGCAGGCAGGAAAACCCGAGCGCACCCTCAATTTCATTTTTGCCCACTGCCTTCGTACAATATGGGCTACTTTTCTTAGCTTGTAAGCATGATAGCAAAATACCCTTTCTTAGCAGATTGGGGGCTAGTGGCATTTAGTTAATATCTATAATCAATCAGCGGCCACCCTAGCTTCTTTTAATGTAAATTCTAGGGCTCTTACTGTATATCGAACGTATATATATGAATGCTATATAGGTCTGTGATTTTTAGATATTCCTATAGTATATATCGATCCTACTAGTCACTACATCTATCTTCACCGTATAGTAAAAGTCTGATACTTGGGTCGGGAAGTTTTGGGTTATAAGAAAAGATCCTCTAGCTAATCGGAAATAGGTATTGTAAACCCTGCCCCACTGATATGTCTTTTTGGCATAATTCTTATGGGAAGCTTATTTGACTTGCCTAAAGTTCGATATTAATAGTGAAATAAATATAAACATCACCATTTTCTCTTAGACTGACCAAGGACCCCAGACTTCATTCCCCAACGCCCAGTACTTTACTTTGTACGGGGCTTCGAACTAAACTTACTACCAACCACTGGAATGTCTTAATCTCATTCCAAACCAGTTTCTTCATGGGCATGGGATACCGAATCGCGGCAGATGTCTCAAGCTACAGACTCCGAGCTAAAACCCTGTCTGTGGGAGTCGTATCGCAAACATTCACGGCGTGGCTCACTCAGTTTTGTGTACCTTACATCTACAATGTAGAATCGAGAAACCTTGGTTCCCGAACTGGATTCATCTTCGCCGGAAACAGTATTCTACTCATCGCAGGCACATGATTTATCGTCCCCGAGACCGCCAATCTCTCCACGGGCGAAGTTGATCAGGCATATGTGGACAATGTGCCTATCAGGAAATTCCAGTGCTACTGTGCTGCTAGGCGAACTGACATTTAGGATTCCGCAAAGATGTCTTATGTCAAATAATGAGGGCATCAAACGTTTGGGATACTGGAACAACGTCATGCACGCACCTGGATACGGAGAAATGTTGCGTTAATCCTCACACCGTTCTCTGGAAATTTACAGACAGGATTATGCTTCTATTATAGTCCATGAAAGACTTTTGTTCTGATAGGACGCTTCGCTAATCGTTGACGAATTTTTGTATATACGTACCACACCAATAATATTACTTCTAACCCTTAGGGGTAATTCCATCGTGGTATGATGGATTCACAGCCGATAATTCACGGGCGAAGGATTATAAATCTGGGCCGAAAAATGTCGGCCGAAGAAAGTGGGTCCCAACCAAACATCAAGCTGAGTAACAAAGCAAAGCCCAGGGCCAACAAAGGGGTCCAGACCGGATTAGGTTAGGCTCTGTTTGATGATCAGCAATCCCATTTACTACAGCTGCTCAGTGCAAAGGTGTCTGTTAGAAATTGGAAATATCCCTTACAAATCAATCCAAAGCTTCAACACCTACCGTCATGAGCTGACATTGGTGGACTTATCATTAAGAATACTCTTGTCTCTGAGAAAATAAATAAGTCCTACAAGGGCTTCTGCCTCGAAGATATCAATTTCTAACAATATTCACGGCTTTAGAAGAGCTTCACTTTCCGCCTGTTTGGCCCTCCATCTCCTTCTGCTCCTTACTATCTCCATTCCCAGAGGACAGAAATCCAATTCTGTTCCAATTACAGTGTCGGAACTACACCCAAATCACATGAGACTGGACTTGTCTTACAGTCGCTGCGATGGTAGTCCTTGATAATAAACATCAGGGATTGGCTGGAGGGAACCTGGAAGAGAAAAGGCAGGACGAGTCAGGATCGAATAGTCGCGCAGAAGACAGCTACGATGATGAAAAACCGAAACCACCAGCAAATGAAAATCCTCCCCTTGCCGAGCCAGAGGCCCCGCCACGGGACATCAATGGCTGGAAGTGGTATTTGACCCTGGCGTCTATTCTAGCTTCTACATTTCTCTATGCACTTGACGCAACAGTGGTCGCTGATCTCCAACCAGTGATTGTTCAGGATCTCGGTGGTGTCACAAAGCTTTCATGGCTCAGCGCTGCGTTCCTTCTGAGCGCAACAGCCACGAACTTGATTTGGGGCCGTGTGTATGGTCACTTCAATACAAAATTGTTCTATATCTTCCATGTGACTCTCTTCGAAGTCGGCTCTGCAATCTGTGGTGCAGCCCCCTCCATGAATATCATGATCCTCGGTCGCGCCATTGCCGGCGTCGGTGGATCCGGTCTGTACGTGGGTTGTATGACGCTCATTGCGATGACCACAACTATTTCTGAGCGCCCAGCTTACATCTCCTGTACTGGATTGTCATGGGGTCTGGGCATTGTGCTGGGCCCGGTGATTGGCGGCGCCTTCAGCGAATCCTCGGTGGGCTGGCGATGGGCTTTTTATATCAACCTCTTCATCGGCGCTGTCTGTGCACCTTTCTACCTCTTTCTGATCCCAAACAAGGATCCTCGACCGGGTGCTTCCATCAAAGAGCGGGTTGTTGAGCTTGATTACCCAGGTATTGTCATTCAATGTGGAGCTTTGACTACATTGATTCTGGCCATCAATCTGGGGGGCATCACTTACCCGTGGAACTCTGGTCGCATTATTGCTATGTTTGTTGTCGCGGGAGTCTTGTTTCTTGCTCTGGGTATCCAGCAGGTATGGGCAATTGGCACCTCCACGGCCCGTCGCATCATTCCGGTGCAATTTTTCCGATCGAAAATCGTTCTCACCCTTTTCGCTGCCTGCGCATCAGGGGGCGCATGCGCCTTCGTCCCGATCTATATGATTCCTCTATTTTTCCAATTCACGCGCGACGACATTCCCCTCGATGCCGGTGTGCGGCTTCTCCCATTTGTGGTATTTATGGTGGTATTTGTTTTTCTCAACGGCAACCTGATGGCAAGACTGGGCTACTACATGCCTTGGTACTTACTGGGTGGCCTGCTGATCGTGCTCGGTTCAGCGCTCATATATGGCGTTCGTCTAGAATCTTCACAGAGTTGGGTTTACGGCTCCAGCGTTCCGCTGGGTGTTGGCGTTGGCATGTTTCTGCAGGCTTCATTTTCAGTGACACAAGCCGTCGTTTCACCCGAAAATATTGCGCCAGCCGTTGGATTTATGACCTTGGCGCAGTTCGTGGGAATCACTATTGCTCTTGCCATTGCCAACGCTGTCCTTTTGAATGGATGTCTTAAATATTGAGGCTATTCTGCCAAATGTACCAACGGCCCAAATCCAAGCTGCCATCCTAGGTGCCCAATCAGATCTTGTAAAGGATCTGTCCCCGGCACTCAAGACTCGCGTGCTTGATGCTATTGTCCATGCTATTGGCGACACTTACATTCTCACCATTGCCGGTGGGGCTCTTGTGGCTGTATTGAGTTTGCTGCTGCCTCGCACCAAGTTGTTCAGTGAAGCGAGTGGCGTTCATGCGGCATGAGACAATGTATTGGGTGACGGCACCTAGACTCCAAAAGGACTTGTTCGTTTCCCATTGAATTCCCTCCAACTTCTTAAACTACATCCAAGTTATAGCCCTGTGAATAATACCATAGCTCGCCTTTGGTGCAGCCAGAGCTGCAGAAACCGGGAGAAGATCGAAGTTCCAAATAACAAGCGTTACTACCATGCGCATCTCTAAGTATGCGAGTCGACGACCCCAACAGCTGCGCAGACCCAAGCCAAAGGCAATCTGAGGAGTTGCGTTTGCGTTGAACTCCACCTCATCTTCCCCAGAGCTTGATTTCTTGTATTCGAGCCAACGCTCCGAATTGAATACTCTCAGGTCGGGTTCATCCCAGTTATTCGCCTTGGTGGTTTTGCTGCGCAGCTTTTCGTCGACAGAAAGCGATGGTGCATGGCATCCGGGCCCGTTGGCGATCATGATAACATTGGTGCCTTCGGGAATATGATGGCTGAAAATTTCAGTGTCACGAACGGTTTGTCGCGCTACACTTGTCGCGTGCAACCGAAGAGCCTTTCGTAGCTTGTTTTGAATCTCCGGGTAGCGGGTCATATGAATAAAAGACCAAGCAAGAGTGGTGCTGGTCATTTGTAGACCGGCGATATATTGCCCAGAAATCTGGAAGAAGACGCATTATTATTTGAGAAGAAATTGACGGGTACCTAGAAGTAACAAGGGTTTTAGGAGGTGAATAAGGAAAGTAAGCATATTTCACCTCTTCCATTATGGTAGTATTTTCATAGTCCGGCTTTCGGCCCTGCTTTTCAGCAGCCTTCGTTTCACGCATTAACTTATATTCAATCGCAGTTTTGATTTCCTCTGTCGCACGGAATCTAGCCTGGGCACTCTGCACTTGTTCCTGGACAACGCGTCTCTTTACAGCTGTGACGTTTCTGTAGCGAGGCGCTTGACGGAGCCACGACATAGTAAAATTTGGTGACATGGACTTGGTCACTTTATCTGCATCTACCGCCTTATAGAGCGCGATGATGAACGGATGGTGTTTTCCTTCTGGGAATTCCACCTCTCTAAGGGTGCTAACTTTAACAGTTGAAGGCTCAAGGGCGGAGACAGCCTCAGCTTGAGGGCCAAGGGCAGTATGCTCAAAATGCCGATGGAAAACAAAAGAAAGCATACCACCGAGGGCGCTATGATTCAAGTGTTCGTTGAGGTCAAAGGGCCGGTCATTTGCTAGGTATGCCTTTTCCTGCCGAAAGTTCACCAGATGAAGTGAGTTGGCGTACATGACTGGGCCGATGATATTATTCAGGAAGCTCGGATTCACGAGGTCTTGCAACCCCTAATCAGCACCACTCTTACTCCTCCACGCTTCGATCTAAGACGACTGATGAATGCGGGAATACATTTACTCACAAGAATACGACGAGTCGAGTGTGCACGAATCAGGAACACTGATTTGATGCTCAGTTTATGATAAAAATATTTTTACTTCTGCCTTTTTATTATTATAAAGAAAATCGAAAAAATTATATCAACTGGACTTAGGACTGGTAGGTAAGATTAACCCTTACCAATGAGTTTTCACAAGACTTTTATAGTTTAATGGGAACAAAGTCGCGCGGTGAAGAGTTCTTGAGAGCCACAACGGGAAAGATCATAGAGCTCAAATATTTGAAGCCAAAGCATCCCAGTTCATATTCATATCAACATCAAAAGCCGCAACCGAGACCCGCTCAGACAGAGGGACTGGGGGATCCGACTCTGAATATTCTGGTAAATGAATTTCAGTCGAACTTCCTCCTATTTGAGAGAAAGCTCCGTCATCTGGCTTGGAGGGGTTTTCCATTTGCGAGGCGCCGGTCGGCTGTTTGGCGACTTTGCCGATCAGCTTGACAAGGCTCTGTGCTCCCACATCTGCCATATTGCTGACCTCCGCTAACATTTTTAGGAGTTTCAGTGCATCTCGTATAGCATCCATGCAGCCCGCCCATGTCAAGTTTGCCATCCCGGCCGAAAGCGGATCCATCTTGGTGATCCTTAAACTATGGTTTTCGAAATCTCCCAGGAAGCTTTGATCCATGCATAATGATACTAGAAGCACTGCAGCTTCGAAAGTGGGTCGAATGATCCCTGTGCATCGTGTTTGAGAACCTCCGATCAGGGAATGCAGTCTGGATACCCCTTGAAGAACATGTAGTGCAGCAACTGCCAGAGCCTTTCGCTGGGATGATAGCAAGACTTGCTTGTACTTAGGAAGATCGCTTGCATCCAGAAATATGGCTGGCCGAAAATTGTAACAAAGAGACTCAAATATGAATATGAATAAAATCTCTCTTTGCTTTGCAAGTATCCGAAGTCGTTCATCCCCACTGCTTGGCTGGAGAGCAAAAGCGGATGGCAACGTAGTCAGAAACTTACCACATAAGCTTTCATATCTTTCCTGGGCAACGATCATATCATAATTAGACCCTATTGCTGGACCCATGGTCATCCAGAAATTGGCCAGGCAAATCTAAAGGATTCGTTCAGTGAATTCTTCGGGGCCATGGGTGTCATTGATATCGGAGCCAAGGCGCATGCTTGGCATGTTCTCCGGCTCTATCCCACTGGGTATAGCAGGGATGCGGTCCAATTGTCGTGATATATAGCTATATGGTCAGCAAGTGCCATTGATCAGAAGTGCCATAGCAAGAAAAATATATTCTTGGCCACTCACCTGTCCCATATATAAAGATTGCAGAATATCCTACGGCGAGTTTCTTTCTCTAACTCACTCATATCCGGAACATCTGAAGAAAGATCTTTATCTGCCCCAATCCTTTGAGCAACCTCTATCGCGGACCGAAGTGCATCTCGGAAGTCCTTCATAAAGCCCTGACACTTGGCCTTTAACCCAACAAAGGCCAAGTGCTGTACGCGAAGAAGACTTCCCTTCGGACTGAGACGGAGATATATTTCTGCGAGACTGTTAGCAGCTTCGTCGCACGAGTAGCGAATATCCGCTAGTGAGGTATCCCGGATCCTTTCAATGGTACATGACAGAGAGGAGAGATATTGAGATGTATAAGAGCATATTCTCAAAATGAGAACCGCAAACTCAATCTCAAAGAGAGATGATGGAATTTTGACGATCCGCCAGCGTTGGAATCGTCTAGAATCCATGGAAGATGAACAAGCTGATCCATCCTAGGCATCACAAACGGAGTTGGTTAGATAAGGAGTTCCTGGTATAGTCTTTGGGGTCTCTTTACTTTGTCTGCGGTACTTACCAGTTCACTTCGCGCACGTAATATTTCAATAAGAAGTCCAAGATTGGTTCATCAGGAATCCTTTCTAGACATTGATGAATCTCCGAGTAATATTGACTCGACGGTGCTTGATGATTGCGATTTTGATCCTCTCCATCGCATTGATCCAACTATTGATAAGATATGAAACTGTTGGAACAATGCTTCACATCAAACCTTATCAGGGTATGGAGCTATATAAAAACTTACCATCCGCACGAGAGCTAGCGTGATGCTTTGACTGTCTTCAGAATACCCGAAGACATCCGTTAAAGACGGAGGCATGGCGCTGCTTGTCGAACTCCTCATAATTTCTTGCTCTGAAATGGTTTCGAAAGAGAAGAGCCCGTGTTTCTATTTTGGGGGCTCCTTTGATCATATTCAATGCGTCGGTTGCGGGTTTGCAATGGTGGGTTAGAAGGGGGTTGGGTGTCTTCCGATGGATAGTATGCGCAGTCTTCCGGGCGACGGCGGCGGTTGCAGTGGTTACAAGGGGTTTGACGATTACACTGACCACGTTAGTAGACTTGTCCTGGGATTCATACCAGGACTACGTTGGTTCTTTCACGAATACCTTTTGCTTTCTCATGTAGCAAGGCATGCAAGAGGACACCTTGCGTTTTCCCGAGGGCTGCATCATGGGAGCAAAAGCTGGCACCTGTGGCAATCTGCCGGCCTCAGTCCGTTTGAGTTGAAGATTCTGTGCTGTCTAATCCCTGAAGTTGTGATGGTGGTATGAAATAGGAGGGTCGATGCCTCGCCCTTCGTGCTCACATCATCAATCTCCCTCGAGGGTCTGTCGTAGCCATATCAGGAATAGCTCGATCTCGTTAATTACTGTATTTGTATTGTTATTTCCCCACCCCCACCCCGGAATCAAACGGGGTTTGGTACAACCCTGGGGTACATCCCATCTCAGAAGTGGTCCCCGTTGTTCGCCTCAAAATACAATATAGGTGGCCTCGGTCTAGAGCTTTCCTTTCTCCTCTCTAACGAATCTTCTTGGTGTGACACTTCTGCTCTGGTGCTTACAGCCAACCTTCTCCAATGCATGTCTGGAACGAATCAAAGGCTGGCCCCGAGGGAATACTTGGTGGATAGTCACGTTGTTGGACTTTTGTCAAATTGAAATGGAAACGAGAGGAACTGACTCTACTACCGTTTACTCTCAATGGTGGGTCCAGGCTTAGGACAGGTGACCCTGGCTCCCGCTTCCACCCGGACAGCCCAATCGGAGGCGTTCGTGATGGGTACCCCACGGTGTAACCCTGGGATCGCCTATTGAAGGGTATGCCAAGTCGATTGAGAAACTTCGCAAATTCTGAAAGGGAACGAGATAGAACGTAGCGGTTTTGAGAAGAAAGGAAGCTGGAGCGTGGGAATGAAGCTATCTGAATACAGAACCAGGATAGTCCATGGCTGCGACACCAGCATTCAACAAGGTTCGCAAATTATAACGTAGTCACAAGTCTTATTATGTGTATAAGAAGTGAGAGGAGCCAAGTCCCTTCCTTTTATTTTCGCTAAAAATTTATTTGCATTTGTGTATGTGAAATGATTCTTTGTAGTTTCTTTTATGTCCGATATCTGTCCTTTTGCGTAGGATAGAAAATATGAACAAGACCGGCTTTTCACGTTATCGCCCAAAAACAGTAGACATGATGGAGCTGATATATGCTTGTGCCTCTGCTCGATAGTAGTCTGGCTCGGTGTAGGAGGTGGTGATCACACTGAACAGGTAGTTTTGGGGATTATATACCGAGTAGGCTGGCCAGTATTGGCTCTCAACTATAAGGGTTCAGTGCAAGTTAAACAGCTTCAACCCATCTGGGCATAGGAACTAGTTGAAACATAAATGGCTAGACTTACCTCCTGCGTGATTAGGGTCCAAGTCCGCAATAAAGTTAGACCACATTCTTGTCATTAACCTTGCTAAGTCAAAGTAGCTCGCCGGCTCTCCGTCAAAAGGATTGACCTCGGCAATTTCACGATACCCTGATCCATCCAAATTGTAGAAAACAAAGGGTATTTCGGCTCCGTGATTTGAGCCAGTTTCGTTTGTAAGACCATTCGTCAGCACATTAAAGTGATAACTGAAACAAGTGATATTATTCATCGCCCAAGCAGTCGCAGTCAAACGCCGTGGAGTCTGATATTGCAAATCTCCCAAAAATGCAGCGGCGCGCTTGAATTGAAGGCCGAGTTTCTTTAACTGAGGCTGTCCCTGGAGAGTCTCTGGAATCCCTATCGCTGGAATATCTGGATAGAGCACCATAAGATTCTCGGCTGATAGATTATCGGCCCCATAAGAGTTGAGATACTGCAGGAACTCTCGGTCAGTGTCAATGCCTTTGGAGGTAAAGGTAGTACCTTCGTCAAAGTTTGTCCCGATGAGAATAGGTACTTTGACGAATTTGGCGGTCTTGAGTTGGTTAAAGCCTCGGTCTGCGATGAGATCACCGTCAAGCATGGGTCCCCAGTCCTAAAATGGCACCACCTGTTAGTAAAGGCATAGGATTAGAGAGAAACTTCTTCGTACAGCTTCAGTCATTGTTGAAGAATTGAATACAGCATTGAGTTTCGTAAACGGCAGCGAGCGTAGACAGGCCAGGGAATTGGTTGCATCGGAGCACCCGGTCGCTCGTGTAAGGTTTTGATATACTGGTTCCCACTCATGTGGTGTCGGATCTGAAAACTAGTTATTAGAAGTTGTTTGCTCTATTTCAATTGAGCAGAATGAGTCGTACACTTTGCAGGTCTGCCGAATTCTATTAGCGTTCCGCAATCAATGCCGAGTATCACGAGGACCTACTTTATTAAAGCACCACTCTCCATGATAGCAGCTCTGAACAGTTTATCGTCTCTCCCATTATAAGCCATAATATGTACGCCGACGGATCCAGCACCGCTTACTCGTGAATTAGCAAAACCGGGAGGAATGGGAAATGAGGGATCTTACGCGCTCTCTCCCCAAATCGTTACTTTGGAAGGATCACCCCCGAAATTGGCAACGTTCTCCTGGACCCAATGAAGAGCCATACTTGAGTATATTATCAGGACTTGATATCACATATTCGGTACTTGGCATTTGAAGTACTCACCGTTGATCCCGGAATCCGATATTTGTCGATCCATCTTTCTGAATTTCTTCACCGTAAAGAAATCCCCAACCTGCGAGTATTTAGCGGCGAAATCCAGAGAAATTAGATGAAGCTGAATGTGAGCCTTGCCTTGAAGACGATAGTTGATCGAAATCGCAATGTGAGGTTTTCCGGAATTGGCAGCCTCTTGTACCGTGTACGATAAATTGAAACGGGGGTCCGCACTCCCACCCTCGACGAAGCTACCGCTGCATACATGTTAATTTTATAGCACTCACAATTTATATGTGGCGGTATACCCATATATCCATATAACGACAGGCAAATCAGAGCCTTGTCCCACCGGTCGGACGATATTGAGGGTCAAGCAATCCTCAGACATGAAGTCAGTGTAGGCAGATGCAATAGACTACCGATAGAATACGGTCAACTGATAGTATCGCAGGACAGGAACAATAGCTTGGGAAATATCTTACACCATAGCCAACACAAAAGGCTCCGTAAGCCGTGGCATTGCGAGACCCAGACCAGGATGTGTTTAAAGACTGAGGTGCTCGTAGCCGCAGATCCCCAATTGGAGGCTGTGCAAATGGGATGCCAAGAAACAAATCTTGATTATAGTATGGGTTATGGACCCCCGCGTAAGTTCCATTGAGTGTCTTCACGGTTGGTGAATAGTAAGAACCATCTACGAATGCAGTAGTGATTGCACTGACAGTGGGGGCCAATGATGCGGCAAGGAAGAGTGGGGACCTAAAGATCATACTTGTATCAAGTTGAAACTCGTTTAATGTTAAAAGATAGATCTTTTCTGCTTGTGGGTGGACTACGTTCATTCTTATTTGGATACAACACTCTTTCGGCTCCTACATCTAGCTCCGGTTATCTCGGTATCTATTCCACAGTTGTTATATGATTCAAGGTTTACTGGCGGAACGCGGAATGGTAAGTTCCGACTGGGTAAAGATAAGAACCGCCGTCGGTTCAGCCCGCTTCTTCGCAGGGCGTATCAAAATACTTAGATTTTAATCATTATTTATCTCTTTGAACAGCGTTCACTTCCGGATCATTGATCAAAGATTTATTGCACCTGATTACCACTTGTTGAGTGGTTTGTCTAATTATGTGCATTTTTTGAGAGACATGGTGCTGAGCAAAGTTCAAGCTTTCTGAGAATAAGGTCAAAGCCCTTAAATGCAAAGTAAGTCTGGCTCTAGATTGAATAAGTGACCAGGAATGCGTTTCTCGATTTTTGTTTTTGTGGGGTCTGGGCGCGTCCTCGTGCAAACGAGGCGACCATGGAAAAACTGGCGAAGTCTTCAATATCCTATGTCTTGCAATTAGGTAGTACCTCCTTGCATGACTCGCAAACGCCTTGAGCAGTTGAGTATAAATAAGAAACGCCCAATAGAGTCCAGGTTATAGTAATCCTGCGCCATTTCTGCGACCTTTATCCCGGGGCCGCTGAGCTCTACCCTAGGGCCATCTTCTCAATAGCTGGCCGGCTATGTAGTGATGAGAGGAACGCTCGATGGCAGTAGGCTCTGACGACGTACGAATCGGACGTGTTACAGCAGACACGAATCTCATTCGTAGTTCCCCACTGTATGTTACTTGTGGGTCACAGCATACAAAGTAGATATTAAATTAGCATCTGGCTACTATTATTTATTCGGCGATATATTTTTATTCCAGAGATCTACCACATCAGAGCCATTGTACCGACTGGAGGGGCTTTAAGCAAGTCACTTGACATTGCTAGTATGCATCCTCCGGAGAATCAATCCACGGCCGTTTTCTCATTCTTCTTCTTCTTTTGAAATGAAAATTCTGCTTTCTTCAAACAAAACCTCGTCCTCCCCCGGTGCACGGCTCCCCCATCGCCCCGATTCATCTGGCCCAGTCATGCCTCTCTGCTTCCTTACCTACCCAGCGCTGCGGCAACCTGTCAGACAGAGCGAAAATGAAGATACCGAACCATTGACGCATCCATTAGCCGACCCCAGCTGTACTTAGTCACCCGGCCTAAGCGCTCATAGGTTAAGAACTCTGGCGCAAATCGCTGAAACTCCTCGGCCCACTCAGCCGGTGTATAGTCGTTCAATTGCGATAAATCCCTACACCGGCTGAGCTCCACCATAATTTCTAAGATGGGTGGATTAAGATCGATACTATCATTAGGTTTTGTCTATCAGCCTATTCGCCGCCGCTTAAAAAATCCAATAGAAAGTAGGGGGCGATAAATAGGAGAAAGACGATTAAAGCTAGTAAGTATATACGGTTTGTTCCAGCGCGGCGATATATCAGGCCTCTTGAAAAGCTCATCCCAGAGATGGCCAAGTGAAAAATGGATCTCCGTAAGAGGACCGATATTAAACGGGCGCATACGCGCTTCGTGCACAATCTGGCTATTAGAACCAAAGTTAAGTATGCGGACGCGCCCGTCCTAACAGCTCTGGTTATCGATCACATAGAAGGCCTACGATATGAGAAATAGAAAGATAATAGTCCCTATACGGGTTATAGCTATTGCGCTGAAGTTGGCAGTTCCGTGGTAAAGGTTTATAGGCAAATTCTCCGGTATGAGGAGTCACGCGTACTGATCAACTATGGTAGGGTCTAGCATAAATGCTGGGATCTATAGGTTATGTTCCTGGTCGAAGCTTAATGGATGAGCGTCTGTTTCCCTAAGATAGATGTAGAGCAGGATTAATAGCTTAGTTATGCAGGAGTAATTCTCGAGATCGTAGGGCTTATCGATAAGGCAAACGAAGCGTTTGGAATTATATGGGCCGAGAAATTCTTTGTTCAAAGCCCTAGCTAGTGCACTTAAATAATAAGACTAAAAATGCCTATTTTTATTAAACCCTCTTAGGATCAAATAAGCTAAAAGGGGGCCTACATCACGAAAGCTTTGATTCACAGACGCCCAATTTTCTATAAGAGCCCGTCGATAGGCTCTATATTCCTCCGGGTTAAAAAGAGGGGTCCATGATGCCTATAGATTGTTAATAATATATTATTCACTTATCTATCTAAAAAGAATTATACCTTCGAAAACTGCCACCATCCTTTGATTTCCTCTTCTGGCTGATACTCATTAAATTCACAATTGGGGTGCAGGCGAATGGCGGACGGGACCCCACCAGGCCATAACTGCGTAGGTGAAAGGATTGCTTCCATGCTATCTGTGGGTGAAAGTTACTAAACTTTACTCAAGATAGATAACGGGTAGATATAGGAATTTATTCGCAGTCGGACAATCAATTACCCTACCGCGCCCCGCTATGGGGCAAGTCCCTGACTACGGAATTTTCTGGGCTAGCTATATCCAGTATAGGAATTTACGAATCTTACTACATATCGGCATTGCGCGGAACAAGTGCCATCTCCAAGAGATGTTAACGCTATATATAAAAATGCTGAGCTCGCGACTGCTGCAGCGCTACCTTATGGGGAGACAGCGCATATGGCAACGTTAAACACAATGGTTTGTGCCCGGTTACATAGAACCGATAGGTACTCTATAAAGTTTTCTTGATTTGACTGTAACTTATTCTTATTAGTGCATATACGAAGTACCTCGTCGTACTTCAAGCACTTGTGCTTGCAGTCTAGATTATTCCTACCCAGATCCAGTCGTGAAGAAAAGCCCGACTCGATAAGCGAGTTATAGGACATGGTTCATGCATCATTCTCCGTAGGAGGTATCATACATGCTTGCCGAACAATAGTCCGTAGTTGAGCCACTATTGAAGGTCATAAATACCGCTCGGGCTCTCTCGGAACTTGAAGAAGGGAATCATTGAGTTCCATAACGTACCAGTGACTGTAGGTGCTACAGCAGCTTCCAAACTGCCAGTCCAGGCAAGTTTAATTATCATTTGCTGAGCCACAAAGACCGTTGGTAGAGACATTCGTTTCTACTTCGAGGGCGTTTGATTTAGTATGGGTAGAATGGACGATGACCTGTATTGAGGAAACCGTTACTCAGTAATAGAGAGATCAATGGCACTTAATGGGGCAAGTATAGATCTTCATGCGAGGAAAATAGCTTGTTCATGATATGCGAGGTGAAGACACTATGCTTATCCCATACAGGGTTCTTTTTGAGAGACAAGAAGAGAGGTGCAATCAGTGAGCGTTGAAAGTTACCTGGACTTGTCCGGACCGGCTGGTTAGGTATCTTCTGAGTGCCAATTTGTGCCATGAGGTCTTCCCTTCTCGAGCTGGTGGTTGTGTTCACAAACTCAACACATTGATTATGACCTTCACACTGATTTCTGGCTTTGTGGCAACGTTCACAACTTGACTTCGCTTCATCTAGCACCATGTCAGTATTGATTGAACACACGGACAGTATTGGGGTGGGCTGTGAAAATCGTACCGCATTTGACTGATGTTCGTCGGCAATTCTTGCAGCCCTTACTGCGTCCAGCAACTCCTTCCATCGCGAGGCGGAGGCGAAGAGAGATACCAATGTTTGGATGGAATAAAAAGACAGAAGTCTTACCATCGAAGGAGATGGTGAATGTTTAGTCAAGGTGGGGGCAGATAATCGCGACACGACAGACAGCGGTTGGATCGCGCTGTGAGTTGAAAAGGAAAATGAAGAATTCATGCTGGGACTAGAATATTGAAATTGAGAAAATAGCGAATAAATCCCATATGGATAGTATGCACAATATTGCCCTCGAAACAAAAACTTCTTCGCTTTGTTGGCTGACTGGAGATAGGGGGTACACGGAAGATGAACAAAGCAAGAATAAAACTACCAGTCACTCTATTACCTTGGCATACCGCTCTCCAATAGTGAGAGAAGCTTCGACATCAATTCGAGATCTCCACTCTTTATGGTACCAGGAACTTCTTCGCCCCTAAGAACACCCAGGAGCTGCGATTTGGTAAGTTGCATCTGTAAGCCTGATGCTTCAAACAATTCATCCTGGGTAGCGGAGTGCCTGCTGGTCAAAGCAGCGTTGCTCAGGTTCAGCCTCCAGAATTCTTGCTCGTCCGTGACATGGAACTCGATTGCAAACTCTTCACTAATTGCTTTGAGGCCATCAATGTGAATAGCTAGCAATGTGAACCACTGCTCAATTGTTTGTGTGGGCAAGAACTGGATGCCCATCTCTTTACGAGGTACCCTTCCACCAACCTGCAGAAAATGGGCGCCAGACAAGTAAAAGTTACGCCAGGTGGCATTTTCTGTCACATAACCCAGTTTGCGAAACACTGACGCCAAGGCCTCTTTTGCACTGGTATGGGTTGGGTCCAGAGAAACTGCATGGCTCAGGAGGGTTGCTGCAAATCGAAGATCTCCATCTGATTCGAATTCTTTGGCTTTTCGGGCAACTTCATCGATTCCGCCCATGCAAGCCACATATCTTTTGGCGCTCTCCTTCGGCGGATGCTCCCAAAGATGAGCGGGATTTCCATCAAACCAGCCCATATATCGCTGATAGATACCCTTCACATTGTGGCTCACAGATCCGTAGAATCCTTGCGCGAACCACGACGTCTGCAATGAAGTCGGAAGGCGGAGATTCTCTGCGATCTCAATACCGGTGAGGCCATGATTCATCATGCGAACAGTCTGGTCATGGAGATAAGCGTAAAGGTCTCTCTGGTTCGCGAGCAGCTTGATGATGTTGTGGGACTCCCAGGTGGGCCAGTGGTGGCCAGCAAAGAGAACCTGCGAGTCTCGTCCAAATAAGGACAATGATTCATCGAGATACTGTGACCAGGCTTTTGCATCGCGAACCTGAGCCCCGCGAAGCGTGATGATGTTGTGCAGGCTGTGTGTAGCGCATTCAGCAATATAGAGCGCCTTCAAGTCCGGAAAGTAGAAGTTCATCTCCGACGGCGCCTCTGATCCGGGCACCATTTGGAACAACATCCGTACTCCATCGACCACGCGCTCCTCGCCAGTTTGGTTGATAGTCACATTTGGCGGGATAAGCGAGTTGGTACCGACTGGGACGCACATCCCTAGTCCACAGCCAATTTGGCCTTCGGGCCCTTTGGGAAGCAGAGTTCCATACATAAAGGCCGCACGTCGGCGCATGGCATTACCGGCGTATAGATTTTCGCTGGTCGCTTCTTCCATAAAACCTTCAGGACCAATAATAGGCACATCAGGCCTTTGGGTATCGAGGAATAAGCCCCGAGCACCGCCGAAATGATCGATATGGGAATGAGAATAGATGACTCCCGTTACCTTCCGATCTCCTCTATTCTTTCGGTAGAGATCCAGTGCAGCAGCCGCGGTCTCGACAGCTGTGAGGGGATCGATGATGACCACGCCTTCATGCCCCTCCACAATGGTCATGTTGGATAAATCGAAGCCGCGTACTTGATACACTCCCCGAGTCACCTCAAACAATCCCTGGATCGAGCTCAGTTGGCTTTGGCGCCAAAGCTTGGGGTTGGCGGTCTCAGGGCATTTCTCGGCCAGAAAACTATATTCGTCATTGTTCCAGACGACACGAGCATCGACGTCGCGAATAACACATGGGCGGAGAGCATCAACCAGCCCTCGTTTCGCGTCCTCGAAGTCCGTAATGTCTTCGAATGAGGGTTCTAGTTGCTGGTTTGCCATCGTGAAATGAATATTCTGGCTCGTGAGACTGCAAATCATTTTGACGGAATTCCGGTAGTTATTATAGCCAGAAAATAAAATTGGGGCACGCCCACGTATAAGGATCTACCACCGCAATATTTACCCCATTTTGCCTAGCTTGCATTGCGCCTTCACTGATGATACATCGTATAGCATGAGTAGCGTATATTTTAAACTCCGATTACCGACAAGTGGAGCGGCGAATAGGTGGGTCAAGGCCGCTGTAAACTACCTTTGCCTAATGGGTAAATGGTTCCCTAAGGGGGACTTACGCGGGAGCGGTAATTCTATTTCCCAATCGTTCAAAAAACATTTTAATTATAGATTGACATCTTAGGGTCAGGATTTAGAGTTCTCTCCTTTGAAAATAGAGTTGCTTAATCAAGGGCTTGTCGCCTAGGTTGCGGAGACCTCAGTAAGTGTATCGGAAGTTTGGCAAGCCAGCAATAACGAGCTCCCCACGAGATGCCTTCCGGTTGAGAATATAGAATCGGGTAGAAAGCATCGCCACGATCACGATTATTAACCCAGAAAGCCCAACGCATGTCAGGATACCGGGATGGTAGGTTGGGGAATCTTGCGATCGGTAAACCAATGACCCGGTCATGCCGCCTGACGCACCAAGGCCGACGAAAATAGCGCTTGATATCGCTCTTTTCCATTGCCCCCGTATATTGTTGGCCTGTAGTCCTAGATTAGCAGGTCTGAAAGGTGATTGGTTCTGAAACTGCCATAGCCTACCTGATACGCCATTGCGGCCGGAATATTCGAGTTGGCGCCCATCGTGGTCAAAAAAGCACCAACGAGGCGGGACGCATTCCCCTTGGTAAAACCCTAGTAAAGATAAGCATCGTACAAGATTTGTGAGGTGGAGTCTGGCTCACCATAAGTGGAAGGCCAATGATTGTGAGCAACGCATTAAAAATCAGAATCGGTCCTCGGATATGGTATCGATCCCCCAACCATGAGGTTGCATACATCAAAATGCCAGCTGCAGCATATGGTGGAGCAAAAAGACATAGAGAAGCTCCCATGGAAAATCCCATCCCTTTCTGGTAGATGATGGGTAGAAAATATGATATAGCGTAAGCGGTTGTGGTCGTTGAAAAGTAAATCAAGCCAAAGCCCCAGATGTTAATATCAAGTCCAGCACGAAGATACTTCTTCAGATTAAATGGCTCCAAGTTCGCATCTGCGCGATCCTTCGTGATCCGACGCATAATAAAGTCATACTCATCATTTGACAGGAACTTACGCTTGCTTTCTTTCATCTGATCAGGAAAACCGACCAGCACGAAGTAACTGATCGTGGCCACAACGCAGGTAATAAGTCCTTGAATGACGAATATCCAACGCCATGCTGTAAGGCCGCCCAGTCCACGCTGGAAAGTGTCAGCTAATGTGTTCACTTGTTTTAAAGGAGGCCTACCATGAAAGTGATGCCATAGGAGAGAATTCCAGTGCAAGCGGATGCCACGCATCCGAGAAGATAGAATATCGCATAGCGTTTCTGAATATCATATCGGGTGTACCAGGTAGAGATGAGATAAACCGAGGCAGGGAAAAATCCGGCCTCGAGAGCGCCAATGATAAATCGAATTCCAATCAACTGTGTCCACTCCTTGACGAATCCGGCGGACAGCTACCATGCATGTTAGAGAATGAGAAGCTCAGGTATAGGAACAAGATTCTAACATACCATGACAGCACCCCATATGAAAACTACCGTGGAGAGATAGTTGGTCGGCCCGATCTTGCGCACCAAGATGGGGCCAAATATCTGCAGGCAGATATATGGGGGAAAGAAAGCGACTGCAATTGTACTCTAGCACGCTATTAGTTTCTCTAAGTGTTCAGTGCGGAAGGCTGTTCCTGACATATTGCGTCCCATGAAGATGAAGTTCCTTCTCCATGCCAGCAACGGCAGCCGTCCCTAGGTTCCCTCGGTCAATAAGCGAAACCGTGTGAAGGAAGCCGAGCATGAGGACTAGGCGAGAATCGACGCGGTGGATAATCTTGCGCTGTTCACTATAAGAATAAACGGGATCATCGTCAAGACCCTCGACTATAGGCTTCTGAGACTCGACGGGCTCTAGTCGAGCCTCTGATATTTTCCCGTCATCCATGAATCTAGGTTCGGAGAATGATAAAAAAAGAATAGTGTGTTAGTTATGACAATTGTGGACAACCCGAGGAAAGCCGTCGTGATATATACCTGGCGACATGGAAACTTTGCCTCACATAATGTATAAGAAGTGGTGAAAGATGCAGCAGCTATGTTGCAATACACTGATTCTATTGCCTATGGATGTCTCGATTTGAATTTTGTGGGGTAATGCATATGTTTGTGAGACTTCCTTATTGCGAACTGAATTACATTCGACTTGATTGGACCCACTTGCTGTCATGCCCCACAGCGGCGCTGGGGTTTTTCGGCTCATCGGCGTTGAGCATTCTCGTGAAGCCTGAGCGACTTTCTTTATCGCCGACTTGGTCCTATTTTTCCGACACGATCTTGAATGGAACAAATTTTGCCCATAGCTCCCCACTTTTAGCCATTTTGAGCAGTTTACAATCTGTTAGCTGAATAACGTCACTGGGGTTGAATGGTTTCGTGCATCTCAGGACTGCTTTTCTTGCACCTTGTGATTCAGTCTAAATTGGAATGATTGCATGTATATTGATTTGAAACAATTCATTGCCGTCAAGTACTCTTTCAAAGTTCGAAGGTCGGATGGTCACAGCCTATGCATCCAATATCACATTCTCTGCGTGATCTGTCTCGAGACCTGGAGCTCAAAAGAAAATGGCGTCCACCCGAGAGGCTGGCATTTGCGGGGAAATTGTGGACAAGACTTGCTAATGTCATATCATGGAGCGATTTGCTCATATTTTGGCTCATATGAGTGATTCAATTCGTCTAACTTCAAAACATGGCGTAGAGCGTGCTCTTGGCAGATTGTCGTTAACGCCGAAAGCCGACAACGCCCCGTTTTCTACTAGATATCGCAATCAACGGCAAAGGTATATAGAGACCTTTATTTGTTCGTCATTAAGATGGTGTATCGCAGCAATTGGTTAGAGATCTTGGATATTCCGCGATCAATACACCTTTGACAGAAAACACCGCTGCAACAACCCAGAAGAATTTTCTTGACCCTCACTATGCAGCCCACAGTGCGACAGCATTCGTCAGGCTCCCTCGAGCAGTTCGATCCGGTCATGGTGACTCCTGTGATTGGGAACGAATTTACCAAGGATTCCTGCAATATCGTCGACGATATTCTTCACGCGCCGGATGCTGACCAGCGCATCCGCGACCTGGCGATCATGAGTATAGCAACCTTTCGCTTGGCAGAAACCAGACATCAGCTCATATTCTATCTCTTTAGTTGCCGAACGGGGAGTGGTCTTCTTCCGTGCCCAAGATAACCTCACCAACGATCTGCAAAAAGAGCTGATTCTGCGCATGGGCCAGCTCACCGGTCGTCCAGCCAGCAACGCTCTACACATCCACCCCGTCACGAATGACGCGCGTGAATTCGGTGATCCCGATCCTGCTATCAGCACAATCAACTCCGAGGGCCGAAAGAAGCTTTACAAAGGATCGAGTTATACTAAGATGGCGGCTGTATGGCACTCCGACATCTCCTTCGAGCCGGCCCCAGCGGACTTTTCGTCCCTGAGATTAACACAGTTGCCCAAAACCGGAGGAGATACGCTCTGGGCATCGGGATACGAGGTCTATGATCGGATCAGCACGCCGTATCAGAAGTTCCTGGAGACTCTGACTGCGACGCATGACGGCGAAGGCTTCCGGCGTATGGCTGCGTCGGGCAAATTCCAACTCTACGAGAAGGAGAGAGGATCGCCGCAAAACGTCGGAGGGGATCTCTTCGCTATTCACCCAGTGCGTTTCTGATTTCATTTAATTGTTCCCGTTAGGTATCCTCGTCGCTCATCTGTCTTCCAGGTTGTCCGGACGAATCCCATCACCGGGTGGAAATCTATCTTCTCGATCGGTAAGCCCTTGAAACCGCCCGAAACAACGTGTGGTGATATTTACTAACAGATCTCGTTTGTCAGGCTCATTTCCATCTTGTATCACTGGCCTGAATCGCAAAGAAAGCGCGAGTATGCTGCAATGGTTCCACGATCTCATCACGTACGGACACGATTTACAAGTTCGATTCAAGTGGAACCAGCCCAACGATATCGGTGAGCATAACAGTATATAATTTCACTCTTAGCATCAGAAACTAACTTAATGCAGCAATTTGGGACAACCGAAGCGTCTTCCATACAGCCACTGGAGATCACGAGGGCTTCGGGCCACGGAGCGGGAGTCGAGCCGTGGGCGTTGGCGAAGTACCTTATTTCGACCCTGCGAGTAAGTCTCGGCGTGAGGATTTGGGAATCCTTGATGATCTTGCCCCATGCCACCTTTAAGAGACATTTATTGCTTGGATTGTCGGCTCTTATTTCTTACTCCACGTATCGTGAATTTGGGTGAGATTATGGAAAGATAGGCAGGCTTCTGCTTGAAAATTTATACATTGCTATAATACAACCTTCATCATGTGCCATTGCACTGTCCAAAATAACTTTTATACCATAAGATCCGCTTTATATTATTTAGAAATCATGATCTCCATCCAAACTCATCAAGCATAGGTAAGTTGAAGGCATCTACAGCCCAAAAGTCCTCGGTGAAAATGCTCTGGAAGGGTTGTGTCAAAGCAGGATTATCCCTTGACAACCCATCTTGGAGACTGGTTGAAAGATCCTGAAGATCCTGAAAGATATTGGAATCTTGGAATCCGAACAATTCTGCACCTGACCCCTGAGTGGCAGTGCTCTGTGTGACTGGCATTGGCGGCTCAACGTGTGGAATAGCATCTGGTGGATATGCCCTCGGTGCTGACTGGGTATAACTGGATACGCCGAGACTAGAGACATTATTCTGAAGCGATGCTGGCGCTTCGGATGCCTCTTGCACGAAATCCATGGCACGGTTGATGATAGAGTCTAGCCCATCTCGGTAAGGTTTCAACCGTGTATTCCGCTCTGCCATGACGAACAGTGCCGAGTAACAAGCACGGAGATCGTTGGAGACTGCAGGGGTCCACAGACTAGGCGAACGGAATAGACAGAAGCTATGCCGGCGTTAGATCAACTTTCATCAAAGGTCACCAACTCCACTCACCACATTGTGATCCCGGCCATGAAAATGGAATTCACCAGCAAAAAAGAGTAGCCCGACGAATCTCGCTGGCGTAATTTCTTAAAAAATTGACACATTTGCCCGGAGGCATACAGACACGTGTTGAGAAGCTTGTCTTGAGGGTTTAAAATGCCAATGAAGGGTTGAAGGAGTATTCGGACCGAGTTATTCCAGTGCATGTGCACAAAGTCCCCTTCATGCAAGTCGAGAGACGACAGAGAGTCCTTGAACCCCTGCAATGCAGCCAATAGGGGAGCAACCTCGTGGAGTAAGCTCGAGACATGTTTGTCGACCCGGTAGATGCGCGTATGAATCTGGGACACGATTCGCTGCAGCTGGATGGAGGCGATGAATCTGCCAAGTTTTCCATGTTGCGTTTGTGATCCTTGGCCAGCTAGATCGTTGTTTATTATTCGTTCAAGAAGATCGTCGTTAGTCAAGGAGTCATCTATATTGGAGGGTGGCTCTGCGTCAATTTCTTCTTCCGCGATGCTGAATGGCCTCCCCAAAGACCATGCTGTATATCTCTCAATAATATAGACACTCCAAAAGAGGCGTCGCCGTAGTTCGGCCTCGTGGGGTCGTAGTCTTTTATACCGCGATTCTCTGTGGAATCCAAAGTCCACACATGTTCTCATCGCTAGGCCAATCATGTACCACACGCTGGAGTTGGAGGTCGACCTTAGGTTGTACAAAACCATTAGTAACATGGCCTCGATACTGGCCACCGAGATGGATTCTCTCAGCGCCGCATCAAAATGCAGCGCCGTGACCAGAAAGTCGCGGGATGGGATGGAGTCGTAAGTCTCCGTCATTTGACAAATTTCCGCTCCGATGGCATACACCATAAACAGCTGGAATCGACCGAACTGGGCCTCGGGCGTCCCGTCTGGGGGTTGATGACGCTTGGCGTGTAAGTCGAATATGGCGCTTCGATCCATAAATGGCAATCGAACATGCATGTTCTTGAAATAAGCGTCCAGGATTTGAGCTCCGATGATATCGTCCGGCGGGGCCGCCCTTGCGTTCTCACTGCGTCGGGATCTCGAGTCGGATGGCAGGCTGCCGCCATGGATAGGTAGCAGCTGGATCCCGACCGTGTTGTGTACGATGCGGTTAACATTTTCCGCCATCGCAAGGCCCGATGAAGGCCCAAGATACGGCGCGTCTTCATTCGGCTCGGTGCCCAGCGTCAAGAAACGCACGACGCCGCTCCCATGGCGCCTGCTTCTATCCGGGCGCGACGAACGCGCGTCGGTGTCGGTGTCGGGGTTTCCTGTGGCTCGATCGTGCCCCCTGGCGAGGTCGGGCGCATTTACCTTCGATGCCGCCAGCTGGGCTTCCAAACTCTCGATCCGATGCGCCAACGCGCCCTTGGACATGCCGTGGTGCCATGATGGGGCGGTCTCGGATCGCGAGCAGGGCTGGTGTGCCGATTCACAATTGGTGCAGACGGGAGAGCCGACGCATTTTTGCTTACGACGGTGACAGCGCCGACAGGACTTTGGAATGCGCTTCCGCACTCTCAACTCCGGGTCCATCGGCACGATCGACACCAATTTAAGGGTGGTATCGGGCGAATGTGAAGTGCAGCGCTCCCGCAGGTTTCGCCGAGACGCCGTTTGGTTGTGCCTAGACACGGTGGAGACGAACGGCCCGCGCTGCTCAACCGTCGATCATCGATTTTTTTTCCTCATCGAAGCGCGTCTGCTGGAGTTTATTGCCGAAGTATATCGAAGGATCTGACAGAAGACATCGAACGTCCAGAACGTCCAAAACATCCACAACACTCAGAAAATAAAAAGGGGGTGGTGGGGGGGCAGAGAGCCGGGCCTAGACCGTTTGTTGGTCACATCCACAATGCCCAGATTTTACCGTTCGCCGTATTCGGGACCTCGGTAACTAACGGATAGCATCCGACCTCTTTTCCTTTAAAATCAAAGTAGGCAAACAGCCATCTGTCAGGCGTCTCAGGCTAGATTTCCTGCCGAGATTCAAGATAAACAGCTCTCTAGGGGACCTTACCGGACACATCTAGACTCTTCATTTGCTTTTGATGTCTCCATGCCATTATAAAAGCTGGTGATCTTTTTATTTTAGGGTAATTTTTTATTTACTTGTTTTTGAGGCAGAGCTAAATTTGCAGTTAAATGGCCAGCCATCAAGTCCGCCGACTCAAAAATGAAGCGAAAATAAAATTTTACGCCACGCTTCTCTGCATGGGTATGTTATGCACATTCTGTACAGAACTTGATGCAAACTTGACGGTTATTCAGTCTTACATGCCTTTATTGCCTTCTTAATCAAGCTTGTTCCCCGCCTGCTTTCTGGCTGGCCCCTTCGCCGTGCCTTTGCCGTCGCTTTTCTCAGAACGAAATCATGGATTTCGCTTGAACAAAGTCGCAGCATGAATCCTCCTACGGGCAAGAGCATTAGGGACTTCTGTAGTGTTGCAGATCTCCTTTGTGAGCCGGTCGATATCGACTGCAGCGGTGGTGTGCCACCAGGAACCTTACACTTGATCGACCTCGAACTTCCTTCTAACACTGGAATCCTGTTATATGTGCATGGCGGTGGCTACTGCAATCCGATCAGCGCTAAAGGACACATATCCTTTGCCCTTGAGTGTGCACACGCTGCCGGTGTATCAGCTCTTGCCTTTCTGGAATATACACTCTCTCCGGAATTAAGCTATCCTGGACAGTTAGTACAAGTCGTGGAAGCACTACGTTTTATACTCCGCAGCCACCAACCATCGCAAATCGTGCTAGGCGGTGACTCCGCCGGAGGTAATCTAGTTCTTGCTCTGATTGCCCATCTCATTCAGCCTAGCCCATATGTGCAAGCAGTGGCTGGATTTGGTAGAACCTCCGGACGTTTCCGCGCAGTCTTTTTGATCAGCCCCTGGGTGGCCTGTCAGTACAATTCAAGGAGCTTCAGAAAGAACGCAACAAAAGATTATATTAGTACTGAGGGCATGAAACGCTTTACTGCTTTGTGGCAGCCAAAGGTTCATGAGATTTGGGCCACGCCCATAGCTGGGAGTGCTAAATTTTGGTGTCATGCTCCGGTCGACGATTTACTAATCACGGCCGGCGAGTGGGAATGTTTTCTGGATGATATACGTGGGATGGCAGACCGTCTCGGTGCCAAGCCATTTGGAAGCGGATCTCCTGTGGAGTTGGCAATTGCAAAGGCAGAGGTCCATGTGCAATGTGTGGTGGATGCAGCTGTGAATGTTTCACATGGTTTCATGGCACGCATCATTCTGCGATGGCTTGCTTCACACTAGACGTGGAGACCCTCCCAGCACAAGAAGATCTCGAGCTGTTAGCCGGTTATATAGCACCCTATCCCTCCTTTAACATGTCGTCAGGATCGCATGTTAATGCGGGTAAGACATAAAGTCACTTCGGTATTCTCTTTTACGTGCAAATGGTGCAAAGCTCTCCTTCAAGACATGGTTCGTGTAATGGGTGTGTGATCTGGCGACCTACGCCTTTCACTCGGTGGGCGTTCATCACGAGTAGATTAAGAAATTAAAATCTGAGGCTAAAGACAGAAACTCAAACGTGTGGAAAGTCGACAAAGAAGTGATCAAGTTGGTGTTCAAGTAGGCTGCAAACATAGGAGGATTTTTATTTCGAGTCAAAGCACCTAACGTGTAAGAAATCAAAGAAATATAGCGGGTTGAAGACAGTCATATACTTAATGATTTGAAAGTGTGATTAGACAATAGTGTCTAGAGATTACAGGAAGCAAAAATGAGAGGAGTCGACTGATCTTGTTGGAAGAAAATGTGCAAGTCTTGCAGATGCTACGAATGCAGATCAACTGCCTGGTTCATTACGAGTGTGCTGGGTGGAAATTCATTGCTATCTTATGTTAAGGAGAGAAACCCTAATCAGATTAATGCTTAGCTTCTTGAAATTCTGCAATATATCCTGAAATCCTGGGTACATGTCGGACAAAGGGGTTTCTAGATGGGCAATTTGGTTTGCGGATGTTGACCATCAATTTACAGGACCTTGATGATGACCAATTGCTCTTCCAGATATGACCATTACTTTCCTTCCTTTCAACGACTTCTTAGCGGCAATCCTCCAAGGTCACATATAGTAGATGGCACAATATTAGGGTCGAGGTAATACGCAATTTGCTGGATGACGTTTGTATCAAAAGGCTCTGCCAAGTGTCCTGTCACGTCATAAGGACATCTGTCCTGAATGTAAAGGTTTGTGACGCCAGTTTCATTGACAAAAGCATTCCAGACTGGCGTTACCACTTCATCTTTCCTGCTTGCGATGATGTGATATTCGATGCCGGGTTGAGCAATAGGTCCAGAGTCAAGGAGGCTGATAGCAGTGCCATCAGGAAGGACATCGGTGCATGCATCGCAACCGAATTCATCGATCACTTGCTCCACTTCGGTGGTAATTCCGGACCCAAAGGCTTGTATCAAGTTGGTGATGCCGGAGATAGTGGTACCATAGGATGGTGGCGCAACAGCGACCACTTTATCAACGAGAGAAGTGACGTTCTCAAATTTGGGTATGTACAATGTCATCAAAGCACCTTCCGAGTGGCCAACAAGATCAACTTTCGACGCGCCAGTCTTGGTTTTCACTGCCGAAATGAAATCTGCGAGAACCACAGCCGATTCGTTGATGGGCATCAGGCCCCCAATCAAAGGAAGTTCTGCATAAGCTCCATAGGTCGTAGCATACGTGCAGAAGTCCTGAGATTGGAGGTAGACAGCTATGGCGTCCATGTAGTCGGCATTACAGAAGAGGCCATGAATAAGAATGACTGGATTCGGGTGACTGCTGGACTTGCATGAGTAATTGTTTTCGCCTGTAGCCAGGGCTTGTACTGTTTGTCCGCAGAGAAGATTGGCGAGGATGCTTGTCCAAATATATAGAATAACCATGATTTATTTTGAAAGAGAGTTGATAAGGGTCGGTTGGTAACTATAAAAACACGGTCAGCTAACCCGACTACTTATATCCTTAATTCAACTTCCCTTGACCCATTCCCTTCCTACTCCGTCGAGCCTACCCCGCAAGCTCTTGAGGAAGACTTGCCTACATTCGATTTGGAAAAGAATTTCATGAAATTAATGACCACTTAGAGCGATCAGAAAAGCGACCGCTTTGACTTTGACCGAGTACGGGATTCCGAGGCCGAAATCCGTAACCTGAGTAAATCTCGTTAAAGAAAGAGTTATACGGTGTTTATGAGCGATGGCAAATATGCCGAGTACGAAGCTGGCCGATGATTGCCGAGGGCCCACCGTAAATCGGGGATGCTCGTTCTTGGGATGGCTTCAACCTAGGTCTCTCTTGAATCTTAGTTGTACGTAAGTAGCTACCCACTGCAATGGTTTGTCCGTGGGTCAGAGGTGCTTCTGCGAAGTAAAAAACCCGAGCTCACGTTATATCATGTCTTCTAAAAGATGAGCACGTTAATACACGTGGCCCATTACAGTCGATACCTAAGCCTGTGGCTACGGACATTGACACAATCTGGCGGTAGACTATACGTCACTATAGATAGAGCATCACTGAATTCCTTGCAAATCGAAGCAAATCTACAATCTGTTGCAAAGCATCAAGTATGAGTAATTAGAAGCGCGCGCTGCAAGAAAATCACTGTATAGGACGTAAAGGATGTCATTGACATTTTTGGCCTGGCGGTATTTTGCGATGCGTCAGAATATTCTGGTCTTGGGGGCGGTCAGTCGGATTTTCTTGTAGAGCCGTGGGCGGTAGGTCAAATAGAGGCAAGTTTGGATTTGAATCACTTGATATTAAGCCGATCACAAGCACCAGGTCTCTTGCCGAATACGATCCGCCGAGGTCAAATCACAAAGTGATATCGCACGAAAAAGGATAGTGGCCATGAGCCTTCGTCAAAGATGCCCCGCGTTTTACCCCGCACCAAGGATCTACCCTGAAGTGGACAAGGCTAGCGGATCCGGTCGTCCGGTTACTCAGGAGAAATATTGATATGAAGTCGCAACTTTCAAGTCTATGCTGCGCTGCAATGAAGGCGCAGACATGCCTCTAATCGGTATCAGCAGATCCTCGATCTGTACTCTACAAGAGACATTTTCCTTTCACTCCCCTGCCCCACTCCGGTCTTAGGCATTGGATGTCTTTTAACAACATGGCTGGCGAGCTGCGAAGGAGAAGGCCGCATCCCAAGACTAGGAATGGGTGCCAGACATGCAAGTATGGCTGAGCCTTCTTTCTTTATGTGTAAAATTATTATTTACGTGTTTTCAAGGAAACGACACGTGAAATGCGACCAATCATGGCCATCTTGTAACCAGTGCAGTAGAACAGGGCGGAAGTGCGACGGGTATGAAAGGCATTTACGTGCCTTGCTCACTCCTCGTCATATGTCTATGGAGCATTTTCGGGAAACAATCTGCCCTAAACTTGAGATGTCTCTTCATCGCTTTGGTGCTGGATCGGTCGATGAAATGCGTTCTATCCAATACTTCCAAGCCCGCACGTTACCGGCTCTGTCAGGTTTCTTTGACACGGGTGTATGGGACTGCTTATCGTCGTTCATTGGCCAAATGGAGCCTACAGTCTTGCATGCGGCCATTGCCCTCGGTGCATATCATGAAATATCAGAAAACACCGGGCCTCTGAAATGCTGGGACTTGCGTCGCAACACTAGCTCTAATCCTGACGTCCGGTTTGCTTCTGAACAATATGCAAGAGCTATTTCGTTGTTTCGAAGGAGCCTATGTTCTAATAGGCTGTATGCTTCTGGACTCGAAATATCATGTATTCTTTTTGCCTGCGTGGAATTTCTACGAGGTGATCGGAAATCCGGATTAGCCCACATCTCGGGTGCATTGAGTTTCCTCGAACTTCGTCAACAAACTGTTCTTCTGAGCAGGGAAGAAGCGGCTTTAATGTCCCTCATTGCACGACTAAGCCTCACACAGTCTCTCTATGGCCGGCCTAGGAGCGTTCAGTTCCCCGATCTCCTAGATCTTCGCAAGAACCCCCTATTATCGCATGACGGTAAATTTTGCACGCTCATTGACGCCAGAATGGAAATAACTTTCCTATTGAACTCTACTCTGCGTTTTGTACGAATGGCGGTGTACGATTGCTATCCAGACCCCTTCACGGCGCTCGCAGCACAGCGGAGCCTTCAAGTTCAGCTTCGGAATTGGTCTATCAGTTTTGAAACTTTCGTCGAGGTTTCAGCTCCAACGACAAAAGATCGGAGAGGGGCTTGCCTGCTTCGCATACATCATCTTATGGCTACTATCTTCGTCGCAGCCTCTGGGGCTTTTGGGAACAAACAAGAGAGCGCATACGATCGCTATCTTTCCAACTTTGATAACATCCTTACCTTGATGGAAGACATCACATCGGAAGATATGGAGGACGAGAGCTCACATTCATCGTCATTTTCCCTTGACATGGGCCTCATTCCGCCCCTTTTTTTCACTGCCATTAAATGTCGCTTCCCTGCTGTGCGGCGTAGAGCAATTGCGTTGCTCCGTTGTGCCCCTAGGCAAGAGGGTCTCTGGGATGCAATAGAATCAGCCAAAGCAGCAGAGCTAGCAATGAAATTTGAGGAACAGCACATAGTGGACAGCATGTTGTCATGCGAGGCCCCAATACCAGAATGGGCGCGCGTCCACGATGTAGATATACACGAGAAGGATCCTTCCCAATTTTCAAAACAACTGGTTATTCTGAGATGGAAGCCAGACGGCATCGAGAAAGAGATGCAGGATGTTCGCACTTATATCCAATGGTAAAAATCCCATGTGTTATTCCCCATAAACTCTTTCCAGTCCAGCACACATGGCTTTCTTCGATATTCACTCCTTCTTCCTTTTCTCGGTTAATTGGGCTCCGAAAGGTGTCATTATAAACTCGCGTTAACTCGGCCGCACCTGGACTTGGACGAGGAATACTATAATTGTAATTGTAATTATAATTTCATTGGGGTAAATGTGAGCGGCAAGGCAGATTTATCGGCAGACCACTCTAGGGCGACTTAGTAAGCTACATCACATAATTGTGCCTAGACAAGTGCTCGATCCGCTATAACTCATCCACTCAGTTCTATTCATGTAAAATGTAATTATCGAATTTCAAGATATTTAAAATTTGCGCTTCTGAAATAAATTTTGAAATTGGCCTTGAAAATACGTATATATTTCTGGATATTCCTTTTGAAAATTTTCCTATTTTACGCAAACACCACCATAACGAACGAAATTTGTTGCTCTTTTGGTAAGTAATATAAAACTAGGCTTGCTCACTTCTATTCCAAGGAGATTACTTAAAATTTTCTACTTAATATGGCGATACTATAGGAAGATTCTGTGAATGAACCAGAACAGGCCTAAAATAGGGTCATTTATTTTGATGAATCAGCTACTTTATAAGCGCCGAGACCAAGACTTTATGCAAGTATGGGCTTTCATGAGGACCCAGTGGGAGCCCACGGTGGGTTGGGCTTTGCGCAAGTCTACTTTAGCTAGCTTCTTAGTCCAGGACTTGTCAATAGAGAGATCCAATATTATTGCTTCGACTGTCCTCCTTTCCGTAAAATTGAGCATGCCCCTGACAAGCATGATCTACTCATCAAGCCTCACAGGAGCGCTTCTGAGTAAGAAAACCTCATTAGATAAGCATCACGCTAGCCTTGTCCATGTATATACCCCTTTGGTCACACTTCGAAACAGTACATGTAGGATACGCCGGATAAGGAGAGTAAGCTCCCACCGCGGTATGCTACGTATTGCATTGAGAAGGGAGAAAAATCATCTCTGTTGTGCATTTCACATGCTCCTCAGGAAAGTCTCCCCAGAACTATCGTCGATGTCAGTGTCAGGTTTTCCAGTATGGCCCCTGGATGGCTCTTTGGGGTAGGGGGAAGTTCAGCTTACCTTAGCAACATGTTGTCGGATGCGATGCATGTTCTTGCCCGGCTGGATCTGGCCCACCACCCCTGGGTGGTCCGACTCGGTCCTCTTGGGCACAATCATGGTTCGTCCGACGAAGCACTCGAGCGTCAGTAGTGCAAAGCCGAGAGCTTCTTTTGCGCCGATAGGGATTCCAATCTCGGAGATGGGGACGATGCGAGTATTGGGCAAGCGCTGCTTCAGGTAGTTGATGATGTTGGGGTTAAGAGATCCGCCGCCACCCATGTAGATCTCATCTACGCCCCCAGGTGGACCCCAGCGTTCGTAGGCATCTGCCAGGGACTTGGCTGTGATGCGAGTTATGGTGGCAACACAGTCCTCTGGTGTAGCTCCGCCTGCAGTGTCACTTTTTGTCAGCCGAAAACCCTGTCTCGATTAGTGAAGTCAGACTAACGTTTCAGCATCTCGTCGCAGATATCTTCCGCCATCCGATCCCCGAATGTCTCTCGGCCAGTAGTCTTCGGTATATCGTGCACGAAATATGGCCCCTGGAGCACTTTATCTACAACAGACTGGTCAACCTTGCCCTTCTGGCCCATTGCACCATCCTTGTCATATTCCTGTTGACCGTTGGTGAAGTACCGCACGGCTGCGTCGATAAAGACATTCCCAGGTCCCGTATCAAAGTCGTAACACTCTTCAACAGCGCCTCGAGGTAAGATTGAAAAGTTTGCGATGCCACCAATGTTCTGCACAGCGCGGTTAAGCGTTGGGTGGCTCAGTAGGAGGGAATCGAGAGCTGCGAATAGTGGGCAGCCTTGCCGGCCGAGGGCCATGTCTGACACCCGAAAGTTGCCAAGCGAGGTGACGCCAGTGCTAGCGGCTATGATGGCAATCTCAGCCATGTCGAGATGTGCCCGGCTTTGGTTGCCCTCGAAGAGCTCCGGCAGCGGTAGGTGCCAGATAGTCTGGCCCTGACCACCGATCAGGTCGACATCTGTTGCCATATTGAGATTGTTCTTCTGCTCAAACCATTTAACGGCGTCGCTAATGACCTCACCCAGCTGGATGTTAACGATGGCTAATTCCCCGGGCGTCGTAGTGTTCTCCTTGATGAGCCTCATGACTCTTGCCTTAAGATTTTTAGGCATCGGGTATTCTCCATAGTGCAGGAGCTGCATCTTCAATGGCGTTGTTGGGCTATCCTGAGTGAAATGGACATGAACAAGGTCGACCCCGTCCATGGAGGTTCCCGCATTGTGGCCAATGACCATAAGAGACCTGTTGGAGGTTAAGCCACATGATCGCAATAAATTTCAGCGACGAAGTGTTCTGTGAGATATGTGTTTTGCGGGTATAAACACTTACAGTGGGCTGCCGCCGGACTGGTTCAAAGCGGAAGGCATCGTGTCGTCTAGCGTGAAGGAAATGTGCAACTTGAGACACAGGTCACGAAACAAAAGATTCTGCTGCGAACATACAAAAAGCACATTAATATGGTCGACATACCTTATATATCTTGTCAGGAGGATTGTCGGCAAAAGCATGCTCCACCTCACGCTCAACAGCGGCTCGGGTTCGGTTCCCTTCCGGATGGAGATGCGGGGGCCGAGCATGGAGCAGCAACTACGAGGATCGTCCCCGGAAGGCAGCTGACTCCGATACACTAAGGATAGGCAAGTTGCATCCCGTTGGTTTCTCCACACCAAGGACGGCGATCTCCTCTCGGCGATGACTGCCTTCCGCGATATCCAGCCCCGTTGAGTACTCACTTCTCGCCGCAGTCTGTGTGGAACCGTGGGACAAGGTTTTTGGAGCTGGGTGCCGTCCGGGTACATGGAAATTTAAAATCCCCCGGACCTTGGCCCAGGATTTTACAACGCCTCTTCAAATCCTATCTTAAGACCTATAAATTCCAATTGGAACCAGGACTGTCACATGCCAGTATGGGATATATCTCAAGTCCAAATTGATCTCATTTATCTCGAACCGAGAAAACACCCCAACCACGTTCGCACTCCATTTTCGCAATCATGGCTTTTCTGCCGTTGACCAGATACACAACCCACATGGGCACATCGGGTCTGAAGCTCAACATTCTCGTTGCCGGCATTGCGACATGTGCGTTTTGGCTTTTCGGCTACGATATGAGCATCATGGTACACTCCCACTCCTTCGCTTTCCCCCATGACACATCCAGTCTGAAAACAAATATAGGGCGGTCTCATTACCGAGGAATCCTTCACGACTGTCTTTCCTGAAATGAATGACGCCAATGTCCAGGGCATCGTGATCGCCTCTTTTGAACTTGGTGCTCTTGTCGGTGCCCTCGCCTGCTTAGACCTCGGCGACCGACTCGGTCGTCGGCTGACCGTTTGGTTCGGCATGCTTTTCATGCTGGTGGGCGGCACGTTACAGACCAGTGCCTGGGCGATACCTCAATTGGTAGTGGGTCGCGTCATCAGCGGCATCGGTCTCGGCTTACAGGTTGCCACGGTGCCGTCATGGCAGTCTGAGTGTGCGAAAGCACATAGTCGCGGGCGCTGGGGTAAGCAGTAGTTCTCCTTCTTTCTCTCGTCTTCGAGGAATAGATGACTGACTTGATCTAGTCATGATTGAGGGTGGCTTACAGACATTCGGCGTGGCTTGTGGCCAACTTGTTGGTTATGGTTTCTTCTTTGTGAAGGGTCAAGCGCAATGGCGTACACCCGTGGCAATTCAGCTCGTTCCAGCCTTGATCGTCTTCGTATTTATCAATTTCCTTCCTGAGTCGCCCCGTTGGCTGATCAAACACGGCCTGACTGAAGAGGTTCGTCTCGTGTTTTGCTTACCATACCCACGCTCCCCTGGATGGTGAAGGTCCCTCGCTGACAGTACACTGCTTGTGTAGGGCACATATAACCTGTCAAAGCTTCGGGCCCTGCCTGTCGACCACCCTGAACTAGTCCATGAACGTGATGCAATCATCGCCTCGTTCAAAGCGCAGATTGAACTTGCTCCATTCTCCTACAGAGAAATGCTGGATATGGGAAAGACCAAGACGTTCCATCGCGTGGCTATTGGAGTCTTCATGCAATCAGCGCAGCAAATATCTGGAGTCAACTTGGTCTCGACGTACGCCAACAAGATACTGCAGGAGTCGTTCGGCCTCGCCGCCAGCACATCGCACCTCATCGCTGCTATGGGTGGTTTGGAGTATGCTCTATGCTCGCTTCTTTCTGTATTGCTCATAGAAGGCCTCGGGCGTCGTCGGGCCTTCTTGTGGACTACTATCGGCATGTCTAGCTGCTTTGCCATCATTGCTGGGCTTCAAAGCACAAACTCGCGAACCTGCCAATTGACCGCTGTTGGATTCCTGTTTCTCTTCAATTCCTTCTTTGGTCTCGCCTGGGTTGGGGGACCGTTTCTATACAGCGCCGAAATTGCACCTCTGCGATGCCGCGCGCAGGCTAATGCCTTGGCCAGCGCTGGCAACTGGTTGTTCTGCTTTGTGGTGGTCATGATTATCCCACCCTCTTTCCAGAATATCGGATGGAAGACGGTATGTCTGCTTCTTTTTGCATTGTGCATTGAGTTCTATGGTCAACCTAACGCGTGTTTAGTACATTATTTTTGCCGTTCTGAATGCCTGCTTTGTACCTATCATCTACTTTTTCCTCGTTGAAACGAGAAAGAGAAGTCTCGAAGAAATTGTGAGTATATATTTATTCAAAAGTTTTTTTTTTTTTTCCATCGAAGGAGAAAGAGTGAAAATTGAACTCGCAATCCCATAAGGAGATCTAGAAGGCTAATAACTTCGGCTTGCAGGATGTCATCTTCGCTGCGGGTGGTGACCCGGTCAAGAAAGAAAAGACGATGCCGTATAATATACCTATTGAGGAGGCCCGGAGGATTCTTGGGCTTTCTGAGAGTACCATTATCGCTGAAGTACTAGAACATGACGTGAAGACGTCAGATTGAGAGCGTGCTTTTTTAGTTGAAGGCATTCAGGGGTTTTCCTGTCGCAACAAAGGTTCTCAATTTACAAGATTGCGTTAGGAAACGCGGGTGTAAAAATGAACTTTAAGGCCCAATAAACTGAGACAGTCTATATCAGGGATCGTTTCAACGGAAAAAGCAGCTGCGTGCCGTCAAGCATTAAGAAGCAGCCGTAGGCACAGGCCATAATAAGCACTCAGTCACTTTGCGTGAATCGGATACTTAGGGTAAGAATACAGAAGAGATAGAGTAAATTTTGGCAAGCAATGATAAGAGTAGATCCGTCACTAAATCTGATGATGACAATGCTAAATACAAGGTGTTGCTTGCTCTTTGAATCATTCATCTATGGAAGCATGCTGAGCTATGCCCAAGCAACTGGTCGAGCATATACATACACATGCCAGTCGAACCAAGGAGATGCCCGTTATCTACGTGTAAAGGGGAACTCCACTTATTGCATTTCTCAAATTAAAAAGTTGGCATGGTGCATTGATTAGTAAAACACTGTCCATTTCTCGATCCATTTGGGGTACCCAGCTAACGGGGACTCAGAAAAACTATGACTAATCCTGGGTCCCCGTTAACTCCTACACCTAGCCGGGACCGAGGATTCCTGAGTCCTTAGTTAGCGCCTATTTACGATTTATGTAAAGTATACCTAAATTATACACTATCACCTAAGGTATTATACTTAAACGCACTATATCTTTTTAAATTATTCTATGCTATAAATCGTATTCTAGATAATTAATCCTCTATCTAAACCTATCTTCAGCTTTTGAGTAACGATATTTGTATATTCAGAAATAAGAAACACTCTGTAGGATACGTAAACTATATATTAAGGTAAAAAGGGACTAATAACGTATTTCACCAGCGAGTGGCGGGCACTACCGAGTGGCGGATCCCCCTAATATTTAGACCTCATTAAAAACGTTTTGAGGGCCGGTACCCCCGGCCCTCAGCCCGACCCGCACCAGTTGGAGGGCCGGTACTACCGGCCCTCGGCGGACCCTCAGCCCTCAGAGGGCCGCCCTCGAGCGGCCCTCATCCGCCCGCATTTACATAAAAAAAGTTGACCTTTCCTAATTTAGACGCATAATATTGCTCAGTCATCCTGATAGATTACTGTTTTTTAACACTGTTCTGGTTTCCATCTTTCATTTCTACTTTATTTCCTTATTATTATTGAGAAATTTTAAGAAATCAAGTAGTATTATAGTATATAATGATAGGTAATATAGATATTATTCACTTTTAGCCTACTATTATGAAGATAGGGTTGGTAATTTTGAATGTTGCGAAGTCTACAAGTTGAAGTTGTAGAAATATATATTTGCACTTAGGGTATATAGTGTATCCTCCATAGGAACTTAGTAATACTCTCTTTAAATCTCGAATGCTAGTATTTATGATTAAAAATTGAATCAAAAGGTGAAATTACGATAACTACTTGATATATTGCTAGTAATTACTATTAAATTATATATGGTATAATAGTAAAGTGTTAGAAATTATGATTTGGTAGAAGAGTTTGTGGAAGATTTTTGGGGGGGGGGCATCACGACTACCCATTTTTTGAGGGCGGATTATTGAACTGAGGGCCGCCCGCATATTTCGAGGGCTTTTCGAGGGCTTTTCGAGGGCGGCCCTCAACTAGCGCTCAAATTCTGACCAATAGGGGAAGGTAGTAGTAGAAAAAGTGGGTCATAGTATGATAGATCATACTATGATTACTATGATCACTATGATTACTTCTCTTAGAATAATCATAACGCGACTAGTCAACTTCGCGTGCTTGAAACTGTGGTTTATGTATGTCTGTCCTTATTGCTGCTAAGTCCTTCTTTTATTCTTCCTCTTAATATTACTCTTATTGATAATATCCAATATGTCTCAGTTCTCAGATATCTACTCTTCATCTATTTACGACGGCGATCCAGTAGCTAACGACCCTTTTCACCCTTTATTAAACGAGCCACTCCCTACCCCTGAGGATACTACGTCAAACTCTGGTTTTCTTACGCCGGTCCTACCACCTCTGATTCCTCCCTCACTCCAGCGTGTTGGTCCTGGTCGTTCAACAGCGTTTGTCCTATTTGACAAGATGTCAAAAGATGACTTTGTGGCATGGTGGCTAGAGACAGACTTTGGAAAGACAAAGAAGATACATTGGGGTAGTAATCGGACAGCTAAATGCTGGGAACACTTTGATGAAGTTGCGGACGTAAGATCTGGGAAACCAGGGGCAAAATGTCGGAAATGCCATAAAGTCCTAGATCACCCTGGGCATAGTCGATATGGAACAACTGCCCTTAATCGGCATATGGCTGGACCAACTTGCAAAAATTCCACTACCCAAAAGGGTAATATCAAGGGACTTCTAGCTACCGCGGTATGTTATTTTAACTATTCTATGAATAATGTCTGACTTTTACTACCTTATTAGATACAGAATACTCCAACCAAAGCAACTACCTTTACACAAGAAGCATGGGAGCAGAAGCTTTTACAGCTTCTTACCCTCTCCCGTCTCCCCTTCCAGTTTATCGAGCACCCACAATTTCGTGAAATTATTTCATTCGCCCGGCTCGCCCCAATACAGCCACAGATTCCATCTGCAGTCGTGATACGTTCGCGACTACGGCAATCCGTTCAGGAACAACAGAAGTCTATTCTTCAGAAGCTCCCTCCAAACGCAAAGCTTTCGATTGCCCTCGATTGCTGGACCTCTCCATTTCGACAGGCTTTCATGGCTATCACTGGCTATTTTCTTGATCAAGATTGGCAGTACCAAGAAGTCCTTCTTGGCTTTGAACCGCTATCTGGATCCCACACAGGTATGAATCTAAGTGATATTGTTTTGAAGATCCTTCAGCAGCACAAGATTACAGATCGAGTCCTTACAGTCACTACGGATAATGCATCAAACAATAACACTATGGTCGCAAGTATCCAAGAGTCACTATAGGCGTTAGAGCTAAGCAGTAGCTCGACAATTGTGCGGATTCCTTACATTGCCCATATTATCCAACTTAGCTTAAACGACCTTTTGGGGAAGATGAAGGCAATACCAAAGAATGATAGCACAGAGATCAATTGGTCGGATGATCGTGTTCGAATCCTTCGTGTAAGGCAGCAGAAGAGAGAAATTGTTGATACGCTTAATAAGGTATGTGGTCTAGAGATGCGTTTTTGTGCACAAAAATTTTGATTCTTTGACTTTTTCTTTGATCTTTACACCCTACTCTCTATGCTCCAAGAGATGGGTTTTTGTGCACAAAAACCCATTCCTCTATCCCCTACCCTCTATCTACCCAATACATTATCAATTCAGACATTATCTAGCAGCCTAAGAATTCAGGAGTTAATACTTTCTACAGAAATCAGCAACACTTTTACACACCCTCTCTATCTATCTAACTAACTTTTCTATCAAAACTTAGGTCCGAAACCTTGCGGTCTATATCAACGCTAGCCCACAACGACGGGAGTCTTTCTACAATCTTCAGACCGAAGAGCCAAGGCTTGTTCCAATCCAGGATGTACGGACTCGCTGGAACTCGACTTTTCTTATGCTTCGACGTGCTAAGCGGCTTCAATCGGTCTTTGATGAGTTCTGCTCTCAATATGACCAGGATCACTTTATGCTAAGTGCAGAAGAGTGGAGACAGATTGACTATCTGCTTTACATTACCCAGCCCTTCTTCAAATTCACCACCCTTCTGTCTAAGACTAAGGACGTGAGTATTCATCTGGTTTTCAGTATCTACAATAAGCTTTTTAATCATCTTGAAAAGGCAAAGAGTGCCTTAAGGAGGAAGAAGGTAGTATGGAAGCAGCTTATGCTTCTCTCCCTAGAGGCAGCAGAGAAGAAGCTTTCACATTACTACAGTATGACTGATGAGATTGATAATGACCTTTACGCCATCGGTACTATCCTCTCACCACAACAGAAGCTCGACTTCTTCAAAGATAAGGATTGGGGCGTACTTCGCTCGAATCCAAGGCCCCTTGATTTCTGCATTCGCATTTTTCTCGATCGCCCTGAATTGTATGCAGGTCAGCCTCGCAGCCTCCACTTCTGATGAGAGGTATTCGAGCGCTTTGTTATTTGCAGCTTGCTACTGGCTCAGCACTTTGATCGGATTTATGACCGGTGTCCTTATGCTGATGATGGTATCTCTTTTCTTTTTCAAAGTGATCAAAGAGTGGAAGTTTGCGATAGCCCATCGGCTACGGTGGAAAAAGAATCCACAGCCCAGACTAGAGGGCCGTGTGTAACGAGGAAGTTACACATATTTCAAGAGATGTTATTGGCACTCGACAAGAGACACTTGATAAGCCGTGTATGTTTATTTCGGATTCTGGGCTGGGAGTGGAAATAAAAATTTAAGAGAATAAGTGAGGATCTCAGTGATAAGTGGCAACTGCTAAGAGGGGCTTTTTTTCTTCCCCACTCCAGCCCGACACTCTCTTTGTTTGCTCTATAGAGTAGAACTATACCGTGCCGATAGCAAACAAGAAACCCATCCAAGGAGACCCACTTGAGGTTTTAAATGGCGCTCAGATTGGCTCTATCGATGAAAGGGCTTAACAGGGCTCGCTGGGTCAAATCTATCATTAGCTAGCAGCCTCTGGTCTATTATAAAATCGATAATAATCAAGCAGAGTTGCTCTTACGAGCCCATCGAAGTTACTTAAGCTGGAGGAGCCTGCTCGTGACAAACGAGCCACCCAGTCCCCGTACGAGGAGCTTCTCCACCGCCGGAATCATGTGATCCCGCGACCTACAACTTTGATAACAAGTAACTTTATTACGTGGATCGGGGTAGAACTTCATAGGAGTTTTATAATCTACTTTTAAAGAAAATTAGCCTTTAGATTCTAGACTGATTAGTATATGGCTGCGAACGACTTTCTCCCTAGATAAGTGATATAGCAATCATTATAAGTCAGGTGCCTACTACCCCGCACCTGTCAGTGGATTCAGCCTCGCCGGAAGGCTGAGTTGACCAGACAATCCATCAATAAAGGACGCAAAGTCCACTCTCGTCTGATGTACCACTCCAACGAAGACAGATGATGATGGCTAGTCAAAAGTCGCACATCTTCCGGGTGACAGGCCTGTCCAGGGAACAGCCCGATGAGAATCTCAAGACCGCATTACAAGAGGCACTCAACGACAACTTCATCGACGACGAGAGATCGCAAATGAAGACTGAGATCACAATAGTCCCTTCATGCTATGAAAGTGACACACAGAGGGTGGCGCTGGTGCAGTTTCGTGGCGGGGTGCCTCAGTTTCTTTATGAGCTAAGACTCAACCCGCTTGGAGACTGGCAGGTCGAGATGGAAGAGGATGACATCAACATTGACTGCCACTTCTTTGGATTCACCCAGCTCTACGCGCCAGACGACAATGAGCCAGTGGCTGCAGAGTGAGGACTGTGCAGATATCTATACCTAGGAGATTAATTCTAACTAGTAATGGGACATAGCATCATTGCCATTGCCGGACTGGATGGACATGCTTACGGATCATGGCAGGGCAGAGGCAACCTCGCTCGAATGTGGCTTCGTGACTTCCTGTCAAAAGATCTCCCGCAGTGCCGTACGATGATCTATGGGTACAACTCCAAGCTGTCGAGCCACGGCGTCGATACGATCCTCGACTATGGGCGGGAGCTGATGGAGGAAATCAAGAAAATCCGGAACACAAAGGAGGTAGGAGACAGTATCTTATTGTCTATCGATAGCAAGTTTTGGCTGAAATCTTCGACTAGCTCCAGCAGAGACCTCTGATCTTCATCGCGCATAGCTTTGGAGGCATTATCTTGGCTCACGTGGGACCACCATCCGATTTGAGGTATTGGTATGATAAACTGACATCACTTATAGTGTCTGGTAAGGGCCATCCAGACGATGGAGGAAGACCACCCGGCGATCAAGTCGCTGCATCGAGCCACGTACGGCATGATCCTCTTCGCCATCCCCCACAAAGGATTAGTGATGGACGATATCCAGCAGATGCTAGCGGGGGACAGGAAACATCCGCGAGAGCAACTACTGCGACAGATTTCTAGCAACTCGGATGTCCTGATCCACCAACTGGCCGACTTTAAAAATCTAATCCGGGACCGTAAGGTGATCAGCTTGTATGAAACAAAGCAGACGCGGCAGTTAGTATTGGTCTGTGTTGGTGCTCGTCTGAAACAGGGCATGGCGTGTACTGATGATCGCAATAGGACTCGGAAAGCAGACAATGGAAACGGACCGGGGATTTTATGACGACACTTGATGCAGATTCGGCTCTTCTCCAGCTTCCCGACCATATAGAGGAGAAAGTGCCGCTGCATGTAGATCACTTAATGATCATCAAATTCGACACGCGCAACGCGGCCGGGTATCGAACGGCGCTTGATAAACTGCGATAGTTCTTAATAGACGCACCATCGGTGGTGGCGGCTCGGTTCAGTGGGTGACTTTCTCTAGGGTCTTTCTGCGAGCTAATAGAAACTGTGTTCAGCGCGGACGCGTCTGAAGCCTCAGCCGTGCTCCACGGTGCCTTTCCAGAAGGACTCGATTTTTGTGGGCCGTGAAGCTGTGATCAGTGCGGTCAAGGAAAGACATGGGGCGATCGGCCAGCGTCATGAGCGGGTGGCATTAGTGGGATTGGCCGGAGTTGGGTGAGCCGTCCCTAGAAGGAAGTCATTTGAATAATAACTGATAGAACTGTTATTCAGAAAAACCAAATAGCCATCGAGTATTCCTATCTCGTAGAAGCATCAAAAACGGATACTTGGGTTTTTTGGATCCACGCTAGCAATGCGGCGCGGTTCGAACAGGGCTACCAGCAGATTGCCGCAGTCGCGGAGATCCCGAGACGGGACGATCTAAAGATGAGTAATATCTTTTAGCTCGTGTATCAGTGGCTGTGTGATGCACGTAATGGGCGCTGGCTGATGGTGCTAGATAATGCGGACGACGATGGTTTTTTTTTCAGTAACAACGAACTCAATGAACAAGGGCCACTGGCAAGCTTCCTGCCCCAGGCCGCTCATGGATCAATCCTGATTACGTCGCGAAATGGTCGTGCGGCGCGGAATCTGGTGGGGAATGAGAGGCATGTGATCGCAGTTCAGCCAATGAGTGAGGCAGAGTCCCTTGCCCTTCTACGGGCAAGGATTCCGGCCGCCCACTCTGGAGAATGTGGAGGGGACGAGAAGGCACTGGTCCAGGTGCTGGAATACATTCCGCTGGCAATCACTCAAGCAGGGTCGTATATTGCGAATAGATCTTCGCGAGTCACGGTGTCCCGCTATCTTCAGTTGTTCCGTGAGAGCGAGTCGAACCAGAAACATCTTCTGCAGCATGAGGACGCCAAAGACCTCCGGCGGGATCCCAGTATTCGGTATGCGGTCATCACGACATGGCAGCTATCCTTCGAGCAAATCCGCCATGACCGGCCGGCGGCGACGGAACTGCTGGCGTTCATGAGCATGTATGATCGGCAGGGGATTTTAGAAAGCCTCGTCCGTGCAGATTGCGATGACCTCCAGTTTGAGGATGCATTGGCACCATTGATTAGTTATTCTCTTGTTCGGTTTGAAAGTAAAACAGCGTCATTTGATATGCACCGACTAGTACAGCTATCGGTCCGGACATGGCTGGAGATCCACCTTGAGCTAGCACGGTGGCAGGAGAAGTCGCGAGCCATCGTGGCAAAGATGTTTCCCGATGGACAGTACGAGAGCTGGACTGAATGTCAAAGGCTGCTTCCGCATGCGAAGGAGGTGATGAAGTCGATATCTAGTGCGAATAAAGAAGATCGACTACATGTGGCGACTATTTCTTTCAATTGTGGATGGTATTTATTGCTTCAAGGAGCATATGAAGAGGCGGAAGTAATGTATCGACGGGCATTGGAAGCACAAGAGAAGGTGCTTGGGCGCGAGCATCCTGACACGCTCACTACTGTTAGTCGCCTTGGCTTAGTGCTTTCTAATCAAGGAAAATATGGAGATGCAGAAGCGATGCATCGACGATGCGTGGAAGGGAGTGAGAAGGTGCTTGGATGTGAGCATCCTGATACGCTAATTAATTTTGGAAACCTCGGCAATGTGCTCTCCAGTCAAGGGAAATTTGAAGCGGCGAAAGCGATGTATCGACGGGCCCTAGAAGCACAAAGCAAGATGCTTGGGCGGGAGCACCCTCATACGCTAACAAGTGTTAGTCGTCTTGGCTTGGTACTCTCCAACCAGGGGAAATATAAAGAGGCGGAGGCGATGCATCGACGGGCGTTAAAAGCACAAGAGAAGGTGCTTGGACGTGGGCATCCTCACACAATCACCAGTATCGGCAACCTTGGCACTGTGCTCTCCAGTCAAGGGAGATATGAAGCAGCGAAAGCGATGTATCGACAGGCGTTGGAAGCACAAAACAAAGTGCTTGGAGCCGAGCATCCTCACACGCTCATCAGTGTTAATCGCCTCGGCTTGGTGCTCTCCTACCAAGGGAAATATAAAGAGGCGGAGGCGATGCATCGACGGGCGTTGGAAACACGAGAGAAGGTGCTTGGACGCGAGCATCCTGACACGCTCACTAGTGCAAGTAACCTTGGCAATATGCTCTCTGACCAAGGTAAATATCAAGAGGCGGAAGCGATGTATCGACGGGTGTTGGAAGCACAAAACAATGTGCTTGGAGCTGAGCATCCTCACAAATTGACCAGTGTTAGTCGCCTTGGCTTAGTGCTTTCCAACCAAGGGAAATATGAAGATGCGGAGGCGTTGCATCGACAGGCGTTGGAAGCACGAGAGAAGGTGCTTGGACGTGAGCATCCTGACACACTCACTAGTGTCAGTAACCTTGGAAATGTGCTCTCCAGCCAAGGGAAATATGAAGAGGCGGAAGCGATGCAACGGCGAGACCTGGAAGGAAATGAAAAGGTGCTTGGATTTGAGCATCCTAATACCCTAATCAGTGTCAATGAACTTGGCTTAGTGCTCTTCTACCAAGGGAAATATGAAGAGGCGGAAGCGATGCATCGACGGGCGTTGAAAGCACAAGAGAAGGTGCTTGGACGTGGGCATCCTCACACAATCACCAGTATCGGCAACCTTGGCACTGTGCTCTCCTGCTAAGGGAGATATGAAGAGGCCGAAGCGATACATCAAAGGGCACTAGAAGAATGTGAAAAAATGCTTTGACACGAACATCCTCATTCTGTACGCCTACCAGTGTCAGTGATCTTGGCTATGTGCCTGATAGCCAGGGAAATATGAGGAGGTGGGAACGATTAATCGACGGGCAACAAAAGGATATATGTCAAAGGTGTTTGAAGGTGAACATACCGAATAGGTGACTGGTCTGGATATGGTTTAGATTTCCTGGATCAAAACGGGAAACATCAAGAGGCCACACAACCTCAGACCCGTATCTTTAGCATTTGGTGAAAAGGCATCTTACATGCAGACATAATATTTACACTTCGTGATTTTCCCTACAGCACTTTACATCTCATAATTTGATGACCTCTCAAAATACTCCTAGAATAATGTTTCCTTCGAGTGACTTAGACCATCTTCTACTTGCGGACACGGTTGTGGGGCGGCTGTTCCGTTTGGCGGCGCTAGTATTTTGCATACATCAACTTACATGATTGTTCCCGACCCGTGTATTCGCCTTATAGCAATATTCGAAATTGGCTTCCATGTTTTACACAGAGAAACTATCTCCAGCCCCACCGCCAAGATGCTAGTGAAACCGCCTAGGGCAAATTAAGCTAGCCTGCAGATCATGCTTGTTTTAGACTGTCTCGACGTATGGTACAAAACATGAAACGTAATACGGCCCCGTAAGTTACCCATGGATATAGTCGAAATAGTTTCTAGAAAATTCCAATGTTCTAATTATTGATATTATAATCTAATGTTTAGAGAGATATGAGGCTTTTATTTTCGTGATTAAATAATAATTTTTTGGTTTAATGCTTTGTTTTTATCAATAATTACTAGGCAAAGCTCCACTCTAGAGAGATTGAATACGGGAGAGTCCTACTTCCTGCCAAATAGGCGCAAGAATATTGTCCGCCTACGATGTCCGCCAGGTCTATATACCGGCTCGGAGGTTTCTATGGAACTGCCTAGGATTGAGGCCTCTTTGGTGTCCGTTGGTGGTTTAGTGAGCTAGGAAGACGGGGAGTCAACCTTCCCGCGCCATTCGTTTAAAGCAGACTTGGAAGATGTAGTATGCGGATGGTTAGGGCCTAGTTTTCGGTCGCGAAGTTGAACGCATTCGGCCATTAACTGTAATGCGGCTGTGTATTGACCCGATGACCTAAGGGTATAAGCCAGGTTGCTCATGCTCATTAGCGTGGAGGGATGGTCCACGCCGAGCTTCGTCTTGCTCGTCTCCATGACCTGCACAAAGAGCTCCTCCGCCTCCTCCCATCGGCCCTGATTCCTATACGTCGATACCAGGTTCGCCATGCTCGTCAGCGTGTTAGGATGGTCCACGCCGAGCTTCATCTTACTCGTCTCCATAACCTGCACCTCGAGCTGCTCCGCCTCTCTCCAGCTCCCCTCCAGTCGGTAGGCTACTGCTAGTATTGCAGTGCTATTAAGTGTTTCTTCATCTTCCAAACCCAATATCTTTATTCTCTGCTTTCTCGACATAGATGCCATTTCCCGCGAATCAGGGATATTGCCACATTCTTGCGCATACCACGCCCCCTTGTAAAGTAACCCAGCCCAGCTTTGGAGACAATCTTGCGATTTCGGTCGATGCGATATAGCTGACTTAACATGTGGAAAGAGTGTCCGGCATCTCTCCCAGTGTTCATGTTGACCAGTCGGAAATTCAGCATGTAGATTTTTAATGAATCGTTCCTTCCAATCTTCGTCCTGGCCGTATGTTTTCAACCACGTGCGTACTGTGATCTGCACTAGCCGATGCATCGTGAACACCATGCTATTTTCACTCGTAGTAACGAAAGAATAGTCTCTGAGAGTTGTAATATCGCTCTCGAAATTGTTATCTGGGTCACATTCAGACGGACTTTCCGTGTCCTCTCCACTAGAGCTGTTTACAAATTCCCCCGACGAAGCTAAAGCTTCATGATTTTTTACCGTATCTTGAACCCGTAGAAGATCCTCGGGGATCCCCTGCCAGTCGAAAAAGCTCATAAGAGATAGTAAATCAGCCGCAGACTACCTTATTCGTCGGATATGGTCGAACGATATTTGCCATGTCAGTATAATAGAGTTCTTTGCCTCCCAGTCTCGATCCGTGTGAAGTCCCTCATGATTCAGAAGCTTCGTGGCTTGACGATTACTCTGCCGAAGCTTTTCGATATATTGCGATGCCGAGCAACGGGGTGAACGGTGCGCGATGTAGCTAGCCGCTTACACAATCGCCAGCGGCATGAACTCAAGTTCCTCCACAAGCTGAACCAAGTCCGCTCTCTCTGCACATGAGTCCAGCTTGTGATGCATTAGATCTAGCGCCTCGGCCATATTCATTGGTTGTACATCGATCAGGTTCTTCTTATGGCCGGCGATTTCCGATGCTACTGCTTTATTCCGGCTCGTGATAATAATAGAGCCATTCGAGGGTCCGAGAAGGTACCTTAGCGGTGGCTGCGTCGAGGTATGGTTCTGGGCGTTCGCTTGGGCGTCCGTACGAGTTGCCAGTGGTTTGCGAAGGAGCTCGTCATCATCTACATTATCCAGGACAAGGATCCATTCTCCGATACTTTCATCTTGCAACCAGTTCCCGAAGAGTTGGAATACATTAACGTTGCGGTCCTCGCGTCCGGGAATCTTGGCGCGGTCGGCCAGGTTACGGAGACTTTCCTCGCAGCGCGCCGCAGTGCTCGCATGAACCCAAAAGACCCAGGTGTCGCTTGATCGCTGTCGGACCTGGTGGCAGTATTCGATAACAAGCCGAGTTTCCCTATTATAAAGTTAGCCTTTGACGGACCGCCGTTACACCCGTGATGTCTTACCCCACACCGCCGAGACCAACGAGAACTATTATAGACCCCGGGACTGACGATTTCTCGTGGATTGTATTAAGGATTCCATCGCGGCTAACAAAATCCGGGTCATGCGGGAACGGCACGGTCGACAGTGGCTCTGGACGGGGCTCTGGTATTTCTAGAAAAGCGTGTCGTTATTAGTCGATCCAACGTGGACCTGTCCTCCACGCTATGGGAACTAACTAGATGTGAAATTCATCACCCCATTGTTGATCCCTACCTGGGAACCTGAGTTTCCATAGCCAAAATTTATGGATTCCATAATTAACACAGGGTATACAGAGTTAATCGTTTTTTGGGCGGAAGAAAGATGACGACCCCTCATCGAGGGCCTCAGCCTCACTATCAGGTGATCATGGGCGCTTGTCGGCTCACGTAAACGGACGTATTTTATCGACCAATAGGGTCCGTACTCGATCGTGTAATTGTCTGAATTATTACCCGCCCTCGAACCACGGTTCTTATGTGCGGATCCTGACTAAGGCTAGCATGACAAAGCAGATTACCTAATTTTATGATTCTCCATAACGTGATTCACGGTCGGGCGGGCGTCACTACCGGTCGGGCGACCCCACCAACTTTTCAAAAATCACCAATTTCTAATGACGAATAAAACCACAAAAACAATATAGATTTTATTATTTAAAGCGAGTAGGGCAATAAGTATATATATGCCCTTTTTTCCCACACCCAGAACATGTCACCTGCCGCCGAACCGAAGGCATAGAAGGTAAAGTAGGCTCAACAACCGTATTTGTAGATACCTCTGGCAAATATATATCTTTGCTTTCATCTTCATCCTTATAGACCACATCATCTTCACCACCCTCTAGACCCCCGAAGATGCCTCTCTGGGTAATAAACTTAGGTATGGTCGCTCTCTTTTTAGTCTGTTTCTTATTAGTAGCCTCTAATTAGGCACAGCGATTCTAGAGAAAAATATGGTAGTGGACCACTTTGATAGTCATATCGTACGACTTCTTTATCTCCCTTTTTGTTAGTGAAGAAAGGATTAAAGATGAGGATTCTAGACCTTTTTTGATCCAAGATTGTGATTTTGTGAATTTTGAGAGAGTCCAGAGAGTATTTAGATCACTATCACTACCAGAAGAAGGTAGTCGCTGAGAGAGGATCTCTATCGGAGGAAGGGAATCCAGGTGCACATTTAGCTTTTCCAAGACCTTATTAGCATCAAATGGTGCTAATCCAGTAGCTAAAAAGCTATTCTATATAGTAGAAGTCTTAAAAGCACCTATTCTCGCATCTACGATAAGTTCAAGGAAATCTTCCTTATCAATAGAGTTTACTCCATTCCGCATCAAAGTTGAAACAGCTCCTCCATAAAGCTTCTTCAAAACTGAAAAACAACCCACATCCAAAGGTTATAAAAGATGAGAAGCATACGGAGGCATACAGATTACAATAATCTGGTTTTCTTCACAAACTTAGTCAAATTCGGGGGTCAAATGACTCCCATGACCATCGAGGACTAATAGGCAATATTTTCCTACTCTTATCCCAATATTTAGGATAAAATGATGTTTTAACCACCATAAACCAATTATATTAGTAGTCCAGCCATTTTCACTCATAGTCAGATAAGTTCCTTTTTGGTTTAAAAGGAGATAGGGACGTAGATACTCTAGAAACTTTTTTCCCTTAAAAATGAAGAGCGGAGATATAACACTTCCAGAAGCTCGAATACACTCAATTATGGTTACCCACTCTCGATTTCCAGCTTATAAAAGAACTCTTTTTCCATAATATTCCGCGGAAGTGATAATTTTTTGCGTTACGCCAATACCCATAGCAAAACCACTCTCATCAAAGTTGAAGATATCATCTGAAACAATACCCCACTTTTCAATAGTCTTTTGAACCAAATCAAACCATGGTTTAATGATTCTAGGATCTTCTAAAAGAGCTCTCTGATAATCATATTTGCGTGAAAGTCGAATAGAGAGATTTGAGCGTCGTTTGATAAATTGAGTAGGCCAATTAACGCCAATAGTCGAGGGGGTATTTTTCTGGGCACTTCGTAGGAGATTGGCCATATCACGTAACATAGGTATCGTGAGAGCAGCACCTCTAGCATCCATATCAAGTAGCCAGTCTTCCATTGATTGCTCTTCAATTTCAGTAAAAATATGGCCAGTTGGTCTCTTCTCAGCCAAAGATTCACGCCCATTAAGCCGATACTTCAAAGTTGAGACAGGTAAATCAAATGATCGTGCAGCAGCTGCAGCAGAGGGATATTTACCATCTTTTATAGCTTTTATAGCTAATACAAGACGGCCCTCCTGCTCTATCAACTTTTTTTTTCGATCGGAGCGTTGGGGAGGCATTTTTGTTGTGGTTAATAAACATGTTTTATTATGAAGAGGGATTTTGATGGGGCCGCCCGACCGGCAGTGTCGCCCGGGAGACCGTGAATCACGTTACACGATCAATTACCTATTAGTCCTGGACGCACCGCCGTGATTACGTGTTCCGACACCATAGGTCAGATATCAACACCGCGCTTATTGATCCTTTGGGATCTCTTCCAGCTACGTCTTATCTACTCCGCTATACGTACAGGAACTGTAGGTCTACCGTTGAATAGGAAATACTCCGACCGAGGCCGCCTAGATCCTGCTAGATCAGCTACTATTAATCTATTTGCTTAACGCACCATGACATCTCCGCAATTCCTATGAATCTGCTTATATATGGGATTGTAATCGTTTTTGAATGTTGGATTCTACAGTTTTTTACTCCATAGTCGCGGTTGTTGCTTGATAGCCACTGTATTTCAACACTCGTTAGGTGACGCCAACCAGGAAATGCCAAGACAGCAGCTGTGCCAAGCAGGGCGGCAACGCTTTTGCTCAATTTCCCTATTTTACTTTGTGGACCCCACAATCAAAACCCCACCTGTCAGCCACTCTCGGGTTTATGTTTTAAGTCCGGTGAGTCTGTGGCTCTCCGTGCCGTGTATTCCGAAACCTTCCACAAGTGTCCTGACCGCGTTTTCAAAGGAACAGCTAATTGTGTTAGCGTCAAACTCTAATCTCAATTAGAACAATATCATGTTGCAAACTTATTCTACCTCTCTTCTTTCCTTTAGACCGGCAAAACGAAATGATCTATCAAAGTCTGGATCCTCTAGACAGACGATTGGCGGCACTAGAAACACTAGTCAGCACTTTGATGGACGACACTTCTAATTCTGTCCCCCATTATGGAAGACAAGGAGAGGAAGCTCAATCCAATGTTCTTGGACAGCCTGCCATCCCAGGACAAGCCAATCACGACTCGATAAAATGCTTGATACACAACGAAATCCCCTTCGGAAAGCTACTCGAAGACCTCGACAGTGCGTATATACGTGGCAGGTTGGGTACTGATGCGCTGCATGAGGTATGTAGATTATATAAATCAACATCACCGTGATTTTGATTGCTTTTAAATGCTTACAGAATCTATGGGAGAACACAGACAGTGGTAGATTGTTCCGAAATTGGATCATCGATAACGAGTAATTCTGCAGCTATCCCGGCTTGCGGGCTGATGAGCTTTTTCGATTTTTCTTCCGCCTCATCTATCAATGAAGAAATCTATCCGACACCTACCCAGTCCTTTGTCCTATGGGAGATTTACAAAGAAAATGTCGCAGCGGTGCTACCGATTCTACATAAGCCGACCATCCAAGCCCTGGTAATGCAAGCATCGACGGACCCTGAGTCTGTAGAGCAGAGCTCAAGGACTCTACTTTGGGTGGTTTACCTCTCGGCTGCTATCAGCTCGACAGATGAACAGTGTATCCAAGAGCTGGGAGATGAGCGTACTAAGCTTATCATTCGCTACAAACAAGCAACACAAAGAGCATTTACCAAAGCCAATTTGTTAGCAACAACTAACGTCAGCCTTCTGCAAGCAGCAGTTCTATACTTATCTTGCATGCACAAACATTATGCAGACTCTTCCTACGTTTGGGCAATGACAACAGTACTACGTCGCGTGGCTCGGCAAATTAATATGCATCGGGATGGGACTATTCTCGGAATGAAGCCCTTTGACATTGAAATGCGTCGCAGGCTCTGGTGGCATCTTTGCCTTTTAGATGTGCGCTCATCGGAGGCCCTCGGCATGGACTGCGAAATAAATGATTTTATTTCTGACGTCCGCCTGCCGCTAAATATCAATGATGAGGACATTTCTCTGGAGTCAACGCATCCAATCCAGGAGAGGGAGGGCTTTACTGAGATGACATTCGCCAACATGCGGTCTGAATTGATCCTTGCCAACTATAAGATGAGGAAAATTCCGAAAAGGTGCCAACGGTCGGTCGAAGCAAATTGTGATTGTATAGATCAATGCAGGGCGGTGATCGAAGGTCTGGTTATACGTTTTCGGACCCATTATATTGGAAACTGCGACCTGACTGATCCCACCAGTCGACTATGCGTTGGTCTCGCTTGTATCATGCCGAAACTGTCTTTTATGATTCATCATCCGGTCTCTCAGTATGATATCTTCAATTTGCCTGTAAATATGTTGGATTTTTTTTTCATAGCTGCTGTGGAAGGAGTGGAGTTTCATTGCTTTATTGACTCATACGCCCCGACTGCTAAGTGGACATGGCTTTTCCGACAGAGCTCTATGAGATGTTATTTGCTTACTCTTCTCCTCACTGAGCTTTGTGTCAGGCCATCTTGTCCCTCTGTTGATCGGGCGTGGCTTGCTATCGAATCCGCATATAGATTGTGGGGACTTGCAATATCTGGAAAACAGTGGCAGACGATCTCCATGCTGATGGAGCGAGCGCAATCATTTCGCGAGGTGGCATTATAATCTAGAGATTAAAAATCGCATTCTCTCTTCTTGTTGTTAAACTTACTTAAACTCGAAGATAGTTCACAATTTTGATCTGTGGGAATGCGAGAGCCACAGTAGTCATGTTATAGATTTTTTTCATTATGCCCATTCGGTTTTAAAGAAACTTAAGACCGGGAACCGAGGTCAGTCTTTTCTCTATAGTGCCGAGTCCCGTGCTGAAGCGCCGATTATCCGCATAGGAAAGTAGATTGATTTGCAGCAACAATCATAAATAATCATGATTTTGGTCTGGGATGATTAGTGGAGACTAATTCGAAAGATCCTGTGGATATTTCCATCGGAAGTCGGCATTGAGAAAATTAACACTATTCATTCAGATAGGCTTCAACGATTAAAGCCGCTTGGGTCATTGAAACGCGTGCCATCCAGTCGCTATAAAAAAGGGCCTATCACACCTATACTTGCCTCCAGATTGCAGAAAAGACTTATCACCTCCTGCATTGCAAGCATGATTCATAATGATCCAGAATGCCAGCCAGGCAACACCACACGCCCTATTTCCACGCATTCGATACCTTATTTTCGCCAGGTGCTAGATCAGGGTGCAGTCACAAAAAGCGTTTTGGACTATCAGTACCCTGGATCAGGAACGAAAGCCGACCCTTTTGTTGTATCCTGGCTCCCTGATGACCCTCGCAATCCAATGCTCTTCAGCTTGCCAAAGAAAGTGGTGATTACAATCATTGTTTCAACTGCGACCTTGGTAGTGGCCGTTGGATCATCGGCCTATTCGGGTGCCGTTGATCAAGTCATGGATTACTTTGATATTGGAACGGAAGTTGCCACTCTAGGCATGTCTCTCTACGTTCTCGGTTTCGCACTGGGACCCATGGTTTGGGCTCCCCTTAGCGAGTTTGCTGGAAGACAATACCCATTCTTTATCTCCTTGGGCGGCATGGCTGCATTTTTTGCGGGTTGTGCTGGTTCGACGAATATTCAGACGTTGATGATCCTTCGATTTTTTGCTGGCGCATTCGGATCATCGCCTTTGACCAACGCCGGTGGCGTGATCAGCGATATGTTCCTAGCTAGACAGCGAGGGCTGGCTCTCAGTCTTTTTGCGGCCGCCCCATTCATGGGACCTGCTATTGGCCCATCCATTGGCGGATTCATGGGAATGAATGTCGGCTGGAGATGGGTTGAAGGATTTCTGGCTGCATTTGCGGGGCTTATATGGATTGTTACAGCACTTTTTGTACCGGAAACTTACGCCCCAGTTCTATTACGGCGGCGGGCGGCTCGATTAACGCAGCTGACGGGAAATGTCTATCAAACACAGATCGATATCGACGAAGTCAATGCGTCAATCGCGCATTTGTTTGCTACTTCCCTACTGCGCCCGTGGATTCTTTTGTTTCGGGAACCGATTGTTCTTATCCTCTCGATTTATATTGCCATTATTTACGGCGCACTTTTCATGATGTTCGCTGCTTTCCCGATCGTATACGAGCAGCTGAGAGGCTGGAATCAAGGTGTTGGTGGACTTGCTTTTATGGGAATTTTGGTCGGCATGATTATCGGTATCCTTTATACGATCCCCGATAACATGCGATATTTGCGAACTGTGGATCGACACGGTGGTCTTGCTCCCCCAGAATCACGCCTCCCACCGGTAATCGTCGCGTCTGTGTGCATTCCCATTGGGCTATTCTGGTTTGCCTGGACCAACTCTCCCTCAATTCATTGGATGGCCAGTATTGCTGCCGGTGCTCCATTTGGATTTGGACTCATCTTGGTTTACCTGGGAATCATGAGCTATTTGATCGATTCCTATACCATATTCGCCGCTTCCGTGTTGGCTGCCAATGCGGTTTTGCGGTCAATATTCGGTGCAGTGTTCCCTTTGTTCACAACATATATGTATAATGGCTTGGGTGTTCATTGGGCTTCATCCATCCCTGCTTTTCTCGCTGTTCTCTGCATGCCATTTCCGCTAATTTTCTACAAATTCGGAAAATCGATCCGGAGTCGCTGCAAATATGCTGCTCTGTCTGAGGAGTACATACAAAGGGTTCACAACAATACAAAGCCGGAGAGGAATAAGGCGGTAAGGGAAGAATGAGAGTGCTTGAAAATTGGAATTTGCCGACATAGGACATGCAAGTGTTCTTTTTGGATTGGCCGGGAAAATGTTTTGTTCATGTGCAAAATTGAATGTCGGGATTACTTAGATTCTCCGGCCGAAAATGGCAGATCATACATTATGCAAAGATAGGAGTCCTCTTATGAGGGCCATTGTGTTTTATTAGTCACGCGCTTGCAAATTGTCCTCAACTAATTATCATAATTGTTTTTGGAACAGTACTAACTCTAATGCATGAATAGAGCGTATCAGGGTGACAGGACAATACCGTAAATCTAGGTGGAGCGCCAAACAAGTGGGGTCCGGAGATTAGGAAGAGGGCCTTTAAACCCGACTAGTCATCCAGGTGCATAAATGCCCCCGCATGGCTTGCCTTATCTGTGTGGTCTAACGACTCTCTCTTTCCCCATACTACCGATCGTTGCAGACAATACTCCGAGGCGTAACACTGCCAATATGCAAGTCCTCGGAAATGAGCACCCTATTATCCCTGTCAGGAAAATGCCGCAGCAGGAACGGGCCAGCAACCCTGAAGAGGACTGGACCGGAGTTGTTGACCGCCAAGAAAGAAAAAAATTGCAGAATCGGTTAAATCAACGGGTATACCGTGAGTACCACGCTAGCTTTACTGGGTGAAGTGTATTATGCGGCAAATAACCTGTGAATGTAACCCTTCTAGGACAACGCAAGATGAATCGATTGCTTCTACGTACTAGTGCTTATGGGATTTCCCAACCGGTTCTCGAACCACAATTATCATCTCGCTGCGAAGCAGCCCCTGCAGTCCTCATCCCTGCCTCTGCAAAAAATGCAATGGTCTATGATTTTCCCGGGCTCCGTGGCCCCGCTAGCCTTTGTGATTTTGATTCTGAGACCATCGAAAGTCTAATGGCCAATATCGAAAGCTGGGCCTACAGTCATTCACTGCGGGGTACTCCAAGTGCGGATAATCTCTTGACACTGGTCCACTTCAACGTTTTTAAAGCGATGGGATGGAATGCTCTAATCTTAGGGCTGGGAATGAATTGGTTAGAAGAGAATGCCTTGTCACCATTCAATACTCTTGGCCCGGTGCGAGTGAATGCCACGGCGGATCATCTTCCCGTGAGCCTGCAGCCGACGATGCTTCAGCAAATAGTTCCGCACCACCCTTGGCTCGATCTGCTGCCATCGCCGAGGCTACGCGATAATCTCCTCCTAGCAGGTGATGCTCTTGATGAAAGCAAACTTTGTACAGACATCTTAGGATTCTCAGGTCACTCGACAGAAGGATCGGGTCTTGTAGTTTGGGGCGAGTCGTGGGATCCAAATGGTTGGGAAGCAACTGAGGACTTTGCTAAGAACTGGAATTGGGCGCTCACGGCATGCGATGATATTCAGAGCTCAACAAACGACTGGCGACAGAAGCGCGGACTCAAACCCCTCCAGTTTGGACATTCCTTCGGAGTAGTGCCCTGCCGAAAATTGCTATGCAATCTTGAAGAAATATGATTTTCGAACTAGTGGTTGAATAATGCTACTCTCAAGTCCGAACCTTGCGTTGGTGAGACAAACGAAAATACTTAAGTACACAGTGCCTTGGTCATGAAGTCAATGAGCTTCGGCAAAGTAACCAACGTATCATCATACAGATCAATGTGGGTCTTGCCTTCAATCTCAAACAATTCCTTAGGTTCGAGCGCCCGCTCAATCCCTTCCTTGCTGAAATAAAGGGTATCCGCAGCAGATCCAGCGATCATCAACAATGGGCGAGGCGAGATAAGATCGTTAAACGCAAAGGATGAATAGTTGGCCACAAGATCAACGCTTCTCGTGGGGAATCGGTTAACGGAGTTGCAGTGTGCTCCACGATCAGTGCGATAGTACTGAGAGCCTTGTTTGAAGAGGGTAGGCAAGTTATCCGGAACTTCGGCGGCGTTGTCGGGAACAATATTACCAAGACTGGGACTTTCTCCACGAGCCTCTGCGATGCGAGCCTTTCCGGCATTTCTCCGATTCTCCATAAGCGCTGCGCGATCCGTGGCAGCGACAGTGCCCTCAAGGCCGTTCCGCATCAGCCCACCAATGTCGACTGCACTGACGGTGGCCACGGCCTTGATGCGGAAATCTGTCTGTGCCGCGAAGGAAACGTAGCCTCCACCTGCACAAACACCCATAGCTCCAATGCGCTCGGGATCCACATCGCTTCGGGTTGAGAGATAAGTAACTGCACTTCGATAATCTTCGGCTCGCTGCGAGGGGTCTTCGAGACCACGAGGCTCACCAGTGCTTTCACCCTGGTAAGCAGCGTCGAAGCTGAGGGTGATAAACCCATTGCTGGCTAGTTGCTCTGCATAGAGCCCTGCAGTCTGCTCCTTCACTCCGCCCCAAGGATGACCGACAACAATAGCAGCATGTTTGCGATCGGGGGCTGACACTGGGGGGGTGTAAAGGTCGCCGACAATGTTCAAGCCCTTGCTGAGGAAGTTGACTTTGACCGGCATTTTCAGAGGAGGATACGCGATATCAACGAGGTTATTTGTAGGAACAAGGAAGTTTGTGAAAGGTGTCGGCGAATGAACCTCAAATTTGCAATGGAAATGACCACCGCTATATTTTATTTACCTGATGGGTTGTGGAAGAATTGATTGCCGGATTGCGGATTTACCCACAATCTCCGATTTAAAACTCATCAATTTGCATCTCTTTACTGTGTAGTACTGAGAGAATATCTAAAAGAATTCAAGTGATAAAATGCAGGAAAAACTCAGATTAGCTTAGCTTCATGCAAACGGATTACCGCACTAATCAATTCTTGTAGTTAATTGTGGGGCTCTGTGGGTCACAATCCAGTATTATACTAGATACAGGTCCAACTCTAATGCATGAGTAGTGGGTATCAGGGTAACAGGAAAATACAGTACCAATGATACGGTGGATCCAGATATAATTGGTAGTCCAGTCTGGATCCATGGATACGCACGGTGAGCTGCAACCTGTGAGTGGCGGTGTCATCACGGCGACAGTGTTTTAACTCCGGTCCCGGGAATGTTGTTTTGCTGTTAGCAGAACTAAATCGGCAACAGAAAGATACACCAAAGACAGCCCGTCCGATATCCTACATCCAAGTACTCAAAATGGTGGTTGTTGCAGTTGCTGGTGGTTCCGGAGATGTCGGAAGGACTATAATCGAAGAGCTCAAAAGGGCAACTAGATTCAAGATTGTCCTGTTAACTACACAGGTGAGTCGGTTCTCCAATTGGGGCCCAGCATAGATCGGAGCCCTCACTGCTTTCTCGCTATCCTGACGGCGGCCACAGAAAGATCTACAGCTTCATGGCGACATTTCTTCAATTTTTGTCAATTACAATGATGTCGCATCCATCACCCGTCAGCTCGAGGAGCATGCTGTCCATACCATCATTTCCACGATCTCCATGAGCTCAGACGAGAGCAGTAGGTCGCAGGTCAATCTTATCCGAGCAGCGGAAACTTCGACTTCGACTAAACGGTTTATTCCAAGTGAATATGCTTATATCAATACCCCTGAGTGAGCGATATCGTGATCTGACTATATGGTCATTTGCTGAGATGAGTAGGCTGCTAGAGCTAGACCCCACCACGCAATGGTGGCTCGATGCTGTTGAATGTCTTAAAAAGACAAATTTGCAGTACACTCGATTTGCGACCGGTTTCTTTATGGATTACTGGGGCATGCCCTACATAAAAACCAATCTGGCGCCATTCACATTTGGCATCGATGTGTTAAACTACCAAGCTTCGATTCCGGGAGACGGAAATTGCCTACTAAGCTTGACTTATTCGGTCGACTTGGCAAGATTTGTCGTCAAAACTCTTGATTTGGACGAGTGGCCAGAATACAGCATTGGAGTTGGGGAGGATATCAGCTTCAATAGTATGTTGAAATTGGCTGAAGAGATTCGTGGTAAGCTACTAACCTATATCATAAAATGTTCCTTCTACATAAGCTTATGCCCGAATATAGGAAAAAGATTCCAGGTCTCTTATGATAGCGTTGAGAAACTCAGGGCAGGTCAAATTACGATGCTTTCGATTCCAAAAGACGCTCCATACTCAGCACAAGAGGTTATGGAATACAACGCTTTGTTTGGACAGCTGGCAATTCGAGAAGTCTTCCATGTACCCACTGGAAATCGACTAAACGAGAAAATGTCAGACTTGAAGCCATTGACATTCGAAAAATTTTTGAAATCGGCTTGGGAAGGTCGATAAGGTTGTGAGGTGTTCAAGTGACGAGATTGCGCTTCTTGTAATTATTGAAATTCTTGTTCGAAGAAAAACCCTTTCTTTCGTCTCCATCTAAGATTCTCCGGCGAAGTTCTCCGCATTTTGATATTCCATTATATTATCACCCCTTGTACTAAATGATCCTCAATTGGTCTAGACCGCCTCGGCTGACACGGAAGCAAAAACTGGGCTTGAATTTCGGTGTTAACGGTTTTACCGGGTTGAGAGAAATAAGCTCCAAATTTTCACATTCGAAAATCACTACCAGTAGCGCTATTAGTCTGATATAAAAAGGATAGCGCATTCCATCACGACTTTGGACACTTTTTTTTGACTTCGCTTGTTCTCTATCTGTTACACGTCCCTTACAAAACTTTTCAAACTCAGAAGCCATGCAAGGAAAAATATTTGCGATCACCGGTGGAGCCAGTGGGATTGGGCTGGCCCTTGCGAAACACCTCTTATCTCGCGGTGCAAAAGTATCCATCGCCGATGTTTCCAAGGAAAACCTTTCTGAGGCCTCCAAGCTGCTACAGCCACATGAAAATGTGCTGGTCATGCAATGCGACATCAAGGATCTTTCCTCGATCCAGGCCTGGCTGAGAAAGACCGTCGATACTTTTGGGGGCTTGGATGGAGCAGTAAATAACGCTGGAACACTTGGTCGTTGCTCTGCGTATGACAGCCGAGTCATTAACCTTGACGAGGATGATTGGAACAACATCATTGCTGTCAACCTCACAGGCACAATGCGATGCATGAAAGAGGAATTGAAGCTGCTTAAAAATGGTGGCAGTATCGTCAACGTGGCATCCTATTCCGGTATCATAGGCGTGCCCAAATTTGGTGCCTACAGCGCCGCAAAGCATGGAATGATCGGCCTGACGAAGAGCGCCGCCAAAGAGATGGGGGAGCATAATATCAGGTGCAATGTGGTCGTGCCGTAAGTTATCTCTCTTTGCTTCGTTCATCATGTCTTTTTGTTGGCAGTCGCTAATCTACATTCTGGGTCCAGAGGAAACATATCGACACCTATGTTCGATGGAGTCATGAACTTGGGTAACGACGAAATCCGCCAAGTTGCTGCTTCGACTCCCCTTCCCAGACTGGGAGATCCTCGAGAGGTTGCCACCGTCATCGCTTTCTTGTTGAGCCAAGAGGCATCTTTTGTTACGGGCGCCGTCTACACGGCCGATGGAGGGTTGGTTGCTTAACGTGGCCACTTATAGGATATAATTCAAAATGGGATGCTGGTTGTGTCTATAGCTAACCAGTATCACTCCGAACTTCATTTCACTATGTCAACACACCCAATCCGGCAAAAAGGACTGCTCTCCCATGCGGACGAGCTAAATATATGCAAAACTAAATAGTGCAGTCGGAGATGCAGTGTCTGTACAATCCGATTTTACTTATGCTCACTGTCAACGACGTATTTTCTCTCATACCGCCTGTAGTGAATCAGTTTTCCCTTCTTCTACCCCCCTAGATGCCTCCATTATAGCAAAGCCCACTCCTCCTAGAGGTTGGCGTGGCTCACAGACAGACCAACTACTTGATGGTGTATCATGAGTGTAAGTTCGCGGCCCTCCGTAATATGTAAAAGAAAGCTTACCCACCAACCCCATCGCCCAATTATTAAAAATATTGATTTCTTTCGTAGAAATAGTCGACAAAATCTACCTACGTCTATTACTTAGCGCGTAATGCACTTGCATTAGCGTCAAGCGTGACCCAAGGTACTCGGCTGTTTGAGTGGGGTCTTTTAGCGCGTAATCCGTATGCGTTTGGAACATTGACGTATCACTTCCCCTAAATTTCGGCACGTTGTCATCCTCCGTCCTGTCTTTTAGAGTTTGCCATGAAGCGAGTTCAATCTTTACCGTCAATTTCACTATTAGAAATATCTCCACAAGTACGCAGGAATGAAATCATCGTAGAATCCGAAAATAAGCCTCTAGTTAAGTCCCGTAAATGAGATTCATCAAAGTCCATTATTTTGGGGACTTGAGAAGCGGAAAATTGTCTGGTTCGAATTGCATGAGACTAAGTCCTTGGAATTACTTGAAATAGAGGGGATCATTGGTCGTGTTGAGTGTACAGAGAGTGTTTGAAGTGCTAGCAGAGACCGTGTTGGAAAGCTCTTTTCCTTTCTGATCTAGCTGGGCTGTCATGGTTGTGGTAGCCATGGTTTTTTCTGGTTAGAATTTCTCATTTTCTGTTTTCGTTTCGTGGTCGAGCGAGTGACCTTTATACCACTGAGGTCATGGGCATCTTGATACGTGTCTACATTCCAGCAGAGTCTCCTGTATAGCGTTCTTGTGTTGAATAGCGAGTGCAAAGAATTACCGAAAATAGCGCTTCTAATAGACTTTTGCACCGAAGGCATATTAAATTAAGGCTCGAAGCAAATTCAAAAGGTTTTGTACTTCTGTAGCTACTTCCGTTGCGGCTCGCTCAGTATTGACTCGGCAAAACTTTGCCATTAATGATCACCCCTTGTGCGGCTATCATAACCGAGATGAGCCTCGTCCATTCATCAGTCTCGTTTTCCCAGCTATGCATTGTACCCTGTTGAATCATAACATCACCCTCTTCAAGCAAAGTCCGTGAGCCGTCGTCAAGGCCAAGCGTAACCTTGCCCTTCTGAACCACAATATAGTCAATCGTGGCTGTGCGGTGCAAAGCCGTTTTAGATCTTGGAGGAATATCAAACATAACGAATGTTGATCCCTTCGGAGCGAGCCCTGGGTTCTGCAGTGCTTTATCCTGCAACGAGACTATGTCGGCAGGGTGTTCTTCTGTTGTCCAGAGGCGGGCAAATCCAAAACCGGTATCTCTTAGTTGAGTTGAGAGTGTATTGTTCCGGCTCACAATGGCAGTTGCTTCTTCATTGTGGCCCGTCACTACTCGACGAGTGGAGGGGAATGGAGAGGTAGACGTAGCCATACTGGAAATATGGCACAAACGCGGCAATAATTTCAGGTTTGAAAAGATCATCAAATAGGACCCAAATCACCACGGATTATATATGGAAAATGAAGGTCACAATTGAGAGCGTCCTCATGTCAGCTTTTCAATTGGATCCATAATTTCCATTAATCCTTTTCTGGTCGCCAAGTTTACACTGGGATGACGAATTAGCGTTTGTAAAGTTCTTGGAAGTACGTGTCAGCAGGCTCTATATCCATTAAGTCCGTGTGACGCGGATTTATTTGCGGATCCGGCTTTAAGACATGGATTACACTGCCGAGAGCGACAAGTGGAGACTTTGCGAATGATAGTGGACATAGTTGGTGCAGATGTATGTGGATGATAGAAGACTCTTCGAGTCTTGGTGATCCGCCAGAGCAGAACTCAAGACAATGAATGCAACTAGATTACATGTGGGCCCCAAAATGGCGGATATCCACCGCTCACTCATCAAAGTTCACCAATTCTTGAGAATGACGCCATCGACTCCGATACATCTATTTAACTTCCTCCTTTCCTTCAACCTCTATGTAGATATTCTATGCCTCCTTCTTCTCGAATCAATCAGCTTAGGCAATTTTTTGTTTCTAAACATCTGTACTCAACGAAAAGTAACCTCAAAATGGGTTTCTATGACGTTGCTCCCAAACCGGCAAGTGCCCTTGGTTACCATCGTATCCTTGCCCCCTCTGCCGGTGTCAAGGTCTCTCCGTTGTGTCTTGGGGCGATGAACTTTGGGACCAATTGGTGAGTAAATAATTCCGATGGAGGGCGCTCATACTCCCAACTGCTTGCTTTTGCTTACTATCAACAGGGAGAGCTTTATGGGCAAGTGCTCGAAAGAGGATTCTTTTGCTGTCCTCGATGCTTTCTACAAATACGGGGGGAATTTCATCGATACGTACGTGATCAACTACTTAAAACAGAATCCGAGAGTTATTGTCTGATAACTCTTGTTCGTTATTAGTGCCAACTGCTACCAGGATGAGCAGTCTGAAGAATGGCTCGGTGAATGGATGAAGGCTCGTGGGAATCGAGATCAGATGGTGTAAGTATATATTACACACCCATCTTTTGATTTCATGTTGCTTATGCTCTGTCGCCGATTAGTATCGCGACGAAGTACACCACTGGCTACCGGGGCCACCACGCTGATCATGAGCCCATCCAATCCAATTTCGTTGGAAATTCGATGAAATCAATGCATGTTTCAGTCAACGCAAGCTTGAAAAAACTACAGACCGATTACATCGATGTGCTTTATCTGCATTGGTGGGATTTGACCACTGGGGTTGAGGAGGTGATGCATGGGCTCAATGCTTTGATCAATGCGGGCAAGGTGCTTTACCTGGGAGTATCTGATACTCCCGCCTGGGTCGTTGTAAAGGCCAACGACTATGCCCGCGCACATGGCCTTCGTCCTTTCTCTGTCTACCAAGGCAAGTGGAACGCGTCATTCAGAGACATGGAAAGAGAGATAGTTCCCATGTGTCGGGACCAAGGGATGGGTATTGCTCCATGGGCACCTCTCGGACAGGGAAAGTTCAAGTCAGCCGAAGATCGAGCAGCTGCTCATACTGGATCAGCAAGAGCGGCAGAGTCGTCAGAGAGTGAACTCAAGGTATCTGAGGTTCTAGAGGCTGTAGCGGCGCGCAAAAATACCAGCCTACACGCGGTGGTAAGTCTTTATTCTTCAGGACTCATCAAGGTCTTATAGGCTCCATTCTAATGGCAGAGACATCCAGGCCCTAGCGTATATCCTTCACAAGGCACCCTATGTCTATCCGATAGTCGGGCAGCGGAAGATTGAGCACCTCAAGGCGAATATTGAGGCCCTCAGCATTCAATTATCCAAACAGGATATGGATGAAATCGACACTGCTGTGCCTTTTGATGCAGGATTCCCCAACACTTTCATTTTTAGGGGCAAATATGATTCGAACAAAACCGCGTCAGACGTCATGTTGACAACTCTGTCTGCTCATATTGACTCACCGCCGAACCAGGAACCGGTCAAGGCCCGAAAAGAGTTATAAACGCTGCTCTTGTGAATGCTTTTATTGGAATTTTATGAGGGTGATGAGGTGATAGCCTGCTTATTTTCTGAACCCTGCCGAAGCGCTAAACAGTCTGTTTCAAAATCGTGTATCGGAAAGACTTAATATATTAGGCACTGCTCGAACTCCCTGCCAATGACTAATTTATTCTACTTTGTTCCCATATAGCCTGTAATTTGATCAAAATGGATTCTCCATGTCCCTCTCTTCACTGAGCCTGGGAATTATCAAAAGACATGTTGACCACAGGCTAGGGACCTGCGATATATATTGAACTGCATATGATTCGATGCTTGTGCGTATCTCCTCGGGCCTACCTGATTCTCAGTGGCCCATTGATGACGAAAGGCCCTCAAACAGCTGATTGTTGCGGGGTCGCTGTACTCAGGTAGTTGAGTGTTATAATAAGTAGGTATTAGTTAACCGTTACAGTACAAAATAGAGATAAAACACTTTTTTTACAAGCTACACTCAAAGCATCAACTCCCTAGCCGTAACATTGTCTGGAAATCGGCACAAATTCGAGGACCATGGAGAAGATGACGCAGCTCAAGTGGACCGCGGAGTTCGTCGATCAAGGGCAAGTGAGTAGCGCATCAATGTTAACGGAAAAATGGTGAAGAAAAAACCGCATTGAGGAGTAAGACAGATATCGAAAGGTAGTAGAGCCATTACGCTTTGAAGGGAATGAAGAAGAGAAGAATCGAGACTATGCCTGTTCCCATGAAAACTGTGAACCCCCTGGATCCTTAGGGTTTATCATAGGCCAGAATATTTTTCTCCAAGGATATATTACGGGTTATCACCGTGGATAGTAGTACATTCGAAGTTGACTATAACTTCTTGTCATCCTAGGTTCTCATATCCAGGATTGGCCAATGCTACCTCGATGGGATTTCCAGGGTTATCGTGTTTCGTGCGGCTAACAGTAAACCAATTGGAGGTTCTATCTTACCAGAATCCATGTCTTCAGTAAATTCTGAGGCTCGACTTTTCCGGTCGACAATTGAGCTTCCCGCAAAGTTTGCGAAGGCAAAATCTCGGGAGACATTAAAGGATGAGGGCAGTTCCACCTGGCGACCAGGCAATAGAGCTGACAGCCTGGCTATGCCCCTCCAGAGTAGACGCGCCCTGGCCAGTGGCCGGGTTCCAGATCCTGACTGTCTTATCATCAGACGATGACGATAATCGGCTTCCATCTGGCGACCAATGAATGGAGTTGACTAATTTACTATGCCCCTAGAGAGTGATCACGCTTTGACTAGTGAGAGAATCCCAAATCCTTAGGGATTATTTAAATTATCTATAGCGGCCCATTATTCATAGTTATATAGCTAGATCAACCTATATATCTCTTAAGTGTGCTACCTTAAGCGTTCCCCTCTTTAATATCTAGTAGACTAAATGGTATTTATAGGATAAAGATAATAATTAATAATCCTATATTATATCTTCCCTATAGAACAGCCCTAGCTATAATATAGGATATAGATCTTATCTAATGAGGAGGATACTCATTAGCGGAAGAGATAATCACCAAAGATATATCTATTATCCTTAGTCCTATAGTTAATATACCTCGCTCTCCGCTAGCTAGATGATAGTTTAAGTTATTTAGTAAAGATCCCGTGCTCGTAGGTATTATATCCTTAGCATTTATAAGCGCCGTCTAGTCAAAAGGTGTCGGAGCTACTCCTAAATACTTTATATATAACAATTAAGAGCTTAAAAGAATAAGCTAGGACTAGCAGCTTAGAGAGAGAGCCCCTAGAGAGATATATGCTATACCCTTTTAGATCACCATGCAGTTATCAAAATGATGATCTTATAGTATACCGCCTGCTGGGATATTAGGTTGATGAAGGTCCTAAATGCGAGTATCTGAAGAGACATGTTCAGACGGTCCATTGAACGGAGTTCGGCGGGTATGAAATCTGACGCAATCGATCTGTAGAATATCCCTTGACCTCTCTAACGTGATATGACGATAAGTATCGGAAGTGTCTTGAGTCTGTCCTGTGTCTCTGTCCCTCCGGACACCTAACTCTTACACCGTCATGGCTTTCTCTTCATAGCTTCCATAGAGCGATCTCCTGGGTGGAATCGATATCATGTAGTACAGAACTCTCTACATTATTCTATCCGGCAATAAATTGGCTATGTATTTTTTTAAAGCTTAAATCGACTTGTCTTTGGCAAGATCAAGGCCGTGCCTATATATCACGTTGAAGGATAGTGGCGTTTTTCCCTAATAAAGAAATCAAGGTACACTCATTTAGGTTAAAAACTAATAAGTATTCAGAGGGATCTATAGATACTATAGATATTAAGAAAGAAAATGTGAAACCTATTTCCAAGGCAGAAATAATTAAGGAAGAATTATATTCTATATCTTTCCTTCCTTTGAATAAATTCTTATTATCAAGATGCACTATATTAATTATAGTGTCGAAATCTACTCACTTTAATATCGTTTTTATATATAATTCACTTATCTGTCGCTACTAATTCACAATCTTTTTACCTAGTCTTTCCTCCCTTACACGGGATTTCCGGGCTAGTATAATACTACGGTGTCATTTTTCAATTAAACCTAGTCCCACGAGCACATACCCTAAAATCATTGGATTTCTTATTCGAGATCATATTCGAGAAGTATGAATTAATTATTCTCCATTTAGATAGCTCAAATGGCTATCAGCTAATTTCCCTAATACCGCTCAAACAAGGCGGTGCAACCAAAGACACTCAGTACATGGTGGACGACGATCAATACACGTAGATAAAATCCTCGTTCATTTGGTCCGTTACATCGTGCAGACCTTTGTCTTCGTCGATTACCTGACGGTAGTCCTGGACCTGTTCAAGCTGGACGGCGTCGCCCTTGAGCTTCCGGTACTCGAAGATATCCCCAACGGCGACCGGGTTGCTTTTCCCAAGCTCGCGGCGCTTTAGGGCGTGCTGCTTGTTAAGGTACATGAGGTAGAATGGTATTAGTCTTTTCAAGTAAGCTATAGCCCAAAAGGAGATTCAGGTAAGGAGTGGACTTACGCAGACACAATCCCGACTGTCACGAACATGACTAGGTTGGCGATGAGCCCTGTCCGGTACAACGGGGCCTCGTCGGTCGAGTATAGCAGGGGGCCGATAACGTTGCCGGCACACATGCCCACGAAGACAATCCCCGAAGTGCGCTTCTTTTTGGTGTCTCCGGCGGTATTCTGCGCCTGCCAGGCGTAGATTAAAGGGGTGATGGCCGCAAGGGTGGAAACCTGTCAAAAGTTAGATATATCAAACCAATCTAAATTGGGATTGTAATTCAATACCATGTAGTATCCGAACAACAGAACACCCTTCTGTTCACGCGATACGGTGAGCATTAGGATTGTTCCCACGGTGGGTAGGATGCTGATACCGGCGATGGTCCAGCCCTTGGATCGGATCTTAGTGGCCACCCAGCCCGTGCCCAGGATCGAGATCACCTGGATGACGCCGAAGGGGATGTTGAAGAGGATGGTCGCGAAGCTGCCGAAGCCAAAGGAGCTGACAATCAGGGAGCCAAAGGTGCCGATGCCGCCGCTGGCGATACTGCACTGGATTTTAGCCACGGAATGTGTTTCGTTTAGGGGAAGAAAGGGCAGCAGAACTTACGATATGGTGATGATTGCGATGAACCAGCACCAGGTCTTCAGGTCCAGGGCGGTCTCCCAAACATGCTCCCAGCGCCACTGCCGAGTCGCAATTCCCATCTGATTAGCGCGCAGGCGTTCAGTGGCAATGATCCGCTCACGCATGGTTAGGCACTTTGCCTCCATTGGGGAATCAGGCATCAGCCAGAGGACAACGATGGAGTAGGCGACGGTCAGCAGCCCGCAGAAGAGGAATATGGTCTGGTAGCGGTACATGGAGCCGTGCTGGATATGGCCAAGCCCATAAGTGAGAAGGCTGCCCACGATTGAGGTCACGCCATTCATCGCGTTCCAGTAGCTGGTGCGCAGAGTCTGCTCGCGCCGCCGCCACCACATCTGCGTGATGGCCACACACGAGGGGGCAATAAGCGCCTCGAAGGAGCCCAGAACAAACCGCATACCCAGCAGTGACTTGAAGTCTGTACATACCGACATGATCGACAGCGCCGACCCCCAGAGGAAGATAGCCGATGCTAGTACCTTGCCCGTCGGCAACTTGACTAGGAGCACTGTCGCCAGAGGCTGCATCACAAGCTCCGCCAAGTACAGTATCGATCCCAGCCAGGAGTATTGCCGGCCGTGGAGATGGGCATCGGTCGTCAGGCCGAAGATGGAGACGTAGCTAGAGTGAGCGTGAGCGGGAGCGTATCAAGTATGGGCAACGAACATCAAGGCACCTACCTTAGAGTACTCTTGTCCAGCTGCTGGAAGAAGTAAGCCCACAGAATGATAATCAGCACACGTTTATCAATCTGCCGCAACTACCCGCCCGCTTTTGAATGCTTGGCACGCGGAGACTACCTATCACGCAACTCCGAAACATGACTTGTCATTTGCAAAGTAACCTAGGGCCAGGAAATACCATGAGCGGGGGAAGAGCGCGTCACAGCGCATGCAAATATTGTCGGGACCATAAAGTGCGGTGTGATGGTGGCCAGCCATCATGTGAGAAATGCCGCAGGGCCGGCGAGGAGTGCATTTATCTTCCAACACAACGACCCACAAGGGCTGATCTCACTCAAACCGTGGCATCACTACAGAAGCGACTACGTAAGACGACATCCCTTTTTGTCTTTCACTCTTTTGGATATGATTGCGTCCTTGATACGATTCTCGTGCTAACCCCGACACAAGGTGAAACAGAAGCGCGTATCTCAGGAGTGCCCAGTCAACCAAATGGCCCATCGCGCATCGCCCCGAAATCACATCCTCATTGCAATACAGATGGGAGTAACAGTTGGGACAGCCAACCCCCCGCGGCTTTCCTCTGTCCACTCCCTAGTACAACTCAGCACGGGTACCAGCTTCCATCTACTCAATCTTACCAAAATACCTCGCCAGGCTCCTTTAACGATGCTAGTCTGCGCTCGCTGCACGGTAACGACGGGCAGTATAGGATAACAGCGGAAGAAAACGAGCCAACAAATTTTGGCAGGGAGAATGGATTAGGAAGTCACCCTGGAGTAGATGTGGAAGGTTCGAATTCCCGCCAATCATCCAAACAGACATTCACAACAACTCCGGTCAAGGTCAGAGCTATGTTGATATAACGGATGTATTAACTCCGGATATCAGCGAAATTACAGAGGCTTCCTTTTCCCTTCCCGCACCCGTACCAGTCGCGCCACAGGGGGCAACTTGCAGTGATAGCAACATAAGCGAAGGCGTCGCCGCCCACCTAGCCGACTTCTCCTCAGCTGTCTTCCATACCCAGGCTGAGATAGCTGGCATCGCGCTAGCTGTCGCCGAATATATTACCTGGATGCGGAAGGTTCCTGCGGGAATGACGCCGCCAAATACCACTCTTGTTTTTACAAATATACTCGAGACAGTTGAGGAACGACTGCGTGAGATAGGTGAGATGGCTCAAACTAAACCACGCGCTGCGTTTCAAGAGATGATTGGGGGAATCCAGAAGCTTGGGCCGGCCGGTGCCCCTGTATATAGCAGCTTGAGTGGGCTGGAAGAGAAATTCGAAAGACAATCAGCAGATGTGGCGAAAGGTTTCTCCATGCGGTATAATGCGTGTGCATTAATGTCGGAACAAGCGTCAAATTTAACGCGTGGGCCTGCTACGCGAATTGAATCTCACTAATGTTCGGGCTCGGAATAGCAGTGGATTGATGCAGCCATTCATCTTTAAAGAGTGGGCCTGAAAAGTCGAACTCATCGTGGTGGACTTTTAGTGTGGTATTCAACTGTGTTGTCCCACGGGAGCACAGTGTGCCAATGGCATGCGTGGTCCGTGGAGTCCTAGATTTCTTCATTTGGCAAGCCCAATCCTTTAGCTTTAGATATCTCAAGACTCAGATTGATTTGATTGAATGACTATACATAATTCGTGCAGATCTGAGATAATCTTATCCTTTGTGCACTTCTCGAAAAAATGTTTAACCCTACATTGCATGATATCAATTCTTTCCAGCATCTCTGGGGAATGGGTTCTGCTTTTGCGAACCAGGGCTACAGTTCATCCCACCACTGGGTGTCCCGTTGGATCCCAATGAGCATTGACATGAGGCGCATTATTTAACGCTGCATAACGCTCTGCATTGGGGTCTGCGTAAGTGGCCCCTGACGGCGCCATATTAGCCCCAGACATCATAGACGGCTCGACAGAGTGTTCATGAGGAAAGTCGCTAAGGACGAAATCACTAAGAGTCAGCCCTGATGGCGCCTGTACTCCAGTAGGTACTTGATCGAAATGGGCGTCTCCTTGTGCCGAGTGCACCGTGTGCATCAGCATTCTCGCGCCTGGGTCGTTTGTCCGAACTTGCCCCGATATAATGTCTTTGACAGACACCTTCCTGCCGTAGAATCGCTCGTTCTCGTCGTTGCGCTCGATGATGATGCTTCCGTCGATTTGCATACCGGCATAGAATCCCCGGCTCTTGACATAGGTCCAAATCGGCGCTCGACGCTTATGAACCTCTGAATCCAGCACTCCTCCGATTCCAATCGGCCCAGCGGCAACGGTGACTTCGCTACCGAGGGTCACTCGCACGTTGCAGAAGGCCTCTAGCGCCTCGTAGGTGTTAATCACCATAACGCAGTCGTATATGTCCACGCCAACAAGGAACCCAACGCCTGCAGTATGCATCAGGATCCCAGACGGGGCACTCCACTCCCCTGTCTCAGGTACACGTGCAATAATCACACCACTTCCAGAAGCACCACTGACCCACATCCCCGTCCGCATCGCCGTAAAAATCACCAATCCCTTCGCATCGCGAATGACCTCCTTCGGGATCTTCTTCAGCACCCTTTGCTTCCCGCGAGGCCTGTCTATCTTATTGCTCGCTCCATTCTCAGGTGGAGCCGTGTCTGGTAACGAGTCCTCGACGTAGACGCCGTCTTTGCAAAAGCTTCGGAGGATGCGGGCCACTTTCTCGCTTTCCTTCTCGAGGGTCATGGGCCAGAAGGCCTCGGAGCCGAGTTTGTTGCTGAGTCGGTTGACGGGGGCGCCAAGCTTATCGAGAGCATCCCAGCCTTTGTCGAATCCTTTTTTGCCGTAAATCTTTGTTTTGCTCCATATTGTGCCTTGATTGGTGGGTTGAGACATTTCTGTGGTATTTGCGAACGGACTCTTCCCGTTGATATTATTGACAAGTAGTCACTGACTAAGGGCCCAGCTGTTGTAGAGTAGCCCGAAGAGAGGTTCAAGGAAAATATCGAGGATGAAGCGAGAGCTCTTCTTTATAGACAAGTGAAGCCTGAACAGCCATTTGGCCCTGTGGGTCCGGTCCGCTGCAAAATACGTCGTATTCGTATTGTGGCATCACAGTTGCCTGATCGGGCTGAGTCGCGATCAGCGCTATCCGAAGGCAGACATTATTCCACTATCTAAACTTAGATCCTTGATGCTTATTTCTATCAAAATAAATGACCATTTTAATCTAATAGGCCCGGTCGGCTTTAGGTTGATTGGGGGCTCATGCAGGTTGTCGACAGTGCTTGAAATCGCGTTTCAATAGATTGAGCTCTTCGGTCTGATTGTTACGGCCTCATTGGGATATTCTGCCAGGGCGGTATGGCACCGATTGTATATCGATTCTGTCCAGGAAAGCGCCTGCATGACTCGCTAAGCCAGAGTTTTGCCTCCTCCTGTACATAAGCAGTGCACTTGAGGAATAGGTTTATTCCTCAAGGATTAGTCTTTGTCTAAATTGAACCTACCATTAAGAGACATCTTCGATCTTTGCCTAGTCAATAACCTTGTTCTTAACACCCGTCTCGTCAAAATTCTAGATATTCTTTAGACTAATCCCTTCTAATTAGACTGCGGCAACATCCTCAAAATCCATGGATATCCACATATCCTCTCCGCAAATTGCGGATATGGTATGCCACCTAATATCCGCAATCCTCAATTTTGTGGATATGGTATGCTACCTAATATCCTGTGGATATCAAACAGGCCAAATTTGCCAAGATTACTACCTATTTAGGTAATTATCTTGGCTTTGAAGGCATAAAAAGGCATTAATCTACATTAAACTGACGTGACATACCAAAATTAGATAGTTAAGCGAGACTTATGCTAGTGCGGATATCCGTAAGATATCCTCATTGAGGATATGGTATGGAAGTAATATCCATTATCCTCAATTTGCGGATATGGTATTGAATTTAATATCCAATGGAGAGGATATGCCGCAGTCTACTTCTAACCAACCTCTAGTATACTTAAAGGGAGTGGTTTTATTGGGGTTGCCTCACAATGCCTGTAGCCTCACCATGTCTGTAGCCTCACGTGATATCTACACCGACATTTCCGAGGGCCTCTTCCTCCTACAACTGCCTCACGAGAGTCATTTGATGGCCTCTGCGGGTAGCTCGTAGCTCGTCATCTCTCAGGCAGTCAAGTGTCAATTTTGTCCCTCCCACCTTCCCTCTGTATATAGAATCCACTACAATACAGACACATTGCCTCCCTTCAAGGGAGCGCGGACGGGGCCTATCTGACGCCACGGTCTACGACCGCAGCGACAGGTAACCCGTTGCGGCCAAACTAAACTCTTCTTGCTCCTCTTGACTGTGTGAGGTCACCAATAAACTCGGTAATTAAACGCGAGATTAGATTTAAGTCTCTCCTTATCGATAGGCTTTTATTAAATCCAAAAGAAGCCTTCCAGAAGGCGTCGTATGAACTAGCTTATCTATTTCTTACTTACCGGATATCACCCTGACCATGCTAATTCGATATTAGCATAACGCTCGATCTCTTAGAGCGTATAAGGTGCCTATAGATCGTCAAGTTACTTAATATATCGGACTAAAGTAGTCTCTTGCACTAAATTTAGCGCACGTTAACTCGATCGCTTATCCTCGAAACTTCCGCGTTCGTGGAATCGGCGGACTAGTGTTCGATATAGAAGGTTAAACGACCGGGCTAACTCGCTTAAATTAGGGGTTTCTTAATCAGATAAGGTTATCAACGCACGTTGGATTCGAGGTCGGAAGATATAATTAGCCTATTCTGGTTGAGAGATTGGATTAAAAGTGTAAATAGTTGTCATTCAGTGTGGGTTTAACAAAAAGGGTGGCTGACCAAGCCTACATCTTGGTCAGCACACCCCCGAGGGATCAAAGCGTGTGACAATTATATCCGATTCGTAGTTCGTTGGAGCGTACTGCCATCGAGTGTTCCCCTCTTTAATATGTAGACAAGGCGACAACACTTACATTTTTTGGCTCACGCAGATCTATAATAAGAAAAAAGGGCTTACAAACCCTTTATTTGTCTGTAAATAAGCTTATTTAAATGCGAAAGTCGAAAAACAGAAGCTGAAATCCACAATATGCTCTCTTAGACGCCATTGGAAGTTGATTTCGGTGTTAAGGGCAGTCCAGTAGCAGCACTTTGACCATACTTTTGTTTTGACCAAGCCCAAGACACGGTCGTGCCCTTGATAGCACTGCTGAAGAATTTCTGGACGGTTTCAATGCGAATAACGACTTCCTGAAAAACCACCAAGACAATGAAAAAGCCTCTAACTGTGATCAGCGGTTACAATCTCGTTGCTACAAGCTCCCTATCACGCCCTATCACGTACTCGATAATATGCCTTGTCTCTTCATGGGATCACCACGGGTCATAGTCCGTGATATAGGTACGATAGGTAGGGCCACCTCATCAGCTGGTACGCAACGGCCGTAGAGCGATAGTAATGTCTGCGACTTGCTCCTTATTTCTTTGACAGGTTCCACGATGGCCGGTAAACCGCCCTCTATGCCAGCCCCCCATCGTGAGAGTCATGCATACCAACCAGAAGACTTGGAGAACTTAATGAACTCAGGTGGCAGATCTTCATATCGTGTTTGAACTATCAATCTGGCCGGCTGAGGGGCCGGCTAGAAGTCATATCTGTACGAACTTGGTGGCAGTCATATGTCCATTCTCTCTTGCCCTATTGAACCATAGGTTTAAATTTAATCCTGCCGGAGAGTGGTCATAGCTTTCTATCTCCGGATCCTGTAATTTCAGGTTGTTTAGATCCGATAAGACCAAGAACCCGTCCTGCTATTTTACTTTTACAGTCACTGCCGTTTGTGGCATTTGAGAGATGACACTAATTTATGAATGAAATTTGTTTTGGTTCATTCATCATCTTTGAAATGTTTGTTCTTTTGATCATTGTGCCACTTCAACATTAAATTAGGCTTTGCACGGAATCCTCCGGTAACTTTAATGAATCACAGGTTTTTAGCGAAGAAATCAACCAATTTAGGGCCAGACTCAGAAACATCATCATAAAGACCAGCGTGGTTTTGGTTCTTGATAATGTACAACTCCTTAGGCTCCTTGGCTTTTTCGATTGCATCTTCGCTGAACCACAGGGTGGCAGCCTCACTGCCAGCGATCATCAACAGAGGTCGAGGGGAGATCATGTAGTTGAAAGCGTATGAATCGAAATTTGCCAGAAGATCAGCGCTTCTATCAGCGACCTGGTTGGGCGCTCGGACATGCTGAGCACGAGGCGTCCGATAGTACTCCACGAATTCTCGAACGATGGGGGGATACCCATCTGGGATGGCATCAAGAGTTGGGGGGATAGCGGGTGAGGCAGGGGCCTTTCCGGTTTTGGCCTCTTCGATCCGAGCCACGCTAGCTCCCTTAAGTGACTGAAGAAGCATCTCAGAACTAATCATGCCCTTCATGAGTCCCTCACGTGTCATCTTGCCGGCACACACGGCAGCAACAGTTGCTACAGCCTTGATACGGAGATCCGTTTGAGCCGCGAACGGAACGTAACCACCAGAGGCGCAAATTCCTAAAGCGCCAATGCGCCCGGGATCGACATCCGACCTCAAGCTAAGGAAGGTAACAGCTGCTCTCACATCCTCAGACCGCTGGGCAGGGTCCTCGAGTAGGCGTGGTTGCCCATCACTTTCGCCTTGATACGCAGCATCGTAGGCGAGAGCGATGAATCCGGCATCACAGAGAGCTTTTGCGTAGTGCTTCGGGCTCTGCTCTTTGATAGAAGTCATTGGATGTCCGATGACGACTGCCGGATATGTTTGGGTCGGCTTGTAGTCATTGGGAAGATACAGCTCTCCCACGACTTTGATTCCGTTGCTCAGAAAGGAAACCTTTTGGATTGAAGGCATAGTGACGAGCTTCTCTGAAGAAAGTGTTTTGAGGAAGTGTTCGGAAATTTTGAAATTTTGGTGTTTCATCCACTGAGAGATTATTGATCCAGCGGGACAGGAATTCATCGATTATATAGGCAAGGCCTCTTAATCGATCTCTCGGACCACATATCGAAATATTTCGGAATTATGTCACATTTTCGGATAAGCTAATCGGAATTTGAGCAGTAGGTAGTCAGCAATGTCATCCACCCCTTAAGACCGATTAACTCCACGATCGGGAGATGATGGTGGTTATTGGTAGAAGTTCATTTTATGGGTAATGTGGCTTACAATCAAGCCGTAATCCAATTGCATATTGGAGGGCCCATCGAAAGATCATCATTTTTTGGGTCTCTTGTCATCCAAATGCATCCGCTCCAATCATGTCCTTGTACCACTCTCCACTTTCCACTTATCATTACCACCTACTCAGTCAAATCTCTGTATTGTCATTTCTCGAAAATACACCCCCTTTCCAATTGAGACAATCAGCCGTACGAAACACGAAGCCTTCCTTTTAAGTCCTGAGTAGCGGAATTTTTATTTTCTCTAATTCATCTATTTCATCTATTTCAGCTATTCTGAAAGCAACATGGCACCATCGGGTCTGGCCATTATTCTCGGAGCAGGTCCAGCTGCCGGTGCAGGAATTGCTCGCGTTCTTGCCTCTCCAGCCGAGGGTAATTTGGCAGTAGCACTGCTCTCACGCACTGGTGACGCTCAACTTGCGACCGAAATATCCAAACTTTCAGGTGGAGGCGTCTTGAAAGCCTTTCAGACAGATACCTCTGAAGACCGTCTTCGTTCTACCTTTGAGGACATCAAAACTTGGACTCGAAGCCTTCCAAAATCCGATGATGGGCAGAGTTTACGCCTTAAACTCTCTGTTTTCAACATCAAACATTCGCATAAAGTGCCATTTGCAGAGGAAACACCCACCAGATTCACGGAGTCACTCACGGTATACACCACCGGCGCGATGATATTCTCCCAACTTTCCATCAATTGGATGTTATCGCAATCTTCGCAATCAAGTGATGATAAGCCTGAGGCTTTCATACCTCTGCATAAAGCTGGAACGGTCATCTTCACTTCCAGTCTTGGTTCCATGCGCTCAAATGCGGGGTTTGCCGCCTATGGTGCAACAAGAGCTGGTGTCAGAATGTTGGCACAGAGTCTTGCGAGGGAATACTCATCCAAGGGAATTCATGTCGTTCACGCAATTGGGAACGGTTGGATAACCAACAATTACGATGAATCCTACTTGGACTCCGACTTGAATGACGGAGCGAAGGAAAATACGGATGATACGAAGGCAGTGCTTGAGGGCAAGAAGATAAAAGGAGCGAGTGTGGGAAAACTGTATCTTGGCCTAATGCAACAGGCCTGCGATCTGTGGGTACACGAACTGGATATGAGGCCAGCGGGTGAACCCTTCTGAAGAGCGTTTGACTGGATTTCACCATCTTACATTATATTATGCAAGAGTTTCTTTTTAGCTTTTTACTTATACTTGTCATCTATATCGCTAGGATGATTAAACTTACAGGATGGCTAACACGAGAAAATGGAGAGAAAATCAAGATAATCGGCGTTTTCAAGGATACATCTGCACAGAGAAGGATAGCTATAATCGAAGACTGGTGCTCGTAGCCAGTCTAGTGGTGCAGACTTCTAAAGGAGCTTATACCTCGCGACTATTGGTATAGTGTCACTCTGGCCTTGATTACACTATGCCAATCCACCCAATTCAGTCACCAGGGCTGCCCCCTAATGCGTTGGATTGAATTATAGTACTCAGGACTAAATAAATAAAGCGTTGTAGCATGCTGCAATATACTACTAATGTGTGGATTTTTACAACTCACTACCTACGATACATGAGAAGCGCAAATCAGGGTCACGAGACAGTTCGAAAGGGACAGATACTCCAACAGAAGGAGTGAAGTGAATATTGACATAGTGAGTGGGCCTATTTACTTAGCGCGTAATCCGCCTGCATTAGCGTCAATCTTGACCCAAAGTGCTCGGTCGTTGAAGTGGGGCTCTCTCCCTTAGCGCGTAATCCACATGCATTGGAGTGGTGACGTATCATACCCTCGAAATTATGGTATGTTGCAATCCGCTGTGATGCACTCGGAGTTTGCTATGAAACGAGTACGTTATTTACCGTCAATCTCAGTATTAGGGGGCATCCTCAGAAGTAAGCAGGAATGCAATCGCCGCAAATTCCGCTAATATCCGAAAATGAGCCGGTCATCCGCACATAACAAAAAAATGACGCTAGAGAACAATACTACTATAAAAAGACCTCTTTCTGTACTGCAGGAATTTGAAAATTCCAGAGTTCTCTTTAGTCTCAAGTTTCTCTTCCAACAGGTACGTTATCTCTCGTTCCTACTCTAGCCATTGCATCATTGCAATCTAATAACAGAAATTAGGCAGTGAAATCCCTACCGAAACAACACGTTCCCACCATGCCCGAATCAGTCATTATCGCTGGCTCCTCCAAAGGAGGCCAATCTACATCCAAGCCTACCGCCACCTTTACTGGGGATGTCTACCTCGATATGATCCACATGGATGACAAAGCTGCTATCGCCAACGTCACTTTCACCCCCTGTGCGCGTACTCACTGGCACACCCACGAGGACGGACAGTTTCTAAAGGTTGTTGCCGGTTCCGGCTGGATCTGCGACAAGGGCGCTGAGCCTCGCCGCATCAAGACTGGAGACCTGATCTGGGCTCCAGCGGGAACTACCCACTGGCATGGGGCCGATGATGGTAGTATTATGACACACCTGGTGGTTGGTTTGGGCAAGACAACATGGCTCGATCCCGTGACTGATGAGCAGTACGGTGTCAAGAAGGATTAAAGCTTTAAGAATAGAATTGGATGACACCAAGGTCATTTGACTACCATGTATGATGTTACATATCTTCCATCCTCAAGAACCTTACCAATGTTTTGAGGCTTCATGCATAGTTCTAGTCTCACATTCGAATACCTCAATCAAGATTAAGATCAAGACCAACCGCAACAAGCGATGTCAGATTACAAGGAGAGAATTATAGCGACTCCCCCCATAGCTTTAGCTAGTTACGCAGGCTACTTTAGGGGGAATTTTCGACCTTCGCTTTCGTCTCAGTATGGAGCCTTATAAGCAAGGACGTTGGATTTGGCGTCGCTCACGTCTCAACATAATGCATCGGGCTCTGCTCCTTCACCACTATCATTAGAATCTCATTAACGGCGAGTGAGTTTATTTCTTTCACATGTTTTTGGCTTGGAATTAAAGGTCGCCCAGTACTATGAGTTCTTTGCGGAAATAGGATTTATCTGAATTGACATTATGGCATAGTCTCCGTGATATGGAAACGGGTCTTTGGGGCGAAATCATCTCAAAACTCGATTTGTTTTCGCTATTCTATAGAATTTCAATCCGTAATATTCAGTCTACAAATATGGAAGGAAAGCCAAGGATTATATTTTATATACGTGGATCTCACCAAGGCATGTCGCCCGCCACATTGAGGCTTCTGGTGCGGTCGAACTATTCCGCGATATGGTTCCACCCGGGCATGTGGGTAATCAGTTGGTGGCTTGAAGTCACCGTTTAAAGTCACCGTTCATGAGTGGATAGTAAGTGTTTTTTTCACCTAATGAAACCCTGAAGGATCTCGGACTCTGGAAGACAAATTCCACCTAACTCCGGCTAACTCCGTATGACCACCAGTGCCTCGAAAGATGACGCCCACACTTTAGAGGCCTGCTCATAATTCAGGGTCATCTATTTGCATTCAAGTGGCGCTCTTCCAGCTTGATGTCATCTACTATAACCGACACCAAGATTCCACGGACATTTCACTCGATCGGGCTTCTCGCGGAGATAATAGGGTTTGGTGTCTCTCAAATCTACCATGGTTTGCAAGTAAGCCAAAACCTCGCAATCAAGATTCGATTAAAAATGCTGACCTATACGAGATCAGAGATAGTATACTGGTACTCGCCAGGTTCCTGTGATCTTTATTTTTTAGTAGATATAAAGAGCAAAGATCGCCTTTGGGGATTCAAGTTGTTCTCATATCACGACTCTTCGTCAGTCTGAATAAGCTCTTCCACTACCGGTTTGCCATATCCAACAAAAATGACTGGTAAAGTACAGTTTTCAAGTCGAGGAGTCACGGTTGCAGCACACCTGTACCTTCCTCCTCCCTCAGCCCCAGACCGAAAAGGTGCCGGGGTAGTCTGTGGTCACCCTATGGGAGGGGTAAAAGAGCAGACATCCGGTACTCACGCGAAGAGGCTGGCAGATCAAGGATTTGTGGCACTGGCTTTCGACGCTGCATATCAGGGTGAGAGCGGCGGCGAACCACGCGGCCTTGAGGATCCTTTCCAGCGGGCCGAGGATGTCAGAGCCGCAGTCACATTCCTTGCTACCGCGGTGCCTGAGGTGGACCCAAACCGCATCGGCGCATTTGGCATCTGCGCATCCGGGGGATATGTTTGCTTTGCCTCGCAGACTGACTTACGGATCAAGGCTATTGCGACTCTTGGTGCCGTCGACACTGGAGAGATATTCCGGGATGGCATGAAAGGAACAGCGATGCAAATATCTCGCGAGAGCCTCCGAAAGACTCTCCAGGCAGCTGGCGAGGCCCGCATGGCGGAGGCGCGCGGAGAATGTGCTCCTCTGATCCCTCTAGTGCCCGACGACCCTACAAATGTGCCCGAAGGCACCCCGGACCTCTTCCGCGATGCGAGTGACTACTATCAAACTCCGCGTGCGGGACATCCTCGTGCAAACAACCGATTTGCTCTTCGCAGCTACGATCTTTTGGTCAACTATTCCTCATTCGCGTTCATGGAGTTGATTTCACCTCGCCCCCTCCTGATGATGGCTGGCAGTGAAGCCGACACTAAATATTTCAGTGAGGAGGCCATCGCTCGTGCTCTGGACCCCAAAGAGCTTTATGTGATACCGGAAAAGGCGCACATTGCCACATATGATGATCTGACGGGGCACTTCCCTAAGCTTGTCGACTTTATGGCCCAGCATCTTTGTTGGTGAGATTGGGGAGAACTTCGGTGAGAAGCTGCGTACGGCAACCTACCCTCGCCTCGAGGTCGGATACTTATTAAGCAGCTTGGGCCTGATTTTTAAGCCGGCAGAAAGGTTAGAATACTGGAATTACCAATACAGAGAGATCAGTCAAATCAAGCCAGTCCAACCTTATATAAGCAGAAAAAGTCCATTTTGGAGTGCCATAATAAATAGTGCACATTAAATTAACAGGTTTAAAGGCTCAAATCATATAACTTGACCTGCAATTTCGCATATGCTCCCATATAAGCCGTTTCTGAATGTAGCGAGTTGGTGCTTGTGAGGCAACACGTGCTCGCTTGCGGAACCTCGCTGTCGCTCCTTGCCCAGACCTTCCTGTCGCTCTCTGACGAGGGCTTGGAGCTCTCCACCATAATTATCAGAAATGCCTAAGGACACATGGCATTCGTTCGGATACGTTATATTATGCGCAATGGTGGAGATACGGCAAGGTGAAGTAGGGGGTGGTGGGTGGTTTATGGTGCTGACTTATAGACCAATCAAACTACCTTAAAATTACAGGTTGGCTTACACGATTGCGTTGAGGCGGTGGAAAACACGGTCAAAGCTGACAGTCAAGCTAGTCCAGTTTAAGCCAAATCAGGCAATTATCAGGCTTTAATCAGGCTTTAATCAGGCTTTCTAAGGCATCCGACCTCAACGCGAGGTTAGGATGCCGTAAGCTGCGTGTACACTGTAGAATAAACGAAATTCCATTTACTATGGTGCTCTGCTGAGGCATACTATGTGGCCCATAATAGAGTTTCATGTAGATACCCTAATATAGCTGCTATACGAGACGAAAGCCCCGGAAAAGGCCCAGAGTGGTCATCTGGACCCTCTGTGGCCATGCTATCTTGGGGAGCATTCATATCTTCACCCTTGGGCAGCTGAGATACAATTTCGTCTGAACAGTTTAAGGTTCATCCAGTGCTATAAAATCATCATCACCAAACTTTTTAATTTCTTAGTTACACATAGTTCTTGTTTCCTCACGTAAACTGAGCTCGCTCACGGGTGAAGAATTAGATCTCGGACGAATTAAAGTGCTTTTTGGAAGCTAATTTGAGTCGTTCGATCTGATACTTGATTTCTCTAAGCCTGAGCAATTAAATGAAGTGTATAGTCAAGGTTAATTTTCTTCCGAGGATCAAGCCCACGATCAAGGATAGTGATCATCTAACGCATCCATTTCTTCCGGTATTGGTGCTCTAGGTTTTGACTAATTACTTGGCTCAAGGGTTGATAAATCGACGTTGAATTTGCAGCGGAAAAAAAACCTGAATTTGGGGTGGTGGTGGTACTAATTCCATGTCTGTGAGATGCGGGGAAACATTATCCATTAATAGAAAGACTATTCTCCCCATACTAGCATACCGATAGAAGGAGCGTAAGCATCTTTTCATGGTGTCATAGCACATCCATGATGTCTGATTCGTGTTCCAAAAACAACCTAAAACTTGGAAATTAGTTGACCGGAGAGCGTGAGGAGTTTGATATCTTCCAATCAACCATAAAGCTATTCGGTCTGAGCCGATCGCATTATTCGCAATAACAAGAGGAACTCGCGCTTTATCAGACTTCTGCCCGACTCGTTTCCAAGCCACTCTCTCCCGCATAATTACCACGCTTCGCTTGGGGACCTCTGATGAGATATATTTGTTGATATGGGAGGCTCAAGAACATGAGACAGATCAAGAGGCAACCCGCTACCTTACTGAAAGACTTCAGAGGACTCTCGATCTGTCAACTTCACCTAGATGAACTGTTCAATTGCTCGAAGATGATCCAGCAATCAAGCTCCTTCAAACATTTCCTTTTCTTAAATCACAGCATGCTTATTGCGTCGAATCTCACTCTCTTTCAAGTACGCTTTTCTTTCTTATCAGTGGTCCGAAGAACTGATCAATATTAACTTTTTCTTGACTCTAGGTCCTTTTGATATGCTATTTAGTCACTTTAGGGCGCTTGAAGAACATCATTGATTTGGTGCGCAATGGCGACTAAGAATATCTACATATACTTGGAGGTTCAGCGATGTAAACTTTGGCGTCAAATAAGACTGATATTCGATTTATTCGATACTCTTATATAATACAACAAATCCTTGTAATCACTACCAGCAAGTAATGAAATACAATAAGACAGTAGTAATTAAGATATGGCTAAAGTATATCGTAACTACCACGGTGTTTTGGACCGGGCCGCTCGCCTATTGATTATGTTATCACATGGTAATATGGAGTATGTAAGCTAATTAGATCACATAATGTTAGTAAACACACAGCTTAGGTGCGCGCACAGAGATAGAAGAATGGACGGACAGGCATATATTCGACCGGAGATCCATTGGTCAAGCTTCCACCGCCCTGATTACGTGTTCCGACACATAATTAAAACAGGCGTAAGAAGCTGCTAAAACCAAGTATAGCAGCTTGACAACTTATATGAGGTTTGCAAGCTCCAAGGTATTGAGCGTTGCGAGAACTCAATCTTAGGACGTTTTGGGCAAGGTCCGGTTGGCAAGGTGTGGCTAGTCGCTTTATCACGCGTCTACCAGAAGGATTATAATGATTAAACAGAAGCCAATGGATAAAAAGCGGATTGAAGCTTTTTCAAATACTCTGTCAATATATTGAAGAAACCGGACCAAAACCATATATAATTTCCATGAAACGGGGTTTCAATTAGGTCAGGCAAAGGCTCAAAACATCATAACACGCTATCAATGTAGCGCAGAGAAGGTTTCTACTGTTGACTGATGTGAAACTGTTGACTCGCTCGGTTGAGTGTATTGCTCCTGATGGGTGGGTTAAGATATAGTCAAATAGGGTAATGGCGGAGAAAAAGATATTTAGTCTCCGCCTAAGGGCCAGCAGGAACTATATTATATGGGAATTAACCATCATGAGACAAGGCGTAGCGATCTGCTCCGGCCTTTAATAAATCTCCAGCTATCTCCCACATCCATTTCTTGGCTACTACTCTATGTAATGGCGTATAACCGTAACAGTCCCGAGAGTTCACATCAGCTCTGTGTTGAATGAGAAGCGCGATAAGTTCTTCGACTTTCGATGCAAGATCATAACTTTTATCGGCAACATGGTGTAGAGGGGACCTTCCTTTTATATCCTTTTCATTAACAATAGCGCCGTATTCGAGAAGTAGCTTTACCCATTCAACGCAGCATATGCTGACGGCGAGGGAAAGAGGCGTCAGCCCATCGGAGTTTCGAAAATTAACATCCGCGCTAAGCGATAAAAGTTTCCGGGCGCTCTCCATCCCTACTGGATTTTCTAAGTATCTGATAGCGTAAAATATCGGTGTTTTATGCTGCTTGCCACCGATCTAATTTACATCGGCCCTACTCTCTATGAGCCAGCTTATTGTATCGAGACGGAAGCGCCATGAAGAAAAGGCTAAATGAACTATAGTTTCATCATTGGAGTCCCTTGCCATGATATTTGTACCGCTTTTAAGGAGCGCCTGCGCTTGTTTGATGGCACCCCGCGAGATAGCATAGAGCAGAGGTGTCTGCTGAATGTGGTTTTTAGAATCTACCTTAGCCCTGTGCATAATAAGTGTTCGAATGATGGTTTTGTTCTCATGCCTTCTGCTTTTCGAGCTCACGGTATAAAAGAGGGCTGTCCTTTCCACAGAATACTGGTCCGTGCTTTTCAAATTCGGATTGGCGCTATATTGCAGTAATACGCGTATAGCACGTATGCATGAATGATAAGCTGCTACTTAGAGCGGTGTTCTTCCCCAGCCGTCTTGGGAGTCGACTGGAATACCAGTGCCAATGAGTATCTTTAGAATTGTAGGAGTTGCGTTTTTCCCAGCCGCGATATACAAGAGGCTTATTGCGTCTCGCCCTTCGATTATATATGGTTCGGCCCTATGCTCTAAAAGTAAAGCCACTTTTGCTTCCTGATTCGATCGAATCGCCTCCAACAATAGAGGGCGATTATTAAATGCAACAGAATTGGCCGTAGAACCATGGTTAAGGAGCAGCTTAGTGATAGCCACGTCGCTACGTCTAGTTATCGCCAAAATTAAAGGCCTTCTGGAATAGAGGTCCGCCGTGTTTAGTAATACTCCATTCTTCAGAAGAACTTCCACAATATGGATATGATTATTACGTACGGACTCCAGGAGAGCTATTGATTATTCTAGGCTTAGTTCTCGAAGATTGACATTTACACCCGCGGCCAGCATTTTTCGAACACCATCCTCATTCCCATAACGTGCATACCACACAAGAGCTGATCCACCGTCGTATTTGACATTTCGTTAGTAAAGTTTCCCGATGAGGAGACTGTAGAGCTTTCGTTCCGCTTATAAAAAGTTGTAAAGATCTTTGATCGATCCCAATTGGTCCGCAACGAGCGAGATAATTTCCGTTAGAGATATGTGAAGAGACATTGCATTAGGCCAATATTGAAAGTCTTCATTACGAAGACTGAGGGCATAGGTAGGCTAGTACTCATTAAATACACATGGTAAATGACAGGGGGAATTATGAGCAGCTCACCTTAGGAGTCAGATTTCAACGTACGAAGGAGATATCGTTCGGAAAAACCTAGCAAATATCGACATGGTAGTCTGCAAGATCTACCAAATCATTTATTTGGATATTTTAATTTTTACTTTAGGTGGTTACATAGTCGCTGGTCGTGATAAGTCTGTGGTCTAAGAAAACGAGCAGCGAATGCAGTCAATATTTTCATTTAGGCATGAACTTTATCATCTAGATTTCTTTTTTTTAAAAAAAAAATGAAAACATAAGTACGCAAATGTGCCAAGAAGCAACGAGGATGCAGTAACCCAACTCTTGCGCACACAAAGCACAGGATGAAGCAAGCGATTGATCAATAAAATCAAAGCATACAGATATTTAGCTGAACTGAGCATGCCCCAGTTAAGCATGATAAAGCGTTACTTAAACTTCATGTCTGCCAAACGTG